ACCCATACACCCAAGGTAAAATGTTTTATTTACACTTGTGCATTTATGTTTAAAATTGAAGCGTCACACTATGATACAAAAAGTCTATCGACTACTCCAAGCGCTTCAAAGAGTACAATTCACTGTATAGTTACTTAAAACCAATATCTACGTTAATAGGTATAACTAATCCAAAAAAAGGAACCCCATTTCTTCTTGCACTAGTAATCAATATAAGATGAGCAAATAACAAAAGCCTTATTTGTTGTAATATATTTTGTACATACTGAAGTCCCTGAGAATTGCAGTGTAATGGATATCTAAATATAGAACATTTCAATTTTTATCATAAGGGAAATCTTTTAAATATAAACTATAAATAGAAAAAAAATTCCAACTTTCCTTGTAAAATATAGAGTGGTAAAGGGAGTCCATTGCAAAAAAGGTCACTCAAATGGAAAATTACAAGAAAATTAAATTTGAATGAAGAAATTGAAAAGTAAAATCACGAAACCGAAGGTACCACTACTACTCGACCGGTGACAGGCGACCTGTGTTTATATTCAGCCCCCACACTTCATCAGTCTAAAAATCCGTCCGACAACAAGGTATAATCCAGCTAATCCACCAGTTGAATCTCGCTCTGACATGCTTTGCACTATTCCTAGAGATAATCGATGTAGAGGAAGTTAAGGTATTGAACATGACTTTGGCTCTCCTTCCCTGTGTGGGATACTAAAATCCAAAAGGCCATATCCTCCTCTTTTGTAAGGAGATTTTTTCACCACTACTTTTGGGTAGTAAACTTTGGGTTTTACCTATCATATCTCTGATATGTTTGTTAGGAGTGGAGAGTGTAAGTCCCTCAAGTATATTTTTGGATAGAGATAAGTGTGAATAACTTGAACTCTCTCCCTAGTAGGTATATCTTGTGTTAAATTCAAGAATAAAGTTCTCCGTAGTTTTTCCATCTGTTGAGTCTATTGTTGTGAAACTAACCCCATGTTAGGTACGTTCAGAGTCCTTATTCGTCTTACCCAGAAAATTTCCACGCCAGTATCCTTATTTTCGAGCAAAACTTACATACAATTGACTTTTGAAAGTTGACCTTACTCGATTGTAAAAAAATATTTTACAGATTTCTAACAAGTCATAAATTTAAATCCTACTTCTTGAATCTAGTCACGCCGACCCACTTATCATATAGAATATTAATCATACTTCAAGCTCTCAATTTGGGCCATAATAAACAATTCCTGAACACACTTAACGGTGGAACTCTTATTTGAATCATGTGAAGATCTTGGTCTTGTTTTTGAGCAATTATTTGATCTCTTGAGATAATATAGCCTCTTAAAAGAAGAGAGAAGATAGCACTTACCAAAAAGCTTACCCCGGCAAAGATTGCAGTATGCTTATATCGAGTAGTACCCGTTCCTGAAGTTAGGGCGGATGCAATTAATTGAGAGAATAACGCTGAAAGTCCCACAAATATCCAGAGCATACAGAAAGATATGTTTAACTTGGCCATTCCAACTAGCCTAGAAACCATAGCAGCACAGGTGGGGAATACTGTACCCATAAACACCCCTTCTAATAGACCAAGTGCAATGGCAGTAGCATAATTCTTTGTCGGAATCCACATTCCTAATGTTATAATAGCTGATACAAAATACGCCACTGTAGTGACTGTATATGGACCGGCATAATCAGCCAAAACTCCAGTAAGTGGTCTTCCAATACAAAACCCTACTTGAACCATAGCAGCCACAATTGAGCCTTGATTGTTGGTATAGCCTAGCGATGTGGTAAAGTCTGCTAAACTGTATAACACAATCACAAACCCAAACATACACGTTATCAAGTAAAACATAAGTAACCAAAAGGCTGCGCATGACACAACCTGAAGGTCAATTAACGTGAATTCAACTTTATTTTTAAGAGACTTCGATTTGACCAACAAGATGGCAAAAAGTACTAGAACTGCACTAATTATACCTTGAGCCCTTAATGCCCAATGGACATTCTTCACTTCAATAATTTTTTGGAGTCCTAAATTGAATACAATACCTCCAACCCCACTACCAGTCATTGCTAACAGATTGGCTAATACTCTTCTCTTTACAAACCATTGGCTTACAAGAGTCATTGCCGGCAAGCTTATGAGCGCTAAACCGAAAGATTGTAATACTCCTTGAGTTAAATAAAGTTGCCAAATATTCACCGAGAAACTTGCTAATATTGCCGCAGCTAGTTGGAAACAATTTCCTAATAACATAACTTGTCGAGCTCCAATGATCCCTTGTAAATAATTGACAAGTGGGGCAAATGCCATCCCCACTCCAACAGATATACCACCAATTGCAGAATAATCGAACTGGGTGGCTCCTGCAAAATAATCGGAATTGACATAATACGCAAAATAAACAGCATAAGCCGAGTTTAAGCCCCATGTACAAAATGTAAGTAAGAATGCAGCGAATACTATGACCCAGCCGTATCCACCATCCATATCCGGGTCTTGTTCAGGCTCCGATTGAACATTTTTTTCAGTTTCTGATTCACTACTCATTTTTGTGGAATCCTGACATTTTTCTATTTGACATAATCTACATAAACTTAACTATCTATATAATGTATGGTTTAGAGCCAACAAGAGCACGTAAATGAGCATATTAATAATATACTCTTTGTTAACAATTATGATTGGTTCTCAAAATGATATTATATATGCTGCTGACAAACTGCTTTGACGTTTTGAGCAGATTTTTTTTTTTATACCTATCGCACAACTTGTACATACATACAAAAGCTGGTCCTTCGAATACTGCCAGTATTCATTTAGCCAGCGTAGGTTACAATCATTTGGAGTATGTCTCTTGACATAATATATTAAAATTTGCTAATCAGATGTCTTTAGGTGCTAAACTCATGATTTTATGGCCAACGGATACGGCCCGCGCATTCGGACATGTAATGAGTTTGCCGGAACAAGCCTCTCCATCGGTATTGTGCGGCTGCACGGCGCTGTAGTTGAAATCTCCTCTTTGAGAAGATGTGTTTCTATTCATACAGGGAGTCAACACGGAGTGTCATACAGGTCCCAAATTCGTATTTGAGAGATTAATATAGCAAATTAATTAATACATCACTTGAACTTAAGTGCCTAAAACGTACCATCACCTCAACTAATTCTACAAGCAGATTAACTAAATATCACAATTATTATTTCCTACTGAAATGTATATATATGTCATTTTACTCAAATCTTAAACCTTCGATTTTACCTTTTCCCGTTCTTCCAAATATTTTTGTTCAGCTTCTTTTCTCTTTTCAAGATTACCATTCAATTGGTTCTCTATCATATCTTTTGTAACACCATTGGAGATCAATGAATCCCAAGTTCTTCTTTTTTCAAATCCATTTCTTCCATATTGGAAGTCTGTATATGTCTCATAAATGTCCTGCTCCGAGTCGGCAACAAATGGTCCATAATGAACAGATTCCTGGTCCAAGACTTGTCCACCAATCAATACAAACTCAATATCTTTTCCATCCTTTTCAGCTTTGTTCGTAGCTCGGATTTCATCTCCATCTCTCTTGAAGAAAACATTAGAATGTGCAGGCACGGAAGTGCCATCATTTACCACTAAGTTATCTCCCTCAAGCACATACAAGAAGAAATTATAATCTTCAGGAACCTTTTGAGTATACGTTCCATCTGGCTTCAATGTGACATAATAATATTGAACCGGAGTATATGCCAAATCATGCGCTGACTCCACTCCATAAGACTCTCCAGAAATAACCTTAACCTTCACCTTACCATCTTGTTCGACAACTTCTGGAACTTCATAAGATCTCAAGTCTCTATATCTTGGTTCTGTTTTTCTCAATTTCTTTGGTAAATCTACCCACAATTGCATACCAGAGATAACATTTTCACCGTTGATGGCAACTGGCATTTCAGAATGAACGACACCCTTTCCGGCTGTCATAAATTGTAAATCACCAGGGTATAAAATCCCCTTGGATCCAGTAAAATCTTCATGTGCCATAGCTCCCTTCAACATTAAGGTAATTGTTTCTTGACCACTGTGACCATGCTCTGGAAAACCAGCTTCGGCACCGCCATTGAAGTGGTCTAACATCAAAAATGGGTTGAAGCTTCTCATCTCAGAAGTCCCAATTGATCTTCTGACTCTGGCACCAGCGCCTTCAGCCTGTTCTCTAGCGTTAACAAGTTTTAAAGTACTTCTTAATCCCATTTTCTTATTTTTATATTTTGTTTTTTGTTTGATAATGAAAAAAAAATGAAATATTCAAACAATCTGGTCCACTCCGATTCCTTATATAATAACCAACTTCATTTCTAGAACGATCTGGTTACTTCTGTGCTTTAGAACCACTTGCATATTTTGTGCATTGTCAAAATATTTCATTAGTAAAATTTATTAAACTGAGATCATGCAGACAAGTAATTTTTTTAATTTGAATTCGCGGATATAAATTTTCGTTCGCTTTTTAGCAACCATTAGTAACATTCAAATGATGATTCATATTCTTATTAATATGAACAACTAGTTAGTGTTTATCAAAGATATATTCGCAAATTTACTCTCAAAACCAATCAATTATTTACTGGAAAGTTAATCATATCTGGTGGGTACCTACGGTTTTTTTTTCAGTAGTGGATCTCGTAGGAATTTCCAAGACTATCTAAATGATTGTACTTAAAATCAATCTATATTCTTTCAATAACATCAGATCTACAGAACGTATTTAATATAGATTATTACACCATTACTCCATGTTTTCAATAAATACATCTATATAATCAAGTATTATATTATCCCTCTATTTAAGTAACCCATTCTAATTTTTTCGTATTCTTCTCGCACTATATCCACTTGGGTAATATATACAAAGGAGAAAACGCAGCATAACCAAAAATAAGTCCCACGAACTTTTCTGCAATAGAATGCAAATAAATACAAGTCATGAATAACATCCACCACCATAATGATACAAGTAAAATTTACCAAAATATTAATATTTACGCTGAATTTCATGTTTTATATACTTACAACTTGAGCCCCTCAAGCCGTCTTTGCCCTAGCTACCAATTTTGCAGACTCAACCATGAATCTTTGTGCATACTCATCAGTAATCCCAGCAGAAGCTAGGATAGACTTTCCCTTATTGTTAAACATCGCTCCACTGAACTTCTCAATACTGGGCGACACAATAAGCGGGGTAATATTTCTGGCATATGTATCAGCATTTTGAGAAAATTTACCAATGAAAAACTCAACTATTCTAGACTTCCAAGTATTTTCTCCTAAAAAGTTATCACGAATGTTAGTCTTGACTAAACCAGGATTTAAGCCAAAAATATTTATTTCTGGATGTTTAATCGCAGTATCAATGACCAATGCTTCATTTCCTGCAACTGTAGTCATGTGTGTTGCTAAAGATTTGTACGATTTATCGGAATTTAAATCATCTATTTCTCCAAGTTTTCCATTTCCCGGGTAGCCCATAACAAATATTCTAGGCTTTATATTATCCTTTGATGGTTTTAATCTAGGAATCATATCACGAAGCATAACAAATCTATTTAAGTAACTGACTGCCATATCACGCTCAATTCCTTCAGGTGTTTCTTCTCGTTTGGGTCCTGCAAATATACCTGTGGTGAAAATAATAGTACTGAGTTTTTCCACTGGCAAGACTTTTGCAACACGTTCTGATTCTGACAAGAGACTTAAATCAGATTTGATGAACTTAATTCCTTTCAAATCATCATCGCGGAACGTTTGTCCAACCACAGTTACATTTGCACCGCGGGAAGTCATAAAACGACTGATAGCACGACCAAGTCCTCCAGTTCCACCAACAATTGCAACATTCACACCTGCAAGATTGAGAGAATCCGGAGATACCCTTTCCCAGTTGATTTTCAGATTTGCTTCTCTATCCATTGATTAATCTTTTATTTTTATTATTATTATTATTATTATGACTTTTTGGAAGAATATTATATCAGAAACAGATGTAACAATTTTTTTAAGGGTACTATCAATATTTTACAAAATGATGGGGAAACATTTTGCTATTTATAAAATTTTCTTGATAAAGCTTTTAAGGTTTTGTGTACATTCGCGGGTATGTCATGAATTATTTTTATGTCCGTTTCTGTGATTAGTTATTATTCTCTCGGCCGAGGGAGGCTTTGTGTTTCTCCGCATTCTTCAGAACGGTTGCGAAAGTCACACCTACCACACAAAAAGTACAAACAATTATCAAATTATTAACTAAAATTAATTTAACTAAATTCCTTACAAGCTAACAATACTTGATGCCGTGGTGTACTTTGGCTTACCAAGGGAGATTTCACTGTTTTCAAGGTTATAGATAACATAAGCACGTCTAAGGAAATTGTCACCAAGAATTGCTTCTTCATCAGTTCCGAAAAGATTGATGAAACATCCACCATCACCGGTTTCTAAAACAATGTCACTGAGTGGGACATCAATGGTAATACCATGAAAGGTAAAGGAAAGGTTACCAGTTGCGGCAGAGCAAGCCACTGTTGGACGTTTATAGAATAAGTTTGAGGTATCACCGCCAAGAGAATCGACAATTTGGTTGAAACTATCGGTTGGGAAATAGGAGACAGTAGATCCACTATCAAGGTTAAATGGTGCAGATACAGTAATTTGATTACCAGCAACAGTTACAGAATCCACAGTAATATCAAGTCTATTGTATTCACCACTATGTTGAAGTGTGATGAGTGGCCCATCGATTTTTGCGACATCTTTTCCACCGAAAAGAATTGAACCTCCAGTTGCGTCAGGAGTATTCAAGTATAAGGAGTAAATAGCGTTATCGATGTAGCCTGCATTCTTCAAAGCGAGTGGGAAATTGTTATATGGAACATCTCCATTGTACACAACATTTGCTTCAAGGGTATTAAGACCAATTCCTAAAATTCCACTTTGAGATACACTGGTCAGACTAATACTTGCAAATTGGAAATTACTAAGTTTACCTGAGCCATCACCAAGAGAAACAGTGTCAGTATAGAACTCTCCAGTTGATGAGGTTTTATCCCCATAGTTAATCTTAAACAGTTTGTGAATGTCCTTTGCAGTAGTAGACTTAGAAGGGTCGTAGTAACCATATTCCTTAACTGTTCCAGAAGTTTGAGAGTTTGGAACCCACAAGTCAGATGAACCGGTATCAATATCAACACCGATCTTTTGCTTGTTGCTTCCCAATAATAAATAAGTGATATAGTAATACAGCTTATTAATAAGTGGGGAGTTGGGGGTACCACGCTTCACGAGACTCAGAAGGGTTTCATTCAAAGGTGCCTTGACGACATCGAAGTCCAACCCAAGGACCTTTGGTGCTCTTTTAGTTAAGCCATCAACCGGAGCAGCAGAAGCAAAAGATGAAAGGCAAAGAGCAATGGGCAAGAGAGTTTGAAGAGATAATTGAACCATGTTATTGGAAACTTAGAGATTATTTGAATGATACTTCAAACAATTACATTTTAACCAGGGATTTTTACATTCTTATATAGTAGTCGAGACGGCCGTACTAGTAGTTACGAATGATACATTTCGATTAGTCGATATCAAGAGAGTATTTCAAATTTCAAGTATTTGTTATCGAATCGTAAAATTAAGCATGCCGCATATGAATCATGGCTTCGAGAATTTCATCTGTGGCTTATCTGAAAGTATACAGTTTCGAGAACTCTCGACTTAGTTGGGGGCTTAATATGAAGCTAATTATACACTTCAGCTTAATCTTATACTGCTACACAGAACATGTAGATTTTGTTGAGAGAGAGTTACTAAACTGAACAGGCTGATATTGATGCAATTTATTTTTACGAGTAACGTTGAAACACATCAATTAAAAAAATAATAACGCTATACATATTGTAATTGATATGTGAATATGCACGGTTATTTAAGGTTTACGTGACAACACAACCTTTCCAAACATGTTAAGATTGTCAAATTATACGCATTCCTTACTACAGTCAAGAATTTTTCATACTAGTCATGGAACTACTCTAACAATGCTAATAACACATTCACTTGCCTTTTGAAATGAACTACATCTTTCCCGTATCACCATTCTACTCTCTGGCCAAATTATTCCAGAGTTAAAGAATGGTGTCCAAAAGAATCAACATGCACCAACTTACGTAATATTGCATCAACAAAACAAGATGGCACATGTGACATACGAACAATAATATACCATCATAAGTAAGCGGCATACATTTCAATATAGTTATCAGTAACCTTGGATATACTAATTTTTCGATATTATACGGATAGTTTCTCCTAATAGATAATCAAATTTAGATTCAAACACAAAATTGTATAGGTGTTCAATATCTTTCGTATATCAAGTTTGCTACGGGAATGTAAGAAGGTGCCAAATTTCATGTAGGCCGTTCAGCTAAAAATACTTCAAAGAAAAAAAAAATACTTCAAATAATTAGACAGGAATTAAGCCACCACTCACAAATTGTACGTTATAAAATGATTATTGATACCGAATATCTGCTAGATTATCATCTATCTTTCAACTAATCAATTGCATTTCTCTTGATTGAATGCCTTGACTACAAAGGAATAGTCGACGTATAATATGAATTGCCATCTAATAATACGGCTCTTCGAGACATGAATTTCGGAGCCGTTTCCATTGTTCCGGGTATATATGTAAGTTTCATCTATGAAATTTTGAAACCTCCTTTTTTGATAACGTGACATTCATGAGGTTGTGCTTTCATGTCGCAAACCACAATTTAATTTGAGGCATCAATGTTATAATTTTCAAAAATAATTGTGGCGTATCTTCAATTTGTCATATGAACATTTCCCCCCTATATGAGTTTTTGAAAATGAACTTCAATTTCTTCATCATTTGTAATGACGAACCTACTTAAAGATAAATATTCGGAGGGAAATTTCACCCTTGTAAAGTTACCACTTGATAATTCATATTTAGTAAATGGGAATGAATTCCCAGTAGCGTTTAAATTTACTAGTCAAGTTGCGTATGAAGAACAAGAAGTAATTAAATTTTTGTCACAATTAGCATCAAAAAATGTATTTAACGAGTTGCAAGACAAGCATGGTGCTGTCGTGATTCGAAATTTAGGTACAAAGGATCCCCAGGTATTATCGAAATACATTGAAGCTATCCAAGTGAACAGCAGTAAGAAGCCCTTTATACAATGTGGAGCACTTGCCAAAAGAAGAGATATTGCCCCCTATTTACAAACAGCTAACGAAGGAGATCCCAGAAGAAGGATTCATCAACACAACGAGTTTAGTAGATTTAAAAAGTATCCAAATCATTTGGTATTTGTAAATATTAAATACTCCGCTCAAAATGGAGAGACACCGATTGTACATTGTGGAGAACTTTATAATAGATTGTATGCTGAAATACCCGAATTTCTAAGTGATTTAAAGAGGAAAGGTTTGTATATGACCCAAACTTGGCCATATAATCCTAAAGATGGAATCACTTGGGTTGACAAATTTAGCTTTGGGAAGGATATCGAAGCAACAGACTCATTAGAAACTAAAAAGTCAAAGGCTGAATTGGTTCTTCAAGAAAGAATTAGTAGTGATTTCGAATGGCTCCTGAATAATGATTTGAAAGTCCATCAACATACTCAACCATTACAACTACACAAGACAGGGATTCCAGTACTTTTTTCTAGCTTACCAACTTATTACAATGAGATGAAAAACTCAGTATATGACGAAGATAACCCTCCAATAGCATTCGATAACAAGGAATTAATCCAAAAATCGAACTTGGAAAAAGTTTTTGATATTTCTACTGAATTAGAATATCTACATGATTGGGAAGAAGGTGATATTGCGTTGATAGACAACCATCAAGTGTCACATGGCCGACGTCCTTGGAAGGAAGGTGAAAGAGAAGTCTTGGTAAGTATGTGGGAATGATCCTGAAATCGTACCATAAAAAATAATCGTGGCTTGAATTATTATATCTATGCATATAGGTGGGTGTTTCAAAAAAGGTGGAATTATGTATTATTTTTCTCTCTCTGTCTAATCCTAATTTCTTTAATCGCAGTTGTTGCTCTTAAGGCGGTAGACACCGACGCAGCCGGGCTAGCACCGGTTACAATTCTTCCATCGGTAAGCGAGAAATCATCGAATGGACCACACGGTGACAAATACTTGGCACCAAGCCTGACTGAAATTTCGGGAATTGTCGCTAACTTTTTCTTTTTCAAAATTTCATCAACTTGTAACAATTTTTCTCCAATATCAGAAAATCCTGTAACTGATCTATTTTTGATCACATTTTCTCCAGTAGATACATCAATGAAACCATCGAATATTGAAATCCCATGAGATATAGCAGCTATAATACCACCATTGTTGTATATATCAACCGCGAGTTTTTGAACCTTGGAATGTGGATAATCAAATAAACATCCATGTCCACTAGAAGCAAGAAATATCTCATACTCCAGAGCAGACACCTCAATTGGTTTCTTAACATGTAATAAATGTTTCCTAAATGGAGAATTTCTATCTTTGAGAGTATTCAAGTCTTCGGGTATAAGATATTCTTGCAGTAATGCGTAATCATCTACTCCAAAACTACCATTCTCCGAAACAAAATCCACCTCATATCCATACCTTTGGAAAACAACAAATGGGTGTAATGCTTCGACAAGGAAAACCCCTGTCTTTTTACCATCGCCATAGAAGGCCTCATTATACGATGTGAGAGAAATCAATGCTTTCTTTTTAGAGATGATTTCAGTCATAATATTGTTATTGATTATGACGAATTGATTGACTTTTAAGGCATATATATAGATATGTATTCTCTTTCTGAATGTAAACGTTAGTTAGAAGAGACAAATGTGTTGTAAGAGTGGTAATTCACAATAAACTATGGCTGCGAAAATGCGAACTTATATCCGCACAATGTTTTTATACTCCGCATTTGGCAAATTACTAATCAAATGATTTCTATTCTTTTAAATTGATTAGTTGCTTTATAATTAATTATATTATTATTATTATTATTATTATTATTATTAGTAGTATTATTCTTAACACCGTACTTTAGGCTTAAATCCATTTTTCGTTAATGCAGCGATACGTAAACTTTCTCCCTTCCAAATTAAAATAAATGCACAACCGGTTGCTACCCACAATACAAATGCACTAATTGTACAGGTCCAACCTATTCCAATACTCTGAATACTCCTAAGACATGTTGCCGATGCTACTGCACTTGAAATATATCTAGAAAAATAACTGCTCCCCACCGCATCACCTCCAAGTTCAGGCATAGAATCTACACAATATGTATTTGATGCCGGGAAAACGAATGTCTGAGCGAGTCCACTAATGAACATAAATACAATTGGTAACACCATTCCTCCAACTTTTTTCTCAAGTGACCATCCATAGACAAGCATACAAACCGGATACACAACTCCCAAGGGAATAATAGTAGCGTAGATTCTATCTTCTGGTATTCTCTTTCCTCTCTTTTTAATGAAATATTTCACAACTATGTCGGCCCATTTCCCACCAAGTATACTGCCAACTAAGTAGCCTAACCCTGGAGGTAAGTAGAATAGAGCTCCATAGATTGGAGATGTCAAATTAAATCTAGGATCCACAACATATCGGATAGGAGTCAAAAGCCCATACATGGTGAATGTTAAACTCATTACAATGAATCCACCTAAAAATAAATTTGGATATTTTAAAGCTTCAACAACTCGGAATGGGTTATAAGGAATCCAAACAAATTTCTTTTTAGGTTTGTCTTTACGAATTTCAGCTAATACTAACTGAAGTTTGGTAACTTCCAAAGTTTCAGGTAGGAAAAACAATACAATGACTGCAAACAAAAAACCAAGACCCGCCAAAACTCCAAAGATTACTCTCCAAGATGTATAAGTTACAATGATCCCACCAATGACGGGACCAAGAGCCGAGCCAACCTGAGTACCACACAATGTCCAACCCATTGCTGTACCTCTTTCGGTTGGAGGATATATGTCACCTACTAGGTGTGCAGCAGTGGTAAAAAATGCAGTTCCAAATAAGGCTGAAAAAGCTCTAAAAATATAAAACATGGCAAGATTTTGTGAAACTGCAACCAATGTGGAACACAAGGTGTACATGCTCAAACAGATCACAAAAGTGGATTTCCTTCCATATATGTCAGAACAAGGGGAGAAGACACATGGAGATAAGGACATGAACACACAAAAGACTGCAGCTGAAATGTTAATGACTTCCCCAGTAGTATTAAACTCCGTCGATATTTCCGGCACTGCTGGTAAATATGCCAAAGTTGACATGGGAGATAAGAAACATGAAGCAGCAGCAAGACAGACAATGAAGCGCTTTTTACGTTCTGTGAACCTTCCATAGTTTTTAGTATCGTGTGTTAGTGTCCTTTTGAGGGTGATCTTTGGTTCCACTACCCCAGATTTAATGCTTTCACGATTTGATTGAATTTTACTTATCTTTCGTGATACAGCCTCTTCTGCGACACTCGGCACCGGAAAAATAATGTCCTCCCCGCGATTTTTGTCAATTTGACTCTCCTCGTCAGCCACACCAATGGCAAGTACCTCATTGTCAGTGACGTTGGAATCGATGGACGACTGATCATACACCGACTCCTGGTCCTTCTCCTGGTCGTCCTTTATACTCTTATCCGTCATTAGTAGCGGAGAAAAGTGGATTACAATATTCTATCTTGAATTTAAAAGCCTTTTATTCTTTTTTCAGATTACAACTTTACTGTGTAAGATCGCGAAATCTCTACAGTTTCAAAGTATTCTAGGGCTAGGGTGGATGTTAATATAGAGTGAAGGAGGAAGAGAATAACGAAATACTCTATATTCAAAATTAAGGTCAGACAGCAAAAGGCTACTAGAGATAAGTGACGTTGTATGACATACCTCGTGTATACAGGAAATGACTAATAGCTTAATTTTTAGAAGAAAAACATATCGAGAGTGAAAAAAAAATGCCATCATGAGAAGCACAAAGGAGGAGAAACAGAGAAATGGAAATTGGAAATGAAGGTTAGAAATAAATGCAGAGAAAAAAATAAAATTTCAGGAGGTAGAGATCCTCTAATTTCAGATAGCACATCTTTCTGCATCGGGATAAGAACTTATACCAATGCACAGATAATTATGTAACGTCGTATTACAGACACATGTGGATCGCAAGCGAACTGCCAAAAAAAAGGAGAGTTGACTTGATATGAAATGAGCACATATATCTTTCTCTCCACTTATGTAAGATGGCGGGCAAAGAGATCCGATTGATACCACACAAACAAAAAAAAGAACGCACGATAAACTACTCTACATGAATCAATTTTCCCATAAAACAATCACGTACCTACTTTTTTTCCCACTTTGTTGTTACGCATGGAAGGGTGAACGTAACAATATATCTAGTAGATATATCTGATCTGTTCGCTTACTAAAACTTGAGGATGAGTGTGAAATGCAGGTTTGGTTTTGCATGGATATTCGGGGGGCCGGGGCTCAACAAAAATATTAAATCCGAAAATTTTACATTCGCTCGTAAAAGATCAATCTCCGTGTGCTTCTGAGACAGGCAGATTAAACTTTTAAGTTTGAGTTGGTAATTATTTGAAAGACCCAGAATCTCACACAACGCACATATTCACTTCATACTTGCACCTTGCCTTTCATCTAACGCAACTGGATAGGTGCGTATTAGGTGCCCATTGTATGTTGGACATAGATGTAGAATTACGTACTACGACGACTTACCAATGCCTATTAATCTGATGCATGGTTTTTGTACGATGCGGCTTGGACCGAATATTTCCGAAATCCTCCTCCAAAAATAACCAAAGAAATATAAATGTCCTTTTTTTTTATTTTACCTTTATTTTTTTTTTGTCTCCCCAAAACTCTGAATTCCATATATGTTTCTCGGTCTTTTCCGGACTGCCTTATTGGATATATCTAGGGTGGGACGGCATATTCGCCAGATATGTAGGTACACGTAAACTGCCTATGAAATGCCCTTAACAGCTCTTTATTTCAAGATTTGGACCGCATAAAAAATCCCCCCCGTCCCGATTGAAAACCGTGCATATTTACACTGCATTTTTATTCCCGTCTGCATGCTTTGCAGTTTGCATTAAACCAAGCATTTTATTATATTTTATTACCTTTCGAGACAATTTACTGAATATGTTTTTTTTATCTAATTTATTAATAATAATAATAGTAATAATAATTTTTTTTTTGATTAATTAAGTTAAGGGCCGACAACGGCCCAAACAAGTTGAAATTGTTGCACCTTAAATCCAATACTAAAATGTTCCATCACCTTGAAATAAGCTCCAAAGATCTCTACCCTTTCGTACCTGGCAAAAAAGACTTTGTATGACTCACTACGACGCCATTTTTTATCTAATAATGGCTTGACAATTCGCCACTTATAGGAAATATTTCCCCCGTCGGAATCATCGTAAAAGTTTTTTTTTTTCTGGTATTATTTTTTGATATTTTTTTTTTTTAATTTTGTTGAATTGCTAAATCCGGGATTATGGTGTGATTTCTGGGTTGCAAAGCGCGTCAAGTACATGTAGATGAAATCGATGGAAAATAAAGCCATTCAAAGATTGACGGCCCGGTCCTACGCAGAAGATAGTACACCTTCCGAGAGGAGATAGATCCAGCACTGTTCGCTACTTCCTCTGAAGAGCTTGGGTTTTCGTTTGGTCGTGGGAGCTTCGACCAAGTCGCAAACCATGGGCGATCCCTAACCCCCTTTCTACGTAACTAACATATTCCAAGTACATAAAAATATAAATATGACCTACTACTATTACGAGAGACTTGGGTGCATGTGGGGATTTCCGGGCCTCATGCGTCTCGGTCAGGACATCTGCGGAAAGTTCCACGCTGCACGGTTATTTCGTAGTAGAACCCTGTACTTTCAGTACAGGCGTGATTTATAATGTATATCATTTCCGCTAATCTAACTAGAGTTTTCGATTCTCTTTTCTCTCTTTTTCTTTTCATGTTCAATGATGACGGCAACTTCCAATTTCTTTGGAAGTGCACGTTTACCAATGAATCCTAGTCAAGCGTCGGATTCACCTAATGTGACCGCAAATCCAGACCTTTTAGGGTTACCCTACAAGTCTGGGTGGAGCTCTGAACATCATGCTAACAACTGGAGTCAGTCACCAACATATGGGTTTTCCGGCCCGGTGGAACAAGAGACGACTGACCCATCTTCTTTAGGTCTCTTCACGTATCCTAATGCAATTGCAGAAAACTTTTCTGAAACCTACCAGTCACAAGTTTCCTTCCCCCAACTTTCAGCTGGCAGCTCCTTAGCGGGGCCGGGTCCGGGTCCGGCCCCGGGACTGGGTCCTGGATCCCGAACGATGATAGGCATACCGCCCCCTGGAAACGTACCTTCTACATCACATCCCGTATCAGGTTCTGTCCCCGCCACGGGACCGCCTACGGGTCAATTATCCCAACAATTACCCACACAATTAGAAACACCTACAATGTTATATAGTATGCCACCTCCATATCCTTTAGGAAACCCAAATTATATGGTTGGCAACCAACACCAATTCTATAGAGCCGATGGTCCTACCTTCTCGGCAAACCTCTCGAATCACCCACAATCAGCAGATTTATCACAACCACAACCACAACAACCACATCAACAACCACATCACTATCTACTGGCGCCTGAAGGTCGACTCCCGCAAACTTTTGAACATAATGAAAGTGGAAGCATGTTGGATCTTGACTTGAGTAAGCCTTCAAGAGCATTATTGGCATGCCCTGTAGCAGGATGTCCATGGAATACGGAAATCAAGGCGGCCAAAATATCAGAGTTAAGGAAACATTGTTTTTCAAGCCATTTCTCCAAGGGAAGATTAGATGTTAGTATGGATCCTGCAACTGCTCACAAAGTGTCCAGACTTTTGTATCGATGTGATTGGCCCACTTGCGGAAAATATTTCAGTCGTAGTGACTCTCTCAAGAGACATGTTCGGGTTATCCATCATCGTTCCGCTAACAAATTCAATCGGATGCTCGAAAAAGTGTATGAATTACCGGATCCTATCAATTCACAGACTGCACCTGAGACTACACCTGGAGACTCCTATTCATAGTTGGGTTTTGACTACCAAAAAATAAACCGAAAAACATCCGCAGAAGGATTAATTGTATTAAGAATAGACTTTTATGAAGAGTTACGTGATAATGCATCAGAACCCCGCAATATCCACAGTAATTTCTACACAGTTTCAGCCATTGCTGACAGAAGGGGGAAGTGGTTCTGTGATTAATATCAGAAAGGGGGTATAATAATATAAAAGAAGGAAAAGTTTTAGGAGAACGTTATGGAAAAAAGTTCTGCTACACTACCAAATTTAATTCATTGACATTAATATGTCTTTAATTAAAGGAATTGAATCAGCAAATGCTGAGTATTCTGACAAGTTTACCAAAGGTGACTTGTCACTTCCACCAGCCAAAAAGGCTGTAATTATTCATTGCATGGATGCAAGAATTGATCCTTCAACTTCATTAGGATTCCAAGAAGGTGACGTACACGTTATTAGAAACGCAGGCGGACGGGCGTCGGATGCACTCAGGAGTGTAATAATCTCACAAAGGTTACTTGGAACACGCGAGATTATAATTTTACATCATACAGACTGTGGGATGTTGACTTTCACCGATGATAAACTACGCAACATTCTTAAAGAAGAAACAGGTCAATCTGTGGACCATATTTCATTTCTTCCATTTGGCGACTTGAAACAAAGTGTGCTTGACGACGTCAAGTTTTTACAAGATAATCCGCTTGTACTTGACGTTCCCATCACAGGCTACATTTACGACGTCAAAACGGGGAAGATCCACAAAGTTGATCGCTAATATATATTTTTTATTTTAATATTAGCGGAAGTTAATGGGTACGTTTTCAATATTATTAGTTAGTTATGAGTCAAATATTACACACAAATAGCCACTTTAAACTGCCCCCTTAACACTTTTTTTTTTTCGAAGTTGTCAGTATTAATCGATTATATTCCCGTTGTGCATCATGCGCCCTAACAAAGCGGAATTGCGTAATATTTTCTAGATCTGCAGCAGCCACACCTCATGATTCCTCTTTTTCTTTTAATCAACCAGTCTCCATTTATATAAGAGCCGACATTCTGCACATTCGGAACATTACTAGTTCAGAGATATCATATCTACGAGAAGCGTACAGAATGTCCACCACAAGAAGCCTTGAAAAACAGGGCTCTGAAAAAATTCATGTCGATGATAAATCCATAACTACTAATTTGCAGCCATCACAAGAACCTCTTACCAAAGAAGAACTTCAGTACATCAATACATCAGTGGTACCTCAAAAATGGTATCAATGGTTTTCAGAATCTGATTCAAAGCAAGAAAAAAAATTAATCATAAAGCTAGATTTGATTATTTGGGTGTATCTCTTTTTATCATCGTTTGTTAAAACCCTCGATTCGACTGCTGTAGGATATGCATATGTGAGTGGGATGAAGGAGGATTTGAAGATGTACGGCAATCAATTGACTTACCAGTCTTCCTGTTACATGGCTGGGTTCATCGTTGGCCAAATCCCGCTCACCATGCTTGCCACCAAACTTCCTATCAATTTATACTTACCCATAATGGATTCCCTATGGTCTATTTTCACGCTTGGAATGTTCAAAATTACCAACTATCATCAGTTGTATGCCTTAAGATTTTGTATTGGCCTCTTGGGGAGTTTCTTTTTCCCCACAGTGCAATACATCTTAGGTTCTTGGTACACCAAGTCTGAGATTACCAAGAGAAGTGCCTTGTTTTTTTGTGCTTCACAAATCGGATCCATGGCTGGTGGATACATCCAGGCATCTGCATTTGAAAGTCTTGACGGTGTTCATGGACTTAAAGGCTGGCAATGGTTGTACTTGTTGGCATTTATTATAACAATTCCCATCAGTTTGTACGGGATCTTCACCTTGCCCGGATTACCCGAACATGGCAATAGTACAACAGTTAAGATCCTTAGTGATGAAGAATTGAGACTTGCACAACTTAGAATGCTTAGAGAGGGCCGTAGTTCAAACGATAAGTTAGACTTGGCAACAATCAAAAAGACAATCTTAGGAAGTTGGAGATTTGGAATGTTGGTTGTATTTGCCATCTTCTTTAGTCAAGCAGATGGAATCTCTTCCAATAGTGGGTTGCCTATCTGGTTAAAGGAAAACAACTATTCAGTTCCACAAACCAATACTATCACCACTGTTATACCCGCAGTCACCATTGTGACCGCTATTGTCAACGGTATTATAGTTGACACTTGGCAAACTTCTCATCCAATTGTAATCGCTGTCACCACTGTCCTCAATATGGTTGCAGGAATTATATTAGTGGTGTGGCATAATGTAAGCAGAGGGGGGATATTATTTGCATTTTTCCTCTCTGGTACTGCTGATGGTATTGCAGCTGTCCTTTATTCATGGGCCAATATCATTTGTTCCTCTAATTCTCTGGAAAGAGCTTTGACCCTTGCCACTATGAACACTTTGGGTAATACCTTTAGTGTCTGGGTTCCACTTTTTGTATGGAAAACTGAAGATGCACCAAGATATTTGAAAGGTTATTCTTACAACGTTGCATTATGTGCCATGATGTTAATCCTTTTGTTTCCATTGACATACTTGTGGAGAAGAGAATCAAAGTCCAAAACCATACAGAGTGATACAGAATTAGAGTAGATCAATATATGTGAGAAGGCATATTATATATTATATTTAGTAATTATAGAATAAGGAAAAGAGATATCAACTGCATTATTCAACCAGTTACTTTTTAAAGTTTTCCACCGACTTCAACTTTAACTTCTTGATTTTCGTCATAATAAGGCTTTTCACCAACTACAGTAATTCTGTAGTGATGACGAGGTCCAGTCTCATGTTGCAAGAAGTCAGTAGCAGCCGTATGTAAAAGAATTCTGTTATCCCAAGCAATGACAGTACCAGAATCAGTTCCTCTATGAGCTGCTCTTACTTGAATCTCTGGATTGTTGAGTACATGTTCATGTAAGAAGTTGAGAATAGCGGCTGATTCTGCTGGCTTGACACCTTTAACTCTTTGGACAAAACCACGAGAGAAAAACAACCCTTTCTCACCAGTGACAGGGTGAGTTCTAACTAATGGGTGTTCGGTAAAATAATCAGCCTTGACCTTTGCTACGCTATTTCTTAATTTTGCACCCAAATTTTGATAATAATTTGAATGAATAAGAGTTAACCCTTCAAAGAATTTTTGAAATGTTGGCGATAATCTTCTATAAGCTTCTCTAGTATCGAGGAAAACTGTATCCCCACCAGACTCAGGAGCTTCAAGAGCAACAAAAAAAGAGAAGGAAGATGGATACTCTTCGAAACTAATATCAGAATGCCAAGCAGATTGGGTATTAGTTTGAGCATATTCTTTGGCATGTCTGGTACCATCTCCTGCTTTTCTATATGTTACAAATAATTCAGGATAGTCCTTGGCAGCAAGACTTATAGGATGAACATGTAAGGGACCAAAGTAGTTACCAAATTCTTTTGAGAACTTTGGACCTTTATCTCTCAAATCTTGATTGCGGAAAATAGCAAGACCTCTTGTTTCTAAAAATAATGCCAAATCATTCTTTCCAGCATCATCCAATTCACTAAGTTGAATCCCATCAATTTCAGTACCAAAATTTGGACTTAAATCGAACTTTTTAAACTTGGCATCTTTTGGAAATAAATTTGAAAATGAAGGATCTCCCAAATGTCCACGATCATTCTTAGCAGCATCGGGATTCTTAATTGCCTTGTATTTCCCTTCTTCGTCAGGATTGGTTGGGGAAAGATACTCTGGGTACTTAGCCCGTGCCAATTGCTCTTTGAGGTCCTCACTATCAGTAGTCAATGTAAGTTCAACTGATTTTTTGATTAAGTCTTTAATCACTGGGTCGTTCAATTCGGTACCGTAAATATAGTAACTCATTTTTAGAAGATATGGTATAAGTGCTATATTTGAAATTTAATTGAAGGGATTTCATCTTGATTTATATATCTCTCAGATCGTCATATAGGGGGACATCAATTCAGTAGATGTTTTGTATAATTTCAATTCGGTTAGATGATGAAGATAAAATATGTTGCAACCTTGCCACACTTTTCGATTGTTAACGCCACAAATGGCATCATTTAGGATTAGACATTATGCATGATTACCTATTTACTCTGTTGATAATGAGGTAACCAGACAACCGAAGGTGGACTACTAGAGTAATGGAGTTATAGAAAGCATAAACCTACGTGTTGTACTTAAATAGGAGCTGAGTGGTGAAACGGTTGCAAAAAGAAAACTCCATATTCAGTTTTTTGAACAAATATTACTTGGTAGATTGGAAAGTGGGAGGAATAGCAATTATTCGGGTGTTACATTTTAAAAGCGGCAATTTCTGATATCCCAACATTCGTTATCTATTACGTATATTATGAGTAGTTTTGGCAATGAAATTGTTGAAGAATCCCTATTGTTGGTGTGTGGATGTTTCGCTATACACATTACTTTTACCTCTAATTTGATTAATCTTGAGTCCATTAAATTCATATATGCCTGATTTCTGGTTAAATAGCATTCCAGTATATAAAACTTTTCTTGAGTTCGAAAAAAGAACAAACTATTTCTAACTTCGAAGCATTTACTAACAAAAACGATATACAAAAACACTATGTGTTTAATTCGAAACTCTTGCTTTGGTCTTCGAAATAAGTTGGGGCTAAAGGTTTACTCCATTTACCATTTTCTTTTTTTATTTCTATTAATTTACCACCAGTGTACCATCACTATCAAAAGACCTCTATTTTCTTCAATTATATACCTCCCACTAGTTCAATCTATTGTCCAAGGTATACTTTCCCCACATTTCAACCCACGAAAGTATTATATGCCCAAATCAAGCTGAATTTCCTGCATGCAGACCTCACGTTTTTCTCTGTAAATAAATTTCCAAACAAGAGGAAAGTCTCTTTATTCTCTGACTCGTATAATCATATCAACGAACATATTTCACCTCTTAGTTTACGATGAGAGCGTCTCGTTTCTTGGGACCGCTAATTGCCGGTATATTGGGTGTTCCAGACCTTGTGGGTGCATCTCCAGGGGATGATCTCTATATTTTTGACGATTGTTTGTTCCAATGTGAACAGATCACATGTCATAACAATCATTATTATATACATCATCACGTTGAATTCCATAATGACAATGAAGAAAACCATGGAAACCATGATTTACCGTATCATCCAGAATGGTCCTTTGACCGGGAGCCGTTACCCGCATACATGAAGCTCATGGGCTGGGATTGTGGTCTGAATTGTGACTATCAATGCCAACGTATAATTACCAAAGACAGACTCAATAATAACGAGGAAGTGTTACAATTCCATGGGAAATGGCCATTTTTAAGAATCTTTGGGATCCAAGAATTGGCATCCGTTATATTTTCCGTGGGGAATTTCATTCCTCATTTCATTGGTGCTCGTAAGATCATTCAAGCAATGAAGCTGGAACTGTCATGGACAAACTCATTCCAATACATTAATACGCTAGCCATGGCTATAATTACAATGGGTGCGTGGACGGCATCCCTGGTGTTCCACGTGAGAGACACCGAACTTACTGAGAAAATAGATTACTTTTTGGCTGGACTTACTGTGTTAGCAGGGTTCCATGGTATTGCTCAAAGAGTGGGTAATTTGTATCTACCAGTTAATAGAATTCAATCGTTAGCTTTGACTGCCATCTGTGTCTTGGTTTACACTTTACACGTTTATCGATTAGTCACAGACTGGCTGTACACGTATAACATGCAAGCCAACGTGGCGGTGGCTCTACTTCAAAACGCATGTTGGTGCACTTTATGTTTCCGTTTATATTCACATTTCTATGAATTGGAATCTTCTGTTGATGAATCACTGACAAAATTACAACGTCATCATCATCTTAATTACATAGATCCACATAGAATCATTCTTCCTAGTTTCTATGCCGCTTCACCAAAGCTTTACTCCTTATATCCACTCCTCTTATCATCGATTGTGGTGGTTGGTATGGCCCTTGAAATCTTTGATTTCCCACCGTTTTTCTTTGATTTGATCGATGCACATGCCTTGTGGCATTTGGTTACCATAATACCTGCTACCTATGGATTGTACGACTGGATTATCTGGGACACAAAGGAAAATGTGATTTCAGAATTGGATCAATTGAATGAAATTAAAGAGAGATAGAAAGATTCAAACGTGCAGAGGTTGAGTCTATATATAATTTAAAAGGAGATATACAACTCCCTCCTCTTGTATTTTTCAATTCATTTTTTATTGACATATTTATAACATAGAGATAACTTGTATGTATTTATAAGATAAAGACATTCTAATCGCTAAAATCATCTTCTTCAGGTGGGACCCATGGAGCAGGCTTGAAAAATTCTTGATCCTTTTCAACAAAGGCCTTGAAAGCTTCACGATCATCGACAAATTCGTACAAATATTCCAACTCCAAGTCATGAACTTGTCTTCCAAGCATAACCAAAGTATGAAGAGGTTCACCAGAGTCGTACTCAGACAATTCCTTAAGAGTACCAGCCTTGAACTTTTGTGTAGGAGCACCCAATCTCGACACAGCAACACATGGGGTATCTGGAGTGTAAGCTTGTTCGCCACGCTTTTCTTCTATTTCAAGCAATTGGCTGGCAGCAGTGGCAATGTCCATGTATCTAGGAGGCTCGTAGATGAGTCTACCTCTAGCCATATTTTCATGACTTTGTTCCTTGACCTTGATGTCAAGTAACAAAAGAGTATGTAATCCAATTTTACGGTTTTCCATGACCTTGTCGTAGAAGGAGTCTGGTCTCCAAGAGTCAGTGAAGAACACAAGCGACACGGTTTGTCCGAATTGGTACAATTGTAAACCACAAGCACCAACTGCATTCATAACAGAAGCATTATGGATGGATTCGACCTTGATACCCAATTCTCTGGCTCTAATGATCAAATCAGTGTGGGTGGTGGCACCAAATGGATCACCAACAACTAAAAAGGCGATGTCTTCCTTGTCAGCATCGGCCAAGATTTGGTCAGATCCACTTTCCACAAGTTCTCTGTCTGCCAAAATGACTTCACGTCCATAGAAAGATTCTAAAGACTCTTTGTTTGCGGCCATCAAAATGGAAGTGTATGCTTCAAGATAAACTCTTTTACATTTCTTGACGGTTTCCAACCCACGAACAGTGATGTCGGACTCATAGGAGAGACCAAGACCAATTAAATACAACATTATGGATAAGGAATATAGAGCTATCAGACTGTCAGTTCATCATCATCTTTTTTTTTTTTTGATTAAGTTTTTCCATACATTTTGATGAGGTCACGTGAAAATCGTTAATGAGATAGTAGAAGAACAGGAATTGGAAGGAGATAGATATTGATGTATTGAATTTGAGTGTTTATTATGAGTATTGAGTTAGTGGAAATACGAGATGTGTTGGTTGACGGGAGGTAGTAATGAAAGGGTAGGTCGAAATTATATATTGCGGAGTGGGGAGATTTTGAAAATGAAATATGTTACTATTTTTGTGGATATGTATATGGTTGGATCTAGACCTTCGAGACCATTGGAAGTAATATATACCTAGACTTATGAAGATTAAATGAGAATAATATATAGTTAATATTACAAAATGACGCCAAATGACGATTATTAGCAGGAGAAGAGTACAACATCCATACACCCACAGCAATTATAAATACTCATTATATTAATATTTCGATGGAAGAGAGAGAATATGGAGTTAAATGTTACGGAACTCAAATTCTCTAGTATAGCCTCAGTTAATGTCTCTATTACTTTATTGGCTAGCATTAACTCATATTAATATGTATATACTTCCATTGATTTGTATTGACAACTACCTGCAGTACCTCGATGAGCGCCGATATAGATATACATAAGTCATCACGGTAGTACAACCTTATAAGTATCCCAACCACTCACAATAATAAACCAAGATGATTAAAAATGAAACATCAAAGTATATAAAACGACCCAATTTGGCACCAGCATGTAGAACACGGTCAAGAATGACCAGACGATCCAGAGAACTCAAAATAGATATGGAAAGATTTGAAGAACTTCAGAAAAGAGAGAAGGAACTTGAAGCAGATATCCCACCCAATAGAAGTCAAAGATCGTCACTGAGCCCAATTGTAAAGGTGGAAGGGGAAGAGGAAAGAATACACATAGTTCCAAGGGTAAGGGAGCCCAAGAGTGCTGTAAATGCCAAATTCCGTGCTACAAATCGATTTTTCAATAATATGAAACCAAAGTATTTATACACCAAAGATGCTAAACGATCGGAGCCAGTATTCGAGAAGCCAGTCACAAAGAAAGTGAAGGACAAGGTAACCAAGAACACCAAGAAGAAGAACTCCAAGACTGCATCTGCCACCACCACGAAGCCCACATTCACCGCCAAACCACCATTAGTGACCGATAAGAAAAATGTACGACTGTTTGAGAGCCACACCGTGCTATCAAACACATATCTGGACTTGATCGGTAAGGTTAGATCAGAAATAAATGAGATGGATATCCCTTTACATCATCAGTTTGTCCCGAAAAATCTCGTTTATGAAAAGCAAAGATTTGACATTAACGAGGAAACGGACATGTTTTCAAGTTTTGACATTGATTTATTTTTCCAGAGATTTGACCAGGAGGGCAGCAATGCGAGGAAGGTACCATTAGTCTAAGTTACAGACACACGCGGCTCCTTTATGGAGATGATATACGACTTTTTTATGACATTATACGTTACATAACTTATTGACCACTTGTAGAAGTAGACAATCTTCCAGGGCGTTTTGAAGAATGATATCTTGTGCCCTTTGTTGATATTGCTTAAGCAAAGAGTGAGTGAATTGTAAGGATTTCGTTTCTGTCTCCATGTAAGAGATACATCTTGCCACGAGTTCACCATTTGATTTAAGTACTTCCCTATCTTTCATCAAGAGAACATGTTTTATTGGAGAATCTTGAGAGTTTAAAAGACAATGAAGGATAGGGAGTGAAAGTTTCCCTTCTATAAGGTCCTCACCAGTATACCCTTTCATATGAGAGTAATTTGGATCTACCAAATTTAAGTAATCATCTCTAATTTGATATATGATCCCAAGGAGGTTTGCAAGAGGGGTATTTGTGGTGGTGGCGGCTGGGGTTGACTCGTCAAAGCATTCTAGAAGACGAACCGAAAGACGGAAAAGCCCACCGGTCTTGTTCATGATCATCTGGAGGTATTGTTCAATGGTTGGTGGAGATGTCACCGACTCCTTTGCATCTCTCCAATAGATGTCCAAACCTTGGCCATGATGCAAGTTAAGCATTTCATCCACCAAGATCCCAGACACCTTCTCTGAAAGTTGAGGGTCTATATGAGATTTGTACAATTGAGGGAGTTGGGTAGCCTTTTGAAGCGCCACAAAGTACATCAAATTACCACTATTGATGGTGAGTGGCGTACCAAATTGCGTGTGTGCAGTGGGTAATCCACGACGGAAATTAGAGCTATCCTCTATATCATCGATAAGAAGAGATGCATTGTGGAAGATGGATATGACTTCATCAATAGATGAAATTAATTCTTGGTTTGTAATATGATAATACAATTCATTGAAGGCTTGGAGAAATGTTGATCGGACATTTTTGTTATTTGAAGGGATTGATTCAAGATATGTGTATGGGGCAAGGATACAATCCGGGAGAGCTGCGGTTTTATCCGAGGCCGTACTACCAATCAAGGCCTCGATGTCGTAATCTTCAGTCATTTAAACAGTGGTTGTTTTAGTAAATTTTTTATTCCATTGATCTTTCCATTTTGGTGGGGACCACCTTATTTTATTTTTCGTATGTGTCCCAAAAGTTGACACGAAAATAACAAAAATTTAGACAACTACCACTTCCAACAGTTTTATCCTTTAGGGCTGTCATCATGGAACATATTCAGCATTGGGTTACAGATATACACCCGGTTACACGGTATTGGGTGGCGGCCATTTTGGTCTGCTCCGTAGTAACAGACTGTGAACTTATTTCCAATTCCCATTTTAGATTTATCCCCGAAAAGGCCTTTGGTGGACAGTTTTGGTTATTTTTAACATCATTTTGTTATTTTGGACCGATTTCTGTGTCTTTACTCGTTAATATTTGGCTTGTGGTTAATCAATCTGGGAAGTTGGAAGAAGAATTTTCAACTCCAAGGACATTATTACCTAGGGAAGAGGAACTAGTGACAGAAGTAGAACAAGTAAGAGAAGTAGAACAAGAAGAACAAGAACAAGAAGAACAAGAACAAGAAGAACAAGAACAAGAAGCTGGAGAAACTGAAGAAGCTGAAGAAACTGGAGAAACTGAAGAAATACAACCACCACAATCTCAAACTGATGAAAGAATTCGTCAACGTCAAATTAGAGAACAACATAGAATTCAATTACAACAAGCTCAAGACACACATTTATTCAACAATAAAACTTATGACTACATCTACTATGTCTTTCTCATCACCTTATCCATTATAGGTTCAGTTACTCTTGGCAGGAACAGGGGTCTCTTTACCATGCCGTATTTGGGCCCTATACTCAGTGAAGTCTTGCTTTATATATGGTGTCGTAACAATGCTGAAGTTGAAATTAACTTCTTGGGGATTTTACGGATGAAATCAGCGTATCTCCCATGGTGTCATGTCTTGTGGGATTGGTTAACTCTGCCCAATTTCCAACTTGATCTCTATTCTATATTCCAGAAAAATATATACATTGGTGTTATTTTCACTCTGGCTTATTTTTGGAAATCGATATTAACGTTAGGATTAGGTCATTTTTGGTGGTTTGTACGTGATTTCTTAGCTATTCAATTTTATTCTGATGCTAATGAAGAAAGAAGATTATTACGTTTGAGTGGAAAGAGGCAAATTCAACGAGCTGGATTCATTAGAAGAAGATTCAATATCAGTAGATTTATATCCAGGATATTATTACCACCTTGGTATTGGTAGGTATACTAAATAGAAGCTAGAAGCAAATTAGTCTATCAGTCTCAAAAAGAGGGGTCGGAAAAATGTTGCAGGTCAATTAAAAAAAATAAAATTTAAATTGAAAGTAACCATGGTTAGTATAAAGAGTAGGAGTATAATCCTTTTACTCCCCGTCTATTATTTGTGACAAATATACCACATTTTATATAAACTGCCCCATTTCTATATTCCTTATCTTCACGTGCGCACTCTTTCTAAGCGAATAGTCGCCAAGTCAACTCATGTAATTCAATAAATACCTCCTTTAAGCAAAACAAAATAAAATGATGTACTATCGGTTCAATTAGCCCAACATACTAGCACCACAAACAGGGCCACTACTCCCATTGACAATTGATAAACCACTAAACCTACTGTTTATTGGTTCCATTTGTCCTATTTGTGGCTGAGGCTATTTTTCCCTATATCCTCGAAAATTAGGCTGCCGCCTGCATACAATGCCGTATACGGGTTTCCAATTCTGTGCCTACTTTTTTTTTTTTTTTTTGGTTGATCTACTAAATGGAGAAAGGGGGAGGATAGCCATCGACGTGTCAAATAAGGTTATCTCCACAAGTACATACCCATAGTCTCAATCCATAGTGCGCGCATTCTTTAGCACTGCGATATATTGGGAACCCGGTTGATTATCCAATGGCCACCACACTTGCTCAATCGCTCTACCAAGAGGTTCATGCAACCCCGCTGGAACTCCATCCACAAATCACACAATTACTCCATATGTTTGTCAAGTATCTAAAGGAGCCACGGTACCAGGCCCCGCTCACACTCGAGGAAATTTCGCGGTTGTTTGAGTACTTTTATTCGGATTTGAACCTGCTTGTCGTGAATCTCTACACACAATCAAACTCTACCAAGAAACGTCTCATAGCAAGCTCCTTGCATTTCCAACAACATCCGAAACGATTTGATTATCTTTTGGCCATCTCCAACTACTCCGCATCCACGGTGAAGTTGACCAAACGTACCGACCAAGCCGCCATGGCCCAACTCCGTGTATTCAATTATTACAAGTTTGCAACTGTTTTCGAAACCATTGAACGAGCACAAACAAAATTGTTTTCTATGGCCAATGGTGAAGATGATATTTCCTTATATGAGAAGATCTTTAGATTTGAACAGAGAGATATCATTTTCCAGGAGTTTTTCGATGAAAAAGTCACGGCCATTAAGGCATTACAATTGGGTATTGAATGCTTTATAGAAGATAAGAAAGTGAGTGAATATTTCCAAGATTCATCATCTAAACCTTTGGATCTTATCGAATATTTCCAACAACTTTCAGATGCAATCACTCCATTTGCTAAACTTAAACTCATTGTTCAAATTCAAAAATCTTTGATTCATCAATTAGCTGTTTCATGTTTTAATGGAGACCATTCATTGGTTAACAATGATGTTCTACTCCCTTCACTCATCTATTACATTGTATACCATCTCCCATCACAACAACAATATGAAGTATATCTCAATTTCACGTTTGTTAAGAATTTTTTGAACCTTATTCCAAATGAAATCGATCTCAATACTTTAACTCCAGCTACATTTTTATCGCTGTACACCCCTACTGATAAACTGCAGAAAAGATCAACCAGGGGAAAGAAAAACTTTTTTGATTGTTTAAATTTAAATGAAGATGACGATCTGACCCCTATAAATGAACCATCAGTTGCCTCGGAATCTTCGGAATCATTATCACGTAGTGAAGATCAATTGGATGATTATTTCTTCCCCAATGATAAAGCTGTTATTCATTACATCCAAAAGGAATTCTTAAACAATGGTGAATTGACTTATTATCTTACCAATTTTGAAGCGGTTCTTTTCTTCCTTCTGAATGTAACGTTGAAAGAATTGAACCCTTCATTGACCACAAAGAATGAATTATTATTACAACCATTGATAAAATTGGTTGATGTGGAACTTCTTCAACATTTCAAATTCCCCAAGGGTGAAATTGAAGATTCTCCTCAACCGGAGAATGTGGGGAGTGATAAAATAGATGTAAATGTCGAACCATTAGCACCTCCACCTCATCCTGAAACCAATGGATCGAATAGATCAAGGTCAGGGTCATTATTCAATACGATTTCAAATAAGATAAACGATGCCACTCATTCTGTGAATAGATCAAGATCCAATTCATCGATCTTGAATAGTATCAAGTCAACTACATCGCTTCAAAAGGAGCTCTTCCCTTCAATCAGCCATACTGGAACAGGTGGTGTAGGAGGAGCTATGGGAAATGGTAGTGGAGGAGAAACTGTAGATTCAGGACTTTCCGCAACATCATCTGCTCCATTGGATGCGAACTTATTGGAAAATGGTAATTCTATGATGAAAAGTATATTGGGGAGATTTGGACAGGTACTGGTACCTCAATTTACCACTAATGCTAAATCCATAGAGGACACGAACCCAGTGACATTAACCACCACACCAGTTGTTGGAGATACTACATTTACTGCTACAGATGAAAATGGTAAAAAATTGAATTCTAAGGAATCTCCAGTACATTCAAGAACCAGATCATCTTCCTTTGATAATCATCAAAAGAGAAGTTCGATTACTTCGAAGTTCACTACTGGAGTATCTGAGCTTATGACAAAACTCAACAACACAAACACTAACACATCATCTTTATCGCTTCATTCGCTTACTGAACAAACATTGGGCGATGGACTTCAACAAAACAATCATACCATATCTATTTCTCCATCGAAGCGTCCCGATTATAATCGTAGTAGAACTACGTCTCTTCAAATTATGGATAAATGGTTTAGTAACATTTCCACCCTCGGAACTGTTCCAAGCTCCAATGGGAATCTATTGGGTACAACTATAGAGTCATCTGAGACCCCAACTACACTTGAAGAAATTACCAAGTTTCAAAATATTGAATTTGAGGCGTTGACCATCAGTGATCTTAAGGTGATGAAACAAAACTATGACAAACTTTGTTCTATGATTGTTCCTCATAACGATCAAAGTTCGCATTCAGAAGAAACTAGCATGTAAGGAATATATATAAATATATGTATATAAAAAAGTAGCAATAGAAGCGATAACGTTTATATAAGAGGTAAAGATGAGTATATACAAGGTATATAATCGTGATTAACATTCTCTAAGGTGCCTGTATCCACTTTCCCAATTTGGTAACCTACATATAAATTTTCTGGAACATTCTGTGGAACAAATATAGATAAACGGATCATTTTTTAGTAAACCATTCTAGTTACCATACAATCTATGTATGTGGATATATGAATTCAATAACAGATAAGAACATATGTAGAAAGCATTTGCGAGAAGATGATGATGAATTATATGAGGAATTTGAAAGTGGGAAGCTGGGGAAAAGAATGAGATTGGATAGTATTTTTGAAGGATTATCACTTTCAGGAGAAAAACCAACGAATTCTCGAAGTTCCGGTTCGATCCTTGAGGTTCACCCTTCGTTGAAGCTTAAATATTCTATATCCAAGGCTAAAATACGACTGGATAAGGTTGTAGAAGAGGGGGAACTTAATTCATTTATAGCGAGCAAGCTCTACCTGCACTTTAGAGAACTCTATTCAGAACAAGGGGCACTTATTCCATGGTATAGTCCATACTGGATAATTATATATCATTTCCAAAGATGGGTACTTCGATTATTCAACAGATTTTATCGCAAGTATCACCAAAGAATTGGAGCACAAACGGTGAAACCATTCCGAGATTTTGGACTGCTTTTAGACATGGTAAATTCTCCAAGTGCAAGTTTTGGATGGCCTGATTTACAAAGAGTATTGGCTGAAGAGGGACGTTTAGAATGGTTACGATTACAAAAACGGATGAAGTCTCGACTACAGAAAAGAAAAAAATTGGAAAATGACGAATTTAGTGAACTAACAAGAGACTTATCGTACAACTACTGGGATAAACTCAAGTATTTGGGAGAGGATGTAAACATGTTCGATTATGAAGGCCAAGATCAGCGACATGAAATGAAAATTGAAGAGCTTGTGCTGGATACTGAGTCCATGGAAATTGATGAATAGACAAGTTTTTACCAAGAAAAAAAATAATATATATGTTTGTATTAACAAAGGCAAACTATATATCCCGGACATTTATAGAATATAATAATAATAATAATAATAATATGAAGAGGTAGAAGAATTTATCTAGAAACTCACATCCTTTTTGATTGATATATTACTCCCAAGGGAAGGATAACTCCTCAATTTGAAAATGCCTGCATACAGCTCAATATGATAAGAGTTATCTGCTCCACAAATTATCTAAATTTATATTTCTTTCTAGTGTGTCAATAATATGGAGGGGAATCTAACTATCGAGAAGCTTCCACAAGAAGTGACACTAAAAATATTAAGATATTTAACCCCCAAGGAGACTCATGGATTGATTGGGAATCTTCAAAGTTTTGAACCATCAAAGACTACGAAAGTCTTGATTGAATTGTCCTTTAGAAGACTTTATTCTGGCAAAACTCTTATTTATAGTACGTCAGAAGGCGATAAGATATCCCATAGAGGTATTACAGACGTCTCGTTGAAGTTCCGTGAATTTCTTGATGCCATCGAGTATCCAGATTATCAACAAAAAGAGCTTGCTCAGTTTAGACTCGTTAGACCACAGACTCTAGACTTTAAATTCAATCGTAGTGCCAACGATTATACTATATTTGTTGCAGATTTGTATAAATTTGCATCTATGGTTGATCTGTTAGAAACCAGTAGAGGTTCAAATGTCTCACAATATTTCAAATGTGTTCATCAACTTGAACTTCATATCAATGGCAATTCGATTCTTATAGAGACTCCAAGTTCTATTGTTGTATCTATTCTTAAAACGCTCATTAGTATTGCTAGCAAGAAAAATCCGCTAAAAGACCGTTTCAAGGTACTTCTGATTATTTGCACTGATATTGGAGATTATTTTATAACTCAATGGTTCCAAGTATTTGGAAGATTTGCAAACTTGGAATCATTGGATTTAAGTGATAATATGATTCGTAGCGCTAGGTTTAATCCTGAAGAAGATTGGATAAAGTGTGCCACTTGGCCTCCAAGATTGAAATCCCTTTTCTTGGATAAGAATATGATCACAAAGCTTACCAAGGAATTAATTATATCATTCCCCACTCTGCTTGAAACACTACTGATTTCAAAAAATCTGTTAGTAGTAGTTGGATATTCTGATGAATTCTTTGAATTGGGAAAAGGTTTACCTAACTTGAAATATTTAAATTTGAGTGACAATCGAGGGTTAAAATTTGTTAATCCAGAAATCTTTGATGGACATTGTAAATTGGAAGTTTTAAATTTAAAGGGATGTTATATGGATAGAGATAATTTAGAAGAATTAAGAAAGATTTCCTTAAAAAATGAATTCAGATTAATAAGTGATTGAGATAAAGGATTATTGAGTATAAGAAAGGGACTAATAGATTGTATTGTGGAGAAATGTTTGTTGAAGGTCCTTTATACTTTTTGAATTGGTTGCAAATCTGCAGACTTTTAAATTGAAGAAAAAGAAAAAAGAAAAAGAGAGGGGCAAACAACAAATTATTTTCAAATTCATTTAACATTTTGAAGTCTAACTTATCCCTATATTTTCAAAAAACAAAAGGATTTCTTGACCTAAGTTAATATTGGTTGTACCTTTTGTATTCGTTCTGATTTACTAATATTGCTCAACTTTTTTTTATTTAAAAAAAAAAATGTGAGTCTTGCTTTACAAATTCCTGCATAGTACACGGGATCCTTTTGTTTGCAATTCCGACTTTCCAAACTTCTGATAGATAACGGCGTTCATCATTTTTACTCTCTATTGTTAAGCGTATCAAGACTCATCCACTCAAGATGATTTCATTGAGGTCGTCCATTAAGACCCCGCTTTTTACAACTCTTAGTAGTGGTTTAAAATGGAGTATACGACCATATTCGAGCACGTTCCCCGTGACACCATTGAGTCGACGTATAGCTATACGATCGCCACTACATAGAACAGTGCTAGCTAGGTTCAATAGTACTGGTACCGGAAGAACAGTTCCTGTTGTGAGAGACACTCCAGTTGCTACAGTTGATCATGGAGTAGTCGACGTTGACGGTGAAAGAGTTACTGCTCCCCCAAATGCGGCAAAGCTGAGCAATGTTCGTAAGGACTTTGGAAAGCTACTTCAATTAGCCAAACCGGAATTCAAGCTTATATTAGCTGCCTTGGCGTGTCTTATTGTTACCTCTGCAGTTAGTATGTCACTCCCATTATTCATTGGTAAAATTATAGACACTGCAACACCTCCAGGCGAGACGAGTCCGAACTCGGAGGATACGAATGGTACAATTTCAGATACAATTCTTGGGTTCCCAACTACTCAATTTTATGTTGGTTTGGGTATATTCTTCACCATTGGTGCCATTTCAAACTTTGGAAGAACGTATTTGTTACGTTCGGTTGGGGAAAAATTGGTGGCAAGACTTAGACTGCGTCTTTTTCTGAAAATTTTACAACAAGATTCCTATTTCTTTGATGTTGGACCTACTGGTCATGGGATGAAAACTGGGGATTTAATCTCCCGTATTTCAAGTGATACCCAGGTGATTTCCAAGACTTTGAGTTCAAACATATCTGATGGTTGTAGATCCCTTGTCAGTGGAGCTGTTGGACTTGGAATGATGTGCTTTGTCCTGTGGAAGCTCACTCTTTGTATGAGTATGATGTTCCCGCCACTCATTGTGATGTCTCTTTTTTATGGACGTAGGATCAAACAATTGTCAAGAGTAATTCAAGAAAATTTGGGGACTTTAACCAAGACCACTGAAGAAAAATTGAATGGTCTCAAGACTATTCAAAGTTTTGCCCAACAACAACCAGTGGTACATGAATATAATCTGGATATCAGAAACATTTATAATACATCTATGCAAGAGGGGAAACTTAGTGGTATTTATTATGGTGGAAATGGTTTCTTAGGTAATGTGACACTTATTGGACTTTTGGTGATTGGAACAAAGTTTATTGCCAGTGGAGATATTACCATTGGAGACTTGTCAAGTTTTATGATGTATGCCATATATACAGGGTCATCTGTGTTTGGATTGGGTAACTTCTATACCGAATTAATGAAGGGAATTGGTGCCCTGGAGCGTATTTTTGAACTTATTGAACTGAAACCTAAGATTACCACAAGTTTAGGAAATAAAGTTGAACTGTTGCATGGAGATATTGTTTTCAAAGACATTAAATTCCATTACCCTTCAAGAACAGATAGTCCAATTTTCAAAGACTTGAACGTCACCATTAAGAAGGGAGAACATGTTTGCTTTGTAGGTCCATCTGGAAGTGGTAAGTCGACAATTCTGCAGCTTTTATTAAGATTTTATGATCCAATTTCTGGTAGTATTACTACCAATCTGCATGAAATTCTGAGCTTAAATTTGAATTATTTCCGTTCTCAAATTGGATATGTTCAACAAGATTCTCTCCTTTTCAGTGGGACTATTCGAGAAAATATTGTATTTGGTAAGCCAAATAGTACTGAAGAAGACATTATCAGAGCTGCAAAGTTAAGTAACGCATATGATTTCATTCAAACATTCCCTGATAAATTTGATACCGTTATAGGTCCATCATCTAGTGGAGCACAGCTTAGTGGAGGTCAAAGACAAAGAATCTCTTTGGCGCGTACTTTAATTAAGAATCCAGATATTCTTGTATTAGATGAAGCTACATCTGCACTTGATTCACAATCTGAAGAAGTGGTAATGAAGAATCTTCTGCAATTAGCATATGAAAGAAACACTACAATGATTCTGATTGCTCATCGTCTTTCTACCATGAAGAACAGTGAAAAAATTGTTGTTCTTAACAATAGAGGAGAGATTGTAGAAGAGGGTAAATTTGATGAGTTGTATTCGAATAAAGATAGTAAACTTAATCGGTTATTAGAGAACAATGATTTTGAATAGTGTATATAGAACTAGAATAAAAACAAGCGGATCCAAGGTAATAGGATCTTAGTATGGGAGATAGAATGTGTAAAAAAGTGAAATAAAATTGGCTGCAAATGAACTGATTATTAATGCTATGGAAAAGAAATTCATCGAATTAAATAAATTGAAATGGAAAAGAACAAATCAAAGATGAAATTATCAAATATGGGTCAATTATTTTTAGAAGAAATGTCCAAGAGAAACAAGTCAAAAAGAAATTCACATTCTTTAGGAAAAGTACGAGAGGTTAGTTGAATATTATATATAGCATAATTTATTGCCTCCCCCCCTAGTTTTAACAATAGGATTGAGTTTGACCAAGAACGGCAAACTAGCAAAAAAAAAAAAAACCCACAGTGAGTAAAAACTTCTCTTGCACTGTACGCGGGGCATGTGATATTACTAAGTCCTACATATGGAGTTAAAATTTAAGAGGCAACCCCATAAAACACTTCAGAGTTAATTTCATAGAAAGTTCCATAGACACTAACTTCAAGACAAGGTGTACAGGACCAGATAAGTATTGGGAGCTCATAAGCCATAGATACGAGAGTCGGTAAAAAAAGTAGGCCTCATATTGAAAAGATAAGCGCACACACCGAACGGCTATAGCAATCAGATCCTTGAAAGACATACAAGAGACACACTATGGAACAAAATCCAATAGAGGAATCACCTGAAAATCTACATCCCTCTAAAGGTACTGACTCACCAATCGATGAGAATACCAAGGAATCTAATAACGAGGAGACTTCTCCTCCCCAGAGGCCTCCATTCAAGATACTTCCGTCACTGCCTGACGTTGGTATCTACAAGAAGCTCACCTCAATCATCCCCAAAACACTTCTTCTGACACCCATGAGCCCTGTAGACGTGAAGAGCGACCCATTGGGGTCTCCCTTAGAGGAGGAGATAGATACAGCAGCACCGGTTGGAGAACTGAGATCGCTGAACTATTTTGTAAACATATTCACAACTGCAGTAGTTTATGCTGGATTGGGCGGGATTGCGAGTGTAAAGTCCAAGACAGAGGAATTGAGTGAGGGTAAAGAGGGACGAAAACTAGATATTCAAGAGGAATTGGCTAGTGTCGATGAGACAGAAGTAGTTGAAGGGGTTGATGAAGATCAGGATGACGATACAGAATATGACGAGGAGGATATTGAAGATGAAGAAGAAGACGAAGACGAAGAAGATCGGGTGATAGGCAATAAAGATGCTGAGAAGATTGAGAACGACTCACAGATTGAATCTGCAAATTTGCGCATCCAAGAAGCTCAAATACGTCACGACCAAGGTGGCGATGATGAAAAGGTAACCAACCTTCTTGCGAGTTTGACTGCCAACAAACATTTGGACGAATTGTATAAGGTGGAGTTAGAGAGAGATACCCATCTGTTGTCTTCCAGCATACGACCACCGCTGAAGAGACCTTCGATCATCGAACATGGTTTAGAAGGGTTACAAGCAGTTGCTATGACGGCAGGCACGGCCGTAGCTACAAAAACAGAACCTAGCGATGAATCATCATTACCATCTCGTGATGAACTCAGCACATTTCAAAACTCCATTTTAGATAATTTAGACCCACATCTTATTCGAGAAAGTTTTCTTCTCAAGGCCAAAGAAGGTGAAACTACAAACAACACTGAAGATAAGGCAAAGCAACAACGGCTTTATCTACAAATAGCAGATAAGCTTCAGCTGGTGTTTGAACTCAGCGATGACGACTACTTCTATGGAAACTACAATGCTTGGCTCATCAAAGATGTTCTTTTACAAGGACATCTCTATTTGACCAGGGAAAGCATTTTATTCTTTGCATTTCTTCCGAAACGATACAGTTCAGGAGGAGGAGACGAAGAGGTCATTCAAACGGGATCTCTTGGGATGAAGGCTACAAAGTACGGAGAAACAATCTTGACTACAGTTCTTACTCATCGATTCTGGGCAATTTTACGAGCTGAAACATTGAGTTTCTACAGCTCTACCACTGATTTGTATTTCCCTACTTTGGTTGTGGATTTGAATACTTGTTTAAGGGTTGAAATCATGAACAGTAACGTGAACAATGCTGCCACTCCCAATGAAAATGGAGGCTTTCGTATGGGTGCCACTTCTCCCCGAAATAATGGCTCTTCAAGGAATTCCATTAGTGATGATTCATCAATTGAAATTGACATATCTGCTGATGATGCAGAAAATGTAATTGGTGGAGTATGGTTCAAGCTAGTAACGACGAAAAAGTCATATCGATTCCACACAGATAACCTTTACTCTGCGCGTCAATGGGTGAATAACTTAACCAAGATAATCTTTCAAAAACAAAACTCTAACCCACGTAATGAGGTATTGTTCAAGATTCCACTTGAAAAAGTGATAGACTTCCAAAGAAATATGCTTTTCACTAGTGAAGAAGATGATCCAGAAGATGCACAAGCAACTACATGTTGTGTAAAATTCACCGAGGGAGATGACATGAGGGAAAGTACTCATCATATTCTGACTGAGAAGGTAAAGAAAAGGTTTCGCAAGAAGGAAGTAAGCCCCCCATTGGGGAATTCAAGTTTTGGATTAGATGAAGTATACTTCTTATTCTTTAAAAATGGAGAGAACTTTTATGACAAATTGAAGGATATAATACTGGAGAGAGAGAATGGAGAAGTGAAAGCTGATTCCAGAAGAAATCGTAAGACTGATGTACTCATGGATATGGCGAAGAAAATTGTCAGAAGAGACTCAATAGATAGTAATAGTACGGGGAGAAGCTCCAAAGAAAGTTCAAGACCTCGTTCTCGGACCATATCCACATTAAACCCAAGCACTCATAATCAGTTAGTGAAAAGTGTCATGCTTCAGCCAATAAAGAATGACTCTGAGACATTGTCAGCCAGATCATTAACACCGCCACCAGCAGCACCACCAGTCACAGTGACGCTATCGCCAACAGCTTCAAAAATGAAAAAGATCGGGAGATTGACAACTCCAGGGAAATTATTGACAAGGCACCGGTCAAAGAGCTGTGACATATCTCGACCATCCTCCCCCGAAACTGAAACTACAACCTTATCAACTCCTGACATGAATAACCTCTCTTCAACATCGAATCAGGTGCACCTTCCTAGACCTCTTTCTGTTACTGGATTGAAGAATCTTAACATGTCGTTCGAGACGTCACAAAGAAAGATTGATGTGGCAGAATCCAGGTATGCAGAAGAAAAGGAAAATGATACTAGAAATAGTGATGGCTCTACAAATACCGGACTGGATCCAAGTAGTGTACCGGTAGTCTTATCAACACCATTGAACCTCACAGACCCCTCGGAACTTGATCATGAACCTAAAACCAAGCAAAATAAACTAAAAACACTCGGTAAGAGTATCAAAGCACTTAAGAATGTTTCGAATATGTGGCTGGCTAACCCTACCCATATAGTAGAGGCTGTTTTAGATGACCCTTATTTTGTTCGAGATGCAGATGCTCGTGATATATCAGAAAGACATTTCCATAACCATTTTCTGCTTAATTCAACCAAGAAGCTCATATCCAGTTATTATTGTCATTTACAGAGATCAATTCCGGTTTATGGGAAATTGTATTTGGGAGACTCCGAACTCTGCTTTAGAAGTTTACTTCCTGGAGTTTCAACAAGAATGATTTTACCATTATCCGATATCGAGACTTGCCATAAGGAGAAGAGTATGAAATTGACATATTCAGGTTTAGTGATTGTGATCCGAGGTCATGAAGAATTATTTTTCGAATTTGGTACTCAAAAGTCAAGGGATGACTGTGAATGGATGATCCTACTGGAGTTGGAAAAAAACACTAACCAGTTTGTAGAAGATAAATCTATATCCAAGAACTCTCGTGAATCTAAACCAAAGTTTCTTTTTGGGGATACACCTGAACTGGACATCAAACTTGCATCATCTAGAATAGAAAATGCAAGAATTAAATTGTTTGAAGACAAAATTAATGCTGCTGCAGGGTTGGATGTCCCAATTATTCTTGAAGATTCACCGTTTTTCAAAACAGAAATAAGACCTTCAACATCGTACAACTTTACCCTTTTATCGATCGGGTCTCGAGGAGATGTACAACCATATATTGCATTGGCTAAGGGGTTGATTGCAGAAGGACACAATGTTACAATCGCTACTCATAAAGAGTTTGAATCTTGGGTACTTGATCATAATATCAAGTTTAAAGAAGTGGCAGGGAATCCAACCGAACTTATGTCCTTAATGGTCACTCATGGCTCAATGTCTCTTGGGTTTATTAAGGAAGCAAGTTCCAAATTACGTGGTTGGATAACAGAACTATTAACCACCAGCTGGGAAGCCTGTCAAGGCTCTGACGTTTTAATAGAAAGTCCTTCTGCTATGGGTGGTGTACATATCGCTGAAGCATTGGGAATTCCATACTTTCGAGCATTTACTATGCCCTGGACCCGTACTAGAGCTTACCCTCACGCGTTCATTGTACCAGACCAGAAAAAAGGCGGCAGTTACAATTATTTATCTCATGTAATGTTTGAAACTGTATTTTGGAAGGGTATTTCATCTCAGGTCAACCGATGGAGAGTTGAAGTATTGGGCATTCCTCGTACTAATTTGTTTAAACTTCAGCAAACAAAGATCCCATTTTTGTACAGTATTTCACCGACTGTATTCCCACCGTCAGTCGACTTTCCAGATTGGGTTAAAGTTACTGGGTATTGGTTTTTAGATGAAGGTGCAGACAAAAAATATGAACCTCCAGTCGAACTAGCGGAATTCTTGGAAAAAGCTCACAAGGATAAAAAGAAAATTGTTTACATTGGGTTTGGTTCCATCGTTGTCAGTGATGCAAAGACTTTAACCACGGCAGTGGTCGATGCAGTATTGGATGCTGATGTCAGATGTATTTTGAATAAAGGATGGTCAGATCGATTAAGCAAGAATGAGGAGAAGAATGAACCAGAAGTGGAACTTCCTGCCGAAATCTATAACACTGGGAACATCCCTCATGATTGGCTCTTTCCTCGAATAGATGCAGCCGTGCATCATGGAGGTTCAGGAACCACTGGTGCCACGTTAAGAGCAGGGCTACCTACAGTTATCAAACCTTTTTTCGGAGATCAGTTTTTCTTTGCCTCTAGAGTGGAAGACCTTGGGGTTGGATTATCTCTTAAGAAATTAAATGCTAAATCTCTTTCACGGTGCTTAAAGACGGCCACAACAGATACACGTATGATTGAAAAGGCACACAAAGTAAGGGATCGAATCAAGCATGAAAATGGTGTTTTGAATGCTGTTGAATGTATTTATTCCGAGCTTGAATATGCCAGAAATTTAATCTTAACGAAGCAACTTGACCATGAACGAGAAATAAAGAGTGAGACTCAGACCCCCGTTGTGTACGAGGAAGACGAACTAGAGATTGAGGATGAAGAAGAAGATGAAGAAGAAGATCTAGAAGATGATGATGGAGCCTCTATTGAAATGGTTGCGAAGAAATTCAAGCAAAAGATGGCTCCTACGATACAAACTGAGAAGGTTGAAGATGACGGGGAAGTTGATGCAGCAGAAATTGATCTAAGTACGAGCGATGGGAATGGACGAGAATCCGCATCCGACGGGTCCTGGCAAATTTTATGATAAAATTTATATAATGATTATGATTTAATGAAAGAAACATCTATAAAACCAAAAGAGGTCTTCTCATAGTGAAGTAGAGCCGAACCGAACCGAGTCAAGAATACCGTGCAGGAAGATGCATCATGCACAGATATGTCGTGAGATCACGGGGGGACGATTTTTAAAGTGGCACTAGATAAAAGAATGAGGGTACTGAGATGAGCTATAAGGGCAAGTATATCTAGAAAGTTTGATTCCTATAATTCAAAAAAAAACAAACAAACAAGAATGCAGTTGTGAGATAAAATAAAATGAGACAGCTTGTTGACAGAGCAAACGGAATGAAGATGCCTCTTAAACCTTATCCTGCCAAAGTTGACTCGATTCATCAATTCTTTTTTTTTTGTTCCTGTGATTATGCTTACCTGCAGGAACTGACTCACTCACTACATCCATTGATAAAGTCCAAACTACGCCACAGTTTTTCAAATAGTAACGAAAGAAAATTGATAGTAATAATTATATTCTGAGCCATATGTTCACAACGAATAAACATTTCGCATTGTATTGAGAATTGATCTTCACTTTAAAAGAAAAAATTCTAAAAAAACATATTGAAACCAGGTTGAAAATGCCAGCAACTAGAGCAGTCAACAAAACTTTTAAGGACGTTACCGAAGAACAACGAGCAGGTAACCATTACGCAAGACTTGTACCAGGACAAACCATTGTAGAAATCCCTGAGTACCAATTAGAATGTGGAGAAACGCTTAAAAATTTTCCTGTTGCATACAAGACGTGGGGTCGTCTCAACGAAAGAGCTGACAATGTCCTTTTGATTTGCCATGCTCTTACTGGGTCATCGGATGTGCAAGATTGGTGGGGTCCATTATTGGGTACCAACAAGACATTTGATCCACTGAGATTCTTTGTGATTTGCATCAACTTTTTGGGTTCTCCATATGGATCATGTTCTCCAGTTTCTATTGATAAGGCTACCGGGAAACCTTACGGCCCACTGTTCCCATTGGTGACAGTTAAGGATGATATCGGGATTCAAAAGTTGATTTTAGACTCGTTGGAGGTGAAAAGTATTGCCAGTGTTATTGGTGGATCCATGGGTGGGATGATTGCATTGGAATATTCAGCTACATACAACGATTCCGATTATGTACGTTCCGTCATAGCCCTTGCCACATCAGCAAGAGCTTCTGCATGGTGTATTCTGTGGAATGAGACGCAAAGACAATGTATTTTCAGTGATCCAAATTATGATGAAGGTTACTATTTCGAAAACCCTCTGGGTGTAACACCCAAGTCAGGATTGAGCGCTGCAAGAATGACAGCCTTATTAACGTATCGTTCGAGAAACTCTTTTGAAACTAGATTCGGTAGAAAGCTTCCTAGCACTCTGAGTATCCCACCAAAGGAAACCATTTGGTATCCAAAGACAAAAGATGAAGAAAATTGGTTGTTACACAACGAGGGTACTCGTTGTACCGATAAGGATTCATCAAAGAAGAGTTCACCTTCATTAACGTCATCACCTAGAAACTCGCTGTCCGATAAGCCACAAACTTATTTCACCGCTCAATCTTACTTGAGATACCAAGGAACTAAGTTTGTGAATCGTTTCGATGCCAACTGTTATATCCTGATTTCAAGGAAACTCGATACTCATGATATCACCCGTAATAGAGTGGAATCTTCGGGCATTGAAGGTACTCCACAGGATCCATTACCACCATTTTTGAGTACCCTTCAAAAGCCTCATCTTGTGGTTGGAATCCAATCAGATGGTCTTTTCACATATTCCGAGCAACAAGTTCTTGGTGAACACATTCCAAATGCAATCTTGAAGGAATTGGATTCACCTGAGGGTCATGATGCATTCCTTCTTGAATTTGAAATTGTGGATAATTATTGTACAGAGTTTTTGAAACTGAATCTTCCAGAATTATTTGATATTGATGAAAAGGATCTTTTCAATGATTGGGAAGATTACGTTGTTTCTACTGACAATGGAGGAGAATCTGTTTTCGGTGAAGCTGAAAAGAATATCACCAATTGGTAGTACAAATTAGCATATATATATATACGATATAGAAAGAACCTTGAATATAGACTGAGACACTAGAGAGTAGATAGTTACATAGAGGTCAACCTAGGACAGTAAATCCTTTGATAGCTACTCAGTTGTAGGTTGTATATATCTTTTCCTACATATAATGTCTTGAGTATGTGTATATGCGATTTCTTCATATTTGCAATCAAAAACTGGTAACTAAATACTTGGATAAAGAACTCACATAGGTTCATCTCTATCAATACATATAGTCACTTAATATATAAAGAAACATACAGGGTAGTGATGACATTAACATTTAGGACTTCTCCAGCTAATTTATTGCCACAAAATGTGAGAGAATTGCAGAGAGTTGAAATCATTTCATCTCAACCATTAAGTAATGTTTCTAAATTAATAAACTACAATCATCCAAATTTTCCCAGATTGGGTAGTATACTAGAGGGAGATGCTCTTAAGGCGAAGGGACTTTTACTCCATGCAATTCCAACTCGAGCACAACAACAAATGCCTCTTAATGAATCATTGGATATTTGCGATGAGTTTACATATGATGGATCAAACGACCAATCGGTAATAAAATTAACCTCAGCTACCTACCAGAGAGTTCCTGGACTTCACAATATTGATGGGGTTGATGTTAGAAAGGTGAAAGAATCGAAAAAAGGTCATGGGGCGAAGTTTTACGTAAGTTATAATTATATCATAAAGATCAACTGGAAACAACTCACTACAAATGCTTTGAATAAAGTTATATTTATGATTAACAATGCTTTTGAACAAGTTATAATAACGATATCTTGCTACGAGTTTACTACAGATCTCGAAGAGAAATTTGGGTTTACCAAAACTACTCCTACCTTGACATCAACAACTCCTAAATATACTTTTGAAGATTTCCCATCGGATTCAGATTTAGATCCCGAGGAAGTATATGAACTTCTCAATCTTCTTCTTATAGACTCGGCCCAACTTTCAGGATCGATAGATGATTATATCAGTAATTATAGTGTGCCATTCCCAATATCAGTAACTACCTCGCAAAATAAAACTACAAGATATCGACTTATTGGACCAATTCATTCCGATTTCATTCAAGATTTAGAATCTAATTGGAAAATCCTTTCCATGCATACCAAGACCCAGCAATTTATTCACTTTAGAGATTCCTCCAACAATGTATATTCATGGGAATGCACCAAATAGATATTTAATATACAATCAAGTCATAGAATGTACTCGAGTATTTCTTCTTTCTTTACAATTGCTTTGCTTAATAAATATTGTTTATTAAAAGAAGAGCTATGTATAAAGATAACAAGGACTAACATCACTAGATGATTTAGAGAGATAGAGAGAGGTATGTATAAGTAATTTTTTTTCGGTTTTTTAAGTAAAGTTTTCTTTTTTTTTCGTTTTTATCATATTTTTTTGGTAGTAACTTCAACAGTAAAGATAATGAAATAGCTGTAAATAAACAATACAGCAATGCCAGAAACATGCAGTAGATGATTTATGTATGTGTTGAAGCCCTCTTCCTTTTAGATTTTTTGTTAGTAAATGAAGTTTGTTTTCGAAATTAGTAGGTATTGGCCCGCCCTCTGTGGCCAGTTTCTCTATAATCCATTTGCTACTCGATGCTAACAAATAAATAAAATGACGGATATAAGGTGGATGGTTGGAATGCAGAAGTTAAGATGATTTGTATAGGGGGAAGAAGGTAAGTGGAGAGTGAGGTAAAAAAAATAACACAACGCTCACATAACCTAATTACTCGTCAACAACCACTGTTCGTAGTTATCCTTCACTCTTAATTCAACGTCGGCAATAGCTGCAGTTTCAGCGTCCTTACCGTTCACATATCTAACTTCGAGGTTGTCACACTTGGAGACAGAGTCCAAAACAATGGAGTCAGAATCAATGGATTCAGGTTCTTCAGCACTGTTTTGAATACCGTTAATAATGATCTTGACTCTCTTGAAGTCCAAAATGAGTCCAAGAGGAACCCATCCACCTTCTTCATTCATGTTCTTTCTCAAGAAAATGTCGCGTATCAAGTTTTCCAAAGAAAAGTAGTAGTCAATTTGTTGAACCAAGGCTTGCTTAGGGTCTTGCTTTGGAGAAATTGGTGGAGGAATTTGTACTTGAGGAACTTGGAATGGTTGTTGTATGAAGTTGTTGTTGTTGAAGCCTCCATTACGGTAAGAGGAGTTGCTTCTATTTTGTGGACGGAATTGTCCGTTTTGTTGTGGTTGGGATTGTTGTGGTCTGAATTGACGGTTGTTATAATAGTTTGGAACAAATGGTTGAGGGTGGAAAAATTGACCATTAGCACCTGGTTGTTGTGGTTGTGATTGTTGAGGGTATTTTGGCTTGAATTGTTGAGCGGATGAAGAAGCATTGTTAGAGTTGTTGTAACGTCTGAAAGCATTCTTATTTTGAGCACCACCATTGTTTTGTTCATGACCATCTTCGGTAACAGAAGCAGATTCTTCACCTTCCTTCTTCTTTGGTATTTGAGCCTTCTTTTGAGGTTGGTTTTGTTGGTTGTTTTGTTGAACCTTCTTGTTCTTTCTGTTTCTGTTTTGTCCCTTGTTAGCATTCTTTGCACTTGGTAATACAACCTTGGCGGTGATTGGAACCCACTTGTTTGTGATTGGCTTAATGAACTTTTGAGGTTGGGTGGAGTCAGTGACAGTAACCTTGTCTGGTGTAGGCCATTTTTGCTCATCCATGACGGAGGAGGCACTGCTAGCAGCAGAACCCCATGCAGATTTGGTAGGTACAGGAGCTGGGGCCAAAGATTTCTTTGGCTTAGCAGCAGCAGCAGCAGCAGCTTCAGTAGAAGCAGCAGATGCATCCACGTCTTCACCACCTTCAGCAATCACTTCAGAAGATTCAGTGGCTTCAGATTCAGTTGTGGTAGAAGGAGCATCGGTGGAAGCTTCAGTAGAGGCTTCAACAGAACCATCAGCTTCTTCAACTGATTCCTTCTTGGAAACTTCAACATCAGAAGCGGCGGCAACGATGGAAGAACCTTCCTGGGTTACTTCAGGACTACCCTTAGCGGCAACATTTGCATATGAAACAGTAGCAGACATGTTTGTGATATCTGTTTATAAGATCTACTCTCTTGTTGGGCTTTTAATCTTTTGACAAAGAAAAAAAAAACCTACTCTGAAAATGGAAATGAAAGTGAACGCACTCACTAAAGACAACTTTTTTTTTCTTTCGTTAAACAAAAAAAAAAAGTGGAAAATATAATGAAACTTTGAACGGGGGATACTTTGTATACTGCGGTTAGATGGCTTAGCAGTTGGACAGACAAAGGATCGGATGGGAACTCGCTTTAATAGAGTTGTTCAAAGGAGAATTGAGGTTGTAAAAACACCTTTATTTGTGTACTTGAATGAACTTTAAATGTGAATCTTGATTGAAAAAAAAGAGACAACAAAAAAAAAATTTTGACTGTGAAATTTTTTGGACAAATAGTAGTGTATATAGGGTGCAAGGTTTTATTTTATTTTATTTTATTTATTTATTTGAAATAGTTGAAAAGTAAAAAGTTTCAGTAAATCCCGTCACTTTAAGAGGTGGGAAGAATATTTTTTTGCAGCAGTTTTGAAAAGTGGAGGAATGTACGAAAGATTTGATATTTTATTGCACAAGTAAAATAGTTGCACGATTGGGAACTGAGAATGTACTCTATTTCATTAAGGCGATTTTTGTTTTAAAAGTGTAAAGTATGATTTTGTAGAGTAGATTTGTTATGTGATTTATTTTCGGTACTTGGTTTACTTGGGGACAGTTGTTCGTCTAAATAGATTTTACCATTTGAGAAATTGTAGTACAAAAATGGGTAAAAAAGCTAGATTGGAAATAAAATTGAAATCGATTGACCACGAAATGTCTTTTGAAATTGAGATTTATTTTCAATGTTCAATTGAGAGGTAGTTTAATGATTTAATATATTTTAGAACCCGTATTCCAATGCATGAGCTCAAATATTCAAGAAATGATACATTATTCTAAAAGGTTAAGGGAAAAAAGACATTTCCGTGCTGAGATATACGCATAGGATTCAGCACGGGTAACATTTTGCATTTGTGCATCTTAATACATTACGGCGAAGCTTAATATAATGTATATATTATTATATCATACATTGAACCAAGATATTCAATGCCATAAATTATAAGAAATAGAAGTATTTTGAATTTATTTGATATTAAAACTTCAAACAAATTTTATATTGTCCTTTTTCACAGGATGATTACATAATCGAGATAATAACAAATTAGTAGTATTGTACTTTCTGTATATATATATATATATATATCAAATGTGAAGACCAGCTTAATAAGGATAGATGCAGATGAAATTTTAATATTTAGAGTGTATATCTCTATATTTACTAAATATATCCAAACATGTATATCTTTAGTTAGACCGTGGCTCGTGTTGAAAATGAATGCCCTGCAGGTACGGATTTTGGGTATACTCCGCAATTCAGGAAAAATATTGCCGCGTACAATAATTACTCACTCTTTCCTTTTAAACTAAAGTAACTCTAAATATAATGTCATCCATTCTTAAGTCAGCAGCTGCTAGACCGATCTTGGAGATTCTTAGATCATCCCGTAATGGGATTGTTTATGGGGGGAAGTTGAGATTTTCGCATGCTTTGGTTATCAACCTTTTATATCGTTCAGGTCCCTTACGCCCGAGACTTGAGCTGGTTATTAAAGCTACTAAGGATCATGCCCAAGTATTAGCAGCATTTGCCATTATATATAAGGGTGCATGTAAAATCCTAGAACAAGACTTGGTTCTAGGTAAGAATAGTGGACTCATTAAATTTCTAGCTGGAGCATTTGGATCTTGGATTGTATATTCTCAACATTTCCCATATTTCCATCCAGGAATTACACATCAAATTACATTATATTGTTTCTCTCGTGTTTTAATTGCTGGTGGGAAGATTTTGCTTGATCATTACTTCAATTGTAGACAACCAAAGTTTGCTCTTGGTAAAGGAGGTGAATCAATTGCATTTAGAGATCTTACTGAGGTTCAGAAAAAACACTTGAGACAAAAAGTGTACAATAAATCTTGGAAATATTTTGCAGTGTTAACCTGGGGCTTGGTTATGTTTATGTATGACTACCAGCCACAATACTTGCAGAGTTCTCTTCGCCATTCAATGGCTTATATTTATGATGTAGAGATGCTGCTGTGGGATACTTGGAGAGAGTTCATTGGTTTTTAACAGACATCATTATGATTAAAATTAAAGCCAATGACTTTATGAGCCTTAATGAATCTTATACCCGAGCTAGGGTGGACATGTCCAGATGAATCCCTCCTGGAGAGGAGACTGTTTATAGAGATATCAATGTACAGATAAATGATTTAATGAAATTTCATGATGTGTAAATGTAGACATAATTGTGATATTAATAAATATGATGTTTACTTATCTCTTAATAATCGAGTTAAATAATCTTAGTCATGTATATATATATATATATATATATATACCTATGAAATTGGACTTGGATATAATATATATTTGCGGTTTCTAGTCAACTAATCTCAAATTGTTATATAGGATGCATTTTAAAGTTTACTAATTAAGCTTCTATAAAAAATACCCCAAACTACACTACAAGGTCACACGAACAGTATTTGAAAAAGTTTCGCAGCCATTAATTGAACCTTTTACTAGAAAATTTACCTTCCACGTGTACTCAAGATCTCACATTAACTGGAAAACCTACATCTGACATATGTATCATTCAATCATTTGATCCCTTTGTTATATTTGAAGATCTTCCCCACCTTCTTTATAACCATTACTAACCTATAATAAACACTGTACTATTCCCATTGTAAAGCTTAATATTTGCCACCAGAGATTTCTAACGCCACCCATACATATCTTATTCCCCATATTTAACCTCATGGAATTCGGAATTGGGAACTCGGAATTCGGAACTCGGAACTCCATGGATGCAAAAAATTGGCCACCCTCGCGAAAAGGTATTGATAAAGAATATCAATCTACAAGACGTTACTCTAAATAACTTACTCATTTAATCAAACTAACTTATTTACCAATTCCATAATAGATAAGCATTCTTGATTATTACTTACGAGGGGTCTTATATCTCTATAAATATATGAAATTAAAAAGTTATTCTTTATAAGTTCCCCACGGGTTGCCTCATATTATCTATGTCTCTGGCCTGCACGCACCCAAATTTCAAATGATACGTGTCAATTAATTTGTAAGCGACACGTCTACTATTACCATTGACATTTATAAAAACGCAATCAGTTTAGATATTTCAACATTATTTAGAAAATCCATATATACTTTTATTTAAACACATACACAATGCAATTCTGGAAATACTCTGTACCTGTGTTAGCCACTCTTTTGGCTGCGGTCTCCGCATCTGGCCCAGCCGATGGTGATGCTATTGCTGACCCAAACTCTGCTGTTGTCAAGTTAACTTCTGCTGATTACGAATCTTTCATTGCTGAAAACCCATTGATTTTAGCTGAATTCTTCGCCCCATGGTGTGGATACTGTAAAGTTCTTGGTCCAGAATTTTCCAAGGCTGCTGATGTCTTGGAAGTTTCTCACCCATCCATCAAGCTTGCACAAATTGATTGTACTGAAGAAGAAAAGTTGTGTGCTGAAAAGGGTATCAAGGGTTACCCAACTTTGAAGATCATCAACTCTGGTGTTGAATCCGACTATGAAGGTCCAAGAGAAGCCGATGGTATCACCAAGTTCATGATTGAGCAAACTTTACCAGTGGTTGCTGAACCAGCTACCGTTAAGGAATTCGATGAAGTTATTGCCGCTCAAGAAAAGGCTTTCATCGTTCAAGTTATCCCACCAAAGTTTGAAGACGCCACCTACAACTCCACTTTTGCCGAAGTTGCCAACATCAAGCGTAAGGACTTGAAGTTTATCTCCATCTCTTCTAAGAATCTTATCAAGGATCTTGATGCTAAGTTGGAATACAAGTTTAAGCTTCCAAAGATCACCAAGCCTGAATATTTCCTCATTCGTCCAAACGAATTCGCTGATGCTGTCAATTTGGAATCTACTACATTCGAAAAGGATTCCCTTATCAACTTTATTGAAACCGAACTGGTTCCATACTTTGGTGACATTAACAGAGACACCTACATGTTGTACATGAACTCCCCACTCCCAATTGGTTACTTCTTCTACAATTCTCCTGAAGAAAGAGAAGCCGTTAACGCTGTTTTCAACAAGTTGGGTAAGGCCCACAGAGGAAAGATTAACTTTGTTGGTTTGGATGCCACTTTGTTCGGTCGTCATGCTGAAGTTTTGAACATGGACCCAGAAATTGTTCCATTCTTTGCTATTCAACAAATTGCTGAAAACAAGAAGTATGGTCTTAGTCAATCCGAGTTCCCAACTGGTCCATCTACTGATGCCATTGAAAAGTTTGTTGAAGACTTTTTCGCTGACAAGTTGGAACCAATTGTCAAGTCTGAACCATTACCAACTCCAGAAGAAATCGCTGCTTCCCCAGTCAGAAAGTTGGTTACCTACAACCACGATGAAATCGTCAAGAATGAAGACAAGGACGTCTTTGTCAAGTACTACGCTCCATGGTGTGGTCACTGTAAGACCTTGGCTCCAAAGTGGGAAGAATTGGGTGCTATTATGGGATCTAACCAAGAAGATGCCGATGTTATTATTGCTGATGTTGACCATACTGCTAACGATGTTACCACTCCTTTCCAAATTGAAGGTTACCCAACCTTGGTATTGTACCCAGCTCACGCTGAAGTTGATGAAAAGACTGGCTTCAAGAAGCATGTTCTCTTTGAAGGTATGAGAGAAGTTGAACAATTACTCAACTTCCTTCAACTTAACACTGGTAACAAGATTGATGGCCAAGCATTGAAGGCTAAGTTTGAAGCTGAACAAGCTCTTGCTGCCGAAGCTGACGAAGAAGAAGTCGAAGAAGCTGCTGAAGCCGAACCAGCTGCCGAAGACGTTCATGATGAATTGTAAATTAAGTAAATCATTATTTTCTTTCCACATAAAATAACTACAACAGAGAAATAGAATGAAGGTTTGAGATAAAATCATGTAGAATCAAAATAGTAAATATTTGACACAGTTTTGAATTTCGAAGAAGACATTAATTATATATATATACTAGATCGTTACCAATTGGGAGGACCCCAAATTTGAACCAATTTATCATCACCAACCGAACACCACAACTTTCCGTAATCCCGTTCGCCATCTTTCACAGGTGGATAAAACCGATTCCAATCAACCGCATTGCACAAACCATCATGCCCACCTACCCTGGTGACAAGCTGTCCCGTACTAAGCTTCCAGATGTATGAGTATCCATCTTCACTACCACTAAGTACCAACTCTTCGTCTCCATCATGTAAATATCCGAAACAGGATCTCACGATATAAGGCCCCTGTCTATGACCAATAAACCTTCTTGTCAACACAGGCTTTCCTGACGTTGAAAGATCAGATATATCCCAAAGTTGAAGTTCTTCTGGCGAAATACTAATCAATAGATGATTGCCATTAGAAGAGACAGAACATGAAGTCAATTTCCCACAAAGACCAATGGTTGCAACCTTGGCCGCTTTTGAACTTGCATCATTCAACTTGGGTATCGTATAGAAATGAAGCAGTCTGTCATTATTTGCGGTAATAAGAAACTTACCATCTGGAGTAATCGTAAGATCATTTACTCGATTAAAATTATTTTGGACAGAATTGGATTTCGATAAGTCACCTGAATTAGCGATCCCACTAGCCAGTAAATTTTTTGTAGTCGATGACGAGGAGCCTACTACTATTGCCGAAGTTCTTTCTTCTGTTTTGATTACAACGTTTTCAGTACCCAAGTTACTACTATTACTCTTATTTTTCAATTTTACCAACAGGTCGTCGGTTTCATCATCACTATCAACTGAAGTATCAGAGAAAAAGTCAAATAATTCAGTACCATGAACATTAAATATTTTCAAGACTTTATCAGGTGAACCGACAATAAATTGGGGAGGGATACCTTTTCTATTAGATTGAGGCAAAAATTCACAAGACCATGTTCGAATTCCCTCACCAAGAGTAAAACATGCCAGTAGTTTAGCTTCTGCGATAGGCAGCGCCGCTAATGGTTTCTGAGAGTTTTCTTCAACCATAGACCTGGTGATTCGTTTATTAATGTTCTCTCTTGATGTTTGACTATAGCCTTCTTTTGTAAGGTCTGCAATGTTCCATACACGGACTATGGTATCCAAGCCACAACTAACCAAAAAGGATTCAGTAGGATCCCAACAGCAGTATATAACTGCTCTTTGTTGATTAGGCTCACTACGTTTAGCTGGTTGATGGGTAAGACTAACAAATGCAACATGATCCATTGATTCGTTTGATTCAAGAATGGCCAAAGTTTCAAAATTATTGACAACGTCATACAATATCAATTTCCCATCAAGAGACCCAGTTGCTAGGAATCTGCCCAGAGGGGAAAACTTAGTAAACCATACTTCGTTGGTGTGATGTTCCAATGTACGAATATGCACAGAGGGGAAGGATGGCTTATATTGATCATTGATTTGTTTCTCAAAGGGTGGTATGAATTGAGAGGAAATGTTTTCCCCATTCCCGAGTGTTCTAGGAGGAAGATAATATGGAGACAACATTTTGCGATATGTTGCAGCTTGATCAAGAATGGTTTTAAGGAAATTCAGTTCGAGGGAATGTTGGTTTCTTGAAGTTACCATAGCGGTTGATTCCAGCTTGCCAAAAATTGGACCCAAATAACAATTCATGAGTATGAATTCCAATTGACTTTTGACGGTAGTGTATGTCAGATGTGTGGCACCAAGAGCGGTTGCACCGGAAACAATAGAAACTACTGATCGATGGACATCAGTATCAATGAGCAATACTTCTTTCGAGAATAAAGTCGAGGCAAAATCCTCCAATTTAATGGGAGCTGCCATCAAAAGTGGTAGAAATATGGTCGATTCTCTTTCCCGAGTTAGGTTACGATGCAATGGCGTGATTTCTTTACTCACATCATTGTCTTGAATAATATCAAGCAAGGGGCACATTTCATTTTTAAGGACATTCAAGAGTTTTTGGGTAGACGATGATGCTTCAAATGATAAACTTGCAAGATCCACTAGAAACTTTATTCTTTGAACAAAATAAAGTATTGTAGCTACACTTCCAGGACTAAAATTGCATCCAAACCCACCGCCAACATCTGCAACCATACGTTGCAACAAGGGCAATGCAGAACTATAGGGGAACCCACGTCCAATTTGGTCATAGAGCTCGTCTTTATCCAGTTTTGCAGCCATAGAATTGACGGAGTTATCCCTACCAATAAAGGCATTTGTTTCAGCAAACTTATTTTTAGCTTGAATCTCAGACGCCAACTTTCTTGCAGATTCAGGGTACCCAAGATCGATAAGGGCACCCTGGACAACCTGAAGCATGAACTGGTCCATCTGTGAGAGAGAACTAGACTAGCCGAGTGTCCGGAAAATGTTTCTTGATTTACGTAATTAAAACTTTAATGATTATATACTTGCAAAGAACAATACCCCATTCTTTCCTCTCCCCCTTGATTGATATCATAGATAATGCGCACAAAATTGCGTGTGGAATAAGCCAAAAAAAAAAAAAAAAAAAAAAAAAAAAAGATGTACGATAAATGAAATACATTGTCGGGGAAAAGAAAGGGAAAAAAGGGGTCTCACGTGACATACGGCGTATGAATTAGCAGTTAAAATATTACTGCATTTTTTTGGGGTCTTCATATTTATTTTTCGGAAGCCGGCGAACGGCGCTGTCATACATTCGCTCAGCTTGGCATATGTTGGTGTGTCATTTTTTTTCCCTAGATCCCAAGAAAATTTCAATCTACGGTTACGTAAGCTCTTTAAATACCAATTCTCTTGGTACACGCTAGCTCATAGAAGTTTATTCGTAACCACCAGTGTTTTTCTAACTATAACTAAAAGTAAATATAAAATCGTTTTAAATTTATTTCAAGCGTATTGTTCCGAAATTTTAAATTTTGCCACCTTACACATTGGAGAGAGTATATCTTGCCGCTTGTTTTTTTTTTCTTTTATAAATATTTTTTTTTTGTTACTTTTTTTTTTTAGGATCTCTCACTTGGTGAGGAAGGGCTCGAATATCTGTAAATTGTTGTTTTAGCAAAGTTCGAGTCATCGATTGCTTATTGTTCAATAAATTATTTTTAAACGTACCTGGGCCCACCCAATTTCCAACTAATCTCATATTACCCAGACATGTCCACAGAAAGTGAGAGGAAGAGGAGAAGAAGGCAAAGACAAACGTTAGTTTGTGAGTTTTGCCGCAAAAGAAAGGTCAAATGTGATAAAGGCAACCCATGTTCAACATGTAGAAAATACAAAAACACCGACTGTCTGTATGCAGAAACTGGAATCAACGGGTTATCAAATGGGAACGAAGGTATGATTCACGTAATGAACATAAATTCAGGAGCACCTCCCATTCCAGGCTCCCAGATGACTGCGCCATATATGTCCGCAGATTCAACCGGCGAATCCGTACTGGTGGCAAACTCAATTGAACCACCACAATACTCAACCCAATCATCAGTGGCGACTAAATCTGACCTTGAGATGGAATTGGAAAGACTTAAGGAAAAAATTAAGAATATTGAAGAATCTGTCACGTCTTATGAAAAACCGTTAACACCACATTCAAACAGTACAGCATCCCTCCCCAAAAAGGAAGATGGGTCTTCGACAACATCTAATCGTTCATCTATTGCTACTTTTATGGGGGGAACTGGGAACTCGATAAGTCCTTCCATGAGTAATTCTGGACCTAGTCCGAAATCTTTATTTGCCACTGGGCATTCTCTTACTCAAAATTCATTACCTCCAGTTCCACCCTTAATTCCAGCACCGATTTCATCTTCAGCTCCTACAAAGACTTACCCGGGTGCTTCCACAACTAATAATCAAGGTCCAAACGCAACTCAAGTTCCTGGTCCAGCTCAAGCACCATCTCCCTTTGCGCCAATACTGAGAGGATTTACTTCACTCCCACCTCCATTTACAGTTCCACCAACTCTGCAAATGCCAAATTGTAAATTTAATTCACTTCTTGGTCATAACCCGGTTGCATCTGAATATGACACAATAAATTTTTATTCTGGATATACTTCAATCTACGATAAGGAACCAATGCGCCGAGCAAATTCAGGTCCATTGTCTTGGTTATCTTTAATGAGGAAAGATGAAGGTTTAAGTTTATTTATGGATTTCTTACAATCACGAAAAAAATTTCAAGAAGAGAAAATGAAAGTATTTTTACCTGGCCCCAATGCTAATACAACTGAAAAGAGATTTGGAGAAGCAGCTAGTGAATCATTTGGATTAAATGATATAAAATTATACAAGAATTCGAAAGAAGAAGTAGTCAAACCTTCTAAGGTTCAAATCTTATCCAAACCTTTATATAAAGAAGAAGCAGCAGAAGCGAAATCCAAGTTTAATGAAAGAGCAACATCATTAGGACTCAGCTTTTATGCTGGACAATTAGAAGATGAAATGGCATTATTGGAAGTAATTGAATTGATTTTACCTCCCGAGAGTGTTATTTGGCTTTTGATCGAAAGATTTTTCAGTCATATGTACCCATTTTTCCCAATTATCGATGAAGAATATTTCCGTAGAGATATTAGTAAAATTATAGGACCTGAAGGATATGATAATAGAAAGAAAGTCAAACTTACAATTGAGAAGAAATTGGATTTTGCAACCTTAGGATTATTATTACTCATGTTAAGATTTGGATATTTAACATTACTTACAACCATTGACTCAGTGAATGATAAAAATTTACATTCTACAGATCCATCCCCGCAAGCTCAAAGACTCAAGTTTTTGCTTAGTAACCCGATAAATATAGATACAGTTGATGCAGCCCAAAATTGTCTAAATCAGTTCAATTTGCTTCGAAGGGTTAATATGGCAGTCATGCAACTTGCTTTTTTTACAAGATGTTACCATATGTACGCCCCGGAAGATGGTGATGGGGCAGATGGAGGTGACTCTCAAGTGTTTACTGCAACACTTGTTCAAATGGCGCTCTCGCTTGGATTAAATAGGGAACCAGATAATTTCCCAGATGTCTGTAATGACGAAAAGATGAATAATATTGGTAGAAAGACTTGGTACCTTCTTCTTATTTTGGATATGAATAATGCAATGTCATTGGGGTCACCTCTTAATATTCATAGATCTATGTTTGATACGAAGTTTCCATTCTACAAGAAGGGAAATGAAAATATTTTGGATGTTGATTTGGAAATGAAAGTTTTAAGTACAACTTTTCCAAGAATTGATCGTATATATGATCCAATGTCAGATATAATTCAACAGGTTTTGAATGTTAATGGAGATATCAATATGGCCTCCTTAGCGCAAAAACTTAATTTTATGGAGATGTATTTTATCCAAGAGTATGGACGATTGAGATCTTATTTTGCAGAGAATGAAGAATGTGAAAATGAACCAAGTTTCCTTAAAACGATAAAGATGAAAATTTATTTTAGTTCAAATTTCTTTTTGGTCTCGCTTTTCTTTCATTTCTTTTGTTATTATGAAAAGAAGAAGAACATTGAATATGCTTTTTACTATTTGAAGAAAATCTTTGTCATTACGCATGGTGACCTCATGCCATACTATTTTGAACTATTAGAAAACAATCCCAAAGTATTTAGGGATTCCACAGATTTGATTGTTACACCTGGTTTCGAATTGGTTATTCAAAAGTCAAATATAGTTAATTCTGCAATTTTAATCCGAATTAGATCATGGCTTCTTTCTCTTCGTTGGAGTGAAAACCATGATAAGTTATTACTTTCTAGCCAAGAATACCGAGACCTCTTTATGAAACTCACAAAATTGGACCAACTACTTCAAAGATGTAATAAGGTCTTTCAAGAAGCCGCAGCCAGACTAAGTAAGAGGTATTATTACGCCTGGAGACAAGTAAAGGCAGGTGCATTTGTTTTTGATATTCTTAAGGGAACCGAATTCTACAGAGTTGCTCAAGACCGGATGAAATCGTTTGATGCGAAGTTTTCACAATCCATGTTAGATGATATGATATCATTATTCGAAGAAGCATTAAGTAGAGTTCCTCACCATCAACATCATCATAAGAAGGAATCTAAAAAGGCTGCTGGTACGACTCCTCTAGGAGCAACTGAACCACCAGCATTTACTCAAGATAAAGATACACTGCTTAACACACCCACTGGTTCTACAAGCTCTACTGATTATATGTTCACAGACATGGGGACCACGGGAGAACTGATCGACAATATTTGGTTACAAATGCTTTCGATTAAAAGAGACAACAATCCACCAACTAATAGTAACTTTTCCATGACCGATGGTTTCAAATCGGCGCATACACCATCATTTGATGCTGGAAGTACTATGAATTTCCAGGATGGTAACAATAATATACCTGCTGGGTTCGAAACTGGTGACCTCGCATATGACACATTAAGAAACACATTCGAAATTTTTGACGGTTTATCATTTGACGATCTATTCAGGAAATAAGACGTCCTTGGTATTGCCATGTAAATAGCTCTGTACATATACATTATGCCATTATAAAATTATATATATGTATACATATATATATATATATATATATATATAAACTATGCCCATATAAATAAAAACTTAGCAAACTGTATTTAGATTTACCATGCCATTTTTGCCAAGATTGATTTAGGATATTTACGCACATAGTACTTTCTGATTTCATCGTACAACAAAACAACTGCACCAAATCCAACTGCAATAAAGTAATACTCCACAGGAACATGACCTGTTCCTAAAACTTTATTGAACCAAGGAATGTAATTGAAGAAAAAGGTAACCCCTAATGCAAAAACAATCGCAACAAAAGCCAAATAATTGTTGGTGAGCGGATTCATAATTGGTGGATGTTGGAATATACTTAAATGTCTAGTACGTACCGCCATCAAGTTAAAGAATTGCATAATGACCAAATTTACAAAATATACCGAAGATGCTGATTCACCAACATTAGCAACACTTTCCGATGTGATTTCCCCAAAATCACCATAGGATAAGGTAAGGTTTTTAAATGGGATGCCTTTCCGTTGAAAATAGAGGAAACAAACTAGCATAGAAGTAAATGCATAATAAGTACCAATAGTAAAGTAAGAGTGCATGAATAATTTCATATCCACAAGACGTTCTCCCGTTACACTTCGAGGTTTTTTAAGAAGGAGATTACTTTCAGGAGCTTCGTATGCCAATGTAATCGCACCTGCACAATCAGTAAGACAACAAATGATGATCATACAGAACGAGGATAAAGCTTGTGGCAAGCCAAATATCACGTTTAACAATACGGGCCATAATTCAGCGAACGTACCAGCAGGAAGTAAGTAAGCAATAGTTTTTCTCAAATTCTCAAACACAAGTCTTCCATATTTTAACGCAATAACCATGGATGAAAATGATTCAAGCAAAACAAGATCAGAGGCTTCTTTAGCAATATCAGATCCTTCTGCCATGGCAATTCCCACATCTGCTTGCTTTAAAGAAGGCGCATCATTGATTCCGTCACCAGTCATTCCAACGATATGACCTTGTGCTTGAAATTGTTCTACGATCCGTAGTTTCTGATCGGGAGTTGCCCTTGCAAATACAATTTCACTATACTTGGTTAATACTCTCCACTCATCTTCAGAAAGTAAAGCGATGTCACTACTCGTAATCACAATTGCCTTGTCGATCTCTTCGAATGGATTAGAATTTTGGCTGCAAATTTCAATATTATCTTGCAACATTCTTGCATTATCAACTGAATCTTTGGTAATAATTCCACACAATCTAGCAATTGCAACAGCAGTAAGTTCAAAGTCACCTGTAACCATGGCCAACCTAATACCAGCAGCCCTCAATGTAGATACCACTTCAGGAATGTCATCCTTAGGTGGATCGGTAATACCAACCATACCGACAAGAGTCAATCTGGATGCAGAAAGAGATGTAAGATAAGCGGAACTTTCAGTAGGATCACTCCAAAATTCTTTCGACAATTCTTTGTCCTTGTTAACAATCCTTGAAGCCAAAAGAACCACACGTTTACCTTGATTTGCCCAAGAATTCTGGATATCCATAACTTTAGCTCTGATATTTTCTTGAAGGGGAACAACAATAGAACCTTCAAGATAGTGCGAGCAACGAGAGAGTAAGATATCCGGGGCACCCTTAATGGTGAATAAATACTGTGACAGTGGATCAGTGAGTCCCACCTCCTTGCATGAAAAATTGCTATGGGCAGCGTTGTTCTCGTATAATCTTGACATGAACTTCGATTTGGAATTGAATGATAATTCCGATTTCATGGTCCAATTCATATTGAGTTCTCCAGTAGGCGCTAACGCTTCAGCAAACCTTAAGATAGCCTGGTCTGTTGCATTAGAATGCATTGCACGGTCAACCAAGGGGAGGTGAGTTGTTCTCGGATCGAAAGTAGCACTATTACACAACCCAGCAACTGCATGGATGTGACCGATACCATCGATATTCTGTATGGGTTCCTGTTTCTCACTTACTTCATCTTGAAAGTATGGATTTAAAATTTCCGACCCTAAACATGAATCCGTAACAAACATTTTGTTCTTGGTTAGAGTACCTGTCTTATCAGAGCAGAGCACACTAACAGATCCCAAAGTCTCAACAACTGCTAAAGATTTACATAAAATCTTGTTTTTACGCATAACACTAGCTGTGATAACCAAGCAAGTTGTCAAAGCAATAGGTAAACCTTCTGGAATGAAGGCAACTGCAACAGAAACAATGTCAACAATCAAAGTAGGTACACTAATCCAATCAGGGTAATCTTTTCTAAGCCAAGCGCCCCACAAGATACACACAAGAACGATTAAACAAATAATGATACCAGTGGTCATGATCACAAAACGCAATACTTCCTTCTGCAAGGGAGTTAGACCTTTCTTCGGTTGTGAAGAGATCTTAGCAATTTGTCCAAAGACAGTATCATCTGCTGTAGAAACGACAATACCACGACCAGTCCCTGTAACACAGAAAGAACCTTGCATGGCGATACAACGTGATTCTAAATAGTTAGCCCCTTTGAGGTCCGGTACAGTTGAGCCCTGGATTGGTTTGGATTCACCTGTTAAAACAGATCGGTCAAAAGCCAAATCAAGGCTGCACTCAACAAGACGAATATCAGCAGGAACTTTGGTACCAGTGTCAATCACAACTAAGTCACCGGGCACCAAATCTCTAACTTGACTCACACATAGTTCACCTGCTCTTACGACTTGACATTCAGATGGCATTATTCCATGAATTGAATCCATCACTTTAGAGGTAGAAATGTCTTGAACAAAGTTGAATGTAGCTTGGGCTAAAAATACAATAAACAAAACAACACCAAGTGCTAAATTAGCGATAGCTGGTGGTTGACCTAAAGGTTTCCATGAAATACAACACAACACCCCTCCAACCATAAGCAAGGACCCAAACCCTCCAAAAAAGTATGTTAATAATTTTCTAAAAAGACCAGAAGGTGGTTTTGATTGAGCATTAGAACCGTACTTCTTATAGGCTTCGGTATGTTGCTGGAGGGATAAACCCGAAGAACGGTTGGTGCGGAATGTTTGTGTAAGAGTGTCAATATCATCTGTATGCCAAGTATTCTCGGAAAGCTCCTTTGTTTTCTTATCCAAGTTTGGGTTTGGATAATGTAAAGAAGCTTGATCTTCAATCCTATGAGAGATAGTTTTGAAAGCAATTGGTAACACAGTCTCTGGGGCGACTTTTTCTGAAAGAGACACTTCAGAAAGCCGCCGGTGAATGGAGAGTCTCCGTCTCCTCCCAGAAGTTGGTACGTTTGACTCAAGATCAAAAGTAATACCATGATCTGTCACAAGTGCAGAATCATCGTCCTTCGCGTCAGTAGTGTTAGAAATAAAAGAGTTCATTGAGATAGAAGTCAAGCGCACTCTTTTCACAACCAAAAATAAGGGAAATCTCTAATACATACTTGGACCTATTTATACTGAGAAAGGCATATCAATTTGACACTAAGTATAAAATAGGGGCTATACCAGTTTGGGCACTCTCGCGTAGGGTATAGGTAGGAAATAATACTGCCCCTGACCCCAATTTACTTAGCCATACACCTTGACGTACGGCTACAAGTTAGACTTTATTTTTTGATTTGCAGCCGCACATTCTAAAACCTGCCAAATTTTTCTTCCACCACACAAGTAGATGATAATTAAATGTTTTTAGGGTATAAATTTTTTCTGGAACATTTGTACTGATTTCTTCATCGATTGACACCATTTGATTCATTCTATTAGAAACTCTAATAACAAGTGTATATCCAATTCAGTGCTAAGAGAATGATTGTTTTGGCATGGAGAGCGACGAACAAACTCGCGCCTCTCCCAATTTGTTCCAAAATCCCGCAGATCTGACTCCACTAAAACTACGTCATTCTGGAAATGGCACATGCATATGAAATCCCTGTTACTACAAGCACTGAAATAAAATACCGCGATCAAGATTGACCAGTAGAAGGGCGATTTCAATAATAGTTAAAAAAATCCCGCTGATTTCTTGTCTTATTCAATAATAACAAAAATCCCGCATAGTTAAGAGTCTCGTTAATGGCACCAAGTAAGATCTGCGTAGTTTTGTGCATTGTTATTATAGGGGCCAAGGGTGGAAATTCTAATTTCGGAAGAAAGCTTTTGGGGGTGTAGAAAGAATCCTGTAATTTACATTCACGTATTGATGCAAATTTATATAATTATTTAGGTGTAATATTAACTTTTACTTTTGAAGGTTCATTTCTCTAGTATAGGACCTTCTTCAATGGTTATTTCCATGCGAAACTCTAACCCCAATATCTGAAGTGTCATTTTCTGACGCAAGGTCCTCCAAACTGGTTTCTATATCAGATCGCTTCTCCAAACTTTCCTTTCTATCTCGAACAGCATTAGAAACCTCCAAGTTTCTAATGATCGATGCATCTGCCACTTCAGAATCTAACAAATCTAAGTCCTCCCGTGGGATAATTAATGGCCAAATCCATTCAGCGCAAATGGCGAAAAACATGAGTACACCGGGGAAACCTACTGCACCCTTGGTGTTTGTAATTCCAAATTCAAGTCCAGCAGCTATAAGTTGAAGGATAAGGTAAACATAGAACCATTTTTTTCTAGGAAGACTATCAATTTTTCGAAACATTTCAGGACAATTAGGATCATATTTAATATAATCTTTATCCAAAAACAAATATCGTATATTATTTGTAATAGGATTCCCGTGTAATCCTGTAATTCCCATTATAAAAAACAAACCAGCTAACACTGCCTGTGGAATAAGTCCCAAAACAACCAAGAATGGCCTTGTCATCATTACTATCGTAAGGAGTCCTTGTAAAGTATTAGTAACTCTTTGTTCTACAACAGATATGGCTTCCCCTGTTTTTAAATCATGTACAACCAAAGATGCTGTATGTAATGGAGCTTGAGGAATGAGACCATTTGGGGCGGGGAGACCAATTAATCCGGCCACACCAGTAGTAATACCAAGTAATGCAAAGTCCCAGTGAAATGCTGCTGGCTTCTTAAGTGGGAATTCTTTCAGCAAACACATCAATGAGGATACATTGTGATCAAAATAAAATAAAAATGTCAATAAAATTGCAAATGGAAGTGCAAGAAACACATCACCCACTGAAATGTTATCACCGGGCCAGAAATGTATGAACCAACCATGAGGTCTTTCAATAGAATTAGCAGGTTGAGTAGGATGGAAAGATTTTGTAATTGGTAATTTAGCCAATTCTGTAGTATCCATATAACCACCAAAATGTACAAACCCTGTGAAAAAAATGACTGAAAGTGGTGCACCATAATCTACAAATACTTTCCGTACCCAAGGTTTAAAATAATGTAATTGGCCACCAAAAATGCTACTTCCAATACCACAAACCGCCATTAATATTGCTAAAAGAACAGATAAATAGCCACTGTCGGGATGTTCAGGGGTGAATTGAGCAGTCAATATTTGGATGCCCTTCTGGATATACACAATACAAATGAAAAATCCAAACACTTCACATGAAAACAGTGATATAATCTTAAGAAAGGAGATCATATTACCGATTGCAATAATGAAATGCATTACCATAGACCAGAGGTAAATCCAACACATGAATGGGAAAAAGGGAGTACCCCTTGGAGTAATGAGTTCGTATACTGTATAACTAAAGATGGCTATGGGACCTGTCACCCCGACTATGCATAATGGTTGGCCTGCAAAGAGACCAAAAACGATACCCCCAATAGCTGAACTTAAAAGAACTTCATTCAATCCGTACAGATTTTCTGTCTTATCGAACATATCTTGTGCAAATGCAATTGCTGGAAGAAGGTTTGTAAAGAAGGTGAATGTAGTAGACGGTATTACTCGATAATTGTAAGCATCTGTGAAATCTGAAATGTAGTATGGTAGTCTTGCTCTGATGTCATTGTAGATACTATACCCACAATATCCAAATGTCTTGAAGCCGATTTTCATTATACCAATCGAAGAGTATGCGAGTGAGAGTCGATGAGAAGCTAACCAGCTGATACCTGATATGTGTCAGAGGACCTGTAGAACAAAGTGTACAATGTAAATGGAACAAATTACATAAGGTATACAAGAAAAAAAAAGAAAGAAAAAATAAAAAATGTAAAGCCCCGTGTCTTAGTTTATATGTGGGAGGATGACTTTGGTTGTATTACAAGGAGTTAATTTAGAGTTGCGAATTAAAAAATATTTGTACATTTTCAATAAAAATTCTGGTGGCAATCGCAAAGGCAATTCAATTATCAAATGAAACGAAAAGATAAATCGAATCAAAGTCTCGAATTGTATTCCTCATTCGATGCAACGGCTGTATTCAGATGGAGGGAAGGCAAAACAAAAAAAATAATGCAACCAAGAAAAAAACTTTAACGGAATCGCATAAGTGAAAAATATATTACATATATAGAAACTGTAGCCCTTAAAAAGTTAAAAGAAAAAAGTAACGTACTCACCATATGATTCATGAGTGAGCCAATTTTGGTTGTTCATATTGGTGCTGGAAATCAATCATTAGCTCGTAAAAATAAGTACATAGGTCTTATAAAGAAATCATTGAGTACGCAACAAATCCTTAATGCTAGTCAAGTGTTGGAAAGATCATCTTTGACCAATACTGGATATGGATCAGCATTGAATTTGGAAGGTGAAGTTGAATGTGATTCCAGTTATGTTATAGCATGTCGTGGACTGAACCAAGTAGAAATGGGGGCATTCTACAATGTGCGGCATGAGTATCCAATTTCAGAAACCATTGATGTATGGCATAGATTAAACCAATTATATCAACCAGGCGGTAAATTGGGTAATGTAGGACTTTCTCGACCTGTGTTAGTTAATTATGATCTGGTTAAACACCTTGTTTCCAGTCGTGCGGACATTGAGAGCGGTAGTAGAGATCTGTTGGTATCCCCTAAAAACATGGAGATTTATAGAGCTTACAAGGATAAAGGTCTTGTAGATTACAATCAAGATGTAACAGATACAATTGGACTAATTGAGATCAAGTCTGAGAAAACAAGTATTATGACTTCTTCTGGTGGGAATTTCTTCAAATTACCTGGTAGAATAGGATGTGCAGGGGTAATTGGAGCAGCCATTTCCCATAGAGTTCAAGATAACCATATTGCAATCTCTTGTATGTGTAGTGGAAATGGAGAAGATATTATAATGATGAGTCTTGCACGAAGTATAGCTGACGGCTTGATACAATTGAACGAAAATGGGTACGATTATGCTGAAACAATGGTTCAAATCATTACACAAGAAAGTTCTAAGATATCATTAACAAGTGTAAACAACTCAAATGAAAAGATTGTTTATGTTGGTGCTATCTGTGTAATTGATGATTTACAAACGAATAAAAAGGTTTTGGTTTATTGCCATAGTACTGAAAGCTTCTTCTTTGGATTCCAAAAGGGTAATAATGAACCTGAAGTTATTTTAAGCACTCTTGGAACTTCCCCAAAACTAGGAACTTATTGTAGAGGAGAGTTTAGAATATAATACATAGTGCACAAATTTAATGAGCTTTGACAATACTTCAACCTCAGATTATTATAAATAATGGCTACACATTTCATACTGTTTTACAACATAAAGCTATAATTTAGACATACATTAAGAGAACTATTTTAAAAGAACCTAACCATCACGATTTGAAATTAATATTACTATCTAGTTTCTTAACGGGAGGTGGCGTGAACCTTTTGGAAAGCACCCTTGGATTGTTGCTTAGAGAACTTAGAAGAAGAAGTACCGGAAGCAGCAGACTTGGCCTTTTCAGCCTTTCTGGCAGCCTTGGCAGCCTTCTTGGCTTCCTTGTCTTCAGCGAGCTTGGAGTCTCTAGCCTTCTTTCTGTCAGCTGGCTTTTGAGATCTTCTTTCCTTGATCAATTCCAAAGAAGCACCGACAATGGCTCTTTGGTTCTTGACAGTCTTTCTGGATCTTCTCTTGGAAGTTTCTTCAGAGATACCCTTCTTGTGTTGTCTTCTGTACAAGACAGTCCAAGAGATTCTTCTTGGGTTCTTTCTTTGGTGGAATAAGGAAGCAGACTTAGAGGATTGGAATCTGAAAATCTTGGAGTCACCTCTGACAAACAAAGTACCTCTACCTGGGTAGATTTTAGCACCGGAAAAGGAGTCAAGTTCAATCTTCATTTTTACTGTATTTGTTAGTATAAAGTCTCTTTGTATAAAACTTCCTCTATATCATTAGTCACATTTCATAAAACTTTCACTATGGCAGGCGTACAATAAAATATGGGTTCTGTTCTTCCTCACTCTTCTTAAAACTTATCTGGATATTCTTCGCAACATATCTCTATCGTTCTTCTCTATGTTCCATCTCTAGTTCCATAGTCTACAAATCTTCACCATAAGTGAAAAGGAAAATTAAATTGAAGTCAAATAGAGACAGTCATCGACATCTCTGTAAACGTTCTTATGGGGGTGGTTCAACAGTTCAATACCTCATTTTGTCGCTAGTGATTCACTCTGGAAGTGTCTGTTTCATGGTATGCGCTATATATATGGTCCGTCTTCACATACCTTTTTGGTTTCTATGGGCAAGCTATACAAAATTTCCAAAGGTTCAATTTTTTAATTAGTCTGAGGAATATGCGATCAATTTTTCACGGTTCGTAGCCTTTGCACACTCACAAATTTCAAGGTTTTGTGTAACTTAAGAGGTACTAACGCCCAATAGTGCGCGACGGTCACAAGAAATCGTCACACGTGTGTCACGAGTTATCCGTGACTGCTGATTCTCAAATTTTCACTCTTTTTTTTTTGTCTCACCTCATTCTCGCACACATTCTCTCCAATCCCCTTTGGTGGCATCGCTCACTCTCCAATTTTTCACTTCCCAGCATCCTTTCTCTCCTCTGGTTTAAATTTTTTTTTCTTCATCACACATTCAAACCGACCGGAGTGTATTATTAAGAAACGCAGAGATGGTCAGTATATTTTCACATTAGGGTGTTTAGCCCACGAGTAGCAACAGGCCGGACTGGCTCCACTGTTCTACATCGTCTATTTATTTCATCATTCGGTGTACTAACAAAATTTTCAGGCCCCAAAGAACAAGTCTTCCGAAAACATTAACGCCAAGCTTGGTTTGGTTATCAAGTCTGGTAAGTACACCCTTGGTTACAAGTCCGTTGTCAAGTCCTTGAGAACCGGTAAGGCCAAGTTGGTCCTCATTGCTGGTAACACCCCAGTCTTGAGAAAGTCCGAATTGGAATACTACGCTATGTTGTCCAAGACTCAAGTTTACTACTTCCAAGGTGGTAACAACGAATTGGGTACCGTTTGTGGTAAGCTTTTCAGAGTTGGTACCATGGCTATTTTGGATGCTGGTGACTCTGACATCTTGTCTACCCTCGCTTAAGCGTGTTGGTTGTATATTTAATTTTAAATTTTAATGTATAGTAAAGGCATGATATCATAATCAATTATAATAATGTAGGTCTGAGTGTAATGTATTACTACAAGAGTTTTACAACAAAACCAAAATATAATTAATTCCCAAGGATTTTATTAATTTCTATTGACGATTATTGAGTTGAGCTTCAAGCTCTTCTATTTCTTGTTCTTCTTGTCGTATTAACTCATCGATTTCAATTTCACTTTCTTCATAATTATGTTCTATAGTCAGTTGTCTTTGCTTCAGCGGCGAACTTGTAAGAGTTGCATCATTTAATGTCACGTTATACATTGCTAATTGGTCACGTTGTTCTGTAACTAGCGTTTCTAATTGACTTATCTCATCTACCAAAGTTCCATACTTATCTCGATATGCTAAAAGATTAGCCTCTTCATCTTCTTTCACCAAGTTTGGATATTTTCTTATCAAATCAAGAGCAGTTCCACATATTTCATCAATATTATTCGTTAAAGTAGAAGCTGCAAGTAGCTTGGAAGGTGAAGATTTTTCATTGTTTTCAATTGTGTGGGGTTTGATTATGTCTGGGATGCTTACAGCTGTACGTTTACGCTTCTTATCATGATTCGTGAATTCACTGAAGCTATGATCTACATATACAGATTTCCCATCCACTCTTTCAGGTTTTGATTCTAATTGAAGTTCAGTAGCATCTGGTGGAGAATCACTAGTACTAGAGAATATAGGCTTCTTTATTTTATACAAGGACAGTTCATATTCTTCTGCATCTTTTAAAAGTGTAGTAATAGATGGTTCAGCAATAAATGAATTTGTGAAAATCCCTGGTGCTCGAAACTCAAGGGATTGTATAGTTCCACACAGTTCTTTGGTTCTATTCAAAAAATAAGCCAATGAGGGCATGATTTGGATGATGTGTACTAAGGAGAGATATGATTGGAGTTTGATATTATATGGAATCCTTTTCTTTTCTATTTTTTTATTCTTCTTGGATTATTTTTCCCCTTTGTGGTTCTCTCTGTCGTCTATCCTAAATCTTTTAAGAATATGGATAATGTAGGATATATATGAATAAAATAAGTGATGAGGTAAATATAAAGATGTATAAAGTTGTATGATAAATTTCTTTGTTTATCTTTTTGGCGTCTGTCCTGTATATGTAGTAATACCTGTATATTAATATATCAAGATAGATTTTGTGACTCTCCTTTCCAAGTGCATTTCTCTTCCACAGATTTGTAACCGATTTAACAAATAACCTTGAAACACTTCATAACAAACCATACAATATGACCGTGGATTTGGATAAATATGCAAAGCCAAACAAATCATATTACCTAGCTTTGGGTCTTGAAGGATCTGCAAATAAGCTTGGTGTAGGGGTCATAAAACATCCATTGGGGCATCTCTCAGAAACGAATCGAGCTGAAGTATTATCAAATGTCAGAGATACATACGTTACACCACCAGGTGAAGGTTTTTTACCTAGAGATACAGCTCGTCATCATAGAAATTGGGTTGTTCGTATCATAAAGCAGGCATTAATAGATGCTAAAGTCTCTGGAATGGATTTGGACTGTATTTGCTTTACACAAGGTCCAGGTATGGGGGCACCATTACAAAGTGTGGTCATAGCAGCAAGAACCCTTTCACAACTTTGGGATTTACCACTTGTAGGTGTGAATCATTGCATAGGTCATATAGAGATGGGAAGAGAGATTACAGGTGCTAATAACCCCGTGGTATTGTATGTCAGTGGTGGTAACACTCAAGTAATTGCATATTCGAGACAAAGATATAGAATTTTTGGAGAAACCCTTGACATTGCCATTGGTAATTGTCTTGACCGGTTTGCGCGTACTTTACGAATTCCTAATGAACCAGCCCCTGGGTATAATATAGAACAAATGGCAAAGAAGGGTAAACATCTTGTACCATTGCCATATACAGTCAAGGGTATGGATTTATCCATGTCAGGGATCTTGGCTCACATAGACATGTTGGCAAAGGATTTATTTGCTGATAACAAGAATAAGAAACTTATTGACGAAGAAACTGGGGAACCAATTACAGCTGAAGATCTTTGTTTCTCACTTCAAGAAACATTATTTTCCATGCTTGTTGAAATAACCGAAAGGGCCATGGCTCACGTCCAATCTAACCAGGTTTTAATCGTTGGAGGTGTTGGATCGAACTTAAGATTACAAGAAATGATGCAATTAATGGTGGAAGATAGAAAAGATGGTAGTATACATGCCACTGATGAACGTTTCTGTATCGATAACGGGATTATGATTGCTCACGCTGGTCTACTCAGTTATAGAATGGGTCAAGTGAATGAGATGTGGAACACCGTCTGCTCCCAACGTTATCGTACCGATGAAGTGTTTGTTAAGTGGAGGGATGATTAGATGAAATAGATTGAAAATGACCTTATTTTCTGATGTAGTCAAAGAGAAAGAAATTAAAAAATAATCTGGCCATTGTGTAAATGATAGATTTATTTCTATCAACTACATAAGTAAATGGAGAAAAGGAAACTTTTCATACCACTTTGCTTGTGCCTATATTAATAAATCACTAAAAGGCATCCATGTTTTCATTTAAGTGTGATATCCACACATGGGATGTCAGATACGGGTTTTACATTATTCTCAATTTCCTTATCATTATTATTAAAATTATCATTCTTATGCATTATTTTACTCTATATTATTTGACATGGGTCTATTGCCCTCCTCGAATATCATTGTAGACAACGTTCTTGAGAGTTTTTTCAAGATAACAATTTGATTCTGAATGAAGAACATTGTTAATGAGAGTCTTGGGATATATATTATCTGTGTTCTTCAACAACTTGTATACTTTATCTGTGTCTAGATGCCCCTCTGGGGTTACAACTTCTTCCATCAGTTCTTTCAAATATTGACAATCACGAAGTAAACTCGATAATTTCCTCACACTAGTACCATCCCACAAAGTAGCACTTTGTTTGTAATTATGGTTTGTGGCATTGGAAGCACCCTCAAGTGTCTGAAAGGATATTAAAGCAGTATCATATCTAGCATTCTTCTTTGTAGGGTAAATCTTGCTCTCTACAATAGGTCCAAAAATTGACATGATCTCTGCCAATACCTCTTCTGTTATTAGACCCTTTAATTCCGGTTTATGCTTCCATTTAACAATGCATTTCGTCTGCTTTTGTTGTATTTGTGAGTTCATTAAAGATATTTGCTTCACTCCATCTATATTAATATCTCTGAATGAAACATATTTAGCATCATCTTTGGTGGATTCCATATTTGACTTTTCATTTTCACTATTCAAAAGCTCTTGTTCCTGCTTCCTTCTTCTTTTAAGACCATCTTCCTTCAACCTCTCAAGGTTTTTCTCGAAAAGATTTCGTTGTATGTAATCCTTTGAACTAGCATCGAAAACTCCAGTGGTATTAAATCTGTGTTCTCTTTCTGCTCGTTCTAGTTCCTCCTTAAACCGTCGAGTTTCTTCGGTTAACTTGGAAGCTTCTTGAGCTTTGTGCAATCGAATATTACGGATTCTGTCATACTCCTTACGTAAATCACTAGTTAAGATTTCATATATCTGTGAAAGTAAATTAAATTTGATTGCAGCTTCTTCGCTAGGATTCTTATCTGGATGATATTCCAATGCCTTACGTCTGTATTGTCGTTTTATCTCTGTTTCAGTAGCATCTGGAGATACTTCAAGAAATGCATATATATCTGTCGTTCCACTAACTATCTCTTCTACATTTGTAGTTGACATCTTCTAAACGAAATGATGAGTATGATGCAATGTCAACCTTACAATCACATCTCCATTTATACCTATATAGATTTGTGTGTGCAGGATACTTCTTGAATTGGTTTATGGAGTATTGGTTTCACCACTTCATTCATGCATTACCTTACAAACTACAACTATTGATACTATAACACTACAATTTCAAATCGTAAACTTCTTTAGAAAGTCACAATTTTGGTTTTCAATAATAAATAATCGTTCTAAGAATTTTATTGTGTAATAAAAGCAAGAGCACTAAGCATGCTTCCCAGAAGCTCAGATATTGTACAATGGGCAGCTGCACCAGTTAGAATATAGCACCCTTGGATTTCATGTATGCATAAATTTAGGCCTTGACAGTTCTCAATCCGTGGTTAGATCTGAAAATAGCATCACCTTCGGCGTAACCTCTACCTAAACCGAAACCAACACCTATCCAGACTGGGAAAGCTCTTCTCTTGAACAACAAGATGGAGGCTAAAACACCGCCACCGAAACCTAATCCAGTCTTGATTAAAGTATTAGATAAAACGACATCCCACTAGTATACTGTTAGTAAATTGAATAAAGCAATCAAAGAAAGGAATATAAAATAACGGATATGAAATTTCATATCAATTGGGGATTAATTATATTCATTATAAAATGTAATACAACCATTCCCCATTATACATATATCCAGTAAAGGTATTATAAAAAATTGCATCTATATGACGTATCAAATAGCAGAGTACGCATTTCGAACCACTGTACATACCTTATCGTTTAACAAGTTTTGGGATGGAGACACAACTTTCTGTTCAGTGGACATTATATCTAAATTGTTAGTACTTATTCTGATTGTATAATTAATTTCAATAATACCATATGAAATAAGATGATAATGGCAAGTGAATTCTAGATTTGAATAGTCAACATCAATACGGAATATTCCTTTGCGCAGGATAGTGGAATTCTATTAGTTAGAGTTCGAGCACCTTATAGGCTACATACATTGAATTGGTTATATAGCTAGGTTACTGATATTTACCATACGAGTTCTGTTTTCTCAATTTTGGCTGGACGAAACAGAGAGCCGAGATTGGTCGACTTCTGTGCAAGTTTATTCGCTTTGTGTAATTTTGCCATGTAAAAATATAAAAAAATGATTTCGCCCAGGATCGAACTGGGGACGTTCTGCGTGTTAAGCAGATGCCATAACCTACTAGACCACGAAACCATTTTATACAACTTTTTTTTTAATGATCTTCTAGACTCTCCTACTTTGTTATATGCAGTCGTATGTTTATTTGCAGGAAGTATTGTTTTGCAGCAATTGATAAAATTTAAGTAGATTGTATTTCTAGACCTATAAAATATAGCACAGAAGAATGCTACAAATATACTCCAGCTCACATTAAGTCGGTTGATGAAATATTTTACTGCAACTTTCAAATCAGATTGATGATCAATCGTAACAGTCATCTTACTGTGTCACTATTGGACGTAGGCCCATTTGATTCACTTTATCTCATTTTACATACCTTTGTTTGTTAACAGTTGGGGCAAATCATTACATACATGTAAATTAATCCTAGATAAATCCCCTAATGTTCGATTCCACTTAATTAATTCTTTTGATATTACTGCTCAGGTTTCAAATACTACAATTTCATTTGCTAAAAACTCCTCCTAGTGCGTAGCATTAATCCACAATACCCAACTCGAAGTTCCCAACCTTTAGTCACTAGGTAGTGTCAGTTTTGAGAAAATTTACGTATAGCCCACAATGTATAAATTGATTTTTATATTGTATTAAGTAAAGTATCCTTCTGTAACACTTGGAATTGAATATGTATATGACCGGTCTATTCTACCTGTGCAACCTAGACTTATACGTAGTCTCGGAGCGGCTAACATTCTTCTGGGGATAAAGGGAGAATTTGTGTACCCTATCAGATGCCTAAGATTAAAGCAGACTAGCATTGATGTCGATCGGGCACCCCTAGCACGGCGTATGTACCGAGTTTTACCAGAATCATTGTTTTTTCTTTTTTTTGCCTTCTTTGGACCTAAATCAAATTACAGGATTGTAAATGTCTCATTCTTTGTGTGTATTGATTACTCACACCTATGTATAACACGATACCTAGAATATTTCATCGTGTTTTTTCTAGCTCGTGGGAGAAACAGCCTTGTTCTGGAACTTTGATCGACCAACTAACCTTCGGCCAACGTTCTTCAATAATATAGAACATACTGCAGTTTATTAAACCACTTTTGGATGAGAGTCATATTTTTTAATGATTCCGGATGTATTGAATATGATCATCCTGTATGGAGCCAGAGATTCAACGCACATGCAACCTCTCTCATGTAAAATTGCATGATATCACTGACTTGATAATATCAAGTGACAGTGGTGTGAAAGAAAGAAAAAACCTTGTGGATTAGGTTATGGCGTATGCTGAGAATGGTTGTGCAATTGGATGCTAAAGAAATGGAAAATATAATTTGAAAAATTTAAAAAAATGGACGAGTCCGGAGTCGAACCGGAGACCTTTCGCATGCTAAGCGAACGCGCTACCAACTGCGCCACACGCCCTGTTTACATCGATTTAAAAACTGTAGATTTCCTAGTCTGTTTTATTGGTCTATATGCAGGATATTTAATGAAATTTTGGTGCTTCAAGTTCTACGGCTCTATAGCTGTTTTATAGATGAAAAACTACTTATAATGAAGAATTAGTAGAACTTGAAAGTGCATTAATGTCCTGGAAGTCCAAATAAAAGTAACAATAGAATTTGGAATGCTTAAATGCGTCATCCTCTCTTTCTTTATTAATGAAAGTATTGAAGATTGTTGTACCAATTTGTGAGCGCAAACTACGTAAATCGACAATTAGAAGGGTATGCATATCAAGAGGATGGTAGTAGAGTAATAATAAGATTGTGGGACTTTCGCCTAAAAAAAAATGAGAAAAGCCGCCCGCCTATTGTGTTCACCTGCGCGCCAAGTCATTTTTCAAAACTTTTACACTTTTTAATTTAAGTTGCGATTGGTTTTGTATTTTTATATTGTGTAAGGCTTAGAACCTTGTTCATAGGTATATAAAATCATTGTCAGCATACTAAGTATATTGAACGATGTATGGAACGAAAAAAAATATATAATTTTATATCATATCAAAAAATAACGACAGCCGCAGGATTCGAACCTGCGCGGGCAAAGCCCAAAAGATTTCTAATCTTTCTCCTTAACCACTCGGACAGGCTGCCTAATTATTTCTTGGATTTTTGGCCATGTTAGACATATTTCACAGATTCTAATTGTTCTGGTTAGTGCACGACTTCATATATATAAAGGGTCTATTTCCATATTCATGTTGCAAATTATGTTGGGAATTGCCGCAAGTAAAGTTTAAAGTCAAAGATTTCAATCTAGTAGGAGACATCTTCACATTTTATGAGGTTAGACTATATAAATACATATATTATAAGGCATTACATTGTAATCGACTGCGGCATATCATTGCGCTTTACATAATGTCTTTCCTCTACATAGGAGTATTCCTAAATAATTTCATAAGACTATAGAAGTGGTTATTTTGTAGTTCAATAATTTTCACGAAAAAATATTATCTTATGTATGTTTGTCTTCAATGCCATAATTTTGTTTCGTATAATCATCATCTGCAATCCACTCCGAGGAATCAGCTTCATTTTCACTGATATAATTACCAGAAATATTTGTAAAATCTGCCCAGTGAAATGCACCACAGTCCTTCTCTTGGTATTTACCTTCGCATGTCCAAAAGTATTTTCCACGAGTTCGTACATCCTTGTATGCTCTCCGAAGACTCATATTCATATTACATTTACATTTAGGAACATTCTTGGTATAATACAGTGGGAAATACCGGAAGGTTAAATTAAAACGTCCCGTTCCAGATATATTGTGCACTTCTAACGGTCCAGACATGGTGTTTACACAATGCTTGTACTCTTCTTGGCATCCTGGATGCATAATAAGTACACTGTTGTGGGGGACCACAATTGAGTATATAGGTGAAGGATTCTTGGAGTCTTCAATATTATCATAATTTCTTCGAACTCTGAATTCTCTTGTTGCTCCAACTGATATTGAAACAATATAATTATGTGGTCCCATATGATTTAATCTGTCTGAATGCCAATCTAAATGATTCGCAGAATTTTTATAATAATTTATGACGCATTTTTCAGCTTTCCATTCTCTTTTAGAGTCTACTTGTTGGAATGGAAGTACCTGGTTCTGTTGAGGAATTATCTTTTCATTAATGAAATCTTCAGCAACTTTGGACACTTCCTCCAAAATATCTGTATAAGTCTTGGTAGATACATTTTTCCCATTATAAATCAAATTCTCAGCCTCTGGGTCATTACTTCTAGAAAACATCCCCAGTTCGTGTTCTGACTTGCACAACTGCCCGAATAGGTAGAATTCGTTGGCTTTTAATTGCGGTTTAATATTTTTACATAGATGTTGAAGTAGTCTATTGGATAGATCTGGTGAGAGGAAAGGCCTATGTAAAGACACGTATGGATGAAGGTGTCGTTTGACATCTTCTGGTTGGTACAAAAGTAATGCCCGCGAAGAGGTTCGCTTCATTGTCTTTGTAGTTGCATAATCAGAATTCAAGTGACGTCTTTTGACTGAATTCTGTTGGTCATTATCGCTCAGAATGATACTACTTAATGATGACTGATATAATGGACCCTCTGCTTTTCTTCTTTTGGGTTGTTGGGATGGTGGCAAAGACTCATTGATGAGATTCTCTGTCCCTTTTTGGGATCCATTACATGCCAATAAAAGCTCTAAAAGTGTAGATTTCTCTATAGAAGGATATATGAGAGATAACTTCTCTATTTTGCTATCCGTATTCATAACATATTTTATTCTTAGTGGTAAAACATATCGATCAAAGAATAATATTCACTATCGAAAGGCTGTGACACTTTTTTATAAGAAAATAAAAATAAACCTCAAAAAAAAAAAAACATTTTACGAATTTGAGAGCAAAAAAAAAAAAAGAATGGAGAATTGAGAGAGTATTCTGTCTGGGTATATACTACAACTGGGAATGTAGACCTCCCTTCGGACTGTTATCATATTAAATAATATTATTTTTATATCCAAATGCAAGTTATTCTTGAAATTGGTTTCAAATCTATATGTTTTTTTAAGTGGCGCAATCCAATTTCAACGGAAATCTAACCTCAATCTAAGAACAGAATATTAGACCAGTAAAACTTCAAACTGATATTAAAAAACTAAGAAATAAAGCCTAGTTTACAACATGATTGAAAAGAAATTTTAAGAAACGGTTTTAGTAAAATACTTCAATGGGGATTTGATTGTTGCAAAGTACAACATGAGATACCCCTGCGCATCGAATATTTAAAAACAGTTTTGAGCCTGGAATCAGATCGCAGTTTTTATTTTGATGGAGAGAAAATAGCAAATTTATATCCCTTATTATTACGTTTCTCTTTCAAATTCATTATTAACTGAATTATTATAGACATGTCTACTCCTATTACAAAGGTGACACAACCAACTCCAATCGAGGAACCTGAAGAATATATCAGGGATGCCCCAAAACCACAAGAAGAAATGCAGTTGACAACTCCAACAAAGGAAGAAAATACATCAGATTCTTCTGACTCAGACTCTACTTCGAACCAAACACTTAGTGAGGTCGGAAGTGGTTACGAAAGAGATAATAATGAATGCGCTGAATTTTGCATAGAATTTGCATCTTGTTTTGGATTGTTTGATTCTTGTTGTCCTTCCGACGGTGAAGGATGTTTGACATCTACTGCAACTTTCTGTGGTAACATTTTATTCTCATGTTGTAAATGTTAGACAGGAGATAAATTATACACACATACTAGAAATTCTAATTCTCGCTACGTTGTCTACTGTGAATTTTACCTCAATAAAGGTATTGATATGTATATCCATACTTATCATCAATTTACATATTTGAAGTATAATAAAAAGTTCGGAAAAAGGCTGAAGCCTAGAACGAAAAAAAAATACCGGAAAAAATTAGACACATTCACTCGCATATATACACAAGAATCCACGTCTAACCAACACAAAAGATTACCTATCGGGTGGAAACTTTGTATGACATTTTAATCAGATAAAATACACATATATTGTATGATAATATTAGAGTTCATTGTATTTATATCTTCTTATCATTTCTTTTTTTTATTGAGTTTGAGTAGCTTATTTTATTTGTGTGCATAAGTGGATTTGTGGCACCATTCATTTGCAGCATATGTCTTTCCCAAGAAAAGGGAAGTAGTGTCTCATTGCAACTTATCCTTTAAAGTCATGAACGAAATTGATACTAAAGATAAGAGATCCGAACCGGGGAAATTAGATACCCCTATTTCAGGATCCTGGGCTGGAAGTTCGCCTTCTATTAATTTGAATCCAATTTCGAAAGTCAACAGAATGAAATCTGATAGTAAATCTTTAGTTGAAATTAACAAATTGAATTCAAATGAATCTGATTTTCCAGAACCAAAAAGATCTAAATCCTTCTCTTCAATATTTTGGGGAGATAGAATGAAAAATAAAACACATCCACGAGTTGTGAGTTTGTATAATTCAAGTAGAGATAACAGTTTCCAACTTGAACCAAGGAATCTGAAAAGAGTAGGTTTATCTCTTAAAGAATGTGGTTATTTTGAGAATGAATTGATACGATGCCAAGATTCTAGTGGAACTGCTGAAAATTTGAAGGAGCAAAGTGTTGACAAAATTTTGCAACCAAATTCTTTACAACGATTCCTGACTGTAAAATATACAAAGTTTGAAAAAAAGCAAGCGAAGGAATATTTGGAGTCAAAACCAATAGATTTAGCAGGTGACTTTAAAATTGATGCTATTTCTCCACTTTCTCAAGAAACTACTGAAGATGCTGCTTCTATAACATCACAAACTAACCCTGTCGGCCAAAACATTGAAAACACTTTGAAATTGAAGAGCCCATTATTAAAAAAAAGAAGTAATTCACTCCTTCGTTCGTCAATTCATGAGGCTCAGAATTCTATATATTCTTTTGAAAAGGGTAGAGATGATTCTGCGTTGTTTACCTCTGAAATATTACCTCCAAAAATAGAGAACAAAAAGAAATTGAAAAAGAAGAAGAACTGGTTGGTATGGCTCTTTGGATTGGTCATCGTAGCATTGATTGGTGGGTTTGTTCCAGCTGTGGTAATATTATCTTTTGGGACGGAAAGTGCAATAATGAAATTCATGAATAAAATGGATGATGAAAATCGACTCGAGTTTTTAAACCGGTTAAGTTCGTTATACGGCAACTACTCGACGATTCAAACGGTACAGTACAATACTACCAAAGATTATTCCTCTCCAAATGAGGGGGCTAACTTAAGGGGTTATAATGGTATTGAAGGTATTCCTGTTGAATATTGGTCGGATGATGAATTGATAAGTCTTATGTCAAATGATAAATTTGTTGGTACAATATTTTACGGAGTAGCATACTCGCCTCGAGGTGCCTTAATTCCCTGTAATACGTCACCTAGGGAGATAATGCTTGATATTGCAGTACTCTCCAAAGTTACAACTAGGGTTAAAACATACGCTATGCAATGTCAACAAAATGAGTATATTCTTCGTGCAATACAAAATTTGAACTTAAACATGACATTATCCATGGGAGTTTGGATTGGTAACAATGAGGAGGTTAATCGACAACAGATGAATGCATTTAAATCGATATTAAAACTATTTCCAAGAAAAATGTTTGAATCTGTCTACATTGGTAATGAAGTTCTATTTAGAAATGAACAATCTCGATCTTCTTTATTAAATCTAATTCGAGAGGCAAAAGAGTATGCAACATCTATTGGATATGGCGATTTACTGATTGGAACTACTGAAATTGGATCTCTCATAGATGACTCCCTAATGGAAACATGTGATGTTATTGGAGCCAATATTCATCCATTTTTCGGAGGCGGTGATGTTTCTAAGGCTACAAATTGGGTGTTCGATTATTTGAAATTTCAAATTGAGCCAATAGGACATCCTAATACTAATGCAAGAGTGGAAATTACAGAGGTCGGATGGCCATACAAAGGAGGCTCTTACCAGTCTGCAATCGCAAGTGCTTCTAATGAACAATGGTTTATGAATGCTTTTGTTTGCGAAGCTTACAATAATAATTACGGGTGGTACTTCTTTGAAGCATTTGATGAGCCATGGAAAAGTATATTTTATGAAGGGTCAAATAAATGGGAGACGGAATGGGGTATTTTCACTAATGACCGTAAATTTAAAGATGGTATTACATTCCCCAATTGTGGAAACAATATTTGATTGCTTTCAGTACTTATAATTTATACATTCTGTACAAAAGCCACAACCAAAACAACCCGAAGCAACCAAATGATAATGTTGTGTTTAAAATTACCCAAAGATCTGGGTATTTAACTGGAGGTAAGTAGAAGTAATCAATAAAATGAATAATAAAAGCGCCAACGTAGGAGCATATGATAACCAATTTCCAAAGAATATTTCTTGGTGGGAATAAAGTATTTCTAGATCCAAGACTAAATCCACCAATCAAGAAATTTGATAAGAAGAGAACAACAATGTATTGTAAAATTAAGCCATCCTTTTTAAGTAATGGCCACATACTGAAAACTGCAATATTATTTATCCATTGACACATAGCAATTGAATTTAAGTCACCCAAAAGGTATAACAAAGTACTTGGAAGTAAAGGAACCAATACAGTCTTCTCATGAACTTGGAATGAAAACAAATAGAATCCCCATGAAGTTGCGGCAAACCCATATACTAGAGCCAAGTACTTTTCCACTTGCCAATACAGATTCAGGAACTTTTTTGAAAAGACGTTTTTATAGAAAATCATTGAGCAAGGTGGAAGGATGGAAAGAATGGTAAGTAAAAGCGATATTTTTGTGAGTTGAGGTAAAGTAAAAATATTTCTATATTTGATGACCAAATTTGTGGTACACCAAAAATTAGCTACTTTATCTTCAAAAATACCTCTTTGGAAAGGGAAAACTCGAATCAAAATTTGTTTCAACTGATCAATGACTTCTTCTCCCTCAGACAGGTAACCAGCCAATGCAAATGGGAATAAAATGGTTGCAAAGGTTATAATTACCGTGAAGCCAATGGCAAGCAAACGGTTCAAATTGAAACATTTGATGAATGACCATTGCTTGGTGTCATGGACGTTTGTAAAAGTCTTCGAAAGAAGGTATGCAAATATGAATGGAGCATAGTAAAGACCCATTTGTTTGAAATTAATACACAAGACGAACCATACTGATGCAAGTACATAATTTCCAGCACAAAGGTCTGTAAGTGAGAATAAAAAGAGTCCCAACATGATTGAATTGTATTGAAAATGGCCATGATCGATCAAAATGAGAGAAGGTTGGCACATAATAATTGCTGAAAGAACGATTTGATCCATTCTACTGAGATTTAACTTCTTCCCTAAGAATGCAATAAATCCTAAAAGTGCTGGGAAGTAAATAAGAACTTCACTAAGTAAACTTGTGAATCTCATGTACGTCTTCAATCCTGAAGTTTCAATACCTCTTGAAACATCGAGTGCAAACCAGCTGCTGTTAATAAAAGAACCTATTTTTCCACAGACATACAGATGAAATGCAGTAAGGGGGGGATAATCAAGCCCCCAATATTGTAAATCATAAAAATACCACGAAGTAATTGGTAAATGGAAAGTTAATTCCATCCAGTGACGTTGAGCTTCAAAGTCTCCATTGATTGGAGGCTGTGATTCTCCCAGAAACGAGCCAAGCCCTACAGCACTACGGAGAATAACCCCTGAAAGAATAAGGATATATCTTGCGGCCCATTGGTCTGGAGCTCTTTCGAAATTATGGAGAAGGTCATAAATTGGTGCATTCACAAAAGAACTTTGACGCTTATCACTCTTCTTTTTCTTTGGCTTAGACTTCTTAGAGATATGAGCTGAAGCCGTGGAGGGAGGATTCCCTGAGGGCTTCGAGTTGGTGCTCTTTTTCGCCATTGATGTAGTATTAACTCAAGTTGGAATTTTGTTGATATTAAAAAAATACACACTGTCTTGATATCCATTGTGCGACTATTCCGCTGTATAGGACCTAAAAAAAAATACCTATCAAAAAAAAAATTAATTGAGTGTTTGCTAGTAGTGAAAGATTAGTATATTAGGTGTTTTATATATAGGTATCATTAGCAGGCCGCATCAGTGACTCCAACACTCCAGTTATATGATCCTAGGGTGAGGACAACTAAGCAATAGCTAACTATTATTGAAGTAATGGCATATTTATATGCATGTATAGTTCGTAAAGAAACAATTTCGGAGATAAATGTACTAACAGTAGTTAATCCTCCACAAAATCCATCATCGATACCTGAAAGTACTTGACAAGAAAGTACGTCAGAAACAAGTTGTCCATCTCCAGAAATGGTTTTCCCTCTCAGAATTAAATTTAGAACAGAAAGAACTAATGTTCCAAATGTATTAGCTGCAAAAGTACCAACTGGGAAACTTTTATAAAGAGGATTCTTTTTAGATAAATAGTATCGAAGAACAGCGCCAAATGGAGCAAATATGCAAGAGAATGTCCAGGCACGCCAAGACGCATTAGATTTAACGCCAGTGAGTACTATCACTATAATGTACGCGGAAATCCCAGTAAATATCCCCACGCTTTCAAGAATGATATACACTTTGGGTGGTAATGAAATGTACCTGCTCTCAAGGGCCTCACATATATGTTTCCCAATGTAAAACGCAATAATAGCTGTTCCCATATGTACAAAAATTACAGCTAAAAAATCCATTACACCATATCCAGCGTTAGGATATTGGTAGTGAGTTCCCATTTCTAAATTCGCAGACTTAAGAAATGCTTCAAGTATTACTGTTGAAAAGGAGGAAAATGTACCACAAAATCCTGTAGTGAGTCCAGTATATAGAGGGATAGCTCCTTTGGTGCTATATTTACCATTGGTAGTTAATTCAGCCCAGATATTGGAGCTTTTCACAAGAAATCCCATAATAAAACAAGCACCAAAGTTTGCCCAAACTACTCCACTTAAAAAGGCACCCTCATAAGTAGTGAGCGCCATGACACCTTTTCTTGCCAACACTCCAAATATTGAGCCAGATACAATACACGCAATCACTCTCAAAGTGAGAGGACTCGGTAATATCGTATCCATATCTATATTGGCTGTATTGATAAGAAAGAAGTCTATTAAAGAATTAAATTTGAGAAAAAAATAAAAATAACATTGCACCTCGCGACGGAAAAAGTAAATATGTCAAAAACGGTGACATCATAGAGAACACTAGAAATGCAACATATTATAATCTGACCCTATTTTATAGGATATACTATTGCTTGCAAGCTTATATACAATGATTGCGTTAGAATATTTATTTTAGAACTTATTTAAAGGCTATAGTTAGGAATTTTTGGAATACATTTAATTCGTTTTTCTTCATATTTTGTCAAAAAGTTATATATTGTTATAGAAGTATTTAATTTTGAAACACTTTCACCACAAGAGAGAATCTATTAGGATATACTTGTCAGATTACTCTTTTTTGTTATATCCTCCAATGTACTAAGAAATGTGCTAAGAAGTATTACTAAAACAATTTGAAATTTGCAACCTCTTTTTTATATGGTTCTGCTATTTCGTAAAATTAGAGTCTTTCGAAGAATAAATTATTGGTGGCTGAAGGGTTAAGGGATAGCAATAAATATATAAATGACAATAAATGACAATAAATGAGCTAATTTCACTTCAATAACAGATGATAGTGGGCAATTACTGCGCAATACGAGACTTCAAAACTCGAAAATAACCTTTTACGGTGTAAGTCTTTAAAATTTCAAAATTATTTCTTGCGTAGGATAAAGAAAATTAGCCCAGAAGTTCAATAACCAGAGTTTGAAGCAATTTAAAGCGCTTTTGATAGATTAAATCAAAAAAACAGATCGGAAAATCATATTTATTCTGGTGCCTTAAACCAAAGAAATTTTTACTTCAATAACAGGCAGCCTGTCCGAGTGGTTAAGGAGAAAGATTAGAAATCTTTTGGGCTTTGCCCGCGCAGGTTCGAATCCTGCGGCTGTCGTTATTTTTTCCATCATATTACAATGATGGCATTATTTTTTGTGGACCTTAATGGATAGGAATCGAAGTACCATATATGCGGATTAAAATTGTATAGTAAGTTTCATCCCTGAACTAAGTTCGAGACAGTAGATGAAAAAAACAATTGTATGCAAGCATTTATTTTTCTTTCCAAAATCAGATAAAGAGAATTGAAGACCCCCGCGTTTTTCTTTTGCATAAATCTGTTGGAAGTATTTTTAATTTTCATTTTTACATATATCAAGTCTCGGTAATGCTGCTGAATCCTGAATATATCGAGCTTTCCAGCTTTGATCCCGGAGCTCAAGGGGTAAATCGTGAATCGTCAGCGTCTCCCCTGTTCAATTTGACTCCAAGACAAGTTGGACTTGTTCTTTCAAGACTAGGCGTTATCAGTGAGGACAATTTAAAGGACAACGAAGATCAATTTACACCAGAAGCTTGGAACATACCGCCCGAGTCTGAGTATATGCTCAATAAGATTAATGATTTATCCACGGATAAGGCAATTGGGATACTTCGTGATGCGATTGTAGAACACCGAGGTGATGTTAATTTTCTTCATGAGGATTACCTCCTACTTGAGAGACTTGTACATTCAGCACCAGTGGAAGAATCTTCATCAAGTGACAAGATAGATGTAGATGAAGTATCTGAAACTCAGATCCAGGAAGAATTTCAAACTTTTTTGAAAAGTTCAAAACATAAACAATATCTTAAAATCGTCGATTGGAATTTGCAAGTTCGCTTGGAAGCTGCTTTGATTGCATACCACTCACCATATCCTGAAATCAGGGCAATCACAGACCCTTACGATGATCCAAGTATACCTGTGGACACGTTTAGAGTGTATGCAATTGGATTATTTTGGACTTTAATTGGATCCATCGTGAATAATTTCTTTGTCCATAGACTTCCCTCAATACGATTAGGGCTGCATACCATTCAATTACTTTTATATCCTAGTGGGAAGCTTTGGGAGAAGGCAATCCCCTATCATACTTCAATTCGACTATTCGGCTATGACATAGATTTGAATCCTGGTCCATGGACTTATAAAGAGATGATGTTGAGCACCATCATATATCTGGGGGCTCTGGGCACACCATACCTGGTATACAACATTGTTGTTATGAAACTTGATCGTTTTTACGGATTGAAATGGGTATCCTGGACTTTTCAAATCTTACTTGCTCTTTCTACACAATGCCTTGGGTTTGGGTTTGCAGGAATCATGCGGAAAGTTTGCATTTATCCAGCTAAGGCATTATGGCCAACTATTCTTCCAACTATAGCATTGAACAGAGCATTGATGAAATCTGAAGTCACTGGTAGTGATGCACCAATATATGGATGGAAAATTTCAAGATATTCATTCTTTTGCATTGCATTTTTGGGATCATTTTTTTATAACTGGATCCCAGCATATTTTTTCAAAGCCTTATCTACATTTAATTGGCCAACATGGTTCAATCTGAAACTGGTCCATCTCACAAATATAACGGGATCACTTGAAGGGTTGGGTTTAAACCCATTTCCATCTTTGGATTGGAATATTCTTGAAGGTGCGGGCTGTTTGACTATTCCATTCTATACATATGCCAATCAATATTTAGGGTCATTATTAGCATTCGGAGTTATTCTAATTGTTTATTATACAAATACTAGCTGGACTGGATATTTAAAAATTAATTCTAATCAATTGTTCAATGACAAAGGTGACGTTTTCAAAGTACATGATATCTTAGATGATAATAACCATTTCGATAATGGGAAATATCAGAAAGTTGGACCACCATATTTCAGTGCAGCAAATTTAGTATTATATGGAGCATATTTTTGTCTTTATCCATTTGCAATTTTATATCATGTTGCTACAGAATGGGAGTCAATGAAATCTGGTTTTGTCAATACTTGGAAATCTTTAACTAATTTTAGAAAATCAGACAATATTTTTGGAAGAGATTTCAATGATCCACATTGTAAAATGATGGCTAATTACGAAGAAACTCCAAATTGGTGGTTTACGATGATTCTACTTCTTAGTACATTGTTTGCCCTTTTATGTGTTACATTATATCCAACTGAAACTCCAGTGTGGGGTATATTTTTTACTATCGGTATTAACTTTTTATTTTTAATTCCTCTAACTACAATTGCATCGGTGACTGGATTTAGTTTTGGGTTGAATGTATTAGTTGAACTTATTGTTGGATATGCAATTCCAAATTCTGGATTGGCTTTAGTTACTTTAAAGGCGTATGGATATAATATCGATTCACAGGCAAGTAACTATATTACGGACCAGAAACTTGCTCATTATACAAAACTCCCTCCTAGAGCTATTTTTAAAGGACAATTGATGGCAACTCTATTGAATGTTTTTGTTGCACTTGTGGTAACCAATTGGCAATTAGAGAACATTGAAGATTTTTGCGATCCACATCAAAAAGATAAAATGACATGTCCAGGGGATACTACATATTTCTTTTCCAGTGTTCAATATGGAGTTATTGGACCATCTAAAGTGTTTAGTGGGTTATATCCTATTTTGAAATGGTGCTTTTTACTTGGGGCAATTCTAGTAATTCCTTGTGCATGGTTTAAAAAATATGGACCACCTAAATTTACCCGTTATTTCCAACCTACAATTATTATTGGAGGATTTTTACTTTATGCCCCATACAATATGCTGTACTTTACAGGAGGTTTTTACCTTTCGTATATTTTCATGTATCATATCAAAAAGAATTATCTTGCGTGGTGGGAAAAGTACAATTATGTATTAACAAGTGCCCTTTCAGCTGGTGTGGCAGTAAGCGCGTTAATGATCTTTTTTGTGGTTCAATACAGCCATGCAAGTTTACACTGGTGGGGAAATGAAATCAATACACTTGGTGTTGAAGGTGGTCATGGAATTACCACTTGGTTACCAGTGCTGACCTCTCCAGATGGATATATAGGTTTAAGAAAGGGTCATTTCCCGTAGTTGCGATAACATTTTTTTTGCACCTGTCATTATCTGCATATTGACGTGGAAAGATTTTTAGTTTATTTGCTGCGCATTGTTAATGACCCACCTAAGCCACTATAGCCTAAGCCATTGATAATATGAACAAGATAAAATAAAATAATGATAAACTTGACATCAAATCATGACGGTTGCAGATAGATAATATATCCAAGGAAAGTATAATATGTAAATTCAACCATTGTAGCATGATAAATTAAATTGTAGAAATACAGTAGAAAAGCTGTCTAAGCGAAAAACTAAATAAAAAATATAAATACAAAGAAAAAGAAAATACAAACATTTAAATATTAACAATTATACTTAAATGAGACCGTCAATTATACTATCATTATTTGCGGTAGCCACATCGATCCACGCGACTGTTCTTCCACAAGACATTGTGAATGAGATTCAGATTCGAAGCAATCATGAAACGTCAGTCGAAGAGTTGAATTTTGATGTAGCAGCAAATAATGTAGATGAAGAGGATGAAGAAAAAGAAGAAGAAGAATATAATATACAAAGTGAAGCTTTTGATGAAAATGTCAGCGATATCAGTGTTTTTACTGGTGAAGATCAACTTGAAAAGAGAAAAGGTGGAGGTGGAGGTGGAGGGCATTCGTCTGGTGGTGGACGTTCTGGAGGATCGTCATCATCATCATCGTCATCATCGTCTGGAGGTGGAAGTAGTGGAGGATCATCAGGATCATCAGGATCGTCGGGATCTTCTGGAGGTGGTAGCAGTGGAGGATCATCTGGATCATCTGGCTCTTCGGGTTCATCAGGTGGTGGTGTAAGTGGTGGATCATCTGGATCATCTGGTCAATCAGGAGCTTCTGGTGGTGGTGTTTCATCTAGTGGTGGAACTAGTGGTGGAACTTCTGGATCCAACTCTGGATCATCTGGATCTAACTCTGGATCATCTGGATCTAACTCTGGATCTTCCTCCGGAAGTAACATTGCACCCGCTGTCGTTGGTGGTGTTGCAGGTGGTGCCGCAGGAGCTGCTATTGCCTCTAGTGGTCATAGTGGTTCAGGATCCAGATCAAACTCTACTTCCTCTTCAGCCAAGAAGTCCTCTGCTAGTTCAATCTCTTCTATGAACTACAAGAAAATCATCCTTTATGTTTTTGCATGCATTGTAATTTGTTTTGCCTGATTCGATGATTAGTATTTAATTGTTTAATTTAAATAAAATAAGTTTATTATGAAGATGTATTTTCCTACAAGAGTTAGCTAATGATCTATAGATGATAAATGATGTATACTACTACTATATTCTGTATGAATGAAGGAAATCCCGGTAACGGGCCTGTGCGGCTGCGATTGTTATGAAGACATATCAAGCGAAAAGTTCATTAATTTTCAATTAGATAAATATTGAAACAAAATAATTTTCAACAAAAATAGCCAAAAGAATTATTGGCTCAACTTTAATTTCATCATTCCAACATCTGGTGATGTGTTCAACTATGACTATTCAATTATATATATATAGAACTATTCATTTATAAGTACATACCCCGGAACAACGGCACTTTTGGTACACGCACATACATTTATCATATTATTATTTTTTTCCAATCTATGATTCATCTTTTCAATTTTGTGTAAGATTTCTATGAAATTTAGTATATTTGGCCAAACTTTTGAATGTTAATAAGTTCAATACCAAGCTTCATACAATCAAACTTGACTAAAACAATGATTGGGTTGAGTCCAACTTCCAGAATGGCGAAGACAGCATTGCGCTTTGCTAGACAAAAGTCGTCTTCAAGCTCCACTGCTGCCTTGGCTTATAAGAACTTACACCGCAACCAAAAGAGACCTCCATTACCAACTTTGGAAACTCCAAATTGGTCTGCTGATGCCGCTGTTTCTTCTATTCTTTACGAAACCCCAGTGCAATCTAGAGCTCCAAAGAAGCTGCATGTATTGAACTGTTTGGTTCAAAATGAGCCGGGTGTTTTGAGTTCTGTTTCCGGTACTCTTGCTGCCAGAGGTTTCAACATTGATTCTCTTATTGTTTGTAACACTGAGGTTAAGGACCTTTCTCGTATGACCATTGTTTTGGCTGGTCAAGATGCCGTTATCGAGCAAGCAAGAAGACAAATTGAAGATTTGGTTCCAGTTTACGCAGTATTGGATTATACTAATGCTGAAATCATCAAGAGAGAATTACTTCTTGCCAGAGTTTCCTTATTAGGACCTGAATACTTCCAAGAATTGATTGCTACCCATAAGCTTCATACTTCCAACGCTGCTTCAATTCCAGACTTGAGTGCTCCTGAATCTGCGTTCCACCCAAACAACTTGGCTCCATCTGAAGCTTTGAGACAAAAACACATACATTTGGATCATATTAACACCATCACTGAGAAGTTTGGTGGTAAGATTGTTGATATTTCTGACCGTAATTGTATTGTTGAATTATCAGCCAAGCCTTCAAGAATTTCCTCCTTTATTCAATTATTACAACCTTTTGGTATCTTGGAAATCGCCAGATCTGGTATGATGGCCCTCCCAAGAACTCCATTGGATGGTGCTGTTGTTGAAGATGATGTTGTTGATGCTTCTGACATTGTTGATGCTTCTCAATTACCACCTGGTTAATCCAACTAGTTTATAGTAGAAATACATTTTAGAGATGACAATGAAAATATAAAAAATTTTAAGTTCTTCGAGTTGTAGTAGTATCAAGAATAGAGCCATAGTATACATAATTGTCAATTTGCGTTTTGACCTTATTGGAGGGCTATATTCGTGGGAGTATTGTGAAGAAGTATTGTAATGACTGACTATGTTCTGTGACGCTTTATTGTAGATGCTTTATTGTAGATGCCATTAATTGTGATTCTATTTGACACTCTTCTACGTAGGGCTAGTAGGTCCATCTATACACTGATTTTTCATGTAAAGACTACAGAATAATATACAATCGTTGTTTTACTATATTTTATTTCACTTGAAAGATAAAAGGGAGTTTTCAAAACTGTAGTCTTCCAAAAAAATCAAGATCTTATAAAATGAATCTAGGGGAAGAATGTAGGTGAAGATAATCCTTTTCTACATTTATGTCTCTCAATTTTTACATCCAATAATATATATGCGGTTTATCTTTTCTTGTTACTTGGTCTTCTTACAGAAGCCTTCTTCGTACATCAAAAAACCTCCCTCGACTCATAAGTCTATATTTCCCCACAATAGAGATTGGGAGTAAGTAAATACAATCACGTGATACCAGTATATTATGGTCTACAAGAATTAGTTATACGAAAACTTGTATAACAGGAAATAGGTATGAGTATACATAATTACTAATTATACATTATATATGTAGAGACTTTTAAGGCTTGAGCCATACCAACCTTACATGTGTTTGCATCATGTGGGGCCCACCTATACAATAAAAAAAAAAAAAAGCGATATTCGCTTCCAGAGTATTTTATAAACGACTAAAAATTTTAGTAGTTCAGTATTAACTACAAGAACAGTAAGTCCACATGGATGCATTTAAAATTTTCAAATTATGACTTTCCATGAGTATCAAGTGAACCTCAGATTTGGTTTCATTAAACCATAATGTTTAGCTGAATGAAATGAAGGATTGACACAGTGTAAAAAATCCGAGTCATAAAAAAAAAAAACACATTTAAGAAAAAAATAAATCCTACACACGAGATAATTATCCAATTGCCACCAACCTCGGGGATAAAGCGCAGATAGCTACATGAAAAATATACAGAAACGCGCCGGTTCGAAGTCCGATGCATCTGCTATCCACTGTTGCTTTCAATTAGAAAACGGAATTCTGCGGAACAATACTCGAAACTTCCGCTTCCACGACTCACAAGACAAAATACAGGCAATTGTGCATGAGAATAAACGACAAAGTCTTTGTATTATACTCTTTCATTTCTAGCTTTATTTTTTTTGCACTGTGTGTTATTTTTCTCGAAAGAATTGATTCCTATGCACGTTCGTTCGTTCTATGCATGTTGATCATTTTCTAATAATTTTTAGTCTGTCGAATATAATACGATACGATATCTCATGGATTACCCGAAATTCACAAGTCTTATTCCGTTTAATATACTTTTGGGGGGGGAGAGTTTGAAACCTAGACTAGCATTGAATCTTGTAAATTAGTACATGTACATAATTCCATGGACCCAAATATAGGTGATTATAAAGCATCCGCGGGGGCGCCATATCCGGGACCTCCTGGAATGTATAGCACAACACTGATGGAGTCTATACACGGCGGACAAGCTCCAGTCCCAGTTCCAGGGCAACATACAGCTTCTGGGCCATCATACTATCAAAATGCCCCAAATATTCCCTACTATTTCAATCCTCAACAATCTTCACAACAACAGCAAGCTGGTCATGGCCATGGCCCTGGTCCTGGTTCATCAACGGGTCAGCCACCAGTTCAAGGACTGGCACCACTTCCACCACCGCAGATTCCACCGCCACCTCCACAGCAACAACAACAACAACAACAACAGATTTTCACCAGACATCAGTCACCATCAACAACATCTCAATCCAATATACAAGGACAAGAACAACCATATCCCACTTATGGTGCTGCTACACAATATTATCAACCCGTTACATCTAATCGTATGATCCCACAACAGCCTACAACACCGTTTCCTCCACCTCAAAGACAATACCCTCAACAACAACAACAATTAATGCAACAACAGGAACGGACTCCAGTAAGCTCTAATCAATCTGGAATCCAAGAACAACCGAATATGAAAAAGCGATTGCATTCCAACGCTACAGGCCCAAACACATCAAGGGTTGCCGCAACGTACCCAAGGAAACGTGCATTGACAGCATGTGACACTTGTAGATTTAAAAAGATAAAATGTGACAATGATAGACCACGATGTGGTTCATGTGTGAAGAGTGGAAATGAAACTTGTCATTACCGTATTGATGACCAATCAAGAGATTATTCGACGTTTGATGCTGCATCATTGAATATTTTGACTAAATTGGATACAGTTCTACAAGATTTAAAGGAAATCAAACAGGAAAAGACATCGATCATAAACTCACGTAATCGAAAGGGCTCCCCAACTGTAAAGTATCAGTTTGATAATTGTTTCTGGGATATGGGAGCTACCAATGTATTAGATTGGAACTACTTTCGGAAATGTACCGGTGTGCCAGAGAAGACTTTACGGGAAGATAGAAAGAAATTACTCAATGGATTCAGCAAAAATAATTTAGAGACTAATATAGGAACCGTTGAAGAAAAGATTAAAGTATTTCAAGCTATTGACAAATTCATCACTGAAAATCATATGGCAATGACCCATTCATATCTTTTGAATTTCAATACCAAGGCTCCTATTATTGATGTACAAATCCTTCTAGAGTATGTTGAATTTTTCCAAATGTTATTTAAAGTCATGCCTGGTATGTCATTTTTGAATTACGTTGAGAGTGTTCAAAATATTCCCAAAGATGAATTTGATACTTATACCCCAATAGAATTCGAACTTGCATTATCCAACGTTAATGTTAAGAATAAATCATTTTATCTTCGTACATATACCAAGTATTGTGATAGAATCCCAAGTGCACTCATGGTTTTGGCAATTGGAACCCTCTCTACATCTATGCAATTGGAGAATATTGCCAAATTTTCTACTTCATTAGAAGAACGGACAAATGTCACGACTGGTTGTTTGTCAGAGGATGGGTTATTTGATAAACAACCAGATAATTTACCTCGTGATCGTGGCAAGATATCAATATATATCGTACAATATGCTGAGTATTTGTACAGTATGTTTCCTAATAGCATGCTTTCAACTGAATTTGAAGTGGCTAAATACGAGATTTTGAAAAGTCAATATTATTTATGTACTTTTAATGTTCTTGATGCATTTAAGCAGATATCACGAGCTTCTCACAACCTTATGTTTTATTTAAACAGTACCAGGGAGACGGTACCTTTAGATGGTGATGAAGATTCCACTTGTGAAGAGTTTGTTGACCAAGAGCGGGCTCAACAACAAACTTTAGGGGAAGAAGCTAAGGCAATTGATGATTTGAAAGAAAATGAGGGAAACATACTCGGGAAAGAGACTGAACTTGATCTTTCGACCAAAAACGAAGTAAATGATACTAATATCGATACAACGATAGATATGAATGTCACTAATAAAGGATACTCACCAATTGTATTGAAGAGGCAAAAGGGATCCGTAGAACGGGTATTTTGGATATGTTTAAAACTTGAGTCTGAGATTAGAGCGGAATTATCTCCAAATATCCCTCTTTCAGGGATAACCAAGTTCCCTCCTCCTAGTTCATTACCATCAATACCTTGTAACCAAGATTTGGACCTTCTTCTTCAAGATAAGAAATTTATGGAAACCCATTCTGAATCTGCAGTTAGACTTGCTGCAAGATTTGAAGATGAAGATTCTTGGTACTATTTTCTTACAGAAATTGCAGTACGAAAAGTTGATAATAAAATGTATGATGAAGTATTCTCTCACGATAATATCACTAATAGTACATGGGATACTGAAGAGTTTGCCAATGAAACGTTGTGGGTCACTTTTATTAAATATTGGAATCAATATAATGGGATCATCAATTCTTTGGCTCCACATATTCGTGAATTTATCCTCCATGAAACAGATGTACAACAGGCACATAAAAGAGTTAAGAAAATGTATTTGCATCGTAAAAGCAAAATGGAAGATGAAAAAAGTGTCACTCTGATAGAATCAGACGATAGAAAAATGAATGTGCCACTGAAAACGAATGATATTGGGACTGGTGGAGACTTTAGATCAACTTTTGATGATTTGGATGATTTTGCCCTTGAAGATGAAATACCACTTCACTCGCAGTCTGAATCAATAATGTTCATCAAGACTAGAATTCTTACATCTAAATTAGTCTTAATTCGACCAATTGTCTATCTAATTTTAGAGGATAAAATTGAATTTCAAGACTTATTATTAGTAATCATTGAGGTTATGGAAGATCAAATTACTGGAAGAATACCTGTTGGATGTCAAGAATCTCCAGCATCTCTGATCAGTTTTGATAGTACTCCTCAATTTAAAGGTGGATATAGGAATTATGCGAATGCTCCACCAGTGTATCAAAGAGAGTATCCAGATGAAGATTTTTCTCAATTCATATTCCCAGAGAGTGATGATTCAAGTCTTTCATCAGATGATATTCCAGAAATAAAACTTAAAGATGTACCTGGAGCTAAAATACGAATTTTAAAAGTATTTATGAAGAATTTAATAGCTATGCCAAAGCAAAACATTGCAAACTTGGCTTCTCATAGACACGCAGGTCTGTGGTATGTGTTGAGAAATTCTTTCCTTGGACATGTAATTGAGTTTTTGTTATATAAAAAGGTTCATGAAATGCTCGCCAAGGCATCTGAGGACGAGTATTTCAAAGAGTATCTTACTAATAGGGAAAATCCCATCTCACCCGAAGGTGTTTTGGGAATCATTAACATGATTTTGTCAAAGGAAAGAATTCAAGCTTCTTTGGAACATTTACAAGTACTCTTTGAGTATTGGCAACATGAAAGTAGCGATTGTAAAATTTATCAAAACTACATATCGATGTGTTTGAACAATTTATGAACAAGACAATATATAATACAGTATAGAATATAAATAAAACTTTTATCAAAATGAATGGGATTACTCACTCATATATTTGTAACTCTTCTTAGTAACAATTTTGACCATGAGATAATTTAGATGATTAGATATTCTACAATTGAAACATTTAGGTAGCCTTATAGTCATAAAGTCCCAATAGTGAAACATTTATAGGTATAAAAAGAATTAACCTTTATATCAGTTAAAAATTACATTGCGCCAAAAAGTTCTACTATAATCATTCCTCCCAAACTTGTTGATAATTCCAACATGATCCATCACCATTTTCTTAGAATAAACTGTAATTATTTATTTTTCAAATCTGAAAGTGACCTTTCCCGAGGTCGGAAGGTTTGTAAAATTAGATAAATATGGATGAAAATTCGCAGCCTACAGCGTCTTATCACTAAAATATCGTCTTTAAACACTAATATGGAATACGATTTTGAAATAAAAGAACAGGAAAGGTTTTTACCCCTTGCTAATGGTATGATTATGTTTTTTTGGAATTAATAACTCAAGAATAAAAACACTAACAAAATAGTCGGGAGGGTGATGAAGAAAGCTTTACCTCCATATGCTAAATTATCAAAAGAATCAAAAGAATGTATCCAAGAATGTGTATCAGAGTTTATATCATTTACAACCAGTCAAGCTGCAGATAAATGCAGGCTAGAGAATCGTAAAACCATCAACGGTGAAGATATACTTTGGTCTATGCATACGTTAGGATTTGAGCATTATGCAGAAACGTTGAAAATTCTTTTAGCCAAGTATCGAGAATTCGAGCAAATTGAAGCAGAGTTACGTCCGCCAAGGAGAAAGATTGTTAAGCAGCCGATAGGAGAGATTGAAAGTGGAGAAGATAACTTTAAGCTGATTCTTGTAATGCCAGAAGAAGAGGACGACTACGATGAAGTATATGACGACAAAAATAATAATAACATGAAAGGTAAACCGGCACCAGTCTCTGAACTCAATTGGGACAGAAATTTGACCCATTACGAGGGCTCTCCATATCCATTCACTTTAGATGTGGTAGACGATCTCGGCGATGTGCATCACCAATCACACAACAACCCTAATGTGGAAAAATAAAACTCCGCGCATCACGATTCATTACGCGCAGCATACAGGATTTGAAAAAAAATATCGTGAACAAGGGGGGGTTGGATCGTATGCATACCAGGAGATACAATTACGTGCATGGCATTGTCTAATGAGATAATAATGGAAAAATACCGTGTTAAACATACACTCGAAAGCTGTAAGCCCAATGTGGAATGTATGTTGGAAAATTAATAATGGAAATAAAAAACAGAGATCAATAATAATAATAACGAAGAGTACTTGCTATTGTAGTTTTAAGATTCTTACACAGATTTTGAATACCTTCCAGAAGAACTTCTAAGATCAAGAGCATTGCTAACATTGTTTCAGTATGAAATGACATGTCTCCCTGATTTGTTGTGCAACAGTAATCCTCACTTTACTCTTACAAATGTTACAACTAAAGGAACCCCGAAAAATGCAAAGCCCCTTGTGCAATCTAAATAAAAAAAAATTAAGCAAGAAAAAAAAGTGCAGAAAAAAAAAAGAGCACACTACGGCTCTAGAGAAGGGTTCCAGAATACGAAAACGGCTAGAAAGACAATGCTTCGGAATGGGCCCATTCGCCCAAGAAATCACATATTAACATATCATAGCAAGAAAATGCTGAGCTAGTGTTAAACTCTAATCCAGAATTTCTCGAGACTCGTCAATGAAAAATCAAAAGTACAACAGGCTCAATAAGAGTTTTCGCGTAGAAACCCCTACTTCATATATATGCCCACTTTACCTCCTTCGGGAAAATAGTATACCTCGCATCTAAATTTTTGAAGACACTTATTTCCCAAAAAGTTTTTTTTTATTTACTATTTTTAAATTGGCATTTTTTTTTTCTTTTTTTTTTTTCTACTGTCCTCGCAAAAGTCTGGCGTTTGACTTACATTAACGTTCCTTCCGCCCACACACGACCACCTAGAGATTGAATAATTCAACGCCGATATAGTTTGTACGCAAGAATCGGTGCTAAAAAAAAAAGTTCCATCACATATAGTAGTTGATATCAGGAGTTTTTTTTCCCATTAATCGAACTTCAACAATTTTAATACTTTAAGCTAGGGAGCTGAGAAAGAAGTGAAAATTAACTAGTGTGAAAGTTAAGATAGGGATACTGCAAATAAATATTTTTTTCCAAAAGAATAAAATACATTTACACAAAAAAGGAATAATCTGAATTGATCTACTAAAATTTTAAGGAGTATTTCAATTATACAGTACCCAGCAACACTATATTCATTGAATATACATTCCATAAGTTTGCAGATCTAGACTGAAATTGAAGGGAAAGAGCTATACATTAGCATTGAATTAATTGTGATACATATTGGAATATCTATATATAACCCTTTTTCAATAGTGTGCACGACATCATCCAACATCAACTCACAACCAAGCAACCCTAAAATCATCTAATTGTTACTCGAAAGATAGTACGGGTAATATAAATTGACTATTTAACTATTCTGGAATATGATCAAATCATTCAGAAGGAGTAAGAGACTGTCATCTCTGCCTGGTAATAGCCCTAAACATAACATTTCCAGATTATCATCAGGATCTTCCCAAACTTCACCTATAAATAGAGGGAATGGGAATCTAGATGACCAAATTTTCAACTCACCTAAACGTGTGATCAAGGCATTATATGACTACCGACCACAAGGACCAGGAGAATTGGCATTTACCAAGGGAGACTTTTTCCATGTGATTGGTAATGTTGACGATGAAAATGAAGATCCTAATGGATGGTATGAAGCCACAAATCCAATGACAGGAATCCGTGGAATGGTACCTATGAGTTATTTCGAAGTTTTCAATAGATCAAGACCTGCAATTGTTCAAGATGAAGAAGGAGAATTGAACCATGGAGTTGAGCCACCTAAAAACCTTCAATATGGTTATAATGAACGTCAAGGAGGACCACATCAACGGAATTCAAATCAAAGTTTATATGCGGTCACATTATATGATTTCAGAGCTGAAAGACCAGATGAATTGGATATTTCAGTAGGGGAAAATTTAATTATTTGTGCTCATCATAACTTTGAATGGTTTATTGCTAAACCTATTAATAGACTTGGAGGACCAGGATTAGTTCCAGTTACATTTGTTAAGATAATTGATCTTGTTAATGTTAATGGGGCAACACAAGCTGAATTTGAGGATGATGGAGATGTGGTTAAATTAATCCAAACGTTTAACATTCCAACGGTTGAACAATGGAAAGATCAAACTGCTAAATATCAAGCATCAACTATTCCATTGGGGTCAATTTCTAATCAAACCCCACCAGCATCTTCTACCAGTCAATTTTTCAAAGGTGGTTATTCCAATGGACAAACCTCTAATAGATCTTCATTAAGTTCAACAAACACACAAATTGTGGAAGCATCAGTTGATTCATACCAATTAGATCATGGAAGATATCAATATTTGATTATTGCAAAACTTAGTAATGGTAAAACGAGATATTTATCAAGATTTTATCAAGATTTTTATGATTTACAAGTTAAGTTATTAGAATTATTCCCATATGAAGCAGGTAAGATGGAAAATTCTAAAAGAATCATTCCATCTATTCCTGGACCACTCATTAATGTAAATGATAGCATTTCTAAGCTTCGAAGAGAAAAACTTGACTATTATTTACGTAATTTGATTGGATTACCACCCAATATATCTAGAAGTGAAGAAGTATTAGCATTATTTGAAATTTTGGAAAATGGATTTGATAAAGAAATTACTGATTCAATGTATAAAAAGGAGAAGAGATCACTGAAACCAATTAGTCAAAAATCTTATTATCATCAAGATCGATTATCACAATATTCCAATTTCCATAATCATAACAATTCATCATCTACCACAAATAATAATAATAGTAATACTAATCGAACATCTACTCCTACATCCACCGATCTGAATATTCAACGACCATTATCATCATCATCGGGGAACCTTCTTAATGCGGCCATTGGAGGAAATGAAATTAAACAACAAAAGGTTAAGGTTAAATTTTACTACGAAGATGATATATTTGTATTATTATTACCAACCAATTTAAGATTACAAGATTTAAAATCTAAATTAAACAAAAGATTAAAAACGAATGAAGAAGAAGGAATTAATGAATATGAAGATTCAACCAATATTCAATTATATTTGAAGAATGATTATGATGATTTCATTGACGAAAATGGAATTGAAGAATCTGATATTTTAAATGAAATTCAACAAATTCAATTACAAGCACTTGAAATTGATAATGATGATAAGTTCCATGAAAATATGTATGATAAGTGTAAGATAATCATTGTTACAGCATGAGGCACATATACAGGGAGAATATCTAATGATTGATAGTGTAAATAAAAGTTGTATTATACGAATTTGTTGTATGAATGAATAAAATAGTAGGTGTGAAAAGAAAAGAAAGTTAATATATGGTGAATAGATTTCTAGAATAAATGAAAAAGCAAAAATACAAATAGAACTAGTAAATATGTTCAAAGAAATACTCTTTAGTTTGTATTTTTGGAAAAAAAAAATTAATGATTCTGCTAAACCTTTTTAGAATAGGATTTCTAGTTCGAATCCAGTATCACTTGATGCTCTCGTTCTAAAATTGTCGCGGATTTATTTTAGTTTAAAAAATAGATATTTTCGATTTTAAACTCATTTTAACAACTTCAAAACATTATAATACCCAATTGTGGGGGGGAATTTGAATAGATAAAGGACTAGGTATAGAGATGGAGAAGTCGAATAACGGAACTGGTAATGGGTTGATAGAAGAAAGTTGCTCAAAGCGACTGAATGCATGGTTTAATGTCACGTCAAATATTTCAAGAGTGTTTAATAATTTATTCGGAGTTGCGGAACATACAGAAGTTAAACTGCAACAAACTCCGGAAGTATCAACTCCGGTGAATAATAGAATTCAATCTGATTCAAGTATCCAAGAACTTGTAGAAAGAAGAACTAAAACCTTGGAAAAATTAAGAGAGAAAACTGGTGAATCAGAAAGAATTTTCACAAGAACTCCGGAATTTGAAAGAAGAATGCAAGTTGTAGATCAATTATATTATCTGCGGTCTAGTACTCCGCAAAGACAAGTAGATTCTAAGAAACGAAAGAACCTGGAAGAGTCAAATATAGCGCTGGCGCGAAAGATTCCCAAGATACATGGAAAAGAGGAAATGAAAGAACAAGAAAGGGGTCAAGATACAGACGAAGAACCTTCATTAGTTCCCGATAATTGTCCAAACCAAATTCTATTAGCATTACAGCGTAAGCGCGATTACATGAACGACTTAGATCAAGAGAAGAAAACACTGACAACAACGACGACGAATAATAAACTTACTACTAATAATAAACCAGATAAGTTATTACAACAATTACTCAATAGTCGACAAGTTGTTGAACAGTCTAAAGCCCGTAAATCTCGAGTACCAAACACTTTAAATCAACCCAAAATACTGGATTCTGTACAATCTGCAATATCTTATAGAATGAATATTGCCAATCTTTTGAACCGTACAGATCCTAGCATTAGTTCAGATTCTGAAGACTCAGAATTGGATGAAATTGATTCTGAAGAAGAGGAAATCAATGAAATTAAAGAGAACAAGCTTCAAATACCCGATACCAGTATCAGCTCTCAAAAGTCAGAGAGATCTATTCATCAAGATAAAAGTAGTCAAGATCAAATAACACTTATTTCTAGTAGTCCAAAGGCTGGAAGTACCCCAATTGATCAATATCGAACGAAGAATAATGTACATAAAAATAATAATACCACTACAGGTGGGACAAAGAAAGTGTTATTGGCAGACATTATACGTAGCAGATATGCAGAAGCTGCCTTAAGTGAAGACATTCCTAAGGAACACCAGGGTAAAGATAGTGTTGATAATTCAATAATTGGTGGTAAGACTTACAGTGATTTAACTATCCTGGCATTTAAAAATCAAGACGAAATATCTCAATGGAGAAAGAATAGGAGTACAGTCTGAAATCTAGGGTCATTTACATCTGTCTGCATATGTAGAAACTCCAATTCTGTACATTAGAATATTTATAATCAAATAGCTTAATCATTAAGAGAATGCTTATATAACGTCTTCCTGTACATCAACTTCTTCCATTATGATCTTCTGTAATTATCAAAATATTGCACGTGCCGTCTGGATGAAAGGGGTTGAGCCACAATACACATTCCACCTTTAAATACCTGTGCTACATCAAATCAATTTTACTATTTCTCTATTTTTTTATTCCCTTCTGATATCAATAATGATTTCCCCAAAATACGCCACTACCCATTATTTCTATTCTGCTACAGAACTTTCTGGTTCAAAAGTTTCTCCCAACATTGTCAATGTCTATTTAGATTACAATTGTCCTTTTAGTGCCAAAATCTTTTTCAAATTGAAAGAAACGGTAATTCCAAGTCTTCAATCAAAACATCCAAACAAGTTTCAATTTGTATTTGTAAACGTGGTTCAACCATGGCACCCAAACTCTGTATACCTTCATGAATTCTCTTTGGTAGTTGCCAATCTTTTACGAGAATTCAAAGATGAAGTCAATACTAACAAACTTTTCTGGGAAGTATCTGATGTTTTATTTAAAAATAAAGAGGAATTTTACGATTCCGCCAATGCTGACTTGAATAGAAATGATATCTACAAGCAAATTGCTTCCTTGCCAGGAATTGAATCTTTAAAGTTGCCATTCTCAAAAGATGCTATTTTAGAACAGTTACTTATTAAGGTTCAAAAGGAAAAGGGGAAGCAAAGCAATGGAGGTAATGGTGCGACCAATGACATCAAATACTTTACAAAGTATTTGAGAGGTGTTGGTGTTCATGTAACACCTACAGTTAGTATCAATGGTATTGTCAACAACGATGTTTCTAGTGGTAATGAACCGGAAAGCCTTGTTAAAACATTTGAAGATGCTCTGGCATAAGCACATATATAATAATATACTCTAATATCCAGAGACGACGAAAAAGATGCAAAAAAAAAGAAGATCCTCCGATACCGGGAGTCGAACCCGGGTCTGCTCGGTGAAAGCGAACCGTGCTAGCCGTTACACTATATCGGATGATTTTATATTTGTTTAAATTTTACCAGGATCCGGACTCTGTGTGTTTCTTATATGCAGTATGTGGAATTTTTATCAATATGTATGACGTATGATATATAAAGGTTTGAATTATCCTTCAAATCCTATTAATGTAAAGGATAGATATACGTATTTAAGCTTATTTAGTTTTAAGATGTGTAGATAAAACGTAAAAAAAAAAACGAAATAAAACGTTTGAAATGTGAAATAGAATATGCAAATATTTTGCACGAATAAATCGGAGAAACAGAAAGAAAACTCCATACTAGGTGCTATCTTAAACTAGATGAATAAAGCCACGGAAAACAACAAAGCCAAAGATATTATTATTATTTCTTACATATAAATGACGTTGTTACATATTTAACTCGTCAGATCATAAACTTATGATAATAAATATCATTTGGATTGACAAAAACGTAACGCCTTTATATTTCGTAATGCCTTTATATTTTTTAGCGAGATAACATACGTGGTTTATGAGCTTTATGGATTTCGACTTTCTAAACGAAAACACAGAAAAATTATTTTACTGTAGTATGCATGATTGATGAAATTTATAATTATTCGAAATCCTATTTGGATTTACAAGACCACTTTAGTGAAGGAGAAACCAAAGGAATATCCGCCCCACCATGTTTTAAACATCAACCCCATGGGGTTGATGTATTATAGAGCCTGCAAGGTACATGATACATTGTTAATGTAGCACTATGTACCTACTATGTGTCACCCCAGTATGGTTGCACTACTTCTCCTAGGTTACATCGTGCCAGTAGGGTTACAGTAATTAGTATTGTTGTAATATATGCTAGGTTGCATCGAAAAAGTAGGGTTGCAATACAAATGGTCTATGTTACATTCAACCCCCGCACCAAAGTTAAAAAAAAAAAATTCTGCAGAATTTCCCACCGTAAACATCTTATTCAGTGTAGGTATCCCCAAAGTAAAGAAAATCTCACCCATAAAAACCCCGCGTTTTTTTATGTATCCTGTAGGGCTGGTGATTTAAGCGATTTCTACTGTATTAAAAGTTTTCAATGTGGTGAGAGAATATTTCATCTACCGAGAATCTTACGATCTTACGATCAAATCTGTCCGTTAGGATGCAACAATAACGTACAAAAAAAAAAATAGTAAAAGCGATATCGATATGGCTAGTCAAGTAAATAAAATTGTGTATATATATATAATTACCTTGGAACGGGTTTTAAATCTTCATTCTTTCAACATCACTACTTAAATCATCAATATGGAAAATCCAAAAGATGAGATGCAGACTGCATCCAACTCTTCACAAGACAAAATGTCTTCTTTAGATCACCCACATGAACACGATAATGACCACCATTCCCATCACTCCCACCATGACGAGCACTTCGTTTACGATCCAAACGCATGGTACAATAGGAAACTCTTTGGATTTCTTCCAGCTTATTCCAATGCTTCTTTCCAAATTGTAATGCTTGCCATTGTCATCTTTTTGACTCCTGGTATGTATAATGCGCTCACTGGTCTTGGTGGATCTGGTATCAGTGATAAAAAGACAGCTGATAATGCTTCGGTAGCTCTTTACTCCACCTTTGCCACTATTGGGTTCTTTGGTGGTACCATTTGTAATATTGCAGGTCCGAGATTCTGTCTTTGTTTGGGTGGCTCTGGTTATCTTCTCTATGCTGGTTCTTTACTTTCTTATCAACACAATCAAAATAAAGGATTTGTGATCTTCGCTGGTGCTTATTTAGGTGTATGTGCTGGTTGTCTTTGGGCAGCTCAAGGTGCAATCGTCTTATCGTATCCAACTGAAGATAGAAAGGGTACCGCTATTATGATTTTCTGGGTCATCTTCAATTTAGGTGCAGTCATTGGTTCTATTATTCCTTTGGCTGCAAACATGGAAAATAAAAGTGGTGATGCTACTGATAGTACATTTATTGCGTTTATGGTTTTAATGGGTGTTGGTGCATGTGTAGCCTTATTATTATTACCCATTGATAAAGTCGTCAAGTCTAATGGCCATAGAGTTAAAAGACAACATTATCCAAATTGGAGATTAGAACTTATGTCCCTTTTCAAGTTGGCCTACAGTCAACCAATTATCTTTTTGATGTTCCCAATGTTCTTCTCCTCCAATTGGTTTTATACCTATCAATTTAATGCGGTCAATGCTGATCGTTTCACTCTTAGAACTCGTTCTTTGAACTCCCTTTTATATTGGGCTTTCCAAATGGTTGGAGCTGTAATTATTGGTACAATTCTTGATTTGAAATATTTCAAGAGAAATGTTCGTGCCAAAATTGGTTGGGTAATTGTTTTTGTTCTTGGAATGGCAATTTTTGGTGGTGGTCTCAAGTTTCAACAAGGTGTTACCAGAGACAATGTAAAGGACACTAAACTTATTGATTTCAAGGATGGACACTACGTTGGTCCTATGTTCCTTTACATCTTTTACGGTCTTTATGACTCCATGTATCAATCATATATTTTGTGGTGTCTTGGTGCCATGAGTAATGATGCACAAACGGTTGCCTTATATGCTGGGTTCTACAAAGGTATCCAATCTGCTGGTTGTGCCATTGCATGGAGAACCGATGCACTTGAAATCTCGTTCATGGATATGTTCATCTCATCTTGGGCATTACCTAGTGGATCTTTAATTATTGCTGCCCCATTACTTTTATTTAGAATCACTGACCATACCGAAGATTCTTCCGATGAAGATGATGGAGAAGTGAGATCCATTCACAGCAGTCTTAAGGCAGCTTCAGAACATATCGCTTAATTATAAATAATCTTTTACATATATATATAGGTTTTTTGTGAATTTAATTCTATAAAGTATCTTACATTTAACTATAAATGGTTAGCTGGAAATGTAGTTATCAATTTGAAAAATTATTGGTTCTTCTTACCCAATTTTTTACACTTGTCAAGTTTGTAAATACCGAATAAATATGCCAATCTTGTCACCACCAAATCAATGGCCATACCAATGGAATCTCTAGCCAAATCTACTTTTGAACCATCAATTTCAACCCAATTAACAGCAAACTCCTTAATTTGAATTTTTTGCATTTCAGCAAGTAATAAAACTTCCACATCGAAAATCCATCTTTCTGTATGCATATGAGGGAAAATCTTGGAAATAGCTGATTTATTAAAAAGTTTGAACCCACATTGAGTATCTTGCACGTCTTGAATTCCAAACACATAAACCAATGTGTGTAAGCCATACATCAAGCAGTTACGAATAAATGATCTCTTCACAACTGCATCTGTATTAACCATATGAGCTCTAGATCCAATGGCTACCTTGGGCACTTCAGGATTATTGGCAAAATATGGTATCATCTTCCCGACGTCACTAAACTTGGTGGCCCCATCAGCGTCTGCAAAAAGAGCAAGTTTCCCACTAGCATGTAATAGTCCGTGTGTAACAGCGCCCCCTTTACCTCTGTTCTTGGAAAGCTTGACAACTTTCAATACGTGTGGGCGTATCTTTAATTCATTGGCCTTTTTAATGGCAAATTCTGCCGTATGATCTTGAGATCCATCATCTACAATAATAATTTCATACCTCCCCTTATGATTGGTTTCAAGATATAATACACATTCATCCAACATCTTACCCAATCTCTTGGTTTCGTTATAACATGGCACTACCACACTGATATCAAGTAAGCTGTCCTCGCCCGTTGCAATATCAGTGGATGTGATTCTTCTCGACAACTGATGGGTCTTGCTTCCGTCATCGTTGGTGGTGTAATTAAGTTCACTAGATGTTTCTTTTCTTGGAGTATGTGAAAAGAAGATCACCACCAGATAGATAGAAGCTAATATAGTCACGAGAAATATGACAAGATACACAGCACCAGTCATCTTATATATCTCAATCGTATCTATTCCACTAGTTCTAACCTTGGATTCCACTAGAACTAATGCTTCAAAGATATACTAGTCTTAAACTGTATCGAATCGTAGAACCTTGCGTCTCGGTATGTATTTTGGCGTTGAATATATACAGGAATTTCATATTTATTGAACGTGTATTTTTGTTTTTAAAAAAAAAAATTGACTCTATTTATAAACAAACAACGGAGAATGTCTCTATTCAACAGGGGAAACTATTTATCAATTCTTACAACTTTTAATTATTATTCGTATTTAATATATACATTTCTCTTTAAAAATACCACTATCTAATATACATTTTGGATGTTATCTTTCTATAATTTTCTTCAGATATTTACTTACTAGCAAGTTTAGTAACTCTATTATTAAGACATCTGGCATTGTTAACAAATATCTCAACCAATTCTTCAAATCTTATGGAATCCAGTCCAGATTTAAACATATCAAACCCATTGAAAAGCTCGAAAGTATCAACTTCAAGCTCAACTTCATAACTTTGATCTTGTTCAATAATCTTTTTCCCACTTTTATTTTTCAGTTCTCGTGGAACAAGAACTCGAGTCATGTCAAATCGTGTTACTGTTGGTTTATGAGACCAAGAGTTTCTCTTTTTCACTCTGGTAAGTGTAGGTGGTTGCTTCTTTAAAATCAGTTCAATATCACTATCAGGTATTGGATTTTCTGATGAAAGGGATAATCTCAAGTCATACATTGAAGAAGGATTATGGATAAACAAGTCAGATATTCTTTGTTTGTTAATGGCAGTGTATCTTGGAGGTTTGAGTTGATTATCCTTTGATATACGGATAGTCTTTGGTTGTTCATTTCTTTGGATAATTTGATAAAAAGTATCAGTGATATCACTTTCTAAATTATTAAACTTTCTCTTTGGTTTTTCTCTTGCAAGTTGAGGATTTTTACGTAAATCTTCTTGATATGATTTCTCTAAATCATCTAGAAATTTACACATATCATTCCATCCAACTTCATGGACCCCCACATCAAAATATGTATTTGATGTATCGGTGAAAATACATTCAGTCAGTACATTCAAATCGATCCTATGACTGGCTCGTTTATCTATGATAGTACCAAATTTTAATTCAAGTTCAACATATTTCCTTCTATCATCCGGAATTTCAGTAAAGTTTGCATATATCCACTCAGCAATGGTACGTGTTACTGATGGGGGTGGTATTACTCCTGTAATAGAACATTCAAGATCTACACTTTCTGTATGTGAATTGTTGAATACAGATTTGTTTGAAAGTTGAGATGTAGGTATAGCGGAAGCATTATTCATACTACCAGATGAGATATTTCTCTCTTCGTATCCATATGTGTGTTGTTCTGCACGAGGTCGCCACAATTGTGCCCAAATTGGAGGTGTTTCATATCTCTTTGGCTTTAATGAACCCTTCTTTCCATGGATAATCCCATTTTCTTCATGCACGGATATCAGGGACAGGTCTTCCAGTGCCGATGTTGGATGCGGTTCGCTTATACTGGATTGCCTGCTTACATTGAGAGTCTCTTGGCCAGTATTAATATCGACATCACGGTCATTGGTGATATTGGCAATTGAATTACGCTTCATAAGTGGTGCCATTCGAGAAACGGTCACTGGTGATGATGTCACCTGTTTAGGTACCTTATAATCAGCAGAGTTCCCATCTGAAGTGCTCACAGGAGATTTCACCTCGTTGGAATTGGATTCTACATCAGAAGATTTCGTTGGACCCGATGGGGCTGGGTCATTCAATAAATTCACTAATGAATGTCTTTGTTGACTAGGTGAAGCTTGTGGACGTTGAGGCACATCTACAGACTCCCCATCACCAGGTGGGGAATCATTATTCAAAATAGATCCCACATTCATGGTTCACGCTTAAATATAATTTTGAGATATGTAATTATTAAAAAGTATTCAATTGGGTTGTATAATTAAACCTTTAAGAATAATCACATATAAAAATTCAACGAAAAATAAAAATATATAAAAATGTTACCTTTTCCCCTTGTATAAAGGATCATTAGGTAATCATCCTCGGTTGTTTATTTAATGAACCTTTATTAAAGTAAAGTAATTACATATATCAGAGTGTTGGAAGTGAATAAGTTAGTCAATATTTAGTATCGAGGTTCTAATAGTTTAAGTTCCACTTAGTTCATTCAAATTATGACTACAATTGACACATATATTTGAGTTAGCACTTGAAGTGAAGTGTACATTCTCAAATAATTATTATAATATCTTTCTACAAACTAAAAAGACTTACTATACTTCATCCTTTTCTAATTCTCTTATTTCTTCATTGAATATCTAATCCTAAACAAGATATAAAAGTTTTTTAAAAAAAATTATTATTGACTAATAAAAGTTCCTCTTTCAAAAATTGAAATTCATTTACTTTAAATTCTTATCCAATCTACTGGCAACTGCATCAATAAATTCTTCAGTAGTAACATAGGATTCTCTGTTGGTTTTTCCTTGAGCCAAGGCCAAATCCTTGGTCATGATACTATCAAGAGCAACGGTGTCAATGACAGCTTGTTCCAAGTTTTCAGCAAATTTAACAACATCTGGAGTGTTATCCAACTTACCTCTTTGAATCAAACCTCTAGTCCATGCATAGATAGATGCAATGGAGTTGGTAGAAGTCTCCTTTCCTTGTTGATGTTGTCTGTAATGTCTGGTGACTGTACCATGAGCAGCTTCAGCCTCAAATGCCTTCCCATCTGGAGTGGTAAGAACAGATGTCATCAATCCTAAAGATCCAAATCCTTGGGCAACAATGTCTGATTGAACATCACCATCATAATTCTTCATAGCAATGATGTATCCACCCTTAGATTTCAACATTTGAGCAACCATATCATCAATTAAACGATGTTCATACCAAATTCCTGCTGCATCAAATTCCTTCTTATATTTACTTTCATAAAGTGATTCAAAAATATCTTTAAACCGACCATCATATTTCTTCAAAATGGTATTCTTTGTAGATGAGAAAAGGTTTAATTTTCTATCTAAAGCCAATTTAAATGAAGATTCTGCAAAATCAGTAATTGATGCATCGGTATTGTACATAGCCAAGGCAACACCAGCAGCATCGAAATCATAAACATTGAAAGTTTGAGTTTCAGAACCATCACTTGGCTTGAAAACAAGACTCAATTGTCCAGCCTTAGGGATAACAACATCAGTGGCCTTATATTGATCACCAAATGCATGTCTACCAATAATAATTGGCTTTTCCCAAGTTGGAACAATTCTTGGAATGTTATCAATGACAATTGGTTCTCTAAAAACAGTACCACCCAAAATATTTCTCAAGGTACCATTAGGAGATAACCACATTTTCTTCAAATTGAATTCCTTAACACGAGCTTCATCGGGGGTAATAGTAGCACACTTAACCCCTACCCCATATTTCAAAATTGCATCTGCTGCATCGACAGTTACCTTATCGTCAGTTTCATCACGATACTCAATTCCCAAATCGTAATACTTGAGATCAATGTCAAGATATGGGAAAATAAGTTTATCCTTAATAAACTTCCAGATAATTCTGGTCATTTCATCACCATCCATGTCAACCACTGGGGTAACAACCTTAATCTTATCAGGCATATTGGTGTAGTGTTTAAATGGAATACAAAATAAAAAAGAAATGTAGAGTTAATAAATTTCACTTCTTTAAAGTGAAAGTATTTTTTTAAGTCTTGTAAAGAACCAATCGACTCCTTGATATTACTTCATTAGAAAATAAGAGGAAACCCTTTTATATATATTATTCCTTCCAAGGAAAATTAAAAAATAAAAGCCTCGGAAAAGTGCGGGTGCATTACTAAGTGTGGGGTCCCCGGATTCGACCGGTACTGTTCTGTAAAGTTTTATCTTTGAAGTTACGAGTCAATATTTACCCCGGGTCGAATCAGATAAGATATGGGGTACAGATCTGTTTACGTTTAATTGGACCGATTTTTGAAAAGAGTTGATAGTTCAATAGATTGATTATTTTTTACTTTATGATATCTTCCTTTTGATTCAGGCACAACATCTTTTTTTTTTAAATAGTTCGGTCATTAATCTACGAGAGAGAAAATAATTTAGAATTCGACTCCAAAGAAAAGATATTGAATTGTCAGCAAAGCAAAATTTCATATGGAGCCGCGTTATCAGAGATACACATATTCATAGTTGTTGATTTGTTTGTCTTATACTTTAACATTTTTTCAACATTGATTTATTCTTGGTTAAACTCCGACATTGCTAAAGTCATCCGATTATGGCATTCTATACCGGTTTTCCGAGGAAATATAGAGGTAACACGTTTAAAAGCGGGGGAGAATATACTCGTGACTTATGGGTAATAGACAGTACATATGTGTGTGTGGCTCATAAGTGGGGTTTTGTGTAATATTCCATCATATTGCCCAACTATTTCGGAATGAAAAATAGTCCCGGGCAGGAACCAGACGTGTTAAAACTTAAAACAATGGATAGATTGAATAACTTTCAATTTTTACATATCTTTTAAACTTTCCGAGGATATATTGTTAATCAAAAAATTGACATATCGTGGAAATTGAAACGGTTTTATTTTTTTTCAATAGTAACTTGAATCCTATATTCTAACTCTCTATCATTTCTACTTCAAATTAATCATTTCCCATATCAAGATCTACGACGAGGTGTATTATCGAATAATCTTCTCAGACAGACCTGATGACTTTAAAAAATAGTAAAAAAACGAGCAGAAGAATATTGGAAAAAGCGGAATCAATTGCTTCTGTGGGAAAATTTTTGATTCTAACGGTTGGCTAAACAATGAAATGAAAAATAAAAAACATCAAGTATTCTAGTCAATTGTAACTTTATTTATGAAGAGGCTCCGGTTTCGGCGCATTGATCGATCCTCCCCTTTCTCTTCACATGTCTTTTTTCGACATACGAATTTTCGGGTAAGATTTTAACCTTGGAGGTCTCGAAATAGTTCTTCATGCGCATATCGACGCAATTCTTTGAGGCGGTGAGAGAGCATGGTTTGAAAGAATCAAGTCTGTAGAAACATCTTTGCATGGCAAACCCCATTCATGACTAAAGTAAGGTTTTTTAGTTCGTAAAAATGTATCCAATCTACTACATGTTCAACTACAAATTTTCATCAACCTCGTATACTTCCGCTGAGGACTCCCTATATGGAATAATTTCTTTTTTTTTCCACTTATATCTTATTCCAAAACGCTTGCATTTCCGTTTATTGTGCGGCAATATTTCGTCTAAATTTTTAGGTATCTACTCGTCTGGGAATAGCACAACCAATAAGAATCGTGTAAACAATAGAAAAAAAAAACGTTTCTGCAATCTTAAGCGAAATAATATACAAAAAAAAAATCAAATATTGATAACATTTTTATGTGGCAATTTGTGATTCTTCCCCCCAATCACAAGAAAATTTTATATGCGCTTTAAGACCTGTCGTCAAGCTGATAAACAAAGTTTGTAATTGATCACGATAAACGCTTTGCCTTCGTTGTCTTGGAAGCTATCTATGATCATACGTTTTATGCACATGTTCGCTTATGATCATTGGCGACTTGACATGTAAGAAAGTTTTTCATGCAAAGCGGTGTTGAAAGATTCAAGAAAACTACAATGGACGGTAAAAGACAAAGGATAAAAAAAACTAAATAAACCTAATTGTGGGAGGAAAACCCATTGAGAGAAAAAAAAAATTCAATCAATTGCTATTGTATTGATTCATCGATCAGTTGCATAGCATTATAGCATTCCTGTCTCCACATTATCTTTAGGTATATTATTGCTCCGACGTACCGAACATGAATGTAGTTCTGATGGGAACATTCTCGCTTTAGTGCAATTCAAAGATAATAATTGTTCTAGTCTCGGATAATAATATATCAGTTTACGTAAAGGGGTTAAGGTTGATCTTGCCTTGCATCACTATTACGTTCCTTCTACAGCGCGACCTAGTTTCATATGCAACAAGTGGACATAAAGGCACCTAACCATGTGGTAATGTATATTTTTTTGTAAATGCGGCATAGTTTAATTTAGTTCAAATATGCACAAATGTAAAAAGTTTGAATGGGTTATATCAAAAGGAGACACTCACTTGCTTGCAGTTAAATAGATCTTGGATCCACTTATTTCATTGTTTTAGCAATCTTTGACGGGGGTTTTTTTTTGAAAGAGATTAATCCGAAACAAGCCATTTCTACCAACAAAGGTTATAGACGTATATATATTGGTCACTATTGAATAACCTTTTTTGTACATTGATAATGTCAGCGTTTGTACTTATATCTGCGAATGCGGCTTATAAAAATTTAGAGAAAACTCAAAAGCATAGGAAGAAAAGTAGTAGTCGTAGTTCTGAAATTTCAACATCAAGAGTATCAATTTCAGAACTGTCATTGGATAAAAGCACCAGAACTTCCATTGCATCATCTACGTCATCATCTGGAGATTCCAAGAGTCAAAACACTTCACAAAAAAAAGTGTTCGATGTCAATAAAAATGCATATGTTGATCGTAATACATTATTACTCCCTCCTGATAGGGCAATAATAGGGTATGAAAGAAAGTTGAATAACCTTACTAAATTCAAATATCATGCTTTAAATGAAGGGTTGAATGGACATTATGTAAAATTATCGTTAGAAGAAGATTCGCATTGTCTTTTCACTAAAAAAAATATATTAGTGTTAAGATACATATATTTTGAAGAATTCAACTTTGATGTATCATATATAAGAAGAACAGTGTCAACAGAAGGTACGAAATTGGCACATATAAATCATATTGCTAAAATTCGTAGTATAAAGGAAACTCTGGGACTCCCACTGTTGATGGATGAAGAAACAAATGAAGATATAAAAGATGAATATAATATGAAGAATATAAGAGGGGTATTTAATTCTTCGCAATTTTGGAATAATGTATATCAAGATATGAAATTTGAATCTCAACGTGTGGGTGAAGATGAACAAGATCACTTCAAGATTTTACCAGGAATATCACAAATTAAAGAATTTTTCGGTGATATATTTGATTATTTTTTGTATCACATAGATATACTTGATATTCCTATTACCTCGTCACTTGAAAAATATGCGTCTCAACTTCGGGGATATCAATTTTTCTACTTAAGAGATAAACATTATGAATGGTTTAATATTATGAGTAATGTACATCTTAGAATGTACAGGAATCAATCAATTATTAGTAACTTTACAACCAATTCAAAAAATTCTGAGCAATATCCACTTCAACCAACTATTGAATTATTATTGAAAATTATCACTGATAATCTTAAACTGGTTTTTACTTCAAGAAGATTTAATCATCATGAAAGAGAATTAAATAATAAGATGTTTTCATTTTGGAATGAATTCATGCTTTTCTTATTTAAAGAACTTATAGTGGAACCTAAAAAATATATCACAGAAAATTCTACTGAAACCCATGATGAGAACAAATCATTATTCACTGCAGGATACCAAGATGAAGAAATTATACTGGAAAGTAACTATATACTGACAACAATTGAACATATTCAGAGTATACCACCGCATCAATCAAGTCCAAGGTCTGGGTTTCGAATCTTGGACGAGAAAGCCAACTACCGAAACTATTCAGTGGTTTCCAGTATGGCTAGCTCTGCACCTTCCAGCATATCTATTCAAAGACATGAAAGTACTCCAATGACTGATTTTTGCGTTCCTATACAGGAAGAATCCCCTACAACTACCACAACTTCTAATTCTAATTCTAATTCAAGTAATGGTAGTATTAATGATTCAAAACCGAAAAGGCTGTTTTTTGGAAGATTCAAGAAATCTTAAATATATAGAAGTAGCAACATCTATCCTTTGTACTGGTTGCAAAAGAGATGTAATTAAATAAAAATATAGTCATAACAATTTTAATCTACCCAAAAATAGGTATTATTAGTACAACTAATCCATCAGATTCCTGTACATAAAGTGTTGACTATGTGGAAAAACTATTATCTCCAGTAGCAAAAATAGCTTTTTGTACGTCACTTTGAACATTCCCACGACTGTTTGTATCACACAAAGTCTATATTTAGTAATATAATAAACAGTTGTCTTGGTTGCAATGCATCTTCGTAACAAACGCAATTAATTAAGGGGGAGGTCGTTATTAAAGGAATCTACTTTTTAATGATATAAAAGGATAAAGGTTATCCATTATATCCAAAAGAAATCATCCACTAATCATAGTTGGATTGGTTAAGCTAACTTTGCTCTTGTTATCGTATTTATCCACGGAAAAAATATAACAACGGAGACTACTTTTACACCTTTTGCATAGATTGAGTTCGACTGTGTTCTTGACCATAATCTCAAAAAAAGAAAAAAAAAAAAATTTGTATATCTACATATATACCCAAGCATCACCGCACGATTCGAGGAAGGACAAAGAATCAAAACTTCATATTTATTCTTTGTGTTATCAAACAATAGTATTATTAATAAAATAGAATAGATCGATCATGGGTGTTCCAGGGGCTTATACTGATCACCTTCTTCTCAGAGAACATGCATACTACGATACAGGAGATATTGAGTTGGTAGTGCCTCAAATCAATTATAATCCTTCAGTAGCGGCAGGCCGCTTTGTCGAGTCACAAATCAAAGGATTAGGACTCTTTGACTACCAGTTCCTTCCAGGTATGGTAAACGAAGATGATGGGCAAACCTTCTCTTTTATGTACATGACTGTTTGCATTTTAATTTTCCTAACTATGACAATAGGAGGCTTATATTTTTGGGGAAGACGCGTTAACAATTTTAAAATTTCTAAATCATTGAAAAGACCTCAAACTCCGATCTTACCCATTTCCAATCTCCCATCACTTTCAAACTCCCCTGAAATGTCTGAATTGGATTTCCCCAACTCGCCACCAAGAAATTTTAAATTCAACACTTTAGAATTTGATAAATCATTCAAAAGTTGGGCTATTAATGATTTTGAAAAGGATCTGAGCTTGTTTTTAACCACTTAAAAATTCATATCATGATAACAAATTCTAATCCTTCACTTTTACCACTGCTCACGCATTTCATTAATTTCTTTCGCATCAGTGCCACTAATTTACATTGGGTTACTACTATTATTCTTTCTGCATATTTAATTTATATCCACATCATCATATGGCTATTCTTATATAATAATATCTAATTACATAGCTAATACTCAGTGTAAGGTTTTGTAAAGCAAAAAAGAATCAGAATCAGAATCAGCTACAATCACTCCATATAGTTTACCCCTTGTATGGTCACGTGATACTTTAATTGGTGGTAAATTTTAAAAGTTGGTCAACCATTTAAGGAGTATCTCTTTCATCATTTACGATCAACTGCATAAGCTGGCACATATAAAAACAGGTTAGCATTTAGAGGGTATTATTTTTTTTAAAAAGATTACGCACCTTATATTTTTGTTTCTGTGAATAATCGAGATGAATTTACTATATTCAACTTCAAATATGATAAGTATGCGATAAAATAATATATACCACATCCGTACACCCAGCTAAATAAAAATTCTGTAGTGAGGGTTATATATGTATCAAATTTCCCCTTATTGGATTTATTTTTTCGATAAGTTAAATAGGGCGAAAAATTTCAGCTTGATCATATCCTAAATATATGAAGTCAATCAACCTTCTTTCTGGGGAGTTCCTCATAGGGAGCTGCTATATATTCTATTTGTAATTACCAATTTATAAAAGACGGACGATGAGTTGCAACTATCTTTCCTTAGCCATCATATACTGGCTACCTCTCTCTTTTGCATAAATTCTGTGAGATTTGAAGTTAGTAGCATTTTCTTCCGTGCAATTTTTTAAACTTTTAATTGTAGTTCGTATAAGACTTTGGTAAGCTTTACATTATAAGCAATTACGGTTTCTTCTCTATTCTCTAATCTAGTTAAACTTATTAACATCAGAACTTAATTTCTTCAATTCAATATCCCAGATATTCCAATCATACCAAATTAATGTTGGGAATATAGTAACAAAATGCCACAAACTATGCGCATCAATCAATAGGTAAATTGGAACAAAATCAATTAATTCTAAACTCATACCAAATATCAACACAGCATTCAAAATAATTGGCAATATCGGAATTAATTTAACATTTGATAAATAAATTGTTTTATCCAATTTTGACATAATTTTTGTTTCATAAGGTAATAATTGAATTGAATTATTATAAATATGATTGTTTTTCCCATATAAAATATTTACATTGTATGAATGTAAACACCATAATATTAATGCGCCAACTCCGAAAACAAGATTAAATTTAATATTATAATCATAATCCCAATGATTTTGTAATTTGATTAAATGTAAAATATAAATCGAAAATAATATGAATTGGAAAATATATCGAATTTTATTATATTTTGCCTTGTATAGTTCAAAGTAACGAATTGTGATGGTATTAAAGTTGCACACAATGATTGCAATTGCTCCATAATAATCTAAAGTTTCAGTCAATGGAGAGTCTCTGATATGGAATAAAGTACTGAAAATCCAACCAGTAATGGAAACATATAATAAAATCAAATATTGAAGATACATATTCTTGAATTCATTATTTATATGTTTCTCATATTCAGAATGTATTTTAGGTAAATTTATCCAATTTGAATATAAATTGAATAACAGAAATACTACAGAAAATATTTCTGTAATACCAAAGATTCTTATGAATGGCCATTTACCAAAATATTGTACAACTGGCTTTTCATTAACCATATTATTTTGAGTTGTGAATTGAGTACATTGATAATTACAATTCAGAGAACAATCCCAATCAAATAATATTTTGGGGATGTACCCAATTTGATGATATTCCAAGAAATCTTGTGGTGTATACTTTACAATGGGGGTAACCATCTGGTACTTGGGAGCTGGGTACAGTCTAGGATTGGAACATTTCAAATATGAATTGCAATCTTCGACGCACGAGACGAAGTCTTCCGATTGGTCTCCGATAGATGCAAGTGCAACCCCAACAAGACTATACAACAATATACTTACCTGACATATATACATATTTTGAGTAAGGCTGTAAGTAAATCATGAAAGTTGTGTATGCATTTGCATAATGATAACAGGGTGTAGTTTACAGAAACCTCACACCATGCAGAGATGGAAAAGAAAAAAGTGGTAAGTGACACAAAGAACCATTTTCTATACAAGATCAAATGGGGGGGTCTGGTCACTCATTCTTTAATTTTATTTATGATATTGACCCACTGATGTATTGATATAGGGGAGGTGGATTAATATAATACGAAGTGTTATTCAAATAAAAAACGAACACATATATAGAGGTTGAGTATATGTATTGTTCTGATCAGTTTATTTCTTTTTTATTGATATCAGACTTGATTGCCTGTATCCTAACCATTGTAGTTACGAAACGCAACATTTTCGTAATCGCAAGTATTGCCTTGAAAGTTGAAATTGGGTTAATTGAGGAATATTGGTCGTACCAAATAGAACACACTACTGCAGATCTTAATGCGTTGTGAATTATGCAAACCACACGTGTAAAAATATTATATCAGTTAGAATCACAGAAACGGATTTATTATTTACGTAGGTGTATCGGAATTACGGGGAACTGAAATGAGGAGTTGGTGGGAAGGGGGAACCAGTGCCCTTAATACCGATATACGTACATCCAAAGTATTAAGAAACAGGTACGAAATTTTTTGAGGGAGGCAGGGGGAAGTATAACCCTTTGTTCTAATTTTATTATTAGATTCTCCCCTCGGGCTAAATTGTAATATATAGGTCTTTTATGATATTGTACATATGAATACAGTTTATAGAATATGATCGATTTTCTTCTATGACAATGAAACGGGCAACAAAAAAACCTCGTGGAAGGTATGAATGCACGTTTACTTCTTATCAGTAGAATGTTGATCGGCCATGACGTGCATATAACGAATTTCAGGGCCGTTTTCATCGAAGATTATACTTTTAGAATCTAATGTTTGCCGTTATTTATTGTGGGGCCAAGGCAGCAACGCTTGCTTGGCAATTATGAAGTTCCCCGAGTTTTAAAACTTGCCCAATAAAGTTTTGCCCATTGTGAGAAGGGGGGGGGGTATTGTAGGACCCGTGACATAATAATACTATCAGGGTGGAGAAGTTATTATTATTAGTAAAAAAAAATAAAGAGTGTCAAAAAAAAAAAACACTTACATAGGAAAAAGAAATTCTTGAGTACCTCCCTATTATGAAATTTGGTACCAAATTTTCTATGCGCCGTTTTTTTATACAATAGGGGATCCTGCACAATCTCCGGATAAGTATACCACTCAAGTAGACATCTTCTTCCGAAGTGTTGCTGCCACCCAACACATGATGAAATAGAAGATAGGGGCAATGACATCAATGATACATACCCTATTATAAGTACATGAATGAATATGTTACATGTGTCCAGAACATGTTGGTCGGCTATTGCATTGATATAAAGCCGACTTGCGACAGTGATATAACGGGTACCCCAATACGAAACTCATTAAGATCACACTTCATGCAAGGAACTTAACTCCCTTAAATATGGAAATCAAGAGAATGGAATATTTCATACTAGGAAATATACAATATCAAGCTTATTTTGTATAACACAAGTAATATCAATAATAATTATAACATCCTGACTACTTGCAAAGATTCACCAATTACCTATTCAATAACAATCCTGTCTGAATACCGTTATCGAAAACTTGGTAATTAAACCTCGTTTCATATTGTCGGGCAAGATTGAATTCCTCCTCAATCTGTAAACGTCATCATCTAAATCCAATTCATAGCAAATTTGAGTTTATTTGGTACTCCCCCCCCCTCTTTCATAATTTTTTTTATCGTAGGAACTGCAGAGACGCAAGATTTTCTTTTTTCGCCGCAAACTCGTATGCAATAGCTCACTACAAATAAGCTTTACCTACCAAAATTGTACTTGTTGAGCCGCATGCACAAGGAAAATTTTTTTTAGAAAGTAAATTTTTTTTCAGAGGCAATATGTCTATATAAACAGAGTAGGTGGGACCAATTATTCAAACTAAAATTCGTTTAATCTTTCAAGTTCTCTACCTAGTTGTCATCTTGCACAGGTTCCGAGTTTCAAAGTATCGTACTTACCAGCAAACAAGACTCTTAGGACATACTACAACCCCCTATCCCCCCAATTAATCAAGAAGGCCGCAAACATTTCTTTTCTAGACGTTACCCCTACTATAGTTTTTTAAATTAAATTCATAAACTTTCGTCTACACTACCCTTAGAATTTGTTAAAAAAATTTGCCACTATAATTCATCATAGCTAACCACTACCCCCAAACAACCATACCCCCTTTCATTCATCGTTCAATTCTTTCAAGTTAGCTAACAACTACTTTAATTATTTTTCTGACATACAAACCCGAAACCTCCTTTGTTCCATATTATTTTTTATATAATTGGGATATTATAATTTGATTCATCATCCATACATACACACATTAATTTCTCAATGTCTACCCGTTCAGGTTCTTCATTTGATTCTAGTGCTTCAAAAAGAAGAAAATTGGAAAATTCCACAAGATCAGATGCTTTAGATCCAGTTGAAAAATTATTAAGTTTTGCCAATAGAGACGATGATTTTTTCAATACTGAAGATTCTGAACCTACAGAATCTTATGATTCTAATGCATCATCTACTGATCTCGTATCCACTCATAAACGGATGTTGGATGCCAATATGAAAGTTTATTATTCACAATCTCGTCAAAGGAGAAATAATGATAATTCATCATTTTCAATTTTAACTGAAAAGAAGCCAATTTTTGAAGATTCTTACCATTATAATAATAGTCAAACTTCAGCTGCTAATCAAGTACCATTTTTCAGAGCGGTTAATTTTAACCCAAAACCAGCATCTTCATACACATTTGATGAATATTTATCATATGATGAATTGACTGATGATAATGATACTGAAGCACCCAATTCTGATCAAGAATCTCTTGAATCACCTACTTTAAAGTTTAATACTTTATCTAACAAGAATATGAGTTTCCATTACAGACATAATGATAATCTCAATTTATCCTTGTCACTTTCTGCATCTCAACCTGAAACTCTTGATGTTTTCAAGGCGTTGAATAAAAGATGTATTTTGAATGGGAAGGCAAGTGAAATGGTTAGTACTGGTAATATGCTTATTAACGATTTCTTCTTGTAACTTCCTTTCCATTGTGTTTTATTTCCACGGAGACACTCTCCTAGCATGCAATTCATTTCTTGATATCATTATTAGTTTTTTATATATGTATAGTTACAATATTAGTAAATCTGGAGAAATCATAATTGTAAGAGTTTAGAAGGTTAAGAATATAATAATTGATTTATTAGAGTAGATTTTATGTTATTATGGCAATGATATTAGATGTAATACAAGAATTTTATAATGTATAACTAAAAGTACAAAATAATTATATTCATATAGTTAATTGAGGATTTAGTGTTTGTACTAATCTTCGTATTAATTCATTTTTTACTTGTGACAATTTAACTCATTGTGATTGGGTTTCTTAATACAGGGGCAAAATCACCACCGAAGCCGGTTGGGATATGCAACTCGGTTCAACCTTCAACTTCTAGATCAACCGGCGTTTATACGATTCTAAACGCCTTGGACCAATTAATTGACCAATTATTGAAAAGTTTTCATTCTTATAATTTTTTTTTTCTAATATATGCATAATGAGGCATACGTTTCTTGCATACGTTTCTTGCATAGTTAATAACAGTTTTAATTTTTGATTTATTTTTTTTTGGTCCTCTATTATTGTTTTTATTCTTATTAATTAAAATTTTTTTTTTTTACGTCAAGAAAAATTTAAAATTCCTCAAGGTTCCAAAAGATTAATTTACCGGGATTACATGTTAACACGTTGTCCTGTATACAGCTGCAACCTGCACCAAAGAATACAGGTTTGATCTACAGAAGAAATGGGTTGCTGCTTCCGTGTACAATACGAGACCCTGTACTTTTAACAAAGAATACAATAAAATATCCAAGATAATGGGCTTAGCATTTCTATTTTATACATATCTTTTTGGTGGGGTGACATTTCTTCCATTGGTTATATTTCTATTTGTATATGTGCATCCTAAATTACAAGTAGAGGAAGATGAACGAGATGATGAAATTCAAAATGAAAGTACAACATATGATAAGCTAAAGGCTACTGAAATTGATGAGAATCTGAAAACAGGATCTGGTGCGTATCATTCTGGATGGGTTACAGTAACCCAAGAATATTTGGAATCCACTTCTGAAATCAGTTCATCTACACAATCAATCAGTGAATCTCTGGATAATAAATCTGCTTATCTGTCATTATATAAACTAGTGAAGAATTCAGAAGCTAATGGACCACCAGACTCTGAGAATGGTGGAGAATTGAAGAGAAGGAACAGTAAATCAAGCATTGAGCCCATAAGTGCCACTTCTACTTCTAATGATGTTCAAGTAAATGACGATAAGAAATTAAGAACATCTCAAAAGAAACATCGGTTTTATGCCGTATTGAGACATGGGAACCTTTTTCTTTATAAAAATGAAAAGAAAACTGATGTGAAACATGTTATTGTACTACAGGGTCAAGTTGTTGCCATTTGGCCTCGTGATCTTCCAGATGGTCAATTATTTACTAAAAGAACTTGCATTTGTATTTTAAAAAGAGATTTCACTAGACCAAGAAGATTATCTGAGGGACTTTATTCCAAGGATCTGGAAACTGGATTTCTGAATAAGGGATATGGGTCCAAAATTACAACGTATGATATTCTTTCTTCTGATGGAGATTTGGAATTAAAACCACCAAAAGGTTCGTTTTTCCTTTATTGTGATACAAATATTGCTAAAGAAGATTGGTATTTTGCATTGATAAGAGCAACAAAGAGTACTAAACCTACGTTATCTGACACTACAACAACGTCTAATCAACCACTTGATCCACTTAACCCCTCAATATATGCCAAGTCCCTTCATTTCAAAACTTCAAATATGATTGATTTAATTCAAACTTTACATTCATCTGAAGGTCAATTTCAAACAAGATGGCTTAATGCTATAATTGGGAGAATATTTCTAGCCCTTCAACAGACTGAAACTTTGAAAGATTTTCTACAACGAAGAATAGAAAAGAAATTAAAGAAAATTAATAAACCAGGATTTTTAGATGATTTTCAAATGAAGAAAATTGACGTTGGGAATTCTGCACCTTACTTCACATACCCTTCTCTCAAGGAGATTTCACCAGATGGTACTTTATTACTCTCAACTAATGTCCATTACCATGGAGGACTTTCTATACAAATTGCCACTAAAGTAAATATAAATTTAGGGGCAAGGTTTAAATCAAGAGAAGTGGATGTATTACTTTCAATTACTTTCCAGAAATTGGAAGGAAGAGTTGCCATTAAGATTAAACCCGCTCCTTCCGAAAGAATTTGGTATTCTTTTGAGTCAGAACCTGATATTGAATTGAAAATTGAACCAATTGTCAGTTCAAGACAAATGAACTATAATATTATTACAAGCACCATTGAAAAGAAATTCAAAGAGGCAATTAAGGAATCCTTAGTATTGCCTAATTGGGACGATTTTGTCTTTTATGACACTACAGATGAAATTTATAGAGGTGGGATTTGGGATAAAACCGCTAGACAATCAACACAGCAGTCGAAAGAAAACCACACGAAAGAACATGACACCACATCCATTAAACCAGATGGATCAACTGTATCTGATGTAAGTAGTATCAAATCCACACAATCCGACCTTTCACTGGTATCTGTTCCAACAACTGGTGTATCAGGTGGCGGTGTTAATGGAAGCGGAGGAGAAGGAACTGCTCGTATGAAAATTGCCTCGACATTGAATGATTTCTCGAAGAAACTTAAGAAAACTAAATCATCTACTACAATGAGTATCAATGAAGAGAATTGTTTATCCGATGGATCATTATTGGAGCCAGCTCGCAGTAATCTCAGCAGCATTGCGGATACGGAAGGTTCATCAACTGATTCTGATGGATCAAAAAGCTATGGAATTAACACGTTAAAAAAGATGGGTAAATGGTATTTCAAGGATTCTAAACCCGAGTCAGAGCATGATTCTACTGTAAAGGAATTTTATAAACCGCCGGAAATGATTCTGAATAGAAGAACTCCCCGCAAAACTTCTGTTAGTACTATTTCATCCCCAGGAACTGTTCCGGACAGTGACTCTAGTCAAAAATTATCTATTAATCGTAAGAAGTCATACGACATGTTTAATAAGAACCCCGGAGAGATTACTGGGCTGCCTATTCTAGGAACTTCATTTGATTCGGGAAGTATAGATTTGAATTTTGGATCACATCCCGGAGCCCATAGAAAGCGAGTTGACTCGTTTGCTAGCAGTCTTAGTGTAGAAAAGAATGCCCCTAATGAGTTTGAGAATGTTTTCCTCAAGGACTCCCTTAACGAACGTCATATAGATGAAGGATTACACAGTACACCAACCTTGACGGTTGGAGAAGACCTGGAGATCTTCACACCAGATACTGAAGTCCCAAAGACAGAAAGTGAGATTTCTGAAATTTTCCCCAAGGTTACAGAAGAGTCTGACAAACCTGGCCCAGTTAGAAGAAAACCACCATTACCACCTAGAGATATACCTGAATTTCAGCAGAGCTGATTTTGTTTGTTTTTAATTCTATAATATATATATATGTCTTCATTTTTATTTACCAATAAATAATATTTCTAAGTATAGGGTGCCCAACCCCCGTACATTTGGCATAGCATTTCCGGCGAGGAAGCTTCTTGAATAAGAACGTCCACTTGTCCGTGGACATTCATAGGAAGCCCTTCCTTCTCATCCACGAGACCTCTGATTTTTCGACGTACCTTTCTCAAATGATCTTCAGGATTCAGAAGAGATTTCCAATCCAAAAGAGGATCGTAAAGTAATGTTTCCAAGATATTCATCAACAGAGCTTCATTTTCTCTCAACAAAGAAGTGGTAGCTTCACATGTTATTCGGAATGTACCTTCAATACCTGTTATACCCATTGCATCGACCAAATTCTGAGTTAATCTAAAGGGAACGATTTCTGGAATTGGAAGTGTTATACCTTTATCGAACAAACAGTCGAAATCAATGTGTAACACCCCTCCAGTCTTTTTGAAAAATAGAACGTTCTCACAATGTCTATCTCCAAGGCCAATAATATAGCCAACAATTGACATCACAGCAGATGATCTAGTGAAAGTCGTTCTTGCTCGATACCATGAACCAGGATCAGAAAATTGGTGAATTAGCCAATGATGTAACACAGGTGGTGTACTTCTACAAATGTCCTGAAAGAGTTCTACCAATGCAGATTTAGAGCCTGGATCCGAAGAGGACTTATTCTTCGCAGCCTTCTGAGCGGCATCCAATTTCATGAACAATTTACGATCATTTGAGACAACACCCAGTCTCTTTCTTTGATCACTAATAATACTTTTCATTGTAGCGACATCTTGCACAAATTCAATAACTCCCAGATTCTCAGCTAACGGGACAACCGCATAGTTGGAAATAGAAAGATTTCTCTTTCTAGTTTCGTTACTAGCTAGCAATAACCGGTTAATCATAGTTGTAAACTCTACGACCTTTGCATCTTTTCGAGTATCATCTTTCTTAACCATTAATCGATAAACATTGAAATCAGATCCACGTATAGTCACCTGTCTTGGCATTTGAAGAGATTGAAATATGTATGCCATATCGTCGAATCCATCAAAAGTAACAGATGCAGATTTCGGAAATGCAGTAAAGGATTTAGGAGTGTGCTTGGTTGAAGGGAGTCTTATTTCAAGATTAGATCGGACAGGTATAACAAGTGCATCACACGGATTATTCATATTGTTGACTCCAAAATCTTTACTGAGGGACATTTTTCTTACCGATTTCTTCTGAATCTTGAAATTGGCAATTTTCTTTAGATTTGAGAATAGATGTTCAGCAACAGAAATAATGCTTCCAAGGGCTGGTTTAACCAGTTGCGCATCCGCTAATGCTGCACTGACTCTATCTCTCCGAATTTTGTCATTCGATTGAAGATGTGACAATGCAAACCATAGACTGTATTTAGGATACGCTTGAATTAGATTTGATATGATGATCACAAGAAGTTTGGAAGATGGTTCATGGCTATGTCCAATTCTAGATAATAGCTGCGTAATCGAAGTGTACCAAACATAAATTGGAACAGTATTAATAGATGTTTTAATATCCATAACAATTTGATTAAGCTTCCTCTCAGCTTCTTTAGATCTCCTGTCTTTCTGTGCAAAGTCGAGCCAAATCGTTATCAATTTTGGGAGCGCTTCAAATATATAGCTAGGTCCCAAAGCCAACGATTTTAAAAAGTATCGGATGGTTTGTTGTTCATAATATCCAGACAGGTCAGTTTGAGAAGCCATAATTTTGCTATAATACTTACCTAAATCATAATAAGGCTTATCCCACGTAGATTCCAATTGATATGCTTTGATGTACTCGCTGATGATAGTTGCAGAGGAACTATGGTTTGATTCATCCAACCATACAGCATATTGCAATTGTACTTTTGCTCTTTGTTGGGAAGATTTGAATGCTTCATCTTCAATAATACTAGAGAGCGATTTGATCGCCTCTGTTTGCCTTCCTTGGGCCCAGAGAAGTTCCGAATATTCAATATTTGCATCTTGATCGTTCAATGCCATTGCCTTCATAATACACCTAGTAGCTACATCAAAACGTTCACTATTACGTGATGATTCAGAGCAACGAAGTAAAATTTCACCAGTTTTGGGTTTATCTTCAATAATTACACTTGCAACGTAGTGAGTGGCCAAGATTTTCCATTGAGATTCAAAACTTTGGTCTATATTAGCCAAGCGTTCTTTTAAAATAGCTTCATTTTGTTGTTTTAACGTTGCATCACGTTGGACATCTGGTGAGACTATTAATGTCAAATCATATAAAGTGTGAAGATGGGACATAAGAAGGGAATTTCTTGAAAATGACGAGGACATAGAAGATACCAAAGAATCTCCTATTATCCCATAAAGTTGTTCTAAACATCCGTTGAATTCATTTCTATTTCCTTCATTCAAAAATTGCAAACCTTTGGCAAGTTGGTAATTTATCAATGTATCCTTATCCTGGGATTTACGTGCTGTTAAATCAGCAACATATATCCATTTTTTGAGTTGCGGTATATTTGCTGAGCCTACGGAGGCTTGTAAACCTGCCATTGTCCAATCAATGGGGATGCTTTTCAAGTTATCAAGATCAACTTTAGCACCCAAATTCGACAAAACTTCTTCATATAAAGCATGTTCACCAAGGGAGGCGAGAAGTTTGGTATTATTGTCGTTGTTTTTACGCATATCTCCCGAACCGCTGAGAACCTGAAACGACTCTTGAGCCAAAGACCAATCTTCATTGTATTGAAATGTTGCCAATTTATCATTCAAGTTATTTGTCGAAAATTTCTTTAAAATACCGCCTAATGCATCAACATCATTAATACTTGCATACATATTCTGAAGAGTAGGTACAATTCCTAATCCACCAATAGTGTGCGACTCGCCTATATTTTCATCCCTGTAACATTTTTCTAAATATAAGATTGTTCTTTCATATGAATCACACTCTGCGGATTTGATTGCAATCAATGACATGGGAATTTCATCTAAAAAGGTTTTAACCAACGAAAGACTTTGTTTTAATTTTTGAGAATCTGATTTTGTCAGTTGATTATCATTTTGATACTGGGTTGCGACAGAAAACCATTCGTTGAAGTAGTCCAATACCTCAAATACAGATTGGAAACAACTTACTAACAGCTCTGATCTATCAGGAGGAATATCTCTAGAATCAAATTGTAAGATGTTTAAGAATTCTGTTTTGATATCTTCAAACGAGGATTCATCACCATTAATAACAAGTGAAAGTGATACATATTTTAACAAGTAATTGCAAATCGAGATATCCTGATCCCGCACTAACATGGAACATGTTTGAAATATAACACATTTGGCACATTCATCATCTTTATTTATTTGACTAGACCGTTTTAAAAGATTCGACGTAAAGTCAATTAACCATTTCTCGTGTTGCATACTAACCTTGTAAAACGGATAGTTTAACGGTTCATATTTACTAACAGGAGAGATATACTTCGAAGATAGTAAAGGGGTCAATGTGGATTTGGCGAGGTCACTATATTCATTCCATACATCAACAAACTTATCCTGTGTATCTGGTGTTAATACCGATTCCCCTAATTTCAAAACTTCCAAGAATTTCTGCATTGAATAAGCGGAAAACAATTGCTTTACAGGATTATTAGAAGCCCAAAATGCTTTGATGACGATTTCTTCCATAAAGTGTCGTAAAAAAACCGTATTCTCTCGATAATCTGCAAAATCATGGATTACTATCACTTGTTCCTTGATGGATTTCAAACTAAACTTATTAGGATCCAATGCACCTATAATCGATATAGCCTTTGCACAAGAATTTGAAATTTTGGGATTCTTACTCCGGAAGTTCTGGGCAGTATCAAGTAAAGTACGGAGAAGTTCTGATACACTTTTTGCAACCAAAGGATCTTTAAAATCTTCAGCTTGACAATTTCTTTGATATTTTGTTGTAAAATTTTTTAAATCGGCAAGGGCCTGTTGAACAACATATTTGTTTCCCGTTTGAAGTCTACGGGTAAACTCCGGAAAATGATTGAATTTTGATTTTTGTCTCATCAAGTTCCGAAAACTGGAATGTAATTGATAATATTTATCCAACCCATCAACAAATGGGACAGAAAAGAAATAAAGTGCATATTTGTTATACTTGTCTCTTAATTCAAGGAATAACTTTTTTAATATTTCAACCGCAATCAATTTTGATCTATGTTCTAATTGATTGAATTTTTGAAAGATTATTGAGATGATAATGTCAAACAATGAAATGAGATGTTTTGTTTCAAGTTTCTGTACTAAAACATTCCAACAAGTGATTGCTGGAAGTTGAAAGTCAGAATTTTCCAAGGTTGCTTGTAAACAAGTTGATATTTGACCAAGCGCAGTAGACGCAGCCGTAATGTTTCTATTAATCAAAAATTCAATTGCTTTCAACGAGCTTACTTTTTCCAAATAAGGTCGAGATCCTTTGATATGATGAACATTTTCAGAAAATCTTTGCACTAGTTCCAATACATGGTCCCCCAATAAATTTTCAATAAAATCAAAGTTTTGTGGCCGTTTTTTGGGATCTTCCCCATTTCGAATCAAATTCATTTTTCCAACATATGTCAAGGCATTCAAAATTTGATTCTCATTGACAAATTTACCACTTTCATCATTTCTAATTTGTAAAAGAATGAACCATGTAATACCACCGATACTAGCCATTAAATCCATCATTTTAGCAGATTTGTATTCTGGAGTTACGTTTCCCAAGACTCCAATAATATACGTTTCATTGATTTTTTCATTCTTACAAAGATAAGTAGCAATTATTCGAGGAAGATTCTTACTGATCAATTGCCATTTTGTTACCCCAGAAGCGTCCGAAATTTCTTGAATGAAATCATGTTTATAGTATTCCAAGAGCCTAGGGGTAGTATATTCCTTTGTCCTACTAAGGAAATACTTTTTGGAAACTCCTAAAAGTTCGGTGATTTTGAGTAACATTCTAGGCTGTTTGACGATTCTTTCAGCAATACTTGGTAAAAACGGAGATAAAAGTTTGTACGGAGTAATACATTTTGCAGCCGCAATATTCAAGAATGTACAATATACAAGATTGACATGTTGCTCGTTAGTCTCACCAAATAGATCAATAAGTTTAATAAACAATGCACATAAGATCTCTCCATCCGAGACAGTTGCTAATTCACCCAATGCAAAAATTGTAGACTCTGCTCTATATATACAACCGCTCTCATTATCGAATTTTATCAGGGAAAGTCTACCAAAAATTTCTTTAAAACTTGATTCTAATACGCCATCTTTAGGAAATATAAGGTATAATGGGAGAATCCTACCAGCAAGTAATCTAACATCTCTATTTGTACTTGTTTCAAGGCTGTTCATAATAAACTTGAAGGCCACATCTTCACGAGCACTATCATTCAGGGTGGGTGGTGGTGGTGGTCGAAATGAAGAAAATATCTTGAACAATGTCAACAACATTGCTGAGCTCATGATCGAGTCCGTCATGATGTCTTTTCCTCTCTTTTTTAATAGATACTCAACAATAACATTCTTGAAATAAAATGTCATAATGCTATTTTCAATTATTGGCTTTCTCGAGGGCAGGATCTCATCATAACATGTCTTTTTCATTGGAGAATTCCCACAACAAATCAGACATTCATTAACAGCAAATGAATAGTCCCCTTGAACCAAACATGGGAAGTGACCTAAAGCATTTATGAAGGTTAACAAGGACTCCCTCGAGTCTAGAAGACCATTTTTGTCGTTAATAATATCACTAACATAATTTAACCAATGCATATAATCAAACGAAGTCAGGGATTCATCCACAAGTTGATCATTAGATACAGAACTATATGGTTTCAGAGAAATAAATTCCAATAGAGTTGCTTTAGCAGAAAAGGTATTTTGAGATTCTGTAGATCCACGTACATCTAATATAGAGTATCGTAATTGTTCAAGTTCAGAGTCTTCAAATGGATATACAACTTGTTTGTTTTTGTTCAAGGTTTGATAACTCGATACAATCGGTTGATGTTTACAAAGTACCGCATATTGGAAATAAATGATATGGAAAGTCTTGAGAATTATATCGGGGAATTCTGGGAATAATTCCACTGTAGGAATAATTGTTTCAAGTTGAAGAACACTTAAAAATGGTAAGATAGTATCCTTTTCAATGCATAGGATGAAAACTTTCATCAGACAATAGCTGATAGATCGATTCAACATGATTAACTGCTTGTTGAGTTTACTTGTATTTACTGTGTTATCGTCAAGCAGCTGTATGTGGTCCACAATCCAGCTAGCAACGAGTGAAATTTGGGAAAATTTGACAGTATTATTTATTATCAAATTATTGGTAAGATTAAGGATTATGATAGACTTCAAATTATCAATTAGGGATAATATGACACTATCGATACTTGTGATGACTATACCAAGGTCAATTGACCCCAATAGAAACCAAAGTTTCCTTGCAAACGATTCTAATTTCAATTCCGTGCTGACATTATTCAATGAAAGTTTTACTGAAATATCATAATCGTTGATGATAGTGAACAAATGAACAGTGGCAGCCAATCTTCCTTTATAATACAGTTCCAAATCAACTAGCGAATTTGCATATCCAATTTTAGCGAAGAGGTCAGTTAAACTACCTTCAAATGTTTTCAAAAGAAATACTTTGATCTGTGCTTTATGTCTAAAGCTATGTAATTTTGTAGTGACTAAGTTAATTATAGCGATCATTAAAGACTTTAATAGATCACAAATAACTCCATTATGTGGGAAATGAGTCAAATTTGACAAGACATATAGTATAATCCATTCATAAAGAAGATTAGTTTCTGAATCCAAATCTGTAAATGTATTCGTTTTGGTATAATTTCCTGCAAGGGCAAGTTTACATTCTGCAGAAGTAAGGGTTGAATTTAATAGATGCTTTTGCTTTGTAAGAACAAGTTCTATTGCTGATATCAATCTTTGTAAGAGATGGATATTTTCTTCATTTGAAAATGTTGATTCAGTCCGTTTAACATCTTCAAGACGAGCACTTGCAAACCCAAAAAGGTAGAATGTAAGTTTACGAAAGTCAGTTGCATCATCTTTCCCAATACTTTTATCTAAATCATTTAAAAAGAGAGTTATCTCAGGTATGCTAATTGTATGGAATGTCGCCATACAGAATCATTAGTCTATTGTACAATGATAATTGGCAGCTTATTTTCAAGCTATATTAAAAGAAACAAAGATTTAGGTTATGAAAGGTAGATAATCTTCTTGAATTGATCTCTCCTCTGCTTGAAAATTAAAAAGAAAATGAACTTTCTTTGCTATTCATTCTTTGTCTACACGTTAATACAAGATATATGTAAATATAATAATAATAGTAGTTTGTAATATACAGGATAGGCCCTTAACGTTTGAAAACACACATTAATATATAGAATTGGAATATGAAATTTTCAAAGTGAAAGGTTGGTACTTTGACGATTGGTGCAATGTTATGGAAAGCAGCACGAAGGCTGATGAAGATGACGATCAAGATTTCGGAAGGAAAAAAATCAAATTATAAACAAATGAAAGTGAATACTATAGCATTAATTTTATAGCGCGATTTTATTCAAAAATTAATGAGCTTGTTGATAATTTATAGGTCTTTTGAAAAGCAAGATATGAGGTTCTGGAGCATGGGTTTCGTAGTGAGCCCAGCCAAGCGATTGAGTAATCCCAAGCCCACGCCATTCTTCTTCGAGTAAAATTCTTAAAGTTCCAGTTTCTGGATTGAAATAATCTTGTGGGATTGCCTTAAGCATATTTTTGGGGAGCATTACATGTCTGTATTCGTGGGTATCGTCACTGTATCTAGGACTATAATGAATCATATCTTGAAACTCAAGAATCTTAGCTCTCTCAGTATCGGACAAGTATCTAGGCTTGGACATTTTTGAACGAGTGTGAAGTAAATAATGGAAATATCGGGTTCTCTTAAAAAGGGGAGAAAGAATGAACACGGATTGAAATGAACGTGTGGGTTTACACCTAATGAAGGGGTAGTCTTATTTTTTTAGACGTATAATTTAGCGACTACCGAAGGGTGTGAAAGATTGGAAGATAGCTGAACCAATATTACTGGAACCTAGAAAGAAATAAAATAACAATGGCTTTCTTCTGAGAGTTTGTCGTATCAGTTTCTCGCTTCGATCGGATTACATTTCGCATTTTTTCATCGGCTGAGTTAAAATTCATTTTTCCCCATCATACTGTGTGGTCGTGCAAAGACAATTCGGGCCACTATGTTTTTTATCACTCTATATGCAATCCATACTCCATATAATTTGAATCCTAATAATTGACTTAAAATGAAATTGAGTTAAAGCTTACTTTACACCAATATACCCTAATTTGGATACAAGAAAAAAAAAAGAACAAAGGAGGGCCAGAAATTATATTTACGGCGTTTACGATATTTCATATTAAGGTTATTTTTGTACTTGTTTATACGTTAGTAAAAAATAATAGTTAAAGACTATTTCTAATTATCTTTTCGTTTCTATGCTTTTCTAATTCCTTTTTTTTTGTATTTGCATTTATGATGGATGGCGTCTATTATGCTATATACTGCAAAAATATAAATATTAATAAACCCAAAGGATTTCATATGGAAGTTAAAGCTTGGAATAATGTGAAAAATTCAAATAATATTGTGCTATTGGAACCAAAATACTCAGTTAATGACGAGCCAAGTGAATTCTTTAAGGGTATGCAGGAACAATGCAACCAAGTAAGAAATAAGTTCAACACTATTAGACACTTTATGGTTGTGGTACCTGGTGAGATCCTAGATTTGACTCTATGGACACGAGAACTTCAATACTGGATAGAGAATAATGAGGTCCATTTAGCTTTATCACTTCCTGTTGGTGCTTATGAATTTTGGTCCAAGTTAGAATTTAAATTGAGATATCCGGAACAATTATCAGTCTTTTTATACATTGATCAAAACATACGACAGACATTAGATTTAGTTAAATGGTTACAAGAACCTGTCAGCGCCATAGTTTTATCATTTGGTGATGAATTTGAAGAATTTTTATCAAGGGATTATATAAGACAATTTCTTGTGATGATTTGCACCCAAAGGAAACCATTAATTACATTGACAATGGATTCAGAACAATGTACGAAAACTGCAGATATGATCTTGAAATATGTCAAATCTTTATTAATCGAAGGACCAAATATTATGTCAATCGAGGAAGATGTAATCCGGGACCCTTTACAACCTCTAAGAGATGATTTATCCTTAGATATATATGAAGTATTTGAGCGTGATGAAAATAAATACAAGATGTACGAGAATGCAATTAAACAAGCCTTATTTGATTTGGATAGGACCTGTTACTCCACATTAACAATCCTTGTTATAGGACCAGGAAGAGGACCATTGATAGATATTGTTATGCGTAATTCTTCGCAATTAAAGAAACCTTTTAAATTGGTTGCACTTGAAAAAAATACTACTTGTTCAAAGATCCTTGATAAGAAAAATATTGAGGATTGGGATAATAACGTGAATATCATATATGATGACTTACGACATTTCATTGACAATAACCAATGTCAGGTATGTTTTAACTTAATTATTTCCGAACTACTTGGATCATTTGCCTGTAATGAACTTAGTCCTGAGATTCTAGATGATTGTGAAAAGATACGATTTGCCGATACAATTATAATACCCACTAGTTACCTGAATTATATCCAACCAATTTATTCCCCCGTATTGTGTCAGATGACCAATCGCATAGCGTTGGAACAGCCATATGTGGTGAATACCAAACCTTACTCGATACGACAAATTCTGGACATCTACATGGCATGGGATTATAGACATCCGGGACAGAATTCTTTTCTGAAAGAGATTCATGTTGTGATTGATCTACCAACTAAGGGAGAGATAGTTCACGGTTTCTTGGGATATTTCCAATGTAACCTTTACGCAGATTTCAATATTGGAATCCACCCTAATCAAGTTGGATCTATGGAATATTGTTCTTCATGGGCACCGTTATATTTCGCTTTACGCGAATATATTACCGACAGTTTTACGTTTGTCTTGAAGAGAAAGTTTGATAAAACTTCAGTTTGGTATGAATGGGGAGTTAACAAAGTTACCAATAATATAGATGGTAAAGTATATAGAATTGGAAAGAACTAATAAAGAAATCAATCTTGATTAATACAGTATTTCCTTTGGGGCAGTCGGTGAAGTTTTTGTTCTAGTAGGTGATTTGTCTCTTGATTTACGATCGCTTGATCTATGATCACCACTTCTATGACTTCTATCACGATGACTACGTTCTCTATCACTGCTTGATCTGTGTTCTTTTTCTTGCCTTTCATATCTCCTTCTATCTCTATGCCTTGAACTCAGATCTCTTGAGCTCAGATGCCTTGACAGACTACTTCGCAGCTCTCTATCTTTTTCAGTTCCATTTGGGCCCAGCTTATGTCTACTAATACGAACTTGCTGTTTAATTTTCATCAAAGGGTCATCGCCAAAAGATAATGCATTTCCACTAGAGGAAGGTTTAGTTCCAATAACCTTTTCCAATCTACTACTTTGAACATTAATCATCAGTCTTCCTGATAACATATCCTCAACTTTTTTCTTTCCTTCAAGAAACTCTCCACTCATTTCATTGAATCCGCTAGAATTCTTATTTGGTGTATCATACATCCACCCAAGTTTATTGAGTTCTACCTTTTTCTCGGAAGGTATTGACTTAATATCATCTCCATATTGTAACCTAATGAGCTCTTCCTTTTCACGTTCCTCTTCAAGTTCTTTTTGTCTTTCTTTTATTTTTTGATGTTCTTTTAAGGCATCCTGTTCTTGTTGCCATATCTTTTGTTGATTCTTAACCAAACCTGGATGCCATGACTTTTTCAAGTTAAGATCACCTGGCATATTATTCTTGTTATAATAAAAAGTAGATAAATATATTTAAAATAGTTGCAAAAGAATAAAATTTTAGTTCTCATATCAACTTCACGTGTTTTACCACAGAAATTTAGAATTTGCCTCTCAAACTAATTCTACAACTAAAGGGATAATTTACACTAAAATCCTTAGCAAAACCTATCAATATCTAAGTACTCTACAATAATATACTTTATACTTATTCTGTATATTGATCAAAAACTCTATATAAGTGTTAAAGGTTCCAATACTAAATTGGTAAATTCCTTCAGTTCTCGTTCTCTGAACATAACCTATATTTAATAGTTTCAAGGGTAATTCTAAATAGATTTAGAAACCGTGAATCTTGATATTCTTCTTTGGAAGTTGTAAAGAAGTAGTCAAAAATTCACTGACCTTAACTCTTTGATCACCTTGAAGTTGGATAACTTCTCCCAATTCTTCATCCTTAACGATGTTACCGTTACAGGCGAAATCTTTCTTCAAGACCTTCAAGATCTTCTTCAAGTCATATTCTGCTGGTAAACCTTGAACAGTAGTTAATGTCTTACGTCCATTACGTTGCTGAATACGGATATGAATGTAGTTCGTTGGCTGAGCTTCCGAATCTCCAGTGTCAGCAAAAGGATCTAATTCGATTGTTAGTACTTGTTCTAAATTACATTATCTTCATGATATAATAATATGGAGGTCACATATAAATATATAGTCATCACTTGGCGCAACAATTATATTCTTATCCTCTTTTGATTCTGTTCTATTGCTTCCACCTTGACATGAAGTATCAAATGACATGCACTTCCACACATTCACTTAATCTAACCTGTATTTACATACCAAATGCGTTTAAGTTCTGGATAGTAGACATATATAGGAAAACTGGTTAAGTTTTTCAAAACTTTCTGTTATAGATATAATATATATTATAGATATGTCACTCACTCACTCACTCAACAATAAAAAAAAAAAAAAATAGAATCCTTCTTTTCTTTTTTTTTTTGAAATGGTTACCCGGACAGAAATTTAGGAGATAGGAATCAAAACCTAAAGGTCACGCCACACGAGTCACGTGTTCCATAATGAAGTAAGAATGTATAGGAAATTTTAATATTCATAGAAGGAATTAAATAATTACCTAAAAAAAACAAATAGTAAAAGACTAATCAATTTAAAGGCATATGTAATCAAAGTTAAATAAACTATTTTTTTTTTGACTGGAGAGTCAGATTGATATAATCGTCAATTTAAAAATTAGATTAACCCCAACAATCACACGACTTCATTGATAACAAATTACAAAGGTGATACCCAAACAATTGCATGTGATAGTAGCCCCCGAAGGACAATATAGATGACACAAAGCCAAGGAGAAGCACCGGCTTAAATCCATAAACTCCAATCTTCCCTTAATCTACTAATAAATATAGCGTATTATTCGGTATATGAGTTGAAGCATATATTCACATTTTCACATATGTAATTATATCTGCGCAACTATCTATTGATTACTAGCACTAGAATTCAGAGCAACCACTGTATATCTCTCTCCGGCATTTGTGCTAATTATTTTTTTTTTTCCATTTAATCAATTATTTATTTTTTGGATTTTTTCCTATTATTTTCTCAATTTGGTTGTAAGCTCAACTTTTTTTTTGAAAATTTAAGTAAGAGCAACGCATAAACAGATCAAATTCATTTTTGATTAAGACAAAAGTTGTATTACTCTAGTACTTCAATTAATTGGTTTGGCCCTGTTGTTATTATATTTCAACCACTGTATCCATCCCTAGTGTTGAGAGCTGATTTCATAGTAAATAAAAGTATCATTTAACGGGGATTAATCAAATATCTAATCAATTTATTATTTACCCACAAACATCATTAATAATTCATAAAGTTTCATAATAAAAAATACATCATTGACTACGAAGATCACCTATAAGAATTAACTATAATGAGTGAGAAGGAGCTTCAATCAAAGACCGTCAAGAAAGACGTCCAGGAAATATCCAATGCATCTGAGAAGATAACCGAAACTCCCGTTGTTGCCACCAAGGAAATTGAAACTAAAATTGTAAATAATGACAAGGAAAAGAAGAAACAAGCATTCATAACCAGAACCATATGGACGATTGTGATGATTGGCTATTTCTTTGGAGTAATTGCTGGGGGTCATCTCGCCCTTATTGCCACTGTGTTTATTTTCCAAACTCTTACTTTTAAAGAAATCATTGCTTTAACCTCTGAACCAGCAAGAGATAAGAATATTCCTTATAATAAATCATTAAATTGGTACTTTTTGTTTGCCAGTGTTTATTATTTGGATGGTGAAAGTTTTATACATTTCTTTCAAGAAACTATTTACTCAAACAAATTGTTATCAATTTTAGCAATTCATCATAAATTAATTTCTTATTCTCTTTTCATTGCTGGATTTATTTTCTTTGTTTGGACTTTGAAAAAGGGATTTTACAAGTTTCAGTTTGCTCAATTATGCATTACCCATATGACATTAATTTTAGTTGTTTTCCAAAGTCATTTAATTATGGATAACATTTTAAATGGTATCATTTGGTTTGTCCTTCCTTGTTCTTTGGTTATTGTTAATGATATTTTCGCATATCTTTGCGGAATTACCTTTGGTAAGACTCAATTGATTGAAATTTCACCTAAGAAGACAGTTGAAGGATTTGTAGGTGCTTGGATCTTTACTGGGATTTCTGCCCTGATCTTTTCACATTTTGTTAGTAAATCAAATTATTTAATTTGTCCTGCTGAAAATTTATCAACAACTATCTTTGACTTCCCAGCTTGTGATCCAAATCCTGTTTTCATTGCTCAATATTATCAAGTTCCAAAAGATTTAGTGGAATACTTAAACGTTGAATATTTAATGTTTAAACCAATCTATTTCCATGCTGCTATTTTGGCAACTTTCGCATCTTTAATTGCACCATTTGGTGGATTTTTCGCATCTGGATTGAAAAGAGCTTTTGGAATTAAAGATTTTGGTGATACTATCCCAGGTCATGGTGGTGTAACTGATAGAATGGATTGTCAATTTTTAATGGGTTCATTTGCTTATTTATATTACCAAACATTCATCTCGACACATAGCGTTAATGTTGGCACTGTTTTACAAATGGCTGTGATTAATTTAACGGTTCCTCAATTGATTCAACTTATTAAATCATTGTTGAAATACTTGCATAATTCAAGTACAATTGATGAAGAAACGTATAGTAAGATTGTTGAACTTTTAGGTAATTAAAAGGACTACATTAGATATACATATATACAATAATATAAAATAAGATGACATTTTGAAATAGTTCAAGTAAGAGAGAATAGAATAAGGTGATATTTTGAAAGACTTGATTTAAGTGAATAAGTTGTAACAATTGATGGTTAGGCGACGAGAATTAACGAACTTCTTTTCTTTGATTTGTGTCATTGAAGAATTACAATATCGAAGGTCAAGGAGTGATCAGTATAATGCTGGTATAGAGAAGGGAACAATAGATGAGTAAGGTACGTTTCATTTTTGTTGGTATTAGTTCTCTTCTTCATTCTTCATTTTGACACATGTACCTGCCTCATATATAGATTATCCTGGATGTATCGCTAGAAAAGTTTATAGAACAATGGTGTCCAGCATTTATGCTTTTGCTGACTGGAACCTTTGCAAGAAACCATGCAATGCATGGACATGTTAATAATCAATGTCACTGCCTAAAAGAAGCTTGCAAATATCCGAATTGGTCTATACAATACCATTTCAGTACTCCATATCCCAAACTCGGTAGTGAGCCAGCAGCCAAGTCGTTATGCAATGAATCGCCTGTATGCAGACCAGCCTTATTTTGGCGAGAAAACCGATATATATGCAGGATTTTAGATACTATCCTGCAGATTGCACACTGGTTTGCTGGTTGCAACATCGTATCGAGCAATTTTGCAGTCAAAATACCAGACATGGCAATTCAACGATCTTTCATCACGTACAGTTAAGAAATTCCACAGCCAAGATGTACGTCGGCACATCCCTCCAGTGAACAAAAATATTTATATATATATATATGTACATTCCCAAATTTAAAGTATTGTCGCCTTCTTATTACATATTATCACACTAACAACATTCTACATACTCAATTGACTTGATCGATTCTTATCTTCATTCTTTTGTTAAGATCTCATTCAGTCCAATACACCCACTTTCGTTTACAACATACCACAAGTCACTCTTTTGCTTACATTCCCACTAAAGTCACATTCTTTTAAAATATACAATGTTGTTCAACATTCTTACCTTGATATCCGCAGTACAGCTCGTGTCTGCCATTCCTTTACCGCTTATGGTGACCCGTATGCATACTGCACCTACCGTCACAGTCACAGATACAAGAACTACAGCCACTGCTACTGTGTACCTTCCACCAGTTGAAGTACTTATTTCTGATGGCGTCACTTATACCTTCACTTTAAATGACCAACCCGCTGCACAACCAACAACTTTTACTAGCATTATTGAAAAGGATCAGAATATTGCAACTAAAGACCCAGTTCCTGAAAATACTGATACTGCTCCAGCCCCAGCGGAAACTCCTGCAGCTCCTGCAACTCCTGCAACCCCAGCAGCTCCAGCTACTCCTGCCACCCCAGCAACTCCAGCAACTCCAGCAACTCCTGCTACTCCTGCCACCCCAGCAACTGCCGCCACTCCTGCAACAGATGCAGCTGCTCCAACCACACCTACCACTTTGCAATCTCCTACAACTACTTCATTAGCTACAACTCCACCTCAAAATTCTCCACCAGCACCAGCTACCACTGAACAGCCAGCTACCACTGAACAACCTGCTACCACTGAACAACCTGCTACCACTGAACAACCTGCTACCACTGAACAACCTGCTACCACTGAACAACCTGCTACCACTGAACAACCTGCTACCACTGAACAACCTGCTACCACTGAACAACCAACCACCACTACTCAAGCTACTACTTCTCAAACCTCAACTTCTAAGCCGGTTACTACTGGTTCCCAACTTTCTCCCCCACTGTACATTGTCTATTCTCCATATCAAGACTCTGGTGCATGTAAGGATGCAAACACAATTTCTGCTGACCTTGAATATATTAAGAGCAAGGGTATCAACAAGTTGAGAATCTACGGTACTGATTGTGGAAACTGGGACACTGTTTTACCAACTGCAAAGCTGTTGGGTATGACCGTTAACCAAGGTTTCTGGATCGGTCCATCTGGTGCTTCTTCTATTTCTGCCGGAGTTAGTGAACTTCTTGATTACGGACAAGCTAACGGTTGGGATATTTTTGAATTTATCACTGTTGGTAATGAAGCCATAAATGAAGGTTATCTTACTGTCGATCAATTAATAACTGAAATTCAATCCATTAAAAGTCAATTAAAATCTGCTGGCTATAATGGTAAGGTTACAACTTCTGAGCCTCCAATTTCTTTTATTAACCACCCTAAATTATGTACTGCTTCAGGAATTGATTTTGTTGGCATTAATCCACATTCCTACTTTAACACTGGAATTTCTCCATCTGGTGCTGGTGACTATGTCATGAGTCAAAAGCAAGACGTTGTTGACGCTTGTAATGGAATGAATGTTTTCATAACTGAAACTGGATATCCATCCCAAGGAAACACAAATGGGTTAAACGTACCAAATCCTCAAAATCAACAAATTGCTATTTCTTCTATAATGTCCGCTACTGGTGGTGATGTTACCATTTTGACCACCTACAATGACTTCTGGAAAGAACCAGGTCCATATAACATTGAACAATATTTCGGTGCCATTTCCCTTTTCAATTAAACTAACAAACTCTGCATAAAGTGTCTATACGACGTGTATAATAATAATAATAATGATATAAGATTAAGAATTGTCTATGTAAATTAAAAGTCAATTATTTGGTTTGGGAAAAATTCATCTATCAAATCCAAATAGTATTGTTTAATGTCTTCAACATCGTATTGTTTATCTGTCTTGGAATACAAATCATATGTATTAAATGTTTTCACTGCCTTAAGCATTTCTTTATCGTGGTCATCCATAAGGTAAGTGTATGCATCTTCGTGATGCCAAGGATAAAATGAATGGTACCGTATCATAGCTAATGCCTCCTTTGGAAGGGTAGAATTAGTCTTTGCAACATGATACATGTATTCATCATGACCCCAACTAAGCATAACTTTATCTAATCCACAATTTTTAGAATAAATCCCATATTTTGTATTATATAATGGATTTAAAATATCTGGATTCCCTTTGAAACTATCAGGAAATATAATCTTTCGCAGAAACTTACATCCCACCGGGAAAGTATCTCCAACCACATCCCATTGTCCTCGGGAGTCGAAAAAGTATAGCAATTTACCTAAATCATGTATGAGCCCAACAAGTTGGAACCATCGTGGTTTATTATCTCTTCTAATGGCTTCAGCAGTCTGTAATGCATGATCAATCTGTGAAAGCTCTGTATCAGGATCACTATCATCCAAAAGTTTATTTAATTTTTCTAATCCTTCCCAGACAGTCATACGGGCTCTTGTTTTCGTCTTGAAGTTAATACGTGCTTGAATATTATATGCTACAGTTTGGAATTCATGTTGCTCTTGATAAAATTGCTTCACTCGGTCACATGCAAGTTCATACTGACGGAATGATTTAGAATCCACATTTTTATAATATTGTGATTCTTCAGACCAATCGTCTGGTGCCAGATTTGATTCTGGCGTTGAGTTTTCTTCTAATCCAGACTCCTTCTGTCGTATGTTTTCATCGACATGTTCTTGCTTCAATTTCGATTTTATTTGATTTACCTTTAAAACATCTTCATCAAGTTTCTCCAAAATCTTGCCATCCTTCAACTTATTTTTCATATTATTACCATCATTTTTTACTTCCTTCTGTATGGCATTTACAGATATCCCTTTAGTAGTCATATTAATTTCAAGCAAGAACTGATGTTCTATTTCGTTCTCTTTTAAAAAAAAAGACCTAAATAATATAATTCATTTTCATATCGCGATTTTTTGTTTAGTTGAAGTTTTTGCAACATTTTAAAATACAATTCAATGCAAACAACTTCCCAGAGATAATGTTGGATATATTTCAAAAAATAATAACTACTTATACTAAGTATGTTATATTGAGTAAGTGGTATGATGTCTATTCAAAAAGCTAATAAAAAAAAAAATTCATAGTTAAATATAAATATAATAAATAATCATCGACGTGTGTAAACTTTTTGCTTTAATACGTTGCAATTAAATAATAACTTAATATAATTATTTAAAGTATATTACCACTTTAAATCTATTGTAAATGTTTATTAATCTGTAAATGAAAATTATTACTCTATTAAATTAAAGGGGAAAGAATAAAGTTTTCTTGTAACTTCTTCTATGGGAATTCTTCATCACTGGTACTTGAGTCTTTCTTTTTGTTATCGTCAATACTTCCATAGTTTTCAACATTAACAATTTCTCTAGCTTCAAAAGTCTTTCTTTCCAAAGCAGTAAATTCATTACCTGAGATCTTAGCATACATGTACTGCACAGCAAGTCTCAAACCAATGAAAACAAAAGTGATTACAAGTCCTCCAAATGGTGCAATGACAAAGGCTCCAAAAGCACCCCAATCATTTTCATCATAAATACCATTCCAAATCAACAATAACTTACCACCATCTCTAGCATTTCCATAGTAAACAGTTCCAAAAATGAAGACTCCCAATAAAGCACCAAATCCACCAACCATAACATCTAACCCAGTAAGGAACCAAAAGTAACTATCACTTAAGCCCAAGAAAATGACTGGGATAATGGCAGCTGAAACCAAATCAGCAATTAAATAGATTTGTAAAATATTGTCAGCAACTTTAACCGCAAGAACAACAATTGGAACCATAATAAGAACAACCATTCCTCTAGTATACAAAATTGGTAATTTATTTCTGAAAACATCATTAGAAATAGTAGAGACCATGGCAGATTGTAATGAATCAAAGGTACAAGTTGAAAGAGCAATAACGAAAATAATCACAAATGCAACCAACCATTTAGGCATCTTTTCTAATAAGATGTAAAAGGCTAAATATCCATCTGGATCATTCACAGTTAAATCTCCAGACCAAACTGCCAACATACCTGGAATTCCGACCAAGGTACAAATTGCAAAAGTGACAAATGAAGCAATAGAAGTTCCAATCAATAAATCCTTATTAGTTTTAGAGGCAAAAGTTCGAAGCCAAAAGCCAGCCATAAAACAATCATTAGTAAGAATTGCAACAAATAAGATATAAAGTAATTGCCAACCTAATTTATTTGCCTTCAATAAGCCAGATTCTCCAATTTTAGAAGTATCAATTTCAATGTATGAACCCATACCTGCAGAACAAATAATAATCAATAAGAGAACGCAGACACCTTGAAAGTTGTCAGTAATAAAACTGACATGAAATCCACCAATTGAAGTGTAAATAGTTGTAACCACACATTCAACAATAACTGCACCTAAAGCATTCAAACCAGTAAGAGTTTCAATGGCACTTCTAATAGCCGAAAGTTCACCAACCATAAAGAGGAACATAGTCAAACAAGTGAAAAAGGACAAGTACAAAGCAGTAACTGGTCCAAATCTTTGTCTAACCCATTCAGTTAAAATAAAACCTTCAGGACATTTTTTTCTAATTAGTGGTCCAATGGCTGCGAAACCAAGAATTGGAATTGCACCAGTAATTGTGTAAACAAGAAGACCATGCAATCCTGCAATATTAGCAATTTGAGTATAAGTTGTTAAGATACCACATCCCATAGCTAATTCGTTAGTAAAGAAACATAATCTACAAAAACTATTAATCAAAAATATCATACGGGGTCTCGTTCATCAACAAACTCCTCACAAAAGTTTATGGGACAGTTTTTATGTTTTCAGTCATTTTAAAAGGTCACGTGAGCAAAATGTATTGATAACATGTTTGTCCATGTTTGACATTATCTAAGAAAAAAATAATAATAAATTGCAGCAATTTATGATAGATATTGTGTAATTATCACTCAATAAACAATTGTAGAACTCTAATTCTCGATAGATTATCCATTTCTTCCAAATTAATTTTAAAACAAATTTTGGATGGATACTGGTAGTAAACTATCATAAAATTTTTAAATTAGCCAATCCAATCAATAGACTTCATTTGAAATAAATAATTCAAACAATACCTAAAAATAAAGGGTCCTATTAGAGTTCAGCTTTGCTCACAGATTTTTTTTTACTTTGACATGTCACCTTTTAATCATAGACTTCAAAAACTTTCCTCACGCAAGTATGAACTTGATCGAGTTCGAACGGTTTACTTCTCAGCCTTGCTGTTTCTAATATAGAAACAGTAGACACCCGCTAATTTTTGAATAAATAATTAGTTCTCTTTTATAAAAATAAAGATTAAAACGTACCTGATGCAATGAAATTCAAGGCCAACGGAATACCTCTTTGAGTACCATTGGAAGACAAAAATGAATCCTTTTTGTTGAACTTGATTGCTATGAAAAGCCCAGTAGCCAAAAGGAAAACATAACTAAGATAAATGATGGCGTTATTCCCCTGTGAAGAAAGTTGAGCCATGTTGTTTAGAAGATTTGTTGTATTGAATACTTGTACAGATTGAGAATTGATTTATAATATTGTGAGGGTATTGTCGTTCTTTTATAGTATTCGAAAGGCGGCGCTAATTAGGATGAAGAAAAAAAAAGTTTTACATGCGCATGCTGCCATCTTCATGCATGCGCTTATGCGGGTATCCCCTTTACTGTGTGATCCTTATGACATTTGCCGGACATTTAATGTCCGGCAAATGTTAAAAGATGTGTCATACGACGTCAATTTTCATTGTACAGAGTCAAATCTCTCAGTTTAATAGATTTTTAATTAGATTTATCCTTAACTTAATGAATTTAGCTGGAGGTCAAAAAAAGTTTTCCTGTAGAGACCAGAAAGAGACACAAAGTACAAATGGTTAATTCAAAAAAATTCAACGCTAACCTGCACATTCATAAAATTTAATTTTGACTCGCATTTTTTGACTCTATGTTAAAAATTTTTTTTTTTTTGGGTAAAGATATACGATCCTTTTTACGGCCAATTTAATTGATACATATAATTCGACATCAGTATGGTTGAAAAGATGGAAATCTAAAAAAATGAATGCTCCACGGGAGGCTCGAACTCTCGACCTTCAGATACCACACAAACAAATTCATATGAGACTGACGCTCTACCGACTGAGCTAGTGAAGCATTTCTTGATTGCCAAAAAGTTTGCAGTCCTCTCAACGCTGGCAAAAGAAACTTATTTCATGCTTACTTTACGTTCCCTGATGATAAAAATTACATACATATATACATAAAGATGAAGTGAAGAGTTTGAAGTATTCATTTATGTTATATATCATTCAAATTAATTGGTACCATCCAGTCTACGGCATCGATTTATTTTTACAAAATAACTCGGCCACTACCGAAGTCGTGCACTGGCTATTTGCATATCAGTAAAATAATATTTATCTTTGTGTTATCTCACTATCGCCCTGACCATCACATTATCTATTAAAGGAATAAAATATGTCCAATTGAAGAAAACAGATCTAAAATACATTTTTTTTTACCTCTTACCCTCGTATACAATAGTGTTGTACTTTTCCATTTGTTCATTTGACTTGGAATATACAACCAACGCTACTAACTTTTTTCTTTAAAAAAAAAGAATACAGAAAATGTACTCCTTTGATGTTCCTCAAGGACGTAGATTGGCCCAAGTTATTTCGGCAATCCTTTGGTGTTTGTTCTCTGGTGGTCCGATTTTTGGATTTGCTGCTTTAAAACCAATTCTTGTTGCTGAACATGTTTATGAGAAATCTTGTGATATTTCCATTAACTCCACAATTTCTGGAATTTCCAATTATGCCTTGGATCCATCTATGTTTGGTTCTTTGACTACTACTCTCTTCCAAGACATCGCTGGAGTTAAGTCTTCATCAGAAGCTAAATGTACCGCTCAAGATCTTAAGTTGAACATGATGTTCACAGTTGGTGCTGTATTGACAAATGTCTCGGCCTTGGCCATCGGTAGATTACTCGATGTTTATGGTCCAAGATTCTGTGGTCTTATTGGTGCCTTTTTCCTTTACCTTGCCTGTATTGTTTTCATTTATGCTAAGGATATTGAAGCTTCTCCAATATTGTCCATTTTAGATCCTTATTTGCTTGGTTACGCATCCATGGCCTTGGGTGGTCCATTTGCCTACATTTCTTCATTCCAACTTTCCAATTCATTCCCTCACAAATCAGGAACAATTTTGGCTCTTTTAACTGGTGCATTTGATGCTTCTTCTGCTGTGTTTTTAATCTATAAAATCTTGTATACCAAGTCTTCAGGATCTTTCACAATTTCAACTTTTTTCAAAGTTTATTTACTTGTTCCTATTTTCATTACCATTGTTCAAGCATCAATTATGCCAAAGGACTCTTATAAGACTCCACCAGAAACTACATTATGTGTTGGTGATGTTCCTGAAAGCTCTTCATCCACTGAAGCTGAAGCTTCTAATTCTGAACATTCTCCTTTATTAAGTCAATCTGGTAGAAGAGACTCTATTGGTGATGCTTTAAAACAACCTTATGCAGATGAAGGTGAAGAAGCCCTTGTTAAACATTCTGGAGGTATCTTTGGTATTTTACATGGTTACTCTGCCGAATATCAAATTAAAACCCCTTGGTTTTATCTCATGTGTGCATTTGCTACCATTCAAATGTTAAGATTAAACTATTTTGTTGCTACAATTACCACCCAATATACTTATTTATTTGAATCAGTTGCCCTGGCAGAATCTTTGACTCATTTCTTTGATATTGCCTTACCTTTGGGTGGAGTTATCTCAATCCCATTTGTTGGTCTTTTCCTTGATCATTGCTCCACTACAATTGTATTGGCAGCTCTTTTAGCTGTTTCATTAGTTATTGGAGTATTGGGATTACTGGGAAGCTTCATTGCTGGAGTTATTAATGTCTCTATCTTTGTTGCCTATAGACCATTTTTCTATACTGCAGTATCTGATTTCTGTGCTAAAGTATTTGGATTTGATACTTTTGGAACTGTTTATGGTGCAATTATTTGTACTTCTGGTGTTTTCAATTTCTTACAAAGTGTATTAGATAGACTTACACATACTACATTTAACATGAATCCTATTCCAATCAATGTTACTTTGGTCGGATTAACATTTATCATTGGTGGTGCTACATTATATTATGTTCACCATCAAACTGGTCTTTATAATCAAAGAAAACAAAGACAAATGATTTCTTCGTTGACATAGAAAAGAATCAAAATACATAAAAGTTAGATTTAAACATTATACAAGTACTTGAATAACAGAAAAAGTTTTTTTTTTCTGAAAAGGAAAGTTTTATTACTCCACAATATATCAATAAAGTACGAGATCAATCTCACGCAATGTAAGCTTTTTCTTATTATATATACTTTCACCGGGAAACCCCGATCCGTGCCGGGGATTATTTTCCAATGTGTAGAGAAAAAAAAAGTGTTAGAATTGAAATGCAAAGCTCCTAATTTGTGAAATTTGAAGGCGTATTTCAACTCAGTAGTGATTTTTTTTTGCTTAAACATTTATTTCAGAACTCACTAATTGGCTATAGGCGATAAATAATATAACAAAGACATCAGAAATATACAATTAAAAAAAAAGGCTGCATATGGAATTTACAAAGGCTTATTCTTGCATGGTGTATACATCCTCAACTAATTAGAATGTAAATACTGAACCGAATAATTAATGGCATGAGTGGCAACTTTCAATTTGTGGTAAGTCGCATGATTACTATGAAAAAAAATTTGAAAAAACCAAAAAAAAAAGACATATACTGTAGAGAAAAAAAACATACAAAATTTTAGAGTATAGTATGAATCATGATTAGTTAAGCCTCTACAACTTGTCTTTATCCATCTTTCTTGGCAAAAAGGTCAATAGCAAAGATATCTTTTATTTTTCTTTTTTTTTTTCATTCATATTTCACTCATTAATTATACTCTTTACTTGTGAAACAACTTAAATAGTACTAGTTTTTTTTCAAATATTTAATTTTTTATATCAAGTTACCTATAGCCGTGCCATATTCAGCCTGAATATTTATGCATGCAGTAGTTTTCCAATCATACATCATAAAATTATCAAAAGCCTCCACCTGCATACAGATTCAAGTGGAGCTATTAACATTTAGTCCCTCACCTTTATCGTATTTAAAATTGTACGTTGTTTAAAAGGATAATAGAATTGATAGATATTTAAGCTGAGACTAAGACATAAAGCACAAGCGAAAGAGACGATATTCTAGAGAATATAGTAGTATTTAACACCGGACCATAGATAAAAAGATAGGTATCGAAAGCAATCGAAGATAAAGAACAGCAATAGAAATTAAATTCATTTGTGGTAAAACTGTTAAAAGTTCCAGAAGCAAACATAACAAAGAATCGCAATTAGTAGTATTAGAGGATTATGTCTAGACCTCAATTATTACATCTGAAGACCACCCCTGACCTTATAGAGCCTCTCCCACATCTTGCAGACAAGAGATTGTCTGAATTACAGAATTTGGAGGAGACATCTAGTGGGTCATCTAATGGGAATCTTGATGATGTTACCAAAGACAAGCCTGATCTTCTTGAGATGTTAAATCACCGTTCAGATTCTTATAGGGATATGAAAATCAAGACAGATGCAAGTAAAAGTTCTTGTGATGGATATGATCAACGTGTTTCGTTTGATACTGTAAATCTCCAATTTGATGATGATGATGCAGATTCAGATGATGAAGGATACGATTGGAATTATGAGTTTGGACCTAGTAGAGGAAGAGGTAGGGGTAGATCTCCATCACCAGCACATACATCACCATTACATTCTCCATCAGGAGCACCATTTCTTACCACTAGAGATAGCTATAACTTGTCAAGAATGCTTTCACCAAGAAGACTTGCATATCCTACAACTCCAATTATAACTCATAAGGGTTGTTCATTCACCAAATTCCATTTAGATTTTGATAATTTGTATAAGGGGAAATTTAACAATAAGGAGAATGGATTTCTTAAACCAGTATTACCTCATAGAGTCATATTGGTATATATAAGTGGTAGAAAACATACTTGGGTTGCATTGGATTGGGTATTGAAGGAATATATTGAAAATGGTGATACAGTCATTGTTGTATCAGCCATTAATAAAGGATTTGAAAAAAATCGTCGGAAATCATTTGAACGACAAAGGGCTGTGGCAATGACTCCTAGAATGAGATTAAGACTTAGACATAGACCTGAAAACATCAAGGTTATTGCCAGGAATATTATGGACTATATGCAACGAGTACTCAAACATGGAGTGATTGCTAGATTATCTGTGGAATTAAGTGTTGGGAAAACTAAAGATGTTTTAAAGGAAATGTATAAATTATATGAACCAAACTTAGTTTGTACTGGTTCCAAAGTAAATTCTAGAATTGGTGCACCATTGAAATCATGGAATTCATCCAAATTAACTGATAGATTAGTTAAAAATTATCCCTTACCACTTATAGTTGTTCCAGCAATGAATATGGGGAGATTTGAGAAAAAATTGGAATGTGAATTGAATGGTGAAACAAATATTACTCCTCTGGGATTTGATGAAAATTTAATACCTAAAGAAAGAGATTTTGTTGATGATGATGATGATGATACTTCATCAATAAGTTCATCCATTGATAGTGTTAGTTCTGATGAATCATATTCTTCATTTGATGAAATTGCAAAACTCTATACAAATTATAAAAAAGGGTTAAAGACTTCATTAACAGCATTAAAGAAAAATGAAATGAATGAAGATTTTTTCTCACAATTTTTAACTACAATTTCTGATAAATCAATTGAATTTTGTCAAAATGTTAGAGATGTTGATCCTGATTTTAAGGGTAAAGGTGCAAAACTTGCACGGGCTATCACTGGATCAAATTCATTTGGATCCATACCATATAAAACGAAATCTCTTCTTATTCCAGTAGAGACAGAACAGAGTTCACTGAGTAGTAATATTACTAGTGGTTTGTCATATAAGGAAATGAAACGGAATTTACAAAGGAAGAAATTGGAATTAGAAAACCCTTCATCAAATCCTAGTCCTCCAAATATTATCATTGAGAATGCTTCACCAGTGGAACCACCAAAGAAAAGTGCTTTAACATTCAATTTGGAATCTCCACCAAGAAGTACGTCACCTAGAACAACATCACCAAAGTCAAGTGGTTTACGCATGACTAGTAAGAAATTACAGAAATCACTCTCTCATGATATAGACTCATCAAGTAAACGTCCCGAATTAGAGCCAATGAAGTCACATCCTGATATAAGAGCACAATTAGGAGGAAACTCTAGGTCCTCATCTAGCGAAGATATCACTGGAAAGGGGAAAAAGAAGAAGAAGTTCTGGAAACTATTTTAAGACTACTATATATATATATATATATATATAATATTATAGATATCTATTCATCAAAGATAGGATACAAATTGTAGTTTTAATTTTTAATTTTGTGTTTTGCAACATCCTTTTTTTTCTGAATTTTCCTACATAGAGAAATTTTTGGTACAGGGTTATATGCCGCTAAGTGTAAATTGACATGTAACACAGCCTTCACAGACCAAGTAATTGACGAAGATTCTAAAAATTTTCTTTTTCAATAAGGGCTACTGTAGAAGAATGAACTCGGTATCGAGTTGGAGACTATTACTATTTGTGGTGCCACTCTGGCTTTTCTTCATTTCAAAAGTATCAGCAGAGGGTGGGGTAGACTTCCAAAAGGATATACATGAACCATTGAGTGCCAATCCAATTGAAAATGACTTATTAAACGAAGTAAACTTGAGCGGAAGGGGCTTTTATGATAGAGGAAATGAAGTAGAGTTAGCTCGCGGGAAGCGAGATGGAGATAATTTGTTGTATGAATTTTCCCCAGTTGCTAATACAATTTTACAAAGTGAAACTCAATATTATTCATTTAATGTGAATTCTACTACTGGGTTAGGTGAATATTATCAATTTTTGATTTTCATTACCGGTAATATATGTCTGCAGCCACTGGAAGCTGCACTTGCACAGAATAATGCATCATTAACTGCATATTTTTCATTTAATTCTTCAATGTTTGATGATTTTGAAATTGGAACGATGGCCCATTTTGAGAATGGATATTTCCAAGCACTTCAAGAGGTTCCGATGAAAAGTCCAGGAAGTAGTGATGAATCTATTTTATATATCGCTGTAAGGGCACCAGAAAATACCAACAAAAGTGTTGAATGGCTGTACCAAATTGGTGCTTCACAGAATGATCTTGTATTCCAATGGGATGACCGGTCTTGGGCGCTGTTGGTGGATACGGACGAGGATTCTGCCTTGATTGTGACAGGTAATCTTTCCAGTTATGACCCTGGAACAATGAATATAACCACCATGAACGTTACAGAATTATCATCTTATCAATTATACATTTATCTGTATGATTATAAGGATTATTTTGCCACATATAATCGAAGTTGGTGTGCAATCCGGAATGGTCCATCTTTATTATCATCTGATCATTATGAAACTTCCTATACTACAAGAAGTGGTGGCTTACAACAACAATTTTATATCACTGGTCTTAACACTTCAACCACATACATTGCATATTTAGTATCAGATTTCCGAGGTAGTGCGTTTGGTGGAGCTGTTTATCAACCATTTGAGTTCACCACCATGGAAAATAATGCTTGTGAATTGATTTATGACTTGGATTTTTGTGATAAAGTGGCATATTCAGTTCCTAGTAGTTCCAATATGAAACAAGATGAATTAAAACAAGCATATGATAATCGAGCAGAAGAATTATATGGGAATTTTTCTAAGGCTCTTCAACAAATTCCTTGTGATACTATATCGGATGCAATCTTTTCACCAATTACTTCATGTAAACAATGTGCAGCTTCTTATAAGAATTGGTTATGCGCCATAACTATTCCTCGATGTCTGACTAGAAATATTACAGGTTACAAAAATCGACCAGTAAATGATTCAAGATCTGAATTTATAAATGAAGAGATAGTACCTCCTTTGGATTATTATGAAGTATTACCATGTGTTAATGTATGTCATGCCATTGCTAGAGATTGTCCTGCTCAATTTGGATTTAGGTGCCCAACCAAAATCTCACAGATAAGCAAGTCATACTACTGGGATATTGAAGGAGAATATGCTTCTTGTAATTATTTGGGTAAAACATATGTAAAAAGTGGTGCATTAAAATTGGAATCAACTTACTTATTGTTGTTACCGATGATTTTATTTTATTTGATATAAAAAAAGGCTAAAGAAGAAATAGATAAAAAAAACAATTTTGGGTGCATGCAATATTAATGATATAAATGAAAGAGTAAATAGAACTAGATAGATAATAAGACTCTATATGATATGACGTTGAAAGTACCAAAAAATAAGGTAAAGTCATACAACTGATTAAAAAGCACCTGCATATTACGCGGACGCGTATATGGATTTCAAGGAAATTCAAAGAAGATGTTTTTGTAAACCATCCGATAAAGTTAAAATAGTAACATCAATATGGACAAGACAGACAATTTGCCTTGGTAAGTAGAGAGAAAAACTTAATAATTGAATTGAATGAGTTTCTTGAAACGTTTTTGTTTTATATTTATCTCGATTTTACTAACACAATTGAAAGGGTTGAAAAATACCGTCCTAGTTCTCTTGATGAAGTGTATGGACAATCTGATATTGTTGAAACAGTAAGAAAGTTTGTACATGAGGGTAGACTTCCACATCTTCTTTTCTATGGGCCACCGGGTACTGGGAAAACATCCACAATCATAGCCTTAGCCAAGGAAATATATGGACCAAATTATAAGAATATGGTTTTAGAATTGAATGCATCTGATGATAGAGGTATTGATGTTGTAAGAAATCAAATTAAGAGTTTTGCATCAACAATGCAGATTTTTTCGAAAGGGTTTAAACTTATTATTCTAGATGAAGCAGACGCTATGACAGCTGTGGCACAAAATTCTTTGAGAAGAATTATTGAAAAATATACTAAAAACACTAGGTTTTGTATTTTAGCAAACTATGCACACAAGTTAAACCCAGCTTTATTATCTAGATGTACGAGGTTCAGATTCCACCCAATTTCAGAACAAGCGATTCAAGAACGAGTTCAAAATGTGATAATGAAGGAACTGTTGCAAATTTCACCTACTGCCGAGGAATCCTTATTAAGACTATCTGGTGGTGATATGAGAAGAGCATTGAATGTCTTACAAGCATGTAAGGCTGCCTTGGGAGATGACACCTTGGAAATAGACCAAGATATGATTTATGAATGCATTGGGGCACCACATCCACAGGATATTGAATTAGCTCTTGATTCCATCTTGAAAGATGATTGGACGAAATCTTTCCTTACCCTAGATCAAGTGAAAAGATCTAAAGGTTTGGCTTTGATTGATTTAATATCTGGATTTGTAGAGGTATTGAGCAATTATGATTTGAAGCCAAAAACTCGAATTGCAATTCTTTCTGGTTTATCTGAGATAGAATATGGAATTTCTAAAGGCGGAAATGACAAGATACATACCAGCGCCATCATAGGGGTTATCAAAGGAGCATTAGAGAATGAGAAATAGACACGTTTAATTAAAGATTTTTTAAAAATATGATTTGTAGTGAAATGGAGAGGTAAAGACTAGGGAATAGGATAATGTATATCGTACAAGAATATGAAGACAAGCGATACAAAGACAAAACAGAAATTATTTAGAGAAATACCTACAGTTGCGGTGATTTGAAAATAATATTAGTTAAAGATTTCTGTTGATGTTAGTAAAATGATATTGATCAAATCAATTAAAGCTTATCATCTATCTTAACTGTTGTTCTCATGAAACAAAAAAGTATCGAAGAGCTGGGTTTATTAGATAGAGCCTCCGGGGCTCGTTATAATCATGTAAGCTTGAATCAAGGTACGTACTATTATTGTCCTTGAAAGTTTGGAGAAAAAAGTGGCGATAATTAAGTGTTGATAAAATTAATTTTGCAGTAAAAATTATGCTCTTTTATAGCTCAGGCGTTTGAGAAAAAAAAAAGTGAGGGAAAAAAAATAAACGAGTAAAAGTGCGTGCCATGCACAAATCAATCAAAATTTTTGAGGGCATAACGAAACGTACATGCAGGAAAAAGGGGGAGATGAGGAGTAGATAAGCAGTCCAAGTTGGACGTTTATTTAGTTTAAAGTACTTCTTTCAACTAACTATCGCTGAATATATATGAATATGATTCTTTATACAATATATTGTAGTTAAGTCAATCATCTAATGATGTAGGATAAATTTAAGAAATCTTTTTGATTAATATGTATAAATTGTTGGGGTACATGAATCTTTGACATTCTGCGCTGTCAGAAATACATAATACAGTGTATGAATATATTTAGTTATTGTTTCTTTTTAATTGCAGTAAATAATATAAAAGAGTCTATATCATAATGATACTATTTACTTAAAGTGTTATTTAATTTGCAGCTACAGTCGTCACACAATGGGAGTTAATCAACAAAAACTAAGAATATTTAGCTAACAAAGGTGGTATAGCTTCCAATTATATCATGAATAATGTTAATCTAAATTAGTATGGTAGACTGGAATTCCATATATCAATAGAGCAAAAATATATGTGTATCTTTATCAAGATACCTTAACGACTTATATTGTGGGGAAGAATAGGTTGTATCAACTCCCTTTCTTTGTGCAATAGGAATTTTTTTTTTTTTTGGTTTCTACTTTTTATTTTTCTGAGTTGCATCCTAACAGTTTTACTTGGACACAGAAACAGTTGTTGGAATTTACATCCACAGTTTACATATTAGTAATAAACGGTAAGTACAACTTTGAGACGGCCATCTCTAGTTGTTTGTCAATCTAACCCTCCAGACCTTCACATTTAGTCTTTTGTTCGATAATTTCAGCGGTCCTTTATTCTTTTCATCCCAAGTTTTTCATTCTTTTCTATGTTGGAGATCAATATTTATTATTATATTGAGTTATAATTTAAAAACAAACACATCATCAAATGACATCAGTACCTTCGCAAGATTGGATTGAATTATCACCTCTTCTAAGAATACCTGTCAGCTCTCCCAAAGTTCACAACGATGTTTGTAGCATTTTGGAAGAACTATACCTAGCTCCGTTTTTGCAGACTGGACAACCGATCCTGCCCTATTTCATATCTATATTGAGTGGTCCAATGTCATTCCAAGGACCCATAGATACTTCAGGGCAAATCCACCCCTTAATTTACTTCATTGCTGGCTTGACTGGAGATAGTTTACAAGAAACGGCTAACCGATTGAGTGTATTTGCTCCAATTGATTTAATTCAAGCGACCATCAATTCAGCGAATATCCCATTGCACATATCCACACAAGATATGCAAGCGAGAGATAAACTTTTATCTCTATATGCACCCATCACTCAATTAGGTGGATCTAACCTATTGTTGAAGCTATATACTTTGACTGCTGGCGATGAAACATACATGGTCACAACATTGATAATTTGTATATTGTATTCAATGTCGATTACATTGAATCCAATTCAAAAATATTCTTATAATTTGACAGCCGCTGTCAATAGTCAACAAAACTATAACCCTACAATGAATCCGACAATTCCGGTTCCAACGACATCTGTGGCTCCACTTCAAACGGACTTCACTGTGCCCCCTATAATGCACACTCAAGGAGGGATTTGGTCTACTGATCCAATGACGATGAATAGAATCTCCGGATCTGTATCGATTTCATTCTTGGATAATGAGGAAGAACGCCAATTGTTAAAAGATATCACCAAGGTAACACCTGAAGATTTCCCAGAAGTAACCCTACAAGGATATCAGGAAAGATCACCACAAGTACCTTCTGTCATTCCTTCTCCAACGTTACAAACTCCTCAAATGGAAGAAGTAAAGCAGACTATAGGTCGAATGATTTCACCAACACCATTGGCGAGCTTATCATCACCAACATCACGTTCACCTGAACAATTATTTGAAGATGACAAAGTCGAATATCCTATTGTAACAGTTGCTTCACATTCGACTGAAGAAGCAGTTGAAGAAATAACTGAGACAACCGAAAAACCATCATCTTTAGAAAATGTTGTAAGTTTACCTAATGAGATAATTTTACCAGAATTACCAGTTAGTCAACCACTTTACCAAATTCAGAAAACTAAAGAAACCACCTACCAGTCTTTGAAAAGCTTACCACCTCATCACTATAATAATCGCTCGAGCTTTAGCAATTTCCCAGGTTTATACTCAACCGATGGTCATTCACTTTCACAATATAGTATAGCTGGCAACCCTTCAATTTCTGGGAGATTAAGTTCAAATAGTCAACTGAAAGATATATGGTCTGGTTCCACACTGAGTTCAAGGAATAAGTCAACATTGCAAGACTCAACAAACTTTTTCTCATTAGACAGTGTAAATGAGCAATTGATTGATAAATTACCCGTTGAACCTGAAACCAATTTGCCTATTGGAAATGGCAGTTTAAGCGGCGAATCTGTTGAAGATCTGACAAAAACTGATTCAATCAAGGAACTTGTTGATCTGAAACAAGAAAACGTCAAACGTACCAAAAAAGAAGAAAGTAAGATAGTACGGGAACCTATTACTGCTCGTGTTTGTACTAGAAAATACGAAATTCCAGAATCAACTGAAGATCAGGTTCTATACGATAGAATCAAAAAATCATTTCAAAATGTTTTAGACGGCAAACCTCAAACACCCGAAAAGACTATTGATGAAATCATTGACCAGATCAATGATAATTTGTCTCAATATGTTGGTACCAATGGTTTAAGTGAAAGCTCTTTTTCAAATAGACCGAGATCACTGAAAACTTCAAGCAGGAAGAGCGCTACTTTGAGACGGGAGAGTTCTGATCTGGGTTTAGATTTACAACTGATTGAGAAGGATGTGATTCATAATTTGGAGTCACCAATTGTAATCACTGAGCCGCTTATAGGTATTACGGAATCGACAGTATCCAAGGAAGCGAATGAACCACCTATTTCAATTGAAGATAAACTGGTATCTGAAAAGAAAAAGGATGTCATAAAAGAAGAGCCATTAACATTACAAAAAGAAGATAAAAATCTAATACATGCTTCAGCGCCCACTGGAGAATCGGCAGATAGCCGAACTTCTGTTATAGAGGTACCAATAATACATACCAAACCAGAAACAGTAGAAGAGCCAGTGGAAGGTCCAACACCCATTAAGGAAGAGCCCATGGAAGTTCCAACATCCATCAAGGAAGGGCCAGTGGAAGTTCCAACACCCATCAAGGAAGAGCCAGTGGAAGTTCCAACACCCATCAAGGAAGGGCCAGTGGAAGTTCCAACACCCATCAAGGAAGGGCCAGTGGAAGTTCCAACACCCATCAAGGAAGGGCCAGTGGAAGTTCCAACACCCATCATGGAAGAGCCAATGGAAGTTCCAACACCCATCAAGAAAGAGCCAATGGAAGTTCCAACACCCATCAAGGAAGAGCCAATGGAAGTTCCAACACCCATCATGGAAGAGCCAATGGAAGTTCCAACACCCATCAAGGAAGAGCCAATGGAAGTTCCAACACCCATCATGGAAGAGCCAATGGAAGTTCCAACACCCATCAAGGAAGAGCCAATGGAAGTTCCAACACCCATCATGGAAGAGCCAATGGAAGTTCCAACACCCATCAAGGAAGAGCCAATGGAAGTTCCAACACCCATCAAGGAAGAGCCAATGGAAGTTCCAACATCTACTAAAGAGGTTCCAGTGGAACTTGCTAAGGAAGTGCCAATCGACAAGGGGGAACTTGTGGTGACATCAACAACCACTTCTAAACTGAAACAACAAAAACCAATTAAAGCAAAATCACCTATATTGAAAAATGAAACAACCGGACTTGACGCATCTTCCACGAAAATAGCCGAATCCGAACTGGATAGTTCAATAAAAGCGAAAGTGAATACATCAACTGAGTTTAGCATTCAAAATATTTCTTCTTCAGCAGGGGATCAAACTCCAACACCAGCCGACAAATTGCAAGTTAAACAAATATTGAAGAATCCTCTTCGAGACTCGAAACTTCCGTCGGATAATAGGGCTCAAGAGATTGGGTATAAGCCATCAAGTAATTCAATGAATAAAAAGTCTCAAATATGCACGAATGTTAAAGTTCCAGATAAGAAACAGTTTGATTCAACCAGTGGCAAAAGACTGACTGTCTCAAAATTAAATACCAGACTGAAATCGAATAAACTTGAAAAAGGAAATGGAAAAAAAACCAAAACCATTCCTGAAACTAAATATGGTTCAACTAGAAAAAGTGAACCTTCTAAAACTTTGGCGCAAGATAAGACCACAAAGTCAAAACCAGCTATCGAAAAATCCAAAGAAACACTTCGGGAAAAGTCTCTCTACTCCTATAATGAGGAGGCAGCTTGCCGAAGTGTAGAACCAGATACTTTTGAAGACGAAAATATACCCTTGAAAAAGACAGGCAAACCTTCTAAGACTAACCCACAGAAAACAGTAGCATCGGTGAATGGAGAAAACGGTAAATCAGCGTCAATAAATAATAAAAAGTCACTGGAAAACTTGAAGGCTAACAAAAAAGACCAAATATGCGTAACTATGGTTGGTGACCGAAGTAAGAAGGTAGCCATACCCATGCAAGTTTATCCAGAAATGCATAGTAGTTTGAAATCTATCCGAAGTTCAATTCTTGGATGTTTGGAAAAGGTTCTGAAGACATATTTTGAGCTTCCTTATGAATTCAAATCCGAGTATCAATCTAAATCAGATAATGAAGTCACCGAAGAATCTCCAAGTGGATGCTCTCTGGATTCAACAGGTCAGGAAGATGCCGATGATGATAGCGATAGGAATGGCAACGAAAAACATAAAAATGTTGATGAAATTATCGAAGATCAAGAGGTGGATATTCATCCAGCTGCATACGACGACGAAGATGAAGATGAAGTAGAGGATGAATATGTGATTGAAAATCCTATAAACGTAGTTACATCTCTATTGAATGTTGAACAAAAGGATCTGGAATCGAATATTGTCCCCGAAGAGAGTGAATTGAACTCCAACAAGAACAAGAATAAAAACAAGAAGAAGAAGAAGAAACTGAATAAGAAGACCAAGTCCAAAGCTATTTCGGATTTGGTTGGTCAATACGCACAACTTGTGTTGGATATGGAAAGAGATTTCGATAAGTACCATGAGCTCGACGAAAAGAAAATGCTTGAACCTTATGGTCCGAGGAATGGAGATATTCAAGAAGTTATCGAATTTTTTAATGTACTAACACAAGAAGAAGAAGGGAAATTTGAACAACCTTTTATCAATTCTGCAATGGTTTTGGACAATGAAAACATCAAGATCGAGGTAGTTGAAGCAGCGGAATCAAAGACGAAGAAAACTCCAGAGGACATGCAAAATAATCCCACAGATCCAAAAACCAAAGTTTCCAATATTGTTGATTTGTTTGAACAATATAGGGTACCACCAGGTTCATCATTGATTAATGAAAAAATTTCACAAGTTCACGAGGACATAATCAATAATACTGAGTTTGTAATTAAAGGAAGAAAAATGATGAGGGAAGTCGCCGAACTTGAACAGGACAGGGCGAAACACTTTAAACCCACAGAACAAGAAAAACAACCGACCCCGGTCTTCAACCCTTCAGATAGGGCTACTCCCCGGAGCATATCAAATGATGCCAGAGAAGACGTAGAAGAAACAACATACAATCCTACAGAAGAAATACTTAAAACCGCAACAGAAAGCAAAGAAGCTCCAATAAAAGATGAACTTCATAGAGATGAGGCTGTCAACCAAGAAATTGATCCTCTCAATGTCAGGGGAAAGGTTAAATCAATTCAAGAATGCTTTCCCGATATGGATGTTAAACTTATAGAGAGGCATATACATGCGAGTAACTATGATCTAAACATGGCGTTTGAGAGCATTTTACTTGACGATGGAAGTATATCTGAACCAAAATTCGAGGGCCTTCCAGAGGAAAAAGTAGAAACGGCCGACGACTTTACAAATATAAAATCCGTAATGAATTTGACTGGTGTATTAGAAGGTGTCGCATATGATTACCTCCAAAGGAATGATAATAATATTTGGTCTGCAGCTTGTGAAATTGTTATGAATTGTAACTTGGAAAAACAACCAGCGAAGACGAAAAAGCCCACCACGAAGCCAGTGACATTAACATCGAGAGTGCAATATGGTGGAGGTCCAGCGAAGAAAAATGCATTTTCAGTTCTTGCTACTACCGAGAGTGAAGATGATAGTGACGAGACTGCACTGTCAACTTATGTATACAATGAAAATAGCCCAGAAGCTCAAGAGTTGAAGGAAATTTATCTTGGTAATGAGGAATTTAGGGAAATGAGTGAGGTATTTTTCAGGAAGGCATTAGTATTATTCAAAGGAGATTGTACAAGGGCTATTACGCTTGCAATGGAGTTTGTCACTGCTGGAGAATCGGATTTACTGTTCAACTACTATACAGAGGCCGCCACATCAAATGACAAGGTGATTGACTATCTGGTTCTTGGAAAGAAATCGAGAAAACCCCAAAGTGCTCTTTTGGGGTCCAAGATAACTTTGGGACATACTCCTAAAAAGGTCACATCAAGTTCAGCGAACCAACCTAAGAAAACTAGTACAGTTATGCATGGATCTGTAACAAGCTCTAAAAAAGGAGTTTTGGATTTACATAACTATTTGGTCCCCGAAGCAACAGCATTAGTGCGTCAAGCACTTGATGAATGGTGGGGCCAAGAGCAAGAAAAACGTATACTTGATGGTAGATTCGATAAGTTTGGATCTGATGCAAGCTTCGTCGATCCATTAACCATAGTTACTGGGAGAGGGATACATTCACAGGGTGGGGTAGCCAAGATTCGACCTAGTGTTTACAAGATATTGATTCAAAATGGGTATATATTTGAGGAACTGGCATCTTTGTATGTCGTTACAGGGAAGAAATCTAAAAAGTAAAAAAAATATATACAGAGTAATAAATACCTTATCAGTAGAGATATACCACCAAAGGATTAATTAAAAAAAAAACACCTAAGAAAACATGAAGAATAAGCTAGAGATTTTAGAAAATAAATGAATTATTGTATAATTAACCAATTTGAGAAAGGGTTCCTTTGGAACAACATGTAGGAGTAGACGAGGAACAATGTCGTCGAAAAACTTTTGTGAAAAATCACGAAACAACCTGTAACGTAAGAGACCAATTAATATAATTACGCGTTTGTTAATTACACTCTAAATGGAAAAGAAAGGGATAAAACAAACAAAATCTGACTTAGTTTGTTGTAGTACATATCATCCTATTGTTTAATTAGAATGTTAACTGCAATACGGGGTAGTAACAAAGGGAAATATGTTCCTTATTGCGCATTATAATTGGGTAAATATGTTACGAGCCCGCGAGCACACGGCATGTATTTTTATGATCTAATAATTATGAACGCGTTCAATAAGCAACAAGAATGCTGAAAGGGTAAATGCACGTAATAATATTGATTTAGATAGACTATAGGGGATGCTGGTGCATGGTTGTCAGGTGAAGAAGTCATTAACTAATTAATAATATCACCGGTTGTAAGTAAAACTTTGATCCCGCGTATGGTACCTAATGTCTCAGGGGTAAGTTGGCTCTTGATGGACGGAATGTTCGTATGTGTCTGTACAGTTCGACCGACAGTAGGTTGTGGTGTGTTACAAGGGTAAAATAAAAAAAAGAGAGAGGAGGGGTGGAGAAATTTGGAAGTGATGGCGTGAGATCGTACATGCGTTAACGTTAGAAATGACAAGACAACACCTTGTTGTTAAGAACGTCGGCTATATCCATGGTCCTTGAGTGGATGTCCAAAAGAGGTCATAAATGAGTTGGATTGGCGAAAAAAAAAAAAAAAAAAAAATAACATTCACTGATTAAAAAAAGAAAAAAGGTAATTGAATACTAAAAGAGGAACTGGGGCGGCAGAAGCGAGCCTAATACAGTTTAATTGTGGTAGTATAGGGGGGCAGATCAGTAGCAGATTAGAAGCGTTACCACCAAACGATTTTAACCGACATACACACTATTTAGAGTAGTTAGATTGAAACGCCAGTAAATTCAGTAAATTCGTAGGTGACTGATATGCTACATTGATCTGCAGATACAATTGATTAAGGGATGGTTTCCTATCATTGTGCTGCACCATTTGGTGCGGTTTTCACATAATTTTCTCGATTTCGGAATTTTTTTCCTTATTTTTTCTCACTTTTTTTTTTGTATAGATTGAGAATGAATTGAGAATTGTGTGACAAAACGAGGAAAATTGAAAATTGAATTTTTCTATTTCAGTTAAAACAACATTAGGCATATAGGATCGAGACTCTTTTACACACGCGCAAGTGAAACACCAAGAACGCGCTAGTACTGAGCCGAGCTGTCCCCAACGCAACTCTTTTCATATCCAAACGTATACCCCATCTGGATAGCTTTGATAGTATTCATTGATACTTTAATATCAAAACAATTACAAGGGCTACCATATTTTTGATACGGGTCCCCCTTAGCATTTGAAATATTAATCAAAAGTTAAACAATTCAGACTTTATTTACTCACTAATACATTCATTTCCCCCATCCCCCAACGAGCCTGCTCCTTCGACGTAGAATGAGCACAGAACACGTTGTTGCAGAACACGTTGTTGCAGAACAATTACGCGCCGCTAGCGAGTCTAAAGGAGAACACGAGACACAAACATCAACTCAAGACGCGGATTCTCCACAGGTTATCCAGCTTGAGGCTACTCCAACGGAAGAACATAATGGATTTTCAGGACAGATAGAGCCAACACCGTCACCATCACTTCCAAGGATGCCTGGAACGTATGATCTCAATGGAATTGATGAAAATCATTATAAAGAACTCAAGGAAAATCTTGATACCAATAATGTTTCTGAAACCAATTTTCTAGAACTTGAAGAATCTACCCCTACTTCCACTTTTATAGATGTTCCTCCAGTGCATACAAATGATATCATCCATGGGTTAGAACAAGGACAAGAAGAAGAACAAGAAGAGGAACAAGAAGAACAAGAAGTTTCTAAGCCAGAAATAAGAGAACCCCATACTGTTGAGGAAACACTTGATGACGGATTTGATTATTCTCGTCCTACATTAGACCCCGGCAAACCCTTGGGTAGTTCTGGTAGTTCTCCAGTAAAGCCAGCCGATCTTGATCTCATTTTTGATGATGTTGAGGAAATGGAAAGCAATGCATCTACTGGTACTCCAAATATTCTTCATGATGATGCGCTTGAAAAAATCCCTACCATAGATGATGAGAATATTGATGAGCCTGAAGTGGAGAAGTCAGGTGCAAATGCAGTTAGTGGTTTAGGATTGGGATTCCCAACTGGAATTAGCCCGAACCAAGAAGATGTGGATACAGAGTCTGGTGATTCCATTGACGATGATACAGTGGATGTCAGTACGTCAACCATACAACCGCAAGACGTCACTGGTGACGACTTAGTAAGCAGCCCAGTAGCAAGCAGCACTAGTACTAGTAACAACTCAGAAAATCACCAGCAAACACCTCAACAACCATTAGCCCCACAGCAGCAGTTACAGAACATTACTCAAAAAGCCTCACTCCTAGCAATTAGTGAACGTCAACCATCTCAAGTCCTGGCCCCTAAAGTAACATCTGGTGCCGACACTTCGAGTGATAAGTCATTACCACATGATTGGAGAAGTCAATCATCACTGTCAGTTGTAAGATCTCCAAAAAATGTGGCAGAAGGTGGCGATAGGACCCCTGGATCTAGCCACAATGCATATGCTACTGCTGCAATCACCCCTGTGTTACAACAACCACACAAATTCCAAGTAGCAACCCCTAATACGACTTCATCACCTCGTGAGCATTTAGGAATGGGTATTAATAATAATAGCAGCAATACTGTATCTTCTTCACCTTCACAAGCATCACCAAAAGTTGCGGGGAAGAAAAGAAAGAGTGGGAATAGAGTGAAAGGCGTGTTTTCTAATATGTTTGGTAAGAAATCTTCAAACCAATCAACAACTCAATCACCAGAAGCTAGTATTTCTTCAATAAATATGAAGATATCCACCCCATTTAATGCTAAACACGTTGCACATGTCGGCGTAGATGATGACGGGTCTTATACTGGCTTACCAATCGAATGGGAAAAACTTCTTTCTGCTTCTGGTATTTCTAAAACTGAACAACAACAACATCCGCAAGCGGTGATGGATATTGTGGCGTTTTATCAAGATACGAATGAAAACCCCGATGATAATGCATTCAAAAAATTCCATTATGACACTCAAAACCAATCCAATATATCGATCAATGCTGCCACCCCACCTCCAACACCTGGAGGGAACAATGATGTGAATTCATCTTCGGCATTTTTCCAAACCCCAGTTCAAAACCATGTGAATCAATTTGGAAGTAATCTGCTGCAACAACAGACCCCACAGACTATCAGTACGAATAATTCGTATGAATCTCAATTCATTCCTAGTAGACCGGCCCCAAAGCCCCCTGGACCAGGTAGCTCTACTAATACTCCTAGTCACAATGGCCCAATATCACCTACAAGTTCTCAATTTACTGTGAATACTTCTCCATCGAAAATGAACTCATTTATGGGTAGATCTTTCTCTTCTAAGTCAGTCAAATCAATTAGAAGTGGATCAAGAAAGTTTTCAGAATCTGGAAAAGTACCAATCCCATCACAACCATTACCAGTATCATCAATTCCAAAATCGAAGTCGCATAATTATTCCTTAGCAAATAAGATAAAGGCACCATCACCAGGCTCCACAACTGCTCCAATTCAACAAACTGAACAATTTGGGCGCAAGAATAGTATTAAAGATGATAATATTGATGGCATTGTACTACCAAAACGTGATGCTAATAGACCTACGGAGTTGAAAACTCATCGTCCACCACCACCACCGCCAGCAATGAAGGTACCTTCTGCTCCACCTTCAAAACAGAAACAACCACAACAGCAACAATCACAACAGGCGGTCAAAAGCCAAGAACACGCTCATCAAGAACGAGAACGGATTCCAACCGAAAATGGTGGGTCTGACAAAAAACCTAACCAACAGCCAGTAAGAGACCCCAAACAAGCCGCATTGATTGCACAAAAGAAGCGTGAAGAGAAAAAGAGAAAGAATCAACAAGTTCTTAGTAAGTTACAATCAATTTGTTCCGAAGGTAACCCAAGTGATTATTACCGAGATTTAGTTAAAATTGGCCAAGGTGCTTCTGGTGGTGTTTATATTGCTCATTGTAATAGTGACGATAAAAGTGTTGCTATTAAGCAAATGAACTTGGAACAACAACCAAAGAAGGAGTTAATTATTAATGAAATCTTAGTCATGAAGGGAAGTAAACATCCAAACATTGTCAATTTCATTGACTCATATTTACTCAAGGGTGATTTGTGGGTTATTATGGAATACATGGAAGGTGGTTCACTTACTGAAATTGTCACCCATAGTGTAATGACTGAGGGTCAAATTGGAGCTGTATGTCGTGAAACCTTAAAGGGGTTGAAGTTTTTACACTCCAAAGGTGTTATTCATAGAGATATTAAGTCTGATAACATCTTACTTAGTATTGATGGTAATATCAAGATGACTGATTTTGGATTCTGTGCACAGATTAATGAAATAAACTTGAAGAGAACTACAATGGTTGGAACACCATACTGGATGGCACCAGAAGTTGTTTCTAGAAAGGAATATGGACCAAAGGTTGATATTTGGTCTCTTGGTATCATGACTATTGAAATGATCGAAGGAGAACCCCCATACCTTAATGAAACTCCATTGAGAGCATTGTATTTGATTGCTACAAATGGTACCCCGAAATTGAAAGAACCCGAGGCATTGAGTTACGATATGAGAAAGTTTTTGGCATGGTGTCTCCAAGTTGATTTCAACAAGAGAGCTGATGCAGATCAATTATTAGGAGACAAGTTCATTCAAGAAAGTGATGATGTAAGTTCTTTGTCACCATTGGTAAAGATTGCCAGAATGAAGAAGGCTGCAGAAGGTATGGAAGAATAGTTGTATTTTATATGTAAAATTGTATTGTAGTATTAGCGAAAGAATAGATTCACACAAATGATATTAAATTGACGTGTAAGTGAATGGAAAGTTGAAGAAAGTTTCCGAGTGCATGTGCTACAAATTGCTGCATGTTCGGAAAAACAACCGGAGACTAGAAGCGGTGCGAGATTTTTAGTGCGACCACTTATGTTGAGGCTTTGTTTTTGTATACTAAAAGGTGGGTGTGGCAGTGATTGCCAAAGTAGTGACATAACCATGAAGCCTCGTTTCAATACATGAATGTGGTGATTGAACAATCCCTATTGCAGAATTTGTATTACTTCTACTTTCACCGAATAATATACATTTCCGAGGGAAAAAGACCAATGTGAGCCGATTTTAATTTCTCTACTTTTCTATGAACTTCTACGTATGTGTTTGCTACAAGGGATTTTTTTTTTTAATTGTTTTTTTTTTTTAAGTTCTCAACTAGTATTTCTTGTCAATTTATTTTGAAGTTTATGGTTCAATTTATAAATATGTCATATAGTTTTTCCGCAATCACCATGTAATTCCATGCCAATTGCACTTGTAGAGCTGCAGAGTTATTCCCGCTGAGATAAAGATGTGGTAATACGCCCTAAATCAAGTTTATGTGCGAGAGAAACCTGCATGCAAAGAACGGAGTTTGTAGATATGGTTGCTCGTGCGTAGAACATTTTTAGCAATGGAATTCATACAACTTGCATGGGAGAGTTTCTACTACAGAATTATGGTAGAAACAAATGAAATAAGGGCAAACTTGGAACTTCCAGGTTGAAAAAAATTACCATCTTTTTAAAATTAAAAAAACATTGGCTAGGAATGCAAATAGAATTACACTATAGGTGATGAAACATGTATATGTGTTCATTCCTTTTTTACCCCATTTTTGTGACGTAGGTGGAGTTGATAACTAGCCATTATTGTGAGACAAAAGTCCGATAATTCTGCACATAACTCACATTTGGAACTAGACTTGCGTCACTCACGTGGATCTAGGTGGGGTGGGAACTGCACATTACGTTATTGTATTTATGATTACCGCAATTGTAAAGTAGTATGATATCATTATTTTCCCTGAAGGTAAAAAAATATATATAGACTGCGACTCGATCCTATATAAACTCGTCAAAACTCCCCCACTTGTTAATTAACATAGTTTTTATAAATTTTAATTTCCACAACTCTTTACAAAAAATGTCTGAAGAACCACAATTTCAATCATTCCTTAATAATGACGGTATTGATGAATTAATCCCTGCTACAAGAAAGCATAGAGTACTGTCGCTTTCACTTTCTGATTTGAATCAATGGCAAAATGGTCTCACTAAGCTTTCTTCATCTACTTCTCTTAATAGAAACTCTTCCCAGAACTTGAAGAAGGTTGATTCTCTTGCCAAGCTTTCTAGGAACTCTTCTATTATTCGTCGTAAGAAGAAGTCTGTTATTGATCATGTAAGAATTGCTTCTTATGCCTTTTGTTTTGATATTGATGGTGTGATATTAAGAGGTCCAGATACAATCCCCGAGGCTGTAGAAGCCATGAAACTTTTAAATGGTGAAAATAAGTATAATATCCAAGTTCCATCTATTTTCGTTACCAATGGTGGTGGTAAACCTGAATCACAAAGATCAGAAGATCTTAGTAAAAGGTTAAATTGTACCATTACTCCAGATCAAATCATTCAAGGTCATACTCCTATGAAAGATTTGGTTCCACTTTATAAGAATGTTCTTGTTGTTGGTGGAATTGGTAACGTTTGTAGAAATGTTGCTGAATCTTATGGTTTTAAGAATGTTTATACTCCATTGGATATCTTAAATTGGAATCCAGCAGTATCTCCATATCATGATTTAACTGAAGAAGAACTTAAATGTGTTCGTAAAGATGTTGATTTCAGTAAGATTTCAATTGATGCTATTATGGTTTTTGCTGATTCTAGAAATTGGGCAGCTGATCAACAAATCATTTTAGAATTACTCTTATCTCAAAATGGTGTTATGGGAACTGCTTCAAAAACATTTGATGAAGGTCCAGAAATTTATTTTGCTCATTCTGATTTTATTTGGGCTACAAATTATAAATTATCAAGATATGGTATGGGTGCATTGCAAGTATCGATTGCTGCATTGTATCGTGAACATACTGGTCATGAATTGAAGGTGAATAGATTTGGTAAACCACAAAAGGGTACCTTTAAGTATGCAAACAAGGTTTTAACTCTGTGGAGACAAGGTGTTCTTGATGAACATTTAAAGAAACTTTCTATTAATGACCCAAATGCTGATGAAGCTGACATTTTAATTAATGAAGATGGTGAAGAAATCATCAATCAATCAAAGTTGGAAACTGCTAAAGATTCTGAAGATTCTGAAGATGATGAAGATGAAGATGATGTTTTGGTTGTAGGGAAAGGAGAAAAAATTACTCTTCAATTACCACCTGCTAGTACTGTGTATTTTGTTGGTGATACCCCAGAATCTGATATTAGATTTGCCAATTCTCATGATAACTCGTGGCATTCCATTTTGGTAAAGACTGGTGTTTACCAAGAAGGAACTATTCCAAAATATAAGCCAAAACATTTGTGTAACAATGTTTTAGATGCTGTGAAATATGCTATTGAAAGAGAACATCAACTTGAGTTGGCTGAATGGAATGAGACTGCTGATGAAGAAGCTAGTGAATTTAATAGCGATTCCCGTAAATCGTCTCGTATCAACTTTTCAGATCTTATGATGACTCCTTCTGAAAAGCCAGCTGTGGATAAGGCTAGAAAGGATTCAATGCACAAGATTGGTGAACATGAAAGTATTGAGGTTCCAGTTTTATTATCGGAACAAATTGACAAGGTCAAGGACGTTCAAGTTTAAACTATATAAACATATGAACTAGAGAGTCTATAGATAACGAATATAATCAATAATTAGTTTATATGTAGACTGATATTATAAACAATTTATTATGAATGTTTTAGTAGAGTGTGAATTTACTGTTTTTGCATTTTTGCATTTTTCTCAAGGGTACCCTTCATTTTTTTTTTTTTTTGGAATGTTTTTGTTTTTGTTTCATTGTATTTTGTTTACACACAAATTTTGACATTTGCTTATTTATCTTAATAATTTTATTTATTATAACCTAAATGGAAACTATATCGTTAGAAAACCTTGCAAACCTCTCACCGGAGCTTTATGTTCTTTCTGCCGAGGAAAGATATAAGGATTTTGTGAAATCAATAGGAAATATTCCAGGGTTGGATAACCCAAACGCGATCTCTGAAGAAACATTTCATAAGAAAGAACTCTTTTCAAAGTTAAAATTTCAATATTTAGAACAAGAAACAAGAGAGAAGTTTCTTCGTGGTATATTAGACACACCTCCATCATATGTAGACCAGAATGATATCGAAAAAAAAATTATATCCAATAAGGAAATAAAGAATGAATTAAAGTCATTGAAGATTGAACTGATTCAAGTTGAACAAACATGTAATGAGCTTGCAAGAGAAGTAATATCGCTTCAAGAAGAGTTTGAAGAAAGGGCTAGAGCCACTGAGGCCATGCTTATAGAAATGGAAGACATGGGGAAAGAACTAGTTGACTTAGCCCATGAGAACCCAGTAATAAATCAAGTGATTAGCTTACAGTCAGGAGAAGATTTTAATGATATTTCTACTACCCTTCAACAAATAAGGAATGATCAAGAACAAAATTTATTACGATTAAATAATGAATATGGACTTAAGGAAGGTAGAACTATTAGCGATGAACGTACTATAAATCGATTAAATGAGAAGTTGAAAGATTTAGAGAAATCAATAGAAGGTAATAATGATATTCAAAGTCAAGATATAAATGATTCTAAACTTACAAAAGATCAAATATTTGGACAATGGGTAAAAGAAATGAATGACATATGGAGTAAATTTTTTATAAATATCAAAGAGATTAATGTTGCAAATGAAAAAGATATAAAGGTAATCGAGATTCTTTTTAATGATATTGAAGATAAAGTGACGTTGAGAATTGATTATTTAAATGATTTACAATGTAATATACTTCAAATACGTTCAAATAATGGTGTTGACTATTCCAAAATTGAGAAACAAATTGAATGCTATAAAGGAATTGAGAAAGTTGGAAAATTCATTGAAATAATTGGAAATAAATAGGGTCAAGATAATAATGAGTAATATACGGATAAGAATAAGTATGAAGTAAAATACTTTAGACTGTATCTTTATGTAATGTGAATCAGGTCATTCTAGAATAGTTTATCTACTTTCAATGAGGGGGGGGAGGGGACCTCGGCAATTTTATTTAGTCGCGCGCGTGTTCTCCACAAATTATACAATGAAACAGAAAATATATAATATACTGTCTTAGCAAAGGTTAAATTCAAGTGAAGATATTACTGACTAAGCAATGGCAGAAATTGAATCCATACCATCGATCAAAGCACAGGATTCAGACCAGATTGTAGACAGTATTATACAGCTTGCTAGAAAAGAGCAAAAAAGAGGAAATAAATCGATTACCCAAGAGAAACTTGATAACCTTTCTAGATACGTTTTACAACAAAAGAGTAGAAAAGAACTGGCAAGAAAACTGTACTATCAAAGTAGTAAAACATCTAGCAAAAGTGAGAGTGTAAAATCAAGTTCATATCAAACGCCGCCGTTCATCAAGGAATTACCACCACCTCAATATTCGCCACTTTTCTCTAAATTTAACCCAAGACAATCACCAACAAGACAAACTCCGCAATATTCAGGTATTCCAAGAACATACAATCGATCATCTAGTTCACAGAGAAAGAAGAATCAATCAAATAAAAAACTTACATTCAAATCAATTGAACGAATTGTCATTGAAGTACTTGAAACTTTGGCTAATATTCTTGACAACTTGCATCTTTTCTCCAAACTTCCAATGTTTCCTAAACCATTATTAAGGATTTTAAAGCAAACCAACAAACTTTGGGTACTTATTCTAATATTTTTAATAAGAAAAACCATATCACAACTTTTAAATGTGATAAGAAAGGAAAAGAAAGTGGCAGCTGAATTATCTATTGTTAAGAAAAATGGCTCTAAATTATTAGAATTTGAAGATGAACTCGAACAATCAAGTACAAGCCAGGGACAACCACAAAACATATTCAAAAAGTATGAGAAAGTTATGAAAGACTTGAAATTTGATAAAACTATGCTTATAATTGAATTAATTGGTAACTTTTTGGACTTATCATTTAATACTATAGAACTTTATGGAATTGATTTACCTGACTGGTTTATGGGTGGATTAAATGCTGCTAGTATGTTTATGACCATCTACAGAATGAATAAAGATGATGAGTACATTGATGATGATATAACCGAGGATCTTATATAGTGTGAATTAACAACTGTATATCAATAGAATTAAGAGAATATTGAAAGAAATAGGTGTGGATAGATATAACAAAGAGAAATTTGTAAAATAGAAAGGTAGTGAATGGATATTGAACCATATACTGAATATGAGCGTTTGTTTGAAGTTTGTTGGTTCGCGCTTTTTGTACAGATCATATTAAAGCAATATGGAAATTTAAATATACATGTAAATAGTTTTAATTTTTCCTTCTCCAACTATTGAATTTGTAGACTATTCTGCTGAATAAATTCATTTTAAGAATGTCTATTGCTGATCTTCTTACTCCATACAAGTCACAGGTTGGAGAGATTGCAACTGAAATTGATAACTATTCACTTTCAGTAAATGAATTAGAAGTACGACATGATCCAGACTTTAAGGCAACCGAAACAACTAAAACCATCAAAAACGATGACCAAGAAGAGGTAAACGTTAAGAGCCTATCATTAGCTCAATTGAATGCAAAGGCAAAGGGACTTGACCTGAATTTGAATCTGCTCAATAAACTTTGGCTCATCCGTGGTTTATTGAAAGAAATTGAATTAACTTTAAGTCCCCCAGGATCAGCAATTGATTATCTTTGTGGTAGTAGTGAATTGGAATCTGTTTTCTTCAATTTAGAAAAGCTTGAATTGAAACTTTCACAATTTAGAGAGTCATACCCTTCAGCTCTAATCGTTGATACTTTGTATCAACATCATGCAAAGCTTTATAATGAAGGTATACAGCAAATTGAAAGCCTTTTCCATTTATTTTTCCCTAATTCACAAACTTTTGTTAACCCAATCATTGTTAATGGATTTGAATTTGAATATAATGGTGAATTTGTGGGTGTGTTTAAGAATTATTCTAACCTTGATACCACAAACCAATCAGTTATATCCAATTTGATTCATACAAAGCAATTCGTATGGGATAAAGAATTATTGGATCCCTTTTTAATAAATAATAAATCTCAATTGGAATTAGTACAGGATATAAAAGAGACAAGCGAAGGTACTAGTTACATTTATAAATTGACTCCAAGTTCAAGTTCAATCTCTTCTAAAGATTTCTTTGATTTGCTGTATTTTGATTCACTTACAAACTTTATTAGATTTATTAATTTGTTTCAAGATCAATCTTTACAAAACTTTTATCTGTCCAAGATATCCAGAAATTTAACTGAGATAGTATCCAAGAATATTAATAAATTAATTGCTGGGGGTGACTTGGTTCATAGATTAATGGATCTTATTGATCTTTCAAAGAGAACAAACTGGTCTCTTTCCATTGCTTCATCATTAAATTCAAAGGATGACTCTAATACTTTAGCTGATCGCTTAAACGATTTATATTTGGATTGGCTACTTGATAATAAGATTGAAGAAATTCGAAAATTCTTTGGAGATGAAGAGAATGTCAAACAATTATTTAGTAATGTGAAAGACATTGAATATGAGAATAAAGATCAGAATGACACAGAAAAAGTAAACCATACTGAAAATGAAGAAGTTGCAGATTGGAATGATGATTGGGACAATGATGCCTGGAACGAAGAAATAGATTTGGACCTCAATGATGATATCGAAGAAGATATATTAAACGAAGATTGGGGGTTCAGTGATGAAGAAGAGGAACAACAACAACATCAACTGAAAAAGGAATTCAATGCCAAAAGTCCAATGAAAAAGAGGAAATCTGTTCAATCATTAAAGAAATCAGTCACATCACCAATTAATAGTTTCAAAACTACTTCTGTTCCTCAACTTCTTGTTAAAATTATAGATGAATTCATTCAAGAAGGGAAATTGAAAGATGAAATTAAAACCATGCAAAGCGTACCACTTCTTCTCACCACTACCATTTCATTTTCAATCCTCACTTATCCTTCATTGGAAAGATCGTTTATGTTATTCAATGATGTATCATACCTTCATCAATTGCTACTTCCAATAGTCCCAGAGGAATATTTATCTGAACTTTCCGAGTTTACTTCAACTAGTTGGAAGAAATTGATATTTGATCTTTTACCAACAATTGCAACTATAACCAATTCAATCAATTTGAAACATGATGATTATATTGCAAAAGAGATGGATGAATATTCATTTGAGCTCGATCAAGAAACAATAATTCAATTAGATTCAATTCAAAGTTGGTTTGATAAATTACTTGAATCATCGAACTTGGGAGTGGAAAATTCTCAAAAATTCAAATCACTTGTTGTGTATTTCATAAATTATGTTAATAATTGGATTATAGATAATATTACCTCAATGGAAGAAATCACTGAATATCAATCTACCAAATTATCTAAGATTATCGAGTCATTACAAAATATTTGTATACCAATTGCAATTTCAAGTGTTGATAAAGGTGCTAATCAATCGATTAAAAGTTTCCACAAACTTGAGAATACATTATACTTGATTACAAATCACCTTAAGGATATTATGGAAAGATTTTATTCAGGAGAGTTCTATGACTATAATACCAATGAATTGATCTCAATCATTAGGAGTACATTTGTTCAAAGTGAATTAAGAGAAGGATATATACAAGAAATACTTGACATTCGGAATGTTGATAACGAATAAAACATAAATGCAAAACGTTTATAAGAAATATACATATTAAATAAATTTCCAAGTAATTAATCAGTTTATTCAATGATCTTCCCGTCTAATACCTTCTTCCCAGTTTTAGAAATGGTTTGAAAAACAGTGTCGTAGTCCAATGTAGAAACAGTTTGAACATCCACAGTTTGGTTTTCTAATGAAATGTCAACATTTTTAACTCCTTCCAATCTACCCAAAACTCTGTTCACGGCACCGGAACACCCGGAGCAAGTCATAGTGACATTAAAGTGATATTTATGGTCAGACATGGTTGTTATAATTTGAAAGTCAAGATGAAAAGGGAAAAAACAAAAAACTGTTGTGAGGGTTCCTGATCTTTTCGATAAAGAAATAATTTTTTGAATTGCATTAATAATTCTATTTTTTTTTTTGGTTATATAAAGGTTATGGCGAATATCCTGTAAATACCGGAATAGATCCTATTTCACTATTACTCGCCAAAGTTTTTTGTCCTTAATTTACTGTTTAACAAACATAAATTGTATTAAAACTTAAATTACGAAAACGGAACTTGAGACTCATCAACCGAATGTCTTCTATGTTGTTGTTAATTAATATTCTATGGTCCCATTCTTATGCTATTCTGCGCTTTTTTTTGTTGCAAAAGCTTCAATATCTAAACCTCTACAAGATTGTTTGATTTCACAAGTACCTAATTAGTCTCTCTCTAAATATTTCTAAATATGGCAAACACTGAATTGTAAGTCTAATTATTCACGAGTCTCAACTAACATGGTCATGTACAACCTTTCATGCGCAGTCATTAAAATAGCACGAAACACAAAAGGCAAAATGCAAAAAGCAAAAAAAAAAAACAAAATACAAAAAAAGAAATAGAAATATTGTTACATCACAGAGAATTTGTGTAATACTGCATGCAGTAATTGTAACAGCTAGAACCTTATAGAGATCAGTCGAGAGATACTTATCGCCTTATTTATTTACTCAATAGATAAAATAATATAATAAGTATTTTCTCGAAGGAATACTTGACCAAGAGGTTACCAGATTCTTATTCATTTCGCCGAGCTAGTCAGAAGAAGAAAATATCATTTCCATTGCTTTCTTGTTTTTTTAATTTTTGACAGGTTTTCCCTTTCAAGTGGTTATTGAAAAACAAGAAAAGGGCACGATATATAAACTTAAAGGAGGTCGCTGGTTGGAAACATATCTGACAATCGGTTTTCATCACCAGGATATTTCCTATTCATTTGACATCCACTTAATTACATTTTTTTGATTCTTACAGTTTTTTTTTTATTTTTTGAAGTTATAAAAACAATATTAGAGAATAATGGCTATCGAATTAACACATGAACAGCTAACTAGAACAGTTGAAAACTTGAGAGGCAACGAGGAAAGCTTACCATCACCATTAGTTCCGCCAATCCCAACACACGAGTATGAATTAAACCAATCAGAATCACTCACCTTTTTGTATAATCTTCTCTTTGATGAATCATCTCACTTATCAAAAGCTGATATTTTGAGTATCTTGAATTCTCTTAAGTTAAGGGAGGATAATTTACCTTTCTATTTTAACAATGCAGACACTCATACCGATACCCAAGGGGTTCATTGGCCTGAAGGTCTAAAACAAAAATTTGTTCAAGATCGAATCCGAATAGGGAATAGTTTTGAATCTACCAGTACAGGGTGGTATTTTAATATACCACTGTCCAGAGAGACTGTTAGAAATGTAAGTTAACAGAAAAATGAAAGAGGGAGAAAAAAAAGACATACTTCCAGAAAAATATTCAAAAAAGACAAGAGTACTAACAATCAGACTGTAAATATCGAGATGTACAAGTCATCTTCTGATTTTTATAATTTTCACAAGTTTTTCAGTAAGTTGAAGTTGCATATAACTCATTTTCAGCTTAGGAACTTGGTATGCTGCGGGTCAGACATTTCCAAGGGGATCTATTATCCACTGGCATACATCCACGATAACCATTTACAGACTGTCACTGCCAATGGAGAAGATATGGACCCTGAGGGGTCCCAGAGCTACTTCAAAATTAATCGTTTGGCCCCTGATACTACATCAATCGAAGGAACTCGATTGAAAGAACCCATGAAATTGGATTGTCTAGTAGATTCAAGGTCATTGACGTATAATTCCAATAGTCGAATATCAACTTTGGCATGTTCCAATAATTATTTGACGTTTGGAACTTTCGAAGGTGGATATGTTTTAGTTGATACTTCTAAATCAGATCAGACACATGTATTAGGTGAATATAATCTAGCGAGTAAAGTAGATGGAATCACCAACCATATCATTATCAATGAAGATGATAAGGAATTGGTTATAAGTTCAAATGATAAATTCTTACGAATAGTTGATATTAACCAGGATAGCTTAAGGTCAGGACCAAAAGTTAAATCCATGCATGAATTACCATTTGCAATCAATTGTCTTGCTCTCAATAAGAATAATGTAAATGAAAAACTTATAACTGGTGATGATATCAACTCATATATAATAGATACTAGACTTTCCCAACAGGGGAATAAATTTGCTGCTACTTTACGAGGACACGAAGACTTTGGGTTTAGTTGTGACTGGTCACCAACTAATGAGAACTTGATGATTACTGGGAATCAGGATGGAAGTGTCAAACTCTGGGATAGACGAAAACTTGACGATGGATGTACAAGTTGTTGGGATAGTTCGTTTGGAAGAAACATTGGGTTAAAACCCTCAAAAACAGTTCAAGGAGCTCCTGTCCGGAACACAAAATTTAGTTTCAATGGAGAATATATAGCCTGGGCTGAAAGTTTGGACCATATTGGGATAGTTCCAGTTCTGGATGTTCTTGCTAGCCAAGAAAATACCGTTCTGAATGTGCAATCGATTGACTTTGTTGGTAAATGTATGGGTCTCAACTTTGCTCCTAGCGATAGTGGGTACGGTGAAGAGCTTATTATTGGGGTTAACGATTGTCCATTGGGTGGGATTTTAAGCTACAAGTTAGAAAGTGTCAACAAATCTTTAGACTTTGACTTTTTCTTTTAATACCCCAAATTTTCATTTGTATATACAAAGATTGTACATTATATACCAGTACGTTCATAATCTAATATATTTACATAAAATTTACAAAAGAAAAAGAACTGTGTTGTTAGGACATGTAGTGCAATCCTGATGCTTTCGTAACGTATTTGACCTTCCCAGAGTAGATCTTCCTTTTTACCTATGGTAATTTGACGGATTAAATGAGTAAGCATGATATGTAAACTTACCACATTTCATCCATATTTTCACTAACTTGTAGTTGGCCTCCAACAGTCTTTATTAAATCATCCAATCCTTTAATTTTTTCATTTTCCTTACATAAAGTAGCAACAACTCTTAGCTTATTTCTAGCTTTGGCTACTATTTTTTCATACTCTGCCACTTCCTTATCCCCATTTGTAAGCGGTATATTCTTTACCAGATTCTCCAACTGGTCTAAGTGTGAATCTAAAGTCTTTTGAGATGTAGTAGTAGTGTATTTAGAAATATTTTTACGCCAAAATATGATTAAACCTTGTATATAACCAATAACTAATAATCTTTGGAACCCAGTTTGATAACCATATTCTTTCCCTTCCACATATTGTTGATGTGTTGAAAATTCTTGGCCTTCTTTGAACCCTTCGTTATAAAACTCTTCCTCTAAGTTCAACACCAGATCTAAATCAAAATCATCCATATTGAAACGCTTTTAGTAAATAGTACAAATGGTACAAATGAGTTGATTAGTTATGTAGATGAGATGTGATGATATCATTGACATACTGCACTTAAATATTTTTGGTTAACACAACCTCAAATCAACAGAAGTAGTGTAATGAATTGGATAATATACATTGCTAAGATATAAAGATGGATGAAGATGAAATATATGTAGATGATATACCGGGGAATTCCAGAAGACAAAAGCAAAGAAGAAGAAATGAATTGCGTTTAAATTACAATTCCGATTCAGAAGAGGAAGTAGAACAAGAGAATGATGAAGACGTTAAAGAACCAACAGATAAACTAAAGGAAGTGGATGTCAATGAAAATGATGGTTCGGATGACGATATGTTTGCCAGTGATAAGGAGGAAGATGAAGAAGAAGAGAAATTGGAAGATACTTCTAAGGCGAATACTGAAGTTCCTATAAAAAATCTGAATGAATTGGATATGGATCAATTTGAAAAAGAAGAAGGAATTGACGATTATATACAAAGTGAAGAAGGTGGAAGTGATGTAGATGATAATGATCCTGATAAGATAAAATATTTCACGAATATTGAAGAGATGGACAATATTGATGATTCTATTCAGGTTAAGAAGGGTAATTGGAAACCAAAAATTGAAGCGTTCAATCTTCGAGAAGAGGCCGAGGATGGAACTTTTGACCTCGAAGGAAATTATACAAGAAAGGAGCCACAATCCGATGATGAGGATCATTGGTTAGACTCTACCAAGCGTTCGGATATAGAGAATGCTCGTAAATCACAATTGGAAAGAGAGAAATTGGCTAAAATAAAGAAGAAAGCTCAAATAAGCATGAGTACAACTGAATTAATTGAACAACTTATACCAATCCTTGAGCCAGCAGAAACTCCACTTGAGCTTCTAGCTAGACTAGCACCTAAACAAAGCAGGAGGAAACGGAATTTATCTAAGCACGAACATTCATCCAGTAACAACGCAAGTGTTATTCTGATGGTGACAGAAGTTGTAGAAGCATTGATATCCGATAAGGCAGTATCCGATGCATACGACTTAAGTAGAGAAGAGTACTTGAGGATGTATAAGAATGAAACTGGAGTTGAATATAAGATTGTTACGAAAAAGAGACCTAGGGAGTCTTCAGATAATGAAGATGAAAATAATGAAGATGATTATGGTACAAAAATATGGGAATTTAAATGGAATGGACAAGAAGAAATTAATGGTCCTTACTCTGAATATGAAATGAAATACTGGAAAGAAAGTTATTTTGAGAATTCGGTTCAAGTAAGAAAGATTGGAGAAGAACTATTTCAAGATGTTGCAAATGTTGAATTTGAATAAATGAGAGACAATAAGATCAATAAAACGTTCCATGTTATAAATGTGAGCAATACTGAATTTGTTAAACAATCAGATATCGTTGACCTGTTCTACTTGATTAACCCGGTTGGACTAAGACATAGCCAGTGAAACCAACCTATACTAATATAATGTCATAGTCATATCTACACTATTCGTTTAAATTCATTACATTTGGATTCGTATACCTATATATTCTAATCCTTCTTTTCAAGAGCACATTTGTACAATTCCTTTACAAAGCTTTCACCCCAAAATCCTGAAGTGTACTTTGAAATGTAATCGAACAATTTTTTAAAGTTGACCACTTTCTTTTCTTCTGGTAAAGTAAGAGCTTCCTTGATAGATTCAGAGAGTTCTTCAGTGTTCCATGGGTTAACGATGATAGCACCATTAAGAGATTGTGCAGCACCGGCAAATTCAGATAAGATCAAAGCCCCGTTGTTATTTTGTTGACAAGCAATGTATTCAAAACTAACCAAGTTCATCCCATCTCTAGTGGAAGACACAAGACAAACATCAGAAACGTGATACAAACTGATCAATTCATCAAATGGAATAGATTTGTGCATGTAATGAATTGGTACAAATTCAACAGTTCCAAATTTACCGTTGATTCTACCAACCAATTCGTTGACAGTGGCACGCAAGGATTGATATTCTTCAACATCTCCACGAGAGGGTACGGCAACTTGAACAAGAACCACTTTACCGATCCATTCTGGGTTTTCATCTAAAAAGATTTCAAATGCATGAAGCTTTTGTGGGACACCCTTGATATAATCCAATCTATCCACACCAACAATAACCTTAGTGTCACCGAATTTTTGTTTAAGTTGTTGGATTCTATCCACAACAGAAGGTTTAGTTAAACCTTCAACAAATTTATCAACGTCAATACCAATCGGGAAGGCACCAATAACGATGGAGCGACCCTTGTATTGAATCCCATTAGGTAACGTGGAAACATTAGGGACTATTCTCAGCACAGACGATAAGAAATGTCTAGCATAATCATAAGTATGAAAACCAATCAAATCACAACTCAATACACCTTCCAAAATCTCTTTACGGACAGGTAAGATTCTATAGATTTCAGAAGATGGGAATGGGGTATGGAGAAACCATCCAATTCTTATATTCTTCTTCTTATTACCAATTTCCTCACGAAGCATTTGTGGTAACAACATCAAATGATAGTCATGCACCCAAACCATATCATTATCCTCGACTTGTTCGGCAATCTTGGTAGCAAATTGACGGTTTGCCTCTATGTAGGCAGCCCATGCATTCTCATCAAAATTCATTTCACCAGGATGGTAATGGAACAATGGCCACAAGATCGAATTAGAGAATCCATTGTAATGAAGATCAGCGATTTGATCACTCAAGAAAATGGCAGTACAGTTGAATTTCTCCAAAAGATCAGCATTGACCTTGTCTTGTTCGTCTTCTGGAAGTTCTAAGCCCGGCCAGCCGAGCCATTGGAACTCGGTCGACTTCTTGAGACCCTGAAGGGCAGTAACAAGACCTCCAGAGGACATTGAGTAGTTATATGAGCCATTTGGCTTACGAGTAATGGTGACTGGAAGTCTGTTTGACACGACCAATACTTTTCCTTGAACCATTGTAAAATCAATTGATATAAAGCTTCTTGTAAGAAAGATGGGTGGTAAAAAGATAAAATGCCTTAGGGGAAATTGGGAGAATTGTAATAGCAAGAATGGTCTATCAGCTCACGTAAACCTGTACAGAAGATAAAGTGGGCGGTAATGTGAGGGCACCTCGTGAAGCAAATAAAAATAAAAATAAAAAAAAAAGAAGTAGAAAGAGAGGGAAGTAAACCTTATATAAAGAAATTATAAGTAATAATTCATTTATAAACTGTAGAAAGCAACCCCAAGCTGAGTATTTACACGTATAATATTAATATGGGATATATAGTCTACAAAAATCAGTTTATATTCCACTTATATGCTATGTATGAGCTGAATGTTTTATTGCTTAATATTGCCACGAGCCCCCTTCTGTCACATTGCTGCGAATTTTGCTCCACAACCAATACTGGTGAAACATAAATATTAATCAATCACAAAATGTACAATTAAACTGTAGAATGTACATGCTATAACTACCTGTATATGTATTGAAAATACATATTTAGCTGTCATTAACAACTTAACTTGTAACAATGGGCTTCATTGATCGATCATGCATAGTCACTCACAATAAATAATAAATTTTACAGACAAGAAATGACTTCTAAGCAAAGTGAAATTGAAAGTTTATCATGATTAATTTGATTAGACAGGTCAAATTAGAATTGCCGTTTTAATTGAGTCTCTTAGATTATGTTGCTAATGTAGTTCTTTTGTAGACATAACTCTCATTGTTCTCACATACATCCCTTTTAAGAAGTCAACCTATGTGCAGGTTTTGAATTTGAGCTATGTTGTACAAATCGCGCCTCTATTTAAAAAAACTACTAACTAAGCTTGAATCGTAAGAGATTCTGTCCATTGCTGATCATGTACACACCTTATCAGAACCAACAGCAACCGTATGCGCAGCAGCGTGGTCAGGGACAGCAGTACCAGCCACAACAACAGCAGTACCAACCACAGAACCAGCACCAACAGTATCAACCACCACAACAACAACAACTGCAACAGTATGGCCAACCTGGTCTTCATCATCCACAACCACAACACTACCAACAAGTGCCTCCTCAACAACAACAGCAGCAGGGACAACCGGGCCAATACTCGCAAGATGGGCCTTATGGAGGCTTTTTCACTGACCCTGCTGCTTCAATGGCCGCTCAACTTGCCAAAAACTCCTTTGGTCAATCTAATGTATATCTTCAACAGAATTTTGGTCTGTTTATCCCAAAGGCGGATGTAAACTATTACTTTAAGGTATCAAACTCGTACGTAGTACGTAAAGTTGGGCTTATTTTGTTCCCATACCGTCACAAAAATTGGACAAGACTCACTGCATCCAGCACCGACCACTCAGTTGGAACTCCCAGTGCAACTCCTCTGCAAATTCAATTTGCCGCACCTACACATGATATCAATGCTCCAGACTTGTACATTCCATTGATGGCATTCATCACATACATCTTACTTTGGGCTTCATTCCAAGGTTTTAAGGGTGACTTCCATCCTGAAGTTTTTGGATATTTAGCCTCTCAAACTTTAGCATGTTCTATTATTGATATTGTTATTTTTAGAGTAGGACTTTATTTATTGAACTGCTCCACTCAACATAGTCTGTTCTGGGATGTCATTGCCTTTTCTGGCTACAAATATGTTACCATCATTGCTCTTTTATGTTGGAAGAATTTAATTGGTGGAGGTTGGATTTATTATGGTGTTGTTTTCATTTTTACTGCCAGTTTATCTCTCTTTTTAATGAGATCACTTAAATTTTTGGTTCTTCCTAGTGCCCTGGGAGTTGATAATCCGAATATCAACAATATTTCTGCTACTCAAAGAAGAATTAGAATTCAATTTTTATTCCTTTATGCTGTTGTTCTTCAAATATTGCTTGTTTTATTTATGAGTAGATAGGAAAAAGAGTTGAACTTTAAACAAATATAAATTATTGTGTATAAGATTGAACGAAAATATAGAGAAGTAAGGCAACTTGTGAATGTTGAAGATAATTGTAGATATTGTTAAGAATTATGCCATACAGTAGTGGGTTTTGAGAGTATATTCTAATATTCAAAACGAGGACTTTGCTTTATGTAGAGATATAGGAATGGCTGATATAAAGCGAAACATTGATAGTCGAAGATTACTCTAAATTGTTGCGAAATGTCAGACTGATACTAAAATCTTACGGATACAGAGATAAGTGGCTGGCCAGGAATTGTGTGGTACTTTTTTCTCCTTATCAAATTTGTTGCATGATAATGATTAACTGCAGTTCAGTGCGGGTACATCAACACATATTTCTGAAATAGGTATCAAAGAAAAAACAAAATAATAAGTTATTAAAGGATTTGAAGGTAGAAAATTGGATATTGTTATGTCTGGCCCTAAACTTGAAGCATTTGAGTTGGATTCTCAACTGTACGAAAATAGACACGTTCAGAGAGGAAGTGATATTTATTTCCCCTTAAAGCCGTCTATATTGTCGTACAGATGTCAAGCAAAGATAGCAATAGTATTGATATCAGCAGTGATGGTTTTTTTAACATTTAATACATTGTATTTTTTAGTAAATTTAGGAGTTCAAATTAGAAAAGGGCAGACCACTTGAGTTCCATAGAAAGAGACAATTATTATCTTTATTGCTAATGTGGTAGATTATAGAATGAGACAGCTTAAAGTGAGAGATACATCCCTTAGCAAGGAGATAAGTCGCATAACTTGGTAATGATATGGGACAACTTGGTTAATTTATATAAGAAGGACTGAAGGTTATATAATAAAACTAAAGCTGTGATATAGAAACTTCAATGGTAGAATTGACCAACTGCGTTTGACAATTACTAATTGGCCCATTTGTTAGACCATGGACTATAGATAAGGATAATGATCACCACTTTATTTTCATCATTCATAAACTTTGTATCAATAAAACGTAACAATAAATAAACAAACTCAGTACAATGTAGGTCTGATGCAATATTAGGTCAATAATTTTTATTCCTGTCATCTCCCTGTATACCTTTTATTCCTCTTTGTAAATGGAATCCTGTATCCAAAATTTCAATTTTTGGAGAGCTTACGCGTACGCGTACATTAAGTCGATGAGATCTCACAACTATATATATATCTCTCTCTTATAAAACTAAACCATAAACAAGGGTGTAATAATATAATATAATATAATATAATACAATGCCTCCGTTTAAAGGTTCTACTTCGGCCAGGTTTGTAAAGAATAAAGGTTCGAATGGTACGACTCTCAAATCCGAGTACCGTTCAGATACCAAACGAGAGTATGAAGTTGAGAATATAAGTCCAATGCTGACTGATTCAAGTCAACGATTGGAAATGGTAACAAAAATTGATAAAATAGATAGCATTATGGGATTTGATCGAATTGAATCATCTGAAACCAGTTCCAATAAGCCTAAAAAGGGATGGTTGGTCAATATGCATGCCACTACTGTACCAACTGATGATTATCTTGCTGGATATTCAGGAGTTGATTACTATTTCCTTGATGAAGAAGGTGGGTCTTTCAAGGCTACCATTCAATTCGATCCATATTTCTACTTGGCTTCAGTACCTGGACATGAGCTGGAAGTCGAAGAAACAATCAGAAAGTTACTTGAACAATGTCATTTGAAATCCGTTGCAAGACTTAATAAAGAGGATTTATCTCTTCCTAATCACTTGGTAGGACTTCAAAAAAGTCTTATTAAACTTACATTTCATAATGTTTCTGATCTTTTAGCAGCAAGACGTCTTCTTTCCCCCATTGTAAAAGATAATCAATTAACAAGAGATTCTAGAGATATCTACATGAATACAAACTTTAATGTTGGTGGTAATACAGTCCATGATAGTGATTATGGTCAACTTTCAGGAACATATAGCAATAATGATCATAATTCTAGTAATTTCCACAACAGCAACAATAATGGTAACAACGAGAATGTTGATCCACTTACATTTATAGACGATATTAGAGAATATGATGTACCATATCATGTACGAGTTTCCATTGACAAGAACATAAGAGTTGGTAAATGGTATAATGTTTACGTGGCACAACAAGAAACTAGCTTGGAGGAAGATAAGGAAAAGATTGCATTCGCTGACCCTGTTGTTCTTGCTTTCGATATCGAGACTACAAAAGCACCATTGAAATTTCCTGATGCAGCCCATGATCAAATTATGATGATTTCGTATATGATTGATGGTGAAGGTTTTCTTATCACAAATAGAAGCATTGTATCTCAAGATATCGAAGATTTTGAATATACTCCCAAACCAGAATATCCTGGTAATTTCACCATTTTTAATGAAGATGATGAAAAGGCACTTTTGGAGCGCTTTTTTGAACATATAAGAGATGCTAGACCAACTGTCATAGCCACTTTTAACGGTGATTTTTTCGATTGGCCGTTTGTAGATAAAAGAACATCCGTTCATAATATGGATCTCTTTGAAGAAATTGGATTTGCCAAGGACAATGAGGGTGAGTACAAGTCCAAATACTGTGTTCATATGGATTGTTATAGATGGGTAAAGAGAGATTCGTATTTGCCACAAGGTTCGCAAGGTTTGAAAGCCGTTACAACTGCTAAATTGGGTTATAATCCAACTGAATTGGACCCAGAACTTATGACACCATATGCATATGAAAAACCTCAATTACTTTCAGAATATTCGGTTTCTGATGCTGTGGCGACGTATTATTTATACTACAAGTATGTTCATCCATTTATCTTTTCCTTGTGTACCATCATTCCACTTAACCCAGACGAAGTGTTAAGAAAGGGTACAGGTACTTTGTGTGAAATGTTACTTATGGTTCAAGCTTATGAAAAGGGTATTTTGTTACCAAACAAACATTCTGAGCCAATTGAAAGATTTTATGAAGGTCATCTTTTAGAATCAGAAACTTACGTAGGGGGACATGTGGAATCACTTGAGGCTGGTGTATTCAGAAGTGATATTCCATGCGATTTCAAAGTTGACCCAACAGCTATAGACGAATTGATAAATGATTTACATCTGTCATTGAAATTTTGTGTTGAAGTTGAAAATAATAAAAAAATGGAAGATGTTGAAAATTTTGACGAAGTTTATAACGATATTAAACAACAACTCCTTTTATTGAGAGATGCTCCAGTACGTACAGAAGTCCCACTAATTTATCACGTTGATGTGGCATCCATGTATCCAAATATCATGACTTCAAACCGTTTACAACCTGATTCAATGAAGACAGAAGAAGATTGTGCAGCATGTGATTTCAATAGACCACAAAAGAATTGTGATCGTAAACTTCCCTGGGCATGGAGAGGTGAATTCTTCCCTGCAACTGCTAGTGATTACAACACTGTGAAAAATTCCGTTCATGCAGAAACATTTCCATCAAAGAAAGAAGGAGGTCCAAGAAGAATGTTTGAAGAATTACCTTATGCGGAGCAAGCCCAAATTATCAAAAAGAGAGTTAGCGATTATTCCAAAGCCAATTACCATAGAATTAAGCAAACTAAAACTGTTGAAAGAACATCTATTGTTTGTCAAAGAGAAAATCCTTTTTATGTAGATACAGTGAGATCTTTCAGAGATCGTCGTTATGAATTCAAAACTTTGGCAAAAGTTTGGAAAGGGAAATCGTCAAAAATTGCCAAGAGTGATCCTATTGGTAAAGATGAAGCCAATAAAATGGTTGTTCTTTATGATTCATTGCAATTGGCCCATAAAGTTATTTTAAACTCGTTTTATGGGTATGTTATGAGAAAAGGTTCTCGTTGGTACTCTATGGAAATGGCGGGTATCACTTGTCTTACAGGGGCTCACATCATTCAAATGGCTAGAAAATTAGTCGAAAGAATTGGGAGACCTTTGGAATTAGATACGGATGGTATTTGGTGTATTCTTCCAAAATCATTCCCCGAAAACTTCCACCTTAAATGCAAAGATGGAAAGAAATTGTTTGTGGAATATCCATGTTCCATGTTGAATTATTTGGTTCATCAACAATTTACAAACCATCAATATCAAGATTTAGTTGATCCAGAGAACTTTAAGTATAAAACTAGGTCTGATAACTCTATTTTCTTTGAAGTTGATGGCCCTTATAAGGCTATGATCTTGCCAACTTCCAAGGAAGAAGGTAAAGGTTTGAAAAAGAGATATGCTGTTTTCAATGATGACGGTACATTGGCAGAACTTAAAGGTTTTGAATTGAAAAGAAGAGGTGAATTACAATTGATTAAAAATTTTCAATCTGATATCTTTAAACTTTTCTTGGATGGGGACAGTCTAGAAAGTTGTTATAAAGCAGTTGCCAATGTTGCAAATAATTGGCTTGATGTTTTGGATACGAAGGGTGGGATGCTTGAAGATGAAGATTTAATTGAACTTATTTGTGAGAATAGAAGTATGTCTAAAAGTTTGAAAGAATATGGAAATCAAAAATCTACTTCAATTACCACAGCTAGAAGATTGGGTGAATTCTTAGGAGAGGAAATGGTTAAAGATGCTGGTTTGGCTTGTAAATATATTATCAGTTCGAGACCAATTGGTAGTCCAGTTACTGAAAGAGCTATTCCGGTATCGATTTTCTCGTCTGAGAAGAAAAAGCATTTTTTAAGAAAATGGCTTAAGGATCCTAGACTTGAAGACTTTGATCCTAGAAGTGTTCTTGATTGGGATTATTATAGACTCCGGTTGTCATCTGTGGTTCAAAAGATTATTTCCATTCCAGCTGCATTGCAAGGTGTTAAAAACCCTGTTCCAAGGGTAGAACACCCTGATTGGTTACGTAATAGAATTAAAGTTTTGGAAGACCCTAAGAAGCAGTCTAGCATTGGGGCATTCTTCAAGTCAACCACGAAGAATGAGGCTTTAAAGCAAACTAAAGCCCACATTAAAGATATTGAAGACTTTGGAGATATGGATATCAGTACTACTGGTCACGCTAAAATTGCAAAAGTCACTTCAACCAAACGGAAAGGTAAGAGAACTATTACTCTTACCAAAGCAGAGGCATTAGAACAAGAAGAAGAAAATGAAAGACAAAGAGCTATACTCAATGGTCCTTGCCCTTCTATGGATGATTATGTTGCTTTTTTGAATTATCAAAAAGCAAAATGGAAGTTACAACAAGCTAACAAGGAAAGTAGAAGAAAGGTGTTCGGTACAGATACCAATTCTTCACATAGATCTGCACTTGGTGGTATGATCCAAAAGCATGCAACTTCTCTTGCTGGTTCTAATTGGGAAGTTTTGCAATATAAGCCTGATCCAATGAAGCCAGGTGATATCAAAGTTTATGTTCTGGCAAGCGGGAAGGTTCATACATTCACATTTCAAATTCCAAAGAAGTTTTACGCAAGTTTCAAAACTGAACTATCACGCGCTTCGATGAAGAAATTACCTACTACTTGCCAGATGGAAACCTCAAATGCCGTCTTACCAAATGGACATGATGCGTCAAATTTATATAAGTTCGTTATGCCAGAGTTAACTTTTCAAGAAGAAGTTACTAATGTCGAGAGCGTGTTACAAAGCTCCAACCTTCTAGGTCTTTATGAGACTCAGATTGGATCCGTCGAGAGAGCAATTGTCGAATTGGGTAACTCTGTGAAATTTGACGATACAAAGGTTGGAGCTCTTGGTAAAGGTTTACAAAATGGGTTCCATTTACGTGATATGACCAAAGTGGATAATGAAAATTACTTAAGACGGTTCAATATGGATATTGTCTACTTGTTACATCTCGTAACTAACAGCTATGAATTTTTTGCAGTTTTCAAATCGTGGGAAAGTTCGGCATCTATATTCGTCTTGAAACCATCCTCAAATGCTCAAGAACTTCCAGGAAATTTGAATAAAATTTACCAAGAAATATTCTCTGCAAAGCAAGAAAAGATTGAAAAACATTCTGCTATTATCAACTACCCTGAATCTATGGAATTTGAAACAACATACTTCCAAAATGATACTAAATTGTTCAAGAAATTAAATAGTTATATTTCAAAGGTCCATGAAGAAAGAAGTAACCAAGCCCTATTTGCAATTCAATCACCTTACACGGAAAAGATTATGAACTTTATCAATGTTGACTTCCCCACAATTAAGATGAATGTGAGTGAATTATCTCTTCCTGCTATTTCTTGGCAGACATTGATCAGTAAAAGAATAATCAACCATTATTTTGTTTTGGCATCATGGGTGAAAAACTTAATTGCCTTGTCGAAGTATGGAAATATTCCATTATGTAACCTTCAAATTGAGAATATGGGTTACTTGATTGATATTGAATACGCAAGAAGACTTTCTACGAATAACATTGTTCTCTGGTGGTCCCCGAAACCATTACCTGATCATGGTGGTTTTGAAATGGATCGTGCCCAGGATTTAGAAAGTTTGGAATTTCCTACAATTAACAATCCAGATGTGTATGAAACTGCTTGTTTAGAGGTTGGTATTGGTACTCTCACCATCAACACTATTTTGACAAGTGCTCTTATAAATGAAGCTGAGGGGTCTGACTTAGCAGAAGAAAATGTCGAGTTTGACCATAATAATGGAGCCTCAACAATTGCCGAAGATTCTTTTTCAGCTCCAGCCTTATCTATTCTTAGAGGAATGGTAAAAAATTGGTGGGATGATGCATTGAAAAATAACATTAATGCAGATTCAATGATGAACAGTTTAGTTACCTGGGTGCAACGTAGGGACTCGCATTTATACGATTTTGCATTGCATTATCATGTTCATAATCTTACTACAAAGGCTCTATTACAGTTAATTGGAGAGTTTAAACGTATGAACGCGCTGGTGGTATTTGCTAGTCGTAACAAGTTGATTGTACAAACAAGTAAGGTTTCGGTGGAAAATTCTTATGCATATGGACAATATATCATCAAGACAGCAAGAAAGAAACCTCTATTTAGTTTCTTAGATATGAGAATTACTAAATATTGGGATATCCTTTTGTGGATGGATGAATATAACTATGGAGGTAGATGTTGTTATGAAATTACCAATGAAGATGTACAAGATTTGGTACCAGAAAGTAATTGGCAAATTAAAAATTATCTTCCAGTTCTTTTCCAGGATGAATTTGAAGATTGGTTGATTATCTTCTTAGATGCTCTTACAAACAATAAATCTGTTACGATGTTGGGTGGAAGTACTCAAACTCAAACTCAAAGAGTTACACAGATCTCTCATATTATTAAGGGCCAAAAAAAATTGGTTGAACAAGAAGGAGAAAGTCAAGGTACTGAAAATATTGATCAAGGTGTTTTAGAACAGTTTCGTAAGCCACTTATTAGTCGTATTGAGAAGCTTTTGCGTCGTCAAAATGAATCTATTCTTAATCCAGAACTTAGTGCTGAATATGAATTTCCAAAGCTTCCCGGTAGTCACCTCTCGATGGTTAATCCTTCTTTGGAATTAGTCAAATTCTTAATTGCAGTATTTGGATTATCTAGAAAGCGAAACATTGAAGTTCGTGTTTTGCGGAAGGATTTACTTTCTCTCTTTGATATCAAAGAGTTTAGTTCAGAAGGTGTATTCAGAAACCCTAGTACCTCATTGAAGGTTCCGCAAGTTGTTTGCGATTATTGTAACTACATTAAAGACATTGACTTCTGCAGAGATTCAGATCATGACATTTGGAATTGTGGAAGTTGTAACAAAAAGTATAATCCTGTTGCTATTGAAGAACAATTGATAGCTGAATATTGTAAACTTCTTACACGGTTTTACGTCCAAGATCTCAAATGTTCCAAATGTCAGCAAATCAAGAGTGACAATCTCAGTCCATATTGCCAATGTTCTGGGAAATGGATAGAGACAATTAGTCTGTCTGAAATCGAAAAGAAGAAGTCTGTTTTCACAAATGTTGCTACAGTTTATAACCTCCTGTTGTTACGAGGCTTATTGGAATAGATAATAATAGAATAAATTGTAATATAGAATAAATGATGAAATTATACAACTTAGAGAATTGTTTATGTTTACTTTTATTTTTTTTTTCCTATATTTTATTTTTTTGCGTTTTAGCAGCATCATATTTACTTTTTTCTACAGTTTGATTTAATTCGAACTTACACTCTCATATATATCAAATAGTTTAATACCCAATTGTGTATGGTTGAAGTTAGAAGTATTACTCCAGACCCCTCTGAAGTGTCTGTATTGTGCCGTGAAAATGAATTAAATCTTTTAAAGACATTGATTACTGGAGATGTTGCCACACTGGTCCCTGCTATGGTGGTGCATGGGTATCGATCTGTTGGTAAAACACATACGTTGGAATCATTTCTTAAATATCTGGGTGTTAAAACGACATACATTCAATGTAATGAATGTGTCACCAAGAGAGTGTTACTTCAACGGTGCTTGAAAAGAATCAGAGAAGATACTGGCGTCCCGAAATCATCATATAATGAGAACGTTAGTTATCGTGGTGGTGAAGTAACAAATTTTGGAGGCCTCTGTGAAAACTTTGAAAACTTGATTATTGCTCTAGAGCAGTTTATAGATGAAACTGGCTACCTTGAACCACATGTTCTTGTGTTGGATCGGATAGACCAATGTATGGAAAACGCTGATGATCTTCTTCCAGCATTTAGTCGATTACATGAACAATCAAAGGTTACGAATCTTACAGTTGTGTTTGTCATGTCAGGAGATGATGCTCGAGAAATTGCTACAGCTAACATTCCACATGTTTATTTCAAACCATATACACAGGATGAACTTCTTGATATCCTTTCCACAAAACCTCTTTGTCGTCTTCAAGGAAATATCGATGAGCCAATTCAAAATGAATTTTGGCAGCAATATGCCAAAATTATAGTTGATCTCTTCTACACTTATACAGGCTCTAATTTGAACTTACTTATTGACATTTGTCATGAATTATGGAATCATTTTGCTGAGCTAGTAGAAAATGGTAAATATAAACCAACAGAATTCATTAAAATTTATAGAGAGGTGCGTTCCTTACTTTTAGATGACAATGTTTTCAACAAATCTACTGTAGTAGATCATAGTTCACAATCGTCATCTTCGTTTGATTTACCAGTTCATTCTCAATATATCCTCATGGCATGCTATTTAGCTTCCTTGGTAGAACCAAAGAATGATCTTCATTTATTTTCTAAATTGAAAACTCTTCGAGCAAAGGCAAGGAAATCTAAAAAGCAACTTAGAAAGGAAAACATTGATAGTAGACTCCTTACACCAAGTACTTTTGAGTTGGAAAGAATGTTGAGTATTTTAACAGTGATTTATAGAAATGAATCCCCAACTTTGAATGTTGAACGTATGGATATGGACGAAGGTGAAGTATGGAACCATTATCTTGCTACTTTCACGTTGAATGCAAATCTTGATGTTAATAGTCAGTTGGCAACTCTCGCTTCATTAGGTTTGGTTGCAAGAACCTCCCCAGATGTACTTTCAGCCCAAGCACGTTGGAAATGTTTAATGAGTTGGAGCACCGCTGAGGCAGTTGCTAAAGAATTAAACTTTCCATTGAGAAGTTACTTGGATGGTGAACAGTAAATCCTGAGAAGTACACTCGACATCGTATGAATTGAATACCAACTTCTCACTTTAAGGTGGTTCCTAAGCTTACACGCACGTGATCGAATATTTATGGCACATTTCTAATCCTGCACTTAAAGTATGACTTATCAGTAAGTAATGCCGTACCCCATGGTTTGGTTCGCGCACCTCGCTGAGTCATAAGATTATCTCTATTTTCTCATTGGCGCTGGTGGATGGATGTTCGAAATTTTTCAAGTTGGATCGAATTTAAACTCGTGCATTAAGAAGCTAAGACTTTTCCCTTACAGTGACAACCTTATTTATTATACATAATGCTTGCTGCTAGATCCATTCGTCAACGATCTGTGAGAACGTTGGCCACTCTGGCCGGCCTTGAAGTTCCAGCTGATTTCCAATCTAGAACTCCACCATATTCAAAGCTTATCAACAAGCTTGCAACTGTCAAGAAACTTGTCGGTGATAAACCATTGACCCTTGCCGAAAAGATATTGTACTCGCATTTGGTAAATCCTGAAGAAACATTTAGCTCTAGTCAAGGTCAACTCTCCAACATCAGAGGTCAACAATACCTTAAACTTAACCCAGATAGAGTTGCCATGCAGGATGCTTCTGCTCAAATGGCTCTTTTGCAATTCATGACTTGTGGTATGAGTAGTACTGCTGTTCCTGCTTCTATCCATTGTGACCACTTGATCGTTGGTAAGGATGGTGCTGAAGAAGATTTAGTCAAATCCGTTACGACTAACAAGGAAGTTTTCGACTTTCTTGAAAGTTGTGGTGCTAAATATGGTATTCAATTTTGGGGTCCAGGTTCCGGTATCATTCATCAAATCGTTTTGGAAAACTTCTCCGTTCCAGGTTTGATGATGTTGGGTACTGATTCCCATACTCCAAATGCTGGTGGTTTGGGTGCTATCGCTATCGGTGTTGGTGGTGCTGATGCCGTTGATGCATTGACAGGTACCCCTTGGGAATTGAAGGCTCCAAAGGTTTTGGGTGTTAAGTTGACTGGTGAATTGTCTGGCTGGAGTACTCCAAAGGATGTTATCACCAAATTGGCTGGTATCTTGACTGTTCGCGGTGGTACTGGTTACATTGTTGAATACTTCGGTGAAGGTGTCAAGTCCTTATCTTGTACTGGTATGGCAACCATTTGTAATATGGGTGCTGAAATCGGTGCCACTACATCCACTTTCCCATACCAAGATGCTCACAGAAGATACCTTATTCAAACTGGTAGAGAACCTATTTCTCAAGCTGCTGACGTAGCCAACCGTGAATATCAATTTTTGCAAGCTGATCAAGGTGCTGAATATGATCACATTGTTGAAATCAATTTGTCTGAATTAGAACCACATGTTAATGGTCCATTCACTCCAGATTTATCTACTCCAATCTCTAAGTTTGGTGAAGTATCTGCCCGTGAAGGTTGGCCATCTGTTGTTAGTGCTGGTCTTATTGGTTCTTGTACCAACTCTTCCTACCAAGACATGTCCCGTGCTGTCTCTATCATCAAGCAAGCTGAAGAAGTTGGACTTAAGCCAAAGATTCCATTCTTTGTCACTCCAGGTTCCGAACAAATCAGAGCCACTATCGAAAGAGATGGTTTAATTGAAACTTTCGAAAAGAACGGTGCTGTAGTTTTGGCTAATGCATGTGGTCCATGTATCGGGCAATGGGACAGAACTGATACTCCTACTACCGAATATAACTCAATCTTCACTTCTTTCAACAGAAACTTCCGTGCTAGAAACGATGGTAACAGAAACACTATGAACTTCTTAACCTCTCCAGATATGGTTACCGCTATGATTTACTCAGGTGACTCTAACTACAACCCAGTTACTGACTCTATCAAGTTGGCTAACGGTGAGGACTTCAAATTTAAGGCTCCAGAAGGTGATGAACTTCCAGAAAGTGGCTTCATCAAGGGTCGTGAAGAATTCTATCCTGAACAGAACCCTCAACCAAAGGAAGACGTTTCTGTCAATGTTTCTCCTGAATCCGATAGATTACAACTCTTAGAACCATTCCAAGCTTGGTCTGGTGAAGAATTGTCCACCACTGTCCTTCTCAAGGTTGAAGGTAAGTGTACCACCGACCATATTTCCGCTGCTGGTGCTTGGCTTAAGTACAAGGGTCATTTAGAAAACATTTCCAACAACACTTTGATTGGTGCTGTAAACAAAGAAACTGGTGAAGTTAACAAAGCATATGACTTAAATGGTGACCAATACGGTATTCCAGAACTTATGATTAAGTGGAAGAATGATGGCCGCCCTTGGGTTGTTGTTGCTGAACACAACTATGGTGAAGGTTCTGCTAGAGAACATGCTGCTTTGTCCCCTAGATTCCTTGGTGGTTCTGTCATTTTGGTTAAGTCTTTTGCTAGAATTCATGAAACTAACTTGAAGAAGCAAGGTATGTTGCCATTGACATTTGCTAATGAAGCTGATTATGATAAGATCTCATCTGGTGATGTATTGACTACTGTTGACTTGGTCGATATGGTTGCTAAGGATGGTAACAACGGTGGTAACTTGACTGTCAAGGTAACAAAAAAGGATGGTTCCGAATTTGACATCCAATGTAAGCATACCATGTCTAAGGATCAAATTGATTTCTTCAGAGCTGGTTCTGCCATTAACCACATTGGTAACCAAAAGAAGGGTCTTTAAGAGACTATACTTCGTGTATTATAGACATAATTTTAATATATATTAAAAAGACTTTTAAAATATACAGTAATGAATTGACGGGAGTATGCGGGGGCTACTACTTGCTTTGGTTATTGTGATCAAGTTGCAGTTCTCGCCTACTAAATATCTACTCTGCGTATTATTACAGTTACTGTATAATTATATTCAATACCGATCTACGTCGATTTATATAGAGAAATAAATTTTTTTGAAGGGAAACTTGCGCCTTTGTCTCGAACAAGGTTATTCTATCTAAGCGTCGATTAAGTTGTCATCTTTGTCGTTTGACTTGTCAGCATCTTCTTCATCTTCATCGTCATCCTGTTCTCTTGCTCTATCGTAGAATTCGTTCAAAATCTTTGGACTGATTCTGTTCAATAATTCCTTAGGGTAAATTCTCAACAAAGACCATGCTTGATCCAAAGATTCAAAAACAGTTCTGTTTTCGTATGCACCTTGGGAAATGAAGTTCTTTTCGAACTTTTCCAAGAATTCCAACGATAACTTGTCTTCAGTTGACAAGGCTTCTTCACCAACAACAGCCTTCATGGCAGCGGCATCTCTACCAATAGCATACTTGGCATACAACTGGTTAGAAACATCACCATGATCCTTACGGGTCATACCTTCACCAATGGCACTCTTCATCAAACGAGACAAAGATGGCAAAACATTGATTGGTGGATAAATACCTCTGTTGTGTAATTGACGATCAACGGAAATTTGACCTTCGGTAATATAACCAGTCAAATCTGGAATAGGATGAGTGATATCATCGTTAGGCATGGTCAAAATTGGAATTTGAGTAATGGAACCGTTACGACCTTCAACTCTACCAGCTCTTTCATAAATAGTGGACAAATCAGTGTACATGTAACCTGGGTAACCTCTTCTACCTGGAACTTCTTCTCTAGCAGCCGACACTTCTCTCAAAGCATCTGCATAAGAAGACATATCAGTTAAAATGGTCAACACATGTCTTTCGGTTTGGTAGGCCAAGTATTCGGCAGTGGTCAAAGCCAAACGAGGAGTAATAATTCTTTCAATGGTAGGATCGTTAGCCAAGTTCAAGAACAAGGCAGTTCTTTCCAAAGATCCATTTTCTTCGAAATCTTGCTTGAAAAATCTCGAAGTTTCCAAGTTGACACCCATAGCAGCGAAAACGATGGAGAAATTTTCTTCATGTCCATCATGAACATCCTTAGTTGGACGCACCAAACCAGCTTGTCTACAAACTTGAGCGGCAATCTCATTATGAGGCAAACCAGAAGCAGAGAAAATAGGAATCTTTTGACCTCTAGCAATAGAGTTCATAGTGTCAATAGCAGAAATACCAGTAGAAATCATTTCTTCTGGGTAAATACGAGCATAAGGGTTAATTGGAGAACCGTTAATGTCCAAGTAGTCTTCAGCGAAAATCTTAGGACCCTTGTCAATTGGTCTACCAGAACCATCAAAGATACGACCCAACATGTCTTCAGAGACAGCAATCTTCAAGTTTTGACCAGTGAATTCGACACGGGTCTTCTTCACATCAATACCAGAGGTACCTTCGAAGACTTGAACAATAGCCTTACTTCCTCTGACTTCCAAAACTTGACCAGCTCTGGTTGAACCGTCGGGTAACGTCAAGTTAACAATTTCATTAAATCTAGGGAATTTGACATTGTCCAAGATAACCAAAGGACCATTAACACCACCAACGGTATTATAGTTGATTCTTGGCTTAATCTTGAACCCTTCGGTCACCGCCTTCTTGTTCAATTCGAACAATTCTTTATCAGAAAGCATTTTTCGTATTTTTTTCTAGTTTCGTACCAAAGGTTAATTATTCGACAGACTTTATCACAAATTCAGGTGGCCAATTGGGTAATGGGTATTTAATATATCCACTCAGAGTCACTTAAATATGCAAAAAAAATAGCTGATTGAATGAAAGGTTCGCTTCTACAATGATGAATTGAGTTGACTTTGACTTTGTTGGCGCTAATTAAAGTTGATAAGGGGTGTTGTTGGACTGGGCACGACTCGGCAAACGATGAAAATTAAGTGGTGGGTTTTATACAGGTGCTGGCTCTCGATAAATTGGCCGCAAAAAAAAGTATGTCAAATATTAGCCGACAAGTCATATACAGATACCAAATAACTGTAGCATACTTATAAAGCTATTAGATTGAACCAAATATTAAAATTATTGGTATTTAATTTGAAAATTTTTTGTAAATAACCATTGAGTATTTATACTTTATTCTCTTATATTTAAGTATATATGCTTCACCTCTAACTTTCATGATATAAATGTATTGCATTGTTGTTACCCTATAACATTTTACTTATTACATCCCAATCTTCTAAATGGACTTTACTTGCTGCCACTTTATCCTTCTTTACCCCTCCAACAATAATACCATAAACTCTCTGTATTGTAACCTTCATATTATCTGTTGGATTAATCACGGATTTGGCCGGAGATTCAACACTTTGACCCATTTCACTTACATTACCAAAGATTCCACCCGTATCACCACCACCGACTTCACCAGTGCCAACAGATTGTATATTTAAAGGAGACTCCGCTCCAAATATCTTTGAATAAAAGTTTTTCATACTCTTTTTTCCAGAAAGTGCCACTGTCGAAACAACTGACAGCAGTTCTTCTTGTGTTGTCGTTTCATAAGGACTACTTGATAGTGGCTGGTCTTCCAATTTTCTTTCAAAATAACTCCCCAATGTGGACACATGTGTGAGGATCTTTTCTAAATCGTATGTTTCAGATAATGGTCTTATGAGAGAGAAAAACAGTTTGAAATTTACCAAGATCTTAACTACAATTTGAAGAAATTTCAAATATTCCTTGGGAGTAAGTTTGGTAAATGGTTTAGTAAGAATCTTATGTGGAATTATCACAACTTTTTTCCCATTTAAAAGCTTATTAGTACGTTGCATTTGTGGTGGTGATGGTGAAGCTGGTGTGGATTCCGTATTTGATTTATCAGTGGTGTTGGCAGAAGAAATAGGTTCCGGAATTCCGGTGGAAACTGCACCAGGATTTAATGATAGTCTTCTTTGGTTATTAATTGTTTTGGAAGAGAGTGGAAGCATTAAGGCATCTCCTAAATTAATTACTTTTTCATTAGACCTTCCTGGTCGATTCTTTTCTTGTTTACTCATTTCTTCACCATTCAATTTACCACCACTCTTTTCCTCCTCTTCTTCTCCGTCACCATCATCAAACCCCAACATTTGAACCTCTTTACTATGTACAATGTCGTAAAATTTCAGGGTAGGTATTAACTTTTCCAACTCTACCAAGTATGGCATTCTCACAACTCCATCATCGAAAACATTGAGAATCTTTCTTTGAAGAATTATCAAATTCTCGAGAAAATTGTTCAATTGTTCAATTCTATTATTGTATTCAAAGAATTTATCAAGCGGTATAATTGGTTGCTTGTTAAAAAGTAGTTTCCCAGCTTTGAGCTTCGAAATGTATGACTTCCCCACATATGTACTGAAGGACATTTCCATGAGCGTATGGTAATGCTTGATTTGAAGTCTGGTTGCTTGTCTCTTCACTCTTTCGGATTTCGTTCTTGTAAAGTCTCTTTCTGAATCAATTAGATTTATCTTCTTAATCCGTTGCAATTCAATAACTTTCTTTGCTTTATGGATTGATTCGCGTTCTTTCTCTAGTCGTTGTCGAAGTGCTTCTACATGTTGTCTTGTACTTTTTATACGTCTCTCTAAAGAATCTGTTGTCCTTTCAATACCCATTATCTTCACCTTTTGATTAACTACTTGTAGCCGAACAAGTTGTTGTGACAAAACTTTAATTGAGTCAATGGAAGCTATTGGTAGTTCGGAGGGAACTTTAGCATCTTGTAATTTGCCATTTATTGAAGGTGATGGTGACGATGAAGGTGATGGAGAAAGAGATCTAGGTACCTGGTGTATGGTACCAGCCCCAGTACTAGTCTTCTTAGCGGGCCCCTCTTCCACCGGTCGGCTGGCCAGTTGGAGGCGTTCGGATTCTATAAATATTCTGTTTATCTCTTTTCTAGCGGCATCATTGAACCAGTCAAGTTTCGCACAAGAGTTTCGTTCTAACTCCAATTTGGCATTACTACAATCCACACAAAGCGTGGCATCATTCACAATGCATAGTCTACATGGTTGGGTTCCCATAGATGCGTTACAACATGAATAGAGTGGTTGTATTTTAAATTCAATTTCATTTATGTATACCTTGTAAATTCGAGCCTGACCCCAGACCTTATCGCGAGGTGGTCAGTGCACGACGGTAGAAAGAATAGAGACAATGACTATAATGATACACGTTTATCTTATCTTATTTCTTCACTTTTGTAGTGAAAAAGACCCATTCTTTCCAAATCTATTTATACTCTAATATACATTTATTAATATGCTTATTTACTTCCTCTTTTGCATCTTTCTTCTTTCAACAATCTCTCGAATAATGCATGCTAATGATTCATCAACATTGTTCCCACTAACTGAATCAACTGCAACGAATCCACTTCTCCAAGATTTTGCCAATTTCATTCCATCTTCAATCAATTGTGGCAGAGCTAGCTCGCTATCTGCATGCGTGCAAATTAACCAAATAGGTGGAGGACAATATGGATCCGCGGGATCTATTGGGTTATCTACTAAATGTAATTGATTCAGTCTTTGACGTTGTTCAAATTTTTTAATTTCTGATTCAATTTTACGGTTATCCTTCCACATATTCTTAAAAGCTCCCTTAAATGAAAATACATCTCCTTCTTTACCATGCTCCCACAGCTTCCTGAATGTATTATACTCTTTCCATGCTTCATCTAATGCACCTTTAATTGTAAGAAGTAAGTTGAAAGTTGTATCACCTGGTTGTTGTTGAATGCAATTCTCATATGACTTCCCAGAGTTTATATTATTATCTGTATTTGTTGACTTAGATTCGTCATATGAGGGTGGTTCATAAGATGGAATTGCTGAATACACGAAAAAGTATCCATCGATATGTCCATTCATTTCTCCAGCTCCACTAGCAACCAATAATGGGTTTGTCAGAACAGGTCTACGTGGCTCATTCGCTAAGTTCCGTAATATATGTGGGTCCAATTGTACATAGAGGGACTCTTCGAGAAATGGAACCACTTGGTCTGGATTGAACGGAGGTGTATCAATTAATTCAACAAGTATTGGCGTGATGGAAGCTGATGGAACTCTCATATTTTCTTGAGTGGCGTGAATTGCTTCACTTGGAACTATGCAGCTGTATACAGAAGTCTTATTCCGTATTATCAAATTCAGCAGTGATGATATGGTTGGTTGAATGTTATATTGACCAATTCCTGGTAAGTTTCTTTTCAATCGTTTCCTAATAATAGGCTCTATCACTGGACTCAATACCACTTTGTTACTCGGTTGGACTTCAAATACATTATCAGAAGGATCTAGAATAGATCCAGATGCACCTGGCTCCGGTGTATATGAGAAAAGAATAGGATTAGTACTCCCAGTAGGGTAATATGTTTCCAGAATCAGTCCTAAACTCAAGCGTCCAGCAATAGACAGTTTCCCGGACCGTGGTCCACCTAGAAGTGCAATTCGAAGTGGCTTGGCATCATTCACAGGACCTGCAAGGTCTGCCTCCAGTGCAAGAGTATACCCTTTCCATCGATGAGACATTGTAATAAAGACTATTGAAACTGCCGTGATAAATTTCCTGTTTCATTTTTTTGAAATTCGATCGGCTGTAACATTTGCGCGCGGTAATCTTCGCAGCACCTCAAACCTTAGTTGCTACTATATATAAATATTTTTTTTTTAATTTTATTAATATGTTTAAATCTAATTTGATATGTATTCCCTAGATTAATTAATTCTATATCCTATCCTATTCTGTTCTATCCCTTCATATACTAATTCGTATTTGGTATCCCACTATTCAACGTCATAATCCAATGAAGCTAAATTTGCTAATGTTAATGGAGTTGTCTTAGCAGTAGCCTGTATATTTGGCAATGACCTACTAAGCTTTTTCTCTTCTTCAGTCTTAACTCTCTTCTTATTTTCTTTGCCAAGAAGTTGACCATTAAAACTTTGGGCCATTAACCCTCGGTTTGCACTGGTGTTATTCCCCATGGCTATTCCATGACCCCTTGTAGGTAAATCAGTGGTAATTACTTGTGGTTTGATACCAAGTTTAGCCAATAATGAATTGTTGGCATACAAGTATGAAGATGGAGATTGAAGTTGTGCATTTCTAAGAATTGAACTCTCAGAATAGAGCGCACTATCCGGTAAATTAGCTTTATGATTTGGGAAATGTGGTAAAGATGCTTGATGTGTAGGAGTTTTAGAAGTATTAATGTTGATTGTAGGTGATGAAGCACTTGATGATTTTGATGATAATGTTCCTGCCAGGCGAGATCTCAGTATATTTCTCAGCAGGCTAGCAGTGCTAGCAGATGATTTATTATTATTAGAATCTTCATTTTCTTCTCTGGTATAATGAGTTACATCCTCTTCAAAGTTACGAGCCAGATCGAATGCAGACATTAAATATGGCATTTCGTCTGATATAGTCGTTTTGTGAAGTAATGTAGATGTGTTTAATGATGTAATCGAGTCACGGCGTCCTGTTCCTTGTGACAGTGGTGGTGATAAGTGTTGACTGTTTCTGGTAATTGAATGGATCTTGGGTGGTGGTAATTGTTGTGATTGGAAAGTAGAATACAATGAATTATTACCCATATCTGAATCATATTCCTCATCTTCATATTTGTATCCTGGAGATCCTGGAGATTCTGTACTCTCAACAAATGGGTAATCCAGAAGTTGAACATGGTTTGCGGCAACTTCTTCTCCAAGCTTTTGTTCCCAATTCAGTTGCAGTTTCATTGGACTTGATAATTTTGCTTCTGCTTCTGCTGTCATTCTTAATGCCTCTTCTTCTGCTGCCATGTATGCTTCTTGTGCTGCATATTCAGCAGCTTCTTGTAATTTTTCCATTTTAAACGCATCAAACATTTTCTCCATATCACTAATAACTGCTAAACATTCATACTTTGCTGCCAAGTCTTCTTCTTCAATGGACGTATTCAATTGTTTAAGTAAGCTCACTACAAAATGTTTGTAGGTTAAAACGGTTTGATCACACGAATTATCATCTTCAAGCATAAGTTCAAGATCTGTCCCTATATTAATAAGTTTAGCTCGCAGGTATGCCACTGTAATTTTATCAGCCAAGTCATCTTTAAGTTTGATGTTTCTTAATGTGAGTTGCGTTAATAAAGTCCCACTATCCAGAAGATATTCCATTGGTGTAAGAGATCTCAGTGATCTTGTGATATGATCTAAATCTTGTGAAATTCTATGGAGTTTTATTTGAAAATCCTGACAACTTTGTAAGACTTTAGATGCTATATCATTATTGAATTTCTTTACATTTGAATTAAATTCTTCATTAAAATGAGATTCTGAATTGATATCTAATGAAAGAAATTGCCAATTCTTCAGTTTAAGTTCAATTTTCTCTAAACTTTGTAAGATGGTTAATGAGAGCTGACATAACTTAGAAATACGTCGTTCAGTCAATGGGAATCCATGTATTATTTGAATGAGTTCTGATGTTTTATCCTTTTCCTTATTTAGATTAGGATCCCTCGCAAGTCGAAGAATTGGATCTTCATACATCTCTATCTCCATATTTTTAAAATGCTTCTATGCTGTTCAATGCTGTGCTATGCGATCTGAGGTGGTTGAATATGTGTAAATATGAAAGGTGATGACTTCTAAATCTCTCTATTATCTATCTTTAATCCTTCGGTGTTAAGTTAGTTAATGTGTGAGTATTTTTTTTTCTAGTGTGGTGGTTGGTTTGTTTTCCGTTCTATCCCGGTAACTAATGCAATTTGTATTTCTACTTTTTATTTAATATTGCGCGCTATTCAGCTACTTTTAACAATATCTATTCTCCTCCAATTTATCTATTATATATTATTATTGTTCTTGATATCGTGTAAGAGTATATTTCATGTATTATTATTTTATTTTTGTGGTGTCTGTGAGTCTCAGTCTCTTTTCCAATTTCGTCTCCTCTTCACTCTCACATAAACAACGCACCATAAAAATTAAATGGAGTGATTTTTTTTTTTTTTCCAACTTTCTCTAACTTGGGGCGGTCTACATGCAGACCACAGTGACCACCCATGATTCAAATTAGTAGTGGTTCTATTTTATCTTTTTGGTTGCTTTGTTATAATAAAAAAAGGATATATTTCTATATTTCTATACTAAATTCTTCTCTCGTAATATTCTTTGTTGCATCTGTTCATACCATTCATGTATACTATTTCCCAGATGTACAGCAACAATAATCATTGTCATATTATCAAACCCAATGCCAGTAATATTATTAGCCATTTCTATGCAATTATTTAAAACCAATTCTGTAATCGTAGTAAGGGTCCATCCAAGACCTAATTTATCACGTATTACCTTGATAAGTTCTTTATTCGTGTAGCAATCCCAGATCCCATCACATGCAAGAATAACAAATTCTGGTTTATCCAATTGAGAAAGATCATATACTAAAAGATCTGGCTCCACTGTAACTTGATTTAATTCTGGTGGAATTTTAATAAACCCATGTTTTGTGAAATATTCTTTATTTGTATCCATATAATAATAATCTCTGGATGGTTCAACATATGGAATTTTGAATTTAAAATCTCCAAATGCTCTTGAAAGTGCTAAAATTTCATTTACTCGATTATTTATAACATATCCTCCACTATTTTCAATTCTAACTCTTTCCCCCATGGTAGAAGGCATATGATCAAATGATAATGTTTTAGGAGCTCCTCCAGGAAGCGACATTATACATCTAGAATCTCCTGTGTTTGCAACCACTACATATTTCTGTGCTATTACACAAGCTAAAATAGCTGTAGTACCACAATGGGTAGAATCTTGTAGACTTAAATCATGATCCACCTTAAAGAATGAATCTTTTATGGTTGACATATATCTTGAAAGTTCAGATTTATTATTGGTAGAGGTGTCATTATTGTTATTGTTATTGTTGATATTTTTGTTGCGTAGCATTTCATTTAATCTTTTAAATATCATGGATGGCAAGTTCTCACTTACATAGTCAGCACTTGCTCTTCCTCCGTGTCCATCAAAAACCCCAAACACTGCCAATGATTCGTCCTCATTAAATTTAACTGAGTGAGCATCCTCCATGGTCATTCTGTATCCTTGCATTGATCCCACCGCATACGACATCGACGCATTGGGATGGTAATCTAGCTGTTTCTCTTGTATGGGGTGTGAAAGAAGTTGTCCCATTGCATGCTCTGGTGGTATTCTTTGTAGATTGCTCTTTGAACTCCCTTTTAAACTAAATCCAGTGCCCCCGTCCCTTCAGACTTGTTTGGTCTCAAGAGGAAAAAAAAAAAAAAAAAAAAAAAAAATACTAATAAAATAATCAGCCAAAAAAAGAAAAAAAAATAAATATGTCTTCCAATATGAGTATTTCTTTAACTTTGAATGAATGTTTCACTAGGTCACGTCTCGTATAGAAAGTATCGACTTTTTATCTAGATGATATATATTTAAATCCCTTTTTCTTTTCAATTTAAACAAGCTGAATCTATTATATTTTGATGATGATTGTTATCAATTACGGTAATATATATTTTCCTTAATTTGTTATCTTTGTGTTCAATTGAAAAACAACTGGTCGCGTGACTGCAAAAAGAACACCTATAATGTTTGTAAGTTGTAGCAAACTTAATAAAAATGATCAATAAATGTGTTGTAAAAAATTTTTAGAAAGAGGGGAAAAACGTTTAAATGGATAGAAAGAAAAAGTTCTTGCAACTTATCTGTGAAACTGATTTAAAGGGGTTATTCTATATTCAATCAATTATTTCCATTTTTTACCAAAAACACTAAATATTTTAAAAAATATATATTTTTTACTTTTAAGAATTAAAAGGGTAATTATAACACTTTTCGAAGCAACATGACGACATCCAATCTTATATATTTCTACTGTTTATGACTTGCATTGAGAATATATATTTAATATTTGTAAAATCGTATGAGAAGATGAATAAGGTTTATCACTTTACATAAGTCTCATGAAGTATTGAAAAGGGCATATATACGTACTACCAATATCCATAGTATCTCTACTATTCAATCTTGATATACTTAGCTATTAAACATCCTTTATATTTAAATTTAGAAGTATAAACTTCATGACACAAAAACACATAACTAATTTCTTCCCCACAATATCGAATCCTTATGAGCCCTGAAATAGATAATCAGTTTATGACGCAATACATGTGTTAAAGTTTTATTATCTCCTTTTTAGTTGCTTCCATATAACATCTTATCTACTACATCATAACAATTTAATCATGCAAATCCCTGTCATTAATAAAGAGTCGAAAGATGGCGATAAGAATTATAAGGCACCATCATCCTTCCCAATTGGTCCGCATTTCACCAAATACAAACATAACCCTATCCTTAGGCCCAACCCCGAGAATGAATGGGAAAGTGCTTACATTTATAATGCAACTGCAATCGTAATTGAAGATAAAGTATTTTTATTATATAGAGCTCAAAATGCTGCAAAAACTTCTTCAGTAGGTTTGGCTTGGTCTACAGATGGATACAATTTTACTAGGTTCCCACAACCAATCTTGAAGCCAACAGAACCATGGGAAAATGGAGGGGGCTGTGAAGATCCGAGAGTTGTCAGAGATCCCAAATCAAAACTTTTCATTATGACATATACTTCTTATGATCGATGGAGAGCACGTCTTTGTGTTGCAGTATCTGAAAATCTCTTTGAATGGAAGAAATACCCACCAATTATCCTGCCTGACCTGAGCTGGCACGATATTGCCATTGAAGTTGATGGTACTAAAATTATCCGTGAAGCTTGGCTGAAACTGGGGGCTGTTATCACTGAAAGACATAAGGATACAGGTAAATACTATATGATTTGGGGTGATTGTGCTTTCCATTTAGCAGAATCTGATGATTTACGTCATTGGCATTTAACTTCCAATGATTATCATTCCAATTTGTTTGCTCGAGGTATATTCAATTGGCAAGATAAGCTTATTGAACCTGGTGCAGCACCAATTAAATTAGATTATAAAGATGGTTCAAAGAGAAATCATTATGTCCTTTTCTACAACTCTGCTACTCTCGGGGGAGGAAATCTTCCAAAAGATACATACTCCATTTCCCAGATGCTTATAGATTATGATGATATATTTTCAGGCCCAGCTGCAAGATTAGAGAAGCCAATCATAATTCCTGACCAAGATAACGAGAGAAATGGCCAAGTGGATAAAGTTGTTTTCACAGAAGGTATTGTTCAATTCAAAGGGAAGTGGTTTTTATACTTTGGCCAAGGTGATTCCGAACTTGGTGTAGCAACTACAGATGCAGTGTAATACCACCAATGGACTAAAACTTTCAATAAAGAAAAAAAACAAAAAACATAAAAAAATAAGTACTTACTGGTGAAGTATATTGTTAGAAATTTGATTTTATAAATATATATACTTGTTTTAGATTACAGAGATTGTTTGATTGTTTTTTCTTATTATTCTATGAATGTCGATAATTTATCTAATTTGCATCTCTTGGATGGATTAATAAACTTAATTTCCAGGCTCTATCATCCTCTTTCCGGTTTAATTGACATACTTTCCAGAGTTCTAACAATATAAGTTCCTGGAATGAAGGTACGGCAATGATATGGTAATCTTCAACTTTATCAGTTTTACTTGAGCTCATTGAGAACATGGTAGTTCTCTTATTGGCCCGAGATGTTCCGTTGTCTATATATGGAATTTGTAAACTTTCAATGTCAGCAATAATTCTTGTAAGTTTCAAATATTTATCAATGTTGATTAATTTTTGATTTAAGAATGAATCAGCTTTTCTATAACTTGGATTACCATCTGCAACAAACGTCAAATCTTGCAAGAAAAGGGAAAAATAAGGCACAATTGGAATGTTATAGTCATTTGATACCAAAAAGTTTCGGAGTTTGGTACGATAGACAGTATAATTCTTATCTGGATGAACAATTCCGGCAAGATACTCATATAAATCTCTATACTTTGGAGAAAGTTCAGCCCACACTCTAGTCAACCGGGTCACCAAATGCGATTGTAATGCAGTAAGAATAGCTGCCAAAGAATTGAAATTACGCAAGTATAAGCAAGAAATTGCAACTTTCAACCAAGTCTTGATAATGTTAATTCTCATTTTTTGATTGATCTTTGGTTGTAAAGTTGATTCCAATACATATCCAGACAAACAATTTGTAAATAACAATGATTGACGAATATTTGGAGCTAACTTCAAATGAGCTCTCTTGGCGGTAAAATTCTCATTTAAAAGTTCATCTGGTCTAATTGAACAAAAAATACTTGATTCAATTAAAGTAAGTTGCTTAGCAATTTCCAAACCGTTGAAATCCAATAGATTTGGTCTATAGTTTGATAAAACCCAATTTTGATCACAAACGTTATACCAGTTGGGTAAAATAGATTTAAGCTCAAGAGGGACAAATTGTTTATGGTCAATAAATTTAGGATTACACCAACTATCTCCTAAAATAGCCCGGTATGTCAAATTAACCTTCTCAATTGTAACAAGTTGAGATTTAGATAAAAGTGAGTGAGAGGATGATGTTTGGTTACCTACACCAAGAGGCATAGGTAATGACATGGAAGTCAACGAGGTTGAAGTGGATGTGTTGGTGTTTATCTTGGAGAGTTCGTATCCATCAACCATCGAATACCTAGCCGAAACAGAATTGTCCAAAGCCAAAGGTCCACTTCCAAGGGCTGAGTTTTTCCGATTTAAATGGGTAATGGTAATACTTCTATTGAAAATTTGTCTCGTGGTTTTGTTTTTACGAGTAGGTTTTTGATTTTCAATTAATGGCTTAGAGGATAATTTAGCCGCCACTTCAATCAATTTAATTGCATCCAAGGGCAAGTAGAGAGATAAACATTCATTGAAGAAATTTATCAAAGTAGTCAATAATGAATAGTCTGCTTCTTGATTCCAATAGGATTCAAGCCACAATTGAAACATTTTGGCAATTAAACGTCTTCTGTTTTTAAGTTTAACCTCTGCCGAAACATCTTTTTTGGAAACTTCTTTGTTGTTTACTTCAAACCGGGAAATCAATTCTTCGATTAAATCAATTCCGTTAGCAAAACTACGGAAGCAAATGAAGAAAGTGGAAACAAAGAAGTATTCTGGTGGGGATGATTCATTTGTTAATGTGAAGACTAACCCTTTGAAAGACGCCCCAAGAAGATTTCCTTGTGAGTCAACGAGAAGCTCATCCTTAATATTGTGTCTTTCGCTAACAGGTGTATTTGGATCTGTATGCGAGAATGGCTGAAATTCAGAATTTGAGATACTAAATGGTGAAGATCCATCAACATCTGACACAAGTACATCATGTAGAAGTATAGTCCCATTGTCAGTGAGTCCCAAGTCTCCTGTTTTTCCAGATCTCATCATAGAATACCGGTTCAGCGCGCGAGCATTAGCAGGCCTTTTCATGTGCCTTAATTCACGGTTCTTAACTGAGTGTGCCTTGGCGATACCAATAGAACACTTTCTGATAAGTTCATCGGCTTCAATTTTCATCTTGGTGTAATCTGGGTACGATCTTTCAGCGTTGAGCTTAAAATCACCTGTGACATCAAGGAGCTTACGAATAGATGCAATTGTGATACTAATGGCCTTAACCATTTTAGACGCAATCATGAGAAGGGAACCACCTTCTTCTGTGTAATAATAGTCGGTAGCGATCTTATCTTTATCTGAGTTTTTCTTATCTTCGTCAGATTCATTCAATGTTTTCACTACAAGACTTTTGACACCAGAGACCAAGTCACTAACAAGTGAGAGTAAAGTGTCAAGTGAGCCATCCAATTCCGCAGGTTTCTCAGAAGAGAAATCTGATCCAGTTTTGGAAATAAATAAGAGCTCTCTTAAAAGCAAGATAATTTGGTGAGCTAAACTTTCTAAAAGTTCACATCCTACTGGGTTATGTTCGATCAAGTCCAATCTACCAATAATCATACCCAAGTATGAGTAAAGGAGGCCATTCAATTCAGTAATTCTTTGCTTAGCTTGTGGTGGCGTGGCCAACAATGGATAGTTGTTCATATCATTTTGTAATTTCTTTTCATTTTCTCTCTTTATCACTTGTCTACTTTCAGTGGACCAAACTTCCAAAAATGCAACTGCTTTACGACTGACTTGGTATACCATAAGGGTCAAGACTTCAATTTTATTAAAGTTATAAGTCCCTTTGTATTGGTTAGCCTTGAGCATAAGGTTGTACCAGTCTGCGAGTAAAGATTTTCTAGTTTTACGTACAATGGGCCTTTTAGTGACTATTTCATTAGATCGTGACAAACAATCCGTTTCTTGAAGTAAAATTCGAACTCCATCTCTAATAGAGTTGATTACGCGAATCAGGAAGGTGTACTTATCACGTCTGTTCTTATGGGACAAAGGGTTCATAAGAAACTTTCCGCATGCGTGAAATAATGGTCTGAGGTATGCACTATTGGGGAGGATACCATCTTCTTCAACACTATCATTAGAAGTATCTGAATCGTTTTTACTTTCTCCTACAGCAATGGAGAAATAATTCATTGGAATCCAACCACGTTTTAAAGAGTTGATAAGAGTAACTTCACCCCATCCAGATTCATCTATAGTGTGAACAAATGCCAATTCATCCTTTTCAAAAGATAAACAAATTGAAACATCAGATTCTGATTGAAGTGTTGACGAGTCAAATGTGTGTAGGGCTCTCACGAACAAAGTTGAAAGGTCTTCATCGTCATCATACATGACAGACGAAGTTATCGACTCTCTCTTGGAGCCTTCGTCAACCTCGGAAACACTTACAGTAGTTTCCTTATCGATAGTATCTCCTTCATCAATAGTGTATGAGCTGTCCGTATGCTTTGGATCTAATACAGAATCTGTATTGTAAGCTATGTTTAAACCAAGTGGGTATTTTTCGGTCATATTATGTTTATTAATGAGATAATCATTTTTCTCTTTATCTGAAAGTGTGACATCCTTGTCAACTGGCTGTTCAGTGGAAAGTTTTTCAAATTTCTCAACCAAATCCTTACGAATGGGAGCCTCTTCTTCGATTCCATTCACATTACGAGACAACTTTAATGGAGACACCCTAGCCCCCTTTAAATCAACATACGAGTTCTGATTACTTGGGACTTGAGAAGAAGTGGTACTTGAGGAGCCATTATTGAAACAGAATGAATTATTAGACAGACTTTTATTTCCATCATCCACTTGTGGTAATGTATTCTGGTCTTTGTGTATATCTTCATGTAAGCTGTTTGATGAGACTCCATGGGCACTGGAAAGCACATATCTACCGTCACTCAGAACACTTGAGCGATTACTCAAGGTACTTGAAGTCGAGTGATCGTCAACAACACGTGCTACCATGGTTCTCTCTACTCGGTCCTCTTCGTCAGTCTCTTCTGGGGTTTTCTCGTGAATTTTCTTGTAATACAAACTTGTTCTGTTGGTACTTGATTCATTATTCATTCGTTCCACATTTTGCAGGAAATTACTCATAAATTCTACCGATTCACCTGAAGTAAACTGATTAGATTGTTGAAGGGTCATACTAAGTCGTTTAAATTTGTTACTGAGTTCTCTTTGTGGGAATAATCTTGACGCACGGTGGTTGTTTAAGTCGTTTGATTCGTCTTCTTCAGAAGCGGCTGCCCTGTCAAAGGTCATACCTTCTTGTACAATGGGGGTTTTATCGATGGGATCATAAGTGGCAATAGTGGGTATTATCGGGGTCGCATCCTCATCATAATTATATTCAGGGACAGCCCCATAAGCAGTATTGATATCATTTATAGTCTCTCCAGAGATATCCAACGTATCACTTCTGTTATCGTTTAAGATTGAATCATTGATAGATCCAAAACTAAATCCGCTATCAGCAGTGACAAATGTTTGAATTGTCTGATTACTAACCTCGGTGGCCATCCTATGTGACTCGTCAGGTGTAAGTTCGCTGTCGATTGACGGTAATCTCTGACGATACGAATCTTCACTAGCCATTGAATTTCTGAGATGCAGTGGTTGTTGTTGCTGTTGATGTTGCTGTTGTCTCGGAGTATTGTCATTCTCGGTACGCATACCGAATTCAGAGTCCAAAGGAGAATATACACTAGAAGACGTGCTCATATGACTCCGCGGAGGTGGTCCTTGGGACACAGACTCGTCCGGTCTGGAGTATGTTGCTGTGCTTGACATGGTCTTTCAACTATACTCGGGTTATCGTGAAGGTAGATTCGTTGTCCTATTAAAACTATACTTTTGACAGATCAGTATTTACTCTGCGCGTTTTATTTTTGTGATTGATACAGAGTAGATCAATCCCAAAGGGTGATTTTATGGAACTGTATTGGTAAGGAATGTGAACTAAGAAGGGTGAAATGGTGTTGAATGTTAAGCTTTATTTTTTTTTTTTCCTCTTGAATTTATTGCCAGCTATACAATTAAGCTGCATATGCAAAAAAAAAAAAAATTACAACCAGGCAAAATTTTATAAAAGGGGTTACATAAATCTAGAAGGTTGATAAAGTATCGTGTGCTAACTATTAAAAGAAAGAGAAAAATGTCAACGACACAGGTCAGCTAAACCGATTGATCTTGGAAAATATGTATAATAGGAAATAGAATGTTCCATTGTATGAATTTAGGGCGTTGCAAAATGTATAGGGCTATCGTAAGCAGACGCGGCGCGATCACCCCGGTCCCTGTACGAACAAAAAAATACAAGAAAATCGGGAGCGATAAATTAGTTCACGCGCGACAAAAAGATGCGCGTTTCCCGCCCCGACTTACGCGTCATGTCCTCCACATAGAAATGATACAACAATTATCCACTTACCTGCATACTCCGACCATGGCTGATTTGCTGTTGAAAAATCATCAGACTTGAATTCCTTTTATGATAGTGGAAGGCACGTGATCTTTGTGAGTTTGCAAAAAATAAAAAATAAAAAAAAGAAAACTGAATAATGGCCAAGTTAGTTAAACTTGAAGGTACCCATCTTGCAGCCTCCAGGACGGAGAAGTTTCAGAGAAATATCGACTTATTCGTAGTTCATTTTGATTTTGTTAAACCTCTATAATGGTAACGTTCTCGTGTAGCACATGCAATACGACTACTGAGGAGTCAGATATGCTCAAGCATCTCTCCACCACTCGTCACAAGAATGTTATCTATGACCCACTACAGGAGACCATTGCATGCGAGGAGTGTCTGGACACTAATATCCATCAGCTACTGATTCTGAGATTTGGTCTCTCTGATATGGCACTCCTATGTGCCTTATGTCTTGGTAAAGAAGAAAAGCCAGCCACACAATACTCCTTAAGTAATGGATCCTTACTCAAGAAACTTGGAGATTATTATAGATTTAGAGATATTTCATGTTCCATATGTAATTCCGAAAAGCATCTTTCTGTTGGAAAGGGGAAAAGAGGGCAAGTGATTGTATGTCGTAATTGTATTCCAAAAATCGAAGAGAAGATTGAATTTGTTGCTGAAGATAGTGACAATTTCCTTTATGCTTTATTGGGAATTAAAGAGTTTGTACCACCTAAATCTTCTGGAAAACTGTTTGGAGCTCGTAGAGGAAGAAAAGTTGGCCGTAAGGGGGGGAAACGTGGTAAAGCTGCTGGGGCGAGAAGTGTAAGCAAAGATGGAGATGAGAAATCTTCACATTTCCATAATGCAAGAGCGTCTGCAATGGCTATTAAATCAGGAAAGACAATATTAGCAGTGGGTTCAAGTGATGTATCTCCACTTCAAAGCAAACTGTCATCCAAAAATAATTCAAGGGCTCCATCTCGGTCGAGTACTCCAAAATTTGGACAAAAATCAGGAGGTAATACATCAACCAAGTCCAATTCTACGACCCCATCTAAATCATTCAAAAAGAGTGAACCAGCTACAAAGACGACTTCTACACAAAAGGCAAATTCTAAAAAGATTGAGAACACTTCCCCCAAAGAAAATAGAAAGGTACCAAAGACTGATAATGCAGTTAGAGAACAAAAGCCAACAAAAGCTGGGAAAAAGCAACAAAATGTTGGAGGCTCGAAATCCGTCAAGGCCGTGGACAACCAAAAGCCTAGTCAGAAACCAGTGAATCGGGGTAAGAAACTGGAAGATCCTCAAAAAAGTGAAGATAAACAGGGTAAGCAAAACGAATCTAAACCACCCATTAAGCAACCTGCCAAATCTGCTAAGCCTAACAAGCGAGAGGTCTCACTAAAGTCAGATAGTAAACCGACTAAAGCTAATTCTGCGAAGACCAAAGTTGAAACTTCCAAGTCAGAATCAACTAAGAAAACTCCTGGAATTGCAATTCCACTGCATATCAAGAAGTATGAAACTTCCCCTGAACCTCCACTTACCTTTGAATCTATGACGAAGTACTTCCAAGAAATGAGTCACAATCTCTTCTTAGAGGAGAAACTAAGCATTCAATTGAGCAATAACTCCATCATTAATCCAGAAGATATGAAACTTGAATGGTACGCAGATCAAGACAAGAAGCACAAACAGTTTAAAGTCACAGTTCCCTTAACTGAAGAAATTTTAAATAGATTGATGAGCAAGAAAATGCAGCAAATTAGAAAAGTACCATTTTCTGTCAATCAAGCAATTTTCCTTATTCTTGGAGAAGACATTCCATGGTTTGGAAATATTGTTACTGCAGAAGCGAAGAGTGCTCAAAAGGGTCGCCGTGGTGGTATGAAGATATTTGAGATGGTTGTTGAGTTGTATAAATGGAACACTCAACCATTACCAACTTCAGTTGACGTAAGATTGTTAAAGATCTTACCAGCTTCAATTCCTGTAAGTAGAGTGTTCATGGCTATGTCGCGTATCGAGAATCCAAAGTTTATTAAAATGCTTCTTGGTAAGGAACCAATCAGACAGATTGTATTCAGAAATTATCTTAAGTTCACAAAAGATACTTTTAATGATTCACAAAAAGTCGCTATACAATCAGTGTTGAACAATTCTATTACCGTGTTACAAGGTCCACCAGGAACTGGTAAGACGTCGACTATTTATGAAATTATTCTTCAATTATTGGAAAATTTAAGCACTTATCCAATTCTTGTTGTTGCTGCGTCAAATATCGCCATTGATAATATTGCAGAAAAGTTAATTGGTAATCATCAAAGGTCGATTCTCAGAATTGTTTCTAATGAAAAAGAAAAGGAATATACAAGAGATCATCCATTGGGCTCTATTTGCTTACACCATAAAGTTTATGATTCCTTGCCAAATAACTTAAAGGAAACTATCAATGATTTGAGAAATCCTAGAGCAACCGTTAGTCAAAATCAATTTAAGAAATTATTGACACAACAAATTGATGTTTCAGATACCTTAATTGCACAAGCAAAAGTTATCTTCACCACTACTGTTGTTGCCGGTGGCAATCAACTTAAATCAGTAAAGAAATTACCCGTGGTTATCATGGATGAAGCGACGCAATCATCTGAACCAACTACTTTAATTCCTTTATCAATGCCTGGTGTTGAAAAGTTTGTATTTGTTGGAGATCAAAAACAATTGAGTAGTTTCTCACAGGTTCCTAATTTATCATTGTCACTTTTCGAAAGAGTATTGTTGAATGGAACTTATCGTACTCCACATATGTTGGACACTCAATATCGTATGCATCCTCTGATTAGTGACTTCCCTAGAAGAAGATTCTATCAAAGTTTGTTAAAGGATGGTATTGGTGCTGAAGATAGAAAGATGGATAAGATCCCGGATAATCCTGTTTACTTCTGGGATACATGTAGAAAACACCAAGAAGGAAGAGTTAGAATTGGATTCCGTGAAGATAGAGGATTTACGTATTCCAATAAGGGAGAGGTTTCATTTGTGACCGAAGTATTAACAAAGTTAATCTATGAAAAGGGTGTTAAGAGATCAGATATTGGTGTCATTACCCCATATAGAGGTCAAAGAGATTTAATCTCTTCCATATTAGTGGAGAATGATTTGATTAATCCAGAAAAGAATGATATACTTGTGGAAGTTGATAGAGATGACATTTACAATGACTCAAAACCAGTGACTATTCATACTGTTTCTGATATTATGATTGCATCCATTGACGCTTTCCAAGGTCGTGAAAAGAATTTCTTGATTATGTCATGTGTAAGATCTAATGAAACAAATAAGATTGGATTTTTAAGTGATGAAAGAAGATTAAATGTTGCTTTGACAAGAGCGAAATATGGTTTGATTATAATTGGAGATGTCGAGTGTTTACGTAGTGGGGATTCATTATGGAAAGAGTACTTAGATGATCTTGAACAGAAATCGTGCATCTTTAAAGAAAAAGATTTCAACTATTGATTTGTATTATATTAATATTTATAGAAAATAAATAGAAGACGATAGAAGTTAAACATGTAAGCGCATATTAACCTTGATTCCTTTTTAACTTTGTCTGATTTGCAACCAAGGGAAAATAAAGAATTGTATTTTTTTGAATTTATTTTTTTTTATAAAAAAAGATCGAGAGAATTACCTGAAATAAGCATTTTATAAAGAGTTACCCGGCCACGCACTATATAAGAAGCTTGAAGAAATTTTTATTTCTTAAACAAAAACTTTCTTTATCTCTTCTCTAGAGTAATAACTCTTTTATTCAAAAGGTATGTGACTTTGAAAAGTCTTTGCAAAACCTATATATTCTTGTTGTTATGATGATAACCTAACTCAGCTCACTCTTAGTCTTTGACGGTGCTGATAAACTTCTTTTTCCAACATTCATCATTTTATCTGATCACTTCAAGAAATATTTGTTTAATGCATTAACTAAATGTATTTTAAGTAAACCATGTTACTAACAATTTCAGAACTTGAACTTTCCCTTGGATATGTGCATGTTTTTTTAGAATAATATAAGATTTGAATATCTTTGAAACTTATCGAATGTAGTATTTTGTTGTAAAATTTCAATGTTTTCTTAACTCTGTTTTATTTTCTTAAATACCATATATAGTTTGGATCATTATCTGGGTGTAATGATGGGACTCTTTGGTCTTAATTCCTCAATCTCTTCATTTTGAGGTACCAAGTAATGGGGGTTTTCACTAGATGCATTTGATCGATTTTTGATTAAGGACTTCCCGATTAATTCTTCTTGATATCGTGCAGGATCAAAGTTATCAAGGGTTGAATCTGGACTTAATATAACCCAACCCGGTCTAACTCTTACTGGTAAATTATATCCAATATAAGAAGGCATAATATGCAATCTCCTATTTGAATTTGAAAAATTCTCAACTACCTTATATAAATTATCTGGTACACATCCATTAGTTGTAGCATCTGGAGAAGCAATTTGTAAATCTGTATCAACATTGCAATGTATGAGATGATTATCGGAGGATCTACGAACAGTTCCAGTAATGCACATCCAGCAATGCCATTGTTGACGTTCAAATAGTGGGACTTTGGAATTCAATTCAAATTCTGTAGTTTGGTTATAAGGAGAATCTTTATTGATCGGAACAAACACAAGTTCTTCGGATCTTCTAAATTTTTTCCCCCATGAATCTGAGTTCAAAAGTTTTGAAAGTTCTTGGATCTTATGAGTAGTCGCCCAAATAAATAAAAATCCAGGTTTAGCACAAAGTCGATGTAATGGAAGTTGGCTAAGGATTGGATAAATGAATTGATTATCTGCCAATGCGCCAATCATGATGACATCAAATTGAAGTTTATGGATATTGATCCATCGATTTAATGTAGGGATAATTCTATCTGGTGCAACACGACATCCATATGGTCTAGTAGCATGATCTAGAACCTGCTTTCGTTTAAGTTGACGAAGCTTTTGAAGTTTCGGATACCCTTCTAAAGGATTTTGGATGTTTTCAATGAATTCCACTGGTAGTTTCCCTGTGTGAACATGGTTGTTTGTATAATCAACTTGAACTGTTATTGATCCATTCCCCGTGGAAGACAATGCACTTGTAGTTGAGTTGTTACTTCCCCTTGACGTGTCAGATCGTTCATTTGCCCTGCCACTGTTATTGTGCGATTTGTATGCCCTTGGTCTACTCAGACGTTCCTGTGTACTCATTTCTGATCTGTATCTACTCATATTTGATAAGTATATATCGATTTAGATCTAAATATCTACTTCTAATAAATTATTATACCTAAATTTGGGAATTTCCCCCTTTTATGATCTTTATGGGTGTTGTAAAACCTGCAGATTGAAGAAAATGGCTGCAAAAATGGCTTTGTGTATGTTTCAAGATCGCCGTGTGTTTCAAATGAACTTTTACCACACAAACGTCAAACAATTAAGAATCTAATGTAAGTCATATCATGTCCGATTTAAGAAAAAGTCTCTTGAAACCTTTGTTTGGAAAAGTAGAAAGAGTCATGACGACACAATCTTCTTTGAAAAGTAATCCTCGGCATGATTCAAGTTTATTATTTTTTTGCATGAGAGCGAAACTTGAATTGAACAAGTATAAAGTTAATGAAACGGAAGATGAAGCCCAACAAGTTCGTGAGAGCTTGTACAAGATCAATTACCTGCTTGGATTGACTATCAAGGATCCAGAATTAACTTTATTAAAAATCATAGAAATTTTGGAATCTGAGGTATTTGAATATGTGACAGAAATTGATTTGCAAGCCGCACCAGTGGAACTATTTGACCAACAAATTCTTTTATTTAAACGACTAATGATTGCTTTATCGTATACCGAGAAGGAATGGTTTCAAGAAATTTTGATATCTCGGAAATCTTTCAAATTTCAAGTTGCAAATTGTACTCAAAACTTTTTAAATAGCTTCACAAAATGTACTTTATCCAATATTCAAAAAACCTTCTTAGAACAGTTTTTGGATAGACTACTTAAACTATACGAGTGTGAGCCTGTCTTTTTGTCCTGTTGGATCGATGAGCATATCAATAACATAGATACAAATCAGAAAGGGGAGCTTCCCATCTATGATCTAATTCAGAATGTTTTCTTCACTAGACCTCCAGATTGTGGTTTTGCAACATCGGCAATGTCTCGATTTATGCAACTATCAAGTAAAATTCCCAGACTCGAACTTTGGATTTTCCACAATTCTAACCTTGCTGAATGTTTGATACAAACCTTGGTAGAAATTCTACAAGTACCTTCTTTACTTCTGTCAAACTATGAGAAATACAAGAAGATATCTGATTTCTACATCAAGCTAATCATCTCAGGCACTTCAGAAGGGATTAGCGAACTGTATGTACATATATTTGAAAAACTACTCATGTCCATACTTACCTCAAATAATTTGGATGTAACTTTGAACTTCCATATATGGTTATGTCTGTATGTGAAACATTTCGCAAATACACCAGTTTTGGAATATTTTAATCTTCGATTATTCAATTCAGGCGAATACATGAATTCAGTTAAAAAATTGTATTTTTCAGATGAACGATATATAATTTTGGATTTTATATTGTCAGTTTTAATACATAGTCCCCTTTTAACGGCGGCCTTGATGTGCGAAGAGCGTACATTCGACATTTGTGAATTTCAAATTAATCATCAGCAGCTTAACGATCTTCGAACGATGGCTATGGAAGTGTCAAGATCTGATAGCTCTACAACAATAAGGAAGGTATTGTCTCAAACTTTTCTTGCTGCAAAAAACCAGAAAATCAAAGAAGAAAACAAAAATTGTCTACTCTATTCGAGTAAAAAGTTTTACCCCAGTCTCTTATCGCATTCCCTTGTGAACTTTTTCCGCAATACGTCATCCTACAATCAGAAACTTACAAAAGTGATTAGTGAATTACTTCACTGCAGAGATAGTGGTACTATAATTAATGCATTTTTTGACAAACCATCTATAAATGGGGTGATAATTTTAGACATGTGTCGAATAACCAACTTTTTATACGAAGCATACACAGCGTATGACGCGCTAATCGTTAAGCTGAAGATCGACAAGTATGGAACAATGGAGAGTGGGTCATTCAAAGGAAATCAGTTATATGAATACCTCCAACCCAAAGCAGAGTTTTTACATCTTCCTCGAGCTGACGATAATCCTATTAGCGGGGATTGGGAAATATTATGGAAATACCAGTATGACTCGACTGATATTCAACTAACCCATGAATGGTTATCCTTAAATATGGAGAACTTCAGAAAATATATAATCGAAATATACTGCGGGTGTAAACTTCAGCAATTAATATTTAAAACAGAATTTGAAAGCCAGACCTACTTAGTCAAAGCTTCCTGTCTGCAATAATCAATCAAAATTTTCTTATGAAGAACTCCGTAGTACTTTCCTTCCTTCAATAACACGATTACTCTAGTTCCAATTTTATCAAATATTAAATGAGCTAAAGTTAACTCTGAATCATAATTTATAAAAAGGGGGAAGTAATCAGTAGAATCAGTCAAGTCGGTTAAATCGTAAAACAATTGTTGAATTTTCGTACTCTCAGAATCTTCGTGGTTCTGAAGACCATAGCTGAAGTAGTCTGTAGCGCCAAAGTTCGAAGAGTAATTATGCAAAGCACTGGTAATAGCAATCTGATTCTTCCGAATTATCATTTGGGTTGTCTCTGATGTATCAAATTTTTCATCTGGTAAGAGTTTACAATATATTTCATCTGAAATTGAATATTGAGTACAAAGTGATTCCAATTTGTCCAAGCAATATTCAAGTTCGGAGAAGAATATGAGACCTGTACAAACTTCATTAACGATCAATGGAATACATCCATCAAGTAGGGATTTTTCTGCAAGAAGTAATAGCTTTGCCTGTAAAACCGATATTGCAACATATGGAGAGCTACTGATATCAATATAAAGCTTTCGGTTATCATTGATATCTCCCATAGGTATGTATTCATTAACATTTAGCATACCTGTAGTACCCAATTTTGGGCTGGGGAGTGGTTGCTTTGGAATACAAGGAGCCCGCTTATTACTCAACGAATGATACTTGCTACATTCTTCACTGTTGAAAGTATCACTTTCATTAATAATGTCCCCTACCGAAACGAAAGGATCCAAAGGTTCAGTTTCTGACGACATAAATGGGTAATCATTCAGTATAAGTAAGGATTCGTACAATGAGTTCTTTTCCAATACTCCTCCCATCCAGTTCGCAACCGCAATGGCTATAGATATGGGTAAAACATATGTATATGAACTCGTTAATTCAAACAATATGGTAACTAAAGTGATGTTCATTCTAGTAACTCCTGCCATAAAAGCCCCTGCACTTATCATTGAGTAAATTCCCAAGTCAATGCATTCATTATTAGGAGTACCCACTGGACATATAAACCTCATTAAAGAAGTGGAAGTCGACACTGCCTCTGCATGTTGTACGTCCAATCCAATATTGTAGTGATAATTTGCCCATTGAATCAACATACCAAATATTCTTCCAAATAATGCTCCAACAACCATTGAAGGTACATATATACCACAGGGAAGTTTTAATCCAAAAGTGACAAAGGTGAGCACTATTTTTGTTAAAAATGCAAATCCTAATGATCCTAATTCTGCTACAAACTGTGAATGTGTCAGTGGACAAAGAGACTCGTTAAATACCGTTCCAGGTTGACATGGAGTTGCTAAATCCAAAACCAATTCCGATGATGCTTGTTTCGTATAAGGGTTCCAAAATGTAACTACCCCAGTTAATAATGAGATGCAAAACACCTCAAATACTGGTCTATCTTTTATAAGACTCATTTGGCGAAATTTTGTCGGCCACCACCGAACAAATTTAACAAATGCTGCGCCAAATACGCCTCCCATAATTCCTATCATAACGAAGAATACTAACTCTATCGGACTCCAATCAGAGAAGTACAGAAGCTCGAATAAAACAGTCTTTCCAGTTCCATAAGGGTTCAAAAACTTCAAGAATAAGGTAGATATGATTGCACAGAAAAATATTTGAAATAATTGATTGGAAGGTAAGTAATGGTTAATTTCTTCCAATATAAAAAGAACACCCCCTAATGGAGATCCAAATGCCAATGCCACCCCTGAAGATGCACTCGCAGATAAAATCTGCTTTTTCATCATATCATTGTTATGAATATAAGGAAATAATCTTGATAAGATATTCCCCACGCAAGTAGCCAAGTGAACATATGGTCCTTCTTTCCCCAATGACATTCCAGAGGCGATCGCCAACACCAATGTTGAAGTTTTGGCAAAAAGAGTGTATGTTCCCAAGAATCTGCGTATAACAAACCCAGATAAAATTGTCTTTACTTCGGGGACACCAGACCCGCTAGCGGTGTAAATAACCCTGGAACCAATATCTTGAATTTCACTCTCGTGTGGTAGTGAGGTATCAAGCTGCATTTGTAACTCTGTACTAACAACTTCATCGTCTTCCATACTGTCGAGAATGTTGGTATCCTCGTGCTCATATCCTACAGGAGCGTCACCAAAGTCCAGGTCCGTACCATTGAAACTAGCGCCACCACTACTTCCAAATGATGAACTGGAAGACTTGAAAGTGTTGCTCCCCTTGTTAGTCACAAGTGACATATGTGTTGTAGTTTTCGTTGATAAAGTTATCAAACATGCAAGGTACGCTAACAAAATTGTAAGTAATACATAGATTGCAAAGTCGAATCTTAATGTATTATGAAGCTCTTCATTTTCAAAAACTGTTGACCATGAAATCCAATCTGGACACAGTTCAGATGATATTGATCTAGCCACGGTCCCAGATTTGAATACATTCATATATATAGTCTGTTTGTCGTTTGTTGGGGAGCCCTGGATACAACAGGAAACCTGACTTGCTAGCCAATTATTTCGACAATAACCATGTTTGAACCCAACCAATACAAGCTCAATTTTGTCTATGGAATATGCAATTAAAGAGAAAAAAAAACCAATTAGAACAATAAGAACCCATTTCCCAAGTACTAGATATGTTTTATAATAAAATGGGATGCCTCTAGCAAGCTCACCTTCATTGTTCTCGACTATCCAGGAGCGGTGTTCCAATTCATAATTAAATCGATTTTGGGCTACAAATGCCTGTACCCAATCAATAGTTGTAAAGTCATTGTAATAATTTCTAAGCTTGTAAAATGATTTGGACACCACAGTATTCATAAGTCGAGATGAAAGGGTGAGATTTGTTCGTACCGTGTCCACCGATGCCATTTCATGTAAAAGTGGGCGACTCTCTTGATCTGCACCCATTATAGATAGTGGTTTGGGGCTGAATAATGGTGTGGCCCCAGGGGTGGTCGTACGTAGTACTGGAGATCTTATCTCGATTTTAGAAAGTGATTTGATTCTACCCAAGTTCTTAGGTCGAATGGTGCCTCCAGGGGTTCTAATTTGCTTTGGACTTGCCAGAAACACATTCGATGATGGATTTTGGTGTACTATGTGACGATCGTGTCTATCCACACGTTCGTGGGGACGATCATGTCTGTCCTGACGATCCATCCATTGGCCAGAATGCCCTTGATCTCGGCCAGAGATTGACGTATTCGTGGACGATGGATCGGAAGATAGACACAATTTCTGAGTCTTTGATCGACCTCTCCTTCCTTCCTTCATATTCAGTTACCCTTTGGTTGCTTTAGTATGTACCTGGAGAAATTCACCGGGCAATTTATTGAATCGTTGATGTGACACCTCCGGGTTCCGTATCCGCCTCGAAATGATGATACGGCTGTATGCAGTTCCTGATAACGCGCTAAGGTTTAGTTTATTTCAATCCACTTTTTTATTATTTTTAGATTTTGGGTTTAGAAGAAAATTCTATACCAATACATTTACCTGAGTTAATTTACATAAAGGAGGTAATATAGATGATTTATCATAAAATCTTGATTTGATTCATTTGTTAAATAGTTTATTTTTTAGCTTGCCAAGTGTGGAAAATCGGTTAGGAACGTCGGGAGATGGTATTAAAGCAACTTCGAAGTGCGAAATCACCACATTTTCTTACCTCACTAGTAGAATATTAAATATGTTACGTTTGACTATAACAGTGTGTAAAATTCGCTTGTGCAAAGACGCATATATCAAAGAATTGGATAATGCAAGTTGTTATAGCGGAATACCAATTTGTTTCAGGTAAATAATTTATGAAACCTTCAAGTCTCAACTAATTCCTGCTGCAAAAGGTTGAAATTTATATATACAAAGTCCTTACCTGAAATGGCAACAAAAGTATGTATACTTTATGTTAAGAAGTATACTAATGCATTGTGTTTTTAAAGCCTTTTTTTTTCTCTCTAAATCCCCCCTTTGTGAGTCTAGATCCTTTTTTTCATCTTGAAGTATGTTCATTGTTAGCATGAATTCATATTTATGTAGTGCATTTTTAGACGGTACAGTGAGTGCCGGTAGACCGTATACATGAAGAGGAATAAAATTTAGAACAATTACCAAAGCAGGCAAAACGAATTAGCTTCATTCCTTTGGTTTTCTCCTACAGTTGCGTATATAATATAGTGTAGTAATGTTATTTGTGTTTTATTTCAAGTGCAAATATCTTCTTAGTACAACCTTTTGAATTCGCATTCACACTTTGAAATTTGAAACAGTATCATTACTTTCAGAATTATCTATTCATTTTGGATTCTACTTATCAAGTGTATTTTTTTTTTTTTTTCAACGATAGTTTGATTTCCATTCTTTGTATTACAATGTCTGTATCCGAACATTATAAATCGTTATCCGATAGACTCATAGCAAGCTATAGTGAGCAGACACTAGAACAGCCACAAACGAAATATACTCGATTCTTATCAAACTTACTGACTCGAGATAAACGATTTTTACAAAATATTGCTGGCCATACCAATGTGACATACAGATACCAAGACCCTAATGATATTGATATTGCTTTAGAAACGATTGATCTTGAACGTATATATGGAGGGGTTGAATCTCGAGAGAAAAAATTAAAGCCAATAGTTAACCCTGACCTTGCCTACGAAGATTATGTTGTATTAGAATTACTTGACTATTTTAAGAATGATTTTTTCAAATGGGTAAATAAACCAAAGTGTCACATTTGCTCACAAGATGGTGATAATATAATCTCTACTGGAGTTTCTGCACCTCCTAGTCACAATCCAGATGAAGTGTCACGAATTGAAAACTACAGATGTACTACATGCAATGTCAACGTAGACTTTGCTCGGTTGAACAGCCCTACAGCACTCTTGAGAACAAGAAGTGGTAGATGTGGCGAGTGGGTGAATTGTTTTATGCTTTTATTACAGGCTTTACTTGGTGCAGATCAGCAAATTCGGTATGTATGGAACTATGAAGACCATGTATGGTGTGAATATTACAGTGCAGCTTTAGAACGTTGGGTCCATTTAGACCCTTGTGAAGGTGCCTTTGATGAGTCAGCTTTGTATTGTGAAAATTGGGGGAAGAGTATGAGTTGGGTATTTGGGTTCGGTCTTGGGTACATGGTAGACTTGAGTGCCAAATATATCACGAAGCCAGAAAAGCAACTCAATCAACTAGAGAAAGTTTCCAGCAAGAAGGTAGTCTCACGGTTTCTTGATTGTAGTAATATCAGCCTTATGCGACGCTACTTTTATGAGCGTTTGGATGGAGGTAATAGTTTGTTGAACAAACGAGATAATCTCTTGAAATTATATCTGGATGTGATATTGAGAAGAAATCGTGAAGTTGAGATTTTATCAGGGAACCCATCTCCAACTAAGACTGCATCTCTGGATCTACCTGTTGGTAGACAATCGGGCAGTGCTGAATGGACTAAAAGCAGAGGAGAAGCGGGCGGAAAATAGATGTATAGCCTATTTTAAAAAGGAAAACACCAACCCTATCGTAATATATGTAATTAAATCATCTTCTCGTACCCTTAATCTATCTTTGAAGACCTTTGGAATGTCTGAACAATTTCAAACTACACCATGAAACTAAAGACCACCACCATAACATAACGTATAAACACCACCCTTTAACGATAAACACGTCTATCTGTTCAAATGCAGACTTCCATTTGGCATGACGAAGCTGAGTTGAGGGGTACAACGACCATGGATATATTACATATGACCAAAGTTGAAAGAACAGATTTATAGATACGATGAAAAGAAGCCAAGTCACTGCTATTAAAATGTACCCATATGTTTCCAAAGACCACCTAGGTTCCACTTCCTCGACAATATCCTTGGGCACGTGCGCCGGTCTCTCTATTAGTGGAAGAGGGTCAGCAAAGTCCATCTATTGATATTGTTGATTAAAAATGAAATGTATGATTAAATTTGAAACCTTCTTTTTGATTTTCTTAGACATGACATATGGGGTGGGACCGCGACCATACACAGTAGTATTTTTTTTTTCTTTTTTTTTTTTTGATACAAACTTTATGCTATTAATTTATTCTTAACCGTCTATCTACTCAATATGTACCTTAGCGGCACCCAAAAGTTGTGGAGCAGTCTCTTGAAGCCATCCTAATTCAATAACCGAGCAATTACGACCGTATCCCTTTGTAGTAAAGACATATTCCATATACATGACAGCATCAAGATTAACTTTACCAAACAAGTTGGAAGATGGATGGATGCTGATAAGTTGACCAGTAGTAACTGTACGATATGATCTGTCTGGCATACCTATAGCTGTATTGGTGACATAACCTTTCAAGAAAGATTTGAGAATGGCAGGAATATCCATGGACAGATTCAAATCAGAAATATTATTTTCATCATCTGAGCTGTCTTCTACACTATGTTGTGACTGGAGTTGATGTCTCAAGTTACGAAGTTGTTTTTCTTTCTCAATAGACTCTATTTGGTCATCTTGTCGTATAGTTGCAACCATGTAATCTTTTAATTGGTTTCTTACTTTAAGAACATTCTTGAATCCCTTGTAACTGAAATGCATTTCCTTACACCAATCCTTTACTTCAGCATTATCCTTCTTCTTAGAAAGTTCCATGTAGTAATTGAAATACTCTTTCAATGCAATCAAATCACCCAGTTTAACACCTAATGGGCAATATTGTCTTCTCTTGAAATTCACTTCATCTCGTAATTCACCATCTCCCAGGCCCACATTCAAAATTAAATTGTCAACAGAGAGACATGCAGTAATATCAATCACTTGCCCGAGTACTCCACGATCTAAGGCCGTAAGAAGGACGACCGATAATTGTGGAGGAAGTGGTAATGTAGCCATTTTGACCCCCAATGATGTAATCTTCCCTTGATCGTTCAAGGAACCCAATGAATACAATGTAGACAATGCACTCAAAATAGCTTCCTTCCCAGGATGCTCTAACCATGACCAATTCAATAGATCATCCACCCCGATTTTCTTCAACGTTAACACTGGAAGAACAATATCATTTCTCATGATTTCAGACTCTTGTTGCTTTGGTAATTTCTCAAGAAAGAGTTTCTCTGAATACAATCTAAACACTTTTCCACTACTTTCTCTACCGGCTCTACCGGCTCTTTGTTTGGCTGAAGCTTGGGAGATAGGGGTAGTTAATAATGTAGAAAGACCAAGCAGGTGTCTCCATACTTTAATTTTCCGTAAACCAGAATCTATGACATATTTGACTCCACTGACTGTAATGGAAGTTTCTGCAATATTAGTTGCCAAAATAACCTTCCGCTTACGTCCTTTCAATTTCAGAAAGATAGCTTGTTGTTGTTGTGGAGATAAAGCGGCATAAAGTGGCATTGCTACAATTTGAGGCGCTTCCTTTGGTAATAATGGGGCTATTTTTTGAAGAAATGTAACACAATTGTCAATTTCTTCTTGACCGGGCAAGAAGCAAAGAATATCACCTTCCTGTTCAGCCATATTCACCTGTACCACACATCGTACCATAGTTTCGACGATATCTTCTTGTGTATCTCCGTCCCCTAAATAGTTCTTGGTAACAGGATACATCTTACCTTCTACAAACAAAATTGGAGCGTGGTCAAAAAATTTACTGAAAAGCTCAGCGTTTAAAGTGGCAGACATGATAACTACCTTTAAATCCTTTCTCTTCCCACTCAAAAGCAATTCCTTCAAGAACCCCATAATAAGATCAGTTAAAATTGTTCTTTCGTGGGCTTCATCAATGATAATAGTGGTGTATTTGGCCAAAGAAGAATCCAACATGATTTCTCTCAAAAGCATACCATCTGTGAGATATTTCAACTTGGTTTTATGGGTCGATACATTAGCAAAACGAACTTGGTAACCAACTTCGTGTCCCAAGGTACACCCATATTCTTCACTCACTCTTGCTGCCAAAGAAGACGCAGCAACCCTTCTAGGTTGGGTCACGGCAATTTGTTTGCGGTTCAATGGCATAAGATATTGCGGAATTTGTGTAGATTTACCAGAACCGGTCTCACCAATGATTACTGTCACTTGGTTCTTTTGGATATAATCTATGATTTCAGTACGATGTTGGTGAATTGGAAGTTTCTCACGAACTTCCATAAGTGCCTTTGCTCTTTGTTGAAGCTCATACAAATTTACAGGCTGGTTATTGTTATGGTATAAATTTTCGTTCACATCATCATCATCGTCGTCGAATTCTTCCTTATCAAAGTACTTGACAGTTTTAGACTTCTTCTTTGGTTTTTTCTTTGATGCTCTGGACTTTGGAATTGATTTTGGTTCAATTACTACTGAGGAGATGTCTGCATCCAGAGCTATGTTTGACTCCTTTCCAGCATCTTGGATCACTTCAGGAACTAATTCAGGTTCCTTAATGGTCTCCTTTACTTCCTCCTTGGTCACATCATCGTCAAACTTCATCTTTTTATTCTGAATTTGTTTCTCATGAGTTTCTACAACCACTGGACTTTGGCTAATACTTTCAGAGTCTCCACTTTTCTTGTTAGATCTCTTTCTCTTTCTCTTCTTCAGGACCGCTTGGGCCGATCCGCCATCATTTGCAGCTGCTGACATCGGGCTAGTACTTCAAGTTAATTCACTACAAAATATCGGAGGGGAAAAAAAAACCGGAGATGCATATATATGTGATTTTTATGATGATGCTCTTCTCATACTCTAAATTTTTGGTGACTGTATACAATCAATAGCTACACCTATGTTTATTTAGTATTACTTTTTTTTTTTTTTTTTACAACAGAACGGGGAGACAAGTTTCCAGCTACGACTACAATTCAAAAAACGACTTATAAAACCATGGGAATTGGCCACATATTACACAGTCCTTCCATTTCACGCTCAGTGGTGCATTTGGTGCTGCGTCGGTATGAATCGATAGCTGCACTGTCCACAACTATCATTCCAACTGTCTTCGAACTCACTAGAGATCAAGAAAAGTTCAAGCCAGATTTGGAAACATCTCTTGTAAGTCATTTACAAAACAGACATTTGGTTGAAAGCGTTACCCATGATGATCTCTTTGAACTTACATCAAAGCAAAAATTCAAATTATATTGTGGAGCAGATCCTACTGCTAAATCTTTGCATTTGGGAAATTTGTTACCATTGATGGTTGTACTTCATTTCGCTCTTAGAGGTCACGATGTGGTTGGATTGGTTGGAGGTGCAACTGGGGCTGTAGGTGATCCAAGTGGTAGAAGTACAGAAAGAACCGCCATTGCCACTGATGAAAGAGAACAAAATGTTACCAACATTCAAAATCAAATCCAAACATTCTTAGAAAGAGGTTTAGCATATGCTAAATCCAGAAATTTCCCCATTGTTGAATCTGGTGAGATAAGTACCGCCAATAATGCCACCTGGTGGGAATCTGTCAAGATGTTGGACTTCTTGGCTACATATGGTAGACACATTCGTGTATCTTCGATGTTGGCAAGAGACTCAGTTCAATCGAGACTTGAATCACAAAATGGATTAGGATTCAATGAATTTACCTACCAAATTTTACAAGCTTATGACTTTTGGCATTTGTTCAACAAAGAAGGTGTCAACATGCAAGTTGGTGGAAATGATCAATGGGGTAATATCACTGCTGGTGTAGATTTGATTTCTAGATTACAAAAGCAATTCCCAAAGAAAGATCAAAAACCTCAACTGGCTTATGGATTAACCGTTCCACTTCTTACTACCCCAAGTGGAGAAAAATTCGGCAAGTCGGCTGGTAATGCTGTTTTCATTAGTACTGAACTTACATCACCTTACCAATTATATCAGTACTTTATTAATACCCCAGATGATATGGTTGCCAAACTTCTTAGAGTATTCACTGTATTATCGACTACTGTGATTGATAATGAAATTTTGCCCAGACATGAAGCTGATCCAGGTTTACGTCTTGCCCAAAGAATTTTGGCCAGAGAAGTGATAGACTTGGTCCATGGGGTTGGTGTAGGAGAAGAAATGGCATATATCACTGGATTTTTATTCCCAACTCCAGACCAATCTTTCAACGATGTTTCTGCAGAAAAATTGATTCATAATTTCAAAAGATCTGGAATTTTAGTAAAACTTGATTTGGAAAAGGATAAAGATATTAAAATGAGTTCCCTTCTCGCTAAGATAATGGGCAAGTCGAAGACTGAAACAAAAAATCTTATCAAACAAGGTGGTATTTATTTGGGTATCGATAGGGAAAAGTTGGACGATCCAGAAGACGTAGTCCTATTTGATTCTGAGCGCCACTTGATTGACAACAAGTTGTTCCTTGTTAGAGCTGGTAAACAAAACTACTATGTTGTTGAAATCGACTAGATGGATTCTACTTGAAGTTATGTATAAAATGTAAATAGATAGAAAAAGATATAAATAGTTTTCACCTCATGGTAAACTCGTTGTAAGGAATAAGAAGACAGAAGACAGTTATAAAACCTGGAGAGTGTATTTTCCCCGTTGATACGCTAGAAAATTCTAAAACTAACATTTGTACTCTTTGTATTAGATTCTACGTAAAGATTACGTTACTAATGAACGTTACTAATGAACTGCATCAAAGGTCAAGCACATCTTTTACTGCCCCAATAACAGATTTGAATACTGCCTTGTTACCAGCTACCACTCCTTTCGAGTCGAGGAGTCTGCCATTACCAAAATTAAGCTCATTTCCATAGATATCGCCAACATACCCACCACTTTCATACACCAAAATGTTTCCGGCCGCATGATCCCAAATCTTTTCACGATAAGAATCACTTATAGGTAAACGCAAGTAGATGTCAGCTTGGCCCGTGGCAAGGACACAGTACTTTACTTGAGAATCCAAGTTAATGGTTTGAAGTGAAACTGTCTTATCTTCAAATCCAAGCTTAGCCTTAATCTGGGACTGGGTTGAATGTGAAGAATGGCCCTTCTCAACACCTTCAACAACCTTGAGAGAATCAGGGGAAGTATGTTGCTTCATAGAGATCCTCTGCTGTTTTTGCAATGGTACAAATTCGTTATCGGCAAATAAAGGAGTGTAGAATGAACCAATTCCCTTCACTGCGGAATATAAACCGCCTCTAATTCCACTTGTCTTGTCATTGGATTCGATGGTTTCTGGTAAGTTAGGACAACCAATAACACCAAGAATTACTTTTCCATCTTCAATTAACGCCAAACAAACAGCAAACTGGTCACCTCTAAGGAAACCTTTTGTACCATCGATTGGGTCTAAAGCCCAAAATCTTCCCTTTGACCCACCTTGGGAATTCCCTAAATCGATACTGTCATAAATGCTTGGTAAATCTTTAAGACTACCAATAATATCGGTACTCAGAGCTGTTTCAGTTTGTACATCATTCACAATGGCTATGATTTTTTCACTCAATCTATGAGCTTCCTCTGTATTTCCACGCAAAGTATCGGAGTCTTCTTCTCCAACAATTTCATCAGTAGGGAAATTCAAAGAAATTGCTTTGTTGATGATAGCTTGTGCCGCATAATCACCAATCGTAACGGGTGATTTATCCTGTTTAGTTTCGGTCCCAGAACTTTGAGTGGTAGAAATAGAGTCGCTCAACTTCTTAGTTAATACAGAAGCTCTTTTCACTGCCAAAGTAGCGATTAAAAGCTCTTTATGATATGGATGTTCCAATGGAATTGTTGACATGATTGTTCTTCTTACAAACACTTGGCGAATATATGGGAAGATGACGCCGGTACTTTTGCGATAAAGCAGATTAGAAAACAATGCAAGAAGTGTTAATATAAAAAATAAAATACAATTGCCCCAAAAAGACCTTTTCATATAATGACTGTTAACTACTATTAACAAAATGGAGAAGTTTATCTGATTATCTACTTGCATATGATGAAAGATCATGTGACAAACACCAAGAAAATGGCAAGCTCATAAAAATATGATCACGTGCGCTACATGTGTTAACACAAAAGTGCAAGAGAGTAGGAGCTGCGCACTCACTATTTCCTTGTATAGAACTTGCCATGACGAGCTCATTTTATATCCTAATATTCCCAACATATATCAGGGGTATTAATTTTTAAGTGTATTTTTGTTGCTTGCTGGACAAGCTTTGAAAATATAGCCATACGACTTACGACTAAAAACTCTAGCTAAGGAGGTAGCTAGTTACTTACTAAAACCTAAAAGACCCATCCAACAACATATCAGTAACATCATCTTCATCATATTTTAAACATTTGATTATTCTTGGCAACTTGTTGCGATGCATAAAGGACTACTTTTCATGGCGCTATTGTGTCTTGGGTGCTGTGTAGTGCAAGTACTCCCAATAATTTCGGTGCCCGTGACAGGCGCAGCGGTAGGTTATAACCTTTACTTATCTAATTACCAAAACTACACGTTTGGCGTATTCGGTATTTGTGATATGGAAACTGGATTATGCTCAAAGGCTCGAATAGGATATCCAGGTATCTTAGGAGGAGCTGACTATCTGAATCCTGCAAGTGAAAGTTCGTTTGGTGTGGTAGAGCTTCCTTCCAAGGCACGTTACACAATCTCTAAACTTCTAGTGGTACATGTGGTGGGGTTCTTCTTTTCTGGAATTCTTCTCCTAGTGATAATATCCCTCATGGTGGTTTATTCATATGAAAATACTCCAAAACTTAGACTTGTAGACAAGTTTAGAAAATTTCCTCGACATTTAAAAATACCTCAAAAGAACCATTCGGGGGATAGTTCTACCATTGCAGTGAATGAAAGAAATACAAACGAGCGGGTAGCCATGACTGATGAAGGATTTCCTAACAGTATTTTCAATAATAATAACGACAACAGTGAACATAAACTGGCTAGGAAGTTGTCTTTTCTACCACAAATAAAAATTCAACGTCAACTGTCCCACAAGAAAAAAAAGCGAGATATTACCCCCTATTTGAACTTGATGCTTATGTTGGCTTTATTTGCCTTTTTGCTGGCATTATTGGGATTTCTCTCTGATATATTGCTCTTTATTCCACACTTGAGTTATTTGGGATGGTTACAATTCTATCCAATATTTGCATCAGCTCTCCTTGCCTCTATGACTTGCTTTATGAAAAGATCAATATCTTCTAGAAGGTACCTAGACGACAATAGGGTATATGAGAACGATGACATGCGTATGAGACGAAGTATAGATTTTAGCCATTGGGAAGATGATTCTGATAGTGATGATGGATTCTACGTTTGTACTAATGGGTTCTATAGTACCTACAACAACGAAGAAAGGTATCATCGACCACGCTCCGCCAGCTCAAATGGTGGCTGGAGGAGACATACACCGAGAGGTGAAGCTGAAGGTGAGACGGAATCCATAGTAAATGGGATAGAATTAGCTAATTTGGAATATGATTTGACAGATGCTGTCAATCACCGGGTAGCCATATGAAAATTTTATAGACTAATACTTAAATGATTTTAGGTGTGCTTCAATGGGAAATGAATGCAGATGTAGCTGTAGAAAGCGAATGTGTGAGATTTCTCATCGTTTGGACTTTTTAATAATAATAGTTTGAATCTCTCTATATGTGTTTTAATATTATCTATGTAAAGTATTGAGTTCTATGTACGTCATTATTCATTCATGGGAGTGGGAAAGTTATTCTTTGAGGAGATTTTTACTATCTTGGGATAGCACGATAGTATTATCAACTACCAATAATCTCAAGAGTTGTGCTAGTTCTAATGAGCGAACTTGTGGGAGTGAATCACTAGTAATTTCTTTCAAGCCAAGAATCAAATCTGTTTGATACTTTGAAAGAAGTTTTCTACCTTGTGGGGTGCTCTCAGCCAACTTTATCAAATGATGGAGTTCAAATGAGTTAGTGATAGCATTATCAAGAATTATCTTCAATGATAAATCTTCAAGGCCGCGATGAAAGATAATTGACTTGAATGGAGCCAAATCTTTTAATACTTGTTCTCTTTTCGCCTCCTTATCTTTTATCGAAATCAAGTTCGACTCTGTGGCTGCCAAAAGCGAGTAAAAGGTTTCTCTTGAAGGTGCAGTTCTATGGTCAAGAATAAGTAAGTTTAAGACTTCTTTTCCTTGAACATAGTTAGAAGAAACGAAAAAAATATTTGCAAGTTTATCCAAGATATTTGTCAGTAATCCCAGTAAAATTTGAGGGTTAGATTGTAAAACATATTCAGATACAAACTTGGAGAATACTACTCTTCTTTCTTGACTGTTTGATTTATCTAATGCAGTTACAACTTGATCCATGGTTTGCTTCAACCCTTCTTGGGTATACATATCAAGATTTTCTTGAACAAACAGAACAAGGGAAACAAACCCATCTGTATCGTCAATTTTGTTGAATAAATAACTTACAACATGTTCAAAAGTAACTAGGTTTGCTACTTCTGAATGATGTAAAATACCAGCCATCTTCTTTGAATTATTTTCAAAAATTTTCAATGATTGGAAAAATGCATTTAAATCATCTGTATTTTGTGGATACATAGATTGTGGATTTTTCTGTTGGAATTTATCTATCGCCAGTGATATTTGGTCTTCGATAGTTCTGCTGCTGTAAGTCATTGGTTCTTCCAATTCCAGCAAGTCTGACAATGTATAAATTTGGTCCTTAAATGTATCTATCCATCTACATGTTAAGTTCTCGAAGTAAAGATTCACAACTTCAGAAGATACTTTATTGTCGGACGAGTTGCCTTGATAGTTCTTTGAAACCACTTTGTAAGTTTGATCACCTGAGAATGGTTTCTGATAGGCCAATGAAGTTACGAAAACATCATTAAAATTTGGGTCTACCACTAAGTCTGCAACAAATTCGGGACTTAAAATTTCATTATGATACTTTGGAAGATTCTCTAATTTAGGCATTCTCTGAATTGACGCTCTGTTCTCTTCCGGCGTTAATTTTTCAAAATCAAACTTGTATTGGTCATCGTTCGGAATGAACAGAAGAGCGGATTTTGCAGCATAGGAGTAGCATCTACGGCCTGTGGCTGCAACCCTAATTCTACTTGCAGTCGCCACTTTGTGATACATTGCAAGGTTGTTTATTAATTTAACGATGAACTAAAGCTTACAATGAATCTTTAGATTTTGATTTCCACTTTCGAATTTTCCAAATGACAAAAAAAAAAAAAAAAGAAAAATAAGAAAAATCCTTGGTGATATATGTGCAGGCTCTGCGTCTCAAAGACTCTGTTTTAGAATGGTTGCAAAATTGTTACAACCAAAATAAATATATTAAAGACACTTGACACAATATTTAATCCTTCTGAAAGATCTAAAGTTGAAGCTACTATGAGAATTGTTTTGTTGATTTTCAATTTAATTTTCCTATGTGCTTTCGGTATTTGCGATCTAGCAGTACAAGATCTTCTTCTTATCGAAAATCAATTCCAGAGTCTTGCTACAAAAACGAAGTGTGTGAAAGAAGCGCTTTCCCATGTTTTACCCGAATGCGCCACACTAGGTATAGACTCGGTTGATATTGCCTTACGGAAACTTTCCGCGTTGAAACTTTCAATATGTGAATTTGAAAATTCAGGGATTCAATACCCCACCATTTGCAGACAAGTAACTACCCTCAACGATTGTGGATCTTGCATTACTGAACTAGAGAAATCTCCACAGTTCTGGACAACATATAGTGGTAATTATCGCGAAATTGGATCGATATGCTATGCTGAATCCTTGCCCTTCGAAAAGGATCAAATATTGAATCTTTACTCCAATATAACAAAACTTTACAATGAATTCCAATTTCGAATGAGAGAATCAAACTCGGAATTTGAAACTACAAATCAATATTTAATGGAGCAAATGGAGTATGTCTTCTCAAAAATCGAACAATTGTCATTAAAAATAGTTAAAGAAGGAGAAATTTTAAAGAGAAAAAACTCTGAATATTTTCATGAGCTTGAAAATACCTTGATATCTACTCTTCAGCACACTTCAAATTTGGATTTAGATATGAAGGACATGTCAGGTGGAATTATAAATTCTTTAGCTAAGATAAATCTGTATATTAATGAGGTTGTTCAGCAAAGTGAGTTGCTGGGGGTGGTTAGTAAATTATCAGAGATGGATGAAAAATACATTAAATCATATCACGCGCTTACTGCAGAGTCAGAACGGTCTCTTTCAAAAATACAGGATAATTTGCAACAGATAAATACATTTGCAGTAGAAGGACTTGATGCGTCCTTTCTTCTCCAAGAATCTTTAAACAGTAACAATTTAGCTGCTTCCGACTTAAGTACTTCATTAAAAGAATCCATTAACCTAATCTCTAATCATAACTTACACTTGAAGGAAGATTTTGCCGATGCATTGTGTGTACTTACTGAGAAAATAGTTATTCGTGTATCGAATACAATTGAAGATATTAATGTTCAGTTATACGATTCATTCCAGTCTATTGATAACCAAATCTATATTATTGAGGATCGGTTGGAATACATGGATCAGAAACTATCTAATGTTACCATGCAATTCGATACAATAATTATTTTTTTCCAAAGCTCATTTGAACTTTTAACTACAAATATTTTCGTGACCACTGTTTCGAAATTTATGGATATGTCAAAAAAAGGTTGGAAACAATGTATGGGAATTCTAAGTAATTTCAGAAGTAGCATCCTTTCCACTTTTTTGATGTTTACAGTTGGATTGATGGGGGTAATATGTTTTTTAAACACTTCTAAAACGAATAAAAATGCATTTTCCAAACTAATAACACACTTCATACTTACCTTTATAGGAATGTTGCTAATTATTCCAGCATTAAAGTACTTGTATCACATTTGACGCCTTATGTAGTTTCAAGAATATATTGCGATTCAATAAAATGTATTCAATAAGCGGACCATGGGTTTGTTAAAAAATGAAAAAATTAACGACAGCCGCAGGATTCGAACCTGCGCGGGCAAAGCCCAAAAGATTTCTAATCTTTCTCCTTAACCACTCGGACAGGCTGCCTGTTTTTGAAAATTAATTATTTTTATCTTTTAAACGTATCTGTTTTGTGCTGGACACGACCGGGTAAAAATTTCGGGAACGACGGCAGACCTCAACAGCGTTAAGGACCCCCTTAACGTCTCGCGATATCACTGCTTGGGTTACGTTCTTTAAATCAACAATTAGATAAAATAATACGAACAATAAATTGTGAGAGGTTTTCAAAGTTAACACTTTTTCCTCTCACTCAATAACGTTTATTATATGGCAACTATGAAATGAATATACAGAAGGAGGTTATATAGCCAATATAACCAACGATTATATAGATATATTATAGGATAATAAACATCGAATGAGTAAAAAAAAAAGGAAAAAGGAAAAGTATTAACAAATAACTGATAAAATTATTAGTTGCAAACTCGACATTGTCAATTCTACAATCTCTAAATGTAAACCATTACCACCAAGCTATCCATCGTTTCTTTGAAAGCAACAACATATTACAACAGCGTTAAGAACAACCTTATCGATTCGCGATATCACATCTTGAGTTACGTTGCTTACATTAACTATTAATTAAATAATTATGGCATAACCTCCAAGAGATTTTCAAAGTTCACACTTATTCCTCTCGCTCAAAAAGTTTATTATATGGCAGCTATGAAATGAACATACAGAGGAGGTTATATATCCAATATAGCCAGCAATGATGTAGATATATTTTGAGATAATAAACATCGAATGAAGAAGAAAAAAAATTATTTACCAGTATTGGCTGCAAATTATGTCCTCAAAAGTATGTGTTAGGTATGTCAAACCTGTCCCATGCAACTTAGCATTTGAGCTCTCGGTAAATATTTTACATCCATCAGAAATGAAAGGAAATAAGAAATATTAATACAAGGCATTTCACGGGATTGTTTTTCTGCTCTCTGTATTAAACAAAAGTCAACAGAGCGGGCCAGTACATGTTAAAGACAATAATTAATCTGGATTATGTATGCATGTGGATAAGCTAGCTTAACCCTTACTTGTAAGTACTAAATGGACCATGAAGCCTTCCGTACTGATATTAATACCTGACTTGTTTTATGTGCCCATGTTTCTTCTCTGATTCTTTCTTATTGTGAAGAACTAAGAAAATGTTGGAGGAATTCAACAGTTCAACAGTTCCATACTACGAAAAAATCTCTAGCGAGTTTGATGTCGAAAGACATTTTAATTCTGGGAAGTATGATTCGATATCTCAGTATCTCTTATTACAGATGGGTAATCATTAGACCATAAAAGCTGTCAGATAGTCAAATCTAAGGCCGTTCATGTTTGGCTAATTAGCGATTCTAGAACTTTTTCGTACTCATTTTAACTATCACATCAATAAATTTAACAGTAACTCCAGGTAAGACAGCCAGCAGCTTTTTTTTTTCCTCTCTTTCGATTGAACTTCATGTGTTCTGGCATAGTCATTCTACATGAATGGAGTTAGTTTACTATCAAAACAGTCTTATTATCTCTTATAAAGATTTAAAGGATTAAACAACGTATCTTAAGTGACTTGTGATAACGATAACTATCATGAACATTGAATGGGAGTTTTTAAAGCCTCTTCAAACCGGAAAATATGCATAATTGCGGTATTATTTTGTTTTTGAAGGTTTGTGGATTCGGAGATTCGGAGTTATCATGACATTTTATTACTGGTGCTGTACCTTGAAATCAACTTTTTAATATACATCATTTTACCAAGAGGAAAAGTCAGTAGGACCTACAATCATTTCAGGCAAAATTGGGGTCTAGTAAAAGGTAGACACTATACGAATAGTTATTGTATACTCCACATGAAATATTGGAATACTTTCCATGAAATAAATGGTAAGAGTAATATGTTTCTAACCACGGAATAAAATTACATGGAGTGTCCAGACCAAATATGTAATCATAAGGAGCCAATCATGTTGCTTGCTGGAAATAGACTTATGCATAACTGTCTTGATTGGGAAGGATATTGTTACGAAAGTAGGAATTTCAATAATCGGCGAAAAAGTCTTTCGTGTCATCAGACATCGTGAGTTATTGTATGTACTAAAAACCCCTATATATAAAGACGTAGGTTTGCTCTCTGTAATTAGATGTAGAATGGCTCACCACCATGAACAATCATCATAGATGATATAAACCATTTAACAAAATGTCCAACCTGATTAAGAAAGACTCTCTTGAATCCAGCCGTTCTTGTACTTGTTCTGTTGATAGTACGATTGCATCCTCTGTGGGGGAAAAGCTGAAAAAACTAACTGACGATAAAAAACTTGACTTTGAAGCCAAGAAATCAACAAAGATTCCATGGGAGGCCATTGCAGAATACTTGTCATTGAAATAATTGACATAACTGCAGAGAAATGGTTCCTTTAATGGCCCTTATTAGCTTTTTAGAGTAGTTAAAAAAATTTGCAACCATTCGCACATTCTGAAAGATAATTAACATACATTTTAATAAACACTGATTCATAATTACTGTGTTATATATTTTTATTGTAATACTTTTAAAAATTGGATGGTGGTACAGTGGTAACTTGGTTTACGCGAAGGTGACCCAGGTAATTAAAAAATGGGAGCAAAACCAAAAGAAAAATAGTTTCAAGGATGTTTGAAGAAAATAGTAAGGTTTAGTGACTGATTGTTGAAATAAGGGTGGGTATCTATGGATTTTATGGAATGTTGTTTATGTCTTGTTGATAGAATATACGTTTTAGTCCAAGAAGTGAATAGAAACAAGAAATTTATACAAAGTACTTTTGGAAAACCACTCAGCAACTGGGTATACATAGTTCTACTTTTTCCTGTTCAGAATTATAAGTGTCGTTACCATAATAGAACCTTGATCCCCTAAAAATAAGCTACTGGTTTGATGTTTAATTTCCAATCTAGTGTGAAGGACGTATTTGCGATCAGTTTTTAGAAAAGGTGCATCGTTAAGCCTCGTTCCCCCGCTGAATTAGACTCAAGCCATATACATAATAGTGTGGGGGAAGGATCATGGTCATACAGAGACTTTCAAAGATTTGAACATCGGGGTTTTAACAACTTTTCCTTTGTGAGACTTCTTGGCAGCTGTCAAGCAAAAGTATCTTTTTCTTGGCGCATGCTACAGATTAATGATTGTGAATTTGACACAAATTTGTTGTGATTAGATGTCATTTTGGTCCAATTTTCATCGAAAATCCTGTACATTCTAGGAATCACATACAGTATGTACCCGCTTAAGTGGAACATCCGATAAAAAGTACACAGTCTCACGTTATAATGGCTGCGTTAGTAATTACTTGGTCCATAATATTTCTTCACAATACGACAGTTACAATGTGCATTAGTACATTTAGTTGCACTTCCTCTATTCATTGTTTAATGTGGGGGAAGGTGGGTTCTTTTTTCGTCAATAGGAGGCATTGCATTCAATATCCATGCTAAATAGCTTAGTACCCACGCATCGACAGTCTATATTTGTGGGTAACGGTAACCTGGACGCAACAAGGTTGTTGAACATATACACTATTTGCAATTTTTTAATTTGGTACAGAGGTCGGTGTGCACAACAGGGGATTATATACCTGAGATTCATCACAAATTATGTAACTTTGTGTCGTGTGCCCAGATGACGTCAATATATTAACGAACCATACAATGTAACCAAACTGAATTTGCGAATTTCAAGGACCATTTGCAAAAACTCTGAGATTCCCTGTCGGGTCATCCACCCTCCCCGCAAAGAAAATATTTTTACAAAAATAATTGTTGAATATAGGTACCTTTGAAGGCGGAATCTTTGACGTGTAAAACCAGTGCCAAGAGATAATACTCCCGGGATTATGAAGTTGCATATGTGATTCGACTTTTTCTCATTATTGTAATTTCATTTCAACTTATATATCTTCTCTCTATCTAATTCTGCCCCCATTTAACCTTTTTTATGTACTATTAACACTCTGTCTCAGGGAGGATACAGATGACAATCTACTATTCCTTCCCTAAAAATGTTGACTAGAAACTCCCGGGTGTGACCGTTAATTCTTCCGTTGGGATCAACACTCCCTACCTCTTCCGCCCCTCCACGGGTTACCAACCGATTGTTTCCTCCCGGTAGTTTCCTCCCCGCAATGCACCTAAATACGCAATATTACCTATTTGCCGGTAGAAGTGGGGAAAGTGCATCCGCGCCTATGTAAAAAAAAAATAAAAATAAAAATAAAAAAAAGGAAGCAATATGTGGAATTTTGAATACTCCGAATATTTCGGAGCCCTACGTCAGCGTAATTTGATTTTCTATATGTGAAAAACAAAAGTAAGACCGGTTCTATAGCGTGCAAGATGTGGTTTGAATGGATGACCAGTACCATCTTGCCGAAACCATGATTGTATGTACACTTTCTCTCAAGAGGGTGAGGCTGTTTTTAAATATTGATAAAAGAAATTTTAACTTCCCGGGGTACTTTGCTTACCCCACGCAAAGGGGACACAAAACTAAAATGACGCATGATGTGTGTACCCAATGCTATGGCTGTTAATGTAGTTCAATTTTCGATTTTTGGACGTGTCGGTATATTCGAAATGGTATAAAAGATGAACATATCCACCTTCTGAATACCAATAAATATTCAATTTAAAATTTCTCTTTACAACAGTGTCAGAATCTATTGATTAACACACATTTATAAATAGCGCTCATCAAAACATAGCATTTTGACATATCGCCAAGAGAATAGTTTATCCGGCCAAGAAATTTATTATAAAGGAAATATGGGTGAGAAGTCCGAAGCTAATTCGGTTGCGCCTAGTGCCCGTGGTTCGCTTCATGAACATCATCACCATCACATCACTCCCTTAAAGGAAAAGAAATTCCGTTGGAGAGTTACAGATGAACATTCCCCTCCAGAAATTTATAACTGGACGCTTTATCTCTCTGTATTCGTTTTCGGTATTTTAGGTTCAGCAAGAGGTTATGACGAAGGTAATATTTCTGGTACTGTTGCACAGACTTCCTTTATTAAGGAGTTTGGTCTCAAATCAGCATCATTAACTGCCACTCAACAAGCTAACCTTAAGTCCAACATCACCTCTATGGTTCAGTTGGGTTCCATTGGAGGTTGTATTCTTGCCATGTATACAGTTGACCGTTTTGGTCGTATTAGAACTTTACAAGGTGTGTGTGTATTGTGGATAATTGCTGCTATTATTCAATGTACTTCACATTCAGTTGGTCAATTATATGCTGGTCGTTTAATTGAAGGTTTTGCTATTGGTCAAACTACCACTATTGGACCAACTTATTTATCCGAAGTTGCTCCAAAGGCTATTAGAGGTCTTTGTGGTTGTATCTTTGCAGGTGCCGTTTATTTTGGTATCATGCTTGCCTATTTTGCCAATTATGGAACTGCATTGCATGTTGTTGGACGTAATCAATGGGTTATTCCAACTACAATTAAATGTGTTTTGGCGTTTTTAATTTTGGTAGGTTCTACAATTGTATGTGTTGAATCTCCACGTTGGTACATGAAGATTGGTAACCCTGAAATGGCTGCTAAAAACTTGTCAAAGATTCGTAATCTCCCAGTTGATCATCCATATATTTTGAGTGAAATTGCTGACATTAATGAACAGGTCAATCTTGAAAAACACGAAACTGAAGGTACCACCATTATTTCAATGATAAAGGAAATCGTAATGACGAAATCAATTAGATATCCATTTTTTGCAATTGCTTTCATGGCGCAAGTCCTTGGTCAATGGTCTGGTGCCAACGCCATTACTATCTACTCCCCACAGCTCATGTCATTAGTTGGTATTACTGGTGTCAAGAGTCTTGAAATGACTGCTGTTTTGGGTGTAGTGAAGTTTGTCTCCGCTTATTTGGCTGCCTTTTTCCTCATCGACTTCTTGGGTCGTAGACGTTCGCTTTACATTGGTATCTCGATTCAATTGATAACAATTTTGTATTTTGCGATATTTTTGACTGTTGTACCACAAGCAGCTGAAAAGGGTGCTGTATTGACTCATTCCCAAGATATGGCTGGTAAGGCTGCACTTGCCGCACTTTTCCTTTCTGGTACAGGTTGGACCATGGGTTTCAACTCCATTCAATATCTTTTGGGATCAGAACTTTTCCCACTTAGAATTCGTTCATTTGCACAATCTCTTGTGATGGTGATTCATTTTGCTAATCAATATGGTAATTCCAAGGCGCTTCCAAAGATGTTGCTTGCCATGAATAATTTCGGTGCCTTTTACTTCTTCGTTGGTGTCATGGCGATTTCTCTTTGTTGGGTATATTTCTTTATCCCTGAAGTTTCAGGACGTTCTTTGGAAAGTATTGAAGAAATCTTTTCTTTACCTTGGTATGTTATTGGAAGACGTGGTGCCGAACTTTGTCCTGATCATTCTGAGGTTAATAGAGTCAGCTACAATGTTGAAGGTACCGGAAATGCACATGGAGGTGATATTGATTATGAAACCAAGCCTACAGCTGAATTTGTTGAAAATGCCAGTAATGAAGGATTAATGAAGTCTGATTCTCAAAGTCTTGAGAAATAATTAAGTTATAACAATAACAATTAATGATAATTATACGTACAAAAGTAATGTAAATTCACAAGATTGTTATATTCTAAATATTTATCTAATATCTCTCTATTTTTCAATTAAAGATTTGAATCTAAGAATAACGAAAAACCCTTCAAAGATATGCATAAATATCCATGAAAGTCTAGAAGCTAATGGCACTCTATACTTTCTGGTCTGTGGAATAGTAAAGCTAATAATTTCGATAAGATGGATAGAAACGAGACCACCCAAAATATACTTCAGATTCTTCCCAGTAAAGTTCAAAATAGACCATACAAAACTAGGGAAGTACTGTGATACAATGGAAAACACTCTATCATTTACAAATAATGACTTGAAACCAGCCAAGTCATAAGATGAGTATACTAATGCGGCAGAGAAGAAATACAACAAAATTGACTTCGAATCTGGACCAAGAACTTTAGTAATTTGTTGGTGTGAATACCCTTGTTTAGCAGCGGCATATTTTGCCATTGAAACAAGTTTCCCCTTGATATTTGCATACTCTGAAACGACTATATCTTCATCCTCCTTTGCATCTGACCAGTTAATCTTAATGGTTTTCTTCTTTAAGGATTTATCTTTATATTCAATGGTGAACCATTTGGTGTTAATCTCAGATAAGATCACCGACTCTCTGTCAAAGGCACCAAGTGGGACCTGGCCATAAACAACTAAATAGTCGATCACAGCCAATTGGTGCAGCTTGTTCATATGGGAAGTAATTCGGGCTGATGGGTCAGACATTTTATTTCGTAATACTATTTACAAAAGGGTGATTAAATTGATATTCGAAGCTACTTTGAACTGTGATTTCACAGGATAAAAGAGTCGTTTCCCCTCAAAATTAAAAAAAAAAAAAAAATAAGAAAATAAAAATAATTTGTGCGTGCACATAAGTGCAAAAAAATTTTATATGTCGCTGTCAAGTGGAACCACTCTGTTGTAACATAACGATCAAGCTAATGACCACCGCAATGTTAGCTTTTTCATAATGCAACGTCAGATCAGTATTTAACGGTTATTTATTGGGAGTGATATGAAATTGGGTATTGTTTTGGTTATCCGTAGTCGTTCCGAGCGGAATTTCAGTACGGAAATAGAACGGAATTATATGTTTATGTGTTAGGTTTCAATTGGTTCATATGGCCATCAAATCATTAAGCCACTTTTTACATATTATTCAAATGTTCTCTTGCATTGTTGTCTATAGCCCTATTTAAAAATATTACAAATAATAGGTGTGACCATCTGCATAGAATTGTCATGTTCGGATGGTGTGACTGCATGAGGTGACTTTTTTTTCGCAGCCACCCACATTACTAATCGCTAAATCCGTTCGGTTTATAATACTTACATATTGCTGTGAACAAACTTGAGATTAGTATATATTTCAACAATCTAAAAGGTTCTACTTTATTTATTTATATCAAATTGAACACAGTAGTAGTTCGAAAATGACATCCAGAATTACACAAAAAGGTTCTACATCCTTACACAGCTCTATGATCACACCAAAATTAGGAACGAAAAGAACAAGAAGCACATCTATAGCTGATAAAACAGCATTAAATAAACGAATTTGTCAATGCAATGGAAATAGAGGAAGAATGACATCTGAAATACATTTAGATTCAGAATCTAGCTTCCCTTATTGGTTGTTAAACATCGAGCGTACATTGTGCGTACTGCATGAGGGCTATTTAGTCCCAGACCTTATCCCTCTTAAAGGAGACAACGATGCATATAAGAAGAAAGTATGGGATGCACATCATAAATGTTTAATGGATCCAAGAATGAACCGTATTTTGAACGAAAAATTATCATTATTGATATGCCCACAATGGTGGCATCTTATATCACTTTATAACTCTGCATGCAAAAATTTTGAAATAATTAAAAATACATTCCAAACAAAAATAACGGCACAATTCTTATTAGAGCTCGAAGCTAGTATGATGTTTCATTCTCCAGAGTCTATAATGTTTCAACAACAATTAGACCTTTTGAGCAGAATATACTATATTGTATTCCGAGAAGTAGCTTGTTTAAAAATTGTGTCACACTGGAGAGCGAGGGCCGCTCAAAATAGAATACGTTTACTAAATCATTTCTCCATGGATACTGCTGCCCCCTGGAGCTGTTGATATATAGTATATTTATTCCTTATAAGTTACTTTAGTAACTCTTCTTTCAAAGAAAAAAAAATAGAACCATGTAGGAAGCAAAAAAATGATTTCGCCCAGGATCGAACTGGGGACGTCCTGCGTGTTAAGCAGATGCCATAACCTACTAGACCACGAAACCATTTATGAGTTAAAAAAATTGATGGTTTAACATACCAAGCGTACCAATTTTGGGCAAAACGGAATTTTTAATGTTTTTTTTTATCAATGATCCATAAGTCAATTGAGACTCAAAGTATATAAAAGTATACCTAGTAGATTATTTCATCTTCTGCAAACAATAGAATACATTTGAATATTCAAAATCAGGTTTTTGGCGCCCATAACTCTCTTTTTAAGTGAAATCCGTGTATTAATTTTATAACCCCTATTATTATCTACTGTACAATCATTGTTCAAAAGTCCTTTAAGAATCTCTCAATGTAACTCTAATTCGCTTTAAGAACTTCACAAATTCTCGATGGTCATTAAATTCATTCTCAATTGTCTTAATGAGTGATTCTTCTAATTCTGGGTATGTCTTCCCTATTTTGTAGAGGTCACCACCAACTGCCAACTCACACCAAATCTCTCTATCATAATCTTCAGGGTCAATGTTGGTAAATATGAATTTAAGTATGTCAACTGCTATTACCTCTATTCTCAATCCAAGGTACAGTTCATACTTCATAAGTTCAGGATAGTCTCTTAGATTTTGTTCTTCTAAATCTGTCTCTGTCTTGTTTATCGTGTCTGAGGTGAGTTTGATTTGAGAGTTTAAATTGTCAATATAAGTTTGTAATTCCTCCTTTTTACCAACAAGGTCTACTTTCTTGGATTGAAGTTCATCCACTTTGAGCTGTTGTATTTGCAAATTCTCAAGAGACTGTTTGATTGTTTCCTTCACTTTGACTTCTTTCAACCTAAGGTTATTTATTTCTGTATTCAATTGGTTCTCTCGATTCGAAAGATCATTGATTGTGACATAATGCTGTTGCTTTCCATTTATGATTTCGGATCTCTTCTTTGCCATAATCTCTTCAAAATGAGCTGAAAACTTTTCCATCTCCATCTGGAGCACATTATATTCTGCAAAGGCACTCATATCCATGTACTATTATTCTTATTATTGCTACAAGTTGCCTATATATTGTAATTAGTTCACCTTGTATCTTTTGTTTTTGTTTTCGAATTTTGAATAGTGCGCGCAAAAAATAAATATACAGAGAAAAAAAAAAAGTAAATAAACGACATACACGATAATTGTGGTTTGGATAAATAAAGAGAGAAATGAGAAATAGAAATTATAATTACTTACAAAATAAAAAATGGCACGTTCTGTACAACCTGTAGATGAAAATCATCTTGAAAAAACTGTGAAGTTGCTCACTTTCAATACTTGGGGTCTCAAGTATGTCTCTAAACTTAGAAAGGAACGTCTTAGAGCAATTGCGGACAAATTGGCCACAGAGCAAGATGGCGACTACGATATAGTTGCCTTACAAGAAATTTGGGTAGAGGAAGACTGGAAATATATTGAAGAGAGATGTAAAAAGCAATTCCCATATCGTAGAATATTTAAATCAGGGATTATAACTGGACCAGGTTTGGCATTATTGTCTAAAATTCCGATAGAATCAACTTTTTTGTATAGATTCCCAATCAATGGTAGACTGTCTGCATTCTTCCGAGGAGATTGGTACGTCGGGAAAGGAATTGCAGTTACACTCCTCAAACCACATACCCCGGGATCAACCCCAATTGCATTATTAAACTCGCATATGCATGCTCCATATTCCCACACTGGTGATAGTAGTTATGCTTGTCATAGATCTTGTCAAGCTTGGGATTTTGTAAAGATTGTCAAGATGTTGAAAAAATCAGGATATGCAGTAATCCAAGTTGGAGACTTAAACTCAAAACCAGGTTCATTGCCATACAAGTTATTTACCATAGAAGGAGGTTTGGTAGATTCATGGGAACTGATATATGGTGCAAACGCAAATGATGAGATTATTGAACCCGAAGAAATTGGGACCATGACTTTTGAAGATCAGATCTTGATTGGGGGTGTTACGTGTGATTCTAAATTGAATACTTGGAGAGCTAATAGACAACCTTGGGAAGCTTGTCGTCTAGATTATGCACTTGTAGATTCAACGCATATATCAACTGTGAATGCACAAGTTCGTTTCACTGAACGACTTGAACCTCCTTATAATTGTTCCTATTCTGATCATTTTGCATACAGTGCCGAGTTCTTGATCAAAGCTCTGGATAACCTGAGAATTTCAAAACTGGCATTTAGTTCTTCTGAAAGAATAGATGTTTTTAAAGAGTTCTTACTTAATCTTCAAGAATACCAACGTTATACAATTCCGGAACAAACCAATTGGAGACGATTTCATTTTTTTGCAGGTATTATTACATTAATCATTTTCCATTTCCTCATGCCTTGGTGTGCAAAGATAAGTCCATATTTGGCATTACTTGTTTTATTTTTCAGTACTGTTTTGGGTATCACCGCGGTATTAAATGGTTTGATTTGGTACTTTGGAGTTAGATCAGAAGCTAGAGCATTGGAAGAAGTTCAAATGGAAGTTGAAGATAATTTAACTTCTTTGAAAGATGAATAGATCACTACTCTTATATCGTAAGAATTATCACAAACTAAAACAAAATATACCTTATTATAACTAATTAATGTACAAAACGGAAATCAAGACGTTTGTTTCCTTCGTCGGTTGAGTTCGAGATATAGTCTTCCTGCTCTTCAATAGTCAAAGCAGACCATTTCCTTTCCTTATACTTATTTCTTTGAATATAATATATTTTTGAGATAATGCACATTGCTAATGCGCCAAACGCAATAGCGATCAATTGTTCGTTACCTCTATGATATAAAGGAGCATCATCCATTCGGTAAATGTTAGCCGATGCGATAGCACCAGCTTGGGAAAACATATTAACAATTGCTGCTGAAACAGCTCTTGCTCTCACAGAATTAGAATTAGCAGATATCCAGGAAATTGATAATGGCCACGTTGGTGTATGGCCTAAAAGGATTGTTAAAATTGTATAAGTTCCCCAAATATCTTTTTGGGCTCCTTTCCAATATCGTAAGGGGAAGAGACAAGCTAGAACCCAGATAGGAGTGATCGCCAAAGCATATGCTCTCTGATTAACTATTTCTGATAACCAACCAGTGATAACCATAGATATAATTTGAAGGACATTTGCAGGGATAGTTAAAGCATTAGTATCGAAAGTGGAGAATCCTAATTTTCTTAATGTCAAAGTCAAATATGATTGTACTGGTGTACTACCAATATCTCCAAGAATACGAATGAAGTAAACGGGCCATAAATCATAGTCTAATAATGATGTTAATAACTCCTTTGGACCTACTGGTTCTCTGTTGTGCATATCACCTTTCGATGGATCATCCCTTAAAACTTTGTTCACTATAAGTAATTCTTCTCTTTCAGTGAACCAGCCTTTCTTTCGATACCACGTTTTGGTCTGAACTACTGAAGCTGGCATCTTAAAGAATGACATAATTCCAATAATTAAAGTTGCAGCACCTTCAATTAAAAACAACCATCTCCAACCTTCCTTCATTCCCGAGGTATTGACTTTTAAAAGAGCAAAAGCAAGTAAACTTGCCACGATGGAACCTAATGGATTCGCAATATAAAACAAAGACAATCTTGATGGGAATTCCTTGGAAGTATAGAAGTATGACATCCACAAGCAAACATCTGGGATGAAACCTCCTTGTAATGCACCTACCAATGCTCTTGTTACAAGAAAACCTTGCCTCCCCTTCATCCATGCCTGGGACATCGATACAGCACTCCATAATACTAGCTGAGCTGGAATCCAAATATCAGGTCCAATCCATTTGGAAATCAATTGAGAAGGCAATTCAGCTGCCAAGAAGCTGACAAGGTTGACGGTCTTTCCTAGATTATAATCATTGGTAGTGAGGTTCAAATCATCAAGCATATTATCAGATAAAGCTTGTTGGATATTGTATCTATCAATATCCAATGCCATGAACATCGCAAATGCCCAAAACGTAACATACCAGTCAATTTTCCAACCAACTCTACGTTCTTCTTCTTCGGTCCATGTAAATTCTGGATCGAAGTAGTCTTTACATTCGTAGTTGGTATTTTCATACACTTCCCGATAATGTGCTGCAACCACAGGATCTTGGAATATATGATCTAACTTTTTCTCTCCAGAACTAAGCGATTCGAGTTCGGTAAGGTTGACTCTGGTATTTGCATTTTTTTCGTTCTCAATTGAGGTAGAACTAGAATCAATATCTGGTGTCGAAATTTTTCGTTTAAAGATATTTGCGAAAGCCATAGTTAAGTGTCAAACTTTGATTTAGCTGCGAAACTCTTAAAATTAAAAGCCTCCTTTTTTTAAGAAACAGACTAAGCCTCAAGCGTAATTTATGAAGAGATACATTCCTTTCTGAAGATAAATGATTTTTTCCTCTTCTTATAGGAGCCCATCCATAGAATTTTTTTTGATAAGCTATTTGGAAACAGTTTGGTATTACAGCCACAAGATTGCACAATCGCGCGATCACTTTTAACCACAATTTCCGCTATCTAGCTTGGCTCTGGCGGCTATTTCCACCCTACATTGTTCCAAGTGGTAGATTTTGGCAGATATTTTTACAATTGGTGCTTTATATCTACATAAATACTATATTGCATTTCTATTTGGGTTAGATGATTTTATGAAAACAGGTTACAATTTAGTCTTAGATTTTATTATCACTTGATGGTGAACAGTGACTAACAAATTAAATTAAGGTTTTACACATTTTTTTCGTTGGCCATCACATCAGTTTCGCCATTTACTCCCTACGTCTACTTCTTTCAGATGCAGAAATTTTCTTGGCAAATAGTAACCCTGCATTGCATTGCAAAATGATAGATATTCTTTCGTGATATTAGCTAATCGATAGCGCCCTTCCACACTTCTACTTTTACATAATCACATAGTCGACCTATCAGAATATTAAGAAATGATGCAGATCAAGGTATTTCTCTTATTGGTAAACATGTTCGTCTTAAGATTTAATAGTTGCTAATTTTAGGAATATATAGAAAAATGTGCCTAAGTAAAGATTTTAACTCTCTCTATTGTGAGAAATTACAAGAATGATCCCATTAAACAGATTTTATATCAAGGGTAGGTCCAGGAAGATTAACAGTGCTAAACCCCATGCAAAAAAAAAATAGAAAGGAAGATTCTTCCCGGAATTATACTACACTTGGTGTGATCTATTTATATTTGTAATTTCTCCAATGTTTTAAGTATGTATTCCTTCAAATAATATTTCAGGTAAATCAAGTTGGATGACGCCTTTTTTAGTGGTTTTCTCTTCTATTGTAGCTCTAGGAATAAGCACAGGACTCCAAGCAATACTCACGAAATCTTGCATATAAAACGAATTTGCAACCAGTTATAGCAACCATATCGTAGATCTGGGACCCCATATATCGATGAAAAAGGGTTGCAAAATGCAAGATGAAGGCATACTTCTCAATGGGGTCCATCACGATTCCGTTTTTGCTAGAAAGGGGTGTTTTTTTTCACTATAGAGGAAATCATATTTAATAAACAATATAATGGAGATAAAACCCTGACTTTCCAGTAAAATACGGAGTCGTAAAAGAGTGGAACGAAACAAGTAGCTGAAGGTCACTTAAATTGAAAATTATTAAAACTTAGCTGCCAATACACTGACACCCAAAACGAAAACCAACATCATGTTAGAGTACTTGAGAGATGTAGGTACTTCAGCTGGCCAACCACTGTACAAAGCATAAGTAGATGTAACCGAACCGAGTTTACCTAAACTACATTCTAATGCCACACACACCGCAACACCTACGTCCCCATATCTTAGTTTCAACATCTCGCTGCTCAAGATATTCAAATAGGAACAGTTGATCCTAATCCAAACCCAGCAATACATGCCCACAATATTTGTTCCAAGAACACTTCAAAAATGTGGTGACAATCATACGACACTCGGTTGCATACTGTTTTTTATTTTAAACCTTGCAGAAATCAATTACTATATACAACTATTTAAGCCCTAGACAAAACGTCACATTCCAAGTACCTTTTTTTTCAGATATACAAACTTTAACCTAACAATTGGTTAAATCTTCTCATGACAAGTAGCTCTAAACCACGATACCTATCCCTTTACTTCGCGGATGTCCATCTTTCCGGCGGACGGGAAAGATAGTCGATGTTGAAACAAATTGCGTATAGCCACGAGGTATCTATTGATTTGGGAAAGGTCAGTAAATGATGCTCCTGTATTTGTAACTAATTCTCTAAGCTGCAATCTCTGTGTTTGTCCAAGAATCAGACAGATTTGGACACTGACTTTACAGTATATGTAGACATGGTCTCTCAAGTTATTAAGAGCTGCTTCAAGACAAATGGACGGATAGTCGATTAGCTGATTTGAGTCGCATGAAGCCGATTTGAGTAGTATATTTGATTGAATCAGTCAGTCTTTTAAAATTAAAAAAAAAAAAAATATCGATCATCATAGATGTCTAACTATGTAAATATCAAAAACGTATATAAAAACACATTCAGGGACCTTGTCACTCGCTTCGTCCATCATAGGGGGGTTTTTTTTTTCTTCATTCGATGTTTATTATCCTATAATTTGTCTATATAATCGTTGGTTATATTGGCTATATAACCTCCTTCTGTATATTCATTTCATAGTTGCCATATAATAAACGTTATTAAGTGAGAGGAAAAAGTGTTGACTTTGAAAACCTCTCACAATTTATTGTTCATATTATTTTATCTAATTGTTGATTTAAAGAACGTGACCCAAGCAGTGATATCGCGAGACGTTAAGGGGGTCCTTAACGCTGTTGAGGTCTGTCGTCGTTCCCGAAAGGGCCCTAAAATGTTTTGTAAAAATCTATATGTGAAAGAGTATAAAGAACCAGTGAAAAACACCTTCAACAAATAAGGGCGTGTGGTCTAGTGGTATGATTCTCGCTTTGGGTTACAGCTGGTTTCCAGTTGATTTCGTCAAATATGCGAGAGGCCCTGGGTTCAATTCCCAGCTCGCCCCTTTATTTTTTTTAATTTCACAAAGTCAATAAAACACAAATAACAATAAAGTGATATTGCAGATCAAGCAATTCTTTATAGCCTCACAATGGTTAAAAATATGGATGAAGAGAAACATATTGGATTGTCAGATTGGGGAGTTAGCGAAGACATTTCAAAGGAGAAGTTTGAAATTATAGATATATATGATATAATTCTACTTTTTCTTTCAGCTGCTGTTCTTATCTTAGTATTATACAGCATGGTTTTCCCCGATAGGTAAGTGATAGAGTAGTATTTCAACTTCTTTTCTTTCATCTAACATTAGGTATGGTACCATATTGAAGAATTTTCTGGAATTGAATCGGGAAGAACAAGTAAGATTGGTTGTGTGCCTTTCTAAATGTATTATGATCCCCGCGGAAACGAATATGATAGTCGAATAAATCTCGAAACACATTCAGTGCATAAAATCCATGTTGTGTCACGAATTCTGGAATGTAATAACTTAGGGAATTGATACATGATACAGAGAGGAATCCATTCTCTCAAATTTTCTATCTCGATAAATTGCTGGACTTTACCCCAGTACCCGAGAAAAATTGGATACACCCTATGCTTATCTAATCTCAATCAGTATTAATCATTAAATCATTGATCTGACGCAGTTATAATAATTTGTCCCATTTCCATAGCCGATCCATGGACACGTTTAAGCAGTTATCAATACATTCATTGTCTTTAAACTTCCATATCTGCAACAGAAAAGGGAATTACGTAAACATATTCATTTACATCATTTGGTCGGTCAAAAGGGGGAACGATATTGGTCACGTACAACGGTTGAAAATTAGATTGGCTTTTAGCGAGATTTAAACTTTTGCATACATGAAAAAAGAGGCTTCGGATGTAGCACTGTCAAGTTGTTCACGAAAGTAATATTCCATACGTCGGTCCTCTTAGTCAATTGGGATGTGACCAACATATATAGCGTTAAAATTTTATATGTCGAAGGTCAACTATATGATGCTAGATTTAAATAAACGTTAACTATCATAAAAGGTACAATAATTCAAATTGAGAAGTAATTGGTCATGTGCCGGTAAAAAGCGGTAAACTGCGGAAAAGCTGTGAGTTGCCGTTAGAGATCAAACTTTTCTGGAAATATTGTTATCTGGAGTCATGAAAGTGACCTGCGTATCAGTTGCAGGATGTGGCTGGGAAAAAATAAAATACGGGAACCCGAAAAGATGACTCCTCAAAATGAAAATTGCAACCACATAAACGTGGTAGCTTACCATGGTTACAAGTATATTATATAATGCATACCCTCCATGACTCCTTTATTTGAAGACAAATTATCAAGCTTTTGAAGTAAAAAAAATTTCTTTCGAATGACGCAGACAAAATTTCAAACATATAAAGAAATTTTACAACAAGCTAACCCAAAACTTTTTGCCTCAGAAAAATACCAAGCTACTGGTGGGAGTGCCGAGCACTTTCCCACCATGGCCGAAGTACTTGCTCATCTTAAGCTATTAAAGGCATTCCAAGTGTTTAAGATAAAAGTTGTGGGTAACCCTGTTGATCTTAATCCCGACGGATCTTTTTCTGAATTCACGGCTACACAAGTTAAATACTGGCAAACATATCTCACCAATGCTTCAAGAAGATTCATAATTTACATGTCTGCTTTGAAGTACAAATTTAAACAAACTGACTCTTTTGGAAACGAGGAACATCAATTGAATATCTTCAAGGAGGGTCCCAAAGCTCGCGCGGTTGGGAATTACCTACGAAAGTACATTCCACCTTTGGATGTGCTTATGATTTGGCACTCATTCACTCTAAACCCCAAATCCTTTTATGACAATGGGGTTAGAAACAACTTTTTGGAATTCACTTTCTGTCCCTTCCCGTTGTACAAAACATCTTTAGTAATTGATGGGGATACATTTGCATTCAAGGCACTGGTTGCAAATTCGAATGCGTTTGAAGAACTCACTCGCAATTTTGGTATCATGCTTAAATATGAATATAACTTTGATATGAGAATGCTCTTCAGCATATTTTGTCCTGTTTGTGGTAACATATTGGTAACATCTGTACCTCTTACAAATAACAAAGCCCAAGGATTCTCTGATCCCGACTTTGCCATGGAGCCTAATGGAAGATGCAATTGCCACACCGAATCACTGCAACCAATTACTCACGCCACCCTTAGAAAAAGGCAGCTTGAAGCTGACATCTTGAGAACAGGGCGTCCTTTACCCAATGTGACCAAGTTTTGCTCAAATCTACTCTCAATCAAGAACGATCGCAACATGGCCCACGGAATTGATCAAAGCATGAAGAAGACAGGTCTATTATACAGCATGTTTTTGATGAATTCCCCTGATATCAAATCATTTAGTAACTTGCTCCATGGCTGGTCACGGAATGTAAGCATTGAAGCAAAGTCACCAACAGCGCCTACAAGGATATTTCGCTTATATGATTGTATGAATCTTATTCATTTGACTATTCCACAAACGACTCGCGAGGTTGTGGAGATCAGTGAAGACCTTGTGGCTTGCACAGTAAGACAAGAAAGATTTGTAACGAAAATGAATTCATTTAATTGGCTCTCTTCTGAGATATTTCTTCAACAGAGTGTAAGTGAAAGTCTCAAGCGGTATGATAGATTTTTTACTCTAATGAGTGAAAATTTAGGAAAAGCTATGCTTGTACCTACATTGGACATCGATTTAGTTTGGCATACTCACCAGCTCAGCCCTGTATACTACCTACATTATTCACGGGTTCGGACGCCAATGATTGTCATTGACCACGATGATAAAGTCAATGAACTGAAGATTAGCGAGTGCTTCGAAAATACTAGCCGCATATATAAGACTAGGTACAATGAAGAGTATCTGGTTTGTTTCTGTTGGTATTGCTCAGTTGCTCGCAAGAACTCGATGCCAATTGTTAGAAGTTTGTTTACCAATGGTGCACTTCAACCAATTAGCGCACTTTCAAGTTTAAAAGATGCGAGAACTAACACCAACCCATCGCACATTCTGGCCCACAACGCAGTGAAAGTGATTCGTAACTCCAGAAGGACAAGCACCAAAACTGGCAAGCCTTACAATATTCGCGAGAGGAGAGGGTATCCATGGAATAACAGTAATGCAGAAACAGTAGCAGTACAGGCTCACGGAGATCTATTTTCACTTCATCCGATAATCGAGGAAGAATATCTTTGTCCGGGAGTGTCAAATACCCAACCCACATTTTTATGCAAAACAGGAAGTGACTGTTTTGCAGATTGATTGATTTACTTCTACATGGAGGTCTGGTACCCCCTACATACAATTACATTTAAATAAACTATATGCCTTTCAAAAATGAATCATGTAATATTCTGCAACCTCAATCTTTTTTTTTTTTTTCGGTATTTCTTTGACTCATGACATCATAAACGGAACACAACAAATTAGTAAAGTGCGATCATATTTTCTCTATCAACTGCCATACAGGGAAATCTGCAATTAAGGTATCGAAACAGAAATTAATATTTCTTTCGTTAAAAAATGAACATGGTTTCGGAATTCGCCGCAACTGCCATATTTCTTATCGGCTTGTGACTATTCCAATGGTTTCTGAATGATATGAATGACCCCAAGATATATCTAATCAACTTGATATCCAATCCAATTCCTTGAAGTGCCAGTTGCATGGCACTGTCGTATTTCTATATTTGGCCCTTATCAATACCCCACGAAAGGGACGTTGTCTATTATCTTCAACAAGTACAGTTAACGGGGTTAACAGTATATTCCAAGAAAAGGGAATAAAGATGGGATATTCGATTGTTGCAGTTGAAATTCGTTCCATTCTCGAAGATATAAGATCATGGATTTTGGGCTCAAAGAATAAACTAAAGTAAAATGTATATGCCATTGGTTTGGAATACATAAATGGCTTATTTTCCCAATTTCCTAATAAGTTCTGTTGGTTAGAGCTGTTTACTTTTATTATTCCCCAAATCCATTTTGACTAGTTATGTCTCCCCTATATATATATGGATGATCTATACCTTGCCTTGAATCCTAAAATGTTATATGATAGTGTGACATATCATTTTAACTAAAGAATCTTGATTTATTGAGACACTGAGGTTCGATATTTGCATGTCTGAGAGTTGACTTATCTTCTCTGGCATTATATATGCTTTTATACTCATTCATTGTGTTTACGATTGATATCATCTGTATTTTTAGGATCGTATCATTTGACACAATATATGCATCAGTATTACACCCGATGAATATTACAGCTGACTCCAAAAAACAATAGTCCAATACAATATATTCATAATAGTTATATCGGGGAAAATTATTGTTCACACCCCATGCATATCACTGTGCGCACATCATGCGGCTGTGCATATGATTTGGAGAACAGGATTGGGGTGACATTAGATCTCACATGTTACTATCATTGCAATACCCAGAGGTTTACAAATAAGATGTTACCAAAACTTTTTTTGTCATATATTATCTAGTAGAAGTTGATCTATAACTTTATGATTACAGTGAACCCACTCCTATTCCCACATCACAGATTCTTATATAGTAAAATCGTAGCTAGTTTCATCTTCAGAATCAAATGAAATTAATGCAAGTTTAGTATGGAAAATAGAGTTCAAATTAAGCTTTTAGATTAAATTTTGAGATAACATCTCGATGATCATCTAATGAATATGATAACTATGTATCTATCTTCTTCTGAGTATATTGTTTGAATTTGCAAGGATATATATTTAAAGAAACGTCACGCCGTCTTAAATTTTAGTTCCAGCGACGCCCTTAAGGATTAACTACGTTAAATAAACTAGAATAAAGAGATGGGATATAAATATATAAAATCATGTATATATGATTCCTACTTTGAGAATGGGCTGTCAAATATCATGCTGTCATTATTATTAGTAAGAGAATACAGATGTGGGGTTGATGGATGGTGTGCATATTAAAGAAATGATTCGTAACACTGGGCAAAAGGTTAATAGAAAAAGACGAAGACCAAAATTTTGACCGCCGTACATTTGTCTCCAGACACAACGTCCCCCACGCGATACAATGCTACTCTTATATTTTTAAGAAAAAAAAATGGGTGTTTGAAGAGGGTTAAACATTAAGTTCATCCCCTCGTAAGCATGAACTAACACAAACAATTACCAAGATCTTTGTAATCTTATAATGCTTGTAAGAACAGTGTATTTTGCTACCCTTCAACCCCCACAAAACTAGATGCTTACACTTTTTCCCTGTTTTCTATTTTCGTTGATCAGAGCACTAAATAGCTTAGCGTGGGGGATATCCCCCACGTATATGTGGGGATTGAAATCTCTATGAGACAAACTTTTGTTTCGCGGCCCGTTTTCTTATTTTTCTTTGTAAAATTCAAGATATATGGGATGATTTTATCATGGAAACTATCCTTGAAAAACATCCCCCACGCGTGGGGGATTGATATACCCAAAAAAAAAACATCAGGGAAAAACGATTCATAATTTATTTTACTAGACTGTCGTACATGAGGCTCAGCTTAAGTATGCACTTCATAGTACGAAATATGTGGGGTACATTGTGATATTGGAGAAAATATATATATATAGCAGCAGATAGATCCACTCTGAGACTAATTCTCTATATCATTAGATATAAACCATCGAAGCTTGTACTAACAAAAGCTGGTGAAAATATTTAACAACTTCAGAGGTTTGCAAGTACCGAAAGGAATATTGCTATTTTCCGGTTTCACTAGAATATTACAATGAAAGTCGAATACGCCAGTTCGACGAACTCGTTTCAAAAGAATGATTCAATGTCTTCAGAGAGTCTGAGCCAACCTATTCAGAAGAAGAACAAGAAGACATTTTCTCAAGAGTTTATGGATGTCATTACCTTGAAGAAGATGTTCGAGAAGATCGAAGAAAGACCAACGCCACCGGAAGTCTACAATATTCGTATCTACTTAACTGCAATTATGGCTTCTGCTGCTGCGATCATTATTGGATACGATGGTGGATTCATCGGGGGAACTATGGCTCTTCCATCTTTCCTAGAAGAATTTGGTTTGGACGTAATGACCGAAAGTGACAGAAACTATGTCATTTCGAACATTATATCCGTTTTCCATGTAGGTTGCTTTTTCGGATCCTTGATCTCGTATCCGTTCAGTTACTACTTTGGTAGAAGAATGTCCCTTATTATTGCTGCTGTCACTATAACATTTGGTTCTGGAATCATGTTGGCATCTACTGCAACTAGAAATTTAGGACCTATTTATGCGGGACGAGTGCTTGCTGGGCTTGCAGTTGGGTTTTCGACAAATTTAACTCCAGTTTATCTCAGTGAAATTTCTCCACCAGCCATTAGAGGTAGAATTATCGCCATGTACGAAATTGGATGGAGAGTAGGTGACCTTATTGGATTCTGGATCAACTATGGTATATCTGAACATATCCCTCATTCTAATAAACAATGGATTATTCCATTTGCAGTTCAATTAATCCCATCTGCATTGTTTTTGGCTGGAAGTGTCTTTATGAAAGAATCACCAAGATGGCTTTTGAGTACGGGGAAATACGATCGTGCTATCGATAATTTGAAATGGTTTAGACAATTGGAAGAAGACCATGAATACTTAATCTACGAAGTCAATCAAGTCAAGGAATCCCTTGATAAGCAACAACGTGAAGTCGGCTTAGGTGTCTGGGATCCAGCAAAGCAAGTGTTCTTCCGTGACAGAAAATTATTATTTAGATTGGGAATTACTTCAGGGTTGTTTGTTTTACAAAACTTTATGGGTATTCAATCTATCAACTATTATTCTCCTATAATCTTTAAAAATTTGGGTGTCAAGGGTACCAATGCTACTCTTTTCTCAACTGGTATGTTTGGTGTTGTGAAATTTGTTGCATCATTCTGTTACATAATGTTTGTTGTGGATACATTTGGTAGAAGAGGTGCGTTTATGGTTACATCTAGTTTATGTTCTCTTTGTTTCTGGTATATTGGTGCCTATTTGAAATTGAATGATCCTACTCAACCAGGAGTTAGCGGAGGTCCTGGTGGTACCGCTGCAATTGCCATGATGTACATCTGGATTGCTTCCTTCATTTTAGCATGGTCAGCTGGTCCCTATGTTATTGGAAGTGAAGTCTTTGATCAAAATATCAGATCTTTCGTACAAGCAATTAATGCGGCTGCATCATGGGCTCCTATTTTTGTTATGTCCAGATGGACCACCAACATGATTGCTGCTATGCATTATGGGATTTACTTCTTCTTTGCAAGCGTTTGTTTACTCACAGTTCCATTCGTATTTTACCTTGTTCCGGAAACAAAAGGTATTGCATTGGAAGACATGGATAAACTTTTTGATAGAAATTTGCCAGCCTGGAGAGCGCACGAAGTTGTTTTGGGCAATGCAAGAAATGCAAGTGAGAGACAAATTCATGAAAATAAGGGTTTGTTTAAGATGGATACCAACAAGAGTAATGAAATTCAAAATATCGAAGATATTCAACTATTGACAACAGACAAGAAAGATGAAATAGTTGCTTAATATTTTTACTTGGTTAATAAAAATTTTTGGGATATGCTTGTATAATTTTTATAATAAATGATTTATGAAACTAATTAAATGCTTTTTGAAAAGTATTATCCTCAGATAGTCGCTACAAACTTTACTTGGCGATGACACTCTGATATTTGGATCAGGATCTTTGTATCTTTTTTTGCAAAAAAAACCTTGGAGGGAATCAATTATTATAACAACTATATAATTCCTAGATAAAAACCCCGTGTTCCCTTCATTTTTATGCAAGGACAATTAAGACACAGAATGAATTTAATAAATTTGCAGCCGCAATTATAGTGAATATGATATTTTAATTTTTAAGAACCTACAAACCAAAGTAGTAACTTAAGTTAAGAAACCCATGGCATTTATATGGGTGGGTAGATTCATCTACAGTAAGCTTCGCCGGTAAACATTCGTCAAAATATTAATCAAATTAGTTTATATGGTTACGAGCCCTGAACAACTAAAACGACATTAGAGTATCTAAAAGTTAAGAAAATAAAAAAATATAATTGGCAGCCTGTCCGAGTGGTTAAGGAGAAAGATTAGAAATCTTTTGGGCTTTGCCCGCGCAGGTTCGAATCCTGCGGCTGTCGTTATTTTTTTATTCCAATGGGTATTATACGGCTCGTACACGATTATACGACAGAACTCAGATAAACTCGACTGACATAATTTTTTTTAATGTATACTTACTTCCACTCATACCAACCGAAGATTAGATGTCCGAATCCAAAGTAGCCATAATTACCGGCACATCGTCGAACTTGGGTATTAATATTGCATACCGTGTTCTTCAGGAAACTCCGAAATCAACCAACCTTACATTTATTGTAACTTCAAGAACACTTCCAAAGGCCCAACAGGTTATAAAAGATATCAATGATTATGTATACAAGAATATTCCAGATAGAACTGGTCAATTAGAATTTGACTATCTTCTAGTTGACTTCACAGACATGGTGTCAATTTTGTCAGCGTACTATGATATCAACAAGAAATTCAAGAAGGTGGATTATTTCTTCGTCAATGCCGCTCAAGGAGTTTACTCTGGCATTGATTGGGTTGGCGCCACAAAGGAGATTCTTAAAAATCCTATTGAAGGTGTAACCAATCCCACCTATAAGACTCAACGTGTAGGAGTGAAGTCTCGGGATGGGTTAGGCTTAGTTTTTCAAGCAAATGTGTTTGGTCCATACTATTTAATCCACAAGATCAAGCACTTATTGAGTAACGGTGGTACGATTATTTGGATTTCCTCATTGATGTCACAACCTAAATATTTGTCGTTTAATGACTTGCAATTGTTAAAGTCCGATGCATCTTACGAGGGTTCTAAACGTTTGGTCGATTTAATGCATTTAGGGTCATTCCGCCATCTTAGTCAACATGGAATTCGCCAGTACGTGACACACCCAGGTATCTTTACAAGTTTCTCATTCTATCAATACTTGAATGTTTTCACTTACTACTCCATGCTCATGCTTTTCTACTTGGCGCGTTTCTTTGGCTCCCCATGGCATAATATCACCGGTTATGCTGCAGCCAATGCCCCTGTACACTGTGCATTTCATAGCGAAAATGAAGATCAGCAGCTTAAGTTCGGGTCTGCAACAACAAGAACCGGGGAAGAGTACCTCGTACGGTCAGAGATTGATGGCACTGGTGCCGAAGATGTTGTGTCCTATTTGGAAGAATTAGCAGCCGAATGGGACGTCAAATTGAAGGACCAGATCGTTGAAAGTAGACAACCATAGATTTATGCCTTAATAAGAGCTTTAGAATTTACTATACACTATTTAGTTTAGAGCCAGTAATGGCTAATCTATAATCTATGTAGTAAGCACTGACATCCACATCCACTAGGACATTCGTCACTATTTTCTACACCGTCATTTGTCCACCACTCAACTGCACAATGCGAATGTAAAACATGCTCACAATTAGTACAGACAACTAACCTTTTGGTAACTAACAAGCCGCACAAATTACAGAATTTTAACCCTCCTGTCTTATTTGGTGAGTTCCACGCTTGCGGCAGAATTAGTGCTCTAGGAGGGGTTATTGGGGCAATTAGACGAACGTCATTCCCAAGTCTTGATCTATTTCTCAGACCAAGCGCGCATTGATGTACGTCAAAGGGTGATTCGTATCCATCGAAATGATGACTGATTTCTGTATCTGGGTAGTTGAATTTGAGAATTTTGATTCTACTGATGGGTAAACCCCATACATATAACATGTCCGCATATTGATCTCGATACAGCTTTACTTTTTGTTCAAATTGGGCACCAAGTAGCGACTGGGAATAAACATCATCATACAAGTCTAGACTTGCTGTATTCATCATTTCAATGGTTACAATAGGCGGACCTCTTTTGTTTGTACCCAAGTCAGTAGAATTAATGCCTTTTGTCAGTGTTAGTTGTCTTTTCGTCAGTTCAATACCACGTTGGTTTAAAACTGGTCTTCTTGAATCCTGGAATGTACCTCGTCTTATAAACTTGCTCTTCGGTTGAGTTTGCATTCCTGAACTAACTGGGAATTGGTCACCTTCAAATGGTAAAAGATCCAGCGAGCCAAATTTTGTCGCATGCACTGATTGGATTCCTTGAATACTTTTCCTAAGCTGCAAATTCTTTTCTGGCGATAAATCCTTCACACTGCCGTCAAATGACGACGCGATAGACCACGCATAACCTGGTACTTGTGCCAGAGGAGAAGAGACCCTAAAACGATTATTAAAGTCATTAGTGTTACGGTCTGTGAATGTTCCAGGAAAACTATCATGGAAAGATGCACTCTGTTCGTCTGAGTTTGGACGACTAAATTGGGATTGACCAGTATTGGAAATACTGTTGAAATGTCTCAATCCTACTTCAGTTGGTGGTGGTGGCATAGCTCCATAGGGTGTGTGAATTGGAACGCTAACGGTACCATCTGTATACTTTTTGATATTGTTCGCATTTTCAAACAAAATACATGAGAGCATGGCCAACATTTGAATGTTCTTTTGACGCTCAAAATACTCAAAAATACTACGAACTAACCATGCATGCCCAAAAGGATGAGAACCCCAATAAAACCTATAATTCTTATCAATAAAGGATTGTTTGGCAATTTCAGAATTGAGGAAAAGTTGATTCATCAAGCCAGAACTTTGATTCTGTGCCGTCATCAAGTTAGAACCTTCAGGGGCGTAGTATACTGGATTAATATCATTGACCTCAACATCCTTAACTAACACCATTTCTAAAATACGCCATACATCACTAATGTCTTTCAAACCGTATTTTCTAGCAATCTCGCCATTATAGCGAGCCAATTTTTCTGGAGAATCCCCTAACACACGATACTCGCATGCTAGTTCGTATTTATCGGGGATCAAATGCCTCATATCGAAGATTCCCACAATATTCTTATTAGATTGTTTATTCTTCCGTTTGCGGCCCTTTTTCAGTGATTTCTCATTCAAAGTTTCATGCATTGATGACTTATTATGCGAAGTACCTCCATTACTATGAAATCTGTTAAGGGATCCTCTATTTGAAATACCGCGCATACCACTCGTACCTCTAGAAATATAGCGATTTCCTAAGCCAACTGAAGTCTTGAAAAGTCCGGGGATTCGTGATCTTGATGGTATGTCATCTTCTAATATGTCATCCCAGTCATTTGTGAAACTATCATCGGAAGACGATGATTCAGATGATGAACCTGAGTTTGAGCCGCAGTCAGAGGAATAGTCACCATCCTCATCTTCATCAAGCGAACTGACACTATCAACATCCAGACCAACAGAATCAATCGAAAGATTCTTACTATTATGATGGTTATGATGATGATGGTGATTATGATGTTGATTATGACTTTCATGTTCTTGTCCCAAACTAAACCCTCCATCTGTAAACTTGAAAATGTTGAACTTTTGCAACGCTTTACTTTCTTCTTCATCTTCATCCTTCTTGGGGATAAAAAAGCAAACCAATTGGCCGGTGTGGGACCACACGGCACCACACCCTTTGGGAACAGGGGTTGAATCAATCATATTTTTAGACAATCCATTAGATTCAATTAGTACATTCTCATTGAGATTCAGGTTTGATGGGTTCGTCATTGAGTACCCCTTTTTAAGAGAATCTATACTATTCTTCATTTCGTCGTCTTGAATTGCAGGGATGAGATCAAAGCCATCATCAAAGTCTTCATCATTATCCGAAACAATGGGCAGCAGATGAATACCTGGTTGTTGATTAATTAAATCATCCGCCCAACCTTCTGATCCAACCTCCTGGATGAATTCACCATCGTCGAAATCATCGTCCTCTTGAGTAGTGTCTTCCATTATTAATGATTCAGTCAAGTCAATCTTGTCACCCATTAAGTATCTCAAGCACGGTTCAAGACAAAAACGTTGATGCTTGTTGGCGTAAAAATGTGCAATGTTATTAAGTGTATCAATCATATCTTGTTTGATCAGAGATGTAAGTTCATGAGTCTCTTCAATATTGAACTTGATGAGATTCTGTTTTTGAAGCTTTAGAAGTTGCTTAGCAGAAGTTGTGGAACTATCAGGAAGTTCTTCCAAATGAGGGTATACTTTAGGGAATTTTACTTCCATTCTAATAAATGTAAGTATTTGTTCAGTTGATTCATCGATTTGAGGAGTTCCAGGTGCATTGTTTGAAGTATTCTTTGTCGAACCATTTGTATCCAGTTCTAAAACGCCACCAATACTACTTTTATCATCAATATCACTTTGATTACTCAAAATCTCCACTTTCAACAGTCTCTCTTCTAAAGTATTCTCATTTTCTCCTCCGGCCTGATCCAAATTATCATCTACTTCCTGTATAATACTTGTTGTAGTGCTATTAGCAGGATACGTTGCTTTTCCCAGATTTGCCCCTAACCCTGAAGTATTAGTTGCATTTCCAGTTATTGGTCCTCTCAAACTAATAATCAATTCACCCGTGGATACAGAAATCTTTTCAAACCTAATCTTTGGGAACTTATGACCCACAATGCTCACCTCCTCTCCAAGATTAGAAGGTCCGCTTTCTTCATCTAAGGAAGTGCTTTCTGCATTAGAATGTGCAGCTGTAGGTGTAGATCTCCCCATCCTAACCCCAGATATCCAATCTAAGTGATTGAGTTGACTATAACCGTGATGTTTATTCCGTTTCACTATTTGATACATTGTCAAAGAAGAAAGTGGATCTTTTGTATCTCCTTTGGTGATATCATCAATAGTTACCGCTGGTTCTGTACAAAATGTATCGTAGTTGTAAGTGATTGAATTAGTAGACTCCATAGATGGTATAGATGTAGGTTGGGTAGGGTTCGTGGTTTTAGAAGAATCGACAACTGTAGCCTCTGTAGTTACTGTGGCTGAAGATATGACAGATTCCGAATCCAGCTCGGAGAATATGTCAATGATAGGTTGATGACTCGGATTGTAATTAACAGCCGAGTACAAATTATCATCATGGGGCCATAGTTTGAGATCATAATCTTGTGAAGACCAAGTCACAAGTTGAAAATCTTTATTATTCTTGGTGTCAAATCCTTTGTACTGCTCATGTCTGGTTCTCCAAAGGAAATCCTTCATGGAGCCTTCATGGCCCGAAAATTTATATGCCGCATCTCCCAGAAATTCTACAGTTTTACCCGTTTTTATTGCCTCTGTGTAAGCAGCCTCATAGTTCACGACATGTATAGCATCCGAGCCACCTTGTAAAGGCATAATACCACATGCATTGTCAGTTCCGAATGGTATCAGTCGAGCTCTAGCTACCGGAAACTCTGTGTGAATAACTACCGTGGGAGCTATTTTACTATCATTAATTCCATTGCTATTATTGTCTCTAGTATCGCTTTGGAAAAAATTATATGATTCGGCGAATTTAATTGCACTATCACTTTTTAAATCCCATAATTTAACAGTTTGATCATTGGAACAAGTCAATATCCCCAGTGAGCCACTACTAAAATCCAAGCCATTAATCTTGCCTCTATGGGCATTACTGACCTTAACCACAGGGAGAGCACCTTTTCTAGTATCCCAGAGATAAAAAGTATTGTCGTGAGCCGAAGCAATTTCATATGGATTTTCATGATTCCACTTCACTTGAGTGGCCCCAGCTCTCCATTCTGCCCATTGAGCAACAGGAAGTCGAGGACATCTCATATCCCAGCTCAAAATAAACGTGTCAATAGAGCAAGTAGCCAAAATTTCTGGATCAGATGGATGGAAATTTATATCAGTAATTGCACGAGTATGTCTATGTAAAACATTCAGAATAGCATTATTGGAAGGTCGCGAGAGATCCCATAGCAATGCCTTTTGGTTTGATGTGGAAATACACCATGACGGCTTAGCATTGTGATGTGGGGACCATTGAACATCGGCAACTTCCCATGATGTAATATGGTGAAGCCAACGAGGGGTGGTGAAAGGGTCATCCAAGTCAATGATAAAGAGACCTCTACGACCAGCTAAGACTGCATCTCTTCCATTGGGAGAAAGTGACATTGCCCCTATAGCACCATCTACTCTCAACAGGAGAGCACTACCAAAGGTAACCGATTCATTCGGATTTACCAATGGCATTATGTTTTGTATGTGATGTAGAATAAGTTATTGAAAGAATAGGTATCCATATTCCCCAATATGTAAATTTTGATAAACCTATTTGTATGGTCTGCATATAGACAATACTGATTAGAGATGTAACTTCCTATAAGAAGTTAAGAAGCAGTTATCTAGATACCTACCAAATGATTGGAATATCTTGTATATACCATTCTGTTTTGTGAAAAGAACAGGCTTGAGTTTTGGCTCAGATGGTAAAATTATCTATATTATCAGAATTCTTAAAGGATTCCTTCCTCCCTCTTCTTTATATATTCTTGTATATAAGAAAGGATATTCTTTTTTTTTTATTTTTACTTTTATTTTATTTGAATATCGATATTTGTAACATTTGATATAATCCAGAATAAACAATAAAGGGTAAAAGATATTAGAGAACATTTATCTATAATATTCAAGGATCTATAGACGTAATAAATTTCAAATTGGAAAGACCCAGGAGGTTCTTTAATTGCATAGTTACACATAAATAATAGGATTTAATATGTCTGAAGCTTCTGAATTGAATGCAAACACTTCCCATGACAACGTGGACATGGATGTTGACGTGGATGTAGATGATGAATTCAATGATAATGATGATCAAATCAATCAAAATAATAACCATGATATCCACAATAAAGGAGGAGTGGATCCAAATTACGTTGCAAGTGAAAACAAATCCAATAAACCACAAGAACATGCTTCATCTGCAAGTAAGACTGTTCCACCTCCGTCTGCATCAGCTAGTATCCCAGCAGGTATGCCAGAACTTCCAGAGCTCACAAGAAAAGACAAGACTCTAAATGAAGTGCTAGAATTGATGGATGATGATTTTGCTCCTATCATTCCTGACACAGTGACAGATTATTATTTGGCGAAAAATGGATTTTCAAGCACAGATGTCAAGATAAAAAGACTTTTGGCATTAGCAACTCAGAAATTTGTTCTGGATATAGCACAAGATGCGTATGAATACTCTCGAATCCGCAATGCATCGTCTGTATATAATTCTGCAAACCCACAAGTTAGAGCTAAGCAGTTGCTCCAGGGTCAACAATATGCTAATCAACAGCTGATGACCGGTTCTGGAGGACCTTCTGTAGAAGGCCAGGGTGATCAACCTGCTCAACAACACTCTACTAGTAATGCAGGTGGTCAACAAGGAAAGATTGTGTTATCAATGGATGACTTGAGTAGTGCTCTCAGTGAATATGGGGTCAATACTGCAAGACCAGATTTCTACAGGTAGAACATGCCCAAATATATATTTACGTATATGATATTGTTAAATTATATAACTACCGAGAAGGTATTGTAGTGGTGGAACAATTTGATATGGTAAAGCATGGAAGTAAAAGTGTACAAAACTCGGCTATTTTAGGAGAATATTGGCTTTGTTTGATAAGTCTTCCAGCTCGGAAACAATAATAGCAATTGCAACTTGAGTATTCTTTATGATATACTGTTTTATAAAGTTTGCAAGTGTATTCAAAATTTGATGCCAATTTTGATGTATCGTATATGGCATCAATCACGTTATTATGACATTTGATTTTACAATGCTCCATGTAAGAATGTACAGCAAGTTTATGCGTTTGCCAAACTAGGTCTATATCTACCAAGGGAACCAAAGAATAACATCTATAGTTGTCCGAGAGTATATGAAAAAATGCACCATATCGAGCAATGGATTTTGGGAGAAGTACATTCTCTAATTGTGGATTATAGAGCCATTTCAACAGAGAAATCTTTTCAATAAGTTCATTTCTAGTTTCAAAAATATTCCAACCTTCTGTAATTTGTATTGGATTAGACGCAGGTATTGTAGCGTTCAACATCAGAGTTGACGACGAAGTGTAGTACTTACCTAAACGATCTATAATCTTAAATGCAATATCTTTGTCATCCATGGATTCAAGATCTTCTTCAACAGAGTTGAAAAAAGTTTCAATTGTAGTGCTAGCCAATTTTAATTCTTGAATTCTATTGGGAGTGGCTAAAATCTCCTTAAGAGAGATATCAATCTCTTCCACGGTAGTATCGTAAGTTTCTGATTCAAATAAATGGCTTGATAAAGTTTGGTATAGAAATGGTAAGGGCTTTTCGCTACATAAATCCGCATATAGTTGACGTTTCGAAAGTTGTGATGAGCATAATTGTCCCTGGAATTTACATCGACAACTAGAAAGTTGTGAAAATCCTTCTATATCTTTCAAGTAAACTCCAGCAAGTTTCTGCAGACAAACTGGACAAATAATGGGGACAGTCTGTAACAGTGAAAGGTTCCAATGATATGGAATATTATTATCTGTGAATGCCATGAATTTTTGAACTGCTCGTTTGTCTGGACAATATTGAAACAGATTCATGGATAAACTACTAGCAACGGGGATAAGTGGAAAGGGTAAAAATGAAAACTCCAAGAACAGATTCCTAGCACCCATTTCATAATAAGAAGTTGTTTTAGAAGTTAGTACGTACCAAACATACAATATATCTATTGGGGGGAGTTGTGAAGAGATGCTGTGGCTGCAAAATTTGGCGAGTGGGAGATTCTTATAATTTGACAACTGAGCAGCTTCATTGGAATACCGTTGACGAGGCTTAAACTTGTTCTTTAAAAGAGTAACATACCAAATGAACCTTCGAAGAGAATTCCTTAAGAATATTGTCCAATCCTTTTTAGGTATCAGTTGGGTTAGGTTTTGGAAACATTTCATAAGTTTCAAGTGTGCTATAATGATATTGACATTTGGTACCAGCAGTCTATGTGGTCTTCCAGAGCTTTGTAACACAGTTCGTGGAATGGTACTATCTGAAGATGTAGAATTCGAACCAATACTACGTGGAGTAATGGTATGTTGGTATTGATGAATCACTGACATTCTTTACTTGGTCCAATTTATCATATGCAATAAACAGTATCTAGAATAGTTCTTTCTACTTAAATTTACTTAGTTCTACATTTTTATATATATTCAAATCATATCCCCACCCCCTTAAAAATATCATATGTGGGGCTTAAACGCTAAATTCAAAAATAAAAAAAGTCACCACTGCTTAACGGTAATTTCGCTTTGTGCGGCACTCGTATATCATATTTTGTTGACAGCATATCGATGCATGCAAAACCTTTTACTTTTACAACCAAAAAAATTAGAGGATTAAAGACTTATAGGGTGATTGACTACGGATGGAACCAATCTTTAATCAATAACCATTAATTATATACACTTATATACAATTTCTGTACATGTCTATCTATGTATTCTTTTTTAATAAAAGTAAGTGTTAGAATTTTCTGGATCTCGCTGCATAGCCCCAAGAAGTTTATTTTCACCACATTTATTTATTTTCTCTATCCCTTGAACATTGCACCATTTAATACATGTATATATAGTAATGTCCTTTTAGAGGCGTCTACATCATCATATATTTATCTACTCTTATACTATTACGTGGTCATTTTCTCTTTAGAGTCCTACTTCGAAGAATATATTTAACATGACGAAATATAAAATTTGAATTTGCCTTAATTCATAAAACGTTTGGTAAGATTCTTTTTTAGAAATTAATTCACTTGAATTTATCCAAATTGAAACAATTTCATTATAATGATTAAGGAAATTAGAAGAATTCAAATTCTCTTTATTGTCTGGTAAATCCAAATCAGGAATGATTAATGGATACTGCATGTTGTGTAATTCCTGTATTTAATAATATATTACGTGTTAAAATTTATTCTAGTAAAACAATACAAAAAACCTCAGTTTGACGTGTACATATATACATTTATACCAAGTTAGCAAACCAATTATAGTATGTTAGTTGTATTGTTATTCTTGATTGCTGGAGTGAGTGCGTTTTTTGGAGACTTCTTCAATCAACATCAAAACTTCCAGCAACAACAAGCACAACCACAAACTCCTGAACAAGTTGAACAATCTGTATTGAATAATGGATGTAAAGAATATTTATGTCCTGATACATTGTCTTGTGTCCGTACTCCAAATGATTGCCCTTGTAAATTCCCATCATCACAACTCAGATGTGTGTTGCCAGACGGGAGTTTTATGTGCATATCGAAGCCGGCTGGTGATATTTCAGAAAAGTACAATGACCCATCAAACAACTGGAAAATTGATGCTGGTGGAGACGTCCGTGATTGTGGGTGGGTCTCCAGAGCCTGGAATGGCTTAGTATAAAGTTAAAGAATGGACTGGCAAAATTACTTATAGATATGCCTACATATGTATATCAAGCTACTAGTATAACTAGTTTAAAATTAGCTTGAATACTTGATTTAAATCAAGCCATCACCTATTCCCAACAAGTTACCTTTTAATGATTATGGTTGGTAACTGGTTTAAATACCCTTGTTTGTTTAGATATGTGGTAAAGAAATGGAATACCTGTACATAACTTATCGAATGCTACGACGTGTACGCGCTCGTAACCTTCGTGACCCCACTATGTGGGGGGAATATTGTTACCTAAAATATATAGAAAGTAATACAAAGTATATATAACCAAGTTATATATGTAGCTAATTTTAAAGAATATTATTGCTATTTCCATCTTGTGTACTTTTTGGTTGAAGAGACCAGTTTATATAGCTAGAAAATTAAAAAAAAAATAGGAGTAGGTCTTTGATCAACTTGGAGTTAAAAAAAAGTCTGGAGAAAAGGAAAACCTTATCAGTATACAGCAACAGAAAATTAAAATTCCAGTACATTTATATAAGTGGGATCTATAATCATCAAAAAAATTTCCCATACTTTCAATAAATAATATCATCAAATTTCAAATAATCTTTATTGAAAGTTGGATAAAACTTTTATAGCTATACATTTTGCACAACCCCCCCTTAAAGCTATAAATAATGACGGTAGATAATGAACTACCTCCCAAAAGGAGTCGGCCGTATAACAAAAATTACTACAAGTGTTTTCAAAACTTCTACAATAGCCATGAATATTTGGGATTAAATCCTCATTATTATACCGACACCCGTTCTGCTGTCAATCATTGGCAACTAAGGGATATGCTTCAGGTGGATTCTCAAACTGGTCGGGTATTTTATTCTCGTGAGGATAAAATTAGATCTCTTGATTTGGAATCTAAAAAGCAACGAGTTTACTCTGAAGTTGCTCTTTCACTTGATTATTTCCCAAGATGCTTTCATCAAACTAGTGGCGGGTACATGGTTACGGGAGGTCTAATCACCTCAGCTTCAAAGGTATTATCGTCTAATATCCCCACTTTAACTTCTGCATCCAACTCATCACCGGCAACGACGGCCTCTTTATCATCTTCTTTTTCTAAAGAACAAACTTCTACCATCAAGAATTCAACGTCCAAGGGTTCCGTAGCTTCCGCTGCTAGCAACCCCGGTACTCATATTCGCAACCTTGTTACTTTTTCTTCGAGACCTTGCAAGGGAATTCTCACTTTCCAAAATCCGAACTTGGAAGGTTCTCAAACAGTTGCACTTGGTGATATGATAAATAATAGTGTTTCAATTTATCAGAACAATAATTCTTCATTCACTTCATATATTTGCAACAATGATTCCAATTTATATGTCGTTGACATTGGGAACTCAACGAAACTTTCCCTTGATAGGAAGATAAATTGTGAATTAAATACTGCTTTGAACAATGCAGTACGCTCTCCTATGTCAGAAAAGGTTTTAACGGTGACAGGTGACTCGTCATCTATTTTTTTGGTTGATCCAACAAGTAAAGATACGAGAATCTCAACCATTAAAACTCCTCATGATTCTGGATTTGGTGTGAGTTACCACCCAAATGGTACAACTTTTGCTGCAGCATTTCAGGACGGGTCCTGTGTGTTGTATGACATCCGTAACCTTCCCAAGAGACAATCTCTTATTCCTAATGAACCACTTTATACATTTAAATCTACCAGAGCAGGTCATCAATCCGGAGCATTCAGATGCTGTAAGTTTCTGCAAACTGGGGTCAATGATTTATTAGTTATATCTGAGCATGTGGGAAGAGTCCACCTCATTGATGTGAATAAGGCGATGTCAGAACCAACGCCACTGCAAGGTCATCAGGTTATGGTGTTTCCATATGCGTTGGATCAATATGGATCTTCTAAAAAGCAAAAGATTTTATCTGACGATGATTCCAAGTCAATTCATTCCAGAGTACCTATATACCAGTCAGATAACGACTCCGAGTCATTCCCTTCACCTTTAGTTTTCGATTATGATTATTTGGTGAATGTAAATCCTCAATTGTTCAAAGACTTTTCATATACGCCTAATATGGCATCTCCAGTTAATTCTCAATCTCGACCTTCACCATTATTCAACGTTCCAAATTGGAACTCAAACACATCTACTGACATTGATAGAGATTCATATGATTACTATGAGAGGTCAAGAACTGGTTTTATTTCCTCTGTAGGGGGATCTTATGCAGACAGTATCTATAATTGCCGTGAACAAACTCCTGTCACTGCTAGCCATATCAATGGAGAGATGGAATTATCAGGAGTTGATTGGTTCGAAGAGTGTCTCCTTATTGGATGTGAAGACGGAGGAATCTTATCATGGGATATGAATAGTAGGGCAAGGAAGAATTCTGCCAGTTTCGCATACGTTTAAAACTTTTGTAAGTACTAATAGCATTTCTTCAATATTGGATTTGTTTTTGTAGCTATTACATAGATTTTTGTCATTTTGCAATCATTTATCATGTTGCAGAAGTAAGTACCAAAAAAAAGATATCTAAAAAAAAAAAAAAAAAAAGAAGAAAGTCGAAACTTTCATTTTCTGAGTACTCACGCGTTACGCGTAAACATCTAAAGTTTAGATACATGATAGATCTTCCATAAGCAACTCTGTATTGTATCACTTGCACCGCCCAGGATATAGTATGTACGTCTTGCCGGCACAGTACACACAGACGTTTCAGGATATCAAGCGGACATCGCTATCTCATTCCACATGCAAGCTTGTGATATTTGTATCATGTCTAAACATTGACTCTCTATGTTCCGCCAAGATTCTTAGTTTATTATTCAAGAAGGAACTTATTCAATACCAGTTGATCCCCGTGGTAGGGTATGCTGATTTGAAGGCACATTACTTAAAACTTGACGATGATGTGTCTAACATATTATTGCTTGGCTGTGGTGCCCTGATGGATTTAGAAGCCTTTTTTGAAGTTGATATCAATGAATTTATTGTAGAATTACCACATGTTGATGGGGAAGCTGAGTCAAAGATAGAATTGAGGAGGAAAATCTACGTTATAGATGGACATAGACCTTGGAACTTGGAGAACTTATTTGCCTCATCTATGGTTGTTTGCTTTGATGATGGTTATGTAGAAGCTAATATGAAAGAAGAACGTGCAGCCTATATGAAATTGGCAGAAGTTGATGAGGATGAAGAAGATGAAGATAGTGAAGATGATAGTGATATAGAGGAAGATGAAGATGACGATGACGATGATGATAATGATGCTCTGCAAGATGAAGAAACAACTTTAGTTAATTCAGATTCAGATTCATCTTCACGTAAAAGAAAAAGAGAAGAGAAACAATTAAAGAAACTTAAGAAACAAAGAAGGAAAGAGCTAAATCAATATGAAACTGTGATAGATACATATTACAATCAGGGAAGTACTGTTTTTACATCATCCACTGCAATCATCTATTCTTTGCTCTCATTAATTGGTGAAACCAGTATAGAAAACTTATGGCTTGCAATTATAGGAACATCTTCGTTAGATGGACATTATCCACAAGTATATGACAAGATCCAACCTCTCTTCAAAGATGAAGTGATTAGATTGAATCCTTCTTCGGAAGATCATACCAATAAGACAGCAGATACCACCACGTTGAGTATTGATAAAGATTATCATTTGTTTCTTCTCCGCCATTGGACGTTATATGACTCGTTTTTCTATTCAAGTCATGTCAATTCCAAACTCAATTTATGGACGGAAGATGGTAAGAAAAAATTACATAAATTATTTGCTAAAATGGGTGTTTCTCTAGCGGTTGCTCAACAGAAATGGTTGTACGTAGATATTGGAATTAAAAAGCAACTCCCACTGATTTTTAACAAATATCTCCCATTATATGGGTTGGAAGGAGTAGTTCGAGAAGGGTTCATTCGAACATTTGGGTTTTCTGGTCAATTATCTGCAATGGAATGTGTTGAGTCGTTAACCGCATTATTAGAATCAGATAAACGATTATTGAATAATAATAATCAACAAACAAATGATAATTCAGCTACAGATGCTCAGATAAGTTCACTTATAGAAAAAAAGGAAAAAATATGGGTAAATAATTTCTGGTCATCATGGGATGCGCTTAATTTAACTACTGCTACTGGGGGTGCATCTAAATCGGTACAAATATTAAGGAAACCTAAAGGGTTGGAACTTATTCAACAGGGGCTCAAACATGCCAAAGATATCCAACAAATTATTTTCAGAACTGGAATGTCGTTACTTGAACGTAAACTTATTAAGAATTTACGATTATATCGATTATGTGTACTTAACGATGGTACAATTCCTGATTTAAATATTTTCAATAACCCATTAATTTTATCCAAATTAGGTGGTTGGTTACTTGAAAATATTGCCGAGATTGAATTTTCAAATACTAACAACGGTTCATTGAAACCACTCGTTGTTGCAAGTCTTGATGTTACTGTAGATACTTACTTGGTTATCGGGCTTGCTCCAAAGTATCCACGAGGTATGAATAATACCACCAAATCAAAGATTCATCATAAAGATAATAATGGAAAAGAAGTTGAATCTCTCACCACTAGATTGAATACTTTTAGCGTAGCGTTCAGACAGGTTTCAAACGAATCAGGCGCAAAGGTCCGAATGGAGAGTTTTGACAGTTCAGTAATAGAAATCCGGAAAGATGATTTGCCTCCATTTTTGGAGCGTCTTACCCTAAGTGGTTTGGTTTAATAATGCATAAGCATACATAGAATCTAATGTACAATATACGAAATTCCTTATCTATAGACGAAATGAAACTCGACTCGATTAATTTTTTTTTTTTTTTTGTTGGAAAGGGGTTTTAATTTAATGCTTTAGGAATAGTTATTATTGCTTCTTACCATATATTTAATGACAGAATTTGTTGTAGTGGGGTATGTATTACGAAGAAGAATGTGCTAGATCCGATTCTGGATACTAACCAGTAGTTGTGGGGTAATTGGCCTCTATACTGTCGCATGCTTAATCGAAAAAGGTGTAGAACCAACTAAGATTTCAATTATAGCAGAGCACCTTCCAGGTGATCAGTCTATTCAATATGCATCACCGTATGCTGGTGCGTACTTCTCAGCCTCCGTAGAAATGGAATTGTTACCATATAGTAACTATACATATCAAAATTTGCCAAAAATACAAGAAATGTTGAAAAACATTAGTTCCCCAATTGGTTTAGGAATGTGCCCATCTACTGAATATTTAGATGAGGAAATGTCAAAAGAGGAGTTAGATAAGGTAAGTGAAGTAATTGAAGATTGGGAATACCTTCCTAAAGAAAAAGTCGAAAAGATTTCGCCAGGATCAAAATGTGCAATTAAATACAAGGCATGGATTTTCAATTCCCCTTTATTTATATCCAGTCTATTGAAGTCACATAAGGCGAGAGGGGTATCTGTCTTGAGGAAAAAACTCTTGAATATCTCGGAAGCATATTCTGAAAGTACTAAAGTCGTGTTCAACTGTACTGGAAATGGTTCAGCGACATTGGCTGGAGTTTTAGATGTGAAAGTTTACCCGACTAGAGGTCAAGTGGTTGTAATCAGTGCTCCACATATTACAGAATGTTTTCTGAAATGGGACGATGATTCAACGTATATTATTAAGAGACCTGATTCACAATTGAACGAGGTTATACTTGGTGGATTTTATCAGAAAAACGTTAGTGATGCTACCACATATGGCTATGAAACGGATGATATTTTACTCCGAACTACAAAATTATATCCTAAACTATTACTTGATAATCCTTGGGGTAATACCATTAGTGATCTTCAAATTCTTAGGGTTGTCGCTGGTGCTAGACCTAGTAGAAATGGTGGTGTTCGTATTGAAAAGGAAATTTTGGATAAAAAAAGAATTTTGATCCACAATTATGGTGCAGGGGGTTGTGGGTATTTAAGTGGCTTGGGAATGGCACATGCTGCTGTTTCACTACTTGATGAATGAGTAAAAAAAGTAGTATTGAATAAATAAACAAAAATTTAAAAAATAACGACAACTGCAGGACTCGAACCTGCGCGGGCAAAGCCCAAAAGATTTCAAGTCTTTCTCCTTAACCGCTCGGACAAGTTGCCTCTTTCTGAAATTAGAAAAGGAAAATGTATTTGTAGCCCTGTTAAATTTGTTTTTTCCGGAAATTTTTCAATAGGCAAATAAAAGTTGAATTAAGGGCTTTTTATTGATAATATTGCTTGAAAATGTGTTAAGATATATAGCACTACATCTCATGAGAAGCTCTTAAATTTTACTCCATTCTAAAAGGTATACTTTTAACGATTTTGATTTTGTATTTTTTTTTCATGCATGAAAATAAAAGCCGTTGGTTAAGATCATCCTACACACCTCTCCTTATTCCAAAATTTGCTTAATTCAACAATAAAGAAATGGTAAAAAAGCTGCTAAGATCATGTTAATAAAATAGTTTCAATTTCGCTATTCCTCGCTGTGAGAGAATCTAAACTCGACCATTAAAAGATGCATTCCGTCGGCACATAGAAGATTCGAAATTAAATATCATACCACCGTAGTGTAAGAGCTACCAAACGATACATACTACAGCTAGCTTGCAATTCAATCAAAAAGCATAGCTGACAAATATATTCTGATACCTAGTGGGACAAAGTAAATCGCAGATCCCTCTCCAAAATACCAGGAAAGATACTAAAAAAAGATTGATTGACTGGCTGCAAATTCTCTATCAACGGTTTTTCTAAAGTACGACTTTAGGAGATCTATCACGAGTACGATTCTTCTCTCTCTCTCTCTTTTCCACAATAGTGTATTCAAATGATTTCGAATTGCAAAAATGTAATTATAATTTTTGGGTGTATTTATATATAATTTATTGAAAAGATTCGATTACTTCATACAAAAATCAAATGAACAATTTTTATTTATTTTTATTTAATGTTTAAATATGTTCAGATTTAAATAGCGACTGCCTTGGTTCTAAGATCTCTTGATTTGCGTTGATATTTCTTTTTACCCTTACATGCTGGGGTATTTATATTTGTAATTGGTTTGAGTTTCTTTGTAATGATATTGTTACTACTGCTATTGGTAACTTTTGGAGAGTCAACGATCCCGTCGTAAACATATTCTCCTTTATCCATAATCAAAAAGTTTTTTTGACGTAAAAATGTTGTTAATTCTTCAACTGCAGTATTCAACTTTTCAATTTGATTATAGTTCAAGAGAATCAGATGATATGATGGATTTTCAAGTGGACTTGAACCTTCATTTAAAAGAGTCATTTCAATCCCTAACAACATCTTAAATGGGTAAATGATATTATTATTAAAATCTTCAGAATTTGTTGAAATAATATCATCAAACTTTCCTGGATTATAAGCAATCATAATTCTATACATCTTTGGCAAGTATTCAGAGAATTTAATTGCTGCTTGTCTTGATTTTATATCGGCACCTTTAATTTGGAACACTATTTCATCAGATTCTCCAAAATCTTCAAGAGAATTTGGAAAATCAATAAAAGTATTAGTTTCAGATTCAATGTTATTGATCATTTTCAAATGATTAGAGAGGTTTCCATTCTTTTCTTCCGAGTTGATTAACATAAGATATTGGGATCTGAGCAACTTAAAGTGTGTAGTTAAATATGTTGTTGACATTGAAGTTGAATTCAGGAATGAATGTGACATGATATTTTTTGCACAACATTGATAAACAAGTTCATCAATCTCATACTTCACTAATGGGATACTTTTTGCATTTTTATTTGGACATTTGATTAAAACATTATCAAATCTCAGAAATGTGTAAAAGATTTTATTTGAATTGTAATAATTGCATCTATCGCCACTTGCAGTACTGCTAGTGAACTTGATGAATACGTTATATTTTTTCATAATAGATTGAATAATTGATCCACCATTTCCAATAATAGATTTATGGAATACTTCAGGAATATTGAAGTTCAATTCTGCTGGCAATTCCAATTCGATTAAATCTAAACCTTTCAAGAAAAGTTGAACAATATTTGACACTTCTTGATTACTAGCAACAGTTAAACAGAGTAAAAAGTTAAATTCATTGAAAGGAAGAAATTCAATCACTGGAATTTGGTTCAATTGGTTTAATACTTTCATCATTTTACCATTTTTCTTACCACTAATAAAATCACGTTGTGAATGATTTAATTCCAAATTCAATTTGATTTCAGTATAAGCAGGGTAATGTCTCATGAAATTTGTATCAAGTAACATCAAAATTGTTCTTACTTCTTCTTTCAATCCAATTATCTCAATTCCGTTTTCATTGCTTATCAAAATACATGGCTTTTCATTGTTTACAATATTGCATAGTAAACTTTCAAACTGTTCAGAACAAGCAATGGAGAATTGATCAAAGTTTATGTTTACTGAATAATACTTGGAACTTAATAAACTTAATTCTCTGATTGTTTCATTTACTGACGTCAATGTTTGTCCTTGCACTGAAATAGTGAAATTTTGTTCTTCTCCTAATGAAGGAAGTTGAATGAAAACTCCATGCTTGAACATAATATTTAAAATAGTTGATTGATCCATTAAGGTGATTAAATCCAACTTAGATTTACTCATGGTCATTTCCTTAACAATATAACTACCATTGTCACTTAACAAGGAGTTTAATTTTCCTAAAAGTTGCTTGGCATGTATGATACCAGGGATTGATTTGGTGGTAATGAATACATCCAATTGAGCATTAGATTGAAATAATTTAGAATGGAATAATTCAGGAAGTAAATCTGGAACATAAATGTTACTTTCCAGTTGCTTAGCAATTTGATTAAAATTGAACAAATCTACTCCTCCAATAAGTGGGAGGGCAGACAAATTAACTTTGTAAGTATCAACATAAAAATCATTAAGTATAGTATTCATCAATATTCTCACTTGCGATTCAGCTGCAGTTATGTTATCTTGACCACCAAGAAGATATATATTGAAGTTTGGAGCAGTACTTTGATCATCTCTATAACCAATAATTTTAAAGTTTATTGGTTTATGAGAAATGATATACTCGATATTATAACGTTCAGCAATTTTATCTAAAGTTTGGAAAAACGTCACTTTCATTGGAGATTGACTGATTTTTTGAAATTCGAAATTGCTAAGAGAAATAGATTTTTGCATAACTTGATTATATTCTTTCAAGACTTTCAGTCTAGCATAATTGACAAAATATGCAGAACCTTTCAATACTACTGAAATCAAATCAGTGGAAAGTTTGGGTTCAAGTAGAGTAACTTCACCTAAGTTCAGGCTATTTATACGATCAACAATGGAACGCAATGGTTCAATGTTATCCATCACTCTTAACCCAGATTGTTGCAAATGTGATACAAAGCCAGCATTCTTTGACTTGTCTGGAGAAAATTCCCTCCATAAGGAAGCCAGCTTCCTAGTGGATTGATGAAAAATTGAAAGAAGACCCGCCTGGGGTTGTAACAAATAAGAATACTCAAGCGTAAGTACAACTATATTCTGGTCGATGGTAGGGATTTGTGAGTTCATAGGTGTGGGTAGGGTATTGGTATGGGCTTCAAGAATAAAATTGAATCAAAAAGAATAGAAGTTAATGAGGTTGATTTATAAAAAAAAGGAATTTCGAAGGATAGCTGCATTCGGTTACAGTGGTTGCAGAACCATGGCCTAATTAGGAAATCAATCATTTTTGAATCTACTAACTTAGTTAGTTTTTGTTTATATTCTCATGCATGTCATTTCCGTTTTGGGAACAATTAAAAATATCATTGCATATTATGCAGGATAACACAATCTCTTTCCCATATAGAGTGGTAATTTCATATTGATATTCCGAGTTAGGTAGTAAAATGATCCTACAAAATATTGCTGCTATTTACAACTACATTGATTATAACCCATAATAAATATATATTTCTGTTTGGGACCCCTTTTCTTTCAACTCTTTTTCTTTTAATTAATGTTATTACAATTCTTACAATCTCTTTGAATCCCATACGTAAACCATTTCATCCCAACCAGTACTCACAGCCCATCCTGGTTCTCCCCACAAACTGTAGTCACACCCAATAGTAAACTCTTTGTGTGCACGCATCACACCCTTGTTGTTACCTTCTGCCACATTAAGGAAACGGGCCTTTTCATCAGACATATCTCTCCAAACTCTACAAGTCATATCATATGAAGTACTAATAAGTTCTTGTGAATCATGTGGGGAAAAAAGTACCTTCCTTACTGCAAATTCATGTCCTAACATCTCATTAAGTGGTGTAGGACCTCTAATGTGATAGGCAGGCATAGGGGAGTGAGAGTTTGGTTGATCTATTTTAGTAATCATACGTAAATCCCAGATTCTCACTGATTTGTCTGTACCTCCAGAGGCTACTATCGTAGATTTATACTTATTCCAGTCACAACTAAGAGCTTCTAAACCTCCATGAGCAACATAATCCAATTGAAGTGGATGTGGAGAACGAATATCCCAAACTTGAACATGAGAGGAACCATTACAACTAATAATGGTAGATGGAGAATGAGGAGAAAAAGTGGCATTGTATATACAATTGGCAGTATTGGCATTTTGTTGATGATTCTGTTGATGGGATAATGGTGGTTTGGCCGTCTGTGGTAAGGGAGACGCCTTGGTAGTGAAGTCTACTTGCAGATTAAGGGTTAACAATGAATCTTGTCTCTGTGGAGACCAAACCTTAATACTACCATCCCATGACGCTGATACAAAGTTAGTCTTGTCCACCAAGTTCCAATTAACAGCAAATACTTCCCGAGTATGTTCCTTCCAATTCATTACAGGGAAGTTGGGAACTTTAAGATCAAACAATTTAATTGACCCATCACCACTGGCAACGGCACATTGATTCTCATGGATCTCACTCCAGGCAATATCAAAGAGTCCATCTTGAGTTTCCCATGATACTTCATTCGTTATCAGTCCATTTGGTTCAATATTTAAAATGAATAAACGACCATTCCCAACAAGGCCATAATTTGATGCAGTTGCAACAGCGATCTTATTGTCAAAATATGGAGAATATTGAACTCCATATCCGTTATAGCCCCTCGTTCTATAGGATAGCATTTTAGGAATCAAAGTAGATGACTAATAAACTAACCCTTTCTTCATTCAATATCCCCACCTATTACCTACACCCCGATTGCTGAACTTATACACAGGAATTATAATTTTCGACATCAATCATTCACTAACTACACTACCATTTTCTACTGATACCAGTTTACACTATCATATTCAATTTTCAAATTAATATTTATAATATAATTACATCTTTTCTCCCCACTTTTAATAATCTTATTTTTTTTGTTGTCTTCTCCTATATATTAAATGTCGAAAAGTTCACAATCTAAAATTTTTAAATCTTGATGGTATTCCTTTTTAATCAGATCTTTTGAAATAATACCAAATTGAATTAAATCACCCAAAATTAATCCAATTTTTTGACCAGAATACTTCAAATAATCAAAATCATCATCTGAAGACGTGATATATTCTTCAATAGGAGTTTCTTCTACTTGTAAATTTTCTAATGAAGTAGTAATACTATAAGTACCATCAACCCCTTGTTCTTCTAAAGAACCAGGGCTGGTAGTAGAACTAGCCAGAGTTGATGTAAGTGGTCCACTTTGGATTAACCCCCATAAACTCCAATAAATTTGCACTGTAGGTCTCCAAAAGATACATTCATTATAGAGTTTTTTAATCTCAGATTCAATTAAATCAGTTGCATTGGTTGAAGAAGAAAGATCATCTGTCTTTGATGTTTTGAGGTTGGAAGAAGGATATTGGAAATCATATTCAATATATGACTTAATCAAATTAACTTGTTGCAATCTTGAAGGATATTGATCTTCATGAATGTAATAAGATTTGACTGGATCATGATAATCTGCCATCCATTCAGAGAAATGATTAACCAAATCAAAAGCTGGGAAATTTGAACCAGAATATTCAAAATCAATAACTGCTAAACTATTATCCTTTTTATTAGTGGTTGCCATAACAACTTGTTCACCATTGGTTTCAGCATTTTTCAAATCAAGGTTGGAAGTAGATGATAAAATAATTTCTTCTGGATCAAAATCTTCATGAAGTAATAAATTCCCATATTGAGTATCATTATGACAAAATTTAAAATTATCACTAAAATTATTTGTATCATATTTATCAAATAACCAATTACGATAAGTCTCAATATTTTCTCTAAATTCTGAATATTTCATCTTAAAAATTGATTCTTCATCAATTGTAAGTCCTGAAACTTCAGTTGATGTTAATTGCTCTTCAAGCATATCCAACCATTTATAGATTAAACGCCAAGCCATAGGCAAATCCCCTGAAATATCCAGATGTTCAAGGGCAATCTTATAATGCAAATCCTTCATTCTTCTTCCCAAGATTTGAGAAATAACTTCATCACGAATTTGAGTTTTATTTAAGGTTATATAACCTTCAAGAAATTGTTCAAATCTTCCATTTGCGAAAATACCAAGTAATCTAGGTCCAATTCTCTTTTGTGATAACTTGATTAAGGTTGCTAATTCCGACTCTCTATCAATGATAGAATCTACATTTTTACCATAGATTCTTAATAATAATGCTGGTAATGGAGGTCCTTGGAAATCTTCATCAGTATTTTGATATTCGAGTTTATAAATGGAATTGGTAAGAGCTCCTGAAATTCTGCTTACTGATAAATTGGCAGCAGATAATGGGACCTTATGCCATTTACTGACTTTTAACCCTTTAATTAAAGCTATCAAATCCTGTTTGAAAAAGTCTAAGGGCAATGAATTATCAACCGAAGCAGTTGTAGTTGGAATCCCTTTTTCTTGGTCGATATTTGTGGCAGTCACATTAAGTTTGTTTAACGACGAAGACGAGAGAGATCTTCTAGATGGTCCAAGAGATGGACGTCTAGTGGAAGATGTTGATCTTGAATTAGCAGTGGAATTTCTAGTTCTCGATCTTGATCTCGATCTATTTTGGGAAGTCCCATAAATGTTGGCAGCAGTGATTTCCATCTTTTATTTTACCCTAACACAGTGAAGGTGATCTATGTAACTCTTCTGAAGAAAAAAACTGGTTAAAATAGTCTATAATTGATTGTAGTAAAGGAAAAAAAAAAAGATCCCCAAAATATTGAACGAGCCCAACTTTGTTGAAATCAAATATACGTACGTCAAACTTCCAAGTTGGAAACAATCTTAAATTGTCTTGTGACAATGACCGTTTTATGTACAGGAAAGGGGCACACCATAAGATTTATTTTTTCAGTGCTGAAAAATATTCCGCAATTGGATAGAAGATCCACCAGTATTTACTGGAACCTACCAAGGTTTAGTATTAATAGTTCCCAAGTTATTCAATTGATCTACAATACATGTATGTGGGGTTTCGTGTAATATATATTTTTGGGCACATGTACCATAATTGCTACGTGAGAGTTACTAGGTGTAGATGAAATAAAGAAAATATGACTGTTGCAAAACCTTAATTCACGTGTGAAGTTTCAACTTAAATCAACCCAAATTAAAGAAAAACCAATTTGTTGATCTATAAACGCAGTTACAACTATGTGAGTAGACTTATGAATTTTAGAATTGTCACCCAGACTAGAGAAACCTTGTTTAAAGTATGTCTTACCATAATATTGAATTGATTCTAAAATCTCCATTATTCTGGGAAATCCTCTTTATTTTTTTAGCAGCCTTCCATCCATTGACGCTCGAAAATCTATTACCTTCAGATTACTGTCTCACCCAGTTGTTTCAATTTCCTGTTTCGCATCCAAATATATTGATGAGTAAAATACGTATCTTGTCATGGAACACGCATTATGAATATATATAATAAAAAATTCCATTCTTGGACAATAAAATAAATGGAATGGTTCTACAATTATACAATAGATTTTATTACTTATATATCCAACATTTTCAGTAGATACTGTAATGAATTACAATGAAAAAGTCTATAACGAATACCCATCATATTCAACGTTGATAAATCAAATTGCTTTTATAAAATTATCTCAGAATATGATAATGAACCAAACTCCTCTATATTAACTAAACTTATATATTGAATGATGAAATAATATGTTGATTCTGTTTATTTTTAAGTTTTGCAACTATTTCGTCTATATTTACAGGAAAAAGTGTATACAGGACCAACATAGTTTGAGATCAAGTGCATAAGAAAGATTTTTTTTTTGGAAATGGAAAAACAACAAATTGAATACACCATTGAATATAAGGTTTAAAATGGGTGTTAGTCACTACCTTGCAACCGTAGGATGTCTAGGGACAGCATTTAACTACCAGCTTTACGTGGCAAAATCCGCAGAATTAGAACAAGTTTCAATTGAATTGAATTCAAAGATTGAAAAATTAAATGAAGAATTAAATCAATTAAAGGAACAAAAGAAGAAAGATTTTGAACTTAAGTTAACACCACCAATTACCGAAAACAAAGACACATTAAAACTCAAACATTCTGAACAACTTGTGAAGAAATTACAAGATGAATTAATAGTCGTTAAGCAAGAAATTTCTTCTTTAAATCAGATCAAAGACAATCATTTTCAATTAAAGATTGAGAATGAGAAATTAAACCAAAAATATAATGAATTAGAAAATGAATTGGAAAATGTTGAAATCAAGTATGAGTTCAAACTTAATGATCAGCTTGAATTAAATGTCGTTACTAGAGATTTAGAGATTTCAAACCTAAAATTAAAAGTTGATAAACTTGTTGAAAATGAGAAATTATTGAATAAAACCTTTTCTGACCTCAAGAAATCACATTCTGAAGATTGTGAAGAATATGAAAAGGAGATACAAGAATTAGAAGATTTGAATGTGGATAAAGATCAACAATTAGATATGTATCAGCAAGATCTCGAAGAGACAATAGATATGTGGGAGAAAAGACTGTTGAGCCGCGATCGTGTCGAAGAGAAGCTTAAAGCAACATGCGAAAGTTGGAAATTGAAATATTCTGATGCGAATGCTCTGAATGAAGCCTTGAAGGCTACATCTGATACGAAGATTCATGAATTACGTCAAGAACTTGAAAAGAAAGATGACGAATTTAAGAAGTTGAATAAAGATTTAGAAGAGAAGGATAAAGAAGTTAATAAGTTGACTAAGGATTTAGAAGAGAAGGATAAGGAAGTTAATACGTTGACTAAGGATTTAGAAGAGAAGGATAAGGAACTTAACTATATGAATGATACATTAGAAGAAAAAGAAAAGGAAATTGAAGCGTTAATTTTGACATTAGGGGAGAAGATTGAATCTATGACCCCATTGGAAAAGATCGACACTACATCTGAAGAAATTTCTGAGCCTAGTATCAAGGAAGTCGAAAATAAAACCTCTGAAACTGATGAGGTTGATAACTTGGAACTTCCATCCAAATATGCTAATTCTGATAAGGTAGATGTGAACGAACTTTCATCCAAACATGCCGAAGTTAAGGCACCTTCAAACCATTCAGCACTTCCTTCTAAATATGCCGAAGATCAAGAATCTGTGGAGAAGGAAACTTCGTCCAGGGTGACCGATGAAGAGGGCACCACAGAGGGTGTCTCTGAAACTGAAAAGATTGAAGAGGATGATCAATCTGGATCAAATGATCTTGAAGGTAAGAAAACTGAAAAAGTAGTGAAACTCCCTTCTAAGTGGGCTGAAGTCAAGAACACGGATACCGTGGTAGAACTGCCAGAGCCTACTGTCAAAAATGTCGATACAGAAGGTATTTCTGCCTCAGAAAAAGCCAAAGATGTTGAGGAAATTGAACCATCAAAAGAGTTTGATATCAAAACCACTGATGAAGTGGAAGCTGCAAAAATTGCCGAGAAGGAAGACAACACCGAAGAACTGGTCGTCCCGGAATCCACGAAATCTAAAGTGACCAAGGAATGTGAACCAACTGATTGTGCTGACCTCAAGAAGACAGGTGAAACAGAAAAATTGTTAAACACGGTTAAACCAGAGGAAATTTCCGAAGAAAAGGCAGCTGTAGATTCTACTAGTACTACGGAAGTTGAAGTTGTCGAATCCAAGGATGCTAATACGGAAACCACAGGCAATGAAGACGAAGTTATTGTATCAACTAATGAATCTGATAGCACAGTATCAAAGAATGACGTAAAAGAGTCAAAATCTATCAACACGGAAGAAATCTCCAAAGAAGGGATCTTACCAAAAGCCACTACCACCGACGAGGTTGCAGAAGAGCCTAAACCAATCGATACAGAAAAAGAAGAGACTTCCCTGAAAACAGTGGACAATGAAGAGTCAACTGCTGATAAAGTTTCAAAATTAGAAATGCCAAAATTTTCATCCAAGGTTATTCAAAACGATACGTACGAGGACAAAACTAATACAAGTGACTTAATTGAACAAAACGAAACAATTGAAGAGAAAGAACATATCTCTGATGTTAACGAGGAAGATTCTTCTGAAATTACCGAACCAAAAATATCTTTTGGAAAAGTTAATGACTCTAGTGCCCCTATTCCTAAAAAAGAAGAGGATGTAAAAGAGATCGGAAGCACCCCTTCAGTTCATGAGAAAGTAGAAAAGAAAGCAGAATTATCAGAGAAATTTATCCCAGATATTATTGAGACTCCTTTCAAGTTAACTTCATCTAAATTTGAAAAGAAAGAAAATGAATCAAAGCCATTATTTTCCATTCATGACCAAAACAAAGTGCCGAAAGTGGAACAAATTGTATCTGATTTTAACAAATTAGAATCAGAGGGCCAAGAATTATCAAGAAAGTCATCAATTTCACCAATGAAATTATTTGAATCGCCAGTGAAGTCATTGGGATCCCCAAATAAGTTATTTGGATCACCAAATTCAATTGAATCTTTGGACTCCATCCCCACATTAAAAAGATCCGACGGTGACGTTAGATTATTTACAAAGAAGACTGAATCTTCTACACCAAAGGACGAGTACGAAGCCGTCTCTGATATTGACGAAGAGATTAAATTACAAAATGAGAAAAATGGTAAATTAGCTTCAAGAGTAAAGATTTTAGATGAAAAAATTGCTACTTTTAACCAAAAGAATCCACAGTGTCAAATTGTGGAAGAAGAAGTTAATAACATCATAAAAAATGATGTACCATCAAGTAAAAATAAGGTAAAAGATTTAGTTGAATTACTTGATCAGAAAAACATGGAATTAACTAATTGCAAAAATTTAGAGAAGGAATTGGAAACGAAATACCAAAACAAGCACAAGTTATTTTCTCAAGCAATTGCCAAGTTAAAGGAACAAAGAACTCGTGAATCCTCACCAGTAAAGCCTAAATAATTATTAAAGTCATCCTTTTATTACATAGACTAATTATAGATCAAAATTTCAAAATTTTAAGATTTCCTATCTGCTTATTTTCGCTGCCCGCCTGCTTCCCATAATTGAGCTTCTCTATAGAATTAATTTTCTTATTTATTTCTTTTTTTTTTTCCCCCTAAAATAAATTAATAGATAGTGGATTACCTGTACAGGGTACCTGCGATTAATGCAAGTTCATATGGGGAATAGATGCAATTAAAAACTGTCAAGGTTAGATGTAGCAATTCGATTTAATAACACATTATGAACTTTGGTCCTAACGGTATCGTCAAGTTTATCCGATTTAAAGAGGAAGAGATTCCAAATGTGGCTTTAATAACGAGTCTACATTACTACTCATGATGCAAGCTAAAATCTACTTTGTGTGCTTTAGAAAACTAGGAACCCACGTAATAAAAGTGCGAATTCTTAATTCACGCAGGGTTAGTGTTTTAACCGGAATATCCTGAAAGAAGAATTTGTTTTAATCCGTTCGTAGAATTTGCATAATTAAATAAGCAACACACAAAACTTCAGCCTAAAACTTTGGCCCCCAGCCCGCTATGTTACCGAAGCAATTTGACTTCTATAATCTAAAGCATGTTTTTTAAATGTATCCAAGAAAAAGAAGATTTCTTGAAATTCTTCACCGGGCTCCAAACAAGGCGTAAAAAAAAAAAAATTAAAAAAAAAAAATAATAATAATAAAATGATTGCTAGTTAGTATGCTGTGCCAAACAAGCGTACTGTAGGTGCATTATTTACATACACTAAGGAATGTGCGTTGGTTAAGCAGTGCCTATTATTACCTATTCAGTTTAACATATTGTCTGACGCACGTTTGGAGCTACATTTTCTTGCTTTTTATTAAGTACATTTTTCTTTTAATTTTCATTATCTCTCGTTCTATTTTTATATTGTTCCTCCGTCAAAATCTCCTTCCTCATCTGAAGTATTTTAAATTGTGAATTTATCAATCCAACTTTAACACTTATTATACACAGCACACCGGTACCTTCATTCGCTTTCCCCATATCGGTTATCATTCCGACTGTTCCACCATCGTCAAACTGAACTCTTTTTTTTTTCAACGTGGTACCTTCATCCACTTGGAAGTAACTTCAGACACTTACCACGGAGACGATTTTTTTGCATTTATATTATTAGCATATCATGTCCAGAGTACTCTCTATCAGTAGGAAGAAGAATGGACGACGTGAAGATTCTTCCACAAGTTTGAGTTCTTCGGGCACCGTTACAAGTCTGATTTTGTCGAATTCTTCGACACGAAGGTCTAACCTGGTGAAAGACCTATCAAAGCTATCCACAAACCCCATCAGTATAGCAGTACAGAAATCCCTTAAACAACTAAAAAGATTGGAGATTGAATACTCTAAATTTAACTCCAAGACAAACGGCATAACAAAAACTAATATACTTCGTACTTCGCTTCTTCCATTTTTGAGAGACCCATTGAGTGATTTCTCTCTCATGATTTCAGACCAATCTGTTTACAATAGTTTGATTAGCATTAGCACCAATATTTTTATCAAATGGTGGCGTGCATTGCTCTCAAGTTTAAGCTTCAAAAACCCATCATCCAAAACCCCAACCATTTCGTCCACTGATAGAAATGCATTCCTTGAAGGAATCTCAAGAATAATATCTCGTGTAGATTGGAATGGTGCCGATCCTGAAACATACGTCAAGTTTCAAAATTTATTGGTCATTACTTTGGATTATTCAATCGAAAAGATACAAACCTTGAAAATCATACCATTGTCAGTTTCTGCATTTATTGGGAAAGTATTTGCATACTCATTCTTCCATTTACCACAAGTTTCTAATGCATTATTATTTCTTTTGAATGTTAAACAACATGTTCATGATTCTGTAATCCAAGTCTTTGCCGATGAATCAATCTCAACAGAATCTGTTACAACTATTTTCCAAAAATTCCCCGTTGCTGTAAGACATTTACAAAAATTTAAAGGATTTCCAAAACTTTCCAAGAATCAAAAGTTTTATATTAATGCGGTGCCCGCCCCAAAGCATCCCGTAAGGGGTATTTCAGACCCAAATGGTTCCTGGGTTAGAAGATGGTGTAGTAGTGATAGTGACATTTTCAATTCATTTTTCCGTCATTATATTAATATCACCAACTATTTCTTAACTTTCCTGTCAATGCCACAAGATGGAGAGATTAATCATGAAACAGCTCTTTTCAATTCACCGGGATTTACGTTCATCATGGCCCACTTATTACAAATTTTCCAAGTTTCAACCTCAAGGATTTGTCAAAATAATCCTTGCTTTGGAGGATTAAATGTGTTTTTCAAAGATCAAATAATGAAAAACTCGAATAAGGAAATGCCACCTTCAAACATTAATGATATTTATTACAATTCAATTGTGAAGCTTTTAAAAACTTGTCGAGATGTGAAATTTGTAAACTCTTGTATATCTAGGCCGTTGATTGGCTTTGTTGACAAGTTGTTCATATTTTTAGCTTCCAGAACATCGGTATATGACCATAACAAGAATGGATTGTTGATTAATATTGTATATGAATTCTCCAACCATGTTGATAATGAAATTAATTGGGAATTTTGGTTGAGTAGTTGTTATCTAATGATATCAAAAACTGATCATATTCAAATTTTATTGAAAAATTTTGCATTCTTGTTCAATATTTGGGATTTAATTCCATTATCATTACCTAATGGAACTTTAGTGGATCCGAAGAATGAATCCCTTCGTTGGATTACAGATGTCAATGAATCCTATAAATGGAACTTTGCTAACTGGTTAGTCTCATTCCCAGTATGGCAGAACTTTTTCTGTCATTGGGAACCAATTACTAGAACTTATTATTTAAGATTATTAATTTGGAGATTAATTGGAATGAATCATCTGTTGAATAATAATATCAAGATTGAAAAATCTATTGATTTAAACTTGCAATTATCATATGATTATGTTGCTAGAAAATTTGCAAACCATAAGAATAATGTATCTTTCAAACCAGATAATCCATTAGTCAACAGAAAATTTGCTATACTTCCATTCGTACCGAAGGAAGATTTCAACCTTATGGATGCAGATTTAGGAAGTACTGCCTCGTTAAATAAGTCTAATGAACTTCGGAAGACGCATCCTTATGAAATATTTGATGAGGCTATTTATAGTTGCTCTTCATTACCAAACTCGACAATCAATTCCGAATCTTCAGCTCAACCACTCAATTTGAATGACCAATCAGATAAACTGTCTCGAGGAAACACGTTGGTCAGTTCGCTTGGAAGAATTTTGAAGATTTTATCAAATGAAGAGAGAAGAAGTGGTACAGATATTACAAATGTATTTGCTAAGGAAAGAAAGTCTGGCTCTGCAACTTCATTATCCACGGCCAATTCTGGATCTTCAAGCCCTAGTATTATGTCAAGTTTTTCTACTGCTGCCTCATTGACAGACTTTTCTACAGAATCCTCAATAAAGTCTGATTCTTCAAGTAGTACTTCAAGTCTCAACCTACCACTGTTAGTACAACCACCTGAACTACTCACTCGGCCCCCTGAAATAGTTAGACCAATCTTCAGATTTGATCTTGTGGTTGACTTAAATTCAGTCAATGATAGGTTATATATCACCAATCCAGGAATATTACCTCCACAGGAAGAAGATGGTCGCAGGCTGATGTACAGCAAGTTGCCTAAATACCCTCGAATTCCTAAGTTTACGTCGCTATATGATACTTTATGGACCGAAGATGACTTTATCACTCGACACAATGGATACCAAGGTGAATTGGTTTCTAATGACGAAGATGAAGAAGAAGATGATGATGATAGTGAAGGTGAGTTGATCATTTTACCCAAGGTAACAAATAATCTATTGTTCCCAAATGATAGGAAGAATTGGGTAAATATCGGAAAGAGTTTGAATGAATGGAACGAAATCGTCCGTGAATTCGAATACTTTATTAATTCCAAGGTTGAAGACTTTAAAACCAAATCTAATGATAACTACGAAGTGTACTTCAAGAGAGCGGTTCCATTTTTATCTGTTGATAGCGTCAGTGAACTTAAATTATTGAATGCTGGTTAATAATATTTTTTTTTAATAGATTTAGATATAAAAATGCATATACCAAAGAATAGGCTATTTCAGTCTATTTTCAAGTCCCTCATTGTAACCTGTTTACGTAGAATGTACCAGACAGTCATACTAATCACAAAGTTAACAATAGAGCTAGTGGCCCAGAATAAAGTCACACCTATCAAAAAACATATATAGTAATGATTAAAGAGATAGTACCTTATTCCTTGCCATTCTACATTCACAAGAAGGGAAGATTTTTCGATATCCACAAGAAGGGGAGTATCAAGCTCATATTCAATCTTTCCATCTGAGCGGCCCAAATGATTGGCCAACCCTAATGCTGATATGGATCCAATTTTTGTTGAAACAATGTTCACTCTCTCATTATGAGTGAGAAATGGGGGTACCCAAAGACGGAGATTGTAAGGAATCCATGAGTTGAAAGTACTATGGATTGTTCTAGGATCACAATGAATTAAAAATGTCGATTGAGTAGAGGTACTCTCAGAGTGCCAAGAATCATGTTGAAGGGTCAAATTGCCAAACACTAGTTTCGAGTCCCCAATTAGATTCTTGGGGCAAAACACTCGTAAGTTTAATTGTAGATCATAATTGATATTCTTCGACCCTGCAACCAGAAGTAGTTCATTCACACCACGTGCATCACCTGCAATCCCATAACGGCTTACAAAGCGAAGTGGGAGTTCATACGATGCATTTGGTATAATGACACTGTAAAACCTCAAGTATGAAAGAACAGACCATGGCAACAATACTAAAAAAATAGCACTTAGCACCGTGCTGACATATATGGACCTACGTGTGGTCGCTAGTGTAAATGTGAAGAAGCTCATGATACATTGAACGGTGGCTTCAAGATAGTGCAATAGCAAATTAATTTTTACCAATTAGTTTACAGATATCCCTTTGAGTATTTTACATTTCGCATTAATCTAACAAATAATACTAGTTCTAGAGAAAACACATCAATAATTATCTTTTCAAATGGAGTGCAAATATCTCTACATATTATTAAACAATACTTATATTCTGAAGGTATATAATAGAATTACTCTAAATACTATGTTCATGGCTCGAATCTAACCTAGGGCGAAGCCTTGACGTATTCCTGGTTCACTATTCACATACTATCTCCTCGATGTTGCTCTACTAATGAGTCGTGTGTCCTCTGTGGTACTTCAAACCATTCAAGTTTTTGTATCTCTTCCCGCATACCTCACATCTATATGGTTTATCCTTCTCCATTCCAGCGCCGTCAAGATAAGGTGTATTTGACTCTGGATCGATAATCGAAATGGTTCCGTCTGGGTTCTCCTTTAATGTTTGATTTTGATGCCCGTGTAGCCTATGATATTTAAGTCCATTTTGATTCTTGTAATTTTTCTCACACCCAATTACTGGACATTTGTATGGCTTGTGTTCTGTATGTTCCATGACATATAAATGTCTGGCAGGATCATCAATATACATTGAATCCTCGTCATCAACACCAGGGGTTCCCAGATGGCTTTGATGATTCTGATGGGATAAATGCTGTGCTTGAAGGTGTTGCTGAGATTGTTGTTGTTGAAGTTGTTGTTGCAGGTGTTGGTTACCCTGGTGTTGTTGTTGGTTCAGTTGTTGGTTTTGATGGGATTGTTGATGAGATTGTTGATGAGGTGATTGGTGGTTGGAAAGATGTTGTTGATGTTGAACTTGCAGCTGTTGCAGTTGTTGATGCGGTTGTTGAGACAGAAAATTGTTCGGTATAGTATTTTGTGCAATTGTGTTATTGTTCAACCCCAAGCTAGGGTTAACTTGATTGATGGTTTGTTGTTGGATGTTAAAGTGCGATGCCGGTATGTTAAGGTTTGATTGGTTCACTTGGTTGGTGGTTTGGGTACCGTTATTTAGAAACACATCATTGGTAGAAACCGTCTCCATGATGTTGTGCATTGTGTTATTAATATTATGCTGTCTATTTCTATTCTGTTGATGTTGAAGTAACGGATTATAGATGGGTGGCGAAGCACTAATATGTGCATCTTCGTAGTGGCGTAAAAGATCATGGAGTGTTGGAAGTAGTTGGCCACAGCACAGATAATCCTTACAGTAGTCAGCTTCAAGGTCTGGAAGATATGAGGCTTGGTTTGCCGGTGGCGATTGTGACATATTAACGTTATTGTTATAACGGAAACTTCCTGTCCGTGGGTTGATGAAATGCGTTTGTTGGTTAGATGATTGGTTTTGATTATTTGCTTGTTGCGACTGTTGTTGTTGCTGCAATTGTTGTTGCTGTTGTTGTTGCTGCTGCTGTTGGCTTGTAATCATCATCACTTCATCCTTAAGCCATGATCCAATGGTGACAGATCCCCATGAAACACCTCCCATTCCTTGCGAATGTGCAATAGATTCTCTACGAAGTCGCGAGTTGAAAATAGACGGGTGCCGTTGGTAGGTGATATCGATCGGTTGTGGGATATTCAAATGGTTGTCGGATGTTCCTGTTGCTTGGCCAGAAGATCCACTAGGGATGTTCATGGCATTAGACCCAGAAGACCCCGAATTTTCAAATATCTTAGTATTAAACATCTGTATAGGATAATATTAAATTTCTCCTTTCTTTTCTATTAAAACGACGTGCTCACACAGATTTAGTAATTGTTATACTTCAAAAAGTGTATAAATTTATAATCTCAGGAAATTCACTTGTCTCCAACACTCGTGCTAATATAGAACGGGTCAGGGTAATAAATAAAGTGCCAGTTAAGCCTAATATCGTAGGGGATGTACCGAGGGGTATATCTACTGAAGCAGTCACTTATTCTTCAATGAACAACAATACAAGGGGTATGTTGTCTGTCAAGGTAATTTAAACCGGTTTGCTATACACACAGGGTTAAAACTTTCAGATTCGTCGCACTACTCTCTCACTAACACTCTTCGTGGAGTTGCTCGGAAACTTATTACTACGTCTGTGTCACTCCCTAACCTGAATACAATGTATCACTTGTCTGGCGGCGAATTATTTGTATCCTTACCTTTATCGTTAGTGAAATTACAAAGCAGTTGGTGTGCGCCGATTAATTGGGCGCGCACGACTTTCACTGGCCGGATAATGAACTGATGATGCACAGCTCTAGAATAATCAATACTTCTATTCTAAAAGCAATACTGCAGAATTTTTCAAGGAGCGGTAAAATATGACTATTTAAATTATCTGGAAATAGACAAGTTTATTACAGAAAGGGTAAATGGTATTTTTTTAGATTCATTTTCTTGGAATATGTTCTTCATAAAAGATTCCGTTTGATGAAGCACGTGAAATCGGTTAGGCCACGCCCAATTTTTGGAAATCAAGGATTGGGTTACTAACTATACAGGAGACAGTAATCATTAATTATTTTAATTATCTAGTGATCTAACTAGATTATTCTCTATATTTATTTACAAAGAAGAAGTATGAATATATACCAAAATGGCTTAGAATGTTTTTCCAGATTGAAGCGGACTTAACTGTTTTTGTCCCGTTTTCCCGTTTGGCCGATTCTCTTTGCCATAAATGCGAGATACAATTGGTTTACACACATAACCCGTTAGCTGTCCAAATTAGGTGTATGGTCAATATGCACACCTGGTGGATTTGGAGATGAGGTATTGTTGCAGCACTATTATATGACAACGAATATGTTTTATAATTCTCCAGTATAATTATAGTAGAATATAGAATTGGCAATAATATGAGTAATTTGTATACCCTTTGTAGAAGTAATGGAAAATTATCATTATTCCCACTTGACCTTTATTGTATTTTACAACAGAAAGGGTAAAAAATACAGATTAATTAGTTTTTTGTACAAATTTTCAATAATTATATTTAAAGCCTACAAAACCCTTAAGATAGAAGTTTACCCTGAATATATAAGACTGCCCTATCACCCTGTTGATAGTTTATAACTCTTGATGGGTTTTTTTTTTCATAATTTTAGTTCTATGTTTGTAAGAGAATGTTTCTTTTTTTTGTTGCAAAATGCGCGTTATGATCCGAACTGATAGTATACAAATCCCGACTCGGGAAACATTCGCCAATGAAATAATTTACCCCAACATTTCTACTAAGAACATTGGAGTATAAATAAACTGACAAAAAATGCTTTCTCAGTATCACTATTATCGTTTGTACTTAAATTACTTTCAATATGATAACTTCTTTACCACTGGAAGTGATAGTTCAAGTTTCCCATCACATAGATCAATATGATGTGGTGAACCTTGCACTAACATGCCTGGAAATGAATAGACTAATGATTCCTCAACTTTACAAGACTATCAATATAGATTCTTCCCCTAAGAACTATTCCCAAACACTACTTCATGAACCTATCAATCGCACAACAGTGAGATCTATTTTTTCATTGAAAAAGCTCTTCAGAAATTTGATATGCAACCAATGGTATTGCAAACAAGTTAATACTTTCATCACATCAACAAAGATCCCAGATCTTTCTGATATGGAATTGCAACTGTATCTCAATCAAATATTGCCACTATTAGAAAATCTAACTGTTTTCCGATGGAGAAGTGATACTTGTAAAATTGCAACCCATCTCCCAAGAAACTATAATCTAAAAACTATAGATGGGAATTTTGATTTTACAAATTTACCAAAGGTCATTGATACCAACAAGATTATGAATTTAAAATATCTTAGACTCACTCATGTATATACTTATCATGACCTTGAAAGCATAGATGTAATGCAATTTCAAAATTTGGAATATTTGTCAATTTCCATGAAAAATCTTGTTAAAGATTGCAGAGAAGACTATTTACAAAGATTATTTAACCATGATTCAAATGTGAAGCTTCAATTAAAGGAATTAAAATTTGAAAATATGATTGTTAGACCCTCGGATGCAACATTGCTTGGTACAAATATAACACTCAAAAAATTAACAAAGTTAGAGATAATAAATTGCCATGAAATTTGGTGGCAAACAGAAGGAGATTCGTCAAGAAGACATCCACACGAGAAGACCTTTCTCGAAATATTATGTTCAAATACAATTAATGTACAATGTATAAACATTAATTGCTCTAATGAATTATCTGACAACAGCTACCAAATCGAGGCGTTAAAGAATATCAAAAACCTAACGAAGATAGAGCTTTATCTAAACTTTAATTGGAAAAACCATTTAACAAGAAACAATACAAATGTCTACTTTGAGAAATTATTTATCGATTTGATTGATCTGATTCTAAAATTTAAATTAACTTTGTCGTCATTACAAATAAACTTCGAGATTTCTGAGACAAAAAATTTAAATTGTACTATCCCCTGCTGTCTATCACGGAAGAAATTACCAGCTGAATTTTTCAAAAAGTTGGAGAATTTTTCAAATCTTGAGTTGCTTTCAATTCCGATTAATGAATCTCTTATCACACAAATATACGACATTACATCAAATTTAACCAATCTTCGCGTGTTGGATTTTTCTGCCATCACAGATAAGGAATCGTCCAAAGGTAAATGCCTTATCAATTCGGCATATTTTAAGGTTCCACTTTCTACAACCTACAATATTGGTGATTTTAGCACTTTATCAGGTAATTTACCTTTCCATTACAGAACGTTTGCTGAAGGATTCAGAAAATGTACACCGTCTTTACAAATAGTACGGTTTCCTAATGCCTTATTTTACTGTGGTGAAAAAGTTGAATTATGGGAGAATTTGGACTTGCAGTGTATTACTGATTGGTTAGGAAAAACATAAATATATAAAACTAATGGTAAGATCATTCAAAATAAAATATACAGATCCCAGCTTCTTAGATCTATCTTCATTGGTAGAGATAAGAAAGTTAGATACAGAACAAAGGTGGCGACTAAATTTCATGTGTATTAATCAAAAAAAAAAGATAAAAAAAGGGCCATCCACGCGACCCTTTAACCATGCGGCACAGAAAGATAACGTATCTCAGATATTTCTAGATAACCATCGTACATCAGTAGGTGACTATCATCAACAAATTTCTATACATATACTTAGATATTAGCCTTGTTCCTTGTAAAAATACGGGCCACCGTAGTATACATAATTATATTTAGTATTGCATAATGACAGAAAAAAATACTTCTGCGTCTTATGCACAATCCTTCAGTAGTGTCGAAGAATATCCTGATGATGCCCCCAAAAACTTTATTGACAAGCTTGGTTTACTTTTAAATGCCGAGATCAGGGGGATAGAGAGAGTTCCCGATGATTTACGAGAGGATAAATCAATGTGGGGACCGTTGACTATATTCCTTTCACCAAATTTGGCTATTGCTGCCTTAGGTTCTGGTGCTTTGGCTCCAACTGTATTTGGCCTTGATTTTTGGACATCAGTAATAATCATTATAGTCTGGTCTTTGATTGGAGCACTTCCAGTGGCCTTCTGTGCCACATTTGGAATGAAATTTGGCCTTAGACAACAGATCATGTCCAGATATTTCACTGGAAATATTATGGGCAGAGTCTTTGCATTTTTCAATGCAATTAGTTGTATAGGTTGGAATGCAATTAATATTATTCCATCAGTGGAACTTTTAAGTTCTATGGGACCTTTACCGCCATGGGCAGGCTGTCTCATTCTTGTCATATTGACATGTGTGATTGCTATATTGGGGTACAAATACATTCATATATATGAACGTTATTCAGGTATTCCAAATTTCATTATTTATTTAATCTTAATTGCTAGATTAGCAAAGTCTGGAAATTTTGAGTTTGGAACTATGGACACTGGGAAAGCTGAAGCTGGGAATGTATTAACATTTATCGCTCTTGTTTTCGGATTTGTAGCCGGCTGGACTCCATCATCTGCGGATTATTTTGTATACATACCAAGTAATACTCCAAGTTGGAGAATATTTGTACCTGTTTTCATTGGGTTGTCAGTCCCATGTATATTCACATTAATATTAGGAGCAGCATGTGGAATGGGTACTTTAGGAAATGAAGAATGGGCTGCAGCTTTTGAAAAGGATTCCATTGGTGGATTAGTTTATCAAATTCTTGTTGAAAATAGTTTACATGGCTTTGGAAAATTCTGTTGTGTAATACTTGCCCTTTCAGCAATTGCGAATAACCTCCCTGGTTCATATTCCTTATCACTTTCAATTCAAGCATTATGGTCGCCATTAGCAAAATTCCCCAGAATTGGATGGTGTATTGCAGGAAACTTCTTATCATTAGGACTTTCTATCCCAGCATACTATGTATTCTCCCAGGCGATGTCAAATTTCTTCTCAATTATTGGATATAACGTCTCGATATACATTGGTATTACACTTTGTGAACACTTTATTTTCAGGAAAGGGTTCGGAGGTTATGATATTACCAACTTTGAAGATAGGAAAACCTTACCAGTTGGATTAGCAGGTTTATTTGCCTTTTGTTGTGGAGTAGTTACTACAGTTTTATCTATGAATCAAACTTGGTACAGCGGAGTCATTCTGCAAACATTCGGAAAATATGGTGGTGAAATATCCTTTGAACTTAACATATTCACAACATTCATTGTTTATGCTATCGTTCGCCCATTTGAAAAGAAATACTTTAAAAGATAGTCAAAGATATGTTGGATTAAAAGTCATTAATTAGTGTTAATGGTTGCAAAATAATTCATTTATACCTGTACATTGAACAAAGTTCTTTCGTAATTTTTTATTCTAAATTTCTTGTTTGAATCATATATGCAGGAATAGAGAATTATTAGTAATTTACACTAATTTTACATTCCAATTTACACCACCCCCCCCTGTATCCCTGCAAGATTCTTTTTTCTATTTTAATTTTTTGAAGAAAATTGGGAGTTATTTTTTAAACAAAAAAAAAAAATAAAATAAAAAATAAAAAAGTTCCACGTAACAGCATCTCTAAATTACAATTTACGGTACTCGGATCAATACCAAACCTCTTCAAATTAATTCAGATTTGTCATTTACAAAATCTTCTGAAATTATCTTTTCTCTTTGTATAGAATGTAAATATGTATACAATGTAGAATGTTCATTATTAAGCACCCCACACGATAGTGGGGGTTATCCTGCAATAATCCGAATATCTTGCAGAACTATATACAGTACCGCCTTAATTTGATTTGAGTTGCTTCCTTTGAAGCTAAGGATAAATCGGAATAAATTGTCTCAAATTTACAAAAATTACCAATTGTCATTGGTAAAGAGATATATATATTGTAAATACTTACAAGATGTCTCACCATGATATCATTGAATTGACCGCTGAAGAAAGAAGGCTTGCTGAGGACAAGAAAAGAGAAAAGTATTGGAAACATTGGGGTCCTTATTTAGGAGAAAGACAATGGGCCACCGTTCGTGAAGATTATTCACATGATGGTGATGCTTGGTCTGACTTTCCATTTGAACACTCCAAGTCGAGAACTTATCGTTGGGGTGAAGATGGGTTAGCTGGTGTATCTGATACCCATCAATTGATCTGCTTATCTCTTGGACTTTGGAATAGTAAGGATGATATTCTCAAGGAGAAACTTTTTGGTGTCACTAATTCTCAAGGTAATCATGGGGAAGATGTCAAGGAGCAATATTACTATCTTGATAACACTCCATCGCACGCTTACATGAAGTATTTGTACAAGTACCCTCAAGGGAAGTTCCCTTACAAGGAATTAATCGAAGAGAATGGGAAGAGATCTCGTTTGGAACAAGAATATGAGATTACTGACACTGGACTTTTCGATGAGAATAAGTACTTTGATGTTGTTTTTGAAATGGCTAAAAGTGATGATGATCCTGAAGAGTTACTTTTCAGAATTACCGCTTACAATAGAAGTGATTCCCCGGCTCCATTGGACATTTTGCCACATGTTGTTTTCCGTAACACTTGGGCTTGGGGTACTGAAGAGTTTAAGAACAAAAACAAACCTAATATGTCCCAAAACAGTAGCAACACCATTAAAATTGATCATCAACGTTTTGGTGAGAGATATGTTATCTTTGCACCCGCTCCTGGTGCACATGAAGATTCACCTGATATTGAACCAACTTTACTTTTTACTGAGAATGAAACAAATACTGAAAGATTGTATGGACAAGAGAACAAGCTGAAGTATGTAAAAGATGCGTTCCATGATTTCGTCATTGAAGACAATAAGGAGGCAACTAACCCTGAAAATAATGGTACCAAGGCTTGCGCATGGTTCCACTTTGATGAAGTTCCTGCTGGAGATTATGTGACAATTCGTTATAAAATGACTAAAAGAGTTGAAGAAATTGATGAATTTGAATTTGACAAGGTTTTTGCTAGACGTCAAGATGAAGCTGATGCCTTTTATTGGAAGATTTCTCCATTACCAATCAGTGATGATTTAAGACAAGTTCAACGTCAAGCATTCGCAGGTCTTCTTTGGACAAAGCAATTCTATCACTTTGTTCACAATTATTGGTCACATGGTGATAAAAACACCCCTAGACCACCAATGAATAGAGCAGGAGGAAGAAACAAAGATTGGAAGCATTTATACATTGATGACATTTTGTCCTTACCAGACAAGTGGGAATATCCCTTTTTTGCAGCCTGGGATACAGCATTTCATTGTATTCCATTAGCTATGATTGATCCAGATTTTGCAAAGAAACAAATTGATTTATTGACTAGGGAATGGTATATGCATCCAAATGGTCAAATTCCAGCTTATGAATGGAACTTCTCGGATGTTAACCCACCAGTACATGCTTGGGCAACATTTAGAATCTTTAAAATCGAGAGAAAAATGTACGGTACTGAAGATTTAGATTTCCTTGAAGCTGTTTTCCAGAAATTACTTTTAAACTTTACATGGTGGGTAAATAGAAAGGATTTCGATGGTAACAATGTTTTTGAAGGTGGGTTTTTAGGTTTAGATAACATTGGTATTTTCAACAGATCAGAACCTTTACCAACTGGTGGTAACCTTGAACAAGCAGACTCTACAGGTTGGATGGCATTCTTTTCTTTGCAAATGTTAAATATTGCTTTAGAATTAGCCAAAACAAGACCTGTTTATGAAAACATTGCCTCAAAGTTTTTTGAACATTTCATTTTGATTGCAGATGCTATGACATTCCGTGGAGCCGGAACTGGTGACACTGAAGCCACTGAAAGATCTTTGTGGGATGAAGATGACAAGTTCTACTATGATGCTATCAGTTTTGGAAACAAGGCTGAAAGTTTACCTGTAAGATCTTTAGTCGGGTTAATTCCACTTTATGCTTCTTTAACATTGGAACCGGAATTGTTAGATAAGTATCCTTCGTTTAAGAAAAGATTAGAATGGTTTATTGAAAACAGAAAATCAGTGGCCCAGCGTAACATCGCTTCCATGGAATCCAGAGGGGTGGGAGAACGTTTACTTTTAGCTTTGGTTGATAAAGAGAGATTAGTTTCCATCCTTGAGAGAATGTTGGATGAAGATGAATTCCTCTCCCCTTACGGGATTAGATCTTTGTCGAAGTATCACGAAAAGAACCCCTTTACCATGGAAGTTAATGGTCAAGAATATAAGGTTGAGTATTTACCAGGGGAATCTGATTCAGGTATGTTTGGAGGAAATTCTAATTGGAGAGGCCCAATCTGGTTCCCAGTAAACTTCCTTTTAGTCGAAGCTTTACAAAGATTTTATTTGTACTACGGTCCAGATGTTAAGGTTGAATGCCCAAAGGGATCTGGTGACTATCTTAACTTGGCACAATGTGCACAGGAAATCCAACATCGGTTGATGCATTTGTTCCTTCCTGACGAAGATGGAAATAGAGCTTGTAATGGTGAAAATAAGTTGCTTAACCAAGATGAATTATTTAAGGACTACGTCCCATTCTACGAATACTTTGATGGTGATACTGGTCGTGGATTAGGAGCTTCTCACCAATGTGGTTGGACAGCAATTGTTGCTAAATGGATTCACGACAATGGTACATCATGCAGAATTCCAAAGACTCCTAGAACACCTCGGACTCCTCGCTCATCAGTATTCTTACATAACTCTTCTAAAGAAAATAAAGATGAGCTTGCCAACGATGATCTGGATATTCAATCATTTGTTCCAAAATCGGGCCCATTCCCAGGTAGATTAATGAGAAGAAAATCCGGAAAATCGTTATTGAATTTGACTATTAATTCTCTTGATTTGAATGAACAAGATGAAGAAAGGGGTATTGAAACACCAAATCTCAATAATGGTATCAATGTTACTCATAAGACACTTGAAGGTGACTTATCCGAATTATCACCATCTCAATCTCAAGGATCTGCTGCTGATCAAAATTCTGCTATTGATGAAAACTTGCTTCAACAGATCAAGTCTGCTTTTAAGAAATACAGATTGAACAAAGAAGAAGATGTTGGAGATGAATTTGAAGCCAGACATTAACACTTGGTTTCGCATATTTTTTTTCGCAGCCATTCTTAAAAGCTGTTTCAGCTGTCATGCTCTTTGATGCTATGTTTTTGGATAGATTTTTATATACTTTTACCGATATAAATATGAATAAATAAATTATAATCTTTTAATTCTATATAAAGTCTATTACGTTGTAGATATTTAAATTATTTATTAAACTACTATATAACTACCAGTCCTTTCTATTGACAACCTGTATGTATTAATAAATTTCATAGGAGGACAATCAACAGTCACATCGACACGTGACCGCGACAATTTACATACAGTACGATTTATTCCATAAAAAACGGTTTTGTGTTATATCATCACAAAAATTTCATGTGGGTGAAAAATGTATACTTGAAACGATTTCCAACTCTAAGGCTCTCTTATACTACCTGTAACTACACACAAAAATGGCTCCAAAAGGAAAGAAGGTCGCTCCAGCTCCATTAGCTAACAAGTCTAAGACTGTCTCTGCCAAGAACCCATTGGTTGACGCTACCCCAAAGAACTTTGGTATCGGTCAAGCCGTCCAACCAAAGAGAAACTTGTCCAGATTCGTCAAATGGCCAGAATACGTTAGATTGCAAAGACAAAAGAAGATCTTGTCTTTGAGATTGAAGGTTCCTCCAGCAATTGCTCAATTCCAAAACACTTTGGACAGAAACACTGCTGCTCAAACCTTGAAGTTGTTCAACAAGTACAGACCAGAAACCTCTGCTGAAAAGAAGGAAAGATTGACCAAGGAAGCCGCTGCTGTTGCCGAAGGTAAGTCTGCTAAGGATGCTTCTCCAAAGCCAGTCGTTGTCAAGTACGGTTTGAACCACGTTGTCTCCTTGATTGAAAACAAGAAGGCTAAGTTGGTCTTGATCGCTAACGACGTTGACCCAATTGAATTGGTTGTTTTCTTGCCAGCTCTTTGTAGAAAGATGGGTGTTCCATACGCCATTGTGAAGGGTAAGGCTAGATTGGGAACTTTAGTTCACAAGAAGACCTCTTCCGTTGCTGCTTTGACCGAAGTTGCTTCTGAAGATGAATCTGAATTGGCCAAGTTGATCTCTACCATCAACTCTAACTTCATTGAAAAGTACGAAGACTCCAGAAGACACTGGGGTGGTGGTATCATGGGTTCTAAGTCCAACGAAAGAGTTGCCAAGAGAGCTAAGACCATGGATGTTACCAAGGCTTAAATAGCGTCCCTTATATACTAATCTACAATATCGGTGAATATTTATTTTAATCAGTAGCTTATGAAAGTCATAAGTTGTAGAAATATATCTGTATTAATATAGGGCATCGTCCCTATAGCATACAGAAACAAAAGAGGAAAAATTATTAACACAAACTTATCAAAAAAAACTCTTTTATTTTACAGGTTAAATTTATCTACTCACTAATTTAGAGTTACTCTACAATATCAAGGTAATGTATGTAATAATGGATCATGTTCTTGTAAATTTTTGCAGCATTGTATGTGGTGTTGAGTAAGACAGACATGCAACAACTAGAAGAAAATCGAGAGTCAAAAAAAAAAAAAAAAAAAAAAAATAAGAGTAGCAAAAAAATACTACGTTCCAACCTGTATATAAAACAGCCGGGTAACTCTCAATTTTCTGGCCAATGACAATTACCTTTTTTCTGTTACCAGACTCAATTTGAACATATATATCGAATATTAAATAGTAATATCGAAAGCTATATCCGAGGCATACACAACATCACAATGTCGTTTTTGAGAGATTTGATAGAATTTGCACTTCCTGTTGCTTACGCCGACGAAGTACGTAGACTATTGGAGAGAAAGAGGAATCATAGTTTGTTTTAATTATCCCAAATTCAAAATTTATAATAGATGAACAAATTATCAACTGATAATGTTGAATTGTTCTAGATATATGGGGACGTCATAACGGAATGGAAGAAATATTCCATGTAGATCGATTTGACATAAGAATGATTCTCCTAATTAACTTGTTTATCTTATCTATCATTACTAACATATTTATAGCCAAAGGAAGATGAAGTAGTTGAAGTATCTGAAGAAACCACTCCTGAAGCCGAAGAAGAAGAAGCTGAAGCTGAAGAAGAAGAAGAAGAGGAAGAAGAAGAAGAAGACGAAGATGAAGAAGATGAAGACGAAATTGTTGACCCAATGGACACCATGCGTGAAGAATGTCAAGAAACCGCTGCATGTAAGCCATACCTTCACCACATGACCGAATGTATCGAAAGAGTTACCAAGGAACAAGAAGAAGAAGGATACGAACACAAGGAATACAAGGAAGACTGTGTTGAAGAATTCTTCCACTTGCAACATTGTATCAACGACTGTGTTGCTCCAAAGTTGTTCCACAAGTTGAAGTAGATTAGACATATACACCACACAATGATGGATGCATTGCCGTGCCCTTTGTCTCATAAAAACATACGTTGGGATAAGGTGCAACTTTCTTCCCCGAAAACTATCCATGTACCCAATGAAATATACTAAAAAATTAAATATATAATCGATTATAATCGAGCGATATACAGTTATCATGACCGTTATATTGAAGTTGTAGTGGAGATTCATGTTTCAAGAGCAACCAAATGGATTCCTTAAAAAAAAAATGTAGAAGCTTGTATCCACCATTTAATTTTAAATTACCTTGTGCGTTTACGTTTAGAATTGCATTTTTTAAAAAAATTATTATCTTATTATTAAACACCAAAGAGAAGCTATATTGTTAATCAAGTTGAACTCACTTCTTTATTTTAGTTATATTACTCCATATTTTATTGTTAACATTGGTGGGGTTCTTATCGATTATAACAATTTACGGATATTCACGTGATGATGTATGTGCAGGGGAAATCGAATTGAAAGTTGATGTTTGACGAACGAAGACCCCCCCGCAATGATATTTCGCCCAATTGAGGAATCGTTCAAATATTAAAAATTCACTTCTGTTATGTACTTAATCATGATCAATGATATACATCTCTTTATATATAATTTTATTACTAAATATATTTATATATATATATATATTCTATTTGATTAATTTAAAATAAGATAAACATTGTACTCGAAGTTTTTCCTTCTAATCGAACCATTAGTATAACTCCTATCCGCGTTACGAGCCCACGAACACGTATGTGGTCTTTCAGTTTCTATATAAGGGTATGGAAATGTTCGCTAATAAATTCAAAGTTTATTGATTAATCATTACCACACATTTAATCAATCGAAGTTAAGCATTGAACCCACCTTATATAGTTAGTATTGTTTTGAAGGAATACTTATCTGAGAACTGAACACGAAGAATTTAGAAAGTAAACTCAAAAATTGTTGAATCATGTCTATTGAATTGAAGCCATTTATTGAAGATAGAGTCTACATTGGGAATGTTGACTACAAAGCCACTGAAGAAGAATTGAGAGAACTCTTCTCTGGTTTGACTGTGTACGTATCAAATATAACAGAGTAGGGATTGAATGATTATACTAACTGATTTTTATAGTACTGAAGTTGATATTCCATCAAAAAGTATCCATAGTGGCAAGAAAGTATTAAATAAATCCTTAGGATTTGCATTTGTACAATTTGAAACCAAGGAAGATGCGGATACTGTTATTGAGAATTACAATGGTAAAGAATTTAAGGGAAGAAAAGTTTACGTAAAGAAGGCAGTTCCTCCACCAACTGAAGAGGAAAAGGCAAAGAAAGCTGAGATTTACAGAGCAAAGAGACAGGCACAACAAGAAGCACAGAAGGCTGCCGCCGCCATTGCTGCTGCCGAAGAGGAAGAAAAGAAGTCTGCTGCTGCCGCTGCTACTGCAACTCTGACTGCTTCACCTCCAAGTGGTAAGAAGACTCCAAAGAAGAGCACCCCTAGGCCTAAATTACCATTGGAGGAAGGTACTAAATCCACTGACACGATATTCATTACCAATCTTGCTTTTGATGTGAATGTGAAGACATTGACGGCTATCTTTAAAGATTATAAGCCAATATGGATTCATATCCCAATCAGGAAAGTGCCTTACAAGCTTTTGAATAAGCGGAAGGCCGAAGGTAAGCCTCTTAAGAACAAGGGAATTGCATTCGTTAAACTTGCTGATGAATCTTTACAGAAGAAGGCAATCGAAGAATTCAATGGGAAGGAGATTGGTGATCGAGTAGTTGTTGTTGATGTAGCAATTGATGCTAGAATCTCAACTCCTGAAGGTGAGGGTAATAAATCGGAAGTCGAGGTTCCAGAGCCTGAAAAGAAGGTTGAAGAAGCTATTGAGTCTGCTTAAAATAACATACCCTGCGTTAAAAGTCAGATAATCCGTATTCTATACATATTAGTATCATTTATAGGTGCAAAACCAATTTAAAAGTTATATTTGAACTTAGGTATATTGGATTGTGAAGAGAAAAATAAAACCCCCCCGAAAACAAAACTGAATCATGACTTTCTTTAGGGAATTAATGCCATAATATGAAAATTAACCATAGAACCATGTAGAAAAGTAGAATACAACTAAAAAAAAAAAAATCACACAAAAGTATCGATAGAGGTTGATAATGAATGGTTTATCTCTATTGCATTAAAACTTTATAATGTAGGGTATAGCCCTATTGAGAGAGCTATTAGCACGTGCGCACCCATCAGACATTTGAGTGACTGCCAGAAATACCGTTCCTGTATGATGAACAATATACAGGAAAACTCAAAATTTCTCTTTGTGTCACTCTGATCGAAAAATGGGAATAATTTTTCACTTAGAACAGACAAAAATTCCAAATATACACCACTAGTACACTTATCTAATTTCAAAATGGGTATGTACATTGAAGCTAGCGTCTGAAATAATGAACAATACATCTATAAGCTATACCGGTTAGAGCCACTCAACTTTTAACCGGAGGAAATGAACTTCAAAATCAATCGAATAATTATGACGTTGAAATCATTTTTCAAGTAGAAAGTAAATGGAATCTGTTATATTATTAAGTCGAACTATTGGAAGCTTTGAGAAGGGTATACTAACAATTTTTAGGTAGAGTTATTCGTAATCAAAGAAAGGGTGCTGGTTCTATCTTCACCTCTCACACCAGATTGAGAAAAGGTGCTGCCAAGTTAAGAACCTTGGATTATGCTGAACGTCACGGTTACATTCGTGGTATCGTCAAGCAAATCATCCACGACCCAGGTAGAGGTGCTCCTCTTGCCAAGGTTGCCTTCCGTGACCCATACAAGTACAAGTTGAGAGAAGAAATTTTCATCGCTAACGAAGGTGTCTACACTGGTCAATTCATTTACGCCGGTAAGAAGGCTTCTTTGAACGTCGGTAACGTTTTGCCTTTAGGTTCTATGCCAGAAGGTACCATTGTCTCCAACGTTGAAGAAAAGGCTGGTGACAGAGGTGCTTTAGGTAGAACTTCCGGTAACTACGTTATCGTTGTTGGACACAACCCAGACGAAGGTAAGACCAGAGTCAAGTTGCCATCTGGTGCTAAGAAGATCATCTCTTCCGACGCTAGAGGTGTCATCGGTGTCGTTGCCGGTGGTGGTAGAATCGATAAGCCATTGTTGAAGGCTGGTAGAGCATTCCATAAATACAAGGTTAAGCGTAACTCTTGGCCAAAGACTAGAGGTGTTGCCATGAACCCAGTTGATCACCCTCATGGTGGTGGTAACCATCAACATATTGGTAAGGCTTCTACTATTTCCAGAGGAGCTGTTCCAGGTCAAAAGGCTGGTTTGATCGCCGCCAGAAGAACTGGTTTGTTACGTGGTACTCAAAAGACCCAAGATTAGGTGCATAATACATAAACTGTACAGTAGAAAGATTGTAAAGTATGTAGGAAGAAGGATGATTTATGAGGGAAGAATGAAGAAAGTGCTTACCCTTTGATGTAGTACAAATTTACACTTTTAAAGTTTGATTTAGATAAATATAAAGGGTTGTATTGTCTTTGAAAGGACCCCTAACCTATATACCATTTCAAAAGCCGCAATAGGAGCAAATGCGGCCAATAAGCAAGGCAAATTTGTGAAAAAAAATCTGAAAAAGGAAATTTATCGGAAACAAAAAAAAAAAAATACATTCTAGTATTCTTATCGGACATTAAGCGGAGCCGTACATCTAGAAGGACGCAAGGAGGTCAAAACTTTAAAAAAAATGAAAACTAGAACAATCAGTTCCAATCATTAGAGTTATAATAAGGAAGAACGAAATATGAAAAGGCATATGTAGATGAGATACCAATATGTGTCAAATGTAGAGAAAGATTGGTATTCCCATTGAGATAGGGGTATTGTGTAAGTATGAACACAAATGTCGTTATATGCGGTACTTTATGCGAATAATTATTTATTTATATAAATGTGGGAACAATTCATTTGTTTACGGCCAGCGGCGATCCTTGAATAAAAGGGTGGCGAACCCGTTTAAGGAAATACCGAGTCAAAATGGATCCAAACCTAAAATGCTCCCTACACGACCTACCTTGTGATATGCGGCTAATAGTAAGAATGAAGGAAATTAATGTGAAGAAATTGATAGGGGGTATGGTCAAGCCGCATCCAGTTGCCGCCACGAGAACTTCTTTGAGTCAGATCTGGAAACCTTGTAGTAGTATAATTTCACAAGATTTACTGACTCAGTTTCTATCTACGCGATTGAACTAAAAAAAAAAAAAAAGCCATTTTTCAGCGGCCTCGCATAATCTTTAATACTCTTCGCACCAGTTTTATAGTTTTTTTTATATATAGAGAAGTAGAAAATTAGTAAAGTTCTTGTATCAAAATTCATTCATTTTTGCATTAATTGATCATGTCAGACTCTTGTCCTTGGTGGCATTACGATGACGTTACAAAATGTGCAAGGACCACCTACCTTGACGGATTATATCCTCTTGTAGTCGGTGGTGCCTCATTTGCTCTACTATCAGTAAAGACAAGCATACACCTTTATAAGCATGGTAAGAAGACCGGGGCCCCTAGTGCCGAAACCCAGCCTCTTCTTGCAGCTGCTGATGCATACGGATCCGTTGAAGCTCCTGAAGAAATTGCCAACGTTTCTATTAAGGAACGTCACTTTGACCTTAAACGTGTACCAGATACTAATGAAGACGGTACCCCTCACGGCAAACGTCAATTGGTATTCAAGGATACCGCCGACCGCTTTAGAGTATGTGTCGAATATCTCGCCGTCATCTTGCGTTTAGCTTTGGCCATCTCAATGCTTTTCTACCCTGAATTTAAACATTATTGGAGAAAGACACCTTTTACTGCCTGGATTCAAATTTTCTTTTGGACTTATATTTTCGTCATTGTTTCTATTAGAGTTGGGAATTTAAACAAATTACGCCTTCATCTCCCATCACTTTGGAGTCATTGTACAGTGTTGTATTTCTTCAACCTTTTATCTACAGTGATTTCATTTAGATCTGCTCTTACTCACAATGTTACCGTGGATTCAGTTCGTTACTTATACATCGCCCAGTTTGTCCTTGCATCTATTCTCTTAATTACAAACTTCCTGTCCAAAACAGCCGATAAACCTGCAGTTTTATACATCACTAGTGATGGTGTTACACCATCTCCAGAAAATGTGTCTAGTCTTTTCGACCTCTTGTCTTATTCTTGGCTCGATAAGATGGTTTGGAAATCTTATAAGCAAACTTTAGAAATGAAAGATATTTGGGGTTTAAGAGAAGATGATTATGCATTATCTATCCTTAAGTCTTTTGAAAGAGGTAAGAAAGCTGCTAATTTCACCATTAGATTGTTTTCACATTTCAAGTTATTACTTGCTGTTCAAGCTTTTTGGGCTGTATTAGAAGCTCTTTTAATCTTTGCTCCATCTCTTTTATTAAAGAAAATCTTGGAATATGTTGAAAACCCAGAAGTCAATTCTAAGAATTTGGCTTGGTGTTTTGTGTTTGGTATGCCAATCTTTAAGATGCTTGATTCTATTTCATCTGGATGTTCTCTTTTCATTGGTAGAAGAGTTTGTCTTAAGATGAGAGCTATCATCATTGGTGAAGTTTATGCTAAGGCTTTGAGAAGAAGAATCACAGTTTCTGAAGTGAGCGAAGAAGATGAGGAAGAAAAGAAGGATGACGACTCCAACAAAAATAAGAGTGAATCTTCCAGTCAAAAGGGCGATAAGGAAGAACCAAAGAAGACAGCTGAATTAGGTGCAATCATCAACTTGATGGCCATTGATGCTTTCAAGGTTTCTGAAATTTGTGGTTATTTACACTTCTTCGTTGGATCTATTTTGATGATTTTCATTTGTATTTATTTATTATATGGATTGCTTGGATGGAGTGCCTTGGTAGGTGCTACCTCTATTGTTGCCTTGTTACCACTTAACTATAAGATTGCTAGTTATTTTGCTCAAATGCAAAAGAAGATGTTGACCATTACTGATAAAAGAATTCAAAAGATGAATGAAACTTTCCAAAGTATTAGAATTATCAAGTTCTTTGCTTGGGAAGATAAGTTCTATGACAGTATCATGGAAGTTAGATCTAAGGAATTGCACAAGTTGAAGGTTAGACTTGCCGCTTGGAGTGCTGGTGCCTTTGTTTGGTTTATTACCCCAACTTTAATCACTTTATTATCATTCTATTGCTACACCATCATTGAAGGTAAGGTTTTGACTGCTCCAATTGCTTTCACATCTTTGTCTTTATTCACTTTATTAAGATCGCCATTAGATCAATTATCTGATATGACTTCGATTGTGCTTCAATCCAAGGTTTCCCTTGATAGAGTTGATGATTTCTTGAATGAAGAAGAATCTTCTAAGTACGAACAATTAGGTCAAGAAGCTGGTCCTAACTCTCCATATATCGGATTTGAAAATGCCACATTTTCTTGGAACTCAAAGGCTGAAACTGATTTCAAATTAAAGGATTTGAATGTTGACTTCAAGGCTGGAAAGTTGAATGTTGTTATCGGTCCAACTGGTGCCGGTAAGACTTCTTTACTTCTTGCCTTACTTGGTGAAATGGAATTGACTGCAGGTAAGGTTTTCTTACCTGGTATTATTCCTAGAGATGAATTGATTATTGACCCTCGTACTGGGTTGACTGAATCTGTTGCCTATTGTTCTCAAGCTGCTTGGTTATTGAATGACACCATCAAGAGCAATATTGTTTTTGCTGCTCCATTTAACCAAGATCGTTATGACAAGGTTATTGAAGCCTGTGGTTTGAAGCGTGATCTTGAAATCTTGAGTGCTGGTGATGCTACTGAAATTGGTGAAAAGGGTATTACATTATCTGGTGGACAAAAGCAAAGAGTTTCTTTGGCCAGAGCTTTGTATTCCAATTCTAGACATGTTTTGTTAGACGATTGTTTATCTGCTGTCGATTCTCATACTTCATTGTGGATTTATGAAAACTGTATTTCCGGTCCATTGATGCAAGGTAGAACTTGTATTTTAGTTTCACATAATGTTGCTTTGACCGTACAAAAGGCCGAATGGATTGTTGTCATGGAAAATGGTAGGGTTAAATCCCAAGGTGAGCCAGAATCTTTACTTGCTTCTGGTGATTTGGGTGACGATGATATGATTAAAACCTCTGTTATGAACTCTAGATCTCAATCCACTACAAACTTGCAATCTTTGGATGACAAGAATGCCGACTTGAAAGCCAAGGGTGCCGCTATTGAAGCTAAACTCAAGGCTGCCACTGCCAATGACCCAGTTGAAGAAGAAGTTAAGACTGATGGTAAGTTGGTGGAAGAAGAAGCTAAATCGGATGGTGTTGTTGACTTCAAGGTTTACGCCGGTTATGCCAAGGTTTTCGGAGGATGGCCAATGTGGAGTTTCCTTCTTGCTGTCTTTGCTATTTCCCAAGGTGTTTACATGTTGCAATCATTATGGTTGAGAAGTTGGTCTTTGCACAGTGGATTATCATCCACTAAGGACGCTGCAATCGCCATGGCACAAGTGAGTAGTGTTTATGATGTTTCTGAAGTTGCTTCACTGCCAATTGTTCGTGTCTTTTCTGGAGGTCTTCAATTGGTTTCTACTACTGTGTCTACTTTGGAAACTATGAAGGAGGAAAAATCTGCTTTGTACTACATTGCTGTTTATGGTATTATTGGTGTTATTTACTCTGTCACTGCTTGTTTGAGAGTGCTAGTCACCTTCTTCTCTGGTGTTAGAGCATCCAACCGTATCTTTAAGCAAGTTTTATCTACAGTTTTGAAAGCTAAATTGAGATTCTTTGACAAGACTCCTCAAGGCCGTATTATGAACAGATTCTCGAAGGATATCGAAGCCGTTGATCAAGAATTAACTCCATTCGCTGAAGGTGTATTTGCTTGCGTTGTCCAATGTGTTTCTACTTTGGTACTTATTACCGCAATCACTCCTGGTTTCCTTATTTTCGCATTGATTGTTTCCTTCTTGTATTACTTAGTTGGTTTATTCTATGTGTCTGTTTCTCGTGAATTGAAGAGATTCGAATCTATTACAAAGTCTCCAATCCATCAGCATTTCTCTGAATCATTGAACGGTGTTGCTACAATTAGAGCTTATGGTGTTGAATCCCGTTTCATGAAACAAAACTTGCAAGCCATTGACAACAATAACCGTCCATTCTTTTACTTGTGGGTTGCTAACAGATGGTTATCTTTCCGTGTTGATGCTGTCGGTTCTTTGGTTATGTTTTTCTCTGGTATCTTTGTTTTAACCTCAGTTGGTAAGATTGATGCTGGGTTGGCTGGTTTGTCATTGTCCTATGCAATTGCTTTCTCTGAAAGTGCTTTATGGATTGTTCGTCTCTACGCCAATGTTGAAATGAACATGAACTCAGTAGAACGTTTACAAGAATATTGTGAAATTGAACAAGAACCACCTTATGAAATTCCAGAAACTGCACCAAGAGCCTCATGGCCAGAAAAGGGTGAAATTTCTGTTAAGGATGTATCCTTACGTTATGCTCCTGAATTACCAAGAGTCATTAAAAACGTATCTTTTGATGTTCAACCATGTAACAAGATTGGTATTGTTGGTCGTACTGGTGCTGGTAAGTCTACCATTATCACTGCATTCTTTAGATTTATCGACCCAGAGACCGGTAGTATTTTGATTGATGGAGTTGATATCACTAAGATTGGTTTGCGTAACTTGCGTCAAGCAATCACTATCATTCCACAAGACCCTACCTTGTTTACTGGTACAATCAAGTCTAACTTGGATCCATTTTCACAATACACTGATGCACAAATCTTTGAAGCTTTGAGAAGAGTTAATTTGATTGGTGCCGATGAGACTTTGGAATCAGCTGAAGCTGGTGAAAACCAAAATAAGTTCTTGAACCTCGACTCTCCAGTTACTGAAGGGGGTGGAAACTTATCTCAAGGTCAAAGACAATTGATGTGTTTGGGTAGATCTTTGTTGAAGAGTCCTAAGGTTATCTTGTTGGATGAAGCTACTGCTTCTATTGACTACAAGTCCGATGCTATGATCCAACAGACAATCCGTGAAGAGTTTTCTGGCTCTACAATTTTGACAATTGCTCACAGATTGAGATCTATCATTGATTATGATAAGATTTTGGTTATGGATGCGGGTAAAGTTGTTGAGTACGAAGATCCATACAAGTTGATCGCAGACAAGAGCTCATTATTCTACAGTATGTGTGAAAACAGTGGTGAACTTGAATCTCTTACTAAGCTTGCTAAGGAGTCATTTGTCGAAAAGAAGAACAAGTCACAACGTAGTTAAGTTGTATATCATTTATTAGAACTATGTAATTTATTATACAAAAATAATAGAAAAAGTAGGAGAAGTATGGGTTGGATTTAATTCGGAAAGATTCTATATCCTTAGGTTGTACTTAGTAACAATGCAGGAATTGTGTGCATGACCGCGTATTAATTCCCTTATCTCGCAGCCACCACATTTCACAACATTTATAAGTTCGCGCAATAGTGATCTGATATGGGAGCCCCCCTATATCACTCTCTTTATCAGTTGTTCTTCCTTTGTTCATCTAATATGACCATGGAATCAAAGGGATACAAGAAGGTAAATTTGTTTGAGGTTCAGTCCCAAGAGTTGGACAACTCCTCAAACTCAAGTACAACGCAACTTATCGATGTTCCAGACGAATACTCTAGACCATCAATTGAGATAAACGGTAGTGTGTCGTATTTACAATCACTTGAGGAATTACCACAGGGCCGTCATTTGGGGCTATTTTCGACTATTGTATTGTTTGTTAGTAGGATTGTGGGATCAGGAATCTTTGCAACTCCAGCAAGTATATATTCTGATGTTGGCGGATCCCCATTTCTATTTTTAACCGCATGGTTATTGGCTGCTGGGCTAGCCTTTAGTGGTTTATATGTGTATCTTGAACTTGGGTCGTTGGTACCGCGAAGTGGTGGTACCAAAGTCTTCTTGGAGTTCATTTATACAAAGCCATCATATCTAGCAAGTGTGGTTTTCTCATTATATTCAGTCATGTTTGGATTCACCCTTCTGAATGCTCTCGTATTCGGAGAGTATTTTTTACACTCTCTTGGAATTAAACCAACGGAATATAAAAGTCGAATTGTTGGCTTAGCATTAATTTACTTTACAGTTGTTGTTCATGGTCTTAGTGTACACCATGGGGTTAGAATTCAAAATTTCTTTGGTATCTTAAAGCTTGCCTTGATGGTAGTTATGACAATGACTGGGATATATCTGGTATGGTTTCCAGAGTCAATAACACATATTCCATCCAATCTCGATTTAGAATCATTCTTTAAAACAAAATCAGCTGTAAGCTCATCAACATTCGCCAGTGCCATTATCAAGGCTAGTTTTTCATTTGCTGGGTGGAATTCGGTGCATACAGTCTCCAGTGAAGTAAATGATCCAGTACGGACCTTCAAGATTGCTGGTCCCGTTTCTTTGGGATTGGTAACTGTTAGTTATCTTTTCACAAATTTAGCTTATTTGGTGGTTATTCCTAGTGACGAAATTACAAACAGTGGTAAACTTATTGGTTCACTCTTGTTTGAGAAAGTTTTGGGATATAGAATAGGGAAGAATTTCTTGTCATTTGCAATAGCTATCTCATCAGCTGGAAATGTTTTGGTTGTTATCTATACAATCTCAAGAATTTCTCAAGAAGTTTTCAGGGAGGGGTTCCTTCCATTTCTGGGATTTATGGCATCCAACTGGCCGTTTGGATCTCCACTCCCGACCTTGCTTCTAAGCGCGTCTTTATCAACTTTTTTCCTCCTAGTTCCACCACCAGGAGACATATACAATTATATAATTGCTCTTGAAGGTTATCCAGGCCAGATTTTTACCGCCGCCGTGACAATTGGAATCTATATTGTGAGAAAAAGGTATCCAGATCTCAAAGCACCAATTCGTTCAAGTCTTGTTGGGTCGTCATTTGTGTTGATAATATCATTGTATCTTTCAATATCACCTTTAGTTTCAAGTGTTAGCCCCAACCCCAAGGGTTTGGAAAACTGGCCCTCATATCCAATTCTTGCGTTAGCATGCCTTTTTGCGTGTGTTTTATATTGGGTAATTATGTTCAAGGCAAGTCCATGGTTTTATGGTTACAGATTAGTTCCAGAAGAAGTCACTCAAGATGATGGATTAGTTATTAAGCAATGGGTTAAGGTGTACGGGAATTACACCGTTTAATAGATTAATAGATTTAATAGACAATCCTATGGCTGTTACTTGAAGGTATTCACTTTAGTAGTTCATCTAATCTCTCAACAAACTTTACAAATTCAGGGTTTTTTAATTTTTGTTTTATGATTTGTTTAATATCTTCATCTGACATAGAGTAAATATTTGGGGACAGCGAATGATTATCGTCTTTATTGTTAAGTTCAGTGAACTCCACTAGTGTAGTATCATTATCTACTGGGATCAGGAAATTGTATTCTTGGGTCAAATTTATTGGCGATTGTTGAGAATACTGAGAGTAAATAGCCTGGGAGTGCTCTGGAAGTTGAACTTGAATGTGAGATTGATGTTTGATCTGAGACTGGACTTGTGAATGAATAGTTTGAGACGGTGGAAATTGGGAAAGAAACTGGGAATTTTGATCGTAATGTTGAGAATATTGCCTACTATCACCCAAGTACTTTATAGTGATTCCCAATAAATTGATATGAGCTACACATCTTTCGTACTCTATTGTGTCGTTGAATCCAACTTGGAATTTCTTTGAAATGGTATTTCCATCCAACCACTTGAAGGCCAAGTAAGGATATCTAGTAGTTACTTGTAGCGATGCACTTTGATAAGAAAGTTGGCTACAAGGGGAAAATTCGATTTGTTCCTGATTATTATGTTAGCGTACTATATTGATAATTGTTTTGATTATTTTATTACTTACTAGAATAGTAGCTCTCCACATCACTTTGAGCTTTATTTGATTGCTGTTTATCTTGATAAAGGTGAGGGAAAGATCAGAGCGTTGTGGAAAGTGAACCCACCCATCCTCAGTACTTCCTCTCAAAGAGGAGAGCTTCCTTATATTGAATGTGTTCATATTTCAATGTTATAATGGGATGATTTCCCTTCAATATCTGAATTATGGTTGCAAATCCGAAGTCGCATTATTAAACCAGATGCGTTAAAATATTAGTTGGGTGGTAAATGCAAACATCATTCAGGTAAAGCTCAAGATTTCAGATTATACCAATACATATTGCATGGAAGCATATACATACATATATAGAAATATGTACACTTCACTTGTTTTTTTTCTGGGTTAGAGTTTCCTTGTGAATTTAATTTCTATGTACCTCACCTGTGACATCATACAACGGAATCCAAAATTTAAACGAGGTCAAATTACCGTTAAACTACAGATATTTCGCATTTCTTCAAACTGCCATCATCATACTGTTCCTTTTTTTCATAGTGTTATATTGTGGGATTACTTTTTAAAGGCATAATGCAAGTTAATACAGAAGTAGTTACAAAGTACTTAGCTTTGTGTGATGAATATCTTTATCAATTACTTGACGGAAGCACTCTCACCAAGAGTTTAATAACTACCCCAACCAGTAAACACATAACATACACTTTATTTGTGCTATTTGTGGTAGTTTTCTTTTATGAAACACTCTATTGGTCAGGAATATATCTTGGATTATGGGAATATCATGCCAAAGATATATTCACTGAAGTCCCAGTTCACTGTGCTCATGTCTATATAAGATTAAATGTTGTACAAAAAGATAATGTATCTAAATTAGAATCTCACTATAGCAAGGCCCAAGATTCTTTCCTTACAAGATATTGGACTAGGTTCACTACTCCAAAATATGATTTTACAGAACGTTCATTACCAATTACTTATCATTTCGAATTCAGTCCAGAAGATTTCGAAATGAATGAATCTCCAGAATGGGGGTCAACTATTGATCATTTAAGAAATAAAATTTTGGATACATATAGAGAGTCTCCATTGAAGTCAAAGGGAAATGCCAAAGTTACATCTTCCAATGTTATATTATTCAACAACAAATATCAATTAATCCAACATAAGCAAAATAACTCATATCTTTGCAAATGCCATATTGAAACTGGGAATCTTATTGATGCATTCATTACCGTTTAGTCATCATTAAGTAAATATCTTTTCCCCTTAATAATATTCAAATCAACCAATCTTTGTTCTGTTATAGTCCATAGTTTAATGATCTTTTCCAATTTTGATTCTAATGTTAAATCCTGTAACTTTGTCAATTGATCTTCATTAGTATTAGAATAGTTACTCAGATCTTCATCCCCCGTTAATATGTCATATTCGTTTGTAATATAAATATCATTAAGGGAATTTTGGTTTCCAGATGGACTTTGACTTTTGCCCTCCTTGTGACATTGAATCAGATTAATATCAAACTGTACCCCACTCGTATATTTTCTATCCCTAAAATTTTCTTCCCGATTCAAATTCAATATAGCCTTATTCACTAATCCATAACACTTGTTTCTTAGTGAAAGATTAAATAAATGTCTTAATTCTTCAGGTAAATCTTTTTGATCTTCAATATTTTTGATCTTTGGATCAAAATTGAAACAAAGTAAACTCATGGTGATTTCTAATTCCTTTAATAGTTTAGACAGATGTATCACCTTATTGACTAGATTCTCTCTCACAAATGTTAATATATCGTTAAGAAATTGCTTTTCCTTCTCATTAGAAATATCTTGATCAAGTTTATGATTTCGAATCATTTCAATTAAATTAAGTCTTAATAGCTTGAAATAAAGTAAGTTATTAGAATCCAATATACTTGGAAAATATTCTCCTATCTTGCTAATGGCTTCAGTAATCGAGCCCTTTAAAATAAGTAACTTGATCTCCTTTCTATGATTAATGGTGGAGTATCCACTTAAGATTTGCTTTCCATTTGTTCTCAAGCCAACATCTTTGTTCTGGTGAATTGGCTTCACTCGTTCTTCTTCAAAGTAATTATCAATTAACTCTGAGAATTGGGAATCACTAATACTACCAATAGAACCAAGTTGTCTTGCTAATGGATTAGAAGGAGACTGTCCCGCATTATCTTCCAGTATTCCCAACGAGACCCCAGTTTCTTTAGCGAAACTAATCGCCGCTTCTTGATACCCTTCCTGGATGAAGTAGTTCAATATAAGATTATCTATTTTATATTTTGGAGTTTGGCAATTCATTGATTTTACTAAAGAATAAAGAAGTTAATTTTAATATAAATGATGAATAGATAAGGGTTGCGATTTATTTTTGAATGCCAAAATTCATTGTCATTTTTGTGGGGTGAGAATGTGCAATTTTATTATAATGCCAGAATTGAAAGTTATTCATTAATATTTTCAATTACATGTGGTTTTGATATGTGTTTACAAACATTAAATTTTAAATATCAAACCTGAATCGGTTCTTCTAATTTCACTTATATTTGTTTATCTTTCTATTTAAATATCGGTTGGCATTTTCATGATAAGAAGAACAGTAGATGTCCAACCCAAAAAGTTCTTTGCACCCTTCGCTTCTCCTGTAATGTCATCGTATTGCTCCCAGACAAACCCAGTTTTATCCCATTGGCTGTAAACATTTTCTACTAAATTAACACGAAGTTCACTATAAGCAAGAGCAAGTTTTTCTGCAACATCTGAGCTCATATGTGGTGCAGATTCTTGTTTATAGTGTACCAATGCTTCAAGAACAAGATAGTTAATATTGAGCCAAATTGGAGATCTCCAGTAATTTTCTGCAGTTCTGTACTTTTCATCAGATTTAGATAATGATCTGATTCCATATGGAGACCACAATTGTTCAGGATCTTTTAACATATCCACAATATGTTCAATTTTATCCACTTGAGTAGTTGGAATAAGCTTAGTGATGAAGGGGAAAAGAGATATGTAACCCTTGAAACAATAATGCATGTTTTCATCATTTTCATCTACAGAAACATCACAATATGTCTTTTCATTTTCAGACCAATGAATCAGCTCAAGATTTTCAATGATTTCTTCTTCAATCTTTTCAAAGTCAGCCAAATCTTCATTTTCACCAAGGATTTTAGCCATCAGCTTCATAGATTTGGTCATGACACCAACCCAAGAGAGTAAATCAACATTCAATTCAGCAATATCAGCTGGAAGTGGCCTTGGATAATCGTCTAATCCACTGGCAAGGCAATGGGTGATGGTACGTCCCCTCCAACGATAAGCTTCAGAAATTCCATCTCTATCAAAATCTTCCACGTATCCCTTTTGAGTACGACGGAACATTTCAAAGTGAGATTTAAATTTCGGATAGAGTTCTTTAGTATAGTTGAATAATAAAGTTGGATTGTCAAGGTAAATCAGACCAAGTGCATCGTTAGAGTATTCCTTAACTTCTTTTGGTTCTTCCAAGTCTCCAAACTCTACATCAGTGCCCAAATTCTCAAGGATATATGAAAGGGCCATCATAATAGTTGGTGGGTTGACAATTTCAGGACTTTGAGTTTGAAACTTTTCTGGTACTCTAGATCTCAGTTCAGGTCCTAAGATTTGTTCTCTAGCGATCCAACCGTTTTCATCCACTCTTTCAAACCAAGATTTGATTATTTCAAGTGCCAAGTCCAGGTCATATTTCAAAAGAGGGAGTAAATGGAATCCTTCGTCCCAATAGAACCCTCTAGGAAAGAATGGTCTAGATGGAACAAGTGTGAATAATTCATCTGGGCCTTCTACTGAACCATTTAATTCGTATTCTTCAAATGATTCTTCATCAAATATAGTATCTCTATCAACTAATTGATCACCATAAGAGTAACTTAAACCTCCAAGTAATCCAGAAAGCATTTCTTTTGCGAATTTCTGGTATTTAATTTGGTGGAATGGTTGTACCAATGGGAAATGAGTCTTGAACTTTTGATTGTTAGATTCCAAAACAGTTGTAATTTTGGTTGCAATGTTTTCAAATGTAATCTTATCATGCTGTGGGGTTACAGCATTATTATAAATCACATCAAATTCACAACTTCCTTCGTATATCTTCTGAACAATATGTAAATTACCCAGGAATTTCAGTAAATCTCTCAAGATGAATGCTTGTTGAGGTGGAATATCATTCACATCAGAATACCTTTCAGAAAGATCCTTTATACAATCTTGTATGACTGTCATAAATATGTCCTTGGCTCTCCAAATGTTATCATTTGGGATTCTCAATGAGATATGATGAGATTTGGCTGGGTCAAGTTCTGGATCCAAGAAAAGTCTCTCTGGATGCTTATTAGACTTTGGACCATCATTAACTTCCATTTCAAAGAGTCCTAAACTTTCAGATAAACCAGCAAATTTCATAATCCCGGAATATCCATGAATATCCTTTGGAGTTTCCATGGTGAAATATCCATTTTCACTATCGTCAGCATCAATTCCAGGAACTGGCTCCATTGGTTTATCAGTCTCTAATCCAGAGTACCAAACAAAGGATATCTTGGTGTTTTCATATCCTTTATGTGGCTTCGATTTAATCTTAACACCCCATGATTTACCGTCGTTACTTTTAACAAAGTCAATAATGATTCTAACATGACAATCATTGTCTTCAATGATTTGTCTACCACCATATCTTGGATTATAATTGACCCAATTAGCCTTTTTCATATTGTCGAATTGTTCGTAAAAATGACGAACTTGTCCAACACCTTGGTACGAGTCAACATTGAACCACATAAGACCAGAGAGAAGTGAGCGAGGGATTCTAGGCCTAACACCAAAATATAAAGATGATCTATATGGACCCCAAAGGAGTGAATCTCCTGATAATCGTTCATATTCACCAACACTTACTTCTTCTTGGTCATCAAAATCATTGTAAATGTCAAACTTACTGGCATGGACCAACAATGGTAGGAGTAAAAGTACCGTCAGTAGCAAACGGGATGTATTAAACCACATTTGTGAAGAGCACTGAATTGAAAGTAAAGGAACCCAAAAAATCGACGGTTGTCGTGTCGTTGCTTGAACTGATAGTTAACAACGTACTGATTTTGTTAGCACAAACTATGCACACCGCGCGTATTTGAGCTATAAACTGCGAAATTTTGGAATTTTCTCTCATCTTTGCAACTAGCCTTTGCAACTCATTCTTGTATCTAGCCATCAAATATTGCCACGATGTGGCCCCACAAGGAAGGTCTAGGTGTCCAGCTAAGCTATGGAGTAGATGGTAATGCTGTACTTAAACCAAAATCAGCAGAAACTGCAGCAACGCTTACGGATTCCACATTGGCAGGTGTGACAAAATCAAACCTTGCAATGAGCATGCTAGACTTCCCAAGACTTCAAACAGATCATCCAACATTAACTCATGTACACGGTGCTCGTAAATCTCTTGTACCCCCACAGTCATCTAGCTTTGACCTCACTTCCCGAGCCTATAATGATCTTAAGAGTGTCTATATACCACAAGAAATTCTCCGCTCGTTTCTGATCGAGGCAGATACTTTAACTGCACCTATAGTATACGACCCAGCAATTGGTACACTCTTTCAAACGCATGAAATACGTACCAAGAGAGGTAATAGATATACAAAAGTTCTCGCATACGTATCAGGAGAGTCTGGAACCATTCTAAACGTCTCGAGCATTTCATCAACTAAGAAAAACATTATACATAATCATCGCGCTGTTGAAGAAGTACTCATACCAAGCATTGATTCCCCATTTCAAGTAGAGTTTTCAGAACCAATCAAGCAAATCCATTTCAGTTCTCTCGTAACAGCTTTTGATTTTGTTCCTTCATTTTTACTTATCCGAACAGAATCCAATGTTTACATCTTGAGTTGTTTCAGCAACAAAAATACAAATAAAAGTAATAATAACATTAAAATCAATAAAAATACTGCCAATATTAGCAATGCAGACAATGAAATTGAACTCAATATTATAGAGACAATTAACTCGTCACAATTGAAGGGATACAGTTTTGCAGATGTTTCATTTAACCCTTGGGATTATACGCAATTTGCTGCAATCGACGTGAAGGGAAATTTTGGGATATGGAATTTCCAATCACGGAAGAAAATCGTTAGAAAGGTCAAATTACAAAGTACATCACTGGTTTATGATGCCAAGGAACTATCTAATTGGAAACGTATTTCTTGGTCCTTCGATTCTAACAATATTTTTGTCGCTACCAGATCATCTCTTACCCAATTTAGCATTGTTCGAGAACTTATTCCAGAAAAGCTTATTACATTGGAAAGTTGGTCACATTTGTTGGACATTCAAAAATGTGAACAATATTCGTTTTTACTAACATCCAAGGAATTAATATGGCTACTGTTGGTTGATAAACCAGTCCAAAGGTTAATGTCATGGAAACATTTCCTCGATGAAAGCGACCCATCGTTGAAATTAACAGTAAGTGAAATTGGTGATAATGATGGCGATAAATCAAACAAGACATTTTTATGTATGGTTTATTCTCAAGTGTCTTCTTTAATTTTTGTATATACGTTTGGATTAAAGAATGGCAAACCATATAGTTTACATGATCCATATTATCTTCGTCGTCAAGGTCCAATCAAGGGATTATACTTGACCAGACTAGATAAATCGTTTTTTCATCCCTTTAACGATGAAACTGAATCTAATGATTCATTGGACATGAACATTAGCAAGAGTGCTACAAATAAATTCACATTAGGATTATTTGAATTATCACCGGATTTAGCACTTTCAATTGATATCCTTAATAATAGAGTTGGTTGTGAGGTACTGGGTCATTCCGCAAGCAGTAAAGAAAGTTCACCAATTGACCAAAAAGTTATTCTGACTAAGAGTTCGTTTTTCAAGAAATTTAGGAAAAATGATTTTGAACAAATTGCAAAGGGACTAATAAACAATACCGCACTTGATAAACAAGGAGATGATGTGGCCGATGTCCAAGAATATGCATACATGCTTGGAAGAGGAATCACTGAATTAACGGAAGGTGGAGACATCATCCCCATATACAGATCATTGCTAGAAATAGCTGAAACATCTCCATCTGTTATCAATGATTTATCAGAATTTGATACAATGCTTGAACAGTTAGCAAACTTTTTCAAAGAACAACAAGTATCGACCGCCAACTTCACTAAAAATTCACTTTTACAAAAACTAGGACCATTTAACAACTTAGCGGTAAATAACGTCTACGATTTATACAAAGTGATGTGTCATTTATATTTACAGGATCCACTTAAAAAATATAATACAGACAACCAAGTTAAAAGGGCATCTCTTTTACTTGGAAGTAGTTTGTTCAAGGCTAAAGCAAATGCAGAAAATTCTTCAACATATTTCCAAAATTGCTATGATGAAGAACTTTCAAAGAGTTCAAATAAAATTCAGAACATTTTAGGAAATTGGCAAGTTGAAAACGTGGGAGATTCCAATGAATGGGGGTCATCCCAGGCAACAATGCCAGATTTAATATCATCATCTATACCACAATTGAGACGTGCAAGTTCCAAACGACCTAGACATTTATTACGTTCATCACAACCTTCACTTAGAAACCGCTCGTCTCAACCGTTACAACGTACACAATCACAACTCAGAACTCAAGTTACGAGTTCTCAACTTTCTCAAGTTGTGGATCCTTCACTTACACACCAGGATAATCAAAGATATAATAATATGTCACAGCCAGTAATTGGGTCATCTTCACAACTAACAAGTTCACAACTACCTGATTCTCAACTCGCAACATTCAATGGGTCACAAATCACATCTTCACAGGTCACGACAGGAAAACGGCCATCACAGGGACTACGCCGAGTCAAAAAGAAGAAGAAAGGGGGGTTTGCATAATAATATACTATCAATTCTTTGTAATATAATACATTTCCAGCATTAATTCTATAATTATGTAGTAATTGAATTTGTTTCCTTTTTGATGTTTAAAATGCATTGCGCCAAGGCTTTTGGATCAACTCCTTCATCTATGAGCTTGATACACAAAAGAAGTGTAGGTTCATCAATCTTGACATTTAAAAGAGTGGCTAGTTCGACTATCAGGGTTCGTGGGTCTCCGTATCGTTCTGTCATCACTGTAAAGAAAACAAACAAATAAAGTTCCTATATAATAAAGTAAACATGAAAAAGTCATATTCGCGCTCTGTGCACTTACTAAAGCAAGAAAAAAAAAAAAACGCTCCATTAAAAATTGCAACCAATTTTGTCACTACTGAGAAGGGTAGTTTAAATCATAGTATATCTTACAACTCAAGAAGTATTTAAGTAAACCATTTATTCAATTCTCAAAATAATATACAATATAAATATTAAATTTTCATTTGACAAATGTAAAACTATACCGTGATCAAATCTATTTGGATGGATCAGCTTCAAATCTCAAATCCCAACCAATTTGCTCACCCAAGACTGGCAAGACTTCGGCTACACTTTGAACATCCTTGTCACCTCTTCCGGAAACATTGATGACCAAATGTTGATCTTTACTCATAGTCTTGGCTCTCTCAATACCAGCGTAAATGGCATGGGAGGATTCCAAAGCAGGAATAATACCTTCAAATTGAGAGAGCAAACGGAAACCTTGCAAGGCTTGAGCATCGGTGGCTGCTTCAAATTCAGCACGACCAGTACTCTTCCAGTATGCCAATTCTGGACCAACACCAGGGTAGTCAAGACCAGCAGAAACAGAATGGGTGTCATGCACTTGACCATCATGATCCTGTAAAACATAAGTCTTAACACCGTGGAAAACACCTGGAATACCCGCACTCAATGTGGCAGAGTGACGGTTAGTATCAACACCATCACCACCTGCTTCAACACCAAGTAAGGTAACTTCGGTATCCTTTTCAAATGGAGAGAACATACCAGTAGCGTTGGAACCACCACCAACACAAGCAACAACAACATCTGGCAACTTACCGTCATTCAATTCCTTAAATTGTTTCTTGGTTTCTTGACCAATGACACTTTGGAATGTTCTAACCAATGTTGGATATGGATGAGGACCAATAGCAGATCCAACAACATAGTGAGTGGATTCCAAGTTAGAAACCCAGAATCTGAAAGCTTCACTGGTGGCATCTCTCAAAGTTTGAGTACCGTTAGTTACAGCAACAACTTTAGCACCCAAAATTCTCATTCTGAAGACATTTAAAGCTTGACGACGAACATCTTCAGCTCCCATGAAAACGGTACATTCCATTCCGAATTTGGCACAAGCGGTGGCAGTGGCAACACCGTGTTGACCAGCACCAGTTTCAGCAATAATCTTCTTCTTTCCTAATCTCTTGGCAAGTAAAACTTGGGCTAAACCATTGTTGATCTTGTGGGAACCGGTATGGTTCAAATCTTCTCTCTTCAACCAAATTTGAGCACCACCTGCGTGCTCAGTCAATCTATCAGCCTTGTGGAAAGATGAAGGTCTTCCAATATAAGAGTACAAAGATCTAAATTCTTCCCAGAAGCTTGGATCAGCGACAGCTTCTTCGAAAACCTTTTCTAATTCAGCCAAACAAGTGTGGAGAGCTTCTGGAACATATTGACCACCAAACTCACCGAATCTTGGGTTGTGCTTATGTGCTTCTTCAAAGATTGGTTTACTATCTTTGATAGCAGAAGTGTTTTGTTCTGGGTGAACAAATTTTTGTGGAGCATCAACCTTGAAATCATCACCTAAAATAGATCTGACATAGTCATAAGCACACTTACCTCTTTGGCCCTTTTCACTTTCTCCAAGTAAAGTGATAATTTTAGAACCAATGACAACACCATCAGCAGCTTCACCAACCATCAAGAAGTGATCTCTAGTAGAAACACCGAATCCTACGGCCAATGGGGTATCTTCACCAACAAACTTTCTGACACGAGCACACAAGTCCAGAATATTGGTAGTGACACTGGTACCGGCACCGGTAGTACCCATACGAGATACAACGTAAATAAAGGAATCGGCAATGTCACCCAAAACCTTTAATCTGTCATCAGTAGTGGCTGGAGCAACCAATGGAACGTATGACAATCCATGATGGGTACACAAAGATCTAAACTTCAAGGCTTCTTCAGGCGGTAAATCAACAACAATGTAACCATTGGCACCAGCCTTGGCAGAATCCTCAATCATCTTTTGTTCACCATACTTTAAAATTGGGTTGTAGTAACCCATAAGAATGATTGGTACAGTAACACCTTGTTCACGTGCGGTGGCTACCAATTCCAAACACTTAGCAACTGTGATACCATTGTCAAGAGCAACGTTGTTAGCAGCTTGAATAGTTGGACCATCTGCAATAGGGTCAGAGAATGGGATCCCTAATTCAATAATATCAACACCAGCATTTTGCATACCTTGTAAAATTGGTAAGGTGTCTTCAATGGTTGGGTAACCAGCGGTAATAAAGTTGACTAAGGCATTACGGCCTTCTTTCTTGCATCTAGCAAATGTTTCCTTAAGGAGAGCAGACATTTTCTAATATATATATATGTTTAAAAATATATTTTGTTTGAAACGTATATATGAAGAATTCAATCTCTTCTTATATTTTTCGAGAAATCAATCAACGGCATGTTTACATCATTTTTCAGGATTCGTTCATGAGTCAGTTCAGGGTAACATGAGACACCCTTAAAAACAGGAAAAAGAAATGCTAGTCTCTCATATCAAAATGATGATAATTTGGCAAGCAAAAAAAGATAATTAGAAGTAAGAAGAAGTAATTAGTAGGAATCTAGGGTCAAGATTGGTCGTTATTACCTTACTTTAATACATGTATTTACATTTGAATCTTTGATCGTTTATTTATTCATCTTTTGCCTGGTAATAAATTTCATTATCTATCAATAGATAACGGTTTTTGTGTAAAATTCGCACAAACAGTCAGTTCAGGGTAACCTTCTCTCGAACCTCTATTGATAGGATTGGGAAGCAGCACTTGTAGAGACCCCCCCGCCCTGTCACTATTTTATAAACCAATCATAGTATTAGGTATAAAAAACACCTTTCAGCTATATTGATAGTGGTTATTATCATAACGAAGATATGTAATCTCTCAAATTGTAAAGAATATTGTCCAAAACCCTTTTTAGAATGGACGATATTTATATGTGTGTACAAAAACATGGCCGATATCAATCCCATCTTAGTTTGTTTGGGGAATGCAATAGTGCTGATCTTTTCATTATATTGGCAATTGCCAATCCATTTATTAACAGATATGTCAATAACCGAGATCATGTTTATCTTAGTCAGTCATAATATATGTAATTTACTTCTCTGAAACTTACCAACGTAGTTCTCATAGTATATTACCTCTTAGTATAGTATACTAGTCTCACCTTCACCATACTCTCCAATGTTTCAATACTCATGAATATATGCATCTGAGCAGAAACGAAATTATTCATGACATCTACAACAACTCAATAGGTTGGTTGGCAGTTCCCTTTTCCTTGGAGGTGCTCACTCGTCTAGGTTCGACCTTCATAACGGGCTCGGCCTTGGTTCCAGAGGTGGTCTGTTTTGACAGAACTAATTCCACCTCGTGGCCGAGTTTGATCTGAGCCAAGTTAATCACTGGAAGTAATCGGGCATATTGCTCGTAATACTCCAGAATACCAGCTCTAACAGTTTTCAATCGACTTTCTATCGAATTGAAGTACTCCAGTTGGCTTTGTCCTTGGGGAATCGTTGCCAAGGCACGCACAAACATGGTCATATCATGACGAAGAACGTTAATTTCAACTTTAAGTCTCTCAAGTTCTTTATAAATGTCATTTGGATCAATTCTCCCAGAAGTAATATCATCTATTTTTATAGTGGCAGGTAGTCCCAGCATTTTGTAGCAATAAATCTAACAATACAAATTAGAAGGTTAATTTTGATGTGAAACTTGTACTTTTTGATTTTTACAAAAAAAAAAGAATACTCATTTAAATCTTGCTAGACATATTCCTATACACAGTACAAAGTATGGCGTACTTCTAACAAAGTTCCATATTTGATTAATTCTCTATGAAATTTAATACTATACATCCATGGATTGTATAATCCAATAGTTCAATTGAATACTTAATTATAAATATATCTGCTTCTCTGCCCTCTCGACCTTATATTTATTTTTATTTATATATTTTTGCTATTTTGTTCTTCCTATTTCTTTCTTGTTCTATCCCTAATGGTAACAACATTGTTTTCTTCTTTCCAAGTACAACCATATCTATTTAAGTCTCTATATTTGGTACCAATTGGTAGGAAGAGTTCTTCCAAATGATTCTTATCAATGGTAAAATACGTGGCAGTAAACTCTTGTATCAAAATTTTAATCATACGTGGAAGACCAATTGCCATCAATGCACTCCTACATCCATCCAGTTCAGCATTGTATTGTCGTATCCATTCATGGTGATTCCCAGTTGCCCATGATTTAAGAGTTTTCAATAACTCTGGATCGTTTAATTTATATTTATAGTATACCTCGATTCCACGATTGTTTTCTCCATTGAAATGTGAAAGATGTAAAGTAAGTAGAGTTACTATCTCTTCTTTTTCCAGGTTATCAAGCAAATATATTCCTCTCTCTAGTAAATATATTATACTTGGAACATATGTTTGATACTTTCCCGCAGCTACAGCTATACGAATGGAAAATAAGAACACTGATTTGGAAAATTCATTAGGTGGTGCAAATAATAGAGCTTCTCTAAGTTTCCTGAGAGAAGTAAGAATTGAATCGATTGTTGGATCACATCTAGTTTTCAGATTTGACAGGCTCAGATCATTGCTACTATCACTAGATATAACCATCTCTCGTTGTGAAATTAAGGTTCTCATATATTCTGGAAGGTTTGGACCATTACAATAGTGTACAAAGTCAATCTTGATCTCTTCAAAAAATAATATTCTTTCCCCTTCATTTACTTGTAACCTATTATCCTCCCCTCTACTAATGAATCCATATCCAGTAGATTTAGTCTTTGCAAACCGTTCTTTTCTTTCCTTAAGTTTCTCCAGTTCGATATTGTCAATTTCAAACTTTTTCGATTCATCAGTTCTCCATTTATTCTGGGACTTCCCTCTGTTATTAATCAGCTTCCCAAACGGGGGTTTTCGTGGATTTTTTTCCATACCCTTTCAGCATCACTTTCACCACTTTATGGTTGTCTGTAGTTCTAACTTTTACTTTATTTTTATATACAATCTAAATCTCAAAATTATTATTATATAGATAAAGTCCTCAAAGACCACAAACTCCACAAACAAGATCACAAATTCCAAGTACATATTATCATTGGTATGTTCCACCCATACCAATTGAATAACCACTTATTGATTTGTAAATATTTTTTTTTTGATTATATATATATATATATATATTTACCCAAATGATCTCTTTATCATATTCTATCAATCGCCTTATCTCTTCTCCTCTTCCTAACATTTATTAATGTTACTACAACGACCGAAAATGCTGTGACCCATATAGTTATATGAAACACGCTACTGTAGCATTTTTTACCCAAGACACAAACACTTGTCCCAGTAACTTCACTTATAGATGAGTTCGAGTCATATGTCTTACCAAATAATTTTGTGAAATAAAATGAAGGAAGAATTGGAGCTAACCCAACAAACCCCCAATTTAATGAGAAATTATCCATACCAAATGCATCTCCAACAATAATTGGCATGATACAAAAGGTGAAGCCATAGAAAAATCCCACAAGTAATGAAAGCAGGGATAAATCCGAGTATTCTTCGAATCGAAGTCCCATTGTTTGAGCCAATGTTAACCCTAAAGCCGGTAAAAAGAGTAACATTGAACGTGGTTTATGGAATGTTTGAGAAAAAACATCTCCTAATATCCCAGAAGCTATTCTTCCAACACAATTTGCAATTGAAAGTAGCCCTACTTGAAGCAGCTGCCGTTGTTGCACTAAACTCTCCAATGATGAGTGTGAATCCACATCCAAATGTGCTGGAATTTCAGCCACTAGGTTATGATTGTGCAATGCAAGTGCTTTAACCATATACCCCACTGAATATATATACATTTGGCCCATTGAAGCCAATGCTCCGGTTACTATGAATATAAGCCAAAATTCTCTTGATTTAAGAAGATCTACTCCTCCGATTTGTTTTTGTTGAGAATGTTTAAAATGTTGATCCGTCGAAGATCTTTGTTCTATATTGGGGATTGCAGTCAATTCAAATTCAGAATTTGCTGTTGCAGCGGCTGCTGCAACTCTATTTCTTCTCACGCGATGTTCCCGATCAGCCATGATGATTCTAGGGGTACATATGATGAATATTATTGCAGCAGAAAATGCAAGGAACCCCAAAAAGCTCGATGTATCACCAGGATAGAACACAGATCCAATCACTGAATAGAAAAGAGCACTCAACCCATAAAGAGCGAGTGGTAGCGAAGTGGCTACACCTCTAATACTTGGGAAACTTATAGCACAACACTTCAAACATGCAGAGTTCATGAGTGTCAGTCCACACCCAATCATGAATATAAGGGAAGCCAGTGATGTCACACTTGAATACTGATGATCGTATTGAATTTTCAAACCATAGTATCCGAGAACAGTACATAATCCACCCAAGAATAAAGACATGGTATAGCCGTGCAGATCAACCAAACGACCCGCTACAGGTCCACTAACTGCAATTCCTATAGTTCCAAGAAGTGCAATCTGTGACGAATCCGTGGCAGTGTAGTTTAGTCTAGCTGCAAGTTGGGGAGAATAACTGGAATATAAATAAAGGGTTCCACATATGAGTCCTAGGAATGTGCATGAAAGAAGCAACAATGCCTTCAGAGCAGCAGACATTTCAATTACAACTTAGCCCTGTCCAGAACAAACTATTTGAGTATATCGACCAACTCGAAAGAATGGAAAAAAAACACACCCTACACACTTGCAAGCCTTCTTTTTTTTTTATGGTTTTGAACAAAGAGATTATGTGTTCCTTTCACTATCGACTGTTTTTATTTTTATTTTACTATTTTTAATTGTTTTTTATTTTTTAATTTTTGGGGGGGTATTTTTCAGGGCGTGTATATTTTCTTTGATTTAAGCGTGGGGAACTAGTAGCTGCGTTTCCATTTAACACTTCCTCAGAGACAAAAATAGATATCTGAAAAAGTACACGCTCATATTCTAAGGTATAATTAATAGGAACAGCGAAAGAAACAGATTTTGGAAATGCATACCAAATGTTCTATTCGATCGTTTCTGAAAATTTCAGATGGGCTAAGAATAGCATTTTTTGGTACAGATTCATTTAGTGTTGAGGCATTATCACGGGTTATAGCAAGTGGCAAGCGCAACCCTGGAATGATATCGAGCTTGGATGTAATAACACGGAGTATCAAGCCACAGGGACGAAAGAGAGAATTTGTGGATGTTCCAATTGGAATATATGCGGGAAATCATAATATCTCAATACATCGCGCAGATACTAATAAAGAAATTATGGATATAACTAGCGAAATAGGGCCAAATATGGCAATTGCGGTATCATATGGGAAACTCATTCCTGCTGAATTATTGAATAATTTAAAATTTGGTGGCTTAAATGTTCATCCTTCACTCTTGCCTAAATATTCAGGCTCATCACCTATTCAATACACCCTAATGAATGATGATAAGAAAACCGGTGTCACCGTACAAACATTGCATCCTTCAAAGTTTGACCGAGGAGCTATTATTGCACAATCTGAAGAACAAAACATTGAAGAAACTGATAACTATCATACCCTTCTTAATAAACTTGGGATAATCGGTAGCGATTTATTAGTGGAAGTGTTAGAAAAACAATTATATTTGCAGTCACATACTAATATAGAACATCTGAATTATGAATTTTCCTTAGCACCCAAGATTCTTCCAAGTGCTAGCCAGATCAAATGGGATGAGCATACTAACAGACAGATAAAGCGTTTGAATGATGCGTTGGGACCACTACACACATTCAAGAGATGTAACCTTTTACGGAAAAAGAAATCCATTGAAGAACTTCACAAGGTAATTCTTGAAGATATTGGTAGTTGTAATTCTATCTATGATCGGAAAGAACCTGGTACATTTCATTCAGGAACGGGGAATGATAATAATCAACTTATTGTTCATACAAAAGAAGGTGCGGTTTCAGTTGGTAAGATCAAAATGCAATATTGCTCTTATGAAGACCCAATTACTTTCATGTCAAACATACAAAAACGGTCTGGTAATACAGATTTAAAATTTAGCATTAATTAATTATTTAAATATTATAATAATTTCTACAATTCAACTTGACAATGTTTGTTAAACTCTTGTACCGCAACTCCTATGCGCCCATACACAAATGAGCGACTACTCTTGTCTGGAATAGGAATGAATGGCCCTTCGCGCTTACCCTTTAGACCAATGACTATACCAGTTGATTCTATGGAGATTGATTTAACGTCGTCAAATGATGTAACCCAGATACTCTTTAAAGTATTAATATTGAATAAAAAGATCTTTCTAAAGGAAATCAAAATTGCCTTTTCTTCTCCTGGTAAAATCAAATGAGCTAAGTAAGTCTCATTGAAATATTCCCCACCGTCTATTGAATTCAACCAGAATTGACCCTGGGCCTCTCTAACTGAGTATGGGCGAATAATATGATCATGAGCAACAAATCTTGGTAATCTCACTTTGTCCAACCCTTCAGCATCAAATACTGTGGTTGTGTTACGAATACCCTCACTAACATTGGATGCCAAGTCAAAAATCCCAATCGCAGTCTTGGTAGGTAAACCAACAACACCTTTACCTAATCCCTTGAAGAATCCAGTGGCACCTCCCTCTGTAGCACCTTCTATTGGAGCAGTGGCGATTCCAGTAACTCCAGAAGATATAGATTCAAAGAATGAGTTGGCACCAGATGCAAATCCATATAAGGCGTGCTTTGGTTTATTACGACGTTGACTTAATCTTCTACGCTCTTGGAATTTTTTATCCAAAGTAACAACCGACAACCCTTTAGCAAGTGATCCAGTAACCTTTGCAAACGAGTCGGAAAATCCAAAGATCGATTTCTTCAAAAAACTTAAACCACCCTTTGCAATACCAATTCCAAGTTCTTGCGGTCTATCGTTTATAATAAAACCTTGGTATGGCTCATAGAAAATGTCGAGCACACCTGATGAAATATTGTTGAACAACCCAACTGGATTACCCAAGAAGTCAGCAGATCCTAAAATTTTATGCACTTGATAGAAGAATGCCTGGCCATAATGAGTTTGAATTGATTCAAGTAAGATAGGGATTGGCACTCTAATATTTTCAATAAATAATGCATTAAGTTTTATAGGGGCATCATTGATATTACCAATTGCCATCGTTAATACATTGAAGAAGAACGTCAAGGTGTTCTGAGATGATGTCTTATCCTCGGCATTCACTCTTTCGGTACGAACAAACGACAAATGAGTAAGAGTTGGCTGGAGGTGCAAAGCTTCGAAATAAATATCACTACTTTCATTCAAAAGCTTGGGTTCTGGAATCTCCAAGTTACCATCACACAAGCTGTCTTGTTGAACTCGATTCCAAGTTGCACCAGGTACCTTCGTAAAATCGATTAGCGCAAATAAGAAGTCTTCGTCAATTTCGATGGTCATTTCTTGCAATAAAACGGTAGCATATTTGATAAATAACACTCCATGAGAATCATCCTTCACTTTACAAATTGAGGCAGAGAATGAAGGGTGATTATTCATTTCTTTTCCTGACTTAGGGATAACACTTGGATATAATACAATTGGGAATATTCCTCCATACAATTGATTATCAATTTGTACCCACTTTAATTTGACACTAAGATTCTGGTATAAGTCTGACTCATTATAACGAATTTCTAACCCTCTTAATGTAATGTAACATAATTCCTGTGCCCTGGTATTGATCAATGAAATTCCAAAGCCTTCAAATTTTGTAATAATTTTAGTATGATAACTCTCATCCTTTTCATTGACTTCAAATTTTCCTGATCCCAAATTGGATGTAGAGCTAGAAGAGTTGTCCTTTAACTTGTACAAACTGACGGACGGGTCGTAGTTTGAAATAATCAAAGACTGAGTTGGTCCATCAGCAACCACATTTAAATCAACAATAGCTTGTTCGTCATTTTGTGAAGCAGGTAATCTGAAAGGTCTAAGGTTACCTATTTCTGCTAGGTTAACACTTCGCTCTCTTTCGTGAGAACGAATGATGAGTTCTTTCATCACGGCATTTGGATAATCGTATGCATATGGCATAACACTCTTAGGTGGAATCTTGTAGAACACAGGCTTGTATGGAGTATCATGTTTTACTACATCTCCATTTTCATTTACATTTGGATCTCCTTGGTAAACGTAAAACTCAGAATCACTGAAATTTCTAATCGAGAATGGCCAGTTATTATTAGCATTCTCAACTTGAATGAAAATAGTGGCATTTTCCATTATAGTGTTAACCTTGAGCAAGACTTGACCAACTGACTCTTTATAAACTTTCAAGAAGACCTGCCCGACATCATCAATAGCAAAAGGCGAAGACCAGGGCTTATTGGAATTGTTAAATTTCAATAACAAACTCTTTTGATCAATACGTCTTAATCCATATAGTGGTTGGACTTCTTTTGATTTGACTGTAATAGACTTTGTTGAACCATTTTCAATAATTTGAATATCATCATCTAAAGTATTACGCAAAACATATCTTGGAGCAATAGTGACAACCTTGGAAAGCTTGTACTTTCCGTCACCCTCATTAACAGTAATTCCAACATTCATCTCAGCTTGTCTTCCATTCAATTGTGCCTTAGCTGCAATAGTTTGTCCGATAGCATCGAAACTGAGAGGTACAGTCCAAGCAGAATCACTAACCTTAAGCAACGCCCTACTCTTTCTATCATCATCTCTATCAAAAGAAAACATATCAGGTGCAGAAATAGAATCTGCTCTAGTACTACTGGTAGATTTTAACATGTTCCCCTTTTCACTGACTATAATGTTTTGGCCGGTTCTGTTGAGGATCACATACGGTGAATAAATTTGAACCTTTAAACTACTGTTACTTGACTTTTTCTTTGCGTAGTGAACTTTTAAGCCAAGTCTTTGGCCATTTGAATGTCTGGTGTTAAATGTAATTTCTCTCTTGAATTCACTATTCTTTGGAGAGTTGATTATGGCAAACTCTGATTTCAGGAAACCACAATCTAATGGTTCGACACTAAGTAGTAACAAACTAGACAAACTTGCAACGTGTACATAGCTGTTTACTCCCTTGGCAATTGAACCACTCCAATCCCTTTTAGTACTTTTGTCGTACAATCTATAATTAAGATCAAAAGGTAATAAATTCTCGATTTCAACAGGAGCAGATATGACAATTTTCATATGCGGATAAATCAGAGCGAGTGGTTCTTCAATATCATACACTGCCTCAACTTGATAATAATATAAAGACTTATTGTCATTGGCACTGCACTGCACTGGAACTCCACCCTTAAGCAAGTCTTTCCACTTCAATGTTTCTTCTGACCATTTATAGGACGACTCCATATGTGGTTTGAATTTTAATGACCCGGAATAAACAAGATCAATTGGTAACGACTGGCTCTCTTGAGACTTTATTATCAAAGTGACGTCTTGTTTCTGCTCTGTCAGCCAAACCTTGATACTAACGTCGTTTTCTGCGTCGTTTTGAATCGTAATGGTGGACGTCAATGAAATCGTCTTCACATTATCCTCACCTAAGGTAACATTAAATGAGAGTCTATTGTGGAACCCTGCATCTACTGGAGGGTACAAAATGAAAAGCTCTTCTCCTTCTCCTGTTGCCGAGAGTCCAGAAAGTTCATTGTAATTGGAATTCAACAATTCTAACCCAAGTTCTTGTTTCTTATCAGTATCTAAATTTTCACGGACTGCTCTCCAATCTTCAAATTCCCACGGAATCTCAGCCATATTTTTGATAACAGATTCTTTTTCTCTGGTGCCGTCTTTAGAGTTAGTCCATACCTTCACGTCAAAACCTGTTTGGTTAACTATTCTATATGGATAATCTTCACCTCTTTCCTTAATCTCGTCTTCTTGGGTTATTGACGACAACACTTGGGAAAGAAGAGCAATTGAACGTGAAGACACGGTAATTTCAGTTAGCTTTCTGGAAACTACGTCCACCATAATTCCCAGGATTGGGGTCGTTACCTTCGATGCGTAAACTGCAATTGGCCAAGGTTCAACTAAAGGTTCCCAAGAAGATCTGGCGTAGTTGTAGATGTTTACGAAAGGCTCAATATGAACTTCAGCACTAAGGTCCGTAGACCAATTGATGGCCTTGATATCAAACGGCTTAATAGTCATATCAAGCACAGGGAGTTCGTGAACATCACCAATAAGGACGAACCGCATACCTCCAAAGCTGGCATTAAGTTCTTCTCCTTTTATGATCACTTCCTTTTGTTCTTGAACCTCTTTTGCGTTCGATTTAGTGGAAAAATTGGAAAGGATTGTCGGAGCATATTGGGAAAGTTTCTTCTTGAAATCCTCAGAATAACTATAATCGGTCTCTTTTGGAATTACGCTACTCTTCGCTTGAGCGTTGGCGTATAATTCGGAAGCATTATTAAAAATTCCGAGAGCAAGACGAATATCTCTTAACGACAACCTCAATAGAAGTGAATCAACAGAAGCCTGGATATTCGTAAGGAAACTAGTGTCTGTTGATCCTCTTGAATCGTGAGCAAATGAGATGGAAAAGTCGTCAATGATTCTTAATTTCCGAGCATCCATGTCATCCATACCACAAAGGAACATACCAATATTGTTAGCTGCCAATGACAAAATATTCTGGCTTGTAAGTAGAACTTGTTCAATTTTGAATACAACTGCATCAGTGTCCTTCTTGCTTGAATCAGCCAAAAGAATAACAGACGGGTTTGATATATTAACAGAAAACCCAATGGTCAGTGGGTCGCTAGTGTCAACATTTTTCTGCGCGGCTACCTCAGAACTAGACGAAGATGCCAGTTCGTTCGCATCGTTACTAAATTCCAACTCATTCATACGTGGGTCTGAAGCTAATCCAGCTTCCGCGAAAGTTTGCAACTCGAAAAAGTAATCAAGGGCCAAAATCATACGTGGGTTATCGACAGAGAGCATCAAAGTAATATTCTTATTATCAGAAGGCCCATCTGAAGAAGCGGATAATGAAAATTGGTTTTTGTCTTGCTTGAGCAAAGGAACAATGTCAGTAAACTTATTTGAACTACCTTCCCTTACATCCTTTACGACGAAAGACTCCATGTCGATTTCAGAAATGAAGTGGGAATCTTCTTGCATTTCGAATGAAATTCCAAAACCATTCAAAGAGAATGAAGAGAGTTTCTTATCGTCAATAGATGCAACACCACTAGTATTATTATATATCATTAAAGACACACGAGGGACTTTAAATTCAAGTTTAAGTTGTTTATGATCTGACGGAATTGTGGAAGGTTGTCTCTCTCTGAACACCACAGGAGAGGCTGGTTCAGGATTTTCCACCCTTGATTTGTGCATTGCAACAGCATTGGCATTCGCTGCGTCGATCTCAACATCTCTCAAAGACTCTTGTGATTCAGATGTATCTAATACCCTAGTAATGGAATCAGAAAACTCTAAGAAGTATTTCAATTGTAATTCAGTCAAGTTTAAATCGATCTCTGGCATCTTCCCGTCGACGATAATAGTAGGACGATTCTCTTGATATTCTTCTAAATAGTTAATATTGAACATTACATCCAAGTCTTCCATCAAGACAGCCTTCTGTTCAACCTCGCCATAGTGGAAATCAGAAAGTATTCTAATATTTCTGATTCCTGCTTCAATTAGGTTATGGACTCCTCCGTCACCATGCTCAAATGTGTTGCTAGCGTATATTTCACCCAAATGGGCAGTCAATTGGTCATATGTATCATTTGAATTAGCAGCTAGTCTGGGATAGACAATGGTTGGAGCCTTGATTAAAATGTCGAACCGAATCTTATTCGCATCATCAATATTGCTTGCTTGAGAAATTGCAGCCTCCCTTGCCTTATCATATACGGCTTTCATTCTCTGGAAATGACTCGCATAGTTGATAATTTTGCTAAATGCGTCTTCAACAAAATTCACTCTTGCTGATCCTGATTTAAATTCAAACTGAGAGTTGTACTCCTTGGTATTTGTTTGAACATCAAAGGTTTTATAAGTAAACTCTGCCAAGTCATTACCGTCAATACTCACAAGATTCCGTAAAATAGAGTCTCTAGGTGACCCATGATTCACTTCATCGTGTAAGCTTAATGCACCAAGTTTTCCTCGAATCTCCATAGCCTCTGGGAGAACCAATAAGAAGATGTCAGCCGTACTCAACTGTAAGGTTGCGAGTTTGAGACCATCTTCATTCAAAACAAGAATGATACTGTCCAAATAAATCTTGACGTTTATTTTTCTAGGTGAGAACTCGGCATCATTTACGTCGTTATGATTCAATTGGTCAGCTGGGGTTTCCGGGGCATCTTCGTCAACAAATGTGTTCAAGACAAAGTTTAAAATGCTCAACACAGACTTACGGGAAATAACAAATTTCACAGTTGCAATGTTCAACTCGATATCTTGATCAAAAACTTCAATTTGCTTGTTATTAAGCTCAACTAACCTCAATGAACGAGTATAATTGACCTTAAAAATTTCCTTCTTCGAATCTTTTTCATCAATATCAACAAAATTATTTGACGAAATCAATTTCTCAAACTCTGGAATACCAGATTTTTCAATATTATCAATGAGGTTAATATCATCTAATGTCAACCGAAGCTTTAAATCTGGTGTAGTCTTAAAGAAAAAGAGCGCCAATGAGTCACCAACCAAGTCCACCAAAGGTTCTGTTTCTAAAGTGACACCATCAATGCAACGCAGTAATGACAAGTGCACTAAATCTACCTTAAAATCAAATTCAAATAGATGCTGTTCATCTTCAGGACTAGACTTATCTGGTTTAGCTTCCATTGATGAAGTGTCGGAATCCAATTCTTCAATTTCAGCATGGTTTGAAGTTTCGTACGTATTGAAAATACTTGAATCATCAGAGTCTAGGTTTTCGAAGTCAGGAATGACTACATCTATAAGACTCATAATTGTTTTATACTGAAAGTCATTCAAAGAAAGTCTGATACTTGGGACTTCACCTCCAATCTTAAATCTTGGAATATTGTATGCTTCTGGAATAATTGAAACACCCATAGATAACTTAATATTTAACTTATCAAGAATCAACGCGGGACGATTAGGATCATCAGTATGGAGTTGCTCCGTAGTGGATTTGATATCGGGACCGATCAAAAATTGAGCATCTTCAAGATGTACATTAAATTGATCATACATTAAAGTGTTCAAATGTTCCCAATCTGCAGAAGTATAACTTTCCTTAGACTTAATTTCCTCAATCTCCTTCTTATCTGCCAATACACTAACCACACTGATATGACCAGCGTCTAAAATTGCCACAGGAGACTTCCAATCCTTTGGATCTAAAGGTAAGAAGATTAAGGGAGCTTGTAAGTCAAGTTTCACATTGATTGTTTTGTGTTCTTCAAGAGCATACTGAAGTCCTAATCTTGTTTGAGTTGTTATACCTTCCATGGTAGCTTCTGCTGCATTCATGATTGCACCAATGGTATCCAAATGAATTTTTGGCGGTGTAAAAAATCTAGTAATCTCTTCAATAAAATGTGGATTATAGAAAATAGTCATTGAACTCAACTTACCAAGTAAGACAGAATCAGCACTTCCATCTAGAGGATTATTCTCAAACGAAATTTTGAAAAATGGGTCATTGTGGTTGGTAGACACATTGTTGTCTCCTGTCACTTCATGTAAATGTGAATGAGATTGTTTAACACTAACAATATGTTTATATAGAGTGGTTTGCGTTCCATCTTCAACTCTAAATTCTTGTAATTGAAAATTTGCTAAAAACGAATCAGGTCTTTGATATAATTGAGCTGTACAACCCTCGAATACAATCTCACCAAGATTGGGACCACCTTTCTTGTGTCTAATAGAAATTCCTCCCTTTTTCAAGGAGGCTAATAATTCAACCTTTACTCTATCACGAGGTAAATCAACTGCTTCAGAAAGTTCCTTAGTTTCGTCATAATCTATAGCATCATACAAGGCCTTCTTCTGGTCCTCTGATAACAGCAAGTCTTCATCTTTTTCATCATTGGACTTCGTTTCAGTTGAGGATCCACTCCACCAAGATGAGATCCAGCCACTCTTTGCTTGAGGGTTATTCCCATCGCTACTGGCAGCAATCGCCTGTGGCTTTTCGAGGTTTTCTCTCCGAACAACACTTTTAGCCAAAGATCTATAAAATTTAATATCCTCAAAAGGTAAGTCTTCCTCCAATTTATTAAATTCTTCTTCTTGATCTTCTGAAAATATAGTGCCCGTGAGATGAAGCTTCCAAAGTTCAATATAAGCTCTTCGTTGGTCTCTTCTCTTCTCAAAATACGCCCAACTCCATTTGTAGTTCTTTTCATGTATTTCATTTAAAATTGATTCTGCTGCATACTTGAACCAGCCCTTAGGGTCCTCTTCTGGGGTAGTCTTAGGTCTTAATTTTCTAAACTTATGAGTCTTCATGTACCAATGGAATTTGGACGCAGTCCACAAAATATCGCAATATTGTTGTGAATCTAATTCAAGGCCAAATTCTTCAAAGAATAATTCCCCCTTTACGTGAGGAAATTTTTCTGTCGCTCCAGGTTTATGAACTGAAAGCCTACCCTTCCCGCTGACTGGTTTCAACAAGAATTGTAAATCCGAAACATTTGAAGATTCATCCTTGAAAATGGACTTACGGAAGTTTTCAAGTAATTCTTCAGCATCGTCGGTGTAAATGGTTGTTGATTCAGTATTCATATAACAACTTAAAGACTTCAAAGTCAATAACTTATGAGTCAATGCCTGGGTAATAGAAATAAAACTAGGAGTCCAAGAATTGTCAGCAGACACTGCTGATAACTCGTCAAGAGTCAATCCAACAGAATAGGGTGATTCGGTCAATACTGAATCATCCTCATACCTGATATGAATATTCTTAATTGTCACTTGCAAGTTATCCACAATCTTTGTAATCAAATTTTCTGTAAATGTTTCGTTTTTATTCATATCGGAGGTGATAGCCAGATTCTGTGCAGTGGCCCTCTCAATTGCTTCCAAATCAGATAATCTTTGCTTCTTTTGTTCCAATTGACGTCTCTTATCTTCTTCTGGATCATATTCATCTATAATGATGGGTGATGCAAGGAGAAAGATATCTTCTATAATAACCTTCACAGGGGTGGATTTGAGATTCGACCATGGGATTTGTAATGTCAATTCCCCTACGTGACCGAATTTTACATCCACAGGGAGTTCAAATTTATCTAACGATTCCTTTTTCAATCTAAGATTCTTAAGCTTAACATCCCCACTCCAGATTCCAATATTTAGCTGCTTCGGATCAAAGTTTTCAATGTATGACCCCAAAAACCGGTTAAGGAGTGTAGCCACCAATGATTCAAACATTTCTTGATGTGATTCTAGTATCAATGGTGGGGTTTATTCAAAGCTAATTGTTAACTTATTCTATTTCGTTACCTTGTTCCTTGTGTTTTATGGTCTCCTATGTGCAAGACTTGTCATCCAAATGGGTGATCTAGGTTGCTGTTTAGTACATGTACAGGACTTGGCTACTAAAAAAAAAAAAAAAATACAAAATAAATAAAAATTGAGAGTAGGTCAATTAAAAAGGGGTTCTACAAAAGCATAATATATGGTGTTGAACTTTTGTATATGGGAGTGAATGAAATTGGAAGTATTATTGGAATGAAATTAAGTATTGGATCCTCTAGTTGTTATATTATAAAAGATTTTTGGTCTTGGTTTAATAAATGGGTGCAAATTAAAGGAGATAGATTATCTGAGTTGCGAGCCCTGTACAAAGGTTGAGTACCTGCTTTAAAGGTCTTGTTTGTACCTTTGATATTTTGAATTTTACAGAATTATGATAATGAAATAGGAGACATTGGATACATTTCATTATTGCACAATGACAAACGTATTTATACGAATATATCATTGTAATTTAGATTTTTATTTTTGCATTCTATAAATATGTTGGGCATGTGTGTACAATACAAAGTACAATACATTTTCTTAATTAAGATCCCAAATTATAGATCTTACATCGAGATAATGATATCACCAACAAATTCTATATCATGTAAATAGAGGTAAATTTCAATTGAGGCTCATTATTTATTTAATATATTTTTTTTTTTGGGGGGGGTTGGATTTAGTTACCCCCTTTCATGGTTTCTTTTTCATTACCATTTCATGCATCACTACTATCAAAAATCACCCAATTTTGCCTTGAGTCCTGAGGAAAAGTGTTATAAGAAGGTTCCATTATATTGATTATCTCAGCGTAATTTGGTATGCAATGAATCACATCTATTTAAGATGACCCCTACATAATATAATCTTTTAAAAAAGAATGAGCCTCTCCATAACCCTTTACATTCTCTCCCTGAGAAATAACTACATTAGTATTTAGAATCTCTAAAGTATATCTTTACTACACAATAATTAAATATGGCATCATTTATCCTTCGAGAAACGGAAAAAAAAAACTATGGACTAAGTCGTAGAAATCGCAGCAACTGTTCCATGCATCCCCACACTGTTGTTCATTTACCCGAGTAAATGATATAAACCATTGATGGTATGTCGAATTACATGTTGAGTTTTTCATCATAAGGTGGTGCTCTTCCCTTTAATGGATTTTGTCCTCACAACCGGAAACGCGGAAACTCTGGCTGGGTGTTTTGTTGTTGTTTGTTAGGGTTTGTGATCGGAGGGGTTCAAATCATGTAATCAAGGAGGTTGCCGCCTCTGTGGGGGCTTCCATGCACAACCTAGGGAACTGCGGCTCGGCTTATCTTAGTCACACAACGTATAACTAAAGAGTCATTATTTCCTTCACCATTCACTAGCTTTAATATATTTCTTATCTATCGAATATCAATTTATTGTTAGACTCTCGAACATTCTAGTTTGCGCTTTGTTGTTGTTGTCTTGCATCAAAGTCTATTTGTTCTTCTATTTGTGGGGGTAAAAATCTAAGCGCACCAATATACCAGATAAGGATCTAATCCATAACTCACTTTTAAAGTACACTCTCATTTCTCTCTCTTTTTGCACAAACTTTTTTACCTGTTTGTCTATCTCTTGATTAAGAGAAAGTCTACTGATCAACCAGCTACTATAAGTATTGGTCAGTCTACAAAGCACTACAGGTCCATACACGTCAATACATCTAGTCACGGGGATTTATAATCAGAGTCGCGTATCCACCACACTTTTCGCCCCTCACCCTTTGATACTTGTTTACAGTCAAGTGAAGCACATAATTAGTGTAAATCATCTACTACTTACTGTTATACCCTCTCGTTTAGGTTTGCTTGCCCAATACCAACCACAACCGTTATCATTTATTGTTTGACTAGGATCTATTTTTATATATACTTGAGAAAAGTGATTTGGGTGAGTTCAGTTGGAGCTATCAAATTCATCATCGTTTAACTCTATACCATCAATATTGGTTAAGAAGTATAGATAGATTCAATCCTACAACCTTGCTTCAATTTAAAACAGATAATAGTTGATCTAGAACCTGTACCATTAATCGCCTCCCATTCAAATTACTTCAAGCTTCTAGATTAGTAAATTTGGTCACGTTATATTGAAGTAATCCGAATATTACTTCTAGGACTTAATCTAATTAATTTTATTTGGTACTACATCGCTACTAAATCTACTTACCACAATCCTTTTGTATAGTGTGGAAGCTTCGCCTAGCGGTGCAGAGATTTCAATCACTAGACACCAATTTGTCACATATTCCAAGTAACTACTCTAATGTCACAGCATTCGTCTAATTCATCGCCATCGAAACAGAAGAACATTGGTGTATACACCATTGGCCCTGAAATAGGTAAAGGTTCATTTGCCACCGTTTACAAATGTATCGATAATCGTACACATGAACCAGTAGCAATTAAGTCGGTTGTTCGATCAAAGTTGAAGTCCAAGAAGCTAGTGGAGAACTTGGAGATTGAAATTTCCATCTTGAAAACTATGAAACATCCACATATTGTTGGACTTCTTGATTGTACTCAAACTGCTTCACATTTCCATTTGGTGATGGATTATTGTTCAATGGGTGATTTATCATATTTTATTAGAAAGAGAGATCAACTTATTCAAACACACCCTGTGATTTCATCATTATTGGAAAGATATCCATCACCAGAGGGATCACATGGGTTAAACCATATTTTGGTGGTTCACTTCCTTAAACAATTAGCTTCTGCGTTGGAATTCCTTCGTAATAAGAGTTTGGTGCATAGAGATATTAAACCACAAAATTTGTTGTTATGCCCACCATTACACACAAAGGCCGAGTTTGAAAAAGGTCATTATACTGGATTATGGGAATTACCAATATTAAAAATAGCTGATTTTGGATTTGCAAGGTTTTTACCTTCCACTTCAATGGCGGAAACATTGTGTGGATCTCCATTATATATGGCTCCAGAAATTTTACGATACGAGAAATATAATGCAAAGGCTGATTTATGGTCTGTTGGAGCTGTCTTATATGAAATGACTGTTGGGAAACCTCCATTTAAAGCTGATAATCATGTTCAATTATTGAAAAATATTGAAAAATCGAATGATCGAATCAAATTTCCATCTGCTTCACAAGTTCCAGAACCTTTGAAGAGATTGATTAGATCTTTACTTAAATGTAATCCAACTGAAAGAATATCATTTTCCGAATTTTTCAGTGATCCTACTATATTAGAAGAGTTGGAAGGGGTTGATGTACCATTGGAAACTTCACAAATGGATGAAAATCTATTTATTAGTGAATATATTTCTCCTATAAAGCAACCACAAAATGTGATCAAGCCTTTGACAACTATTGATTCACCACGTACTGTGCCAACCAAGATCCCTAATTCTACGAGTAGCTCTGCTAGAGATGAGGAAATCAAACAAATTATTCATAGCAACAGTCCTGGTCCAGATGTGTTGTCGAACTCTATTCAAGCTAGGAAACAAAATGAGCTGAATAGACATCGTAACAAGGATAATGATATCATTTTGGAAAAAGATTATGTTGTGGTTGAAAAAAGAGCGGTTGAAGTAAATGCAATTGCCGACGAACTAGCTAATGCTGGTAGTGGAGTTGTTGCAATTAATCGACCACAATCTTCACAAACCGATGGTTCTCCCAACTCAAAAACAAATACTTACAGAAGAGGCTCATTGAGAGCCAATTCATTTGGACAAAGTAGAAGACCAAGTCTTACTGAGCGAAGGGTTTCTATTTCCATCTCCCCCACCAATGCATTAAGCAAAGCTATTGGGTTGGCTTCAAATAGATTGTTTGGTGCTGGTGGTACAAACAATATTCAATCAACAGTTGTGGAAGGTTCCCATGAATTGGTTCAAACAAATCCGAATAACCCAACTTATTCAAATATTATATCTTCTCCAAATTTTGTCAACCATTTATTGCTTCAAAAGATAAATCTTCCAATCTCATCTACGTTAAATAACCTCCAAATAACTCATGTCAGATCAAAACTGCCATCTCCAAGTTCAGATGAGAACGTCTTACTTAAACTTGAATCCATTGCAACTAAATCGCATGCGGTAAACCTCTTTGCAGATGTGAAATTCAGTCAATTAATTCCTTCACCTCCTTCAACCGAAGGTCTAGAAGATGATTTCATGTTACAAACTGACATATTACCTCCTAAGATTGTAAAATCTATTAGTGAAGAAGGGGTTGTCTTGTACGTGAAGACTCTCTCGCTTCTTGCTCAGGGAATGGCTGTCGCAAGTAATTGGTGGTATCTGCAAGTGGAAAACAATGAATCTAATTCAATTGAAAGTGTCGGTCAAAGCAGTATTCAAAATTCTGTAAAGATTAATGAATTGGTACAATGGATCAGAGAAAAGTTTAATGAATGTCTTGAAAAGGCAGAATTTGTTCGGTTACGTCTCCAAGAAGCAAATAGTGTCTTACTGCAAGATGATGTTTCTTCTGTCTATTCCGAAAAAGAAAGAGTAATTGCAGAGAAATTAATTTTTGACAGAGCGTTAGAAATGTCCAGAAACGCAGCTGTCAATGAACTTGTAAAAGAAGACTTGAAAGGTTGTGAGCTTGCTTATAGTACCGCAATTTGGATGTTGGAGGCTTTACTTGATGAAGAAACAACAAAGGAGGATGAAAGGTTAGATGAAGAAGACAAAGCTATGGTTGAAAAATTCATTGTTAGTATTGGGAATAGGTTGAGTGTATTGAAGAAAAAGTTGGAGACTGTCCAGTAAATGGGCACTTCAAAATACCTTCTCCTCTCAATGACTTTGAATTTCTAACCTTTTTTTATTTCAATTTTCTATTTTATTTTATTTTATATCATTGGTTTTAGGTATTTTATGGTATGGGCAGGGATACGAAGGGCCCCGGGTTAATATTTATTCATTGTGGTTTGCAATGTGGAAAGTGTCCACTTCAATAGAGAATTCCTAAGCGCAGGATTTACTCTTTTTATATATACTTTTATATTCTACAAGAAAAAAAAAAATGTTGTCTCTATTCTTATATGTAGCTAATGGCGATCTTCTTTTGGTTTATGAAGCTGAAGTAAACCAACAGTTACTGAACTTGAACGGTAATGTGGAGGTCTGACTTCAACTTTGGTGGTTGATTTAGAAGCACTTTCCTTATCGTTTTCATAATGCAATGCATTGGGGAATGGATATTGGATTGGATCCTTTTTATAGTGGTTATTGAATTGACTATTAAGGAATGTATGATTTTTGTTATCACCATGTACAAATGCGGCAACCATATGAGAATTGATAGTTGCATTGTCTGCGGATGGTGCATTATTTGCAAGAGGAGATGAAATTCTATCCGAAGTATAAAATTCCTTTTGCATCTTATCGAATTTCGAATTGGGTGTCAATGGTTGTACTAGGGCTTCTTCGGCTGCCACTTCAAAATTTGAAAATATCTGTGGCTTTGTCTTTTTCTCATAATTTCTATCAGCTGCCATTGGAGGACCAACTGGTGATTGTAAATGTGGTGTGATTGTTGCTGACGATGTGTTGCTAGAAAGAATAGAAATCGATGGCGTCATATTAGAAGGTACCATAGATATACTAGGTCGAGGAACATTGGCCATCAAACCTGCTGGAACATCTTCAAATTCTGCATTCTGTTCATGAAATATTATCGGAACATCATAAACATTTTGGTGTGCTAATCTTGGTAGGTGAGAATCGTGTGATTTTGCTCGATTACTTTGTGAAAGGAAATGAGGTCGTGAGGTTGGTGCAACTTTTGATGCAAAAGCCAAGGTGAGGTTTCCTTCTTCTTCTGAGCTCTCTCCGTCACTTTGTGATGAAGAGCAAGAAGAAGAATATGAAGAATATGAATCCTTTCTTTGTGGTATCTCTATCCTTCTTCCAAACCCAGGCTTGTTACACAACGGTTTTTCTGTTGGCTCTACATCTTCATCTTTACCCTTAAGATCAAAGGTAATACCGCGAGGTTTCATCAGCGAGCCCAAATCAAAGTTTTTCATTCTCTCGTTGATGTTCACCATAGGGGATTCATGTCCTTCGTCTTTAAAGTATACTTCATTTATTTGGGATGCAGAACTCGACCTCCGTCTTTGATTGGATGAATGATTCTTCTTTGGATTCTCTGGGACATACCTTTGAGTGAGATAATCATCGCTAAAACTATCCAAAGAGGCAAAGCTCTCACTTAAAGGAAGGGAAATCACTGAGGAGCGACGTTTATCTTCGATTTGAATCGAAGATACTTTTAGATGCTGTGGTTTGTATGAAGGTGCTAGTTTAGATGATTCTGGTAATACCATTGAATTTTCAGCAGTATTGTAGTTAGATGATGTAGGTGAAGCAAATGCACTAGATCTGCGCCTTTTATCATCTTGTTGTTGTATATCCTTAAATGTATCAATGGCAGATTGGTTCTTCAAATACAAATCTCCCCCAACGTTTCTTTTTGTTTCAATTTGTGCTGCTTCAGTAGTTCCAGCCGAACTGCCTCTTCTACTAATAATCGGCGATTGAGAATCCATAACTTCTTGGAGTAACAAGTTTGGAGCCCTCATTTCACGAGATCCACTTCCGCCGCCAGCAGAATAAGAAGGTGATCTAGATGGAATTCCCTTTTGAACGGAAAGATTGGATGCAACATGCGGAGCAGACTTCAAGAAAGATCCAACATTGTCACCAGAAGGAGACAGTAAATGAAACCCGCTTCCAGAAAGTGGAGGTGTAGTCACTTGTAGAGCCTCGGAGAGAATAACCGATCGTGCGTCATTTGAATTTAGCTTCATGAATCCATTAGAATTCCCCGTTTCAATTGATGATTCTTCCAGTGATGTACTAGATGATGGCTCCATATTTTGAAAGAACCTTCTTTTGATCTCTGTACTATCTCTTTTGCCTGACCGTATAGCTTGAGCCAATGATTTCCTGATTCTGCTTCCAACACCAACAACAGCGTTATCCATCTCTTCCGCCAGAACTTCATTGCAGAATAGATATTGCTCTAAATGATCTTGAGTCGCCTGGTTGGAGTATATAAATTCTTCGAGCAGTTCCACATCATTCTCCAAATCCATCAAAACAAATGGATGCTTCTTGATTTCAGGAATATCTATTCTAGTTTTCCGGTTTTTGTCAAGCATCTTTTTCAACAAATCCATAGCCAATTCGAACTCCTCCTGTGATACACGAGCTGGCGAGTTAAAACTGTCACAACTTTCTGGGAATTTCATAGTGTCATTCACAATGACTTGAAACAATTTAAATTCAGAATCGGCATTGAATGGAACCTTACCAAACAATAAACAATACAAAGTAATCCCTAATGCCCAAATATCAATCTTATGGTCTACTTTAGGCAATTTATCAGAATTAGTAGAGTTTTGAGAATCATCTCGTTTGGTCATTTCTAAGGCGTTGCTGACAGAAGTTGAACTTGAAGAAGGTGAATAAAAGTTGGTTTGACACAATTCAGGAGCGAAAAATGCAGGTGTACCAGCAGTCTTTGCCAATTCTACTTCATTTACAAGAAATCCTTCATCATTTCGATTCAAAGATGATGCAAATGAAACACCAAAATCACTAATTTTCACCACATTATCAGAACTTACTAAAAGATTTGCAGGTTTGATATCTCTATGCACAATTCCTTGTAAATGCAAATACTCTAATCCAAGAATAACATCACGTAAAATCTTCCGAGATTGCTTGAAAGTAAGATTAGGGGTATATTCATCAGATAAAAGATTATCTGCTTCTTCAGTATCATTAAACAGTAAACTTGTTTTCCTCTTTGTTTCGCCGCAACATGGTATGTCGTCATTAATAGGATGCTTTGGCATGACACCATCAGATGCCTTCCGTTTCCATTTGATTTCTCCCTTTTCTAAATACTCTAGTACCAAGTAAATTTTATAAGAATTAAGATCATCAAGAACTTCCTTCAATTTAACAATGTGTCTATGGTTACATTTCTTCATGATGGCAATTTCTCGTTTAATCTTCTGTTCATACTCATTAGGAACATCTTGAGCTGCTTTAGAATCTCTCCTTTGTCTTAAAGTTGGACGTTCTCGCTTAGATCTTCTATTTACAATCTTAATTGCAACTAGTTGTTGCGATTCTAAGTCTCTAGCAAGCTTGACTTTACCGTGTTCACCTCTTCCTATTTCACGCAAGATTTCATACGTGTTCAATACTTTCCGTTTACTTGCCGGATCATATTCTAAAAATACTTTGCGAGTTTCTTTGACACTATGGATTGTTGATAATGGTGGTCTAACATTTAATGGTGATTCTTCGGGGTGGTGCATTGGAGTTGATGTTGGTTCTTCAAGTACAGGGGGTTGATCATCAGTGGCAGTTGTAGAAATAGATGCAGTCCTAGAACGTCCACTAAGGGTACTATGAATGATCTCAGAAACTTTCCCAAATATACTACTCACCCTCGATCCTCTCCTTGAAGTATCCACAGTCTCTTGATCACTTCCGGTACCAAAGAAGGTGGTTGGTATAGCAGACTCTGGTGATACTTCACATGTCGCCCCATTAGATAGTCTTGGTAGAAGTACAGAATGTCTCTGTATCCTTGTGGGCGAAAGTTCGCTACTAGCTGTGGTGGAGGTCATTTTGTGGCCGATCTTGTGATCATTTGACGGGGTCAATTCGGATCCCGCAACTGTTTGATATAAATTTAAACGGGCTACAATGGGTTATGCTATTAAGTCCCGTTAGTTTGATCTGGGAAGTACACTTGAAACAAGACTATTGATTTGGTATTTTCTTGAATTCCTGTATGAAGAGATTGTCTGATGTAAAGATCCTTTGTTCGTTGTCTAGTATTTCGTTTCCCTTTAACCCCCCCGCTACAACCAAAAAAAAACTTCTATGACACAAAGCAATGAACCTGCTGATTACGATACAAAAAAAAAAAAAAAATAACCTATACGCACTAGCAACCACCTTTTTTAATCAACCCCAACACACTATGCTAATTTGCTACCCCTCATGGATATATTTATCTCACTTTGTTTGGTATCAATACTAAATACAATTCATGATAAGTCTACACTAGCCAACTCATAAATTTTCCTATAACATTTTAAATTTCTATAAATTATAACTCTTTATTCTCATTTTCTTCCTTACCCTTTGTTCTCACTCCAGAAAGAAATTGTTCAATTCCTTCACCAGTATAATCATATTTCAATGCTTGTGCAAGTAAATATCCAGTACCTGATCCTTCACGAAGCTGTTCCTCAAGATGTGCAGTTGCTTGTTGATAAAATCCACTTCTAACTACTTCGAGTATTTCTTCTTTTGTCGCACCAGTGGATTCTGGAAGATACCCCCCATACAATTCTTCAAGTTGAAGGTCAGATAACCCTGATAAATGCTTTGAAATTATATCTGGTGATAAAACATCTGAAATCGAATAAATTGGGAGCTTAACCGGAACCTCTCTAGCTTGTCTTAACCTTGTTAATAAAAAATTATTCGAAAAATAATAGAAAGAAAAAAAAAAGAAAATCGATATCGGTTATAGAAAAGAAACGTACTTACTGGCCCTCCTGCTTCACTTCTTCTTCCTCTTCCTGCTTCATCTTTACATCTTCAGCTTCCTCGGTGCCTTCTACCTCGTTATCTTCTTCTTCCTCTTCTTCGTCATCATCATCTTCAACCATAAGTAAGTCGGAAATTTTCTTTACTATGAGTTCGTCCTTTTCGGTTAATTTGTCCAATTCTTCATCATCCCCAACATCTTGAAGCCAATAAAGGTTCTTTGCCCCTGAAGATAAAAATGTAAGAGCAAATACACGTCCAGTCTTACATGACTTCACTTGCTTGAAAGTAACATCACCTGGAATAATTAATAAATCATCACTCTCAACATTTCCTGAACCTGATTTTGGAGTCCATATGAAATCGTAAAATGAATCTTCTTCAGCACTTGGCTTAATTGAAATCACCCCCTTATGTGGCAATGGCAAGCATTTCTTGGTATCTTCATCGTATTGAACCTTTCCCGCGTTGAATTTGACTAAACTGGCAACCATTGTTTATTTATATGTATAGATTGATAGTGATTCTTTACTTTAATACTCTCTTGTTCGATTTGTATGTTACCAAAATAGTTGCCACCTCAAAAAAGGGTCGTGCGAAGAACGGAAAACCTACAAGTTGATTTTATTAGTAGACTATAAATGTACTAGATAGTAAATCTCTTAACATATATACTCACATATATATATATATCGATCTAGGATTGGATATATGAATCTAAGTCCGAGACATTATATCATATATATAATTTCAAATTTAACTCATTCATCTAATTTCTATGTCCAACTACTTTTTGTAAGTCTCCTATTATATACACCACAAACCCCCGCTCCTGCACCTATCCCCACGCCGTTTTTACCTCTAAACCCCCATTAGGTACAAATACTAAAACTACATTTATAACCTTACCCAATACATACTAAGTACATAGAAGTATGGCTTCGGCAGAATCACAATTACAATCACAATTCCCCCCTGAGGATGTGCGTGTATTAGTGGGCGAAATATCTACAATCTTGCGCTCCCGAAATCAAACTTTGGCTATTTCTGAAGCTGCTTGTGGTGGACTTCTTTCAGCGTATTTAGTTTCTGTTCCAGGGGCTCTGGATTACTATATTGGAGGGAAGCTCGTGTATTCCTTGAAACAACGTCTCAAGTTATCTGGCTGGTCAGATGATGATATAAGAAATTACATGGGTCCATCAGAACTGGTGGCATTAAAATTGGCCCGAACCGCAAAATATGAACTTGGGTCAACATATGTACTCTCTGAAACTGGCTTTGCAGGACCATCTACTGACCTTCATCTTCTGGATGTAGAAAACATTCCAGTTGATGGTCATGGTGTTGGAACTGTCTATTTAGGACTTCATGGTCCCAAGGGTGATGTTTCCTGTTGTTTCCACACTAATTCTGTTGATAGATCGTATAATATGACCCAATTTGCCAAATTGGGATTAATTTTTTTATTAGAACAATTAAAAAAATGATTTATCTCCGTCTTAATTCCATATTTAATATTACCAATATTGACTTAAATTGTCTAGTTATTAAAATCCTCATTTATTACCTTGCGTCAATATTGTGCGATTCATTTGTATATACATCCTTTATAGCTAGTTTAGTCATGCCGCACATCCTATTTAAGTAGTCCATTTGTAAGTATCAATCTACAATCTCCTGCAGGTTAGGCTTTACCTCACAGTATGTTTACGCACCAAAAGTTGAATGGTCAAATCTTTTTACAAAGTTAATCTCTTGTAATCATTCCTTTCTTTCCCTTAGAGAATTGAAGCTATTGTAGCTTTATTCCCAATTTGTATTATTACTCAACTGTAATTGCAGTATTATATTAAACCTTCCGGCTTTGTATATTCCAATTTAATTCTGATATAGTTGTTAAAACCATGTCGGAAGGATTCGGATATCTGCCGGACCTGCTGCAACTGAGTCAGCAGCAAGTTAAACGATCTCTTCGAAGAAAACCACCACCACCATTGCCAGATAAAGTCCCCATAGAGCCCACATGGCCAATGCATAGTGAAGTACCCACTTCACGTTTAGCCCCACAAATCCCACCAAGACCGTCTACTAAAGTTGATACTTCATTGACTCTGACTTCAAGACCTTTAAATGGACCACGAGATTGGCATTCAGTACCCGACATTTTGGCAGATGTCTCTTTTGTAGATGACTCGTTCAATGGGTCATTTATATCCATGGAGAGCCCAAAGCCTATGGGTCCCAAGACACTCCCTGAATATGAATACTCGGATACAACAATTGGACTGGGTCAAGTACTAGATAATCGACGTCCACCGCATCAAGATATTCTCCCATATCCAATTGATGACTTGGGACTGGTATTACCAGATGAATTGACTAACGGTGGTTACTATGAAGATGAGATCTATCAACCACAATTCCAACAACAAAATTTGAGTCCAAATAATACGTCCCAAATAATACATCAATCTATGCATACCCCCACAAGGAAGATCCCTCCACTCATTCAAACTTCTTCGCTTAGTATCCCAGCAGGGTCAACTTCTGCTCCTATTCTCCCACCCAGAACACAGTATCAAAGTTGGCCCGGTGCGACTATTGAAGATAATTCTCTGATATTTAATCCTAGTCCGTCTCCTGTTGTTGCCGCTCGATACCAACAGGGTACTAGTCCAACAAGTCCAAATCGTCTTAGACAAACTTCTCCTAATAGAACTCGGATAATGGGAACCAGTCCAACATCTCCTAGAAGAAAAGGAGATGGGTTTGGAAGTAATTCCAGTAGTCGATCCCCTTCCCCTAGAAAACGATATTATGACAAATCACCATCTCCCAAATACAATGGATTTAATGATGGTTCTTATTACGAGGACCAAGATGATTCTTATGAATACGATGACGCACTGTTTGAATACCCACAGGGCCAAGGACTTTGGAATGAGACTTCGAGAAATTGGGACTTTGATGATGAGTACAAATTTTACGATGATGAAGTTGAAACAGATGCTCAAACTAGTCCATCTTCAACTTTTTTCGATTATTCTGCACTTCCTGAAATTCCAAATTCAATGACGACCATAGAATCTGCATCTTCATCTCCTAAACGTATGACCCTTACGTCTGCGATGTCTTTTGTCAAGAAGCCAGGCAATCTCAATTCCCCATCGTTGACTTCTCTCAATAGAAAACGTTTGGAGTCAGACTTACCTCCTATTCCATTAGATCTACCACAATTACCATTTTCGTCATCGTCACTCGTGTCTCAACATTTTTCTGCGTGTGAGCGTGTATGGTCAATGAGTAACATTTTTCAATGGTGTTTAAAGTTGAAAACATGGCTTCATGATCTGTTTATTTCAAAGAGAGAGTTCAAGAAGGCATTGATCAAATTATTGGTATTTCATCGTAGTGATATCCCATTGGATATCATTGGACAAAATGTGGATCATATTATTGAGGCATTGGTTCAAGCTGGGGGTATTCAATATATGAATGATGAAGTACACAATTCAAATACAAACAAGAAGGAGCGTGGAATTCAATTGGTTGAGAATGCCTATGTAAATGGGGTATTGCCTGAATTGCTTGGATGTTATTGTAACGATCGAGATCATAGATCAACGTCTAGTTCTGATGTTAAACTTAGATGCTATTCTTCACAATGTTATATGAATAAAATCATTGAACATCAAATTATGTTGAAGAACACAAATATTCACGATATTATCCTTGGTGAAGACTGGTCTTCCCATTGGAAATTAACAGCTGAAGATTTACGAAGATACGATAAAAGTGTCTCTAAAAGACAATCACTCATCTACGATTTACTTAAATACGAACAAACATTTATTCAAAGAGGTGAATGTTTTGTTAAAATTGTTGGGCCTGATTTCATTCGTGCCTCGACAATTCTTCTTGGGGCAAATAGTATAACTCTGATAAATTCATTTGAAGATGATATACTTAAACCAGGTGCAGAGCTTGTAAAAATTCACCAAGAGACTTTAATGGAACCCCTTTTGAGAATTTTATTATCTGATGGGAAGTTCATTCAAAAAATAGTTGAAATTGCCGACTTATACTATCAATGGTCAGAAGTAGTCAAAATATCGTTGCTCAAGTACATTAGTACTGTTCCAATGATTGAAGATCTTTTCAAGAATCCTAAGATTAAAAAATGGGTTGATAATGTCCGTAACACTCCACGAGTCAAGGAATTGAAGGTTAATGGACCTTTACTTTTCATGAGTACTTTCAACTCAAGATATCAACAACTTCCATTACAACTTGGTGATATCCGATCTCTGTACGACCCAGAAGATCAAGAATATATTTCTCTTACACGAGCTATAGAGGCATTGAAGAAACTTGGATCAAAAGTCAATGAAATGAAACATCATTCTGATAACATTTTTGAATTGAAACGAATTAGTAAACAGTTACTTTGGAAGAACAATGTCAATACTGCTGATGTCAATTTAGGATCAGAAAATAGACGCTTTTTCTATCGTGGTGATGTTACTAGAAAGGGAGATTTGAAAATTAATTCAATCAATAATCATCTTATTTTATTGGATAATTTCTTATTTATTACAGAAAGAGTTAAGAATCTGAAAAATCAACTAAGTTATAGAGTAGTTGAAAATCCTATCCCAGTGGAAATGCTTCTTGTTGAAATTAAGGAAACCCCAAATTCTCAACTAGGAAATACTAGTTCGACAACACTTGATCCATTGGGACTGGCTGGTAATGCCAAGGGTTCAGATGATGATGAGGAATCGACTTTTCTGTTTAAGGTGCGATACGCTGGACGTGGTAAACATAATGCTTATGTATTCACAACTAAATCTGATCGAGAACGTCGAACTTGGATAGGTGCATTTATCAAAGCAAGAAGTAATTTATGTGAGAGGTTAAGTAAGACTGAGGCATATTCAGTTCAGCCTATTGGTAGTAGTTGCTTTGCGTATGAATCAAATAACCGAGTTTTAAAATTACAAGTGTGTGCACCAAATGATCCCATTGAACCAGCAGCTACTGAATCACATAATAAAATGCAAAAAATGGGGTGTAATGACATTTATGCATTTGGTAATGCTAAATATCATCTTGTTTTTGGGAAGATTCAGAGTTTGGAATTATTTGAATACAAAGGTACCAAGTTTTATTTGGCAGGTCTTGATACAGGTATTTACTGTTCTGACTTGAAAAATGGATGGAAAAAGATTTTACATGGACCTGATATTTCAAAGATAGCAGTTGATCCTAGTATTAACATTGCTGTTGTTTTAGGAAATAAAAGTCTTCGATATTATCTCTTGGATCTGCTCATTGGAGTATATCTTGATAAGCGAGAAAAAATTACTGGAGTGTCACTTTCTAATGAACCAATTTCATTTTTTGCTCTTGGAAGACATAGAGAAATAACAATGCTTTTCTATGCAAAGAAGAAAAGTAATTCTGCAACTACAAACTTTAAAGTATTAATTCCAGAAACTGATAATGATGGGGTTTTCAGTGCTTTTAAAGTTGCAAAAAAATTCTATGTTCAAGCAGATTGTTATGGAATATCTGTATTTAACTCATCGTTTGCAGTATTCACCAATAAAGGATTTGAAATTTTGGAATTGGATAAGCTTTTACCAAGATCTATTCCTGAAGTGCCAGTAGTTGATGCTTCACTGAAAAAAATTGATGGATATGGTAGAAAATCTACATCATCGAATCTGAATGGTTTAACACATCATCCAGGCATTGACATTATCCGGAAATACATTCAAACAGGGACGGTTCGTCCAATGGGAATGTTTAAATTGTCTAATAATACTGAATTTCTACTTGTGTATAATGATTGTGCTGTGTTTACAAATAAGCATGGAAAATTATCAAGATACCTGATGCTTCGATTTGATTTCAGAGCCAAGAAAATTGCATTTCTCAATAATAATCTTTTGGTGGCATGCGATGAAATTTTAGAAATTTGGTCTATTAGTGATTTTGTAAATGGATCTAACAAACTTATTCAAGTTATTACTGGGAAAGATTTATCTATTGTTAGTGATGGAGATGAAGTTTGTGTTGCATTAGCAAATCCAAAGGTTCCTGGACTTCAGCTTTTGTTACAACTTGTACCAAAATCATCAGGAATTTACTAATACAATACGTTATAGGGACACAAAAATAAATCTATATTAATAAAGACTAACATTTAAATATATTTAATATTTGTAGGTTTTGTATTATATCCCCTCCCCTCCCCCACCTTTGTAAATATCTTTATATTTTAATCTAGATTGTTTCGGCCGAGTAAATCCGAATAAAATATTTCTTTCCACAAAAAATCGCATGCACTTCTCCGGGCACATAACCCCGAGGGAATAAGATTGTGGGGAAATATATTTATAAGAAACATGAAATGGACAAAATGAATTATGAATTTTAATCAAGGATAGTGAATTAAAGTAGATCAAAATTAATTCATAAAAAATGGAATTCAATGTCAATGGGAAAGTTGCTGTAGTCACTGGGGGGACTAGAGGCTTAGGGCTCGATTGTGCTGAAGCACTTGTGTTGCATGGAGCAAAGACTGTTGTAATCACTTCACGTAAGGCCAAAGCTTGTGAAGAGGCAAAGGCTTATCTTGACAAAGTCGCTAAAGGCAATGGTAAATCAGCAACAATTATTGCAATTCCAGCAGATATTGCTAAGGATCAAGATCTTGAACAATTTTTCAAAGATGTAAGTGCCAAAATTGATAGATTAGACATTCTTATTGCAAATGCAGGTGCATCATGGGGTGCACCACTTAGTGAACATCCAGTATCTGCCGTTAGGAAAGTATTGGATTTAAATGTTGTGGCGGTTTTCCATTGTATTAAATTATTCACACCTTTATTAGCTGAGTCTGGATCTGCTGAAGATCCTTCAAGAATTTTGATTATGTCTTCAGTTGCATCTTTGGTACCACAGGATGCTGCCGGTACCTATGGATATTTGGCATCCAAGGCTGGTGTTTCACATATGGGTAAGAACTTGGCTATCCAGCTTGGTCCTTCCAACATCAATGTAAACTCCTTGGCTCCTGGTTTCTTCCCAACCAAAATGTCAAATGGACTTCTTGAAGTTTTTGGTGAAGTTATGGTTGAGATGAACCCTAAAAGGAGATTGGGTGTTAAGGCTGACATTCAAGCTGCTGTTATATTCTTGTGCTCTAAGCCATCAGCCTACATCAACGGAATTGTGTTACCAGTTGATGGTGGTTCGCACTTGGTTGGTAGTCCATCTCCTCCAAGTAAGATTTAATCAAATATTTACAAAATACTTGATTTCTAAATCCTTTGATTCTACATTTGATATGTGAGTTTATACAATATATATCTATATATATATATATATATATATCTAAATATACTATTTATGCGGTCTCTTGAAGGTTTTGTGTGTTCACCTATGTAAAATGAATAGGTTTTGATTTGCATCCGGAATTTCCTGTATATACTTGTCAACGCATTCTATTTCTTTATATCAACGTCTAAACGTTGGCAATTCAACATATAATAATACATCAAGAGTCCAAACGAAATGGGTGTAGCATCTTCAAAGGTACTTGACTCCCTCATGGAGGGAACCAACTTTGATAGAGAAGAGATCGATAGATTGAGAAAGAGATTTATGAAATTGGATAAGGATGGGTCAGGAACCATAGACAAGAATGAATTCTTAGAGATACCTGGTATTTCATCAAACCCTTTAGCATCAAGATTGATGGATGTATTTGATGAGGATGGAAGTGGTACTATCGATTTCCAAGAATTCATCGGTGGATTGTCTGCCTTTAGTGGTAAGACTTCAAAACTTGACAAATTGAACTTTGCGTTTAAGATTTATGATATTGACCGGGATGGTTATATAGGTAATGGAGAGCTTTTCATTGTGTTGAAGATGATGGTGGGGAAGAACTTGGCTGACGAACAACTTCAACAAATTGTAGATAAGACTATTATGGAAGCTGATAAGGATGGCGATGGACGCCTTGATTTCGAAGAGTTTAAGAGTGCCGTAGATTCTTCATCTGTGGCAAATGCTTTAACTTTAAACATTTTTTAAGAAAATATTAAGTCGATACTTGATAATGGTAAAAGGATCCATATACCCCCTGTTTCTTACCATATTTGCTTTGAATTTACCTTTATGAACTCTAGAAACAGGGCGGGAATTTCTAGTGTACTTCTACTATTACTGGTGGGCGTGCCCTATGACAATTTACGATACATTATACACTGTACTGTTGTTGTTTTACTACCTGTATTCACAGTTTGTTTTTGTTTGTTTTTTTACTATTTAACAAATTTTTTACTTCTTTTTAAATATCCTCTTGATTTTTAAATAATTATTTCTGTGAATATTCAATAGTCATATTTAACTAACTTTTACCAATATAAGTAGGATATAGATATGTAATGAATAAGTTCTTCTTCTTTAACTGTAAATATGGATCTGGGTCGTGTGCGCGTACATATCTCTTTATCATCATCTTTGTAGTTGAACTACTGATAACGACAAAATAATACTAAGGGAGATTAGAATTTACTAATTTAATACATAAAAATCTCATCTAAAGGTAAGAATGGATGCCCCACTTCTGAATTTTGATGAGAGTAGACTCTTTGAGTCAATCAACTTGAATGGGGGAATTCATCCGGATGGATACATCCCTGAATCCACAATTCTTTCCAATAGACCATTACCACAGATACATCGATCGGTACCAGGTTCAGTTTCCAACACATCAGATGAAGAAGATGAGGATCTAGATCCCATGGAGTTTTTGTCTACTGAACATCAAATTGCAGCTAATCTTCTGCCAAATATTCCAATCAAAAATTCGACCCCAGATACAAACTCTGGAACAGGGTCTACTCCCTCTGGTCTGGCATCTACTGAGGTCATGTTCGAAGGTGGTAGAATACTGGACGTGCCTAATGTGTCGGTTCATAATTTATTTCTGAACCCATCCGTCATGTCAAGCTCCAATGGTGTCCATCGCTCATTTTCAACTTCACCAATTGATTCACAACGTAAGGTAAATATGATTGAATCTGAAATTCTCGGAACCTCACTTCTGGGACTGGTAGTACGACACTCATTTGCAAATATTGGTAGCAATATTAAACATGGTAATAGTCAGGAATCTCCAATTGAAATGGTTCTGAATCGAGGGAAGTTTTTGGATAAAGAATTACTCAACAATACACATATTCAACGACAAATGCTTGAAAGCGGAGATCAAAGGCTAGGGAAGGTAAGAAATATGATAGCTCAAATGTTTGAACAAGTGGCTGATAATCATAAAATGTTACATGAATTGTATTGGAATGACTTACGAAACGTTTCGACACTGTTTGAAAACTTTAAAGAATGGGATATAAAGCGTGAGCGGGTACTCAAAAAAATTGTTTCTATTAAGAGTAGTAAACACAAATATGGTAGTAAGTTAATGGAGCTAGCTGGTGAAGCTCACAAAGTTGACGAAGAGATTGATACACTAGAGCAAAGAATTAAAACTTTGAAAGAGAAAAGATCACTTCTAAATGCTGAAATTGAAAATACAAGTTCAGTGCTTGAAAGTAGAACTTCAGCTTATGTTCAAACTTTTAAAAATTTGGAAAAGGAAGGAAATGAAGCTATTCAGACAATATTAGACCTGAGTGGAGTCTCAAGATCAGAACAATCTAATATTATCAAGAAAGTCCCTGTTGATGTCACTTTCTCTCATCAATTCCATAAATCACTTCCAAACAAAGACTTCGAAAAGCTTTCAAGCATAGGGAGTACATTACCTACATCACAAAACAAACAAAATCATCCTACTGTTGCTCATGGAGATAAATTATCGTCACAGAATCCATATGAAAGGGGATTCTCCATGGGTACTGAACTGTCACATAATGCTAAGATTCGCCTAACAACATTTGTAAATAGTGTTTTAAAGCCAGCTTTTATCTCTTCTCTGGTTCAGTACTCGAAATCAGTCCTTGACGATAATAACAACACCATTCGAGAAAAACTTGAATTGGAACCTATTCTGCAACTATTAAACCATAAAATGCAGGCATTGAAAGGTTTAATCGACCACCATACTAATTTGGAGAAATCATATAGGCAATACAATCTGATATGGAGAGATGTGATTGATATTTTGAACCAGATGGAAAATAGTCTATTCTCGCACATTTCTACAAGTGTATTAAGTGGTCCAGACTCTACTGCTTTAACCATAATAGAATCAAATTTGAATAAAATTGTTGAGAGGTTTAAACTTCAAGCTCAATCTTCTAAGATTGAAAACACAAACGACGCTCCCATTTTTGAAGTTTTGTTAAATGAAATTCGAGCAGTAACGAAGGCAACTTCAATTGTTAGGGGAGATGACAATAAGAGTACATTGATATCTGATTTGCGAAAGTTGGCTGGTCTAGCAAATGCGAACAAAAAGAATAATAATTCATCTACGCGTGGGAATGCGCCTATTCCTACTGGTTTTATGAGCTCTGGGATCGACGCTAGACAAAATGCAATGCGGGAAGTTGAAAATAAAGAACAGGCAGCTCCATTTGACGAGAATCAAATCTTTTCTACTTCAAAGAAAGATAAACATTTATAAGTACGCCTGTGAACAATTACAGTATCCAATTTTATTTTATATATGTGTTTCTGTGTTTTTTAAACTATTTAGGAAATGGACGGTTTCTTTTGTTGTTAATAAACATGCTTGATTGCGCAGGACGTTTTCTTGGAGGAAGAACGCCTGAACTGGAAGGTCCATTCTGTTGCGATCCTCCATTTAACTTTCTCTGCTTTTGATTGTAATTGGGATCGTGTTTAGGATGGTTTGGATTTCTGAGATCACTAGGATGCCACCTTCTTTTGTAATTAGGATCATGGTTAGGATGATCAGGATGACTTGGATGGTTAGGGTTGGGTGGTGGTCGTCTATTATAGGGTGCTGCTTGTTGGTTGACGTTGTTGGCCGGAGCATTCAAAGATTTGCTAGTACTCTGAGCATTCGTTGTAGAAGTTGGAGAATTGGTATCTACTTTTTCTCTTGGTGGTATTCTGTTGTCTAGTGGTTTATACAGGGATATTGGCTTGGATATTTCACGTTTCTCGTTGGTTTTTTGCTTAACTGGTTCGGGATGCTCTGTAGTAGATGGAGGAGTGGCAGTATTTGCATTAGTCGATGGGTTGGTGGGTTGAGGTCTCTCAGGAAGATATTTAACTGGGTGTGAATACTCATTGGGCCCCTCTAGTTCTTGAATCTTCGATCCTGAATTATTATCAAAATGAAGTGTTTTATCTTCTGGGCGCATCTCTCGCATTGAGCTTGAAATCGATCCAGGATATGCATTGGTGACTGCATTTCTATGAGTAGCATCAGTAAGAAGACGATTCCAAACTTTGTTTCTCATCAACGACTCTTTATTACCAAGGATCCAAAGTGTAGTTCTTGCACGAGTAAGTGCCACATTCATACGTCTTACATCACTCAAGAAACCAACATTACCAGTCGGACTTGCTCTTACACAAGACATGATGATAATTTCCTTCTCTTGACCTTGATAACCATCAACAGTGTTAAAATCAATTTCGTTTAAAATCGCCATACCATATTTTCTTTTGAAAATGTCCTTCATTGTTCTGATCTGTTCCTTATATGGTGAAATAACACCAATACGGCCCGAAAATGAATTCTGTGGCAATTTCTGCATCAATATTTCCACCATTTCCAAGACAATTTGGGCTTCAGCGTAGTTGAATAAAGACCGAGATTGTGCGTTTTGTTGATGCTTCCCAGCTACGTCAAAGAATCTGTATGGCGAAAGAGGGTATATATCATGCCATGGCCGTGTGTTCTTCTCTTCCATACCTGGTCCATCAAGTAATCGAGAGTTATAAAACTCCGCACTTGGGAAAACTGAAATTTCAGGATGCATACGATATTGAACATCCAATAGATAAACAGAATTTGGATTACGTCTTTGCATTCTAACGAACAAACTTTCCTCATAATTCAAATTAGAAGCTGCCTTGGACAAAACGGTTGGTGGCAACTGATTTGGATCTCCAACCATGATACACTTCTTACATCCGTATCGTAAAGGAATAATAGCTGACAATTCCACACATTGACACGCTTCATCGATAATTACTTGGTCAAATTTTATTGACAAACTTGCAATAAAATCATGTGCAGATCCGGAAAGTGTAGAACAAATGATCTGGGCATTTCCCAAAATTTTTGCTTGAATTTGACGTCTTTCAATCTCTCTATTACGATAAGCGATAGATACTCTTTCTCTTTGATCATCCAATTTCTTTGCTAATTCGTTTCTCTTTTTATTGACTTCTCTTAAACTATCTTCAAGTTTTGTGACATCTGAAGATTTCAATTCGGGGTTTTGTAATGCTTCTTTCAAGCGGTTACGTTCAGTAATACATTTCGTATGTTCTTCACGGATTGTAGGATCGATTGATGTCTTCGTATCCAGAGCCGCGAGCTGTTTGTCTACCAACTCCTCCAACGTCAAATCACGAACTGACGCATTAATAGCATCACTTCTACCTAATCTTACGACACGAGGTGTAATCTCTTCACCTTGAAGATTCTTTACACCATTACGCAAACGCAAACATAATTCATCAACAGCTGCGTTACTCGGAGCACACACTAAAACCTTTGGAGCATTCAATGAATCCTTAGGTGGAGTGCCCTCTCTCAGCAGATCTTCTTCAAAAGTAATTACACCCTCCTTTTGCTTCATAGACAAGTAGTAACCAACAATTCCAAGAATAGTTTTAGTCTTCCCAGTTCCCGGTGGACCTTGGATTAATGAAAATCCTTCACGGTTATAAGATCCCAAGACTGCCTTGGCTTGCGATTTGTTAACACCAAAAAGTTTAAGCATTTTATCTGCTTCCTGATCGCTAATATTAATTGGTTCTTGAGGTTGTGCTTTGAAAATATTTTCTGCCAAGTCATAATATTGAATCCCCTTCAAGGACGAGTATTCTCTCTCTACTGTAACCATCTGCATAACCTTAACACCAATAACCACTGACTTTGGTGTCAAGATACCCATCATCAGGCCCTGTGGGAATACTCTCACTGTGATATCAGAAAAATCGGCATTTGCAGATTTAATTTCACGTACTTTAGCGAGACAAGTGATAGTTTCAGAATCTTTAAGATATCTACTAGCTGAACGTGCATCGAATGACTCACCTTGGAGACAACCCAATACAAGAAGGTCAGATTCCCCAATTCTCCTATCTTGTAAGATGTCCTTTCTAACGGAAGCATAAACATCGAAAAAGCCATCACAACTAGTTCTACTACCAATTAACAATTCAAAAGCAACGTCTTGACCCGTTTGCTTTGCAGATTGGATACCTTGCCAACATTCTAACATCAAAAGTGGTTCAGTAACCTTGACATAATCCTTTGCATCGGTATAGACCTCCTTCGTTGGTTTATATATATCTATTTCCTTCGTTGGGTACTCACTGTTCGAGTTGAAATTCCACTTTAAAATTGTAGAGTAAAGTGGCTTCAAGTTTACGTTCAATCTTAATCTCATATACTCTTCTTCTCTTCTCTTATCACTGAGTTGCTTGGAAATATTTGGCTTGACCAAAGGACGTCCGGATATATCTACTTCAATGACCTTAGCCTTCTTTTTCTTCTCAACAAATAAGTCAGATAAATCAACTTCCTGTTCCTCTTCATCCTCTGATGAGTCTGAGTCATTTTTCTTCTTCTTAAGCGAATTCAAAGATCGGCCAACTTGCGGTGTAGTATTTCTCTTGGAATTGAATCCAGCAGGTCTAGCTGGTGCAGGTGCAACAGTGGATAGTGGTTTAGAAGGAACGGGTGACCTAGTACTCTTGAGCGATTGTCTAATTGCATCGAGAGATGACGCTGGTAGCTGAGGAGGTGCCGGAGCAACTGGTGCATCTTTTGTTACCACTCCAAATCTACCCAATGTCTGTTGTCTTGGCTGCTTAATGTGAGTTTGGTACTTATAGGTTGCCAAAGAACCCTTGCTTGGTTGTGGGCTCACATCATCAATCACTATAGGTGTATTCTGCTTTGACTTCGATCTTTGTTCCTGAACTTCAATTACTACAGATTCAACCAAAGCGTCATCAAATTCTCTAGCCTTTGATAAAATCTCAAACCTTTGATTTTCTGATAATTTGTTGTTAAACTTTTTCGCCTTGGCTCCATATTTGGTAAAGTTCATAAGGAAATCTCGGTCAATCAGACATTCCATATCCTTTGCAAGATCAAATCCTTTGAAAACAAGGTCAACACAAGAATTCAATAATGAGACGTCTCCAAGTCTCAACCAGACAATAACATAATGGAAGGCATTCATGAAGTTTTGAAATAAAACCTTCCCAACATTCTGATCTGTAGGAGTCTTTGTAGCTTCCAATATAAACATAAAGGAGTCAAGCAATTTTCTGCTCAAGTCCAAAGTATCACGTGTAAATTCGATCATCCTCTCTAATGGATATTGATTGGCCCAAGTAAGTGCTCCTTGGTAGATCATAACAAGAAACTGCCAAGATTTCTTCCAAAACGTCTTGATCAATTCTTGACTGTCTGAGAATTGATTTGTAAGATTCAAAAGTCCCTTCAATGGGTCCGCGAGTGCTTCAACAATATCCATCAAGATTCTCACACTCTTGGGACATGGTTCGAATGCTTTCAATTGGGTTAAAATGGTTATATTCTGTGAGATTGGATTAAGAGTTGCAGGAACTTCCTTAAGTAAAGCTTGAATAGCTTCAAATCTAGCACCACCGTCATCAAATACTTGATACATGATGTCAATTGCTGCTTGGTTGGTATGAGGGGATAAAACACATGACCAATATCCAACCAGAGCTGCTTCATCTGTAAATACCAACTTTAAGTCGGTTGGATTCACCAAACTCAATTTCTCTAAAAATGAACTAATAGCCCTCATTACAGTCTGCACGTTTCTGTTGTGAATTGATAATGCTGACGCCAAAGCCTTGTTGGTTACTGGTTGCTTAATGTTGCTTTCAATAGAAACCACACTCGAGACAAATTTAAAAGATTGGAAGAGTTCCAAATAAAGATTTTTTCTCGTATGGATTTTACCCTTAACGAGTTCCGACCACAAGAGCGGGAATGCGTCCAAGGAAGTTGGTACTGATGAGTCCTGTAATAGCCTTGTATGGTGAGAAAAATTCAGGATATCATAATATGCTGCCATAGATATGAGCTTGGTTGCACTGTCCTTTGCAATAATTCTAGTGCCGTCCAATTCAAATTCATCCACTTCTTTCTGTAAATAATCATATTCTCCCATAGAAATGTCAACTATTTGGGATGCTCTATTGTCGATCGCTGCTCTAGCATCTCTTTTTTTAAGTAATTCAATTAAGAAGTTCTTATCACCAATCTTTATATCATCTTCATTCAAACGAATACATTTTTGTAATAATTGGCACCCTAAATTGTACACCAAAATTGCGTTAGCACTTTTCCGTTTATCAATGACGGTGCCGCTTTTTGGGGGCCCCAATTGCGGAACTTCTTGCTGAAGTAAGAATTGCCCTAAACGTACACCAGCAATTTGTTGTTGAGACCCGACCAATGATTCCGTTAAGGAAGACATCCAGCTTAATACATCACTAAGAGTGTCTAATTTTGGTGAGTCCTTTCGATTGGGAGTCAATAAACAAATAAACTGAACAATGTATGGACTCATTAATACAGTATCCAAGATGTTGACAAAAGTATATGGAGCTGAATGCTTCCAAAATTCACTCTTTAAACGCGCCAAGAGTACATCTAAAGCTCGGAGTAATATAGGCAATGGTTCATTAAGAAATGACATGATATGATTAAGTAACACTCTGAATAAGGGGTAAAGACGAATCTTTTGATGCACAGACATCACCTCCAAATCCTTCGGTGAGTTTAGTTGATCTATTAAAGTCTTGGTATCGATATTTGGTTCGACAATGAGGAAACATTGCCAAAACTTAATACATGCCTTGGTGGAGAAGTGTTTGGCATCCTGAATGCGATAGTAATAAGTTTTGAACTCGTCAACAAAGTTCGAAGTAGTTTCCTTCTCGATGTCGGACAGATGAATTGATGCATATATAGCCCAATTTATTTGTTTCGGAGTTCCTTCAAAAAGAAAATAGACGATTCCTGGATCCAATCTTGAAGTTGAAGGGATATTCTCAGGGTGGACTATTTCAAACAATCTGCGAACCATTGTTGCAATTTTCAGATCCATTCTAATGACACCGGGATTCAAAATGCACAATTGTATACCCAAGATGACTCTCTCGTCCAAGGGCTGCTCGCTATCATTATAGCTATCACCAACGGACAACAAAGGGGATACTACTTCAGCCTCCCAAGAATCTACGATTTCTATGAATTTGGTAAGAGCTGGAACTGGGACACCTCTTTCCACGGTCAAGGTTTCCCTCAAATATGACTTACCCTGGTGATACTTGATAGCACACTTCGTGCACGTTGTTATGCTCTTCCTTATCCCAGCCTTTACAGGTGTAGATAGTTCCTGATTATCTGGAAATGAAAATAAGATTAGGAGATGTCTCGAAATGGGATACATATACTCATCACAAAACCAATGTCTATTTGAATTCCGTTGCAAATACTGGTATCCACGTACAAGAAGCGAGTTCTGAAAGTCTGAGTTACCAACTTCCTGAAATGATAGCTTGATATCCCGAATCAAGGCCTCGAAGCCTTCCGGGGCCGGATTGACGATAGCTGATCCGTTAACCTCTCTAGGTACATTAGGTAGTATTGGTGGACTATCACCATCCATTTTGCCCTAACTAAAAACGAAAAGGAGTATAAGAGTTCTACGATATTTGTTTAAGGTTTGGTTCAACAAAATGTTACCTAAAAACTTCAGCTATCTGTTATGCTTAATGAGCAAATGTAGTGGAATGTTTGTGTCCTTTTTCCTCTCCCCTTTAAAAAAATTCGTCTACAGGCACAAACTGGAAAACACACGCTACGCGCAACGCGTGGGGGAAAGACATTGTATTAAAGTGCCCACAACAAAGATTACATTGAAGTCTATATTCTGTTCGTATCTAGTTTATATGTTAGCCTTCCTTTTGATATTTAGCATATATTCGTTATCAGATATGTAAATAGATCTACACTAAATCTATTCTATTTCTTTCATTTTTTCCTTCTTTTTCCTTTTTTGGTTGCAAAATTCAAACCTTATAATAATGTAAAATCAATATCTAATTCCGTAGCAACTTTCATCCATTCGGATCCAGTTTCCCAACATTTTTCCATAATCTGTAGTACACTTGTAGCATTAGAAAGTCCCATTTCTTCTAATGTGGTAAATCTAGCATGGAAGAGGGCCTGCATTTCTGGGTTGGTTGTCTCACAGGCTGCACAAAAGGTGCAAAAGATGGAACAAATTTCAGCAGGAGATTTAGGTTCAATGTTCAATTGAAGAGTATCACCAATCTCTTCGCATAAATCTTGCACTAAAAATGATTTTCTATCGACCATAAGCACTCTTCTGTACAAGTTAAGAAGTCCCATATTGAAGAATATCTTATTCACAGAACGTAGGACACTATCCTTTTCCAATATACCACTGACATTTGCAGGCGAGCAATTTGGTCCTTCGAGTTTTTCCTTCTGCTGTTGTTGTTTTTGTACCGTTCTATCCACTCTTGCCTGTCTTTTGGACTCACCTACAGCATATGCAGTGGTCATGTATTCTTTAACTTCCATAGCTTTAGAAATAATCGATAACGGAAGCATATCTGGACTTGAATTTGAAGTCGATAGATATGCGTTTGTTTTTCTGATAAGTAATGCAATGTCAGCAAGTAAAGGGAGAAAATCCAAATCAAACCCTAGTAAATGATCTATATGGCCCGACTTTGCAAGTATCTTTTCCATGGAAGAAGGATCATTAAATAAGTCCTCACTTTGCTTATAACTTAAATAGTTATGTGACTTTTTCGTGGCAGAAAGTGCCCCTATCACATCTACATATGCAAACCATCTCATTAGGAAGAAGGTCACATCGGACTCGGATGTGCTTGCCTCTGAAACACTAATTACCAGGCCAGGAGTGATTGGTGCGTCAATTGAGTCCTTCAGTTCTTTATCGAAATCATTTTTGTCTTGATTGTCTTGATCTCTTGTTGATGAAAGTTGCAATCTTTCCGTTGGTAACCTCAATCCTCGGGAAAGAATGATTTGTCTTGCCCCGATTGTATGTGCTCGATGTCTATCAAAATCTCCTCCAGTAGAGACCTCTATACATGACAACAATAATACTGTGGCAAGGGCAGCATCTGATGTCGCTTGCTTTTTATCTTGGAGCAATTTCAAGAGTTCACTACATGATCTCGTCAAAAGCTGTTCTATGATAACTTTGGATTGTTCACAGGATGATGTAGTATATTGTTCCTTGACTGATGCAGAGAATGCCAAAAGAGTTGTGAGAATGGATTGACTTTCCATCGCCATTCGAGGTAGTATAACTTTAAATGGATTTTCATGATAAAGCTTTGAGGGAGCAGGTACAAGTAGATCTGAAGCTACATTGACCCAAAAGTGGAAAAGTCCACGATAATATGGAACTTGGAGTAATATGTCAGGAAGAGGCGTTATCTGGGCTGGAATTGGTTCAAATGCCTCCAAAGTTGAGAATGTGTATGGCACCGGTGTCTTGTTTGTTTGTAATCCTATTTCTTTCTGCCAATCTGGTGAATACTTCGGTACAGATGTCGGCAGTGGCTCTGTAGAATCGGCTAGAAATTCTGCGGCAATGTACTTTGATCTAGGTGGTAAAACCTTCTCAATTTTAGCCAAATCTGAGGAATAATTATCCAATTGATGTGATTCCCAATTCATTTTTGTAGATGCCACTGGTATTGAAGGTTTCGTCTCCGTTACGGGATTAGCTGCCTCTCTAAGAGATTCATTTTCTTCTATCATCGGGTGGTCTATGTTGGACAATACAAAACTGTTAAAAATCTCAGAATTTTGAATATTGAATAAATTCCCTCCACTTATATTTTCAAGTGCCTGTGAGAGACTCTCGATCCCATCAGATATTCCAGGAAATATATCAACAAGAGAGTATTTATCTGGTCCGTCTTGCATGCTGAAACTATTTAATAATGCTTCTTCTTGTGGTGTGTTAAGTGGAGAAACTTCCCGTAAGAATTTAGATGAGTTATCTTTGAAGTCTGTCAGAGTTCTTTTCATTGTTGTCGGTTCTACCCTAACAAATGAATCTGACTTTGACTGGGTCATTTCACTTTCGTATACCTTACCTGAGGAGTTCCCACGTTTCTTCTTCTTGGGTGCCAAATCTTCAACTACAAACAGGAGAGATTGTATACTTGTAGTAGGTGTACTACCACTAGAGTTGAAGTCATCAGGTGTTTCACTTTTCACTTGAGTTCCACTCAAATGTGCCTGTATAGAGTTCCTTTTCCTTTCAGTGTTCTTGTATGGCCTCCCACCCCAAGTTAACTTCATAGAATAGTCACATTGAACAGACGTTTTCAAACAGGCTGAGCAGGAGGGTTTCTCCTCGTCACATTTAACCTTAAGCCTCTTACAGTTATGACAGCCGGTTCTGGATCGCGTAGTCTTCTTAGTCTTCATCTTTATCTGTCAATTATCACACTAAATGAGCACACTTGATGAGCACATTTGATTTTTATGCATAGAAAGATATTAAAAAAAAAGTGGTGAGAACGGAATTTTATAATCAAAACCGGTCCGATACCCGCATTTAATCTCCACAAAAAATAATGTTCAACGGAAATTGAGACCCGTTTCAGCCATTCATAAAATTTCATCTTAATTTCTTTTTCGCTTTTGTCGGCCGTTTTTGTTTCCATTTACATGGTAATATAGCGCGGTGTTTTCCTGAAAGTATATTAATGTTTGGTATATGTGACTTTCTCTACATTCAAAATGAAATACCCTTTTTCCATATTGAACATCTATTTATTTTTATTTTTTTTTTTTTTGACAGCATATAAAATGTAGAAATAATTATTTATAGCATAACCTGTACACAGATATTTTCAAAAATTCAACTACATATATAAACCTTATCAATAGTTTTTAGATTCGATTGGTGGCGTCTTTGAATCAAGAAGTCCTCCAGGTTTTTCTGTGTCTCTGTTAACGTACTTTTTCCCAAATAAAACCAGAAGTATGGATTCGTATAATCGGTAGAGATACCCTGCAAGTACAACTAATCCTCCTATTATTGTAGCCAATCTAGACACAAATTGAATAAATGGAATTCTTCTTTCAATAATTTTCAATCTAATAGGTTCAAATTCATATTTGAAAAATATACCTGGGAGGCCCAGTAATTTCCCATCTGTTTTAATCTCATAAGTAATATGTTGTTCTGTAAGAGAATATTGGTTGGTATCGATAAGTATTCCAAGTCTTTCATATTCTGTAGGTACAACTTTTGTATAGTATTTGTAAGCTTGAAGTGAATCTTCAGTGGTTTTACCAGAAAAATCTAATGGATTGTTAATAAACGGATAAAATTCTCCGTATGAAAATTCATTAATTACATGTGAAAAATTAAGCGCATCCATTGGAACATTCAGTCTATCCCTATAACCAATTCCTTTACCGGTGATATGGAAATCTCCACTTACTTGATTAACAGGAATGGAGCCAAAGATATGACAACCTGGCGCTCCCTGGTTTGAACGATGACCCTCGCTCATGAATTGTGCACGAAGCGATTCTTGCATGACCTCATCCAATTCAGGAGTCTCATACTTGGCATTTTCATTATTAATATCAAACGTTGGTGGGAGGAAAAAATTCGTACCTTCAAAATTGAGTAATTCTCCAGCAAGAAACTTATCATCGGTAATATCCATCACATTTGTGTGGATGAATTCACATGGCATTGCAACAAGTAAATCCATATTAATCAGAAGTTGAGATCGTATCTCTGGATCCACTGTGAATTGATGGTCAACATATCCACCAAGAAACCCACCAACTTCAACCCAAAGAATTAAAAGCCCACAAAATATCGTGAGCAAGGTTGAAAACCCTCCTCTTGAAGATCGTACCTGATGCTGCGCATCCACTTTAGGAAATGCATCAAAGGTCCGAACTTTCTTGCTGAAAGATTCCATTGAATAATTTGCAATGTTTGTATATCTAGTTTACTTGTACAATCTTAAACGTGTCGCCAAAATAATCTTCATAAATATAATTTTATGTCACGTGAGCGATAATGATTAGTGAAGTAAAAAAAAAAAAGAGAAGTATACTTATGCTGCTGCTCCATACCGATTACTATAGGGTGTATGTGTTTAAACTAATTAATGTCAGGAACAAATACTGTCGGGGCTAACGACGGTTTGCCTCATGGTCTATTTTCGCAGCAAAACTTTCTAGAAGCAGACTTCTCTGAAAATGTAAGGCTTCAAGAACTTCAATCTCTTGTTGCAATATTCCCTGATACTAACATAGAAGGTTATTCAGGTTCTTTAGATATACCGATAACCCTAGATTCAGGGGTGAAAGTTATTGGACCAAATGGTGATCAAGGAGAGGAACACAAAATTTTAAAACATCTACCGCCAATTATTTTTTCATTTTCTCTTCCTGAAGGTTACCCGTTTAATTTGCCACCCACTTTTAAGGTGGTGAGTAATGTTATATCTACCACGGTTATTGATGACCTAAATAAAGAACTAAAGTCCATATGGGAAACTTATCATGATCAAGTTCTCTTCTCTATGATCGATCTCATCCAGCAAAAGGTGGTTCAAGTGGAAGGTTCAGAATTTATTCATTCTCCAATCGATTGTCTGAAAGATTCTTCTAAATATAAATATCTTCAAGAATTTGATATTAAGGCATTGGAAGAAGAGTTCAATAAAAAGTCATTTACATGTCAAATATGTCAAGATGATTTTAAAGGTATAAATTGTACACAATTTGCATCCACTTGTAATCATGTTTTTTGTAATAATTGTCTTTATGATTATTTCACATCTCTTATAATTTCAGGAGAGATCTCTAAAGTACACTGTCCAGACTTTGAATGTACAAAGGAATTCTTGAAAATCAGGGAAAAATACTTAAATTGGGACGATATTGATTTACAAAAGTTTAATTTCGATGAATTTAAGTCTAACCTTATGAGGCCTCCTATATCATTGGAATTACTTAAACGTATTATTGGACAAAATCATGTAACTACTGAGGAAGCTGCTGGTCAACTAGTTCAAAGATATAAAGACCTTTTTATAAAGCAACAATATGATCTCATTGGGAAGGTTTTCCCTACCAGATTGGTATCATGTCCGAGAACAGGGTGTCTGGAGCGGATCTTTAGAAATAACCTTAATGATTCCCTAGTAATATGTCGGAAGTGTAATTACGCCTTCTGTAACCTGTGTAGGAAATCCTGGCATGGTACTTTAAATGAATGTGAAAGAAATTCTTATTCACAGATCCCAACAGAAACACTTGAATTATGGCTCCAAAGTGATAAAGATTCTCTTGATCGTAAAATTTTGGGATATAAGTATGGACGGCCACATATTACAAAGTTAGCTAATGATTATCTTCTGGACAAATTATTCAATGAAATGATCCAAGATGAATCTCAAGGTTTTAAAAAATGCCCAACTTGTCATACAATTATCCAAAAACTTGATGGGTGTAATAAAATGGTTTGTTCAACATGTCAATCTTTCTTTTGTAATATATGTGGAATATATTTGGAGAAGAATGATCCTTATGAACATTTTAGAGAACTTGGGAGTAGTTGTTATGGGAAACTTTTTGAAGGTATGCCTGGATTACAAGATCAAGAGTGATAAAGATCTCTTTATTGTAAAATTTTGGGTTATACGTATGGACAGCCACATATTACAAGGTTAACCAATGATTATCCTTTGGACAAATTATTTAATTTGTCTAGATTACAAAACTTAAAATAGAATAATAATAAACGTTTATGATTAGTTAAAGAATGAATGTATATTTCGGTTTAATATTTAATGGTCTGAACCCTCAAAGATAAATCTAAAGTCTACTAGGTTCCTTGGCTGGTCTTGAATATCTAAAACATTCCCTATAGAGCCTTCTCCGTCTGAATTCAAATGAAATGTCCAGATCTGGGGCTGAATCGTAAATCCAACCTTCTGTTTCATTGTCGCGAACTTTAATTGTGTTGTTTTCTATGGAACGTTCATGTATGAATTCACGGGGTTTTAAATCTGTCACCCATTCGTTAACGTATCCAATGTCGAATTTCCAGTCCTTTGGAGGTATTATTTTCGATAAATGATGAACTCCCGAAGGTCTTTTACCTGCTGCACGATTTGGGTGTTTTAAATCAAACATATCGTTACTAAATATATAGAATTTCCATGAATTTGTAGTCAAACTTTTAACTTGAAGTTCAAAAATTTCCACTTTACGAACTTCTGCTGAATCATCAACAATAATATCTTGTCTTTCATATTTTTCGACTTCTTTCTTGACCCTTGCTTTTCTCTTGACGTTTGATGGAAAAAATTGAATCTGTTGAATGTATTTTTTACTATTTGGATGACAAAGGATTAGACCTGCCCATCCCGATTGAATAAAAATTATCCTCCATGGTATGTAAGGACCAAAGAACAACACAATTCCAGTTGCTATAATGACATCATAGAAGATAAGAGTTGATAGGTTTTCATCTTTAAACCCTGCCTTTTGATACCAAAATACTTCTGCAGCATCATACCCTTCAATGATATCGGTGGTGAGATTCTGTAAGTCTCTCATATTCATCATCAAAGTTATCTGGGATTTGAAATGTGACTTTGATTCACGATTACCACGACGATCACTAGTTGTCGTGGATGACGAAGAATCTTCTTCTTGCTCTGTTTCCGCTGTGACATCTGGATCTATTATGGACGTGGATTCAGCGGTTGTTTCAGCGGCGGACGATGTCAACAGCTGACTTTCAGCCTTCGCTGCCAATTCTACTCTATCTTCAATCGGATCATCCATTAAGTCACTAACAATACTTCTATCCTCAGATTGGTTGAAGAAATCGAGTAAAGATTGGCCCCTTTTCTTCACTTTTATAAGAGGTGGAGTTCTTGTTGGGTGTCTATGAAGATATCCTGGGATCATAACTCCAAATATCAAGAAAATTAATGGATATGCCAAAATAAGATGTGGCCAAAGACACAACCAGGTGTAAAGTACAAGTAAAGATATGGTCTTTGATGGACGTTTCCATGTAACGATTCGAATTATTCCGTACTGAACTGCAAATAATCCAGACATCCTACCACTCAAAGTCCTAAAGTTGGATACTAATATCTTGAATGAAAGGTTTGGTCTCTTAGACCTTTCCGGATCCTTGAATTTTTGATGTAAAAGCAACCTCTCTGGATCATCTTCAGCAATTGCATGTTTTAATAATTTTTCAAGCAAGCTGTCTACAAAATGACCCGTTCTCGCCAGCTCTCCCGTACTAGAAATCAGTTCCTCGTCTTCGTCCAAGTCCTCTGAAGAGCTTGGTCTGCCATTCAATCGATCAATCTCCCTCCCAAATATAGATGCTGCTGCTTCCGCTGCCAAGCCCCTATTTTTCCCCTCGTGATTATCTGAAATCGTTGACGAGAAGTCATACATGCGTTGCAATGCCCTACGCCTAAACGACGATTCATTACTTGAAGACATTAGTTAATAACTTGGTAATATTAGGAGTGAAAAGCAAAAGTCTACTCTAAGAAATCGTAGGGGTTTGGTGCGGGGGAGATTTATCATATAGAGGATAATCCGAGGTACTGCAGGAAAGACTATAGATCAATTCTAGACATTAGGGTATAATTCAAGGATATACATACAAAAAAGTGAGCCCTTAGTATATGATGAATAATATATCTGAAATAGAAATAGAATTGTTGGATATCTTCTGATTTAGAGAATTTCTTGATAAAAAAATTACTTGCTGTTTGGGTTACAAGAAGATGGCTGCGAATTGCACATGATGATATATTTTGACCCCTTATATGTATGGACGAAATACAAGTTTGAGACTAATTTACATTCAAAGTTAATATACTACTATCAAGATATATGGTTCTTTATTCTAGTACATTGATAATTGAATTAAAAATCCTTTTTTTTTAACTATCATATGGCCCATCTCAACCATAGGTTCGCTCCAGTAACTGGAACAAATTAACAATAGTGTTCTTAGAAATTGACTGTTTTTTAGCTGCCTCATAAACTTCCCTCTGACAGAAGTAATACATTTGTAATTGTAAAAAATAATACATTTTAGGACTCATATTTGTATTTTTCATTCAATTAACATAATTACCATAAAACTTTATATTTTCACAAAATTGTTTAATCTTTAGTCATTCTAACCAAAAGAAATAGGTTAAGGCATACTCCTGTAACAATAGAAGAAAGAGACAAAAAACTTCAGGCTAGGTTATCTGGTTTTTTTCGAAAATAACCTTAGAGGAAATCAATTATTAGATACAACCATGTCAATCCTAGATAAAAATCCCATATTGTTACCTTTGGGGTTCAATACGTGGGAAGTGTTAGCACTTACCTATTTACGTTAATCTTCATATACCAATCTTAACCTAGCAATTAGTTAAAACTCCTCATTTAAAGTAGCATTAAACCACGATACCCATCTCCTGACTTCGAAAATGTCCATCTGGCTATTACTTGGGATGTTGAGGGTTGGAACATACACGTGACAGTTTTTTTTTCTAATAATCATTATATATTTATTGTTTGAAAACTATAAGAAATCTATATATATATTAGCCCAGAAGATATCCAGTATGGAGGTGGATTACTTAGGGTCTCCAGTCCTGGCACTAGGTCCTATTTCGGAGGAAGATTAACAAATTTAATAAAATACCTGCATATAACACATATAGTACGTTACACTTTCACGTATTTTTAATGTTTTCATAATAAGCGGTTTTAGCTCAGTTGGGAGAGCGTCAGACTGAAGTTCAAACTACAGTCACAGTTAATCTGAAGGTCCTGTGTTCGATCCACAGAAATCGCATTATTATTTTTTTTGATTTTTTCTTGCTGCGAAATATTTTAATATTTTTTTTACCTATACACAAATTCTTCTATACCAATGTATATTACCTATATAAGCTATTCAAGAAATACACTGGCTAGTAAATGCGTTGTTGAGGGTCTTGAAGCAGGGTCCCATTGAAATATGCTTTGTAAGAATATTAAGAAATTCTGTATATCCTTTTTATTTTCGTTTGCAGTACTTACTTTAAGCAAGACATCAAGGATTTTGGAGTTCAATTTGATGAATCTTTTGGAACTATTTGGTCCCAGTACTGAAGAATTATGATTTCTAACTGCTTGAAGCCTAAGATTCAAAAATTGGAGATTTATCTTTCCTCCCATATCAAATAGTGAGTAAAGTAGCGTCTTCTTAATAGATTTTTCATCCACTCGAGGTCCATAAGAAGAAGTTGGAGCTGCCGCTGGGTCCACCACTTTGGATGCAGACTTTTGCTCTTCAATAGATTTTAATAACTTAGATCTATAATTAAGAATAAGTGAACTATTAGGAGCTCCAAATAATTCCAACATTAAACCAATTTGCTCCAATTCATTCTTCCCTGGAAGTAATGGAGTTCCTGTAAATAATTCAGCAATAACACATCCAAAAGACCATAAATCAATCTTCTCAGTATATTTTGCCCCCAAAACAACTTCTGGGGCTCGATAATACCTTGATTGAATATATGAATATGAAATTTCATTACTGAAACAGGAGGAACCAAAATCAATAATTTTTACAAGCACTGTACGATCAATACTATCATTAGGATTGAAATTTGATGGTACTTTAATCATAATATTTTCTGGCTTTATATCACAATGAATAATATTTTCTTTGTGAATAAATTCTAAACCTTTAAGAATGCTTGAACTGAAATGTTTAATAATATCGAGTGAAAACCCTCTGTATGATGTCATTTCAATTAATGAAAAAAGATTTAATGACAAAACTTCTGTAACAATACACATATGTCCTCTGAAATGGAAATGATCATAATATGCTAAGATAGGGAAGTTTTGAATATCTTCGTTATGACATTTTTTTCTAAAAGCTTCATTTAAATGTTTAAGCATTTTAATTTCATATACTGCTTGTAAGGACCAATTCAATTCACTTTTAATAATTTTAACAGCTGCATATTTATTTGAATTATTATATTTGTGATCTTTGCATTTCACAACATTCCCAAATGATCCATTTCCTAATACGTTTATAATTTCATATCTATAGTTGATATGATCATGTGGAACTACCAAATAATTCCCATTTTTATCATCAAATCCAAAGTTTTCATCATAATTCTTAATATTTATATCTCTTGGATCATGATGTCCTTCCGTCCTTTGACCTTTCCCTAGAAAATAATAGATATCTTTTCTTCTGATAATTTCTCCACGTTCATATATCGTTAAAGAAGATCCACCATCTGTACTATCACCAATAACTTCATGTGGCTGAATTGGATCATTTACTTCCAAATTTTGAGAGTCGGTAGCTTGAAATACCAGTGGATCTCTCTCATATATAATATTATAAAGTTCCTTTAAATTTTGAACTTTTTTCAATCTATTATCAGATTCAATATCTTTTATAGTTGGTTGCACCATTGAATTTGCCGTTGGGGCTGCATTCGGAATAATATTGTTTTTAGTAGATGATACCTTCCTTTTATATGAGTTATTATAAAGACGACTGTAGACATCATCTGAATTCAAACTAAGTGGCTGAGATGTGTTTCTAGTGGCACCTCGAAATGTACGATTTATTGGAGGTTCTGATGGTTGTGATGATACAGTACGACGACCACTTGATTTTGGAGTAAATTTAAAGGAATCATAACTATAATTAGATGTTGCTGTGGGTTCAGGTTTCACTGATGGTGGACCAACGTATGAATTTATACGTCTTGGTCTAGTTGCTGGTTTACCTGAAGGTCTTCTTTTCATCGTATAATCAAGTCGCTTTACATCATTTCTTCTATTAGACGTTGATGTATTATTTGAAGGAATTGTATGGATATCTTTATTCTTGACATTTGTAGTTCTACCTTGAGTTGGTGATGTAGCTTCTATTGGTGTGGGACTAACTTTCTTTTTCGCAGATGATGATGTCCCACGCATAAATGAAAATTGATAGTCTGGTCGGGTTGTTGTAGGGTCTACACCTATCGCTTGCGACATGGGATAGCTTATAGCACGTTTAGGCGGGAGTAATTGCTTATTGACAGAAATAGAACGCGTTTTCAAGGGAGGTACCTGTAATAAAGATCTTGATTGATTAACGGGAGTTTTCGGAGTAGTTCCATCTATTTGTCGTGATGATGGAGATACCTGGGTGTTATTTTTATGTCTAGACTCTGCTCGTCTGGCAGTTGATAAATTTGGCAGACAAGCAGGAGTCAAGGGAACTGCACCCACACCGGTTCCTCCTGGGAATATATGTTGCGGATACTTCTTTTTAGGTGATCTTGTGGTTGGCAGTCGCGGAGAAGCTTCCATACCCTTTTGGATATCATTAGGAGCGATATCTATACGGGAAAATCGAGCCTCAAAATTGGGCGAAAGATGTAGAGGACCACCACCCATAGTGGCTAGTTATATTAAGATTCACAATCGGTTAAGGAGTGAACTCTCATCTGTTTGCAGACTAAATGTCATGTTGACGATTTGTATCAGGCACGTAAGTTACATGCAGACTAAAAACATACAAATATACGGGCATTCATAAAATCTGATTGAAAAAATGAATATACAACTCTTTTACATTTATAATTTCAATGGATATAAGATATTTACAATTGGAATATCTATCTATACATAAAAAGGAAAGATAATTAGTACATGAATACAATATTTACTTTATATAGATTCCAATAGTGAAACTTGATAAGTAGTATAATAATCAAACAGAATACGAAATTCAACTAGAAACTTCTTTACAGAGCTTCAATCAATGGGTTTAAAAAAGAAAAAAAAAAGATAATCAACAACCTTCCATCATTTCACTTCAGAGTTATTTCCATCTTGTTACATATTATAGATTTTCTTTTGTAACCATTGCAAAACTATTTTAAGATTGGCGTATCCTGCATACGAGGCTCATGACATTTTAACAAAGTTTAGCAGTTTTCATTTATATGAAAACCTATTCAATAATTAAGACGTGAAATAATACCAAATGATTAGTAATAATAAGAGGGACCTACTTCTCTTCTTACAGCTTTTGCACACAAATGGTCTCACTGACCCGAAATCTGTAGTAACATCAGAACCAAAACTTAAGCAAATCGGAATTGAATGGTTTAATCATAAGAGTACAAAATTGTCTATTGAGCAGGGTGAATTACAATGTAGTAGTGCCCCATCTCCAACAAAATTATGTGAAACATACAAGGGACTTTTAAAGGTAAATACTGAATGCAAAGATACCACAGATTTAGCAAATAAGTTATATTACGAACGTATTGCAGAAGTAGAAGAGGCAATTCTTCAGAATAAAATTGAATTTAAAAATGAGTTGGCAAAAAATAAAGTATAGAATACATATTCTATCTTTTTGAATTTTTTTCTGGCAAACTATTCTGGTGCATTGGGGGTATGTGTGTGTGTGTGTTTTTTTTTAAAAAAATGTTGCTATATAGTATTAGAATATTGCAATTAGTTCCCCCTCCTCCCCTCCTTCCCCTTTGACCTTTTCCTAATACGGCCCAGTAATCCTGCACACAGCCCCAGAAAATGTCCTCGGTAAAACTCCATTACATAATCCACCCCACACATTGAGAAATAAAAGCACATGAAAGTCACAGAAATCGAAGCTTTCCGTATTTTTTATTTTTTTTTTTGATTTATTTTGTGGTGTATCATTGCTCATTAATATATTGAACACACATACATTCTCCGGTTAGAAAGTGTGAATAATTAACATATAGATATTGATTCAAAAAATATTATCTTATTCCTCAAATATACCATAGAGAGGTAACTTTAATTTATTTGTAGAATTCCAGTCGTTCATCTACCTATCCCCGCCTTTTATGTCGACTGCAATTCAAAGGGATAAAATAGCGTCATCGCTTCTTGGGATATATAAGAGTAACCGATCATTATTCTTGAATGCTTCATATATCATTCTTATAACAGCTGCCTTTTCAGGGGCAACCAGTACACAATCGAGTAAGAATGATAAGAAGAAGTCTTCATCTCTTGATGTATCGGTGACTGGGGAAGATCTTTCTGACAAGAAAAAGAAGAATTCACCCAAGGTATCAAAAGAAGCAGCACGTCGACTTTTCATTCTGGCTATGCCATCAGTGACAAATCCTGCAGTATTCCATTTACTTAGTCATTTGGTACTACTTGTTGTTAGAGCACTTCTTACCATTAAGGTTGCCACTTTAGATGGTAAATTAGTTGGTGCGTTGGTCTCAAAGAAATTGAAAAAATTTAGTAAATTATTAGCCTTTTGGATGATTTTGGGTATACCAGCTTCCATTGTTAATGCATTATTAACTTGGACTCAAAGTAATTTGAGAAAATCTTTAAGAATAAATATGAATAATAGTATTATTTCAGATTATCTCCCAGATAATCTTGATCCAAATTATTATTCATTAATTCAATTATCTGATAATAAGATTAAAGATCCAGATCAAAGAATTTCTACTGATGTTGCTCGCTTAGCATCTGCCTTAGCTAGTCTTCCTGGCCAACTTCTTAAACCAACATTGGACTTAATGTTGTGTGCAAGAGAATTATCCAAGAGTGGGGTTGGAAGTGGTGAAGGAAGTCTTGCCTTGGGATTATTAGCACATTTCTCAACAATTATTTTAAGATTCTTTTCTCCACCATTTGCTAAACTTGCATCTGAAAAGGCAAATTTGGAAGGTCAATTAAGATCTGCTCATTCAAAAATTGTTACCAACAGTGAAGAAATTGCCTTCTTAAGAGGTCATTATCGTGAATTAGATTATATTGATATTTGTTATTATCAATTGGAGAAATTCTTGAAAATGGAATATTGGAAAAAGGCTGTACATGAAATTGCTCAAACTTTTATTGTTAAATATTTCTGGGGTGCAGCAGGATTAGTTTTATGTTCAGCTCCAGTTTTCATTAACAAATATTTAGGCAAGGAACCAGATTCATCTGCTTCTGGAGATTTCATTACCAATAGAAGATTATTACTCAGTGCTTCAGATTCTTTGGATAGACTTATTTATTCTAGAAGATATCTTTTACAAGTGGTTGGTCATGCTACCAGAGTTTCAGATTTCCAAGATGTTTTACATGATATTAAACAAAGGAAATTGAAATTGACTAAGAATCAAAAGACTGAAGTTGAAAAGAATGTTTCTTATGGTGATGAAATCACTTTTAATAATGTTAGATTGGTTACACCAGCCGATGTTACATTGATTGAATCATTGAATTTCAGTATTAAACATGGTCAACATTTATTAATTGCAGGACCAAATGGATCAGGTAAATCTTCACTTTTCAGAATGTTGGGAGGTTTATGGCCTTGTAAGAGTGGAGAAATCATTATCCCAACTACTGAAAACATGTTTTATTTACCACAAAGAGCATACATTTGTAAAGGTAGTTTGAGAGAACAAGTGATTTATCCACATACATTGGAACAATACCAGAAGAATAAACATGGTAAGACTGATAAGGAATTAAATGAAATTATGAAGATTTTAAAACTTGAAGAATTTTTGGTTGGTGATAAACCATGGGATACTATTAGAAATTGGAATGAAGAAATGTCTGTAGGAGCTCAACAAAGATTGGCTATGGCAAGATTATTTTACCATCAACCTAAATTTGCAGTTTTGGATGAATGTACTTCAGCTGTTTCCCCTACAATGGAACAATTTATGTATCAACACGCACAAGAACTTGGAATTTCCTTGTTATCAGTTGCCCATCGTCCTGCTTTATGGCATTATCATAATTATTTATTAAAGTTTGATGGTAAAGGTGGATACTTTTTCGGTCCATTGGATGCTGAAAAGAGATTAAAAATTGAAGAAGAAAGATTAGTATTGGAAAAATCACTCAGAGATGTTCCAACTTTAAGAGAAAGATTACAAGAATTGAAGAAGGTTTCTAATGCTCATCATTTGAAATATACTAATTCCAAGGCAAATCTTACTGAAATTACAGCTAGTTAAGTAAACATGAATAAATGAAAAACGAAATGAATATAAACAGTAATATTGTAGAATCAAATCAAATCAAAAGTTGGTATAGAAAAAGAAAATGCGGGGTGTTTGGATGTAGGTATGATTTTCGTTATCAGTGCGAAAGGGGGGGGTTGTGATATAGTTTTTAAACTCATTATGACTGATTTCAAAACTATATGATTTTATAATATTGCTTGACAGTACAATGGAATATACGTTAAATGTTTCAGCCGAGCGGTCGGTAGTGCGAGAGTCACTCAAAGGTATGTGTGGATTCTGACCCAGATTGTAAGATTTATATACTAATAGATTATTTATAGGGATCATATGGACTATTTTCTTTCATAGATTATTTGGACCTATTACTCCATCAATGAACGAATTCCTCGGAGTTCCATATCCGATAGCGGAGAGTATGACTTCATTGGATACATTAATAGATGAAAAGATCCATCACTTGATAAAAAATGTATTCAATGGAAATGTTACAGCGCCACTGGGGAATTCAAGAAATGTTAAATCAGGTCAAATAAAGATACAATTATATGAACTTCGAGTGAAAAAATCCAAGAAAACTGGTTGGTTTGGACAAGTTAAATCAGAAGATGAAGAGAAACGATTATGGGAATCATGGGTGATAAATGTTAAATGTTATCCAGTTGATGAAGGAGGACCTGGAAATGTTGAAACAGGTGGCAAACTGACAGATGATAGATCCTCAACTAAAAGTGAGCCTATGGCTATGTCGATAGCAAGCTTCAAAGAGAACCTAAATAATATAATTGATATTGCAGACACACATAAGGATCATATCCCACCAATAACTTCACTCGACAGTCTACCTTTCCCTTATACAATAATTGTGAGTGATACACAAGTTCATTCTACAGCCACTGAAGAAGAATCATGGGGTACACTAATAAAAAAGATGCTTGACTAAATATCAACAAATATAAAAAATAAACATAAATATATAAATATATACCTTTATCCTCCTTACTATAGGTTTGCACTAACTAGACCTTCTTCTCCTCTTATTAAAATACATTCGTCTTCATACACAACTTTATCAAACAATCCGATACTTTCTGCAGTTTCCAAGACAGCTTGGTCATAAGAACCTGGTTGAAACCAAAGTCCCTTGATTATTTGTTGATACCCCAGGATTCCAGCAATTTCGCGCAAAGTTGCCTCGGTTATATGTGGGGGAGTTAAGAAGGAAATACTAAGACCATCAGTGGATGAGAAATCATGCAGTCCAACTTTTGAATGGTCTTGAATACTGGAAATAATTTTAGTTACATTTGGAATCACCTGTTGTCCCAAAATTTCTGTTTCCTTTGGATTAACTGGTACCACTGGTAAATCATGACTAATATACCACAGCAAGATTTTAAACCCAAACTTGGAAGGGTTATTGGATGCACCTGTGACAGCATATTGTCTTGATGGTCCGAAAAAGGATTTTATTTTTAATTTCATTGACATTTGTTTTTTTAATTATTTGAATCAATCTAAAGGAAGAGAATTAGTTGTATGGAGAAAGAAAACGGATATAAATTAAATTAAAGAAATGTGGAGAATTACTATTACTTTGGTCCGGGGAAAGGGAGACTGCATAGATCAAACATCAACATCGCAGGATATCTGGTTTCTTTTCGAGTCACAAAAGCTTCAAATAATGTAAAGGAGATATCCATTGTTTGCAAAGTATCTTAACTTTAATTCATAGGGAGGGACCCAGAAAGCTTCAGAATGGCTCCGTCCGGAACGCGAGAGAAGCGAACAAAGCCATGTTCGAACTGTAAAAAATCCAAAGTGAAATGTATATATACTAGTGAACTTCCATGTGAAAGATGTGTAAAGATGGGTCAATCTTTACATTGTCAATTTGTACCTAAACTCCCATCATTATCACTCCCACTGTTGAGCCCACAAATTCAAGAGAGTCCAGTCAATAATGTTTCACGTGCCCCATCGGTTTTCCAGCTACAACCACAACCGCAACAGCATCATCCACGTCATCATCCACTCCCATCATCGGTTGGACCTATACTTCCATTGCATACACCTAGACAACCTAATATACCGTCAATACGAAATCCTGTTGATTTTTCTAACCATCCACGAGACCCTTCAAGGGAAATGTGGAAGGATAATATGGAGAATAGAATCAATTCATTTGATAATAAATTAAATGATTTAGTTGACATTCTTAAATCAAATCAACAATTATTGTTGGATAGTCAACAACGATTTGCTACCTTACCATACCAAACAGTAGATCAAAATGGTATACCGATTCAAGTGGTAGGAGGGAATGGTAGTAATGTGAGTGCTCTGGCTACCCCACCGCTTGGTCATTATCAAAATCCACACCGTGGTATTCCAACATTTTCAAGTTTACCCAATTCCAGACCAATGTCCCCATATCCAGAAGTCCGTCAAGATAGTCCATTAAAGTTGGACTATAAAATGGATGAATCATCTCGGAAAAGAACCCGTATTGATGATAGAGAAGAAGGAGGAGTCATTAAAGTTCAAAAGGCATACCCAACTGATTTTAGAGATGGATACCTTGAACTTTCAGAAGCCAAGATTTTATTTGAATTTTTCGATGCAAATATTTCACAACAACTCTTTGGATTTGAACTTTCTAAATATTCAGTGGCTGATTTATGGAATGAATCTCCAGTTTTGATATGTGCTATATGTACAATTTCTTCAATTCATCATCCTTCCAAACATCTTTCTGAGAAACTGAATCAACTCAAGAAATATCTTCAAACATTATGTTCCAATTTATTATATCAAGGAAGACCCAAAACTGAAATGGAAGGATTCCATGCTATAGTTGCATTAGTACTTTGTAGTTTCTGGTTATCAGATTCACAAATGTTTACTGGATTAGCTTTACAATTGGCTAAAGAAATTGGACTCAATACTCGTAAAGTAAGCACAGAAAGGAATGGATTGAAAAATAAAGATAGAGTGAAATTATGGTACTTGTTATATGTATTGGATGGTCAACAAAGTTTAACTTTTAATAGACAACCATTAGTTGCATCGAATGAACCATCATTTCTGAATGCTCGAGAGATTTTGGGAACTGATCAAAAGACTTTAGAAACCTCATCCGAAATTGAAAGGGAAGAAAAGAAAAAATTGATTGGAAATAATGAAAATAAATATAATGAATCAAAATCATCTTATCATGAAGAGAGATTTAATGATATGAGATTAGTATCACAAGTCGAATACAATCAAGCATTGAACGAGGCATTTAGTGGGAATGCATGGGATTTATTGGCACCATCATCATTTGGAATTCCTTCCAAGACTAATCTTCAATTGGATAAATGGATGGTTTCATGGACGGTATTACTTGCCCCAGTTACAAATGGGGCTGTATGGTCTTCCAAATCCACATTAATTTATTATAATTTTGCCAAAATGCATATTAATTCCACAGCAGTTAGAAGTCTTCAAATGCAACCACATGGTGATGAAAGGTTACCAAAATGGGATAAAATTCCAACCGTTTCAAACGTACCACCTTCACCAAGAAAAATTGAAAAAATATCTGAAAATTCTGATAGTGATTCAAGTGATGATGAAGAATTTATATCCAATAAGGATTATGTATCTGAAGATGAAACAGTCATTAGTGCTGGAATTGCAGCAAGTGCGGCACAAACTGTATTGAATTTAGTGGTTAATGATAAAGATATATTAAATAATTTGAAATATGTTCCCGTACATATTCATATTATGCTTTATTATGCAGCATTATTAATGATAAACCCTCCATTAGTATCAAATAATAAATCTGAATCGCCAAATAAGAAAACTTATTTCAAAAAGATGATTACAAATTTACAATTAGTTAAAAAGCTTCAAAAGAAAATTTACTTGAATTTACCAACTGATAAACAATTTGGAGATCGATTAATTAAAAGTATAAATGAACTACTAGAAGAAAAAACTACCAATTTAAAAGAAGAATTAACTTCAAAAGATTGTATAGAAGAATTCGATAAAGGAACTCGAGAAAAATTTCTTGGTGAATTGAATAATTTAGAAAGTCAAGATCTCTCAGATAATATTATAGAATTATCTGATGTTGAGCTGGCAAGAAGAAGTAGTGGAGAAAGCCCTGGGACAGAAAAAATATATGCATGGCCTGGTTCAAATCATGGACATCCATAATTATAATGTTTACAAAGAGAAATGATCAACTAAAATAGAGAGGTGCACAAACACTTCTTTTTTTTAGTTCATGCTTCTTTTTTTTCAAGTTCATTATTATAAAGATGGAAAGTATTGATTGGACCTATTTCAAACGTGCAACACATGTATTCAAACAAAAAATTAATATAGAACCAACAACATTTGATGAAGAATTTAACGAATTAGAAAAGGAATTTAATTTATCAACGAGTGGTTTATATAAATTAAAAGAGAATTTGACAATTTATACTCAAAGTGTACAAAATATTTTAATATCTTCAAGAAATGTTGGTACATTTACAATAGATTTATATAATCCATTGATTGAAGGTAGTAACTCGGAAAATTCAATTCAAGAGGAAGCTTTAATTTTACAAAAAGATGTAAAATTATATATTGATTGTATATGTGATGCAATTCCAATGATTTCATCCGAAATTAGTCTTGTTAAAGGTACATTAATTGAATCTGTTAATGCAATGATTTCTAATTGTGAAAATATTAAAAAGAAATGTAAGAAAAGGATACTGATTCTAATTGAGATTGATTCAATTCAATTGAAATTAAATAAAATTGCAGAAAGAAGAAGTTCCAATGATTTATCCTTGAAACAATCACAACAATCTTTTAGCTTTGAGAGAAATTTAAAAGAAATTAATGAATCATATAATACCATTAACATTCAATTGAAAACTGAATTACCAATTTTTCTTCAATTAATTGATAAGGCTATTATTCCGATACAAAGACTAATATATTTTTTACAATTATTAATATATTATCAAGTTTCAAATAATGTTTCAGAAATGAAGGAAGCATTTAATTGCAATTCAACTGATTCAAACTACATTTTGGAGTTTAATAAGAGACTTCAACCTTATATAGATTCTGCTGATCAATTAACAATCGTCAAATTTAGGGAGAATTTCTATTCTAATTTAATTTCACCTTCAAAAATTTGTCAAGCTATATTCACATTTGAAGCTAAAGCTGAAGGAGATCTTTCAATTAAAAGAGGCGATATTATTAAAATTACCAATAAAGAAGGAAATTGGTATACTGGTGAATTAAATGGGAAAATTGGCAGATTTCCTGACAACTATGTTAAAATTCTTTAAATTCTCTTAATACTGTGCGTAAAGGGGTCATAAATATTAATACATACATAAATTACTTCATTACATCTAAATCTTCAATACCTTGAGAATCTGCATGTAAAGTAACTTTCCAAAGTTGTAGACATCTTCCAGAACAAAATTCCCTTTTAAATGGAATTAATTTGTTACCCAAGAAATCCCACCATTCAAATGCTTCTGCAGCAGGTTCCACCACAATCAAATCACATTCACAACATCGTGTTTCGTATTGACCGTGTTGAATGGCCTTGGCAATTAATTTATGATATAATATAGGTGTATGACGTTTCCAGTTCTTCGTTTCCTGGTATGATACATCGTACTTTGCAATAGCGTTAAGACATAACGATCTAAGAGATGGAATTGGTTTCAAATCATCTTGTAAGATGTGCGGCTCCGATGCGTATCTTTTATTCTTTGTTGGTGTAATGGTAGCGGTAGTGATAGGAATAGCATTATCAGGAACTTCAAGGAACGGGTTTGGTCCCGCCAGAAGAATGCCAAGATGAGGTAAATCCAAAATTGTATGCGGTAAATATTCAAGTCTGTTAGTACCTAGATATAAATCTGTCAAGTTAGATAATTTACCAATTTGAGATGGAATTTTCTCTAATTTGTTACGCCTTAATCCCAATACATTAAGTTTTCTATATTTGAATAATGATGGAGGAAGAACCCGTAACTTATTATTGGTAAGATAAAGTTGATATGAAGTATGTGCCTTTGGATCAAGATTAAAAATCACCAAGTTATCCATATCTTTAACTTCATCAGGAACCTCTTTAAGTTGCATCCCTTCCAAGTTGATGGTGGTTTGCATATCTTCAAATGCTTGAATGACTATATCTCTGGCTCTGAGTTGCATGCTGCGCTCAAATTGCTGTGCCAGATCCCATTTATCGTCATCGGTAGAAAGATAATTTGGACCTTTGAAGCGATTGAATCGATCAATTCCAAAATCAGCATCTGAACTAAGATTTCGATTAACTCTTTTAGGAAGAGAATCGTCAGCATTGCTCCATTCACTTGGAAAATTATGAGTAGGGGAATCTGGAACATTTGACGCTTGGGTAGATATGTCAAATTCGGATGCTAAAACTGCCGCTGGGGGGCTACTGGGCGGGGCTGTTACACTCCTGACAATGTCATCATGATCAACAATTGTAGCATTCGCTTCATCGTCTTCATCTTCCTCACCGTCTTCATCTTCTTCATCTGCCGAACTATGTGTATACTCTCGTCTCTTGATATTATCCTTTTCGTTGAAAGATGCCCCCATCTTACGTTTCAAACTTGGGACAAAGTTCAATACGGGCCCAACTCGTTTTGATTCAGGTGTACGCGTGTGATACATGCTACTTGCATTCTTGTCACGAGTTTCCCGATCTCGCGGGGTCGTATTGAGTGGGATATCTCCCGACGCAGACGTGGTGTATGCAAACGGAAGCAAAGGATTCCTGTCCATATGCGCCTATGCCTGCCCTCGTCGTTTAACTTAGGTCTTAACCTGTTTACCAATCCCTATTTCTATCCGTGATCGGTGTTTACTTGTAGTGCATATACCACGCGACCAGATACTTTTTCCAATAGGTCTTTTTTTTATCGTTTTTTTTTTTTTTTTTTTTATTACTTCTTGTAGTATTAGGCATTTCTCTCTACACACTCTCTTGATATATATTTTCGTTTATAGTTTGGTTGCAAATTATATGGATGATGTTTCTATACAACTATCTCAATAATATTCTGATATGGACCTGCCGTTACAAACGCTGATTTTGTGTGTGCATTCACATGGAGCTTTGGCGCAGGAATTCTTCCGGGGTAGATGTGTGCATTCTTGCATTGACTCACATCAAGGAAATACAAGTTTGAACAACCTGACAAAATCGAATCAATTCCAGCTCGTGTTACTCTAACACAACCTTTAATAGTTAATTTTTCAAGATTTTTTAAATGAAGTGATATCTTCACTAAGGAAGAGTCACTAACTGCACTCCCACAGAATGATAAATCAAGAGTCTTCAAGTATGGACAACCCATACATAAAAGGTCTATAGCAGTGTCTGATAATGCACAACAAAAATTTAAGTTTAAATGTTCCAAATTCTTGGCCGAATCTGCAATAGCAGAAATTGATGAATCGGTTAAAAATGTACAATCTTTAAGTGAAAGATCACGTAAATTTGGGAAACTTTGATTTGCCCAATATTGAAACCCTTTATCTGTAATGGTGGTACATCTAGTCAAGTTAAGAATTTCCAAAGTTTCATTAACATGAACTGAAATATGATACATGATATTATCAGTTAGATGTTTACAATATCCAACATTTATCTTCTTCAACATTTTACATCCAATACCAACGGATTTATCATATGCAACATCATATCCATGTGAATTGGTTTGTGTTTGTTGAATTACGATATCATTCCATCCAAATAATCTTTCCAAGACATTATCCCTAACTTTCCGACAATTTGACAAGTCAATTTCAACTAAATGCTTTCCAACACTTGGAACTGATAAATCCATAATTGCCATTGCACTAACTTCCCAAATGGATCTCATTCTTAAAATTCGAATCTGACCGGAGATTCCAATTTCATTAATCATATATGAAAACCCTTCATCAGTAACATGAAAACAATTTGAAATATCTATGACTCTAGGCCTTGAACCTACAAAGTTGGTGATGGCAATCAATGCCTTGTCATCAATAGTAGTGTTCCAAGGGGTCAAATCAAGAGTATAGAACAAATTTGGTGCAAAATAAAGTAATTGTCTCCATTTCTTACAAATTGGTCTTAATTTCATTAAGTCTGGTAATTTGAAATATTCAAATACCCGAAGAAGTAAAGAATCTGGAAGTATACTACTTCTTAATTTGGATGGCTTTTGTGATCCACCAATGGAAGCCAATCTAAGTCTCTTCGTATGTGGTAAATATTGAAATTCACCATGATGATGATGATGAGCATGTGTACTATGATGTGGTCTAAATCGGTTAATTGCAGGTACCACTGGATTCAAAGGTGGTAAACTGATATGGAGATTTTTATTCTCATTCTTCAATTCAGATGTAGTAGTAGAAGAAGAAGAAGAAGCATCTTCTATTAATTCCGCTTTTCTTCTTCGATCTTTGATGGCCAGTGGTGCCAGACTCAGATCCAATGAAGAAATTCGAGAATTGGGGATATCGATATCATTCATTAAATAATCAATAGAATGTCTATCCATTCCATAATTACTTGAGTTTGAAGCAGTTCTTTCTTGTGCAGTTTTCCTCATATCTTCAATAATGAATGGATAAGTTTTACATAATTCTTCCAATTTATCTCGTCTTACAACGATAAGTTCACAATTAGAAACTGTACGAACATTGGCACTTCTAGATCCAGAATCCAGCTTATTATTAAGAAGCATAAGAAATGACATTTCTCCAAAATAACTACCATATCCTAACCGAGCAAGCAGTTTTTCGTAGTTTAGATTAGAGTTTAAATGATCAATCACTTCAACTTCTCCCATAATAACAAAATAAATATCTGAACCACGATCTCCTTTTCGGAAAATGTATTCAAATGGTTGGTATCGGACGGGTTCAACTCCCAATGCAAGTTGATGAATAATCTCTGATGGAAGATTTTCGAAAATTGGTAAACTTTTAATAAATTCTTGAATGGAAATAGTAAAATCTACCGTATCTGTAGTAAGTGGCTCATCCATATTTTTAGGGGACCTTGATCTGTCTATATTTATGGGGGGGATGCAAGGTGATGGAATTGAAGGAGACATGAGCGATGCAATAGGGAGATAGTTTGATGGACCATGACCGTGAATTGTATTATTGACTATAGTACTGCCAACAGCACCATTCACTGATCCTCTTCTTGATGGACCATTTATACCCAGATCATAGCTTATACCTGCACTATCTATAGTTGGTGCAAAAGTCATGTGCGGTAATGAAGCTTTGCTTTTCTTATCCAAGATGGCCAACCGTTCTTGTGCCTCATCTCTAATTCTTCGTTCAATAGCTGGATATTCAGGTAATACCAAGTTTAATGATTCAGATGTCAATACTCCTAAAAGAACTTTCGTACGAGCTACTACCGTTGCAGTTCTAGGTCGATTGAACAAGATCCCAATTTCTCCAAAGAAACACCCCGGGATAAGTTCAGCATATATAGATTCTCCATCAGTGGAGGTAACTGCTACACTGCCTTTAAGGATCCAATACATGGATTTCAGTTCATCACCCTTTTTGATAATATATTCTTGTGCATGATGTTGGATGAGTTTTAATTTAGATACAATCCGGGTATGGAAAGATTTTGGAGCATGTTTAAAAAGTGGGAATGATCGAAGTTTATTGAAAAACTCTGGTGGAACAGACTTTGTATAGTTTTGAGATGGTGGTATCATCGATTTTCTTGTGGAGTTTGAAATCAGTTGTAGTCGAGGAGAAGGGGATCTCTGGGTAACTGCAGACGCAGGTGATATAGATGATGACAGTATGTTGGTTGGAGATGGAGATCTTGAGGTTGATGAGAGACCGGTCAATGAAGGAGATGCTTCTAATGATGAAGGGGTAAGATCTACATATTTATCATCATTTGAATCTATCACAGTCTTAGAATCCGACTGAAGTTCTAAACCAGAGTATGTGTTTAAATTTGGGGGCAGGTGAGCTTCTGAAAGGGTTGTATCATCCGATGCGGCAGATACCAACAGGGATACTGATGTTCGGCGAGATTCCTTATTGAAGTCAGTGTCATTTGTCGACAGTAACGGCGAGGGCCTGCTCGGCACAAACTGCGGGTTTCTCGACGTACTTCTACCCAGATACATGATGGGGCAATATTGTGCGCAACGAGGCTCGATGTGTGTGACCTATTAGTAAATTAATAGGAAAACTTCTATGTCTTGTGTGAATGAGCAAGGGATGTGTGGTAAGTAATAATATATCACCAACGTAGTAGGCTCATAAACGAGCACAAATTAGACCGTCAAGAGAATCAACGATGGGTATAAATTAAGGTGTGTGAGTTAAGGGGTGATGTGGTAAGTAATAAGGAGAGTGTTATTTTCTGCGGACCTCGATTGAACGGAGGTATTTAATTGTGACACAATTAATATTATCCCACGACTTCGCTTCTTTTTTTGCCTTAACTTTAAGAACAAAAAATATATTTTTAAAGACAAATTGAATGGAACTTTCGAACTATAGATATTATCGGCAAGTACAAGAGTGATTCAATTATCATAAACAAAAAGTATGGATTCAAGTATGGATAACAGAGATGGATAAAAGGTCGTAAAAAAAAAGTGGGATTAATGATCTATATTCCGCCGTTGGAGCTTTAGAGTTTGTGCAGACCATGTCTACATGCGGCCATGGGGACATTTAAGATCTCATGGAAGGAAACGCACAGAGGCATTGAAAACAATGACGCGCGTTAATAAAGTGATATGTCCGTGCTCCCAACATCAGCAACCTTAAAACTAAAATAAGAATATGAGAATCTAGTGTACGAGATAACTACATATAGCAAGCATATACACAAAGGGGCGATCTGGTGACCTTCACTGAACAGTTGTTTCTATATGTACGATTTTCCATGCGGGAGCGAAAAAATAATCAATTGGTTGAAATCAGCTGTTCCCTGCATGTAGGGCCGGCGTACTGAGAGAACTAATACCAGAAATTCGATTAGTATTATTTTAGAAAAGAGAAAAAAATATTATGGCGTTTTTGTACATGAGAGAGGCAAAAGTAAGGCACTACAAATGCATAGATTATAAAAGAAAATGACACACTCCATTCAATATCGTCGCTAAAGAGTTTTGTTTCAATTGTGTAGTTTCGCATATGACCGCAACCTGAAAACAAGGGAATAAGGAGAATTAATTTTTTTTTTTTATTGTTATTTTTATTTTTGGATTTTTTTGGCAAAAAAAAGGAAAATATGCAATGCACTAGAAATGAATAAGTCCGTTCGGAGTAAATATCATTCACCACCAAGAATGTACTCTGTATTCCGCTCACCAGCTAACGACAAAAAACTCCATTTACGACTTCGTCATACTTGTCGCATCATTTTTTGAAAGTGATGGTGAGTGAATATTTGATGACATTGAGGAAGCTACAGCTGCACAAGTGAGGAACCAACATGAAAGAATCCCACAACCGAGCCTAGAAGCGGGCCCAGGCTAGCACTCAGCCTGCAGTCACACTTACCCTCCCCTGATACTTCCCACATTCTATTATAGTCGTCTTAAATCCGAAAAGTCACTAAACTTACACACCAGTGGTTCAAGTTCAATATTTTACCAAAATATATTTTAAACTTCTTTTTGTAAACTTTCTTTTTTTTTTTTCACTTTTCTTGACAACTTCCTGTCCAGAGTGTAGTACAAATGTCATTGTTTCTTTTTTTTTTTTATTCCTCATTCGTCGTTATTAACTGATTTTATTTTTCCCCCATTTTTTTTTTCGGTAAAAAATGTGGGGTTGATTGAATTCTGTCATGACTAAGCGACAAAGACGTGAACTGATTCAACAAAATAAACCTTACGTGTTTCAGATAACTTTATCTCTCTTTTCCACCACTATCTGGTAGCACTTAAAAATGTCTTTCTCAGTGCTGATAGAAGATAAAGATGTGAATGTGCTGCGTTCTATCCATACATGTTTTTTATATATTTTGAACCACGGTAATGTCACTGGAATCTTTCGCGTAAGTGGCTCCGCCGTACGGATAAGATTTTTAACAGAACATCTTACAAATAATCCTGAAACGGATCTTGAAACATTCCAGAAATCGTATATGTTCACAGTACATGATATTACTGCAGTGTTGAAAAAATTACTTGCAACATCACTCCGTCATTCTGATTTTACAATTGTAAATAATCGTCAACTTCTTGAAAATTTACAAACTATTTATGTTTTGGAACAAGATTCAAAATGTGTTGTACGGAAATCTTGTGATATCATAGATTTACCAAGGATAAACATGCATTTATTAGTGTACGTTTCCTACCAGTTACATAGAATTGCAGCCATGGAAGAAACAACACTGATGTCTGCTTCCAATTTATCAATTATATTCCAGCCATATTTATTTAATAACCTTGTGATAACTAATCCTGATGATTTAAAATGTTTACGTGGGGTAATCGAGGCATTTATAGTGCATAGTCCATTAGTTGTTGAACTACTTCAAGAAAAGGAAAAGTTCTTAACCCCAATGACACTGACACTGACACCGGCACTGATACAAGTTAAAAGAATGGCTGTAGAGGAAGAGAAAAAGCCTTTCATTTTAAGAAGAGCCCTCTCGTTAAGAGTAAAACGGTTAAAACTGTGAATTTAACTCCCTATTGGTGTCGTTTTGTGCTGGTCACAAAATTCACAATACTTAATTTTAATGTACTACTCTATCGGATAATTTTACCATAATACATGTATATATATATGTACCACCCACCTGTGTCTATAGTTACAAAAGTCAATATACATGTATTTGATATCATTGCCCTCGTACCACATGCAAAAATCACTTAACAGTGCCAAAGGAAAAAGTATACTCATTTTTTTTCCCCCTCATTTTTTCCTTTTATTCATTTTACAAATAACTAATACTAACCCATACACATCATTTTAAAATAATATAATATTATATGTTACAATATTCACCTTATAAACTGTTTAATCCTCTCCTTTTGGTTATTGTGGGTGTACTAACTTTTTCTTTTGGCCCATGTTTTGCTTATGTGCACACCCAGTCGTGCACTACCCATGCAAAAGTTTTAGTATCAAAAAATGAAGATCGCCAGTTAAACCACCATTACCCATAGCTTAGAGTCTGAACATGTTTCTGTTAAATAGAGTCACAGTAGCGTCTCCCAAATTGGTGCGTTGTATAAGCAGCACCCCTGCTTTGAGTGCTAAGGCCGATAAGATACTCGATGCCAAGAAGAAGGCTAAGAAGCTCACAAAGTTGAGAAGACAACATCAACAGTCTCCTGAAAACCATCCTTTGTATATGGATGTTCCAAAAGCTTTAAGATACTTGCGTGCAGCCTCGGTTGGACAACCATCTAGCACAGCTACTATATCTATATTGATGACCTTGGTCCCTCAAAGAGGATCCAAGCCAATTTCTGGCTCAATCTTTTTCCCAAACCCGCTTAAGTCTACCAAGATTTTGGTGCTAACCGCCAAAGAAGAAACACAAGCAGCTGCCTTAGAGGCTGGTGCTACCGATGTTGGTGGTCCAGAATTATTGGAGCAAATCAAAGACGGTAAAATCACTCTTGATCATGATCAAGCTTTTGCTACTCCAGATATGGTTTCTCATTTGGGTAAATATGCCCGTCTTCTTGGATCTAAGGGCTTGATGCCTATGGCCAAGAAGGGTACTGTTGCTGATGATGTTGTCACTTTGGTTAAGAACAACTTGGGTTCCTTACCATTCAAACAAAGAGAAAACCATGTTGCCGTTCCTGTGGCTAGATGTGATTTCAGTGACAAGGAAGTCCTTGAAAACTTGAAGGCTGCATCTGAAGCTATCTATGGCTCTCAACCTCCAGGAACTCACAAACCAAATCTTTTGGGCCAAACCGTTCTCAACTCTACTGCTGGACCTGGAATTGTCATTGATTTTAGACCTTAATGTATATACTGTAAATAAATAGACACTAAAATGATAGAAAGTGTTTCGATTGAGTAAATGTATTATATATATATATATATATATATATATCTATAAGTAACCTCAATTATCTCCAATTAATGAATTTCATCAATCAGTTCAGGAAATAATTCAGAAAAAGTTTCTCCCAAATACTCATGAACATTCAGAGTTTGCATGGCCCTACCATATTTTTTAAATGCTTTAGAACTTGCTAATCTTACAGTGGAAGCAGCTGCAAAACATGCTAATAAGTTCAGATCTTCTTGATTTAAATCTGGTTTACCCCAAACTCCAGCTTGATAATTCAGTGACCAAGTTAAAAATGTAGCCATTGCTCCAGCTAAAGTATCACCTTGTCCACCAACTCTTCTATTCAGACCTGGCATTTCATTGACAACAAAATGATCATTTTGTGCAATGATTTCTTGTGCACCTTTACGAACAATTGTCACTCCTCCTAAAAGTTTAGAAAGTTTTACAGTTAATTCAATTGATTCATCTAAATTTGCATTAGAATCAACCTCTTCACCCACGGCATTTGCTAATCTTTTAAACTCAATAACATTTGGTGTTAATACTGCCTTTTGATAATTACTTATAATCTTTGGATCCTTTGATAATACATAAAGGGCATCAGCATCCAAAATAAGTGGAATATTTAACACTTTCACCTCTTCAATCAATCTAGTTAACGTTTGAATCATAAGAGGATCTCTACCAAATCCAGGTCCAATCACCACCAAATGCATCCGACTAAGAACAGAAACAACTTTAGGAAGAATCTTATCATCAATAAACTCCTCATCATTTAATCCATCATTCTTATCTCGACTGTTACTATCATATAAATATGGATGAACCATTAAATCGGGCAGATACAGCTTAATAACTTGTGCAGCATTTCTTTCACAAATAATATGAGATAAATCACATCCAAGAAGTGCAGCAGAATGCGAGGCAAAAAATGGAGCTCCAGTATAATCTTCACACCCTCCAATAACTGCAATTCTACCTGCTTGTCCCTTATGAAAATGTGGAAGTAATGGTTGAACCACCCTTTTGGATAATTGAAGTAATTCCTTTTGTGATTTATTCCTAAGCATTGTTAAGTATACAAAGTCCAATATTTCTTCCCGTTACTGTTTCTTTTATCTCAATTGAATTCAAATTATGTATTTATATATATTATAAATATGTCCTAAAGTGGTGTTTTACTAATCCTCATCACACATTCACACACCCTTATGTTCAAGTAGATAAAAAAAACCTCCCCATATTTCAGTCTCGGTGCGTTGTGTGCCCTGTGCATACATATGTCTATTGTGATTTAAATTTTGTTTGCGATTTTTTTTTTTTTTTTCTTAGAAATAAAAGATATCTGTTACTTACAACAATTTCTATAAATTGGTCAGATTTAATGGTATTAATAATCAATTTTACTTTAAATCTAGTATGTAATGTTATACAAATACATACACTAACTTTAAATACCCAAAGTCTTATTGAAAATCCTACTTGTTTTTGTTTTTTTTTTTATGTCTCTTCATCCACATACTTAATTAAGTTATCGCTTGAAGCTCCCATTTGTGGCTCGTGTTCCTGCACAATATAGTACAATTTATTTTGAGCAATTCCACAGTTTCGGGTTTTTCGCCCTCTGTATGGCTAGCGCGGCAACCTCTCAATCTCTCTCATTGAATAATTCCTATACATTTATAAATCACTTATTCTCTCCTTTTTTCTCCCACGTTTATTTATTAAATTCCATCATATTCAATCTAATAACAATGTCGTTCTCCTCCATTGCTAACAAATTGTCCAACCCAAGAGTCTTTGTACCAATTGTTGCTGCTGCAGGTGGTATCTCCCTTGCCTACCAATACCAAACTAGAATTATTGCTAATGAGCCAGGTAAGACTTTCAAAGGTGATAATGAATGGGTTGACTTGAAGGTTAGAAAGACCTGGGATGTTTCTTCCAACACCAAGCATGTGATTTTTGACTTGCCTGGTAAGGATGATGTTTCTGGTTTGATTACTGCCTCTTGTCTTTTAACCAAATTTGTTACTGCTAAGGGTAACAATGTCATTAGACCATATACTCCAATCTCTGATAACGATGAAAAGGGATCCATTGAATTTGTCGTTAAGAAGTATGAAGGTGGTAAGGCTTCTACCCATATTCATGACTTGAAAGTTGGTGACACTTTATCCTTCAAAGGTCCAATTGTCAAGTGGAAGTGGGAAGCTAACCAATACAAGTCCATTGCCTTGATTGGTGGTGGTACTGGTATCACTCCATTGTACCAATTGATTCAAGAAATCACCAAGAACCCAGAAGATAAGACTAAGGTTTCCTTGTACTATGGTAACTTGTCTGAAAAGGACATTTTGATCAAGAAGGAATTGGATGTCTTGGCTGCTAAGCACAAGGATCAAGTTGACATTGTCTACTTTGTTGACAAGGCTGAAAAGGGTTGGGAAGGTGAAACTGGTTTCATTGACAAGGAATTCTTGCAACCACGTTTGCCAGGTCCTTCTAAGGACTCCAAGGTCTTTGTTTGTGGACCACCAGCCTTGTACAAGGCTCTTTCTGGTCCTAAGGTTTCTCCAACTGATCAAGGTGAAGTCACTGGTGTTTTGGCTGAATTGGGATTCACCAAGGAACATGTTTACAAGTTTTAAAAGGGTTTTTCTTTTTTAAGATTTTAAGTATAATTTATTATATACGAAAAATAAAGAGTAAAGAAGATATTGATAAATATATTTGTAAACTGATTAAGTAGGTTCTACCTCAATTATTGTGATGAGTGTATTATAGTTTATTAAAGGAGGGACGATAGTCCTGTAAGTATTATAGCTTTCTATGTACAGGTTTTTATTTTCTTAGTATATTTTAATATAGATTCTTAATCTTAAATAGTAAAAGTTGAAAGAACTTATAAACATTTAATTATGGTTAAAGTAGCAATTGTAGGATGTTGTCATGGTGAATTAAATAAGATTTATAATTCACTTAAAAATTCATATGTTGAATTGCTTATAATATGTGGAGATTTCCAAGCTATTCGAAATTATAGAGATCTTGATATGATATCAGTTCCAAATAAATATAAGCAATTAGGAGACTTTCATAGATACTATTCAGGGGAACTTAAGGCACCAGTGCTTACTATATTTATTGGTGGTAACCATGAGAGCTCAGGATATTTACAAGAATTGAAATATGGCGGGTTTGTTGCACCCAATATCTATTACCTTGGAGATTTTGGATCCATTTATTATAAGGGACTTCGAATTACTGGTCAAAGTGGGATCTGGAATGAACATCTGTTTATGAATAGACAAGTTGAAACGATTCCATTTGATAATTCAACTGTTAGATCCATATATCATATTAAGGCGAAAACATTCTTGAAATCATATTTAATGAAAGATGATAAATGCATAGATATATCACTTTCACATGATTGGCCTCAAGATATAGTACATTATGGGGATATTAGAGGATTATTGAAATATAAACCTTTTTTCAAGAATGATATTGAAACTGGTAAATTGGGTAATCCATTAGCAAAGATCTTATTACATAATTTAAGATCGAGATATTGGTTTTCTGCTCATCTTCATGTTAAATTTTCTGCTAGTGTTGAACATGAAAATAAGAAAAGAAAGGGTAGTTTAACCAATTCATTACCAATTGAGAAGAAATTTAAAGATGATATAAAGGAAGAATCAATTCAAAATGAAAAGAAATTAAATTTGATTAATAAGGAAGAATTATCTCTTGACATGGATGAAGAAAACTTTTCAAACAATGACAATACACCTAATAAAGAAGAGTTATCTCTTGATATGGATGAAGAATACCTGTCAAATAATCAAGAGCCGGTAAATAAAGAAGAAATATCTCTTGATATGGATAATGAATTCTCAGATGATAAAGAAATCAATCAAATAGGTATTGCTACTAATTTAACAACTGAATTTCTAGCACTTGATAAGTGTTTACCCAAGAGAAAATATATTGAATATTTGGATATTGAATCTACTAATTCATCCTCAGATGAAAACTTATACTTTGATAAAAGATCTATTGCTATTAATAAAGTTATAGAGAATTTTGTAAAGCAGAATTCCAGAGAATGGGCGAAAATCTCAAAATCCGATTTACTATCAATTGATACTTCTTTAACTACATTAGTAGATGAACTTAATCGAGAGATATCATTTGAGGTTCTGAAATTAAATAAGCTTCCTGATTCGGAATTTGTTATTGACCAAAAGAATTTCAAAATAATTGCACCAATAGAATCCAGATCGGAAATTCCATTGAAGTATTGGCAAAATAATCAAACTGATAATTATATTTCTAAATTTATGAAATAATGTGATTTCATGAGAAATTGATATTTGAATACGTGGGTAGTGGGATTAAATCTCCAATTCATAAAAATCCTCACTCTTACACTAGTAGTAAATATTGGAAACGATCCACTACAGAAAGAGATAAATTAAAGGATGTGGCGTGTATCTGCTTTAATACCGCCATAGATGACTTTCTGTTAACATTTACGATTCAGCCAATTCTAGCCCAAAATGCATTCAAGGTTTCTACTTGGTTGATGTTTATGCTTAGTGTGGTGATAAATGTATCATATTTTAATATAATCAATTGGAATTATGTCAAATAATTATATTCTAATCCAATATTTGGTGAGTTATTATACAAAATAAGCATATATATAAATTTATAATCAATAACGTATAGACTATAGAAACTAATGGGTAGATTCAACAACGTCGGCCTTAGAAACTACATTGTCAGTCTTGGTGGACGAGTTATTTTCTTCAACAAAGTCTCCCCCAATGTTTTGTTGTCTAAGTCTTTCAAACAATTCATCTTGTTGTTCCTTGGTTAATTCGTTCTTCTTCTTACCCTTGATATGGTACATTGGATTCAATTGAACCAATGTGACACCTTGAAGGAATGGTAAATGACCATGCTTTTCTTCGTACAACATCAAAAATAATGTGACAATGACAGCGACCCAGTAGAGATTGTATGATAAAACAGAACCATAAGTGGCCGAGTTTTGCCATCCCAAAAGAGCATTGAAAACATCCCAACCATTATCTGTTTCTGGGTTACAACAGTTCACATGCCAAACTGAGTTAGTGATATCATAACTACCTGGACCAGAACCACCTTCAGCAATATCACCACCCGCCTTCTTAGTCAATCTGTACATTTCAAAGAACCAAACGGAACGAGAAAATAACCCAGCAGAAATTAAATAAAGAATGCATGTTGAGATAATTAAAAAGATTTGTAATGAAGTAGTGGTACCACCCAAGTATAAAAGACCACCAACTGCACCACCAGCAAGCAAACCAGTAATAACTGGGATAGGGAAAGAAGTGGCAGGAGTGGACAACCCAACACCACCAACGAAAACAACAGCTTCCAAACCTTCTCTCAAACAAGTAATGAACGGAAGAATAAACATACAGTATTTCTTGGCAAGATGTCCGAACTTAAATCTATCTTTTTTATTCTCAGTGTCTTGAATTAAAGCTTTAGCCAATTTAACTCTCCACTTTTCCTTCATCTTATTGACACGCAACATGGCAATTCCCATCATAGAAATTAATACAGTGGCTATCAAACAGAAAATACCTTCCCATAAATCTTCTGACTTTGACCAAATATCATTACCAACAGTGTAAAAGACTGCAATAAAAGCAGCACCAATACATATACACACCACTAACCCCAGCGCCGCTCCCCACCAGACCTGTCGAACCAATCGTTTATAGACAACTGGGTCAGAAGTGGCACCTCCAAGCCCTTGCTTTAAAAATGCAAGTAAGACTGATACCACTACAACCGCTTCCAAAGCCTCACGGAAGACAATGAAAAAAATTTGTGGGTTAAAGACATTCACCATTTTGAATATCTACAATAAGAATAGAAATACAGTAGATATTTCTTACTGTCTAACGTTGTTTAGTAGATTTGAATCTGTATAAACCCTTTTGACAGGCGCTTCTTTGAATGTTTTTTTTTTCTTTTTCATTTTTTTTTTTTGTTGAGCAGTTTATTTTTCGTATTTGTCTTGGCATGTATTAAACGTTAAGCATGCATTTCATATTGAAGGCTTATCATTGGAAGAAGTTATTTAGTGGGCAGTTTCAGTCAATATTCAGGCTGGTGGCTGAACAATGTCGTAATTAGCAGTAGATGAGCCTCATGTCAACATCCATGGCTAAAGGGCGTATCGTGTAGTGCATAATATTTAAGGTTTGCAGCCAATCTGGGGGGGCATAGTGGGGGCTTAGAGATTAATTCACTTTTCTATAAGTTTATGCCACTGTAATTTGACTTGTTGAGATGTATATGACGTATCTGAAGGCTTAAAAACTTATGTATATTTCTATATGATAAAAACCTTGTGATGTTTTCAAATGAGGGAAAAAATTGATTTCTTATTTTGGAATACAAAATTATAAAATTACTCCACATACATCAACCAATATTTATATTTTATACTGCTATTACTATTAGTATTATTATGAGATAAAGACGGAATCGGGAAAGAATTAAGCAGAATCCGAAGTCTTCAATACCCCCAGTTTTTTCATTGAAAAACATTACCATTTAATTCAAGATACATCAAGAACTGCCTTCTCAATAAAGCCCCAGATTCGCTTTTATTACAATATCTGAAAGCTCTACTAGAAGTTTAATCTTCTAATCAATGCAATAACAACGTTTATTAGCTATTAGCTAATAATTTTGATAGTCGTGTGCGAACCAGACCACAAGTAAAAAATGTAGGTCGCATTAAGTGTTATTATTTAAAGAAAATATAAAGTGGTTGTATAGTGTAGTGGTTATCACCTTCGGTTTTGATCCGGATAACCCCGGTTCGAATCCGGGTACGACCTACAATCTGAAATCTACCAATTTGGTAGATTTCCTTATTTTTAATCCAACATATGGATAAGCTATTTTTATATTTTTTTAGACTAGTTAAATACAAAGCATTCCATATAATTGGAATGGTCATATAACTAATATCCACATTTCAGACATCTTTGGAACATAAATAAAATAAATTGTGTAACATTCAAAACATTCTATGTAAGTTCTTATCCAAAATTAAGTGACTCTCTCATGAGAGCAAACAAATAGACTATTTACTTTTTTTTTCTCCCTTACTTGAAACAAAATTTGGGTATCTAATTTGAAATACGATTTGCTCTAGTAAGATTCTCAGTATTATCTAGATTCTGTCTTGAATATTTTGTGGACTAAGGGATCATTTTTTTTCGTTGACAGACATTATAACTATTCACTATTCATTTCACGATAGTGTGCTTCGCTGAATTTGGAAATTTTGCAGATCGTTGATTCATCATAGAGTACACTCGAAAAATCTGAAAGGTTTATGTATGATTATTCGATTGGACGATCTTCATGGGGAGGGTATTGTGATCGATCTTCTTCATATCCCTTATTTACATACGATGGCAATTCCCTAGATCCTTGCTTTGTGTGGGATATCTCAAGTGTAATCAATCTCATACTTGGTACTTTTGTTACTTTCGAATTAATCTCCTTGGTATACTTTGGGAATTCTGGACTGCGTCGTATAAGGTTCCTGTTTGGATCTGTACTTGAAGGTAGTGCCCAAAAATGTCGGCTTGTCTTGATTGTATTCTACTTTACCTTCCAAGGTATTTTGTCATTTGCATATATTGGCCAAATCTCGAACGTGTTAGTTTTGCCTGCGGTGTTTATGCTACACTTAGTTGAACCAACTAGATCCCTTGTTCAGCTGACTTCACTTCTTTGGATATGGACTGTTCAAGCACTCTTGAATACAATTTCTCTAGTACAGGATGAATTCTCACCAGTTAAAGTCGTAGGCACTAGTAATACTTTCCAGAGTATTGAATTAATTACATGGTTAATTTCCATTCTTTTATTCATTTTGGAAGTGTTCGTATGGGAACCTACTACAGGACTTCTTGATTATTACAGATTGAATGGATGGGATAATGACATTGATACTGCTCGGAACTCTTTCTCAAATATTGCATTTACTTGGTTACAGCCTTTATTGAAAGGTGTGTATTATACGGATGTTGCCAGTCCTGAAATTATTCCCAAACCTCCCACCGAAATCACGATTGGATTTACAGAAAGTAAGATTGAAACTGCTTGGAATAATGCAGTACTTGAAGCAAGGAGACGACAACCAAGAAGTGATGACGAACTAAGTATTTCTCTTCTTTCTTGCATATTCAAAGCCTTTTGGTCAATAATCCTTTCCAGCTTTATATTAGATGTAATTGGTGTGACATTAACTTTTGCAGAACCATTCTTGCAACAACAATTCATTTTATTCTTCACAAAAAGTAATGATACAACATCCACTTCCCCTCCTATGATAAAAGGATACGCGATAGCCGGCGCCTTTTTTGTTGTTTCCATGGTTCGTACCATATTGAACACGCAAGCTTCTCAATTAAAGTCTAAGGCTCTTTATTCCGCGACTGCTATTCAATCTTTAATCTATAAAAAGGCTCTCAGACTTTCAGCAGAATCAAGACAATCCAAAAGTGTGGGTCAAATTATAAACCACATATCGTTGGACATTCCGATTATTACTTCGTTTCCTACAGGATCGGCAGTTAAACTAGTTATTGCACCTTTCAAAGTTGTATTATGTGTATTAGCATTATATCTGATAATCGGGAACGCTACCTGGGCAGGCGTCACAGCAGCACTTGTTATCATTCCATTAGTTTCCAAGATTAAAGGTATAACTACCCCGTTAACGAAACAGATCATGGAATACAAAGATTCAAGGTTGCAACTCATCAACGAAGTTCTCAACTCAATTTTAAGTGTGAAACTTTATACATGGGAAGATCTGATTGAAGATAGAATCAAGGCAGTTAGAAATGGAAAGGAATTGAATACAATTCGACTTTTAAGTGTATGGAATTCGTTTTCGAGATTCATATTTGGAACAATACCGTTCTTCATATTATGTTCCAGTTTTGGTGCTTTCGTGCTTTTGAACGATACACCTCTTACTCCAGACATTGTTTTCCCTGCATTAACTCTTTTTAGCGTACTTGGTCGATTTATATCATCAACTTCAGGATTGATTCAAAAACTTTCCAAAGCTAAAGTTTCATACAGGCGAGTTGAAGAGTTTCTTTTATTACCTGAATCGAACAATATTGCTAAAAGAGAATATGGAGACTTAAATCTGAGAAAAACTTCCATAAATATCACAAACGGGACATTCTTATGGAATACACCCACTGAGTATAATAAAGTTGAAGATGAGGTGACTGGGATTTCCAATGTTGCATTGAGCGACATCAATTTGTCTACAAAACCTAACCTGTTAACATGTATTGTTGGTAGGGTAGGGAGTGGAAAGACAACAATGATAAAATCTATTTTAGGAGAAATGCCTTGCACCCCCGAATCTTCAGTGAAAATTTATGGCTCAGTGGCCTATTGTGCTCAAGTGCCATGGATAATCAATGCATCGGTACAAGATAATATTTTATTCGGTCTCCAATATAACAAGTCCCTTTACGAAAGAACAATTGAAGTGTGCGAGTTAGCTGTGGATATACTGTCATTTCCTCAAGGCGATCAAACTTTAGTTGGTGAGAAGGGAATTTCCCTTTCTGGTGGTCAAAAGGCTCGTATTTCTCTAGCACGAGCAGTATACTCTAGATCAGACATTTATATCTTTGACGATATTCTTTCTGCTATTGATCGATATGTTGGACAAAAAATCATGAATAATATTTTAGGACCAAATGGAATCTTATCTTCCAAGACTAGAATTCTCGCAACGAACTCTATACCAATTTTACATCTTGCCGATGAAATTATTCTTTTAGAGAATGCTAGGATTGTAGAAAGGAAAACAGGATCTGATTTAGTTATTATTGATGATAATTCTAAGCTATCAACGTTAGTACGTGATTTCGGTGCTCATTCTGAAACGCCAGAACCAACTGAATTCAATGACACTCTGGAAGCTGATTCACTCCAAGTTACTTTAAATAGTGTGTTCGATTCTAAATCAACAATCGAAGAGGAAGGTGATGGTACAAAAAATAGACATTTAGTGTCCGCAGAAATATCTTCCAAAGGTAGGGTTAAATCTTCAGTCTTTTTTGAATATTTCAAGGCATGTAATTATGCAACCACCGTTATCTATGTGGCATTTACAACCATCAGTATTTTCATCACCGTATATCAAACTATAATTTTGACTGAATGGTCAGAGTTAAACCAAAACGCAGGCAAGACTATACACCCAGTGTATTATTTGTCACTATACGCCTTAACGGTTGTAGTACGTGGTGTATTTACCATGTCAGGATTAATTATCATTTGGGTTTTCAGCTTTATAAAAGGATCAATATACTTCCATGATAAGATGATGTTCAAAATATTAAGATCACCAATGTCGCTTTTTGAAACTACACCAGTTGGAACCATATTAAATAGATTTTCAAATGACATTGCAGCAATGGACTTGACAATTCCAGGGATATTTGTTAATGCAGTTAATTTAATTGTTAATTCCACCACTTCTTTTGCAGCCATTATCGTCAAACTACCAGCGATGATAGTGGTTATTATTCTATTACTTGGAGTGTATAATTCAATTCGAATGTACTTTATTCCAGCCTCAAGAGAAATTAAGAGGCTTTCAAGAACTGCCAATAGTCCAATTATAACCCATTTACTGGAATCGGTCAATGGTGTTGATACTCTCAATGCATATGATCAACAGGTTAGGTATTCAAAGTTAAATTCGAACAAGATTGATACGTTTATTGGGATAAATTATGCCAACTCGTCTTTATCACGTTGGCTTTCAATCAGATTGCAAACGATTTCTTCTACTATTCTATTTTGTACTTGTGTGTTTTGTGTGCTTACACTTGACACGAAACACCCATATAATGCTTCATTGGTTGGATTTATACTTAACTATTCATTATCAATCCCAAGTCAATTGCGGTCTATTATTACGTGTTGGACACAAGTTGAGACGCAAACAGTTGCAATCGAGCGCATTATAGATTACTGTGATTTACCAATTGAGGCGCCCAGGATCATTGATAATTATCGACCTACGACCGTGCCATGGCCCAATGATGGTAATATAATTTTTAAGAATTATTCAACTCGATATAGAGAAGATTTACCACTTGTTTTGAAAAATTTAAATTTGAATATTAAAGGTGGTTCAAAGGTAGGTATTGTTGGAAGAACGGGATCAGGAAAATCTACAATGACAAGAGCAATATTCAGACTTTTAGAAGCACAGAGTGGTCACATCGAAATAGATGATATGAATACAAGTAAAATGGGACTCTATGACTTGCGGAGTAATCTCAGCATTATCCCACAAGATTGTCAAACAATTGAAGGAACTGTGCGTCAAAACCTTGATCCATTAAATGAACGATCAGACGAAGATCTTTGGAAAGTATTAGAAATGTCCCATTTAAAGAACCATGTCCTTGGCTTGAGATCAAGAGCTCCAAAAGTTAAAAAGAAGAAAAAGGGGAAATCAATAGATATAGATGATAATAATGAAGTGAATGATCCATTACTTGATAACAAACCATTGGGATTAGACGCATTTGTGTTTGAAGGAGGATCGAATTTTTCTGGTGGCCAGAAACAATTGCTTTGTCTTGCCAGAGCATTACTTAATCCATCCAATATCCTAATTCTTGATGAGGCTACTGCTGCAGTTGATGTTGAAACTGATATGCATATTCAAAAGATAATTCAAGAATCATTGCGGGGTAAAACAATCTTAACCATTGCACACAGAATCGAGACAGTACTAAATAATGATTATATATTGGTACTTGAGCATGGTGAAATAAAAGAGTTTGGAACTCCAAAGGAGTTACAAGAAAAGAATGGGATTTTTGCCAAGTTATTAAATAGTTAGTTAATCCTTTTTTTAGCAATTCATTTGACGTCATAATTTTTGTATATCCAATTCCAGGTGAGCCATTTTGTTAATTTTCCCGCGGTTTAAGGTTGTGATTTGCACTTTTCCCCGGACTCATCTGTCAAGGGACTACTAATTGCGGAAAGGGAAAAAAAAGGATCGTAAAAAAAAAGCACTTAAAAACCATAGGGCACCCCGTGATCTTCAAAGCTAACTTTATAGGAAAAGGTCGCGTATTTGACTTGGCAATATATAGAATTTTCTTTATTTGAAGACGGTGAAGGTCAATTCTCGATAATATGCTTTCTATATCCCGCATGAACAGAGTGCTGGTGAGGCAGTTTACACTAGCGAGAAGGCTTCTTCAACGAACTCCAATTGAAGAGTATAACTACAAAGTCGAGAAGGGGTCACTCCGAGACGATCCATACCAGCGTAAAACCATTACCAGTTTATCTAGTCTTCATGAACGTTTAACTACATACCAGCCGCCTGATGTTGGGGTGCCAGACATTGAGAATCTTAAGCCCAAATCAGGATTCATGAAATTCTTTTCCTTCGGATCGCTGCAAAAGACTCCCACTGGGAATGTTAATGGAGATATGAAGGGTATATACCTTTATGGGGATGTTGGATGTGGAAAGACAATGCTTATGGACCTTTTTTATTCCACAATTCCTTCACATCTTGCTAAAAGAAGAATTCATTTCCATCAATTCATGCAATACCTTCATAAGAGATCGCATCTGTTAAAAGTTGAACATAATCATTGGGATTTAGATGTGATCCCGATCTTGGCAAGTGAGATTTCAAGAGAATCTACCATCTTATGCTTTGATGAATTTCAAGTTACCGATGTGGCAGATGCCATGCTTTTAAGAAGGTTATTAGCACTTATCCTTTCTCCAGAATATGGAGTTGTTCTCTTTGCCACATCCAATAGAGCTCCAGATGACCTCTACATGAATGGTATTCAAAGAGTTTCATTTATTCCATGTATCCAACAAATTAAGAAACAAACCAAAGTCATTTATTTGAATAGTCCTACGGATTATAGGAAAGTACCTAAACCATTGTCATCAGTATATTATAGCCCTAAACCGGGAATTGGATACAATTCCAAATCGTGTGTTTCACAAAGAAAAAAACATGTAGAACAATGGTACACATATTTTAGTGAAGGAGTACCAGTTGAAACTGATGTTTCATTAGAAATTTGGGGTAGAAAACTTCATGTTCCTAAATGTTCTCCTCCACACGTTGCACAATTTACTTTTGAAGAATTATGTGGGAAACCATTGGCAGCAGGGGATTACTTACAATTGGCCAATTCATTCAAATGTTTTATTGTTACCGATATCCCATATTTAAGTATCAATGTTAGAGATAGAGTAAGAAGGTTTATTACCTTTTTAGATGCAACTTATGATGCAGGTGGAAAGCTTGCAGTTACATCAGCAGCTCCTTTCCAAGATTTGTTCGTTGAACCAGAAGATATATTAAGTGACGAGTTTCAACTTTATCAGAAAGAACGTAAAAAGAGTAAAGGTGAAATAACAGATGAAGATGAAGATGAATTGGTCACCAAGCATGGTTTCACTAAGGAAATAGCGAAAAAGGCAAACATGTTTGCCAATGACGAAGAAAAGTTTGCATTCGCAAGAGCGTTATCAAGATTATCACAAATGAGTACCCAAGATTGGGTAGATCAGTAAACGAACCATATTAGAAATTAGATAATGTATAAATATTTATTAGCCATATTAAGTAGACATAGAGAGACGATGAAGATATAATTAAATTGGAATGACAATAAAAGTGATAAAAATAGATAACTTGAGGTACATAAAAGAGTCCTTCCTACATGTAGAAGGTTATTAGAGCTAAAGTCAAACTACAAAATCGAATAAATAAGAAAAAAAAAAAAATAAAAGCAAAAATAAATACTGAGGTATAGTGTTCAAGGGAAGTACCATAGGAGAAGTAGGGGCGAAACTAACTAAGGAGACCAAAAAAAAAAAGAAATTTTATGTTAAAAAAAAAATACATTCAGAACAATCCCCGTGAGACAAACTGCGAATTTATTCATTGTCGATACAATGCGCCTCCTTCCTGCAGGTCCTAACAAACAACGCGTATTGTTGCAGAAATCGTGTTTCAATTTATTTTGTCACCGGTATACGATACAGTAGATAGAGGTATAGTAAATACCCTGTATTGAGAGTTTAATAATTTCCGAGACATACCGATGCAGTTCCAGCGAAACTTCAAGCGTGAATGTGACCGCCTTTATCAATATCGATGAACTTTTTTTTTCCCACCCTAAGATCGCTTAGTTTGGCGATATCCAATCCAGAAGAGGACTGTGTCAAAAAAAATGTTTACAGAGGGGAATATTTTTAGACACAATAAATATATAAAACATTATCCATAGAGAACATAATTTATTCAAAAAGAAACGGATTAATTTGGGCGAAATATTTAGCCCATATAACTTACTCAATTCAAAGTAGCTAAATATATAACTTGTAGCAATCCCAAACTTACACATTCAGGAAATAGTGCCTTCAAAAAAATCTCGAACAATTTTTGCTGGGGGCTCCTAATACTTGCATAGAAAACCCATTTCTTTTTTGATTTTCGGTATCTGAAAACAACCAGGACTTTTTGCTTCAGGAAAAGGGTTTGTTTGTTATTTGGATATCAATATTTTTATTTTTACCTCCTACTACCAATACGTCGTAGGATTGGTACTAGAATCCCGTTATTTTCTGCTCATCTTCTGATCTCGTCGATTCCAACCTTCATTGCTCGATTTATGTACCACAAGAGTCAATATAATAACCACAAAATTTAGACGGGCAAACTTTCAAGGCTAAACTTTCGGATCAAACAATTTTAAGATCTTGACTTTTAGCAAGTGTTAAACGGTTAGATTCTTACTACAATACTAAAATTCCTAAATCCTACTTATACTTACACTCGCTTTTACAATCACACTTTCGCTAAATCAAATCCAATCAAGTTAACCAACCTCATCACCAAAATATGAACCATTCAAACTTATCCCTGACTTCATTTGATGAAAATTTATATGATGTTTCAATGACTCGTAACATGTCTTCTGGTTCTGTACACAAAAAGAAATTTGAATCAGTATATGGACCACGTAGAGTTGGGTCCTTGACATCACTCAATACACATGATTCTAAACGACCCGGTGATTACTTTATTTCCAAGATGAATAGCAGTAGTACAAGTTTACCTCAGCAAATGGGGCCCGCGATTCGACCCAAGCTGGGTGAATCAATTATATCATTACAATCGAACATCTCGGATGAAACAAATAACTCCCAATTCGATACACCCGATTCGAGATTAAGCTCAATCAGTAGTAGTTCTGTGGTTTCACCCTCTGAATCGCCATCCATTAACTCATATAACTTTTCTGCGATAACCACTTCTACAGATTCGAGAATAACAGAAGAAGATGAGGATGAAGTTTTAAGTTTTGATACATCTGAAGATGTTATTGAACAGGTTCAACCAAGTTCTTCCATCTCCACCATAACCCTCAAGAATAATTCAAGATCTAATCTCACATATACCAAACCACATCCTAGACCGAAGATGAGATCTCTTTCAACCAACAGTGTGTTAACATCGAATTGCGGTTTAGCGAGAACTAAATCAAAATATATCAACGCTAAAGAGATTAAAGAACGACAACAATTACGTAAAAAGCTTTATGATGATAATGATGATGATGACGATATACTAAATAATGACTTTGATCTTGTTTTCAATGTACCTGTGATACGTACTCAATCAGAACTTTATCTCAGCAAGGCAGCAGCTTTATCGCATAATGATCTTGTATTGAAAAATGATAAATATTTATCCAAGGGTATGAATTCAAAGCCTTTCCCACTTCCAGGGAAATTGAATGTGAATACAAACCCCAACACGAGCATAGAAGAAGAAGACGTTGAAATCACTAGAAATATCTCATCTTTCTACAATCAACGATCTACATCGCTTTCATCAATGGTTAAGAAAACCCGTGAACAAAACTTGGTATACAAATTACCAAGCTACGTGAAATCGCAATCTTCAATTGACGATTTATCGTTAATGTCTCCTGAAAAGTTAAATGTATTGGATCAATCGAGACCAATCAACTTGCCCCCAAAATCTACTAACGATATTTCCAAACATAATAAAGAACTCAAACGATATGTATCTGATTTCGAAGCAAGTGCTAATAGTCATGTTGTAAATTTCCAAAAATTTAGTGATTCAATGGTACAATCACGTAAACAATGGGAAATGTTACACAGCACCTCAAAGTCACCTAAAGAATTCAAGAGGAAACTCTATAGTGGCAAAAATTCAATAAGAAACTTGTGCTGGAACTCAAGTTGTCCACGAGAACTTAGGTACGATATTTTGATTGGATTTTTAACTCTTTCTGAGAAGCCGACAAACCCAGAACGTTCCAGTGAAACCATCAAAGCCAATTATGATTACTTGGTACTGAAAATTGATAATCTCCCTTCAAGTATTAAGGTTAACAAGGATGCTGAATTCTCTGCCATCATTGAAGCCGTTTTAAGAAAACCATTATATAGTTCGATTATCGAATCTTATAATGAGGAGTTTAATTTGGAAACTTTTAAGCATAACTTCAAGACACTTCTTTATTTGAAATCAATGACCGAAAATGGTTTAAAGAAACATGATGAACTATTTTTAATCCCTAGTCTTTTGCTTATATTCCAAGGAGATGTTACAATGAAGGAAATATTTTCACTTGTGGAGTTGATCGATTTGCATGTATTCAGTACTGATGTTTTACATAGTCTCAACGGAATATTAGGTGGATGGGAGACTTCCTCAAAGATAACCAAAATCTTTGGTGACTACTCGAAGGAATTTAAACATTTAAGCTCTAATAATTTATGGGAAATTCTAACTCAATTTTCTGATAGACTTCCATTGAGTTTATCCGCGCCTTCGACTCCAGTCTTCCAATCATTTTCAAGTCTTAGTTTAAAACTGGACTCTCCAGATATTTCTACTCAAGTGGTTTCATCAGCTACTTTAGAATTGGTCTATAAATTGATACAGGCTTTAGTTGTATACATCAACTCTTCATCACCCAAAAAGTTCCATTTAACTATGTTACAGGGTGTATTGGTGACTATTTTCAAATATTACCATTTTGGCTGGAATGATTACAAAGAATTGACAACAGAGAATATATCAATCAAATTGAATAGAAGTACGGAAGCCCAAGAAAACTTGAACTCTTTTATTACTAAGTGGAAGGAATCATTATTACTAGTTTAAATAATATTTCAACGTGAATAATATACTGCCCAGAAAAGATACATCTAAATGAATCGTATATAAGCGTAAACACATTAGATTTTTACATAATACATTAATTACTCTATAATTCCTTTTAAGAACTCTTTAGTCCATATCTAATTCAATTTCTTCCGCATTTTCAATAGGATTTTCAATAGGATCCGCAACGTTATCCTTTCGTTCGGTAGTGGCTTCATTGAATTCTGTAGCTTTAACAAATCCCTTTGGCGCAACAGAATTTTGTAACATCAACTCTGTCTCAAACTTTGTGGTCGTCAAACGTTTATACCTTAATAATTCCTTGTATTCATTTTCATTACCAAATTTGAGTTCAAATTGTTGCCATTTTTCCCAAACTTCAGATAACTCCACGGGATTCTTTAATTCAAGTATATGTTTAAATAAGGACCGAACTCTCGCAAACTCCTTATGTTTCGTTTCAAGATCAATAAATTTAACTGCAAAGGAAACAAGTTTATCTACTGGAAGACTCATATCTTGCAAAATCGTTGAATACGTTTCACGAAGAAGTGATATATCTTCAAGTAGTTCGTATTTTTCTATGATTATCTTATAAACATCACATTTTTGTTGAATTATTTTGGACTTATTAAAACCCTGTGAAAGTCCTTCGTTCAATCGGTCGATACAAGATTTTAATGCCTTGAGCGATTTGAGTATCAAACCATTTTCTTCTTCGAACCGAGAATACAAAATATAAATTGGCTTGCATAAGTCAGGAGGACATCTTGTTTGTTCATTATTATCACCATTCAAACATTGTTCGAATAAATCTCTGATTCTTTCTGTATTTAACTTGTGTGTTATGGCTTTCACCAAATAAATGTTCCATATTTCAAATGAAATAGGATACTTGAAAATTTTGATCCCTAATTCATAGATAGTAAAAGATTTTTCATAATATTCCCAATCTTCAAGAAATGATGCATGATTAACGATATTCAATGGAGTAGCTATCTTAAGATATATTAATTTATCAAATGCTTGGCTCACTCTTTCAATTTCCTCCAATGTACCAGATTCAACAAATGATTCTAACATATCTAAATAATATGACCACAATTTTGTCGACTTGTGCAATCGAATATGTACATCTATTGAATCATCAGTATAATCAATGAATTCATATTCATTTTCAGGAATGAAATTACATGCATCTTCCACAATTTTTATAGCTTCATCGTAATTACCAGCTATATTCTCAAGTTGACTCCATTCTATATAAATTGATGCTAAATCGTCTGGAGATTGAAACTGTGATTGAATTGCCTTACTTAAAATGACTGACGCTGTTTTATAATCCTTATTCGAGGTATAAACTTTGGCATAATTCATCCAAATTTGAGGATAAGTATTGTTAGCGTTGTTACTCAACGAGTGTGCTTTAAATGGGTTTATAGTGGTAAGTGCTTCTGCATACGAACTAAGGACTTTGTTTATATTTTGAGTTGTTTCATGGATTTCTATTTTTTTCATCCATTCATCAATATTATTTGGATCTTGTCGTAACATCATATCATTCAAATAAATTGCTCTATTATCAATTAATTGTTCCAAATAAGTCATTCTTATATTAAGGTCCAATGTTAACTCTTTATCATCCTCATTCAATTCTAATTTAGCAGCAATTTCATTGATTAGTTTCTCTTCAAACTCTGTAAAAGAGTCAAAAATTATAATAAAATCTCGAACTGTAACACATTCCTTTAACCCTTTATCAAATAAATATCTGCATTTCTGAAAATTTTTCCTTTTCACATGATACAGAATAAGTTTTAAATAGAACTTACTGATTTGATCAGGAAATTTTTCCAATCCTTCAAAGATAAGTTCCTCATAAAATGAATCTATTTCAAAAGAAGAATTTTGCAGAAGTATTTTGGCATTAGTAGATATCAAATCACTAAAATCTAGCCATAATTGAAGTTGAGACTTCCCCATCAATGCATATTTACTGAAATTTTGTAAAATTGTTTTGAATAATGCAGAAGCTTCTTTAATTCCACCATTTGCAATGAGCTTCAGAATAATCTCTTCAATAGAGACTCCAAATTGATTATCATTAGTTTGTAAATCTTCTGGGATTTCATATTGTAAAAACTTGGTATAAGTTTGGATCAACGTAAGTCCACCAATTTTATTAGCAAATTCAAGATATAGTGGCCATATCAAATGATGTTGTGTAATAGGGAGATTAAATAAACTTCGGTTAAATTCTTTACGAATAAACAGAATTTGTGAAATTTGAGTTTTTATAAGGAATGATAAATATCTTTGCCATATCACTGGATATTTTTTAAGCCAATGTAAGGATGTTTGAAATAGATCATTGACAATGTTGAATTGTTGCTTATTACTTATGTAGGAGACATCTTCTAATAGCAGAGTACGAAGGTCCAAATAAAGAAGCCAAATCTTGTATGATCCAGGTAGAGCAGTAGTTGCACGACTCAAAATCGAAACTTTCAGTTGGATTATTGTAAGATGATCATCACATTGTTGCATTTCTTTGGACCGATAGTATTTTAACCAAACGGTTAGATCATGAGGGGTTTTTAAGAGTGATTGTTCATATTTAATATCGTCTAAGACAATTAGTCGATCCAAATCCCATGTAGGCATTTTTTTATTGATGGATATCTACACTTAATGATGATGGGGCCATTGAACCTCTACTTCAAACATATTGATTTACAAAAGTTACACAAAAATTCCTCAAAAATATAAAAAAAACATAACCAATCTCTTATATACAGGAAAGAACACATTATGGTGAATATACTTATCACAACTTTTCCACTTAATTAACTTCTTTATTTATCTAAAAAGAAAATTCGAAGTTTCTTAATTAAAATATCCTTTTCTCAAATGATTGACTGAATTATTCCATTATTTCAATAATATTAATATTATATCTGCTTTCTATATTATGTCAATAATATTAATTTATTTTAAAATGTTTATCTCTAGCTATCGTAATCTTTTTTTTTTTTTTACTTTTTTGCCGATGATTACATAATCTTTCCATAAGCAATCTTCCAGCGTTTCCCCTGTTAATTAACAAAATATCCAACAAAAAGGTGAAATTATTAGAGAATATTCCTTTAATTGAAATCAAGTAGGAACTCTAAACATGTCTGGTGCAGGTAACAGAGAGGCAGTTTTCCCCACCCGTATGACCTTGGGGGTTATGAAGGGGAAATTGAAGGGTGCTCAACAAGGGCATTCACTTTTAAAGAGAAAATCTGAAGCTTTAACCAAAAGATTTAGAGATATCACTCAAAGAATTGATGATGCCAAGAGAAAGATGGGTAGAGTTATGCAAACTGCTGCTTTCTCACTTGCTGAGGTTCAATATGCCACTGGTGATAACATTGCTTATCAAGTGCAAGAATCCGTACAAAAGGCTAGATTCCAAGTCAAGGCAAAGCAAGAGAATGTTTCTGGTGTTTATTTGCCAACTTTCGATAGTCATATCAATGAGGATATTAATGACTTTAAGATGACTGGGTTAGGTAGAGGTGGTCAACAAGTTCAAAAGGCCAAATTGGTTTATACTAAAGCTGTAGAAACACTTGTTGAATTAGCCTCTCTTCAAACTGCCTTCATTATTTTAGATGAAGTTATCAAGGTTACAAACAGAAGAGTTAATGCAATTGAGCATGTTATTATTCCTAGAACGGAAAATACTATTAGTTATATCAATTCTGAATTGGATGAATTGGATAGAGAAGAGTTTTATAGATTGAAGAAAGTTCAAGAAAAGAAACAAGAAGCCTTGGCTGCAGCTGAACTTGAAGAGAAGCAAAAGAAAGAAGCTGAGGCTGGTGAAGAACAATCTTCTAAGGATGGTGAAATCTCTGGTGAATCTACCGAAGCTACTGATAAACCTACTGAAGACAAGGATGAATCTAAGGAAGTCTCTGTTGAAGATGAAATTGCAGCTATAAACATTCAATCCAAGGGTGAGGAAGACTTGCTCCAAGAAAATGAAGATGATGTCATCTTTTAATAACTTTCACTTCTACTTAGTTTAAATTGCATAAAAGTTTACAACACGATAAAATATAATAAATACGACTCACTTCTAAAGAAAAATTATATTAAGATAGGCAATAAATAATATGTAAAAAGTCTATGGAGCACAGTAACCACCATCAACAAGAATATCTGCCCCAGTGGTGTAGGTGGAAGCATCAGATCCCAAGTATAAATAAGCACCAACCAATTCTTGTGGAATGGCTTCTCTTCCGAGAGGGATCAATTGCCACCATTTTTGCTTCATTTCTTCGGGAACAAAATTGGAAATTTCAGTTTCGATATAACCTGGTGAAACAGTATTGACCCTAGCAAACGGAGCCCATTCAACTGCTAATGATTTACCCAAGTGTAAACAAGCGGCCTTGGCAGCATTGTAAGGAGCTTGCAATTGTGGGACGTTTACAATGTGACCAGACATTGAAGCCGTGATAATAAAGGAACCCTTACCCTTTTCCTTAAAGATCTTCCCCACTGTCTTTGCACAATAGTAAACCCCATTCAAATCTAAGTCAATAATTTTTTGGAAACTTTCCCATCCTTTAACTTCGATACTTCTACCTTCAGTCCAAGGCACACCTGCATTGGCTACAAAGATGTCAATGGTACCAAAGTCCTTTTCAATTTGCAGAATGATCTTCTCGACATCTTCTGGATCACCGATGTTACACTTGTATGCCTTTGCCTTGATACCATATTCTTTGGAAAGGTATTCAGCTTTATCATCTGCAGGTTTGGAGTTATACCAAATTGCAACATCTGCACCTGCTTGGGCATAGGCTTCAGCAACAGCTAATCCAATACCACCGGATGATCCCGTTACAGAAGCTACTTTCCCCTTTAAGGAAAAAAGATCAAGAACGTTTTTGGAAAGCTTTGGGGCTGGTCTAGGCAATGGTCCCAATTCTTCATTGATATGAGAGGTGACAGATGACATAATTCTAAATTGATCAACAGTTTAAAATGTAAAATAATAGCAAAATTTAAGAAATTAGTTGTAGGTACCGATGTACTTGTATGTTAACTAGTAAAATGGTTGTTCAATACAAAAGGGGCAGTTAATTGATCTTTTATTTATAGCGCTTATAGTCCCCAGTGCACACTGCCAATGTATGCAATCCGCGATATAGAATTGCTTATTGTGCGCGCGGCGGATATTATTCCGCATTTAGTAATCCATAATGATCTCGGTTATGTTCCCCAAATTGATCATACTTTCGGATTAATTCATGACAGTGGCCTAATGTGTAACCTGCTTAGACGATGATTCGATCCTCCAGTGTTTTTGATTTCAAAAAGATATTATGTCGGTGGTATAATTAAAGAATTGGTTTATTCTGCTATACAGCAATCAAATATTTTCTTACGTCATATTGCGAATTATAGTGCATGTGGGAAAATGATTTTTCCAAAGGGTTCTAAAGACCTTCAAAGAAAATCATAGAAAGGGGCGTGGGGGATTGATTGAGAGTTGGTCAGTTGTGAAAAATAAATGTAGTAAAAAATTATGAAGTTAGGCATTATGTAAGACTTTACACCTTGATTGTTTTCTTTTTTCCAAATCTCTGGCTCTGGCCCAACTGTAGTTTATGAGTGCCAAGAGACCAAACAAAATCATTATTAGCATTATTACTTTAAATGTAATTTTCATCCGTTTATAAACCCCAGATTTCAAAATTAATAATCGACCCATAATTAAATGAAATTGTTCTCCATTTTTAGTATCCTTCTTTATTCTTTAGTTCGCTAATCTAGCATATTCAACTCCATTCCGGAATGATATTCGTATCTTTAAATTGACCTTATCTACTTTGTATGATGTGTTTTAATCCACTCTTAAACATCCACTCCTTCTTAATTCTACAAGTTTCTCTTTAAATAAAACTAAATATATGACTGATATGATAAAACTATCTAATAAACTCTCTTGGCAGGTGGAACTGGCTTACATTCGTTTTCGTCCAAGGTGGTGTTAATAGTGTCTCTGTAAGACAAGGTCACGTCGGAACCGAATTGCTTTTGCCATGACAAGGTGTGCTTTCTCCAGTTAACGTCATCTCTTTCTGGGTAATCATCTCTGGCGTGAGCACCTCTAGATTCCTTTCTGGCAGTGGCAGAAGCAGCAGTTTGAGTGGCACAGGTCAACAAGTTTTGTAATTCAAGAGTTTCAACCAAGTCAGAGTTCCAGATCATGGAACGGTCAGTGGTACCAACATGTTCGAAAGTCTTGTCAGTAGCCAAAATCTTTTCAAGACCTTCATCCAAAGTTTCTTGAGTTCTGAAGACGGCACATCCCTTTTGCATAGTCTTTTGCATTTCCAATCTGATTTCAGCAGTACTTCTTGGACCAGTAGCATTTCTCAACTTGTCCAAGTTTTCAATAGATTCCTTACCCAAGTCAGCTGGCATTGGCTTGTGTGGCTTACCTGGAATCAAAGAGTCAGAAATGGTGTGAGCGACAGCTCTACCGAAAACAACCAAATCCAACAAAGAGTTGGCACCCAATCTGTTGGCACCATGAACGGAGGCACATGCAACTTCACCACAGGCTAACAAACCTGGAACAACCTTATCCTTACCGTCGACTTGAGTCAAAACTTCACCATTCCACTTGGTTGGAATACCACCCATATTGTAATGGACAGTTGGCAAGATAGGAATTGGTTCCTTAGTGACATCAACACCAGCGAAAATGTGGGCAGTTTCAGAAATACCTGGAAGTCTTTCCTTCAAGACAGCAGCTGGCAAGTGAGACAATTGCAAGAACATGTGATCCTTTTCAGGACCAACACCTCTACCTTCGTTAATTTCCATAGTGATAGCACGAGAAACAACATCTCTTGAAGCCAAATCCTTGGCAGAAGGAGCGTAACGTTCCATAAATCTTTCACCTTCAGAGTTGATCAAGAAACCACCTTCACCACGAGAACCTTCGGTGATCAAACAACCAGATCCATAAATACCAGTTGGGTGGAATTGAACGAATTCCAAATCTTCAAGCGGTAAACCAGCTCTGGAAACCATGGCGTACCCGTCACCAGTACAGGTGTGTGCCGAGGTACATGAGAAGTAGGCTCTTCCGTACCCACCGGTAGCCATGACGGTCTTATGGGCTCTGAATCTGTGCAAAGTACCATCTTCTTGGTTGTAGGCCATAACACCCACACATTCACCATCTTGCATCAAAAGATCCATGGCGAAAAATTCAATAAAGAAATGGGTGTCATGTCTAAGAGATTGACCGTAAAGGGAGTGCAAAAGAGCGTGACCGGTTCTGTCGGCAACGGCACAAGTTCTGTAAGCTTGACCACCCTTACCGTATTCCTTGGATTGACCACCAAAGGCTCTTTGGTAGATACGACCTTCTTCATTTCTGGAGAATGGGACACCAAAGTTTTCCAATTCGTAGATAGACTTAGGAGCTTCTCTAGTCATGTAATGAATAGCATCTTGATCACCTAACCAATCGGAACCCTTGACAGTATCATACATATGCCAGTGCCAATCATCCTTGTGCATGTTACCGAGAGCGGCATTGATACCACCTTGGGCAGCAACAGTGTGAGATCTGGTTGGGAAAAGCTTGGAAATACAAGCAGTCTTGTAACCGGCTTCAGCAAGACCGAAGGCAGCTCTTAAACCAGCACCACCAGCACCAACAACCACACAGTCATATTCATGGTCAATGACATTATACTTTTGACCCATGTACTTGGCTGTGTTAAGAGTGGTACCTTTGATATCATTTCCAATGGTCTGTCTGACAACAGACGACGAGGAGAATTGTCTTAAGTGACGAAGCATTGTAGTGTGATTATATCCAAACGTGCTTCGAAATCGAAAGTTAATGTTGTGGAGAAGTTTTTGTCTCTTTAAAACTATTCTTGAGTATGTTTCGCGCACTGACTAATGGGTAGATATTATTGGTCAAACTGGTTGTCGCGGATACTTACGGAAATGGATCTGCAAAAAAAAAATTAAAGAGAAAAAAAATTAAAAGAGAAAAGTCCCGGGTTGAGCGGCGGTGAATATGAGAATATATTTGTGGAGGTGCCAAGGTTGTAAATAGTAACACACAATGCAAAATATAGAAATAATTTGTAGATGATGATCTTAACAATTAGTACATGGTTGGAAATGTTATATTGGTTCGACTACAACTTTATCTTAGGTCTATTTCGTAGTATTAATCTATAGAGATTAGTAAATTTCTATTCTTACTAATCTTTGCAGCTTGTATTAAAAGTAAAACAAAAGTATAGATCCCCTCTATAAATGACAGGGACAAATTTGACTGCTAACAAATAAAACATATCAATATAAAAAATCAGATGTATGTGGCGTAAGGTGAAGTTTTTTTGTATCTTCTCGTAATTTATGCTATGATATCCTTAAACGGCACAGTAACCACCATCAACTCTCAAATCAGCACCAGTGACGTAGGTAGAAGCATCGGAACCCAAGTACAAGTAGGCACCAGCCAATTCTCTTGGTAAACCTTGTCTACCCTTTGGAGTCATGGAGTACCAAATGTTCTTTTGTTCATCTGGAACGAAATCAGACAATTCAGTGGCAATGTAACCTGGAGAAACAGTGTTAACTCTGGCAAATGCAGCCCATTCAATGGCCAAAGACTTACCCAAGTGCAAAACACCAGCCTTAGCAGCATTGTAACCAGCTTGCAATTGAGGAACATTGACAATGTGAGCAGACATGGAAGCGGTCATAACAAGAGAACCGAAACCTTGAGAACGGAAAATACGTCCAACATGCTTAGCACAGTAGTAAACACCGTTCAAGTCAACGTCAATGACATTGAGCCAATCTCTGTCATCTGGTTGATCGATCAATGGACCAGAAGTCCAAGCAATGCCCGCATTAGCAACAAAAATGTCAATTTGACCAAAATCAGCGTGAATGGTTTCAATGACAGATTGAACTTGTTCAGCCTTTCTAACATCACAAAGGTGGAAAGTGATTTTAGTCTTTGGGAATCTTTCAGCCAATTGTTCAAGAACAACATCATTTGGAGCGTAATCAATGATGGCAAGGTTTTGAACACCAGCTTGACAGTAAGCTTCAGAAATAACAAAACCAATACCTCTAGCACCACCAGTGACAGCAGCGGACTTTCCAGTCAAAAGGAACAAGTTAAGAACATTTTCGTGCAAAGTTGGGAAAGCAGCTGGTAAGGCACCGATATCCTTGTTGCAAAGAGATTGTGGTTGAGTGTTGTCAATTGTCATTTTTTTTTGTGTTAGAATAAGAGTTAATATGAAACTATATTGGAAACTAAGTCTTCATTTTGAAAAGTAATGCTGATTTCGTCCCTCTTATACTTTTTTTTTCCATGGTAGTTGCAAATCTATCACAAATTACTGAACATCGAAAAAAAAAAGAAACGACGGCCACATTATCGGATTATTGGTTTAGTGCCCCGTTCATTCATGCAATGAGTATCCCCCATACAAACACTGTGTTCGAGCCCTGAAGTGGATCGAAAAAAGCGTTGTTTTTTTTCTTTTCTTTTTAGTGTCGACGTAATAAGACGTCAGAGGTTATCCCGGTACCGTTGTGGTGTAATCGGAAGGTTTAGATTAATTTCTCAAGTGTTTTTTTCATAAGTATATAATTAGTTAACTAGTCAATGTATGATCTTACAAGTCTGACTCGATAATGGAGGAACGAAATTGTCCCTTCCTTGTTCCTTTTTCCCACTCTACCCCGTGTGCATATTTCGTAAACACGCCGCGAAATTTATTTCTGTCATCTATTTTCATATCTCGTTTTCGTTGTGCGAATACAGTAAACTTTCCGAGAAAAATATCTCTCAGGCGGGTTGTTTCAAAAGAAATAGATGACCGACATTCAACACTAGTGGTTAGATAACAGAGTGCCCCACAATATGTTGGTCCAGAAATTAAAAGTTGGGGTATGCGGTAACTTCAAGGGGTATTCCTTTTCGAAAATATTAGGAACAACTATGTTTAAAAGCGGGGGAGGGGAATAAACTCTACCTCAATTGAACACAATTTAACTTTTACATAAATTTTATTATAGGTAACCGCTACAATCGTCAAGATTCGAGAATTCGTATTGGTACTAGATTTGCATGCACGGGGCCACTGTGGTGTTATTTCGTCTTAATTTTTGTTTGTGGGGGATATACCCCAGTAAATATCAATGGGCGGCTTTTTAGTGTCCCAGCCTAAAAAAAGAAAGAAAAAAATAGAAAGAACTCCGAAAAAAAATAATGACTCCTAGGCGGTTCGAACGCCTGCATCTTTACGATAGTAGAACTTGAGTCTACCGCCTTAACCACTCGGCCAAAGAGCCCTTATTGAAATACGAAAGTTTGCAGTTTGTTAAACTCAATATTCAAAATTTCTGCGTTTTAATTTTTTGCCTTGAATTTGTACATAGAGTAAGCATTATTATGATATTGTCAAATTAAATGGGCCAAATATCTATTCCTTTACCTTTAATATGTGATATTAGGCTTTTGTATGAAAAGTTTTCATTTTTTTATTATTCTAGAATTCTGCTGCATTTTGCGAATTTTGTAGAGATTTTAGTATTTTTTTTATTAAAAGGAAAAAAAATAAGAAGGTAAGCTGCAAATTTTCCACAACTACAATATAAGCCCTTAAATTTAAATACAATGAAGAGTGGCCATGGAAACTTCCAACCATTTTTGAACCTCCATCTATCCAATAAAGGTTTCCTAAAGTAAAAAAAGTGAATAGAAAGACAGTTCGTTAATCTACGTGTGTTTCAGGGGAGTTCTTTTTTTTCAAACTTTCTCTCATGATTGCACAATGCATCAGCTCTAGTGATACACAGAACACGAGTTCCAAATATTAAAGCTATGATTTTACAGCTACAAGTGGAAATTCATTATTGATAAAAAATACGAATCAGTTATGTACACTCATACAGACGTCACATTGACACACATTGACAAGATAAGGTAATTACGTTAAAGCAGAGATGTATAAGCGCATAGAAAGAACTACAAATGTCGTTATAGCGTGATAATTTTAACCGCTCTGAGGGGAAAAAAATACGATAACGGTGCAATGACCTGTTTCCACATTTCAACAAATGGGTTCTCCTCATTAGTGATACGATATGGTAAGTGTTTGGAAGACTTCAATGAAACAAAGTCGGATTGGAATACTGAAATACACTGATTAAAAGCTTTACGATCTAGTATTTATTATGATACAATACTAGCCGCCTGCATTCGTAATGTTAATTTAAATTTTTGACAGTATTCATAAATTCTTATTTCTCACTTTTTCTCTCTTGCTTTTAAGAAGTGTTTTTCAAGTTATCTTCACTGCCATTACGCAATATCTTTAGAAATACACTTATTTGTAGCTTTCCGAGGGAATTTTGAGACCATAGAATGAATTAACCAATTACATTCACCGGACAGTTACAAACTGAAAGTTCTTGATAACAAAATCTGCCATATTTATGCACGGCAAATAGAAGTTGTTGAAATGTCCTGCATATTTCGCGGTTGTTGGTTGAATTTACGGCTTTTGGATCAATTCTAGCGCATCCGGACTTGTACCTCCGTATTGGATTTAAGTACATCTACGGGAACGTAAATCCGGGGTATTTTGCTATCAGGAAGTCCGCTTATATCGATAACAACTGTAGATTCGTGCCCAGTACATTAAGGGATGATTTCCACCTTAATTTAATTAAAATGTCAAAAATTTTGACTCTTATTCATTCAGACACTTGAGAAACGTGACTGAGATTACCAGATAATTTTCTGAAGAGTCATTTGGTAAAGTAATAAGATCAATTTCCAAATTTGGCCTCATTAATATTACAGTCTTTTATTTATTAATTTAAGAGAATAAATTCAATTATATATACGCAACATCTTAAAGTTATGTTAAGACACTCAGTAAGAAGATTCACAACTACTCGGTTGCACTTTATTGCCAACAAATTAAAAACTTCCGATCTTAACCAACAAACTCTTGAAGCAAAGTATGCTGTCAGAGGACATATACCTATCAAGGCAGACGAATTAAGTCAACATATTTTGGAAAATCCTGATGATCATGGTCTCCCATTTGAAAGTATCATTAGTGCCAACATAGGAAATCCTCAACAACTTGATCAAAAGCCACTTTCATGGTATAGACAAGTTCTTTCTATTCTTCAATATCCTCATATTTTGGATTTGGCTCTGTCTAAAGGTGTTAAGGAATTGTTCCCACAAGATATCATTAAGAGGGCCAGCACACTTTTGAAGGATGTTGGATCAATTGGTGCTTATTCTCATTCACAGGGTACTCCAGCCATTAGAAAATCTGTCGCAAAGTTTATCTCTGATAGAGATGGTTACCCTGCTGACCACAACAAAATCTTCCTTACTAGTGGTGCTTCAGCAGCGGTTTCATATCTATTACAAATTCTCTCTCGTGATGAAAATAGTGGATTTTTAATTCCAATCCCTCAATATCCATTATATACTGCATCTATTGCTTTGAATAAGGCAAAGCCAATTTGTTACTACTTGAAAGAAGAAACTAACTGGTCTACTGATCCAGTTGCTATCAGAAAGTCTATCGAAGAGGAAAAGGCAAAAGGTATCGATATCAAGGCCTTGGTCGTGATTAACCCAGGTAATCCAACTGGGGCCATTCTTGAAGAATCCGACATTGCCGATTTGATAGATATTGCAGCTGACCATGGAATGGTTTTAATTGCAGATGAAGTGTACCAAGAAAATGTATTCACTGGTAAGTTTGTTTCAATGAAGAAGGTATTATCTTCCTTATTAGAAAAGGACCCTAAGAGATACAGCAATGTTCAATTAGCTTCATTGCATTCGACTTCTAAGGGTGTTTCTGGTGAATGTGGTCAACGTGGTGGATACATGGAACTCATTGGATTCTCTTCTGAAGTCCAAGATGTCATTTTCAAATTGGCTTCTATTAATTTATGTTCTGTAGTTTCGGGCCAAGCATTGATGGAATTGATGATCAACCCTCCAAAGGAAGGTGAACCATCGTTTGCATTATACAAGAAGGAAACTGACACAATTCACGATGACTTGCAATCAAGGGCCGATGCATTATATGATGCATTTGTTGCCATGGATGACATTACCTGTAATAAACCAGCTGGGGCAATGTACTTGTTTCCAAGATTACATTTCTCTCCAGAACAATATCCTGAGTTATTTACTGAATCCGAAGAAGCTGGTATTCCTCCAGATGATGTCTACTGTATCAAGTTGTTGGAAAAGACAGGTATTTGTTGCGTGCCAGGAAGTGGGTTTGGACAGGTTCCAGGAACATATCATTTGAGAACAACATTCTTACCTCCAGGAAAGGAATGGGTTGCCAGATGGGAAAAGTTCCACCAAGAATTCGTTAAGCACTATAAGAAATAGTTAAATTCAGTATTTTATAAATACATAAAAAAATTTAAGTAAAGAATTTAATTTAGCTCTATGTAAGTATATTTTTATCTTGATGAATATTTAAATCATTGCTTCTTTAATTTAGCTGTGGTTGAAAAGTCACCAAAAGTACAACATAAGCCGACACTGAGCCATGCAGGTAACCAACCTAATACAATCACAAACCAAGTCCAACATTGTAATTCATCCCATGAAGTAAGTAGACCTCTCATTAACATGACAACTCCATTAGTATCTTTCGTGGAGAAGAGATAATTTCCAATGAGATAGATCACAAAGAATGGAGAGGAACAAACAAGACATAAAACCACCTTAATGATTGGTTTATTGGCATCCACAAATTTGATGAAGCGAGAAAGAGGGTCTGACTTTTCTGGTTGGGTAAGAACAATTGGGGTAGCTCGTTGGGAACTAGTGATAATAGGTTGAATCCATGTCAATGGAAGAGCAAGGAAACCAACACAAAGGGCAAGTGAAAAATGAACAATCAACAAGGCAAACACAAGCATAGCCAAATAGAATAAACCAATGGCAAGTAAGGAGAATGTTATAGCCTTGGAGAACTTGAAATATCTTCTGTTTCTCGCATTAATCAAGGGGAGTAATGAAACAGTACCCGTTAAAAATGTGAGTCCATAAAGAATGAAGGTGACAGTAGCAGCCTCATCGTCACCGGAAGATAACCAAGTAATATATGGAAGGCCTACTGCAAGTAAATAACAGAATGCACCAATCCCAGTAAAGTAAGCCAAGAGTGGACCAATTTCTGAGGTGATTTGTTTAGTTGGAACACCACTATTAAGAACACAACCAAGAGCACTAAATGCAAATGCAGCAGCCACCAATGCAGCAGCAGGGAGGTATGTACCGATAGAAACAAAATACCGTGGGGATAACATCAAGTAAAAGAAAAAAGATTGATGGAATTTTTCCAACAAATTATTGACTGATCTAAGAGTGGAGTCCACAATACGTCCAAATTGTGTAATATCTGGAGCACCTTCAGTTCCTCTTGCCTTGAGGGTGATTGCTTGGATCTGCCATCCAGAAAAGGATTCACAACCATTAGTTGGCTTATATAAACCAGTAAGGGTTAAATTAACAATTCCCTTAACAAGTGTCCGCAATCTTGTATAGTATGTATTTTTCTCAATCTCTGAAGATGGAGTCGATTGAATTGAGTACTTGAGACCTTCATGGAATCCAACTAAGTTTGCAGTATTCATCAAATCTAAGTTTGGTAATTGACCATTGAGACCTTCGTAACTAATTTCATATGATTCAAAATAATCTGAGGAACCACCGAATTCCATAACAATGGCAGCATCAATAGACCCAGCAGTAAGATCAAGCGAGGTGTGATATGCAGCAACCCAGGATCTAAGAGAAACGGATCCATCTTCTGGAAATACAAATACAATATTTTTAGACCAAATAGACATTCTTGAGAAATAACGAGCCAAAGCGGCACCTAATGCTACACCTCCTTCATTGTACTTGAGGTCAGATGTAGTCCAAGGAACTGCAACTACCATGGATTCAGTATGATCACCACGAGGAGCATGCATGATTGCATAGAGAGTATCTTCAAAATATCCAGTCTTAAGCCCAATATCTTGCAACCACCCTTCAACAACTGAGTTACGCTCGCTCAACTTCCATGTTTCAAAGTTCTTAACCTCGGTACGGTAGCCACGAACGATATTCCACTCCAGCTCACGGAAATATGAATTTGCCTGTGCTGGCATTAACGCATTTTCTGATATGTAAGTGGTTCTATAATTACCTTCCAAAGGAAGCACAAGAATCCATGCTACCGATGCAAGAGCTAAAACAGCCGAAAAGACCGGAAGGAGGCGAATGAATTTCGGTACAAGCCCAAGCTTGTGCACCTTACGTGATATTTGCTCAGCTAAAGCCATGTTGAATTCCAATGTCAAGTCTATAAACAACACGGTTTATGATCTTTAGAAGAACAGGTATGTATCGCAGCTATGCAGGAAATCGACCGAGACACAAAAGAGAAGAGTTTGGAGCATAATCACTATAGACTCCATCCTTTTTGAATATCCCTCGATAGAGTTAGCGTGTCTGAGAATAGAAAAATGCTGGATAGTGGAAGTTTAAATATGATCTATCTTGTATTTTTTCGAAAAAAACTGTTTTTTTGGAAGGTATAGGTTTGAATTTCTTTGGGAGAAGGTTGCAAAGACATACAAACTTCGACAAAAAATTAAGGAGGGAAATACAATATTGTATTAATAGATATATATATATATATAGATATACATAAAAATAACCGGTTAATCTTTTTGGAGCTTCCAGATTATCATTAGTTCCCTATAAATATGTAAAATTTACCTTCATCTATTTACCAAAAATCATTGATACAAGCATAAGAAGGTTCAAAAAACACAAAGATTCGCATAAAAACAAAATTTGGTCATGATCTAATATTACACATTATTAAATTACCAGTAATGAAACAAAAACTAATAAAGGCACCTCAGAGATACAGAGAGCTTTACAAGAAGATCAGGAGTTTGCCCCTAGATGTGAATACGATTGAATTTGCTCTTGATGTGACCAGAAAGCTCTTTAAACAACCGGCAATTGTAAAGAATAGATACTTTTATCAAAAAAGACATCGTAATACAATAAAAGTTATAGACACAGTTCTTATAGAGAAAAAGTATGAAGGTATCCATGAAGTTCTCGATCTTATATATAAAAGACAGGAATTATTCCCAGAGAAACTTGCGGAATTTTTGAAGTTGCAATTGATTCAAATTACCCCATCTTGGCCAGAACGTCACTTAATCGATGAGGTTACAAAAACCCCTGAGGTGGTTGAAAAATATCATGCTGCTGTGGAAAATGAAAAGGAGAAACCTTTCAAATTAACCAATCACTTTGGGGTGAAACCGGAAGAAGTAGGAAGTCAAGAATCTCTTATTTCAAACGAAACTCAGACGTCTATCAAGAAGAAGTTAGATGAAGGAGTGAAACAGGCATATCTGGAAAGGAAACAAAGACAGCAGGAGGCAATTCAATATGCTATGAAAGCTTACACATTTCTAGAAACGAACCAAGGAATTCTTAGTCACTTGAAGATCAAACCGATTGAAGCGATATACCCAATTTCCAGTCGTGGAACACCATTACCAGTCGTTTCAAGAAGGAAAATCATGAAAGAAACGATCCAGAATGTTAAGCTCTCTCTCAGAGCACACTTCAGACCATTTCAGAAAGACCAGCTTTTGCAACTACGTGATGTAGCTATTTCCTCTTCTGTACCTATAAACCCATTATTTTTCCGTTATGCCCAGAAAGAGATCGAAACAAGGTCAAAACCGTCACCAAGACGGAAGTCTAAACTTCCAAAGAGTGCAATCCCAACGGAAGCAAACATAAGAAAAATATATCGTAACTACGTTATGAAGCAATGTTATTGGGATGAAAAAGATCAAAAATTTAAGGTGTCAGACATGGAAGACTTTTACGAATCTAAACACCCAAAGGTCCCTGAAGTTTCTATAGAGTAAACATAGAAATCTTGTACATAGTTTTATTTACACCTTTGTCTATAATTAAGATCGGTGCTCTATATTTGTATGTATATGCATTAATTAATAAGTAATAAGTAGTTACTTGGATTCCAGACTGAAGATGAGGAAATTTTGTTTGTTTTCATCAAGTAAACATCCGAATATCTTAGAAATAGATCCCCCTGTTGCTACGTATGCTGGGTTAAACTGATCTTCTTTACTACCATCATGTGAGAAGGAACGAGATTTCTGTGAGTTCAACTCCTTGTAAGGGATATGAATACCATTCTGAGTGAAATCCAATTCAGTAATTCTCAAAGAGTCAATGGTTCGAATACCACTTGCACTCGAAAGCATAATAATTTCTTCAGCATTAATTATCTCACATTTCTGGATAGTACATTCAGTGCTGAAGTCTATATGAATTGTAGCAAATTCTTGAGGATTAGCAACACGGAATCGTATTAACGAGAGGATAGAATTACTTTCATTGATACTCACAATGTACCCATCAATATCATTAGACGATATTTGAATTCTATGTTGCTTTTGAGTGGCATCCAATGACAATGGTATACAACTTTCGAAAGTTACATTGGACTTGATCATAGTTCTGACTTGATGGAGTAAATTATCATTCAAAGATTGCTTTAATCCCTGGAACTCATCTATGAGATAGGTCGGAGAATCGGGTAATGTTATGACCTCTGGATTACTATCTATTTTCACATATTTTAGTAATCTAGATCTGAAAAGATATTCATTGATGTATTTCATGATGTCATTAATTTTATAGGTATTAGGTTGGAGTAATTTTTCATTGAGTGAAACATTATTCAAAATATCATCTTCTTTAATTAATCTTTCAACAATTGTGCTTCTTAACCATTCCAAGAAGCTATTAAACAATTTTTGTTCTTCATTCATCTCCCAAATAAACTTATAGACTACCTGAAGAAGTTTACCAGAAAGAGAAATTGCAATCAGTAGAGCTTCAGAAGAAAGTCCTATACCGTTTGAGCCTTCATTTTGACCAGCAGCTTCACTATCAAGCCATTTAGAAAGACCTTCCAATCTACTTAAAATGGTTATAAGTCTTTCCAATGCAGCGACAATCAGGCAAAAGCTTGTTCGACGCACCATATCGAATGCGGTTACACTCAATGTGGTCAATCGTTTTAAACCCCTTTCACCAAGTTGATTTAACCAAAAATCTCGTTGAGATTCTGGAATCAAATTAGTAAGTAAAATATCATAGAGACTAGCACTCATTTTATCCTCCAGCTCCTTTTCCGTAGGAAAATGTACTGTCAAGTCAACCCCTTCATAAAGACAATCTTTGAAGTTGGTCAAATTTCTATCGAACAAATCTATAAAAGGTTTAGTATCCTTTGAGAGAATCTCGAAATTCTCCTCCAAATAACCCAAAATAGCCAACACTTTAGAACATTGCAGAGTAATTTCAACCATATAGGAACCATAGCTATCAATATTAAGATTCATTTGAAGTAAGGAAAATTCTTGTTGATGATTTATTAAAAAGAATTGTTTACTCATTTCTGAAAATGTGGAGGTATGTTGTAAAAACCGATCTATACCCAAAGGGGGTACGATGGAATTGACGGTAAATAAACTATGAAATGTAATCGATATGTTTTTACGAGAATCCACCACAATAAGGTAATCGGATTCATGCAAAGATATTGACAGACTTATATCATCCACCATGACTTTACTGGTGTACGTAAATTGACTATCAATCGAAGTAGAGTGAGGAAGCACTGGGAGGCATGTAGATAGATCAAGGTCAAAAAGACCAGAGAATAGTGGGTTTCCAATGGTCGATGGTACTGTGGTCTTTTGGAGACACCAATTTATTGTTTGGGTGATATTTAGTATAGGTTGGCCAGGAAGTCTTCCAGGCTCTATGACATGAACTAGTCGACCACTGTTTGAATCATAAATTTTGCATACACCATCAATTCCTATCAAGGAAAAGGATTGACCATCTGGTTTCCATGCTATATCTGTAATTGGTGATCTATTATTTACTGAGTATACTCGTTCTCCATTTAATCGGTACACCCACAATGACATACGGTTCATCGTTATCGTTATTAGTTCCATTGTGGGACACCAACTAAGAATATTCCCGTCGGCAGAACCGACGAATTTATTTTCCAAGATAGTTGGGAAGTCCATGACTATCTACAAATCAATTAAAATCGGGTTTAAATTATATTTACTCCATTTCAAACTCTATCTTTTGATATTATGATCTAAGTCGGCTCACGTGCCCAAATCATGTGCACTGTCCCAGGTTTTCACGTGATTACAAAGAGTGTTGCGTAATCCTATATATAGTATGTTTTTTCGGTTATCAGAAGAAAGCACCCCTCCACTGATTAATGATAGGAAAGATCAAAGATCATCAATTAATGTAAATTAAAGAGTCAACTGTTTAAAAAGGAGGGCAAAAAAATAATAAAAATGGGAAGAGGGGAAACTGGAGAAAAGGTATACAAGAATAGTACATCAGTATTTTACTCCTAAAAGTGTGGCCAAAATTTATGGTCATAGATGTTTTATCTCACCCGCAATAGGAAGCCGAGGATATTGCGATAGATCACTCAAGAGTGTATAGTGAATCGCGGCACAAGAAAAAAGCTGGAGATATAAATTTAAAATATAATCTCTTAATACGAAGATTACATATACTTATTTGTACATATAAAGTAGATATCAATATATTCAACGAATAAAAAATGGACTCAGCTAGCTGTGGCCCATCAAACGCCTTGACAAATTTGTCCAAACATGCCCAGCGAGATAATACTTTACAGAATGAGGCGGGCGCAAGATTTGGACATATGACTGGCTCAAATGATTTCAAGTCTCGGAATACCCATCAGATTGATGCTAATCTTAATCGAGAATTTGACAATTTCCAGGGAAATCGGTTTGCACTGGACTTTCAAATGCAACATCCTCTGTTCCATCAACAAGGAAATGTACAACAAAGAAATGTTCAACAAGGTTGGGTACAAGATTTTTCTCAATTGAATATTAATGCAAGACCAGTACAAGTACAGAACAATGGTATACATAATAACCAATCTCAACTGATTGCACATTCACATTCCCATCAAAGGAACGATTGGCAATCTCAATTTATGAAGCAACAATCTCAAGTTTCTAATCAAGGACAATCTTTCCACCAATCATCTCAACCAGGGCTCCAATATAGACCACAGATGACTCCATTTGCTTTGAATATGCGTACAGATTTGTCAACTCCATTAACCGAACATAAAGAGATCCACAAGAATCAACAAGAACAGGATATGTTTGATGAACAATTCAATCAAATGGAGAGTGAATTGAAGGAACTTGAAGCAGAACAAGTTGAACCAACAAGATCAAATACCCATAATGAGGAGTTTGCCAAGACCGCACAACAAGTACATGACTCCATGCTGTCTGTGAAATCACCAGAACTTCAACAAAGACTTCAAGGATCAGAATTCCTTAAACTTATGAAATCTATAGCTGATAGAGATGTTGAACTCTCTGGAGATAAACTTGTAAATGCATCATCTGGCGAGGATATTAGGGATCATTTACCTGACCCTTTAAGAGAAGAGAGAAGTGTAAGCGGTCTGCCATCCATGCAACAGCATCAACACCAACCAGTTCGTACTGAACAACCACCAATGGTATCCGATCAAAGGGCTGCAACTAATGCTCCACCAGTAAATCAATTACCAGATCCTTTGGCACATATAAGGGATGGTGGATTAGAAGGAATTAATGATCCATTGATGGCAGCAAAAGTTGTTTCAGGCAATCAAATCAAGAATCATCATTGGACAAATCTGTCTAATGGCGGTGACGATTGGTTAGATATGACTGAAGATGCGCCAATGCCAAGGATGAACATGAATCGACCAGGTGCAATTTTGGAACCACATGATCAGGAGATGTACGATGACTACAGACACGACGATGATTACCGATAGTATATATAGAGTACAGCTACTGGAAAATTGATTTTTTTAAAAAAAAGGGGGGAGGAAGAAGAAGAAGAAGAAGATGTTAGTATATGATATTGAGATATACTAGAATACATAAAATAATTCACAGTTTTCACACATGTGGTTTTAAATTAAATAAAATAAATACCCATGGATAAATATGTTGCATGTAAGATCTTACGAGTATTAAATTTCGGTAACTCCGGTGAAACTTGTCCGAAATAAAATTGAAATTCTGCAAATTTCTTTTTCCTTCATTGATTTCTTTTCAATTCCAGAGGAACAAAATCTTGACTCTTAACGGTAATGATGTAATGAAGGTTATGAAAAATCTAGATTCTAGACAGGCTAAAAGTTGGTACCCGCATAGTTTTTCCGGAATTTCAAGTGATTGTAACCACGAAATAAAATATCTCCTTCTGCATGGCGCGGACCAAGCGGGAATGGTTACAATATAGGACAAAAAGATAAATCGCAACCCATATCAATATTTAATAATAATAATAATAATAATAATAATAAAACTATGAAACATTTGAACCCGAACACGACTCACCTAAATTTACACTATTTTCTTTTTTTTTTTTTTTTTTTTTGGTATTTTTTTTTTTTTCTTTTTCCACCGCTACTATGACATAGTGGTGCAGCAAGGTGATATCATTAATAACACAAGCCATGATTACAGAAATGAAAATAATAACAATCTTTAGATAGTAAAAAAGGAATTCCATGAAACAAAAGAAATATCAGGAGTTAAGAACGTTTACTCCATTAAAAATAATAATTTTTTTCTCCAACGAGGGAGGGGTTAGTTTGATCCGCCTGTCCATTTGAACTTCGTTGGGTTTGTTCAAAGAATAAATGTAAATCTTAATATTAACCAATTAATTAATTGTATTGTATGGTACGAAATGTGTATTGATATTACCGCATTGATAATAGCTAGACCCCTCGACAAAGGGCAAAGGGGATGAATATGATCTCATTCTGACGTCAGACGACACGGAAAAACTGCAACCCAACGGACTCCTGCAGGTAGATAGCCTGTACAAAGGCGTACTGTACGGGATGGCGCACTTTCATACAGGACCCGTAATAGATCCCCATCGGTGTCGGAGTGGGTGAGAATGAATTCTCGGAGGATATAAGAAGCGGCCAAGATCCCCCAATTGAGTCATCTAAGATTATAAATACTATATTCAAAGAGCAAATTCTAGTGCAGATAGTTCTTTTTACATCTGATAGATTTATACATAAAAACTCAAACATATTTTCCACACTTATCACACATTTACAAGATGTCTACTGTTCCATATAAAGTTGAAAAGCCATTCAGAATTGCTATCATTGGTTCTGGTAACTGGGGTACTGCTGTTGCCAAGCTTGTTGCTGAAAACACCAGAGAAAAGCCTGAAATTTTCGAAAGAGACGTTAACATGTGGGTCTTTGAAGAAGAGATTAACGGTCAAAAGCTTACTGAAATCATCAACACTAAGCATGAAAATGTCAAATATCTTGAAGGAATCACTCTTCCAGACAACCTTATTGCTAACCCAGATGTTGTTGACACTGTCAAGGATGCTGATTTGCTTATCTTCAACATTCCACATCAATTCCTTCCACGTGTTTGTAAGCAATTGATTGGTAAGGTCACTCCTGGTGTTAGAGCCATTTCTTGTTTAAAGGGATTAGAAGTTGGCCCAGAAGGTTGTAAATTATTATCACAATCCATCACTGACACTTTGGGTGTCTACTGTGGTGTTTTATCTGGTGCCAACATTGCCAACGAAGTTGCTAAGCAAAACTGGTCCGAAACTTCTATCGCATACACTGTTCCAAAGGATTTCAGAGGTGAAGGTAAGGATATTGATGAACATATCTTGAAGGAAGCTTTCCACAGACCATACTTCCACGTCAATGTCATTGAAGATGTTGTTGGTGCTTCCATTGCTGGTGCCTTGAAGAATGTTGTTGCCATTGCAGTTGGATTTGTTGAAGGTGCTGGTTGGGGTGACAATGCCAAGGCTGCCATCATGAGAATTGGATTGAAGGAAACAATCAAGTTTGCTTCTTACTACAAGAAGTTTGGTATTAAGGCTCCACTTGCTCCACAACCAACTACTTTCACTGAAGAATCTGCCGGTGTTGCTGATTTAATTACCACTTGTTCTGGTGGTAGAAACGTTAAGGTTGCAAGATACATGGTTGAACATAAGGTTGATGCCTGGGAAGCTGAAAAGACTTTACTTAACGGTCAATCTTCCCAAGGTATTTTGACTGCCAAGGAAGTTCATGAATTACTTGAAAACTTTGAATTGAAGGATGAATTCCCTCTTTTCGAAGCTACCTACAGAGTTATTTATGAAAATGCTGATGTTGCTGATTTCCCTTCTGTGTTAGAAGCTAACTAAATGAAACACAATGTATAATAGATTTATAGAAAACGAATAATAACAGGTTAGTATTTAAGAAATTTGTAAAGATGTCGAATTGTTTTAATAAAGTTTTATGTAAAAACCCTTATACTTTACAAATAGATTTATTGCTTAGAAATGCAACCTAGAAAAAAAAAAAAAAGGAAACACTAATACCTGTAGTTCTTCTTGTAAGTAGTGGAGAGAAGATATCTCATAAGAACAACGTGGAAGTAAAGTTGCGAATATGTTCATACCAAAAAGACGCTCGTCACTTTGTAATGAGATTGATATAGCCGTTGAAGAGTATGATCAAGAAGATAGTGCAATACAAGAGGGGAAAGATAAGAATAGTATGAATCATACTATTGTAGAGCAAGAAAGGGGATGTTTCCTATGTACAAAGCAAGGAAATTTGGGACAATCAATTGTAACAAGAGGTAGACGAAGATCTTCTAATTCTTTCAAAATCGGTTCATTTGTAGACTCATTACTAATTGATAGAACATCATCAGGTAAATCTGAACCTATTCAATTTACACTTACAATGTTGGTAACTGACTTTACACATCACCAGAAAAGAGGTGGAACAATACCAGATAAACCAAAGAGAGTTAATATGAAATTCCCGGTTCAATATGTAGAATGGCAAGATGAATCGAATTCCCCATTAGTTGGCAATATTGATATTAGTGAAGCCTTACATTCCAAATTTAGAAAGTTTCCTGGATTTCTGATTCCATACAAATCTACTTTAAGAGTAAGTGTATTAAATACAGAGAATTCTACAATCGCAATGTGTCTACTAGAGTATGATTTATTGACATTACCGGTCAACAGTAAGAGACAGGTTCGGTATACATCTGATGGGATAGTAGTTCAAATATCATTTGTTCGTCTGAACAATAAAAAGTATTATGTGACAGATTCTTTGCGCATAGTAATTCTAAGTAAGGAGAAGGAAATAATACAAAATAATTGGGAAATATTTACTGTGAGTCAAATTAAATTTGATGAATCTTATTATTCCCTTTGTGAGAAATGTCAAGTCAACTAATCGATTATGGGTGACTAATATACTTTGTTTAATTACCTCGGCTATTACTTTGTACTTTGGTTGGACTCATTTCCCCACAGTTTTCACGTGTGAAAGCGGAAAAAGAAAAAAAGGAAAAACATGAAAGAGACATGATAATCGCAATCTGTTCACCACAATTGGTAATCAATTATTTTAAATTTTTTTTGATTCAGATCCAGACCAACATGTCAGTTACTTCCGAAGAGCTCTTTTTGATCAATATCAAGCGGTTGGCCACCAAGAATTATTCTGAAGGAGCCTATTCAGTATGGAATCGGGTGCCAGTGGCAAGAAGATCACTGGTATTCATCTTACTTTTTTTGGGAAATATGGGGGAATTAAGAGTTATACTCACTAAAAGGCTGTCAAGGTTGAGAAATTTCCCAGGTCATATATCTTTCCCAGGTGGAAAGGCCGATAATGGACTTGAAACTGAGTGGCAAGTTGCTAGAAGAGAAACTGAAGAAGAGATCGGATTGAGTGCCGATAATAGTATATTGAAAAAAGAATATGGATTCACTATAGACCATTTAAATACTCTTCCTTGTTATCTTTCACGTACCTTTTCTGCAGTTAAGCCTTGTATAGGATTCATGAACTTTCATGGAAAAGCTATGAATTCAAATCACATAGAAGAAGATCTCACCAAAAGGATTAAAATGAATCTTAACCCGGGTGAAAGTTCAGGGGTATTTTCATGTCCGCTTCGAGACTTTTTGTATCCAGCATCCAATGAACCAGCTAAAGAATGTTTGGATAGACTGTCGTTCCGAGTTTCGTGGGGTAAAATCCCTTGGAATTTACGATCGTATACTTTTTCACAAAATAATCCAAATGAAGTAGATTGGTTACAAGATATTAAGGATCTTTCAGAACTGGAAGAAAGTGAAGTTGAATCTGAAGATTGGAAAAAGGATCAGAAAAAGGAAATCAATGAGAATAAAAAGAATAAACTTTCTGAATGGGGTAGATTAGGATCTCGTAGAGACTCATTAACTAATGAAAAGATTTATGATGTATGGGGGCTTACAGCAAACATATTGCATGATCTCGCAGAGGTGACTTATAACTCAGTGGAACCTATAAATAGAGAATTAGGAGAAGAAGAATTGATTTATCTGCTTTGGAATCTGGGTCACCAGATGCAGTCACGTGAGCGGTCCACGGAAGAACTGCAACTTATATCAGCAACGTCAGATGATGGGATTGGATTTAATGATGTTCTCCCAAGAACTGAGTTCAATAGGTTGAAGAAATTATATAAATGATAGAATATATATATATATATATATATATATGTATATTATTAGAATGTACGAATATTTTTAATGATTCTAGAATCTTGGATTTTAAACAGAGGTTGTATTAGGCAATTTTAAATTTGTGATTTTTAATTTCGTTTCTTTTTCTTATCCATTTTGACGTTTTTTTCAAGGGTTCTTTTTTATTGGGCCACGTTTGATTAATAGAGAAATATTACAAATCAATTTATATAAATACCGGATTTATCCATATAGACCAAGATATATAGATAGAATACGCATGGAATATAAATTACTTCTACATAATTTTTTTCATTCTTTCCTAGATTATTATGTCCGTGATATCACCAGTAGTTGCAGGACATAGAGGGTTTAAAGCCGATTATCCTGAAAATACATTTGAAGGATTTGAAAAATGCTTTGACGCAGGTGCACCATTGATTGAGACAGATCTTTGGCTTTCAACAGACGAAGAAATTATTATCTCTCATGATGCAAACACTAAAAGACTTTTCGAAACTGAAGATGGACAACCAACTGATTTGAATATACTTTATAGTAGTTACGAGAAAGATCTTAAGAATCTCAAACGGATTGGAAGTAATGAGAAATTAGCTACTTTAAAGGATGTCTTACACTGGTTTGTAGGATACATTGAAAACCACCAGAGTTCAGAATTGGTTTATCGTATTATGTTTGATATTAAGAGGCAAAACCCTCCCAAATTGTTGAATAATGTTGTTAAACATATGTTGGAAGTTAAAGATGATATTGAATTTTGGAATAAAAGAATTCAATTTGGAGTTTGGGATCTTAAAATGGTCAAATATTTGAATCAAGAACAATATTTTAAAGATGTTTACACGAAATATGGAGAACATATGGATATTTTCCACATTTCTGTTAGCTGGCAAGAATCTTTACAATATCTTGAATATAACAAATTTCTTGATTTGCAAAAGACTAGAGATGGATTATTCAAGTTTAAAGTTACTGGTATTTCATTCTTGTATATTCTGACTTGGTCAAAGGACTTTATTACTCATTTTCTCCCACTTATGAGGGCCCAAAACCTCAAACTTTATTCATGGACCATCAATACTCAAGCTCAATTTGACTTTTTATGGTCTATGGGGAAATTATACAAATTTAGAGAGTATGGTATCATCAGTGATCATCCAAATACTATGGCTGATTACGTTAAATCAAAACAACCAAATGAAGTAAGTAAACTTATGAACGATCCACAAAAGTTGCAATTATCCAAATTTCAAAAAATATCATCATTTGCCTTTTGGGTATTCCTGAAGATTGCTACAAAGAAAAAATCTGCTGATGAAACTCAATTTGATACATTGGTGGATAGAGATTTCATCTCCACTCCGAGAGCGAGTAAGTTAGGTAGTTTTATATTTAGCATTTGCCAAAAATTTGGAATTTTTTAGATAAATATTCTTGAAGAAAGGATATTAATAGAAAGGATATGAAATATAATGGAATGAATAGAAATAATGTAATGGTCAATGGTTTTGTAGAGGTATATTCTAATGATTGATTAAAATGGATGGTCAAGTATTCTTGTTTTTGTGATCGATATGAAACTTTGATTTTGTTTTATGTACAACCAAAAACCAGATGAAGAATACAACTGTGAATATCATTAACATCATAAGTATAGGAGAGTAATAGATCTGTACTATGTTTAGCTCGTTATTACCCGCCCCTAAATATCTGGTAGGGAAGAAGATACCTCAAATAAATGTACCTTCAAAATCATCATCAAAGGCACTTTTGTCATGGACATCGCAAAACTCCAATGAGTTGATAGTGCAAAATACAAATACAACCAGAACAATCGCCAACCTTCACATGAACAAGGATGGCAGTTTAAATTACAGTCAAACGATATCAGCAGCAGCCAACCCAGGAAGACAAACACAAACATCATATGAAGATACTATCCCATTGAAAGTACGATATCCAAATTTAAAGCATCATTTCCCTAAACCTTCATCAGACGATGAAGAGCTTCAAGAATGTATAGAAGAAACAAGAGATGCCATCAATAAAATTCTTAGTTCGAAACTAGGAGTGGAATCGAAGGATAAATCGGAAGTATCATACTACAAGTATAAAACAAATGAGATTATAAATCCAAATAATAATGAGGAAGAAGGAAGAGGAAGAGAAAGAGTTTTACAAATTAGGGATCTTCAGGAAGATCCAATGTTACCACCGAAATTTAAATTACGTAAGAACAGACATAAAGAACCATCTCCACCACCACCAATTTTGAAAAAGACTGCAACTAAACCATTATCGAAAGAGGAACAACAAAAATGGAATATTCCTGCTGCAATTTCGAATTGGAAGAACAACCAAGGTTTCACAATCTCATTGGATAAGAGAATGCTTGCAGCTAATGGCGGCTCATCGGAAGACACCAGCGATGCATTAAATATCGAGAAATTTGGTAGCTTATCCCTGGCCTTGGAAGATGCAGACAAACAAGCGAGAGAAGAAATAACTATTAGAAATCAATTAATGAAAGAATTAGCTATTAAGGAACAACAAGAAAAGGAACAAAAATTAAAAGAATTGGCCGAGATTTCAAGAATGGAACGATCTAAAAGACGGCACTCAGACTCAAGGAATCCTGTAAAGAAGCAGAGGTACTAATGTGGATGACGTTTTTTTTTATGAATTGGAAATGTAATTCGTACATATTATATACATTTATAGGTATAAGAATACTATACAGTCAATGAAGTGCTTAACGCTTAGATTGTCTTTTAGCACTTCCCCTGGTTCGATCTCCACCTTCGTAAAGGGATCTATCGAATTCTTCCCTTGCTCTCATGTTAACCCACTCCAAAACTCTGGAGAGTTCTCGTTCTTTTTTCTTCTCTTGTAATTTCTCGCTTAATTCTTCCTTCAATGAATTCAATTCATCAACTGTACCGTGCAGAATGGTATGTTCAGGAGACATCTTTTGACGCTTACGAGGTTGAGCCTTGAATGCAGCAACTGCAGCGGCATGCGCACTTCTTCTACTTCTTGGTCTGAGTTCTTCCTCCTCTGCACTACTGGATCCAGCTTCTTCGTCGCCAATAACCAGCTCATCATTACTACCTTCTTTTACTTCTTTTCCCTTATCCTCCAGGGGGTGTTCAAGGGAATAGAGTCTGGTGTTAATGTCATTTATATTCTTTTCGATTTCTTTTTCATTTTCAGGAACATCATCCAACCATAATGCTTTCCGTCTGGCATCGATACTTTGACCAATAGCATCTTTCACAGCAAGAAGTTCTTTACGCAACACAGATTCACGTATACCCCATGGATTAAGCCAATCAATGATTTTTTGAATATCTTCACGTTTATCATAAAATCGCCAATCAGATCCATCAAGAAGTGGGTCTGGACTCTCTTCCAAAAGCATCCGTTGCACTGGAGTCAATTTTTTCCATTCAGAATTCATTGCTATAGCTCCATAATGATCAATTAACAATGTCTCATTGTTACCATCCTTTTGAAGAATCAGTTTTTTAGTGAATTTGAGGCCATATAATTCATCAGCTGCTTCTCTAAACTCAATTGGAAGGTTAGTGAAATCCATCTCATGATATTCTTCAGATTTCTTTACATCTTCATAATAACCTTCAGGGTCTGATTCATCTAAAACGACACCATCCATAGTGTCAATATCATCATTGTGAACCTTTTTCTTATTTGCTTCAACAAGATCTCTAAACCTTTTGGCTTCATCAATGGATGAATGCAACAGAGATCTCAAATCTTCATTGGATGGTCCTTGAATCCATAATTTACCCATGAGATATGTCTCATCCAAAACTTCATCTTTTTCTATATCATCCTCATCATCTTGAGGGTTCTTTTCATCATCATCGTCGTTGTCGTCACCAGCAGATCCTCCATGCAAAGTAGGAAGTCCATTATTCTCAAACCACCAATATCTGTTACAGAACCGGTCCTTTCCAAGTAATTTCACTCTTTGGCAATCCATTTCAACTAATTTCTTTTCTATCTCTTTCTTGGATTTCTTTAGATTGTCCAATTTTATCAACAGTTCTTTCTTTTCTTCCCATAATTTCTTGAAAGTTTCATCCTTGGATGATAAGTCAGATTCTTCTTCTGTCATTTCCAGCACCAGATAATCCAATTTAACAATTGGTTGTTTCTTCTTAATATCATCTTTGCTTTCTTCAGTTGATTCAGTTTCTTCAACTTTCTTGGACTCTAATAACTTCTCTTGAATTATAGTATGTTGTTGGTTGATTTCTTCAGTACAAGCCTTACAATCCCTAATATTATCAAGTCTATCACGTCTGAGACTTGTAGATGCATCCAAACAATCATCAATATATCTTCTGACGATACTACCTCCAGATAAAAGACTAATAATAATATTCAAACTCATGATTCTCAATTTGATATCTAATTGATCATAAAATTGATTCAATACAGTAGTTGGAGTGGCAGGTTCGTCGGCTGGTGCCAATATACGATAAACTTCCTCAATTGTTTCTTGGTATGAAGGAACATATTCAACTAATGAAAGAACACCCATCATGATACATTGCCAATTTCCATCTTTGAAGGTTCTTCTTCTAAGACGGTCATGCCAAACTGTATTTCGATAATTCATTACAGTATATGCATTATGTTCATCAGAAACTTCTTCCTCTTCTTCTTCTTCGTCGTCGCCTTCTTTTCTTTTCCCTTCGTCGTCAGCATTGTTTTGGTTCTCAGCATCTCCTTCGGAATCTTCCTTTCCATCTGTATCATCTGCAGATTCAGAATCGGATTCTTGTTTGTCAATTTGAAGTGTCAGTTTATCTTCAGTTTCAGTATCAGATCCATGTTCACCATCTTCATCATCATCATTCAACTTAACATCCCCCTTTTCTGGCTTTAAGTTATCAAAAATACTCCTTGGAGGTAAAGTAACCAATAAACCAAAAATATCATCATCGTTTTCATTCTCATTATCATGATTGGATGATGATTTCTTATTAATTTCATTAGAAACAACTGCACTCAAAACTGCACAGAAAATCTCATCAAGTAATTCACATCTACCAATTTCATTGAATTGGTCATGATTCCAGGAAATCGCATGTACAAAGTCATCAAAAGTAAATGTATCAAGCTTTAAAACAGAATGATATACGTTTAAAAACACCCAACACTCAAGAGCTTGTTGTATAGGGAAAGTTGGATATGTAATCTTATTGTCAAGAACTTCCTTTCCAATGGATTCTTCCTTAACTTCCGATTCGTTGATTACTTCTATCGCTGGTGTCGTTTCTGGTTCAGTTTCAGTTTCTTCCATGATAATATCTACTTCATCATCACTGTCAATTATTTCGACCTTAACCTTTTCCACTTTTACTTCTTCTTTTACTTCTTTTACTTCTTCTTTTACTTCTTTTACTTCTTCTTCTTCTTTTTGAGGTTCATCACCTTCTTCGTCATCTAATTGTTCTTCAGCCCAATACTCAACATGTTCTTGTCCTAAATATTTCGAAGGAATTGGTTTAGTTCGTTGTAAATCGAATTTAAGTTCGAAATCATCAACAATAGTCTTTTGTGTTGGTTGAGTAGAACTAGCTGCTGCAACTTGTGGGGTAGATCTTTCAGATGCAATATTAGTTTCTTCTTCAGGTCCACGTTGAACTTTTTCTGGGAGATAATGAGTTGGAAATGAGAGAGTCTTCTTCTTTTTCTTTGAAGCTTCCACTGGTGGGGGTGTTCCGGCTGGGTCCTTTTCTATAAGATTCTTCAAGGATGCAGATGATCCACCAGAGGTTTTCTTTTTCAGTCCCTTTGCTCCATTAGCTTGACTTTTACCATTAGATCCATTTGCCAGTCTTTTACCCTTTCCTCCTCCTGTTCCATTCCCAGAAACTTTCCCATCTTCAGGTGAAGGAGATGGTTTTTCTGAATTTTCATATACAGTTTCACCAGTTGGGGTGAAAATTTCAAAATGTTTAAGATCTTCAGGATATACTTGAGGAATTCTATATTTCTTAGCATATTTATCCTTAACAACCCAAGGAGCTCCAACTTTATGAGATCTTGTCATTGTAAGTTTGATGAATGTCTTTATAAGCCACTTTGTGAAATGATTTCTATCTCTTGAAATTTTATCTTGGGTTACAATTGCTTGTCTCATATCATTAAGTCTAACAACTAGATATTTCGTTTGGAATACATTTGGGTTCCCATCTGGGTTATTATATTGTACTTTTTCTCTAATGGTTCCCTTTTGCTTTGACAGACTACCAGGACCAGTATTAGTTGCCATGTTAGCAATCAGACCTTTAATGAATATGGTTTCACCGGGGAAATAGTCATTTTTGAACACCAGATATACTTTATCAACCAATTGATCCAATCTAGTGATTCGATTGAATTGAAGAAAACGAAGTATATGTTCTCGAAGAGCTTCTGGGAAGTCTCTTTCAACTCCTTTAATTTCGCGTGCTTCACTTTCTAAAGCTTCGAAAAAAGTAAGACACGAATTCCCAGTGATTTCGCATACAAACTTACGCAGTTTATAATAATCAAGACGAGATAAATACTCTTCATAAGTGTAGAACCATTCTTTCGTTTCTGGAATAACCCATACTTCTACATTAAGATCTTGTGGTAACTTTGGAGGGCGTATAAAATTCACCTGTTTTCTCTTGTATAAAACCATTGAGGGGATATTCAATAAAAGGGAAACAAAAACAGTATTGAAAGTTGTTGCAGGGAACTTTTGATCTCAATGGTTAGTGATTATATCTGCTATATGAGGATATATGGTTACTTCTTGCTAGGCTAGATATGCCAATACTTTTGGTTAAATATGTTTATGGTGACTTGAGGGTTAGAAAAAAAGAATTACGGGAAAAAAAAAAGAAAAACAATTATGTTTGTATATCGATAGATATTGAAAATTGACCCGAGAAGGTTAGCTGCTAAAAAGCACACAGGAAAAAATATACAAAAAAATAGATGTTAAAAAAAAAAAACACTAATAATAAAAGGAAGCACAAGAAAAAAGAACACAAACTAGTGAAGACCGTTTTGAAGCATATGTAATTGGAAAAGTAAAAGATGCATATAAGATATGGAATGATAAAAGATCAATCGTTAACACTATTTGCCAATGAAAGAGAAAAGAGAGAGCTTATTAGTACATATTTTCTTGCGATCCATCTTGTGGAAAATCGTGAAATAGTTCACAGAAATATGTGCTACAAAATCTACCGATGATTCTTGGACATACGTCAGAAAGTGAGCCGCGCCTCGTAAAGTTCTTGAAATCACCGAAATATAAATGTATAGAGGACGCGTGTGATATAGTGAAGAATCACTTACATATTAGAATGTTGCAGAGTAAAGTAATTTAATGGAGTGTAGATACTTTGTAGGGGATCACCAATATTTTATTTGAAAAATAAAAATATTGTGTAGGCGTGATTTAATAGCGAGAATATGTGGGATTTGGGTTTTTTAAAGTAGCCCTTTTGCATATACCCTTTTTATAAGTGCAGGAAAAGTACCGTGGGTTACGAGCGCGGCGGTTTCCATAATAAGATTGAACCAGAAATGAATAAAGTATACAGGGCATAAAACATGGGTAGTTTTGCGATGTTGGAAATAGAGCAGGGATAGATGAATTCATTAATGTTTTTTCATATATATAGGTTAGACTTTATATATAGAGGTAGATAGTTTGCCCAAAGTCTTTCCAAAAGATAGGAAGAGAGATGAATACACTTAGAATAATGTGGGGAAGTATAATGTTCGGCTTTTACTATTGTGGAAAAATATGAAATGATAATTCTTCAGAGTGAGTAAATCTTGGGATTGATATTTTGCTTCTATGATCTGATTTTTTTTCTTTCAGGCTACTTAATTTGTCAGACTCCATTTTTCTGTACGCGTGGACTTTAAAACTTGTGAATAATTGTTCTGTTGTCGTCGAAAGGCAAAATAACTTGGATTTTCACACGACCCAAAATAGCAGCATCTCAACGGCTTTTCTTTTTGTGTTAAATATGAAGTTCTAGGGTACAGCAAACACATGGTAGAGTATGAAATTAATTGTATGAATAGAGCAATGCTCTTTCGAAAACTACATGTAAAAACATTTTAAAACCAGTAGGCACATTAGATACATGAAAGTGGAAAAATAGAACAATATTCCAATTACACTCCGATGCGGATATTTAAAGACTTTGCTCTTTCGTAAAAAAAAACCATACATCTAATTACGACACATTTTTACTTCTAATGATTGGGAAAATATCTGTATTTTAGACTCATTTAAATAGGGTCTGATTTGCACTAAGACCCCGACAACATACGTAGTAGGCGAGTGCATGTAGTTCATAATCAGACCAATAAGGAGACACAAGAAATGGACGAAAAGTCACCGCGCCGGGAACATGAAATTTTGTTTGATAAGGGAAAAATTGACTAAAATAAAACAAAATTAAGTGAAACGGAGTGTGATGATTGAGAGCGCGCGCGGATCGAAGCTCCCATTAAGGAAAGTCTGCACGCTTAATAAGCAGCCCTCACGGCAAAAGTATAAAAGAACGAGACTACCATTTTATAACCACGTTTTTCATATTTTTCTTTGATCCATCACTTAATACTCTCTTGCAAGAACAAACAATCACATACACAATGTCTACTACAGTCCCAGAATACTTCCAAGGTTTCGGCGTCGACAAGGCCGAAAACTGGAACAAGCCAAAGTTGGTTTCTTACAAAGGTAAGGCAGTTGGTGACAATGATGTTGTCTTGAAGAATATTGCCTGTGGTCTTTGTGGTTCTGATATTTTGACCGCTTCTGGTCAATGGTCCCCACTTCTTAGAGATGACTTGGTTGTTGGTCATGAAATCATTGGTCACGTCATTGCTGTTGGTAAGAATGTTACCCAAGTTAAGATTGGCCAAAGATGTGGTATTGGTGCTCACTCCAGCTCTTGTATGAGCGACTCTTGTGGTCGTTGTTCAACTGACAATGAACAATACTGTAAGATCAATGGTGTTGGTACTTATAACGCCGTTGATGCTACCGACAAGTACGTCACCCAAGGTGGTTACTCTTCTCACTCTGTTGCTCATGAACAATTTGTTTTCCCAATTCCAGATGAATTAGAAACTAGCCATGCTGCCCCACTTATGTGTGCTGGTTTGACTGTTTTCTCCCCATTGGTCAGAAACATCGGACGTGATGCTAAGGGTAAGACTGTTGGTATCATTGGTATTGGTGGTTTGGGTCACTTGGCTATTCAATTCGCCCATGCCTTGGGTGCTAATGTTATTGCCTTTTCTCGTTCTTCCTCCAAGAAGGACCAAGCAGTCACCATGGGTGCCTCCACTTTTATTGCCACTGGTGAAGAAAAGGACTGGACTACCACTTATGATGACAAGTTTGATTTCATTTTGAACTGTGCTTCTGGTACTGACTTGGACTTGGATTCCTACCTTTCCGTTCTTAAGGTTGACGCTAAGTTCGTCTCTGCTGGTTTGCCACCTTCTGCTGACAAGTACTCTGTCTCTCCATTCTCCTTTGTCAAGAACGCTGGTAACTTTGGTTCCTCTTTACTTGGTTCTAAGGTTGAAGCATTGGAAATGTTGAAGATTGCCGCTGAACATGGTGTCAAGCCATGGGTTGAAGAAATTCCAATTTCTGAAGCCAACTGTAACACCGCCTTGACTCGTTGTAACGACGGTGATGTTAGATACAGATTTGTCTTCACTGAATTTGACAAGGCTTTCAAATAAGCAAATTGTTCAATATTTATTTCATAGAGTATAATACAGACATATAAATCAGTCAATGGTAACCATTAAGGTATAAAAAAGATGTATATTAACAATAAACTCACTCACTCTATATATATATATATACCACCAAGGTGCTTTTTTTCTCAATGAACAAACCTAAATTCCAATCTCTTATTCCCAATATCATTTGTAGTTCTTATGTATTCCTCTTGCTCTTCTGTTGTCATAGCCTTCCATTTTCTATCCTTATATTTATTTCTTTGGATGTAATAGACTTTAGCAAGAATACAAGCAGCAAGGGCGCCAAATGCAATACCAATCAATTGCTCATTACCTCTATGATACATTGGTGCATCATCTTGACGATAAAGATTTGCTGAAATTATGTTAGAAGATTGTGAAAACATGTTGACAATGGCCGCAGAAACTGCTCTTGATCTTACCGAATTAGAATTGGCAGAACACCATGAAATTGAAAGTGGCCAAAGTTGGGTATGTCCCAATAATATAGTTAAAAGACCGTAAGTTCCCCAGATATCCTTTTGTGAACCTGACCAGTATCGTAAGGGGAATAACCCTGCCAACACCCAAATAGGAGTAATAATCATGGCCATAGCCCGCTGATTGAATACTTCGGATAAATAACCTGTAGTTACCATTGAAATGATTGTCAAGACATTATATGGAATAGTCAAGGCATTAGTTTTAAATGTGGAAAATCCCAATTTCCTTAATGTCAATGTCATATATGTTGAAATAGGTAAAGTTCCAATATCCCCCAAGAGTCTTATAACGTATATTGGCCACAAATCATAATCTAAAATTGATCTAGCCAATTCTGAAGGTCCGACTGGTTGTCTATTGTGCATATCACCCTTTTGAGGGTCATCTCTTAATACCTTATTAACAATAAGCTTCTCTTCTCTCTCAGTATACCAACCATTTTTACGATACCAAGCTTTAGTTTGAACTACCGATGCAGGCATTTTGAAAAATGACGTAATACCAACAATTAAAGTGACAGTTCCTTCAAGAAGGAATAACCATCTCCAACCTTCACTAATTCCCTTTGTCTTAATTTTTAAAAGGGCAAATGCCAATAAACTTGACCAAATAGAACTTAACGGATTAGCAATGTAAAATAATGATAATCTTGTTGGTAGTTCCTTAGAAGTATAGAAATAAGACATCCAAAGACAAACATCTGGGATAAACCCACCTTGAAGTGCCCCAACTAATCCTCTAGTAATATAAAAACCAGTTTTACCAGTCATAGAAGCTTGTGACATGGATACTACACTCCATAATATCATCTGCATAGGAATCCAAATATCTGGACCAATCCATTTAGAAAGTAATTGCGATGGTAATTCAGATGCTAAAAAGCAAACCAAATTAATTGTATTACCCAAATTAAAATCATTTGTAGTTAACTTCAAGTCTCCCAACATATTATCAGCCAATGCTTGAGAAATGTTATAACGATCAATATCTAATGAGGTAAACATGATAAATGCCCAGAAACAAACATACCAATCGTTCTTCCATACAGTCTTTCGTTCTTCTTGTGGAGTCCAAGTGAATTCTGGATCGAAATAGTCCTTGCATTCATAATCAGTACTTTGATAAAGCGAACGGTAATAGTCTGCAACAGCAGGATCCTGGAAAACATGATCAAGTTTCTGTGAAGTGAATGAATTTAATTCATCACTGATTTCAACTTTTGTTCCTTCATGTTTCTCAACTGAGGCACCACCTTCATACAGACTTTGACTTTCACTAGATGTGGCGCTCGGCCTTCTAAAATAATTTGTTATCCCCATGATTCACCTGTCAAATGAGATTTTGCAGCCCAAGCCAAGAATTTTAGTAGCCACAACTGGAAAAATAAGTTTAGATCAAGTACTTTAACCGTAAAAAGATGAACAGTGAAGTATTTCAAAGCAGAAAAGATATATGGTATCTACAAAGTAATTTTATCACTACTTGAGAAGCAAAAATGGGTTCTTAAATATTTAACAAGCATGGTTCGCATAGATAACATTAGACATGCCAAATTTTTTTTTTATCCCTGATAGAAGCCACATAATTGCGTAATTCTCCACACTTTTCCTAATCTCGCATATTTGCTGCCTAAATTCTCCGTTACCATGATTCAAATGGGGTGAATCATGTGTTGCCCAATTTAATATATCAGTCATAATTTTGTAAAGTTTATCCGATGAATTCATGTGAAATAGTTCCACTTGAATGAGGTGTACTTGGTGAGACACTCAAGCTTAGAATGTATGTTTACTTTTCATAGGATCAAGAATATCCTTAAATCCGTATTATTCCCCATATTATTATCGTGGCTGAAATAATGATTCCTGGATTTGATGTGATTCATTATACAAATAACCATCAACTCATTCCATTAGTAATAAACTCTTAAAAAGCTTAAGGACTTGGTGAGTTAAACTCTTTTTTCATTTTTATTTTTTTTTCATTTTTTTTTTTTTTCAAAAAGGAATTGCTATAGATGTCAATATTAAGTTACTCAAATGTCATTTAGATCTTAAACTTGAACATATATTAAAATAGCATACAAATCAAATATTTTGTTCTTCTTGTTGCTTACCTATAATATTTGATATGCACCTTATATTAATATTCATGATGCCCTACCTGCAGTACCGAAAATTCTTTTAAATTAATAAAAAAAAAAATCATAGAAAGTGATAAACCTTTAAAAACACATTGAATAGTCTCTACCGTATTAAATAAATCGAAAACTTGATATGTTGAGAACCCCAGTAAATACCATCAGGTTGTCAAGTCGCCGTGCCTTGAGTGGATCCCGCATCGTGGCTAACAAGGAAACCATAGAAACCCCTTCTAAACTTGCCAGTACATCATCATTACCAAAAATTGAACAAAATTTATTGAAGAAATCTCCAAGACAACCTTCTAAAAAGTCACCATTCCTTTCATCAAATGTTATTGAATCTGATCCAAATTACAAAATGGCCGGTTGGATGCAACAAATTGGTCAAACCGTTATTCGTGTATTCAATATTGATATGGATGCCTCAAGATCAGGACCAGTAGCTGGATCTAAATATTATGGTGAATGTAAGAAACAATCCCTTTATTATCCAAATGAACCACTTTCAGACTCTGCTAGATTCTATTATGAAACCTTAGGACTCCCACAATCATTCTCTCAATGGTTCCAAATTACAACTTTACATTATTGGATTTTAACTGTTCGTATGAGAGCTATGCCATTTAAATATGGTAAGAATTATCAACAAAAATTAGTTGATAGATTTTTTAAAGATATGGAATTAAGAATGGCTGAAGAATTAGGTATTAATTCAAACAGAATTATTGAAGGATATTTAAAGGAATACCATTCTCAATTATTGGGTTGTGTTTTATCTTACGATGAAGGTCTTCAAACTGATGACATTACCTTGGCAGCTGCTCTTTGGAGAAATGTCTTTAATGGTGACCCTAACGCTGATATGAGACATATTGAAGCATTATTGGGACATGTTAGACAACAATTGTACGTTTTAAATAAAATGTCTGACAGACAATTTGGATTTGGAGATTTCGAATTTGTTCCTCCAAATGAAGTGGTTACACCATTGACAAAAGCTCAAGAAGCTGAATTGGCTGCTGCTGTAAAGAAATCTTACGAAGGTAAAACTCTTCCTTCTCAAAGAAGTTCTTTAAGTTTAGACGAGTAAACGTGTTTTCCAACCCTGTATATATTTAAATTGTATGAGATATTTATAGTCATACACTCAAATTGATTAATCTTTGTAGATATAATATATTCTCAGTGATTAATCGAGATATTCTATTCTCAAAATGATTATCGTTGTGGATATAATCTATTCTCATCTGTGGCAACAACTACAAGACCAATAATTCAGATAAGAAAAAAAAAAATTTTTTTTTGATTTTTATAGTTTTATATAAGTAGGAAAGAACTCAAGAGTCCAGTAAACAATCTGGTGAGTTCTTCAAAATTGGGGGAAAAAATGGTAGATGTCAATCTGCAAAAGTAAGTAAGATAAAAATTGGTTAGTAACCCTAGTTTAGGGTCTGTATTCTTGGGGTCCAGCTGAACTGTAATCCATTTCTTTGAATCAAAATATATATGAAGAAAAAATATGGGGAAACACAAGACTGTAGTAGAGAGAGCCGGACGGATTAACAATTAATCCCCCAGTGAACCAATACTCAAGTGAACTTGATAAATTTTTTAAGTTTAGCAAGTTCATTTGTGCACCTGTTCCCTGTTCCCAGTTCAAACGACTACAACTTGCCCTTCGAAACGTGCAAATTTTCATCCTTTGTCCAATCATGTGCATATGAATCTCTAACCATGACATTCATAACTGCATAATCCTTACCTTCAACACCTTCTGCTTTGTTACCAAGACAAATGTCTTCATAAAATTTGAATCCAAACTTTTCATAAATTGGGATATTAGTAGCTGATGAAGACTCCAAATAACCAATATTATTACTAGTTTTATCAAGATAATTTTCAAACATGTAGTTAAACATACGACGAGCATTACCTTTACCTCTAGCAGCTTTGGTTGATCCCAAGTACACAAGCGTGTACACATTCTTACCCTTGAAGCGAGAATCTGTACTCATGATACGCTCAAATGTATCCTCTAAAAGATTCATCATTCCTTGGAAAATCTTTTCTCTTGCAACTGGATCACAAACAAACCAAACCTTATAGAATCCAGATTCCATAAGAGTGTTGAAAGATTCCAAACCAGCATGTTCAGAGTGAGGAAGAGACCAAACAGCAACTGTTTCAAATCTATCGTCACCTTCGTTAATACCAAGACATAAACCTTTCAGAATATGTTGAGAGACATAACACTCATAAAGACTTAATTCAATTTCATCTCTAATACCAGTGTCGTCAATATGCGAAGTAAGATGCTTCGCTAAAGCGTCGGTACGGAACGCTTCAAATAATGTTAATGCGGCTTTTTTTACGTCCAGTTGATCTAAGGTTTTAACATGATCATAGGACGAAATACTATCCGGCTTTTCGCCTCCATCGGCTTCATTTGAATTGGATGATTCTGTAATTGTTGCTGCTTCTGACGACATACTTTAAATTCCATAGCCTGTGTATCCTGTAGTGTACTAAACTTTATGAATTAGCACTAGAGAAGTTTATCAAGATTATGTGATATACTGATAAAGAAAACTTGAAACAAATTGTAAGATTTAGAGGGAGTTTGTGGCCCTATAAATATTTTTTTACTGCACTACGGAATCTTATCTCCTCCTTCTTGCCCGATTAATTGTGCATGCGGGTGCTCACAATCTCCCGCGCCTCGTGCGCCCACGCCCAGCACATATCCGAGCCCCGCTCCAAACTCCCGCGCGGATCCCTATCTATTTGTTGGTACTGTATCGCATGCACGTTCCTAATATGGGTCTGTTTGAGTCACGGAAGTGCGATACCGCTAAATTTCATATCGGGTAAGCAATACAATAATAGCATGCCTCGGTTCCTGAAGAGGACTCTAGATATAACTTGGGTATGTTATAGGTATGAACATTCATGATAATAGATAGGTTTATGTTTACATGTTTATGGGGTATTAATACTACTGTAAATAAAAATATGTTCAGATCAGTATAGGAAAGTTCATCTTCTCAGATCATACAAAAATGTATAAGGGCCAAAACAAAATCCAAAAAACTTAAAATTAGAACGGGTACGGACCGAATCTTTTCGGCAGTTTTTTACCCACATGGTTAATGAATATCGTCACCATGTGTATTCGTTTTTTGGAGATAGTGTTAGATATGTTAAACAATTTCTTTTGGAAGTTTCTTTTTTATTTTTTCATTGTACTGTGAAAGTCTTGTCTTGTTACAAAACATCCTATATTTATCTTTTAATCTTATTATTATTATTATCATTATTATTTTTATTTATTTATTTATTTCTTACCCTTTTTCTTCTTCTTTTGAGTATTGCTGGATACAACTGGCTCAGGTGAAATTGCACCTTGATGGCCACCAGCTTTCTTCTTATCTTTCTTTGTGGGCTTATAGTATGAACGAAGCTTCAATGGTAACCATCTTTCCTTATCTAAACTATCTTCATCAAATTCTGAACTTGGTATGATTTTTTTCGTCTTTGAAAACTTTGGAGTTGATTTCTTATTCTTTTTAATCTTAAAAGATTTCGTATTTGGTTTTTGGACATTGTTCGATCTTTTAACTCTTTCAGTATACAAGTCTTCAATTTCAATATTAATTAATTCATCAACATCTTTAGTATTCTTTGTAAGGTCAGAAATGGTTGCCAAATCAATTGAATCTCCATTTAATATAGATTTTATTAAATCATCATTTGGATTAATTTCTAATAATTTACCGAATAAAGTTTCTGAATAAACTTTATCATAATTTGGAAAGAGTATAAATGCAACCACTTTAGCAAAATTATAATAATGAATATCATTTTCACAATGTTTAATCAGAAATTTGTTTGAAAATTCCATTAAAATTGGTGGATATTTTTCCTTTGTTTCATAAATTTGAATTAAAAGTCCTAAAAGTACAATTGATACTTTTGAATTTAATTCAAATTGATTTTGTAAATATTTTTCAATTAAAAGAATTGAACGAGAATATCTTTGTTCAATTGTTTTAAAGATTTCTTTACCTTCAGATACTGCCAATAATAATACTGCTGCAATAAATAATTCAATTTCTTTTAAATTTTCAACTTTTGTAGCATATTTATAAAATTGTCTACTATTAGCAGAATTTTCTCTTTGATCCAGAATTAAATCTTCATAATTGATTTCTAATTCTTTTAAAATCTTATAAATATATGGGGTATAATCATCATAAAAAGTTGAAATCCAATTATTAATGAATTTTTTACTTAAATAAGATGATTTCTTAGTTAAAGTACCAGATCCATATGATAAAATTAAATTGTTTTTAATCAATGTTTGAAATTGTGGTTTAGTAAGTTTATGTTGTAAAAGATGTAAATTTTGTTGTAAATTTAATTGTCTTTCAATTAAATTTGTATTATCAATTAATTTATTATTCTTAATTGAATAATAATTATTAGTTAAAATCAATTTAGTCATTACATCATTGTTAACTGCTTGATCATTCATCATTGTTGATAAAATGTTGGTAGCTACACCTTGTGGATCACCTTGGATTTGATGTATGTATGCAATAGTCAATCTAATTGGAGTTACTTCAACAAGGAAATCATCAGAGTCCATGTTTTGAACTTTACAAATAGATTCTGCCTTCAGTAAAAGTTCCAAGGCTTCTTCTCTTTTACCTTGAGATAAAAGAATTAAAGAGTCATTAAAAATCAAATCATAAGTTACATCTTCTTCTTCTAAAGTGGATTTAGGTTCAATTTGTTCAAATCCATTAGAATTCATAAAGTTACCTTGAGAAATGATAGCTCTTTCATTACATGCCAAATCCAACAAGTTATCAATATCTTGATTGGACAGAATCAATCCATGGTACAAATCCAAAACTTTGGCATTGTTACCTTCCTTATAATGGTTTTGGGCCATGATATGAGTGATAGCTCTAAGAGTAATCTCAGAATAATCTCCAGATTCAATGGTCTTATTGTATAATGTTTCCAACAAGTCAGTGTTACCAGTTTTATAATAGATGTATGCCTTTTCAATAACGAAATCTTGGTGGACTTCTTCAGGAGCCTTCTTAAGCAATTGTAATGCCTTTTGATATTTATCCATGTTAATTAAGGCAACAAGACAATTATGAAGTGACTTACCATCATTGAAATTCTTAACATTACTCAAGTATTGGTACGAAACATCATAGATATTTTCATGTTCTGAAGGTGAATCAGCAATAGCAACGTTCAAGCTTTTGAAAGCTTGTGAGATTGAACTAGACATATCAAATATTTAAAATAATACTGATTTACAAATGATTGATTGATATTTGGTCAAAACTTTGTTCAACGATTTGACAAATTTCCTTTTGAGAAAAAAGTCAAAAAAACCACTGAGAAAAAAAAAAACGAATCAATCCGTACGACTTGGGTTACGAACCCTGGGAACCACTGTGGAACATGTAGAGATCACAAATTATCAAGACAAAGGCTATACAAGTTGTATTATTAACACAAGTGCCTAATTTGAATTTATTCATTCAATTTAGTCGTATAGTACAGAGAGAGGTTTTGAATTTTTATTATATTTGAAAGAAATGGAGAGAAAGATTATGTACAAGAAGAAGAAGAAGATGATGATGAGTGTTTAAATGATGCATCGTTTGAGGAATCAATTTCATACTAGTGGGTAGGTGCCTCAAAAAGTGAGTATTTAATATATATATATATATATATATATCATGTAAAATAATCTCTTCTGTTACATAAATTAAGGTGTTACCTGAAATCTAATAGAATAGAAATACTGAAATGTTGTCTAGCTAAACTATGTTCAAAATTTTCGCAGCCATTATAAGGTTTTGTTTTATGGGAAAAGGAATAGAACGACGTACGTATCTAGTACGTGACCATTCCTGTAACTTTAAGATGATGGATATTTGACATGAGAATAATAAACTTCTAATAACAATTTGGAATATTTTCTAAAACAACAGACTGCTCATGACACTCTATTGATGGTCTACAAGATTGAGATACAAAAGTGGTATATTTATTAATGCAAGATGTTGATAATATCTCCAATGCTTTTAGCTAATGGTTTGAAATACTATCGGGGTATGAATTTGGGTATCTGGGTATAAAATTGGGTAACATCAAGTATAATAGAGAATATCATAACTTGACCCCCATGTATTTCCTTTAAATCTACTAATTTGATAAGATTTGGAAATTATTCTTTCGAATAAGTTTAAGTTTACTATTATTCTTTCCAACAGAATTGGATCTTTTACGAATTCTCATTGAATTAGCTCTTTTCTGTAGATGTAATTCCACATCATCAATATCATTTTCATCCTCTTCTCCTTCAGAAATCGCAACATTTGACTTGAATAAATATTTTTCACTAAGACTAGTGGCGGCAAATTCATTAACAACTTTTTCAAGTCTAATATATTTCAGATTTCTAGGAGGAGTAACAAACGATGGAATTTTCATTTGGAATTTATGAAGTGAGTTTTGTTCATTGTTTGCATTTGATGGGATCCAATCTTCAGTAAGTTGATTACCAGCCAAGCTTTCTCCACCTCTTGTAATATAACCAGGGAATTCATTTATACTGAGATTTCCAAGTGGTTTACGTGGGGTAGTATTGTTACGTCTAAATTGTTCATTTTTTTTCGGTTGAAGAATATTTTCTTGATCCATATGGTTTTGTTTATTACTAAGTCCTTGAGTGTTTGAATGATTAACGTTTTCTTTATCCAATCCAGCTGAATAAGGATCTATATCATTCGTATTGGTGTTTTCTAAGGGATTATATTTGACTGGGTCTTCAAAAATAACAAATCCATTACTTTTAACTGGTGAAGTTTTGAATAACTTCCGTTTAGTTGGGGAAACTAATCTTAAACGATGGTTGGAAAGTGGAGATTCAAATGAATTTGTTTTGGTTGGAGATGGTTTGGAGTTACTGGTTTTTGGAGACAACACAGATCGATTGTATCTTGTAGGCGAAGACATCTTAATTCAATAAAGAGTAAAAATGTTGTTGTATATAAAGAGAGGGAATAAAAACTTGAAAAGAGTTTTGCTTAGTTTTGCTTTGTTTTGCTTTGTTTTGCTTTGTTTTGACTTTGCCTTTCCACTATTTTTAATTTACTGACTGGTATCACTCACGTTATAGAAACCTTCCACACTCTTAAGATTAATGTTGAGAAAAATTCAGGTTGAAGAATGCACTTATATGAAATATTTTATTTTATCCCTTCCCCCTGTACACGAATTGGTAGAATGTAGACTAAGAAATTGGAATGCGGATGATTACCGTGAATTTTGATTCTAGTCACGTCATTTTCGCATTCAGATTGCAGCAAAAGTCTCAATTTTCTGGTTTTCGCGCTAAAACATGCGCGTTTTATCATGGAAAATCGCGAAGTTTGTACCTGTGAGGTATTCTCGTCTCCGCGGTAAGAAACTGCCTTGTTGCAATATTTTTTTATCACCGGTTAGATATTTAAGTACTTTTTTGCCTCGATAATTCAGGAACGCAGACTCGAGTATCGAGGTTAAAGCGGTTTGAATTCTAGCTCATCTTTCTATACACTATTCCTAATATTAATTGTTACTATTGATTTTTATGATGGTGTTTTTTTTATCAGATTTATCGTGTTTTACGCGCACGCGCGCGCGTTTCTATAAATACAAATCAAACGAATTCAGATAAATCACCAAAATAGGACATGTTAAAGGGGAAGAAAAACCAATTTAAACCAATTTTAATTCCAAATTAGTACATAACTGCAAGTCATCATTCTTGAACCAATAGTAGAAATATTATCTAGAAAATTCAGCTGTGATTTTCTATGACTAGAACTCCACATTCTAGTTGATTTTTCTCCGCGAGTCTCCACCTTTTTTTTAAAAAACATTCTCTACAATACAATGCACAAAATTTGGCAAACAATAGCTACAATACCTGTCGTTCTTTGCTATTTCCCTTTGTATGTATTACTCTTTTCTTTTTTCGCTTCTTTTTATCTATTTATAGACATCTTCTAACCTCTGTAGAAGTTGTTTGGAACAAATGGCATTTTGGCAACAACACCAGGTCTCTTTTTGCCTCTGATTTCAATATCAATTTCAGTGCCACTCTTATGTAATCCTCTCTTAATGTAACCTTGTGCAACGTTACCACCAAGGGTTGGGGATGGAGAACCAGATGTTATATATCCGATTTCGTTTCCTTCTTTGTCGAGGATCTTGTTATTATCTCTTGGAGATGGACCCTTGGAAAGGAATCCTACTCTTTGGTGAGTGAATGTAGTTCTGTCAGCCAATTGTTGCAAAATCTTACTAGAACCATTAAATGGGTTAGATTCTTCAACACGACGACTCTTTGGAATTAACCAAGCCAAACTAGCCTCCACAGGAGTGAGTTCTTCTGTAAGTTCATGACCATAAAGACACATACCAGCTTCCAATCTTAAGGAGTCTCTGGCAGCCAAACCAATTGGTTTTACCACTTCTGGATATTCATTGATCAAAATGTTGAAAAAATCTTGCGCTTCTTTGGCTTGAACACTGTTATCAGAAGGAATCGATAATTCAAATCCATCTTCTCCAGTGTAACCAGATCTAGCTAAATGAATTTGTGAGTTAATAATGGATGACAAGTCCAAATATTTAGATTGACCGAAAACAACTTCATTCAAGTTTTCATTAGTGAATTTTTGTAAGATTTCCTTAGCCTTTGGTCCTTGGATAGCCAACAAAGTACCTTCAAAAGTGTTGTGGTTAATGTTTCCTCCAAAGTCTGAAATTTCTTGCTTAATGAAGGCAGTATCCTTTTCTCTACATCCTGCATTTGTGACCATGTAGTAATCTTGTTCGCCATGTTTGGTGATAATACAATCATCAATAATTCCACCGTTCTTGTTGAGTAAAACGGTCAAAGAAGAAGAATTGATTGGTAACTTACTCAAGTCAATTGGGGTAATCTTTTGAAGTAAAGCTGCTGCTTCAGATCCAGTGAACTTGTGCTGTAACATGTGAGAAACATCAAACAAACCACACTTGTTTCTAACCCAGTTATGGGATTCAATATGACTTTGTCCCTTGTAAAGCACGGGCATCTCAAAGCCAGCGTATGGCACCATCTTACCACCATATTGTAAATGGCAGTCATACAATGGTGTCTTGAGCAAGGTAGCGGCAGTGGAATTGCTACGTTTAGCAACAACAGATAAGTTTCTAAGCATACTGAAAATGGGAGGAGGAAGCAGGTATAGTATTAAGAGGAAAAATCTTACACAGAATATGGATCTAAGATTTTATTTATATGAGGAGATGTTTTTTTAAGTTTGACTCGAAGCACCTGACTCTGTCACACAGAGTCAGCAACGGCAAAAAGAAATATGTAGAACTTTGACCAAAAACAAACCCGTTTAATTAAAGGTAACATTCTAGAGACAAGTGATAATGGATACCCACATTTAAATATCCATGTAATATACGCAAATTTCTTCATTTAATAAATGTAATATTAGTACTATATGTAACATCTTATTCTGTTCTCCTTCCTATCGTTTATTGTGGGGCTGTCTTTTTTTTTTTTTTTCGTTTTCCACTACAATTTTTAGTTTGCAGCATTTTCCTAAGACCAGAGAAAGCAAAAGATAAACGATGTCAATATGAGCCAATACGTAACTATACAACATAAAGTGTAACCAATAAATGATTTCAAGACCCTTTTATTTTCTTGGTGATATCTGAGAACTTGTTGAAAGTCTTCGTCACTGTATGCGGAAGGGCTAGTCACATCATCTTCGAGCCCGTATATACCAAAGCAAGATATACATAACAATGAAAACCAAGAGATAGTAAGTATGAGGCCGCATTTGAATAAATGGGAAAGTAGTGGTCTTCTTCTTCTAACAAATGCACACCTTTTGCAACAGCAAATATTTTCACCTAATTGTACAGCTTCCGTCAAATACAGATAGTTTTCTAAATATACAATATCTTTCATTGTATATACTGGATACAAGTGGGGTTTAAATTATTGGTTCTTGGTTAATTGAATTGTGATTGCTGCTTACGTTGTACTTTTAAACATCACTTTCATGTTTCTAACAATTTCCTAATTGAGAATTTAAATGTGAACCATTCGAAACCAGTTTGTAATTCTTCATATTTTTTATTGACTTTTCAAAAACATACTGGTGTAATACTAAAAAAATAACACTCTGAGGCTGAAAGTGATTGGAAAATGTTTCAGTAAATACCACTGCTCAATTGATGAGTGGATTCAAGTATAGATTCTACTCTTATTTGAATCACTTTATTTTTCATATGTTTTCCTAATCGAGCGCGCGATACGAAATCACATATAAAACTAAAAAGACGAAATGCTGATGCTAACGAGCATTTGGGACGTTGAGTGATGCACTTCAACGTTGATTCTATTTGCAATGGCTTGCAATCGACAAAGATTAGGGAAAGGAGTGATACATTGTCCATTCTAGAGGATTACATTCAAGCTAATGCATTGTCTACAACTGCTGCAAAAGTTGGTAGTTCACTTATGGTCCTGACATTTGACCTTATTAATTATGAGAAAGTTCTATTTCTCAAGTCCGAGTCCAGCTCTGTTGAGAATAGGCTCTGCAGAGCATCTAGCTGTGTGAAATCTTTAGTGGAACAGGCAGTTAGGAATATGTCAAAACCAGAATTACCTACCAAATTTAAGTTTCGCTACAAGCATTTCCTATTGATACTCAACAGTATACGAGACACTATAACAGTTGAAGACCCTGACCAGCTCTTTTGGCCATGCAGTCTCGACCTCATTCTCACGGTTTCTACCATTTTGCAACAAGGATTTGTTAAGGACCACCTTGGGCAGTCTGACTGGCTAAAAGTATATAGATTTCTCGTCCGAATTATAACGGTGGTTCTGCTGCAGCAATTTCCCCTTCAAAATGAAAGAATCCTTCTTGAACTGTTCAATTCATTGGCAAATCTTATTCAGGCTACATATCAAATCTCCGTTACGTACTTACCCTTGATGTATAAGAGGGAGTATTTCAAACTTATACCTCCAATCACAAAGGCTATTCATATTATGACAAGAGAAAATGCATTGACAGTTGTGATACAAAAGATTATCAACAAATTGATCATTGTATTATCTACAGAGGATATTCAATTTGTCAGCCGTTTAGTACGATTAGGATTGAAACAATTGGTATCATACAACAATACAAAGCTTGATTCATTACAACTACAATTAATATATTTCATAAATATCCCAGCAACTCATGATTTTATAACATTGAAGAATATGCCACACCTTTCGGGTGAGCCAACTAATGATATGGACATATCTATTAGATCAGGTGACGAGGAAGATGACGATGAAGATGTTGAAGAAGCCACATACACTACAGATGAAGACATCGATATTCTTCTTTACAATCTTAGCTCAGTCATACAATCACTTTTTAGCATTCTGATCCAGTCAAGAAATCTCCTTCAAGAACATGATATTGAATTTTTCTACTCCACTTTAACTGATGGAGATTGGTATACATTATCCTCGATACACTTTACGAATAGAAATCCTAAAAGTACGAATAATTCCAATTCTTGGCTACTTCACCTAGGTATCAGTAAACTACTAAATACTTTTTTTAAAATCAAGTTAACCTCAAACAAAAAGCTGAATTCAGGAACTCCTGATCCCTTCCGAGTTAAACGACAGAAAACTGATATTGTTCAGAATGAGCTAATTAATGCTGATGATCCCATAGAATTCTGTCTCAAGATTTTAACAACGAGACCAAATACAGATTTTCAAAAGTCTGTTTTACAAGTCTTTATCTTTTTTCTTCAATCGAATACAAATAAACACCAAACAGAGAAATGTCAGCTATCTTTTCCCACCCAACAGAACACCGACAACTCTCTTCTTGAGATTGATTATCCTTCACTATCGGATGCCAACTTCACAAATACAACCACTTCATTCTCAATTAATGCAGCATTGCAGATAATACTATCACTTTTTGATTCCGCGTCAATATCTTATTGGTTACTTCTTGCTTCCAAATCAATATTGGAGAATACTTTACAATTTAAACCCAGCCTGCCATCACTTCGACAATTTCAACAATTATTTAAACTTTCTTTGTTATCAATCAATCATGAAATTGAATGCCGAGTTGCTTGCGACCTCATTCACTTGATGAGCACACAAATATCAAGTCATGGATTGATTCAAGTCGTTGATTCTTCGATTGGAGTACAACTAGAGAATGTCATCGATTTGGCTAATGTTAATGGTCCAAATGTCGTATGTACTCAAAGTTTTCTATTTTGGTATAGCGTTTCTTCAATTGTGAAGCTTGCTAATTTACCTACTCGAACTGAGGTCCAAAACAAAGCACAATCTTGGCTTCTTTCCAAATGGGATTCATTTTTAGGTACATTAATGCTGGATGAACAAATTTGCTTCGACACGAGTTCCGGTTTGGCGGAATTTGTTGCTTGGCTATGCGGTGCTAGTATTTCCTATATTCTACCCGGTCCAAATATTAAGCAGTGTGCAGAGAAATCTGAGCAACCTAATGATGTCGAAGAGATGAATGTAGTATTGTCCTTTCAGTATCATTTACAGCGTTTTATCAAAGATCGTGAAATATATTCTAGCGAGATTAGCAACACTAAGTCTATAGATGTTGATTCGATTGGATACAGTAACAACTGCGAAAATCTATTGCAAAGAGTGATAGCCACTTCGGCTAGATATCTTGAAAATGGGAAAAAGTCTGATTTTGTACTTATTTGGATGTCTACTCTATTAAAATTCGAGCTCCTCGTTGACAGAATAAGCAATTTGGAATCCGAATCCACTCTTATTAGTCTTCATGGGAAAAGATTTATAGAGTTATTTCTGGAACAAGATTTAGATCATACGCTTGAAATAATGGCTAAATTTGCAGGAAAATCTGATTCATTCCTTATCCGTGCCGTTTTTACAAACTTCATTACAGAAAGCACACTCGAGACTACAATAGAAAGTATATTGGAAGTATTAAACAGTTCAAAGCCGAATATCTCAAGCACTGACATATTTGACAATGAATTTAAACTGGTAAACAAGATTATGCTGCAAAACACTGATATTTTTTCCCCAAACAGTACTATATTGGGGATTATGAACTTACTTCTAATAGCAGTCGACATTAAAGAAGTTAAGAGAGATTTAATATTCAGGTGTATTTTTCGAATCTTAGATAAGGTTAATGTCATAGATCAATTATATTGCATCTCGGAATTGATTCAATATTTAACACTGGAAAACTTTGAAGTCGAACACTCACAACTTCCAATATTTAAAAAGTTACTTAGAATCATGGGGGAGGGACCACTTGTAAGTCACGAGTTAGAAAGAAATGAGTTAACGATTATTTCAATATCAAGACTATTGGGACTTTTAATACCATTGTTGGATCATGACGAAGACTTAAAAAATGACTGGTTGGATATGGCTTCGTGGCTTCGACAATGTGATGAGAAAAGGTTAATAATTACTCAACTCTCGTATAAGGAATATGCAGAATTTTTGATTCTGGCTCTGGAAGTGGATACCGTGTATGAAGATTCATTTTTATCGATGTTCACCACTCTTCCAGGGAATATCCGTCAAGCTATACTGAAACATTTGAGTAACAGGCTCAGCGACTTCCTAATACCAAGACAAGTTTCATTCTACCGAAAACTCTTCAATAAATTTGAAACCCCACAGGAATCGATCGAGGCATGTGCATCCTTTTGTTTCTTTTATGGGACAATAGCGAGTTGCTCCGCCCCTATATTGGCTTCGTCGGTGTTCAATCTAATTGAATATGCAAGGTTCCACTTTTTTATACCCTACTTACAGTCGACCTTGGAATTCATTTGCCTCCAACTTAAGTTGGATTCTCCACTTGAACTTTACAAAACTTTGAAACTAGACCTTTTGTTCTTCTGGATTTCATACAATAGCGGAGTGTCAAACTTCCCGTTTGGTCTTTTCGGATTCCAAGATATTGGCACATTCATCTCTGCAAATTATAAAGACTTGATTGCAGTAACATTATCGTCAAACTCTAAGGATTTTGATAGAAATAAATTCCTTCAACGAATCTCAAATTTGAAAGGTTCTGATATTGAAAGTTTAGTATCTGACAGTTTTGCCTTGACAATTGCATTGTCATATACTAAGGATGGATCAAAAAATGCAATTCATGATACTTTAAAACAGATTCTAGGAAAACGATATTCTACCCATTTACGAGAAAAGCTCTTACTAGTTGTTCTAGAGGTTTTCAAAGTCTTAGACATATCTGATGAAGTAAAGATCTATGATATAGGATATACTCGAGATATTGTTGACAAGCTATTTTCACCTACATCTCGCCCTTCCTCGCTAGAGTTTGAGGCATCACATTTGCAGATTTCTTTCCACTCGGGTATGGAGTTATTAAAAGTAATAATTTCTAAAAGCTATCCAAGCTTTTCTAGTTTCTGGATTGCACCGAATACGTATTTTCTAATGCGAAGATTGTCCATAATATTACTGCAATGCAAGACATCGCATGAGAAAGTAATTGTTGTCCGTAAAATCAAACTATTGTCTTTATTCGGAAACGAAGAATATTCCATAGATCTATTAGAATTGGCTGTTAATACATTATGCCCTTTTCTATGTGAAGTTGAATTGAGGCTTGATATTTGTTTGATACTTGCAAATGCGGGGATTGATTCGCTCGAATATCTGCGGAAAAGAACTCTACCAATAGTAGTCAAGGTTATGAATGCTCTTACACAGACGAAGCAATTTTCCATCCATGAAAGACTTTTATCAAGATTATTGAAATACGTTGATAAATTGGAGGAACAGTCTAAAGTGAAGCCCATTCTTATGAATGTCTTGAACTTATTATCTGGAACTGAACCAAGTATCTCAATCAATAAAATTGAGCAATTTCTTGAATCAGAATCGGAATTCGAGGAATGTAAATCCAATGGAAAACAGGAAGATATCATCTTCCTTATTTCGCTGATATTTCCAGATACCCCACCTGATGCATATTTGATAAACTTACACCCCTTTGTCGTGAAAACGTTAATCGAAATTCAAAGTACGATCTTTTTGGAAGTAGCGAACCAGTTTCCATTGTGGTGTGGTGTATATTTAGCAGAGTATTATATTCAAGGCAATGCCATTACTCATGATTTTACAAAGAACGAGAATACCAGTCCTTTAGTATTTCCGAAAGATTTCGAAGCTGATATAGCAAACGGTATACTTGAAAATGCATTCCTGTTTTTATCTTCTATTGACTCCAACGTTGCAGCGACAGTTGAATCAATTATTGGGGTATTAATTTGGAAGTTCAAAGCAAATAAAGCAGAAGTGCAAGGTTTTTTCGATTTTTCACATCACTATGAACGATTTTCTGCCTATATTTCACCCCTTGATTTCCATTGTTGTGTCTTGTTGCAATCTTCAGAGTCTGAAATTATCATTCCCACCGAGCCACTTGTTGATGTGATATTTAGTCTCAAGCACAGAATTGTCAACTTTGAAACTTCGAACTGGACTATGCATTTATTCATAGCCTTGATTTCGGATCTAGCAAGGTTTACTAGTATTGCACCATTGTTTTCTACGTTGGCGTTAAAAGTACCACCATTTTGCGAGGAGGCATTACCGCATCTAATTTGTACTTATGTGAACTTAATGGGCAATAAAGGGGTGAAAAACATTGAAGACTTACTAAAATCCTTTAATATCGAAGGTCCATCTCAAACAAGATATTCTAAGCTTTACACAAGAATAATCATGATGATTCGAATTGGATGGAGAAAGGGCCAAACTCATTTAAAGCAGATCTATTCAAATTCTGACCTTGTATTCTTCTACAATATTGCTGCCAAGAATCATATGGCTAGGACGGCATTGCTCTTACTTGAAGATTGCGTGGCAATCAATGCTGAAAACAAGGGAGACGAACTTCAATTTGAAAGAATTGAAACTTTAAGAACAATCTACCAGGAAATTGATGACGGAGACTTGGTTTATGGATTGCCGATTGAAATATCATTGAAAGATATTATGCAGAGAATGAGTAGCGAATCGGGGTATTCATCACATCTGGTAAAGTTTAGTGGTGGTGTCTACGATGCTGGTATTTCTTTGGATGTAGGAGATGTACATCAAGGTGACTTGGTACATTCCATGATCAAATCAGGGATGATGGGTTCATCTAGACTCGTCAGCAAGGACATTGGTAATGGTCTTCCAAATACTGATCTGTACGAATGGGCATGGAAGCTTAGTACGTGGGAACTCCCAACTCCTTCTATTGCTTTGGATAATAATGAAATTATTTACAAATGTCTTAAGAGGCTTCATGATTATCCTATGGATATGTTGAAAAATAGTATGAATTCTATAGTTGATACAATGAAAGCGAGGGATCAGATAGTTGCTGAGAAGTTGGGGCCTCGCGAACATAACGCGAACACTATAGCTTGGCTTAAATCTATAGCTAGTATTGTCAGTGTATATGACCTATTGAGGTATGACAAAACAAATGTGTTGATGCGAGACCAGGCATTTATTGGAAAGACCTCATGGTTTGAAACAACTAACATATCCGCGTCTGAGGATATTTTATTATCACGTAGGGCAGCATTTCAAATTTTGGCCAACTATCCACGCGAACGTCAATCATTAGACGTGGAATCATACTGGATAGCATCTTTAAATGAATTGATACGGTATAATTCAGTGGCAAGATTTTCTAAAGAGCAACAGAAGATGGTTAATTCAATGGTGCTCATTGATGAAATTGCAGGGTCAAAATTTTTAAATTCAAATTCTACAATTCAAAACCAGATAGCAAGTTGCTCAAAGTTTTGTTCTGCGTGTACATTATGGGATCTTGGAGAAACTGATGTCCCAGTTGCCATGATGAAGTCACTTAGATTTTGCGAAGCGAATGATATACCATTTCAAGCGATAAATGTATCGCCAAGAGTTGTGGATTCGATGCTCGTTGAGTGGACATCTCGCTCGAGGCAAGAACATCCACTGACTATCATGAACCGATATGTGATGCCTATGTATCGTCTGGTATCTGGTTTGCACAATTTAGATAGTTTAACTCTAGTATTTCAAAAACTAGCGCATTTTTGTGAAAGTCAATTCAAAGACAGTTCGTTGAACGAGAAAATTTCAAAATTGACTACTCTGGTGAAGAGTAGACAACGAGAGATTGAAGAAATTAAATCACATTATGGGAAGACCGTTGTTAGTCCAGAAGAGAAAAAGACTATTTTGCGATATTACCTGAAATTAAAAACACAATATCAGACAGAAAAATCTGAAATTGAAGATTTGGAGTCAACTAAGGATGAATTAGCAGGGTATTCAGTTGAATTCTATTTAAAGGGTATATCATCTGGAGAGAATGATGAAAATGTTGACAAGTTCTTTGCACTTTGGTTGGAATTTTCAAGCAAAGAAAAATTGAATTTGACCATTAGAGAAAACTTGATTGCAATTCCACCACACAAACTAGTTAGTTGGGGCCCTCAACTTATCTCAAGACTATCAAATGATGCGACCGAATTTCAAAAATCATTACATTTCTTGATTCAGCAATTATGTATTACACACCCTTACCATTCTCTCTATAACTTGTTTTCTATGACAAAGCAAGAATCATCTGCTAAATTAGATCAGACTTCAACCATAGCTGCTGTTAATATATGGAATGAGCTAAAAAAACATGGTGATCAGGAAAAACAGATTCTAGCGTATGTTGAAGAGTTTTGTGAAGAGGCGATTAAACTCGCTGAACTTAAGGTTCCAAAGGGTAGGGCGTTGAACTTGAAGAACGTGAAATCGGGTGTTTATTTTGCAAATCAATTACCTCCAGTTCCTCCTCCTACGATTGAACTAAAAGTTGACCGTACCTCAAAATATGACAACGTGCCACTTCTTTCCAGTATTGATGCTAAAGTTGAAATTGCAACTTCGGGTTTAAGCTTACCAAAAATTGCCACCTTCTATTTAACAGACGGCACGAAACACAAAATGTTACTAAAGCATGGGGCGGATGATTTGCGTCAAGATTCAATTATGGAGCAGGTTTTTGAAAAGGTTAACCTGATGTTTTGGAAGAATACTGAAACTAGAAAGAGAAATTTGCGGATGAGAACATATAAAGCTGTTCCACTTGGACCAATGAATGGGATAATTGAGTTCGTTCCAAATTCAATGGCTTTGATAGATATCATCAGGCCATATCATGCGACCGCAGATAAACTTAAAGCTGAGAAGGCTAGAGAAATGATGAAATCGTGTCAGACAAAGTCAAAAGATCTGCGGGTTAAGGTCTACCTACAAATAGTTAACAATATTAAACCCGTGTTGAATGAATTCTTCCTTGATTCATTTTTGACTCCAGAGGAATGGTTCTGTAGCAGAACCTTATATACACGTGGAGTGGCAGTTTCTTCCATGGTTGGACATATGTTAGGGTTGGGCGATAGGCACTGTAATAATATTTTGTTAGACAAAATGACCGGCGAACCAATTCATATTGATCTAGGAGTTGCATTTGATCAAGGAAAACTCTTGCCTATTCCCGAGACTGTGCCCTTCAGGCTCACGAGAGATATGGTAGACGGATTTGGAGTCACGGGAACTGCGGGAGTTTTCACCAAGTCTTGTGAGCATACATTCAAAGTTTTGAGAGAAAATAAGGAACATATTTTGGCAATTCTAGATGTTTTACGTTGGGATCCATTGTATCAGTGGAGTTTATCTCCAATAAGAAAGAATAGATTACAGGGTGATGATGAAATTTTAAATATCCAACCACATGAAGAGACCTCGGAAGCAGGGAGAGCAATTCTGCAAGTCTCAGAAAAAATTGGTAACTCTTTGAGTGTGGAAGCAGCTGTTAGTGAACTAATTCAAGAAGCAGTTAGTGAGACTAACCTCGCTCTTATATATTGTGGTTGGTCTCCCTTCTATTAAGTGTTGTGACCTTTATTCGTAATGTCTTATGGTGACAGTATCTGTATGTTTTAACTCCGGGCAAGAAACAGTCATCTCTTTATTAGGAAATAAGTCCATACCATTATCTTCAAAAAATAAATTATTCTCGGTTATTAATTCTATCCCCTTTATTGGCATTGTAGTAGAGATTACCACATATCCATCATATACTTCAAGTTTTATACTCCTCTTACAAAATTGAAGGTATTTTAAAGGTTGCGGCCAATCGCCATAATTTGCCAAAACTTCATCTTTGTGAATGATAGAAGCATTCGCTACCATTGGACCATCACTAGGGAGTTCATAATTTGAAAGGATTTCGGAGCTCAGATTCGCTTCCAATGTTATATTGTACATTTCATAATGTTCAATCAATTGTCCAGAAAAGACTTCATAGATATCTAGTGAGAGTGTAATGTTTTCTTTACTACCTTCATCATTGACGCACCAAACCTGTAATTCATTCCCTTGTCTTTGAACTCCGACTGCAATGGCTCTATACTCTCTCTTTGCAGCATAGAATGCTAGTTTAGGGGTTTTAAAGTTATCTACCAAGGACCAGCTTGTAACTGGCCAGCAGTCATTTAACTGCCAAATTAAGATCCCACCCATATACCTCTTACCCTTACCCTTCCAATTACGTCTCCAACTTCGTATAGCATACCCAAGACATTCGGCTTGCATCAATTGAGTTGCATAGATCCATGATTTCATATCCATTGTGCGAAGCCTGATATTTTCAAACATATACAGAGCTAATCTACTCTCAAATCCAGCAGCTTTGTTGTGGAAATCGACAACCAAACTTTGTGGATAAATCTCTGATATCTCTGATATACACCTCATAAATGTACTGTAACTAGGAAGAGCTTCCATCCCGAACTCTGAAACAAATCTGCCGCCCAATTTGTACCAATCTTGGTACTTTTCTCGTGTTCCATGCCATACATTCCACTGATGTATATCTCCAACTGTAGGATCTGAAGTTTTTTCACCTCCCCAAGGAGAGCCTGGGTGATAAGGTATTCCTACATGATATTTTGCTACTAATTCTGGTATGATTTTTTCATAGATCGTTCGAGCAGGGAAAGATGTTTTGGCGTAATCTCCTGTATGGTTTTTCTTGTCCCATTGTAGATTATATGCTTCTGCAATTTGGTAGTCTTCGTTATTTCCGCAGTACATAGAAATTGAGCAATGATTTCGTAGACGTTGAACTTGATATGCTACTTCCTTGGAAACAGATTCAACAAAATACTTGAGATTACCTGGATATTGACCGCAAGCAAACATAAAATCTTGCCAAACTAATAATCCTAATCGATCACAATTATTATAAAAGAAATCTGACTCATAGTATCCTCCACCCCAAACCCTAATCATATTATGGTTGGCATTGACAGCCGAATTTAGCCATTGTTTGTAGTCTGTTTTACTGACGGATGAAGGTATTGAATGAGCTGGAATCCAATTTGATCCTTTGCAAAATATGGGAATGTTATTAATTTGTAAATAAAAGCTTGTCCCACTTTGTTCAAGAAAGGGGTGTTGTATTAATTGAATACGCTTGAATCCGATGTGTTTGTGAACTTGGCAAATAATATTGCCAGTCTTGGAAATTAAACGGACAGTAACATGATACAATGCAGCACTTCCATATCCTCTTGGATACCATAATTTTGGACTTAAAATGGAAAATTCTTGTAGAAATTTACCACTCCCCAGTACTGGCTTCTTTAAATGTAATACAGTCTCAATAGAATCTGGTGAACGGACTTCCATGGATATAACCACCTGAGTATCCGTCTCAATATCGGTTTCTATATACCCCAGAACGATACTCAAATCTTCATGAACATCTCCATGCACGTAGAAATCGTTTATATGAGATTGATACGATATTAAATAAGTTGGTCGATATGGCCCACAACTAATTAATTTAGGGCCCCAGTCCCAACCATACTGGTATTGTGCCTTTCTAATATACACTCTACTTGGATCCCCATTCCAACATTTTAGTTTTCCATGTCTATGCTCATACATTTTAGAGATATTCAAAGCACTACCGAATACTATACGGATAGTGTTTGTAAGTTTAGGTTGTACAAACACTGAATATTTTAAGAACATGTTATCTGTTTTAAGAATTTCTTCGCTGTTAAAATAAATGGTTGCAAATGTATCCAAACCTTCAAATATTAATTTATATTTCTCCTTATTATCTATTCTAGGAATTTCAATATTAGTTTCGTATTCCCATTGGCATTTTGATACCCATTGGACCTGATCTTCATTCATATCAAGAAACGGGTCTTGGATCTTCTTGTTGTATAACAAATCACTATATATTTCCGCACAGCCTCCCGGTTTTGATTCTAACCATATAGAAGTTCCAACTTCTTTGAATTTCCACTTGCTCACTTCTGCTGTAAAATTTCCGAACGTCATATTACAAACAACGGAGAATTATAGTAGATAAAAACTGTGGGGAAATAGGCTTCCAAATACCTAATCTTTGTTTCCTTATCGATTGTATGCACGCATGATCGAATTGAAGAAAATAATTATTGAATACAATATTTTTTCACCACTTTACATTATTCTAATCAAATTATTAATTAGCTAGATACAATGGGACTTGACTATAACAAATTTTTACTATTTGGGGACTCAATTACAGAATGGTCGTATAGAAATGGTGGCTTTGGTGCATTGCTTCAAAATGGTACGTTTCTTTTGCTGATTGTTTTTGTGTATTCATTAATTTTACTAACTAGAACAGACTATGCAAGAAAGATGGATGTAGTTTGTAGAGGGTTCAGTGGTTTCAACTCTAATCATGCAGTTGAAATACTTCCTAAACTCCTTGAGATGGATAAGTATAGTATAATGACCATTTTTTTCGGTACAAACGATGCATTGAATACATTTCAAGGTGTCCCGATTGATAAAACAAAAAAGAATCTTAAATTCTTGGTTGAACTTTCCTTAAAATCCGGAATTAAAGTAATTTTGATTGGGCCGGCTTTACATAGTCGTGAATTGTATAGAGCTGCGAATCCTGATGACGATTATGTGGGTTCAGAAGAGAATAATCGGAAATACTGTGAGGCTGCGAAATCTGTATCCATGGAAACTGGTGTTCCATTTATTGATCTTTGTACCGAATTTGATAATAGTGGCCTTCCTATTAATCAACTATTAGTTGATGGAATTCATTTCACGTCAAACGGTTATAAAATATTATATGAATCAATTTCAAACACGATTAAATCTGTTTACCCAGAGTATTCTTATGAAAATATTTCGCCAAGTTTGGTGCTTTGGAGAGAGTTAGAGCCTGCTGGTGATAATCCAAAGAAAATCAGATCCATATTGTATCGAAATGAAGAGTAAATCTATTTCCTTTATTTGTTCAAATAGTATTTATAAATATAGTTACTTAATATACATAAAATTGAGTTTTTCTTGAATATCAATTCAAAAATTAATTCACAAATGAATGTATTTATTTTTCAGCTATAATCGAGAAATTTACAGACTTTAATATTATTCCAGCAAAAGGGATAATAAATTCTATTTGTTCTACTAATAATTAAACCATCTGAAGTTTATTTGCAATTTTAATAGACTTTGTGTTGGTTGCAAATCCAATTTTGCAATATATATTCTCTTATCTATATTACACAAAAACAAATGGGGATAACATACTAAAAATCAGTCAGGTTGCAAATTTTCAGAACATTTCTATTTTGCATTTATACATTAATCTTCTACTAGTAAATAATGTAATTCTTCAAAATTTTATTTTATTAATTCTACTTACAAAGTTTCATAAATAAGTTCTTGAACCTTGTATTCTTCATTAGCTTCCTCCATATCTTGCCAGTTACCAATAAAGTCGTCTCCTCTAACAACCCCCGGAAGAGTCTTACCCTTTGAGTACCTTCTCCAAATCTTCTTAGCTTCGTCATCTGTTCCCAAATCACGGAGGGTGAACTTGACAGAATTAGCCAAAAGAATGGTGTGAAGACGATTAGTTCTCGTGACAATTTGCATTCCCCCTGCAAATGAAGTAAAAATGTAAACTGGTTGCGCTTCGAGATGTTTACGAATTTCTTCGGGAGAAACATCAAAGTCTTCGTCAACTGAAGTATCAACAGGAGCAGTGGCTACCTTCAGAGATTCAACTTGTTCCGATGATTCAACTTCCTTGGATTCTTTGACCTCTTGAGATTCGGCAACCGTCTCAACATCCTTCTTTGACTCAACGCCAACAGCATCTTTCAAAGTACTAGGGACAATTGCATCTAAAATTGATTCTACAATGTTAGGTTTGGTACTATCTTCAGAGAGATCCTTGTCTTTAGAGACATCTTCCCCGACAGGGGAATCCTTCACGTCAGAGACATCCTTCACGTTAGAGACATCCTTTACGTCAGAGACATCCTTTACGTCAGAGACATCCTTTACGTCAGAGACATCCTTTACGTCAGAGACATCCTTCACGTCAGAGACATCCTTCACGTCAGAGACTACCTTCACGTCAGAGCCAGGGACATCCTTATCTTCTGAAACACCCTCAGTACCAGTAGGATCCGTGCTTTTAGAGGAATCTTCAATCACAGGTACATCTTTCTCTTCAGAATCATCTTCAATGTCTGGCACAGCCTTAACTTCAGAGACATCTTCGGCATCAAGGATTTTCTTCTTTTTAGAAACAGTATCATCCACACTCTCTCCCTTCCCGGGGACAGAATCAGCATCAACAGTCTCCTTTTCCAATGTTGTATCTACAGACTCAGTTTTCTTCTTTTCAGAACCCAAAGTTTTAACATCCTCTAATTTAGAAACCTCCTTTTCTTCATCTTCACCTGGAGTAGAGCGTTCAGATTCCTTATCACTTTCTTTACTATCAGATTCTACCTTATTCTTCACCTCATCATTAGAAACTGGCTTGATGGGAATATCATTAACTTCCTTTTTCACTGCATCATTATCTCCTTCATCTGCTACAATTTCCTTTGTAACATCCTTATCAGTGATTTCATTATTAGAAGCGTGGTTCTTTGATAACAAATCATTTCCGGCGAGAAGTTTTTCAAGTTCTGCAACTGCATCAATATCAGATTCTTCTTCCCCAACAGACTCTACGACTTCTTTCAGAGTCTTCTCCTTGGCTTCAGAGTTTTCGTTAGATTCGCCTGAGGTTGGATGGCTCTTTTCAAAACCTTCCTCTGAAGTTGGTACTTCAGCTGAAACCTCCTCGGACTCATCTTTTAAAGGCTCTTGTAAATCATTTTCAACAGGAGCCTTTGGCTTTAAAACTTCTTCAACCATCGTATCCAAACCACTAATACTACTGTAAGGATCATCAGTTAACAAAGCACCTTCACTGGCCAAATCTTCCAAATCAGCATCATTCTTTTCATTGACCAACCCACTACTTCTTCTTTTAGATCCCTTTGCGTCCTTTTCAACAGGTTGTCTTGATCTGGATCTAGAAATCGAACGAAGATAGTTGGTAGAAGATTGACTTCTTGTGGAAAATAACGACGAAGACTCAAGTTGAGGTTCTGGTCTATCTACATTAAAATTGGTGTAGTCACCAGTAGTGACCAATGAAGCAGATGATTCCATACCAACAGATGCTTCAGCAGCTTCAGCTTCCGCTTCGGCCTTTTCAACAGCTTCAGCTTCCGCTTCGGCCTTTTCAACAGCTTCAGCCATAGTTGGTCTGCTTTGTCTACTTCTTCTATCTTCAACTTCTTCTTGAACCGTCCCCTCTAAAGCGGCAGGAAGTTCATATCTGGAAGGCTCTTCACCATGGGTGTTCTTATATGAATCACCTCTGGCCAAATGAGGTCTAGCAGATGAAGATCTTGATCTTGAGCGGTCAGTACGAGGAGCAGATGAACGTGATCTGGATTGAGAACGTCCATCTCTTTGAAAGTATGGGGTATGAAGTCCTTCCACGCCAATACTTGGGACAACGTCAGAATCAACTGAATTCACACTAACAGATGGTGTTACAGAAGGAGTTGAAAAAGATGCAGTCTTTTTCGAAGTTGGTCTTGGATTTTCAGAATAATCACGACGAGATGGAAGACGATGAGGATCATTCGATTGTACTGATGAAAGAAGATCTTTATGATCAGTAATTTGGTGATCAAGTTGATACTCCGAAAGATTTGGAGTAGAATATGGAACATTGGAAGAGCTACTAGATTCACTTACAGGAGCTGGAGCAGATACAGGAGCATCAGAATTGGCACCTGAAGTTGAATCTTTAAAGTCCTCAGAATCCAAAGTTTTCTCAACTTCATCAGCACCCAGTTCGCTGAAAACATTGCGAAGTGGAGACTTTGCAGATGGTTTCGTTTCAGCACTCAGTTGAGAATCTTGGATCTTCAATGAATCAAGACTAAGATCCTTCTTAGATGCTGGAGATTTTTCCGAATCGCTTGGAGTATACTTTGCATCATCCTTAACCTTTCCAGTATCATCCAAGTAACGATCAAAGTCTTCTTCACTACCCAACAAGGCACCTTCACTAATCAAGTCGTCTAAACTAGCAGCCAAACTTGAGTTCATTAATCTTTCCTTCTCTTTCTTGAATTCCTTTTTGGATTTAGTGTACTTCTCTGGATGGATATAGTTGTTATGTTGAGAGTCATCAGCCGATCTCAATGAGGATCCCACAAGAGATGGCGACGACAACTTCTCTGCCTTTTCCAATTGTTCTTCAAAGTCCATATTCAAAGAATTTTATTGTAAATAAGAAAGAATAATATAGAATGAATATCTTTGAGAATTTTTGAAATGTGTTAAGTCACCGGATCCAAATTTGGAAAAATGCAATAATGTGCGAACAAAAGGGGGGAAAACGTAAAAAATGGGGGATAGCAATTACAATTAGAGACAAATAGTATAGAGAGGGGCAACAGAGGATATCATTGAGGATGCGGAGCAAAAAAAAAAATATGAAGTAAGAGAGTCGAATTAACGCCTTAATTATTTGTTTCATATTACAAAAATTATTGTTTCAAAAATTTATTACACTTAAATTAATTGGTAATAGGTCTTGATTTGTTGGCTTACTTGTCATTTTTTTGAAGTCATATTCTCCATCTTTCGCAAGATAAATGTGCAGGAATTGTTTGATTGGCGGATAAGCATGGGAACGAAGAAAGGAGGGGTGTATGCATGCAGGAGAAGCAATAATACTGCAGCTAGTAACCAATTAATATCAGAAGAATGAACCCCCAAGATTACCAAGATTTCATATTACCAAGAGTTAAGGGATACCAAGAGATTTAGAATCAAAGTAAATAAGTTTGGAAGACATATTGAATAGTAGGTCTATATAGTATGGTATTACTCTCGATCGCCACTTAATGGGTTGGGTGCAAATCAGAATGGGAAGGACTGTTATACATGATGATCATCATGAATTTGAAATAATCTCCTATCTATCTGAGTGTAACCGTGTGAAGTTGGAATTTAGTTTCTCTCGTCTTTTTGTCTTTTTGTTTTTGCCACATGAAGTAAATATTCCTCTCAATATTTGTTTGCTACGCGGGAGAGAGATATTTTTTACGAACTTTAAGTAATGTATAAAATAATCGTGACGAAGAATATATATACAATCCCATAAGTATTACTATCTTCATTTAATAGTTATCAAAACCAATGTTTTAATTTCATCTCTTGTTATAAATTATAACTATTTAGTTTATAACACAATCTTATTACTCATTAATAACCTTTCCCTTTCAAAATATTATCTCTCCACAGTCACGTGATCGTCTTTTTTGTTTACATTTATTTTAATTTCATTTTATATTTTGATATCAGCCTTACATTCCTTCATGTACTAAATGCAGTATTGAAATATCTTTGTGACAAATAACTCCACAAAACCGTTTATAACCTTATCTTTACCCACAATCCCTCATTTTTTAAAATCTACAATTGACGATTTTATTTAAGAAGCCCCCTTACTAGATTCAATTATCAAGCAAACAAAGGAGAGAGAGACCATAAAACACCCTTAAGTTCAAGAAAATATAAAAGAAATACAAGCGGTCACTTCAATTCAAGATCCCCACACGACCACCTTTTCTCATTTATTTTTATCATAACAAAACAACCATTGTTGTACTTTGTGGTATTGTACCCTTGTTGTTTTTTTTTCATAACTCATTTTTTTGATTCTCTTCTCATTTTGGCATATTTCATTGGAATCCTGCATTTTTGGTCCATTTATTTCAATTATTTTCTTTTTTTTTGTATTTTCTTTCTTTTTTTCGTTTGGACACACCACCCCGTGAGTGGATTTCTCAGCGAGCAGATACTACCCACAATATTACCAATCAATAAGCAAAAACTCACATCAACGTTTCCAACATTCAAATAACTCGCACCGACTTTCAAACCTTCAGAATACATATATTTAACTCGATCTGATTATACCGATGTCTTCAAAATCTGCCGCGGCCATTCTTCAACGACAATTTAAAGATCTTACCGATCCTAAAAAAGGGATTCCATCATTCCATATTGAACTCGATAATGATAACATTTTCTTATGGAATATTGGAATCATGGTACTTAACAAGGATTCGATGTATCATGGTGGATACTTCCGTGGGCAAATGAGATTCCCACCTGAATTCCCATTTAGTCCACCTACTTTTAGATTCACTCCTGCTATATATCATCCAAATGTTTATCGAGATGGTCGATTATGCATTTCTATTTTACATCAAGGAGGTGATCCTACCCTGGAGGAACCAGATAGTGAAACTTGGTCTCCTGCCCAAACCGTCGAGCTGGTTTTAATTTCAATTATATCCTTATTAGAAGATCCAAATGTATCTTCACCTGCCAATATCGACGCCCTGGTAGAATTACGTAAAAACCCTGACGCTTACAAGAAAAGAGTACTTCAAGAGGTGGAACGTTCAAAGCAAGATATCCCAGAAGATTATGTTATGCCAGAACTGGAACATTTGGCATATGGAAATGGATCTAGTTTAACTCATGAAGTTGAACAAGAGCCTGTTGATGAAGATTTCTGGTATGATAGTGAAGAGGAAAGTTTTGATGAGGAGAGCTTGATGGATGATATGGAAGACGACGAAGATGAAGAAGAGGAGGATGATGAAGTAATGGCTAAGTGATTAACTAGTGATTAACTAAGCATACTATTATTTTCTTCTTCTTTCACGATACTTACTCCATATTTTTCCCCTGTTAATTTTTTAGTCATCAGGTATTGAATTACCAATCGAATCCATTGCACAGACCCCACTTTATTAGAGGTCACCATACTCAGCTAGATAATATGGTAGAAATATCATTAATGCATGTTTAAACATAAATCAAATGTAGTAGATTAATCTTTTTTTTTTTTACATATTTATTGTTCTTCCAAATAATCCCTTAGCTTATATTTATGTTTATTATATATCGTTATATATTTACCTATGATAACCCCTTAACCCATCTTCAAGTACTCTACATACATTGTCAACCTTTAACTTTGCTATCGCATCTGGGAAGTCACCCTTGCGATAAAAAATTACCACATATAATAAGCTATCAATATCTTTATTCTTGGTGTAATTTAACTTTTCTATGATAGCCTTAAAGCCAGATTCTTCAAATTCTAACACTGTCCATTTCACATCATTCTCATCATTGCTTGGTATTGGATCTTCTTCTCCAAGATCATATTGTTGCTCAAAGTTATTCACAGCTAGAAGAGAGCATATCTTTAAGTTGTTTGCAGAAAGTGATACTTCTTCATTAGAAGTTGTTACGGTGGTTAATGGCACCCCGGAATTGGATAACAAGGAAAGAGCGAGTGGTGCTCTGGAATCATTTGGACCAATCGGTTGTAATCCTTGCGAAAGCACCTTTGATATTTGTTTCAGTTGAAGCATGCTTGTATATTAGAAGGATAATGTAGTTAATTTAAGGAGGAAAATAATCAAAAAAAAAAAAAAAGAATGAATTGGAATACAAACAATCAGTGATAACCATTGATTAACATTATTCAATTAGATTATACATTTCTTGTTGGATATGGTGATTAGCCTCACGTGACATATTAGCCGGAATAACAATCTTGTCGCCTTCTAGGGCTGGTTAAAAAAAAAAAAATAGGTGAGCGACTGCATATAACCAGAACGCGGTTAGGATTTTTTCTTCCCTTGTCTTTCCAAACAAATCCTTTTGAGAACAAAGGAATATCAATACAAGGAATTCAATCATTCCATCAGTTGTTGTTTGTGAGTGGGGAGAACACATATAATTACACCAATTTAATAGAACTCGTGGGTTAGACAGCTTCAACCAATTGGGAAAGACATACCTGATAGAATAAATTATTTTTTTTTTATTTTAAGTCGTCTTTTACTATTGATTTGATTTGATTTGTTTATCCAATATATTGTCCAATTTCTCTCCAACTTCATTGCATTACAAACCAAGAGATGGAACATTACAATCAAAGGAAACGATTGGCCACGGCTCCAAGATTGCCCTTGAAGGAAACCAATGGTAATATCCCATCTCCAGTGCTAAAGAAGGCACGGATATCTCGTGGTCCTGGACTTGTAGGATCGTTAACCAATCGACCCGTACTTACACCAACAAATCTGCATAATGTGAGAGCTGGTAGTGGCACTAATACTGTCGCCGCTGCTGGAGGCTCGAAAACCACAACCCTTGTTGGGGAAGAATTGGTACAATGGCAGGCTGATTGGAGACGTATTATGAAGGTGAGTACAGCATATTTTGATACACAAGGGTGTGATGCCAATAGTGTTTCTCAACAAAATGAACAAAAACGAGCTGGAAGAGCATTGAGAATGGTAGGATGTAATTTGGCTAGATTTTATGATCGTGACGTTACTATAATCATTAGTAGAAGACCATATAATGCTCAAAGAGAATATCCATCAAATGATATATTTCATGATGCTCAAACTCAAAAGATTAAAGTATGGAATTATGATAAGGTTTTCCGGTTCCTTAAAAATATTGGAGTTGATCCAAATGCTACCAATGTGATGTCTACATCTACCGCAATCAATGGAGCATCTACAACCACTGCACCTGCTGAATTGTACAATTTACTTAAAGAAGAAAAAATCTTTGGAGCTAATGATCGTGATCCAAATGCAAGAAGAGATGATTTACATTATCTTGAACGAAATTATTTGTATGTCTATGATTTGAGTCAAACAGTAAGACCAATTGCTGTTCGTGAATGGTCAGACCATTCATATCCCGTTCTTAGTTTAACATTGGATGGGAAATGTCCATTTATTTTAGAGGCTGCAAATGAACAAAATCTGGAAAGACGGAAACTTCGTCGAATTCAAAAATTTGAAGCATCTAAAACTTATCGAGAATTATTGAAACAAGCTACATTAAAGATTGTAAATGATGGCAGTAATCATCTGGGAGAATTGGGAAGTTCTTGCAGTACCGATAGAACGGTAGAACAAGAAGAAGATGAAGAAACACGAGGCGAAGTTAGCCAAGTCGAATCAGAAGGTGATGTTGCCAATCAAGAAGTGGTTCATGTAGTTGAAGACGAAGAAGAAGATGTGACTACAGTTCAACCAAGTACATATTTCTTTAAGGCACCATTAGCACGTCAATCGTCAGTATTGCAAGCAAATGATTCAAATTCGAAATATTTCGAGGCTGCAGCATCCGGGTTTAATGGAGCATCCAATGCAGCACAGTGTCTGATGGACTCAACCCTTAATAGCAATGCCGTAGGGAATGGGCTTGGACCCAGTGTTTCACAAGTTCCCTCGAAAAATGTCAATAATTTGAAACGACGCATATTCATGAAGAAACAAAAACAAAAGCAAAGTAATAATCATCACTTTGAGAAGGAACAACGAGAAATGAAACCAGGATATTGTGAGAATTGTAGAGTTAAATATGATCATTTTGATGATCATATCCTCACAAATAGACATCGTAATTTTGCCTGTGACAACAAGAACTTCAAAGATATAGACGACCTTATTTTTACATTAAATGAGAGCAAGAAGTTTGGATTTGTTACTTCAAATGGTGACTGGGCATGAATGACCTCCTAGCATAGAAGAGCTATCAAAGATATAGTTAATATTAGCATAAAGAAAGAGAAATACTAACATGTAGTAAAAAAGTGTAGGATCGGCTAGAACTACAAAAACCTGCTTCTTATAATTTTCAATATTTTTATTTTTTTTTTTCGCTTTTGGTTTTTGTATCTATATTTTATATTTTTTATTTTATTTTTGAAGTTTTAAATAGGACAGCATATATTTCATTTGATCGGTAACAATGTTAACTCGTGGGTGTTGTATCAGATATATACCGAGCCGGCTGTATGCGGACTACCTTAAGGGTCTACCAAGGGTCGGGGTGTCACGGTTCGGAAAGAAGAAAATCACGCCATCTGTAGAGATAGTGGCACCTGAGAAGAATGAGAAGAACTTAAAGAAACCTTCACCACCAGCTCGTTTGAGCGGGTCTAAGTTTGGTGGAGGTATAAATAAAGGTAGTGCATCTTCTTCAACTGGGAATAGATTTGCTGATATGTTTTCCAATGGTGGTAATAAGAAATCTCAAGAAGGTCGTAACAATCGATCAAGCACTCAAGGTCGTGATACCACTGGTAATGTGACCAATAGTAAACCTACATCTACTACTGCCACCACCAAATCCAATACTAATAACGCTAACAATAAGAATAAGGCACCTTCTGGAAGATCTAACGAGAAAATTAATAAAAAGAATGACACTAAGTCATCCAAGACTGACCACAAAAAGGCGCAAGTTAGTGCTCCCAGAGCACCTATACCCATTACAATCCCAACTTTTGTTACCGTTTCAAATCTTGCCACCATCATGAACGTTTACCTTAACGATCTTCTTCTCAAGCTCAAAGAGTTGGGATTTGAAGATCTTCGTCACAATTATATTCTTGATAAAGAAACTGCCACTCTTATTGCAGATGAATATAACTTTGAAGTCACCATGAATGATGATCTTGGGGCAGATCTTTTCCCTGTACCAGTTGTTACAGAAAAGCTCAAACCTAGAGCTCCAATTGTTACGATTATGGGCCATGTTGACCATGGGAAGACCACTATTTTGGATTATCTTCGTAAATCATCCATTGTAGCGAAGGAACATGGTGGTATTACCCAACACATTGGTGCGTTTTCCGTTATTACTCCCTTGAGTAAGAAGAAAATTACATTTTTGGATACTCCAGGACATGCAGCATTCCTTAAGATGCGTGAAAGAGGTGCTAATATTACAGATATTGTGATTTTAGTGGTTGCTGCCGATGATTCAGTTATGCCTCAAACCATCGAGGCAATTAAACATGCCCAGAAATCTGGTGTTCCTATTATTGTCGCGGTGAACAAGTGTGATAAACCTACAGCCAATCCAGATAAAGTAATTGCTGATGTTTCCACTCATGGAATAGAAGTGGAAGATTACGGTGGAGATACACAAACTGTAAGAATTCTGGGTAAGACAGGTCTTAACATGGACAAACTTGAAGAAGCTGTGATTACCTTGAGTGAAATGATTGAATTACAAGCTGAAGAACAAGGCGTTCCAAGTGAAGGATGGGTGATTGAATCACAAGTTCAAAAGGGACTTGGGAATACTGCCACCGTTCTTGTCACCAGAGGAACTCTTAAGACTGGTAGTTTCATTGTTGCTGGAACCACCTATTGTAAAATCCGTGGTATGAAGGATGAACTGGGTAAACCTGTCAAACAAGCGGGTCCTGCCACCCCTGTCACTATTTGGGGTTGGAAAGAACTTCCTGGTGCTGGTGATGAAGTCATCCAAGCCACCACTGAACAATTTGCAAAGAAAGTTTGTGATAACCGAATGGCCAGAGCAAAGCAAATCCAAGCTCTGAAAGATATTGATCATATCAACGCCAAGAGAAAGGAAGAAGTTGAAATTATGAAGAAGCAAGAGAAACTTAACGAAATGAAACTTGCAGGATTAACTGAAAAGGAAATACAAGAGGAATTGGATGAAGAAGAGGAAGGTTCCAAAAAGACTTGTGTTGTTAATTTTATTATCAAAGCAGATGTTTATGGGTCAGCTGAAGCCATTAAAGAAAGTATCGATGGTCTTGGAAATGATGAAGTAAAAGCTACAGTTATTTTTGAAGAAGCTGGACCACCAACTGAATCTGATTTAGATAGAGCTGAAGCTGCAAATGCCCACATTCTTTGTTTCAATACTAAAGTTCCAAAAGATATTCAAAGTAAAGCCAGCAAGAAAAAATTAGAAATCATGGAACATAATGTGATCTACCATCTCATTGAAGATGTAACCAAGATTCTTACAAGTAAGCTTACTCCATTAGTGGAGAATAAGATTTTAGCTGAAATTTCTCTTCGTGATATCTTTACCATCACTGGGAAGAACAAGAGTAAGTATAAGATTGCAGGTTGTAAGGTGAACACTGGGTTGGTCAAGAGACAATCTCAAGTGATGGTCGAACGTGAAGGAGAATGTATTTTCAAGGGTAAGCTTTCTTCTTTGAAGCACATGAAGGATGATGTATCAGAGGTGAAAAAAGGTACTGAGTGTGGATTGTCATTTGAAGGATGGGAAGACTTCCAAGGAGGTGATGTGGTCAAGGTATACGAAGAGATTGTTCATCAAAGATACTTGTAGGAAATTGAACATATTTAAGAATGGCTTTCTTTGATAGTCCTGAATATTTTTGCACCCAATCAGATTTTGATAGAACGCTTTGTATCCTTAATGGATAAAACTTTCTCAAGAAACAAATAGATATGAGAATAAAAAGAAATGAGGTGGACCACCCTCTAATAGAGTACTTGATATTCTTAAAAGTGATTTCAAAATTATAAAGAAAGAAGTATATAGAAACTTCATTATATTCTTGTATATAACCTGTATATAATAATCATGATAAATTTTTTTTGTAACCATTTTTTTTTTTAAAACTGTAAGAGAAAAGTAGAGAAGAGGCAATAAAAGCTTTGATAGCAACTTGTATTAAGATTTCCAACATGAGTTCAAACGATTACTCCTCGGATGAAGAGGATTACGATAATTCTAAGACATCAGATGTTCTTTTAGGATTTGTAGATGTGGAGATCAATGCTGAAGCAGTAGATGAAGAAGATGGTGATGCTCCTACCATTGAAGACACCATTATTGGAGGCAAACCTGTTTGGCTCCATCCAGATTCACGTCCAACGGATGAACAATTATCATGTGGAAATTGTGGCGCGAAGATGGCCTTACTCTTGCAAGCGTTTTCTCCTAGAGAAGATGCACTTTACGACAGAGTGATTTATGTATTTGGCTGTAAGAGCACCAGAACATGTTCCAAGAAGAAGGGTAGTGTAAAAGTTATTCGTGGTGTTTCGAAAGATCCCAAAAAAATTGCGGATCTTGAAGCAGAAGAAGCTGCCAAGTTGCAACGTGATTTGGATACTAAATTACAATTAGAAGGAAAGAGAATCAAAGAACTTGAAATGACAAAGGATTTGTTTGGCAGTAGTACGAAGGTTGAAGAAACAAATGACAATCCATTTGGAGGTAGTAATCCTTTCAGTAGTGGTAATCCATTTGGAGGGAATAATAGTAATCCATTTGCTGCACCTGAAAAGAAAGAAGACACCAAGCCTAAGACCGATAGTTATGCAGAAGTTGCAAAAAAGAATGTACCAGCAGTGGTAAAGAAGTCTGATTCTCCAAAGGAATCTAGTGGTGTAGACGATCTTCCATCATATCCAGGATACTTCCTTTACGTTCAAAATGAAAAATTTAAGGTTTTTAACGACCCTGAACTTGAAAAATATAAAAACATCACTGAAATGGATGTTGATGGTGGAAGTGGTAACACTGGACGTAGTGGTGGCTCTGGAAATGCAGGAGGTGCAGCACAACTTGATCCTGGTGCCGCCAAAATTTCCGACATGCTTGACGATAAATTTTTCGAAGCATTCACAAACAAGGTGAGACACAACCCTTCACAAGTTCTCAGATATGAACTTGGTGGAAAGCCATTACTCTACAGTGGTCGTGATTCAGTAGCTGCGAAGTTCCTTGGGAAGGAAGTGACCGTACCAGCCCCAGCATACAACCCATCATCCTGCAGACAATTCGAACTTCAATTGATGCCAAAGGCAATTATGGACCTTGAACTGGAAGCAATTGGATCAGGAAATGTTACCGAGCTTCTTGCCGGAATGGAATGGGGGACCATCATCGCATGTACAGATGTAGAAGATTATGTACCTGAACTAGATGCCAACCACGTAGGATACGTTGAAGAGTGGTGTGGCGTTCAATGGGAGGAACTGGTGTAAGGTTAGAATGTAAATAGATCACGGTATAATAGAAATAAAGTAAGAGAGAAATCGGTAGAGGAAAGGTAGAGTAGAAAGAAGTAAGAGAAATATACACTAGAAAAAAGTAGATAGTGAATATTAGTAAGGGTAGTAATTATATATTGTGAATTGTAAAAGAAAAAGTGAGTTGTTTCTCATATTGATAATTGTTGCAGGGTGCTGCAACTTACGGCTGAGTATTGTCTCGAAAACAAAATATGAAACCTTTAAAAAAAAAAAAAAGGGAAAAAAAGACGTGAACTTGAGGGTACCTTGTCTAAGGTTTTTTTCTGGTACGTCATATCCCGGGAAAAAAACTAGAATGGAGGAAATCATTTTGTATTAAAACCTGCACAATTACATCATCTCTGAGCTTCTTTGAGTATACGGCTTCAACAAGGGCCATGAAGAACGGTAGAGATAGTTAACTTAATCTAAAGGACGTCATCTTATCGGTTCATTACTCGAAGAGCGTTCTGAAGACATACATCTAAAAATAAAGAATTTTTCACCTGCTTTCAATGACGTGTAATCGCATGGTCGGAGATGTGAGCGCAACTTTCCTACATTGAGATTTTTTTTTTTTTTATATAGGCGTCTAAAGCCCCACGCTCAAAACGCACATGAATCAAGGAATCTAGAAGACAAAACTCAATCAAGGAAAACTATATTTGTTATATCGAAGTATTTACTTTAAGCAATTTGATAAGATAGAATATCGTGTAAACATCAGCCAATACACATTAAAGGAGTGAGATAGACAGAGAAGGACACGAAGTAAGAAGCCCATAGTACAAGCACTGCCACGAATTCTCTATACAGTCCAATATCACATCAGTTGATCCAACCATGTCATCAAGTTCAGACGATGAGAGACCAAACTTCCAATCCAAGATCAACTTTGCTAACTTCAATGTAGGAGCCAGGAAGCAACCAAAGCCAAATGCTAAAAACAACTTGGCCAAAGCAGCAAAAAAGCAATTGGGTGGGGTTGCAGGAAAGTCCAGTAAAAAGGGTGCTAGATTCCCTGAACTGTACCAAAGGCACTCCATGATCAGTCAAAGTTCTTCAAGACAATCTGGAGAAAGTCTGACTGCAAGCAGCAGTGATGAAGATGATGTTGGCAGCTCCAATCGACTGTTTGAAGCAAATAGAAGCTTTGGGAACTCCTCTCCTTCACAGTACGGCGGCAAATCCCGTGGTGGAACTAATTTGCCCAGTTTTGACTTTAATAATGTAGTTCGGGGCCAGTTGATGGAGGGTGAAGGTGAGGACGATGATGACGATATGGGCGATGAAGGCGAAGAAGAAAACCAACTCGATCCGAGGTTTTATGAAACTGATAGTTCGGACGATGAAAGTGCATTGGGAGTTGGGGCACAAATGGCTCCACTGACCTCTAGAAAATCATCTATAAGGTCGAAATCATCATTAGGACATAATAGGGCAACTTACCCAGATGATAGTCCAGATTCTCGAGGAAGTGTGAATCACTTTGGCGGTGCCGCCGATGCCGGCGGGGTTTTCGAATCTCCTTTACATCCAGACATGTACCCAGATGAACATGATATAGTCGATCAAGATGCCACGTCGTTGGTATCTGGTGGATCGCAGGAAAGACCAACCGGTTTGAAATCTATCCTTCGTAAAATGTCACTTGTTGATTCGCACCCAAGTGACGAATATTCAATGGGCGCTAGCCTGGGTCATTCTCTGGGCCAACCTTCGCGATCAGATACATTCCTTGGACGTGTGTTGAGCTTCAGCCAGGACCACGGTTTGGGCGGTGGTGGCTTGGTTCCAGGAGGTAGCCGCAGTGAACGTTACCCTAATCGCTTGCAACATATTGACGAGGAAAGTGAAATTGGTCTCGATCCAGAAGATCCCAATTATGAAGATACAATTGAATTAAAAAAAATGGATTTTGCTAAATTAAGTGAAGAAGCACATAACTTAATTGCAGGTCATGTACCGGAAATGACTGTAAATAGAGCTGGCGAGCAACATGGAGTAGATTTGCTAGCAGAGACTGAAGGAGTCGGCCCAGTTGAAGGAGCAAGTAGCAGTACAGACAGTGTGAGAGAAGAAAAGAAGAGTACAAATCAATTACAGGGACCAGGTGAAAATCCTGTGGATACTTCCAACGGCGCCGAACCACAGGATGATTCCCATCATTCTTCATTCCTTGCCCCCAATCCCGATCTCTATCTTCGTGGGGAGGGCCAAGCTGATGATCCAGATGACTACATGATGTTAGACGAGGACATGGGAGACGGATATGTTGCCCCACCAAAAAAGGTGCACGCAGGTGTACTCTCTTCACTTCTTAAGCTTTATGCTAATCCCCAAGAAGCAAAATCGTCTTCTACCTTTGGAACTTCTGCTGCAACAACGCTTGCCGATGATTTTGACCAAGAAGAATCTGTTCACCATAGTCATAAGCCTGACTTTGGAAAATTGAAGACCGGCTTCAAAAAGCTCGGGAAAGGTAAACGAGGTCATCAATATAAATCGTCCACCGATGAAGGAGTCCGATTTCCAGATGGAGATGTGGAGTCAATATCTTCTACCGCATCGCACTACATTGGTGAAGATGCTCAGAATCTTCCATCGTTCCAAAATGCCAAACCTCGTGCGCCTAAGAGAGTTACGGTTAAGGCAACTAAATTAGCTGCAAAAAAACTCAAGGGCCAAAAGAAGTTTGATCAACAACTCAGAATCACAGTTCATATTGCGGATATTTTGCAACGCCAACGGTTTATTCTTCGCATGTGTAAAGCTCTTATGTTATATGGTGCACCAACCCATAGACTTGAAGAGTACATGACAATGACTAGTCGTGTATTGGAAATCGATGGGCAATTTATCTACTTTCCAGGATGTATGATCGTTTCGTTCGGTGATGCAGCTACTAGAACTTCGGAAGTGCATCTTGTCAGATGTGCCCAAGGTCTTAACTTATCTAAACTTTCTGACACTCATAAAATTTATAAGTCAGTAATTCACGATTTAACTGGCGTTGAAGCTGCGGCAGTTAAACTTGAAGACCTTTTATCAAAAAAGAACCTCTACAATCCTTGGTTGTGTGTTTTCTTTTATGGTTTGGGATCTTCCATGGTGACTCCATTTGCCTTTGGTGGAGGTTGGCTTGATATCCCCGTTAGTTTTGCTGTGGGATTATGTGTTGGTTATCTCCAATTTTTTGTATCTTCCATGTCCAATCTCTATTCATCGGTGTTTGAAGTTACTGCATCGATTGTTGTTTCATTCATATCTCGTGGTATTGGGAGTATACACGGTGGGAAAATCTTCTGTTTTTCCGCAATTGCTCAAGGTTCGTTAGCATTGATTCTTCCTGGGTATATTATTCTTTGTGGTTCCTTGGAACTTCAATCACGTAACATTGTTGCTGGATCTGTGCGTATGTTTTACGCTATCATCTACCTGTTGTTTCTTGGGTTTGGTATTACCTTGGGTGCAGCTCTTTATGGTTGGGTTGATAAAAATTCTATATCTGAATCTACATGTCCAGCAGACCATGGAATTGATGCACGTTTCCGTATTTTATTTGTGCCAATGTTTCTGCTTGCGCTCGGTTTAATTAATCAGGCTCGCTGGCGTCAAGTTCCAGTTATGATTATAATTGCCTCTGTTGGTTATATCGGTACATATTTTGCAGGTAAACATTTCTCACTGGTTACAGAATTTACAGCTGCAATTGGTGCTTTCATTGTCGGTATCTTGGGTAATATGTACCTGCGTATTTGGAAAGGTATGGCCGTCAGTGCTATGCTTCCAGCTATCTTTGTTCAAGTTCCTTCAGGGATTGCATCACAATCTTCTCTCTTGACCGGGATTGATACAGCTAATCAAATTACGAATGGCTCCACTAAAACTGTAGATGCAGCCTCTAGTGCTGGTTCACTCCTGTTTGGGGCAGCTATGGTTGAAGTATCAATTGGTATTAGTGTTGGGTTGTTTGCTGCAGCTCTTGTGGTTTATCCATTCGGGAAGAAGCGTACTGGGCTCTTCACTTTATAGAATATTCAGACTTGTATATAAACTTATATACGACAAGATTTAAATCAGTATAAGCAAGTGTTTATAGATATTGGTACCTGAAAATGTGGTCTTTTATAATAGTAATCTAAAGAAAGCGATTCCTATCACTAATTGTCGTGAAACTTGCAACCATTTTTGTTTTATCTCTAAATCTAAATATTTTCAAATTTTTCATTTCTTCTCTTTTTTTAAAATTGAAAAGAGTAAGTGGGAAGTTTCCATACATACAATTGTGTATATTATATATGATGATCACTCTTCTTTATACAATTTATATACAACCACATGTCCTTCACTAAGTTGGAAGAATCAAGTTTGTTGTAAAATAGCAAATACTCTATGGTCGTGCATGTGTTCAATAGCCCACACATACAGCAGCACAAAATTCGGTTCCATCTAAAGTTTTATTTACAACTTTTAGCTTCAGCTGCAAAATCATGGAGACCCCGAAAGTAATCCTGGTAAACTCGGACACTTCGGTTAGTGCACTGGCACCAAGTGAAACGGGTAGTGTAACTCCAAATAAGTCCGATGGTGACGAGCTAAATACTTCTAGACCATCACTGAAAAGGCGGCAACATAAATTTCAAGACATGAGTTCACTCAAAAAATATCAAATTATACTGAAGCTTGGCCAAGGTACATTTGGTGTAGTTCAGAAGGCACGGGACTTAAAAACAAATAATATAGTTGCCCTTAAACAGTTGTTAAATCATTCAGCAAAAGAAGGATTCCCGATAACTGCGATGAGAGAAATCACAATCTTGAAGAAATTGCACCATAAGAATATATTGGAGTTGGTTGACATGGTGTATGAAGCCCCTAAAGTGTCTATTCCGCTGGACGTGATACATCAAAGAGGTTGTTTCTACACAGTGGCACCATACATGTGTTCCGATTTGGTAGGACTCTTGAAGAATCCAGCAATCAAATTGGAAGTGCCACATATCAAATGTTTTATGAAACAGCTTCTACAAGGAATTCAATATATACATGAGCAAAAATATTTACATCGTGATATAAAAGCTGCCAATATATTGGTAGATTATGATGGGGTATTGAAGATTGCCGATTTTGGTTTGGCTAGAGTATATCACGGTCATGTTCCTGTACTTGGACATGGGCCAGGGGGTGGAGACAGAGCATACACAGGTCTTGTAGTCACCCGATGGTACAGACCCCCAGAACTTTTATTGGGAGAGCGTAAATACACCACTGCAGTAGATTTATGGGGGATTGGCTGTGTATTTGCAGAATTATTTACCCATAAGCCAATTCTTGTTGGGAAGAGTGATTCACATCAAGCACAGATTATTTTTGAACTCTTAGGAGCTCCAGACACTTTAACTTGGCCCGAAGCTGTGAACTTGCCGAATAAAGCAGATTTCAGTATTGGTATCACTTGTAAGAGAACACTTGAATCAAGATTTCTGTCTCTTATAAGCGAGGATGGGTTGGATTTACTTTCTGGACTCCTTCAATTGAATCCATATAAAAGACTCAACGCTTTAGATGCGTTGGAACATCCATACTTCAAAAATGAACCATTGCCAATGGAACCAAATGAATTGCCAACTTTTGAAGAAAGTCATGAAATAGATGCTGAAAGATACAAAAAAATGAGAGAAGGCGGAGTAGCAGGAATACCAAGTGACTTTGAAGTATCAAACACGTCTGTGGTACCATCAACAGGACCCAGACATGGAAAACCATACCCACCGACTATTGCTACTGGTGGACTTCCTCAAAAGCCACTTTATAAATCTAGCTTCGCAGGTAATGGTGCCACTAAGAATGTCTCTGGCTGGGGAAATGGAAGGGCTACAAATGGAATTTCTAGACCGAATCATTTCGAAGACAACTACAGATCGTCTTCATCAACACCGCCACCTCCACATCCATCAGTAGCACATTCAGGTGATAGACCGGGTACAAATTATGTTCCACTCAATAGACTGGGTCCTAGTAGACGTCGTCCTGATTCTCCCGAAACCACTCAAAGAAGAGTGGAATCAACAAGAGGCGGGGTATTCATGCAAAAGAAAAGACAAGATATGTATAAACCAGTTGATACCAAGAGAAGAAAAGTTATACAAGAAAATAAAATTGAGGGGGCAGATAAATCCAAGGAAAAACTTGATTCAGATGTGGTTCATAATGATTAAAGACTTAAATCCGTAGATTGTGAAGAGAATGAAGACATTTTCAATACGTCCAATATATAGAAAAGAGAGGATAGTACTAATAATAATACAATATTTTTAATGAACTTGTAGAATACACAAATGATAATTGGCCAAAAGTTTTAAAGCCCTGTGTAGCATTGCTTAATTGTAGCCAAGAGTTTGTCATCATTTTATTAAAGGGTAACAACGTAAATGATCTGGGCCGCGCGGAAAAACCCCGGTCCGATGTCGGCCCCCACTTTATCTGATCAATAAGATAAGCAGATCATATATCACAAAGTTGGTCATATACGCGGCAAAAGAGCCGTGCATTCCTACCATATATATGTGTCGTTGATAATCCGCGTGAGCAGTTTATTGATATTACGAATCAAAATCAGGGGTAATATGATTGACGATTATTTTTCTATTCAAGTATTTCTCATTGTTCTCAGGGAAACACTAGAGTCTGCAATTATCATTTCAGTTCTTCTTGCATTTGTCCACCAGAATTTTTCTCAGGAATCCCAAAAAAAGAATGAACTGAGCTATAGGAGTATTGAGTCAGTAGAATCTAATGTTGATATTATAGACCAAGAAGAAGCTGTCAACTCCCCAGGCACTAACGCTGATGTAGATAGATTTTTAAAAGTTCAGATTTGGTTAGGAGGCTTACTTGGATTAGTTTCTTGTCTTGTACTTGGTGCAGGTATTTTATGGGTTTTCTACGTACTTGGAAATGACTTGTGGTCAGTAACAGAGCATTACTGGGAGGGTACATTTTCAATCATAGCTAGTATCATTATTTCCGTTATGGGAGTTAAAATTTTGAGAGTGAATAGAATGCAAGAAAAATGGAAAAAGAAGCTTCTTGCTGCAATCTATAGTTCTAATTATTTAGGGAACCCTAACACAAATGCTACAAAAGCCACATCCAAATATTCTATTTGGAGCGAAAAATATTTTATGTTCGTCTTGCCATTTGTAACCACGTTACGTGAGGGTATGGAGGCTATTGTATTCATCGGAGGAATTGGAATCAATGAAAATACTTCAATTTGGGCAATTTTGAATGCTTTGATTCTGGCAATGCTTCTCGGTTCATTCATCGGCTTTTTACTTTATAGACTGGGGAATTCTCTTTCATTACAATGGTTCCTTGTTTCCTCTTCACTTTTACTCTACTTAGTTGCTGCCGGTCTCTTTTCGAAAGGTGTGTGGAATTTTGAACTTCAAAGATTTATTGACTTGTGTGATGGATTTGACGTCAGTGAAACCGGCAATGGACCGGGATCTTATGATATAACTAATAGTATCTGGCATGTTAATTGTTGCAACGGTGAAATCCAAGAAGATGGGGCTTTTTGGATGATATTTACCGCCGTTTTAGGATGGACGAATAGTGCTACTTATGGTAGTGTTTTAGCCTATAATTTCTATTGGATTGCTATCATGTTGGCATTTGGACTGTTAATTTACGAAGAAAAATATGGTAAACTTCCGATTCCTGAATCATGGCAACAAAATCGTATAAAGAAGAGATCTGCATATTCTGCATTAGCTGCGGAACCGAGTCAGTCCTCTGTAGTTGAACCGAGGGATAGCGTCAGCTCATTATCGCCTTTACAGGGATAGATTCACATGCATTGTTTAATATAAACCAATGAAAAGTAAATAAATAAATTCAATTATAGTATGATTCAGAATTTTCATTGTAGATTTAACACATAAAGGGATTTCTGCATGTATGCGGAGGCGAGCCAACGTGATTTACCCAATAGTATTTCTTCAACAATATACTATATGCACCTTTAAAAAAAATAATCCCTAAAAAACAATTATCTATAAAATCAGCTGCACGTCAGAAAAATAAGCTTTGGAATGAATGCATGAAAGTATCAGCTCAGGGCCCCAAGATTTGGTAGTATTAAAATTTCGTATTTGGTGGTTAATTTCTCTTCGTTATGATGCATTAGCCTTCTCTCCTTTTCCTAAATCTCTTGTCCTTCCACTATGTACCTTTATTTTTGCAGCATCGTCTAGCCTTGAATGCAAGGAAATAGAAACACATTTTCTCTAAAGCTCAAGATATTCACTTATGTGTTTAGTGAGCTATCTAGAAGTTAGTGAGACATTCTTTGACTCTTCAATATACTGAAATGAAGACCGAAATCGGTTGCCCCCACTTTTATGATTGGTTATTTTTTATTTTATTACTTATATGCATTTACGTCAATGCAACAAAGGATAGAGTTTTGGGAAGGATATACATAAATAAATCAGGACACATGCTCTTTCTGAAGGATATTCTGATAGATAGAGCTTTATAATACCAATCATATTGAAATTGGTAAATACCTTATGGTGTGTACTTCGTATGTGAAGATATATTCATAAATTAATTAAAAGAATATCGATTCTTCTCCCTTCTGCATTATAAAATGACTTGTCAAAATGTATAATAAATTATGTAGAATTTACGAGAGTGTTTTTCTTGGCAAAATATTCCGAATAAAACCCAACTCTATGTTCCCATATTTCCCATCCCCCGAAATTGTCGTTAAAGGCGGGAATCCTTTACCACCCTATAAATTGCTGCTGGTATCCCCCATTGTTGTAATTTGATCCAAGATTATATATTTACCCCATTGAAGTCTTGATGAGAAATACAATATTATACTTCCCTTTTGTTTTCGCAACCGCGCTCTGTCATGGGCTCAAGGGAGCGCCATACGCAAGATATGGTTCAGAGATAATAAATCTTTACTCTTGTAACTTGCAGATGATGCATACAGTTTCATTCTGTAGTGACCCTTTAGACGCAGGGTTTGCATGTTCATGCAAAAACAGCAATGCTTTGGCAACTCTTGCTGGTTGCTTTAACAATGGAAAAAAACCTGTTATTTCAGAAGCAACATTGGCATTATGTGAAAAGAATTATTTGTCTCCTGTTAGTGTGGAACAGTTTCAAGAAGCATACATTAACTTCACTCTTCGTGCAAAGACTATCGATGAAATCCCTGGATTCAATTTATCCATTCCCGTTGATGTCCCAATCAGACTTGATCCAGAAATTGTTTCTCTTTACAAAAGGGCATATAGACAATTCTTAGGGAATTATGATAACTCGTTATATTATGGATCCGGTATGTTGGGGTTCTGGCTACTCGTGTTCTTAGTTGTGGCAGTGTCACATTGGAGTAAACTACTCTTCCCCGGTGTTGTGAAATACTTTACAGGTCCGACATCAAACATTTTGAGAAAGTATATTACTCTTCCAGCTACTGGTAGAAGAAGAAGGACGAACGAAAAGCCGTTGTGGAAAGTATTTGACTTTTTGGTGCCCTCAAGAAAGGAAACAATTATAATTTTTTTGTTCACCTGTCTCACCATTTTCTGCAACTCTCACAACATTGTTTACATTAAAAATGATCCAATCTTTACCAAAAAGTCTGATGTTTTGCTTCGTTACACAGCTGACAGAACTGGTATAACTGCAAGTATTATCATGCCATTGTTGGTTTTGTTTGCGGGAAGAAATAACTTTTTGCAGTGGCTTACAGGGTGGAACTTTGCTGTTTATATCTCATTCCACAGATGGATTGCAAGAATTGTATTTGCCTTGGTGTTCGTACATGCTGTAACATTTTCTTTTGCTCTAGGTACAAAATACTATGCTGAAGACATGAAAGAGACCTATTTAGTATGGGGTACTCTTGCTACCGTTGCTGGTGGTATAATTATGGTTCAAGGACTTATGGCTCTCAGAAGACGTTGGTACGAAATATTCTTGATTATTCATATTATCATGGCAGCTTTATTTATTGGTGGATCTTGGATTCATGTAGACGAATTAGGCTATGTGTGGTTCTATTATGCTGCCACCGCCGTATGGGCATTTGACAGATTAGTCAGAATATTGAGACTTGTGACATTTGGTTGCCCCGAGTCAGAAGTTAGTTTTTTGTCCGATGAAACTCTCAAAGTAGTGGTTCCCAAACCAAAATACTGGAGGGCCATTCCTGGTGGCCATGCTTTCGTTCACTTTTTACGACCATCATGTTTCTGGCAATCGCATCCTTTCACTTTCACCACCTCCACTTCACAAGAGACTGAAAATAGTATCGTATTGTATTGTAAAGTCAAAGGAGGTGTAACTCATGGACTATATCAATATCTTGCCACGCATCCTGGAAAGCGTACCACTATTAGAGTCTCTCTCGAAGGTCCATATGGTGAGTCGACCCCTGCCAAGAGATACGATTCGGCTGTTTTTGTCGCCGGTGGAAATGGAATTCCAGGTATTTATTCCGAAATTTATGACTTAGCCCTCAAGCAACAAGAGAATTCAGACAAGATCTTAAAGTTATTCTGGGTTGTTAGAGAGTATAAATCATTGTACTGGTTTTACGAAGAATTGCTCGCCTTGAAAAGTACCAAGATAGAATGTACTGTTTTTGTTACTCAACCAGATTCAGAGTCTTGCATAAATGAATTCGCTAGTAGAATGGTTCAAAAGTTCAGTGACACTGAATCAGAGGACAAAAGTGATTCATACAAGGAAAAAATAACTGAAGAAGGAAGTGTTGACATTAGAAGAATCGTTCATCAGATTCACAATGAATTGAATCACATCAATTTTGTTGAAGGTAGACCTTGTATGGATTCTGTTGTGAAACAGGAAATTGAAGACTCTCCCGGTTCCGTTGCATTCATTGTTTGTGGCCACCCGTTAATGGTAGATGATTTGAGATATTCAGTCGCACATTCTTTAGACTATGCCAAGGGGAAGAGAGTTGACTTTTTTGAACAATTGCAAGTTTGGGCTTAAGCTATCAATATTTATTATACTTTACTAATATATGCGTCTTTAAAAGGTATCAGCAAAGTATTGCTATTTAATTATCAAACATTTCATCTACTGAGGATCCTAAATATACTTTTAATGTTTTCCTTGTTGCTGGGAGAATTTTACATTTTACCATTGTTTCCTTGTTACCTTCATTACTTATTCTATCATATGCTTGAAACCTATGGCATCCACCAAATGCAAAATAATACGACACTCCTTGTTCTCTAACAAGGAATACATCTATAGGTGGTAATTCTCCAGAAGAAATGTCTTCAATCCCACAAGTGGCAGAAGCCATTGGTACACCGTTAAGTGTGGACACCATGGCATCAATCTTTTGGTGGTCAAGCACTGGTGGAATTGGACGCCGTATTTGCAGCAAGGGTACATATTCTACCTTAAGGTGGGTGGATTGAAGTGACATATTCTGGATAACAAAAAATACTTCAAAAATTTTACCTATCACAATTTTACTCCGTTGATACATCTTTATATATTTTCGCAGCCATCGATGATTGCTGCGATTATCTTTGTCATCCAAAGTTCCAGAACTTTCGCAAATAATTATACACAAAATTTATTACTAAGAAAATGCCTGCATAACAACGGCAATTCACCGAAGGTTTATACTTTTCAAATAACTACCCACAGACTACACGTCGGCGTTGCAGGAGCAGTTATATGTACGAAACAAACGCCATATGTTATAATGTATGTAGAGGGTCTACATTTACCAGAAAACAATTAAAACAGTTAATTATAAAATTTCTTCTTTTGTTCATTCTTAAACTTTCATCTATATCCTACTTTTTTGTACTTCCAAAGGATTCTTACCTCGTTCCAACTGAATCCTTGTTATCATTTCTTTGAGCATTTTTCCGTTTACCTGTACTGTCTGGTTATTATTTTATAACTTTATTCCACTCTAATTGGTCGGTAAACATTCGCGAGGTCGGACATTATCTTTTTCATCAAAAATTTTTCGGATCAAGAAAAAGAAATAACTCCCAAAGCCCGAATATATCACACTATATTTATATATATATATATATGTATATATAATAGGTTGACAATTCCAGTGTACTTCTACTGACGTATAAGAATAAGTAGAACAGCGCTTTCAAAAATATTCTCACAAGGTAATATTTTTCAATTACTTCACTAGTTGCCCCTATCACGTGATCTTCTCTGATAAACTACTTGGGATATCTGTAAAGTGTGGTTCACATGGCTCCTTGTGGGTACTAATTTCATATATTTATTAAGGGAAAAAATTGTACATTTACTTCAAAGGTACATACTTGGGGTCTTCCTATAGATAATTGTCTTTATTGGGCACATCAAGGATGTTCTATTTAGCTTTACAAGTTGCTACAGTTGCGGCTATTATAGGATTGACTTTCAAACAGTTTAAAGGATACAAGAGATGGAAAAATGGATTCTTCATACTAGCACTTGTCCTTATGTGGGTAGGATTAACTCCAGATCGTGCACTCGCAAGTGCTCCCATACAACTTTTCGGTCCCTCGAGGATTGCATTCTATTCGTGTAGCGGCCAAATCAACTCCATTGCAACCTTTTGTGACCAAACTGAATCAAGTGTTGGAAATGATTGCTTCTGTAAAAATAAATATGCACTCGCCACTATAGCCCACTGTTATGCCACGGCACATGAAGATCAAATCCCGGGGTTTTTGAAAATGTGCAGAGGCTTTAATGTATCTATTTCAGAATCTGAATTTGCATATGCCGCTCAAGCTTATCAGAATTTTGCAAAGTTCCCCAATGAGATTATGGATTTTAATCAAACAATGCCTGTAAGTGTACCCATTCGATTAAATGATTCGGTGACGTTACTATATAAAGATTCATACGGTGCATTCTTAGAAAATTATGACAATTCGTCTATCTATTCAAGCATACTAATCTCGTATTGGTTCTTAGTAGTGGCAATTGCAACTATTTCCAATTGGAGCAAGGTATTGTTGCCAAATTTTGTACAAAAGAACCTCAATGGTAGATTGTCGAATTCTTTTAGACGATACATAAGTTTGCCAGCTACTTGGGGTAAAAAGAAGACTGATGAAAAGAAATTTGGGAAATATTTTGACTTTTTGGTACCTACTCGCTCAGAGACAATAATTATTGGGGTCTTTGTTTGTCTCATGGCCATTGTAATTCCATATGACATACGGTATTATGAAAATGATATCATATTTAATAGTAAGCAGCAGGCTATATTAAGAGCTTATGCGGTCAGAACTAGTGCAATTGCCAGTAACTTAATGCCGCTTTTAATTTTATTTGGTGGTAGAAATAACTTCCTCCAGTGGCTCACTAGATGGGACTACTCAACATATATTACTTTCCATAGATGGATATCCAGAATAGTGGTATTGTTAATAGTCGCTCACGCCATTTTGTACTCGTTCTATTTAAAGGGGAACTACGTGGAAGAGATGTTGCAACCATTCTTGATCTTAGGAAGTCTTGCGTGTATTGCTGGAGTTGCTATCTTAATACAAGGGATCCTTATCTTGAGACGAAGATGGTATGAAGCTTTTTTGGTTATTCATATCATCCTTGCCGCAATATTTATTGGTGGTGCATGGTTCCATGTTAATGAAATTGCATTTGTTTGGTTTTATTATTGCTCAGCGGTCATCTGGGTTTCTGATAGAGTTGTTCGTATTTCAAGAATATATTCTTTTGGTTTCCCTAATGCTAAGGTGTTACTTTTATCTGATGAATGTTTGAAAGTTGTCATCCCAACTCCACGGGATTGGATTTCTGTTCCTGGTGGGCATGTTTTCATTCATTTCTTGAGATCAGGTTACTTTTGGCAATCCCATCCCTTCACTTATACTAATGCAATTCATTCTGATAATAAAATCATTTTGTATTGCAAGGTTAAGGGTGGAGTTACTCAAACAATATATGAGGAACTAATAAACACTCCTCAGCGATCAATTAATATGCGAGTAGCTGTTGAAGGATCTTATGGTGAACCCACTCCTGCAAGTAGATATGATTCTGCGATTTTCATTGCTGGGGGCAACGGTATCCCAGGTATATTTGCTGAAGCTTATGAAATGCGTATGGCGTCAAATAATCTTAAACAACGTGTGAAGCTTTACTGGGTTATTAGAGAATTTAAATCGTTGTATTGGTTTTATGAAGAACTTCTTTCTCTAAGGGACACTGGTATTGAGGTTATATGCTATGTCACAGCCCCTGATAGTGAAAGAGGAGCTGAAGATTTTGAAAAGCGATTACTAGCTGCGGAAGAATGTTTAAATGAAGGCGATAATTTACTTGATGTTGATGTATCAGAAGAATCGGTTAATGTATCAGAGATAATATCTATTGTGAAAACCGAATTAAATCATATCCAATTCAAAGAGGGCCGCCCTAATATAGAAGAGATTGTGGCTTTAGAAATCCAAGAATCTTTTGGGTCAACAACATTTATTACTTGTGGGCACCCAGTCATGGTTGATGAAGTTCGTGCGGCAGTGGTGCAAAATATTGGCCAGAAAAGAGCAGATTACTTTGAACAACTTCAAGTTTGGGCATAATAGTGTATAGATACGGTTACGGGATAACTGAGTATTAATGATAATATGATAATAATAATTAGAATGTAAATGAAATGAAACTTAAAAGTATTAATAACCAATAACCAAACGAACTCAATCCAGATCTACCATTAGAGTGTGTCAATAAATAATAGATACTACAAATTCTCTATGTACGAGAAGGTCGTGTGTTTACCGGACCCTTTTCCTTTTTTGTTTTCAAAAAAAACGTACAAATTTGGTGGGGTACAAAGTTGGTTGTATAGTGTAGTGGTTATCACATTCGGTTCTGATCCGAATAACCCCAGTTCGAATCCGGGTACGACCTCTTCTTTTTTAACTTTCAGTTAATTATATTTTTTTTTCCCAGGCAACATACTAAAACTTTTCAAATCAAGTTTACATAAAAGATGAGAGTAACTCCTCAGTCACTGAACTCATTCCACAAGCTTCGATAAAGAAAATAAAAAAAAAAGATATTTAATCGAAGCACAAAGTCTTTCATTCTCACCTCTTCATATACAATCACGTGACTGCGATGCCATCTACAAATTTTAAGCATATTTTTTTTTTTCTTGCCTCACCAAAAAAAGTTCGCGATGCTTTTGTGCAAAAGTTTTGGTGACAAGTTGATATCATCTTGACTTCTTTACTTGATAACTATAGCAAAATGATTAGAACAGTGTATGTATCCAGTAGATAAGGAGAGCTCCACTCCCATTGTGTTAGTGGCAGTTGCTTTTTTCCTATAAATCACTTACTAACTTCCCCTTGTAGTAAACCAAAGAATGCTCGTTCCAAGAGAGCCTTAGCCAAAAAGGAAGCTAAATTGGTAGAAAACACCAAGTCTGCTTTATTCGTTCCAGGTTCCACAAGTAACAAGCTCTTACATGATGCTATGTGTGACTTGATGGCCTTGAAGAAGCCTCACGTCAAGAAGTTTTCCAGAAAGAATGAAATCAGACCATTTGAAGATGCCGCTGAATTGGAATTTTTCTCTGAAAAGAATGATACCTCTTTAATGGTTTTCTCATCTCACAACAAGAAGAGACCTAATAACTTGACTTTTGCCAGATTTTTCAACCACAAGGTCTATGACATGATCGAATTGTCTATTCAAAATAACGTTAAATTGTTGCAGGATTTCAAGAAGTTGACGTTTACCATTGGTCTTAAACCAATGTTTGTTTTCAATGGTCCAGCATTTGACAATCACCCAGTATTCCAACAAATCAAGTCCTTATTCTTGGACTTCTACAGAGGTGACGAAACTGACTTACAAGATGTAGCTGGTTTGCAACATATCATTGCCTTGTCTGCTGGTGAAATCGAAGATCCAAACTCTACTGCATTGCCATTATTACACTTCCGTACCTACAAGTTGAAGACTTATAGATCTAACCAAAAGGTCCCAAGAGTGGAGATTGATGAAATTGGTCCTAGATTTGATTTCAAGATTGGTAGAAGAGTTGCTCCAGCTCCAGAAGTTGAAAAGGATGCTCTTGAAAAGCCTAAGCAATTGGAAGCCAAGGTTAAGAAGAACGTCACCACTGACTTTATGGGTGACAAGATCGGTCGTGTCCATGTTGGTAACCAAGATTTGGGTAAGTTACAAACTAGAAAAATGAAGGGTTTGAAGGCCAAATATGACCAAGTTGAAGTAGACAATGAAGAAGAAGACTTTGTCAGTGCTGACGAAGAACCAGCACCAAAGAAACAAAGAGTCTAGAGAAAAAGAAGGGGGAAAGATTATTTTTGCATTAGCAATGGATAGTATTCGCTGTCTTTGTCTGTTTACTTTTTTATTTGGAAGAGATATAGATTGTTATATTTCTTACCTTCACCTTGTACACTATATATATCATTAATCAACGTCATGTTAAGAAAAAAGATTCACGAAAGTCGTTCTATAGTATAGAATAATGTAGGGCGATCCCGTATGAATTTCAAAGACTATAGTACCTTTCTTGCGTCAGTAGTTTCTATCATTTTGGTTATTATACCGTTTTCTTTTTTTCCTGTTTTTTTTTTGTTGTCTTTTTTTTATTGCGTTTGACACTGTGCGCTCAATTTGGATGTGTTTTTATTTTTTTAGTTGAACTATCAACAAGTTTTGATTCCCATAGGCTACTACATCAACGTTTAGTTATGCCTGTAGAACAGCAAACCCTCTTTCGTGCTCGTGACAATGGGAATGGGTCTGATGTGACTTCAGTTTCCATTTCTAAAGATGAATCATTTCAACGTCCAGTGACAACTGGAATCATTGAATTGACCAAGAATTCAAAATACTGTGTTTCGAGACTCCCAGCATCTCCTTCAGTCTTAGGGAGCGATTCCCAAGATACATTGAATGGGTATGCTGACCACTTCTCGAATTATTCGCTTGTAGTAAGCGATACTACAATTAATGTATGGAGTTATAAATCTACCGATGCAACTCCTTTATCGATTCAATTCCCTGTAACTCAAAGCAGTTTACCCTTGGCAATTTTAACTCGACCAATGAATGCCACTACCGAGGACCCTGGTTTGGCCATAATTGACTCCACCTCTGGTCATGTCAAATTTTATGAAAGTGTGCAACATGCACCAGCATTAGGGTTAATGAACAATAAGCTGTTGGAACTTACTATTCCATTATATGAAGATGAGTATATAACTTTGGCAGAAAACGTTGAGCCAGCTGGAATTGTTGTAGCTACTTCATTGAAGAGATGTGTGTTGCTCAGTTTAAAAGATTACTTGAGTAAACCAAAGCTTAGTGTCACTGAACTCCTTGCTCCTCAATCAAAAGGAGGTATACTTTCATACTTCACTGGCGAAAAGATCAATACTAATTCTGGAGTTATGGATGAAATCGTCAGTATTCGTTCCTCGAAATTGTTGGAACAAGGTCTGATTCAAGATATATTTATCCAAGATTCAGTTGGTAAATTTACATTGATTAGAATTCAACTACACAGAGGAGCAAATGGCTCTGTTTATCTCGATAAAAAGAATTCTTATCAACAATATATCTCTACATATTTGGAAAGAAGTATGGAAGGGTATCTTCCTGGTAAATCCTTAAATGTTAGTGTATTGGACTTGTGGCCTCTTTTATCACATGAGCATGTATATATAGCTCTCTGTTCCGTCGACCAACCTTCAAATGATCTGAGCTTGATATTGGTCACATTAAAGATCGATAGCACTGGTGTTCTTCTCTATGGAACCCATAAATTAAACCCAATGGGAGGAGAACTGTTTTCTACCACGACTAACAAACCTCGTATGTTCTTACCAAGTCCTGGGACCACTGCGTTTGTTGTTATTGGTAACTCCGTCATTCTTACTGATGTCAATCCTTCATACATAGAGTCACGCACAACTGTACAATACTACACACCTAGATGGGAAGACACCATTAGATTGAGATCTTCTATACAAATTATTGGGCAAGGGTATGAAGACCAGGGAGTCAATGCTAATCCTGCAATTGTTCTTATTACTAATGATTGCGGAGTATTAAGAATTGAAAGATTTTCTGATAATGATGATGATGATGATGATGAGGCTGGTGATTCTTCCAACGGTATGTTGGGAATACAAGATGCTGAAGAGCCAATTTCAATCATAAAGTCACATATTGAGCAAGCTATATTTTATGCTGACTCATCAGCCATTGAATTTGACTTAGATGAAGATTTCCCTGAAGATGTTGTGACACTTGCAGTGGTTCAAATAATAGATGCAATTCTTGATTCTTCATCTCCATATTTACCATCATTCTTACCTTCAGTGAGTGACTTTTTGGTCATGAAATCCAACTTATACCATAAGCTTATTGTGTATGTCAAGAAGAACTTTGAACTCTATTGGGGTAATATTGTCCCACACATTGTGGAACGTCTCGAGAAAACAGATGTGGCATACCAATTATGGGTATATTTAGATGGTAAGTCACATGTTAAATATCAAGACATTTTAAAGAATGTTGTTATAGGACTTGGTGATTCGACTTCTACCGCTAGTGATCCAATTCGCAAATTTTTTTCACATGATGTTGTCCGTATTAATGAAGTTTTAACAAAATTCATTGTAAAACTTAGCGAAGTGGATACTCCTCTTTCATTCTTACTGGAACTTCTTGTTAAGACTATGTACGACGGGGTTTTCAATAATGAAAAGGAATATATATTAAATGAACTGGAGATTCAACCACGTCAATCATGGATTTTCGAAACTGATTTAATTATCAAGTTTGAAGAAATATTTAGAAAAGTTTATTGCAATGGTGGTGATGAAATCTCAACGGAAACGAGAAAACAAAATGTTGAGCAATTATGTGAAGTATTATATTACTTTGTTACTAGTGCTGTTCAATTTATGCAACTACATGACAAGGACCAATTAAGAGAATATTTGTTGTGGTATAACAAAAATAAACCACAATGGATCAAGGCACTTATTGACCGCGGTCTTTATTCGGAAGCCATCAAGATTTGTGAACGTTATCATGATCTTCTGTCATTAGTAGAAGTGTTGGAGCATCGTAAAAACACCGAAGGTGATTCTCCTCAACTTCGTGCAATGTACGATGAGTACTTTGAGAACTTTGGCTATGAGTTTGCATCTAGCTTATATAGTTACTATGTGAAGAAGGATGAAATCCAAGCTCTTTTACTTGGATTTGAAAATTATAGAGAGTTTGCGATTAGATACTTTGAAGAAAATCGATCCAAAACTAGTAAAGTATCATGGATTCGTTACTTTTTAGATTCTAATTTTGCTGTTGGTTCTTCTACATTGATCGAATCTGCTAGTGGTACTGATAATTCAGAGAACAAAGAATTGACTTACTCATTAGCCAAACTATCTGCTATTGCTGCCCAACAAAATGGTTCAACTCCTCATTTGGAAGAGATTGTTACTGATGCAAACTCCAATTTAATTCAAATTAGAATTCAAAGAGATCTTTTCACAGAATTACTGAAGGATATTTCTGGCAAAGGTGATTTATTCTCTGTTGAATATGTTAGTAAGAATTTCAGAAATGAACAAGTGGACTACACAATATTTAATGAATTATTAGATATTCCTATTAAATTACTTGCACAAAAGAAAAGTTTGAACTCTACACAACTTATTAACGTGTTGACTTTAATTAAGCCTAGTGTTAGTTCAGGTAAAAACTTTGCAAATGCGTTGAGGATCGCTTCATTACTCACTAATGAATCGACATATATTCAACAAACTAGACTCATTTGGCTCCGTCTTCTTACATTGACCGATGAATGGTCTAGTTTGACGGACACTGCAAACCGTACAGATGAAAGTGTTAAACACAAGATTGCCAATAGTGTGTTGTTCAAGACTTTGAAATTAGTTGGTGTCGATAATAATCTTGTGGACCAATTGAATGTAATATTGCAAGACGCGAACAATAGTATTGAAGTGGATGAAAAATTGGCTAAGAAGTCTCTTGAAACTCTCAATAGTTTCTTGGAATTATACTCCTTGCAATCATGGGTAGAATCCATTAAGCAAGAAGTAAGATCTTCAAATAAGGTATAGTAGAATTATTAATAGACATAGTATCTGATAAATAAACCCAATAAAATAATTTTAATCATCTTGATCGGAATATTCTTCTTCTTCTTCTACTTCTTGTTGTTGATGTTCCAAGTCGCCCTCGTCGTCAACCTCTTCTTGGGTATATGCTTCATCTTGTTGGTCTTGACCATTTGAATTGTCATCTTTATCCAACGGAATTCTCACCAAATATTCAGGAAGAGGAGTACCTGTCTCATAATCCTTTTGTGAATATTTAAGTAATCCCAAGGAGGCAAGAGAAATTGAGTTCACTACATTTTGCCAGTTTGAAAGAACCAATGCTACAGATTCTGTGCCTTCAGCCATATCATTGAGTTTACTTTCAAGGTTCTCTAGCTGTCCAGTAAGAATTGAAGTGAACTTTTTAATCTCATTCAATGATTCAAGTTCTGATCTCTTCTCGGCAATTTTTTGCTGGATAAAGTTTGATTTCATGGGGATACGATCCATTGTGTATATATGGAATGTTATATGATGCAATGTATTGGGATGTTTTCTTTAATTAAACTAGCTCGTTCTGTATCTATTTGTTGTATTTTGTTTCATGAGATTGTTTTCTTTTTCTGTCTTTTTTTTTTTTTTTTTTGAATATTATGATTTTGATTTCTTGTTTGTTTTGATTTGAGTGGGTGTGCTTTATCTGATAAACATATATATTGAATCTTTTAATATAATAGTCTTCAAATATGGCCAGGCCATCAATAAACTCTCCGTCTATGGCAGAGCTTGCTAATATGGTGAAAAACAGACGAAAATCAACTCCCCCTGAAGCAGGAGTAGAAACATCATATAGTAACGATTCGCCTCCACAACTGCCAATTTTCCATCATTCACAACCAGTAGGGAATTCTGATTCAAATCAAAAGGCACAAAATCTGCAGAATATAGACTCTATTAGAAGAAAATATTCTGCTCAAAATCAAACCCTTGCCAAAAATAATTCAGTAATGTTGAGTAAAATCACCACCATGGAATCAAAGATTAGTGAATTGATAAATGAAAACATGGCTATTAGAAGACAAAAATCAATGAAAGAATTGGAAGTTAAAGAGAAACTAGATCAGAAACTTCGTTCAATAGAAGATGGGTTATATGACAAATTTGATGAAATGTTTCAAATGTTTCGGACTTTTAGAGAACGAGAAGATTTACCGATTAATACTAGATTAGAAGTATTCAATGATTCTAAGTTAGAAAGATTACGAAGCGAGGCACCCATGGACCTGCTATTATGCCTCAAGTCACCTGTATTAAGTCCAATATCAAAAACAGAAAGAAGAAGAACGATACAGAAAAGAGATTCTGCCAAAATTGCCAAAAATGCAGTTGAAGTTATTTCTGATATACCCAAGTTATCAAAGAAAACATTTAATGTTTATGAGGAGAATTTAGATGAAGAGAAAGAAAACGAAGAAGATTTATTTGAAAATAATGAAATCAAAAATATAGATAAGGAAGACAAATATGAGGAGGACGAGAAAGAATCGGATTTAATAAAGGATAAATCAATTGAACCATCTGATGAAGAAATTCAACGTCGAAGACCACGTAGAAATACTAAAGAAGTGGTATATACAGTCAATTTGCGTAAAAAGATGAGAAGAGAAAGTGAAGCACTTCTTACAGCTGTTGGAGATGAAATTGCCTTCTATCCAAGAAAGAATTCCAGACGAGAATCCTCTATTTCTCAAGAAAATATCCTTGAAACCAAACCTAATGTGGGGAAGATAAAGTCCAACGAAAGTACACAACAAGCTAGTCGTAAACCGTTGGGAAACGTTACTAAATCGCTTAATACTAATAAAATTCAAAAGAGTATCGAATCATCCGATTCACAGGAAGATCCAGCAATTTTTGAATTCGATAATGAGGAACATCCTCCAAGAACATACAAAAGACGCAAGTCTTCGATTCAAAGACGTGATCCAAGAAGACATAGTGTCCTTTGAGAATATTTCATTACTAATAAAACTATTCTTCTTAATTTCATAAATATATATATATATCTATACATATTTTGTTTTATAGTTTACTATACACTCATCTTCATCTTAATTGGAGGGTAAGGATTGTAATCGGAAATTTCAAAGTCTTCAAATTTAAAGTCATCGATGTTCTTAATCTTTTCCAATCTTTCTTTCTTGATTGTCAATTTTGGGAAGTCACGAGGTACTCTGGTAATTTGTTCTTTCAAGGCATCTATATGATCCAAGTATACATGGGCATCACCCAAGGTATGGATGAATTCTCCACAATCCATATCCACTACATGAGCTATCATCCTTGTAAGCAAGGCATATGACGCAATATTAAATGGAACTCCTAAACCCATATCACATGAACGTTGGTAGAGCAAACATGACAATTTAGGACGACCGCCTTCTGGGAAATTAACATAAAATTGACAGAATACGTGACATGGTGGGAGTGCCATCTTTGCAAAATCTGGTGGATTCCATGCAGACATAATGATTCTTCTATCGTATGGGTTTGTTTTAAGTTTATTAATGATATCTTGAAGTTGGTCATATCCTTGGCCCAGGTAGTCGGCGTCACAATCTTTGTACTCAGCACCAAAATGTCTCCACTGGAACCCATAAACTGGACCCAAATCACCTTCTCTACGGTGGGTAAGTCCCAATGAATCCAAGTATTCTCTACTTCCATTACCCTCCCATATCTTTACGCCAACTTCTGCAAGTTTCTTGGCATCGGTGCAGCCTGCTACAAACCACAAAAGCTCATGAATAATGGCCTTGGAAAACACTTTCTTAGTTGTCAAAAGTGGGAATGAATCATTAGAAAGATCAAATCTGAGTTGGGTTGGTGCAAAAAGAGATCTGGTCCCTGTCCCCGTTCTATCCGGTCTGTTTTCACCATCATTAATGATTTGTTGACAGAGATCGAGGTAAGCTTGTTCTGCGGGGTTTGGCAGTAAAGTCATTTGTTTATAATTGAAAGTAAAAGTAAAAGTACAAAATAAGATTAAGATGTTTTGTTATTGACCGCGTTTCTTTTTCAATATTATTTTTCCTCATAATGTGAATTCACGCGTTTCTATGAACTTTGACAAACACAGTATAGCGACTAAACAATTATGGAAACATATGGAGTATAATATATCTATTGTTATAGTATCCTACAAAAAAATATAATATCTTTTTATATTTTTATTCATCTTCTATATAGTACAATTTTTAATTCTAATTCTTAATTCTTCTAAAGCTCATCCTTGACAGGAACTTCCTTTTTAGCAGCCAAATATTCTCTTTCAGCTTCCTTTCTCTTTTCAAGATTCCCATCCAATTCATTTTCAACCATATCCTTTGTAACACCAGCAGAGATTAATGAGTCCCAAGTTTTCATATTTTCAAATCCATTACGAGCATATTGATAATCCATAAACGCCTTGTTGATTTCTGCTTGAGAATCAGCAACAAATGGCCCATATTGGACTGTCTTTTGATTCAAAACCTCACCACCAATTAAAACAAACTCAATATCTTTACCATCACTCTTGGCAGTATTGACGGCCTCGATTTCATCTCCGTCACGGTTGAAGAAAACAGTATGATGTGATGGGACAGCTGTTTCATTATTAACAACTAATTTATCACCACTAAGAACGTACAAGAAAAAGTTAAAGTTTGTAGGAACTTTTTGACGGAAAGTACCATCTGGTTTTAACGTAACGTAGTAGTAATGTACTGGAGTATATGCCAAATCACGTACGGATTCAACCCCATATGATTCACCAGAGATAACCTTGACATTAACCTTACCATCTTGAGCTTCTACAATAGGAATCTCATAAGACTTCAAGTCACGATAACGAGGCTTGGTTTCTCTCAATTTCAGAGGCAAATCAACCCATAATTGCATTCCAGAAACAGTATCCAGTCCATCTAATGGATATGGCATTTCAGAATGAACAACACCTTTACCGGCAGTCATAAATTGAAGATCCCCTGGGTATAAAAGACCCTTAGATCCAGTAAAATCCTCATGTGCAACTCCTCCTGATAAGACATATGTTATGGTTTCTTGTCCTCTATGACCATGATGTGGGAACCCAGCCTTGGCTCCAATATTGAAATGGTCAAGCATCAAAAATGGGTTGAAGTTTCTCATACTCATAGTTCCAATGGAACGTCTAACTCTTGCACCAACACCTTCAGATTGTTCAACTGCGCTAACCAACTTCAATGTGGTTCTTAATCCCATTTTATTTTGTGTTTCTTCTATAGGTTGTATTTTATTATAGTCTTCTTCCAATTTGTTACCGAAAGAATGTCTGATGTAAAAAAATATAAAAATAACGAAAACTAAAGCCTTTGTATCCATTTAAATATTTCGTTAATATTTTTCTAGAAAGATCGAGATCATTCCAAATTATAGGAAATTATGCTGACTTTTATTTCAATCTTGTCTACCCCAGGTTTACTAAGTCTAACAATCTTTAGTAATAATTATTAAAGTGCTGCAGGCGCAAAAAAAAAATAAAAAAAATAAAAGAATTTAATAAATTTTACAAATAGATCATAAAAAAAATAAAACAAAAATAAATACGATCTAGAGGTTAAGATTACATGAACATTAGTGATCATAATACACTTTTCTGTATTCCATCTATCAACTTATTTAAATTTTTGTGACACTCTTAATTGTTTATAACAACGGTGGTACTGGAGGGCTGGCTTGATTTGTAGATTGAGATGGAGTTTGGTTAGCACTTTCAGAATTACCTTGATCTGGAGCTGCTGCTGCCAAAGCTGCTGCTGCAGCTGCTGCCTTCTCGGCAGCAATAGGTGGTGCAGGTTGATTCTTCTCCTTATTAAATAACGGACATGTCTTCCTGGTTCTGATGTGGCCCAATGCACCACAAGCTGCACATCTTCTTGTTCTACTCTTCCCCTTACCAATACCTTTACCACCAATAGCATAAGATCCATCGGGAAGCATAACGGTATTGGCATCGATAATAGTTCCTCCAGCAGCAGCAGCGGCATGCAAGGCATCCTTGGATATTTTACGACCCTTGCCCAGCTTTGCACGTTTTTCCAAATTGGCCAACTTCTCTTCCAATGCCTTACGACGGAGACGATTAAGCTCTTTATCATTAGTTGGAATTATATCATCAACTTCAGCATTACGTAAAAGATCATCCTCTATTTGCTTCTTCCTCTTTGTATATGCTCGAATAAGAATAGGATCACGAATGGTTGTCACTCTACGTTGCACAATGTTATTTTCATCTCTAAATCTTCTTGTAATCTTCAAGATGGACTTTTCATCAGCAAAATCATTAATTATGGATTTTGAAGGTTTAACTGGTTTATATTCTTGGTAGACACTATCAAGGTCGTGTCCAGCATTGTTATCGACTGTTAATGAACGTCTTTGTGCATACCAAATCCGTGAAACTTCATCTTCATATATTTTTTGCGATTGCGCAGCTGTGTTGGTCTTTGGTCCCTCTGTATCCTTTGCAAACAATGGTGCAAAAGTACTCTTTTGTGTGGCTCTCAAAAGTGAAAATCCAAGACCAATACCTGTGGGGTCCCCTTCTCCATTAAGCTGAAGATTGGCTTTAGTCTGGTTGGCATTTAAAAAGTTACGAGATGTATTCCATGAACATAACTCTTCCTCAATATCTTCCATATCTCTTTCCTTATCATCTCTCCGCTTTCTTTCCTTTTTGGTTTTTTCGTCTCCACCTCCATTAAGATCATCATCTTTGGGAACAGATCCTTCTTTTCCATCTTTACTTCCTTCTTTTGCTTCTCTTTCCTTCTTCTCTTCTTTCACCTTTTGATCCTTTTCGGGTGATCTGTAAATATTAACAAAATCTTCCAACATTTGTTGACCATGTTGCATACTATCCAAAAGACATAAATCTTCCGGGGTGATCATAGTACGTATTTCCTCTTCATTTGGAACATGTTCATTATTCTTCATTTTCCAGAACCCTTGATCATCTCCATGACGTTGATATTCCATAAATTCCTTCAACCGTTGTCTATTTTGCATATCATTTTGATCTGGGAAATGATGTGAAATATCCTTCACAGAGATCCTCTGTTCACTATTCTTATTCATTGTACGATAAACAATGATTTTAAGTCTATTCTTGGAAGTGTTGGTAATCTTACGAGAATGAGGTGCAGGAACTTCAACTGCTGGAAACAATTGACCAACTGCAAACAAATGATTAATATTTCTCAAGTAATGTCGTTGGTGAGATCCAGAACCTTGAGACCTAACAAGAAGAAAGTCTGTACCTTTAACATCATGTTTGAAGATAGGTGCTCTTACCATGTTGTTATATAATGTTGGTACAAAATCTCCCTTGGCAACATGACCAAAGTTCCAAAATGGTGAACGATCTTCAACACCGAGAACATGTGTTTCACCAAGTGGTGCTTTGGGTCTGGCATAGTCATCTTCTCGTTCCTTCCTGTAGTAATTAATAATTTTAGACCCCATACCAAAACCAGACATGATTTGTGGATATTGCTCAGCATATTCCATCCCAATAATTGTTCCGGAATCAGTGATACTCAAATCAGAAGTCTTTTGGAAAATCTCGTGAGAAGTTTTACCTCTATCCTTCTTCTTCTTACGTAATCTAATCTTGCTAAATGTCATTAATGCACCAGGACGAATTTGGAACTTAGGTCTATGATATCCTCTTGCCTCTTGCTTGGTCAATTTCACCTTATAGTATGGTGACTGTAATCTCATTGCAGGAATGGAATGGTCGATTGTCAAGTTACTCAATTGACTTCTAACCTTTGTGTTATAGTTCTTTTTCAATACTTCATATTCATTATCGTTAGAAATATTAAACTTCCTCTCCATCAATTTTTCAGATATTGGGACAATTGCCTTTGTGTTAGCTCTATTGATGTCTGTCTTATCTGGAACAAGTAACAAGTTTGGATCATTCATGTTGAGCGTGAGCGCAGTATTTGCAATTTGACCATTGAAGATTTGTTCATCATCCTCACTATTATAATCATCAACAAGGGTGAGTGGAACTTTTTTGAAAGCAGCTGGTTTGCTTTCAACTTTAGACGTGGTTGTCGATGCAATTGTAGGACTTGGGGTTTTTGGTTCATCACCGTCGGATAAATCTTCGCTACCTCCAGCATTAATAATAGCATCATCATCCCAAGAGGTCGTACTAAACACTAAATCCTTTGGAATATCTTTAAATACGTCATTTGAACCATCCAGACTTAAGAATGGGATTTGTTTATAATTTGGGTTCAATTGTTCGCTTCGTTCTTGCAACTCCTTTATATGGTGGAAATCAGCAGGAAGTATATCAACAACTTTACTTTTAAGACTAGCGCTGTTGTTATTCTCAATCTTTTTAGTTGGCTTACCTTTGAAAACCCTTCGTTGATCAACATCCAATTCAAGAGTAACTTTAGTTGGAAGTAATGGTTTTACATTCAGTTTCAAGGCAACTGGAGCTCGTAAATAATTGAAGTACCGAGCGGATGGGAGGAACAATAAATGGTTGTTATATGGTTTATCTTGTGAGAAACTTGGGAAATATTTTGCCAAGTACCTTTTATTTTGTTTCTTTTCCATTTTCGCCACAATCTTTTGAAGTTGACGTTTTTTGGCTGCTCTTTTCTCATCTTGTTCAAGTTTACGTTTACGAGCCTCTGTTTCTAAAGCGTCTCTGTTGGAACTCTCTGGGGGAATTGTTGTGATGTTTGTGGCTGAGTTGGTGGTGGTTATAGGGGCTACATTGGTATCATCATTGAAAAATCCAAGATCCAATCCATCATCATCTTGAAGACCATTCAGAAGTTCTCCAAAAAGATTATCATTGGGAAGAGTTGAAGATGGATCTACTGGTGCATCTCCAAACATGTCGTCGAAGTCCGCATCGGCTTGTTGTTGAAGTTCTGATTCATTGGTTGCCATTGTGGTTGAACCGCCAACTGGTTGAGATTCTCCGTCGCCAAAGACATCATCAAACATATCATCAGCATCCTGTTGTGCGGCTACTTCCGTGTCGTCTGTTTGGCTTTTAATTTGCTGTTGTCTTTGAACTTCCTCTTCTTCTTCATCATCTGCCAATTCATCTTCATCTTCAAAATCAATTGCATCTGCCGCGTGAACTGTATTCTTCACCAGAAATATATCCCCAATACCTCCCAGACCTTCGTGGATATTGGCGGATCCACTCAACACCTGGTTGAACAAATCCTCGCCATCATCAGATCTGGCGTTAGTTCCCATGGTTCAATGATATGACTTAATTATAATTGAGAATATATTACCTTAAGCTAAAAACCTAGTTATCAAATAATTTTGGCTCAAGTTATATGCCGGATATTTTTATTATGAGAATAAAAGTGTGACGAAATTCTATTAAACAGCATTATTCATATATGTTCTACAAGATTAAAAAAGACATAATCAAAAGTAAAGTTTTACAGTACTTTAGATATGTCTATTTCGTGAAAATTCGTTTCCCTGTTCTTTTAAACAAAGAAAAATACTCTCTTCTGCAAAATTGTCATTTTCTTCTACCTTAATCTTTCGTTCTACAATTTTTTGTCATGACTTCGTATTCATTAAAGTAATTAACACTATCGATAATCATATAGTACTATATCTGTTTTTTACCTTTCTCTTTTAATTTTTTCATTTGTTTCTTTCTCATGTCATTTAGTCAAGGTTCTTACTTTTGAAATTGTTGAATATTATTCTCGGTATCAGTAATTTTACATCCTTCAATACGGATCAATACTAATGCATTATCTTCACATTCAATATAATTCTTTGCTTGAACTTGATCAATCAGATCATTATTCAAATGTAATGACTTGTAGAAATTAAATTTTTCTGAATCTGACTTCAAAATCTCTGCCTTACCATCAATCATAACGGAAACACTACTAATTTCAGTACGATTCATATTTGTAAGCATTTCATATAATGAGTTTCTTCTACCCGAAGTGGAATCTTCCCCGCTAGTATTAGACTTGGCCGATACCCAATCGTGCACCAAGATGGATACATTAGGGTTCAATACCATGTTATTATATTTGGTAGTTTTCTGTGGAGTGGTAATGATAATGTAATCACCATTTGAATCACGGTAATAAGTGTAATTCATAAGTGAAACATGGGGGATATTATTAAGACAAGTAGCTAAATGAACAAATCTGGATGACTTTAAAAGAGTCGTAACAGAATCTGGAAGCAATTCTGAGGGCATTGTAAACTGTTGAAAATAAATTGCTAGTGTATGATAAAGAAGGGAGATTATAAAATGATAGATCTGATCAATTATTTTTCCTACCTGAATATTATTTGTGTTGTTTTTTAGATTTATTTTTTTGCAATATAAATTTTTTATATTTTGTAGAGATAAATACTAATATAGATCAATTAAAGAGATTGAAAATATGCTGAACCTGATTGAAGAGGATTTCGAAGGGGAGTTTGAACCAATTCAAAAACTTAGCTTTGAGGAGGCAAAGAGTGATCGTATGTTGAGAGAGATCAAATTGCGTAGAAAATTACAAGAAGATGAAAAGAAGCATATTGATAACAAAGAGCCCAACCAACCGGCAATCGAGAAGGAGAAAGAGCCTGTCAAAAGGGCGGCATACATAACATCCCAACCTCCTAAAAAGAGAACTCAAACATTAAACCTTAAAAAGATTAAACTCTTTAATTCTAAGTCTGGTTCAAATCCATATAATATTCAATTGGATGATGATCCAGTGGAAATTGACACACCACCAGTTAAGAAACCAAAACTTCTGAAGGCTCTTGAATTGATGGCTCAATTCACAAAGAATACATCTACTTCTATTGTTGAAGATTCTTTTTCCGCATCTCCTGATGATATTGCATGTGTAAGAAACACCATTCTTTCACAACTTGCAGCAAAGGGCGCTCTGTTTCCTCATTTACTTGAATCTTCCATTGCTGATAAATATATGGAGGTTTATAGAATGTTTGAACATACAGTGAGAGATAATGAAGGGCATTCTGCGCTAATCATAGGTCCACGATCTCTGGGTAAAACTGCCATTATTCAACGAGCATTATCAGAATTATCTAAAAAATACCCACAAGATTTCATAACTATTTCTTTGCATGCATACCATCAAAACGATGAGAATACCGCATTGAGAGAAATTGCTAGACAACTTGATAAGAGTTTAAAAAAATTAAGACAAAATGAAGAAGAAATTAATCACAATACAAATGAGTTGAAAAATGATAAAGATGATAGTATTAATGAAAATCAGTTACATGCTACATTTGAACAAAGATCTCTTAGTGATACATTTTCAAATATCCTTTCGATCCTTGATAAGGGTAAAACAGATTCAGAAAATACTCACACAGTATCGATTATTTTTATAATAGAAGAATTTGAAAAATTTACTCAGAGCGGTAAACAAACTCTTTTGTACAATTTATTTGATTTGTCACAAAATTCCAGTACCCCAGTATGTGTATGTGGTACATCTACTAAATTGACAACTAGAGAATTATTAGAAAAGAGGGTAAGAAGTAGATTTAGTCAAAGAATCATCACAATTAATAAACCAAAGGGAATTGATGAATTTTGGTCAAATGCAAAATTGGGACTTACTTTAGGACAAGACGTTATAAATAAATTATCAGATCCATCTTATGGTAAAAAATGGAATGATTATGTGGAATCTGCATATTCACAATCACAATCATTTCTCAAACGTTTGGTGGTGCAGAATTATTACACAAGTAAAAATTACCGAGATTTCAATAATTCTGTTCGTTTTGCAATTGCTCAACTTGGACCTTCAAATGTCTTTCCGCGTGATAATGATTTCGCTACTTACCTTCGGAACCAATCAATTAATAATATTCAATCTAAAGCGGGGTCACTTTCCGAACTTGAATTACTATTAGTGATTGCTGCTGCAAGATGGGTTGAGAAATATGCACTTCTGGTGGTAAATTTTAATTTGGCATATAAGGAATATGAAGAAATGATGAAACAATATAATATTGGCGCTACTACAGCTGGTGGATCTGCATCAGCTGCCGATTCAGCAATGATGACGAATTTTAAAGTTACTCAAAGAATTTGGCCTCCAAATATTTTGAAGAATAGTTGGGAGAATTTGTATAGATTAGATTTATTACTCGATGCTACAGCAGCAGCAATCATAAGTGAAAAGGGAATCGTCTACAATGCTGGGGTGATTGAAGAGAGTCGTATGGTGCAACTTGATATTACACTTGAAGAATTGGGCCATTTAGTTGATGAACTGAGTTTCGTGAAAAAATTGACCCGATTATAAAATATATATGTATGAATGAATGAATGAAACTTACATACCAATAGAAGTACCGAAATGTGTTTGTTAGTGGCTTCCAAGATAAGCCCCCAAGAAATACCACATTGACATAAAAGAATGTCAATAATTCGGAAATGAGGGCCTTGGGTGCGAAACCAAAAAAATAATGTTGCCTTTTCGGGCGATGCGAAACATTCATATATGCGAGGAGTTAAAAGTATACCACTTTTCAAAAGTTTGAAACCAACCTGATGTTACCACATAGTATAAAGTCTATGTCATGATAAGGGAATCGAACAAGAAAAAAGGGCTCCGTTATTTTCTGCCGACCGCAATTTAGTGTCTAAAGATATATCTAATCATTCATGCCCAACACTCGAGAAAAACTGCCTGCTTCCCATGAAAGAGTGCTCAAGGATTCAAGGTTAAATGTGTCTGTAGATGATGTAGAGCTTGCAGACATCTACTCGTTGATGATTATTCATCTCAATCTAACTGAAACTGTTAAAAATTCCAAATTTTCGTTCGGTTTTTCGACTAATTATCCTTACACATTCCACGTTGCACAGGCACTTGAAGTGATGAAAGATATGAAAATTGCAGTTGAATTTGGAAGCACTTCAACATCTATATCGTATTCTATTCAAAATGAAGAATATGGAAGAAAATTGATTAATAGATTCTATGTCGGGAATCTTTTGCATTCACCGGCCGATAGAACTCGATCTGAACCCAAGGACGGGGTACTATTGCAACCAACTCCTAAGGGGGTGGCGATTTTGAACTCGTTTTGCGATAGAATTGGGATTGATAAATCTAAATACCCAGATATTATATTCTCTAATTTCAATTCTATGCATCTCATTAAGTTGGTTCGTGAATCTGGGGGTCATGGGAAAATATTGTATTCTAAATATTTCATATATTTATTATTCATTTGCATGATGGGTAACTCGCCTCATATTTGGTCTCCAAACGACAAACCCCCAACGTTTCAACTCAAAATCACTAGAAATGATTCTATCAACACCACCGCCACCACCGAAGAATCAATTCAATCATATGCATCTCGTTTAAAGCGTGAGAATTCTCACCTACAAGGAGGAGTTCCATTTAAAACTCAACAGTCACAAACTGAAAGCAAGTTGTATAATTATCCATTATACCATAGATATTTTACCAATCCAGAAAGTGATTCTCATATTCATTATTTTACATGCTCCAAGGGTGTTCGTGTTTTCAAAAGCCGTGAATTTCGACATGCTGATAAGACAATCAATGTCCTGTACTGTTTCTCTGGTAAAGCTATCAAACAATGGTTATGTGATTGTACCGACGTTCTAAATCCAAGGTACGCTACTTCGTTTGCTGATTTGATGTTGCGCATGAGGTTAATTGAGCCAATTATTTACTCAAAAGCTAATTTCGAAACCTTTTCAAGTGATAGGGATGCTTTCTATCAGATGAGTGCCTTAGGGATTCAAGTTTGTCATTGGGAAAAACAAGTACAGTCTGATCTGGAAGATTTGACTGCTAATTCGAATCTGAGTGTCGAAACCTTGGTTCCTAGAAGAGATTGTAGCTCCATTGGTTTGGCTGTTATTATGAGAGACCCTGGTTTGAGATATCTTTTCAAAGAACATCTTGAGTCTGAGTTCTGTACGGAGAACTACCAAGTTTATTGTCTTTTGAAGGAATTTGCCTCCAAGGTGAAGTCATACAATAAACTTTTAACCATACATGAAACTTCTCCAAATTTGAAATCACAGCTTAAATCAATGGGAGAGAGTTGCTTGTCTCTAGCTTTTCATATATACGTGATATTCTTAGCACCTGACTCACCATCTCTTCTCAATATTAATTTTGAGATGCGTAATCGTGTAACTGAACTATTGGTGACCAATGAACCGCTGTTGCAAAGCAATCCAAAAAAGCATTTAAATGAAATTGAAGAAGTGTTTGATTCTATTGGTGCCCATATCTATAGACTCATGGAAGTGGACACTTTACCAAAGTTTCTAAATGGTAAGATATTTCAAGATGCCATGTTAACGATTGATATCAGACAATTTGACAATGATGAGTTAAATTAAATTAAAGAAAAGTATTTAGTTTTATATTCCTTTGTAACACTTATATATAATAAAGTCAATATGATGTTCTCTACAAATCTATCTTACGTGTTTCGTGTGAATTCAATGAGCTATAAATACAATAACTAACAGTTATGAGGATGTGTAATGTAGAGGGGGGAAAGGTCAGTCTATGCAACGGGTTCTAAAGTGGTACCCTTTTTAATGGTGGCCCACCCAATCAAACGCCAATGCTTTTCAATACGTCTGGACAAGGCAATCTTCTCATTGACTTCCGTACAAACTGGAGAGGTCAATTGCAAACGAGCCATATCGGCCTTCACGGCAATAACTCTGGCACCAGTAGCGGTGGAACCAATGTTAACCATCAACACTTCACCAACTTCCAACTTACGCACCTTAGCACCTTGCTTTTGGCCATCAGTCTTAACACCTAACAATCTTCTCAAAAGGAAGTAGTTAATTTCGATATCGGTAAGAATCAGAGGAAGGTTACCCTTGGCACCCACAACTTGACCAACCAATCTATCAGCTCTACATAAAGTAGGATCCACCTTGGTACCAACACCAATCAACCCACCAGGAACGGCGAACTTCAAGTCATTGTGTTCAGCGAAAAGAGATACCACATTGGAGAAAATTGGCTTACATTGAATTTTTCCGTTGTCATCCTTAGTAACGATACCAGGTCTAATTTCAATTTCATCACCAATCTTAAACACACCGTTCAAAATAGAACCACCGGCAACACCTCCCTTCAAATCGTCGATGTCTGCACCAGGCTTATTAACGTCAAACGATCTAATGACAATTAAACGTGGAGTGGCCATGAAATCACGAGGTGGAACTGGGATAGTCTTGACAATAAATTGGTTTACTGCATCAATGTTATACTTCAATTGGGCAGAAATTGGGACAATAGGGGCACCATCAGCAATAGTACCTCTGATAAACTTAACAATGGATTTTTCATGTTCTAAAGCAGATTCTTCTCTCATTAAATCAACTTTGTTTTGAAGAATAATAACGTGCTTCAACTTCATGATTTCAATAGCAGCAAGATGTTCGGAAGTTTGAGGTTGTGGACAAGATTCGTTACCAGCTACAAGAAGCAAAGCGGCATCCATAACTGCGGCACCAGACAACATAGTACTCATCAAAATATCGTGACCTGGACAATCCACAAAGGAAACATGTCTAACTAACTTGTATCTACCTTCACATCCTGGTCTTTGACACTTTGGTCTAATTTCCTTGTCGGATTTAAAAGAACGGTAACAATCTGGTTCTGGACAAGATTCATCGTCACACTTATAAATTTTAGCATTGGCATAACCCAACTTGATGGTAATATTTCTTTCCAATTCATCCTTGAAACGGACGGTTTGGACACCGGAAATGGCTCTAACGACGGTGGACTTACCGTGGGCAACATGACCAATGGTACCAATGTTAATGGTAGCTTGTCTATTGATAATGTCAGCAGAGAGTGGCGTCAACTGAGAGAAATCTGGGTGTTCTGGTTGTTCTGGCAATCCACCACCTTCTTCAAATTCTCTTTGAGCGGCTTCTTCGTCAAAGTCATCTTCTTCATCCAAGGCAAATGCTACAGACTTCTTTTCCTTGATTTCAGAGCCAGCATTGGCACCATCTACATCATTACTTGCGTGTCCTGCATCTTCTTCACCTTCAGACTCTACGTCGTGCTCATATTGGACGTCATATTCTTCTTGTTCTTGACCTCCGATCACGATGTCGGGCGTCGCGTTTTCAATATCGTCGTAGGACATGTTTTAATGTATAAAAGCAACAAAGGTTTTGGTCCGAATTTGATCAATGTAATAGGATCAGTCTATCATTGAGGTGACGTTCTTTTTTCGAAATTTTTCATGGATGTTTTGGTACGCGCACGTCGATGGTGGGTACACGCTGAGTCAGAGGATGCATTTTTTAGTGGTCGTGTGAAGGGGGTCAAAACCTTCCATATTTATTTTGCAACCAAAACAAAACATATCTGAAACTGATGTTACATTTATATATATATATATATATATATATAAGAAATCAAATAGTTTGATTGAAGAGCGAAATTTTTGTCACTCATTGTATAGTATATATTCAATAAATTTAATTTATATACATTATGTAAATTCATTGTATACAGTAAACCTTCCTGGTAATAATTGTTCTATAATACATATTCTATTTTACACTGTTTAAGTGTGGAATCCAAAGTCATTCATAACACTGTCCACATCCTTCCAAAGTAGGTCACTGCTAAAATCTATTCCATTCATATCCAAATTTTCTAATCCCCCTTGAAGTGGAGACTCATTCATTACCATCTCGGAGAGTGTTAATTCTTTCTTCGAATTTCCATTCAAAATTTCTTGTTGTTGTAATACATCATGAGCAGGCAATGAACCTAATTTGTTTACATGGGATTTGGAATGTTGTTGGCGGTTTTGTTGATATGGTTGTTGAGTAGCGTTTACCTGTAGATCCTGGTACGATTGTTGGGGCGGAAATTGTGGCGGTTGTTGCTGTTGTTGTGGTTGGGGTTGTTGTGCTTGTTGTTGATGTGGTTGGGATTGTTGGGAGTGTTGTCTTTGTCCCTGTGATTGCTTTACAAGTGGTGAGCTAGGGTTCTTAAACTCTGGAGATTGGTTATGGATCAGAGAGTCAGAAGATTGAGGGGTCTGATTCACCACATTAAAAATACTCATACGCTTACCGCCTTGTGCAGAAATAGGTTGAGGGTCGAACGGAATTGTCCTGATGATACGACGAGCCTTGCTTTCAGCATTGACAGTGTTTGAAAGTGATCTTTGTCTCTTAGTCCTACTGGAAGTATTACTTCCAGGGGTTGATGACTTTTGTGACTTATCTCCGGTTGGTACCTCTTCCTCCTCGTCTGATTCAAGCACTGAGGAGCTTGAATCGTCATTCTTATCATCACCATCTAAATTATTGTTGTAATCTTCATCTTCGTCATCATCTTCGTCATCTTCAGGACGTCTGTCATGTGCACCATTTCCTTCTGCTATGTTTTTTCTTTCCATCGCTTCTCGGTTCAATTTGAGCATACCAACTTGATCTCTTAACAAATGTAAACAATCAAAGAATATAGATGCGGACATTCTTGTACGAATATTTATTGATAATCCTGTAAGTTTCTTTTCATCCATAGCACGGAAAAATTGCCACATATTTCTCATAATACCACTACTTCTATGAGCAATGTCGTGTTTTAAGATCGAAGCCTTGGCAGCAAGAGAGATGGCCGCTTGATAACTCTCACGTCCAGTACCTAAATCAATGAATTTCTTCATCGGAGAATGGGAAAGTTTCCCGATAATGCAAGAAGCCTGCCAAATACTCAAAATGTATACACCAGGAAGATAGCGTACAAATTTCTTATCTTTAGCTTGACAAAGTTGCGCATGGGTAATAAGCAGAACTGCTGCATTATATACTTGAACCAAACCTCTTTGGAGTTCAAAAGGTGCGATTCTTGACAGATCCATAAAGTAATATGTTAGAAGATGTATTCTCGCTACCAAAAGCAGAAACTTTCGTATTCCATCATCTTGGGGTAATTCATATGCAATCTTGATTTCCAATTCATCCAATTGTCGTACCAATACTTTCAAAAGAGGGAGTCTTTCTGTTGGGTCTGCCAATCCTTGTATTCCCAGGGAATTTGAGTTAAGAGTATTTGCAACTTGGTCTTCAAATTGTGCTATTTCCATCATTGCTTGGATCTGTGGAGCTATATGTATGGCACTTCCTGGTCTACAAGAGCTTAAGATGGATGAGTCAAATTGAACAAATGCAGGGAACCCAAACGAACTGGCAACCGTCTGCGAAACAACGTTACAAATGATCCAAGTACGAGTTTGTTCTTGAACTTTTTCCAAGTTGGCTTGAGTTGTATTTTGATCGTTAAAATTTGCAGTCGCTGTATGAAGACCTAATCGAATGGCTTGAAAAAATGCAGAACCAATTGTATTCCAAGAAGAGTCTGCACTAAGTGAAGATGTTATTGGTGGCCAATAAGTGTATAATAAGAATGCTTGGACGGAAAAAAACGATGAAGCATTTAAAATAGGTTGATCTTCTTCTGTTGGGTTATATCTAGTAACAGGAGAAATTAAAATTTCTGCTAAAACATCTTTCACCATAGGAGAAAGTTCCAACAAAAGAGCCTTATCTGCATCTTTTTCGAACCTTCTAAGAGATACAAGCATTATGGACCAAAAGAGGGCCGGACAAAGACGATAGATTCGTTCTGGTCCTCGTTGCACGTCTACTACCGGGAGTATGCGGTGATATTTTGCAACAAATTCAAGGACAAGTTCCCTAATCACTTCTGGAGAAAGTGTAACCGAACTAAGCAGTTTTTCAGTGCAAATAAGAGCTTCTTCTGAAATGATGACAGTTGGTAATGGGGAATTATTAGGCTGCGTGGAAGTAGCAGAGTTTAAATGATGATCAATTGTAGGTCTTTGAATCGAAGGAGTGTTGGGTATTGACGATGACACATCACTTCCAGACGCTGGTCCATATGTTCCCGAAATGCCTTGATTATATCCATGTGGTAAACCATATCCTGTGGTGGGGCCAGGAATTCCTAAAGATTTTCTTGACATCCCATTTGGTTCTTGTTTAAAGGTATTGTTATACAGTTGAGACTGACCAACTATTTGACCGTCTTGGTTTCTGCCCCGAAGAGGTTGTTGCAACCCTTCGGCCAAAGATGGAACTTTCAACAACAATTCCTGTGCCTGTACGTCTGATAAAGTCTTGGCTAAGATCAGAAATTCCTTCTCTATTTGTTCTATACGAGCACGTTTATATGTTCTCTTGTAATCTGATTTCAAATCACACAGAAGTCCTTTTTTGGAACATCTGGTACATGGAAGTGGATCTCTTTCCAGGGCATCACATTTGGATTTTTGTTGTCTACATTCTACACATGCCATTCGTTTTAATCTCCCGTTCTTAGGTGGTGTTCTATTGTCGTCTGGAGGTGCCAGTGATTGTTCTCGGAAACTTGTGGTTGGTTGGGTTGATTGAACCTCCACCTTCGGTTTTACCACCGATTCATCTCGTAATTGCTGGTTGAGAACTTGGAGCTCGTGTGACATATTCGCTATGTGCGCCAAGTTATGTAGCGAAGTCTGTCGCTCGCTCATGGTTGCACCTCTAGTTCTTGTCTGGTCTTTCCACTCAGTTGATGAGATGCGTCAGCTATACTTTGCAAATTTAAAAATAAAAATAAATTAAATAAAAAAAAAAAAAGAAAATGAAATTTAACATATATCACTTGATGTTTATGTACAGGTTCTCGTAACAAAGGGTTGTATTATCAATTTTTTTTGTAAGGCGTAAGAAACATTAATAAACTAAATTTCTATGGAATATCAAAACTAAATCTTATTGCTAGTGCTCGTTTATCTATTCCCTTGTGGATTTTTTTGTATTTATTTCTGTTTAAATGGAATAACTGATTCATCTCGTTCAATACGAATGTATCACGCTACGAATAAGTTGAGATTTGTGCACGTGACCTCATTGAGTTTTGTTGAACGACATGTTGCAGATACATCAAACTAAATGTTTCTCTAGAGATAAACTATAAAGTACAAAGTCTACTTATTTATAGTGAAGACGGGGATAAATATCAACTACTGGGCTATACCAATCTTGGAGGAGATCAGGTCTATATCATAATTTATTTATTCAGTTTCATCTATGCACCTCCTACTCTCATTAAGGGAATCTCCATTGGATGTACGCATTCTATGGAGTTCAGTATTTCTTCGTATGGCTAGTTTCGGTCTTACAAACCAAGTTTTAACTCTATATTTGAAGTCTTTGGAAGTTTCCGAAACTAATATCGGATTATTTATGACCTTAACATTGATTGGGGATACTTTAATATCATACACTTTGACATGGTACGCCGATACAATAGGACGAAGAACGGTCATGGTCCTTGGTACAGTGATGATGTGTATTTCCGGGTGGATATTTTCCATTAGTTCCAACTACATAATACTTCTTCTTGCTGCAATCATCGGAGTGATATCTCCTCTGGGTGATGAAACAGGACCATTCAAGTCGGTGGAAGAGGCATCCATTGCTCATTTGACTCCACATAACCATAGACCAGAGGTTTTTGCCTTTCATGGACTATTTGCCACTGCAGGTGCAGCTTTAGGCTCATTTGTGTGTGGGATTACCGTTGACTATTTCCATTTACAGAGAGAATGGCCCCTTCAACTGTGTTATCGATTGATATTTGTCATGTACTCAGCTATTGCATTTACAAAATGTATATTAATGTTATTCCTTTCTCCCAAATGTGAGGTTGGATATGTGGATCTTGAAACTACAACCTCATCACTTTTGGATACGAGTGATATACATGAAGAAGAAGATTATGGATCAATTGGGAACAATAAGACCCTCAAATCTAATCCAAGTATCACCGATATCGATAATAAATCTAGCTCACTTTCACCAACTACAAGGTATTATCTTCCAAGACTTCTAATAGTGTTTATGTTGGATTCCTTGGGATACGGTTTCATGCCTTCTGCTTGGGTGGTCTATTACTTCAAACTTGCATTTGCAATGTCTGCTACTGGTCTTGGAACTCTTTTCTTTTTCACTAACGCAATTGATTCAATCTCTTCACTTCCATCTGCTTATTTTGCTAAAACTCTTGGACCAGTAAAACTGATTATCTTTACTCAAGCTCCTCTGGCGTTATTTTTCATCCTCATTGCCTTCACAGGTAATCATATCATGGCATCCACATTATTAATACTCTACTGTGCCACTTCTACCATGGATGTTGTTCCGCGTCAAGTTCTTCTCACATCAATAATGCCGCAAGAAGAACTTACTAAAGTTATGGGTATTGTAAATATTGGGAAGACATTTGCTCGATGTATTGGTCCTGTATTCACTGGGAAGCTTGCAAGTCATGAACATTTAAATATTGGGTTTATTATTAATGGAGGATGTGTTCTTGCAGCAGACTTGATTTTAGGTATTAATTTCTTATCTATGGATAGTGACATATTAGCAAAGACAACTACAAATATTTTACCGGAAATATAAGTTTGGGTTCATTATATATTTTTATGTTTCATTTACATGGTTTGGTTTTTTTTTCTATATTTATTAATAACGTTTATAATTCGTATGCGTACATTAAGATTCATGTTAATTTGTTTGTTGTGTGTGTGTTTTTTATGGACACATAGACTCCAATATTTTCATTGAGTCATTACATTTTAAAAGAGGAATGCTCTCACTTTTCCCAAGAATGGCAAGTTTGCGTATGCTTCTCTTTCCTCTGCCAATTCTTGTTGTAATTTTTCTTGATCCAGATCACGACGTCCAGAATCAATATCAAGTTCATGAAGTGGAGTTACGATGGTGAAGTTTCTGGAATAGATTTTGTGACCAAGGTACATTACCAAAACCACTGGACCACCTAAAAAGTTTTCAAAGAAGACAACTGGGTCTGGTGATTGTCCAAGTGGGAATAAAGATACCCAGAATTGTAAACAGAGGACCACAACCAAAATAGCGGCAGCGTACACCGAACCCCAGAAACCTGTTTGTGCAGCATATGGTAATTCTGTAATATTTCTGCCTTGAAGACTGAGAGCCATTCTAAAACGAATGTGGGAGATACAAATGGAAAACCATGTGAAAAGGGTTGACAAACCGGATAATGCAAGTAACCAAGCAAAGACTTTTCCTTGTTTTGGAGATGCTGCTACAAAAGAAATTAAACCAACAATTGCGGAAACCAAGAAACCCATTAATGGGCGACCTTTTCTATCAACATATGACAAGAATGATGGGGCCAATCCTTGTTCTGCTAAGGATACTATAGTTCTTGAAAATCCGAAAACAGAAGCGTTACCAATTGACAAAAGAGCAATCAACACTACGACATTGAAAATTGATGGTAATACCTTAATACCTCCATTCTTGATGGCAACCACAAATGGTGAGGCATTAGCACCTGATCCAAGAAGATCTTTAGAATTCGATGGGACTAAAAACCCAACCAATGTAAGAGTGAGCATGTAGAATACAATAATACGGTAAAACACTTGTTTGATTGCCTTTGGAAGGACAATTCTTGGATTACCTTCAGCTTCAGCTGCAGTCAATCCTACAAGTTCTGTACCAGCAAGAGAGTAAGTTGCGGTAATGAAGACCGTCACAACACCCTTTGCACCAGCTGTGAATGGACCTGGATCTTTCCAATATTTAGCACCGATGAACCCATTTTGTTCACCAGCCCCACCACAGATTAAGATAATAGCCAAGATGTTGAATCCAATGATCGCTATAATCTTAATAACCGAGAAGACGAATTCAGCTTCACCAAATCCTTTATTTCCGCACAAATTAAGAACGAAAATCAACACGTAGAAGATCGTAACCCATGCTACTGGATTGATATCAGAGCCCCAAAATCCAATAGTGAGGGAACATGCAACTAATTCCATTGGTAAAACAACCACCCAGAATAAGGCGTAATTCCAACCAACGGCAAACCCCCAAGAAGGTTCTACAAAACGAGTGGCGTATGTAGCAAAAGATCCTGAGACTGGGAACAAAGACACCAATTCAGCCATTGCTTGCATGGTACAATACAAGTAAGATGATACAATACCCCAACCAATAAGTAAACTGGCAGGACCTCCTGTTTGTAAAGCCTTCCCAGAGGCAACAAAGAGACCAGTACCAATTGCACCACCAATAGAGATCATTTGAAGTTGTCTTGTTTTAAGATTCTGCTTCAATCCACCTTCTACTGCAGGTTTCTCATTTTGTTCCTCCAACTGCAAAGCAGATTTGCCCTCTTTAGCCTCAGCTCTTTTGAAAGAATCTTTAAATGACTGCCATCCACTTGGGTTTTCTGTGGTAGTGGCAGGGCTGAACGTTGTCGACTCTGCCTTTATCATAGAATCCGTAGAACTATTTGACATACTGAAAGTTGAATTTACTGTAAGATGAAAGAGAAAATGAAAAAGAAAAGAAAATAAAGAGTCGAAGATTTGTTTTAACTATATTTCGTTATGACGCACACATCTCCTCCTTCTCTCCGGTACCGGGTAGAGTTTAATGCTTGACCTTCATGATCTTTTTGTTTAGCCTGCATAACGTGAGTCTTTTTTTTTTTGCAGCTGCATCAGTTGGTAACATTTGCGGCATTTACAAGCACCTAACGCCGTTTTGGGGCCAAAGTCGTTTTCTTGGTATGCTATATGCCGTCCTTTGTGGCATTTTACATATTTCTTTTTTTCATCAGTCACAAAAAAAAAATATAGATTAATGTTAGTGGATGATAAATACATAGTGAAAAAATTATATTGATTCAGCCGCTTAGAAGAGTATTATTAAACCGGGCCTGAAAAAATGGGCTCCAAAATATTCTAACATTCTGAATGTGGGAACCCCATAATTCTGGAATCATTTTCTGCATGAGGAATTTCATGATGCAAAGAGAAAGTAGAATATATATATGTATGCCATATACTGTTTGATAGGATAGCTCTTCATATGACTTTAGAAGAGTACAAAAGTTTGTAATATTTAATTAGTACATAGGTATTTTGCTCAAAGCCTCGTTTTGCAACAGTTTTGTTCGTATATTTTTTTTTGGGCACTATTCTAAATTTTCGAGTAGCTACAAATAAAAGTAGTATTTCCATAAATGTTGGTTCTAGTTAGTTGAATGTTATAGTGAAACCTCTTTATTCAAATATGTAAGAAACGCTCGATTTTTAGACTCGCTAGGAGATGCTACATTTTTCAATTGTAAAAAAAATATAAATCTCACAATTATTGGAGAATTTGTAAATATATTCCCCGCAGTAGAGAGAGATACTAGATATTTTAAATAACAAAATCACAAAATACTGACAATCCATTTCATTAGAAGAGATAAACATCATATCTTTTAATAGATTTCATTATTATTCAGCCATCAATTAAATTTCTTTTTAGTGAAGATAAATTCCTTTTGTAGCTGCTATGATATAACTGTACTTCATCACGTGATTTGCAGCATATGACTTATCTGATCACAATCTCCAACTATCATAACCCCCTAGAGCAATTAAAGCTAATTACCTCCTCTTATATACTTTATATATGATTTATTGATCTTTCAATATTATTAGAATATAATTGACGATGTCTACAACATTTCATACAACTACTGATACCAAAGAAATAATTGAATTGTTCACATTATGTGGAACAGAATGGGGAGGTCTTTTATCAGCGGAAGAATTCGGGAAGCTTCAAACTCAAATGTTTGTACAATTAGAGAAGCAGGGTAAGAAGCCTCGAGGATTTTATCTCAAAGATATCAAAACAAAGGAGATAGTAGCATCCGTGGTAGTTGAACACTTTAAAGGGTTTTATAAAGACATCGATAGAGCCATTGGAGGAGTAAACGCTACTCCAGATCCTCTTCTTATCGGAGTCGAACATGTAACATTCCTAAGATTAGCCTATGTATTTACTCATAAAGATCATAGGGGTCAGGGATTAGCAGAGTCATTGATAAAAAAGGCAATTGAATACACTGAAGAAGAAATCATTAAGGAGAAAATAGAAACTAGTAATAGTAACAAAAAGGATAATTTCAAAGATATGGTTACTTCTCATGGATCGATTGATTATTCATTAGCAAAATATTATCTTAGTAAGAAATATTTTTGGTTTCTTTATTCCGCAGTTGGCACTTTTTATGAAAGATTTGGTTTCAAACCTTATCCACTTGATTTTTATAAAGTTCCAATCCAATCACAAAAGGATTTGGTTGAACAACTTCTTCATCCTAAAGATCAGAATGGTGGTAAAAAATTAAGATTACTTGATGGGAAAAATGTTCAAGATAAAGGGTTGATTGACTTTATCTTACAGTCCAAAGAATTAGAAATTGTCACTGAATTAAATAAGAATATATCTCATTCCGAACTCAGTGGTAGAAAATCACTGTCTTCACTTACAAGCATCACCGATATACTTCACTTGACTAAATTGAATACTGGAGGCGGGGGTCCTTCAACCGCACCACAAGGGTTACTGTCTATTACCGAAAATTTGGCAAAGTTGAATACTATAGATGGACGTAGACGTTCGTCTGTAATTCATCAAGCTGTTCCTAAAGTTGCAATTAAGCCAGATTCAGGATTTTTCCAACTCATAGCCGAAGGTCTGGTCTATTCAGCTAACAATGCCACGACTAAGCAATCGCAAGATGTCGTTAAATATTCCAATATCCAAGGTGCAATTCTCACGAATGAACTACAAAACAAGACTCACTTTATTATTTGGAATGAGGTTCAACATGATAGACATTTAATTATCATGGGCATGGGTGAACTTAAGTCTGATTTTATGGGTACAGTGTTTGATACTGGTATTGGTGCCGGATCTGGAATGTCTAAACGCCGTGGTTCGTCCTTCACAGGCTTAAATGACTTAGGTGGATATAACTTCCAAGATCTAGATATTCTTTTAAGTACTGCTGGATATATTGGATCTAAAAGAAAAGGTAATAATGAGTCTACCATATTTGTGTCAGTAAATGATTTACCAACAAATATTCCTACCACTGTTTTACATGATTATTTTTTGAACTATTTAAACAATCAACATGGTGAAGTTATTAAGGAGAGGGTTGAGTTTTATCAAGATGCTGAAGAAAAACTTGGAATTTTACCAATGCTCAAAAGATTTGGAAATAACTCCCATGAATTTGAATTAGATTGGATATCAAATTGTATGTGGTCTTGGGGTTAGACTTTATTATATATATATTGTATATTTCATATGAATTTAGTATTAAAAAAATAAAAAAAGAACCCACGGCGAGAGTCGAACTCGCAATCTTTTGATTAGAAGTCAAACGCGTTAACCATTACGCTACGCAGGCGGCTTATATGCTCTAAAAATTGCTCAGTTTATGTGGCGCTAAGTATTCAACCCTAGACTGCCTAATTGGGTAGTAAAAGGTCCAGTCGATATTATGTATCATGATAAATTAAGTTTTCACAATGGTTATTATCTCTCTCGTATTCTATACTTTCCTCCAATTTCTAAAGTTCTATTCAAATGAGAAGTAGAAGGTCACAATTTGATCAGTAGTTACTATTTAGAAATCATAATTAATTGTACTCGGTACAATCATAGAACAATTTGGGCTGATCGCATGTGTTTTTGCTCATAACTCATGCGTTTAATACGATAAAACTAGATTAGGTAATGGTAACTTCAAAAATTAAGAATTGCAAAAAGGTAATTAGAAAATAGTATACTAAAATTAATAAAACAGTTTTGTTGTGTATTACACTGTCTAATACAAAGTCATATATAGTGAACGAAGAGTACCAGCTTTATCCGTAGCCAAAATTAATGAACCTGTTTCCCTTATTAGCTTCATAGGAAAACATTCCTACTAGGTATTAAATTGAAAAATTCTCGTACTTTTCTTCTACTCCAGAACAAGTAAACCAACCAGTATATCTAAAAGATAGCATCAAGAGTACAACAAAGACACATGGCAGCAAGACATCCCATCAAACATGAATTGTTGTTACTTTGTGGCTTTTGCTGCACATACATAGGTTGTTGTTGTTGATAATAACCACCTTGTTGTGGTGGGTAGCCTTGTTGTTGATAACCTTGTTGTTGATAACCTTGTTGGTAGCCCTGTTGTGGGTAACCTTGTTGGTAACCTTGTTGTTGGTGGCCTCCATAACCACGCAGTTGAGTTTGTTGAGAATAGGCAGGTTGTCCCTGTGGTACATATCCGCCATGTCCACTGTCGTTATTAGATGATGACCAGTTCGGTGGGGCGCCTGTTGGTGGTGCGTATTCTTGCTTTGACATTATGTTAAGTATTTAACAACAAAAATTTATATGATAATTATGATATAATTAACAGTCTTTCACCGCTTCCGTAACACAAACTATTTACCGAGATTTATGATTTCTATAAGGAATTATCGACATAGCCTTTAATACCAAGAAATTTACATGACGCTGTGTGGTCAGAAAGGGGATATGAAAAACCTGCATGCAGGTTTCCACATTTTCCGAAGTCGCATTTGTGTAATATTATTCCATCCATAATATGCAGTACCACCCAAAATGGAATTCATTTTTTGCAACCGTAAAAGAATAGAAGAACCAAATTATACAAACTCGACGAGTAAGGCCGAACTATTACTGTATATTAAGACATTAGTTTGTTCATTCAAGATCATTATATAAAGATTAATACAAGTAGGTAAACTTTGGATTCTTGTCACCTGCAAGAATTTGTTCACGTTCAGTCAATTGTTCCCACTCTTGCACATATGATTCAGATTTCTTCACCTTATTAAGTCTATAGACGGAAAAGAAGTAGGTAACCATCATAAGCATCGAGAAACAGACAAACGCAAGACAGACACTTAAACCTGGCTTGTAAATTGGAGCATCCTTAGCCAAGAATACAAATGTTGCAATAATACCTCCAATGTTACCAAAACCAATTTGCCAAGCAGTTCCAACGGATTTTCTAACATGACCACCAAAGTTCAATGATGTCCAACATACCAACAATGGCATAGCAGTGTATAACCCAGTAGCTGTGAGGAAACATCCTGCGTATCTTGTGGTAGAAACTTTAGAAGCCAAAACCATTGCCAAACCAGCAATTGCCATACATGACATTCCAAGTGCGAATGGTAATCTCATTTTGAATCTATCTGAGATAAAGGATACAATGTTACCAACACCAAATGCAGCCAACCAGGGATAAACGGAGTGAGCTTGAGCACTAACATCTGTATAACCCATTTGTTTGATAATAATGGCTGCAAAGTATGCATAACCATATGATGGAATAATCAAACCAAAGTATGCTAATGCTGGTAACCAAATTAAGTAATCTTTAAAACATCTAGCAGTATCCTTATAGTTAATTTTAATTTCGAAACCAGATTCTGTACCGGAATGGATGGCAAGTTTTTCCTTAAGGAAGGCTCTTTCATTAGCGTTCAAAAATCTAGCTTCTTCAGGGAAATCAGCAATTGTAAAATAAAGTACTAATGCACCCGCAACAGTAATTATACCATCAATGATGAAAATCCATCTCCATGATTCTAAACCATGCTTACCATCCAAATCATTGATTCTATATGCGATAGCACCACCAGCAGCACCAGCAAGACATGTAACAGAAAAGAATCCAGAAAATCTCTTTTGAGCTTCAGTCTTCTCATAAAAGTTTGACAAGATATAGAAAAGTGCAGGGAATGAACCACTTTCAAAGACACCTAAAAGGAATCTACATGCGGCAAGTGCACCAAAGTTTTGAACAAAACCCATACCAATACTCACCGCACCGAATGCCAAAATACAGCCAGATAACCATCTGTGAGGAGCAACTAATTTCAAAGCATAATTGGAAAATACTTCAAAGAACACATATGGAACGAAAAATAAAGTCAATGCAGTATTATATTGAGTACCAGTAAGTTTCAAATCAGCAGATAAACCGTAAACTGCAGCATTTGAGATATTGACTCTATCTAAAAATGCAAGGAAATATAAGAGACAAAATGGTGGAATCACACAAAGATCGATTTTAAACATTAATTTTTTATGATTTATACCATACTTGGTTGCAAGTTCAGCCACTTGTTCTGAAGCAGGCAATTGGGAGTCAATTTCTTGAACTGTCTTAGGAAATTTCTCACTTCCAGCAGAATCTTCGATCGAAGATCCTTCGTTGTATTGTTTTTCAGACATGTTTAGGCTAAAATTTTTCTTCTAAGGAAAATTGTTGATGTTTGTTATCTATCGAATTTTTAATAATTGTTCTTTTTTTTTCAAATTGCTTTTGAGAAGTTTTAAGGGTTAAAACGTTGAAAAATAAAATTAATGTCTATTATTATCGGAATAGATATGAGAGCTCCGATATGTACGACTATGATAATGAAATCTCTTATGGGGAATTTATCAGTTGGCGAGGTGGGTCAATTTAAATACCCGTCTATAAACTTCAAGGTGGGGAATGCAACCCGGTTGCGCGACCGAAATAGGGCCGGTGCTGCAGATTGTGGTTAGTCATCCTAAGTGGGAACGAATTTAGATAATAATCTTTTTTTTTTACGTTTCACTATTTCAAACATGAAATTAACCTATTGTTAGTGAAGGAAATATAGCCATATATATATTATACGACGAATCAAGGAATCTTTATATTAGAATTTTATATGATTTGCTATAAATTCTCTTGATGCAAAACTGATATGCTTATGATCTTAAAAACAGCAAAGCCAAAAAAACTTTCTTCCGCTACTCCGGACTCCGCATTAAATTCATATACAGGCGTAAGGCGGAATCTATCATAATCGGTGTCCTGAATCGGTGTCCTACGCATATTGCCGAAAACCTTACTAATGCTTGATTGTTGTGATAAAAAATATCGGACCGTAAGGCGGTAATACAAACCAATCTACAGTAACAAAATATCTTAATAAAATATCCTAAACCATTGATCGGACTTACTACTTTCATACTGTTCCAAGATAATTTAGTTTTACATTCGGAAAAAAAAGAAGAATTCTACAACACAGTAATCATGAAGTAACCAAAGTCAAGAAGAAACTCTAATATACCTGGCAAGCATACCTGGTATGAGAATGTCTTCATTTTTAACATTAAAGTTAATAAGTTACAAAATATTTTTTTATTGAACCTCTTGGACTTTGTTAAGCTCAAATCCAAATTTCATTGTCACGTGATTCATATACAGTCTGAAATGTACACACTGGTCTAGTTTTTACATTGCCTAATTGGGCGGATGAGGGAAATGTAGAGATAAAAAATTTGAGGCTTATATACAGGATGGCAACATCTGACCACGAAAGATGGGGACCACTATTGGAAATTAAGGTAGTTGGATTGGGATAACTATCGAGGGGCGCTTGTATCAAAAGGTGTCAATGTAACGTAATATGTGTGCTAATGCTAGTGTCAAATTTTGGAGTAATTTGAAAGCATATATTTCAATGTAAGGTAAATTTGTAGATTGGATCATCATATTATAAGGTTGAGGTTGATGTAAAATGTAAAAATTCAACACTTTAAACCATAATTTTTGAAGATTAGAGTACTGCAATAGTGTTCAGGCACTTCAAGTTAGCTTATACTGCCTTAGGTTTATATTTTAAGAGATATAGGGCTTATATTTTGTATTAGAAGGTCAATTACCTACATTAAACTGTAGGGTCTAAATTAGAGATTCTTTATCACGTGATAGGTAATAGGGCTATTGCCCTGGGAACAAACGGTCCCTATTCTGAAATGTTCACGCAAAAAATATTTTCGTGTGCGAATATTTAGTCATAAAAATGGCGGGTAACCCCAAATTTGTGGTTCAAGACCCAATTATATACAGGCAAACCTGCAGGTAAGGGGTTTCCAAAATTTTTCTCAGTCGCGATTTTCTAAAGCATTTGTGAAAATTTCAAAGAGACGATTTCATTGCACCTTCTTACTAGAACTAGATCCATATACAATGTCTGACGTCGAAGAACAATACGTTGAAGAACAACCTGTTGTCCAGGAAGAATTACAGTTGGTTGAATTAGCCACTGCTATCCCAGCTGAAGTCCAAGCTGCTCAACAAGAAGTCAAGCTTTTCAACAAGTGGTCTTTTGAAGACGTTGAAGTCAAGGACGTTTCCCTTGTTGACTACATCCAAATCAGACAACCAGTCTTTGTTTCTCACACCGCCGGTAGATACGCCTCCAAGAGATTCAGAAAGGCCCAATGTCCAGTTGTTGAAAGATTGACCAACTCTTTGATGATGAACGGTAGAAACAACGGTAAGAAGTTGAAGGCTGTCAGAATCGTCAAGCACGCTTTGGAAATCGTTCACGTTTTGACCGAACAAAACCCAATCCAAGTTGTTGTTGACGCTATTGTCAACTCCGGATGTAGAGAAGATTCCACCAGAATTGGTTCTTCCGGTACCGTCAGAAGACAAGCTGTCGATGTCTCTCCATTGAGAAGAGTCAACCAAGCTGTCTCTTTGTTGACCACCGGTGCTAGAGAATCCGCCTTCAGAAACGTTAAGACCATTGCTGAATGTTTGGCTGAAGAATTGATTAACGCCGCCAAGGGTTCTTCTACTTCTTACGCTATCAAGAAGAAGGATGAATTGGAAAGAGTTGCCAAGTCTAACCGTTAAGATAGCTTCCTGTGTATTATCTTATTCAAGTCATATAATAATCGAACTTGTAGATGTAATTTGTATGTAAATGTATTCTTTATTTTAAGTGAGAGTATATTTGAAAATTTATCAATGAATGGATTTTATTAATAAACCCATTGTCTGTCTACAGAGAATTAGTGCGAATGATTTTAATAATGTCTTACCACCAAGTAGCGTTTGGAATCTTTGTTTGTGTTTCATATCAGACAACTTTTTTTCTTGTAGTCTTTTAAATATAAGTTCATATAGAAGGTTATGCCTTGTGCTTTTTCAGATAACTTAGTTCCTAGTAAATATATCAAAGAGATATACTGCTAGTGATCTTATATATATATATATATTTATAGTACTATTTACGAAGTATTTTCTTATCTTTAGCGATCGGGAATTGTGTACTTAAAATTAAACATGCAAAAATCATTCCAAACGATAATCATGTCTAATTACTTTATCTTATTCAAATACACTCTTCTTTCAGCATATTAATATATTCGATAAAAAATCTATGTAATTCATTCTTTCCCCCTCCCACTCTTTGTCTTGGTCTTTAATCCCCCCTATCAAATTATGCCGCGATATTAATTTTTCCTCAATATGATTGCCATACACTCCCCCCATAGTAATCGCCAACTTAAAACTGATTACTGATAAATCATACAATATCAAATCAAATCAAAAGCTTGAATTTTTTTGTACCTTGATTAATTAAGCAAGAAATCTGTACATCGAGCTTCACTTGCTATACACTTTAATAATATGTCGGATTTCCTTTCTAAGGGAATTGATCTTGTGCAAAAGGCTATTGATGCTGATACCGCTACTAGATATGAAGAAGCTTACAAACTTTATTACAATGGTCTTGATTATCTTATGTTAGCAATTAAATATGAAAAGAATCAAAACTCTAAAGATCTTATTAAATCCAAGTTTACGGAATATTTGACTCGTGCTGAACAATTGAAAGACCATTTGGAAAAGAAACTGGGTAATAATGGAGGTGGCGATAATTCTGCTCTGTCAGGATCAACAAAGGCCAGAAAGCAAGGTGATGGCAAGGATGACGACAGTGACGATGCAGACACCAAAAAGCTTCGTGGAGCGCTTGCAGGTGCCATTTTACTGGAAAAGCCAAACGTTAGTTGGGATGATATTGCAGGGTTAGAACAAGCTAAGGAAGCCCTCAAAGAAGCAGTTATTCTTCCAGTGAAATTCCCTCAATTGTTTGTAGGAAATCGTAAACCTACTCTGGGTATTCTCTTGTATGGGCCACCTGGTACTGGTAAGTCCTATTTGGCGAAGGCAGTGGCCACTGAAGCAAATTCGACCTTTTTCTCAGTAAGTTCCTCAGATCTTGTCTCTAAATGGATGGGTGAATCTGAGAGATTGGTGAAACAATTATTCACCATGGCAAGAGAAAGTAAACCTTCTATTATCTTCATTGATGAAGTTGACGCCTTATGTGGACCAAGAGGCGAGGGAGAAAGTGAAGCTCTGAGAAGAATTAAGACTGAACTTTTAGTTCAAATGAATGGTGTAGGTAATGATGCTAGTGGAGTGTTAGTGTTGGGAGCCACAAATATTCCATGGCAATTAGATGCTGCTATAAGAAGAAGATTTGAAAGAAGAATTTATATTGCATTACCAGGAGTGGAAGCAAGAACTCGAATGTTTGAAATAAACATTGGGGATGTTCCTTGTGAATGTACCCCACAAGATTATAACACATTGGCAGGTATGACAGATGGATACTCTGGTCATGATATAGCGGTTGTTGTTAGAGATGCTCTTATGCAACCAATCCGTAAAATTCAACAAGCCACTCATTTCAAACCAGTGTTGAGTGATGATGGGAAGGAAAAACTTTTACCGTGCTCCCCAGGTGATGAAGGTGCAAGAGAGATGAGTTGGCAAGATATTGGCACTGATGAACTTCAAGAACCAGATTTGACCATCAAAGATTTTATCAAGTCCATTAAAAATAATAGACCTACCGTTAACGAAGCAGATATCGAAAACCATATTAAGTTTACAACTGACTTTGGACAGGAGGGTAATTAGAATAAATACATAGAAAAATGAATAATAAGAATTAAAAGATAATATAGATTATATAGATATATGATGTATTATCTACATTGAAATTTACTTCATTCTAAATTTATGTTTGGAATTTTTTCTAATAATACATTTGACTTTGATTTGGAGGTCCGGCCCTTCTCCCCTAACGTCTCATTTTATAAGCAAATAAATCTTCTTCTTCTTCGTCATTTCTTCTTCTGGTAGGTGATCTTGATCTATCTCTTGTTCTGTGGGCAAATAAATCTTCTTCTTGAGGTTGATCTCTCAACTTGTGAGCGAAAAGATCCTCTTCAGGTTCTTGGGGTGCTTCTTCACGTTGCTCGCGAGAATTACGTTCGCCACGTTGACGTCTTTGACGTGGTTGTCTGTGATGTCTTCTAGGAGCTCTTTCAGGTTCACCATGAAGCAAGTAATATCTTGAATATGTGCTTGCATTTTTCACTTTTCTATCTGATTGGAAGGATTGTCTAGCATAGATAACAACGGCAGAATCATCCTCATCCATCTTCCCAGAATCCATATCTGGATTACTTTCCTGGTTATTACCAACCTCACCTAATCTACTACTTAAGTCTTGTTGTTTCTTAAAGGCAATAGTTGGCGAGTAGGGTTTTGTTTCACGCTCTTGAACATTATTAGCAAGTGAAAACAATTCGGCCAATTCTTCAGGACTTTTCTCAATATTTGGGTTACCTGGAGTAATAGAAATTCCTGCAAGAGCCTTAATAGCATCTTCATGATTTTCAAATGCTACATTAACAGTTGAATCATTGATCCATTGTACTCTATATTTAAGTTGTTGATCAATTGGGTGTGCTTCGTAGGTGATACGGTTAGGTTGGGTAGGGTCTTCCAGCTGTTGTTCCACAACTACATCATAGTTGATGTAGTAGTCTACAAACAGCTTGATATCATCAGTGGATAAAGAATCAACACCTCGCAAACAAATTGCTTCTGGGCGGATGATTTCGTCTAACCCATTCACAGTAATGGTGACACTTTGTTCCTTTAATTTTGCTTCTTTTGCATTTTGCTCGTCAACAGTACGCGTCAACAAGCCTCCATATGGGGCAACAAATGGTTCAGCCATGGTATAGGAATAGATAGATGTGGTTAATTGTTTAATATTTAAAGTTTGATATTCGAAATTTTGCGCACCTCAATATTATTTTAACAGATACTAAAACCAACAAGACACAATAAGTAAAAAGATTACAATATTAAATTTCCCTCGATTTCCACATATATGTTTATATATGAATCAATGTACACATTGCAGGCACTACGATGAAGTAGAAGATAAGACCAAAAAAGGAAACAAAAAATAGGAAGAAAGAACAAATATATGCACTTATCTAACTCTTGATATAATGACTGCCAATAATATTCTACGTTGGTTTTAAGTCAACAATTAGATTCCCAAATACTCAAGCAGCTTCACAATGAGAGAGTCTGATCAATAGTACTACATTTCTACAATACCACATCTCTTCGTGCAAGTAATATGTTACATTCTATCTATCTTCCTAGATACTTATATTTTTTTTTTTTTGAAAAGATCAAGAAGGTTTCTTGTACTCTTTTGAGATGCTTTAGTTTATTAAATTTCCTCATTATTTGACCTCTAGGTTGCCATTTCAGTATCTTCATTTTTTACTTCGTTATCGTCTCCAACAATCTTGGCTTCTCGTATGAACAAAACATTATTACATCTAATAAATATTTCACCAATAGCTTCTTCTGATCCATCTGAAAGTTCAAATGTATCTTCCAATTGAAGATTCATGTAGTTATCTATTGCCACAAGGGTTCCCTTATATGAAGTTTTATTCCATTTCAAACGTACAATAACTTGTTTATTCACGAGTGTTTTGAGAAATGGTTTCGGGTTTATTGGATGAAATGAAGACATGTTGTTATAAACAGATAGGAGTTAAATATACATATATATATATTTAACCTCACTGTTTAAATCCTAACCTTCGTTTTCGCAAAATAGTGTGCACATTGGATACAAAGATATCAAAATGCGTGTTGTGTTGTCAATTTCCAAGCATTATTTAATTTTATCAACGTTAAATAAATACTTCCTAGCAAGAAACAAAAGGATGGCTTCGGTCTTTGCAAACAACTATCTTGAGGTGATAGGGTTCCTTATACGTGCATTGATTCCAACCCTTGTTCCCTCACTCCCATACAATGTTTCATTCGTGGAAGTCACCACCCCATTGTCATCATTCAAATCGTTACAAGAAGCATTCTATTACTTCAGACATAACATCAACCTATACGATGGTGGTGTCAACCATCACACACCGATATTGGTAGTTCTTCTTAACTTTTTAAATGAATTACCGTATTCATACATTTTATTTAACTTCTTGTACGCTTCCATTGATCTTTGGATCGTTAAACGTTTAAGTCAATTGAATAAATGGTATTCCACTAGAGATCTGAAACAGCCCAATAAGAACCCAACTGCTGCTTTCCCAGATTATCTCTTTGCATGCTTTTACCTTTTCAATCCTCTTGTGATTATTACCAATTGGTCACATTCAACTTTGATATTTTCCAATTTTTTCTTGGTAGAAGCCATTTATCAAGTTTCTATTGCTAATAGTCAAACTAGAGCAATGATTGCCTTGGCCATTGCAAGTTATTTAAGTTATACTCCGGTATTTATGGTCATACCGATTTTAACCCTTGGTTACTCCATTTTGAAAGAACAACAACAAAAACTGGACACTTCCACCACTCCTCCATTTGCTAGAATCATCCAATCCCTTGGAATTTTCATTGTTTCCATTGGTCTTTTATTCTTATTATCATTTACCATGACCTCTTCTTGGCAATTTATTGATTCATGTTTCCTTTCAATAATCACATTCAAGAAAATTTCCCCCAATGTGGGTCTTTGGTGGTATTTCTTTACTGAAATGTTTGTATTCTTCAATCCATTCTTTGTTGGAGTTTTCAACTTATTTTCAGTTATATTCATTATCCCACTCACAATAAGATTCTCAGGAAATTCAATGATTTCTGATCCATTCCTTTCAGTGGTTCTTTGTTACCTTTGGCTTATCTTTACCAAGTCATACCCAACAGTGGGTGATTTAGGATTCCTTCTTGCATTTATCCCTATTTTCCGTTCTAGTTTCCTCCCATACTGTAAGTTTGGGGGTATTACTTCTTTAGTATTATTGGGAACTCTTACCCTTTCTCCAATTTTTTACTATTGTTGGATTGTTTTAGGTAATGGGAACTCCAATTTCTTCTACAGTCTTAATTTAGTCTGGGGAGGTGTCCATGGTATGATTCTTATTGATTTGATTTGGGGGAAGTTAACTTATGATTATATGAATGAAAATGAAGTTCCAAAGGAAGTTCAAAAAAAATTGAGATTAACTCAAATTTAGATATATTTTACAAAATAAGAAATATAATGAATAATTATACAATGAAACATTAACAGTAGTAGAGAGGTTTTCATACTTGTCGATATATATTATACTTAAAGTCAATACAAATGATATTGATTGGATCATTAAATCTGATTATTTGCTGCAAAAAATAAATATATGTAAAAAAAAAAAAAACAAAGACATTTTACCCACAACTAAGGCGCATGGAGTACAGGAAAACATAGTTCTTAGATATAATTAATGAAATAGCAAAAGACTTAACTATGAAATACTTTTTTTTTATAATCCACTATACATATATGTATATACTATGTACACTAAGTATCTTCTTACCTCTCATTAACACACCTTCAAATACTTTTTATACAACTTAAATAGTCCTAATTCCCATTACTTGTACTTTTATCATGAACATTCAGATCCTCCACACAATCACTAAACCTGCACATAGCCCACCCAATCAAAGGTTGAGAATTTCTCACACAACGAAAATTCCAAATCTAACCATAAAGCAGTTCTCCATACGCTACACGTTTAATACATCACTTGACTTGTGAACCCATCGCTATGTTATCTCGTGCCTCCATCCGTTCCTTCAGCGCTTCTGCGTCTGCATCTATCAAGGTTTCTGCCAGAGATGCTCCAGGCTCTCTTCTTTCCAGCGTCTCTGTTGTTGTCAACAACGCTGGATCCAAGGCCTCCTCTAAGGCTGGTGTTGCTCACCTTTTGTCCAAATACAACTTCCTCAACACTGAGTCCAAGTCTGCCTTGAGATTCACCAGAGAATCCGAACTTCTTGGTGGTTCTTTCTCCACTCAAGTCACCAGAGATGCCATTGTCTTGAACACTCAATTCCTTAAGGAAGACTTGCCATTCTATGTTGAAGCTTTGGGTAACGTCTTGGCTAAGCCATCTTTCAGACCACACGAATTTGTTGAAACCGTGTTGCCAGTTGCCAAGGCTGAATATGAAGTTGCTGCTAAGGACCCAAAGTTTTTGGCTGTTGAAGAACTCCACAGCATCACTTTCAGAAAGGGTTTGGGTGCTCCATTGTACTTTGATGGTAAGTCTTCTGTCTCTTTAGAAGACGTTACTTCCTTTGCTCAATCTGCTTACACCGCCGGTAACGTTTCCATCTTTGCCTCTGGTGTCAATGAAGCCGATCTTTCTGGATTCATCAGCGGTAGTGCCTTGTCTTCTTTGCCAACTGGTACTTCTTCCTCTGCTGCCACCACTTCCTTCGTTGGTAAGGAATCCAGATCTAGAGCTGTTGGTCCATCTGTTGCCGTCATTGGTGTCCCAGTCAAGCCAGCTGACTTTGCCAAGTATGAAATCTTGTCTGCTGCCATTGGTTCTGCCCACCTCTCCACTGTTGCTGCCTCTCCATTGAGTCAACTCCCAGGTTCTGCCACCTCTCAACTCCTCAAATACCAAGACGCCGGTTTGTTCGTCGTTTCCGTTTCTGATGCCAACGCTAGCGTTGTTGCATCTTCTATCAAGGCTGCCAAGAAGATCATTGACTCTGTCAGCACCAAGGATGCCTCTGCTGCTGTCAAGAACGCCCAACTTGCTGTTGCCCTCGAATCCACTTTTGCCAACCCAGTTGACGTTAAGATTGATGCTTCCACCTCTGCTCCAAAGGTTGAAGGTTTCAACTACGTTGCTTATGGTGACATTGATGTGTTGCCATTCGCTGACGAATTATAAGTGCATATTCACCCACCCCACACAACCACCACCTTTTCTTGTTGGCCTGCCAACAAAAAATTCATCCTGTTCTACATATAGAGAATACAGATTTAATCTAAAACAGATAGTCAATGAAAGAAATATAAAAAAAAAAAAAAAGAAATCACAGTAGAAAAGAGAATAAATTAATGGAGTAACCTATTTCAAGGAAAGAGACATTCTTTTCCAAAATATCTAGCTAGTTCTTAATCTCTTTGTAATTATATCTGTCATAATATGTCATAATATACTGCCACTCCACGTTAAAAGACTATCGGTCGTGTCCTTACCACCGATGCTATTTCTCAATTTTTCCAATTTACACAAAAACTTAAATCATCACATTAAACAACAAACTACTGAATAGTAGGTTTATTAGGATCAATCAATCTAACCCTTAATACAGAGTAGGAAATCTTACATCTACTTCTATACTACACTTTATCCTTGCCTCCATAAAAAAACATCCTCACCCACAACATAAACCATGTCTGATTTCGAAGATAACGCATACAACGAAGGTGCTGAAAATTATGATGACTTTGATCAACCAGAACATTTTTCTGAAGATGAGTTCAATGAACCAGCTGGCCAAGCCCAGGGTGAAACTGACGCCCATGCCACCAACGGTGGTGACGTGGAAATGAAGACCGAAGATGGAAGAACTATAATCAATGGTGGTATTGGAGGTGAAGAAATTAGACCAAAATCCACCAAAGAGTTGGCTATTGCTAGAGAAGATAGAACTACTACCCCTTACATGACCAAGTACGAAAGAGCCAGAGTATTGGGTACCAGAGCATTGCAAATTTCCCTTAACGCCCCTGTTTTGGTTGATATTGAAGGTGAAACTGATCCATTGCAAATCGCTATGAAGGAATTATCTCAAAGAAAGATCCCATTAGTGGTGAGAAGGTACTTACCAGATGGATCTTTTGAAGATTGGGGGTGTGATGAGTTGATCATTGACCATTAGAATGATGAGATAAGACAAAACAAAGCAAAAAAGCAAAAAGAAAGAAATAGAAGTTTAGGACAAGCGTGAATGTAGGATAGTAATGATGAGAGAAGTGTAGAGAGTAGATAAAAAGCAAACAAGAAGAGAGAGAGAGAGAGAGAGAGAGAGAGAGAGAGAGAGAGAGAGAGAGAGAGAGAGAGAGAGAGAGAGAGAGAGAGAGAGAGAGAGAGAGAGAGAGAGAGAGAGAGAGAGAGAGAGAGAGAGAGAGAGAGAGAGAGAGTTTGTGTGTGTGTGTGTGTGTGTGTGTGTGTGTGTGTAATAGACTGACAGCACTTGGTGAAGGTAACTTATTGGTTATTGGATATGTAAAGTTTCGATATTTGGTCGATTTTTAAACCATTACATTCTAAAGGATAAAGTTATTACTTATCATCTATTCAATATAAGCAGCTAACCATTTAGAAGCCATAAATACTTTCCTACCGTCAATTTCATCTCTAACAAACCCATCTACCAATTCATCAAAGGTTTTGCGTCCTAGACGATTGTCACCTGTACCGATTTCCCCCAATTGTACTGAACATACAGCTTCCTTGAGTTTAGTAATTTCCACATTAAAATCTGGATCCTTTAAATCTTTCAGTTCGTCTGCAAATACCTTGAGTGCGTTTTGTATGGTCTCTCTACCATCGAATTTCAGTAACTGCTTTGCCATGATGTTGGAGTATTGTGTAAAGTTGATCCCTTCTTCGCCATCAAGCATAGTATTGAGTTGTGCATCCGTAGGAGTGGTAAGTCCAAGGGTCTTGTAAAGTGCAACCAAATCCTTTTTCGTTATTTTGGAATCTCTTGAATCTCCATCAATTATTGTGAATGCATTTCGAAGTTGGGACTTTTGTGTAGAAGTAAGTGAATTAAGTGCCAGCATGTTAATTCTTCAAACAGTGTAGGAAAAGAGACATATCTATTGGGTTATATTTTTTTTAGTATTTGTTTACATTTGAACGCGAATCTTTCTTGATCTACTTTTAATTTAGACACAATCTACAAGTTTAATTACTGACATAGATCAATTTAAGTGGGGAGTAGTACCGATGTCGCTTTATAATCAACCGGTAGTGATAGACAATGGGTCCGGGAACCTTAAGGCAGGATTTGCTGGAGAAGAAAAACCCAAGAGTTATGCATCAGCTATAGTTGGACGCCCTAAATATCAAAAAATCATGGTTGGATCAATGGATTCTAGCACGACTGGTACAACTACAGGAACAGTATTAACATCGTCATCTTCAACATTTGTTGGGAACTCGGCCCAAAATAATCGTGGGCTTCTTCGATTGACTTACCCCATTGAACATGGGATTGTCACTAATTGGGAAGATATGGAATTATTATGGCAAAGCACATACACTCAAGATCTCAAAACAAACTCTGAAGATCATCCTTTACTTATAACGGAGGCTCCGCTTAACCCAAGAGCAAATCGAGATAAAATGTGTCAGTTACTCTTTGAACAATTTAATGTTCCATGTCTATATATTTCCATTCAAGCAGTTCTTTCACTATATGCATCGGGGAGAACAACTGGGGTAGTTGTTGATAGTGGTGACGGGGTTAGTCATATAGTACCCGTTTACGAAGGGTTTGCCCTTCCTAATTCGATCAAACGAATGGATATAGCTGGTAGAGATATAACAGAAACATTTGCACAACAATTACGGAAACTGTCAGGATTAGCTCTCACTAGTCTGTCTGAGTTTGAAATTGCTCGTATGATAAAGGAAAGGTGTTGTTACATTGCCAAGGACGTTGCAAGAGATGAACTGTTGTATGGATCATCTGCTGCCGCGGCTGCAGCGGCTGCTTCTGCAGCAGCGGCAACTACTTCATCTTCCTCAAGTTCAGCCAATCTTTCTACAGATCAATATAGACTTCCAGATGGACGTGTAATACATGTTGGACCAGAGAGATTCCGAGCACCAGAAATTCTTTTCAATCCTGAACTTATTGGTGATGAATCACCAGGAATTCATGAACTCACTGCATTGGCTATTGCCAAGACAGATTTAGACCTTCGTCCTATACTTTACAAACATATTATTCTATCAGGTGGGAATACTTTAATCCGAGGCTTTGGGGATAGAATGTTAAACGAATTGAAACAACTGCAAGAAATTAATACAAGCACAAGCATTTGGGGAGGTAGAACTATGGCGGCGGCATCATCATCTACATCATATAAAATGAAAGTTAAAATATATGCACCTCCAGAAAGAAAATATTCTACATGGATTGGTGGATCTATATTAGCAGGGCTTTCAACTTTTAAGAAAATGTGGGTTACATTGCTGGAATATCAAGAGAATCCAGATATTATTCATAAAAGGTACATGTAATATTCATCAATTCTAAATACAATAATATCTGTCACCAAAGTCACCCAAACCTGGAACAATGTACTTATTTTCGTCCAATTTTTCATCAATTCCACCAGTGATGATCTTGACTTCAGGGTACTTTTCGTGGAAGGCCTTGATCCCTTCAGGAGCAGCCAACAAGTTTAAGAAAAGAATTCTATCCATCTTAACACCACGGCTCAACAAAACCTCAACAGCCATCATAGCACTACCACCAGTAGCCAACATAGGATCAAGCAAGAAAACATATCTTTCGCTGATGTCTTCTGGTAATTTTTCATAGAAAAGCTTTGGCATGGCAGTTTCTTCATCTCTTTGAATCAAAATCTTACCAATACGGACTGATCTACAACAGTCTCTTAAACCTTGTTCCATAGATTCACCAGCTCTGACAATGGAAACACCACAGATCTTACCCAAGAATTGGGCACCCTTGTATTCGTAGTTTCCATGACATTTGACAAGAGTATCATTAACTGGAAGTTGGTTCAAACCTTCCTCCACTAAAAGTCTGATGATACGGTCAGAATAGAAGACAAAGTCACCACGTTTGGTAGCATTGTTACGGATGATGGAGTAGAGACCAATGAGTTGGTTGGTTTGTGGAAGGACAATGACGTTCTCTGGCATGGCTGTAGACTATGAGAGGTTGAATTGATGAGGTTGTGTGATGAATATAAAAAAAAAAATTTGATATCGCACAGGTTCTCATCGAAACAGGAGATAACGAAGTAAAAATAAAATATACTCATTCAAAAAATCCTGTAGTGTGTGAAATGCTTGCCAAGTATACATACGACTTTTTCATGCAAGTCATACAGAGCCTAGCGTGATATTGGTCACGTGGACATTTGATCTGTACTACTCTTCATAAATATATTATAAATGTACAGCTTCATTGTAAATGATTGTTTTATGGTAAAATCTGAAAAATAAAATGACCCTCTCTAAATATCTCATATTTTTCCCTTTTCTTCTCTCTCACACTTAATTCCTAACCGGAAATCAAGGTTTATTTTATATCAAGTAAACCCGCTATGAATCAGTAGGAGAATTTTTATTTTACACAAAATAATACACAATTTTTCCGTGCATAGATATTCGTTAAATACGAGTGGTATTGCAAGTGCCATTTCCGTACTCCCTCGAGCGGTTGCACTTTTTCCCAATTGGTTGTACACATACTGGCAGCCTATTTAACCTCTACTTCGCGACATCGGCCCACTAACTTGGTTTGTCTTGACCCGTCTTGAGTCCCCTGGCATTGAAGACTCTGGTAATCTCTGTGAACCATTCTCATTTTCGGAAACTACATAGAGCTTTCTTCAATTAACACCTCTCAGAAACCAACACTTACTAACAAGCCTAGTGCTATTTCTTTATTAATTATAAATAACTTCTTCAAATGTGCTTCTGGTTAAATACGCCACCAGATTTGAAGAATACTCTCTCTAAACAGAATTAACACCAACTACAAATTTCACTACATGTACCTCGACTTGACTAATTGTATCTTCTTTCTTGATTTTTATTATTTTTCGTTTTTTAGATTCTTCTTGTATTCTCTCTGTAATCATACCTATCGTCTTTCATGCTACTATACTACAACCCCTTCCTATGGATTTCTCCTTCTTCTTCCTTTTTCTCTACTCTGGGTTAACAAAAGGGTTGTCAATTTCTTCACTTCCATCAACAGGAGCAATGGTGAGTAAAGTTGGACCTCTTACCACTACCAAACCAAGGTTTCTTGTTTCTTTAGTTAATACAGTTTCATCTTCTGGATCTCTCAAATTCTCAGTCACATCTTCCAAAACTAAGTTCATTAATTGGTCAAATCCTTTCAAAGTTCCTACAACTTGTCTACCACCAATAAACTTGACTCTAATTTGTTGATCCTTATACTTGTTCAAGTCCAAAATAGCCTCTCTCTTTGGTCCATCTGGCTTTGGTCCTTGTTGTCTTCTTCTATTGTTGTTGTTATTATTACGGTTATTTTGAGGTTGGGATTGCTGCTGCTGAGATTGCTGAGCTTGTTGACCTTGTTGTTGACCTTGCTAGTAGGAGGTTAGTATAAGCCAAAGAAAAAAAAAAAAAACGAGCTGGCTAAAAATAAACAGGTATAAGCAACTCAAAGTTCATAAGGAGAAACCAATATGGCATGAACTGATACAGTAAATTTCGCTCCTCTCGTGATTATACATACAGTTTCCATCTTGTATAAATAATTCTATAATATATGTGTGAGTTTGTTTGTGATAGTCAATTTTTGGTCTTAACTTCGAAAATTGATGTTGCCTGTATATAGCGTGTGTATCACAAAACAAAGTTCAATAAGTAGGAATATTTACTATGCCAATATGTTATTTAAAATAGATATTCATGATGAGATTGAGGGATGGTACAGAAAAGCTGAATAAATGTGAATGGTTGGTCAATTATAGAAAATTGGTTAAAAAGTTTCCTACTGTTAATTTTTGCCTTTTATTGAGTTTATTTTTCATAAATATATATATAAGTTTTTTTTTTCTTTGTTATATTCTAATTACTTTCTTTGGGATGATTTATTTCTCTTCTCTTCATTACAGCGTTGTAATTCCCATCTTTACACGAAAACCGTCTATATCCCGGTTTTAAGTAATATGAACAGTTCCCTCCGGGGAAATGCAAAATGTAACTTCCATTAAAGTTTTCAATGAGTTTGCCTTTAGATTTTATCTTTGTCCCGAATTTAATATCACACCATTGTCTTTTTAATTTTTTACTACCACCAAAGCCGATTATTTCAAAATCTATATTAAGATACTTGGCTATCTTAGAATGTACTTGAGTATTTGATTGGTTGATAATTAAGTGATTGAATCTTGAAGTCAATGGATCTCTATTTAAGAAATTATGTAAGTGAAGATTGAAAGAATCTCGAATTATTTTGGCAACAAGGACGTCTAATACAATACTGTCACTCAAACTGAGTGGAATGCTAGTATAGCAATGACGAGCGTCCATTTTTATTAGCTGATTGCTTTAGTTTATTGATGGTAAAAAAAAAAATGGTATAAAAGAAATAGTTTACAAACAAAAAGTCAATCTCATTTTCTATTAAAGATGTTTGTGATAAAGTACAATTGGAAAGGTCACAAGGTCCACCACCAATACACTGCTATATACCAGTTATCCCCCCCTTGAACTAGTTACACCATTTTTTGTTTATATATTTTTGCACCCATATTTCCCTGTATGGCTATCTGCAGCACCTACCAAATATTGATCGATTATTTAATTTTCAATACAAATAAATTTCCTAAGAGACTACCAACTTTTCCCCCTCTTTTCTAAGCACACAATTAATTAAGCCATGTCAGATATTAACGTGTATGTAACTTCAGAGTTCACATCTTCAGAAAGAAGAATTTCCCCACAATGGACTATAGAATTTCTTAGAACAAAACTCGAGTTAATTACTGGGATTGCTCCAGATAAACAAATAATTCATTACTATCCAAATTCTAAATCAAATGAATATATCGAAATTTGGGATAATGATCATAATTTACCAGAAGAAAAATCTCGAGAATTAGGACTTTTCAATATTGTACCATACTCAAGAATTCATATATTGGATGAAGATTCAGATTCTATTATGAGTAAAGTAAATAAAAGTGCAGCAGGTGAAGATTGGCGTGAATTTAAACTTTCAGAAGAAGATTATGCTAAACGTCAAGATTCAGCATTAAAATGGAAAGAAAACAATAAGCTTGGAAGATTTGATCCTCAATTTCAAAGCATAAAGGATAGAAACATTGAAGAGAATCTCAAACTTTCTTCAAACATATCTGTAGGTGATAGATGTAGAACCATTAATATCCAAGGTGAAAGAAGAGGAGCAGTTAAATTCATTGGGAAAGTTCCAGAACTTGATCAAGGAGAACAAACTTGGGTAGGAATTGAATTTGATGAACCAGTAGGAAAGAATAATGGTACAATTGATGGGATAAGGATATTTGAATGCCGAGAAAACCATGGAAGTTTTGTCAAACCTAAACAATGTGAAGTTGGTGATTTCCCTGAACTTGATCCATTTGCAAGTGATGATGATGAATTATAAGGAGGTTGGATGAAAGCAAAGAAGTATATGGAAGGAGTATATTTGAGATGTCTAAATATACATTAATAAGTATAATTTGAGATTGGTGAAAGAGAAATATATTTGGTGTAGAGAAGATGAGCTACTTGTAGAAAGTTAGCTACTGTAGAAGCTTATTTTGGAATGGGATCATTTCCACTACGTATTTGCAGCCACAAGAAATATAAGTTGGGCATTCAAAATCTATTGTTGAATGCTAGAAAAAGTATGACGTATATGTAGATCTAAATGGATGAGAAATATAATTTACAGTTGTCTGAACTCTCCATACTTTTCTTTGAATTTTGTATAATTCTTTTCATATTGGAAACGTACCCATTTCCATATTGTGCTGCTTACTAAACATATTTAACGAGCACAGTACAAACATTTCTCATGTAAAAATAAAATTTATCGAAGAAATCTTGTTCTCGTTCGGTTTTCTTCCCTCTTTCTTTTATATATTATTTACCGCTCAGTAGAGTCAATTGATGATGAAATTGGGAATCCCATGTCTGTAATATCTTATAGTTGGTACTAAAATCATATAGAAACAATGTAAATATATATTCTTGAAAGTCGTGTCTCGGACCTTTCGGAGATCAAAGTTGTGGAAAAACGTCAACACTCACAAAATGGATGGCGGCGATAATTAAATTCAATAATATTCTTGTTATCATTTATTCATTCTTTATTATTATACCTAGCTATGTTTGAATTTATATTTGATTACGTTGAAAGAGAATCTTTCACCAAGTACTTGAGATTAATTATCTTTATCGCTACTTACATTATTTTCCGTAAGTATTACTCTGATTGGGCTAAGATGAAACAAGTTAAGAGACAAATCGAACAAGATAACAAGGAAAAGGAAGAAAAGCCAGAAAAGGATAGAAAGAAGCGTGCTGAAATAGAAGAAAAATTGACCCAAGAAGCCGCTACTTTTGGTTGGGGTAAAAAGACTAGAAAGAATGTTAAACTCTCTCAATCTATACTTGAAGAACAAGCAACTGAATTGAGAGAAAGACACCAAACCGCATACGATGCTCAAGAAGATCATGACATTGAAGATCTTTTAGAAGATTAGGTGGTGGATTTGTATATAAAAGATGTAATTGATAAATAAATATTTTCTTAAGAACAAGAATTTATTGGGAGGATATAAGATGCAAATTTAAAGAAAAGATAAATATACGTAGGATGAAAGAAAAGATTGAAATTAGTCGAGCAGCAATAGTTTAATCGACCGAAATGATATACACCCATACTCTAATATATACAAGCTGGATACATCTCTTTAACCAATTCAGAATTAAGTTCCCCATACCAAATATCACATGGAGGCCTGCATATATATTATATATATATCAACAAGGTTACTCTTTAAACAAAAGTGTATCACTAACCTATATTAATTCCCTTAGAATAACTTTTATACCGTAAAACTTTATTCCCTCATACCCTTATTAATAATAAGTACTTCTTTTTTGGCTCCTTAATTGTCTATCTATAATTTTCAATTCATCACCATAACCTAACTAACTAACAATGTGGACAAAAAAACGGCGTCACGTGACCAACACACTGATTTTCCAAAAATTCTCATCTCGATGCCCCAAAAAGACTTTTCTAGAATTTAATCCTAAATCAATATCAATTATTATAATCATCAACTATTGTAAATAAACATGGCTGGAGATCCGTTTTTGTCAGATCCGTCCAAGAAGCGGAAAAGAGGCGGTGCTAGAAATTCCCGTCCTGTTACTAAACAATCGAAAAGTAGAACACAAACTCCAACAGTGGAAGATGAAGAGATTTCAGGAGTTAGTGAATCTGATGATGAACAAGGAAATATTTCTGTAGGAAGTGAAACTGAAGAACATAATGAATCTGCTCTTTCTTCCGATGAAGAATTTGCTGATGAAAATGCTGCCGATAAAAGAAGAAGACTTGCCAAACAATATTTGGATAATTTAAAACAAAATGAACTCGGTGGAGATTTCAATGATTTCGATGCTCAAGATTTAGATGATGACATCTTATCTAGACGTTTGCAGGTCGACGTTGCCGAACTGAAAGGGTTTGTGTACAAATTTGTAGGAGAGAAAGTGGAAGAATCCTTGGATGGACAGAAGGAAGAGGACAACATGGTTCTGGTGACTCGTATAGGTTCCAAGAACATGACCGGAATGGCTCTTAGAGCACCATACTTGTATACCATCTCCAAGGACATTGAATTGATCAAATGGAAGGTGAATGAAACCGGTAAGGGGAAACAACAAAGACTTAAGCATACTCGTGGTGGGTCCAACCGAGAAGATCATCATATAGCTCCAATTCTCTGTGTTGCTGCTTCTCCAGATGGGAAGTATGTTGTCACTGGAGGTGCCGATGGTAGACTTATTATTTGGTCCAGTGAAAACTTGACTTGTTTGAAAATGCTTGAAGTATGTAGAGTTGGAGGAATCAATCAAGTTAGTTTCCGTAGAGGTACTGATCAATTGTACGCAGCATGTGGTGATCTTAGAGTACGGACTTTTTCCATTAATCAATTTGCACAACTTGAGGTGTTATATGGACATCAAGATAGCATTACCGACGTTGCCAGTTTAAGTAGAGAAACTTGTGTTAGTGTTGGTGCAAGAGACAAAACAGCAATGTTTTGGAAAGTGGCTGAAGAGTCCCGGTTGACATTCAGAGGTGGTGATGCCGATAGAAAGGTAAGAAAGAAGAAAAAGGTTGAAGGAGAGGAAGAAGTCACTGAACCGGAAGCACCATTTGTCAATGAAGGAAGTATTGATGTGGTGACCATGGTTGATGAAACTCATTTTGTCACTGGTTCAGATAACGGTAACCTTGCCCTTTGGTCTCTTGCTAAGAAGAAGCCTCTTTATACCCACAGATTGGGACATGGTCTTGAAGCTGCTCTTAGTTCAAATTCTGCCAGTGCTGAAGTGAACTTGGAAACCGCCAAGGCTCAAGTACCAGACGCTCATCCATATTCTATCACATCTGTACATGCAGTCCCATTCAGTGATGTTTTCGTAACTGGATCTTATGATGGGACCCTTAGAGTATGGAAAATTTCATCTGAAGGTCTTCGTTCATTCTCACTTATTGGAAAAGTGGAAAATGTTAAAGGTTGTGTAGTGAGTATTGTTGACTGGGAAGTCAGTGCACACAAGATCACCTTTTATGCATTGACTAGTAAGGAACATAAACTCGGGAGATGGCTTGGAAAGATTGATGGTGCTAGGAATGCATTGGTTAGTTTTTCTGTTGATATATAGAGAATGCATTGTAGAATAGGAATTTTGGTTAACCGAAATAATATAAAAAATAGATAATTACAAAGCTGTAGAGAGAGAAAGATTATATGGATGACTCACTTGGATATTCTTACAGATAAATTCATTACATGAAATATGAGGATTAAATAATATACAAAGGATCTCTCCAATTTGGAAACCCTGGACAATCAGAACCAGAAAGTTCACCACAATAACGTGCTTGGGATTATCTCTACTTCTTTCTTTTTTGCCCATTAAAAAGCTGCTTCGTCATCACCTCCATCAACTCCATCTTCATCACCATCATCGAAATACTTTTCGGCGTTATAATCATCATCATCATCTTCTTCAAATTCATCATCAAAGTCTTCCTCAAGATCATCTGCATTCTCATCTTCTTTATCTTTATCATCATCCAAAGTTTCTGCTAAATTCTTTAATTTATCCAACATTGATTGTGCCATGGATTCATTATCTTCTTCTGGGGGGTTAGCTCCACCAAATTCTCTTAACCCACCATCTGCCTTATAGGAAGACAAGGATAGAAGCTTACGCTTCTGCTTGTTGGATATACCCATAACTGAGTAAAGTTCTTCTGGGAAAAATTCAAGTTCATATGGATGTTCTTCAATTGTTCTACCAATTTTTTTAGTCTTTTTATATTTATCAGAATGACGTTTGATCCCATCCACGTTGGTTGTGAGGGATGATTGTGAAGCTCCCTTTTCAGTGGCATCACCGGTAAAGAATGGTCCATCAGCTACAGATTGTGCTAAGGCAATAGACTGCTTGGCACTATTTTCTTCTCTTTCACTAAGATCTCCATGGATTGGGATGGAGAGATGAGTATCTTGTGATTGTGAGGCAAGTCCGCCAGAAACATCGGCATAGTCCAACCCGAACGGAAGAAGTGCCCTAGTGTTTCTTCCTCTAAACGACATGTTATTTTTGAGATGATTTCTAGAAGAGAGATGGGTAGGGTCTGGAACTTTGTAAAAATCATATAGACACAACTTTGTGACACTAAAAAATATATAGAGGACAAAAAAAATACTTGGGAGCGAAAAAAAAAAAAAAAAAATAGAAACCAATTAGTGTGGGTGTACGGGTGTTCGCAAGCATTTGAAGGTTTTCGTTATTGAGAGATCACTCAAAAGGTAAATATACAGCCTTGAATTTTGAATAGTGTTTATGAATAAGACGTGATTAATACGGCCAATTCAAAATTTTTTCCATAGTAGAGAGATTATAGAATACAGCGGAAGCCAAAGAGCATTTGATATCAGTTGACAGTACTCCATTTGCCATCAATTTCCTGTTTTCTTTTTACTGAGTGACTTGTTTTGGAATTGATTTCAGATCAAAACAAATAGAAAAAAGCTTATAGAGAGAAAGTTAATAGCACAAGAAACAACGACTTTTTTTTCGAATATGGAGAAACCAGAGACAGCCGATGGTACGCTCATCATCATTGTGTGTCGTGCCAAACATCTTCCAAACCGTAGGAAGATGGATAAACAATCTCCATATGTCACTATGAGAATGGGGCCAGTTGCAAATAAGACTCCATCACATTTCAGAGCAGGTCAGACTCCAGAATGGACACATGAAGTGAGGTTTCAGCTTACACGAGAACGGAAACCGCTTATGAAGTTGGATGTTCTAGACGAAACGAAAGATGAACCAACGCCCATTGGAGCGGTTGAAATAGATTGTAGTGAGGTATTCAATACACCAGAACATCGAGTAGAAGGTAAATACATTTATGATCGTTGGTACGAGCTTACATTTGCTGGGAAGCGAGCTGGGTTGATCTATCTTGAAATGACTTTTTACCCCAGTGCACCGGTCATACCGCCCAAATTACCTTCTCAACCCATTGGTAGTTGGCTGGGGAACCAAGAACCACACGAGACAGCAGTTGCAGCACCCGCTCAAGATGAAATATATCAAAATATTTCCCCAACGCATCATCATCATATCCATGAACAAGAATTAATGCAAAAAAATAGCGCCGATGAAGTTTTTGTCAATGAATCTCCTCTGAATAGACGTCATCATAAAAAGAAATCATCTTATAGTACAGAAGAAATTGGTAATGACGACCAAGGACATATGGCCAAGTTAAAGAAACTTAAGGCAAAATTGACCACCAAGAAACCAATTGGTACATTATTTAATGAGGGAGAACAAGATTATGAGATGAAATCTTCTCCTAAAATACCAAAAGAACTGAAACGTTCAAGGAAATTCTATCAACTCCCGGAAAGATCTGGAGCAAATCCTCTAAGTGTTGAATTAGATGATGAAGATTATGAGAATTTACAACAAGAGCTTGCACCAAATCCACCTCCACATTTATCTGGACATTCATATTCCAGTCAGGGAACTGGTTATAACTCATCTGGGGCCTATACATCAGTGGTGGACTCACCTCCACCAACTCCTATGAAAGATGCAAGATATACTTCACCAACAAGACAATCTCCACCAAAAAAGTATTCATCCCATTCTGCCAGTAGTAGTCTTAGTAGGAAACCACCACCACCATTAAGTGATTCAACCTCGAGTTCAATGCTCTCAGCAAGTTTACAAAAATTAAATTTTGGAGGAATTTCAACTACATCTATCCCATTCTCAGCTGATACCATTGGACTTGAAGATGATGAAGATGGAAATAATGGATATTCAAGAAGTGATGGACTCCCTACTCAAGTGTATATGTTTGATAAACCTGTTAAATCACTTTCACATTCAGGGACTATCAATCCAGTGGGTAAGAAGAATGTGAACAATAAGTATGATGCACCACATGCCGATGAATTGGATCCAAAATATTATGCTCCAACTCCAACTGAACATCTTTCCAAGACTTTAAGACTTCAACATGGGAATATAAAAAAAAATGATGTACTGATTGATCTTCGTACGGAAACCACTGGATATTTGGGAGATGGAGAATGGAAACATGATAAGTTTTCACCATCAGTGTTTGATAGAATGCCAAATAATTTATCTTCAGATAATAGAAAACCATCAGTACCTCCAAAGATTCCAAAGGGATTACTGGAATTGGAGTATTATGTATTAGAGAAGGAAAATTTTCTAAAGGATATTAATGGGAGACGAAGTTAAGAAAGATATAGAAAAGAGAGGGAAAACGGGAAGTAAATTTCCATGAATGCCCTGCAAGGAATGACGGACATGTACTATGTAATTTCTCAGTACCAAACCTGGTGCCGATGTCCAGTTATATGGCGATAAGCCTTTTGTTTCTTTTTTTTTTTTCTTTGGTGGGAATAATTTATTTACAAATGAAAGTCATTAATAGGTATGTAATTGAGAAATATAATAATTAATAAGGTGGAAAAGGGAGGAGGTGAGTAATATGAAGTTTAAAGTTCTGTTATTTAGTAGGGATCAGCCAGCTAAGCAGTAAACAATTTAAGGGGCTGTCACATTCAGAGCAGTCTCCTAATGATACCCAGAGAGAGTTTGTGCTTTCTTTCTGGGGTTTGGGCGAGTTGACTCTTAACCATGGGGGTACCATGGGGGTGAAGTTCCTGAAGTTGCGCGTCCATCAGGTTCTTGTTACAAATCCATCAATGTCTACATTTTGTACAATTAGTTAATAATACAAATACAACATTATCATCACTATACAAAGATATAAAAAAAAAGAAGATCAAAGTAAAGAGAGTTGGTAGGGGTAATCTGGTGTTATGATACAATACAATTGAATTGAACAGGGGAGGTTGTGGGTGGTTTTTTTTTTTGATCTTTTGGGGGTATGGTCAATTCTTCCAATCATTACAAAAGGGCGGCAACGAGTGCAATGGCACCGATGAATGCACCTCCTGCAGTGTTAGCAGCAACAGCACCATTCTTCTTGGAGGAAGATACCACTGAGGAAGCAGCAGCACTGGATGAAGACAAGACAGCAGAAGTGGTGGAAAGAGCACTTGAAGTAGGCTTGACAGAAGAAGAGTGGGCAGAAGAAGAATGGGCACTGGAAGTGACGTTAACAGAAGAGGCAACGGCAACAACACCTTTGAAACCATTCAATTTGGAAGAAGCAGCAGCGGCAGAAGCAGCAGAAGCAGAAGCAACTGAAGCAGCAGAAAGGGAAGCAGAAACGGAAGCAACAGAAGCAGCGGAAACAGAGGCAACCGAGGCAGATGAAACCGAAGCAACGGAAGCAGCAGAATCAGCAGAGGCTTCAGAAGCAGCGGAAGCAGCAGAAGCAGCGGAAGCAGCAGAAGCAGCAGAAGCAACAGAAGCAGCAGAAGCAACAGAAGCAGCGGATTCAGAAGAAGCAACGGAAGCAGCAGAAGCAACTGATTGAGCAGAAGCGGCTGAAACAGCAGAAGCAACTGATTGAGCAGAAGCAGCAGAAGCAGCAGAAGCAAGGGAAGCAACAGAAGCAGAAGATACTGAAGCTACAGAAGCAGCGGAAGCAGAAGCAACAGAAGCAGCAGATTCAGCAGCAGCTTCAGATGCGGCAGAAACAGCAGAAGCAACTGAAGCTTGAGAAACTGCCAACTTTTGAGCAAGGGAAGTACTTTGTTCAGGAGTCAATAAAGTCTTGGTGATGGTGATAGTTGATTGATAGGTGGTGGTTGGTTCGTCAGCAAGGACAGTAGCAACAAGGGCAGCAAGTGCTAAATTAGATTTAAACAACATTGCCAATAATTTTTAATTTAAGTAATTTCTTTTCAATGAAAGTTAAGTCTTGAGGGTGGATATTGATAATTTAATTAGGAACTGTAAACAATTATGAGTTGATTGAGACCTAAGTTAAGGAAAGACTGGGGTGGGTTATGGGTACTAAAGAGTGACTGGGGTTAGATAGACTTAATTGTGGTAAAAGAAGTAAAAGAAGAAGAGAAAAAAGAAAGCAAGATTAGAAAGAAGAATGATGAAGAAACATAACAACGACATTGCGAGTGACTAGGAGGGAATGTGGGAGAATGAGTGGATATGAAGTTTTGATGAGAAAGTGCAGGAAAACTGTGTATTGTTTCAATCCCGCGTTAGTATACGCGGCTAATATGCGCGTATTCTGGGTTGCCGAACGAAAATTTGATTTGGTTTTGATTACATTTAGACGAAAACGGAATCTAAGCTACCGAAAATGGGTGTTGTGGTTGATCTCTCCTGCACACGGGCCACACTTTCGCGCTTATACGACTCAAAGAGTGCCGTTCAAATCCCCTTTTGCGCGGTTGTGCATATAAGTACATGTGATACAAAAAGAATTTTTTATATTTTTTGGGCTTTTTTTTTTGTGTATTTTCAATACTATGGAAATGTTTAATAGCGCCCTATTAATTGAGAAAAGGGTGAGTGGAGATTTAGATTGGAATGTGTTAGTTATGCATATTTGATAAGGGGGTCAGGGGGTTGAGGGGTTTAGTGGGATGATAGTCTAGGTCCTTGTTTCTGTTTCATATTCATTAAACTGTAGAGTAAGAGTATACAATTTTTTTTTTATTTTTATGAATTGAACTTATTGAACATTTTCTTAATTTTCACTTCATTTGATGAACAGCCGCTTATTAGAATGCAACAAAAAGAAATAATTGATGCATTTTCTTGATTTTCACTTCATTTGGTTGAATTGGGATTAACAGCCGCTCATGAAAATGCAACTAATCAATTTTTTTTTCTTCAAAAAAAGTTGAAAATTTTTTACATTGCATGCATAATTAACGTTGAAAGCCTTTTAGATTACGAAAAAAAAAGCACCTACGAACCATCACTGGGTACAAAGTAATAAACCAATGTTCCTATCTAAGGTGTTACTTGTACCCCTAGTGAGTTATACTAAATACGTTCACGTTCACTTCAACAAGAATTATGGGGTTCAGCTGTCACAATAATGACATGGGGACAGACCTTAAAAAACCTTATTTGTATGTACATTAAATAATTGTTATATAGCCGGTATTACTCGTCTACAATGAAATGTCTCCTTCAATTGATACCTTCATACAATTGGTGCATGATTTGCAAAAAATTATTTGAATTTTTCTTTTTGTGGATTGAATAGCGGAATTTGTTCATGTATCCTATAATTCAATTAAAATACACAAAACTGAGAAATACTTTCAGTCTTTTAAAGTGCAGGAAAAAAAAACTTAGCGGTAATATTGTCATTTCAATATCACAAGAAAAAAAAAAAAATGGAATTTACAAGTTTACATCAATTGAAATGTTGTCTCGTGTGATATGAAAAACTTAAATTTTAACCTAAATGAATTAAATTTAATAAAAAGATATAAGGTATTGAAATTTTTTTTTTTTGAAATTTTATTACTGATATGAATTGTCGACTAGACTACTATTGTTTTGGTGGTAAATAAGTAGTAGGACGTGTTGAAAATTCTGCTTGCCTCAACACCCTTTCAACTTGTCAACAGTATTTTTTTTTTTTTTTCTCACAAGGATTCTTTATTTTTTTTTAAACCAACTTACTTTAGTATGCTTTTTACCAACATATAAAAGATACTTACAACTTAATACCTCTATAAATTAACTATACAAACTAACTTTATATTCTCCATCTAATGAGTTTTCATTAATTTCCTCTCCTGCACATTACCCCTTGTATATATTCATATATTCATTTTTAGTCGTGCACCCACCATGAATTTGAAAAATTCTGAAAATTTGGTAAAAAAATCAATCGAACAAAAAACATACATTGGAAGAATATTATACCTTTGATAGATACCCATATATATATAATGATTCGTAACTCTATCCGTTCATATTCGGCAAAGGCCATTCCATACCTTTCCCTGACGCCAAACAAATTTAATTCTGCCAGATCTACATGGAATTTGAAGCCTGCTTTACCACAAGGACTTGTCCACAACCCACCTGCATCTGTACCCAATGCTTCAAAGACTCCAAAAGCATTTTTACCAACCCAAGACCCTCGTTCCACCCGTTTATCCCACAAATCATACACTAGGGAACAGGTGGATGACATGCCTGTAGTTTATGCATCATCCGCAAACCCAGATTACTCAGTTACCCCAGAAATCGTCTCTGAAATCCAATCCTTGAGAGATTCAAATCCTCAAGAATGGACGGTTAATAAATTGGCTCGTAAATTCCAAGTTTCTCCTGCATTCGTTAAAGTCACCACATCTATAAATCAAGTAAGAAAGGAAACTTTGGCTCAACAAGAAGAAGCACAGAAACAACAATGGCCCCTTCAAAAGCAAAAGGCTAGAATTGATAGAAAGAGAAGAGTTGAACTCTGGTTAAGAAATGAATTCTAAATTCAATTTCTTTTCAAAATCATCCACCAAAACTTTCATTTGACTGATTATCCATTCCCATTTATATCATCAGTCCTCTCCGGTCATCCTGTACATAGGCCAGCTTGTATATTTAACTTTTATATTACATTCTATTACATATAATGTACATCTTTATATTGTAGTTTTCAATTAATAAAAGATTTAAAAGATTCATTCTTCATTTAATTACTTTCTTGAATTGCTAAACTTTCTAAATCTTCCAAATTTTGTTGCATATTAATTTTAAATCCAATTGTAAATTCAATTAATCTTTGAACTCTATCATGTAAGGTTGATCTTTCTGCTTGAATTTGATGAATAAGTTCATCATATTCTATTTGAATCGCTTGTGATCGATTTTCAACTTCAATTAATCCTTGATTTGTATTGATTTTAATTGATCGAAGTTCTCTTTCAAGTTTTTCAATTTGCATTGAATATGTTGTAGTATCATTTGTCATGGTTTCATATATTTCATCATATGTTGTCTTATTAGCAGAAAGTTTTGCCTCTAATGTTTCAATTTCTTCTCTCTTTTCTGTAATTTGTTCCAGCATAAGATCTAATTGTTCTTGAAGTTTAATCAGATCATCTTGATGTTTATGAATAGTAGTATTGATTTGTGATTTATATTGTAATAATTGAACTTTTTGCAGTGATATCGTTTTATTTATAATATCAGCTGGTAATAAAGGTTTGGATGTTGGTAAATTCACTAAAAGTGTAAGTTCATATGAATTTGAATTTGAATTATTTCCATCTTTATCAACTTGTGATGATGCTGATGCTGTACCCATTCGATAAACCATTGCATTATATTGTTTAATGAAATTATCTAAACTTTCAAATCCTCTTTGACATTCAATTTCTTTAATTCTTAATTGATTTTCTAATTCTTCAATTCTTGAATTTGTAACATCAATTAACCTTGTAAGTTTATCTCTTTCAGTATATAATCCATCAATATCCTTTGGAGTATGACCTTGAACTTCCAATTCAAGTTGACATCTTTGTTTATCAGATTCTAATTCTATTAATTCCTTTTCACAATTTGTTACTTCTTCCCTTATTTTATCTAAAACATCAGACCATTTTAATTTTCTTGATTCCATAGTTTCAATATATGCTTTAAATTTCACTAAATCAGATTCAAGCGCCTTTGATTTAAGTTCAGATTGTTCTAATATACTCAATTCCTTTGTTAATGTATCCAATTGAGTTTGTAATTGTTGATTTTCAATTTCTAAATTCCCAATATCTTCAATTATTCCCTTTGTCATTTCATCAAATTTTTCCTTCATATTTGAAAGAAATGGTGAATAATCATCTTCATTATTAATAAATGCTCGATATGATTGTCTGATATAATCTATAAATATTTGATCAAGTTGATCATCAACAAGTATTGGATCTGTACCATCAATGGTTAAATCAGCTAATGATAAATTTAATTTCACTAACCAATAAAGCATTCCAAGAATGGCCGGCCAGTTCAGGGAGTTCACCGAGGCTATTTGAGTTCTATTGATTGTTTCTAAATATGGATAATTAAGTGTTCTTAATAATATAAACACTTCATTATCAATAGTTTTAGTAAATCGATGAAATGGATCAATTTTATGATAAAGAAATTGAAATACAACTACAAAATCTCTTTGAGTTGGTTGTCGAAGTGTTCTTTGTGTTAATGGATGTCCACCCAGTTCAATTTCAAATTTATTTGCTGAAAGGAAATCGTAAACTTCTTGTTGTAAAAGTGAGATATAATTCTTATCCCGAAGTGGACGAGGATCTATGACAGATGGAGATGCAGTCACAGGGGCCTGTTGTTGCTGCGAGGAGTGCAATTGCTGCAGCAGACTAGGGGTCAGTCCTGGTGGAAGTGAACTCTGTCTTCTTTTGGTCGATGCTGGCGTAGAAAGTAAGGATTTACGTTTAGCTGATCCTGTTTCAAATTGACTTGATCTAAATGATGATCTTGTAGCGCCCGCTACAGAAAGCCTATGGCCGTTATTTCTTCGCAATATCGAAGATGGGTCGTTCATATGCAAAGGTGTCAGCGGTTTTGGTCTTTCAAACGGTATAAATAAACCGTAACCAGTCTTTGTTTTGGTATGATATCTTTTATTCCTGTTGCAAACTTTTTGTTTATTTTGATTTTTTGTGATTTTTGATATTGGGTCACGCACGAATAATGCGTATGTATCTGTGACAAATTTTGCAGCAAATGCAAAAATAAACATCAAGAAATTTGATAAGTGAATATGTGGTAGAGTATATGAGATGAAGTAATTATAGTAGTTATAATATAGATATATTACATTCACTAGTACAACCAACATAAAATGAAGAGAAAAATTAGAATTGCTTAAAAGAAAAAAAAATAAAAATACAAAAACAAAGAAATTGATACTCTCTTCAAATCTTGATATCAACACAACCCCCCTTCTTATTCGACGATTATATTGTTCCCATATACTCTTAAAGAATTAATGTACAGAAACTTGTCTCTAAGTACGATACCATTTTACTTTACCTTAAATTTAAAACTTCAAATATTATTAAACTCTGCCTTGGCTACTTATCTAATTATTAAACATAATTATCTTACTCATAATTGTCTAAAACTTCAGTAAAGTAAAGTCTATAGCATCTTCTATCTTACCATCAAGCATCTTTTGCCATTGATGGGTCAAAATCTCATCTCTTTGTCCATGATATTTGATTTCTGGGTAATTGTCCCGGTTCTTATGAGCCAATTTAACTCTATCAGATATACATTTGGAGATTTCAGAAATAATTTCATCTGGACGTTCACCATTAACAAGGTGTTCACCGTCTTCAATATCTATACCGGTCACGAATTCCTTGGGGATAGTATTACGAATGAATGGCACTGCCTTGGGTGGGTTCCAAGTAGCCTTCTTACCTGCAACATGAACCACATTGGATCTAATAGTGGGTAAAATACTCATTGCCAATGGGATTGAGTAAAATCCAGTCATATAAGTTGCCAATTGCTGCGCAGTGGAAGACTTGGTCTTAAATTTAACAATTCCATCACTCCCAGTAGCATCATATTTTTCATCTTCAATGACATCCTTTAAAACTCTTGGATCAAAGTTTCTTAAAAATCCATACTTGGTCATATACTTCTCCAAAGCTCCTTCAGATTCAAATTCATCTTTAATCATAGTACCCATTTTACGGATAATATTGGTGAATTTTTCACTGTCACTCTCTTCAATAAAGGCAACTGGTTCAATTGCAAATGCAGTATCTAATAAGAATGGCTCATACGCACTCAATAATAACGATTGAGATGCACCTAATGAATGCCCAACCATTATGGTCTTGTTGTTTGCATCATTGACAAAATCTCCAGTTTTGAGTTGCTCAGCCTTAATCACAGCTATAACATCCTTGGCACCATCTTCCCAACGGTAAGACCAACCTAATTTACCATGATTGATCAAGGCAGAATCACCATGAGACACGGCATCAATTGAAATGACACGATTCAATTTCCAATTTTCCAGTGGTCCAACTTTAGCAGCATATTTATAAAGTTGATCAATGTGATATTTCCAAATAGATTTGTTCATTCCAGTACCATGAGAAAAAACTAAATCAATATTGATCACTGAGGGATCCTTAGACTTCCCCAGCTTGGGGCTAAACCGGAGGTAAGCAATTTCCAATCTGTCATTGGTGAGCAAAGTACCACCTCTGGCTCTAGGAAATGCTGCGGCCGTGGTATGTTTAGTAACGGTGTACAAATCAGAACTCATTTAATACTTAAGTTTTAGTGTTCCACGACTCTCTTCACAAATGAATAGTATTCTTTATATGTTTTTCCTACTATTACCGTCTCTTCTTAAAAGTAGAATAGAAGTTGGAATATCCAAAAATTAAAATTAGTGAAAAAAAAAAAAAAATCAAAAGATCTTTATCGGATCGACTTTCCCTATTTAAGCAATCTCACACAATCAAAAGAGCGATGTATGAATGTTAGCGGTAAAAATGGATAAGCTTTGAATTTGACAGTGTAAGAAAATTAGTATAAGTGCTTGCTTGTAGACTCAAAAATCTTATAATACTCAGCTTTGTATGATATATATGTTCTCATATATATATGCTTGACATATACCTAGTACTTGTATGGTCTTTGAAAGAATATCCTGAGGCGTGTACGACCCAATTTGTGGAGAACGTACTATGGATGAATAAGGTGATTGAATGCGTTAGCGGATAAGTCCCTTCTTGGTCGAAATGTACAAATTATGCAGTTACGTTTTATACTAATAGTAATAATGACAATTTAAATGCTGACACCGATTAATGAATGTTCTTTTCCTTGAATTTTATACATTTAGCTTTCATTATCAGCGGGAATCCCCACCTTTTTTCTTTAATTTTTCCTACCGAGGTATAAAGAATGTCGCAATTCATAGTATTGGTGGGGTTCGGATTCGGAGTTAACTTAATAAAAATATCTAATGCAAAAAATTCTTCCTCGGTAAAGTTTAAATGTGAATCGAACAGGGTGCAACTAATATGTTGGCTGGCACATGATGTCTAAGCTAATAAGCACCTACCATGATACTGAAAAAATTTCTCAATGTGCAATAATTATTGATTTTCTTAGGGAGAGACGGTTCAGTTCTTCTCTCCTTCTTCTCTAACCAACTATTAATTTCACAACAATCCTTTGTTAAAATATTCTTTTTTTTTTTTCTTTTTTTTTTTTTGATGTTTGTACTGATAATTTCCGTCGTATAACATATTCACGTGATTGCTGCAAACACAATTAAACGGTCATCTACGTTGTCTTCAATGACTTATTTTGTGTGGCAAATCTTCTTCTGCTTCTCCTGTCTTGTCAAATTAAATTGGCATTTCTAGTTAAGACTGACATCTCCGCATGCCTACTCTAAATATAGCTTCATATACAACTTATACCACTCTTGTCATTCTATTCTTATAATTTTTTTTATTCCGCTCTAAAAAAAAATCTTCAGAACGTCAAATTTGTCTCGAGAGACTTCAAAAAAATTTTCATTGTTTCCCCACAAACCAGATCAAGATCTATATAAAAGCATTTACATCGAGGGAATCCAACTATGACTGTCGCATCTGCTCCTAGAATCCTTAGAACTGTTCAGCAGGTAAGGCAGTGGAGACTCGACTGTCTTCTTAACCGTGAATCAGTTGGATTCATCCCAACCATGGGAGCTCTTCACGCTGGTCACTGTTCACTCATTGCTGAATCTTTGAAACAAAATGACCATACTATGGTCTCAATCTTTGTGAACCCTTCTCAGTTTGCTCCACATGAGGATTTAGATGCTTATCCGCGTACAGTAGACTCTGATATGGATCAACTTACAAAGGCATTTACTAAAAAGCAAGTATCTGCAGTATTCATCCCAAAAGTTTCAGAAATGTATCCATCAGGTATTGAATTGGAAGTTTCCAAGCAACGTGGTGCCTTTGTTACGGTACATGGATGTTCAGAACAACTTGAAGGTGGTTCTAGACCTCAGTTTTTCCGTGGTGTTGCCACGGTAGTGTCAAAATTACTCAATGTAGTCACACCAGAAAAAGTTTATTTTGGCCAAAAGGATGCTCAACAATGTGTAGTGATCCGTAATTTGGTTAAGGATATGTTGATTAATACCGAGGTCGTTGTGCTACCAACACTCAGGGAATCAAGTGGATTAGCCATGTCTTCAAGAAATGCATACCTTTCCGAAGAGGCAAAGTCGGAAAGTTCCGTTATTTATAGAGCATTAAAGGCAGGTGAATCCTTTTACGATGAACATTCCAAGGATGGTGAAGCTGTAGATGCATATTTGATCTCAAATGAGATCCGCAATGTGCTTAGTACTGCACCAAGTGGCTTTAAATTGGAATATCTTTCCATCAGTCATCCAGAGACTTTGGATGACTTGACCACAGTCAAACCAGGAATCGGCGCCTTAATTTCAACTGCAGTCCGTGTTCCAAGAGAAGATGGTCAAGAGACCAGACTTATAGATAACATTGTTCTCAAATAAAAAAAAGAATTGTATATAGAAGAATGAGAATGATGGGTTGGTATTATGAATGTAGGTTTTTTTTTTTTTTTGGTCCAGAGCTTATCTATTTCTATAGAGTTTTAGAAAGGGTATGGGTGGTATTTACCCATCTAGTGTTAATTATAAGTGTCTATATTGCTTTTAGAAAGCCCTTCGTGCTCTACTAGTATTTTGTTCCACGGTAATAACCTTCTTTCTTTTGAACTTTTGTTGTTCTGATCTCTTTTTCCATTTAATCTCATCCTCGGATAATTGTTGTTCAAGCTCTTCTTTTGTAACCAAATGTATATCACTGACCTTATGTATTTTGGCCTCGATAGCTTTCAGTACTCCATAGAATATATATCCATATTCCAAAAGCCAAATAGGATCTACCGCCGTGACACAACTCATATATTCTCGGTTGGTCAAGATAAGTTCGTGATATACCACATATGCTGGGGCAAGGTCTCCATTTAATGCAGACGTAGGATGGAGATACATTTTCATATAATTATGACGAATGTGAATAAACTCCGATGTTCCCCCTCCAGTAATATTTGACTTGGAAAGCTTAGCCAGTTGATGGAAATATGCAGCACAAATACATTTCCGAATTATTTCATCTGATTTGCTGCAAACAATCGGTAATTTAGCAGCTTGAAGGATAGATATCATTTGTTGTTTCACTTCATGGGCTCGTAAAAGAGACTTATGGTGAAGGAAATTACGTGCACACCACGAGCTTGATCTCTTTGCATTTCTCCATTGTTTATAAACGTTAACTAACGTCAAATGGTCCAGTTCACCGACTAAGAATCGCTCTCTGGCCCTATCAGCCTCTTGAGCTCTTTCCTTGGGTCTAAACCAGACACTAGGGACCGATAACATTGCCACAATTGTAATAACTTCATCGGAACACAGAAATTCAGGCTTACAGGAAAGTAAAACTAACTTTGCTAATGCCGGGTCCATAGGAATTTGCGCCATGGATCGGCCAATTGGGGTTAAATCTCCCAAGTTGTCTAGCGCCCCCATTGCCCAAAGCTCATACAATGAACATGCCAATAAATCACGAGGAGGTTCGTCCAAAAACGGGAATTTGAGGATATCGTTGACGCCCAATGACTTGAGAAGAAGCATGACATTACTCAAGTTTGTACGCTGGATTTCAGGAATTGGTTGTTGATACATTTGTGATGATTCAGTGGCTCTCTCGGTATATAGTCTGTATGCTATTCCTGGAGCCGTTCTCCCAGCACGCCCACTACGTTGCTGTGCATTTGCAACCGAGATTGGCACCACTTGAAGTGCATCCATTCCAAGTCTTGGGTTGTAAACCTTCATTTTAGAAAGTCCAGTATCGATGACGTATCTAACCCCATCAACAGTAAGGGAAGTTTCTGCAATGTTTGTTGCCACTACACACTTCCGTCTGTTTGGATTTGGTGCTGCAAAAATTTTGTTTTGAACGTCTGCTGGAAGAGTCGAATAGATAGGGAGCACATCCAATGGTGGGGGTGAATCAAGAATTGAGAGTTTGGACTCGATAAGTGAGCAGGTAGTTTCAATGTCTTCTTGACCAGTCATGAAAACAAGAATATCTCCATCATTCCCTCCTTTGAGCTTATTGGTTGTATCAGTTTCTCCTCCCATTGTTGTGCTTTGATCTTCCAATAATTTTTGATCTTCAATTTGCTTGACAGTTTCTCTCCATTTGCCTAAATGAACCCCCACAACTTGCTTGACAGCTGCATCAACATAGTCGCTAACTCCAGACTTACTGTACAAGACATCAACCGGATATGTTCTTCCTGGAATTGTGAACTGTGGAGCATCTCCGAAAAACTTTGCAAATCTGTCGGCATTCATGGTGGCACTTGTGACAATCAATTTCAAGTCGCTTCTTCTGGCCAAAACCTGTTTAAATAGCCCCAAGAGAACGTCTGTATTCAACAGTCGCTCGTGCGCTTCATCCATAATCACACAACTATACTTATCAAGATTTGGATCTACTAAGACCTCACGAAGTAGAATACCTTCAGTCATATATTTTATCACAGTAGTCTTTGGATTGGTTTTATCTTCGAATCTGATTGAAAACCCACATTCTTCCCCTAGCTTGCAATTCATTTCTTGACTCACACGCTTAGCTACAGACATCGCGGCCACACGACGTGGTTGAGTACATCCAATAAGACGTGATTGACTTCCTTTTCCATACCCTTCCTCGTAGAGAAACTGAGTCAATTGCGTTGTTTTACCAGACCCAGTTTCACCAATGACAATAGTAACTTGATTGTCTCTGATTGTTTGAAGTAACGGTTCCCTTACTGAGAAAGCCGGGAGATTTCGACGTTGTTCCATCATAGATATTTCCAGGGGAGTGTCTCCAACATGAGAGTCTCGTTTATCCTCTTCCTCCTCCTCCTTGTCCTTCGAATCCTTGATCCCCAATACATTACCCAAGGCAGTCCCTGCGAGGTCCGAACGTTCTTTAGCTTTCTTTGCTCTTTCCTCTCTAGATTTCTTATCCTTCACTATAGCACTCCCTTGGTGGGCGGTAACTGCTAATTCGGACAGTGGTTCTCTGACTGGATCGATAGTAGGTCCCAAATTGGACACCACCACCGAGAGATATTCTTTTGAGTCTGTGAGGAATGGAGGGACAAGATAATGCGATACTAGTGGGATTCTTGATAGGTCATTGGAGGACAGACTCGAGTTTTGATGGTCATGGTCAATGTATTGACCAGTAGAGTCAAACCCACCACCGGTAAGACTATTATCGTAGTGTCTCGAGCTCGCTATTTCTCTCGATCTCCGAGAATGACTCTCATATGAGTTGACCACTTCGCTAGCATCGTCATAGTCTTGTGCAACCGTATTGAACTCGTCCGTAGTGTACCATTCACGATCGTTCTCAATATCTGAAGTATCTGAATAGTTTGAAAGCTCGTCATCTTTTTTGTCCGGGAGGGAGGAATTCTCCTCTTTCTGAGCCTTTCCAACTCTTTCCTTCTCTGCTAATTCAGAAAGTGACATTGATTTTTTAACATTTCCCACTTCAATATTTTTCTTCGGTACCTCTTCTTTCGTTTCCTCCACCTTTGTACTAATGAATTTTTCCTCTTTAATTCTTTTGGCCTTATCCCTATTCATTTTCTTGAATTTTGGCTTTAATGGCTTATCATCTTGTTTAATTTCCTTGACATTTTCTTCATCACCTTCCATCTCTTCCAAATCGAACAATAGCGGTTTCTTTTTCTTTTTCACTCCACTCTTCGGGGCCCCAACTCCAGCTCCAGCTCCAGCGCCCATACCCAGATCCACATTATACTTCAATAGTTCTACATTATCACTGATCATGGTGTGTAAGTCTTTAACAATGACATCTCGTTTCAATCCAAATGCCCCACAATAGTTGGTAAAGCCAGACAACGATTGATCCTTCAAATAGAACCGAATCAACGCATGGGTGGTATTCTCATTAGCAGGACGGTTCAACTCGTAACTGATCCGTTCAGTTAGCCTTCCTAAAATATCCATCTATCTACCTTTGTTCAAAATGGATTAGATAATGATCTCATCCCTTCAGTGTAAACAAAGAGATCTCAAAAAAATTTAAAGACTAAAAGAAAAGTTATACACACTGATTAATTTTCCTTCTTGTTTGATTGTGTTTTTTCTTTTGTCCATCCATGTCCCTTGGTACTAGGCTTGCTCTGTACTATAGACACCATGTGTTAGCCACAGTGAAGCTTTCCCCGTCTCCTTCAAGTGCCGCAGAAGTGGATCATCTTTATGAATCATTTAGTCGTTTGGGAAATCTCGAATACTTTAAGATCCCTAGAAATCAAACTTTGAATAGATTTTCTCCATATTTGACCATGTTATTCAACCCAGCCAAGGAATCTATAGTGTCGCCATTCTCACTCCCACCTGGTTTTGCACTTGATACACCTCAATTCCTCGATATTCAACAATCCCTACTTAAGCAGAAACTTGCCTCGATATTGGCAATCCCAAGGTACTCATACATTGAGAATGATCAAGAGTATCATGACGGTGAGTTACAAGTCCCGTTCAAATACCACGCGAGCAAGCGGGCTCTTTTCTTTGAGTCAAAAGTCCATGTGACCCCTTCCACCATCAATGATCCCTTCTGTTATATCGAGACAAAGTATAAAGATTTAGATATCTCTCACTTCCGCAAAGATATACGTCATAACTTTCAAATTTTCCACAAATTAGATCTGATATCTCTTTTGGATGGGGTTGAAGGTGTAAATAAACTAGGTGGTCGTTTAACATCTGAACCGGATTATATTCAAAATGTCATGGATGTTTCAGATCTGACAATATATCAAATGAAGGAGTAGCTACGACTCAGAGGATTCTCACTCAGAGTAAGAACATTCTAAAGATTAAACCTAGATCTTATGAGACACATCTTCTTTCTTATCCGATAGAAGTCTTCGAGCAAATTGGAATCTATCCGATGATCACAACTCCTCGTAGAGATGCCAGGCCTCACGCAGTGGCTCTCCCCGAGCAGAGGGGGGGGGGCAGTTGAGTGTCTCTCAGACCCCGTAGGGTAGTTACTTACTTCCCAGCTCCGCTGGTGCTCCGTGGGTCACTGGTCGTGAGTGCTTTGTTCCTCTAACGAGGAAAGGACCTGGTAACTCTTTTGTAGAGGAGATAAAGCTCCACGCTAGTGGCTCTCCCCTAGTAGGGGCCAAGTGGAGCGTCTTACTTGTCGCAAATAGTCAATACCTACGTGTTATCAGGACTCCATGGGCCAGTCATGTTATATTCAGTACTTTCCTTTACCCATACTGACCAGCTACTATAGTTGAATACTGCAAAGACTTATTATTATTTGATATACCGTCTTACAATATATTTCTAATGCATTATATAATATTTTAATCATCTATAACCTCCTCTCAACTGTATCCATATCTTTCTCCAAGACAGCGTTCAAATGGTTCAATCCAATTTGTTGCTTTAATAACAATTTCGTCAATTTGGTAACGATTTCTCTTTCATCTGCGACGTCTTCTTCTCCAGTCTTTTCGTCTTCACCATTCAATTCTCTAACATTGGAGGCAAATTGATAAGAAAAATCTTCCAGTCTATCCTTCAAGATGGCTAAACGGGCAAACACATCATTCATCTTACCTAATGGACTGGCAGGATCGGCCAATTTTTGGTTTAAAGATTCAAATTGACGAGATATCTCTTCTTCTTCTGGAAGTAATGGATATCCCTTAAGCTTAAGAATGGCTAAGACAGTGGCCAATCTTAATAACCTACGCAGTAACATGCTATGTTTCAGCTTCGCTTTCAAGATTCTCGTGGTGTTATTCAAATCATGTTTAGAAGAAATAGCCAGCTGCTTCTCGTCAATTTCTTTAAGTATTATTCTAGCCTTTGCCACATGGTCAAGTTGAACTTCTATACGTTGAGCAACCTCGGTGAATGAAGTCACCTTAGCGGGGAAGTACAGTGGAGAAGGACGGTTCATCATGGCCTTGTCCCAATCCTCTGGAGTCTCATTAGCAGGACGTTGTGGTTGGTTTAAAAGAAGTTGACTGGCCTCCTGGTCACTCAATTTATTGTAAAAGTGAGTCTTAAGAGCACATTTAGAGGAATTTGGATCCCATTGTTCCTTAATTTTCAAAAGTTGATCATTAATAGCTGGTGTATAAGAAGTTGAATTGTTTTGTTGATTAGTTTGAGGGAATTGCGATTGTTGGAATTGTGATTGTTGAAATTGCTGCGCTTGTTGAGGTTGTTGAGCAATTTGAGATTGTTGATTTGGTTGAGATTGTTGACTCCAACTAAAAGATGGTTGTGATGAATTCAAATTGGAAGTGGCAGGTTGATTATTGGTATTATTTTGTTGTCCTCCAAAGAGAGAGTTACCCGTGGTGGTGTTATTAGTAGTATTAGTATTGTTATTATTACCAAAGAGTCCACCTCCAGTAGCTGGAGCTCCTGCAGTTTTGTTTCCAAAGAGTCCTCCACCTGTGGTTGATGTTGTTGCAGTGTTGTTATTGTTTCCGAAGAGACCTCCAGATGAAGCAGTGTTGCTGTTGTTGCCGAAAAGACCACCTGAAGTGGTTCCAGTAGTTGAAGGAGCAGAAGCTCCAAATAATCCACCGGTGGTGGATGCAGCTGGCTTGGCTCCAAATAACCCTCCAGTGGCAGCACCAGGGGCAGCACCACCAGCAGGATTGGATCCAAATAACCCTCCTCCAGTGGTAGCACCAGGCGCAGCACCACCAGATGGTTTGGCTCCAAATAATCCTCCACTTGAAGCACCAGTGGTGGAAGTATTGTTATTATTATTGCCTCCAAAGAGACTTCCTCCAGTGGTTGGTTGTGTAGCAGCAGCTGGTTTATTTCCAAACAAACCCCCAGTTGATTGGGCAGGAGCACCTCCAAATAACCCACCACCAGGTGCTGAAGATGTTGTATTGTTGTTGTTGGCTGTAGTGTTACTGCCAAATGGACTAGCGGATGCTCCAGAATTTGATCCAAAGAGTCCTCCTCCAGTGGTTGATGATCCTCCACCAAACGCATTTCCTGGGGTGGTTGTGGCAGGCTTTGCGGCCCCAAACATGTTGGAGCTACCGCTATTGGTATTGTTGTTGCCAAACATACCGCCTGAGGTAGTATTATTGCCAAACATTATGATTCAATTGTTGATTTAAATTGTTTTGTTTTGAGGTTAAATCTCTTTGTATTGTAAAAAAAAAAGAAAAAGTTGAAAGTTTTGAAAGTACCTTTGTTTACCAGTTTGTGTGCAGGACATGATTTTTCATATAAGCAGATAAATATTGTAAAAGGTTTGATAAAAAGAGATAGGGTGATGATGAATGGTTGGAAGTTAGTAATAATAATGATAGTGTTGGTGCCCTGTTGTAAGTTTTGGGAAAATATGTGACTATAATTCCTGAACTACCGGCTAGGTAGTGAGATGGTTCGCGTGGATGGGGCAAAAAGAGTTTCGCAACTGAATTGCTCAAATTGGGGAGAAGGGGTCACAACATAGCATGCTTATAACAAGCTGGAGAGTATCGATGCTCTGGCAAAAAGCTTAAGTGTGCTCTCTCTTTGCTGCTGTTTCTTTAGACTGGGTAAGCTCAAGCTGACGTTTTTTCTTCCTAAAATTAGAGATTTTTGTACTGTTCTACTCTGGTTGCAAAAACTAAAAAAACCAATTTTAAAAATTTAAGGAAATAGAAAAGAGTATTTCAATTACAGATATTATTTGCCTAGTATTAGTAAGTGAAAGATTGAGTTTGATATTTCATCGTACTAAGACTGAGTATTGGATTATTTTAAAAAAAATGATTGATTGTCAATAAATATTATATATTCAACAAGATTTCTCTGTAAAAAATTCTTAAATTTTTAAAAGATTTTAAAACCGATGGAACTATTCTAAAAAAAGCCAATAATCCATTCATTCCATGCAACCGACCAGCACTGTAATACTAATTTATATCCTCCTCAGCTATTGTATCCTTGATTAATCTCCTTTCATTATGTGGATACATATTTCAGTTTTGTGTCACAAAATTTAAAGGAATCACAAAAGAGAACAAACATATATACTCTAATCTACGAAGATAGAGATACAGAGAGAAGTAGTGAAATGATATATATATATATATATATGGAAACTTATACTCTCATGAGAATAAAAAAAAAACAAGCCTGGTACAAATTTCCTAGAATTAAAAAGAAAGACAAGAGTGAAAATATTATCTCCTTTATGTCTCTACTCTTCTGAGCAACTCTACATTCTCTCTATATGTACTTTGTCTATTGTCGTATAAAGCTACTAATCGAGGGGTGGAGTGGAGCCATTACTGACTCATGCCTGGGATGAAGGTTGTCCTTCGTGGATACCTGCTGAATGCATAACATCGGGGGGTTATTGTTTTTCCTATTTTTTTCCTATTTTTTTCATTCTTGTTCCTGATGGAATTAGGGGTGGGCTACTTATTCCTTAGCGGCACCTTGCTTGGCCAAAAATTCCTTGACCAAAGTGGCATCCTTTCCATTACCATGGAAGATCTTGCTTTCCTTCAAGTGAATTTGTTGAGCTTCTGGAATGCCTGGAATTTGCTTAGCCAAGTTTAAATGCGTAAACACACACTTGTTGAAGATTTGTTCCGCCTTTCTACAATTTCCCAACCGGTGGTTTTCTTGTTCCAAACAAGAATAGTGTAACTTGAATTCTTCAAAACAATGTTTGTTCAATTGTTTCAAGACATCCACAGCACATCTGGTGACTCTTCTACCTTCCTTGAGACAGTCGATGGCACCGCCGTTGTTTTCTTCCTTACACAACATGAAGTCGTCGTTGTATGGCTTACACTTGGCTCCGATAAAGTAAGAAGCAGATAATAATGGAGCAGAGGTAGCACCCACTTCATCAACATCTGGGATGTCCTTAGGCATGGCAGCCTGTTCAATGTTTTCCCATTGGTGTCTACCGATGAATTTGTCGTCGAAAACCATAGTTATGTTGATATATTAGTTGCAAATGGGATTTCTAACGTCAGTTGTAATCTAAAGTTCAATTTGGTTGTAATTTTTAGAAATTTCATTACTTTGATAAATTTGTCGCGGTTTGGTTGGTGCTGAAAAGTTCGCACGGGTCAGTCGATTGCGCGTAAATTTAGTACCAACATTACAATATAAAATAACACATATAGTTTAAATAATATACAATATAAATGATTTATATTGTATCTCCTATATACTAAGTTGCTGATGATCTACATCATATAATGACCACATTATCAAGAATGGAATAGGATGGGGGGAATAAGAATTGATATGAAGAAACTATATTATCGGGTAATATGCAGTACATATCGATCATAAAGCAAATCAATGATAGAAGGATAAGATAATGGGTTTATATTGGGGATTATTGAAGATGAATTATATTCATTCACTTGTTAGAGGGAAGACGGAAAAAATTGGATGGCTAAAAAAAAAGACAAACAAACAAACAAACAAACTTAATGTAAGTTGATATTCTTTTGGCAATTCTTTGTCTTTTTAATTTTTAGTAGTAAATTTTATATCCACATATGAAGAGCCTCTCAAACTATAAGGGAGCTAGACAGCTTTCATCATAAGGACAACTACCTTCCTACTCTTTTGATTTTCATTATAAATCTGGTCTGATTTTCAAATTATCTCCCATAGGAATGGATCTTCAGAAGAACCCCCAAAAGAAGTTTGTAGATACTTTAAAGAAAGTATAGCACTCTGTCTAGTACACGTCTCCTCGAAGAGGAGCTAAGCTCCACGCAGTGGCCCTCCCCGGGCAGGGGCCAGCGGAGCGTCTTGCCAACCTTATGAGTAGTTTCCCGTCCCATGGGGAACAGAAATACGGTTTAATTCTTCTTAATCAACTTTAAAAAATCACCTTCATGTCCAATAACTTTATAAATTCTCATCAATTCCAATAAAACATCTTTATTTCTCAACTTATCTTCCTTATATGAATTTACCAATTCATTCAAATAGTTTCGATATTCCGATCCAAGATTAACAACTCTAACTTTCAATCCAGTCACATATTGTGAATTCACTTCAGATTTAGTTAAAACTTGATACAATCGATTAATTGAAAGATAACTGGTGGTCAAATATTTCACATGTTCACTGGCACTTCTTCCTGTCTCATGATACAAATTTTCATCAGAATTTAATAATTTTTCGAAATTATCAAGTTGTGACGTGATTAATACACATAATTTGATTGTATTCTTGACTTGAATCAATTTAGCCTTGGTATTTAATGCATGATCAACGTTATTAGTAGAAGTTTCAAGATGTAATTTCGCCGAGCCACAAGATCTGGAAAAATCCTTCAATTCTCCAAGTATCGAGTTTATCAAGTCCATCCCACCATCAATTGACTTGCCTAGCTTGATGAAATCATTATAATCATTATTGACAATGTTTAAGAGTTCTTGTTTTAAATCATTCAACAAGTTTTGTAGATCTTTAATGAGTACGTCTACCGCGGTAAATCGATGGTTTTCAAATAAAAATTTATCTGGACCAAAGTTTGTGGTTTGGAAATCATCTCTTGTTATGGTAGTTGGATATGGGAAGTCCATGATTGATATTTATTGGGAGAATAAAAGTGATATAACATGGATATAATTGTTGTACGTAATCTTTAAAAGAAATTGATTATATAGAGGAAATGTCAAGGAGTGTATATAGGTGTATATATTGGATATGCAGGATAAATACTTTTAATTAGGAAGAGTATAATGAATCAAAGAAATGAGAAAGGGTGAAATACAGGTATAACATATATAATTAAGGTAAATTAACGTAATATACATAAAAGTCCATAATGTTCCAGTCTGATCATATTGTATTACTTAAGTCAATCTTTTAGCGATACAATTCATCCATTTTTGTTTACAAAGCATGTACAGGATTAAATAGATTTATACAGGAAAAAAAATTAAAATCACTAAAGTGTGCTACAAAGAGACTATACAGTAGATGGATTTAAGAATCTGTATAAAGTAGAGAGGGTAGATGTTGAAGTATATTTGATGATACTATCTAGATATTTGGACATTTGTAGTTAGAAAGATGAAGAATGCGATGGAAAATTGCATTTTTCTCCAAGTGTTTTTTATTATTAACCATGACTAATTTGTTTGAAATCCGGCTGCAAAGTTTCTAAATAACTGACAAGAGTTTTCGTATTGAAGTAGATACAGTATGCCGTCAGAATAAAAGAACAAATTGCGCCTGGCTCCATATTAGAAATACTACACGGTTGACACAGGCCAGATCCTACAGATACTACACATACTACACGGTAGACACAGGCTGGATGCTACATAGGGCTAGACGGTACATACCATGGACCACTAACTGAAAAAAAAAAAAAAAACCATTGACGAGAAACTCAATAAACTCATCACAAAGATACCAAGACATCGTAAAATACTTGCTGTATCCCCTCTCGTCGCCCTAAATTAGTAGCTCAGCGTGGCGTTTAAATATCATGTTCTCTTTCCTATAATCATTCGCACGGAATGACTCGGACCTTGTCCTTATACTGACTCGGTTAGTTACCAAGACTTACTTACAAAATGATACCCATTACTTATGTTGAGGTGGGGGATATTGTGCAACTTAGATAAATTAAGCGATTAGATTGAACAAATCTTGTTGCCCAGTAGAATACTTGCGTCTGTGAAATTCTTAATTAATAGAACTAGGCCCGGCCCCACGGCTGGCAACCCACGCAGTGTGTCTAGTACTCTCCTTCCCTGCGGGGGGTTAAGCCGCTCTGCTGGCCCCTACTCGGGGACAATCACTGAGTGGTACCTGGCTTCTCTATGAGAAGACTCTCCCCGCAAACCAAACGGTTACCATAACCATCTTTCGAAATACTAAAGAGGAAAATTTGCACCTCTATTGGATATCAATCCCCTCGAATTTGTCATTATTCATAGGTTTTGAGTTTCTTCGAGTTAAATAGTGATAAGCAAATTAGGAAATAAAAACGTTGAAAGAATGACCTTAACAATAGGTAGGACACATGAAAAAAGGTAAAAAAAAAAAGGTAAAATTATTTTACAAGAAAGCCCCTCCACTTCTATGTACAACGGGGTTCCTTGTAACCACTACAGTGTACCATCGTAGCTAAAAAAAAAAAGAGTTAAAACATCTCGTAGTCTCCATCTGAAATTGAACAAGGGGGGAGATTTAAACTCAAATATTTTTGTTTTCTTTTTTCCTAACCAAGCCACTGTGAAATTCACTCTATCTGATGGTACCAGGAGATTGCAGTATCCGAGAAAATTCCCGAATAATAAGCTTTTATTGTACAAGGTAGAGTTGAAAACTTTACTTTCCTAGTCTAGATTCTAAGGGAGAGTAGACGTTTTACAAATGACAGAGGGAAAAAAATATTTATTCGCTCGCTTGTTAAACCTACAGTTTAGCCATCGATTCAACTCGCTTCAAGATCTATTAAACCCATCTTATTGTATTTCTAGACACATTCTAAGTAGAAACGATATTGATACAAGCTATGTAGTTTCTCATACAAAGGACTTCTAACCTAGACATAAGCTTTACTCCTGCACAGGCGCGCCACTGCAACTCCTGCGTTAGGAAACAGGTTCTGCATGGGGTTGCCTCAACGGCTCTAAATACAATGAATGAGAATATGACTAAAATGTACAAACATTGAATGCAAGCCACATTCAAACTTCAAATGCTGCAAAGTAGTATTCATCTATCTTCAGAATCAAGCTCATTTCTATACAGATGTAGACTTAACAATACTCAAAATAAGCATTCAACGATAAATAAACAAATTGACTTCCTACAATCATTTGCCTCCGTAAATGGAAAAAAAAAACAATTACCCCTTTATTGACGGCGTGCCCCTTGTGAAATTCTAAGGAACATTTCCCCTTTTGTTCCAAAGTCTCGTAATTACAATTATTCCCATTTTGCCGGCTGAGGATTGTTGACTCGTACCTTTTGATGAGCTCTATTGGCTCGGAAAAGGGTCCCTCCCTTGAAAACGTGTTGACGGATTGTGCAAAGGTAGGACGGAATGACGTGGCTGCCATGCTGTTAGTCGGTGGCTGTGTTTTTTCGGTTTGGATACCCCTTTATTCATGTAGGTCCATTTACGTACCTGTAGTGATGTTTATTGAATTTCTTTGCGTATACCGCCTATAATCAAATCCTAGTCTGCATGCATACCTACTCACCGATGTCTGATTCGGTACTATCCCCGAAATCTTCTATTTCAATCAATTGCGCGTATGCTTTACGGGTGACGTGTATAGCCTTTAAGCTTTTGGTATCACGAAATAAAAACAGCCGCCGCAGGCTCGTAACCCGCGGGTTCGTCTCTTTGAAGTAAAAAAATATATTTTCTTGATTGTAAATGTGGGAGTCGAAGGATGCACAAGAGATTGCGCTTCAGATCAAATATTGGTTTGTAGTTTGTTGAGCGCCGCATGCATCATATGGGGGAATTTCGATTGTAGATTGAGTTTGCAAGATTTTATTTCCGAAAGGAAATTCTGAGGAGGGGAATATCAAATGGAGTAGTAAGTGGGGGATGAGGAAGACGTGGAAGCAAAAGAAGATGAGGAGTTGTGGAATTCGCACTGGGGGGGGATATTCTTCGTAGTGTTCATTTCGTAGGACTTAATGCACAAGGCCTAATATTCCCACAGTACGAATGCGCTTAAGATACTTCTGTAAGCGGCACCTTGGCCCTAACAATATTATTTGGTATCCCGCTAACCAATTACCCAGCGCCGGATATATGCGAGTGGAGGAGAGGGGAGGTGGGGGCAGAATTCTTTGAGACTATCGAGATCGATCTACGTCATAGCATGCATATCAAAGAACAAACAATGTAATATTATTAGAGGGGACGGATTACGATAAGTTATTTGAGTTACAATGGAGTTCCAAGTTTAGTCCTAACGGGAACATAACGTCCCGCAAGTGAACACCACAAAAGCTTAAATCGAAGGAACTGTACAAGATTGGCCTGGGCTAGAGATAGTTCGTCCGCGAGATGCAGACGGCTGAACGGTCAATGGCAGGACGGCGGTTGTCTCTGAAGAATAGTCCAAGAAAAGCAAATAATAATACTGGATGCTTCCATGTACATTGTCGTAAATGTATAATATTTCCTATACCATCACTTCAATGAAGCAACCCGTATCAAAATAAGTAAACTGCTTCCTTGAAGTGGTTCATTCCCGAGAGTTTACAGAGATAATGAAATCCGGTCGATTGTTGTAGCGGAATATAGACTAACAATAGGGCCCAAAAAAAAAAAATTTAAAAAAAAAAGCGAAAAGAGCCACTACGTACCGACCGGCCGGCCCCTAAGCAGCTATAGAAATTCTCAGACAAGCCGGCTTATAGCTCGTAAAGTACAGAGACCCCAGGACACCCATTGCGGGATAGGACGGGTATATTGAACTGTGGTGAGCGATGAGGAAGCCTCAGGCGTACCAACTCTGGAGCGCTTGATCCATAGCTGTAATCTCATCCTTCTTCTCTTCCAGTAATTCAACTGTTATCTTCTCCTGGCAACTACGAATCTATACAAACATCATCATCTCTACATGGACAATGAATTCCATATTGGCATATTTTAATCGATCTTAAATGTCAATCCCACGGGCAGAAAATAAAACCAGGGTCAGCGTTATGTAGGCACCAAGCAGGACGTGTGCTGCAATGTGTATGTAGGCACCGAGCAATACGTAAGACGCATTTACAGCACACAAAGCGCTTCACCTACATACAACTTCAAATTAGTACGAAGCAACCCCTATGTTGTGCCTTCTCTCTTCACGTTCTCTCCAACCACTTTACACCCACTACATCGATGTAACCCAGAAGTAGTTTCCTCTCTGAATGGGTCATGTACAAATATGGAAAAGCTAATATATTATTCGTGATTATGAGCCATGCAGGGAATTTACCCCATAGCCTAATAGTATAGGTGAAATTAATTTGTTTGCATGAAAATATCACTACGCGCCTACTCGTGGGGGGGGGGGGGGGCAGTGAACCCCGGATCTCACGCAGGGAGATTTATAGCTTAGCGCGGTACATAATTGTATTGACGACTAAAACAGCCCCCGATACAGTGTCCTTCATTATTCACATGGGACAATCTTACCCAGCCAGAAAGGCATCCTGGAAAGCCACGCTGCTACTCTAAAACCCACAGTTGGGGCAGATCTCCACTACGAGACTCAGCCAATACGAAACAAGCTGCATCTCGTTGACGGGGTCCAGATGACATAGCGAACAATTTCACAATGAGAGACTCAGAGCAATATACAAACCGAGGGAACCGGTCACTTTTTTTGTTGTGCACACATGTATGATTCTCCATTAGTTTTTCCTGTCCTTCTGCATAACCCGCCCTGGATGGTGCTCACGCTCATAACGTAGCGTCCAAATGCATACTTATTGACAATGTATATGCATTCATCTCTGTAGATCATTTATCCGTCATCGTCTCTCAGTCTTTGGAATCGTGATACAATTTCAATTCTTGACCAGAAAGTTTGTTAGTTCGTGGTTCAAGGCAGATGATGGTTGGAAAAATTTTATTTTCCTTGATTAATGTTTTTTGCACATTGCAGCTATGCATGCATTTGCGTGCGTCTCTCCTTGGGGATTTTTTCATGTATCTTCGTTTTATTGTTGGATGCATCATGAGACTATTACGAAGATTGTGGTAAAAGTATCGATAATGAGTGGGTTATCTTTGATGTTGGATAAACATCATCTACATAGTATCAAGTCTTAATCGATTACTGTAGTGTCTTGTTAAATTTCCTTTGGGTGACGAATTTCTCTCAATCTCATGTATGTCCTACTCTCTTCGTCAATCTCATGCACTCCAATTCAAAATATTTCTCAATTAGTTGACTATGCATCATGCAGCAAACAAAAAATAATAGAATTTTCAAAAAAAAAATATTGTCAGCAGTAATACTGCTGCATTATGCGCGAATAGGGTATAAGTAACATAATCCGTACCTGACTAGATACAATCCCGCGTATACGGGAGGAGAATTGACAAAGAATTTAAACTTGTTGTTAGAAAAAAAATTAAAATTATTAATAAAAAAAAAAAATTAATTAAAATCAAAGAGGGCTTCAATTCCGGACCCCCGGATATTCGTGCCTGTACTACTGCCCTACCGGTTTTAGACATCGGTAGGGAACAAACCTATAAAGAGAACAGTAGTCGCATGAAAAGACGAAAAGGGCATGGCTGAGTACGAGTGTTGATTTGATATTTTTGACCCACTATATATAATCCTCGTCCTCCTTATCAAACAAGTATTGAAGCAAAATATTTTGGCCATATACACTGTTGGCTAGTTGATTACACACATATATTGTCGAATGAGCACCGCTATCTATTACCCTGAAGATCATAAGCATACCCTTCCGTCATTGGTTCAAATCATGCCCCAGTCTTCGCAACCACAGAACCAGCTACATGTATCATCACTTCTGCCCAACATGTCTGCCTTACCATTTAATTCCGATGTCTTTTCCAACAATGGGCTGCAACCATCGACCGCTAACACCACTCCAGCTTCATCATTTTCAGGACAATCGTCGGTTCCCTTGACCGGTGCCTATGGACCGGACAAATGTACCTGTAAGAGCAGTGCTAACCGGATTCCTCGTCCTCGGAATGCATTCATCCTTTTCCGTCAGAAATATCATCAATCCGTTTTGGATGAAGGCACAGTGATTCGTACCAATCCAGAAGTTTCTCGTGAACTCGGTAAGCGTTGGAGAAATCTTCTGCCCAAAGCCAAGGAGTACTGGAATGGGTTAGCTGAAGATGAGAAAGTTGCCCATGCAAAGAAATACCCAGGTTATCGCTACACCCCTAGAAGAAATGGGAAAAGTAAGAGTTGTGAATTCTGTAGAAATAAGGCGTTACGCCTGCAACAAGCACATCTTCGCAATCAACAAATGTTGCAGTTACAACAAGATCAATACCAACAGTTCTTACAAATGCAACAGCAACAGATGCCACAACAGATGCCACAACAGATGCCACAACAACAGCAACAACAGCAACAACAGCAACAACAACTTCAAGCACAATTTACTCAACACCAATCTCTTTCACAGCCATCCTCGTCCAACCATCAAGTTTCTCCCTTGCAACACATGCCTCCATATGGAGCCCAAGCACCAGGCCCAGGAATGAATGCTAGCTCGCACCCAGTGCACCACAGCATTTCGTCAGCCTCGGGACAAGTTGTAGCACCACCACCACTCCCACAACAATACGTACAATACATCCCGTTCCAACAACCAAACTTTCAATTTTCATTCGGTGACAATAATAATAGCAATACCAATAACACTACAAGCAACAACAATTTGAACGCAAATTGTGCTACTAACCTCGTTGTCACTGACCAAAAACTTCTGCCATTATCGGGACCAAATCTTGGAGATGTGAACTCGCAATTCCAAGGCTACGACCAACGATACTACGCCCCAGGGATGGAAATGTCTAACTACCAAATCTAAGTGTCTCACCTACACAAATACTCTCAGCGCCGGTTGTTGAGAGGATCCTACACACCACAAACACAAACGTAACCCGTCGGACTTCACCCACCCTCCATGTATAATTTTCATTTATAAAGCGAAGGCATTTACAATATTGATATCAGTGTAATTTCTTTCGTACTGTACTTTAATATAATAATTATTTACTCTACAAATACAAGCGCTAGCTAAGGGCGTTGGCTAAAGGCGTTGGCTAAAGGCGTTGGCTAAAGGCGTTGGCTAAAGGCGTTGGCTACAGATTGTAAGAAGTAGAGTTCCGAATTTTTTAATTTTCGTTTTTTTTTTTGTATTTTCTTTTTTTGGCTCTGGCTGCAATAGCTTGATTACTCGTTGCAAGTGCAGAAATAAAAAAGTTTTCATGGCATGTGATCTGCACAATTAGGCATCATGGAGGCGCAGTGATCACCTGCGGCTGAACTGCTTTTGGTGCAAGCTGCAGGGGTGGAATCACTGTACATAAAAACACACACACGACAGAGTCAGGTCCAACCTAACAGTTGCGGTCTACGACTACGAGCCCAGTTACACCTATGGCACCGCATTTAACTCTTTGCCAAATTTTACCAACTAATTTGTTTGCGAGAGAAACTAAAGAAAAAACAGTTTCATTAAATTACGAAAGTTTGTGTACTGGCTTTGATGTATGCACGTCCGGAAAGCTCAAACGCACACGACCACCGGAACACCTTCTACTGAATTAACTAGTTGTTATTGTGAAGATAATGAAACGAGTTGAGGATCTTACATCGAGCAGAGACAATGACGACATGGAAGCCCGTCACCGTGTGCAAGACCCGGACTCCTTTGTAGTAGGTTCTTTTGTATCTTCACTTCTTGAATTTCCTCCTGCTACAAATCCGACCTCAATGATGTAATTGGGAAGTGGTATCCCATGCATCAAACCGTTGGATGATGTACCCAAAGGGCTGCACTTCATCAGGCAACTCTTCAATTCCTATTCCAGATCTAGAACCTCTCATTCATCGTCTCTTTCTTTGATCAACGTCGGATTTAACTTATTGGATTTCCATGCGTTTCTTGCAAATTTTGAGGCAACTTTGTACAGCAATGGTGATTGCCGATAATGCTTGAATGTACCACTTACAATGATTTTTGAACAACAAGAGATGATATGGAAGAGACGGATAAACCATTACCGAGGTTTACCAATTTCAACCTTTTTCCCGATAATTTCTCTGTCCGAAAATTCTATCAATAAACATCTTCAAAGGTGAAGGGTTTCTTTGTCTAGATGTATTATGAGCATTAAAATGTACCACGCACCCCACAAGTTTGAATGGTTAAGACTCCAAGTATCAGATTCGAATTCTTCCCCTCTTTTTTTTTTTCGGTTGACGGGTCCAAACTTTAATCCCGGTACCGAAAAGGTGTTTAAAATAGATGAATGGGTTACTTAATGTGGCGAAATTTGGGGCAAGGTCTGGCAGCCCTCGACCCGCGCAATCTCCTGTACGTACATGCGTTCATGTATCGGTATGCGTTGTGCAAACCGGATCTCAGGTCAAACCTCAGTGCAAGTACATGCAACCTTTCGTCCACGAGGACGATCCAATTAGGAGAATTTGTTTGTAAACAGCATAGTTGTGACATCATAGCTGAAATTTTGCAATTGGTTCGAAATATGTAAGTTCCCGGATTATTGATAATTGTGCCGAATCGTCAAGCTGGCTACAGTCATCAGTGATTATTATCTCTCACTAGAAGTGTCTGACTATTAGTTCCAGGGTTGAGTAGGTTCAGTTCTCCTATGTTTTTCATTTTTTCATTGAAAGAAGTGTCGCTTTATAAACTTTTCTCTGAACTGAATTTGCAGCCAAGGACATATTTTTCTTCGTAGAGGAGCTAGATACAACGTAGTGACTCTCGAGTAGATGCTTGCGGAGAGGGCATGAAGCACCACAGGGGAAGGAATTGGTACCCACCCGACGGGGTTCTTCTGGCATTCTGTGGGTCAGTAGTCGTGTGGGGTCCCTGTTCCTTTAACGAGAAAGTCACTGAGTGCTAGAGTACTCTTCGTAGAGGAGCTATGCGCCACGCAGTGGTTCTCCCCGAGTAGGGGCCAACAGAGCGGCTCGCATCTCCACAGAGAAAAAGTAGCTACCCCACGGGGTCTGTGAGCTGCACCACTGGCGCTCCGTGGGGTCCATGCTCCTATGAGGAGGAAATGAGTGCTTGAGGACTCCTCGTACAGGAGCTAGGAACCACACAGTGGCTCGAGCAGAGGTGGGCACCGGAGCGGCTTACAGTCCACCGGGAACGGTCCGATTGCTTCCTTTCGGGACTATGAATTAGGATAGATAGCCGAAGGGGTTAAGAAAGGATAAAGTTTAAATCACGGTTTTGAAAAGAAATTAGTCCATTCACAATTGCTTTTGAATTTCAGTGCTACACTCATACAATTTGACTTTAAGATTCGAGAAGGAGCTTAATATTTGAGTATGAATTGGTTATCGACCATGAGTCTGGATGATTCTGCGGTAGGAGTAAAATAGTTCAAAATGGGTTCCATCGTTTTATGGCTTTCAGTGACTAGACATCATATGGGGTTCTCCCTCAAGAAGCCACTAATGGTTTCAGGGAATTATTAAAATCCTATTCTTCAGAATTTTAGATCCTTAGTCGATGTAGGCATCATAGTACGTATGATGCTCTATGACCTGATTACATTCTTATATATATATTTATCCTGGTAGTCGATCAGTCGAAGTAGATTTAGTTAAAGTATCACCTTTCCCGAGTCTCTTCTACAGTTCTAGTTACTTACATTTCACTCTTATAATACAACGGCCCATATTAGATTTGTTTATTAACTGACTTATAATTTAGCTTAATCCATTATAATTCATCCACAGGAACCTAAGATATCATCCTAGTACCGGGGAAAACACGATTAATACTTCTCGAGGGAATTTGGCCATCGAGGAACTAAACTCGCGACAGTCCCCAAATGACCATGGAGCACTCAAATAAATTCATACCGTCGAACTAAATCGACAAATGAATTGGCTCCCCAGATATAAAGTCTTGGGTGATCTTTCCTTTTTGCTTTCTTTCGTAAACATCTTCTCTTTTATTTCTTTTTCAAGCTCAGTTGATTAAAAATCTTCACCCAAACTATCAATAGTAACAACTTCACCTGGTTTAAATGGTGGTAATCCTAAGTATGGACATCCATCGCATCTGAATGCATCTCCAAGAGCACACAGACCACATCCACCAGTCTTCCCCTCAATGGTGAAATCAATTTCTGCCATATCGGATTCTTGGAACTTGACTTGATCACCTCTAGCCTTTATTCTTTCTTCTATTTTAATTGCTTCTGCTGTAGCCAGCTTTGCCATCCCACCAAGAATTGTATCTTGTAAAGATTTTTGCTTTTCTACATCTTGTTCTTCTAATTCTTTCAATCCACAGGTACAATCCTTACAAGCTCTTCTTCTCTTCTTTTTGGTGATATCACAACTTCTTGGAGTGATAAGGTTAGTTGAAGTGGTTGAATCAATCAATGAATCTTCTGCAATTACGTCAGCATCTTCATCTTCATCATCAAAATAACTAAGTTTAGTTTCTTGTAATTTTCTCTTCATTGAAGTTTCCTCTTCCTCTTCGGAATTAGTTGCTGATGAATCAGTTAACCCTTGTGGAGAATTAATGGTGAGCTTCTTGAAGAGTGGGAGAGTCGAACCCGCGCCAGCTGCGCCACCAATCTTTTTATTATTTCCAGAATTTCTCAAGGGGATTGTAATAGTTTCATTTTTAGGTTTGGTCCATTTATTGGTCCCTACAAGGAATCCATTCATGATTCCATCCATATCTTGACCCTTTGGTAAATCTCCCAATAATTCCCCACCTTCCTTGAGAAGGTCCAATAAGACTGGCAAGGCAGCAACTGGGATATTTGTTTCCGTATTAGGGTTCAAATAGTAAATTTGATCGTATGAATTGTTTGTTAATTCATCAACTTTTCTATTGGCAACTCTATCAATGATCTGTTGAGAAATTGTTCCTTGAGGATTTTCTTGCTCAAGCTTTGATCTGGTTGATACAACAAGGTGTTGTTGCTCTGGGTCTGCCACCACCGTTGGGTGCAATAAAAGGAGTGTATTCATTATTGATTAAGAACTCGTTAAATGGGTTTTTTTAGATGATGGAATTTGTTTTGTCCTAACCACCTTTCTATATCTGTTAAACTTTCTCGATGACTAAGGCAACCTATGCGATATACAGGAGAAAAAGAAATGGGATCACGTGTTATGAGCTGAATGTACGAGTGGTAAAGGTAAGGAATTTGACTTTTTGTAAGCACACTTATTTCCAATCTATAAAATTTAATAATATATTTTAAAAATTGAATAAAGAGGAATAATTATCCTTTTTATTCCTTATTTGAAGAAATATATCACTTATATATTCCGTTCATGTACTCGCATATGTATGGCCAACCAATTCTCACTGATAGTCAGCATTACTAATGGATAAGTATACCGTTTCTGGAAGTTACACAAAAAAAAAAGAATGGAAAGAGCGCATATTTTTACCGCTTAATAAGCAGCAGCACAATCATGATAAGAGTATATAATTGGATAGTGGTATAGGTACTATTATGGATAAAGTGTGCATTTTCTTTGGAAAATAAATTGTGATTAATTGCAACAACTTACCTAAATTTCGAGAAAAATTAAATTATTATTTCTCTTTCTATATAAAGAATTCAAACATTCTTACTCAAGGTTATTATATCTTTTTGAATCTTCTCTAAACTCCTCCCATCTATCTTAAACCCCGATTCTCTCTAACTACAACTGTCTATTATTATAATACATCCATTTTCCTCTACCTTCTAAATCCTAACTATTTATATATTTATGTAATCATTCGTTCCCACCAGTCCCGCTGGAATTCTTCAGTCATTTATCATCAACCTCTTCATCAGTGTCATCATTTTCAATATCTGTTTCATCATTATCCGTCTTATCATCATCAATTACTCCATGATTATTTGCAGAATTGATTAATCCACTAATCGGTGGCAAAACAGTTTGACTACTGGAACTGGCAACTGATGAAGCCCGGGTTATTCCTTGAGGGGGTGATTGGATATTATTTAAACTTGTGTTTCGGCTATGGCCATGGCTAAATTTCACAGATTGAGGTGATGAGAGGGACATTAATGAAAGTACAGCATCTTGTTCAACTGCACCGCCACTATTATTGTTTGTAGTATTGGATCCACTATGGTTATTCTTATCAGATTGACCCTGTGACCATTCATTAACAGCAACGTTTATCAGTGGGAGTTTCGAAAGATTCATTTGTGTATTAACAATTTGTTGTCTTGGTGTAGAAGGTGGGAACACTGGTGGTGGTCCACTTACATTCGAAGTAGTGGAACTTGTTCCTGATGGTCCAGAAATACTGGAGTTTCTTCTATGAGACCTTATTGGAGATCCAGAAGAAAATGAAGTCCGAGATTTACGCTTTTGTCTCGAAAGTGCAGCTATCAAGGCATTATGAGCGCTGCTTTCTTCATCGGGTGATGGGATATTGACTCTCTCAGCAAAGAGATGTGGTGAATTGGAGAGAGCGTTAGCAGCTGCAGCTCTAGCAGCAAGCTTAGCGTCGGCTTCAGACGTTATATTAACTCCTGCTACATCCGATTCAGCCGCTTGATCAAAAACATCCTGTAAATTCACATTAACTCCACCACTACCGTTCCCCCAAGACAGTCTACCAGTGTTATTTCCCCAAGATTGTCTAGGCAGAACAGAAGACAAATCTCCAATGACTTTCGAAGAAGAGACTGAAGTCCTATTCTGTTGCAATTTCCCCAAAGCGGAACTGAGTCGGCTCTTCAACTGTAAACTGATTTCCGAAAGATCTTCTCTATTATCCTCAGTAAATAATCGTTTCCCCGGAGAGAAATATTGAGGAGTCTTTTGTAATTTATTGGGTTGTGAAGTTGTGTCATCTGAATCATACCCGTCATCTCCGACCGCACCCGATGACCGTCTCGGGGTCTTGAGCAAGTTGGATGCGTTGTATGGAGACTGGATATTATGCGAGTTGAGTTTGTAGTCTGGGGACTTGTATGTGGAGGTCCTTTTCCTAGATGGAGAGAATGGGAGAATATCTATATTCTGTTCAGGGGTCTTGAGGTACGAAGTGCTCATTCGCTTTTGTTTGTGCCGTGAAGGAGGAGTCGTTGGTGGGTCCAACTTCACCACCTTGGGTGAAGATATGGGTGTCGTGGCTTTTCCGGACATATACTAGTATGTGTATGTGGAGGAGGGGCGTTGGGTTGGGCGTTTAGCTATTTGTGCGGTCCCGTGGGTAGACAATAAAGTTATAATAATAGAACAAATAACAATCAGCAAACAGGAAGAAATGAAGGGCTAAAGGGGACTAGTACCAACTCTCGTGCCGTGTGTGGTGATGGATGGGACTCGAAGTATGCTCTGCAGGAAATAGGTCGTAACCAAGAAGGTTGTGTGATACGAAACTTGAGTTCTATTCTTTACTCTGTCTCTCTCTCTTTTTTTTTTTTTTTGAAGTATCAAATGTTGATTCCTACAATAACATAGAAAGAAGTCGTGGGACGCAACAAATGCAGCGAAGGTCAGATATAGAGTGTACAGGGATGCCGGTGTATGCACTCGCAGTGGACGACAAAAGTTGGCGTGTGGGAGAAATGTACTGACTAGGGGCCCGGGTATTGCGGGAGATGTTACTACTTGCTTAACTTATATATGTACGCCTACTATGAAGAATATGAGCTATTAAAAAGGGTCGCACCCCCCTCTTTCACCACTACTGTTTACCATTACGTTAGGGGTTTGTTTAAAGAAAGCGCGCAATCAAACAATAGAAATAGAAGTTGGATATTTTTTTTTCTGCGGAATGTGTTGTATCACTGTGAATGTGGTGAATGTGTTGTGACAGAGGAGCGACTTTGCAGGGGCCGCTTGTCAATTCTGTAGTGGTGCACTTTTCTGCATATTTCTTGCTGATTGATGGTGCGGTGTACTTCATCGTGGGTGTTGTGTCGCCGCCCAAATTCTGCTGTATGCACTAAAAACATGGCGTACATCCACACATCACGCAAACACTTGGGAAAAAAAAATAAAGCTCAACACAAAAAAAAAAAAAGTATTGTAGTCATACAAAAAATTAAAATTAAGGAATTTAGATCTATCAAAACAAAGGGGTTCGTTCCGCACAAAAGGCACTAAAGATATTCGTAAATGAGGACATAATGAATTGAGTAAAAATCTACTGATAATTCTTGGTGTAGAGGAGGTAGACATTTGATAAAAAATGCAGTGTAGTGCCTTACATAATGTTGAAACTTTGCGTAGCGAATCTTATTCTCGACACGAATTTCAAACTAAGGTTCAGGGAATTGAACACCGATTCGTAGTCAATTGTGTTTAATTAAGCATGAAATTCTCTCCAAGAAAAAAAGTTTGTAAAGTAAAAGTTATTTAGTGAAACTTGGTGGTGTACTTATCGCACCAACCGGAACATATGGAATACACCGGCTCCACATTATTTTGCCTGTGAATTTGTGTTACCCCACCTCAGCATTAGTGTAACTAGTGAGATCTTTAAAATAGTACATGCGTATATGTCCCCCTCCCCTATAAACCAGACTCAAGAATCTGAAATGTATACTAAGGAATTGAAAGTAGTAAAAGGATCATTTCCTAGAAAAGTGGGATCTGCTATCCCTCAAGACACCGCAAGAAACCCATTAAAGATATGTTATAGAAAGTATCATCTGAAGGACGGTAAGATAAACCTTGTATTCCTTCATGGAACTGGTATGAATAAAGGACTTTGGCATTACCATATAGATAAATTGTATCATCAATACGAGAATACCAAAACTCCAATTGGAACTGTCTTAGCAATAGATATGGTGAACCATGGCCATTCTGCGGCGTTAAATATAGACCGACTTGGATACAAATTTGATTGGTGTGATGGTGCTCGTGACGTCCAGTGTGTATTGCAAAACGAAATTAAACTGTTTACCACTCCTGGTCAGTTGAACATCCTTGTAGGACATTCTATGGGAGGATTCATATCGTTATTCACAACTTTTCTTCAGCCAACGTTATTCCACAGTGTAGTTGTTGTGAATCCAGTAGCATATACTACTGATCAAGCAAAGGAAGGTTCTACAATAGTATTTAATGGTTGGGTGAAAAAGGGGTATATGAAAGACGATTTCCATGTTTCTAAATATGTTAAGGGGGAGATCCCACCTGAAGTTTACGAGTTTTTCGAAAACAAATCGTTTTTCAGAAATTTTGATAAACGAATCTTGAAGAATCAGTTGGATGATGAGATTCCAGATAGGGAACATAACGGTGATATAAATCTTCATACCACTATGCGAAATCAGTTGATTACATATTTTGGATCGTTCGATGCAATCCCTGTAGGAATGGAGATATATTCCACCATAAAGACTCCTGTTTATTATATCCTTAGTGAAAACGATACCACAAATAGTGAAGCAGTTCAATATCTAGAGTCTTCAATGAAAGATGTCATTCACCGAATTGACGTTCCAGAAGCATACCACATCGTCAACGCGGAGCAGCCTGACTTAATGGTTGATATTCTTATCAAGATCATTGATGAGAGACTTGATATGGATCATGATAAATTGAACACTGAAATTAATGAGGAGAAACTTTTGGTTGAAAAATTTGGAAAATCTTATAGACAAGAGTTTCTTAAAAGGATTTTTGATCCAGTACAATCGATTATAAATGGGTTTCAATAGTGAAGGAGTAACAGTAGTAGAAAGTAGATGACAATGGAGATCTGTAAGATATAGAGTATATCTCAGCTACAGAGCCAGATTTTCCATTCAACTATGATAAGTAAATTGATAACAATGAAGTCTATCTTATTGATAGATTGACTATATGAATATATTATGAATAAAGTAACACACTAAGAGATTTTTATGACAATCCAGTTGGGACTCTCTTAGAGTTGCAATAATAATTGTAAACGAAGAAAAAAATACAGATCTGAGATTAAATCTTACAAAAAGAAAAGAAAAAAGCAGACTACTAATCTGAAGTTTAATAAGATCCCCTTGGTATCCTCTTGATTGAGTAATTAGCTATCTAATATTATATATTCATTGTCGTCTTTCTTAATCTGTGCTTATACCTAAATGCCCTGCCTGCACATAAGTTATCGTGGATTCTTATTTTCCTTTTTCTTTTTTTTTTTTTACTCTTTCTCTTTTTTTTTTTTTTTTTTTTGGCTCAGCGCATCTCTCAGATTTTTCTTTGGTATACCATCTGAAAAATTCCAAAACAACCTTCGTTTAGATATAATACCAATAATAGAAATATAAACAATGGCTTCTAGAGACGTAGTTTTGGGCTTGATTGCCGACTATTTGAAGAGAGACGACGAATTGGTAAAAGTGTCTGATGCGCTTGAAAAGGCAATTCAAAAGAAGAACTTGACTGTTGCCAAGGCTGACAAGAAGTTGGAAGAATTGTTAAAGGATGAAGGAAGTGAGAGTAATAAGAGTGACAGTGATAGTGACAGCTCTAGCTCTTCTAGCTCTAGTGAAGACAGCTCCAGTGATGAAGCTGACTCCGAATCCAGTGATGACGAAGACATGGAAGATGTAAAGGAAGAAGTTGAAGAAAAGAAGGAAAGTTCTACCGAATCTGAAGAAAAGAAGTCTGAATCCGGATCTGACTCCAGTTCTGATTCTAGCTCTGATTCTGATTCTAGTTCTGATTCTGACTCCAGTTCTGATTCTGATTCTGATTCTGATTCTAGTTCTAGTTCTGACTCCAGTTCCGACTCCAGTTCCGACTCTGATTCCAGCTCTAGCTCTGATTCCGACTCTAGTTCCGACTCTGACTCCAGTTCAGACTCAGACTCCGACTCCAGCTCCGACTCCAGCTCCGATTCTAGCTCTAGCTCTGATTCTAGCTCAGACTCTGATTCCGATTCTGACTCAGACTCAGACTCAGACTCAGACTCATCTGAATCAACTTCAAAACGTCCAAGTGAATCTGAAGAATCAGCTTCAAAGAAACAAAAGAAAGAAACTAACAGCTCTTCCCAAACTGAATCATTCACTCCAACCCCAGATCCAAGTCATATTCCAGCCGCCATTGAAGAAGAATTAAAACCAGGTCAACGTAAGCATTTCTCTAGAATTGATAGATCTAAGATCTCCTTTGAAAACCAAGCATTACTCGATAACACATACAAGGGTGCTGCTGGTACTTGGGGTGAAATGGCCAACGATAAGCTCCTCCAGGTTAGAGGAAAAGATTTCACCAAGAACAAGAATAAGATGAAGAGAGGCTCTTACAAGGGTGGTTCCATCACCATGACCTCTGGAAGTTACAAGTTTCAAGATTGATTAATTTCAATGTCATAATAGTCATGGTTCAAATAGAGAACCCATAGTTTGTATTTATATAGTCTGGTGTTAATGTATTAGATTAAAGAAGTGTGAGCAGATGTAAACGAAAGAGAGGGAAATGGAGAGAGGATGGGGATGATTGGATGTACATAATGGGTATTCATTTACTAAGAAGATATAAACAAAATCGCCACTATGAATGTTTTGCAGCAATTTACAGCCAATTCTCAAAAAGGAGCGCATTTCCTCACACAACAACAACAACAAAAAAAAGCACAAATATAAAGAGAAGAAAAACAACTAATCATTCATTAAAGTCAAAATATATATCAGTACAAATGTCTTCACACTATTCATCTCTATTCTCTCCTATAAAATTTTCTTAATATACAGTGATAAACAATTTTATTTATGTGTGTTCTTCAAGTATCTAACTCCTTCTACTTACTCACATCCTGCACATACACCCACTCAATATGTATTTCAAATCAATATCACATTAATTAAATATTTATTGCCCCCGTCCTTTATTCCACAACTATCTTCATTCAACATGTCTAGAAGACCAGGTGGTGTCAACTATGCAGATTTAGATCTGGGGAACTTTTCCGATGACTCATATAGTGAAGATGAACAACCTAGTCGTAACAAGAGAAATGATGATGACCAAACGTATGGGGTTCGTAAGCCAAAGAAGGCTTCATCTTCAAACAACGGATCTGCTTCCAATTCCAAGAAACGTAAGGCACAAGAAAATGTAACCACCATCAAACTGGCTCTCGAAGAGACTGAGTATTCAGACGATGAGTTGATTAAATTAAATCCAGAGATCCCTCTGGATTATATTCCTGATGCAGTTTCTAAATCCTTTGGTCAATCTGACTTTTCATACCTTAAATTGAAACCTGATCACTTTTCCAGACCAATTTGGATCTCTCCTAAAGATGGTAGAATCATTTTGGAATCATTTTCTCCCTTGGCGGAACAAGCTCAAGATTTCTTGATTACCATTGCTGAACCAATCTCAAGACCATCTCATGTTCATGAGTATAAAATCTCCATGTACTCCTTGTATGCCGCAGCGTCTGTCGGGTTGGAAACTAATGATATCATCTCAGTATTAAATCGATTATCCAAAGTACCCGTGGCCAAATCAATTACAGATTTCATTAAAAGTGCAACCATGTCTTATGGTAAGGTGAAATTAGTTTTAAAACATAATCGGTATTTTGTAGAAAGTACCCAGGCGGATATTTTACAAATGTTGTTACAAGATCCAATCATTGGACCTTGTAGAATTCAGGAAACTAATGGTGGAAATAATGATGGAGCTTTGAATCAATCAGAGGGCCCCAAGGGTGGGATTGTTCTTCCCGGTACTGCTCCTGGTAGTAAGCCAATCTCCGATAGTTCTAATAATCCAAAGGATATCTTCGATAGTGTTGTTGGGGATAAGGACGATGCCAAGAAGACCGCCCGTAGTGGCGAAGAAGAGGATGATGTTGATGATGATGACTTTACTGTACATTCATTTGAAATCGCTACTCTGTCAGTGGAAATCATCAAGAAAAGATGTCATGAAATCGATTATCCAGTGTTGGAAGAATATGATTTTAGAAATGATGACCGGAATGCAGATCTTGAAATTGATTTGAAACCTTCTACTCAAATTAGACCTTATCAAGAGAAATCTTTAAGTAAGATGTTTGGTAATGGTCGTGCACGTTCTGGGATCATTGTGTTACCATGTGGTGCTGGTAAGACATTAGTTGGGATCACTGCTGCATGTACCATTCGTAAATCGATCATTGTTCTTTGTACTTCCTCAGTGTCGGTCATGCAATGGAGACAACAATTTTTACAATGGTGTACCATCCAACCTGAAAATGTGGCCGTTTTCACTTCAGAGAATAAAGAAATGTTTGCTGGTGATGCTGGTTTGGTTGTTTCAACCTATTCAATGGTGGCAAATACAAGAAATCGTTCTCATGATTCTCAAAAAGTTATGGATTTCTTAACTGGGAGAGAATGGGGGTTTATCATTTTAGATGAAGTGCATGTGGTCCCTGCCGCCATGTTCCGTCGTGTGGTTACTACCATTGCTGCCCATGCCAAATTGGGTCTTACTGCCACTTTGGTCCGTGAAGATGATAAAATTGATGATTTAAATTTCTTGATTGGTCCTAAATTATATGAAGCTAATTGGATGGATTTAGCGCAAAAGGGTCACATTGCTAATGTCCAGTGTGCAGAAGTCTGGTGTCCTATGACTCTGGAGTTCTATCAAGAATATCTTCGAGAATCTGCCCGTAAAAGAATGCTTTTATACATCATGAACCCTACCAAGTTCCAAGCTTGTCAATTTTTGATTCATTATCATGAAAAGAGAGGTGATAAGATCATTGTTTTCAGTGACAATGTTTATGCATTACAAGAATATGCCTTGAAATTGGGTAAACCATTTATTTATGGTTCTACACCTCAACAAGAACGTATGACGATTTTACAAAATTTCCAACATAATGATCAAATTAATACTATTTTCCTTTCTAAAGTTGGTGATACTTCTATTGATTTACCCGAGGCAACTTGTCTCATTCAAATTTCTTCGCATTATGGTTCTAGACGTCAAGAGGCACAACGGTTGGGACGTATTCTTCGTGCTAAGAGACGTAATGATGAAGGGTTTAATGCCTTTTTCTACTCTCTTGTTTCCAAAGATACCCAAGAAATGTATTATTCAACAAAGAGACAAGCGTTTTTGGTGGATCAAGGTTATGCTTTCAAGGTTATTACACATCTTAGTGGTATGGAACAACTTCCTAATTTAGCATATTCACTGGCCCGTGAACGAAGAGAATTGCTTCAACAAGTCTTATTAAAGAATGAAGATGCTGCAGGGGTGGAAATCGGTGATGATGTCGACACGAATTTCTTCCCCAGAGATAAACGTATGAAGATGGAAAATAGTGGGAGTAGCGCCAGTAGAACTGCTGGATCTCTTGCTGGATTGGCAGGTGGTGAGGATATGGCTTACATTGAATACAGTAAGAACAAGAACAAGGAATTAAAGGAACACCATCCATTGATTCAAAAGATGTATTACAAGAAGAAGTAAGATAAAACATGAAGAATGGGTGCAATTTATATAGAAGATATCTTTAATAGGAAAGAAAATAACAAACTGGAAATACAACATACACATACTCTGTAGATTAAGAACGTCTATTATAAATATATTTATCTATCCACGATATCTCCAAGTTTTTCTATAACATTATACTTCTACAAAATCTCCAAATTCGTCATCATCTTCATCATCATCATCATCATCATTGTCGTCATTATCATCGTGAATTTGCTTGTCAAGATATAGTTCTTTCTGAATTTGTTCTTCTTGTTCATCTTGCTCAGCTTGATTCATAATCTTTCCTGGGGTTTCCCTTTCCTTAATCAGTAACTTCTCAATTCCATTTTGCATGTCTCTTTCAATGTTTAAAAGTCTTATTTCATAGTTATAACTCTCTATCAATGCTGAATATCTAGTATGATACCGATCCAATACTTCTAAAAATCTCCAAGAATCTTCAGGTTCTTTAAATTGAAGTCCCAAGGCAACTTGAATTGGTCGATCTACTGTAATGTGATCTGATTGATCATCCACCGGTTTGTAACCTGAACCAGGAAATTGTGCAAATACCTTGAGGTGTTGCGGGGAGTCCAGAGCCAATTGAACCGTATCTTCGCCATTATTGGCAATCACACAATTGTATGCACTGGTATCCAATGGGTTGTACCATACCTCGGCCCATATCACCGGTGGTTTATCCACCGAAAGTCGATTGAATAGCTCAAGTTTGAGTCTCATGGCAAAGAATGGCTTCTCTGGAGGCTTAACCATTTCATCAATGGCCGCACCACCACCTGTATGGGCGTAATGGTCCACAATATCGGGCAAACGTTCTTCCTCAACCACACGAAGTCCTCCTTGCCATATGTATGGTGGACTCCAATTCGACAGAACAACTTCTCCTGGTGGTACCTTGAATGCCACAACTTCTCGCGATACAAATAATGTGCTACTTCGTATTGACATTTCTATATCGAAAAGAATAAAAATAAAAAAAAAAAATAATAAAAATCTATATGTGTATAGAATTAAACCTTACGATTATAAGAATCTTATTATTGCGGGGGTACGGATATAGGGAGAGAAGGATCATTGCGCGCACACTCACACACACACATAACTATGAAGATAAATCATGAGTTAGAGTTCCTGTACACTAAAACTTAATGTAGTAGTGTGCAGGAGTTTTTTTTTTGGTGGGTGAGGTGCGTGCACCGGTCGAAAAGGGAAAATTTTGATCAAAACATTTTTGGCTGTAAATCAGTTTCAACCGATTAAAAGGACAACAATCCATCAATTATGTTCAGAAATATAGCACGTCCAGGCTTGTTGAGGACATATTTGCCCTCCGTGCGGTACAACTCGACCTTGGCCGAACTTTCACAGGCCATCAAGACCCCAGTGGAGTCTGAATATAAGGCAACCAACAACAGTATTGTTTCTGATATTGACCATTTACTTTTGGCTGACAGTGCCAAGGAATCCGCTACTGACGCTGCTTCCCCTGCTTCTAATAATGAATCCACTGGTTTCAAGAATGGTGCTCTTTACGGTGGTGCTGCCCATCCATTTGGTCGTGCATCTTCGTCCGATTACCTTCTCCAACAATCAGTAAGACATCCAAGAGAAGTTGCCAAATCTATTAGAGTATTTGGTCCAATTGCTGGCCGTACTTTTGATGTTCGTCACGGTAATATTGGTGCCACCATCGCCTCTGTACAAACAGTTCTTCGTACCAACAAAATTAAAAAGCTTGTAAATGTTCAAAAACGTCACATACCGAAGGCAAAGTATAGAAAGCAAAAGCACAGAGAATGGTGGAGACGCCAATTCTCCAAGGGATTCAGAGAATTGATGTCCGAAGTCAGAGACGCCACCAGAAGAGGATATTAAATTGTACACAAATTGTAAATAGAATACATCACAGAACTTCCGGGATATACCGATCATGTGGATTTCCTATAGTTCTATTAAATAAATAAATTCAAATCAAATAAAAAGTATTGGCAATCTGTTTGTCGACTTGTAAATCAATAAAAAAATTATGTGTCGTCAAAATCAAAATCAAAAACAGAGCAGCAAAAAACGAAAACCTAACTCAAAGGAGTCATGAAGAATACAAACAAAACTACATATCCACTTTCTTTTATTACTCAAACTGGCTTGGTGACTAACTATGCAATATAGCACTCTTATACAAGTATCTTACTGTCCACGTCTACAACTATTACTTTTTAGTTATCTCTTCCTGCATTGTGGTCGATTTCTCCGATTGTTTAAATTTGGCAGCTAAATATGGTATCTCCGTGAATCTGTATCAGATATTTAGTGATAACCACCCATTTCCCATATTCATATAAATCACAACATAATATCTAATGCATTAACCTATACTATCTCCACAACTCTCGTGCTCCAAAGTTTATATTTTCATCCTTTTTTTTTGTTTCCCCACTCATACCCCCTTATCTGTAGATATGCTTACTATTAAATTCCCTAGGCGTGGCCAAGGGTTGGGTGTGTTCGTATTTTTTTTTTTTTTTTGCCCCATTTTTTTTTTTAAGTCTCTCTATCCGTCGACTGATACATCGATTAGAGGCGAGATCTGCATAAGATATAGACTGCCCCCCAGCCTACTTTCAGAAGCAGCCACCCCATCCTGCGATGTCAGACAGATCAGCAGGAATCCCCGCCATCACAGGTCAGATCGACTACTCGAAAGCTTGGCATGTTTTTCCGGATTATCTTCAACCATATCGAACTACCTTGCTTGCCTATGGAGCATCGTTTGCATCCACAACCATTGGGTTCCCCATGGACACAGTCAAGACTCGGATGCAGACCCATAAGAACTTTACCTCCTACTTTGACTGTGTACGTAAGACATACAAAGTGGAAGGAATAAGAGGTTTCTTCCGGGGAATATGGGCGCCTTTGATCTCCACATCAATGGCCAAATCATTGAGTGTTGGGATTTTCACTCTGGTTAAACCAACCGCATATCGGGCGATATATGGAAATGACACAACAATAGGAGACACACATCCAGTGTTGAAGAATCTCCCAGTTTGTATGGCCTCTGGGTTCATTTCTGGAGGTGGAGTGTCACTTTTTGCATGTCCTTTTGAATTCACAAAGGTTTATGCTCAAATTTCTCGACTTGTTCAAAGTAAATCTATGAAAGATCTCCCACAGCATCTTCAAACTAACCATCAGGAAGTCGTAAGCCCCTCTACAACCAAAACATTCCGTCAAATCGTTCGACATGAAGGATTCCGCGGATTGTATACTGGTTATAAATATCATTTCTTGAGAGATTCCATCTCATCCGGAGTATACTACTCCATCTACGAGTCCCTTAAGTGGACTATGAATAGCATCCAGGAGTCATATCAAATCGGGTCTCCTCAACTATCCATCTTGTTGGCTGGAGGTTTATCGGGGATTCTTAGCTGGACTTTTGTCTTTCCGTTCGATACCACAAAGTCACTTATTCAAAAGGATGTGGTGACCAATATTCTCCGTAAGGAACAAGGTTTGAGCCCACTCCCTCCTAAAGAAAGGAAACTTCAAAAATTCGAACGTAAGTTATACAGAGGGTTAGGAATATCAGTCACTAGATCATTCATGGTGAACATGGTTTTCTTTAGTGTTTATGAATTTGCAATGTCTCACATTGCTTGATGAACAAGATAAACTTTATAGATTGCATATATTTATTCATATATAACACAATTGTCCTACAAAAGCGGGCAAAATAATTAGACGACTATGAATTTAAGAATAGTGTAAGCTATCAAGAATAAACAGTGAACATGTCTACTTCTTACATAATCTAATATGTATCGTGTCTATTATACCATTATTAATCTAATTCTCTTCTTCTACTTCTACCTCTTTCTCTTTCCTCGGACAATTTCTTCATTCTCCGCTTCTTTCTTTTTGGAAGAAGCATAGCTCCATCTCCTCGCAACATTTCTTGAATACTTCTCTTCATTGGTGACCTTGAGCGAGTTCTCAGCGCTGGGGGTGCCTCGAGTGGCTCGATCGGAGTAGAAGGTAACAGTGGCGATTTCGAATTGATGTTCAGTGAGTCAAGCAGTACAACAACCTTACGGCTACGACCTCTTGAGTTACTTCGAGTGTTTCTGTGGTTCATTGGATATGATGGTGCACTTCCAATTCGATTACCACTACGCAAAGATCTAGTAGGTTCAAGAGTGACTTCTGTAAGATCCAAACCAAGAACTTTAGTAGGTGAGCTAGACCGTGCCCTTGATGGTTGAGTTTTTTTCAAGTTGGTTCTAATTTTCGGTAAGGTTGATGTCTTCAACTCAGTATCCTTTGCCTTATCAGAAGAGTCAATTTCCACATTTTCAATTTCAGCCTCCAATTCGGTATTCGTTTCTTGCTCTTGAGTTTCAAAGTTTAACTCCTGTTCAGGATCTTCATATTCTTCTATCGCACCTTGGGATTCACTTATTTTCTTTTCTTCAACTTCCGTAGTTTTATCTTCCGAAAGATCAACATCTTCATTGTCCTCAGAGGTCTCCAATGTAGGGCTCTGTGTAGTTTCCTTCTTTTCGTCTTCTTTTTTATCTTCCACTTCATCTTCGACCTTTTCGTTCCTTACTTCTTCTTCTTCTTCTTCTACCTCTTCTTCTTCGTCTTCTTCGTCTTGAACTTCTTCATTTTCCGCTTCTTCAGTACTGCTTCCTTCTCTTGAAGTTGAATCATCCTCAAAGTCAATGTTTAACTTTTCTCTCTCGTCATCAGAATTATTATAAACAACTTTACTTCTTTTCAATTCAAGTTCATCTTCTCGATCCAGTGCTTCATTTCCTGAAAATGATACTGCTCTTTCTAAACTTGGGGGAATTGCCCAGTACACTGGTGTGTCGTGGTGATGACTATCCACTTCGCATCTGCTACTAGATCTGATAATCAGAGATTCTTCATTCGATTCTTCACTTTTGAGTTCTTCAACTTTCACATTTTCGAGTTCATTATCATTTGTTTCTTGTGGAATTTCTTCAACATCTTGCTCATCATTATTAGGAACTTCCACTTCTAAATGTATTTTTTCTTCATTGTCAGCTTCTGACACATCCTCAACATCTTGAATATCTTCCACTTCAGAAGAGTCTGTAACTTTTGATCTGATTTCATTCGAAACATTCTCACCATTCTTATCCTCGTCCTCTTCACTATCAAAATCATCTTCAATCTCAATAACACTGTCATCAAGGGATTCTGTTGACAGTTCTTCCGTCAGTACAGATTCTGAGTCATCGTCAACTTCAACCAATATCGGGCGTCTTACTTTATTACTCGATTTGATCCAGTGAAATGGGTTCAATTTGGAGAATATACTTTGGAATCTCTTAGGTTTAGGTTCTTCAATATCAGTAGGCGAAGATCTCTTATTGTTTTGTCTTTCTGGCTCTTCATCTTCCTCAATTATATATTCCGTGCCATTCTCTTCCTGGGAATCATCCTTTTCCATTTCTTCTGGCTCATCGATGGAAGTTGGCTCTTCTAATTTTCCAACGTAATCAGTGAAAACTTCAGTAGCTGAAATAACAGTTTCAACTTCCGAGGGCTCAATAATTTCTGGGTCATCTAATGATTTGCTATTGTTCTCAATGTTCAATTCATCTTCTGGACTTACACTTTGAGCACGGTCGATATTATCATCAAAACTAACCTCGGGGTCTTCGTCTTCACTGTCACTTGGCTCAATTATTCCTGATGGAAGAATAACTTGACTTTCATTAACCTCAAGCTCGGTGTTGGTATACTCAAAGTATTTCGAGGTAATTGGATCTTCAATTTCAATCACGGTTGTTTCAATACGTTCTTCGATGGTATAAGCATTCGTATCTTGGGGGTTAACTTCTGTATCTTCTTCAAGTATGGAGCCATACACTGGAGCCTTCTTTTCTTCTGGGATTAATTCGTCAACTTCACCACTGTCAATTATTGATTTTATGATCTCTTCAGCTTCTTCAGAATCGTCTGCCTCTAATTCTTCGACACTTACAGCTTCTTCCTCTGGACTGTTTACGACTTCTTCCTCTTCTTCTTCTTCAGCCTCGTCCAAGAAGTCTTGTTCTTCAACCTCGTCTAATTCGACTTCTTCAACAACTTCATCTAAGTTGGCTTCTTTTTCAACCTCACCAGACACTTCGTCCGTACCCATAGCATCTTCATAAATAGTATCATTACCTTCAAAATTATCATTCATCAAATATTCACTGTCCTTGTCCTCGCTTACTTTATCATTTTTATCATCAGATTTGTTTATAAGCTCTTCCGATTCATCATTAGAATTCATCACTTCTACAGACTTCAAGTCAGTTTCTCTAATGCCATCAACATTCAAATCTTCTGCCTCGTCATCAACTACTTGAGCCTCCTCTGGATTTGCATCTTCACCAGCCTCTGGATGGTGAACCTCCACCTCTTCGTTCACAATTTCCGCCACATCAACTACAACGTCAGGAAGTTCCAGTGCAGCTTCGATAAATGATTCATCGTTCATAGTTGAATCGTCTTCTTCGGTCACTTTAACATCTAATTTAGGTTCATCAACAACATATTCCTCCGGGTCATAGTATGAAGTTTCTGGTTGATCTATTCCTTCTATTTCCTCGGACATTTCAACATCTTGTTCTCCGCTTTCGTCGATATCTTCCACCTCATGAATTACCTCTTTTTCAAAATCATCTTCATATTCAGCTAGCTCCTCTTCAAGTTCTTCTGCAAGTTCTTCTGCAATTTCCTGAACAATTTCTTCATCAACTTCTTCTTCAATTTGATTCAAAATTTCTTGTTCAATAGCCTCCTCAAATTCTTCTTCTGAATCGTCTTTGATGAACTTATTATCGAAACCATCAATTTCTTTATCTTCCTCCTCTTCTTCTTCTGCTCCATTTGTCGATTCCTTCACTAGCAGTTCTTCAATCTCATAATACAGTGTTTCTGGATGCTCCTTATCTAAAGGTTGTTCGATTATTTCTTTAGCGTCTTCAAAGACATCCTCGACATTCAGCTCATTAACTTTGGCCTCATAGTACATACTACTATCCAAATTATCCTCGACAGCAGGTGTGGATTTCAACAGTCTGATATGTATCTCTTGTTCTAATTCAGTTACGGAGCTCAATGTCACACCATATTTATTTTCAATTTCCTTCAACTTTGTCAATTCTGTCTCTGGATCTTCAACAGGAACAGTTTTGAAAACTGGGATTGAATGAGAAATTGGAGATTCTGAATCTTCCGATTCATTATCAGATTCTGAATAGACAGCCTTACCTTCAGGATCATGAGATTCAGTTTGAGGTTCAGATACCTGCTGATCTGTTCTAATCGGAATAACTTCATTAACCGTTGAAACATTTTCATTAACTTCGTCTGTTCTTTCCAAACTTTCCTCATCAATTGCTATTATTTCTTCATCCACTTTTTCCTTAATTGGTTCCGATTCATCTTCAAATTCTTCGATTGCTTCATCTATTTTCTGAAGAAGTTCATCATCTTCATAATCCAATGTTGCTTCATTTTGAGAAGTGGGCTCTATAAAGGTATTATTTGCAGTATTGAATTCATAGTGTGAGGTGTCATTGATCTCTTCAGAAACTGATTGATTATTGGTATCATCTTGATATTCATTTTCGTTTTCAACTCCTCCAACTTGACCAGCAGTTTCAAGAGCAGATTGTGCAAAGTTCAATAATGATTCTACTTGAGAAGCTTCTATGGAATTTAGATTGGAAGAAATATTTGGATCGATAAGTTCTGAGAAGACATTAGGTAATTGATTGTGTGTATCTGGTGATGTGGAATTAACAACTTCTTCGACTTCGTCCTCTTCATCGACTTCTTCGTCTTCTTCAATTTCTTCTTCATCTTCTTCATCTTCTTCATCTTCCTCAGCTTCATCTTCGTCTTCATCACCTTCTTCTTCCCTTTCGTCTCCTTCTTGGTCTTGTGACTTGTGATCTCTCTCACTAATTTGTTGTTCTTCTGTTTCCAATTCTTGTTCCTCTTCGTCAGTGTCTATTATATCATAATATTGAGGAGCCAGTTTATCTGGTTGTACAGCATGACGTAACTCATGTTCTTCTCTTTCTTCTTCTTCTTCCTCCTCCTCTTCTTCCTCTTCTTCCTCTTGTTCTTCGTCCTCTTCTTCTTCCTCTTCTTCCTCTTGTTCTTCGTCCTCTTCTTCTTCCTCTTCATCCTCTTCTTCATCCCTCTCAAATACAACCTCTCTCGGCATATGATCTATTAATCGTGGTCTTCCACTCCGAACATTGTAAGAAATATTTTGTTGTACATTTGAATCATAATGGGAATGATTAATTGATCCATATTTCAATTCAGATGGTGATTGAATAGGGTACTGGATTGACGATTCTTGGACATATTGATTTGAATAATTAGATGGATCTTCTTCTTCTACTTCATCTCCTTCTGGTTGTTCTTCATTATCCGATCCTTCCAGGAATTCTTCAAATGGTGATAATTCACCTTCCTCTTCCTCTTCCTCTTCATCTGAGTCCAAGACTTCAATTTCATCTACATCTTCATACTCGACTTGATTTGTCTCTTGCTTTCCATTGAATCTGTTAGGAGTAACGATCTCTGGTTTCTCATTATCTTGCTCTTCTTCATCTGAAGAAATTATTTCAATAATATCTGAGTCTTCATCTTCTTCCTCTTCTTCCTCTTCTTCCTCTTCTTCCTCTTCTTCCTCTTCTTCCTCTTCTTCTTCTTCTTCTTCTCCTCCTTCTTCTTCCTCAATCTCATTCTCATCCCCATCTCTCCTCATCAAATCTCCTAACTTATCAAACTCATCGCTGAATATTCTATTCCTCAATTCATCTCGTCTCTTTTCCGATTCTAATTGATTATAAAAGTTTCTTGATTCATTACGTTCTGCTATCAAAGCACTTTTAGCTCTCAATTCCATATTATTCAACCATGAGACTAGATCCTGTGCCCCATGATCTACTGTTGTCTTATCATCAATCTCTAATCGTTTTTTATCTATTGTTCCATTTTGATTGTTTTTCATTTCTTCATCTCCATCTTCAATTTCTTTCGTATTATCTCCAAACAATGGCTTGCTTTTGAATGGAGATGGAAACGATCTTGATGATAAGGGCATACCAATTACCTCTATTGATTTTCAATATATATATATATAGACGTATTATATTATTGGTTTAATATCTATGACCTGGTTCTGCCATTTCTGGAACCATTCAAAATTAAAACAAGTGATTGGTTTATATGTAGGATTTGGGGTGGTGTATATAACACAACATAATATAAAACGAATAGAGACTACGTACCACATATATACTATATCAGTATTAGAATCATTTAGCAAAAAAAATACAGTTTGACTACTTATTAAGCATCCATTAACGATGGAATAACATGAATATTTACTTCTCAACTCTTACTTTGTATTTGTTTAATTTCTTCTTGTTGTTTTTTTTTCTTCTGGAATCCCCACCCTCTTTGAAGATCATCAATCCTTTTGTTCTCTGATGTATTCAAGAAAGGTATCATTTGATATATATAAAGTAAAATTGACTCATGATATAGTTTTATGATTAATATGTTTACCCAATGTTAGCTAATGGCTTAAGTAATCGAAACATAGTTTCAAATTATCCTGTATGAGGTTTTGCAGCCAGATTATTGTTTACAACCTTTTTTACAACAATTATTAAATTATAAATCCATTGATAGTTCAATTAAAAATCGATTGATAGTCTTATTATAAATTATACACTTCCCTCTTTCCAGCTATATTTCTACTCTGTCACTAAATTGTGAAATAGTATTAAAAAATCTCAAATTATAGTAAAATTAATGAACTCTCATCGAGGTTAAAACAATGACTGCACTAATTTTTTATATTGATTCCTATTGAATGCATTTATCATTGAACAAAGAAAACTGGAGTCTATGACTCTGAAGTCTATCACAATTGGAACTTTAGGACTTATCAATTCTCTCAATGGCCCACCATAAACTAACAAGTAAGACTTTCAATTGTTTGTATTTTTCGGATCAAAACAAAGAGTACAAAGGGCCATCCCTTAATTGCATTATCAAAGCCTCTATCATGCCACTAATTTGGCAATATGTGAAAGAATTAGTTGTCGAAAAATGGAGTTCAAAATTGGTTCTATCATACATTTATACACACATTAGATATTTTCGACATAACACATTACGAACGTTCAGTAAATCAGTTCATTTTCATTGTGTTGTGGTTTTTAATATTCTACATTATTTTTTGAGAGAGTCCGGGCCCGAATCCCTGCAGGATGGATATGATCTACCACATAACAAAGTAACTACTCAAATCATACTTAACAATATCTCTTATCTTTTCCAAAATCAATGTATATTGCCTACTGTTCTCTACAGTTTCATATGCCACCAACGTTTCATAAACATTTCAACAAATAGAAAAAAAAATCCATTTCCTTTAGCTGAGAGAGGCAAGGTCATTCTGAAAATTCTTCTGCATTCAATCTGCACGTTCCATCGAAGGAATACGCAAAAGCAGTTTTGAGTTTTTTTTTTTCTAGTTTTTTTTTTTTTTGCTATTTCCACCGCCCCCCCTCTTATTAAAGAAAATTTAAAAAAGAAATCATAAAGAATGATTCTAGCCATACATCACACATAAAAATCGTGTCGGTATTGGTCACACAACATGCTATTCCCATTAAATAGAGTATTCTTCACCATCTATATCTAAGTGTCTAAAACATGCAAGCTAATGCCACTCCTCGTGGAACTCCCACCAAGAATACATGCTAGAGTGCTAAACTTTTAGTTCGTATTAGGGAATATCATAATAGAGTACGCAAAAATAGAAATCATCATCACTCTTATGCATAACGTGCTTGTCATTTTTTACAGCCAATACTGCCGTTCAACGCCTGCTTCATACAGGACGCTGCTTCTTTCAATTCTATAAAAAGATTTCTGAAACGCCGACACAGATGTAATATCAACCTGTAACTACGATAAACTTTTGCTAAATCCTACCAGCCTCCCACGATCTATTATAATTTTGATTATTAAATACAATGGGGGGGGGATTTAACTATTTTCCCACTTTTTTTTTGCCAGCAATTTACGAGCCTAGAACGCATCATTGAGAAATTACCAAAATTAGAGCAAAGTGACCCAAATAGGATGCGCAAGGGCAATTCAAAAAAAAATATGTGAGAGAAAATTCGATATCAAATTAAAAAGTCCCGCATATTACTGTTAATCATTCAAAGTTAATAATTGTTTACAAATATATTTCGTTCCATGCTGTAACATCGATAAATTCATATGAAGGCCTAAGAACACTGCCTCGAATGCGCCGGAATATGTAGCTAAACCCCCCTGCCGATCTCCCATGCAATAACCCTCCTCGAAAACCCTTATTAATGATCTCATCTCATCATTTTCCCTTTTGTGGTGAGCTTCCTATTATTGAAGGGGGTTGTAAAAGTATCACAAAGTCTCAACTACGAAAATTTTAATCGTTCTCAACAGGCACCGCATGTGGAGAAATTATACAAGGTGGCTGGTACCACATTTACAAACTAAGTTTGTTTTTTGGTACAAAAACAATCGTTCCACTTACTATAATTGTTTAATTCATTATTTAGACTATTCTTTATTGGGAAAAATTTCACTCAATCTTCTCTTTTGCTTGTATAACTAGATGCTATTTCAAATAACTCCTGGACTTTCCTCTTTTCATTCTGTATAGTAACAACTTTTATACATCATGCACCTTTTTTATTTTTCCCTCTGCAGTATTTTATTTTGTGGCTCCCCCTTCAAACCGTACTACAGTAGTGACCATTTCTATGCACCAAATAAAGTATTATGCATCTTCAATATGCACATCATCTTTTTTTAAAGAACCTCAGCTAAGCTTCTCCTGTCCAGAAAAATGTCTATAAAAGGATCATCAACTCCTCAATCATAACCCAAGCTTAAAAAATTTCTTTATTAATTAATCGTATCTCGAAATGGCCACTACTGACCCTGAAGCTCTTCGCACTTAACCAGAAGGTGAATACACTTACGCCCAAGAAGAATCTGCCCCTGCTGTTCCAGCTTGGAAGAACCATCTTATTGCTGTTCTCGGTGAATTCTTTGGTACTTTCATCTTCTTATGGACTGCCTTTGTCATTGCTCAAATCGCTAACCAAGATCCTAACATTCCAAAGGGTCTTGGCTCCGACCCTCAACAATTGATTATGATTTCTTTTGGTTTTGGTTTCGGTGTCATGGTTGCTGTTTTCCTCTTTTTCAGAGTTTCCGGTGGTAACTTGAACCCAGCTGTCACTTTGACTCTTGTCTTGGCCGGTGCCGTTCCACCTATCAGAGGTGCCTTGATGATGCTTTCTCAAATGGTTGCTGGTATGGCTGCTGCTGGTGCCGCTTCTGCCATGACCCCAGGCCCAATTGCCTTTGCCAACAGTTTGGGTGGTGGTTGCTCCAAGTCTAGAGGTGTCTTTATTGAAGCCTTTGCCACTGCTCTCTTGTGTATCACCGTCTTGTTGATGGCTGTTGAAAAGCACAGAGCTACCTTTATTGCTCCATTTGCCATTGGTATCTCTCTTTTCTTGGGACATTTGATTTCTGTCTACTACACTGGTGCTGGTTTGAACCCAGCCAGATCCTTTGGTCCATGTATTGCTGCTGCTTCTTTCCCTAACTACCACTGGATTTACTGGGTTGGTCCATTTTTGGGTTCTTTAATTGCCTTTGGTATTTGGAAGATTTTCAAGGTTTTGGACTACGAAACCTGTAACCCAGGTCAAGATGCTGATCATTAAATGATTTATTGAACGACTAGCATTTCTCATTTCATCATAAGTGTGTGGGTCTCTCTACCTATTTTCCATTCATTGATGTAGATCCCGCTTATTAATTTAATTCAATAATAATAATAAAAGTTGATTTTGTATATAATATCATTCTGTAAAGGTGCACCTTGAACTTCGTTGTTCATCCCTTCTTAATCATTCCAGTTTCAAACTGTTCATCTTTAAGGCGTTGATTATATGCATATGCAGTCCTGTTTTGAAGGGTTGGATTGGGTGTAAAATACTAGAGGAAAAAAAACATTTAAAGAAAAAAATTCTCACTAAAAACTCAAAATCTGTAACTCCTCTTAACGGGTGCACGCTTAAAGTTGTTTTGATTCGATTTTCAATTCCGTTGGGTAACATCACCATATACAACTATATACATATCCAATATAATGAACCCTAGCCGCTTAGAAATGAATACTTGATCCTTCTTTTCTCTATTTTCCAATTGCCACCTCGAGATTTCCAGCTTTATACTAGTACATATTCCAATTGAGTAAATTTTCTTCCTCTTTAGCAAATCTTTAGATGACATGGTTTAAGTGTAGCGCTTTGATAAATGACTTTTAGTTTTTTTACGAGAAATTTCTAATTAATCATTTACGAGACAATTAATTGTTCTGTTTTCTTAACTAATGATTAGAGAAAAACTCCTCCCCCCACAAGAGACCTTTCATGATAAAAGTTGGCCATTCTTTGTTTCCCTCAAGTGGTAAAAGTGGTACATAAATTGTGGTATTGATTCTTTCAAGTGTCATTCGCAGCCAATTCTCTTGGAAACAAAGGGCTTCCAACACCTACATCCTCTTTTTACCCTCATTTCTACATCTTCTAATTATACTATTATATATTCTATCATCTAAAATACTCCAAAAATATCATGTAAACTCTTTAAACGATTGAATTTCCCAATGTTCTTAACTTCTCTTAATTGCAAATCTCTAAGAGTCTTCAATTCTGAATCCAATAATAATTGTTCTTCATTACCCTTAACATCTTCTCTTTCACATTTTTCTAAAAGAATCTTATGATCAAGTTTGAAATTCTCGATATTAGTTAAAACTTGAGACATATTAAACAACAAAGAATTACTCAAGTATTGATAGGAAATATAACTCTTGTGTCTGAAAAGGAAAAAAGTCTTTGAAGCTGCTCTATCAGCACTTCTTGGAACTTCTTGTAATTCCACTGCATTGATTTCAATGAGTTTACAAATTTCATTTCTAACGGTTTTTTCCTTTAATAAAATTGAATTTGCAATAGATTTTTCATCTGCAAGTTTAAGTCCACGTAAAGTTCTTAAAATCTTGAATGCATCTAATCCTAAACTTGATTTGATGAGTGTATCAAAAGTGGTTTGTTTCAAATCTTTAATAAGTTGTGTGTATGGAATGGTGAAAGTACCAGGACTTGTTTCAATAAGAAAGTTTATCGATGAAGATGATGCAAGTAATTTTAAATGATCGGCAATAAGAGATTGTTGATCTTGAATATCAAAGTTGGAGAAATGACTGTCATCTACAATCAATTCATCTACTTCATCCTGTTCTACATTGACATAACTCCCATCCTCAGTCTTTATTCTCTTAGCACCAGCTGATGCCGATCCTGGTGCAACTCTCTTGGATTTGAAGAAATTATGAGAAAGAATTGAACCTTTCAAGTCGATTTCACCCAAATATTTGGTAAGATCTCTAGCATTAAAGGTAGTTCTTCTTTGATCCACCAATTTATTTTCTATAGAATGCATAAGAAGTCTTTCCTCCTCAGGATCGTTAATAAGTCCAGGAATTGTCAAGAAATAATGACGTAAATCTGGACTCTTGTGTTCAATTTCAGTCAATGCAGCTTCATAAACTGCAGCGGAAAGGGTTCCAATTCTTGATTTAGCTAAATTTACTAAACTTCTCAGTCTTAATCTTTTTTCAAATCTAGTTAAATTGAAAGCAACTACAATGGTTGGTCTTAATTTTTTAATCCCACCATCCATTTCATACAAATCCTTTGATTCTAATCCAGATTCAAATAATTCTGCAAGTCTAATTTTAGTTTTTTCCTTTGCCTCATTAACTCTTTTAATTTCACTGGTAGTGGCAGATCTTGGAATTTGTTTAAGACATTCTTCATATAATTTAGACCAAAGATCTTGTATTGGGTTAAAATTAAATGGTTGAATTCTACAAAGCCATCCATCCACGAAAAGTTTGAACAAACGATTCTGTTGTTCATAGAGGTCCTCGCCCTCTTTGGTCCCACTGAGATAGTCTTGCACTCTTACATGACCCATTTGAATGACATTTTGAATGATTTCAGCTGATTCAGCTCCATATTTGGTGTCGATATAATTTATAATGTCTCCACTGTGAACAAACACAAGAAGACCACGTTCGTTCAAACTGTAGTGAACCACACCATTTTTACCGCTAGATGAGTCCTTCCAATAGTATATACAGTTGAGTTGGATCAAGGAAACAAGTGCAGACTTGACAGTCTTAATGGGGAGTTTACATCTGGTCAGAAGTTCATGACAAGTGAGTCTACCATGAGATATAAGTGATGACACAATAATCGAAGCCACCTCGCCCAAATGGGTGCGGGCAATCGAGGTCAATAGATATGACTTTGGAGACTGAGTAGCAGCCACATCCGAGTTGTAAGTCATGATATTTGGGGCTAAAGCTTCTACTGATCTACCACTACTCTAAATGTAAATGATTTTATTTTTTTTTCGTTACATCACAAATAATTTTTTTTGAACATCCCAACACCCTAACAAAGATATTGAGGAAATGTTCACTAGAGTTTAAAAGGGTGGATAGCTTTCAATAGTGAACCAATAATGTTTAGAGTGATTAGATGTAGAAAGTTTAGAGTGATTAGATGTAGGGTGTTTAGAGAGCCTAGTATGTTTGTATGATTATTCTCTTAATGATTAGTTGGTGGCCAGTAATTGATTTTTTCCTAGTGGCAACATGGACTACAATGAGCTTTGTCTATTCTAGTAAGAGAATACAGATATCTTACGTGAAGAAGAAGAGCGGTACTACGATTAACCCATTTTTTATACGTATATTAATATCTTGATATCTCTTATTATTCCTCTATCACTCTTTTAAGTACACTCAAACTTACACCAATATGATTTTCAGTGCGGAGCACAAAAAATTAAACACCTTCACCAAATTCAATACACTTTTTATACTTCATTCATTTACTTTCATTCATTGAATTCTCTTGATTATTGTCTATGAGCTCTTTGAAGAAATGCCTTAAACAGGCTAAAACGTACATAGAGGCAAATGATCCTGAATCGGCCTTGGAATACATAGATGACGCCTTGGAATATGACCCACAGAATTACTTTGCCCTCATATTCCAGGGGAAATCTTACCAATTACTCGATGATTTGAACTTGGCAGCAACAAGCTTTGCTAAGGCAACAGAAATTGAACCAGATAACCTACTTGGTTGGAAGGGGTACTTCCAAATCGCCAAATCTGGCGATAATTTTGAATTATTCTTCAAGGTTTTAGCTTCATTTTTACAAACGCAAATGGATCAAAATTTACCTTTAGCTGAAACCATTAAAGATGCTAAGAACTACTTGGTATACCACAACTTTAAGCTGAACTCTGGCTTATATGAAAAATATTTACGTAGTTTACTCCCTGAAGGTGGAGAATTATCTGAATTTTCTGGCTTGTTCATTCTGCCCTTGGCCGAAGTATACAAGCAATTGATTGACTTGATTGCCAAACAAGAACGTGCCAAGGTGAATGATCTTGTTGGTAAGGAAAAATTGAGATTACCCCGTAATATGACCGCTGAACATAAGGCTAGATTGAATAATGTCAAATGGACTGTATATCGTACCCTGGACTTGTCTCAATTGTACGAATCCTTCATCAACATCTGTAATGATGACGAAGTAAGATCTACCTACGAAGAAGAACTCTTGAAATATAAGTATGAGCTCTTGTTGAGTGCGCCAAGTAAGGAGAAAATTCAAAAGGAATTACAAGAATTGGTCGAAGGAATGGTTGTAGTGAAACATAAAAGTTTATTATGCTGGAGTTTATACTTTGATTGGAAAGATGTTAAAAGCTTGGCTGATTTGGAGCTTGATAGTGTGATATATTTCTTAAAGACATTCCCCACTGAAGGATTGGGGATGGTCTTGTACGCATTTGTAATGAGTGATTTGAGTCCCTTTGATAGGAAGAAAATCTTAAAGGAATTATCTAAAGGTAATGAAAAGAAAAACAAAAAGAACAAGAGTGCCAGTGATGAAGAAAATGACGATGATATAGAACTTCAAAAATTGGAAACTCAAGAAACAGAACAGTCGGACGAAGAGATGGTTGCGCTTCTGTCTGAAGTTAACCCCAAGCAAACACTTACGATTCTTACTGAAGGGTTTGATCTTTGTCCACAATCTATTTTTGCTAGTAGAATTGTATGCAACTATTACATTCATCTTCGAGAATACGAGGAAGGTTCTTTGAGATGTCGAGACTCAATCCGGTTGCTTGCTGATTTGCAGAGATCCACTGGAGTTGATCTTGTGAACACACGTGAGGATGTTTTATGTTCTCTTGCAATGATCTACACCTATTATGAGGCTCCTAAAAACTTTGGTAAGGCACTTCAACTCTATGATAGAATTTTAATTGATAATCCTCAAAATGTGCAAGCATTAGTAGGGAAAGGTTTGATTTTAGTTGAAAAGGACCAATTGATTGATGCAAAGGACTTATTACAAAATGTTGTCACTGCATTCCCGCAAAATATTCAAGCCAAGCTGGAACTTTCATGGTGTTTGGTGAGATTAGGAGATGTTGAAGCTGGTAGAAAGGGACTTGAAGAGTGTGTCAATCAAATTAAGGGTGCTGACTTGCATAGTGGTGAAACAAGAGCCATCTTATATTGGAGAATTGCTGAAAGTTATAAAGGTCATGACTCACATGCGGAAGTTTACTCATGTCTTATTCAATCACTAAAGGAAAGTAAAAACTTTGCACCATCCTATACCTCTTTAGGAGTCTTGTATAACAATAGTTATAATGACAAGGCACGGGCACAGAAATGTTTTTATAAGGCATTTGAATTAGATGTTGGTGAAATTACTGCTGCAAGATACCTTGTTGAAGAACTTTCATCGAATAATGAATGGGATGTTGCTGAAGTTTTGTGTAAAAGGATCGTCAGCACTGAAAGATCTAGAAGGAAACTTTTAGGAACTAGCACTTCCAAAACAGATGATAACTCATGGCCATATAGAGTTCTTGGATGCTCCGCGCTTAATAAGCAAGAAGATGATAAGGCTGTCGAATGGTTCCAAACTGCCTTAAGAATGACTAGTATGGATGTCCAATGTTGGATTGGATTAGGTGAAGCATATTTCAACTGTGGAAGATTGGATGCTGCTGCCAAAGTGTTGAGACATACCTTAACCGAAGACAATTGGGTGGTGCAGTACATGCTTGGAGTCGTTGTGAGTGAAATGGGTAGCTTTGATGAGGCCACTCTTCATTTAAACAATGCATTGAAGTTGAGAGAAAATGAAGAATGCATTGTTTATGCTTTATACCAATGTAAGATCAATCATGCAGTTGCGTTGGTCTCTGGTGGCTTCTATGGTAGAGCCACAGAACTGGTTTTGACTGCTGTGAAGTATATCCAGCAAGCCGTTTCGATAAATAAAACTTCCCAAAGTTTATGGAAGGCACTTGGTGATTGTTTGAGAGTATTCATGATTGTCAAGGCCGAGGAATTACCAATTGAAGAGTTGAAGATTATCTTGGAATCTATTGAAATTGACAAATCTAATGCTTTTATGGAAGAATTGTCCGAAATTGAGATGGCTGGAGTTGATGCTACTGCTAGTAATACCTCGGAGGATTATATCGGGGTGGTCTCAGAATTTACTATTCGTACTGCCAAGAATGCAGTATATGTTCTTCCTAATAAGCTGAACAAACTTCTCCGCTCTATGGTTTATTACAATCTTGGTTTGGCATATTTAGAAGGATACAAGACTACTTTCAAGTCCTCTTTTAGAGATGCATCCATTAAGGCTTTGAAAAAGGCAATTCAATTGGAAGGTAACAATGCTACTTATTGGGTTTCTTTGGGTAATGCTTTCACTTCAACCAACCCTCAGATAGCTCAACATTGTTTCATCAAGGCTACTTCTTTGGAAACAAGAGATGCGGATGTGTGGACAAATCTTGCAGCATTATATTTGCGTTATGGTGACCATGAACTTGCTGAAGAAGCGTTTTTAAGAGCTCTGTCTGTTGCTCCACAGCAACCTCAATCTTGGTTGGGACATGCTCTTGCTGCACAGAATTCGGGTAAGACTAATGATGCTTCTCGTTTATTCACTCATGCTTACATTTTGGCAAATGGAAGATCTCCATTAGCCCAACTTTTGTATGGCCTTTCTGTTCTTCAAGCTAGACTACATACTGGATGTGATCCACGAGATGTAGAAGCAGCTCAAGAATTCAGTATTGCTAACTTTGCAATGACAAACTACATCAAGAACTCACCACATGATGAGCTTGGGCTTACTGTTGCCCTTACTATCAGTGAGAGATGTCAAGATTACGAGACTGGTATCGATATTGGTAATCGTTTAGCCGACATGATGGAAAGGGAATATGAAAACTCAGAAAGTGATGTGGCATTGACCAAATTTGCGCAAGCAAAGGCTCTGGTGGGTAGAATGTATTTGGGAGTTGGAGATTATGAGAAGGCTCTTGAAAACGCGCAATTTGCCTTGAGTATTGTAGAAGAAGAAGAAGGCTCTGAATTTGACACTTTGGTTCTTTCTGCCAGAATCACTATTGGACTTTCATTTTTTTTCAATGATCAATTCGATGATGCACTTGAACAATTGAAATACATCTTAACCAAACGTTCAGACTCTCAAAGAATTGTTACTTTAACTGCTCAAATCTTGTATACTTACAATAATGAGGAGACTAAACAAGCCGCAATTGATCAACTTTTCGCTCATATTGAAGAATTTGGTTCGTCCTTACTTGTCGTTCTTACTCTTGGTGCGATCTCAATTGTTGATAACTTGGATGAATACATGGGCGCCATCCGTGAAGAACTCCAAGGATTGTCATTACAAGAACTTGTTGAAGATAATGTCCGAGTTGTGCCACAATTAATCAGTGAAATCAATAATAGATTGGATCAAAACACTGAAGATGTACGCACTTGGCAACGTAGTGCTGTCTTATTCCCACAAGACTATAATATCTGGAAACGGATAAACTCTAGAATGGCACTACAAGTCGCTACATTGGATGATTCAAAGCTCACTGCAAGTGAAACTTCAAACGCCTACAAGGAAATTGGAAAACTTCGTTCTATTCAAAGAAGTTTAGTATTGAATCCAGAAAATGTGGAAGCCAAAAAAGCTTTACTTAGTTTTTTATAATATAGAATATAGAAATAGCATACAGAATTATTATTTTTGTTTTTTTTGTAATCAGTCCTAACTGAACGAGTAAAAAGGGGCAAAGATTTCTTATCAGATCTCTCAAACTCCTATGTGGTATTGTAATTTATTCGTGCGGGACATAATTTTGTATGCACCTCGACTAATGGATAAGCCCCTTGAACAGAACCCTAGTCTCCATACAGGGTTAAATTCGGCAAAACCTTCGGGAATTCTGTATGGGAAATCTATATACATCCACGTACAATACATACAGATATTTGGAACCCAATTCAACTAATTAATTGAAATTCCGTTGTGGGTGCCCCCACTCATATTTGAAATTGCAACAATGGAGAATTCAAACCTAAAGACTCTACATCCATGGAATTCCGCCACATGATCTTCGACTTATACACACGTTTACTAAACGTAATCTCTCCAATTGATTAATACAAAATGTGGGTTTTGTTAGCATTATTAACGATTAATACATTTTCCAACAATTTTAAAACAACCATCTCTCCCCTCTTCATCGTATTGTAGTGTTATCCACGTGATCGCTAGCGCATGACACCTCGCGATAAGGATCAATTCTTTTAGACAGGCAACCTTGTCACTGTTGTGAGTATCGCACAAAAGCCACTTCGTAACCAAGAAAGATCTTCCCCCTTGTCTACAACCGGTAAATCCAGCTAATTCCTACGACGGCTGTTAACATAACCTGGCATTGTACTAGTTATCTGCACCCTTTTTTTTAACTCGAGGGTCCTGAACAGCAGCTGAGCTTTCTGACTCTTTCCTTTCTCCTTTGACCCGTTAGATCTTGCCACTCTGTGGGTCACTCAGTCAAAACAAAACACTTCCCTAACTTGTTTTTTCCTATCTGATCAACATCTAGTACATGTATCATTTGCTGACCGTTCAGTGTTAGAGATAGTACCCGCTGGCTCCTGAGGAAGCGCCTAGTCATTATTATTCTTCTCTCCCCACCCATCCATATTTATAGATACAGCTGTTAATCATGTCTGACTATCATAAAAAGCAACACTTAAAGTTGACCCAAGTTATACATAATTTTTTCACAAAGGCTGTCCAAATAATTCATCAAGCTAGAGTTTCTTCAAATTCTACATCTCCGTCACCATCTTCCTCTGTGCCCGATTGGGACGAGAAGAAGATCAACAAATGGTTCAATTTATATATAGCAACTTCTCCTGAAGTATCTAAAGAAGATCTTCGACTATGGAAGTCCCAAAGTTTGGAGTTACCGCCTATGATCATCGAAACTTACTTGGATCTACGCAAATTAGGTTCAAGACAAACAGTTGTTCTTAAGGATGATTGTGGAGGCTCCTGGCCAGTAACTAAAGGTGGAGGTAAAAAGCAAGAGGTTGTCCTTGAGAGATGGTTGATTGAATTTGATCCATCGGAGGTTTCTGGCTCTACAGTTGATGAATTGCCATCAATATATAAACAGGCCATTATTCTATTCCGTGGTTTATATGCGTACACTAGATTGATGCCTGCCTACAAATTAGGTAAAAGATTGTCCAGTAACAGTGGATCTGATATGGACAATCCATTGGTGCTTGGCATTAAAGTACTTGATGGGAAACAACCAATCTCGTCCAAGGGACGCGTGGGACTTTCCAAACCAATCATAGTACAAACATCAGCTACTCATATGAACCAGAAACACTTCCAACCCATCCAGACCACTTTGGGTACCCTCAAGGTATCAATTGCATACAGAACACATTGTGACTTCTGTGTCCAAGATAGTGAAGAAATTCTCTCCACCCATTTCAAAAGCATTGATGATGGAAGAAGAGGCGGTGATGATGGAACTCACCATGTAGACAAACGTGTCAGTATTGTCAGTTCATCTGTATCTCCCTGTTCTTCATACAAAGAAAAAAGAAATACCCCAACTCCAACCCCAACTACAACCCCAAGCACTCATTATAATAATAATACTAATAACATCATCACTACCACTCTTACTACAAACAACACTAGCTCGAGTATTTCAACCCCTACCAATGTTACTACACCGTCTAGACCAACCATTCAGCCATTCAAAATAGGTTCCATCAGTAATTCACCTCCACCATCATTGGAAAGAAGGTTTTCAATAACCAGCAACAAGTCCACCTCAAATGCATCACTCGTGGCTATGTTAAGAAATCCAAGAAATAGTACATCTCTGTCTACTGGAGTAGGCGGAGGTGTAGGAGGTGGATCTGCCACCACCTCATCGATTCCAATCACTTCATCAGGCAGCTGTACCACACCTATCAGTGGGGCGATTCCAAGGTCTGTTTCTTCATCTCATGCAGAGGACACGCATTCCCTGCCACATTCTGGAGAATCAGGGACAACACCAAGGTTTCTGTCAAGTTTTGGTTCAAGAGCTAGTCGTAGATATCTGAGCACCTCGATGAGGAATAGTAGTATACCTCACGACGTTGCATCGTCAGGACTGGTGTCATCATCAGGAGCACCACTTAGTGGGATTTATATTGATGATGACATTAGTGATTTTGTTAAGATGATTGATAGCAAATCCGATTTACGATTCTCTTCATATAATTCGGATGCCAAGAACCTGTCATATCAAGGTGGTTCCAACAGTCAAATTGATGCCTTGAGTCGGTTCCAACAATTAAAGAATCAACATCAACAACTTGGTGATAGTGTCAATGCTAGTTTGATATTAACTCAGAATCCGCAATCGTCTTCGACATCAAACTCTGGTCCAACATCATCACCAGCACCAGGACCTCAAATTGCTGCAATTTCCTTGCAACCAACACTTTCTAGTCGTCGGTCATCTCGAAGTCGTGCATCTTTGCATTCCAAGTATTCACCACCAGCTTCAATGGGATCCTATGATAATCATATTCCTTCAATTCATTCAAGACTTCGCGAAGAAAGTACTAATATGATCAATAACAGTATTAGTAAATCATCATCGGAATCTTGTAAAAACTCATATGGATATTCTCAATCCAGTAACCATTCATTTGTGAGATCAACTGTGAAATTGGTTTCATCTCCAGTTGCCACAGCTACGCTAACACATGCTAAGGCACAAGACAGCGTTTCTGGACTTGCAACTACACCTTCAGCATACACAAAACAACGAGAAATCCAATATGAAAATGTATTTGAAGATGATGATGATGATGATGGAGAAGATTTCTATTTAACCAAGAAAACTTCATCGAAGGATCCAGTGGGTAAGGAATATTATGATGATGATTTACTATTTGCAATGAGTGATATGAACTTGACCAAGTGAGTATTGTTGAAGGATAATATTTATAAATACAAAAAAAAATTAATACCTATATATACATATATATAATAAATATCGAATTATATTAAGACAATGTCAGTATTGTATACTGTTCATATTGTACAAATTGTAATTTAGTGTGCTTAAGGAAAATACGATAAGATTGAGGTATAGCGTGGTGATAAGGCTAAAAATACAATGAAAAATAAAATGATGAGAGATTTAAAATCATTAAAACCATTTTTTTTTTAAAGCAACCGAAACCAGACTTCAATGACGATCCATGGATTAATCGCGCACTTCCTTAGTGAGAATAACTATCCTGAGACCTTGAAGGCATTTGAACGGGAACATGGGACCCCAATTGAGGTTGAACTTCCTCATAATGAAAGCCTTGTAGATATTATACAAGATCGTGAAAGTTTTAAAAATGTGGACAATAGTGAACAAGAACTTGAAGATGAAAATAGTAATAGTTCTAAGATTGTTGCTGGTATTTCTCATTGGACAGCCCCGTATCCCAAGGTACCACTGAGTATAGAGATTCCTGGCCTTGTGATTGCTTCATGTTGGCATTCCCAATCTGGATGTCTCTTATTGAGCACTGCAGACCTCAAAATATATGTAGTTAAAGACGATAAGGTCGTTCATACACAAGTTCAACCTATAGGGAGAGTAGTTGTTAAAAAGATTTTGAGTTTCCAAGATAAAATATTGCTTGCAGGAATGAATGGTAGGGTGTATGATTGTTACATCGATGATGATTATGTTATCAGTGTCAAGACGTATATTCAAGCACATACCAAATTAATTACGGACGTACAAGTATTCCATTCCCCCACGGATCAATCATTATATTTGATAACGCTTGGGTGGGATTTCCTTATTAAAGTGTTTAAAATTCAAGATACATTCAATTTAATTTCAGAATCAAAGTTGACAGTACAGGGGACATGTTTTGCAATTACTACATTCCAAAACAAGGATTACGTGATTGTTGGAAAGAATGAGCACACTTTATTGGATATTTATGATCTTTCGACCCTTACACTTCAATATAAGATCTCTTTAAATGATGCCATTTTCAGTACTTCGGGATTTTCACCACGATGTATTTTGGTTAAAGATGGGATAATTGTGGTTGGGACATCTCATGAACCATATATGAGAATCATAATTGTTTCCTTGTCTGAAGAAGGAGAGTCAATTCGTAGAAATCAAATTTTACGTAACTTGAACTCACATTCGCCACAAGATAAATATTCACAAGCTAACATAGCGTGGAGATTAGATAAATCAGGAGTTTGGGTATGTGGAGAAGATGGAATTATTCGAGGAATAAACCTACAACTGGGGAAAGTTACAGTTCAATTGGAAGGACATGACGGGAAGATCAAGTCGTCTTGTGTAGGAGACAATGATGGAGAAGAACTTTTCATTACATGTGGGGTAGATAAATTAGTTAAAGAATGGAAAATATAGAATATATAATACAAATCATTCAAATAAGACTCTTGAGTTTATCAGTTATTCATATATATATTCACCTTGAAATGCTCAACATTAAACAAATAATAATAATTCCAACCAAAATAATATATATATCTTTTTATTATTAAATAATTTTATATATTTTTTGTTCAATTTACTATATGAAGAATTTATGGTCTCATATGAACTTCTAACATATCTTATCAATTCTTTACATTGTAAACTAGTGTCAATATTATTTTTTCTTATAGCCGAATAGATTCGGTAATCCTCCTTGGTTTCCACGTGATCGTGGAGCCAAAATACTTTTAATGTTGTTCACATTCACCGCTAACATATCTCAATATTCAGTCTGTAAGTAGTGATATGGTAGACAATGTACAACTTCACTCCTGGAGATCTCAATTGAACTCAGATTTGATGTTTTTGTTTCCCCCTCTATAGATCTACTCTTATCTGTTGCTTGTATATCGGACCGAGCTTTTTGGTACCCCCGAATATCCGATTACACAAAAGCCCAGAAATGTGGGGATGCATGTGGGAATCAAATAACCTCGGGCATTGATTTCATTTTATATAAAACAAACGCAAGATACCGGACCACAATTTTAAGGAACTTTCGCTGAGATATATAAGTTCAAACTTCATTTCTCCCAACGTTCACTGTCAATATTGCTACAATTCACCTATAGAGCCGTATAGATTGTTAAATTATTTTTATTATATCCCCTAGCTAAATACATTTTCCCTTAACCATCGCTTAACATTTTAGGACATGTCACTTTCCCCCATTGAAAAAGCTGCTAGTGGAGCGTTAGCATCTGCCATTGCCAACACATTGGTCTATCCACTCGATCTAAGCAAAACTTTAATTCAAACCCAGGTTGTCAAGCCTAGCGAGAAGGCCACAAGCCTTGAAGATTCCACATATGTGCCCGTTGCAACTCCAGGAAAGCTCAAATATAAAAATACATTGGATTGTCTTAGACAAATCTACAAGAAAAAGGGGATCTTAGGTTGGTATCATGGACTTTTATCATCAATTTTCGGTACTGCTGCTCAAAACTTTTCATATTTCTATTGGTACAGTCTTGTTAAAAGAGTGTATGCTAATCTTTATAAGCATATTCCAAACCATAAACCTACAACTGCCACTGAACTCTTTTTGGGGGCTCTTGCAGCAGCTATTTCCCAACTTTTCACTATGCCAATTGGTGTTATAACAACTCAACAACAAACCGATAAGTCCCAAAAAAGTTTGATTCAATTAGGACAAGACATTTTAGAACAAGATGGTATTAGTGGATTATGGAGAGGCTTAAGAGTATCCATGGTCTTATGCATTAATCCATCGATTACTTATGGATCTTATGAAAGATTGAAACAAATCTTATATGCCAACAAGGAATTCTTGGGACCATTAGAATCCTTTTCAATTGGAGTTTTAGCTAAATCTTTAGCTACACTTGCAACTCAACCATTAATTGTCTCAAAGGCAATGTTACAAAAGAAATCTACTTTGAAAAAGAAGAATACTAGCAATAATGTAGAAGGTGATGAAGAAGAAGATGAAGATATTAAATTTGATACTTTTACCCAAGCATTAGCTCATCTTTGGAAGACTGAAAAGGTTAAGGGTCTTTATAAAGGCATTGCCCCTCAATTGTTGAAAGGTGTCTTTGTTCAAGGATTATTATTTATGTTTAAAGACCAACTTGATATCTTATTTTTATTTTTATTAAATTTAGTAAGAGCAAAGAGAGGTTTGGCTAAAAGAAGGTGAATTATCTACAATTAGAAATTGAAATACAACGCATCTATAAAATATAGAATTGTAATGTGAGACTAATTATTACATGTAATTGAAGAAGAATTTAGCAATTATTATGATATCCAACATCATGTGCTACAACAAAAGGAATTTATAACTGAATAAGAGATAACGCATAGTAAACAAATAAATACACAAAAAAAAAAGGAAAAAATCCACCAAACGCTTTATTTTAAATCACCTGACATCGAAAGCTATTCTCCTTACTTGTCCACCAGAACGAATATTTGATGCATCTCCTGTTAGCATTTTTTTTTTTTATTATTATTTAATTATTTTTATTTTATTCTTTGTGTATTAAATATTAAATTATTGTGTTAGGGCTCGTGCCCTTTCTCTCACGTGCGCTTATATGCACCCCGTGACCTTTATTCCCACTAATTATTACTACTCATTTTTTGTGTAATTTTCGCTCATTTCCTGCACATCCCCATTTTCATTACTCTCGCGATAAAATTGTTTTTCTTCATTGAAAAATCTTAACATTATTCCCCTTCTTACTAACTTACATTAACAACACAACATGGGTAAAGGAAAGCCAAGAGGTCTTAACTCGGCCAGAAAGTTGAGAGTGCACCGTCGTAACAACAGATGGGCTGATGAAGCTTACAAGGCCAGATTATTAGGAACTGCCTTCAAGTCCTCTCCATTCGGTGGTTCTTCCCACGCTAAGGGAATTGTCTTGGAAAAGATCGGTATTGAATCCAAGCAACCTAACTCCGCTATTAGAAAGTGTGTCAGAGTCCAATTAATCAAGAACGGTAAGAAGGTCACTGCTTTCGTTCCAAACGATGGTTGTTTGAACTTTGTCGATGAAAACGACGAAGTCTTGTTGGCCGGTTTCGGTAGAAGAGGTAAGGCTAAGGGTGATATCCCAGGTGTCAGATTCAAGGTTGTCAAGGTTTCTGGTGTTTCTTTGTTGGCCTTGTGGAAGGAAAAGAAGGAAAAGCCAAGATCGTAATCATCCTCTGGTAATATGTGTATATTGATAATCCAATGCATAAATTTGTAACAGACAAATCGTTTTATTACTTTTATTGTAGAGATTATGAAAATAATTATTAGAGGGTGTAGTCGTAGACAAAGATATTTGAGGTCTACATGATTCTTCTAACGGGTGAGTTGATTCAGATAAATCAATTAATTTTTATTCTGAGATGTCAAAAAGAATTAAAGTACAAATTATCTCATCAACGTGTTTTAACCACATCAAATTACAAACACTATTCAAAGTTCTTCTCGACATGTTAAATTATATGGTACATGATATATTTAATTTCTTTTTCGTTCTTTATCTATTACATAGCAAGATTTCTACCTTCGATAGAAGGTCCTCCCTTCTTAGTATTTTTCTTCTTTGTCCCCATGGATGTCAACTTTTGATTAAGTCTTCTGAATCTCTCATCTCTCATTCCTGAACCAGCACTTCTCATTTGTTGTCTTCTCAACAAACTTGGATCAACTCTAGGAGCAATCTTATAAGCAGATGTTCTAGCTGATGGAATAGCAGCTCTCTTTCTTCTTTCAGCACTTTGTTCATACAAAGTCTTTTCTTCCTTTGGTCTGTTAACCCCACGTACAGATGATAATTGGTTGGTAAACTTCAGCTTGTTGTATTCATGGAATTGGATAGTTCTATCCTTGTAAGAGTCTGATTTGTTTAAAATAGGTCTAGTCCAATCACCAATCAATTTATCGACAATCTTCTTCAAGTTACCTTCAGTTCTCTTGGAACGTTGATAAAACACAAGTACTTTACCAATTCCAGAGGCAATCAAATGATCTGTCTTGATAGGAAGAGTGGTAAGTGATTGAATAAGTTCCTTTTGGATTTGATAAGCAGGCATGGATGCATCAGGTAAAGGTTCAAGCCATAATCTAACAGCTTCCAACAAATTATTATCCAAAATAGAAATTGCCAAGTCAGCCTTCAGCATTACAGCACTGACTTCACTCAATAACTTCAATTTTTCTGTAGCAATTTGTCCCTGTGAATTCTTATCAACGTCCAAATTGGCAGCTTTAATCATCTTATCCTTCAAGTCATCAATACGGTCATCTTGCATACGTTCCAAATCATCTTCGTCAGCTTTACGTCTTCTGGTAGATTTCAGCTTAACTGCAGAGTCCATTCTTTCTTCAAGAAGTCTTCTACGAGCTGTTTGTGGATCTTCATTACGATATTCCAATTGATCAGAAACATCTTCGTGGTTGACAGAAACAAACCCTGGATCTTCGGTGGATGGAGTCACTGATGTTTCGAAACGTTTGGCCTTCCTCACATTCTTCTTGACGGTAGTTTCTCTTTGGCCTTGATCAATTCTATGTGATTGAATCTTCGAAAAGTCTTCTTCATCATCTTCTACATCTGAACCTACATTCTGTTGTGGTTCTTGTTGCGGTTGTTGTTGTTGATCATCTTCGCTGTGTGGTTCCAAGAACTCGTCAAAGTTAACCCTTGATTCCAGCTCACTATTAGACATAATTGTAGGGTTGTTTGAATGAGTATTAATTGTATTGATGTTGATATTTGAGCCTTTCATGGTTAGAAAAAATGGATGGTAATAATTGGGTTATATGCAGGTGGTAACAACTAACAGATTTATTGAATGCAAAAAACTATAAAATATTTTAAAAGAACCTACACGATTGTGATTAAATTTAAGAGTTAATAATATATTTGAGGGTAATAGATGAATTCATCAATTATTGAATAGGTTTCTTCCGAAATGACAGGAAAAAAAAAATTCTGTATTGAAGTATATTATATAAATTTGTTTTAATTTCTGCTTTAAAATGAAATTAATGTATACATATTATATATTGTTAAGACTAAAACTCCAATATTACAAGAGTGCCCAACTAAGTTTAAAGGGGGTTTAAAATATGCCAACAACTAACAATACATTGTGTAGAATTGGCACTATTTATTATGGTATTACTAAGTACTTGTATACACCTGGCAGAGAAACTCAATTTGCACATGTTCTGTTTTCTTTTTCGCAGCCACAAACACAACAAAGAGGTAATCTTACACTACATAATTCATTAAATAAACATATAAAAAGTGCATATCAGATTCATTTTATAGTCTAATTTTACTCATCTTGGGATCCCTTATAAATTTACATTAATTATCTTATTCACAATTCTTATCAAGAATACAACAAACTAAAAATAAAACAAAAATTATTTAATGTAAACTTCCTTAGAAAAGTTTACCACTTTTCAACATTACTACAAGAAAAAAAGTAGACAAACTTTATCACCTGTTAGAAATCTACTAACAATACAACTCTTTCATATGAATACTTATAAATTTGATTTTCGTTTTAACATATATCTACCATTTCTGAAATGATTTATCATGAATCCGGTCGTGCCCGTCACAAATTACGTTGAACCAAAATCCATTACATGAAAGAGCTCCACTTTATGATTAAATGATAGAAACATACAAACCAAACAATTTTGATAATGTCACAATATATCGGTAAAACAATCTCATTAATCTCCAATAAAGGGCTTAGATATGTCGGCTTACTCGACAACATTAACGCTGATGATGCCACCGTGGCGTTGAAATCAGTTCGTTCTTTTGGTACTGAAGGTAGAATGGCTCAAGCGGGTAACCCACAGGCTGAAGTTCCTCCAGGAACTGACGTATATGAATATGTGGTATTCCGTGGCTCAGATGTTAAAGACTTGAATGTTTTAGATATCCCAATTGATGATGTCAAGCCTGAACCATATGCTCAATACTATCAACAACCCCACCAATCTCAACCTCCGCAACAAACTCAAAAGCAACCTCCACAACAACAACAACAACAACAACAACAACAACAACAACAACAACCATCTCAACAGCAACAACAGCAACAACAACAATCACAAGCCCAACCCCAATCTCAACCGCAACAACAGAAGCAACCTAAACCAACTCCAACCACAACTGCAAGTGAAGCTCCTACAACAACCAAGACTCAACACAGTCCTGTTCCAGTATCAAGACCTGTAGCCGAGACTCCCAAGGAAAATTCCAAGAGCTCTTCGGTACCACAACCACAACCAGGTGCAATTCCTGAATTTGATTTCGAATCTGCAAACGCCAAATTTACAAGAGAACAGGAACCTAACACTGCTGAACAACCAAACTATAACAAGAAATCTTCCTTCTTTGATACCATTTCTTCTTCCACTGACGAGAGAAACAACATGAGATGGGCCGAAGAGAAGAACCTTAACGTTGATACATTTGGTGAATCAGCGCTTTCCCAAAGAGGCGGAAGAGGTGGTAGAGGAAGAGGTAATGGAAGAGGTAGAGGTAATGGTAGAGGAAACGGTAGAGGAAACTGGAGAGGTAGAGGTAGAGGTGGCCACCAAGAAGCCAAGCCTGAATGGGCATAGACACCCTAGCTTTCCATATTAGTATAATAGAATAGTTTACGCGAATGGAATGACTATATTTCGTTACCTCAAAATGATAAATGTAGAAACTAAACAATTCTACAACCTTTGATCACAGATCCTCTGTGTATATTAAAAAACTACCAAAGTGAAATAAACAAATATTGCCCACAAACAAAATATCAGAGTCTATATCCTGACAACACTTCCTATGAAAACTTTCTCCTTCTCTTCATCTCCCTTTAAAATTTGTCCTTTCGGTCTGAATGCAGAATTTATTGGACTGAACATGTGGTTTATCATGAATTTCCTTAACCATCTTTGTATCTTTATCAATGGGTTCTTCGTAGAATATTCATCTCCCACATACCTGTGAGATCGGAGAAGTTCATTCTCAAACACGTGCATAACTGGAATGCTACTTGTATTGCGTATCAAACCCTTACTAAAATTGTCAATAAGATCTGGGGTATCTGGAAGTGTATTCAATATAGTATGCAATAGATCATCGTCAATTCGGACTTCTTCCATGAACCCAAATCTTAAAATACATCTATAATGACCAGGAATTTTCATAGACCCAATCATGACTCGCTCCAGTTCCAGAACAATAGGAATCGATAATACTCTAACAGCACAAAAGATAAAGACACTTGGAATAGCAGGGAAGGAAGAGACCATTGTTTTATATAGTTGTGGAACAGTGTTAGGTGAATTCAAGGTGTGAATGGCTTCAGTATACATAATGGCAACCCCTGGATACCGTTTCAAAAGCTGATTACCAAAGATGGTATTCACTTTAAGATCAGTACCAATCTTGAGCATTGATTTCAACGAAATTCCATATTCAACCACAACTTCTTCTCTAAGTCTTTGTCTTCCTCTGGACTCTTCATCTTGAAGATCTCCATTTCTCAAATCGACTGTTTCACTGACTGGAATGCGCTTGTATTCAGGGTACAAGTCACCGATTTTCACTCTGGCTTTGAATTCTTGATCAACTTTCTTGGATCTTGCCCATCTCCAAAATGATAAGAACAAATAAACCAATCCAGCCATCATAATGGGGAACCATGCACCATGTACAACTTTTTTCAAGTTGGATACCACTAAGATGATCTCTAAAGGTACAAAAACCAAACAGAATATAATTGGAATGATTAAGTTCCATTCGTAAACATAAACCATGCAAATCATGATAAGCACACTAGTTACCAAGAAATCAAGAGTAATCCCCAAACCATATGCAGCAGTGACATTATTACTGTTTTTGAACCCTGCAGTTGTACATACAACCCCAACCATTAATGCCCAATTAACGGCAGGAATATAAACTTTACCAGAATAATTTTTGGAAACATGAACAATCTTAAATTTAGGGAAACAATCCAAGTTGATCAATTGAGCAATAATCAGAAAGACTCCCAAAATTAATGCCTGTGAAGCAATGATTGTACTAAGGGTTGCAAGAACAAACATCACCCAATACGAAGGACTATTAAGTCCGCCAGGAATGGAAAAGAAAAAAGGATTCAGTAACGCTTCTGGGTTGTGAAGGATAAATGCTGCTTGTCCCAAGTAACAAATTATAAGTGCAGGGTAAACAATGACAGTCAAGGAGAGCTGTACTGGAAGACGACCAAAATGACCAATATCAGCAAACATAGCTTCAGTACCAGTGATTGCTAACATAGCACCAGAAAACACATCAATACCTCCATTTCTTAAAAGTTGAATTGCATAATATGGAGATAATGCCTTGAAGATTCCTGGATGATATTTGGCAATATTTATTACCCCACAAATGAAAAGACCGATCAACCAAAGGAAAATAATGGGTGCAAATGCAAATGAAATCTTTGCAGAACCGAATTGTTGCATGACAAAAAGACAAACAAGCACAACTTCTGAAACAACAAGAACATTATCGAAATCTGGTTTTGCAATTTGGATACCGGCAATAGCAGAAAGTACAGAAGTGGTTGGAGTAAGTAAACCATCTGATATAACCAATGAACAGCCAAGGAAACAACCGCACAAGATAATCTTTGAAATTATCTTAATCATACCTGGTGAATTCTTGAAATTGTTCAATTTTGAACTAAGTGAAACGAAACTCAGGGAAGTTTCTTGTCTTGAAAGTAAAAGCAAATCATCCTTTTCTGGACCACCAGGGATGGTGACACCTCTTGGACCAATCTTGAGATGTCTTGCAATTTTTGCATAGATTGCAACCTGACCACCCTCACCGTTGTTTGGACCAATGACAAGAACAATCAAAAGATATTTGATGATCACAATAATAGTAAAGAGGTAAAAAATAACCGAGACAGCACCGTATATATCAGTTTGAGATGGAGGAGAATTTGGGTATTTGATAGTATTAAGGACATAGAGTGGGGAAGTACCTATATCACCATAAATAGCACCAAGGGATGAGAACCCAAGAATGAGAATCTCTTTCCATGATTGCTTTTGTGAAGTATCGTTTTTCTCAGGCTCTATACCATCCTCAACACCATCAGCAGAACTGACTGCAGAATCAATGTCTGAGTATTGCGAAGCGGCAATCGATTCTTCAGGAGAGAGATCAAGTGGTTTGGACATGTAACTTGAGAATGAGATTGATTGCAATTAGTAGGACTATTTAAGATTTACAAAGAAGTAGGGAGCCTCGTTCAGGATCTACATTGATCTTATATACTTTTTACTTTTGAATCAAGGCATTTACGTCATAGCCTCCCAGCGAAGGAATGCCACGTCCATCAGAAATTGTTCTTGTTGTTTTTTTGCCATTACGCCCCTTTCTCAAAATTTGCACAAGCCAAAAGATTTCGCAGCCGTGCGGGATTTTCAAACTATGACGCAAGTCTAATATTGACACATGTTTGGCTGTTTCATGATATTGCGAGTTCACTACGCAAGATAAAGGAATGAAAAAACTTTTAGATAGTAGCGTGGAATGTAAGCTATAAGCCTATGTAGAATAAAAGTAGAACTTTGAACAAGGAAAACATATGAATGAGAATCATTCCTGATTGTGATAATATCCACTTTTACCTTCGCTGCGGCTCTCCCCAGGTAAACTTTCTTTGTACATATTTTTTTTTTCTCGCTCGAAGTAATTAAATTTTTCCTGACAGGTGCAAGGTGTACTGATGGATATATTTGGCAACAGTCCTAAAAAAGTCATTCCAAAATCCCGCAAGATCGTATTATTGTTATTGAGGGATTTTGGTCGAATCCTAGCAAAGTAGAATACGTTGTTGTGTGGTTGATTGATTTGCCAATCTAATAGTGATAAATGAGGGGTTTTTTGGGTGTTTTATATTTCAGACTGTTGAGGGTCTGGGGAGTTTCTTCAGAAATGGCAAATTAATAAATGTGATGTAAGAAGTTAGAACGTAGTACATGCTTATATTTATAGCATTTCCATAGTTTGAAGAACACGATTGCGATGGAAGATGTAATTGGTACTTATTGTTTTAACTTAAAATATTACCCGCTAATATTTCTACATAAATACTAGAGGATTAAAAAGCATAATTATGAATTTGATTGTACTAATTATGGAAATTGTAAGAGCAAACATGTGGTGAGTTTGGATTAGAAATCTATATCTCAAATTAGAGTTTATTCGGAGAGTGTTGCTACGTTACATCTAAACTGGCTTCTAATTATCTTGAGATTATAGTAGACTTATGCTAGATATTTTTGGTATACTCAATACCATGGAACTAGGCTCACTCATTCACTCACTCAGTTACCTCACTAAATTTTTTATTTTGTTTTTGTGAATGATTTTTTTTAGTGAACGCGCTACACTACGCGACGCGTTAAACATCAAACACATTTAATTTCATAACTCCATTGAATACACTGTAGCATAACATATAGACCATAAAGATGGAAAACACAATTACCGCGTTTCCAGACGGGCACTCACACGTTGTGTACGATGGAGTTAACTCAAAGTTCATAGTGGGGAATTCCGGTGGGTTGATAAAAGTATTCAAACCCAGTGAACCTGATTTAGAGCCAGAATCACTTGACATCGCAGAAAATATCTCCAAGCTTGTCCTTAGCACTTCGGGACACCAGGCGCTAGTTGCCACCTTATCAGGGAAACTTGAGTTAGTTGACTTGAAGCAGCTCGAGTCGACTGGTGACGTTTATCGCTCAGAACTCCCACTTCGTGATGCAGTATACATCAATGAAGGAAAGCGTGTAGTAGTCGGTGGTGATGATTCTGTGTTAGTTGTGGTAGATCTTCAAGTACACCCCCCTGCAATCTCCAAGACCAATCTTCCTAATCTGTTTTTGAATGCCTCTTACAACCCTACGGGAGAAATGCTTGCCGTGAGTACCTCGGGCCGTCATGTACAAATCTACTCAGTAATAAATGAAATGCCAACTCTTTTGGAGACCATCAAGAACATTATCCCAGAAAGAGTTTGCACATCAATGGAAGTTGAAGAAATTGACGATGGTGAAAGGGTTTGTACCAAGACTGAATGGTCACCAAATGGTGAACTTTTACTTGTTTCATCCTCAGAAGGAATTGACATTTTCAACCGGTCAAATTTCACCACGAAGGAAAGCTCTATACCTTATGACACCCCAGAAGATTCACTCGTAGACTTTGCCTTATCCCCCAATGGGAAGTTTGTGGCACAAGTTTGGAAGTCAAAATCTTTGTACATCTACAACTTTGATACAAAGCAACAAGTGGAAAAGACAAAGTTGTCTTGCAAAGAGATCCCCATCAATGTAACTTGGGGGTTCACTTCCAAGAAGAATACATATGACTTGTTTGTTGGTACATCCAATGGTGATATAATATCCATATCTGACATTGTCGAACAAGGCGATGCTTTACAGGAAAAAACTCAAAAACCTAGGTCTCCAACCATCAACAGCCTCTTTCTTGACGAGGCTGATGAAAGTGGAGATGAAGGTACCAATACGGATGATTTGCTTGATGGCAGTGACGCGGACGTTCCACGGATGAATGATATAGAAGATTCAATGGTTATTGATGAGGATGATGATGAAGAAGAAGCAGAACAAGACCAAGATGTAGATGCATACCTTGCAAGAAGAAAGCGTCAACGCCTGAATGGTCATCACCCTCAAACCTCAGTTGCCCCCACTTCATCTCTCAATGGCCGTGGCGGTGATGGTGGTTTTAGTAGTGGATATTCAATTAAGCCATATTCTCCGGGATCGACTCCTTGGAACTCTGATAAGTCTGCAGTCACCAGCAGAAGATATCTTTCCATGAATAGTATTGGGTATACATGGGCGGTCAAATCTACAAAGGATGAATCAAACATACAAGATCAACAAAGTATTACTATTTCCTTCTTTGACCGTGCAGTGAACAAAGACTATCATTTCACTGACTATTATAGTTATGATTTGTGTTCCATGAACACTCGTGGTGTACTTTTAGGGTGCTCTGGACATCCAGAGAACAACAGAGATCACGCCGGACGTCTTTATTACAGACACCACGAATCTTTACAAGACTCATGGGACCGTAAAATCCCCTTATTGAAGGGAGAATTTATTACTTCAATCACTTTGACTTCAAGTGGTGATGATCTTGTAGTGGTTGGAACAAATTTCGGATATGTTCGTTATTTTAATTTATATGGTGTATGTGTCTTTTTGATGAAAACGACTCCAGTGGTTACATTAATTTCTTCAGGATCAATTGTGTTTATTGTTAACCAATCGTCGAGTTCCACATTCACTTATTCTATGTTAAATGCTGGAGTAGATTACCGGTATATACAACAAGATGTTTTATTACCGTTAAGATATTCACCCTCAAGACTTTTAATCAAGGGAATCTTCTTTAATGAACATAATGATCCATGTATTGTTCCAGGAATTGATGACACCGTACTCATTTTATCCAATTGGAGAGAAACTCACAATGGGAAATGGATTCCTATTCTTAATTTACACGATTCAATAACTGAAGGAGGTCAAAATGATGTGAAAAAGAATTGGAATTGTTGGCCATTAGGATTATATAAAGATGAAGTAAGTTGTTTAATTTTGAAAAGTGGCAAATATCCAGGATTCCCCCTTCCTCTCCCAGTGGAAGTAACCATTGAAATGCCTGTTTCTGTCAAGGAACGTAAATCTAAAGATAGTGGAAGAGGAGAAGAAGATGAAGAAATTCAAGAACAAACTGAAGTAGATACCAACAAGGAAGATCCTGAAGAATTATTTTTAAGAGCATTGACTATGGGACGTATAGTTCATGGATCATTAGCAGAAGCAGAAGATGAAGAGGAAATCATGGAAAGATTAGAAGCTTATAGCATGTCCTTTGATAAGTCACTTCTTAAAATATTTGCAAAATCATGTCAAGATACACAATTATCCCGTGCATATAGTGTCGCTAAATTAATTAAAACTGACAAGGCATTATTTGCCGCATCGAAGATTGCAGAAAGAATGGAATTTATCAGTCTTGCTACTAGAATAGCCAAGCTTAGAGAAGACCTTCTCGAAGATGAATAGATACACATTTACATAGAATAATAATAATATAGATTTCATATAAATTTTATTCATTCATTTAAAAAATATGTACACGAATTGGTTAATCTACTTAGAATTGCTTCTTAATGAAGTGGTAAACAATTGGAGTAACCCACAAAGCACCAGCAATCAAACCGGCAGTCTTCAAAGTATCGATAGCATATTGTTCTTGCAACTTCTTTTGTTCTTCGCTTGGTTGAGCACCTGGACCTCCAAACATATTGATAATTTAATTAACTGTAGATGAAAATGGAAGAACTCTTTATGAAGGGCAAGATTTTGGAGAAATTTTTGGAGTTCAAAATCGAGACAGAAAATTCGAGAACCACGCTATATACAGGGAATCACATAAACTTTGATTTACAAGAATTTTTATGATACTAGAGTGATACTTGGTACAACGATTAAAGGAATTAAGATGACTTCAGTAAAACCTTTCCAAATGACAGATTTGTTTGAGACAAATCCAGTCAATTTAGATACATTGACTGAGAATTTTAACCCATCATTTTATTCACAATATCTCATTGAATGGCCATCACTTTTCTTTAAATCTGTAGAGATTAGTCGAGATTTTGGACAACAAGAAGAGATTAGTGGATATATGATGGGGAAGACTGAGGGGAAGTTGGACAAAAAGGAGTGGCATACACATATTACTGCGGTCACTGTGAATCCTCAATATCGTAGACTTGGATTGGCGTCATATTTGTGTTCGCATTTAGAAAAGGCAACCAGTGGAGATCCATATAATACATTATTTGTGGACTTATTTGTCAAGGTTACCAATACATTGGCAAGACAATTATATGAGAAGTTGGGTTATAGTGTATACCGTAGAGTGATTGGATATTATGGACGAGAAATGCCTATAGATAGGAATCAAATAGATGACCAAATTGATGCATTTGATATGCGGAAACTGTTGCCGAGAGATGTTAAAAGGGAAACAATTAGAGAGAATGGTGATAAGGTTTATGTGATGCCATACGAAGTTGTATTTTAATGAAGTAAAGAAGAGATACATATACAAAATTGTGGGATTATGTAAGAATTAGGATTAATTATGGAACTTGCTTTACGTAGAAAATAAAATCACTAGCATAACAGTTCTGGAATGTCTTTTTGTTCTTTCAGGAATTTAAAACTAAAATCTTTGTAAGATTAACTTTGGTTTTTTAATTAGAGAGATTATTTATGAAAATGTTGAAATTAATATTCATAGTTTCTATAACCTTCTAGCTCCTTCTAGATTGACATTGTCACCGCCACTGCATCTGTCAACTCATTCTCAAGGGGGTCCCCTTTGGAAAATGTTCCAAACCCCACCATTTTATTTTCCATGCTATTTTTACCTGCACTCCCCCCCACTATGACATGACTTTAAAGTTGCCATCATGATTTTTTTTCTGCTTCACTTTCTTTCCTTCATTTTTCAATAGACTTTCAAATATAAACATGGTAAAACGAACTGGAGATAGAAAAAGGTTCCTACAAGAAGATGTATTGTCCAACTCCTCGTCTAGGTCAGCTTCAAGAGTGAGAACACCTCAAGTTGATGGCGAAGAAAATGGTCAGTTAGATGTCAATTTCCACAGCATTGAGGAGCTTTTAACTCAAAAACTCGAGTCCTTACAACAGCTTATAGAAATGCAACAACAACAGAATGTAGACGATCCAGATGGTAGCACAAAGGATAGCAATGCTACCGCACATGACCACAAGCAAAGTAAGGCAAGACAATATAATCAAGTTAGAATTCAATCTGGTCTGACAACCATAAATGAAATCATAGATTCATTAAGTACTTCCAGAGCAGAAGTCTCAAGTCTGTCCCGTGAGTTGCTTCTTGCCCAATTATACAAATTAATTGTCTCAAGACCGTTGGTGGTTTACAATGAAGAACAACAAGGGACTCCTAATTTTGTCACTGAAGACAACGTCCAGGCCTTACTCAAGAATCTTACTGCCGAAGATTACCGGTCTTCTAGTGAGTTTTTACTTCTTTTCAGATGTTGTATGGCGTTACTTTGTAGTGATATTGACGAATTTGGAGTTTTGATATCATCGGATCTTCTTAATTTTATCCTCAAGCTCATTCAAGAACCTGCAACTTCAGTGGTTACCAATGAGAACAAGGCTTCGATTGTAACCGGATTAACAGCCTTGTTGATGGTCTTACACAATGGATCCTCCACCTATGGTTTGGATGAAAAAATTGCTTACTTTTTGGAAATTGCTGAAGGATTCAGTGCTAGCTCAATAACTCTTAGCAGTGATTTACAACTGGGAGATCGTGAATATTCTACATTAATTAATGACGAAAACGATGATAAACGTATTGTGAACGAAGTTGTATCGAAGGCCAATGCAGAAGCTGGTGTTGCTATTGCAGCTTTGCACGGCGCTGGGTGTATCATGACTCTTCTTCCTAAAGGTGACTACTTGAATGAACTTATTACTGATTCCATGTCAAAATTAGTACCTTTACTTGATAATGATGTGAATTTGGAAATATCGAAGGCTGCAGGAAGAGCCATTGGTCTTTGTTACGAAATGTATACGTATGCTCGTGATGAGGATGCCGGAGAAGATGAAGATGATGATGAAGATTATAATTATAACTCACCATATTATGAACAAGAACTGCTTTTCTCCATTGTGGATAGACTTGGTTCCTTGTCGTCCCATAAAGTTGCCAAAAAGGACAAGAAATCGACCCATTCGATCTTTAGAGATGTGCTTAACACATTAAAGAATTATACCAATGCGGAAGTAAGAGAAGAGATTTATAAAAAGTCCCCTAAAGGATTGGAAATCATCGCTTCTATGATGGAGTCTAATTATATCAAGCTCTCCAAATCAAGATCATTACCAATTAACTCATGGTTCCTTTATCTTAGATTAATCCATTTGAAATGGTGTTTCAGTTTTGGTGTACATGGTCAACTTGTCAGTAATGACTCTATAAGAGATATTCTTCGAGAAACTGCCACGGACTACCAAGCTCGTTATGGAGATTCTAATGCAGCCCCAGAAGCCTTTGTTGGATCTGAATATACCCTGAATGAAAAATTCACATTTGATGACAAAAAGAGAACTAATGCCATTAGAAAGGCTCGTGTGAATAAAATGGCAGAAGAACTTGACGATTTAGAGTTGAAGTAGTGTTTTTATTCTTATATAGATTATATTAATGTATTATTCGTCATATTATTATTTATATTTAATAGTTGTTTCTCTCTAGTCTATAAATGCCGAGGGTTTGGAAAGAAACAGTGGAATGTAGATATATCTCTTAAGAGATTTTTTGAGCACCAGGCTCAGGTGTTTGTCATTTGGTTCAAAACATCTATATATGGACTTCTAGGATCAAAAACAGACAACTGGTAGAACTTATCTACTTTAAAAGTAACATTTGCTTCATGAACTAATTTGTATAGCACCAACTCATCCTGGCTATGCCATCCTCCAAAATGAGATTCACAATGATTCTTATACCATTCCATGTAGTCCATCCATATGCTTGTGTGGCTGAATAACAGTAGACGGCACATCATACAAAGTGCAGAGTAATAGTATAATAATTTAACAGCGAAGGGTCTTTTTGCTCTAATAAGTGGTTGTAGTCCAGAGTCCACCATAATAATATATCGAAAGAGGGGAATTGGATAATTCATCGAGACCGCACTATACAAACAAGAATGGAAAAGATCAAGGCAATCGGTATATACTTCAACCTCCAGTGCTGTATCGGAGGAAATACACTCGTCATAATGATTATGGTGTATCCAATCGATAAGACTATTCTTGAGAATTTGTATTATTGGATAGCAGTTGGGAATGGTTGGGAGTTGTTTAGCCATCTTGTCTAGAAAAAATAAGTCTTTGTACGGAGTATTGCTTAATGGACCTATTGCTCTACTCATAGTCTGCCTAATACCAGCACATATGGCTAAAAAGTCCGTTTCTTCATTGTCAGGATCAAAATTAACCAAGGGAAGTAACCTGTGTGGGTGAATTCCCAAGAATGCAAATATAAGTATACCAGATATTACAAGTTCTGCAGATTGAGTAAATGTATCATCTCCCATGCATACGGTTCTATTTCCAACAATTTGTGAATGTTCTGAGATCTTTTCAGAAGTCTGACGAAGACTACTCATAAAATAATTTGTAGTTTTCACATATAGATTACCATCTTCAGGACTAGAGTCGGGATCAAAGTTGGGACCTTGACCTGCCAATAACATGTTTAGTTCTTCGACTTCATTGTAAGATTTTGCCTCGTACAACTTTCGTGTGTCATGGGGATTTTCAATAAAACATTCCAAATTTACTAACGGCCAAAGATTAATTGAGCTAAACAGAAACACTGCTTGACGTACAAGGGGGGATTTATGCCAAAGTTTTGGTACTTCATTTCTCCAAACTGCATCAACTCTAGAGTCTTTATTGAATGAAAATAAGGGTACGCAAAATGATTGAAAGTAATGAAGCAATCGATATTCAAAATTGGAAATATGAAGTTGCTTTGCAGTTGAATTTATTAGAAGCAGCGATATTAAACCATCTCTTGAAGGATTTCTGACCACCACCGAATTGGGGTAGATGCATTCACGAGATGTATGTGAACAATATTCACATTTTGGCTTTGCTTCGTCACACTGTAGATATTGTTAGTCATCGTCACGAGTTAAAGTTTTAGAAGGGACAACACATACCTTGATCTTTAATTTCTTGCAACTATTACATCCATTACGAGATCTTTTCTTTGCCTTCACAATATGCTGCTTTTCAGGTGGCGTTGATGATTCAGAAACAGTACTGATATCACTTGATGAACTTAGAAATTGTTCTCCAAGACCTATATCGGATAGAAAGTCATCGTATGACATGTTATAGCCAATGATACTAACTATTCAAGAGAAATATCTAGAATGAAGTAACAAAGCAATATGTAGTTAGGCTAGATGTTATCAGCTCTGTGATTATATAATCAGTATGTAGATTTGACACAATGTGATTACAGGAGGAAGAAAATAAACTACCACTCTATAAACGTACCTTTTTTTTTTTTTTTGCCAATTTTACATAGAATAAGCTTTTATCGCTATGATTCAAGAAGTGAATCAGAATGAACTACGTACTATTAATTCTCATAGTTGGGAACATCGTCTGGCTCATATAACGTTTCCTACAGTACTTTTCTTCTCTTTGTAAATTCGTTTCTATTCATACAACTCTATTCTATTAGATACGGATCTAAAGACCGAAAGATTTGCATATCGGAATGGTCAAAATCTTGTTCTTTAACAAACTTGTACAATAACATATCATCCATGTCTATCCATACTTTTTCATCATGCCCTATATTGTCCTGTTTATACCATTCAATGTAATCCTGCCACATATTTACAGCAGGATAGAGATGAAACTTACAAATTCTACATAGACATGCAAAAGTAAACAAAATCTTAAGAGCAAATCTATCATTTGCACGAGCCAATACGGTAAGTTCATCTTGCATTAAGATCCATCGAAATAAAGGTCTCGCATAATTCAATGTTACTGATCGGAATAGACAAGTTTCAAGTAATGTAATAGCTTGTAAATAGACTTTCTTATTGCAATTGTCATCTGGTAGTTCATCAAGTCTATACTTGAGGTTTTCAATGATAGGATACTTTGGTGAAACCGTGGGTTCCATACATTCATCAGATAAGAAAAGACCATTATATGGAGAATGTAATAATATTTGAATATTCATCACATATGTTATTCTTAAACCGTCACAAATCTGTAAAAGGTCAGTTTCCGACCTATCAAAGGATATTAACGGAACTATACGATGAGGATGCATCCCTAAAAATGAAAAAATCAATATCCCAGATACCAATATTTCTGCAGATTTAAACGTTGAAATTGCCTTACCTTGTCTTAATAAATATCCGATATTATCAATACTACTTTCAAGACAAGATGCAAAATATTCAATGGTTTGGACATAAAGATTACCTCCATTTGGATTCGAGTCAGGGTCTATAATGCTTGTATAATGTTTGCAGTCACCTATTTGATCAACGTCCACAATCGAAGTAGCTGCCAATTGCTTAAGGTCACATAAGGGCCAAAGGTTCAAGGCACTAAACAGATAAACAGCCTGACGAATGAGAGTAGAAGAATTCCAAAGCTTTGGAATTTCATTCCTCCAAACCAGCTCAACTTTTTTATGCACATTCATTGAAAATAATGGTATACAATAGTGCTCAAAAAAATGCAAAAGACGTAATTCAAAGTTAGATACTTTCAATACTCGCGAAGTACAATATACCAGTCTACGTGGAGCAGGATATCGAACTAATTGTTTTCTCTGCTTATGTGGAAGTACTACTGACGAATGTCTCACATTAAGAGCAACATCAAGAGCCCAATCAGGGAACCTTGCATCTGCTACAAATGAATTCAATTTCACTCGTTTCACACTTGGAGTAACATACTCACAATTTCTTCCAGTGTCTGCACAATATTCACAACTAGGTTTAGCTTCATTGCACTGCCAAGTTAGTATTTTATATAAATCATTGAATTTCTGCACATAAATAACAACATACCTTGATCTTTAGCTTTTTGCAGCTAAGGCAACGATTTATTTTTCGTGCCATTTCAATCAGTGTACAAGAAGAATACCATCAACTTCAAGGAACTGATTTTTTAATGTTAAGTACTTCAAGAGGAAGAAGAAAAAAGATGATGATAATGGTAAAATTTTCAATATTTTAATTCAATATTTTAATTCAATATTTTATTCTTCTCTCCACAAATGGTGGGGGTCAGGTTCACAAAAATTCAAAAACAAAGGATTTGAAATAGATCAACACAAAAAAGAAGGAGAATGTAAATATTCAAATGAAGAGAAAATTAACACTAGGAATAAACCAGAATCAATAGAAGGATAAAACATGATCATCGATTTCTTTTCAACGCCACTTTATTACTCATATTAATTGATAATACTAAAAATTGTCGGGCTAAATGTATGTGCGCCGTACTTCGTAATTACTATTACGGGCCGTAGGTGGCGGTGCGGATATAACATTTGCGCTTATGTAATCGACGCCTTTCCTTACATAAGCGGAAAGATTAATTCAAAAGAAAAATGGAAAAGGGTATGCTTATATTCTTCAGAGATAGATCATTTTCAAATTATATCTTTCTTAAGTCTTCATTCATAGCACGAAGTTTTTATCAATAATTCCTTGTTATAAATTATCCTTTTGTAACTGTAACTGTAGCTGTTAAATTATGGAGCTTCCATTTCCTGTCTATTTTGAGTATTTCTTTTTGATGATGTTCAGCCGCAGATAATGCATTTCAACGGAACATTCAAAATTTATCCGCTTACTTAATATATTATATAAGCGCTAAAAAGTGAATAGGCTGCGAAATGTTACCAAAGGATGGGATTATAAAGTAAGAAACGATTCCTTGAATTGAAAGTATATTCCGCTTCATATATTCTATTATCCAATACAAATATCTTTAATTATAATAATGACCATCTCTGACTGGAAAATCCTTGCCTATGTTCAACTTGTGTACTTTGCACTCTTTGCAATTGCATTTACTATCAGTGTTATTCAAATACTAGGTGTGCGTCGTAATGCTATATCAACTTTTGACGCTGGGATCAACAAAATTATCAAGTTTTATGGTTTATATTTTGGGCTTTTCATTCTATGCAAAATAGCGGGAGGTGCCTGTGCAATTGTATTGTACAGTTTAAAAACCTCAAATACAAACTTGTACATCGCAACTTATGTGTTGGATTCAGTTTCCATCAGTATGCTTATCAAGTCATTTCTCCCGCTTATCGAATTCTTAATCGACAAGCGAACAGAAGTTCTTGACCACCAACATGATATCCATAACCCGGATTTCAAAAAAAGTCCAGATTATGAACTTCCACCAAAGCCAAAGTATCATCCATTTCAAGTATTGACTGTGTTACTTCTTGTTGGTCTTATTTTATCAATTGTTGCTTCAAGTTCGATGGACAGCAGCTCAGCCTCATCATACAAGACCCTTTTAAAGGCGTCAGCGTTTATTTTCCTTGCAGTTATTCTTATTATAACGGGTATTCTAGCATTTTCAGTTTCCTTCTTCTCCAACTCAATTTATGCTCATGGATACTTATTGGTTCTGCAAGCCTACATTTTACTACTTGCTATGCCATTCATGTTAATAAGAGTTATCTATTCATTACTTTCTGCCTTTTCAGGTGCAAACATCTTGCTGGGACATCCTAGTAAGTACACCTTGCTTCTTGGTGACTACAAATACTATACATTTATGGCATTCGCTGAAGAATGTATAATATCAATTATCTTATTGTTCAGTATGTATTACTTTTCAAAAAATGTTTCCCGGTTCTAAATTATATCTATATAAGCAATAAACAATGTTATCTTTTTCTATTTCAATTAACAAACTGTACAATTTTTTATTACTCTATAGGTTATAAATATCTCATTACTGTACGACAAACTCTTCAACATCGAATCTCTTTGGGGAAATACCCATCTTTCCAATGTAGTCCTTGGCTTCAGCAGCCATAGCAGCAGCAGTCTTATCGTCCCACTTCAATTCTTGTCTCATAATCTCAACAACACCATCAACAGCACCTAAGGCTTCTCTAGCGTTCAAAAAGGCTAATCTTGTTCTTCTACCTAAAAAGTCCATTGGAGTTCTAATATATTCGTACTTCAAGGAATACTTCAATTCAGCAATAGTGAATGGTTCATCAAATGATTGATAAGACAAGTTGTTATCTTCAGAAGCCTTGGTTTCAGATGGATGGAAATCTTGAGTGGCAGCTAAAGTAATTGGCAACTTGTTAACATCAGATTGATGATACAATTCCAAAATCAAAGAAGCACGAGAACCATAGTTATGGGACAAATGCTTAGCAAGCTTCAATGGAATACGGTATTCATGAATGAGTCTAGCAGAATAGTTCTTTGAGTAATCTTCACCACCAGACAAAATAATCTTATTAGTTTGACATGGCTTTAAAGTAGAGTTTTGCTTACCATCAAAATCATTCTTCTTAATTAAAGTATCAACAGTTTCTTGGGCCATTTCACGATAAGTGGTCCATTTACCACCAGAAATAGTCAACAAATTGGAGTCAGAAACTGTGATCAAATGAGAACGAACCAAACCTTGAGTGGATCCAGAGGCAGCATCCTTACCCTTTGGTAACTTGGATGGGTCTCTGACCAATGGTCTAATACCAGACCAAGCAGATAAAACATCTTCTCTTTGAACTGGGAAAACAATATACTTTTGCAATTCTTTCAAAATATCTTGAATTTCTTCTTCAGTTGGAACAGGGTTTTCAGGAACGGATTTCAATGGAGTATCAGTGGTACCAGCAAGTACCTTACCTTGCCATGGAAGGAAAAACATAACTCTACCATCAGAAGTAGAAGGATCTAAAAGACCCATGTCACGTGGGCAGTAGTATTCAGGAAGAACAATATGAACACCAGAAGATGGAACAACCATTCTTGGAGCTTGAGGTTCCTTTGGAGGTAAACCTTGAGGATCAGCATCCATTTCCAAGATTCTATCAGCAAATGGACCAGTTGCATTAACAGTAGATTTAGCCTTAATAGTGTATTCCTTCTTAGTTTCTCTATCAATTGCCAAGACACCAGTGATCTTACCAGCTTCCTTAATCAATTGCTTAACTTCAATATAGTTCAAAACAGTGGCACCATTATCTATAGCAGTGATGGCCAAAGTAGCATTCATTCTAGCGTCGTTAAAGGTACCATCGTGGTAAACACAAGTGGCCTTCAAGTTGGCATCATCCATCATTGGAGCCATAGCTGCTGTCATTTCTCTGGAAAAAATGGTGGAAGATCTCAAGTTTTGATGACCAGCAAACCAATCATACATCTTACATCCAACAAAGAAATAAGGAACTTGCCACCATTTGTAGACAGGAATCATGATTGGAAGAACAGAACAAAGATGTGGAGCAGTTCTCAACATGTTACCTCTTTCATTAAGAGCTTCGATAACAAGATCTAATTGGGCCTTGGAAAGTTGGAAAATAGCCTTTTCCAAGTATCTAACACCACCATGGGCCATCTTGGTGGATTTAGAAGAAGTACCTGAAGCAAAATCATTCTTTTCAAGCAAACAAACATTAAGACCTCTAGTGGCAGCATCAACAGCGGTACCGGTACCTGTGGCACCACCACCAATGATCAAAACATCAAAGTTGGCAGTAGATTCCAACTTCTTAAGAAGTTCATCTCTTGATGGAGGAGCTGGGAGTTCCTTTTTAAGTGGCTTGTATGATGTAACAATATTTGGAGGGTTAGCAGGACGAATGTAGTCCAAATAAATCACGGTAGAACCAGCTACACCGGCACCGGCAAGGGCAACCTTGGTGAGCTTGTGATTGAGCACCTTACGGAACATGTTCTTGTTACGAGTGTGATAAAGATTCTCTCGAGAATAATGTTTTTTCTTTCTTGTGGGATTGCTTTATTTCCGAGTTGCGCAACGACTTGTACAAAATAGAAATAGAACACCAAAAAAAAAAAAGATCCGAAAAAAAATTAGTAGTCGGGAATTCAACTATCTGGCTGTGCAAAGGAGGGGAGTGCGGGGGAGGATTGCTTTTGAATTCACTGATGCTACGAGGTAGGTTGCACCGAAAAATGAATTAACAAAATCAAGTGAGGGTGATCTGTCTTTCAAAATGTAATAGAAAGGAGTATACAAGAAAAGGAAAAGAATAGAAACAAATAAAACGATGGACAGATTATGACTATTTTGTTGCTTTTTAATGCTGACGGTGCAATAGTCGCGATATTACCGAATATGTTCTCATGCAGGAAAGGCGGTAGGCTATGAAACGCGCAGGGCGGTACATCTGGTGGGGTTTGATTAGGAGCGTGGGTACATGGGGGAGGACCTCGAAGGGAATATACATGCAAGTGTACATATATTGACTGATTATTGCTAGCAATTAAGGTATAATGCAAGCTTTTGTGGGCAAATAATGGAGAGTCGGAAGATTTTTTTTTTCGTGTTTGTTTCGAAAAATCGAGAGTTTATCGGGCGAGGCGGCTGCAATTTTTCAATGAACCACGGGTCTTCCTTTTTTTTTTCTTCTGTAATGTGTGAAAAAGATACAATAGCAAAAAAAAAAGTTTGTGAGTTAAAAAAAATAAATGAAAATCTGAAAAGCGTCAATTTTAGGTGTACGAATTATGGAAAAATTTGCGGAGCAAATTGGCGTTGATCATGGTAATATACATGGAAGAAAATACCTAAATCTACAAGTAGCAGTGGTTGAAAATGGGAATATGTATGTAAAAAATGAATAGGTTTCAGAGTAAGATTGGTATGTGTGTGATTTTTTTGTGCAACCAATAGGTCACCGCAAAAATATACCTCGGTACCCCGGGATATTTCCTCGGGGGCGTACGGAATATCATTTTTTTTTTGATATTTACGGGTTTATTTTTACACTAAATGGAATGAAAAAAGTGCCCCGCCGAGAATTGTTTGTGCCCCACTAAGAACATTGCACCTGTCACAGGATTTTGAGATACAAGGTTGAACGGAAGAATCATTGATAAGATCCCATGACTCAACTTTGACAAACGTTCGACCGAAACTATTCAAAATCACATGTGAATTGTAGAAAGTTTAGATTCACTTGCTTAAGACATATGTAAACGAAAAGAAAAAAGTAGAGTCTCTCGCTTAGTATCGGCAATAAGAACATATACATTAGGATAAACTTGATGATTCGATGTACCATATTCTTAACAATATTAATTAATTGATATTCTTGTTTTACCGTACGATTTAATAAGGTACGGAAATAGGATTTAAAGAAAGCCGGGGGCGGCTACTGTATATAATCTAAAATTTAATGGTCATTACATCAATTTCTTAAAATATGTTAATAATAATAACTTGTATCTTAAGAATTAGTTTGAAATGAAACACTACTTTCGGTTTATCTACTTATTCAATGATACTCTCTTCAAAATAGTTAAAATAGCAACCTTTACTCTATAATAAAATTCAGAGAAGCAATATAATAGTTATCTCTCACGTGATACGCTATGCGTGACCTCAACATATTCAAAGTTCCCCTTTTTTGTGTTTGCTCGCACGTGACTACCCAAAATATGACAATACCTTCCAACTATGATGATATTTCTTGAAGTATATATCTTGTTCGATTTAAATTTTCAATTCAATTCTTTTTACAAATTAACATAATATGGACATTACAGAATCTCAATCTGAGAAGATCCAACAATTCCGAGATATTACGGGGCTTGATTCCACATCGGAAGCTGATAATGTCACCAATCTCTTACGTATCAATGATTGGAATCTTAATAATGCAGTATCAATCTACTTTGATAGTGGGTTTGAACTGATAACTTCCAACACAGGTGTAGAGGAAATGATTGAGTCAGATCAACAGCAACTGGCGTTCAATGAATCCAACGTATCCCATCGTCATGAGGATTCTAGATCTGTAGTCAATCTACAAAGTGAACTCTTTTTAGATAATTATATACCAAAATTACCTAAAGCCCCCAAAATATCTAATCAATGGCAATTGGAAATTGGCCTTCATATGAGTCAACGAGATCAATTAGTGAAGAATGAACATGAATTCCAATCTCCTACACCAATACCAAAGCAAAGTAATTTATGGATCATATTGCTTATCATTCCTAAATCACTCTTATCATTATTACTTTCATTATTTAAATTATTATTTGGGAAAAGATCTATACCATTAAATAGATTTCCTAGAAAGTTCAACTATTTAGAATATGATCCGGATTATAAAATGAGAATTGAACAAGAAGATGAACATATAAATGAAAAAGAATTTGGAAACGTTGAATTACAAGAGAAAGAAGGTCAATCTAATTCAAGTTCAAATCAATTAATTGAAAAGAAGGATTTACAATTATTAAAAGAAATTAATGAGAAATATAATTCTTCATCCTTTAATGAACTTTATCAATTATCACAAACAAAATATTCTTGGTTACTTGTTATTCTTGTTAATAATTCAGAGCAAAGCAAGAGATTTCTTAACTCTTTTATATTAAATGAATCATTTAATAAATTTAATGAAAATGTAAATATTTTCATTAATAATGTTGAGAAATCTCCAGAAGCTTTCACTATTGGTGAAACATATAAAGTTAAAAAATTACCATATGTTATGCTCTGTGGGAATGTTACAAATAACCCATCAATCATGTCATCTATGAGTATTGTTTACAAGTCTAACATTTCATCAAATGTACTTGAAAGTGTACAAGATGTATCACAAACAGTCAATCGTACGTATAGAGGACTTAATAAAGTAATGGAACATTTTAATCCACAACTTATTAGTCAAAGGTTTGATCAACAAGAAATTGAATTTTCACGTATGTTAAAAGATCAACAAGATGCTGCATATATAGAATCACTTGTACGTGACAAACAAAAGAAACAAGAGAAAGAATTGAAGCAACAACTCATAGAAACAGAATTACAATTGGCAAAACAAAGAGAATTATATTTATATCAAAAATTAAAATCTAAAGGTTGGATAGATTCATTAGAAGATGAAATTAAACAACAAAATGTTAAATTAGCCATCAAACTTCCTGATGGAACTAGAATCATTGAAATATTTCTGAAAAAGATTCAAACCAAAGAACTTTATTTGTTTGTTGAATTAAAATTATTCTTAAATGATTTGATTAATAGTGAAGAAAATGAGTTCAAAGATGAGAATGATGTATTAGTTAAAGTGGAAGAGGAGATTTCAATTGACAATAAGGATGAAACTTGGACATTGGATGAATATTTTGAAAAATTTCCGGTTAGATTTGAACTTATTCAACCATTCCCAAAGAAAGTTATTGAAATTAATAGTAATGAGATTGGATTAACAAAGGAATTAAAGAATGGTGGCAATTTATTAGTTGAATATTTAGAGGATGAAGATGATGGAACCGATGAAGAGTGATGTGTGGGAAGTGATGAGAAGTGGAGGCAAGTTTGTTGTAATATTTTTTAGATTGGATGGGTTGTAAAACATAAAATAGGATATTGGTAGAATGAGAATGTAGATAATAATGAGATAATAAATAAAATATGAAGGTAAAAAATGAAGTAGAGATATATGTAACTATTTATACGGAGGTAAATATACAAAAAAAAAAGAAAATCACATATCTGTTACCTCCAGATATAGCGTTAATCTAAGAACCTTACATTCTTTATTGTATAAAGTATTCAATAAAACAAAAAATAAAGGCGTAGCATAAAGTTGGTAACTATGTAGAATGTAAGTCATTCGTTTTATTTTTTGCCAATCTGTACTTAACGGAGTTAAATAGTTATCGGTAGTAACAACAGGGAAACAAAATATAACATTTTAATATTTGCATTCTAATATCTCTTACACTATACTTTACATATATATATATATATATACTCACATGTCAATATACACATTTGTATTGGCGCAGTTTCCCCGTAGTTATTAACAATTTCCTATACTAACCGCCGCGGGTTTATTCCACACATCGGCTAATTTAAACAGAATTTGTTCAGAAGGATAAATAGTTTTAGGGTTAAACTCAATTACATTGGAATCTATTGAACTCTAATATATTACTCTCTCTACTGTTCAAAACAGATTAATTGCATTACAATTGATTTTATTTATTTTTTTTGACTACTTTGCTCCCCATATTTCCCCCACCTGTGCAGAACCTGAAACCAAAAATCTCACTAAACTAATTTAAACGTACAAGGATACTATATCGCTCTTTTTCTTTCTAGAAGAGAATTATTATTTATATAATAATATCGTTAAATACATTTAATGGCCAGTCGTCAGTCTAAACTTGAGGCGGAACGTCTTGCAATCTTACAACAGAGCGCCCCTAGAGGTCGTTCAACGTCACCGAGCCGTGCGCGTGGTGACAACACTTCCTCGTCACCAAGTCGTGAAGATCAAGAATTGAAATGGTCAATTACTAACCATGACCCACTGGAAAGATTAGTTGATGATAAGAGAGTGGAAGAAGTTGGTGGCACCAACTCTATCGAAGAAGAAGAACCTTCGGAAGAAGAACATATCAGTGATGATGATGACAATGAGAAGTTTCTGTATGATGATACGGGGAATATTCTTCCAAATTATGCTTGTGGAGATGAAAAGATTGATGAAGTTTCTGCAATTTTAGAAAAATCAAACTTGAATGATCAATTAACTGTGAAAAGATTGGAGGAACTTACTGCAAATGAACGTGCATTGGCAAATGCTCATAAGGTGGGTACTCCAGTAGATGATGATTTATTACGTAAATTAGAATCAAGTAAACAAGAACTTACTGGACTGGAAAAATTGGATTTACTGACATCAATGCAAGATCAAGATGCTAGAAGAACGAAATTAGAAGCTTATGCTAGATACAGAAAGAAGATCATTGAAGAAGATATGAAACAAAGTGGTCAACATGCTAGTGGTGGAGAACTTCAACATTCTCAACTGGATAGTTCTACCACTGCTGCAAATGCAGCAGGTGGTGCTGCCCCTGGTGGGGGGGAAAGTTCTGCAGACCATGCTGATACAGAAGATTTTATGGTTCCATACACCTCAGCCGTTGAAGATAAACTTGACTCTCTCTTTGCCTATCAACTTAATGAAACCATTCGTGAAGGACCAATTGATTCAACTAAATCTCAATCTCGTGTGATTCAAACTATTACCAGAGGTAACTTTTTCCAACTTATTAACCCAGAAGTGAAACCGAAAATGTTCCTTGTATGTATGGACTTTCTGCCAGAATCGATTTTCGCACTTGAATGGTGTCTTGGTACTGTTCTTGTAGATGGACTGGTTCTCTTTATTGTTTGTGTTATTGAAGAAAATGACGCCAATCACCATCTCAAGGGAAACTCTCTCAATGAATCTACCCGTGAAAAATACCGGTTAGATATGTTAAATAAAGCCCGTCAACAAGTGCTTAATTTGCTTAAACTTACAAAATTACAAATTCATATTGTGATTGAGATCATTCATCATCCAATCCCACGTCATTTAATTCTTGAATTTATTGATAATCTTCAACCAACCCTTGTAGTGGTTGGTTCCAAGGGTCAATATGCCATTAAGGGTGTTTTACTTGGTCTGTTGTCGAATTATTTGGTAACAAAGCTGTCCGTCCCGGTGATGGTGGTGAGAGAAAAACTTAAAAAGATTAATCGTTTCAAAAATGGTTCCCTGGTATTTTCAAACAATATTAAACCATTGACTTTATCTGAAGCAAGGGTAGATTAGAGATGTTTTATAAGTATATACGTACGTACATGATGATAAATAAAGAAAAGAAAAAAAAAATTAGGTTAATATAGTCTTAATTTCTCTACGTATAATTATCATTCATGAGTGCATTTGTTCTGCACTTTATTGTCTCATTACCTATCCCTAAAAGAAAACTTCTGTAAATGGAGTTTTACCCCTGAAATTAGACCCACAACTATCTGCAACACACCCTCTAGGAGAAAATATTACTGGGTTCTCAATAGAGATTGGATCTGCTTGTTTCCTTCGTTTCCGTCGTATGGGTATTCTACTACCTATGTTCTTAACACATCTCCCACAATATACATGTCCACATTTAGCTGCGAAAACTCGCTTAGATAAATCTCGATCAACTTCAGTTATTAATTTAACACAGAACCATGGTGCTGGAACTCCATACATTTGTTGATATTTCTCAATTCGATCATCATATTTAGCATTTGGGATAAATCCTTCTGGTATCCCTTCACCAAGACTAGTGGCACAAAGCTCACAGCAAAGGTCTCTCAGTTCAGATATATCATTGGTATAACCTTTATGCTCTTTTTGCGTAACAGAAACCTTGTCCGCCAATGCCTTCTTATTGTATATGTTCTCAGATTGAAGTCTACGATCTACTTCTCTTTCATTTTCTCTTTCAATCCGATTGAGAATAGATGCTTCGATTTCATTTGATCCAGAGTCCAGTACTGGTCCTCCTCCACCTCCAGAAACGGCATTCATCAATTCATTTACCCCCACCAATGCAAAGGGAAGTGGTAATCTTCCTCCCGGGCCCCACCAAGCGGCAGCTCTTCGGGTTCGGCCAGTCAACAGATCTCGTTCATCTTCCGCTTCAAATAACCGGTTGAATTCTTCGTACGTTAAATCTTGGCTACTATGATTCTGAGGGCCACCTCTAGTGACTCTCCCACGGCCTGTCTCAGTCGGTCTTTGTCGTAATAACATTTGATATCGAAAATAATCATTCTCCAGAAGATATTGGTATGGATTCTCCATTGGCGTTAATGATCTAGTGGCTGGTCTTTCGTCCAAAATCTCCACATCTTCAGAATTACGTCGTTGTCTGACATTCCTCGTGGGTGAAGTGGAATTCACTCGTCGACGTCGACGAGGACTGTTTCTATTATCTCTGGTTGTTATGACTTCCCCGTCAAATGGTTGTATTACCTCCTCTATGTCCTGGTCTTCGTCATCCTCTTCCGCAACTTCCACAATGTCCGCTTCATCGGGTACCTCCACGATATCGTCTTCTTCTTCGCCACCAGATGAGATTTCGATTACTTCCGGTATAATTTGTGGACTATTTGTGGTTTCAGCTTTAGGTAAAGGATGTCGCACTGATTGATGTGGGTGTGAATGGTCTAACTGCAGCAGAAGCAGCAGCAGCAGCAGCAGCAGTTGGGGCAGTTCGGTTCTTTGGGGCAGTTGAGGTACCAGACGCTCCACTTCGTGTTCGCGCTGGTGCCCCTCCTGGCCTAGTTCTGCCAGTCGTTGCACCTCACTCAGCATAGTTCTTGTTGTATGTTAATTGGAGATAACCAGGAAAAAAGAAATGCATCTAAATCACAAATACTGTAGAAGGAGAATCATTTCCGCATTAGTGAGGTCAGGTGTGCAGGCAAATTATTACCAAATACAATAAAAAAAAATGGGCTTGCCACCCCCCTTGTATTCATAATCAGTACAATTTGTCATGACTCTATTTTCAAACTGTTACACTACTATAAAATTGATAGGGATTTATATTACAGTTCGACATAACCCTTCTTTTTTTTTTTCTTTTTTTGAGTATATATTTGTCTTTGTTAATGCCCCATCTCTAGTACGTATCTATATTTGAATATTTTTACAACCACAAAGAAAACAAGGTCATCTTCTTTTATATGTGTCTCTATATTATTTTTATCAATCCCTGACATAAAAGTCCAAACACTAACAGTGCTACTTCTTCCTCACTTTATCAATTTATCTACACTCTTGTCAATGTTCACTAATGCATTATTTATTATCTAAAATACAGGGTTGCTTATTTCTTAATACCACTTCTGATGTAACGACCAACAACAATACAATGGTCTCTTTCATAAGGTTCCAAAGTCAATTGTTCCAAAGGCTTGATTCTTTCTTCTCTCAACTTTTGCACTTCTCTGGCAAAGACGGTTTCAGCATCAACAGTAGAGTCAATACAGTTAGCCTTAATAGAAATGACAACGGTACCTTGGTCCTTCAAGAAAAGATGGGAGTTCAAAGCGATAATACGGGCTTGATCTGGTTGGGCAACATCGGCGAAAACAGCATCAACCATACCAATCAACATTCTGTACTTTTGTGGGTGACGAGCATCGTCAATGATAGGAATGACGTTAGGTCTCTTCTTGGCCATACCAATCAATTCTCTACCTGGTCTGTGAGAGAATTCAACGGCGTAAACTAAACCTTCTGGTCCAACAACGTCAGCAACGTGGGAAACAGAGGTACCGGAAGCGGCACCAAGGTACAAAACCTTCTTACCTGGAGCAATACCCAATTCATCAATACCACCCATAATACCGGCAGCCAACTTGGATCTGAAAGGGTTCCAAACACGGTACTCAACCTTGGTGGCTGGAGCACCTTCTTCCTTGGCTGGTTCTTCGATGGAAATTCTCTTTTCACCGTAGACAGATTCACCTGGAGCGGTGTTTCTGGTGACAAGAAGATCTTCCTTACCTCTGGCAATGAAGACACCGGCGTGTCTGTGTGGTTCGATGACAACCTTGGCTCCACCTCTGGCACCACCACGGGCACCACCTCTACCACCTCTGGCACCACCACGGGCACCACCACGAGGACCACCTCTACCACCACGGGCACCACCACGACCACCTCTGTCACCACCGAAGCCACCACGGCCACCGAATCCACCTCTACCACCACGGGAGCCACCACGGCCACCTCTGTCACCACCGAATCCACCTCTGGATCCACCTCTTCCGCCTCTTGGAGCACCGAAAGCCATTTTTTTTTCCTTTTCTTTTAGTACTTGAGTTGTTCCTTTAAGCTAATAACTAATATAGCCAGATATGTTTCTGATTATACCAAATGAATTGACTGAAGGAGTTAAAGGAGAAAGAAAGTCTTGTTAAATTTTTCTAAATTGATTCTTTTTTTTTTTTAGTTTGAGGATGAGATGAAAATTTTCGAATATCCGGGTAAATGCTTATGTAATCGTATTTTAAATTAACTAGTATTAAGTTATAAATAATGATAATAAATACCATTAAATGATCTAAATTGGAATAAAGTTTGATCTTAATGGATTTTAAAAGGAATGTATTGGTAGATAAGTAGTTTTCAAAAGTTTAAAATCATAATTTTTTAACAAGTTAGAGTAGATTCTTTATTCTACATAAAAAGATTGATTTAATTAATTTCAATTATTTCAAGAATTAATTGGTTAAAATGATCTGAAAAAAGCTTTAAGATATACATTGAGATTCCTAGTATTGTATAACACTGTACTAGCCTTGATATCTCTAGTTTTAATGGAGTAATTGTATAATATATAGATTGAAAGCTGGGGTTATATGATGAGCATCATGCGGCTCAAAATCACGTGCATCCAGAGACTGCCAAAATGATTGAATTATAGTGAGAGATAAGATAGATAAAAGGCATTTTCAAAAAGGGATAAAGTAAATCAATATAATTGAGATGCAAGAGAAGGCATATGCATTAGATTTGAATGCTTTTTAATTTTTTTTTTTTTCAAGTTGAATGTACTAATTATATGGGGGGTTGAAGATTTTCAAAGTTCTACATTGGATAGTATAAAGATTCAAGAGTAGATAAGTGAAGAATTACTACTGCTAAATAGATTTAAAGAATTAATAGAATACCAATTCAAGAACAGGGAGAATTGAAAACCAAAATCCAAGAGAGTAAACATTATGATATAAATCACCCACTCAATGAATCGTTTCCAACCCCTAAAAGTGGTTGGGATTACAAGTTCGATTATTTATCCAATCAATCATCATTGCTTGGCTTCAGAAATATGGCACTGTGTTGACAAACAACTTTTATCAAGGGTTAAACACCAAAATACTTCTTCAATGGTGGGTATATTTCTTCAAGACATTCCTTGATTAAAACCAAAAAATACTTAACAAGAGAATTTTCTCCTCTTTCGTTTGAGTCAACTCTACAAAGATTAGAAGATATTATTTTATTTGAAACTTTGTAGAGACCCAATAATCAGCAATAATTCAAGAGCTCTTCGTAATATGGATAAAATAACTCTCTTTGACCTTAAAAAAGAGTCACCTTCTTTCTATATATATCCCATGTACAATATCAGTTCGGTCATCTACTTCTAATACTCTCTTTCAACTTCTCTATTCACTCTTGAATCATTGCCTAGATGTTCCACATACTTCATCTTTAAAATCCTGTATATACGTGACTCACGGTATATTTTTAACAGAACTCCGTAGTCTGCATATAAACCCCCAACGGTATTTTACATACCAGCGCCTTATATCCTTGTGGCTAACAATTCAATCTTATCTACACCCAAAAAAAAAAAAAAGGTGAAACGTCAAATAAACGGCATACAACGGAAATATCTTCGACGCACAACAATTTAGAATTTAAATACCACCTAGTAAGAAGAAATCAATATGGCGTCTCCAGCATACTTGCTCCTCTTAACTGTAGGTACAATTGTCACTGGGTGTCTCAACTCACTCTTCACCAAGTACCAGGATAATCAATGCGTTCGCAACTGTAATAATCCTGATCTCTCAACTCACAAGACTTTTGAACAACCTGTACTTCAGACTCTTCAAATGTTTATTGGTGAACTTTCAGTTTTCCTTGTTTATTGGGTGTTTTACAAGTCCCCCTACGCTCGTAATAAGAGAAGTCTGTTATCCATAGAAACTGCTGAGCCAGAACTTTCTTTAGTTCAATCATTCAAATTAGCTATTCCTTCAATTTGTGACTTATGCGGGACAACTTTAGTTAATATTGGTCTTTTGTATACCCCAGTATCTATATATCAAATGACTAGAGGTTCAATTGTTCTCTTTGTTGCCATATTCTCGGTGATTTTCCTCAAGAGAAGAATCACTAAATTAGAATGGATCTCCCTTATCCTTGTAACCCTTGGAGTTATTATTGTTGGATTGAGTGGATCTAATTCTTCATCTACTGAATCAGATTTATCCAATGAAACTGCCTCACTCGTTATATTTGGTATGTTTTTAATTGTACTTGCGGAAATTTGTCAAGCTGCACAATTTGTTATTGAAGAATATATTCTTTCTCAACAATCTATTCTCCCACTCCAATTGGTGTATTATGAAGGCTTCTACGGTGCCACTGTCTTAATGACTGTATTTATCTTTATGCATGTTGTTGTTGGTACAATTTCTAATCCCTCGGATTTCCAAGCATCTCCATTCAATTTGATCGAATCCTTTTCGGAAATGTTTTCTAATAGAGTTGTTCTTTTATCGTCGGTATGTATTATGATTTCCATTGCTTCTTTCAACTTCTTTGGGATCTCATTAACCCATGAATTATCTGCCACTGCTAGATCAACTGTTGATACTTGTCGTACACTTTTAGTTTGGATCCTTGCGATTGCCATGGGTTGGGAATCATTCTTATTCTTACAATTTTTAGGATTTGTGGTTTTAGTGTTTGGTTCTTTATGTTTCAATGGAGTTTTACAACCAGAAACTTGGGCTTTTGTACCTCAATGTTTAAAAAGTGGTGAAGAATCTCATCCACTTCTTAATGATACTGAAGATCCTTTAGAAAGAATATGAGAAAATTTTAAAATTATACATTAGTATTTAAATTAATTTGAATTGAAAGAATATGATCTAAATTGTAATAAATAGATACAAACTAAAAATCTTTTAGTCATGGTTCGTCTTGATTAGTACTACCATCATAAAATATAAGGTATTTCTTTTACTTTCTTTTTTTGTGTGTCTACAACTGCAAAAAACATTCAACTTAAAAAACTATCTATTATAAGATTCATTTCCCAATTTAATAATTTATATTATTTAAAACCCCCTTACCAATTAAAGAAAAAAAAACAATCCTCCTTTGTTGTTGCAAATAAAGAAAATAAAATCTTCTCCTCTTATGTTAAATAATCTCCATTTCCTGTATATAGTCATCAACTTATGGTTTTCACCTCAATCTCAAAATAAAGTCGCCACTGTATCAATTGGATACTTATTTCATATCTATATATATATACTAAATTTATTAATCATGGTATGTACAAGCGAATCAAACCAATAGATACTCTCATATCCAATTATACACTTACTAACCATTGCCCCAGTCATTGAGACTCATCCCAGAAAACAAACAAGCTTCTTCCATACAAAGTACCCAATACGGAGTGGCAGCACAACACGCTCCAGGGTTACCAGATGTATTAAGATCGGGTGAAGGTCCATCCAACTTGGCCTCAAAGATCAACAATCGTCATCCTCTTGAAGCTAGAATTCAAAACTGGGAAGAAACACAACTTGAAACAAAATTTGAATCATATAGAAGAATATTTGGTGCTGGTGAACCAATTAAAAGAACTATGGAATTAGAATTGGTTGAAGCAACCGACTTTAAGCCACAGGTTTTAGGTGGTCTGGACTCTCTTCATCGTGATATCTTGCTTAACAAGGATACCAGCATAGAATGGGAAGATGTCTACAAGGGGGGTTTAGAAGGTGGTAACAGTAATGTCCAAGATTTCCACTCCGATATGGAAAGAAAAATGAATATTTAGGAGATTCTAAAGTACTCTAAATAAACAAATGATGATAGAATGAATCTATGTAGTTGTAGAATCAAACAATATTAAAAAGAATTAAAAAAATTAAAATATATATATATATATATATAGAATACGTGAAAATGACCTCGTTCACAAAAAAAAAGTCCACAACTCTCAAATAAATTCTTGGAAATAAATCAACCTAACGCACCAATCAGCAGAATGTTCCAACCACACAATGGTTCAAATATTACACGTCTAATCAATTTATTGATTTGTTTATTTAATTTCATCCATTCATTGTCTCTAACATTCTAATGGCCTTCTTTTAGCACATACATTATTAGCCCGTGGTCACGTGACCTGAAAATTCTCAACGATCGGCAACTTTCGTTCTAAATTCTCTACACATTTTTACATCATCTCACTATATTCCTTTTATAAAAATCAAACTGAAAAACACTCCTCAAGCACTCTTGAATATCTCTCTTCGACCGAATTGGAAAGCAATTTACAACTCTGGAATTTATTAAAAAAATTTAATCTTTTTCCTCCCCTCAACAAAATAGAATCCGTTCGAAATGTCTCAAACTTTATGGTAAGTAGAATTTATCTTTAAAAACGACGTCAGTTGACTTTGATTTTAAGTCTAAACGCGATTTCTATTATACACAATTGATTACTAACATGACGGCAGGTCCCGCAAGAATACTGGCCCTCAAGAAGAACCATTGGCCAACGATGGTGTAGCCACTCCTAGTACTACTGAATCTCCTTTCAATAGAGGAACTGTTCCTCCTAATGAAGCTGGTAAAAGGTACACCATGAGTGAAGTTTTCCAAGTATGGTACGATAACAAGGACGAAATCCTCAACAGTTTCCAAGATCAAACGGGTCAACCTCTGCAAGGTAATTTGAATGAAAATTACAAGTTATCTCGTCCAGGTCAAATTTATCATTTAGATCTCCAAGCTTTGGAAAGTTCAAAGAAAATCTCATCTTCATCGACATCTTCATCATTGCAAGAAAGGGCCACTAGTGAGGTGACTGTTCCAGAAGGTAAGCTTGCATCATTATCAATTGGTGGAGAAGACGGTAGTAACAATCTTAGTCATAGTTCTTCCACATTCATCTCCAATTCATCATCTTCACTCCCACCTCCTCCAGGAATCCCTGCCCCATCGGTAAACCCTTCTCCGTCCACGTCATTCTTGACTCCAGACAAGATCGAATGGTTTTATGTTGATCCGAGTGGAAATGAACAAGGTCCATTCAATGGAGATTTGATGCAGGAATGGCTCACTGATGGATACCTTCATTTGGATTTACGTATTAGAAGAAGAGAAGAAGTTACATTCCAATCATTGAAGGACTTGTGTGATAGTGTTCAGAACTACATTCAGCCATTTAGAGTTCCTCTCCCTGATTTGTCTTTCCAACAGCAACAACACCAGCATCATCAACAACAACACCAGCAACAACACCAACAGGAACAACACCATCAGCAACAACAACAACAACACCAAGAGCAGCAACACCACCAGCAACAACAACAACAACACCATCACCAGCAACAACAACAACACTCTCAGCCTCAACCTCAGAACCTGGCTCACTCCCAGATTCATCAATTCTTGTCAAGTCCAGGTTCATCGACATCCATGAATTTAGGAGCTGCGGGAATGAGACTTACGGGTAGTATGACCCAACCATTGTTTGGGGGTGATTTCATTAATCATTCAGATCCATTTTCTAACGGTCTGGCTAACAATGGAGGCTTCCCTGGTCCACAACCTGGCCTGTTTGGAATTGATTCGCTCAATTTCAATGCTCAACCATTGCATCACCACCACATGCCTTCCTTGCTTCAGCAACTGATTCAACAACTGCAACCTGTATTGTCCCGCACAAATAGTGGTTGGGGTATTGCTGATAACTCAGGATTGATTGGAAGCGCTCCCGGAACCCCTGTTGCAGTTCCTAGTGTTCTCCAACAAAGCATCAACCAACCTACCCCAATTTCACCTTGGTTATCTGGAGTCCCTCATTCAAGAGTTAGCTCTCCATTTATCCCTGCAACTTCTCTCTCTGAAAAGGTAGAAGAAAGAGTTCCTGATAACGTTTTAGAACCTGAAAGGGTGAATGAAGATCGTAAGGAGGATGTCAAACCATCATCACTTTCTTCTGTCACCAACAATTCTGATTCAATTACTCAACAACCATCCACCAGTCCAACCAAACAAATGAAATCTGTTCCAATGACTAAAGATACTAGTGGTAGTACCACTAAAACTTCCGCCGCTAGTGCAGTCTCACCAGCATTAGAATCAGAATCTAATGTTGTCGAGCATGTTTCTATTCCTGCTGTCCAGGCTGCTCAAGCTGCTCAAGCTGCACAAGATGCGCAAGATGCTCAAAATGCTGCTGAAGAAAAAGAAGTTAAATCTACTGAATCTGTACAAGAGCAACCAACACCTGTAAGCAGTACTCCTACATTAGCACCATGGGCCAAGGAATCTACACCAGTTACTCAACCAAAGCTCACTCTCAAGGAAATTCAACGTCTTGAAGCTGAAGAATTAAAGAAGCAAAAGCAAATTCAACAAGAGCTTAATGAACAAGCTGCTAGAGCTGCTAACCAAGCTTGGAATGAAGAACAAGCTGCTGCTCTCGCCGAAAGACAACCAGCACTTCCAAAGACTTCTGGTTGGGCAACCACCCCAATACAACCTATTGTTAGTAAGAAGACATTAGCTGATATTCAAAGAGAAGAAGCTGAAGCCAAGGCTAAGGCCAATGCTGCCTTGGCTGCTTCTGCTTCTGCTTATGGATCTACTGCGGTAAACTCTACTAGGCCATCATTTGCTAGTGCCATTGCTAGCAGCACTCCAAAGGATGATGGCGCTTGGACTGTTGTACCAAAGAAGGCTACTGTTCTTAAGAAGACTGTTAGTAAGACGTCTACTAACGCCACATCCAGCTCTAAGGTTGATCCACAAATGTTACGTTCAGTTTCTGCTGCTAGACCTGTTTCTTCAATTAACGCAGGTGCTATTCGTGAAGAATTCCTTATTTGGGCTCGTTCTTCAATGACAAACTTGTATCCGACCGTTTCCAAGGACGACTTGTTGGATATCTTCCTCACATTACCTGCTAAGAGTCCTGACTCCTTGCTGTTGATTTCTGAAACTATCTATAGTTCTTCTGCTACAATGGATGGACGTAGATTTGCTAAGGAATTCCTCGAAAGAAGAGCCAAGGTTGAACAACAAGTTGGTACTTCTAACGATTGGTCTTCTGCCATCATTTCAAGTGCTGACAAGGTTCCAACAGTTGATGAAGATGGATGGAGTACTGGTAAGAAGAAGAAGGGTAGACGTTAAATACTATAAACACTAAAAATAGACATTTAAACAAGGTAGTAGATGTAGCTAGTATTACATACTATTAAAAAGTTATAAGAAGATATCAAAGTTGATGCCTAAAAGACTTGAACTATGACTTGTTGAATTTTTTTGGGAACGTGGTGGTGAAACATGCCAAAATTAATTTTATAAATGGTGGCTTAATGATACCCCACATATTGGTACACTATCTAACCAATCTAATTGTAAGCGACTTAATCCTAATCATACATTCGAAATCTCGACATACGCAATAATCTATGTATTTTAAGACATTTCCGACTCGGACAGGCCAAGTTTCTGATTTTTTCGACTCTGATCTGAAGCCGTACAATTAGGTGGACATTTAAGCCGCCGTACAATATGATGGCAAGATCGCTTTTTTTTTTTTTTGCACTCTAATTTTCAGTTTCATAGCGCCACTACTGTTAGGCACATACGTATACGTACATATACATATATACATATACACTTCTATATACATATATACGTACCAAATTTCTCTGGCAAGATTCGGTTGCAAATAATTTCATTTCTTGGAGTTATCCTTGTATCGTTATATTATACGAGAGTTAAATACACCATGTCAATTAGTACACCAACTACCCCACCTAATTGGGACCACACCCCAGAACAGGTAATTGAACTTACCAAGGAGTTTATTGATAGATATATCAAATTGAACGATGAAATTGTTGCAATTGAGTCTCCAACTGTTGACAATGTGCTTATCCCTTTGGCCAGACATGAGAATAAGGAAGATCATTTAGCAAATCAACTTTCTTTCTATCAGTACGTGTCCGATAATAAGGAACTTCGTGATGCAGCACAAGAAGCATCTAGATTGGTTGATTCCGCATTCATTGAACAAGGTATGAGAGTTGACCTTTACAATGTATTTCAAAAAGTCAATGAATCTAAAGATGAAATTAAAGATCCTGAAACTAAAAGATTTCTTGAAAAAGTGGTAACTGCATTCAAAAGAAACGGATTACATTTGCAAGAAGAACAAAGAAATAAACTTAAGGAGCTTCAAAAGAAGCTTGCTGACTTAGGATTGGAATTTCTGAAAAACAGCAATGAAGAAGAAGGATTTGAATTGTTTACCAAGGAAGAACTTGAAGGAGTTCCAGAATCTGTTGTTTCACAATTTGAAAAAGATGAAGAAAGTGGAAAGTACAAGATGACTTTCAAATACCCTGATATCTTCCCAGTCTTGAAGTATGCCAAGCACCAGGAAACCAGAAAGAGAGCATTCATTGGGGATGCCAACAAGTTGAAGCAAAATGCTCCATTGCTTGAAAATTTGATTAGTACTAGATTCGAAGTTGCAAAGCTCCTTGGTTACAGCACCTACTCTGAATACGTTTTGGAAGAGAGATTAGCAAAGAATGAAAAGAGAGTTTTGGACTTTTTGGGAGATCTTCAAAAGAAGTTGACTCCATTGGCAGTGAAAGAATTGGAAAAATTGAAACAATTGAAAGATGAAGATTTCCAAGAAAGAGGTCTTGAAATTCAAGATGAATATTATATTTGGGATAATCGATTCTACGACAACTTGATGTTGGAAAAGGAGTACCAAGTGGACAATGCAAAGATTGCTGAATATTTCCCATTGGAATCAACTGTTTCTAAGATGCTTGGATTCTATGAAAGAATTTTTGATATTCTGGTAGTTGAATTGAAAGATGATGATGAAAATAAAAAGATTTGGCATTCTGATGTTAAACAATTTGCAGTTTATCAAAACATTAACCATGGGTCTCCAAAGAATGAATTTATTGGGTGGCTCTACTTTGATTTACATCCAAGAAAGGGTAAATATGGACATGCTGCTAACTTTGGTCTCGCACCTGGTTACCTTAAGGAAGATGGTGAAACTAGATCTCGTCCTGTTACTGCTCTTGTCTGTAACTTTACCAAGCCTTCCAAGGATAAGCCTTCGTTATTGAAGCATGATGAAGTTGTTACTTTCTTCCATGAGTTGGGTCACGGTATGCATGATTTGTTAGGTCGGACCAAATATGGTCGTTTCCATGGTACCAATGTTCCTCGCGATTTTGTGGAAGCTCCATCCCAATCATTTGAATATTGGACTTGGTCCGTCAATGAAATCAAGTCATTATCATCTCATTTCGAAACTGGTGAACAATTGGATGATGATCTTATTGCTCAATTGGTCAAATCTAAAAACGTTAATGGTGCATTGGCAAACTTGAGACAATTACATTTTGCCTTCTTCGACATGAAATTACACACAATTTCTAAAGAAGAAGATTTACGTAAAGTTGATTTGGTTTCTTTATGGAACAATTTGAGAGAGGAAATTTGTCTTATTTCCAATGGTGGCATCGACACTTACGGTTATGGTTCCTTCGGACATATCGCTGGAGGGTATGAGTCTGGTTACTATGGATACCTCTTTTCTAAGGTTTATGCAGATGATATCTATTATTCCATCTTTAAAAAGGATCCCTTGAACGTTGAAAATGGTATGAAGTACAGAGATAGTGTGTTATCTAAAGGTGACTCGAGAGACGTATTGGAATCTCTTGTCGAACTTTTAGGTAGAGAACCCACTTTAGATGCTTTCTTGGAAGAATTGGGTTTGTAGAAAAAGTTATACAAAATTTAAAAGTTATTCTGAATTAATTAAAAAAATATATTTCCCTTTATTAAAGTTATACTGTCTATAAATATCATTCCAATTGTAAACTTTCGATAGGTTGCGAAAGATGATCATCCTCCTTTAAAATTGCAGAAATTAACGCAATGTTTTCCTTGGGTATCATGATGATACCCGACTTTGCCATGGAAAGATAGCTCATTTCTAAAGGAAGTGAAGAAACTCGCTTGTTACCACTAAGAAGGCGACTGGCTAAACCAGCAACAATCCCAGTAGAGTCCAAAGGCAACGCGTTCAAGTCAATCGTGACTGGGATAATAGAGTCCTGAGTCGATCCAATGATGTATTTGGAAGGGAACCCCATCTTTGCCCTGGTTTTAGATGACTTGGGAAGAAGTAAAGATACTTCATTCAATGAAGTTCTTGTGACCGCAAAGTATTGCGGGAAAAGTACAGATTGGATATCTGTTGATGCTAAGTTTTGCGCTGTTTTGAGCAATGTCCGTGAAACTTCACCCGATCTTGAACCAGTCAAGAGGAGCTTTATTGATTTGTTTATGATTGGTTTGACGTTGGCACGGTTGAATAATTCAAATGCCCTTTGTTCAATGTCAAGGTTTGGTGATGCAGATGCTGCAGTGTCCTTGGATGATCTCTTTTCGTTCACATTAATATAGCTATTAGAAAGGTTTGAGAACTCAAAGTTTTTGCTGGTAAGAATTTCAACTACTCTCTCTTTGGAAGATTGAGGAATAAGAACAATGTCTCCAAAATGAGTTGAAAGAAAAAAAAGTGGAATCTTATTAGTTGAGAGTGGCTTTGTAAGTTGAAGTACTTTGGAACTATTATCATAACCATCACTTGAATCTACTTGAAGTGTGATAAACTCTTCATCCAATAATTGAACAAGGTCATATCCCAACTTTTTACATAATTCAAGTGGGTCATGGAAGAGGGTTTGCATTATTGATGATGCACACATCAAGGTACATTCCTCAGGTGTGAATGCAATGTGGAAAAAATAATTATCTTCTTCTTCATCTGAACTTTCAGTAATCCCATTATAATCATCTTCGTCTGATTCAGAAACAACAACTTGGTCTATAGAATGAATCTTCTTACTTGAGTTATCAATTGGTGAAGAGATGGTTTCTCCATTACTAGTATTGGTGGTGTGGTTGTTCGCACTGTAGTTATATTGCTGGCTTTCGTCCGAAAGCCCATCATCCGATGAACTTGATTCATCGGATGACTCGGTCTCTGAGTCTGTCTCATAATTGTGGTTTGTTTTTTGTGCCTCAAGATGTAGAAGTTGAAGCACAGCACTGGAAAATATCCAGTACTTATCCTTTGGTATGGACAAGATCGATATCTTGGTCAGATTAAGGTGTACTTGAGTATTCATGGCGGCAATTAAAACTATACCCAAGAACTTTTCCAATTGTGTATATGTATGTATGTAATGATATGTCCCTGCTTTGTTTAGCAAGATTTGTGCCTAATAAGTAGTTCTCCTCGATATGAAAAATGAAACACCGTTTTGTAATAACCTCCGTGTTTTTCTCCACCTTTCTCCTTTTAGAACTCGACACTTTTTTTCAATGAAAGTCTCTCTTTGTAAACCTTAATTGAAAAAATGGCTCTATTAAATTAATTTATTTTATTTTTTATTTTATTTTTTATCTTTTTTTTCACTGCGTAATCAATGATGATGAGGGGAATCGATACGAAGTGGAAAAAACTAATCAGGATCTAAATGTGGAAGCTTCGTAAAATCGAAAATTTTGGAGTACAAGTCAGGAATGTGAAAAATAAAATCAAAATATTTAGTAATACAGATATATATATATATATATATAAACTTATTGTATTGTATAAAAGAAAAACGCCGTTCGGCTCAATGACCAGGCAGGGGTGAGTCTCGCCTACAAATTACGAGGTGGGGGGTATGATTCATATTATGATTCATACAATGCGGAAATGTAACAGCTAACCCCCCGGATTCTAATATGCAGGTAAAGTTGCCCCAAGGCGGGAACACGTGATTTGCCATAGACTAAAATTAAGTCGGAATTGAAATCTATTGTTATTAAAAAAGTGTATCGGTTACTTCATCCCCTTGACTACGGGTATTCTCCCGGAAATCTTTTTGAAGGTGTTGTTTTGGGGCATCCAATTGCAGGGTTAAGATCACTTACATACACTCCACACATTACATTTCTAAACATCTAGGCCATTCGTCATATATAGGGGGTTGCAGGGTCTTAAAATTCATGTATGTAGTCTGTTTTAAAAATTCTTATCTATATAGTCTTTTTAAACAAAGAGAATTTTTGAAAAAAGTCCCACATATTTGATTGTTTACTTCATGCAGTTTCGCTGTCACTATCCCTAATTTAAATAGGGACAATTTTATCATACTGATGCTAGACATCATTTCACTCTTATTGTATTCCATCGTAAAAATATAATTGAGTATTCAAAACCACAACAAATAGTTTAATGTTGACTTGCCAACTAAAGTCTGCGAACACTTTGGTCGACCACGCTACCATTAGTCCGCCTCTTTGTTAAAGCAATCGGATGATCTACTGAATTTACTATAATTGCTCAATTAGTTATTCTTTTCCGTTATTTTCTTATCTGTTTATCTATATCTTCTTCTCTATATATCAGCAAGATTTTGACGTTCATAAAATGTTTCCCATAATTCAATTGATTCCTTTTGAGATTCAATTGAACTTTCAATAAAGATTTCAACACTATTTCTAAAATCATCAATTTTTTCAAATTCAAATCTTTCTAATTCTTCTTTAAAAGTATCAGTAATGGTTGTAAATTGATGTTTAAATTTGACAGTTTTCGCTTCAAGTTTCTCAATTTCAAATTTTAACAAATTAATTTTATCAGTTTGAGACAGATTCTTTCTACAGAATTTTTCAAATTGAATTTGCTTTTTGTTTAATTCCTGTTCACAATTTTGAAATTTGGTATAAATTTTAAGTCTTGTTTGGAATACACTTTTAATTGATCCAATAATTCGTAAATATTCTTCAATTGTAAATCCCAAAGTCAATTGATCTTGTAGATTAGTTCGATCTAAATTATCCTTTAATTTAATATGAACTTCACTAAATTCTCCAAGTAAATCAGTTGTTCGTTTCAGAATTTCAAGACTTGAAAGTTCTTCTGAAAGATTAGATATTTCTTCCACTAATAAGATTATTTCACTTCTTTGAATTCCAATTAATTCAAGTGATTTATAAAAATTTCTTAAATTAAGTTCTAAATTTTCAATATAAATCTTCTTTTCCTTTAAGAAATCATTTGGTTCATTAACTTTATTTGAAATTGAAAATAATGATGACATAAATCCACCTGCTCCTCCACCACTTGTACTGGTATCAATGATGGAAGAAGATAATTCACTATTACTGTCCAATGTATCATCATTTTTCACAGATGCTTCAGATCCACTTAATCTTTCCCGTTCTTTAGATTCATCTATGAAGTTATTACTAGTTAAAAACATTTCAAAATCAGAATCATGACGTAAATTATCAAGATTAGATATCTTAGTTAACATTTTTTCTAATGATAACCTTCTATTTTCAATAAAGTTTTCATTGAACCGGCCAATGTATGTTTGCTTTGTAGGTGGAGGTGGGATTATTATTCCAGGGTGATTATTTTGTAATTGATGATAGATCCATCTAAAATCTCTATATCTTCTTATAACTGGCTCCTTATTGGATGAAGGGTCATCCTTGTGTTTAACGGTAATTGAGTACACGATATGTGCATTAGTGATGTCCCCAACCTTCATAGGGTCGCCCACAGTGATCTCCAAATTATTAGATGCTTGTGGGGAGTTCCCAGAGTCATCATCAACGTCAGATTGTGTACCATTTCTAGGTTTAGAAATTATTGGTTGAGAAAACTTTGCTACATCCTCTGCAGCTTTTGCTGCTGCACTAGGAATCTTATATAATGGAGATTCAACCTCTTGAACCAAAGATTCACGGACATTTTTAGATGTTTCATTTTCCAGAGTGGTATCAGATCCACCCAAGGGACCCAACGGATTAACACTTAAGTTTTCCACTACAGTCTTTGGGTTATATCTCCGAGATCTTGTGAAAAGTTTACTTTTACCCAAATCGGTAGTGTTTGTTGATGTATTGTTATTTTGTGTTCCTGTACTAGAAACTACTTCCTTTATTTTAATCGGACTTGTAGTTTCCTTGAAAAGAGACTCGGATTGCGCAATTGGCCGAGCCGGTGAAGATGGTGCAATCACACTGTCGATATCAGCTACTCCATCGGTCAATTCAGATATGAGATTCGATCGATGTTCCTTTCTTTCTTCTTTACTTAACTCGGCTAATTGAGCAGCCTCAGCTTCGTTCCATCCATAAGATGGCTTATTAATATTTAAATCCGCAAAATTAATATTTAAATCCGCAAGATTAGAATTTAAGTTGTTTTGCCCCTCCTCTACTTCTTCATCATCATCTTGTTCTTCTTCCTCTTCTTCTTCTCTTTGATGTTCATTTTCTTCCCCATCTTTATCTTCATCATTAAACTTGTTGAATTCTTGGAATCCATTTTCTAGAGGGACAGGGACACTTGCAAATGGCCGAGAGGACGATGCAGAAAATACATCATCCCAATGTGAAGCGGTCAAATCTTGTTGGTCCATAGTAATACTCGTTGGTACCTTGATATGAAGTTGAATTTGATAATCTTGGTGCCTTCAATCATTTTGGTGCGTGTAATCAACTAGTCGTGTGGGTGGCAAATTTGTTTTGAGGCTTGGATATCAAAGAGCAGATTATAATAAATGGTTGCAATTAAGGGTAATCATACAATATATGAATAATGAATTTTATTGAAGGGGTATCTCGATATCGAAGGATGATAATAACTCTGTGATATTATGTTTTAGAAATTGTAGATGGTTGAGATACAAGAAATGAATTTTTTGAAAGATTTTAAATATTTCGAACAAAAATAGTTTAGCTAGTTAATTCGTAATAATGAAAAATGAACTTCATTTCTCGTAATGATCACTACCCTTTATAAATCTAAAGAATGTCGAATCATCAATTGAAGGCATTTAGATCACGAGTGGGCCTTATAACGTTGGTCTACCACACTACAAATTTTGTACCCCTGGTTATCATTCCAACTTCGTACTGTCTATCATGGTAGGAAATGTTTTCAAGTAGTTAATAATAACATATTTAAAAACTTATTTATTGAAGAAACAAAAGGTATAGGCAGAGGAAATCAACTAAAGTGTTATTAATGAAAAATGTACCAAAATAACTGTAACAAGAAGCAAACTGAGAATTGTAGGTGAACTAGATATCACAAGAAAACCGTTCATACACTCAGCAATTTGTGAAGATCTAACGTAGGATCAGCTGAATGTGCCATTGATTGAATGACATATTACTGTAGCTGGCTCTACAAATCTTGGAACCAAAATGCTCATCCTATTTTGTATAACGGTAAAAAAAGACCAATAAGTCTGAATATATAGTATCTCCTAAATATGAGATAAGCAGTCATTATTGGCCACTCTCTTTCATGACAAGGGAGTATGGAATTTATAAAGATATATACAAAAGTCGCTGCATCAAAATCCCATCAAACTCAGTTAACAACAATTACACCATATATCTCTACCAGTTGTCCACAAAACTACCGAAATATTTATAACTTTGAATAATATGGAATCAGATGAACTCATTATAATGACATTGTATGCACTTCAATCAGTATCAGTTTATATCTGACATGCTGCAAAAATCTCCATTATATGAACCAATTACTTTCAGCACCCCCCACCCGCGGTTATGATGATTTTGATGAAAATTTATACTACAATACCGCCCTCCATTGTAATACTTATCACATATGAGATATAGATATCCTTAATAGGATATGGCAGAGTTGTGAATACATTAAATAATTAGTTATAAAATAGTGGTCGTGCGCCACCCAAAGCCCAAAATTAGGTAGCTTCACGTGTTAAACGCGAAAAATTTTACACTAACGAAATGCCTGGTTAGCTCAATCGGTAGAGCGTTTGACTCTTAATAGAGTGCGATCAAAAGGTTGCGGGTTCGACCCCCGCATCGGGCTTCTTTTTTGCAACTTTTTTATAAAGTTTGATCTTGAAATAAAAGATTATGTACCTATTTTATTATCCCTATAAAACTAGTCACACACTGTCATTGACAATTGATGTGACTACATTTGAAATTACTTTTGTAAAAAAACTAAAACTTATTATTTATAAACTAAAAATGTCAATCGATGCTGATGTATATATGAAAGAGGATTGTAGAGAGTCTTCTAAAAGTAACCCGTAGCTTAATGCTTTCCTCCAGTTCTTTCATTTCTCAATACTTTTTGTTGTCTTTCAACTTCTTCATCAAAGACAATAAAATCATCCAAGGCGTTACCACCTGGAACCATAGGCAAGACAGGAACCTTCTTTTCAACAATGACTTCAAGCAAAACTGGAGTCTTACAGTCCAAGAATGCCTTCACACCAGCCTTCATTTCTTCTTGGGTAGAGATTTTGATACCAGTAACACCCATGGCTTCAGCAAGCTTCATGAAGTTAGGGTTAGATTGATGGGTGTGAGAGTAACGATGTTCGTAGAAAAGAGATTGCCATTGAGTGACCATACCTTGTTCTTCGTTATTAAGGACACAGATCTTGACTGGAGCACCAGCTTGCACAGCAGAAGATAATTCCATAAGGGTCATGTTGAAAGAAGCATCACCATCAATGTCAATGACAATGGCATCAGGCTTGGCGACTTGGGCACCAATAGCGGCTGGCAACCCGAAACCCATAGTTCCAAGACCACCAGAAGTAATCATGGTTCTTGGTTGAGTCCAAGTGAAGTGTTGAGCGGCCCACATTTGATGTTGACCAACACCAGTGGTAACAATAACTTCCTTACCGTAGGTGGATGATTGTTCAGAAATTTCTTTGATAAGAGTTTGTGGCTTGATAAGAGAGCCTGGAGTTTCGAGTTGGTAAGAGTATGGGTACTTTTCCTTCCATTCTTGAACTTGAGCCATCCATTCAGGACGTTCAGAAACTTGTTCAACCAATGGGATGAATTCAGCAAGGTTAGAAGTCACATCACCTTCCACAGCTTCGGTAGCTTCAACAACCTTATTAATGTTCTTTGGAGAGATTTCGAAATGAATGATACCACCAGTACCTTGAGAAGCTGCAAGCTTAGCAGCAGGAGCAAACTTGGAAACGTTACCGGTGACTCTGTCATCGAATCTAGCACCAAGAGCAATGATAAGATCAGCTCTTTGCATGGCAGTGTTTGCGGCGGCATTACCGTGCATACCCAACATATCCAAGGACTTTGGATCTCTTTGATCGAAAGCACCCAATGCTTGAATGGTGGTGGTGACGGGTATCATGGCCTTGTCAGCCAATTCCTTCAACAACTTTGAACCGTCTTCATGGTTAAGAAGACCGGCACCGGCGTAAATGATTGGCTTCTTGGCTTGGTTGAGCAACTTTGCTGATCTCTTGATAGCTTCAGTTGTAAATTGGGTGGTGGCAGCCTTGGTAATTTCCTTCAATGCATTAGAAGGTAATGTGGTTCTAATTGGGATAGAGTGACGCAAGACAGCAGCAGTGACATCTTTTGGTAAATCCACAAGAACTGGACCTGGACGACCAGTGGTGGCGATTTCAAAAGCTTCATTGATTCTACGAGGTAATTCAGCAACGTTCTTCACCATGACATTCCATTTGGTACAAGGACGAGAAATACCGATAACGTCAGCTTCTTGGAAAGCATCGGTACCGATGGCGGTGGTTGGCACTTGTCCAGTAAATACAACAAGTGGGACACCATCAGCCATGGCATCGGCCATTGGAGTGATGACATTGGTAGCACCTGGACCAGATGTAACCAAAACAACACCTGGTTTACCTGCTGCTCTGGCATAACCTTCAGCCATGTGACCAGCACCTTGCTCATGTCTGGGCAAGACAAACTTGAACTTGTCCGAGTTATAAATGGCATCGAAGACTGGTAAAATAGCACCACCAGCATATCCAAAGACGGTATCAACGTTATGTCTAAGCATCATTTCATGGAAGATTTCACCACCGGTTAAGCCTATAAAGGAGTCATCCATTATAATTTCATTTGAATCGATGTTATGGATTTCTTCCTTGACAGTTTCAGTTTGAGAAGACTGTTGGTTGAAAGCTGGAGATGGGGTTGGTCTTCTTCCAGAAGACACAGTGGTGGTAGCACCCATGGTGGCATTTTTCTTAGTGGTATTCACAATGGAACGTACACTGGAGGACACAAGGGCCCTACGTGCCACGTTTAAGGCTGTTCTACTGGACAACTTGGTACTGGTAGAAAGCATTCTCTTTTAGGCTGAAAAATTTTTCAGTTCCGATCTTTATGTTGTGGGGAAGAAATGAATAGAATCGAAAAGTTTAGCGATTATGAATTCTGTCAATAACCTTTAAAAGACCTGTTAGTGGTATATATCAGAAGAACTGAAAAAGTGTTTGATAATAAGATTGCACTAATGAAAGCAATATATAATACCTGTGTTAAATGAGTCAGGATATCTATGTGCCAGATACACCGGAACCGGTAAAATTTTCTTGACTTTGTGTCATGATCGCCGGAGGAACGGGGCTCGATTGATTTTTCATCACTGCCAAAAAGAAGCGGGGGGAAAAGGGTTTACGATCTCGGCAAAACACGGGATTCGATTTATGTTATGACTACCATGACTACTACTGCAGGTTTGTTACTTTTGTAAAAAGAAAAAGGGGGCTATAACGTGGAATAGACGGGCGAGGGCGGGTAAGAGGATTGGCTGAGTATACGGCTAGTAGTTTTATTGAGAAGTTGCTAAAGATCTAAAAAGAAACGAAAAAGAAACAACTATAAGGTTGAGAAAAAAAAAGAAAAGCATAGGATGGAAAATGGAAATGTATCACGTGTATCTAGGGAGTGGGGTGATATCTAATAGTCGCTAAGAAATTCTCTACGAATAACGAAGAAAAGTAGAGTTAAAACTTAGAATGAAGCATGTATATATGCACATAATGTAAAATGATAAATTTGGTACCATGTAACTGGCAAAAAAAAAAAAATTAAAATAGCATTGAATCATGGAAATTTGTATGGACTTACAAGTCCATAGCAAATACATTCCGAGTCACTGAGGAAAAGAGAAGGAATTTCAGTAGACTCTGATTCTGATAGTATATACAGGAATTGAAAATAGGTGCAAAAAAAAAAGGTTAGAGGATTCAATTTGAAAGGGTTTCAGAATCAGTTTTATAGTTCTATCCTATGTATTCGAAATAGTAAGTGGTAATTTACATCTTGAGACTATTGTTAACATTTCTTCCAATTCTTATTTTCTTTCAAATTATTAAATTTTCCTCGTGTAAATGTTATAAATTGATTTTCGTCATTTTTGTTTAATTTTTGTATTACCCTATATATATTTTTGAACTATTATATATACTTTTATATATATATATAACAAGTTTACCTAATCACGTTTCTCGTTAAGATTTTCCCTATGTTCTGAAGCTGCAGAGCTAGAAGCTGGTTCAGCATCAACTATTTCAGGTTCAGGATGATTCATATCCTTTTCATGTGCAATGGTAGCACCTTCAATATGAGGAGTTGGGTTTCCCCAATCTAAAAAGTCTCTTCTTACTTCAACATAATCGTAAGCAAATTCACCGATTTGATCTTCATCTGTACCCATTTCTTCACCATTATAATCCATTCTTAAATGTAAACCAGGAATTTTGTTAATGACAAAGCATAAGATAGCAGTCACACCACCAGAGTAGGCCAAAGTAGCTAAAATGTATGCAATTTGAATGTAAAGTTGTTTCCAATTGTGATCTAACCAACCACCAGAATGGTCTGTAAAGCCATCATATCCAATGACGGTAGAACTACCAAACAATGCATTGAAAAGCAATCCAATAACACCAGCCATTCCGTGCTCAGCCCAAACATCAAGAGAGTCATCAACACGACATAAATATTTGATTTGAGTGGACAAATTACAAATGATCCCAGCGGTGATTCCCAAAATGACAGATGCCCATAAGGGGATCATACCAGATGAAGGAGTGGCTGCAACCAATCCTGAGATACATCCAGAACATAAGGCAACCATTGACCATTTCTTTTCTAATCGGAAATCAAGTAAACACCAAGAAATGGCACCAAAGGCCCCACAAAGGTGAGTATTAAGCATAGAATAGGCAACTTTCAATGAAGCATTACCACAAGAAAATCCATTGAAAAATAACCATCCCATATAAAGTAATGAAGTCCCTAAAAAGATGGTTGAAATGTTATGAGGACGGTAATTAATCATAAGGGTTTCATTTCTTCTTCCAAGGAAGGCACTATAAACAAAGGCAGATGCACCAGATAAAATTTCCACTGGACCTCCACCAGCATAATCCAATACTCCATATTGAGCGGCCCAACCACCACCCCAAATCCAAAACACAACTGGACAATAGACCAAAGTTGCCCAACAGAATAAAAACACCATACATGGTAAGAATCTACCTCTTTCAGCAACACAACCACCAGCTAAAATTGCTAAAGTAACAAGAAGAAATTGTAATTGGAAAATGGCAAAGGCAATTTGTGGGTAGGTACCATCTGGAGTCAACTTACCCAATAGATGTTTAAACCCGAAAAAATGCATATCACCAATAAAATTATTAGAAGATTTATTGGAAAAGGCCAATGAATAACCCCAGAAATACCATTGGAAACATCCAATAAAGGAACTCATAAAGACGATCCATATCATGGAAAGGGCACTCTTACGACGAGCAAGACCCGAATAAAGAAAGGCCAAACCTGGAACCATGATCCAGATGATGGCTGATGCAATGGTGAACACAAGAACTATACTGGTGTCATATTGGTTCGTTTCTTCAAAGATAGCTCTTCTACTGAGTTCAACCATTTTCTGATGTGTATGACGGTTGTATTTATAAACAATGGATTAAACCGTAGATACCAATAACAAAGAATATAAACCAGTTGGTATTCTCAATGAAATCTCTTTCTAAAACTTCTCGTTTACGATGACAAGTCTTCAAGCCTTCAATACTTTATAAAAAACAATCGGGCAATGGAAACTAATAAAAAAGAATCTAGGAGCTTAAAAATAAAAGCAATGCAAACTAGATTGAAAGATAGAGACGTACGAATTAGAAAGAGGCAAAAAAAAAAGGTATAACCAAGAAAAATATTACAAGTTAGGGTACTCAAAAGTTCTAGCATACTTTAGAGATTGTATGCACTTGCTCAAAAATTTTATTAGGTTCGCAGCATATTGATGTACAGTTTCGGAACAATTTGATGCCAAAATTTCAAATTACGGGAACACATAAATGTGCATTTCTGGACTAGAACACTGGTCTCACCTTTAGTAACGTCCCCGTACTACCACACCTGTTCACCCGGATGTTTCTGAGGTTCAAATGAGTCCGTTTTCCCTACAAATAGTGACCAAAGATGCCCATTTTTTTTTTTTTTTCAACTACTATTATTATTATTTTATTAAATTTTTTTTTTTTTGAAACTTCTACTTTCAGTGATTGCGACTCATACACGCGGCGAAAGACGTTTTGGACATTGCACGTCCCGATAACGAAAAACTGCGAATCAGATGCTTAATCCCTATCAGTGTGTCACGGGACATCTCTCCAGGTTTTATTAGACCCTGGGGTACATCTCATACATTCAAATAATGGAATCGGTACAGTTTGGGTGATAATTACAGGGCTTAAATTGTTGCAGCCTTTATGGTTTGGACAAGAAATGTATCACTAAATTTGTATATAAGGATCTATCAAGAATCACCTGATAAGCGATCTCGCTACTTGATTGGTGCACACGACCCGGCTGCGCCCGCCCTCCCCATACTATAATTTATTGGACCGATTAACAATGTCGTCTAGCACGTGAATGACACACATTTGGAAACAATTCCATCTATCCTAACCTCATTGCTTTGTTTCCACCTAACCGAAACATTAACTCTATCTTTTCTAGAAACTGTCTTTATATATTAATGATCATCATCATGCTTTTCCACATATCTTTCATAGAAATGAAATGTTTCAAAACAAACCTCAACCATGATAAGGATAATAATAACCCATTCTAATCTGGTACCCTTTTTCTCATTTAAAACTGAAAGTAACGCTCTTTGTTCTTCTGTAGCGTAATCAAGTTTCCTATTTAAGATAGAAATTCTTGGCGAGATGTCAAGAGTTCTGGAAATTGAATTATAAATTTTTTCTAAAGAAGGCTCTGCCCAATATAAATCTGGAGTTTCTATAAGTTCAGAATATAAATTGAGCTTACCTCTTAATAAAAACAATCTACCAGTTAATTTAAGTACATCACTTTCGGTTGTCAAGAGTTTTTTACCCTTTGATAAGTTTTCACTATCAGCTCTAGTGAGTAGAATATGTTCTTCTAATGCAGATTCCAATACTGCTAATCTAGTTGATCTAGATAACCCTACTGCAAATGCTGTCTTGTCTAAAAGTTTTTTATTTTTACTTTTTCCTTGAATGATCATAATTTCTCCTTCCATGTATGATTGTACTTTATTATTGGTATGTTCATCATTATCATATTTAATATCATTTTTTGTTTCTAATTCTATCCAATCCATTTCCTCACTTTCATATTTATATTTTTCTTGAATTGAATCTTTAATCATTGGTACAAATTCTTCAAGTAATTGCTTTTCATCAATACCCCATCCTACAATGGTACCATTAGATAACACCATAACATCACAGATTCCCTCATTCTTTGTGGCGCCAGGAAATTGAACGTTTACAACTTCATCTGGAACCAATACCAGAGTTGGATACGGTGATAATTCCAATACTTTCAATAAATTGATTGATTCACTAATAGTAATGGTAGTTACAATGGAAAGATATTGAGCAAGTGCCTCTTCTTCTGTCGCATGCGGAATTCCCTTTGGGGTTTTATTTAATAGAGATCGGATGTGGTTTACGTTATCAAAACTACTATTCAAATCTTGTCCTCTACGACGGAATGTTGACGCTTTCCCACCATTTTCATTACCGATGATTTCCTTAGATAATCCCTTTTTGAGATTATGACGAGGTATACGGATTTGAGAAAGAGTAGAATTAGAAAGAAACTGGTGTACAATGTTCCTTTCAAACAAGGAAACTGGTCTTCTTGGTCGTGCTGCCTTTAATATTATGTTCATCTTTAAAAGAATAGCGGTCCAATCACTACCTTTAGAATTATCATCAGATTCAATTCAGATATGCCGGATAGAAAAGTAAGTGGTAGGTACAACGTACAGGACAGACCAATATGTAGTATTCTAGAATGTATTTGATTTTTTTTTTTTTTTTTCTCTGGGATTTAACTTTCAAGATTAAATCTTTGACTAAGAGATACTTTTCACATTTCTATGCAGGAAGCGTGCCTATTTTCCAACATACCCATTATTAAGAAAAAAAAAATTCATATAATGCTTTTATTTTTTTTTTTTTTAATGACACAGAGGGGCGGTGTTCTTCAACAGGAATGTGATCTAACTGGTAAATTTATTACCATTGGAAAAATTAAAATCCTGTTTTGTGTCTGTTATTGTTTACCCAATGATTAAATTAGAACATGATGCAAAAGTTACCTCCACAAGGTTTAAACTCTCTTCTTTTAATGAAATAATGAAACTCTTAGGCAATTAGTTGTAGATTATGCTTTGCAGCATTGGAACCCACGGTGTGTGTAGTTGCCTCAAATTATGGAAGGTTTTAGATGACATCAAAATAAGTATCTATATTTGGTGACCGCAATTTGAATTAAATGAGAAGTGTTTACAAAACACCTCTTTTAGGAAGCTTAATGGAAATCTTGATTTCGGAGGGGTGCGGAGGATTTTTTTTTCCTCATAGAACAAAAACAAGGATGATGATCTGTAATGAAGGTTAAACGGCTTTTGGAGGGGAGATATTAAGCAAAATGAATTATATTGCCCACCTGTCTGGACAAATATTCGTAGAAATATCTTTTATACTAAATTTTTTTCTTAATATATAGATTGTATACACTGGCAAAAGATCCCGGTAAGACGGGGATTGTATGTTGTCCAAACAGAAAAATAAAAATACCAAAAATAAAGAAAAAAAAAATAATAATATAGAAAACCCTTGTAAAACGTTAGCATTCTATCTATAAATCACAAAAATCTGCTGAAGCATCATCCATTTTACACACCTTATTCATACATTTAATAAACTTTTCCCTTTTTTTTTTCCTTTCTTTCTACTAAGGAAACACCTTTTTAATTTTACATAACTCCTTTCTGGAATATCAATTAAGTAGCTATGTGGTATGTACTTTTTCAAACAGGTATAAGAGTTAAAATAAAGTGGACGCGTGTTGTGTTTGCGGATCATTTGTGAATGAATGACCCGAAGAAATGGATGAATCTAGTGGACGAAATGGTGGCTACACCCGGTGGTTCAGTGCCTCAGTGGATGACTCCGACATGACCTCGAGTAGTTTGACTAATGAGACTTCTACATCTTCTTGCACTCGTTCAATTAATTATTCAGGGCAAAATTTGAGTTGTCCACGTAACCAGTTACCATTCTTTAATATTCAACACTCTACATTGGTAAACAATTGTACACCGCCGTCTAATTCTCTAATCTAAAATGTCTCTTTGATCGATTACTAACATTATAGTGGTATTTTTGGATACGTTAACTTTTTGGTTGACAAAACTAGAGGCGAAATTGTCGACAACCTTATTGAAGGTCTTTCAAGATTAGAATACCGTGGTTATGATTCTGCTGGTATTGCCATTGACGGTGACAAGAAGGGTGAAACCTTTATTGTCAAGCAAGTTGGTAAGGTTAGAGCCTTGAAGCAAGAAATTGAAGACCAAAACTTGGACCGTTCTGCTAGCTTTGATTGTCACGTTGGTATTGCCCACACCAGATGGGCCACCCATGGTCAACCAATGACCATCAACTGTCACCCACATAGATCAGACCCTAACAACGAGTTTGTCGTTGTTCACAACGGTATCATCACCAACTACAGAGCCTTGAAGACTTTGTTGGAATCCAAGGGTTTACAATTTGAATCTGAAACTGATTCTGAATGTATTGCTAAATTATTCAAACATATTTACGATTCTAACTTGAAGGCTGGTATTTCCGTTGATTTGAACGAATTGACCAAACAAGTTTTGTTTGAATTGGAAGGTTCTTATGGTTTGTTGGTCAAGTCTGTTCATTACCCAGGTGAAGTTTGTGCCACTAGAAAGGGTTCTCCATTATTGGTTGGTGTTAAGACTGACCGTAAGTTGAAGGTTGACTTTGTTGATGTTGAATTCTTGGATAACCATGCTGAATCTTCTGGTAACAATGACCGTTCTTCAAACTCTAACAGTCTTGGTCTTTTACCAGTCGCTCAAGGTGAATCCAACTTGAGAACCTCTCAATCAAGAGCCTTCCTTGCTGATGATGGTATGCCAATGCCAGTGGAATTCTTTTTGTCCTCTGACCCAGCTTCTGTCATTCAACACACCAAGAAGGTTTTGTTCTTGGAAGATGATGACATTGCACACATTTATGACGGTGAATTACATATCCATAGAGCCAAGAAGTCTGCTGGTGAATCTACCACCAGATCTATTCAAACTTTGGAAATGGAATTGAACGAAATTATGAAGGGTCCATACAACCACTTTATGCAAAAGGAAATCTTTGAACAACCAGACTCTACATTCAACACCATGAGAGGTAGAATTGATTTTGAAAATTCCAAGATCAACTTGGGTGGTCTTAAACAATTCTTGCCAACTGTTAGAAGATGTAGAAGAATTATTATGATTGCTTGTGGTACTTCATACCATTCTTGTTTAGCAACCAGATCCATTTTTGAAGAATTGACTGAAATTCCAGTTTCTGTCGAATTGGCTTCTGATTTCTTGGATAGAAAATCTCCAGTGTTTAGAGACGATACATGTGTCTTTGTTTCTCAATCTGGTGAAACTGCTGATTCTATTTTGGCCTTACAATACTGTTTGGAAAGAGGTGCCTTGACTGTTGGTATTGTCAACTCTGTTGGTTCTTCTATTTCTAGACAAACCCACTGTGGTGTTCATATCAATGCCGGTCCAGAAATCGGTGTTGCCTCTACCAAGGCTTACACTTCTCAATACATTGCATTGGTTATGTTTGCCTTGTCCTTGTCAAATGATTCTGTTTCTAGAATTGACCGTCATAAGGAAATCATTGCTGGTTTGCAAAAGATTCCTGAACAAATTAAAGAAGTTTTGAAGTTGGAAACCAAAATTAAGGAATTATGTGATTCTAACTTGAATGATCAAAAGTCTCTTTTATTGTTGGGTAGAGGTTATCAATATGCTACTGCCTTGGAAGGTGCCTTGAAGATTAAGGAAATCTCTTATATGCATTCCGAAGGTGTTTTGGCTGGTGAATTGAAGCATGGTGTTTTAGCATTGGTTGATGATCAATTACCAATCATTGCCTTTGCTACCAAGGATTCTCTCTTCCCTAAGGTTATGTCTGCCATTGAACAAGTCATTGCCAGAGAAGGTAGACCAATTGTTATTTGTAACGAAGGTGAACAAGTTATTGGTGGTGACAAGACCATGGCCACTTTACACGTTCCATTAACTGTCGATTGTTTGCAAGGGTTATTGAATGTCATTCCATTGCAATTGATGAGTTACTGGTTGGCTGTTAACAGAGGAATCGATGTTGATTTCCCTCGTAACTTGGCCAAGTCTGTCACTGTCGAGTAAATGGCTTGAAAGACTTCATAATAAAACAAAGTAAACGACTCCATGGGTGGAGATTTAATAGTACAAATAGTGCAACGTATTCTATATATCCAAAGAAATAAATTAAAAAAAATTAAACTATACATTAAACCAAATAGTAGTCATAAACTAAGAATATAAAGTGAGGAGACCAATAAATACAAGTTGAGCGGCACTGCTTTAAGGGTGATACATACATATATATATACCCATGAGCAGGATTACTTTCTGTGGAACCATTCAGAGGATCCAAAGTATGCTGAGCTGTAGTCAAACACACTTTCCCCTACACTGAGGTACTTTTCAGTATAATACCTAATGTCATCATTTTGAATAGAGTCAGTGTTCAAGCTGGATAGTTAGTATGGGATGAAGTAATAAGTGGGTGGTACTATGCTTCTTTACTTACGTCAAGTTGGTATTTCTTCTTACTCCGGCTAAAAACGCGGAAACCAAAATCAAATCAGCACCATAGTGGGCCACTTTACCAATCTGACGAATCTATGTTAGTATGCTGGGTGGGTGTGAGAATGTCGTATGCGAAAATAATTAGAAATGAACGTACCATTTTATTGAATATTTCTGTTAGCTTGCAAGTAGGTGCTACGTCAAGAGAAGAGGGAAAAAAAGGGTTCTTCAAGTAAGGGGCGTATTCGCTTGGGGGCAATAGAGTATGTAAAACCAGTCAGGTCACACAAAACATCAACAACCTGCGTACAGACCGAAAATGTTAAAAATATCAAAAATTGGTACAAAAAGACAGGGAAAAATAAACAGGAATTTTACAAAGGGTGACCAATTACTTAATTATAATGTTGTCTATTATTGTTTAGAACGTGTCCAATATTTTCACATACGGACTTTTTGCTAGGATGTACAGATCAAACTATGCATTACTGTACATCAACCACGCCTAGATTTGTGGAATGTTGTTAATTTGCAATTATCTAAGGAGGCGACGGAATTAAGGGGTGAATTTTTAAATGTAGAGATCTAGATTGAGATTACGGATTGGGAGTAACTATTACCGGCTTCTAATGGCTGTACTACATAAACGGTTGGATCAAGTTGATATATCACTAGGTTATTTTTTGTTTTATTACGTTATTGGTATGACTATATTAATTAGTTCACAAATTTGTTAAGTGCGGCGACTCACTTCAAAAGAGTTTTAATGACAGTGGAGCATTTCAGAATAACAGAATTCTATTTAGTATTACTACTACTATATCCGCGGCTTTATACATTTTCCATGATGAAGGTACTACATTCAGCATTGTCTGTTATTTGTGTTCTACAGTCGACAACTACTACTACCCAGTGTCCATGTTAAAACATGGTTATATAGATAAAGACGCAATGTTGGCCTTGTCCCTTTTTTGCCCTCAGTTTTATTTTCTCATTTAGCAGGAGAGCGCCACAAATTTTAATTAGTTTTTTCTTTCTTGCTTTTAGCTTTCTTCTGATTCTCCTTATCCTTAGGAATTACCTCTTTTAACTGTATGTATAAAGGAGTTCCTTAGTGATCAACCCCAAAATTTGTGTGCTGCAAATGAGAATTTAAACAAAATGGTCCGGGTAATCTTTTCGCACGCGAAAAATATCCAGCAAAAAAAAAAAAAAGTTGTAGAGAGGAGGAGGAACATACAAAAGATTTGTATGACCACAAGACAGACAAAATAGTAAAGAAAAGGACCAATCTTTTTTTTTCCGTAGTGACTCAATACCCTTGATATGTCAGATCGATACAGACCTTCCGGAGGTGCAAACAGAGGCAGACCTCGGGGTGGTGGCCAATATCGAAGTCAATTTGGACCCGGAGGAAATAACCAAAGTGGGAGTGGAAATGGAGGAAGTACTGGAGGAAGATCTTCAAGAGATTACTATTCTGAACCGAAAAGATACGGGCAAGAAAACTCCAGAGATATATATAGACCAGGTGGTCCATCAGGAACCAGCCAGAGAGGTGCAGCACCTACTCGACCAAGTGGAAATGGCCCTCCAACTGGTCCATCAGGTGCCCGAGCTCTTCCAACTGGACCTTCTGGTTACCGGTCAACCCCAAATCAGAAACCACAACATTCAGAAGGTGGTGATACGTACAGACCTTCTCACCCTTCAAAAATACAACCTTCTCAAGGAGGTAGATCTTCAAGACCTTCACTTCCACCACAACAAAGCACAATCCAGAACGGGAAGAGACCACTTCCGCATGAACCTAAATTTGTAGATGGCCCAGGAGGTCACGGGGGCCCAAGTGGTGCGGATGACGACAGTTATTACAAGAGACAAGACAGACATGGTGGTGATTATGGCCATCAATCTCAATATAGAGATACACGTCCAATTAGGGGTCAACGCGGAGGGGCAAGAGGAGGAGGAGCAGCTATACGTGGACGTGGAGGATCCATGAGAGGGGGCCGCGGAGGAGGACGCGGAGGGGCTTCAGTGGGAGACTCCAGAGTTCCTAATAATAAACCAAATGGACCTCATCCATCTACACATAAAAAGGTTCGTAAAGACCTTAAAAAATCACAAATATATCTGATGAAAGTAACGAAACCATTTGAAATTTATGCAAGAGTACAACAAGTTGGTGAAGGAACTTATGGTAAGGTTTATAAGGCCAAGAATTCAATTACCAATGAATTTGTTGCATTAAAGAAATTAAGATTAGAAACTGAACGAGAAGGATTCCCCATCACTGCATTACGTGAAATTAAACTTTTACAATCATTCAATCATGTGAATGTGGTTGGGTTATTAGAAATGATGGTTGAATCAAATCAAATATATATGATTTTTGATTATATGGATCATGATCTTACTGGATTACTTACACATGTTGACGTTCAATTAGAAGAATGTCATAAGAAATTTATTTTCAAACAATTAATGGAAGGGTTAAATTACTTACATAGGAAACGAGTGATTCATCGGGATATCAAGGGATCAAACATCTTATTAAATAACATTGGTGTTGTCAAAATTGCTGATTTTGGATTGGCTAGAACCATGAAATCTGTATTAAATGGTGAAAGTCCTGATTATACCAATCGTGTGATCACTATTTGGTACCGTCCACCTGAACTTTTGTTAGGATCTACTGATTATGGAAGAGAAGTTGACATTTGGGGGGTTGGATGTTTATTAATTGAATTATATTCAAGATCAGCTATATTCCAAGGATTTGATGAAGTTGGACAATTACAAAAAATCTTTAATATTATGGGGACACCAACAATAAAAGATTGGCCAAGAATGGATGATTTACCATGGTTTGAAATGTTAAAACCAAAAATTAATAAGGCAAGTATTTTTGAAAGAGATTATCGTCCATTAATGTCAGAATTAAGTTTTGATTTAGCAAAGAATTTATTAATGTTAGATCCATCACGTCGTTTCAATGCTGAAAAGGCCCTTGAACATCCATATTTCTATATGGATCCAAAACCCGAACCTCTTTATTTCTTGAAGGAAATGAAGGGAGAATGGCATGAGTTTGAAACTAAAAAGAGAAGAAGAAAGGAGAGAAAGAGAATCCAAGAAGCCAAAGAAAAGGAAGAAAAGGATTCAAGAACATCTGCACCAGCCACTGGAAGACCGGTAACCGATAGTATCCCAGTTACTGAGAATTTAGAATAGGAATAATATAATTCATTAATATAATTCATTAATTAAATTTGAAGGGGAATTTTTGAATTCATTCATTATTTAGTAGGAACATGTTGAACTTCCATTGTACTTCACCCATAAAAATACTGAACTAAATTCTCCTACTTAATCCTTTAATACTGCCATATTTATTAATAGACTTTTTTGTTATATTTATTTTTGGTTAAATCTAATTCTTAATGAAGCCAACACCCTTTTCAATGTTCTTTTCAAGTTGGTCAATGGCAACTGCTAACAATTTCTTTTCATCGTCAGAAATATCATTCAAAATTTCATACTTAACTTCTTCAATACCGTTCTTTCCCAACTTAACTGGCAAGGAGAAAAAGTCCAAGTTGTTAACCAACTTCTTGGCTTCAGAAGCACCCTTGATGGAGGAGTCCAAGTTCAAAAAGGTACATTCAACAACTTCTTCAGAAGTGGAAATAGCCTTCAAGATAGAATCAGCCAACTTATAACCAGCATAAGCCATAGACAAAGTAGCAGAACCAGCTCCATTCTTCGCTTGGACAACTTCATCACCACCAAATTGAACTCTATGAATAAGTTCCTTTTGCTTTTCTTCAGACAAATCATTGTAGTACTTCTTAGAGTTACCAATAGAATACAATGGAACAATGGTTTCACCAGAGTGACCACCAATGACGTTAATGTTAAAGTTTGAAGGGGTGGTTGAATCTGGGTAGAGTTGAGAAATAAAAGTGTTTGCTCTAACGATGTCTAAAGTGGTGACACCAAACAATTTCTTTGGGTTGTAAACACCATTCTTCTTAAGAGTTTCAGCAACAATTGGGACGGTGGAATTAACTGGGTTGGAAATAATCAACACAAAGGCGTCTGGGGCATTTTCAGCAATTCCTTGAGCAAGATCTCTAACAATGGATGCATTGATGTTGAATAAATCATCTCTGGTCATACCAGGCTTTCTTGGGACACCAGCTGGAATGACAACAAGATTGGAGCCTTTAAGGGCTTCGGCCAAGGCAGTCTTGTCTTCTCTAGAAGATGGCAAGTGGGTAGTGGTTTGAGAGTCTGAGCAAATGTGCGAGAGATCAGCACCAACACCTGGAACATTGACCACATCGAAAAGGGACAATTGCTTAATAGCAGGGTTGATCTTGAGAAGAAGAGACAATGGTTGACCAATACCACCAGCGGCACCTAAAACAGTAACTTTAACCATGATGAATATATATAGAAAGAGGAATGTAGGGGGGAAATTTAATACTTAAATTAATAAAAGGGGATTTTGAAATATTATTGCGGAGAGCGAACTCGTGGCCATATATATATTCGAGGGAGGGGGATGCTTATTTGGTAAGCACAAAGGTAAAAATTGAGTGCAAAAAATTTATGGGGTAAAGGTAGTGTGGAGGCCGGGTTAAGGGAACCCCACCCGTTGCCCCCGGGATTCGGAGCTCCGGGTTTCGGGGTGACAAAAACTGCCGAGGGCTGAATACTGCATGTGAGACGAATATTTCAATCGAAGTTCCTGTTCATGCCGGGGTACACATCATTTTGTGAGATTTCAAATTGAGTAAATGTCATTACAAAGTGCCTAATGACGTGATAGATTTACCAACCGTTCTTCACAGAATTTTGATTAGCTAGCTGTCTAACGACATTCATCGGGATAAGTGATTAATTATTTTATTATTTTACTAATTTCTTAAATTGTAAAAAAAAAAAAAAACCAAAAAGAATTCTTAACGAACGATTGCAATTTGTATCCCACCTTAAAATTGAAGTGGTGTTACATTATTTAGTCGTTTTCCTATATAGTTGAATGATTTCACAATTCGAAGAGAAAATTAACTAAAAAATAAAAAAAAAAAATAGTGAACAAGATATGAAGTTAGATCGTATTCTGTTATATAAGATCTCGTTGGTAGTGCAACAAGACAAAACGAACACTTTACTTACGTCATTATGGACTATTTGAATTGCTGTTACAATGTATATGAACTCCCCCTGAAGCCTTGGTTCATATCCAAGAAAAAAATAGAACAAATGTATTTTAAGTCCAAGAATGTTGCGAGCCCCGCATAAATATCGCAAATGTTCCATTGCTGAAGCTACGTAAGAACGAGGTAGTAGTACTATCTAGGACTATGTTTAAGTCAGTTCGCTCTCATATAACCGGCTTAGAATATATACCACGACCATGATACCATAAAGCTACTCTCTTCCTGCAACTCCCCGTTTTAAACCGTTTTTCTGTTTTTGTATTTTCTAAGGGTTTAGCATTTGCTTCGGACTTGTGTCGTCTCACCACTGTCCAGTTGTATTTTGGTTTTGTATCATTTGTGTCACGCTGAGAACACACAGACGATAAGCATCTGGGATTAATAGATGGAATATAAATTCGGTTATTTCGGATTCTCCTCTTTTTTAAAACGCTTTTTAAACAAGGAGAACAATAAATTCATTATATATTATACATATATTTAGGGTAATTGGTCTTCTTTGAAAGTTTTATAACTCATTTAATAGTACAAACGGTCAGACCCTTTTTTCCCGATTTATTATTAAAGTCGGGGTAATAACCACAGGAAGACCATCACATTGCCCATTCACACTATGGATAACCCATTTGCTCACAAGAGAAGACAATCCAGTTCCAGTCTGGAGTACAACCCATTTGATGTTGCTGAGAATTACTATGGTCCCAGAACAAACCCTGCTGCTGCTCCATTGAATTCTCGTTTGGGACGGGTTAGAACCCTTTCATTGGTCGAAACTAACGCATTAAGAGGCCGTTATTTCGACTCTTCCGAGTCTTCAGACGATGGAGTTCTGGATGTGGAACACCCACATTCAGATGACGAAGATCGTATCCAATTGGATTTCCGTCAACCAGCACCATTGGAATCACTTCGTGAAAGAAGTCTTGAAACCACCCCAGATCCAATGGATTCAACTGCCCTGTTAGGTTCAGGAGTTAAGTCACCACCCACTTTGGACGGAGATTTAAGCGAGACCGGTATGTCCACTTTCACTAGAAGACCATCAATTATGCCAATCTATGGAGAATTGTCGGAATCACTTGTTGGATCTAATCCAGAAATTCACGCAGCAGCAGTAGAAAAACATTTGAAAAAGGCAAAGGCTTTAAAGACAAGACATTTCAGAAGATCTTCAGTGGATGATACAAATCTTCTGACTCCAAAGAAGTTTTTCATTAGTGATATTGATATTACTCTTAAGCAACTTTTACAAAATGAAGACACTGATCACAATTTCCAAATTACCATTGAAGATACAGGACCTAAAGTGTTAAAGCTTGGAACTGTTAACTCTAATGGTTATAAACAGGCTGATGTTAGAGGAACTTATATGTTGTCTAATTTACTTCAAGAATTGACAATTGCCAAGAGAATGGGTAGGAAACAAATGATTTTAGATGAGGCTAGACTTAATGAAAATCCAGTGGATAGATTGAGAAGACTTATCACAACTCAATTTTGGAAGTCTCTTACCAGACAAGTTGATGAATTTAATATTGCGGATATGGCTCGTGATACAAAAATTCAAGAAGAGTATTATGATGAAAATGGAGTGTTGCACACATCTAAAGTTTGTCACAGGTTGTACATCCCACATGATAGAAAAGATCAATATGATTATTATACTCGTATTGCAAACTCTAATCCAGATTTACATCTTGATGTTAAATATCTTCCAGAAAAGATCGATGCTGATTATATTAAATCGATCAATAAGAAGCCCGGATTACTTTCACTTTCGTCTACACCAGACCCGGATGATAACACAAAGCTTGTGAATCAACCATATGTTGTTCCTGGTGGACGTTTCAATGAATTGTATGGTTGGGACTCTTATATGGAAACATTAGGACTTCTTGTCACCGCCACTGAGCAAAACACTGAACGTTTAAGACTTTGTAGAGGAATGGCTGAGAACTTCATTTACGAAATCTTTTATTATGGGAAGATTTTGAATGCTAATCGTTCATACTATTTAGGTAGATCTCAACCACCATTTTTAACCGATATGGCGATCAGAATCTATGAGAAGACGATGGAAATCTATAAAGGTAATGAATTTGTTGAACAAGATGCTCGTGATTTCTTGCTTAGAGCAACTCAGGCAGCCATCAAAGAGTACAACTCTATTTGGTGCAGTGAACCAAGACTCGATATTGCTACTGGTCTTTCTTGTTATCACCCAGAGGGTAAGGGTATTCCACCTGAAACTGAAGCTACCCATTTCGATTCTGTGTTAGAACCTTATGCAACAAAGCATAAATGTACTAAAGCTGAATTCATTGAATTGTATAACGATGGTAAAGTCCACGAGCCTGCACTTGATGAATATTTCTTACATGATAGAGCAGTAAGAGAAAGTGGTCATGATACCTCGTATAGATTGGAAGGTAAATGTGCGCATTTGGCCACAGTTGATTTAAATTCTTTACTTTACAAGTATGAAACAGATATCGCTTACATTGTTGAAAATCATTTCGATAACAAATTGGAGAATTTCCATACTAAGGAACTTGAAACAAAGGAAAAATGGAATGAAAAGGCAGATATTAGAAAGAAGAATATGACCAAGTATTTATGGAATGAAAAAGAAGGTGCCTTTTATGATTATAATGTGAAATCAAAGGAAATTACCGATTATGAATCAGCTACAACATTCTGGCCATTATGGTCTAAAGTTGCCACTGAAGAACAAGCGGCCAAATTGGTACAAAACTTACACAAATTTGAAGAATTTGGAGGGTTGGTTTCTGGAACTTTGAAATCTCGTGGATTAATTGGGTTGGATAGACCTTCAAGACAATGGGATTATCCCTTTGGTTGGGCACCTCAACAGATTTTGGCTTGGATAGGGTTTTCCAACTACGGATATGAAGGAGTTACCAGAAGATTGGCTTACAGATGGCTCTATTTGATGACTCAAGCATTTGTGGATTTCAATGGTATTGTGGTTGAGAAATATGATGTTACCCAGAGAATTGCTCCCCACAAGGTTACTGCGGAATATGGTAACCAAGGGTCTGATTTTAAAGGTGTTGCTACAGAAGGGTTCGGATGGGTCAATGCCAGTTATGTGTTTGGTCTTACTTTTATGTCTTTACATGGTAGAAGGTGTCTTGGAACATTGACCAATCCGGATGTATTTTTAGCGCATCTTAATCCTGACCAATCCATTTTGTATGACAATAGAAAATCAAAGTAGGTAGAGAAATTTTATAGAAGAAAAAACTAACAAAAAAAAACAAATATTAACGAATAAATAAAGAAAATGATAATAATAAAGATAATGAACAAACAGAACATCTTACCACCCACGAATAATAATAATAAGTTATACATTTATTTCAAATCTACATCACAATTTTATTGATATCAAGTATTATTGCTGTTAATACTTGGTATAGACACTATATGCAGACCGCGGTGAATCTGGTGTGAGAATTTCGATCCTCTTAAAAACTCAAGAATTTCGAAGGTTGTAAGTTTTAGATTAGCAACTAGATTCACTATCGGAGATTATGTCTGAGTTCGTACGGTTGTGCAGTCTTCCTAGACGGCTATTGAGTGTTCCTAAGGTTGCGCAACGTGTGGGGACTATAGAGCTTAAGAAGAATAATGTAGGTCAGGTAAGACTTTTTGTACGTCAACATAGTTCATTCACTACTGCAGTTGAAACAGCAGAGAAGCTTGTTCAACCTCAATCAAAAGCTACTTTCAGTGACCCCTTCTCAATTGTTAGTCATGAAATGTCCAATTTGGCGAAAAATATTGCCAACTTGATTGGTTCAGGTCATCCAACTCTTAACCGAGTTTCTTCGTATTATTTCGAAGCTGAGGGAAAGAATGTACGACCTTTAATTGTACTCTTACTTTCCAAGGCATTACTGAACATCCCAATTCTGGAACGAAATCGTATTACGATAGATGAACTGGATGTCGTTGAACAACCTCATTTCAAGGGAACTCCTAACCTGTCAGTTTCAGTGGCTGGGAACTCTGTAGATGATTCAATTTCCCCACTACAAATTTTACATGGAATCAATCCTAGAGTTATACTAGACCCATTATCCAAGCCAATGGATAAGCTTCCAGAGTTTGATGCCATGAATGGTATCTTACCTAAACAACGTCGTTTAGCGGAAATTGTGGAAATGATCCATACTGCTTCATTGTTGCATGATGATGTCATTGACTTGCTGGATTCCCGTAGAGGTAGACCAAGTGGTAACATTGCCTTCACCAATAAGATGGCGGTTTTGGCTGGAGATTTCCTTTTGGGCCGTGCATCGGTTGCAATTGCTCGTTTGAGAAATCCAGAAGTCATTGAACTTTTATCTACTACAATTGCAAACCTTGTTGAAGGGGAATTCATGCAATTGAAAAATACTGTTCTTAGCAGCAATGAAAACACTGTAAATAATGGTGGAGAAACTAAAAAAATACCTGAAGCTACTGGGAAGGTACCCACAAAGCAACATAATTATACTGTTGACGTTGACCACAAGACTAACGTTGACGCTGCCTTTGAATATTACTTGCACAAGACGTATTTGAAGACTGCCTCTTTGATGTCCAAGCTGTCAAGAGCTGCCGCTGTTTTGAGTGGCTCTCAAGATAATGTCATTGAAAACTGTTATGAATTCGGTCGTAATTTGGGACTTTGTTTCCAAATTGTTGATGATATGTTGGATTATACATCCAGTGATGCAGCAATTGGGAAACCTAGTCAAGCCGATTTGAAGCTTGGTTTGGCTACAGCTCCAATTTTATTTGCTTGGAAGGAAAAACCTGAATTAGGTGAATTAATTGGAAGAAAGTTTAAAGAACCAGGTGACATTGAAATCGCTAGAAATGCAGTTGAAGAATTCCAAGGGGTTGAGAAAACTAGATTAATGGCTCAAGGATACTGTTTAGAAGCATTGAAGAATTTGAGAGTCTTACCAGAATCTGACGCTAGAAGTGCTCTCGAACTTTTAACCAACTCAATTTTGACTAGAACTAATTAGAGAGATATTAGAGTGTGCCTACACAATAATAAAGTGCCAATGGAATGGTGTTTATGGGAACTTGTCTCGTTTAAGCTTCCCACCCTACAACAATCAAGTTTATATAGCAAAAGAAAGAAATTAAAACAAACGAGAGCTCTAATTGTTAGAGGAGCTCTCAATATACATAGTTACATACATATACCTTTACTACAATTGAATGCCATGTAGTTCCCAATGCGGAAGTCACAAAGAAAAAAAAAAAAAGGAAATGGAAAAACTTTGTTAACAGGAAAAACAATTTAAATTACCCGGAAATAAGAATTCCATATATAAAGTGGCGGCGCGCTCAATATTTCTCAGATTCAATTTGTTCCTTGTCGCCAGAAGATCGGTTTCAATCGTACATGGTTCTTGCCTTTTACCAGAACCATCCGGGAATCGTCTTTGCTAATGGTGTATACATATTTTTTGGAAAACTTTCGTTCGTAAAGATTTATCTTGCGACCGCTTTCTGTGTATTGGATTGAGGTCAATCCAATGTATTGAAAGATTAGCAGATTTGAAAGTTTATGATACCTTTTGTAGTTAATAGTACTTCCATAAAGCAACTCCCTTCAATTACAGTACGTTTTACAACTTGTTAATACTTAACGTGATATATATTTAATTCACTTTTATGTTCGTTCTATGTACAGTTTATCTACTTCCATCTTCACACTTACCGTAAAGTCTCTTGGCATCGGAGATCTTGACAAGACAACCGTTTGGTCCTGCAATTTGGCCCTTGATAACTAAGATTCCATTAGCTCCATCGGCGTGCAAGATCTCGTTATTCAATACGGTACGACTATCACCTCCCATACGTCCCGCCATCTTCTTTCCTGGTAAAACTCTACCTGGACTCTGGGTAGCACCCATGGACCCAGCAGATCTATGAGCCTTGGACACACCGTGAGATGCTCTTAAACCTTTGAAACCATGTCTCTTCATTACACCAGCAAAACCTTTACCCTTACTAACAGATTGACAGTCAACCTTTTGGCCAACTGCAAAGTAATCAGCAGTAATTTCGGTACCTTCTGGGATCAATCCAGAAGCATCACGTACTCTGAATTCTCTGATATCTTGCTTTGGCGCAACGCCAGCTCTTTCACAATGCTTTAAAAGTTGAGCAGTTACATTCTTCATTTTGGTACCATGTCCTAATTGAACGGCAAAGAAACCTTCCTTGTCTAAAGTCTTGTTTTGAAGAACTTCACACAGATCAACTTCTACAACAGTGGCAGCCAATTGCTTACCATCGTTGGTGTACCAAGAGAGCATACCTCTCTTGACACCCAACAACCCTGGTCTCTCAAGGAGTTGCTTTCTTGTGTTGGCCATTTCTAAAGAATGGTTGATCTTTGGGGCAACAGTCTTTGTCGACGTCACGGTATGGATAGATGTGAGACGGGCAACACCACGTGTGAAACTCATAGGTTTCACAGCAGCGATCCCGCTTCCCAAGCTAGGGACTTGTCTGATAGTAGTCCACATGTTGCTATATAGTCTATATACTTCCAAACCTTTCACAAGTCAAAAGTTTACCATTTCATTTTTTTTTTCCTGAACCTCAAAAAAAAAAAACATCAAGAGACACAAAAACGAAAAATGGTGTAAGTCGTGCACAAGGGCCAAGAGGTTACTTACAGCCAATAACTAATACAATAGATATATGTTCGATTATAATATATATACAAGGGTGGAGATATGGTGAGTGTGGGCGACTATTACGGCAAGCACATAGATGAATTGACGAGATGTCTTTTAGGACTAGATAGCTAAAGTGGACCAGTTCGTAGAAATCATCAAACTCTTCAAAGTTCGTAATAACGTAGATAATTTGGAAATGTATTGCATCAAGTTCTCTATTTGATCTTCTTTTCCTTCAACTTGATGGTTTCATCGTTGACGTAAATACCCTTACCCTTGTAAGGTTCAGGCTTCTTGAACTCTCTAATCTTGGAGGCAAACTGTGTTACAGTATGCTTATTTATACCTTCAATAATGAGTCTAGTTGGGTTTGGAGAGGTAACAGTGAGACCTTCAGGCACTTCTAAGGCTGGCATGTATGGGTACCCAATCTTAAGAACAACCTGTTTCTTACCATTGGCAAGATCTTCAATGGTAGCTCTATAACCAGTACCTACAAACTTGACAATAGCCAAATGACCTTCTGTTACACCTATGACATTGTTATTAAGTAAGGCTCTGGTTGTCCCCCACATGGATCTTTGGATCTTGTCCTTCGCATCTGGAACAGAAACGGAAACTAATCCATCTTTATTTTCAACTTCAATGAAGTTTGGAACAATGCTTCTTAATACACCCTTTGGGCCCTTGACAACGATATGCTTATCCAAGGTGATGACTTGACTACCTTTGGTGAATCTCTTGGAAAATTCATATGGTATACTTTCAGTGTAGCATTCAATACCTTCACCAAGTCTAATTGGAGCTTTCCCAATGTTGGAACGAATCACAGCACCCACAGAAAATGATCTGACGGCGACCTTACCGCCCATCCCGGCTGCGGCGATTTGAGAAACTGACTGTTTGAACATGTTCCAGTTTTAGTCTATTTTGAATTCCAATCGTTCGACAAAAATATTCAAAAGTATTTCTAAAATTGATTGAGTTTACAAATTTTGGAAAATAAAACAAATGAACAAAAAAAAAAAAAGTAGAGAAAAAAAAAAGAGCGATCGTAAACCCATACACCTGTACTAACATGCGCACATCATTACACCCACTACAAGCGGCTACTCACGTGCGCACTCATCGAAAAAGAAAATTCATATAGAAGAGAAGAGAAGGAAGGAGGAATAAGAATATAGAACAGATTTATTAAAATATTTGTATTTATAACCCCTTATTCAATACAAATACTTTCATCATGGTTAGGGCACTTAAACATCATGAACAGAAATTGTTGAAGAAGGTTGATTTCCTTGATTGGAAACAAGATCAAGGTCACAGAGACACTCAAGTGATGAGAACCTATCACATTCAAAATAGAGAAGACTATCATAAATACAACAAAATATGTGGTGAGATTAGAAAGCTTGCTCATAAACTCTCATTATTACAACCAACTGACCCATACAGAATAAAGCATGAACAGCTTCTTTTAGAAAAATTGTATGCCATGGGGATCTTGGCCACTAAATCCAAAATCTCAGATTTGGAAAACAAAGTAACAGTTAGTGCACTTTGTCGTCGTAGAATTCCAGTTGTCATGTGCCGTTTGAAGATGGCAGAAACAGTTGGTGATGCTGTGACATTTGTGGAACAAGGTCACGTCAGAGTTGGCCCAAATGTTATCACTGACCCAGCATATTTAGTGACAAGAAACTTGGAAGATTACTTGACTTGGGTTGATACTTCTAAGATAAAGAGAAACGTTCTTAAGTACAAGAATAAGATTGATGATTATGACTTGACTTAAATGGACCATGAGGTACTAGAGTGTTAATTTCCTCCACCACTGTGCTTGTCAAAGAAAAGGAAAATTAAAGAGAGAATAATAAAAAAGTATAGTTGTTCAATTCTTATTACTGCATCAGCTTCTGTACACTAGACCTTATAGGTATCATTAGAACTATACTTTTCTTTGTATATATATACTATATAATATGCATACAATAAAAAAAAACTTAGATTTTGCGTAAAAGAATCGTCTAAAAATTAGTGTTCATCATCCTTCTGACATCACTCTTTCTATTGCCAGGGATCAAGTCATTTTGTTGTTCGGCTTGGTACTGTTGGTTTTGATGAATGTTGGCATATTGCTGATTACGTATCGATTGGTTGGTTAAGGAGCCACTTGAACCGTTTCCACCAATTGATCCCGCAGGTTTGAACTTACGTTGTTTAGTGATTTCAGTCACTGGATTCAACATAACAACGGACGATCTTGAAAGTTGAGTGGCTGATGGAGCTGAGTGGGTTAATGGAGGTGGGGCAGTATTTTGTCCATCGTCTCCAAAAGTTGCTTGAGAGCCATTATGAGGGGAAGAAATAGGAGCAGACCAAACCCCATCATTCTCGATTGGGACAAATGGTTGTTTTCCCATGGTTGGAGATAAGTTTAGATTCTTGGATCTAGGTTGGAAATCCGTATACGTTTGTAACGTAGACTTACGAATGTCTGATGGTGGAGGAAGTTGTTGTAATGGAGGTAATTCAACAGCCTCGCGTGGTTGTTGTTGTTGTTGGTGGTAATAATATTGTTGTTGTTCGTATTGTTGTTGATCAAACTGCTGCTGCTCGTCGACAAACTCTTGTTGCTGGTGATAGTATTGTCTTTCTTCTTGCGAGAAAACAGGTGTCTCGGTATAAATGGAGGAGGTGGTAGTCATTCTCTTGTCATAATCAGTATCGGTTTTCAAATGATTATTAATTTTCAAATAATTTTGATTATGGGCAAATTCTGGTAATGGTTGTGAAGTATCATGTTGGAAAGTAGTTGGCCCAGCACTTTCATTTCCATCTCCCTTAGAATTCGGAACCTTGATAGAATTATTACGATCAAAATAAACATTATAAACTGATTTCATTCTCTTCAATTCTTCCTTTTGGTCCTCAGTTAATTCTTCTTCTTCTCCGTCACTATCATTTTTCAATAAATTGAAATCTGACATTCGTAATTTATTGGCACCTTTTTCATGACCTTCATCTTCATGAGTAGGTACTGTTAATCCACTTTGGTTTGCAGACGAAGCAGTCGTGTCCATAGTCTGTGAAAATTCAAAAGCGTCATGATCAGACGGAATTGCACCTTCATCAAATGGAGAGGTTACAGCAGCTTCTCTGGAGTAATCGTTATCTTGAATAGTTTCTCTATCATTCTCGTATCCTTCACCATTAGCGGAGCTTTGTTCAAATGATAAATCTACATTTGGAGGTGGGATGGATGATCTAACATCAGTAATGTCATGAGGTTCTTCGGTGGTATTATAAGAAGTTCTGTCATCTTCATCATCATCAAGTTGGGGGTCTTGAGGGAAGTGACCATCTTGAACAGTAGTATCTGGCCCTATACCTCCCATATCAAGTTCACCTTCATTTTCATAATTAACTGCAAACTTTTCTCCATTAGCTCCAGAAACTTCTCTACTTTCTTCAGATTCAGAATTGCTAACAGATTCCAAATCAGAACTAGATTGGTTTGAAGTAAAAGATTCCTTTGCATTGAAAAATTCTGCTTGACCAAATGATGTAGTAGATTGATTTGGAACAGCAGTATATTTCTCACCAGCCTCTCTTTTCGTTGGACTAGCAGGAGGTTGCTGCAGTTGTTGTTTTTGCTTTTGTTGTGGTTCTTGTTGTTGTTGTTCTTGTGGATTTGAGAGATCAACGAAATTTCTATTCTTTGTTGGAGAATGTCCTGGACTCTTGGAGGGTGGTGGTCCATATGCACCAACTCCCAAGCTAGCATTTGAAAAACTTGAAGATCTTGTTTTGTTCTGAAATTGACCATGAGGAACACCACCCATAAATGTGGATGCCCTAGGAGTAGATGCACCATAAGCTTGGTACTCACTAAGATTTCTAGCATATTCATCCAATGAAAGCTTAGATCCTGTTTGATGTTGATATGGTAACATAACACTATCCATATATGGGTCACGAGATGGAGTCAATGATGACGATGAAGGATGAATGTTCTTTGCATCTGGTAATGGATATCTTAACGAGTTTCTATTATGGAATGGATCTTCCATTTCATATTGTTTTTGATTTGGGAAATCTGGTAATGCAGTAGCTTCACCATTTTCATCAAAATCAGGATCATGTTCCAATGCTTCCTTCTTTTCCTTTCGGTAATTCTTCCACATAAAATACCCTAATACTACAATAATTAAAAAGACTGGAAGTCCAACAGCTAAACCAATAGTTAACGCGTTTTCTGAAACTGGTTTTTGACAGGATCCACTATCGCTATTTTTACAACTATCACTCGAGGACAGAGATGACGAGGTGCTAGTGGAAGCTCTTTCCTTGAGATCCACGGTTGGTGTTGCAATCAAGGTTGCAGTGGTGGGACTATGAGTCCATTTCACCCAGGCCATTCTATTATGATTGATTTTCCAAAAGAAGAAAAATCAGAGAGATCAAAAGGGGTAAAAAAAAATTAAAACGAGTTGTTGATATAGTGGCACCTCGAGAGTATCAATACCTGAGCTTCTGGGCTATGAATAGTGCGCGTAAACGAGTGTCTGGTAGAAGATAATGATCTTAAAGAAGCAAAAGAAAACACCTCCTAATTAGAGTTCAAATCAAATCAAATCTGGACCTTCAACCACAATGAAAATGAGAGTGCGGAAAAAATAAATAGAGAGGACAAAAAAAAAAGACGCCAAAAAATTAAAAGTCAAACAAGAAAAACTCAAAGAAAGCCTTACATAACTTTATGTATGGAGAATTGATTGGAAGTACGTGAATTGAAAGCGTTTTGTAGCAGGTTCTATATATATATATATATGAGCAAGCGGACTTCTAGGTGGTTTATGAACTGCTCGAGAAAATACATCAGGGCAAGGCAAGGCATGTCTGATGTCGATAGTTTCTGTCTATCGTTGAGGCTTTGACGTGGAGATCGAGGTGAGAAAAAAAAAATAAATAGGTTGAAAAAAGAAAAGAGAATTAGGGAGAGTGCCAAAAAATACCCGCACTACCAAAGAGTACAAACATGAAGGGATTGAACATTTCTTTGTCATGGATATAAATCAGGAAAAGCCAGCCAGATAGCGATTCAGAGGTGCGTATATGTTTCCGAGAATAATTTACTACTAACATTTACTACGATTGAAAACTCGTTGTTGTAGATACCTTTGCAAGTTCCCATACGTTTCAGGCGGAACTCTTCACAAAATTTAAAAAGCGCGTCGTTGTGTATACAAGCGCTGTGCCGAAATCTACTATTTGTGTCAATACGATTTAAACAATTTCTATCAATGAACAATGAACCGGAAATATCAAAGAAATTTACGATGTCTAGTGTAGAGATATGTTCCATTTATAAACATTTCAAATAGTATACGTTCTGTGAGATTGTCTATGAAAAGAAAAGTTCTTGTTCGTTTAGGAATATTTTTATTGTTGATTATGAAGAATAGTGCGTGCAGCACTATGCAACCCTGCATTTAGTGAGGAATTCCCGCTATATAGATATTTGAGTGTAGTAGGTGCAATGCAATTGTAAAAAATAATTGAAATACTAGTATCGCGAGAAGTGACGCCAAATCTAGCGATAAAATAAAAAACGGTAATAATTCATTTAGTGTATGTGTTATACAAAGGAGCATTCGACAATACACATCCTCACATGTTTAGTGTAGATTTTACCTAGGCAAAAACAACCCTTCCACTTGAATTTTACATTTCTATCTGTAATTCTATATTAAAATTATTCTTTATTATCTATCTTCTAAAACCATTACTCTATGAAATAATTACCATGATTGGATTTGTTCAAAATAATCCACACGATGCTTGGAAGCATCCAAACTGTGAGTGACAGCATATCTAATCCCATGAACCATAGATGGGTGAGCACATGAAACGATTCCAATTGGTCCATCTGATTCTGAAATCTCTTGTTTAACAATAGCATCCAAATCTGGTCTACCTTCACGGAACTCAATAAAATGGAGACTTTGCATTAAATTTTGAACGTGATCTTCAGATTTCTCCACATCGTTCTTCTTTTCATCATCAGATGAAGAGGCTTCATCGCTACTACCAATTGGTTCAACCAAACCTGAACCTGGTTGAGTGACATAAACAATTGGTTCAACACAAGTACCTTCGAATTTTTTCAACTCTTCATAAAACCATTCCATTGATTTCCAATGACGAATAACCCAGTAAAATCTAATCTTACGTTCACCAGAAGATTTCTTAACTAAATCAATGGCTTCAGAATATAAACCTGGAATACCATTACCACCAGCTAAAAATACACTGGTAGAATATTTGGAAATTGGGATTCTGTTACCATATGGACCTTCAACTGACATCTTAATATTGGCAGCATGTCCTGGTTGTTGAGCCAAATATTGGTACAATCCATGAGTTGCACCACCTTTAACCTTCATGTAAAATACGATTGTGTTATCTTTTTCTACCGAATCAACAATAGTAAATGGATGCGATTGCCAGAAACATGTAGGTCTCATGAAATGAACAAAGGCATGACAACCTGGGAAAGGCTTCCAGTATTTTGGTCTTGGTACAGTAACTTTCAAGGTTTCGTTAGCCTTCAATTGAACATGAGCTGTTTGAATACCAAATGCAAATAAACGAGCAAATCTCATTACTCTATCAAAGCACCATGCTGCAACTGCCGCAATGTAGAACCGTTCATATCCATCGTCGGCAACGTGAATCCAGCCACCAACAATCCAGAAAACGGCGAAAAGAATATGAATAGCAAGGAATAATTCATAATTCTTGTTTCTAAACTTCATCATGGCTTGAATGAGAATAATGAATCCAGCAACAGTAGCAACATAACCCCAAATAACATATGGCTTGTTGTTACGGGAAACAAACTTCCCAAGTGCAACACCAGAAATAGACATAGCAATGGTATGAACCAAAACCAAAATGAAGGTAATTCTTGAGATCCATCTATGTAAAAGAATCATTCTAGAATATGACCATCCAGAAATCCATTGAGTAAAGTTATTTCTACCAGCAAATAAGATTTGAATGGGAACGAGATAACAAGCGATGATTCCAGATCTATCGGCAATCTTTCTACCCATTTCAGCCTTCGTACTAGCCCAAACAAAGTTATGTGAAACATGATCAATATGATCAATATTGAAAACCAATGCTAAGATAAACCATCCCAAGACCAAGATTGATTCTAATCTAGTTGGGATTAATCCTGCGAAAATGTACATAAAGGAACCACTAGCGGCATGTTTTCTTCTTATTGTTGCTGGAAGAGTGATATACTTTCTGAAAAGTTTTGAGGCACTACCATTGAAGAAACTTAAAACATCTGGGAAGGCGAACGAAAGGAAGTTACAGATACCAGCAATAAAGATTGCAGCAAACCAATAACTAAGTAAGACTACTGAATACCAAGTAGCGTAGTTATAGTTAATCCAACGGGTGTAGATAGAATCGTAAGCTCTATTCACTGCCACTTGTTTCAATTTAATTGGACTAGAGAGTAATTTGGTCTTGTTGAAACCTTCAACCTTGGTAACGTCAACCAAATATTGAGTAGCATTGTCATAGGCAGCATAGAATTGTTCTTCTGTTATTTCACACTCTTCAATGAAATAATTAACACCTTTCTTATTCATATTGTCGACAAAACAATGGGCTGCACTTCCCAATGCAACTTGATTCTTGACATTACAATAACCCTTCTTATCCTTCTTACCAAATAAAGTAGCTGTCTTAGCAAGCAACCCAGTACAGGCTAAGAATCTAATTTCAGGTTCCAGATAAATAAGTTTTAATTCTTCCATTGCGGCGACAAGCGTCACAGAGGTAGCAAGAGCAATGAGGTGTGAGATCTTCATGCTGATTAAGAGAATAGGTCGGATTGAGTCTACTTCCCTTCAAACTTAGAACAATAAGAGGTGGGGGGACTACTGTATATATATACTTCGATTTTGAAGGAGTAAAATTTTTTCATGTATGCTGGATGCTCCTATACATGCCCATTGATTGATCAGATAAAATTTTATTCATGTTAAAATGTACCTATGCATAAAAAATAACCATAAGAGCCAATTCCAACCAATGACAGCCAAATATTTAAAGGCACTTGCATGAAAAAGCCGCACAAAGCCACTGATGGAATTGATAAAATTTGAAAGTCTATCGAAATGATGCATTGATGTGGTACCAAAAGTACATATTCTCAGCCCTTGCCAAGACTTTTGACATATGAAAGTTTCAAGTATCAACCGTATTTACGGTACCGTTATTTTGTGCAATCTTTAACAAGCGAACGGCTCTCACCCATCAGCAGTTAAACAAATAAGTTATTAAGCGAATTTCTACACGGACATTGTAGTATCAGAGAATACTAGAGACTAATAATATATTGCAAACATTTCAATTAAAAAATATTTGCCATATACTGTCTTTAATGCCGTGTATGAGTTTTTTTTTAGAAAGGAAGAAAAAAAAAAACCTAATGCGAACCGGATTTACAAATTCAAACAATCTAGATTACCATTGGCTGCAGGTATGCACCGAGTAGGAAAACGATTATCCTCCTAAAATACCATATGGTCAAGGGGGGTGGGGGTGTTCGAATTTGGTATGCGATTTCCTAATTGGTGGTTCTATTATCATATTGCCAAGTTTTCAATTTGCTGTTCAAGTTCTTCTTGCTCCGCCCTTAGAAACTCTTCAAGCTCTTGTTGGAGAATATCCTGTTCATCTATACCCCCGTCCTTATACGAGTTATCGTCGTTATCTTCTTGGTCTCTTTCTAGCCATTCATTTATGTAGATCTCGCCTGCAAGTTCGTCTGCTTCTCGATTCCATTGGTTTAGTAAATCATTCTTGGATTGAAAATTTTGAATTTTCTCCCGATTGTTCATCAAGACGTCATGTTTATGAAGTCCTCTTATTTCCTTCATTTTTTCATGTTTGTTCCTCGGATTGATCACTGCACCGCGCAATCGTACTACTTTGTTTCTGTGGAAGGAATTGCCCTTGACAGGTGAAGATAGGGGATGATATAACGCGTTATGTCTTTCCTTCTGTTTGTCAAGAATATTTTGAGTATGATCGCGCGTTGTGGGACGTATCGGCGAACTAAAACTTGATTGTAATGACCCATCATACATCAGTTCATCACCCGATAATTCATTGTTAGCATCAGCATAATTATCAATACCTTGATCCTGATTCATTTACTCTCAATTAAAATACTTTGCCATTCTTACCTTACATTTGATTCTTCCTCTATGTATACAAATCAGATTAATGTAGGGAAAAATAAACATTCGTGCGCGAAGCAAATTGACTAAATAACCAAGTCCAACTAAGAGTTTTCTCCATCAAGTAGATTACATAGATAAAGCACTTACAAGTACTCATTGAGCCGTTTATATCACTCTAAATCACGTGTACATATTTCATTTTCCACTTTCTGTGAAGTCCTCTCCTTTTTCTTGTTCATTATGACATCTTCTATAGCGTCATTTGAATCATTTGATGATACAAATCCAGATTGTATGGATAAAGTTGCAGAGTTATTATCTATCAGGTCAATTGATCTCTTTCATGATATAACAACACCATCACGTGTGTTAAAAGTACATGTGAGACCTGTTCATAAGATTCGATCTAAAGTGCTAAACGGATGTTTGAACCTTGTAGATCAAAACTTACGTGAACATTATATTCGTAACAATGGGAAAGATTGGAAAATTGATAAAAAGGAAGAAATGTCAGAAAATGGTTTAGTTTATGTATATTATAAAGACCAAGAAACTGGTGCATTGGCAGCATTCATGTCATATATGCTCACCTACAATGATCCAGAGTCTAAAGATGAGAAAGTTTTATATTTGTATGAAATCCACGTAAGTCGTGAGTATCAATCACTGAAGATTGGGACAACGTTAATAGATAACTATCATAAACTTTCACAAGACCTTAACAACTCTAACGATATTTTGGAATCAGACGCTACCAGCTTAACAGTTTTCAGTGATAACTTGAAAGCTCTTAATTGGTATAAGAAAATGGGTTACAAATATACAAAAGACTCCCCTAGAGATAAAGTTCTTAGAAAGAAGGTTGTAAAGCCTCCTTACTATCTCCTCACTCGTAAAAATATAGACTCCAATTTAACATAACTTTTGCATTGTATAGGATATATACATATATACACTCTTTTCTAATTAAATTTTTACTTATTGATTCATCACGTTAACGTAACCTCTCTTGGGACCCCTCTTCAGCTTACGTGCACCAGCAGATGGTGCTCCAAGGGTAAGTAAATCATCTAAACCAGCATTTACCAAATTAGGACCTGGCGTTGGCGTCCCAGTTAAAGATGGCGCAGCCGAAAGTGGAGCGCCTGGTGTGGTTGATACCGTAGAACCTGGTGGTCCTGGTGGTCCTGGTGTTCTTGATGGTCCCGATGGTCCTGGTGGTCCTGGCGGACCTGGTGGACCACTTGATTTTCTAGCATCTGCGTCAAGACTAGGTGTCCCGGACTGATTTGGCGGTGTTGTCTTCTTCTTCATAGAAGGTGGTGGTGGAGGTGCTGCAGCCCTGAGTTGTTCTTCACGTGGAACATTCTTATTGATCCATTTTTTCAATTCCTCATCGTAATAGAAAGCATTTGACTCCCCCAATTTAGCTCTAATGGCCTTTGGTCTCCCGTCATCTTTCCCTAGCCAGTTAAACCATCCCAGCTTTCCAGGAGTGCCAGGAGCAGCCTGTGATTCTTCTGGCTTTGACTTAGTTCTCTTTTCAGCTTCTTCTGTAGCTTTTCTCTTCTCATCTTCTAACTTTTTCGCCTCCCTCTCTGCCTCTTCCTGTGCTCTCTTCCTCTCTGCTTCACGGTTAGCTCTATCGTCTTCATCTTCATCTTCGTCTTCTTCAACAACTGGGATAAATTCCTTGACGGTGTCATCCTCGACCTCGTACTGTTGGTACATAGCCAGTTGATGTGATTGGGAAAGTCTTGACGAATAAAACCCTCCTCCACCCATATTATCACCGATTACAGAATTTGCACGTGTAGTATAATCAGGGGTGCCTGGTACAGGGAACTCGCCAAAATTGTTAAATCCTGGGATATTTGTAGGGGCAAGCTCATTTCTTTGGTATGGGTTGAACATTGAGTCGGGTTTCACTTCAGGTGTTGCAGGGAATTGACGTAACATTGGTGCAGTTGGTTTAGCTTCGTTGGTATTCGGATATTCACTTTCGAAACTAACATCAACATTAGAAGATACTGGTTCTTCGCTTGTATCCTGAGCTACGTCATTAGATTTAATATCCTCCTTCAAATTTTCAGGTTGCTTTGATTCGGGCTCCTTTTCAGCCTTCTTTTCTTGTGCCTTTTCAGGCTCAGAACCAGCTTGGTATCCTCCATAACTGAACATATCCGCTTGTGGGAAGGCTGGGGGAACAAAGTTTGAATCATTCTTCAGGGAACCAACTGGTGGTCCATATTTATTCTTTCTTTGGTTCGAACGAGCACTAGTTTGAGCTCCAGGTGCATAAGGATTGAATCTCTCCCTCTTTTGTTGAGTGAAAGTTGGGTTCCGGAGTGTAGGTGGGGCCAAAACAGGTGGCGCTGCCGATTGAGGAGGTGCTGCTGGTAGAGAAGCGATGTTTTCTTGCAGAACAGTTGGTTCAGGTGATTCGTTTATCGTCTCTGCGACAATATGATCTACTAAATCTCTTTTCCGTTCTGGTGATCCCAAATTGGATCCTGTCAGAAATTCACCAAATTTGCGTGAAGGAGTCGACTTGAACTCTGGTGGGTAGTCTAAGCTGATATCACTCTGTACCGATGGAGAGTGGTTTTGAGCGCGAATGGCATCGGGATTTCCAAAATTCTCCGTAGATAGAATGCTTCCAACTGATGGTCTTTTGTTCATTGAAGGATGGAAGGTTTGTGGAGTAACCTGTTGATATCTGAGGTTGCTAGAATCAGCGCCGGTCGGAGGTACCGCAGCTTCGACAAAAGGTTGTGCATAATGAGCAGGAGGCGTTTCAATTAGTGGTATAGTAGTAGTTGGTACTTCAGTAGATCCAGATCCAACTGGATGCATAACAACAGACAGGTTAGAGAGTTGAGCTTCTTGATTCGAATACCCAAAAGACGATTCAGCCACCGTATTTCTCTGTACGCCTGCTGCATATTTCTCTCTCTTCCTTGTAGAATTAATTTGGTTTTCAGTTTGACCGTTCAATGGTAAGCTCAGTGATGAAACATTCGATGGTGCATATCTAGAGTTCGATTCAAAGCCACCACGTGAAATTGGTTGAGGTGAAGGGTATTCGTCGGGAGGTCCAGATACATGGCCCATGGACGGAGCATACTTTGGGACATTTCCAACCGTGTGACCTCTTGTAAGAGGTGGAGCAGATCGGTTTTCTTGCAATTTACCATTAGTAGGGTAACCAAAAGTGTTATTGTCCGACGAAGTATTAGGGGCGGATTGGTGATTGGATTGGCCACCACCATAATGTTGCATTGCTTGGATTTGGCTCAGTGGTTGGTTATGTAATCCCCCAGTAGCTGTGAAATCCAAAGTCGACGTAGTTCTGGAGATCGAAGGACTAAATTTACTAAAGACACCTTGTTCACCCTTGCTCTTTGGTTCATCTCCCCCAATAAACTTGTCCAAATGTCCCCACATCTTGTCTAGGTTCACCTTACTAATCTTATTTCCAAACCAACCCAGATCTTGATTGTTGGTAGCAGACACTCTCATGGCCAAATCTTGGAACTCACGCCAAAGAATATTATTAGTATTGGAACCCTGTGGTCTAGAAGACTTCAAAATAGGTCCAATATAATCACAATACTTTTGGGCTTCAATGTACAAACCATAATCGGCTAAAACTTGAGCATGTTTTACCTTCACTGAAAACAAGTGTGGGTATCCATGTTGTGGATCCATTGGGTGAGGTATCAGCGACGTAAGTAAAGCATATTCATAAATTTCAGAATATATGGCGGATGAAAATGTGCTTGCGCCAACAGTGGAAAATGTTGGATTGGTGGAAGGTGGCGAAAGGCGAACACCAGCTAAGATGTTACAAATATCACTAGGGATACTTTGGGAAGAATCAGATAAAAACCTTCCAAATTCCATACAGAACGACTGAGAATTCTCGGAACCACTAACAATAACCAGTGAAACAATGTCGCGCCAATGTTGAATTGCCCATTCAGCTTCTGATGGTACACTAATTAAATCTTGAATTACAGAGCTTGATGCACCAGATAATGCCTTAAGTAAAATTGGCATCAAATGGTGTACTTTACTTTGAGACTTTTGGAATGGGAATATAATCCTAGCAAAGTCAGAAGCGACTTTTTCAAATTTCTCTTTTCCTATAATGTTCGCAATCAAAAGGGACATAGCGAAATCTCCCTTAGACATACAGAATGAGAGTGCTTCTTCAGTCTTTCCTGCTTGTAAGAATCCCAATAAAATAATATATCCATTGTTGTCGAGTCTGAATGCAGTAGGAGTAACATTCTTATTATTCATATTATACAGATCGGTATTTGCACTCGAATCAAAACTAGGATTCAAAAGTGGGCATACATTCTCAATGAAAACTTTGGATTGGACTTCACCACCACTGTGTAGAAAGTGCAAAAGTACTTGGTTCAAAAGGATTTCGTCTGTTTTAGAAATATCGTTATTGTTACCAAGTGCTGCAATATTCGATTCTAACCACTTTTCCACTTCCTTTTTCTTTCCTTTTGCTGAAGCCTTGCTCAATGGACCAGGGAACGATGCAAACGAGTTACTCAATTTGAGTGATTTTGTAACGCTACTTACGACAATACTAGGTCTATTGATTGGAATAGGAGTATCGTATGTAGGGTTTGAAGACATCGTTGGAATTAAATACGCTACATTTCCTGAGTTACTCCAACTGAAGATAGGAAATTGTCTTTGAAGTAAGGCTGCTGGATTTTGTACTTTCGGGGCTGCTGCTTGGGTTGCTGCTATTTGAGCAGCATGGCTCTTTGCGTATATATTTGGCCTCGAATTCGATGTTCCCCGAGGTCTTCCAGCACCATGGGGTGCGGTCATGGCAGGTACTCCAGCAAATGCCAGAGGAGCGGAGTTTACTGGAGGTGGTACAAATCCTGATGGGGGGAGTGCAATTCCCTGATTTGGTGGTGGGGCCACAATGCCAGATAAAGGAATTTGATCATTTGGTCCTAATTGTTGCACTGGTGGCAAAGCTGGAGCATATGGATTAACTTCCTTTCCTTTGACACCAACTAGGGAGCTTGCCCTTGAATGTGTTCTTCTGTGTCCTGTTGGGGCATATGGACCAGCATTTGGAACATAGGGACTAGTAGCTGAATTGCTTCCAGTAGCCTTTGGCAAGTTGGTGTTTATTGGTTGAGGATTGGAAATTTTACGGGCTGGAGGTTGTGGTAATCCTTGTAATGCCCCATGTCCAGGTACTGTCGGTTGCAAATGTGTAGATCCTTGTCCTAGTGGAGCCATATTTTGTTGAACCGATGGGAATGGTTGAATTCCTGGTTGCATGGAATGTGGTTGTGGATGTTGGCTACTGAGGGCGGATACTGGTGGAACTGGACCAGCCCTAACATTTGCCATTGGTACAACAGGGCTAACTTTTGGAGCATATGGATTAGGTTTAGCAACAGGAACAATTGATGGTGGTGGTGGTGGTGGTGTATTTTGCAGGGCAGCCGGGAAACTTTGCTGAATTTGTTGTGCTTGTTGCTTTGGAACTCTTGGTGGTCTTGGTGCAGGTTTAGGTAAGTCAATAGGCAATTCCTCGTAGAATGGTTTAGGAGTTGCAACAGGTTTAGGTGGACCTGGAACAGGTCCTGTGTTGGAGGATGCAGGTGCTTGTGAGTTCGATTGGGGAACCTTTGGGGTAGAAGATGGACCATATTTGTTGGACGGAATGCGAGGGACTGGTTTCTTTTTTTCTGGTAAAAATTCAACAGGGAAATCATAAGCGTCATTCTTCTTCTTTGCTGCATTGAGTTGTTCCGTGAATTCAGAAGCGGTTTGGTGATTCTTATTCACAATTGGAGGGGCATACAGACTAGATCGGGTAGATGACGTGGTGGACGTATTTGATGGCAAGTATGAATGAGGGGCTCTTGGTTTCTGAACTTTTGAAACTGGAGTTTTATCCAATGGCTCTTCATCAAAGAGCAAGTCATCATCATCAAGAAATGCAAGAGATAACGCCTTTTTAGAAGAATTAGCACTTGGTACGTTAGGTACATTAGAAGCTTGTTCAATCTTGTCCAACGTTACATCCGAGACAGATGCTGGAATCACAGGTTTATTGACAACTGGCTCAGTAGTTGCTGGTTTGACATGAGAAGAGTCACTAGCAGTCCGTTCGGAAACAACTGGTTCGCTTGGGGTATTCTTAGAAATACTTGCAAAGAAGTCATCATCCTCCTCCAACTCCCCAAAAATGTTACTTAATTTTGCAGTCTTATCAACTGGGGCTTGTTTGGGCTCCTCTGGTACTGCTTCCTTTGCAATTCCTTCGACTTCTGTAGAGTCTTGTTCGGTAACAAATGCCGGAACTTCCGCCTCTTGGATTTTGGTATGCTCATGTTCTGCAATGGGGAATTTATAACCTCCATCCAGTTCCAAGTTCACTTCGTGTTGAATGGTAGATTCTTGATTCGGAGAAGAATCGACTTGATCAAAATTTCCCCCTTGAATTAAAGTTGGAACTGATGTAGATCCCCGCTCAGCGAGCTCGTCTACGACATTCTTTTCAATCTCAACATTAGATATATGATCAGTAGGTTGTTGGTTATTGTCCCAAGGGAATTCGGCACTGCCATCTTCCGCAGACTTTAACCAATCCAAAGTGTTCTCGGTCTTCCCTTCATCTACAGTGGAATTTTCCCAAGGTAATTTTTCACCCTCCTGTGCTGAATCGTTGGATAACCATGGCAACTCTTCCTGTGGAGGATCATTGGTGGTGCTTTCTACCACTAGCTGATCCTCGGTAGGTTCGTATACCGTTGCCAGTTCTTGTTCTAATTTTGAAGAAGGAATATACTCTTGAAGTTTACTTGTGTGCATATCAGCAACCAATGTCATCGGATCCTCTTGGTTTTCAATTCCTCCGAATGCTGGCTCAACGGCTGTTGATGGTTCCACTATTGGTACTTGTTCTTCTTCTACATATCCTTCATCAACATCTTCATTACCAGTGATTTCTTCTCTCACATCAAGGTCAGTATGCTTATTTTCATTAAAACTGTCAAGATTAAAGTCAATGGCCTCTTCTTTTACTTCGTCGTCTTCTTCTTCGACATCTTGAGCCACATCCTGTTCGGATGATGGCTCTTTCTTCAAGATCTTCTCTTCTGTAACTGAAGCACTGCGCTGAGCTATCGAAGATATAGCGTCATTGACAGACTTACTTTCAAAGTTTCCCTCAGCTTCAAGTAAAAGGCTATTCCTACGTTCAGATTGCAGTTGTTCTGGTGGACATAATAAGTTCGCTTCATCTTCATCTTCGTCATCCATAACTCCAAATGCTGTTGAAACAGATGCGACAGATAACCCTTCCTTCTCTGCTTTCTTCTTAGCCTTTTGTCTGGCCTTTCTAGCCTTATTTTTCTTGGTTTGTTTGCCAATCTCAGCAGTAGAAATTTCAGATCCTACAACAGTTGACGTGTTAGGTTCGGACATGATTTAATACAACGGGAAATAATCGATTTTAACACGGCAAATCGAGCTTCTATGGGGAATTGGCTGGTGTTTCCGTTCAGACGCTCTCAAAGTTGCACACGTTAGTATGATCTATGGAATAAAGCACTAGTAACTCTATCAAATGATTTCGTTGTCCGTCAGTGTACTGTGTGTTGATTGAATTTGTTTGTTGGGGCACGACCAACCAACAACGCGCCTTCCTAGTGGCATGTTGCAAATCACCAGCATAATAAATTATTCAGTTGAGAGAATTACAAATATTATTGTGGAATATATAGGGATAAATCTATAGATGTGACACTGGAGATTGCTTCTAGTTGTAAATTTATATAGATGATATGTTGTGTTAAAACTTAGTTGTTCGCCTACCCCTCAAGCTAAGAGTTCAAAGAAGCTCTCTCAATTTATTCATCTAACAATATGTGAACTACTCCATATATAGATACGTATTAATTAATACCTAATCAAGAATAATTCTAGGTATCAAATCCCAATTCATTTCCATTATATACTTATTAATAAGAAAAACTCGAGAAAAAAAAAATGGGTTTGCAGCCTTAAATATTCGGAGAGAGAGCCCGGACTATAGATATACACCCCATTCTAAACTCCGGGTTAACTTAACATATCTTCTAATAAAATGTGGAAACTTAACTGTTGTCTGTTTGAAAAAAGGTCTTTACTCTCCTCCTTTGTAGTTACTTTCTTTTTTAATTTTTTACTCACTCATTTTTCTTCGAACATGCTATGCAAATTTTTTGTATCATGACCCTCCAGACATACTACCCCTCCCCCCACAGTGGATATTCTTCGAAAAGTCAATAAACTATGTACACGACTGCTCAGATCCTATATGTTCTATTCTGCTTGCCCAGACATTAAGAAGCCCATCCTGCAAGATTCAACGGCACTTCTATGCATCTCTAATGGCCGAACGCCGTTTTGCCTTGCCGTAGAATAAAACGGCTTTCTCTCCGAAACCTGGATTTCGAAAAAAAATTACTGAATCCTACATATACTTCAAACAAGCCCCGAACCCCCTAGGAGCAGGCAATTCAAATTACTTTCTTATTGACTACTCTACTTGCTCTCTTAAGCTCTACAGTCTATAAATAACTTTGTCTAGTTACTCTCTGTGCTTAATTAGTGTTGAATCAGTTGTGTTTCAAAAACAGAGAATACCAAGAAAAGATGTGCTCCGAAAACGCTGTGCCATATTACGAGGCCTTACCGAAGACCCTCAAGCCTCATCATTACGATCTTTCTATCTCTGAGATAGACGCCGAAAAGGAAACTTTCACTGGTGTTGTTCGTATCCACTTGAGTGTCGAATCTTCCACCGACGAATTACACTTGAACTACAGAGATTTAACTGTGTATCAAGATAAAATTTCTATTGTTGCTTCTGGTATCAATGGTTCTTTAGATGTCAAGGTTACTTCTATCTCAGAAATCAAAGAAAAGGAATACTTTGTCATTAAGTTTGCTGAAACTGTCGATGCCTCAAAGTTCACTGACTTGTTGGTTACTTTAACCTACAATGGTCTCATCCAAAACAATATGGCTGGGTTCTACAAATCGACATACACTGAGCAAGGTGAAGAAAAATTCATGTTGTCCACTCAATTCGAAGCCACTGATGCCAGAAGAGCTTTCCCATGTCTTGATGAACCTGAATTGAAAGCTACTTTCTCGGTCGACTTGACTGTTCCAAAGGAATGGGTTACCTTGGGTAACATGCCAATCGCTCAAGAAACTGCTTCAGGTGCTCTCAAGGTTGTTACTTTTGAAAAGACTCCAATCATGTCCTCGTACCTTCTTGCATGGGCCTGTGGTGATTTTGAATACATTGAAAGTCATACTGAAGGACTTTATGTTGATAACAAACCATTACCTGTCCGTATCTACACCACCAAGGGTTACACTGCCGAAGCTGAATTTGCATTGGAAATTGCCCCAAAGATTGTTGATTATTTCAGTAAGATCTTTGAAGTCAAGTATCCATTACCAAAGCTTGATTTGATTGCTGTCCATGCCTTTTCTCACAATGCAATGGAAAACTGGGGGCTTATCACTTACCGTAGTACTGCATTGCTTTTCTCCGATGAAAAGTCTGACCCTCTGTACAAGCAAAAAGTTTGTTATGTCGTTGCCCACGAAATTGCTCATCAATGGTTTGGTAACTTGGTCACTATGAAATGGTGGGATGAATTGTGGCTCAATGAAGGTTTTGCCACTTGGGTTGGTTTTGCTGCTGTTGATTTCTTATTCCCTGAATGGGATATTTTCAGTGGATTCGTTTCTGAATCTTTGCAACAAGCTTTAAACTTGGATGGTTTAAGAAACTCTCATCCAATTGAAGTTCCAGTCATTGATGCCTTGGACATTGATCAAGTTTTCGATGCAATTTCGTACTTGAAAGGTGCGTCTACCATTTTGATGCTTTCAAACTACTTAGGTCAATCTGTATTCTTACAAGGTGTTGCCAAGTACTTGAACAAGAACAAATTCGGAAATGCTACTTCCAATGACTTGTGGTCTTCCATTGAAGACGTATCTGGTAAGCCTATCAGCTCCTTGATGGAATCTTGGATCAAGAAGATTGGTTTCCCAGTTGTTAATGTCGATGTCAACTCTGACAAGGGATTGAAGATTTCTCAATCCAGATTCTTGAACGGTGGTGATGTCACTTCTGAAGATGATGAAACTAAATGGTGGATTCCATTGAACTTCTCTACTGGTCCAGAACATAAAGACGTTTTCACTGATGTTAAGCCTCTCGCAGAAAAGGAAACCACTATTGAAAACTTCCCATTACTTGACAAGTTCTTCAAGCTTAACAAGGATACCACTGGTGTCTACCGTGTCAACTACTCTCCTCAAATCTTGGAACAAAACATCTTGCCATATTTCAACAAGCTCTCTGCTACTGATAAGGTTGGTTTGATTGCAGATGTATTCTCCATTGCTGTTTCTGGTAATGAGTTTACCTCCACCGCCACTTTGCTCAACCTTATTAAATCTTTGGTAGACTCTGATGCATTGGGTGATGATTACGTTGTTTGGCTTGAACTTGGTAACAGATTAAGTACTGTCTTGACCACCTTTTCCGGTGTTGATGCATCTTTGACTGAAAGCTTGCACCATTTTGCTCAATATGTCTACAACAAAAAGGCAATCTCAGTTTTGGGCGACTTGAAGATTAAGGAAGACTCTTCATCTACTAAATCTCACTTGAAGGGTAAGTTACAAAGAGAAATCTTGAGTCACGCTGGTCTTTTATCCATTGCTGGTGTTAAGGAATATGCACAAGAATTGTTTGATGCTTGGAAGTCTGGTGAAACCATTGATCCATCTTTGAGATATTTCGTTATTTCAACAATTGCTTCATCTCCAGAATTGATGGATGAAAAGAAATTTGGTTTGATTATGACTGATGTTATTGCTCCTACTTCTTTGGATTCTAGAGAAATCACTTTGGCTGCATTGGGACACCTCAAAACCCCAGAATTTGCAACCAAAATGATCGGCTACTTGGTTGAACCTGAAGTTGTTCCTACCATGGATGCCCACTTCTTGGGTAAGAACCTTTCTTTAAATATACAGGTTAGAGATGAATTCTGGAAGTACTTCAAGAACAACTACGATTCCTTCTACAACCTTATGTCAACCAACATGGTCGTCTTGGACAGATTTGTCAAATGGACACTTGGTAACTACCAAACTAAAGAAATGCACGATGAAATTGAACAATTTTTCTCTGATAAGGATGTCCATGGATTTGAAAGATCTTACAAGCAAGTTTTGGACAACATTAAGATTAGAGCTGCTTGGCTCGAAAGAGATCAAGCTTCTGTTGTTGAGTGGTTGAAGTTGAACGGGTTCTAGGTAAAAGAGAAAATAAGGATTAATTGAAGATAGAAAATATAATAAATGAAAAAATAATAGACATAATTGTTAAAAACAATAAAGCTACATCTCTGTCAATTGTAAACCGTATTGAAGTATACTGTATTATCTATAAACAAATTCTCCCTTCGAAATCTTCATCTCCTGATTATCTATTTATTCTTGGTCAACCTTTTGTTCATGAATGTTGGCATATCTACCGGATGGATCAGCATGACAACCCCATTCAGCCTTTGGAATCCATCTCATAACAGTGGAAGCAGCGGCCTTGGAGTTGGGGAATTGAGCATCGAACTTACATCTGTACCAGTAAGCTTCCTTGGTAGTTGGAATATCGTCACCCCATTCTGGCTTAGGGTTGGCCAATTCTTCATCGGTGACGGCAGCTTCAGCAGCGTCCTTCAAACCATCAATCCAAGAGTAACCAACACCATCGGAGAATTGTTCCTTTTGTCTGTACAAGATTTCCTTTGGCAAGTATGGAATAGCATCTGGATCATCAGAAGTGTCGAAAGCCTTTCTTAAAATGTACTTTTCAATCTTACCTTCCTTTTGCTTGATCAACTTGTCTTCTGGGTTAATGTTCATACAAACGTTCAAGAATTCCTTGTCCAAGAATGGAACTCTGGCTTCCAAACCCCAAGCCATGGTGGACTTGTTAGCTCTCAAACAATCAGCGTAGTGCAAGTTCTTAACTCTTTGAACACATTCAGCATGGAATTCATCAGCAGATGGAGCGTTGGCAAAGTATAAGTAACCACCAAAGATTTCATCGGAACCTTCACCGGACAAAACCATCTTAACACCTTGAGCTTTAATCTTTCTGGACAATAAGTACATTGGAGTAGAGGCTCTGATAGTGGTAACATCATAGGTTTCCAAGTGAGAAATAACTTCATCCAAGGCATCCAAACCATCTTCCAAAGTGAAAGTGTGAGAGTGATGGATAGTACCAATGAAATGAGCAACCTTTTCGGCAGCAATTAAATCTGGAGCGCCTGGTAAACCAATGGCAAAAGAATGTAATTGGTTGAAACCAGCAGAGTGAAGAGATCCCTTTTCATCAACACCAGATAATTCCTTGTTGGCATCAATACCAGTCTTACCAATAGAGGCAGCAGCCTTTTGAGTTTCTCTGGCGGCAATGGCAGCAATCAAAGAAGAGTCCAAACCACCGGATAACAAGACACCGTATGGGACTTCAGCCATCAATCTCTTTCTGACAGCCATTTCTAAAGTTTCTCTAACTTCCTTGTAATCGACAGCCTTGGTTGGAACCTTAGAACCATCCCACCAGTTTGGAGTGAAATATCTGGTGGTTTCGTCAGTGTTAGAGTCATAGACATGACCTGGAGGGAAGGCAATGATTTCGTCACATTCATCAACAAGACACTTCAATTCAGAGGCAAAGTAACGAGTTTCTGGGTTCTTAGAAGACTTACCCATGTACAAGGTAGTAATACCGATAGGATCTCTGGCGGCAATGATTCTGTCAGCGTCCTTATCATACAAGACAAAGGCAAACATACCGTCCAAGTACTTTGGAGCATCAATACCATATTTCTTGTATAATGGGATGATAGGTTCACAGTCGGAGTGGGATTGGAATGGGTAATCCTTCAAGTCGTCTCTCAACTTGATATGGTTATAAATTTCCCCATTAACGGCGAGAGAGTATTTTTGGTCTGGGGAGACGATTGGTTGGGCACCAGAGTCAAGACCAACAATGGCCAATCTTTCGTGACATAAGATAGTAGAGTTTTGGATCACGTTACCAGACCAGTCTGGTCCACGGTGACGAATTCTTCTAGAGTTTTGAAGAGCTTTACTCTTAAAGCTTTCAATTTCGGGTTGTCTGTAAGCAGCGTAAATACCACACATTTTTAACTTTCTGTTGATTAGTTGTACAGGCTAGTGGTGGTGGTTTGTGGTTGGAGGGTGTTTCAAAAAGGAACAGGCGGTATAAAATGAATAAATATGTTTATCTGTTTTAATTTTTCAGTCAATAAGCGCCAAAGTGGACTACTTTTAAGTGTCGAAAATTTCCTGTGACTAACACCCGGAATTGGATTATCATACTCGTATATGCAGTTCCGAGGTGGTTTTATAACTTCAAAATGCCTTAATTGCCTAGAAAATTAGACCGGAACAAGGAATCGCATTCCCGCATTTTTGAGTCATCGAGTCACATAGAAGATTGATATGTTTTGACAAATGATAGAAATAAAATATGACGATTACAGTAAGATTGTGAATATTATTCAAAGATTGGTTTATCCGATTTAAAAATGTTTACTGGCACTTAGTGATCTTATAAAGATTTTATTAAAAGAGTCGTATTATATGGATTGTTCCCTTGTTTTAATTTTTTTTTTTTTGGTCTTCTACTTTTTGACTCTATCTCCAATTCGACCGACCACCGATTACGGTCCGGTGAAGTTTGCTTCGCATTAAAAATGCAAAAAAGTAGAGTTAGAAGAAGAGTAAGAAACAAGGGTTTAAGTACAAGAAGGATCCGTGGAGGAGAAAAGGAGTAAATATAACAGAAGTTTTGGAAATGTATATTATTATGTAATATATGACTATTACTAATTCACAATAAGAATCTCTTTTACTGGTGTATAGAAATATTTTTAACGTACTATAATATTTTACTGTTTAAATTATTGATTCGCTAACTCTACCCATTTATGAGCGTATCTTTTCCATTTTATTTTTTTGGATGTTTTTTTTTTTTGACGATCCGGGCAAATATTATTGAACACTTGTTTTTTTGTTTCCTTCTACAAAGGAATATCTTTGTGTTCTTTTGGAACGTGATAAACGTCATGTGATGTTTAATACCTTAGTGGTAGGTTTTTTTAGGTGGCGTTTAACACAAAGATCAATGGGAAACCATAATCTCAAAATCTTTAAACAATCGAATTAAACATTGAATTAATAACTGTTTTTATATTAATCAATCCCCATTGATATGTCCTTACAAAAATTAACAGCCGAATTATATCAATCTTTTGATTCTAAAAACTATACACAATGTCAAAAGATTCTTCCTCCAATTAAAATAGAATTAATCAAACATAACTTATTGGTACCACTTTCATCCAATACCCATACTGGAGATCTGCTTAATGATTTAAAGATTGCTCAAAAAATCTTTGAAATAGGTGCCTTGTCATCATTATTATCCAATGATTATCGTTCATTTGAGAATTATTTTGCTCAATTAAGACCCTTCTATGATAACATATTATTACAATCTAAAACTACCGAAATAAATACTGATAGAACCAAGATTGTTTCACTTTATCTCTTGTATTTATTATCACAAGGGTCAATCTCTAAGTTCCATGTTGAATTAGAAACCATTTATAACTCAAATCAATATGATGTTGATAAGGATAAATACCTTCAATTTCCAATTAATTTAGAAAGAAATTTAATGGAGGGAAATTACATTAAGATTTGGAAATTATTAAAAGAATCAGATAATAAATTACCATGTCAAGAATATACTCATTTCATTGATACTTTGGTGACTGCTTTAAGATTTGAAATCTCCAGATCTTTAGAAAGAACTTATACATCTTTACCAATTAATAATTGCAAGAATTTATTATATTTCCCACAAGAACAATCAGATTCAGTATTTGAAAAGATTTTAAAAGAAGAATTGGAAGTTGAAAACTGGGTTTTTAAGAATGGTAAAATTATCTTTGATATTAAAGATGAAGAAGATTTGGATGGTGGTAATAATACAACTATCATTAATAATGTATTAAGTTATGCAGAACAAATTGAATCTATTGTTTAGGTAAATAAATGAAGGTAAGTAGAAGAAATTTCAACATAATGTAGAGATTGAATGTATACCTTAATCAAAGATTTACATGATCGAAAAATACTCTACAATCAATTTCATAGCAACTCCTTTATAAATAGACGCTAATCTTCTAATGTTGTGTAGAATCCCTTGTAAGCAGTATCTAAATCATTCAAGAAATTGTCTGATTCCTCCAGGGTCAAAGACTCGTCTACACCTAGTCCATTTAGTTTAATAAGCCAAGAAACTAATTTGGATTTACCCACAAAATCCAAACTGGTGGTAGTCAGATCACCACCAGTCATGACCAAATCATTAAGACTTACTACCAAGCTCGAAAGTATCGGATGTAGTTGTTCCTTTGTCTTATAATTAAGTTTTAATGCATCCATACATGTAATGAAGTTCCCAGTTGCTTCTGCTACAAGTCTAGTGCTCTTGGTATTATTGGCAGAATTTGAACTTTTAACTTGCATTCCAAGATGTTCTATAGTAGCCGGAATGCCTGCGTTTAGTCGCTTGATGCTCAAGGGACATTGTAAGTGGAATTTGGTGGTAAGTATTTCCAAAAAATTGGAGTTATCAGCTAATCTGCCAATCAAAATTGAATCTAAAACTTCACATTCCTTGGGGTTATCTTCAAAACTTTTAAGAATCATCAGGTATTGATTAATTAGACGTAAAACTGTGGATGTATACTTGTCCTTGTCTGTGATATAATCTTTTAAAAATGAATTCTCCACCATCTCTAATACACTCACTATGGAATATACTTCTGCTAATGAATCATACACACTTTTATGTTGTGGCAGTTTGATTAAGGAAGATCGAGTGATTTCTTGATGGTAATTGATATTATCATTTGCCGGAGCATATGATGTGGTTGACGTCGGGGCATATGCTGGAGGTGACGTAGACATTATAGAATGGATAGCTAAAGAGATAAAATGAGTATTTTTTGTATTTATGGGTCTATATATTCGAAAGTTGTGTATATAAAAGATGGAAATGATAGTTGAGTTTATCCTGATAACCTCTATATACAAAAAAATATAATCCGCACCCATATTAAGATTTGATCTAAGAATTGTGATCTGATATATAAATTGAATCACTATAAAAAGTACCACCTCTCATTTAAAAATATTATTTATATTTAAATATTTGCCAAGTCATTAAAGTAAAAGTTAAATTGTCTATCGATTTCTATCTAATCTATATATTGAACTGAATGTGTCCCCTTTGTACCAAACTCTTCTGGATTGAACCCTAATCTAACCCAATCATTTCTATTGTAATGATAAACAATAGGAGGAGGAACAAATCTAGTTAGTTTTGCATCTCCTCCTCTACCAGCAATATAATTCACCAAATCCTTACCAAACCTTTGACGTGCAACGTCACATTCCTTAAGAATCCATTGAAGTATATATGCACTACTAGCTCTATCATAGGCACTAACAGTAATTGGTAAACGGATATCCATATCTTTCCCATGTGAAAGTTTCACCTTCACCACTATTTCATATCTAATTGAAAATAATTTCCCCATAGTTGTAAATCCTTGAATATGAGTAATTGGGATACCTTCATCAATTTTATCAATATTTTTATTTCTGGCCATATTAGCTATACTCACCGTAGGAGCATTATTTTCCATACTAGGTTGAAGTTCTTCAACTGTACTATCTTTCATATCAAACATCTTAAGCGAATCATTTTCGATTGGGAATGGGAGTCTAAATTGCCATTTTATTCCTTCAGTACTCAATCTTGTTTGTAAATCCAGGAAATCTTTAGTTTGTGTGAAAAGTTTTATTTCCTTTTTAGGAGTTAACCCTCCTTCATGACATTCAATAATTTCCTTAATTTGAAATGTTAATTGTTTTAATTTTAAATTCTTATTAATCTTATTATAAAGTGGATTAGCCTGAATTAATAAATCAATTATAAATTCATCATTAGGGCCAACTGATGAAATTGGAATTGTCAAGTTTAAAGCAACTTGTTTATCATTAGATATTCGATTCTCCAACATAGGTTCATTGTATTGACGGTAAAGGGGTAAAGTATCATATAATTTAATTGCAATGGGGAAATTTTCTATATGAACTGATTCAGTGATATAAGAATCTCCCAATGCAACCTTCACACAAAGCTTATGAGTGGTAGATGATGTCCAATTGGGGAAAACTCCACTTGATATAATATCTTGTGGAAGTGGGAAAAGTACTGGGAGATCTAAACCCATGACTTCTTCTGAAAATAAACCTGCTGTTGGTCTAAATAGCATTTCTTCATGAATCTTGTATTCTCTCGAAGAATCTGTTGATCCAAGAGTTGTTGGTATAGATATTTTTTGGATAGTTCTTAATTCTAGTATCACTGACCTTACATTGAATGGTTTACCATTTATAGCCCGTATTTCTACTACTGTTTCAATTCTTGGCTAAAAGTTAATGTTAGATAAGAAATATATAATATGAGTATGTATGTCTCCATCATGAGTCTGTATACTTACTATACTTCTTGGTACTCCTGGGCATCCATGCACCACGCTGTGGCTTGATGCACGAAGTGCAACCAGTATATCACTTGGAGGTTTAATTGGAGCCATAATGATTCAATTAATTTATATATGGTTGAAGATATTATAAATGTATATATGAAAACATTAACCATGTTTTATCGCCCGTTTTGAGCCTCGCGTCATTTCTGGTTAAGAAATTCTTATGAAACAATTATATATAAATATTTAAATATTATGTAATACTTATATAATGAATGGAATAATTGACCATTGTTTACCAACATTTTGTCTTTTATAATAATTATTTGATTCAATTGAACTAATTGTAAGATTTACCAAAACAAATGTAAAACTTAACCAATAATTTAATTTTGTTGCAAAATTATTATTATTTAAACATGATAGTATTGCAATTATTAAATAAATAATAATTTCATCAAAATAATGAGGTGCTGCCAAATATTTGAAAAGTCTATTAGTTGGGACAGTATATTTCTTAAGCAGTGCCAAATAATAATGATTGAAAAATTGATCAAATGATGCAATAATAAATATTAAAATCAATATAAATTGAATAATATAATTATTGGGGATATGTTTGAGATTTGTTTTAAATAAAAATTGTGGAATAATGGAAATAAATGTGTTTAAGGTAATTGTTATATAAAACATCATACCTACCAAATAATGAGCTATATTAATTCTTGCGGTAGAACTAAATTTAGTAATATATATGCTCTCATATAATCTTCTTATCGATTGGAAAAATATGAGATAATATATTACCAACAGATTTGAAAGAGAATTATTTGATTCAAAAATATATGATTTCCACCATGATTTTATGAAATTAGTATTAGTATCAGAGTATGATAATAATAATATTATGAACCCTAAATTGATACATAATGTAAAGTATATGATATAGAAATGTAAAAACCATTTTTTAGGTACCGTTAATTTAGATAAGTTTTCAATATATGAATATGAATTGAGGTTTGTAGAAGACAATGTTAATGTTTTCCCATATTGTAATAAGATATTTAAGGAAGGAATTGCCTTGATCACTAGAATTGATAATATAGATATAATTAGTATTAGTGAGATAAGGTAATCAACCTTAAATGATTGAATTAATATATCAATTAAATTCATATGTTTAAATAAAACTAGTTTGAATAGATTTGATTTATTTTGAACTTTTAATAAAAATCTATAAAAAAAAAAAGAATATAAAAGTAGAGAGATCAAGGACACAAAAGAAAAGTATAATCTACGAATAAGGGATATCTAAATTCTTATAAATACTATGTAAATCATATATAATACATGTCAATATGACAATATAGTAGGAAGATGAAATGATAATGTATCCCCATTTGATAACTACAATTCGAAAAGTACTCCACATTTTATCTCAGAATTAAACTACATTTATCATCTTTATCAACCTTATCCCTTATCACCACTTACAATTGCTTACATTTCATGTTTTTTTTTGATGTTTCCAATTATTATTAGAGGGATCGCTAAAAAAATTATTCCCTTTTGTTTTACATACACATTAAACCCATAAATATCTATAGTACAAATTTAATCATATTATTAAATTTCTTGTCTAGGTTTAAACCGAAAAGAAATCTTTAATATAATAATAGATTAAAGCCATTAAGGCGTCGCTTAACGACCAATGTACTTGATTTCAAAGGGTCTGACAAGATTGAAACCAACAAAAGAGAAGGCAAAGGCCAATTCAGAACCAACATCACCACCAAAGGCACCGATGGTGGCAGCAACTGGACCTTTGTACCAAGTTTGGTTCATACCAACAACGGCACCGGCAACACCACAACAGAAACCAAAAGTTCCAGCAATACCAAGTGGATACTTGGACTTGTCACTAGAGTTGTGGTAGTCGTAGTTGGCAAAGTTACCCTTCTTGTAAATGAAATGTTCAGAAAGACACATAGCTTGGTACATAGCCAAGTAGTAACCAATCAAATTCATAAAGTTTTCCATAGCACTTTCAAACTTGTAGTAAGCTGGAATACAAATGGCCAAAGTAACAAAGTTACCCAAAATGGTCCAAATAACTCTTGGAACCTTGGTAAGTGGAGAAGCAAAAGCTTGAGCACTCAAGGCAATGGAGTACATATTTGGAATGTTGTTGGCAACAGTGGACAAGGCAAGAAGGACACAACAGAATTGACCGAAACCGTGAAGAGAGTCTTCAACAAGAATACCGTACATCAAACCACCAATAGATTCAGTCTTGTACAATTCTCCGAGTCTAGTTTCTGGACCAGCGGCGGCGCCACAAGCGGCACCAAGAGTCAAACCGATAATCAAGGTGACCCACAAACTACCAAAGATGTAAAGGAAAATCTTGGTAGAGTTGGCATTTCTTGGTTGATAGACAGTGTAATCGGAGGCATAAGTAGTCCAACCAGTTGCGAAACCGTAAACGGTACCACCAAAGGAAAGAACGTTACCAACAGTAGTTTCACCACCTGGGAAACCACCACCAACAAAGGTACGAGCAGCACATAATCTACAGAGAATGATCAAAAAGATGATGGCATTTGGAATCCAAGACCATTTTTCGTACAAATGAATAACGTGGTAACCAAAGAAGGTAACCAAGATAGTCAAAACGACGAGGATAAAACAACCGGCCCAAGGTGGGAGGGCACCGTTGTTAACAATGTGCAACAATTGAGCAGAAGCCATGATATTCACGGCACCCCAACCAACACAAGCAATCATGTTGATAAAGGCAAAGATTCTCATACCGTAGTCACCAATAAGGAACTTGGAAAGGAAAATTTGTCTAAGACCTAATTTTGGACCAAAAGTGGAAAAATAGGCGACTGGGGTAGCACCAATAGCGGAAAAGAAAAGAATGACAATGAAGGCTTGCCAGAAGGAAAGACCGAAAAGACCAGTACCAAGAGCACCAAGAGAGATGGTGGCAATGACAAGGTTAGCGGATAACCACATAGAAGCAGCATTCCAAAGGGAATCATCGATCTTTTCTTCATCAGTGACAAGTTCAACACCCTTGGTTTCAGCGTTCATCTTCAAGGCGAGTTTGTTAAAAAACCAAGACCTTTAATGTTAGAGACTTCGGCGTCACCGGAGTTAGCTTCGACTGAACGGTCAAAGGAGTCATTGGAAGATTTCTTTTCGGCATATGGAGCCTTTTCAATGTCGACTTGAGTTGCAGACATTGTATAAAGTTAAGGGGAGGGGGGGTAAGTTAAGGGAGGAGGAGTGTGGGGGAGATTGCTTTAAAAAGCGACGTAACTGATGTTATAGGGGGTGATTGTTGATATAATGAGGAGAAGAGAAGTCAACCGAAATTTTTCGATGGCTCTGAGGTCCTTTTAAATGTGCCTTGAGTGATTTTCAAATTTTCTTTTTTTTTTTTCCTGAATATCTTCAGATGATGCAGAAGCCGAAGAGAAAAAAAAAAAGAAAATGGAAATTTAATGCGGAAGGAGTTAGGGAAGGTACTTCAACGGCAAAAGAAAGCTGGTCAATATATGAATTGAAACACAAGTAGTTGGTATAACTAGAAGTACAGACCTGCTGGAATAAATAAGGGTTGTTGTGTGAAGAGAAGAAATATTGATCTAGTGATAAGAAGACAGATATATATAATAAATGAAAATCGAAATTAACGTCTTAATTGAGCGCCGCAGAGCCGCATCTTATCGTCCCGGTCAGTATTACCAAGATAAGGTGCATTTTTGAGAAAGTAAAGTTTAAGGGAAAAAAGAAAAAAAAAAGTCACTGAATTAGTGGTAATTGCCGATCCCGCTTGCCCTATAGGTTCAGTGAAGATTCTTTAAAAAAGAAGTTTCCAATTGTAATCGGTAGGTAGGAATTAACGGAACACAACCAAGATCAGTATCCTGATGAATGAGTCTCGTGTGGGAACTGACTCGAGATTAATTAGTCGCATGCGCGCTCAGAACTTCGTGCCATTATCGCCGTATGAGTAGACGCCTAACTTCTGTAGGTAATGTGCACACCGCTCCTGCGGAATCTTCCGATGAATGCCAAAAGTTACACAAAAAAAAGTAGCCCGTTAACTTTCGCTATCTCTAGATTCTATCGGGAGCTCCGCGGGAGAGAGGACTCGCCCCAAGAAATATAAACGATATCATTTGATAAACTATTCGCATTACTCCGAAACCCTGGGGGACAAGAAAAGCTTAATATGGAGAAGAGGAGATTTACCTGGGTTTCGATAGGTCCTTACTTCTATATCTAAAATTAATCTAGCGCCAAAAGATGGCGGGTCAACATGTACGTTCAATCTGTAGTGTGAAACAAAAAAAAAAAGAGGAATTTATTAATGCGACTTTTTTTTTCGTTCCCTTGAAGGCATAAACGAACGGTAACTATTAGTGCGGCAGTATTCTTCATATGCATCTATTGTAACTAAAGAATAAGCCAACTTTACAAGCGGAGGGTATACGAAGCAGGTATGCAAGTGGAGATTAGCGCTACATATGTAGTAGTAGTAGCAGTATGAATAGGTCTTTCAAGAGTATCTGTGGTAGTTGGTATAATGAGGCAGGCTTAATATCATTGGACAAAAAAAATAATTCTTCATTTTCCAACCAAATCGCTTAAACATCACATCCGCACACCAGTCGCATTTGAGATAACGACGTACGGCCCGCACACCCCTCCTCACTTAAAAACCTGATAACAATGTGTAAATTCTGAACAATATTTATACACCCAGCAATTAAATGATATGCCCCGCAATTGGTCGATACCCGCTATGATTAAAGATCAGATATGCAACTGTAAATATGTATAGTTGAAACGAATTTAAATCGCTAATCGCAATTCAAAGACGGCATATCTAATTGAAGAATTGCACGAAATTCCATTTACGTGATTGACAATGAATTTATACTTAGATCTTCTCTCGTATATAGGTTTTAGTTGTATTTTAGAGAATTTTGGTTTTTAATTTCCTCCTGAATTTCCTTTTTAACCACTCCATTCTATCAGTAAAGTTATCCAAAGGATCCGCTGCACTGATTGGTATAAATGCAAACCATGGTATTTAATACTCTTTAACTGTTAAGGTTGTGGCATTTCAACTTTGCTCTCTATGCGTACTTCCTTTAATCAAAGATGTGTTTTCTTCTTATTCAATGGACCATGATACAAGCCAAGTTGTATCTTTTTCTGAAACATTAGAAAGTTGAACCACTCACAGGAGTTTAACAATATTTATGGTTACTGAAGTTCTCGAGGGAATGTCATCAACTTGATTTGATGTTTAGATGTTGTTCTATATATATTATCCTTCTCTAGGTACTAACATTTCCTTAATGACCTATATCAGCTCTGTACCTATAACTAAGAATGACATCTCTAGTTATCATATTTGAACACTTACTCGCTCATTCTTCTCAGAAAGTCATCCACAAGTACATTCTTTATGTCATATATAACGATTCAACATTGTTGTTTTACTCAATTCTTTTGCATTTTGTCTCTACAATAATATCTTTCTAATCAATTTTATTTTTCTTATATTAAATCATTCTCCAATTCTAATTCTCTGTAATTATTAACCTTCTCCTTCGTTCTTTTTATTTCTCTTCAATAGTTCATCATATTTATCTTTATTACTTCTTTAATCCAAAGTATAAACCAAGAATTAATGCAATAATACAAACAATAATAACACAAATGAAGAAACACCACTTTCTCTTCTTTCTGGCCTTCTTGGCACTAACAACAGCCTTGTTGGTGTGACCAACACCTTGTTCAATATCATGTTGAGCACTACCAACTTGTTCATCAATTTGTTGTATAGCTTGATCTTGTTCAACAACCAATTCTTCCATATCATGGAATAATTGAGTCAATTCAGCCATAGTCTTTTCCAACTTCAATAATTCACGGTGTCTGGCTTGGACTTCATTCAAAACGGTTCTAGCTTCTCCTCTTCTGTTGGATTGCATCAATGCTTGTTGGAAATATTGCAGGGAGTCTCCTTCTTCAAGAGCAACCTTAACTTCTTCATTAGTAGCATCTGGCTTAACAATTCTATATTGTCTTTCAGCTTGTTGTCTGTTTTGCTCTCTGTTGTTAGACTCAATCATTCTATATTCTTGAATTAAATCCAAAAATCTTTTTCTTGAAGTTTCAGCTTGGTCAATCTTTGCTTGATCACGAGAACTTACTGCTTGTTGTTGAACATTTTTAATTCTATGCTTCAAGTCGGTTTGCATGGATTGAGCCTCGGCAACAAGAGCATCGACTTGACGCGAGTTGTAGTCTCCATCTTCTTCATTCAAGTCAAGTTCTTGTACCAATGATCTTTGCTTGTTAGCAATAAGATTAATTAAATTTTGATATTGATCCAATGAATTGTTAATATCTTGAATTTCGTTCATGAACGAAACAAAGTCATCTTCTCCCAGTGAATACTTGTAGTTGCCCAACTCATATGAGTTGTTATTGTTGTAGGCCATCTTGACTTCTCTAAAAAAAACAACGCCTCGATTAAAAAGTTGTGCTTGTGTTTTTATTATCACTCGTCAATGTTTTGTGTAGTTGTTAAAAACTAAAAGAGAAATATGTCGCAAAAAAAGGGAAATGTCGTTCAATTTAGGAGTGGGGTTACCAAATATGAGAATTACGGCAACAATAAATCAGCAATAATTAAATAAATAAACAGAAAGGGCTTATTTCTAGCCGTTGAATGAAAATATACTAAGGAATCCGTATACAAGTGGTGTGATATTGGAACAGCTACGATAAAAAAAAAAGTAGAAAGACTAACTGCTTTCCTTTTATGAGAATTTAGCATGTCATTAGAACGACATTTTTGTACAGCCCCTCCTTTCTATTAATATTTTTTTTTCCACAATAGGGAGTGTATATGTAGAACATGAAACACCGACACTATAGTTGAAAAACCCTTTTACAACAGTACACCCATCCACCATTTACTTATGACATCCGCAATCTTCCACCTCGGATTCCTCTATAAATAGGCATTCAATATTACCCTAAAAGCTTATTTCTATGACTTACTCTACATTATTCTTCCCTTTAATACGCACTAGTCTAATAATCCTCCCTCGATGAACACCGCCAGTGGTGACGTTTGATAAAAAAAAAAAAAAATATAGAAGATTCAAAAAAATAAATAAAAAATAAAAAAACCATCGTTGGCCGTTACTATAATTCCTTCAAGTTGCATATTCTCAATATGAAGGTGTCTAACAGAATAGATGATGTTCATACTTTTTCTCTTTCTCTATTTTTATTTAAATGGGTAAACCCCAATTTGTATGGTAAGACTCAATTTCCAGTATCTCCTTTCCTCACGCACTCTTTTTTTCCAAATCTTAATTATCTTTCTTCTTTAAGTTTTCATAAACTTTGCATCTTGTATGTGAAATTTGAGCGACAGGACGCGCATTTGACTTCTATAATCATTTTTGTTTGCTATTATCAATATCGTATATTTATACTATCATATCTCACGTTATAGAAGTACTTAGTTTCCAAAAACATTCGTTAAAAAAAAAAACCAAAGTGGATTCTGAAGTATGAACTCAGTCTTTGTACCAACAGTTCATCAAGCTGCTGGCCATAAGGGGAGTCTTACGGCTGAAAATAATGGAACGGTTTTTGCTAAGTTAACATCACAACAAGAGATTGACTTTTATACAGAAACTCAAATCATCACCGAAGATGATACTGCCATCGATGATTCTCCATTAGGTTCACATTTAAGTGATTGGATGCCTGTTTACATGGGCACCTTGACTAAAAGTGATGTTGCTGCACAGAGTCTCCCAGCATCTAATCCTCTTTTGATGGACGGCATTATTCCTCCAATCATTGCACCAACAACTACAACAACATCACCATCATCATCAACAACGGGAATTCCTCCTTCAGTTGACGATAAAAAATATATAGTTTTACAAAATTTGTACTATGGTTACTATAAGCCCAGCATTTTAGATATTAAACTTGGTTCCATCTTATACGATGAAACTGCAAGTCAAGAAAAAAAGGACCGTTTACAAAAGGTAGCCGAACTGACCACTAGTGGCTCTTTAGGTTTCAGAATCTGTGGGATGAAAGTATATCATTCACTGATAGACTCTCCTAAACCGTCGATCAATATCCCTCCTATCTATGCGGGGATTGAAGAATCTATCAATGTAGTCCCAGATATTGAATCACAATCTGTTTATTTGGAATTTGATAAGTTTTATGGGAGATCACTTGACCATACGAATATCAAACAAGGAATTCTTCTCTTTTTCCAATCAAAACTTCATTCAAAACTTACGCTTAAGTTGATTGAAAATTTCTTAAAACGTCTTCAAGTTCTCTATAATTGCGTTTTGGAATCAGGGGCAAGAATGATTGGTTCCTCGTTGTTATTTGTATTTGAAAATGACCTGATACGATGGTCTACTGTGGAAGAAAATCTCGACAGGTACGATGAATTTGATCCACTTTTAAGAGATGATTTCTTTGCAGATCAAGATAGTGATGATGAAGATGAATACAGTGCTCCCTTGAGTAGTTTGAATATTATAGACTTTGCCCATTCCAAATATGTCAAGGATAAGAGTCACGATGAAAGTGTCTGTCAAGGTTTAGAAAACCTTATAAAAGTATTTGAAGAGATTATCACAGACATTAAATCTAATACAACAACTTTAGTTTAATTATAAATATATATATATATATAGATCTCTTCCCATAATGTCTACAATTTATTAATATATTTGGGGAAAAAAAATTAATTTGTATATAACTGTCGTAACTACTCTATTCTTTCTTACATCAACTTGGTGATCATACCAATGGCAATGGTGGTACCTTGATCTCTCAATGTGAATCTACCTAATTGTGGGTAGTCAGCGTAAGTTTCGGCGCAGAAGGCTTCAGATGCTTCCAATTCAGCAATGATCTTCATACCCTTCTTAGCAAATGCAGGTGGCTTCTTGGACTTTCTGTTGGTACCCTTTTGTAAGTAATGCTTCAATTGGACAAACTTAACTTCTTCAATGGCAGTATGGATATGCATGACACAAGAGAAACCGTTGGCTAAAATGGATTTCAATTCAACAATGACAATTTGAGCTTCAAATTTAACAATGGTCTTGACTGGGTTCTTTGGGGAAGTCAAAACGTAACCAGGGGATAATTCTTCTTCATCAACACCCTTAATCTTCAATCTGACTTGTTCACCACAGAAGGCGGAGTCACATTCTTGTTCAGTTTCGTTGTAAATAGTAAGAACTTCAATTGGTGTCTTGTTAGGCATCAACAATAAACTTCCACCCTTCTTGATATGACCAGATTCAATCTTACCTTCAACAACAGTACCCATGTCCTTCATCTTACCGGCAATTGGCAACATGAATGGACCATTGATATGACGATCAACAGTCTTCATGTCATCCAAGTATTCCAACAAAGATGGACCAGTGTACCATGGACAGTCCTTGGCAGAAACACGATCCTTCAAACCGGCACCAGTGTAACCAGAAACTGGCATGAAGATAATGTCATCCTTGGCATAACCAATACCCTTCAAGAACTTACCCAACTTAGTAGTACAGTCATTATAACGTTCTTCAGACCAACCGACAGTTGTGTCATCCATCTTGTTAACAACAACAATAATCTTGTTAACACCTTGGGTCTTGGCCAACAAAGCGTGTTCTCTGGTTTGACCACCCTTTTCGAAACCTGTTTCGTATTCACCCTTTCTTGCGGAAATAACCAAGATACCAACGTCAGCTTGAGAGGCACCACCAATCATTTCAGAAACGTACATCTTGTGACCTGGGGCATCCAAAATGGTATATCTTCTCTTATCAGTTTCGAAGTAAGCCTTACCGACTTCAATGGTCTTACCGTCACTTCTTTCTTCCTTGTTGGTATCCATGACCCAAGAAAGGTACCAACCTTGTCTACCGGCGTCCTTGGCTTCTCTTTCGTACTTGTCAACAGTACGCTTGTCAACGGATCCAGTCAAGTACAAAAGGTTACCACCCATGGTGGACTTACCGGCATCGACATGACCCATAAAGATTATGGAAACATGGTCCTTACCACCGAACAAATCATTGACAACTTCAGCGTCGACTTCTTCTTCTTGTTCCTTGATCAAGGCATCGGCAGAGCTGACGGTGGCAGTGGCAGCTGGCTTTTCAGCAGCTGGAGCTGGAGCTGGGCTAGCAGACTTGGCTGGCTTCTTGACTTCTGGAGTAGCTTCTTTCTTAACTTCTGGAGTGGCAACCTTCTTAACTTCTGGGGTAGCTTCCTTCTTAACTTCTGGAGTAGCTTCCTTCTTGACTTCTGGAGTAGCTTCCTTCTTGACTTCTGGAGTAGCTTCCTTCTTGATCACAACTGGAGCCTTGGTAGCGTTACCCAATTTAATAGTAGAAGATCCAGACAAGGTCAACTTCTTCTTAACTGGCTTGTTCAAACTGGAAGCTGCTGCTTCAGCCTTTTGCTTTTGGAAGTCAGCTAAGGACATACCTTGAGCTGGTTGTTGTTCTTGTGGTTGGTAAGAGTTGTATTGGTTGTTGTATCCACCTTGATATTGGTTGTTGTAGCCCCCTTGGTATTGGTTGTTGTAACCCCCTTGGTTGTAACCACCTCTGTTGCTGTTGTAACCACCTTGGTATCCACCTTGGTATCCACCTTGGTAGCCTCCTTGGTATCCACCTTGGTATCCACCTTGGTAACCACCTTGGTATCCACCTTGGCTTTGTTGTTGGTACTGGTTGTATCCTTGGTAAGATTCTTGACCTTGACCTGGAACAAAAGATGAGGCAGCATTTGGATTGTAGTAGCTTTGTTGTGGAGCTTGTTGTTGCTCTTGCTGTTGGTTAGAGCCAATGTTGGCATTCTGCATGTCTTGCGACAAGTTGTCGGCACTGTATCCTTGTTGATCAGACATATTTAATCAATTAGGTGTACTAAATAGAGTGATTGGTGTCTTTTTACTTCTTCTCAAAATTTAAAATTTTTCATACCACTGCTCAATCCGGACAATGCACGTGTACAATGTCCGGAAATGAGAAACAGCTGCAAAAAAAGAAGGCACATTACAACGGGAAAGGAATGTGATGTCAAAATTTAATTTGGGGACTTTTTCCAGGTTTAGTGCATATGAAATATATAGTTGGGAACAACAAGTATAAGATTCAATACATATAACAATTATTAAATAAAACTTTCCCCCCAAAAAAAAGAAAATTTAAAGTAGTTACCTGTTCATTTGCTCTGAATACTTAAGATATTCCCATTCCTTCGCCCACGGGTAACCTTTTATTAATTTACCTTTGAGTATGACAGAATCTGAAAGAGTAAACCACTATGAATATAAATCATCCATATTTTAAAAATAATAGAGTAATATAAATTGTAATGTTTCTCCAATTCTGGAATTATTGTAGTATAGATGTTTTTATCAAGAGCGTCACGTGAGGATTGCCAGTCAGGCATGTAATCTTATCAGCACATTAATTCAACTCCCTCATTTAACCACACCAAGAAATCCAAGATTGGGAGAAGGGAACTTTAAATTTTTAAATACAAGAATGCCAATCTTTGGAGAACGTCAGACGACATCCATTACTGTCAAAATCAATCAATTATCCACACCAGATAGAAACCTTGAAATTGATGAATCAATTGAACTTTACTTGAGTGACTTGATTGAACTAATCAAGATCCAACCAAATTCTGGGGCTGTTGAAGCTGCTAGAGCAATTAGGAAAAAGATAAAGTATGGGAATTCCACAGAGGAGCTGTTGAGAGCATTGGGTATCTTAGAGCTTCTTGTACTCAATTCCGGTCATAAAATTGGACCCGTGATTGCTAGAGATGATAAATTGTTGGATGTCCTTAAAGGTATCATTTCAGGGTCTGGTAGAACTGGTACTGGTGGTCTGTACCCCAAGGAAATTCAAAGGAAAGTCCGTGGGTTGGCAATTGGCTGGAAAACTGAATTAGATGGATTAGATGGATATAAGTATATGGCGTTACTCTGGAAAAATATTCCAAGAGAACGTGGAAGTGGGAATAGCAGTAGCTCCAGACTGAGATCTGCTAGTGTTAATGTATTTGGCTCAGAATTGGATAACGTTGTACAGGAAAGTCCAAGAGGTTCTCCACGGCCTTCTAGTCCTAGAGTAAGTGGTGGTAAGACACCTCCGCCGAGACCAACAGCAGCATCACCATTTGCTAAGAAAGAGCAGCCATTGACTTCTAAAAGAGCAAGAACGAAAAAGTCTAAGCATAAGAATAAAAAGAGGACTGGGAAATATGCTGATCCAGAGTTCAAAATCCCACAAATCAATTATAAAGTGGAAGCACCAAAGATTAGAAATACAATTGCTGAATGTCATACACATACCACTGCCCTTGTGAATGCTCTTATTGCTCTTCCACCTTCAATTTCACCATTAGATGATGCCAAGGCTGCTGGTGAGTTTGAAAAATGTCGTGAGATTAGACGCAAAGTTCTTCGTTACTTGCAATTTGTTGGAGCAGGAGGTGATACACACAAGGCTGATTCGGTTGTTGCCATGGATGAAGAATTCCTTGGAAGTTTGATTGTGGCCAATGAGCAATTAGTAGAAAGTTTCAAGAAATATGATTCAGCATGTGGCTACACCGAAGAAAATCCAGCTCCTCAATATAATGATGAAACTGATAGTGATGATGGGTATGAGAGTTATTACACGGATAGTTCCGAAGAAGAAGAACAAGATGATGAAGATTTACCAGAAATAGGTGCCCGTGAGCTGTCCCTTGAAGAACGACTTCAACGTGTTGATATCAAAGAGGGAACATCATCCAAAAGAGCACCACCTCCTATTCCACCAAAGTCCAATTCACTTAAATCTTCACCGATCCCAAATGCAGAATATCAACCTTCAGGTGATCTCTCTCGCCTTAAAACTAATGATACTGCTGAAAGTGATCCATTTGGTGATGGAAATATCGTTTCAAAGTCTCCTTATGCATAAAAAAAATAAATAATAGTGGAGCTATGTGCTTAATTCTACACATACTTATATACATGCTTGTATGCATTTTATATATATATATATATATATTACTCTTTAGATTTACTCGTTGAATCAATTGTAGGTGAAGGTTCGTTAGATTTCACTGAACTCCCGGTATTTGGCACAGAAGTCTCCTTCACCTTTCTCGATATACTATATAATGCAGCACCACCTAATACCATGATAGAACCAACCATATTATTAGTGGTGAATTCATTTTTAAACCAGACAATGCTAATGAATAAACTGAAGAATTTACGAACCAAAAGCACAACTGTTACTGTAAGAGCAGTGGTACTACCAACAAGAATATTCACTCCTCTAATACAAATATATTGAGTCAAGACATTTGCCAATAAGTTAACTGCTTGTTTAGGAAGGAATTGTACTGAAGGATACACTTGAGGATCATTCCAAATATCATGGAATTGACGACGTAAAGATGGCCAAACAACTCCGAAAAGTGGGAGGCCAAGGAAATGTGAATAAAATAAACTTTCTCTCCATTGATTTCCAAATCTGCGATGGACATTTTCACTGTAAAGACCCATAAAGGCTGATAATACTGAAGTAGCTAAAAGTAATGCAATACCGATGAGGAAGTCCGTATCAATTGAATGTGAAGGATCATTTTTAGTACTACGATCCCAAAATTTGGACATATCATTGGGTAAAGTATTACAAATAGCCCCTAATGAAATGATTATACATGCAACCACTTGTTGTAGTGAATAAACTCTACCACCGAAAAGATACCCCACAATCATTGTCACCACTGTTCCCGACAGACGGAACACAATATACATCGGTATACTGACATTGAACCTAAGTACCCAATTATTCAATAAAGATATACTAAAGTACATAACAACTAATACCACCCATTTCCGAAGTGGGACTTTTGATGGAGTTAAATAAAGTCGATACCATTTACCAGTTCTGAAATTTGCACTATGACGATAACTCACAAGGGAAACTCCCAAAAATTGAGCGAAAGTGATGGCACTTGCCAAGGATTGTTCATGTCCCCCGGCAGCACCATGATGATTAGATATCATATTTTCCAAGACAAACACATTGGAACAACAGCCGCCAAACACTTGTGAAACTACCCAAACCCATTGAGAAGCAGAAACATACGATAAACTCATTAAGTAAAACACCTACAAAAGATCAAAGTTCACACAAGTAGAATGTGTCAGACAAAGCAAATTGTATATAAGAATTATATATATTTATAAGACTATATTTCTCCGATGAGATATATCTCCACACCACGCCAAAAAGTAGTAATAGACACGTATAGTGTTCTAAATGAGGTAGTCTTAATGTAAGGCGGCTACGTAAATTAAAATAATTAGATGAAAAAAAAAAAAATAGGTGGAGAAAAAAAAAAAAATTATTATTTGTAAAGTGGAGTGAGGGTGTCTTAACGTGGTTCAATCTGCAGTTGGATGTGGGAAAAGTATAAGGAACTAGATACTGGGTACGATTCAAAAAAAAAAAAAAAAAAAATAGGTACGGGGTACTATTATCTTTTTTTATTTCCCCTCCCAAAAAATTATATATAGATATACAACTACCAGCTGTATGGAAGATGGAGGTATCTGGGACTCGGTTTCGGAGCAACAGCGGTAAGACCGGGCCATATCGTATGGAATGGACTCAAAGACTGTGTGAACTTCCTAGCATTGAATCTTTTCAACTCAGCACGATTTTGGATAATGTGCTCAAGGACGAATCCAATGAAACTGTTGAAGCGATGAAGGCGGTGGCCAGTAATTATAAGAAAGATTTGAAGTCTGAAATACGACGAAACCTTTCTGGAGAACAAAAGATCCAACATAAAAACATCAAGGTGGGGAAATTAGCACAACAGATCAATAAGAAAGTTTCTCGTAGAAACCGTCATTTACAAAGGGCACTTATAGGAGGTACCAGTAATTCCAGTGAATTAGATAAGGAATTGACTGAACTTCTTCGACTTTCATCCGAATGTAGTACGTTAGTTCATACCTTGGGGCCCAGATTAGTTGCCATTGATCAAAAGCTTGGTGAGAACTCAATTACAAAGTACAAGTGGATGAATAAATTATGGGGAGATAGTAACAATGATAATCAAGATAATAATAATAATAATAATAAGGATCCTATAGAAATGTATGATGTGGATGAAACTGTATCTGAAGTTAATGGATCCCATTCACAAATTAAAATTCAACAAAATATTAGAGATCCTGGGAAACAAAATGGGAAAAGAAATGGAAGAGTCATTCGTCCACCACATGGTGATCATGATGCTGAAGTTAATGGAGATTCTCCGGTGGAATTTAATGAGCAATCCTTTGAACAATTCATGTCTTCATCAATTCTGAAATATCGTGAAAAACAATCAAAACGTGAAGATAAAACTTTTTTTGGTTCACAACTTCAAGATATTCAACTTCCTGATGAATTTGCAGAACACACGCCAAAACTATTAAAAAATCAACGGAGTTTCCATAGTCCCTTGTCATCGGTTAATCTTAGTGCTAAATCACCAGCAACAGTTCTGCAAACTCTTCAACTGTCGCATTTCAAAAAACTCCGGATAAATGGGTCTCCTATAACATCATCCACATATTCTAAAATGAAGAATATCCCGGCATGTGATTGTGGGAATCCACATGAAGAAGGAACCAATAATGCAGATCCAGATCAAGATCCAAGTCCTACTTTGAAAGATTCATTGATGGAACTCAGTACTTTAATCTTACAAGGCAATGACGTTTATGATAATACCTCGAGTGGTCTCAACACATCCCTGGAGGATGATGGAGGTTATCTTAGTTCTGATTCTTCTGACGAAGAGAGCCATAGTGATAACGATGGTACCACCGTAACAGATCGTACAAATATGTACTATTTATCGTTCAAATCGGAACTCAAGTCAAAGAGACACAAGAGAAAGAGTAAAAAGGATTCTTCCAAGAGTAAAAACAATAATCTGCAATATAAACCTGAAAACTCTCCTACTCCTAAACATAGACCATCGCATTACACTTTAAAGCCTAAAAAATCTATTTTGAAGTTTTCCACTAATCAAGATTCCATCAATAGAGTACCTTCACCACCTCCACCACCAATATGTGGATCAGCTCAAGAATCATTTCCTCCGATTGTTAAGCAAAGTGATCCATCAGCCACGGGATTATCAGGGAAACAATTTCATCTCGGTTTCCTAAACGAAGCAAGAAAGCAACCAGTTTTAAACACCGTGGCATCTACCACCACCACAGTTTCTGGTACCATTCTCACGCTAGACAACGATAGTTACGAGTACGAGGGGAATGAAATACGTGAGTGGCATGGGGATACAGTCATATCAGACGATGAATCTGATACACGAAGCATCCGATCAATTGCATTATTAAAACAACTACTATAGAACATTTACAATATAGATATATTTATATTCATTTCTGATCATTAAATTTGTTTTATTGATATTCTTTTATTATTCCTAATACTATAATAATTATAGTTCTTCTAGTGTACATCTCATCTCATTATCATTTAAAACAACCAAACCCAGAAAAACCAAAGTCCCACCATGGCAAATACTGTGAGCCACATACGCCACGTTATTCCGGCACGTTCACTCATAATGATCATTTTACCCCAAGTTTTCTTTAAAGTTACTTTCCCTTTTTCCATTGAGTTTGTGATTTCATCATTTAATTTCATTGATTTATTAATTTCTCCACCCATTTTCACTCCAAGGTCTTTAAGTAAGCGCACTTTCGAGCTCATAGAGTCGAGTTCGTCGTTATTCTGTGACTCCAAGGACAGAAGGTATGATTCGTTATATTTAGCATTGGGAGGTGGAGGAGCCTTGTCGTATGGCGAGGCGGTTCTTGAAGGGGGTGTTTGTGAGTGTCCACGTTGAGGCGGTGGTGCAAACAATTGGGTTCGAAGATCCCTCTGGTGGGCTCCCCCACCATTAGAATATCTCGAGCCACTCATTTGATGTAGTATGGTTTAAAATTATAACCCAGTGGTCAAGTATATTCTTGGTGATTGTCTTTTTTTTATCTCTCGCCACGTCCATATAAAGGGTACAAACAATAGATCGTCCTGTGAATAATTGGTACGTACTGCAGGTACCGTACTTATTTTTTTTTTTTTTTCTCAAGAATTTGATTTTGTGTATGTTTCTATGAGGGAGATTACAGTTGGTATGATTACTAAGATAAGTAGTATACTACAATAGTTGATTAGGTATATATCATTAAAGATATGAATGACGAAATACAAGAACCACCCAGTTCTCTTAAGAATGTGCGTCACATTATGTTGATTTTATCTGGGAAGGGAGGAGTTGGTAAATCATCAGTAACCACCCAAACTGCCCTTACTCTCGTAGACAAGGGATTCAATGTTGGAGTGTTAGATATTGATTTGACAGGACCATCTTTACCACGGATGTTTGGTGTTGAATCTAAACAAGTGCGCCAGTCAACAGCGGGTTGGGTCCCAGTGCCAGTTTTTGATAATAAAGATGATCCATCAAAGGGAAGCTTATCACTTATGTCACTTGGATTTCTTTTAGGAGATCGTAATAATTCTGTTGTTTGGAGAGGTCCCAAAAAAACAGCTATGATACGGCAGTTTCTTAAAGATGTAGTTTGGAACGGAGGTGCTGAATCCAAACCATTAGATTATTTACTCATTGATACACCACCTGGAACTTCGGATGAACATATTGCCATTGCAGAAGAACTTCGATGGGCTGAACCAGATGGTGCTATCATTGTAACCACTCCACAACAAGTCGCTACTGCTGATGTCCGTAAGGAAATCAATTTCTGTAAAAAAGTTGGGTTTGCTATATTGGGGGTTGTCGAGAATATGAGTGGATTTATTTGTCCATATTGTTCAGAATGTACTGATATTTTCCTGAGTGGTGGAGGTGTTACACTTAGTGAAACTTTAAATATTCCATTCTTGGGGAATGTCCCCATTGATCCAACATTTGTAGAAATGATTGAAACCCAGGATAACGATAGCGTTGATCGCAAACTTGTTCAATTATATGATAAGAGTGAGCTTAAACCATTAATGGCGGGAATCATAGACAAGGTTTTAGCACAAGATTGTAAACCTAGATTTTAAATAGTACCCAGTAAATATTTATAGACAATAATAAAGAATATGTTAAAAAAACTACATCTATTTTATACTCAATATATTTTATTCTTCTCTATTGTATATCCTAAGCAGAGGTGGATTTCTTCCACTTCATGATTCTTCTTCTTAAGTCACCAGCACTTTGTTGATAAATGTTAAGCTTCTTGTCCCATTTCATTTTTTCATAATCATCTCCATACTTTTCGAAAAGAGATCTACACCAATCATTTTCTCTATCAGATTGCTTTCTTTCTCTAACAATTTCAGAGTTCTTTCTGGCATATTCTTCCAATTGTTGAACTACCAGAGTAGTGCTTTCAACTTCTGGCTTACGTACAACCTTCATGGTACCGTATATCACTTGGGTAACTTCATTGGTTTCTGGATCTCTGATCAAACGAGCTTCACCTTCAGGAATCTCTTCAGGATTGGTAGTTTGTTCAATATCTGAAATTTTCACTTGTTCAGCTTCCTTTTGTTGTTTCTTGAGTTTAATTTCGGAAAGCTTTTCAACTTTTTGTTCTTGTCCACCAGCTAAATGTCCTAATTTGGCTCTTAATCCAAGACGTTTATAATTTTGTTGTAATGTAAGAGATTTATCCCAATTGGCAGCTATGATAGGATTTGAATGAATATTGATGTCTCTTTGTTTGTCCTTGGTTCTTCTGGTGTTCTTCTTGACCGAAGAACGGTTCATCTTTCTCTTTCTTACGGATGTCATGTTGTTTTAATGTGGTTTATAGTGGAAGAAAATCAATCTACAAACTTCTTGTTTCTTTAAACTCTTCTCATTCTTTTTGAGATGAGTATTTTTTTTTGGTACATTTTTTTTTTTTCTTTTTTATCTACAGGTTGCAACAAAAACAACAGCCCCCTCTGAATTATCTCCTTGAATTGAATCCCCAAATATTTTCTTCAATTCCCACTAACTATAATATAATTACCTTAATATGCATATATTCAAACATATACAATTTACTTTTTATTAATTGTCGAGGGATGTATCAACATTAGTATTAGAATCACCTCCATTATTTCCAGAACTCCAACCTCGGTTTCCTCTTCCACCACGACCACCACGACCACGTCCTCTCGCTCTTCCTCTTGGTCCACGTCCTCTAGTACCCCCTCTTACTCTGAACCCTGGTAAATTTGTTCTTTTGGGAGTAACTCTTAATTCACGTCCGCGAAATTCTTTACCATGTAATTCTACAATTGCCTTAGATACCCCTTCCTTTGTATCAAATTCCACATATGCATACCCTTTAGGTGCTCCAGAATACTTGTCAAATAAAATTGTAATTCTTTCAATAATTCCAGCTTTATTGAAAAATGATTCCAATTGTTCAGGGGTTGATGTATAATCGACATTCCCTACATAAATTGATCGACTATCAATTTCCTCTTGCTTAGCCAATCTTTCTGCGCGTTCCTCTTCGCTTTCAACCGGTCTAGGAAGTCTTTCCGTTGTTGGATTTGAATCAATTACTTCACTCATATCTTGTTGGTTATATTTTGTCTCACCGTTTTTTTATCAAAATAAAATGAACACACTCTTTCTTATAAATTTATAACTTCTTGACTTGTTCAATATATAATTATTTAATTAATTATTTGTTAAGAAATTACAATAAATACATCAAATACTAGAAATTGTCAATCACTCTCGTATTTAACTGTCGATTGAAAGAATTTAAATGAATGTAACCTATTGCTATACTTGAAAAGATCAATAAACATTTGAAAACTTGACTATTTTATTTATTTTTTGTTAAATGAGGGGGTTCACGCACGTATATATCGGCTATTTTTATCTGATCTTTAACTAAAAATAATTAAATTTGAGTAAACATTTTTGCAAAAAAAAAAAAAATTTTGAATTGTTTAACTTGAAGAGTTAAAAGTTGATTATGTAGGGAAGTTAAATAATGGCTTGAGATTTGCTATCTCAATCTCTAATATGTGTTTATATAAAGTAAGATGTAAATATATATCTCGATTTACTGTACATTTCCCCCATTTTTTGTTGCAAAATTTGAACTTGAACCCCAAGTTTGTGGTATTTGGCTGCAATTTTTTTTATATGAGTCTGGGGTCGAGTAACACGTATATTAGGAAATATCCTTTCAAATTAGGTTGGACATGCGAATATCCCACCAATACAACCAATGGTATAAATATATCATCAAGATATAAAAAACTTTACCCCGATAATGTTATAAACATCATAGTATCAAAACTAACACCAAGATTGAATCTTGGTTAAAATTCACCACATAATCATAATATTGCCAAGTGTAAATTGTAATATCATTGGACCTCCTTCGTATTGCCAATTCTTCTATTCTAGTATACGCTTCCCCCCTGGAGTTGGAATGATTAATACACACCTTAGTTCTTGAAATAGTTACAAAACCCATAAAAACAATTGAGACATGAAAATAAACTTAGAAAAGTCCAGACTGGTCACAGTCTTTACAGTTGGTTAGTATCTTTTGATCTTGAGTAAAATCTAGAAGGAATCCCAACACTGGACAATTGTATTTGCTTTTATTGCATATCCCAACTATTCTAAGTTTATACTTGCACCCTACTTATTTTCAAGTTTAAACTGATTTATTAAAAGTTTGAGTGAGGTCAATAAACAGAGATGAGTACAGAAGGTAATTAGATAATTAAGATAATAAAGGGTTATGTGGTCTTTTCGTATAATGGTAGAAGTTGGTACTGGTATCGGGGGTATCAATTAGAATTATTGTTAATAACAATGATTAGGTATCTCGATATGTTTATTATATTTTATTGTCTATCTATACTTCAACAAAAGCTCTGTAAGTGGTAAAATCATCAGAAGTAGAAACAAACTCAACTGGTGCACCTGGCGCAATAAAGTAAACAAATCCAGTTTCAACTGGCTTGGTTTCACCTTCAAATTTGATTGATCCAGTACCCTTAGTACAGATCACAATCGATGGACCATCAAAGGCATCATGTTGTTGAGTCTTGTTGGTAGCGTTGAAAATAGTTTGTAAAACGGCAAATTCAGCAATTGGTGGGTTATATAAAACTGACTTTTCAGCTTCACCATGAGCCTTGGCAAAAGGAAGTAATGGCATCTTTTGCTTTTCAACTGAATCATAAGAATAAGTCAACATTTCAACCAAATTCTTAACATCCTTAAACTTTGGTGTAAAACCAGCTCTGACAACGTTATCGGAGGCAGCCATACATTCAATGATATCACCAGAGATGTATGCATGTGGATCCTTTGCTTGTAAGAACATGGCTTCACCAGACTTTAAACAAACATGGTTCAAAAGTAAACATCCACAGAATAAACCAATATCATTAGGGAATTGCTTGTTCAAACGTTGAATCAATTCAGCCAACAGGGAAGAGATAGAGGCAAAAAGTTGTGGTTCAGAAGTAGTTCTAGCAACTAAACTGGCAGCCTTTTCATTAATGATGGAATCTTCAGTGTTCATCAACTTACCGAAAACTTTTTGTAAAAGCTTTCTGTTGGAAGAATCATCATTGGAACCAATTTCAGCTTCTGGCTTAATACCAGCAACAAATTCTTCAACAAGTTCAGTACCAATAATACTGTTCAATTCAGGAATGGTTTGTAAGGTCTTTGCTAATTCAGCAAGTGGCTTGAATCCACAAAATCCTTCAAAATCGGTGACAGCAATGGCCATTTCTGGCTTATGGTTGTCATCTGGGTAGTTCTTAGGATCTTGATCATGGAGTTGAGCTGCTAATTGCTTGTCTGGGTGAGCTTGAATGGATAAAACCTTTTCGATAGATAAGACCTTGAAAAGAAATGGTAATTCTTGATCAGAACCAAATTTTTCAATGATTGACTTGTGCAACAACTCGGTAGGGTGGGCACTGATTAACTCTCTGAGAGTTTGCTTGCCACTGGCAATGTCAACAGCAATAGATGGCACAGAAGGGTGAGTACCCATCCATAATTCAGCATATGGCTTGGCTTCATCAATGGTGGTTTCCTTGTTGGAAGCAGATGCAAATTGGGCAACAGCTGAACTGGATCCAATCTTACCCCAGTCGTAGTTTTGGTAACCGCAATCGATTCTAAAGACCTTTGGAGTAGACATGTTGTTTGTAGTAGAGGTGGGGTGGTGATAAATTTAGACGTGAATGTCTTCAAAGAAAGAAGAAACTAAATATATTTTTACGAAAAACACGTCAACAATAAATTTACCCTCCAATAAAAAAAATAAAAAATAATAATCATAATCATAATACATCAATATTAAAGATATCGCGCCGTAATAATACAAAGTCCGAAAAACTAACGAAATTGTAAACGTGTGTTACTTCAATAATCATCGGTAATATTCATTCTGGTAAGGCACGTGAGCAGAACTAATTCTATGTCTTGGATAGAAACGTCTAATGGAAACCGAATATCAAAAGATTCAACTATATCTGGTTCAAATAGGATACTTTTAAGTGGTAATACAACAGTACATGCTGGGGTGGTCTTAAAAGGAGATGTACCATTAGCTAGTCAAGATTCAGAGAAAGTTACGTCATCTATTCAAATTGGAAAATATAGTTATCTCAATCAAGGATGTATTATTGAACCTCCAGTTGTTAGTGTGGGGACAACTTCAAAAGTTTATGGGCCAGTAAGAATCGGTTCTTATGTAATCGTAGGTACAAATACCGAGATACTGCTGGCCAGTATAGGTAATCGAGTTTTAATTGAAGATAATTGCAAATTAGGAAATTTGAGTATAATTTATGATTGTTGTTATATTCGAGAAGGGTGTGTAGTGCCACCTAGAACGGTCATCCCTCCATTTAGTGAAGTCTCAGGTACCCCGGGAATTGATTTCGCTATTAAGTCATTGAATAATAGTTATCGTAAACTTATAGAAGTTGAAGCACGAGAAAAATATATATTAGGATAAATAAAAAAATATACTTGACAGTCCTTTATTTCTTTTCATTAATTATATAATACAAATGTCTGTACACTATTTCTTGGTTGTTCTTTGTTGGATCAATCTGACTTACCTCCTAAGATTCCTAAACCATCAGATTTACGATATCCTCCATGTCTTCTCCTTCTCAATTTACGAATTCCAAGGAACGTCGTATATAAGAAGGCAATAAATAGAATGTAACCGAAAAGTCCTCTTTGATGTACAACATCCATAAATCTTAAGAAGTCTCCATAGGGACTTCCTACTAATATTCTATTCATGAAAACTTTTTCCTTGACTAAAGCTGGATCCAATAAATATTGTAATACTGGTTTGATCTTATATGGGTCAGTAGTCAATCTTTTACCCTGAATGTCTTGATCCCAATAAAATTTATCGTCTTTAGTAACTACAATCGATTCACCAACTTGATGTTCTCTTCCACTAACTTCCCATCCAAGTTTTCTTGCAAATTCCTTATTGGTTGCGACATCAATGAACGTAAATAATACATCATCATTATTTTGATAATTAGGTATTCTTTGTTTCATTCTATTTTGAATTTGAGTCGATCCAGCTTTATTTTCCTTTAATTTATCAACGGCTTCCTTTTTCAATGATCTAAAATTAGTTAAGTCATTGAAATAATATTCTTTCTTTAAATAATGGTATTCATGGGCAATTAATGAAATATTATACAAGGCATTATTAGTACCCTTTGCATCATTAGAATCAATAAATGAAACAACCACTTTATCATTAAAATTATTTTGCTTTTCAAGTTTAGTATTGAAATAAGTTGAAAATAATTGTGGAGTTAATTCTTGATATAATGGGTATTGATTTTTAAGTACAAAATCATGAATTTTTTCATGATTTCTCATATCTTCTGGTGCAAAATTTTGATAAACTGGAGTAAATAAAGTATTATCTTTGAACATCAAAAGTGTTGGCTTTGAAGTTAATGTTGTTGCTAAATGTAATGCATGATCGTATTTTCTGAGAGATTTTTCATCATAATTTATAAATTCAATAAGATTTTTAGCTTGTTGATTTATAAATTCTTCAAACTTTTTGTTTTTAGCTTGATATAAATACATATTAAATGGTGATTTGGATACGTATTCCAATAAATACGGTAAGATAGCCCTATCTTCTTCTGAATCTTCATCATGATAATAAATAAGCGAAACCTTATTACTCAATGGATAATACAGATCTAAGGGTTCAAATGGTAATACTTTTCTAGCTTCCATAATATCAGTCAATACTCGAATTCCAATTAAATCATATTTATAATTTTCAAACATTCTTTGAGCAAAATTTTTCATTTGACTTAATTCTACTTCTCCAGTATAATCCATTCTAATGATTCCTGATGATTTAGGTAAAAACATGGCATATTTGGGTGATGTTCCTCTTTGTGGTGTTGTTAAAGCATTATAACCTAATTTTTCACAAATCTTAGGGTTGGATTGACAATGGAAATGACCAGCTTTGACTGTACTCAAAATTTGATTAGATAATTTATCCCATAACCTCTTTTCCTCTAAACAATCATAACATGGAGTATCAAAATGATTCTTACCAGTCTTTTCAGTCTCTGCCCATTGACTTTCAGTAGATGGGAAAAATGCTACAAATTGTGGAGTGTCAGCCTTACCAGCTACCAAATCTAATATGGTATCTACATCCAAAGATACTGATGAACTTGGTAAATCAATGGCTCCATTATCATATTCAGCGACTGCATTCTTCAAATATCTTTTAAAATTTTCTGGGGTTCTTGTAAGTGAACGAGGGAATGATCCAACACTCTTCAGTTTCCCAGGAATAATTCTTCCAGATTTATCTCTCAGTGGAGCATACAAGAGCAAATTTGGATAAAATGAAATATCTTCTCTTTCACATAAATTACCATTTTCAGCACAATTTACTTGTCTCATCTGAATGTTTAATTTTTCCATATCTTCAACAAATTCAACATATGTTTGTTCCCAAATTGGTGCAAGCATTTTACAATGACCACAGTATGGAGAATAGAATTCAACAAACAGTAGTTTTTCACTTGTGATTTTATCAAAGTTGTCCAGAGTTAAACTTGGTGGAAGTTCTTTTTTCGCAACTTCAATATTGGGATTAGTAGTAGATTCTTCTTCTTCTTCTTCTGGAATTACATCATTTCCAGACCGTTCTTCTGTTGGTGGTGGTGCTGCGACTGCTGCTGCTGGAGCAGCTTCCGGTGCCGCTTGAGGGACTGCTTTTGGATCAGCTGCTTCTCGTGGAACAACTTCACCTCCACCTCCAATTCCACCAAATCCTTCACCATCCATCAACTTTTGATCAGGAGTTCTTCTATCTTCCTTATCTTCCACAGTAGTAGCAACTTCAAAATTGGTAATTTCTCCTCCATCTTTATGTAAAGGATCTTGTAATTGAACTTTCATGTCATTACTCAGTGAACCTACTGATTCCCCTCCATTAACATCCGTACCATCAGGCTTAGTCAAATCATTCAACTTGGGTACAGATGCAGGTGTGGCAGCAGCTTGTAGTACTAGCGGAAGCAACAACACACAAACAGAACTGACCTTCATCTTGGGGATATAGATATATGATACTTAGTTATGGAGATTGATTCCAGGTGGCTTATACGGGGAAAGCACATATTGATCATGTGCACGACCAGTCAAAAATTGTAAATAAAACAAAAATAAAAATAAAGAAAAAAATTAAATTGTTGCAAAAAAAAAAAAAAAAAAGAATGAAATAATTATCACATGTATACAAAAATGATAACCAATTTCATTCTCTCTGAGTAAGAATGAATTTTACCAAACTATCTCTCTCTCTCTCTCTCTCTCTCTCTCTCTCAAAATCATAATAAGTATACTACTTGAGGGTTTTTTTAAAAAAATTTTAAGTTAATGTATGAATAAATATGCTATGCTATAAGGTCTTTCCACTTATTTCTAATAAATATGTCTTGAAATATTCAAAGCTTACAAGGGTTATGGCACTTGCTGGTACTGTTCTAGCCAAATTTACAACATACCCTGCATAAAACCCCTTCCAACCTTCTTTACGGTAAATCTTACTAATAGCTTTAATAATACCATCTTGATCTATGCAATTTTGTTTGGTTCGTATTTGCATTCGAGTTCGAAGAATTTCATGTGGATATGTAATTGTACTAGCAATCATTTTAGCTAATGAAGATGCAAATATAAGTCTCCACAATAAATGACTTGGTCCATTGGTAAAATCAATTCCCTCAGCTGCTGCTGCAGAATTAGAGGAAGAATTATTATTATCCTCAAATTGAGAATGAGAACTTGTAGTTGCAACGTTGCAACCAGTTAGATGTTTCAATTTTTCATATACTGGGAAATGAATTCCAACATGTAATAATCCAAATAATGATGGGACTAACCCACTATAAAAGACTCTGAATCCCTCTTCTCTATACATAGTTTTAAATGCATCAAATGTTCCTTTATAATAATGTTGTTTTTTGTTAATTGAATCCTTTGGTTTAGCTACTTGAGTCATTAATCTAGTTTTAACCACCCAGATTGGATTCACTGCAATAGAAGAGGCCAGACCTGCTGTAAGAGCCGCACAAAAATGATTTAATGAATCAATATTCAATCCAAAATTCTTATCCATAAATTGAGGATAAAATCCCTTTGCTTTTTCATAAATGGTGAAATATATGGTCCAAGTGGGTAAATAGCCAATTGTTATGGGTACTAAACCTCTATATAATCCTCTAAACCCTTCCTCTGCTATGATGTTTCTAAATTCTCCTATAAATCCATGATATCTTTGTCTACCTTGAATAATGGTTGCAGCTCCCTTTGCTTGAAGTCTTGTCTTAACAACGTCCAATGGACATACCACCACTCCAGCTAGAAACCCAGAGGCAGCTCCTGAAAGGGTGACCAATTGTGTTGCAGATAAGTTTGTTAAGAATGAAGGAGGTGGGATTTCTCTTAATCTTTCAATTTTATGTGTAACAGGGAAATCTCGAGTAGCTCTTGAATGAAATTCCAAATCTTCTCCCTGTATCCTATCGGAAAACTCACGTTGGTGCTGTATTGGCACATTCGTCCTATCCGGTACGTTTCGGTCCACCATATCCTATATTCCGAGATCCCGGAATGATTTTACTTGAAAATTCGAATTTTAAAATCTTTAAAAATAAATAAAAAAGAAAGCGATCTTTTTTGGGTGATTGGACTCAAAATATTTATAGACAAATGTATAATATTTTGAAAAGGGAAACAGTACGTGCAAACAAATTGCTAGTGAATTGTGGGTCTAGCTTGTTGTGCAAAGTTCCCCCGTCAATATAACCCAAATAAAAGCTATAATAATCCAGCCTATATAAAATGATTAGATTTAAAATCAAAATTTGAGGTAGACAGGTCGTGTGTGTAACGAGGGAAAGTCTTACCGAGATAACTGATTTTAATATGAATTGAAAGTAAATAAGACGAGAAAAAAAAAATAAAAATGTTTAAGATGAATTAGATGTGTATATATGTGAATGATTTTATTTCATCCTAATGGTTACTCTATAATTATCCTAACAAAGTTCTTGAACGGAAACCATTGTAAAACCAACTATTTACTATCAAGTAATCTCTTATGTAAGAGTGTGGTAATATGCAGTAAAAAAAATGTGTTGGCAGCAAAAGTTAACTTTGATACCCCCCTAGTCAATATTGTACAGATAATTTATTCTTATTCTAATTCTCATTTTTAATTGATAATTTCCTTTAAAAACACTCAATGTTTATTTAAAGAAACTTTGCATCCCCTTTCCCCTCCCCCCCCCTTTTGGTGGCGATCTGGTGGCAATCTGGTGGCGACACTTTTTTGGAAATATGGCAATCAATCTTGATATTTGAGTATGCGCACGACCTTCTACATTCTGTACACTCATACATTTTTGACATGTATACAATATATATATCTGGACAAGTTTAGATAAAAACTTCTTAGTTAAATCTTTTAATCCACTTTTAATAAATCTAAAAATATGGCCATTTACTACTTAAAGTTTGCTGGAGAATTGTCCAATGTCACTGACTTGCAACCATTGGATGATCAATCCAATCCATACGAATATATCTTTAAGGTAACATGTACTTCATGTCATGAAACACACCCAAAGGCAGTTTCAATTAATAGATTTGAATCTTATGATATAGGCGATTCTAAGGGTAAAGCTAACTTTGTGTTTAGATGTCGCATGTGTAAAAAGGAAAGTTCAGCAAATATTGATAGAACTGTGGCTAAATACACTGTTGAAGATGACTCAAAGTTAGTCCCAATACTTCAAATTGATGCAAGAGGTTTGGATTTATCTGATTTTGTTGCTGAGGGAAGATTTGAATGTAAAGGTTTGAATTCTGGTACAACTTTCAATGAAGTTGATTTGAGTGATGGTGAATGGTATGATTATGATGATAAAGTAAGTGAAGAAGTTAGTGTAACTGAAATTAAATGGGAAATTCTGCGTTAATGAATTAATATATTTTCTATAATATTAACAATGACATATCCATGAATATGTCTTTCATTCTCCACTCTAATATCAAAGTACATTCCCCACTTTAGAAGATTCGAATCCTGTACATACATACTATTGTACACGGTATAGAAATCTTGCATCAAAAACTTGAAACCCCCCTTTTTTTCTATAATGAAACCCTAATGAAATTTTATGATTAGATAGCATTACATAGATATATACATATACAAGAAAGAAAAAAAATGTATTCAGATGTATTCATATAAATATTTTTACTTTACTTCTTTTTAAAAGACTTGCTTGCTTATCTTGAAAGATAGAATAAATTTATTTCCCAAATCGATACGAAATAACACCCTTTACCTTTTTTTTAAAGTGCAGGATCCGGCATTATCGGCCCCACAGCAACTGAAATGGACCGATCCTATTATCAAATATTAAATATATATTCAGATATATTTGGACTGATTAAAAATCTATAATTCGAATAATTTATATCTATAAAACTCTACTCATAAAATGGGATCTAACTTAGCCGACGCAATTGTTCAACCTCTCAATGATAAGGTTCATGAATTTGCTGATAAGGTATCTGGGTCTACTCCAGCACCCCCTTCGAAGGGAATTCAATTGTTTACCAAGGAATACTATGCTGCATGTACTCTTGGAGGTATAATTGCCTGTGGTCCTACTCATTCGGCAGTGACGCCATTGGATCTTGTCAAATGTCGTCGTCAAGTAAACTCTAGCATTTACAAGTCCAATATTCAAGGTTGGAAGACTATTTTAAAGACCCCAGGAGATTCCATCTTTACCGGTATTGGTGCAACCTTCATTGGGTATTCCCTCCAAGGTGCTGGTAAGTATGGTTTCTATGAATACTTCAAAAAGACTTATAGTGACCTTGTAGGTCCAGAATTTGCTAATAAATATAAGACTGGGGTTTATCTTGCATCTTCTGCTTCTGCTGAATTCCTTGCCGATCTTGCACTTTGTCCTTTGGAAACCATCAAGGTTAAGACTCAAACTACTGTCCCTCCATTTGCAACCTCAGTAACTGATGGTTGGAAGAAGATTACTGCCACTGAAGGAATTGGTGGTTTATACAAAGGTCTTGTTCCATTATGGTTTAGACAAGTTCCTTACACTATGGTTAAATTTGCTTCATTTGAAAAGACAGTTGAACAAATTTATAAATATTTGGGTAAACCAGTTTCTCTGTACACTCCTTTGCAACAAACTGGAGTTTCCTTTTTGGGGGGTTATATTGCTGGTATCTTTTGTGCCATTGTCTCTCATCCAGCAGATGTCATGGTTTCTAAAATCAATTCTCTGAAGAAACCTAATGAATCGGTTGGAACTGCCTTGAAAAGAATCTATGGAGATATCGGTTTCAAAGGTGTATGGAATGGGTTACCAGTTAGAATTGTTATGATTGGTACTTTGACCGGTTTCCAATGGCTTATCTATGATTCATTCAAGGTTTATGTTGGATTACCAACTACTGGAGGTCATTAAAGATTTAGACTATTTACAATATATTCAATGATTACTATATTTTATTATTATTACCATTATAATCTATACTGTTTTCTTTTCATTTTCACTAATTTCTTATCTTTGTTTATTCTTTAAACTCTCTTTTACTTCCATACATTTTTAAATAAATCATCATCTAATGCACTTGCGGTAGCAGTGGAATTTGTAGAATTGGGGAAGATACTATTCAGTGACGAAGACCAGCCGTTCTGTGGTGCATCTGACCACTCATTAGTCCATGACTTTTCAGATGCGGGTGCCTTATAAGTTGTAGTTGGGGCTGGACCTGGAGCTTGAACTGGAACTGAAGCTGGAGCGGGAGTATTGTATGATAAAGATGGAGTAGAATTGAAATTCAACCCATTAAGTGAGTTTGAAAGTGAATGAATTGATCCAATAGGGGTGGAAGTGGTGGTTGTGGTAGAAGAAGAATTGGAAGGCGCAAAAGATGGAGTTACTAATGTTTGTCTCTGTGGTTGCGTAATGTTTGATGATGAAGATGATGGAGAAGAATATAATGATAAGATCGATTTCTTCAAATCGGGTCTTCCATTGAAGCTACCTCCTGTGCTTTGGGCAGATTGTTGTTGCTGTTGTTTAGGAAGTGATTCATTGGATGATAATTTGGGGAGAGATGAGGAAAGTGGTGAATTAGAAACTGGTCTAGTTGATGAAGAAGTTGCTGGAATGGACTTACGCACAGATGAAGGAGTTGGGGATGATTTGAACGATCCAAATTCTTCGTCTAAAAGACTTCCCTGTGCTGCATGCAGATGATTTACCGCTGGAGAATTTGTGGTTGTGGTGGCAGCGGAATTGGTAGGAGATGCTGAATGTGCTCCAGCCCCTGTCAAAGAGCTTGGGTTTGGAATAGTAGATGAACTGGCCCATTTCTTCATGTCATACTTTGTACGGATGAAATTTTCAATCTTCAGGGCATCTGGAACATATCCATCTGGTAATTTGGCTTCCCAATAGCTATTACACTTGGCATTTCCCCATTTAAGCATCAGTTCTATTTGTTCGTCAGTCCATGCATCCAAGTCGACAGACTTTACTTTGGAGATATGTGTCCCCATACTTCTATGGATTCCCGAACACCGTATGCAAATAAAACATCCCAAATTCCACGATGCCCATCTTGGATGAGTGGCGGTTTTACAATCAACACAAGTCTTGTTGCCTGCCTCCTTAAGAAGTTGCTTCAAGATCTGTTTATGTTTCTCCGAGTGTGTCTTTTTCGATGACGGTAATGCAGTCGATCTGGATGTGTTGTACATGTCGGATTGTTGTATATCTCTTGTTTGAGTATGCGGGATAGGTACTTTGTTACCTTTTATTCGTAGATCAGTTTTTGTTTAGTGTAACCTTTTGGGTCTGTTTTCGTCGGGTATGAATAACACAAAGTCACCATATCAGAAAGTGCCAAAAATTAAAATCTATAGAAGAATGAGAAAAATAAAAAAATAAAAAATAATACTATACACTCAAAAAAAATATACGAAATTCTTTTCAACATGTGAGACATGAAGATTAAGAGTCCTATAATGAAAGAGAATAGAGTAAAGATATGGTATTCGTGCGATTGTGTCAGTTCTTCTCTATGTTCTACTGTAGATTACTGAATCACTCTTATTGTGGCTCTGATTTGGGAGGGCGAGAATGAGGCTTTGGATTGATAACTATTCTCACTATCTCTGTTAGGTAATAGAATTGCGCATTGCTTTTTGCGGGTCCTTTATTTTTTTTTATTTTTTTTTTTGTTTTAAAGATTTCTTTCAAGATTTCCCCTCGGTGTAGAGTTGAGTCTTCAACACTTGTACTACCCCCTCAGAACTTGTAGAACTTTCCCCTGGGGACCCTACTTCCATTACAGCAACATACTCTTGTTTTAGAGTTTAAATCGAGCGCTGGATGGAGGAGAAACAAGGGAATTCGACGCCGGAGATGTCGCCAAAGGTGTATACGTTGAAAGAAGTATCGAAGCATGAGTCTCCCAATGATTTATGGATGGTTATTTATAATAAGGTTTACGATGTAACGGACTTTTTGATTGATCATCCCGGAGGTGCTGAGGTTTTATTTGACTGTGGAGGCGTTGATGCTACTGAAGCTTTTGAAGACGTGGCACATTCCGACGATGCCCTTAATATGCTTAGTCCCTACTACATGGGAGATTTACACGTCAAAGACCATCTAAAATATGACCTGATAAGAAATCCATCTTCTAATATGAACCCCGCCCGAGATAAATCCAACCCATCATCTTCAATACCGACAAAGGAACAAAAAAGAAAGTCTAAAACAAAAAGGAAAAAATCGCAAACAAAGCAGAGCTGGGTTACTCTGACGCAAGCTCAGGCTTACTTCATATTGATAGCTCTTGCCCTAGTGGGTATCTTGTCATATTTATTTCTTCAAAAGATTAAATGGTCCAAAACATACCTTTAATCAATTCATAGCATATCCACCTTTTATTGGTTGGCAGGGACATTATTATTGTCACAGACTTATTCATATAATTATATAAACTTAATCACGTACATTCATACCTCAAGTACACTCGTAGTACAAATCAACCAAAAATATAACTCTTTATAAGTGGTCTTAAACCTGAGTAATCAATTCTTTCAGAAAAAAAAAATAAGCCCGATGCGGGGGTCGAACCCGCAACCTTTTGATTGCTTCTTATATTAAGAGTCAAACGCTCTACCGATTGAGCTAACCAGGCGTTAAGAAATGGAAAGCCCGATGCGGGGGTCGAACCCGCAACCTTTTGATCGCACTCTATTAAGAGTCAAACGCTCTACCGATTGAGCTAACCAGGCTTTCTTATTGAACCTTTAAATTTCATGGTTTTCCAAGAGACATTGAACCGTATAAATATTACACAAAACCAAAATGTCACGTGAATGTTGCAACTTGATGTATTACTCATTTCAGTCAAAACATTGTTCAACAATCTTTGAATTGAATGAGTAACTATCATACTAGTTTATATAAGCAATATATAATAGTTGAAAGTGATAAAATAATATATCAAAACAGACGTCTATGACTGATCTCAGTGTTGTCACTGATGAGACTGCGCATATTTTCAATTTTTTCATCCATCACAATCTACTTCATATCGATTGACTTCTACTTGTATATAATATAACTTGCTACAAGGACTTGCATTTCCATCGTATATTAGTTACTCTTGATAAAAAGAATAAGAAAGAAAAAAGAAACGACTATCTCACAAAGATTTCTTTTCATATGTAAAAAGAAAAACTATTTTTTTTTTTTGTACATGCATATATTGGCGATCTCTGATCTAATACTTGGAGTACTTTTTCTCTAGGGAAAATATATTCACAAGCAAAAATGTAAGCCCGATGCGGGGGTCGAACCCGCAACCTTTTGATTGCACTCTATTAAGAGTCAAACGCTCTACCGATTGAGCTAACCAGGCGTTGTTTTCGACATCGCAACATCTACGAATATTTTGACACACACCTTTAATAAATAAATAACTTTTTAAGTGATAATAATATCCATATGACTACAAAAAAAAGAATTTCATCACACTGGCTATTGTAAGTAATGTATATCTTTAGAGAGTTGCTATTAACATACACATCATTATCATTTCTGACTTCCTCTACACAATTTTTCACATAGTGTAATTTTTCACATACACGCCTTTGTATTGTGATAGGAGATGGCTGCAAATCGAAACACAAGTGGTGTTAATATATACAGATTATATCCTCTGCTACTTCTCCGCCATTCTGAAGAAGGTACATGATGAAAATCGTTATGCTTGAAACATAAGAAGTCAACCTCTTACTCAAACACATGTTTTATTGACTTTAATTTGATCCCAAAGGTAATTTTGCTTCACTGTCCATTTGTGTTTGTATATATTATAGTTATATTACATAATATCATTACCATTACCATTACCATTAGGTTTATAGTATTGGTTGAATATCAGAAATAAACAGTGTGACTTTCATACAAAACCGAAGTGGATTATTATATTTTTCTGCCAATTTTGTATGCTTATAGTTAATATTAAAAAATATACATTGTACAAATATCACATTTGTCCAGGGCTTGTATTATTAGACTAACCCAACAATAAAATGACTTCAAGTGTGTAATTATTTGGTAATATATCACGACACAATAGTAATGATTATGCAATACTCATTTGCAATGCTGCATATGCGCGAAAGCCTATCTGGATAAATGAGTTCAGAATAGGAGTTTTCCGAAAGGTTTAGCAATTGCTAAAGACATTCTTTGTTTATATATAATGGACCGACATTTACAATGACACAACACCCCATCTCCCCCATTGTAATTATATTGACAAAATCGTGATACGCACTATAGTGAATAGGGATTTAAAATGTAAATTTCTTTGAAAAAAACTCCCTAGACTTTGAATTTCTCATCACCGTATGAACAAGCTTTAAGTAGACGCACATAAATAGTACGTTATAACACCACCATCTTCGTTGATGGATCTAAAACTGTGGTTGTCATTCACGATTGCATTATGTGGCTATATACATATGGAAAAGAAGAGATAACAAGCCGTAAGGCAATGTCCTACTATAAAAGCAGATGATTTGGGTTCCCAGTAAACTTGATATTTATATAGTAAGCTTGTGTTATATCATTTTCATATTTTTTGGTCTAAATAATCTTTAGAAACACTATGGGAATCACTAGTATCTTCAAAAGAAAGCGAATTCAATCTGAAATAGATTCAAGTTCAATCTCTTCAGAAAAGGATGCAAATATTAGAATAGAACTAGCGGAGCTCGAATCTCTCAATTCTGGACAAAAGAAATTAGATCATGTTTTTCAAGATCCTGTAGTGGCAGAGAATTATCGGGAAGTGTATGAAACTACAAATTATGAGTGCAAAGATTACTTTGATCCAGACTTCACCTGGACTGCTGAAGAAGAACGTAAAACTGTTTGGAAGATTGACTGGTACGTTACATTTTGGGCGTTCGCTATGTTCATGGCGTTGGATATAGATCGGTTCAATATACAACAAGCATTGTCCGATAATATGCTTGATGATTTGAATCTTACCACAAATGATTATAACCTAGGCAGGACTATCAATCTTGTTGGTTTCTTGGCCGCGGAATTACCATCTCAATTGATTTCAAAATGGATTGGTGCTGATATTTGGATTCCAACTCAATTGATATTATGGAGTGTAGTGTCGATGTCACAGGCTTGGATTACAGGTAAAACTAGTTTCCTAGTCACAAGAACTTTGATTGGTGCGCTACAAGGAGGTTTCATTCCAGACGTTTGCTTGTGGATGTCCTATTTCTATACTTCTAAAGAATTTCCTTCGAGACTATCTTTATTTTATATCGCCAACCCCTTGGGATCTGTGGTAGCAAGTTTACTAGCTTTTGCACTCCTAAAAGTCAGTACGTCAGAAATGAAAGAAGGATGGAGGTGGTTGTTTTTAATAGAAGGTGCAATTACTTTATTAATTGGTATTATGTCATTCTTTAAGATGCCAGCATCGGTAGTACAGACTAAAACTTGGTACCGAAAGAAAGGTTGGTTTACAGAGAGAGAGGAATATCTTATCGTAAACAAGGTATTGAGAGATGATCCATCCAAGGGTATATGCATAACAGACAACCAGTGAGTCCAAAGGAGTTATTAAATGCCATATTAGACTATGATTTATGGCCAGTTTATGTCATTCGTATTCTTAGTGATATTGGAAGTGGTCCAGTACTGTCGTATTTAACATTAACGTTGAGGAAGTTGGGCTTCTCCACTTTTAACACAAATGCGTTGACCATTCCTGCCAATATGCTTCTGATTATAGTTATGGTTTTCACCGGTTGGATATCCGAAGTGATTAATGAACGATCATATATATTGTCTTTCTCTTCAATATGGGTTTTAGCATGCCTCTTTCCCTTGCGATATTGGCCAGGTTCCCAAATCAATGTTTGGGGAACATATGCAATTTTAATAATATTGTTAGGGCATAACCCTGTTGCCCCACTTTCAATATCCTGGACTTCTGCTAATTCCAATTCTGTTAGATCAAGGGCGGTCTCTGGGGCAATTGTCAATATATTTTCCCAGACAGGATCGATTGCAGCTTCCAATATCTATAGAATGGACGATGCACCATTGTATCATAGAGGTAATGAACAATTAATAGCTATAGCCTTTGGTGCATTAGCCGCATGTCTACTCGCAAAAGTCTATTATATCCAAAGAAATAAGTATAAGGAAAGAAAATGGTCGTCAATGACTGTGGAAGAACAAGAATATTACATTTCGAACTCAACTGACAGTGGAAACAAACGACTTGATTTTCGATTTGTACATTAGATATATTTATAATATGTTCTTAGAAATAAATGAAATTTAAACCAATTTGGGGCTGAGAAGATTAATAATTAATTATTTTGGCTTCCACTTGCCAAACAATCCTGCCTTCTTCATACACTATCACCATTTGTAAATGACAGAAAATGTTCTTTATTGGGAACAAAATTCGCACCCAAGAAAAAAGAAATTAGTTGACAGGTTCAATTCTATTAACAATATTAATAATGTTGGCCCTAAACTCTATTGTACATATTCATAAAAAAATATGAATATCTCAGTAATATTGATGTCAATATCTTTGAGGTGGTAAAAAGATAAGCCCGATGCGGGGGTCGAACCCGCAACCTTTTGATCGCACTCTATTAAGAGTCAAACGCTCTACCGATTGAGCTAACCAGGCTTCTTGGATTCTCTGCTTTCCAAAACTGGTGTTTGAAAAGTTTTACATCCATACATCCGGTCACATGATGATAATCGCGTGACCGTTCTATAATTGCAGGTCAAATAGGGGTACAGCTTGTCGATTAGATTGTACTTGAGGACTGGGAATTATGAATACATAAGGTTCCTTGAGTAGGGTGTAGCTTGAATTAGATGATGATAATTTCCCTTAGGAACAAGTGTAAGAAATATCATATTATTAAACATTAAAAAATGACATTAGGCGCTGATTTAAATTGTGGTATGGGTTTAGTCCCCATTTCTTGATGTATCTGGAAACTTATCAAATACATTCACTTCCTTGAATCTGATACCTACGGTCTAGATATATACCTTTAAAATATTTAGTAGGTCAAATAATACTTCTAACTATTCACATCCTCGGTTATCTCCTAAAATCACACATATTTTCACCCATATGTACTGTATCAAGCATACTCGCTTTGAAATGAATATAAATATTATATCTCAAAGAGCTTTATAGACAGTGGAGCCGGTTTATAATCTGATAGACAAGTAAGATTCAAATGGTACTCTTTTCGGCAATTCTAACCGGAGTCATATGAGCTTAAATTTGGCTGCAAATCTATTATAAAAATACTTAGGAGCTATATACGAAAGGTTGACCAGTGCACGGTTTATATTATCTTCCTAGAATTCATTAATTAAAAGATTGTCAATTATTGATGAATTTATATACAAGTAACACATTTCTTTGGTTTGGATTCAATGTTTATTTTGCAAATAAAAAGAGCTAAACGACTATCCTAATTAAACAAATTATGGGAAATTTCCAACTCTGAGACCAAAATAACCATCTGGAGCCAGTTCGGTAACATTGAGTCTTGCTTGTTGACCATAACCACCATCAATTCCAACGTATGGAACGTCATTTCCCCACCAGGAAATAGATTTATCATTAAATTGCACAGCAAAGAAAATGATAATACTACTGAATGCAACACCAGCATCCATAGCCCCAGAAAAGACGAAATTATACTTTTCCCACCATGTCAAATAATGTTTCTTGATGTAGTACATGAAAGCAATAGACAAGTACATACTACCAGTGAAGTATGAGAAATTGTATGGTGCCCAGTTTAAGAATCCACCCATAATAATTGACGGTTGGAAATTTCTTGTAAGTCTTCTTGGGCCATACCATCTAAAAAGAAGAGATGGGAAGACCAATAAGAAACCAATTAAGAAACAATATTGCATAACTGGATATAAACCTCCGAAAACCTTCTTTGGTCCAATAGTACCCCAAAATACTGAAGCAGAGAAGAAAGTCGTTGCCCCAGGACATGTGAACTTTTGCTTCTGACCGGGAGTACAAATATCATCCATACTGTCAATTTGCCAATTCATTACAGCCAATCCAATGAATGAGTTCAAAATCACAGAAAACAATTGGCCTCTGAAAAGAGCACGGGCAGGCACTTTGGCATAATGAGCCATCTTTTGATCTGAGACGTAATTCTGAGCTTGACCATCAATATTGTACCCAAAGGCTTTAATAAGCATCAAAGCTTGTGAATTACCAGGAAGTGCATAACCAATGATCAATTCAACTAAGACGTTCAACCCAAAACCCCAACCAGTGGAGCTGTAAAGCGCAGTCAATGGAATCAAAAATACAAAATTAATAGCAATTGCAAAGAAAATAGCCCAAACAGGTGTTGCCGTACCAGGGTATAATTTCACACAAAGAATTGCAAATACAGTGGAGATTACCAAAATCACAAGGAAGCACCATTCAGGAACCTCCTTATAACGGGACATCATTCTGGTGTGAGGATCCTTTAAACCTTCCAATCCCGATCTTCTGTAGTGTCTAAAAGTATTGTAGACAGCAATTGCAGATTCCTTCATTGCGGACCATCTAGTGATAGATTCATAAAAGATAGAAAACGTATAAAGAGAAAAAAAAGTACCATAGACGACCAAGTTGGCAGCAGAATAGTATGGGGGTCCATATTCAGCATACTTGGCCTTGTCAAGCAAACCATTATCATCTAATACGTTTGCAACAATGTATCTCTTTCCATAGTTGTCAAACAAAGCATTGGAGTTTATTGGTAAATAACCAGACCACTTATTATTTGTCCACCACAAAGCGACAATGACAAAGAATGAAATGGTCATTCCAAAGAATTCGTTAGCTTGTGAGTAAAATGGACGAACCAATGGGGAATTCATTGCTAAAATATTCCAATCAAAGGATGGAATTGGGTTAACACCTAAACCTTTGATAGAACCAGTAATCATTGCAAGGTTAAAATTATTTGGTGCAATCCAAGTCATCCAATTGAATGTTGAAAGAGCTGCAAAAAGATAATTTGGAATCCAAAAGTACAAGAATGAAGCAATCACAGTTATGAAAAAGAAATTATATCTTGTGATCTTCCAACCATTAATGCTTTCTTTTCTTTCGGGCTTAAGTAATGCTCTGTTCAAAGCAAGCGTTGGTAAAATGTTTGGCCAGATAGCCTTCACTGGATAAGCTGCGAATCTACGCAAAATTCCGGCAAACCCAAAACCCAAGAAATTTGTTGATAACACCAATAAAATTTGATAACCCCAAGTTGTCCATTTATTACCATAAAATTGTTGAACTCTTTGAGTGTAAATATTGTAATGAACGTAAGAGGGCAGAGCAGAAACAGAATACATAATTGTTGCAAACATTTGTTCCTTATAAGTCCAAGGACCAGGATTCAAACTGAAAGAAAAATTCTTGGTAATCTTGACATTATAATTAGGAAGTATTTGGTGCAATAATACACCACATGGATAAAAGAAAAGTTGAACAACAGAAGCTGACAAAGAGATTTGTGGTTGTCTTTGACTGAAAAAAGTATTGATGAAAGATCCAATAGCAATCCATATAATTCCTAAAAAATAGGCTCTAAAAGTTTCACAAGGAATAGTAGGGTCATCAAAAGGTTCACAAATGGCTCTCACTTCGGGATAAGGAGAATGATAAGCGTGTAATGCAGCTTCAAGTCTGGTTTGCAAATTCCAGTCAAAGATTTCCACTGTGCTCGGAGTATTTCCTTCTAAAGAAGAAGAATCATAGTTTTTGATGTTAACTTCTTGAACCAGAACCTTCTTTTCACTGGTCTTTTCGTTAGAAGCAGTTTCAGATGTAGGACCATTCAAATCCTTTAGTGATGGCGCAAGAGCAAGTAAGCGTTCAATCAAGTCTAAATCATCAGCTGGAAAGTTAAAATCATCTTTGAATTCTTCAAATGTTTCCTCTAAGATTTCAAGAGCTTCTTCAATTTTCAAATTTTCAATCTTTTCAATCATAAATGTTGCTTCAACTGGTAAATCATCAAAGGTAAGTAAACCATCGTAATTAAGTCTTCTTAAAATGAAGTGCTTTTGTTCCGTAGTCAATGAAACACCAACATCTCCAATAGAAACAGCATGAGATGTGATAGCTGCTAAATCAACTTGATGATCTTCTGGGTCAGCTCGTGAAGCTCCACTCTTAATACTCATGATGGCATGGCCATCAATCTTCAGAGACATGATAGTTCAATGAAATATCGATGAATGTTTAGATGTATGAGATTATTTTGTTCATATTAATCAATCTAGCCAAAAATATAGCAATATATATAGTATAGTCTGTGGCGGAACTTATCGTAATCAAAATCATTTGGGTTGATACTTTCTGCAACAATAACTGTAGATAACACACAATCTTACGAATAAGGGCATATTCTATTGGCCATGAAGTCGTATGGCTCCACATGACATGCATAAATCATAAGAATTCAATACAATGTACCATGACTGGGTTAATGCCAAGATATTCAAAGTTTGGGGGAGGTCTAAATGTTAATAGCTCATAGTAATTCAAATATATCATACGGCTAAAAAATATATTAATTTATCCGCCGAAGTATCGTGTGTGGCTTGTATGTAGAAATTTGTTGCAAATCTGATGCGAAGTTGGTGGGGGGGGGGGGTTCTTAAACAAAAATAATCAAAACAAAAAATCACAGCCGCACATGGTTCAAGATCTAGTTCTGCTGGTGCGATCTCAAATAATGAGATGGTTTCCGTATAGCAATATTAACCATGTTCAAGGCTCGACCTTTCATTGCAATATGTCTCTTGCAAAGTTAACTCACCAATGGATTGACCCGTCGAATGTACGGCTCTATCGTGTGTGTAATTAATTTCTTCTTGGCTCTTGATGTATTTTCTCGGCATTCACCTTATCTTCCCTGACTTGTGGTGTATGCAGGGCCATAGTGGATGCATCTTTTTATCGTCGTGATCCAGCAAGTACACAATGTGGATAATAGTATGACACGACTTCTTGGTATTTGAGCATTTTACATTGGGCGCCATAATTTAAAGGTGCATCCCCACTTGAGTTCCTAATTCTAAAAGATAAGAGAATCATTGTTGCTATGTGACATCCATATTCATTAAAAACTGATAGATAAAGTGTCACTAAAAAAAGTAGTAGTACTTTGTATTAACTGCATTTAGTCGATTCAAAAAGGGCTTATGCCGTGTCAATAATATTTTTCAAGAAAAAAGGTAGTTTTCATTGGAGGTTAGCGTATTTTACCCCTTTTGCAGCTAAAATGAATATCGTCAATTGATTTCACGAATTAATCAAGAAATAAATATTCTTCTATGAGGGGAATATTATTTCACCATTAGTGGACCATTTCTTCCTTGTGTTTGGCTAATCATAATGGACAAGGAATACACCGTTTATAATACCTTATTGGAACTATAAATACGGTCCGCAAGCCTCTTTTTTGGGATAATTATAGTAAAGATTAAATGTATTCAATTGATACAATTAATACAATTAATTTAAAGAATTATAAGTGAGGGGTACTTGTAAGATATCCGAAAGATACCTGTAAGATTCTGCAATATAAGCATTTACTAAAACTCCAAAATATGTAATTTTGTCCGAGGCACTAATGCGATTGTATGCAAGTACATGTTAATATGAAATATCCTACAGTCCTGCTATTATTGGTTCCAAATTTGATAAATTTTTTTTGGCTCTTACGGCCGATCGCTCTCATTATCTCCATCCACACTTAAGTACCCCTTGAAACGAAACTTTAAAAAAAACTAGAAAACAAAAAAAATCATATGTTTCAAGTTCTATTTCCATTCACTAATTTGAAAATGCATATTTCCTTCTATTATGCTTTTCGTACAATTTTTATTTCTATAAAACCGCGTTTTAATTTCTAATAGAGTGTACCAGAATCCCTTTTGTATGAGTGATTTAGTCTTTAAACAATGAATCCTCATTTGGTGGGTTCAAAGTACATACAGTAGTAGTGCTGGTGTTGCTCAATGTTTTTTTTTCTATTTCCAATATTTGAAGATTGCTATACAGCTTCAGACCTGGGAGCCTTGAACTGTATTTCTCTATCTGTTATTTCGTATATAGGAAGGTGATTGGATCTGAACAATATCCTCTTTTCGCATAGTAACTTTCGTCTACCTTTCTCTCTTATTGCACGATTATTCATTAAAGTTTTACGAATCGCTTATTACAATCGACCCTGATATTTTTATATTTTGAACTTCAATCGTGCATGTGAATTCCACTGAATAAGACGGATTTTTGTCAGAAATTTCTCTTTTGTTCTGAAAAATCTACAAGGAACAATAGCTTCATATGAAACATTCGAAATGGTACTTCTATATTTCATTTCAATTCAAGAACCTCATACTTTTCCTCGTAAAATTTTTAATACCCCATGTTATTTCCTGAACAGGATATTTGTTATTATTCATCAAGTGTGGTGTAAGCTAAAATAAAGAGTCTAGTTCATTAGTACAATATCTCGCAATTAAAATATGTGGAAGTGCATACCCTTTGCATAAGTCCGTGCATCAACAATCGTTAAATACACTTCCCGAAATCGCGTACCGTGACTTTCTCTCGTAAGAATGGCAGGCAAGAATGGGCGCTAAATCATACCATACATGTCGATTTTTAAAAACTTGACTCTTGTTAGAATATTCACTTAATCATGATTGAAATTTCAATGTAAAACAATCAAGTCTTTGATGAAATAAATTTGATGCCGTTTGCAGCGTGAAATCTGTTATATTGACATTTTCTGAATTTGGTCAAGTCAGCTTTCCACTTTCGTACTTATTTTGGTCCAATTCTGAAAAATATACATTAACCTTCTGTTAGTCGCATCCACTAAGCAATATCTTGCCCCTGGAAATAAATCCGTGTACACAAAGCACATTTCGGCTCGCTAAACCTTAAAATATATCCATAAACGGAGCATTGCTCCTTTTTTAGCATTGTGCCATATGCAGAAAAACTCGTAAACAATAAGGATACAAGCAAAAGTCTGGGGATATGCAGGACCGCGACGACGCAAGTAGACTGCTAGGCGATATCTTGCATAAAGACCAAAATAGGTTGCAAGTGCCAAGTTTGGTCTGGTAAACTTAGCTCCGTAGAACATGGTGCCATATATAAACTAGCATCTATCTAATGCTTTCTAGGCACGAATTTTCACGTTATTCTATATTTCAAACACACTCGTTAAAAATAAAATGCGTTTTGGCAATAAGTTGAAGTTATTTGCAACCGCCGCGCTAGCTGCAACTCCTGTCCTTGGTCAACACATCACAAGTGATACCACTAACTATGGCTCAGTTCTTCTCACTGGAAATGTAGAGGTTGACTCTGGTGTCACTTGGCAGATAATTGACGCTCTTGTTGAGGCCTTCTTTGGAGATATTAATATAAAAGGAAATCTCTATATTACTCTTGACAAACCACCATTCTCATTGTCTATTACTTCGGCTACCCTTAAAAGTTTCAACAATTCAGGGGTAATTTTCTTCAAATCCATTCGTTCTGGTGTTGCTCCAATTTATTCATTTGTGGTTGGCTCATTCTATAATACTGGTGATATCTTCTTTAGTGCTGCTGGAAATGTTCTTCAATCCGTTTATATTATTGCGGCCCCTAGTTGGAATAATGCAAAGGGTGGTTCGATTTTCTTGTACCAAGATAAGAGGGCCAATGGTTACGCCACATTAGGTCAAGTTGGAGCTACCATTACAAATGATGGACAAATCTGTATTAGAAACCATGCATGGACTTCCAATACAAACGTGAAGGGTTCAGGTTGTATTGACGTTGGAGTAAACTCGAACTTCTGGTACATTAACTCCCTTCTTTCATTTGACCCTGAACAAACCATTTACCTTTCCACCTCTTCCTCATCCTTATTGGTTGAGTCACTTGGAAAAGCCCAAACTTATAAAGTTGCAGGATTTGGTAACAACAATATTATTGGGCTCACTGTTACTATTACTAAGACTAACTATGACCCCAACACGGGTATCTTAAATCTTATGACTGGTTTACCACCTTTATACTTTAACCAATACTTTAATATTGGTAAAGGTTACGACCCAAGTAAGATTATTGTACAAACTGTCAGCTACGGAGGTCTGATCGGAACTGGAATTTACAATGCTGGTGTCAAGTATGATGGGCCAGTTCCTGAAGGAAGTACCCCTCATACTGTATGTACAGTTTGTAAAGATGAACCAACCCCACCTCAACCTTCAAGCTCTGTAACACCTTCATCCAGTACTCCAGCTTCATCTAGTGCTCCAGCTTCATCTAGTGCTCCAGCTACTTCTAGTACTCCAGCTTCATCTAGTGCTCCAGCTTCATCTAGTACTCCAGCTTCATCTAGTGCTCCAGCCACTTCTAGTACTCCAGCTTCATCTAGTGCTCCAGCTACTTCTAGTACTCCAGCTTCATCTAGTGCTCCAGCTACTTCTAGTACTCCAGCTTCATCTAGTGCTCCAGCTTCATCTAGTACTCCAGCTTCATCTAGTGCTCCAGCTACTTCTAGTACTCCAGCGTCATCTAGTGCTCCAGCTTCATCTAGTACTCCAGCTTCATCTAGTGCTCCAGCCACTTCTAGTACTCCAGCTTCATCTAGTGCTCCAGCTACTTCTAGTACTCCAGCTTCATCTAGTGCTCCAGCTTCATCTAGTACTCCAGCTTCATCTAGTGCTCCAGCCACTTCTAGTACTCCAGCTTCATCTAGTGCTCCAGCTACTTCTAGTACTCCAGCTTCATCTAGTACTCCAGCTTCATCTAGTGCTCCAGCTTCATCTAGTACTCCAGCTTCATCTAGTGCTCCAGCTTCATCTAGTACTCCAGCTTCATCTAGTGCTCCAGCCACTTCTAGTACTCCAGCTTCATCTAGTGCTCCAGCTACTTCTAGTACTCCAGCTTCATCTAGTGCTCCAGCTACTTCTAGTACTCCAGCTTCATCTAGTGCTCCAGCTACTTCTAGTACTCCAGCTTCATCTAGTGCTCCAGCTACATCTAGTACTCCAGCTACTTCTAGTACTCCAGCAACTGAAAGTACCCCAGCTACTTCTAGTACTCCAGCTACCTCTGTTCCTGGACACTTCACCACTATCACTACTCCATGGACTGGAACTATTACCAGTACTAGCACTGTGTATCCATCTGAATCAGAAGGTACTACCACAATTGAGATCTTGACTCCTACTACTCCAGCTACCTCTGTCCCTGGACACTTCACCACTATCACTACTCCATGGACTGGAACTATTACCAGTACTAGCACTGTGTATCCATCTGAATCAGAAGGTACTACCACAATTGAGATCTTGACTCCTACTACTCCAGCTACTTCTGTTCCTGGACACTTCACCACTGTCACCACTCCATGGACTGGAACTATTACCAGTACTAGCACTGTGTATCCATCTGAATCAGAAGGTACAACCACAATTGAGATCTTGACTCCAACTACCCCAAGCACTAACACCAAGACTGACTTTAGTACTACACTTGTCACTATTACGTCTTGTGTTGATAACCAATGCACAGGTATTCCAGTTATTACAGGAGCAACTGTAGTTACAACTACAATTGATGAAGTTGTCACTACATTTACCACCTATTGTCCAATCCCTACACCAGAAGTGAGCACCGTAGTTCCAGGTACGATTGAAGGTCCTATCATTACTACTGGTGAAGTTGTTGTTACTACTACTCTCTTAGGAAATACTGTCTCAACTTATACCCTGTACGTCACTGCAACAATAGAGCCTGCTTCTCCTGCTGGTCCACAAGCAGTGACCCCAGAATCTCCTGCTGGTCCAGAAGCACCTGGTGCAGGTACCACTACACCCACTGGTACCCCAGTCGGAACCGAAAGTCCAGAAGTTTCAGTATCCTCTGGTCCATCTGGTTCACCCTCTTCTCCTGCTGTTCCTGCTATTCCTGCTGCTCCTGCTGTACCAACTGGTAATGGTGCTAACATTGGAAAGTCAATTTCAATGGTTGCAGTATTAATTCCATTCTTCGTGATGCTCGCTTAAATAGGGCAATTTGTTTATTATTATACCTTCTTTAGCAATTTTTTACTTCCATTCGATATTTTTTATGCTTAACAATATACCCTATATTAAATTACTTTGTATCCTTCAAATAAGTTATTTCGATCAAATGATTTTTGATCTTTAAATGCGTCTTGGAATTTGAAAATTGAATTCGCACCCAATATTCAAATTACTAAAAAAACCACGCAGCAAGTTTAACAAAAAATAGAAAGAGAATGGGACAATAGGTCGTTTGTTACTATATCGTTTAACTCTATAGGCATTAAAAATGTAAAAAAAAAAAAAAATAAGCCCGATGCGGGGGTCGAACCCGCAACCTTTTGATTGCTTCTTATATTAAGAGTCAAACGCTCTACCGATTGAGCTAACCAGGCGTTAAGAAATGGAAAGCCCGATGCGGGGGTCGAACCCGCAACCTTTTGATCGCACTCTATTAAGAGTCAAACGCTCTACCGATTGAGCTAACCAGGCTTTCTTATTTTTCAAAATAGTGCGTAAAATATGAAGTCACATAGCGGTAAAAAACGCAAATCCGAAACTTTTCTCTATAACTCCCTCATAAGAGTATTTTTGATGATTTTAAGTATAATATTGTCTTAATTTGACATTAATATATCTCCTGAGCTCTCAAGAGTACCATTTTTTTGAATTATTAAATTTTGTAGTTGACCCCTCTTTAATTTCAAATAATACTTTTCAATTTATTTTGACAATATTTACGTCTATATTATCTTTTTTTGTTTGAGAATTTGCATTGCTATTCAATCCCATTTATATTCATATTATAGTATAACAATACAATTCATTAATTCCTTCATCACTTTACTTAACATTTTTTATCTTACATATAGTCTAGATAGTTTAATTTTATAATAAGTCAAAAAATTAGTTCTGTCTATAAATTTACACCCGGACACCCACCCATCCATTAGTTTTGAAGTATGTACTATTTCTTTTATACTATGATATATATTTTACAATTTTTACTTATTTACTAAGTATGGCGTTTAACGTATCATCGTCAAACATATTAGAACCAGATTGTAAAGCCTTTGCTAAAATCACTAACGATTTTTCACTGAAATCTGGTTTCTTTCTGAGTTCATCTAAGTCATTTCCAAAGTTGGAGGCCATCAACATCAAATATTCATTGTTAAGTTGGGCTCTATCCTTGATAAGGGTTTCCTTAACTTTACTACCATTTACAGTAGAGCCTTTACCAAATCCAGTGGAGTTAGATAATGCAGTAGTGGTTAATTTGATGTTTGATATCTTTTCATGAGTTTCCTCAGATAATGTTTGCGGTATCACACCTGACTTTCCATCTTCTTCTTCCTCAGAAAGCATGTCAACGTCATCTATATCTATCTTGGCAACTTTCTTTTGAACTGGATGTGTAATTGCTTTTTCTTCTTCTTTTGCTTCGTCTTCATCTTGAGAATCTTCAGATGAAGATGAAGATGAAGATGATTCCGAGTCTGATGAGAAATCCTCAGTTCTTCTCTTCTTTCTTCTTCTTCTATTGTTCTTAGACTTGCTGTCTATCGTCTCATTCCGTACCTGAGCAGCTCCCATCGTTTGTTATATAATATATTCAATTTATAATAGACAGTTATAACTCACTACTTTTCCCATCATTTTACTTTTCCCCATCGCTTTCTTTTTTTTTTTTTTTTTGAGTAACCTGTACAGAAACTATCTCTACTTACAATAGAAAGAGAACTACCATTTCTTTGAAATAATTATATGTTATGAGATGAATTGATACTTAATACATTATGTATAATTTCTATTATTTATTATTATTCCTCGATATACTATTTCTTCTTTTCTTCTTTAGGAACCTTTCTCTTTTTAACCATAGAGGTCAAATCATTAACTACTGGTGCTGTTCTTTTAGTTTTCTTAACGGAAGACGTTAAATCATTAGCCTTTTTAGATTGATTTGTAGTTGAGGAGTTTTCTCCAGTTGGTTGTCCTAATAATCCTTTAATAATATCTAATTTTTCTTCATCAAATTCTGGCAATGATTCTTTTTCTAATTCTTCTAATTTAATTGATAAATCTTGAATTAATTCTTCGTTATCTTTCTTCTTTTGTAAATCTTTTTCATTATCATTTCTAAATTGAACTGATTTAATTGCTAATTTTAAATGCTTAATAGCATTTACTTTCAGATTTTCATCTTCAACACAAAATTCCAAGGCAAGTGAAAGTTTATAATGAGATTCAGAAATTAATGAAGAATTTGGTTCATATAACTCAAGTCTTAAATTTAAACATTTTTCTAAATCTTTTGCCGATTGTACAAAATTTTCAGATTCTAAAGAAACTTCCCCTAATAAATCATAAGTTTCAGAAAGTTTTTTAGTTAATATTATAAATTTATTGGTTGATTCTTCAGTATCTGATTTCAAATATGGTGAAGTCAATTGATCCTTTTCATTTATAACTTGTTCACGTTCTTGTTCAAATAATGCTCTTGTTAAATCGAGAATTTCCCAAGCAATTTCAAAATCACTTTGTTCTTCTTCATTAGGTGCTTCATCATCTTCTCCGCTACTCAGATTGTCTTCTTCATTGTTTTGTTCCTCATTTTCTTCGTTATTAATTTCATTATTTTCTTCTTCTTCTTCTTCTTCTTCTTCTTCAGCTAATGGACCATCATCACAAAATTGAAAATTACCATCTTCTTCATCCTTTTTCTCTACTTCTTCAGATTTATTGGCAGCCCCTTGAGCACCTCCAAATACTTCAGATCTAGAAACAGCTCCTTGAAATAAAGCCTTACCATATAATAGAAGCAAATCAGCATCATCCTGTCCATTACTTATACTAAATGATTCACAAGCTTCAGCATATTTTTCTGAAGCTTGTTCATATTCCTTTGCAGCATATAATTTCGATCCTTCTGAAAGAAGAGTCTCAACTTCTTTAGAATAAGTCATGTTAATTAGATAAATTAAACAAAAGAAAATAATACGATTGTAAGAAATAGAGTTCGAATTTGAATTATAATAGACAGAATGAAAGTGTGTGTATAAGAAATATAGTAGAGACGCGTAATTTCAAATATGAATTGGATCACGTGCCAGGATTATGATACTATTACTTTCAATTAACTATTAACATTCAATAAATAATTTTCAATACTTTAAATTTCATTAAAAATATTGCTATATTAAGAAGAATGAATGTCATTAATTTTTTTGTTTTTTTGAAGGTAACTAAAACATGACTAAAATTATCAATTAGCAATGAACTAGTCCTTCTATTATTTTCATTTTCACACTTTAATATTTTTTATTTAATTTTTAATTCAGTTCTATTTATTTTTTTTTATGCACATTCCTAAACTTTTTTCATTGTGATTGCTTTGTGAAACATATTGTCCACAAAGACGTGTATTTTGACAAAATTCTCAGATTCAAAACAAACGAAATTATTTTAAAAGTTGATTCATTGTAGGATTTGATTAATTGATTCAATCATTTTAAATTCTAAGTGTAATATCTATCGGTAGTTTATACGCGATATAATATTAACTTGAATAAGAACCTGAATAGAAGAAATTGTTTACCAATAAGAATGACTTCTGGTATGTATATTTAATCATGTATTTGACAGCATTTGTCTAACCCCTTTTGCGTGTCAGTTTAGATTGAAAGATTGGTCGTCTAAAAAAAAAAACCGACTACTTTGATATGATCGAAAGATCAGAACGTATTATGAATTCAATTGTATACTAACATATAGACTCTATACCTGAACAACAAGCACCTGCCACTAGTGGTTCGTATGATTCTAATCCTGTCAAGGAATCATTTCAACAAGATATCAAAATCATTAAACGTAAATTGAATGGATATGTTGGATTTGCAAACTTACCAAAACAATGGCACAGAAAATCTGTTAGAAGAGGTTTCACTTTAAATATTATGGTTGCTGGTGAAAGTGGATTAGGGAAATCTACTTTAATCAATACACTTTTCAATCGTGAAATTTTAAAATCTGAATTAGAAGAAGAAGATTTATCATCTGGATCTAAATTTGTTCAAATTAAGAACACCAATGCTACCATCGAAGAAGACGGAGTCAAGCTTAAATTGAATGTTATTACAACTCCAGGATTTGGTGAAGCTGTGAATAATACTGATTCATGGAAACCAATTGTCGAAGAAGTAAACCAAAGATTTGATCAATATTTGGAAGCTGAGAGTAGAATAAACCGTTCAACTGTTGAAGACAATAGAATCCATGCTTTTCTTTACTTTATTGAGCCAACTGGTCATTCATTGAATGCATTGGATATTACTTTAATGAAACAAATTCATGAAAAAGTGAATTTAATCCCAGTTATTGCTAAATCTGATACATTAACTGATGAAGAAATTGTTGAATTTAAACAAAGAATTCTTAATGATATCAAATACCAAAACATCAAGACTTTTAAACCACTTGATTATGATAATGATGATGAGGAAACTCTTTTAAATACCAGACAAATAATGGATAAACTTCCATTTGCAGTGGTTGGATCTACCAAAGAAGTTAAAACTTTGGATGGCAGAGTTGTTAGAGGAAGAAGTTATCCATGGGGTGTAATTGAAGTCGACAATGAAGAACATTGTGATTTTATAAAATTACGTCAATTATTGGTTAGAAATTTCATGGAAGAGCTTAAAGAACATACTTCAAATGTTTTATATGAAAAATATAGAACTGAAAAATTAAGTGGGATGGGAATTGAACAAGATCAAAGTGTGTTCAGAGAATTTGATCCATTAGCTAGACAAGAAGAAGAAAAGGCATTACATGAAGCCAAATTAGCTAAAATGGAAGCTGAAATGAAAACAGTTTTCCAACAAAAGGTTAGTGAAAAGGAAAAGAAATTGCAAAGATCAGAAGCTGATTTATTTTCAAGACATAAGGAAATGAAAGATAAATTATCTAAACAAATCAAGTTATTAGAAGATAAAAAGGCTCAATTAGAAAAGCAAAAATCTTTACCACAAGAACCTCCTGCACCAATTCCACAAAAAACCCGTAAGGGATTTTTACGTTAAGGGTAAAAGTGAACATGGAAATTTATTAAAGGAGAGAATTACTTCTTTACCATGGAAATTGATTTTTTCTATGAAAATTTGTAGCTTAGAAAGTTTGCATATTTTTTTTCTACCAATGAATATATATTAGTGAGTTTGTAAATTAAGTGTAGAAAGTATTGAGTATAGTTTGAAACAAGAGGGAATAGAGTGGTAGTGCATACTAATCACTTCTACTCAAGTTACTTTTTGTGTCTACGATGGATTTTTGGGTCTTGCGAACATTGAATTAAAGTATACGTGACTTTAAATAATCTACTCTACGTCTAGTTTAATAATTGAATAGTTAAAAGAACTCTGAACCAGAAATGTCTGAATCAATCAAGAGCTCAAAATCAGAGACTAGTTCTAGTGGATCTAGTGCTGCCCCTAAGGTAAAAAAGGGTGGCTTTAACAAAGAAGAATTAATTGCAACCGTTAAAGTGAGTATTTTTACATTTCTCCCTGTCCCAATTAATGTGTGACCGTTCACTTAATCTATTTTACGTAATTACTAACAAATTTAAAAGTCATTACAGTTTGCTTGGTTTGTTGGTCAGCTCTTTACCTTGTTGGGTGTATTTTTTTACACTTTAACTTACGTAAGAGTTTGGAAGAGTCTGTTTAAATTTTGGTACATCTTATCTTTAGTTGGAGTTGCAGAAAGTTTTGGAGTTCTTTTGTTTCAAATCTTTACAAGAAGTGGAGGTAAGGTTTCAATTCTTTTGAAAGATGAAAACACTCAATACTTGTTGATATCACTTATCTTCTTATACCTTAGACCATATGTGATTTTCCCATTGATTCCATTTGCATTATTTTCAATTTTCCATGTCTTGGCCTATGTTGATGGTACCTTACTCCCAATTTTTGGATTAGAAAATACTCCAATTTCGAAGAGTATTTACACTTTTACAACTTCTCAAAACTCCTCTTCAATTCACTTAGCTAGTTGTATTGAAATTTTTTCATTCTTCTGGTTACTTTTGAGAGTTGTTACTTTCAGAAAGAGATCGTTGATTCCATTCATTGTTTATGGAGTTTTCCTCAAACTTAGATTTGAATATTCTGAAATCACAAGAGAGTATATTAAATCCATTGAAATTCAAGTTGATGAACAAGTTAATCACTTGAATATTCCTGCTATTAAGAATGGTTGGGTCCAAGTTAAGAGTGTTTTAAGAAGAGTCGGAGGAATTTATTTGGTTAATAATTATAATAAGCAAAAGTCTACTTGATATATCTATACAGTTTATAATTTCCCTCTTGCTTACTCTTTTATGTATTTTTTGTAATGTATGATACTATGAAAAGATAAGAACAATTGTAGAAGATATATGGAAATTGACGGAAGTACATAATTAATTTAATTCATAAAATAATTATATCTCTTAGCATTGCTACTTCTTAAATCTATTATTACTTCCATTTACGTCATCATATTAAATTTGTATATGTAAGTAATTAATCAAGTACATATTTCACGTGACTTGAATCTCTTGCCCAGAAGCTCGTAACCAATAAAGAAGGTTCCATAATGTTCCAGCCGATTCCGCGCTAGTAAATTATCCTCAATTTCCATGGAAGCCCACAGAATGCTATAGAATACTCCTTGAATTCATCGTGCATTGATTGTCGACGACATGAGGTATAAAGAGTGAAATTTCTCAATTTTTTCATTCAATTCCAATTTCCTTTTCTTTCATTATATTATATTATCTTAATATTATATTATAGAAAAAATGTCTAAAGCTGTTGGTATTGATTTAGGTACTACCTACTCCTGTGTTGCTCACTTCACAAACGATAGAGTTGAAATCATTGCAAATGATCAAGGTAACAGAACCACTCCTTCTTTCGTTGCTTTCACTGACTCTGAAAGATTGATCGGTGATGCTGCTAAGAACCAAGCTGCTATGAACCCAGCTAACACCGTTTTCGACGCTAAGCGTTTGATCGGTAGAAAGTTTGACGACGCTGATGTTCAAGCTGATGCTAAGCACTTCCCTTTCAAGATTGTTGACAAGGGTGGAAAGCCAAACATTCAAGTTGAATTCAAGGGTGAAACTAAGGTTTTCACTCCAGAAGAAATCTCTTCTTTCATCTTGTCTAAGATGAAGGAAACCGCTGAAGGTTACTTGGGTACCAAGGTTAACGACGCTGTTGTTACCGTCCCAGCCTACTTTAACGATTCCCAAAGACAAGCTACCAAGGATGCTGGTTTGATTGCTGGTTTGAACGTTATGAGAATCATTAACGAACCAACCGCCGCTGCTATTGCTTACGGTTTGGACAAGAAGGACGAAGAAGAAAAGAACGTCTTGATTTTCGACTTGGGTGGTGGTACTTTCGATGTTTCCCTTCTTTCTATTGAAGAAGGTATTTTCGAAGTTAAGTCTACTGCTGGTGACACTCACTTGGGTGGTGAAGATTTCGACAACAGATTGGTTACTCACTTCGTTAACGAATTCAAGAGAAAGAACAAGAAGGACTTGTCTACTAACCAAAGAGCTTTGAGAAGATTGAGAACTGCTTGTGAACGTGCTAAGAGAACTCTTTCCTCTTCTGCTCAAACCTCCATTGAAATTGACTCCTTGTACGAAGGTGTTGACTTCTACACTTCTATCACCAGAGCTAGATTCGAAGAATTATGTCAAGACTTATTCAGATCTACTTTGGACCCAGTTGAAAAGGTTTTGAGAGATGCTAAGGTTGACAAGTCTCAAGTTGACGAAATTGTCCTTGTTGGTGGTTCTACCAGAATTCCAAAGGTCCAAAAGTTGGTCTCTGACTTCTTCAACGGTAAGGAACCAAACAAGTCTATTAACCCAGATGAAGCTGTTGCTTACGGTGCCGCTGTCCAAGCTGCTATCTTGTCTGGTGACACTTCTTCCAAGACTCAAGATTTGTTGTTGTTGGATGTTGCTCCATTGTCTATGGGTATTGAAACCGCTGGTGGTATCATGACCAAGTTGATTCCAAGAAACTCCACTATCCCAACTAAGAAGTCCGAAACTTTCTCCACTTACGCTGACAACCAACCAGGTGTCTTGATTCAAGTCTTCGAAGGTGAAAGAGCTAAGACTAAGGACAACAACTTGCTCGGTAAGTTCGAATTGTCTGGTATTCCACCAGCTCCAAGAGGTACCCCACAAATTGAAGTCACTTTCGACATTGATGCTAACGGTATCTTGAACGTTTCTGCCTTAGAAAAGGGTACTGGTAAGACTCAAAAGATTACTATTACCAACGACAAGGGTAGATTGTCTAAGGAAGACATCGAAAGAATGGTTAACGAAGCTGAAAAGTTCAAGGAAGAAGATGAAAAGGAAGCTGCTAGAGTTCAAGCCAAGAACGGTTTGGAATCTTACGCTTACTCTTTGAAGTCTACCTTGGGTGAAGAACAATTCAAGGAAAAGCTCGAAGCTTCTGAAGTTGAAGAAGTTACCAAGGCCGCTGACGAAACCATTGCTTGGTTGGATGACAACCAAACTGCCACTGAAGAAGAATTCACTGACAAGCAAAAGGAATTGGAAGGTAAGGCTAACCCAATCATGTCTAAGGCTTACCAAGCTGGTGCCGCTCCAGGTGGTGCTGCTCCAGGTGGTTTCCCAGGTGCCGCTGGTGGTGCTGCCCCTGAACCAGCTAACGATGGTCCAACTGTTGAAGAAGTCGATTAAATGATGAAGAGTTGATATGTATAGAATAAGGAATAGAGTATTTTTTATTAAGTAATGCTTATGTTATGTTGATTAGAAGATATTGAATCAAGTTGTAGTATACCCTAGTGTTGCCAAGTAAGATAAGGGAAAAAAAAGAGTTCATAATTTTGTAACAATGTAGGTTGATTTCAGTAGCTTAAAGTTGAAAAGTGCCTGAAATTCTCATGATGCTTGATACCTTAAAAAGGTACCTAAGATGATTTAAGGGCCAATAAGGAATAAAGCAAACAACGCACGTAACCCCGAACCAATGAGCCGTTAGTAAATTCAATCCAAGAGAGCTGAAACATTATAATAATATTATTAATTGTTAAAGGGATTCGGATCTAAGGATATAAAGTGTGTCAAAAAAGAGGGCAAGATAAAAAGAAGGTTATAAAGTTTTGTGTCTCCTGGCGATTAGAACATTGCAGTATTGTTAGATAGTAAACTCAAAAAAAAAAAATAATACCGAATAAATTCAAGGAGCCACGATAATCAATGCATGACTAGCTGAATCGAAGTATATACTTTTGAAATAGTATCCGGAAGCCTAGCCGGGAATTTCATTGAAAAGTATGAATACATTTTGTACATTCTACTAGTTTTTGCTATATTATAGTGGCTGCACCATTACCGCATATTAAACCTGAAATTTTCGTTGGGGCGGCCAACATTATCGTTTAGCTCGTATAGTTCCAACAAAGATGCCTACGCTCTACCCCTTGTATCAGTAGTTTCCTAGGTACCCAGTAGCAATTATTATTGCAGCAGATAGCTTTAATGGCCACAAATTATCAAACGGAAGATTCAATTTCAATGTATAACCAATCGTGGGTTTTTCTAATGGATACCTCGTGACTCTCAATTTTTCCTCCTCTGCCCACTTTTTCTCCCACCACTCTTTTTTTTGTGTATGGTTGAGATTTTTCGCACGATTTGCAACTTGATCTCAACGTCTATTGTTCCTTAAACAGGGGCCCAAACTTTAGACTATTTTATTGCCTTAAGATTTCAAATCAACACATGCTGCTCTTTCCAAGTTACATAATCTTGAGGATTAGTGCCGTGTGAAGCGTACCCCTCTTCTTGTAGACATAAAACGATTGGACTCGGTCAAAACATTTTGTTTATATCTTTTTTTAACATGTAACGCGTTTGCCTAGTTAATCGTTTAACTAGCAGTTTACTCTCAATACCGCTAATAATTTTTTTTCTTCACTTATTTTTTTTTGGCAAACCAACAAAAAAATTATAGTCGTGTTGAACATTTATTGAGTGAGAAGATATTGATTATCAAATCCAAAAAAGCGTGTTTCAAAGGGTATTATTGTATACTCATTCTTTTTCTTTCCGAATTGAAAGGTAGTGAATAATAAATCAGAGATCCTTAACTCCATCTGGTAAACTTCCATTCGTCCTGTGACACATACTTCCTTGTCTTAAAAGATCCGGTAGTCCTACACGCCTTTCTCCGAGATAATTTTTTTGACACAGATTCGCAGATTTTTAATCTCCAGAAACTTTTCTAAACGAGAACTTGATTTATTTGCAATTGCATTTTAAATCTTTTTTATTTTATTCAAGTTAAGATCTTTCAACACATATTTTATATTCTGTGTTGAATTTTAGTTGAGAATAAGTCTTTTCCCCACTCATTATGACTCAATCTGTACATCAAATTGCCCATGAGGCTAATGACGTCAAGCAACGTCCTACTCCAAAGGAGTTCTTCGAAAGACAACCAAAGAAGGGACATCTTACATCCATTGAACAATACTATGAAATGTACGAAAAGTCTATTCAAGACCCAGAAGGATTTTTCGGTCCATTGGCTAAAGAATTGTTACACTGGGATAGAGAATTTGTTCAAGTAAAGAATGGATCTTTAGAAGGTGGTGACGCCGCATGGTTCTTGGGTGGTGAACTTAATGCTTCATACAACTGTGTGGATAGACATGCCTTTGCTAACCCAAACAAGCCAGCTGTTATCTACGAAGCTGACGATGAAAAGGATTCTTCCATTTTGACTTACGGTGAACTTTTACAAGAAGTTTCCAAAGTTGCCGGTGTTTTGAAAAGTTGGGGTGTTCAAAAGGGTGACACTGTTGCTATCTATCTTCCAATGACCTCTCAAGCCATTATTGCTATGCTTGCCGTTGCCAGATTAGGTGCTATCCATTCTGTCATCTTTGCTGGTTTCTCTTCTGGTTCCATTAGAGATAGAGTCAATGATGCCAACTGTAAGGCTTTGATCACTTGTGATGAAGGTCGTCGTGGTGGTAGAACCGTCAACATTAAGAAGCTTTGTGACGAAGCTCTTTTGTCTTGTCCTTCCGTGGAAAAGGTATTGGTTTATAAGAGAACCGGTACTGAAGGTATCTACATGAAGGAAGGTCGTGATTTCTGGTGGGGTGAAGAAACTGTCAAGTTCCCAGGATACCTTGCTCCTGTTCCAGTTAACTCTGAAGACCCATTGTTCTTGTTATACACCTCTGGTTCTACTGGTACTCCAAAGGGTGTTGTTCATTCCACTGGTGGATACTTGCTTGGTGCTGCTTTGACCACCAAATATGTTTTCGATATTCACTCTGAAGATGTTCTTTTCACCGCTGGTGATGTTGGTTGGATTACTGGTCACACCTACTCTCTTTATGGTCCACTTTCCTTAGGTGTTCCAACCATCGTTTTTGAAGGTACTCCAGCTTACCCTGATTACGGTAGATTATGGTCAATTGTTCAAAAGCACAGAGCCACTCATTTCTACGTTGCACCAACTGCTTTAAGATTGTTGAGAAAGGCTGGTGAAGATGAAATTGAAAAATACGATTTATCATCTTTAAGAACCTTGGGATCTGTTGGTGAACCAATTTCTCCAGATATTTGGGAATGGTATAACGAAAAGGTCGGTAAGGGTCAATGTCATATTGCTGACACTTATTGGCAAACAGAATCTGGTTCTCATTTCATTGCACCAATTGCTGGTATTACTCCTAACAAACCAGGTTCCGCCTCTTTACCATTCTTTGGTATTGACACATGTCTTATTGATCCAGTTTCTGGTAAGGAAATCAAGGGTAATGACATTGAAGGTGTGTTAGCTATTAAGAGCACTTGGCCATCAATGGCTAGAACCGTGTGGAGAAACCACGCCAAGTACTTGGATACCTACTTAAACCCATACCCAGGTTACTACTTTACAGGTGATGGTGCTGCTAGAGATAATGATGGATACTACTGGATCCGTGGTAGAGTTGATGATGTTGTTAACGTTTCCGGTCACAGATTATCTACTGCTGAAATTGAAGCTGCATTAATCGAGCATCAAGGTGTTTCTGAAGCTGCTGTTGTCGGTATTAACGATGATTTGACTGGTCAAGCTGTGATTGCTTTCGTTGCCTTGAAGGACGAAACTGCCGAGAAGATCAATGGCCACGAAGAATCTGAGGCTTCATTTGCCTTGAGAAAGGAATTAGTTTTACAAGTTAGAGGTGAAATTGGTCCATTTGCTGCACCAAAATACGTAATTATTGTTGCTGATTTACCAAAGACGAGATCAGGAAAGATCATGAGAAGAATCTTGAGAAAGATTTCTGCTGGTGAGGCCGACCAGCTTGGTGATATCACCACTTTGGCTAACCCTCAATCCGTCGCTGCTATTATCAAATCAGTTGAAACCCAATTCGTTAAGAAATAAAGAGTAAACAAGCTTTGAAGAGAATTACTACTTTATTTATTTTTATTAGTATTTTATAGATCTAAAGACTTCTGTGAGAATGAAGTAATTGCTAATGCATTGTAGTTTGATTAAGTACGTCGTTAATCAACGCTTTTCCGCAACCACTCTAATATTTTTTTTTTCTATTATTATCATTCGCGCTTGTATATGTTAGAACCCAGTTTAAGAATAAATCAAAAGATCAAAAAAAGCATACAAATGCATCACAATTCTTTAGCCACGATTTCTTAGAATATCTGCTTTTTGTACTCAGTGAATATGCTGCTTAAAGTTGTTCGACGTATCACTGCTCTTTTTTTCCTTGTGAAGATAGTACAATTGACTATAGTTTATTGCACTCCTCGTCAATTTGATACATCTTCTCATATAATTTTGAGTTCAAATATTGATTCTAAATTTGCATTTATCCACACAGCTAGTTCCTATGGCATACCCAAGGTACTCGCATTAACATTTACTGACATTTTGGACAAATTTGTAGTATGGGATAATGTTTATTTTTCTGACTTGTTTGTCAATGACATTAAATTTGAACATCAATACGTATTTTGTCCTCTTTGGTGGCGCTTTGTTAAATATATTGGAGATCATACCAAGGGTGACTTCTACACGGTACTATTCATTGGTACAATTATTGCCAACTTGTGTCATTATTTATCATGCATTGTGTTGTATTTCTTCACACTAGAAACTTTTGCTAGATCCAAATTTTTCAATCATACGAACTTGGTTAAACTCTCTGAAAGGACAAGTTTATTATACGTGCTATCCCCTGCTGGAATATTCTTAACTACTTCATGTTCAGAATCACCGTGTGCCCTTTTAACTTTCATTGGGCTTTATATAAGAGAAATTTCCTTGGACTATAATAGTTTTGATTTGATAAATTCCAAAGTTTCAGTACGAAATCCTATTACTTACATCATATCTGGAATTATATTTGCCATATCATATGGAATTAGAGCAAATTCAGTACTACTTGGAGTTCTTTATTTGTATGATCTTTACAAATTTTTCATAGTAAATCAAAATATGAAGGACTCTATATTATCATTGATAGCAGGATCGAATATGTTCATAGCGATAGTTATATCTACTTGGTTTCCCTACATGGTATTTTGCCCCAATGGTAGAGGAGAATGGTGTGACAGTTACTTCCCACTGCTCTTTCTGTATGCACAATCACATTATTGGAATAATGGATTTATGAAATATTGGACCCCTAATAATATACCTAATTTCATATTTGCATTACCAACAATCATTCTTACAGTTTTTGCATTACAATTCTACATTGTAAGATATCCCTTTAAGAATATCCTTCCAATATTATTTGTCAACATCTTATTACTTATCGGGGGTATCTTTTGGTGGCACACACAAATCTTAACAAGAATCTCCTCATTCTTACCATTGATATATTGGTACATTGCCAGCTTAGGATTACTTAATGTAGGTCAGGACGAGATTAAAGTATACCATTGGTCAGTTAGATACTTCATAATTTGGTCCCTTTTACAAACGGGATTATTCGCAGCATTTCTTCCTCCAGCTTAATTAGAAAATTAATAGTAATAAAATATTAGGAAAATAAAATAGTCAAAAGTTGCGATTCATACCCATATACCAAATAGAAATCATACCATTCTTAGATAATATTACGCTATAGGTAAAAAGAAACTGAGCAAGAAAATCCCTGTTTTAATATAGACTATCCTTGTTTGGGAAGGTTGGAACGTTTTTGTATTTTAAAAATCCCCGGCTTTTGATACCGGATTAGGTTGAAAGATGCGAAAAGTTGCAACTGATAACATTCTTGAATCAGGGCCTTTATCAAGGCATCAATTTACCAATAAATATCTCCTCAAGTCCTAAAAAACAAACCTACTAACCTTTATATTCTACAAGAATTCTTACATTATGAACACTTCTTCTGACAACTCTACAGGTCTAATTCGTTCATTGATCGAATATATCGATGAACAACTGTTTCTTGCTGGTCATGGATCAAAGATAGTGTTTGGCTCCATCTTGGCCGTATTTGGAATAACTGCCTATATTCAAAGTGAAAAATATCTGAAGTATAAGAAGAGTAAGAGGATATCTACTTCATCAAGTTCAGCATATAAAGAGTCAACTGCTAAACTTAATAAGAGCAGAAAATATGGACATTGGATTCCAGACTACGAATTCCATACCCCAGTACCCCCTGCTTATAAAGATTGGGACCTTAAGAAAACTAAACCACTTCCTTATCGAGCATTTAGACATAAATATGCAGTTAATATGGGGATTAGAAATATGGAATGGGATAATTGGATCGAACTTGATAATGAATGGGAAAAGTTCCATAATCACAAGGTTGAAAGAATTGAAGAAAAAGGCACAGAATTGTATGGAACCGCACCTGAAGCAATGGAAGCTGCATATGAATTACTAGATGAATTTTGGCAATATTTACCCAATAGATATCCATCATTATTTAAGCAAACGGAATACGGATTGGACAATTTACTTACCGGAGAAGTACACAAGTTCAAACTTGGATTCCGTACCGAGGATGATCCAATGAAGATTGCAGCAAAGATGGTTCAAGATGATTTAGCCATTATGATTGAAGATGAAGAAGGGACTTATTATCTAAAAGGTGGTGCAATTATTTTAGCAGGTTTTTGGAGACTTAAGGATAAGTTTAACATGCCATTGAGTATGATTCATACCTCTGGAGATGTTCCTAAATATAAAGAGAAATTGAAAACTGGTATGGAAAAGTTTTTTATTCGACAAACATGCGATAAACCAGTGGTTAGAAACAACTATTTCATTCAAACTGATGATAATTTACCGTGGTCAACATCAATTGGTTCTGAAGATAAGCCAGATGTCGGTTGGTATACTGCTCAACCAGCAACAACGGCCGAGCAGTTATTCTTTAGAAGTGAAAGACAATCCTTAAGAAGATTACCAAAGACTGGAGCAATTATTTTCACTATTAGAACGTATTTCCTTCCAATCACTCAGCTTGCAGAGGAACCATATGTACCTAGGAGATTACTAAATGGTATGAGTACTTGGGACGATGACGTACAAGAGTACAAGGGTTGGGACAAATATAAGGATGCCATTGTTCCATATCTCGAAATGAAAGCACTTGAACAGGAAGCAAGGGGACTCACAGCAGAATCTGTACCTGATAAGTATCCATACTAAATTCAAGTTAATAAAAAAACATCTTTGAATGGTTCGTAGTGAATTCTTAACTTTACTTATAATTTCTTCTTTCTATTTTTTTTTTTTTGATTACTTTATTTGCAGCCGTTAATTTTATGGGCCCAAATACTTGAAGAAACAAATTTCTTCCACATTTTATTCTAATAATTAAGTGGCAACTACAGTAATAATTCCTAATAATAAATTTATTCTAATATACAGTTTGTGAAGAATTAAAAGTAACCCTATACCTAAGATCTTTCACCCCTCAATCTTCTAGCCAATTGAATGTCCTTCTTTTGGATAGTGACTCTCTTAGCGTGAATGGCACACAAGTTGGTGTCTTCGAAAAGAGAAACCAAGTAAGCTTCAACGGATTCTTGAAGAGCACCAATAGCAGAGGATTGGAATCTCAAGTCAGTCTTGAAATCTTGAGCAATTTCTCTTACTAATCTTTGGAAAGGCAACTTTCTGATCAAAAGTTCAGTAGACTTTTGGAATCTTCTAATTTCTCTCAAAGCGACGGTACCTGGCTTATATCTGTGAGGCTTCTTGACACCACCGGTAGATGGAGCAGACTTTCTGGCAGCCTTAGAGGCCAATTGCTTTCTTGGTGCCTTACCACCAGTAGACTTTCTTGCTGTTTGCTTAGTTCTAGCCATTGTAATTAATGTAAAATGGAATAGTAATAATAAAATAATAAAATCTTATCTATATGTGGAGGGGCGTACAGTCTATATATATTAAAAACATTTTCTAAAAACCAAAATAATAACAAACGGGGTTCATAAATTGATGATGCGTCGTAAGTTTGGGGAAACATGTTTTACATAAAATGTAAACAATAACATTGTAAAAAGACGTTCTTTCGCGGTTCGACAATATACGCATATGTTGCGTATAATATAGCACATCAGAAACATGTCTTTTTCAATTTGAAAAGAAACATTTTCGAGAAATTATTACACAAAAGTACGCGAAAAGAATCAAATAAGCGAAGGATTTCAAAAACTATTCGCTTTTGGCGCGCTTTTCCGGCATACAACGCGTTTTTCAAGTGCGCGGAGTAACCTATCCTTACAAAATGTATCGCTTTTGGTTAGTCTCAATTTTTCGCACTTAATTCTGAGGAGTAACCCCTTTCGGGTAGGAGAACTTTTTGTTTCAATTGTGGGTGGTGTGAATTAACATCATTTTAAAATTTGCCTTCAACCCCTTATTTAATAAAGCCATTTCGCACTGTAAATTAAGTTTTTTTATAATCCTTTATTAGCAACTATTTTAGTTACTTTATTACATTAAAACAAATTATATTACAATATGTCCGGTAGAGGAAAAGGTGGAAAAGGTTTAGGAAAGGGTGGTGCCAAGAGACACAGAAAGATCTTGAGAGATAACATTCAAGGTATTACCAAGCCAGCTATCAGAAGATTGGCCAGAAGAGGTGGTGTCAAGCGTATTTCTGCTCTTATCTACGAAGAAGTCAGAGGTGTCTTAAAGTCCTTCTTGGAAAACGTCATCAGAGATGCCGTTACTTATACTGAACACGCCAAGAGAAAGACCGTGACGTCTTTGGATGTTGTTTACGCTTTGAAGAGACAAGGTAGAACCTTGTACGGTTTTGGGGGTTAGTTTATTTAGGGAATATTATATTATTGAGAAACGAAGAAAAAAAGAAATTGTAGATATCTAAATATGTTTTAAAGTCCATCTGTTCTAATATATATACATTGTATGTATTAATCTCTATTTGCAATGTTCATTTATTTAATATAGGTTGTGGTTTATAATTCATTTCAGTTGACTCAAAAGTTGGATTGTACATATTGCAGCACCTTTCGGCATGCAGATTGAGTAAGGGAAAAAAAACAAAACTAATTACTCTCTTGATAATGTGTAATGTGTATTTAATATGTTTATGGTATAAATAAGTATGAAGTTTCTATATGGGTATAATTCAAAGCTATGCTCTATGCTTTCTATTCTTTCTTTTTTCTAAATTTTTTTAATGTACATGCAATAAATCTAATTGCTCCTTTGTAATACCTTTAACTAACACATGTATATGTGAAATTGCCTTCACAGATTGTAAGGCTTCCCAATTCTTGAACCAGCAGAAATTTTCTTTGGAAATACCTAATCCTTTAACCAAAATCTGATCAAGATATTCTTGAATGGAAGCACGAGTCTTAGGCGAGATATCCCCCATTTCAGACTCTGGGTCTGCAGGAATTGGGATTTTGGACCACACACAAAGATGTACCACATCTGACTCAAAATAATATGGGAAATGATTGTATAAAGTTTTTAAATCAGATTCATCCTCAAATAATTCCTTACCTTTGGCTTTGATAACAATTTCAGAATCGTCAAGATCTTTAATTTGTGAGGCTGGAATGTTGTTATTGTATTCTGGTTCGTACCATTCTAATTGACTCACCAATAAATGCTTGTAAACAGTATTTCCATCTAATTTGAGTTGTCTTTTAAATGCGTGGTAACTCCGGGTTTGTTCACTAGATCTTGCAAATTTCTCTAATTCATTAGCACCTACAATGTTCCGAACTTGAGCCCATGTATAAGGGTCATCTTTGATTTTCGATGGTGGCATATCTGGAGAGTGGATAACCTTCAACTTGAATTCGATGGCGTTCTGAGTGGTAGTTGTGGTCATGTTTCAAAATTTCTAATTTTCTAATCTATTTTTTTTTTTTTCTGGGTATTATATTTCGGGCTTTCTCAGAGAGTTGTTTAAGATCGATATAATAGATGTAGTTAACTCAGTTCTCCCTTTATTTAGTATGCTTGAAGCACTGTACTAAGGAAAGCGAAAGAAGATTTCTCCAAATTATCTATGTAATTTGATTGTTTTCATTTGGGTGGGCATCACTACATTTATAGGAAGCCGGTTAACATGTTACATTTTTATAATGCATGTTACATTTACTAATAAATATTGCAACTATGCAGAATTTCTTTTTTTCTTATTTTCTTTTATTTTTTAACGCATTTGTAATTGATTGAGATTCTTTTTTCCTCGCTTTTGGCACTATAGAAGATACAAAAAAAATTGATTTTGAACGATAACGTTATATACAGAGCAAGTTAGTTTATGCAGGCATTTGATTATTTTTCTTGTAATCATGAGGTGGTTATACCATATGATTCAGATAAAAGGCATAATATGATAATTAATTCTAATTCTTTTTATAATCCTTCATAATTAAAATAGTCAATGACAATTCATAAAATCATAATACTCCGTCATGGAGAATCAGAATGGAATCATGCAAATAAATTTTGCGGATGGATTGATGTATCATTACTGGAAAAAGGGAAACAGGAAGCCGAACGTGCAGGAGAGCTTATATTACAAAGTGGATTAAAACCAATTGCAATGTATACTTCCAAGCTTACAAGATCCAATCAAACGGGGAATATTATCCTTGAGAAAATTCATCGGCTCTGGTGTGATTCAACAAAGTCCTGGAGACTTAATGAAAGACATTATGGGGCATTCCAAGGGAGAGATAAAACTGAAGTTTTCAAAGAATTGGGGAAGGAGAAATATGATTATATCCGTAGAGATTATGATGGTAAACCACCCCCTGTTTTAGGAACAGATCCATGCATAGATGATAGATACGATTCTGGTATAGACTTACCAAAGGCAGAATCTTTGAGATTAGTCTCTGAAAGATTCTTACCATACTTTGAAGAAGAAATATTAAAGAAGAATTGGGCCCAATGTCATGATGATAAAGCTATCCTTATCGTAACACATGGGTCAATTGTTCGTTCATTGATAAAGAAATTGACCAATGTAAGTGATGCCGATATCTCTAAAATCAATATTCCTACTGGAATCCCCATAGTATTTGAGCTTGATGATAACCATGAGGTTATTAGAGACTATTACTATTTGGATCCAGAAGCAGCAAAACAGGGGATATCCAAAGTAAGTAAGGAGGGTCAAACGTAAATTTAAAAGGGAATTAATGGCAAGAAACATGATATAGAAGTATTTCTTACAAATAATATAGAGATAAACATTTAAAATATATAGATTTCACACTAACAAAAGTATCATAGAATGATGAACATGTATACGATACGTATCACATATAATAGATTTCACATATTAAGCCAAAGCACCCATTGGATCAAAAAATGGCAATACACTGTATTCTTTCTTTGTCCAAATATTGAAAGTCTTGGGATCAACAAACTTTTCATTGGTAACAATTTGAAATACATATTCATCAAACCAAGCGTCAGTCATAAGGAAGTATCCCTTTTCACCAACGGCATCACCCCATGAATTTTCAATTTTCCATCTTACTGGAACGCCGGCTTTGTCAAGATGAACACCAGTAATTACCATGGCATGGGTCATTTGGGAAGAACCAGTTCTTAATCTTTCCTCTTTATTAATCTTCAAAGAAGTACCAAATCCTAATTCATAGTCATAGGCACCAGTATCCAAAATTCCAGATTGTGAATTACTGAATTTGCCAACATCGGAACCGAAAAATATAGGTTCATTCTTCTTTAACATCTTGATAGCAGTCTTTTTAATAACAGAAAGTTCCAAGTTAACGTATTCAATAGGTTTCCCGTTACTAATATTATTCAATCTATCGACAGTGTACAACTTTTCATATGGATTTCTTGGATCATGAATCAATGAGAAATGTTTTGCAGCATCAAATTTAACATGAGTCTTATAAAAATCAATTGGGTTAGTTTCAAATGATTTAAAAGTACCATCTTTGTCAATAAATTCCCAAGTAAATGAGTCAGTTGGTTTAGGTGGGGTACCAAGAGACAAAGCAATGATATTATAAATTTCTTTCATCATTGATTGCTTAACAGTCTTGATATCTTGTTCAGATGTAGCTTCATCAGTTAATAAACCACGAAGAATCAATGCAAATTCTCTCAACTTTTCGGTGACAATATAGTTTAAACGGGAAGAAGCAGATGCTTGAGCAGAATCTGGGAATAATTCATGAGGAACAATTCCGTACTTGGTAACCAAATTAACAATCATATCCCATTGCCCCCCATCACTTACCGGTGCTTGGAATAAGTATTGAATCAATCTAGAGTCCAAAGGTTCTTCGGTTGTGTCAATGATATTATCCAAAAAAAAGTTTGCCTTTTCCAATTTGTCGTAAAAGAAGAGGTAACTTTGAGAGACTTGGAAATGATCAGGCTTCAAGTTATATCTCTTGATGACATGTGTACGAAGGATATTTGACGTTGCAAAGATCCAACATCTTCCAGAAGCATTTTGATTGTTGAAATAAGAAGGAGATCCAATAGTTTCCACTTCTACATTGAAGAGGTATTTATCTTTACTGAGTGTTTCCGAATTGGAAGTCCCAATGACATCTACAATTGCATTCTTTGCAAATGCATTTTGAGCCAATACATTCTTTGGATCCGCCAAAAGCTTAGTTTCCCAAGTATCAAGAGATTCAGTTGAAATTGGGTTCTTATCAGTGTTTTCGTAATTTCCTACATCAAGCGATAATCCTCGGAGATGTTGATTAAGATCAAAGTAACCCATTTTCTCATTGAATACTTCAGATTGTTTTTTGGTACTAGCCTTGGCAGGTAACTCTGGTTGAGTGGAGACATTAGCACCCATATTGTAGTTAATTGGGTGAATAACGTATATATAGAAAGAATTTTAAATATATATACAAATACATTCTTATATATGTGTTATTTGGTAAAGGGAGGGGGTAACCTACACAGTAGTATTAAAAACGACTGCATATAGGCGAGAATTTAAGATAAGTAATCGATAAGGATAAATATGGTAACTCCGATTTCGGGTAACTTTTAAATTCAACAAATTTCTACAATATATATCAAGACAAATTCATATCTTGCCGATACATTAAGGGTAGAATATAATCAATGTTAATATAATTGAAGAAATGTCATTAATACAAGTCTTTGAACATAGAAAAATTTAAACGTAGTAGAAACAATTTTGTTTGCTTGAACAATTGTGGAGCCATATATAGGTGTGGCATAACCTGAGCGGTGATCTCAGATAATGTGGAATATGAAAAAAAATTCCAAGAATAGGAAAGAAGAAAAATAAGAAATGGGTAAGAAGGGGGTAATTTATTTGTACAATGTATCACTTGGTGATCTATCAAGATATAACCCAACCTAAATTGTGATCTGGAAACACTCGAAACCTAATAATAAACCCCACCTCCTTCTATTTTTTTTTTTTTTTGTTGTTTAATCTTTTTCTTTTGGGCAAAAAAAAAAAAAAAAAAAAAAAAAACGGATTAAACGGTAGTGTGTACTAGTGCCGCACCTTAGCATATAATTTGGTCCTACTTGGTTTTTCTCCTCAATTTACCCATTGATGAATTTCACATGAAACTATAAAATATAGAGTCTTCTATGACTAATTTATTTCTTGATTTAGAATTGTTCTCGAATACTATTACAGCAAAATAGTCATGTGTCTAGTCGAAAAATTGATAATCATTTTAACTTTCTTTATTTATTTCTATCTTTAGTTTTGTGTCCACGGATCAAAGTAGAACCCGTAGAACCCGTAAAGCCCGTAAAGCCCGAAAATACACTAGAGTGCAGAATTGAAATGAAAATCTATCACTTTTTTTTCCTGAATTTCTATAACACGTATCACAATAGAACGGAAACATAAGTATGCCGTAAGATTTTTCTCCGTTCCCGTCAAATAAAAAAAATTCAAAAAGCTAATTTTAAAATGTACGATGAACTTCCACATGTGCGGCAAGATAAGGACATACTTTTTACTGTGGTAAAAAAATTGGTACGTAGAGTATTTTAGCAATTTTAACTACATAGTTAACTACATAATAAGAAGACATACAATAATGAAAACTCTACCTGGCAGATATCTTATAGTCTAATATCTGTTATAATTTACCGTTATCTGACTTATAAGAAATCTTTTAATTTCATCGTTTAAGAAAAACCTAAAAGTCATCTCTACAAACGCATCAGCCTCACTCGTGATTTGCCACCGAAGTTTCTTGAAGGGTCTTTGCGCTTACAAATACGGAGTTAACAAGTACGAGCCTGTATATAGATGCAATTTCCGGCTTATGTGCACAATTTTTGAGTCACCCACATATAATTTAGGTCGTGCACACTACACGTCATCCTATTTCGTCAAAAGGGGAGAATTTGTAGCAACAAGCCGTAAGTGGTAGACCATATTAAAAAAAATCAAAATCCGTATTGAAGAATTGTTTGTTTTTTTTTTCTTCTTCATCAACAGGTTATTCAGCTTTTCAACAGTACTATCACTTTCACTCACCTAAGGGTATATATATAATCGAGAAGATAAATATATATATATACACCGCAGCTGATTTTTAAACCTATCCCTTGACGCCACCCAACGCATTGTCAGGTTCCGAAAACACAGAAGCTAATTCAAGCATCTACGTTCCCGAAAGCTACGAAGAATTCATGGCATCCATTACCGTATTACCTCCTTTGAAGAGGACCATAACTGACATTATGGAAGAAGATTTATATCATTTACCAAATTCCCCGATCCACTTGCAGAGCAGTGGCGGTGGCGCTAGTGGCGTTGCCACTGGTTTAAACGCCACCGGATCCTTTGCCCGCCCAGATTCTCCTAGGTTGGCAACTAGACATAACTCTATCGGATCATCGACCAACTTTGCCCCATCCATGCCCTCCCTTACTAATGCCCAACTTTCCAACTTGCTTAATATCCCAGATTCGTTTGTGGAGCAATATACTCGATTATCCAACACTGTACCATACACAGCTGATCCGGTATCATTCGATGTAGATCAACAACAACAGCAGCATTTAAATCAAGAGCATCAGTCATATAATTCGGTGAAGTCACCCTTTGCCGATTATGCCAACCCTGACTCTCTTAATTCACAATACATTGCCGCATTTGCTGCTGGTTCAGCTCCTACCGGTCCACAAGGAGCTAATTCGCATAATAACACATCATCTAATCCATTTTCCAGAAGGAGGCGACTCACAACACTTGAATCGCATTCTAATGAAAAGCCCATTAGAGATGAAGATTATTATCTTTTTAATACCGACATACAACCATCTCATTTAGTAACTAGAGCCGATGGAGATCATACGAATGATGATTATGTTTGTTTAAATTCTCCATTATATGTACCACCAACTACAGCACAAGACATTCCTATCCCAGGATTTGAAAATGATTATCTCATGATGTCTGGAGCTGAAGATTTCGAAGAAGAAATTGAAGAAGATACATCTGATGAAGAAGATGATAATTATTTTCATGATGATTTTGATGATATGTTTTTATCAAAGGATAATGAATTTATGGATACGGACACTTTTTTCAACAATAATAATCAAAATGTGATGGGAGGACCTGAAATGATTGACAATTTGGAGTCCACTCCATCCATGATACCACAAGATGTTACTTCTCCAATGGGATCTCAAGAATACCCTACTATAGTAAATAATGATGAACAAGACCATAATATGATTATTGATGAATCTGAAGAAATAGAAGATGATGATACTCAAGAGAGAAGTTCTTTTAGTTCTGTCTCCACTCAAGTAACAACTCCTTCTTCAAGAGATAATGATCAATATTTGAATAAGAGTAAGGATTATGAACAATATGATCAGTATGAATCGCATATTAGTCATACTGTTGCTGAAATAACCGCCAATAACCCAAATCATCAATGTGACTTGATAAATCCATCTACTGGAAAACCTTGTAGTAAGCAATTCTCAAGGCCGTATGATTTAATTAGACATCAAGAAACTATACATGCAACAAAGAAGAAAATTTTCAGATGTGTTATTTGTGAAGGAAGAGTTAATGGTGGTTTAGGTAATGGTAAGCAAAAGACTTTCTCTAGAGGTGATGCTTTATCTAGACATATCAAAGTTAAACATGGTTTGGTTGGTAAGGAAGCTTTAGAATTGATAAACGAAGCCAAGGCCAACGTAGAGTTTGTTTCTGTTTAATTTTGGATTTAATTTTTTATTTATCTATATATATATATATATCATTATGTTTATGAAATTTAGAAAGTATCCTTTCAATAAATAATATAATGTAGTATTAAACTATGCTATTTGGATTTTCCAAATAATTCAATTTTTTAAAGTGGAAGTATTGGAAAGCAATCACTATATCTAAACTCATTTGAAATAATGCTGCAAAGATGAAGATAGTTGAAATATTGTTAGCACCGAATAATAGGTAACTGATTTTTGTACAGTCACCACCCAACCAACTAAGTAAAAGAATTACCTTAAAGTTTTTAACTGATTGAAATCGATTTAATAAAAGAATTTGAGGTAATGGGAGTAATGATTCTATAAATAATCCAAGTATCCCCATTATTGATCCAAAAAATTCATTATTATGGAAAATTAAAGTAAGAATACCACTAATAGCTGTAAATCTGAATAAAAATGTCCAATATTTTGATTCTTCAGACCATTGCCAAAATAATTTTGGTCTTTTATAATGAATATCAAAAAAGTATAGAGCTTGTTTGCCTAATAAATTTATATAATTGAGTAAATGAATTGAATATTTCATAACTTTATCTTGTATATCAGATTGTTCTTGCAGGGAACCACTGTATAAATTTTCATTGGATATCCATTTTTTTTCTAACTCTTCATTAAAATCAGGTGAATTTTGAAGATATTCCGGATTTTGAGTATTTGTTCTATATGTTAATGACACTTTTAATAGTATACATTGGATGAAGATCATCACAATCAGTTGAATGAAAAGAGATCTTTCATATGGCAGTATTACATAATAGAAAATACGTAAGATCAGCGCCATTAACATGGTTGCACAAATGTCAATTGAAAACCCATCTGAATTTTGCTTTTTATATATACTATAACATGTTGTTCCGTAAGAAAATAATGGTGTGAATATAATTAGATGATTCGCAAAATTCTTTATATGGGGCAAGTAATCATAATCAACTAGATATGACATATTTCTTGTATGCGTGTATGTTTATTTTAATCCTCAAAGTCCAAAAAAGGAGTTTGTACTTCACAGTTTTTCTTTCTATTTTGTGGTTTTAAGTTTTGTATTTTTTATAATTTTAAAAAATGTATGGAAAATATGGCTTAGAAAAATATCTTTCACTCCAGACTTAAAATTGACCTACTATTAATCTTAGAATTCATTATGAGGTTAACATAGATAGATAATTAATATTCACATTATTTTAGTTATCAAAACTTTTTTGTTGATGTTAAGAATTACTTCCCCCCCTCTCTCTCTCTCTCTCTCCTAATGTATATATCACTCTTTTCAACCCTTTTGGCATGCATGTGGGATGCCCCCTCGGAGCATGAAATTGTATCCGAGCCTAACAAAATCCCCTTTAAGTGGGACTGATTTTGAACGATCGCACTACAGTCTATATGCATTACTATGGGTGTAAGGATGTCATGAAAACATCATTCGCTCATTTTCCTATTGTAGCACCTCGGTAGCAACGGAGCCGGATCGGCCAAATTTCGGACACCTAAATGTGGAGGTGTTTCAGTTTATGCTCGTAACATTAATTCAGCAATAATAAGGGAAAAAAAAAGAAAAAAAAAATACATGTGTAGTCAATAGTCGTCGTGACTCACGGGAAAAGGAGTCTTAATGTGGGGGAATCACAACGCATGTACACGGCTTATATTAGAGAGATAAGTTCAAACACGAATGTAATACATAAGAAGTATCTATAATATCGGTTTTAAAACCCATAGAGTATAACTTCTAACATGAAGTATGATCAGGTCTATTGACTTTTCAGTTGAAAGTGATCTGATCGAACTATTTTTTGTGCTCCCCCGTTCATCCGAGGTAAGTGAAAATAGTTCGTCGTGTGGGGCAAAATTCTGGAGAAGGATCAACGGAAGCGCCGAAGTCTGGGGTAGTATAAATATAGAGGATAAGTCCCTGTAAAGAATTTATTTTCAATATCTCCAGGCCAATATAGTATGTACTATTTGAAACACATATAGATTACCTAAATGTTTTAAAAGTAATGAGGGATGGAACAACAGTTAACTTAATTAGCTCTGAACCCATAGATGTTTTATGAAGAAGTTTTCCTTTTCAGCAAAAATCTACTGGTATAGAGAATTTTGATCGTCTAACCTGTTGTGGTTGATACTCCTATAATTTCTTGTATCCTTTTGCTACTTTAGAATGTTGTACTCTGTATTATGTTGAGAGGGCAATCGTTCGTTTTTTCACCCAACAACAAAACGTGCGCGCGTTTTTGTGGATGAAATGAGTCGAAAGTCCGGGGTAATGACTCCATGACTCAATTACTAACAAATTTAGAATAAATTAACAAAATGCCAGCTTACACTAAAATTGACGTCAACGACGAAGAAAAGTTTTACCAAGACCAAGTAAAGGAAATCAGCCAATGGTGGACTGATTCTCGTTGGGCTAAGACCAAGAGAATCTATCAACCAGAAGATATTGCTAAGAAGAGAGGTACCGTTAAGATTGACTACCCTTCTTCTAACCAAGCTAAGAAGATGTACAAGCTTTTGCAAGAACATGACAAGAACAAGACTGCTTCATTCACCTTTGGTGCTCTTGACCCAATCCATGTTTCCCAAATGGCTAAGTACTTAGACTCTATCTATGTTTCTGGATGGCAATGTTCTTCCACTGCTTCCACTTCTAATGAACCATCTCCAGATTTGGCTGATTACCCTATGGATACCGTTCCTAACAAGGTTGAACACTTGTGGTTTGCTCAACTTTTCCACGACAGAAAGCAAAGAGAAGACAGATTAGGTATGACAAAGGAACAAAGAGCCAAGACTCCATACATTGACTTTTTGAGACCAATCATTGCTGATGCTGACACCGGTCACGGTGGTATTACTGCCATCATTAAGTTGACCAAGTTGTTTGTTGAAAGAGGTGCCGCTGGTATTCATATTGAAGATCAAGCTCCAGGTACCAAGAAGTGTGGACACATGGCTGGTAAGGTTTTGGTCCCAGTTCAAGAACATATCAACAGATTGGTTGCCATTAGAGCTTCTGCTGACATTTTGGGTTCTGATTTATTGTGTGTTGCCAGAACTGACTCTGAAGCCGCTACCTTAATTACCTCCACCATTGATCACAGAGATCACTACTTCGTTCTTGGTGCTACAAACCCAGAAGCCGGTGACTTGGCCACTTTGATGTCCGAAGCTGAAGCCAAGGGTATCTACGGTGACAAATTGGCACAAATCGAAGTTGAATGGACCAAGAAGGCTGGCTTGAAGTTGTTCCATGAAGCAGTTATTGACGAAATTAAGTCTGGTAACTACTCTAATAAGGATGCTTTAATCAAGAAGTTTACTGACAAGGTTAACCCACTTTCATTGGCCTCCAACAAGGAAGCAAGAAAGTTGGCTAAGGAATTATTGGGTAAAGAAGTTTTCTTTGACTGGGAAGTTTCTAGAGCTAGAGAAGGTTACTACAGATACCAAGGTGGTACTCAATGTGCTGTTATGAGAGGTAGAGCTTTTGCTCCATATGCCGACATGATTTGGATGGAATCTGCTTTACCAGACTACAACCAAGCTAAGGAATTCGCTGAAGGTGTTAAGGCTAAATACCCAGATCAATGGTTGGCCTACAACTTGTCTCCATCTTTCAACTGGAACAAGGCTATGCCAGCTGATGAACAAGAGACTTACATCAAGAGATTGGGTAAGTTGGGTTACGTCTGGCAATTCATTACTTTGGCTGGTTTGCACACCACCGCTTTGGCTGTTGACAACTTCTCCAAGAACTACTCTGAAATTGGTATGAAGGCTTACGGTCAATCTATTCAAGATAAGGAAATTGAACTGGGTGTTGAAGTTGTTAAGCATCAAAAATGGTCTGGTGCCGAATATATTGACGGATTGTTGAAGATGGTAACCGGTGGTGTTTCTTCCACTGCTGCCATGGGTGCTGGTGTCACCGAAGACCAATTCAAGGACAAATAAGCTTCTGGTAAGTTTTTCCTATGAAAGTTATTTATTTTAGCGCAAGTAGTCAATTTGAAAATGATATGAATATTACAGGATGTAGAATGTGTAATTGTGGGGTTGTATGGGTGTGTGCGTGGTTTCTGTATGATTGTGCGAACTTTTTGAGATGATCATCACAACTGATTAGAAAACGACTTTAGTGCTTTTTTTTTGCGTTTCAGTATCTTTTGTGAATCTATCTTTTTTCCTTTTGGTATACCACTCCACTTGCGTGGTTGAAAGATGGGGTTCATTCAGGCGGGAAGGTCGTTGAAGAGAAAGAAGGTGGGTACCAGTACAGAAAATAGCAAGAAGATCGCCAAAGTGCAAAGTATAGCTTCGAAGAATTTAACATCAATAGATGATAGATCTATATTAGAAAAGTTACCCGGTGAAATCGTATATAGGGTATTTACGTTAGTAGGACTAAATGGGAACCTGCTCCATATGACAAATCGGTATTTCAACAGAATGTTCCAATTCAGTAAGACTTCGGATGGGAACAATTGGCCAGGATTTGGTTTAATAGAAGAAATCATTCGTGTGCATTATACCTTTGATTTGAATTCCAAGATAGATATAAATGCATCGTTCCGTAAAATTCAGAAATATAAAAAGAAATTGAGTGAAGAAAACTTCCTTGAACTTGAACATGCACTAAAAGTGTTCGAAGATAATCAATTTGTCTTGTCTTCTGATATATTTAACCGAAGATTCATGAACCTGCGGGTAGTTGAATTGATAGGATCAAGGAAAGCATTGGAGCCTGAAAAAATAGCCAGGGAAATACTTCAAAGGTCACAGTACATAAAACATCAATTCAAGGGATTGATTGAGAAAATTCGTAATCAACCGGAATCAGAATTGGATCGATTAGTTGCTGTCGCAGATACACGATTTGAACTTGGCAATGAAGAAGAAAATGAAGATCTAGATGCTACCCCTGGGGTAAGTAGTGAAGATATGAACTCGTATAAAATATCTAACGTTCCTCTGGTAATCCTGGATTTCCCAGAGCGATTTTATAAAGGCCCTTGGACTTCAGATAAAATCTCCATGATGAACCAAATGGGGAAGGTGCTCAACTTCCGGTACAAGGATTTGGATCGCGCGGTGGTTAGCGCCCTAGAAGGTTATAATGATAAGTCTCAATATAAGGTGTCCGAATTTGTACTAGTTATGGAACAGGTTTCCATCTCTGGAAATTACTCATCTGTTGAGTCAATTGTGGCAACTTTCAGAGCACTTGATCGTAATGAAAACGCCTTGATCAAACTGGAGCTCCGCCAGTTGGTACGAAGATTACTACTAATGTACTATGGAGTAGAGCCTAATGAAAGATCGAGCGACGCTGAACTTTGGGTGTATTTGGCTGAGGATAGAAATGTAACGCATTTGAATGAAGTTATGGAGGTTGCACCAACCCCAGATGTAAATACACTACGTCTACTTGGTCTTTAACGAATTACGAAAAATAAAAGTCACTTATATATTTTATTGTAGTCTAATGAATTGAAAGGATTATTGATATTGCTGTTGATGTTGATATTGTTGTTGTTGTTGTTGTTGTTGTTGTTGTTGTTGTTGCTGTTGCTGTTGTTGTTGTTGCTGGTACTGTTGATATTGTGCGTGCTGTTGTTGTTGCTGTTGCTGTTGCTGTTGCTGTTGAGAATGTTGTGGAATTTGCGAATGCATGGAAGGGGCTTGTGAATGTAATTGTTGTTGTTGTTGGTATGGGTCTGATATGTGCTGTAACAATGGAGTTGGGTTGGCAATCTCGTGAAACCATGGATGTTGCAATGCCTGTCTAGCGGTGATTCTTGCATCAGGGCACATTTGTAACAAACTAGATAACAAGTTCAACCCCATTGAATCCAAGTTAGTGATCAAGTTCCGTAAATCCTGTGGGATGAAGATTTGCCAGTTATTTTTGAAGTTTGGATATTGCAGAACACCAGGCCAGGTGCGTTCATTTGGAGTACCCATAAGACGGAAAATTTTGATCAATTGGTCGTCATTGGCAGTTCCTGGGAAAAGAGGTTTCCCGGTACACATTTCTGCAAATATACACCCAGCGGACCAAATGTCAATGGATGTAGTATAGGACTTAGATCCCAACAAAACATCTGGAGCACGGTACCACAATGTGACAACTTCGTTGGAAAATGTATTGAAAGGAATTCCAAAGGCACGAGCAAGACCAAAATCACCCAACTTAAGAGCTCCCTTGTTGTTGATAAGCAAGTTCTGTGGCTTCAAGTCACGGTGCAAAACACGGTTATCATGACAAAACATGATCCCCTTCAAGAGTTGGAACATAAATGATTTGACAATCTTGAGATCCAATGCTCCTTGGTTACCATGGGACTCCATATATTTTTTCAAATCCTTGTCCATAAATTCAAAAACAAGTGTAAGCTTGTTCTCAGTATGGATCACATCATACAAAGTGACAATATTCTCGTTATCCAACTCCTTCATCAATGAGATTTCTCTGATGGCTGTAGATGGAGTTCCTTCTTCTGAATCCAAGTTGATCTCCTTAAGAGCTACAAGTGTCCCAGTAGTACGGTTGCGTCCTTTGTATACCGTAGCATAGGTACCTTCACCTAGCTTTTCAAGCTGTTGGAATCTGAATGTTAGTATTATATCTATTGGGTAGGAAATTTTGAACCAGGGCGATCTATTAACCACATTGATCATACTCGTTGTCATCCATTTTTTTAGATTATTTTCACTAAGATACAACCCAATGTATGATCTTGTCACACAATTAACCAATTGCACAATCAGAAACATTTATGTTAGAATGAAGTATGGACACAGCCCCGCCCTATGGCCAAGCCAACAAAATAGAAAATTCAATTTCCCACGTATTCACAGGTATATATCTCTACAGTTCCACATATTTCAGTCCAATCGACTTAAGATACATACTGAGATGAAGAGCCAGTCATATTTTGCTATCAATGTAAGCGCCTATATGTCCAAATTTATGGTTACTAAGTAATGATGTTTTTTCTCTTTCCTCTCCTCCTTCTCCTCCTCCTTCCTTCAGTCTCTTTACACGCGCCGCCTGATACTCCGCGCCCTATACACTCCTAAATATATTTTGGTGCACGGGTGTTTCACAAATCCGATTATAGAAACAAATTTCTGCTGCTGCGAACTTGCAAGCAAAATCACACCTACTGCAAGTGGAGCTACAAAAGTGGAGACTTAATTTTCAAATAATGTTCATTAGTACATATAGGAGGTAGTAATTAAGATGCCACGAGGAAACTGGATGATGATGTATTTTTCGGCTTCTTTTTCGAATTCATCAGACATGTATATTAAGAGTATTGCCAGACGTTAGTACAACATGGATACCGCTCGATCAGAAGTGTAGTACAACATGTACCCTCTATTAAACAAATTATTTGAGGGATATACATGGTCAGTTATATATTTATATCTTATTCTTCTTTACGTTTTATCTATGTTCATTTGAACCATTAATGGTTACGTGGATTCTTCTTCATAAGTGCCATTGTGTTTTCTACCCAACCTTCAGCACCTCCTTCAAGTGCCAAAATATCCATAACTCTTGTTTGTGTCGTTTCAATTGGTTCTTCTGAAAATTGTGGTAACTTCGACATACCTATCAATGCCGCATTTCTTGTACTTGGAATTCGGAGCATTTCACGCTCTACCTTCCATCCCATTCGCTTTGAAAGTTCTTCAACATGGTCGACTAAGCTTCCATATGTAGATGAATTTTGGGCTTGACCCTTGGAACTAGTAGTTTTTGCCCGTTTCAATTCAGGCAGTAACTTTGCCGCAGGGTATCTCTTTTTCGCTCCCAGAAGAGCATGTGAACAACAAGGAATAACGGCAAATGGGAATCCAAGAAGTGGAATCCAACAGGTAAGTTCGTCTGAGTGGTTCCCAATTATGAATGTGTTGGGTGGGAATTCCTCAGTAGTGCAAACTTGGGTCGATTCAAGAAGGTTTGCCAGTGAGTAATAACTTACCAATGGTACTGCATTGACAGCTGTAGGTGGAGAAACTTCAGGAACTTGGAAAAGTCTACCATTATCACGAACATGGGGGGCTAATTTGGAGACTGCTGGATGAGGTTTCAATAATATACTTGGAATGACAACTTGTTCTAACAAATTATCTTGTACATCTTGTGGGTAAGTCTTCCAGGACTTACGAGCTCTTGCATCAATCCCTTGACCCTTGTAACCTTCCATCTGGAGGATGTACACCAAAAGTCCATTCCCACATCCTAAATCTCTATATTCAAATTCGTCCTTCGACAGATATTTCATGGACCAGAGTTCAATTAAAAAGGCTGCAATAGCTAAATCTTCAAAAACATGTTTCTTGGGATCGGTACTCTCTACCCACAGATTAACAAGTTTGGATGAGTATTTTTTCTTGAGACTTATATATCTATTTTGGAATGCAATCTTGGGTACAACAACGTCGTGATTGACCCTTTTCTCATAACCATCCTTGGCACCCAATGAATGTTTACTCGAAGTTTGAAGTAGCCTAAGGGCAATTCTAACTGGTCTGCTTGTATTCTCCAAATTTCGGAGTTGGGTAATGGATTCTGGGTTTGTATAGTTAAATGGAAGGTAATGAATGGAAAGAGAACCTTCATGCAATAAAATACCAACCCCATATACTGGTGGGAGGTAAAATGGAATCTCTTCACTATTTTCGAGATGTGGGACGTATACTACAAGTACTGAAGGATTCTTTTCTTGATCTCCTTCACTAGTCATAACCAAACAAGTTTGGTTGATAATATGATCTTTGAAAGGATTCCTGGGAATCATACGCCGCACAACCTCGGTCTTTCGCTTGAGAGGGAAATCACAGTCTGCCAATGGGACCTCTCGTAATGATACATCCAGTAAGTATCTATGTAAAAGAACTTCATCTGAATCATCAGTGGATGAGAATTCTGGGATCTCATCTGCCTTGTCGTGGACGTAGGAAGATTTTATTGTTTCTCCATCATTCTCGTATGTTGTTTCACTCAAGAAATCGGCTCTCATGATGACTGTAGAATTGATATTAGGCTCTTTGATCAAGTTTGCCATGGCATGTAAGAAATGCGATCCGTCAAAGTCCACAGGTGACAGGTATATTGGTACCCACGAGCCTCCTAACAATGAAGACTCCGTATTCATAAGAATCGGGTCTTTCTCTGACGGTTTCGCGTGTTTCATATCGTGCTAATCGGGTATCTTGGTATGATATTTTAAATTTAAAGGCCATTGTGCAAAAATAAAATATCTAGACATCATCGAATTGTAATGATTGGTATATGCAGTCCCTGTCCTATTTTATAATTAATAGCTGATTATCATAAGATAAACCTTTTTTATGATAAGTATTATCAATTATATTGATTTGAATCTAGTTTAAAGGTCTATTATTTAGATATAGTGAAAAAAAAATTCAATTCTTGTTATTTTTGGTGTCCATGAAATTTTCGTACAGAAATGGTTGCAAGTTTTACAACCATGGTTGCGAATTATCATTAATTCAATTATTAGATCAATTATTAGATGGTATCTAAAATATTTATCTATTTAATGCATAATCTGGATGTACCTCTTAGAGGGAGTATATGGGGAGATGACCAAATAATAATAGTAATAAGAAAAGAAAAAAAGAAAAAGAATTCCTCTCACTAACTTCCTAAAAGTCAATAAAGTTCGCCTCACTGGTATCTGAGAATTTGTGCTTTTTATAACAATAATGGCACTTGAAGATCTCTGTCCCACGTTTCAGAAGTTGCCAAATGCTATCACGTAACGCAAGATGTTGACAAAATTTAAGTACAACCACTGGGTTCCTGTGTGGTAGTGATTTCTCTCCTGAGGATGAATTATCTTGTTTGCGCCTTTTCTCTGCTTGTTCTTCACTCTCAGTCAAGGGAACAAGTTGTTCCTTTGTCACGGGACAAATGAAGATAGGATGATAATTGAAAAGATTAGTATTTGTATCTGGGAGGTGGAAGGGTAGTTCGTATGTATTTGCAGCAAATGAGGTATTCTTATTAGCATTATTCCCACCACCATTTCCTGCTGCTGATTTATCATCTTTCCTACCTAGCTTTTGTTGGATCTGATTATACTTATAAAAGTTGGGTAAATTCACAAATCCCGCCAACATACATTGGAATATGGATGAATCATCGGAAAGTTGCATATCCAGACAATAGACTGAGATAAACTCATTGGCCAAATAAACAAATAGTGACTGATCAGACCTTATATCTTTAAAAGATGTGAACACTCTGTCGGCAAAAGTTGATTCATTTCGACTACCTCTTGAAGTTGATGAAGTTGTTCTCGCTGTTCCTATAGTCGATGTTGATTTTTCTCTTTCTTCAAATGAAACCTGTAGTTTACGTAAGAGTTCCTTTAGAGAAAGTCTCTGTTTTCTTTCAAATTCATCATCGGGTCTTCCCGTAGTGCCAGAAGCTCCAGCATCATACAACATCAAGGTCATCAACAGGGAGATCACGTCACGGTACAGCTCGAAGAACAGGGGGAAATGCAACATGGAGTACTGGTAAGCTTCATAAGCACAATCTATACTGAATGGCCGTCTACTATCAGAATTATTCTCATCCAGTGGTCTGCCACTGAGAAGAAGGGCAAATTGAAGAATATGGAATTTGAATTCAAGTTCTTTAAGTCTGAGAACATTATTGGTATATGAATCCTCTTGTAATGTGGGTACTAGACTCTTAATCCATTCTAGAGCTCGCTTCAAGTCATGCTTGACAAGTATATCATCAACAACCCGGTCAAGAAGCTCAAATCTCTCTAATATATAGCCCGGTACAAGTTGGGTATCGTTGAGTCCCATCAACATCCGTTTTACTATCCCGGATTGACTAGTTTTAAGTAAATGCAATATGAGTGCTTTAAAGAGTGCCTGGTGGTTTTCGTGTTGTCTATGCAGCTCAACGTCATCAGGCTTATCGGTATCTTGTCCAATAGAGCCAGGTCCATTGTATAAGTCTAATGGATAACTGTATGTGTCATCTAAATCAATGTGAAAGCGTGGATTGTTGGGTATAGCCTTCAGAAACTTGTTGATCAGGGTATTATATGCTTTAAGATTTGAAATAGACAGCTTATACCATCTATCTATAGGTTTGGATATCTGTACCTTGCTGTTGAAATGAGATACTCCTGATTCAATCTCAGCTTCTAAAGAGGCTTCAACCCCCCGCAATTCATCAAGTAATGATTCCGACTCTTTAAGTAGACCCGAAATATTTGTTTCTCCTGATGTATCTAATGAAGTCACCTCTATCCCAAGTGGTGTCAAAAGCGATTCAGTACTCATCGCCTAGTATAAATATTGTTTTTGTCTGTTATTCTTTTTACTTGAAGCTAGAAGATTCTTTAAATGACCCCCACTTCTAAAACCCCTTCCCCTTATATCGTTATCAGTCAGTTATATACAGGATTTACTTTAAATAGACAATTGAAGTAATGAACTAGATGTATATATATTTCTATATGGATATGTATGTTGAATACTCTGTGTTATGGATTGATGTTGATTGCCTTGTTTATTAATAAATAATTTATATATAATGAATATTTCCTGTTAGTCCAATTTTTTGCTATATCTTTTTTTTCACGAATTGATCCGAATGATACCCTTTATGTTAAGCAGGTAACAGTGCAATGCTTTCTAGCAGCATAAATAATATAGACTTTCTATGTCTACTGTATAGTCTGTAGTTGTATTTTTTCTTGAAAATTTAAATGAAATTAAGATTGAAACTCTAAGCTTAGAAATGGTTTTGAATGAGTATGAATCAATTATTTCCATAAGTTAGTGAAGCAATTCTAAAAAAAAGTTCCAACAGTTATTCTCCATCAATTCATGAAAGAGAATACCTTGATTCAACTCCATGTTCCTAGTAAGAGAAGGAGTACCAAATGGGAAATGGTGCCGTAGAATTGGTGCTGTAGAAAGAGTTTCTAAAGTGAATATCCAATCATGTAATCTGTCCTCCAATGTATTCTCTTCTCTCAATATATTTACTCAATAGTAGTTCTCGTTTAAATATCCAAAAAGTCCGCTTTTACCAACAATTCCAAAGCTAAATGGGTTGGGATGTTAAACTCGGGAATGTTCCCAGAAGCAGCAGCATCTTTATATTTGTAGTGATAGTAGAGATAATCTACAATACACTCGAGAATATCTCCATCCATGTCCAATGTGATCCGACCAGTTTTCCCCTCTTCGAATCCTTGAGTATTCCGCAACACCGAAGAAATCAGTGCTACTTCCTTCAATACGACAAACCTGTGATTGTCGGCAGACACTAATGTCACGTAGTCAGAAGTCACCATGATTCCTTATGATTGTTGAACCTGTATGTATTGCGGTGTACAAGTAAAAGAAGGCGTGCTGGTTCAGTTTCAAAGCTCGCAATTTCTGCTTGCGATTTAGACTTCTGTTTATTTGTACAGGAAGGGATATCATACATCCATTTAAACAGCGATCATACAACAAAATACACCACACAGTTCAACATGTCAAATCCAAGCCTCTCGTGGCAGAAGCTACAAGATGTGTATTACTCGCTTCGTCCATGCTATGAGGGAATTAAGTGGCCCCTTACAGCACTCCATTCAAACTACCACGTTAAGATATCCACTCATTGTTCATTGATTGCCGTTTCGTCAAAGTTTGTACCTCACCCTGCAATTGTGGATGTTTACTCCGTTTCAGGAACAAAGTTTACATCTGTCGTATACAACAGTGGTCCTGGGGATCACATAACTGGGTATGGGTGGAAGAATGAGGACTTGGTTGTGGTTTTAAATGGAGGTAAATTTAGATACTATAAGGAAGCTGGAGGTTTCAATGAATATGATGTGGCAGGAGGGATTGAACTAACAGATGTATCGTCTACCCCGACATCAACTCCTCCTCCTTCTGCTGTTGGGTCGAACGGAGGCTCTAATGATGGTGTGATAGTAGGCGGTGCTATCACTGACCTCGAAACCAATACTACGGAGGAACCAATCGATATTCTTGAAGTTAACATTTGGGGGAAGTTTTTGGTACTTAGACTCCGTAACCAGTTCATTATAACTGACTTGTCGACTTTCACAAATTATACAATTCCTAATGTGACATTAGCTGGTAAAATTCTTTGTTTGAGCTTGCTTAAAATTGATGAAGATGTCGACTCAATTACTTTACTAGCAAGCTATGATACGTCCATTCTTACTCTCCGAGTAGATATTACCGCCCAAGAATTTGAAATAATAGATCAGGGACTTACTGAGGGGCCGTTTACTCAAATATGTGCACTGCCAAATTCTCAATTGGTATCTCTTTATAACGCTAAAGCAGCTAAAATCTTCGTCATTAATAGCAAATTTGATCGTGTGCTTCTTGAATACGATACTGCGTCAGAAATTGTCCCTCCAGTACAGGTAACTTGGTGTGGAAATGATGCCATTGTTTTGTCCCTTCGTGATGAATTGAAACTCATTGGACCTGGCCAAAAGTCAATTTCTTTCTACTACGACATGTTAGAGTCTCCGGAAGAAGATGTAGATACTCCTGTTTCGCCGTACATTGTTCCGATTCTCTATACGGAACCAGATGGGGTAAAGGTCCTCACCTCCAACAAATTGGAGTTCCTTTCCTTGGTTCCTGAATGTAACAGGAATCTCTACCTTATAGGATCCCTGTCTCCCAGTAGCATCCTTCTCGATTGCATTGATAAACTTTCACAGCACTCGCCCAAAGCTGACACCAATATTTCACTTTTAAAGTCTGATGGTACCCTTCCTGCTGCCATGAATGAATGTCTTCAGGCGAGTCTCGAAGAATTCCAGCCATATTGGCAAAAGAAACTTTTAAGAGCAGTTTCATTTGGAAAGGTATATTGTACAGGTTACGATACTAGTGAATACCTACATACTGTCCTGATGTTGAAAGTCTTAAACCAGATTAGGTCTTCAGAAATTGGAATATTCATAACCTACAAACAATTACTTCTGATGGGTTGGGAAACCGTCATTTCAATGCTACTTCGTAGAAATTTACATTACTTGGCCCTTCGAATTATTGAGTTGGTAAATGAAGAACAATATATCAGTCAAGTATATATTCATTGGTGTTGCTACAAAATCACGAAAGAACTCAACATGTCCGATGCAGATTTGTTTAAAAGTATCGAAGCAAAACTCACTGGTCAAACTGGAAAAAACCTAGTCTCCGTTGGAGATATCTCCGAAGTTGCATTTCAGGAGGGCCGAGTTGAATTGTGTAAGCTCCTTATTAATTTAGAACCATCTATCGCGAAAAAGATTAGCAGATTCGTTCATTTGGGCGATTTGGAATTAGCTCTTATCAAATCTTTCCAAACTGGAGCTTATGATTTGTGCCGGTTACTTTTGTTACACTTGCAAGAAAAACTTACTCCATCAAAGTTCTTCAAAATATTGAACCAGAATGAACTGAAAGGTCTAATTGTTGACACTTCTGAAAATACTCAAAGTCATGACCTGGAAATCTTGTATATCCATGGTGATTTAATTGGTAACTTCTGGGTAGGAAGCATAGGACGGAACAATAAGAAGTTGCTTGAATCGTACTATAGAATGGAAGATAAACTGATTTCGGATATTCAGTCTATAGTAAAGGAGTTTTCAAATGAGAAAATGACTCAAGAGAGTTCAGGATCTGAACTGGAATCCTACTACAGCACCTACAAAACTCAACTAGTAAAGTTTATCAATAGTTCAGCGACCCAAAAACAAGATGCCAAGTTGTACCAGAAAGAATTAGATCTTTTGGAACTTCAAAAAAAATTGTCGGACACATATAAAGAAGATTTTTATCTGAAGAAATCGATTGTTTCTATTCTATCCAAACTTATAGAAATGAACCAGGTGAAACCCGCTGGTAAAATCTCGAAAGATTTTAATGTTCTGATAGAAAAATTCTGGTATTTAGTTCTTGATATTTACACAAAAACTGGTCAATTTGATAGACTTCACCTGTTAATCGTTGGTCAGGAATCAACAGGATCAGTGGCCCTACCTCCGATAGGTTTTCAACCCATAATTGAGAGGTGTTTGGCATTCGGTGCCCCTAACAAATTGGTATCTGTTTATATCAAAAATAGTACTAACGTTCATTATACAGAGAAAATTGATATGTTTATTAAGAATCATGATTTGGCACTGGCTGCGGGAGAGGCATACAGATTCAAAGATATAGAATATTTGAGGGCAATTCTTGACAAGTCTCAGCGAGACGGTCTGGTCAGTGTTGTTAACTTGGTGAAGAACTACATAACTAGGTTGGGTTACTAAATAAGACATAATATCAAAAATAAATAAATAAATATTATAGACATGAAGTTCAGACGAATGAATTCATAATAGAGAAATAGAGTTTGGCATTCAACCCTACTTGACAGACCTTAAAGACGTCACTACTTCCAAATTTCTCTCATCGACAAGTTCAATATCATTAAGACCTCTTTCGTGGTCACTCTTATTATACCCATCTCTGAGCTTCCTCTCATCTTCCATAACCAAATGGAGGTTTCTATATTTGAATAGAATTGCTCCCGAGGCCAAAAATCCTGCAATTCCAATGCCTGCAAATGGCCAAATTAGATGAGGGTCCAGTAGGGCCCCAGATACAGCAAGAGATATAGCGGAATATATGGCAGACATAAACAAGAATATGGCCATAACGAGACCCTTCAAGTTTGGTGGGGCTCTCATGTATGCCAATTCATACCCAGTTGTCATTGCGAAGGACTCTCCCATACCTTGAAGGGCGTACAAAATTACTTCCGTCCAAGCGGAGATTGGGGATACAATCCCCTTATACAGACAGGAAGTGGCATTGTACCCACAAGGCAGAGTCTTGTAAATTCTCCATTGTAGTATCGCACCAATGATTTGCGCCAAAGCAACTAATGCAAATCCTAAAGAAACTCTCTGAACTGGTCTAAATTCGATTTTATTCTTTCTTAATGTGGGGTATACAATGTAGTCCAAAAAAGGCATAAATACAATAATCGTTAACGCATTAAAATTGTAGAACAAGTCATTGGGGACACCTTTGCTAGTCATTGTACCTGCTTGGGAACTTTGGAGAGATCCAATTCCATTGTCACAAATAAGGAAAATTGGATACCATGCAAAAATGGAGCATGCATTAACTGTTTGTCTCACGTTTAACACCCATTGGTCGTCCCAAGAGATTTCAATTTTTGATGGTTTATTCAGTTTTTCTAAGCGTTGAAGTATATTCGCTGGTCTAGCAAATTCCCATAATGAATTACCCTTCCATCTTGATAACCACCCACGACTGAAAGTAACTTTAATGATTCTCCAAGAGTTGACAAGAACACTTCCTTCGGGTGGTGCTTTCTTAACTCTTGGTTGTAAAAATAGAAGCACGATTGGTAATACCATGAACAAAATTGTTGGTAATAAAAATGCTAGATAGAATCCAATTCGCCTAGCGCTATAAGATGTTGCAACCAGAAAAAATGCACCAATATTGATTGCCCAGTAAAACACCATAGCCATTCTTTGTATAGACTTTTGACGGTCAATTATAACTTTTTCTCCGGAAGGTAATATTTTAACCACATCTTGTTGGAAAGGGTATTGGTCCATTAATAGTGGTAACAAATTAGGTTTTATAAAACCTGTACCGACCGCCAAAGTTACCACCCCTAATACAGTGGGAACTATAGCATGCCCGCCCAGAATAACCGTTGGGATGGACGCAATCACAAACAAAACATGGCCAATAAAAGCAATAATTATGCCAATCCAAATTGCCTTGAATTTTCCCAATTGAGCATCTGCAACAAATCCACCATAGAGGGGTGCAACATATGCAATGAATGTCAACAGGGTGTGCACGGCAGATGCAGTTTTCAAACCTAATCCAAGAGCACCTGCTTGTAACTCACTATTTGCTGGTGCAGCTCCAGTAGCTTTACCGCCCTTGGGGAGTGGTCTCTGGATATAATTATTTAAGGAACCAGTAAGGCCATAGTAAGAACCTCTTTCAGCCAACTCAACTAAACATAAAAGGTAAGCTACTTTTGGGGCATGTCCAAGAACCCTCCTGAGCGATGATGATTCATCTGGAGTTGGTTTTCTAACACCTTTGGGGTTGTGTTCATCAAAGTAGTTGGAAAAGTAGTTGTTTGGATCATTAAAATCATACAAATCGTTGGTCAGAGTGTTTGACCAAGTTGGTTCAACTTCTGACTGAACGTTAATGCTCTGTGTTTTCTCAGTCTTGCTCATGGAATGATTCTACACGAATATCAAGTACGAAACTACGGTGTTCCAGGTCCTTTATATGCAACCGAGAAGGTCTTCAACAGCAACCGAGTTTCAAAAGTTCTATTATTGCAACTTTTTTTCTTATCGTGCATATACGAAAGACTAAACTTCAACCACAATTAAGTGCGGCTGAAAGGCGGATTGAAAGGGTCCATCCAAATACTTTGAAAGGGCCAAGGAAAAAAAATATTATAAATGGCGACAAATTGAAGATGAAGAGCGAGATCTCAATCATTGTATAAATATATTTTTATTGGGAAGTATGAAGAAAGCATGGTGGACCATATGCGAGAAATATATTGAAAGACTTTAAATTATTGACCGCCTGTGGATTGAGATCCGCATGTTGCAATTTAGACAAAATATTCCCCATTTTAAGTTGCTTGTACACATCTAATGTTTACAGGCGGGTTCTTGCATATAAATTCAATGACATATATGTGGGTACGAGTTGGTGTGGACGAGACTGAATATTCTGTATTCTACATCTACTGTTAATTAATTAATTTCTAAACTTATAGTAGGTGGGCTTATTCTTAGTACTTAGGTATATTCGCTTATTCGTACGTTGTATTGAGTGTGATACAACATTAAATCGGAATTATTTCAAAATTAATACTTGAACTGAAACGACGCCTCAATTCGTCGAAACCCGATAAGGAAAAAAAGTCAATAATTTTAAATATTGGAAATCTTATTTCTCTGAAACAATTATTCCTTATCTCTTGATTGCATGATTCGCGGGAGTTGTTGGTCTCTAAGACTAAGAAGAAACAGAAAGATCTTTAGAAATTCATCTATCAAATTCAAACTCAAAGAACTTTGATTAAATCTTAACTACTTGAACTTAACTAAAAAAATATTTTTATATATGAAGAATTTTGATATACATTCAGAAATTTTAAAGTGATGTAAATTTACCATTTTTAATTTCTCCACAATTGGCACCTTCTTCTCCCGTTAACCATCCAGGAACCTGAGCTGGATTTAAAACCATTTTATCTTGTTCTGTAGTTCGAACAGAAAGTTCATGAATTCCAGCAAAAATATCTGATCCTGAGAACTTCATTACTATATTACCTTCATCTGACTCTATGGGATCTTTAAGAATCATTTCAAGGTATTGCACTGGAACAATTGTTGCAAACTCGTTTCTATCCAGGTTCTTCATTTCTTCGAACCCATCGTCATCATCGCTTTCAATATTGCTATACGTGGCAGTCTTTTTCCTACGTTTCGTACTACCTTCTAAGTCATCATACAATTTTTCAGATTCAATTTTCCCGTTAACATTACCTTTGAATCTTAAATTTGCAATTTTTTTCAATTTTGCCAAGGGATCGAGAGATTCTTCTTTCTCTTGATCTTGAATTTGTACTGTCTCTTCAAAAATTAATTTATGGTTCTCTGTTGGGGCTAATGGGAGAGAATCTGCCTTCCCTTCAGCATAAGGTGTCCAGACACCCAAACTATTACCAAAACGAGAACTTCCCTTAAGTATATGCATTGAATCAAGGGATCTAACAGGTTTTTGAGTTTGTGAAGTTTCAAGTTTCAATAGATTAGTTGGATCTTGAGGTAGATTTCTTTCAACAGCTTGTAAAACTATTTTACTGATAACCAGAGATCCTGGAGAATGAATAATATGCAGAGAGTTCATGGGGATGGCGACAAAGTATGGTTTATGAGATGTGATGTGGGGTCTAGATCCAGAAACAGCGTTGCCGCTAATCTTTTGAAGATCAAAAACTTGTATTCTGATAATCACTAAGGGATAAGTTGGATGTCGACACACATAAACATATGACATGTATAATTCATTTAAATCACGCGTCAATTGATGAAGGAATTTAGGTGGATCAAGCAGAATTGGAACCTCATTCCCGTGTCCACCACGGTCTTTAACAGTGGACAGAATCCAATAGTATGCATTTGGTCTATCTACAATCAATTGACAATCCACTTGAGATATTTGAAGTAGATTTAATCCATCACTCCAAAATTCAAAAAGAACTTTATCTATAAGTTTTTTCTTGGACCCTGAACGCATTGGTCCTGATATTATATTGCGAGCTTCTTGAGTTACTATCAGATTGAGCTCTTTCTGTGTAGAATATACATTCCCCTTCTTCAAATGTGGTTGAGTACGAATAAGTTTTGGCCAAAGTTTGACGAGTTGTATCAATGAATTGGTTGGTAGTCGTGCCAAAATGTTTGCAAGTACCTTTTTGGATAGAACAGGGATGTATGTATCTGGTAACACATTACGATGTGACACGTCCCTTTGCTTCATTTTAATATTGTTACTATGTCTATTTTTCTATTTCCTTTGTTTTTGTTATACGATTTGATGTAAACAGTGTGGTTTCCTGCAGATAGAATAAGAGATGATTTACAAAGTGTAAAAAAGAAGACAAAGAAACACGATGATCAAAGTAGGTCACTATTGATACAGAAGTGGAGACACTCGTATTATTCTTAGACTTCTTCAAACATGGTAGAGAAACTGTTTTAGGTTCAAAGAAAAGAAATTGAAAAAAAAAAGAACACATTAGATCATTTTCGTAATCCAAGATGATAGTCGATAAAATAATCAAGATTATATATGGAGAAGGTATAATTATGATTGTTAGTACCTCATATAACCTTTGAGATCATTGGTAGCACTAATATTCATCCTTTTGACGGCGTGGTGTATGGATGTTACCACGTCTCTCCATGCCTTTAACTTTATTCAGAAGCATATAAAGGCAGCCTGTCCGAGTGGTTAAGGAGAAAGATTAGAAATCTTTTGGGCTTTGCCCGCGCAGGTTCGAATCCTGCGGCTGTCGTTATATTTTTTTTGCCCTATGAAAATGAAGAAGATCACAAGATTGTATTAAAAGAAAATACGAAGTGTACATTTTATGAAACGATTATGCTGCGAAAAGCCCTAAAAAAAATTTTGCGCATTGTAGTCGTAAATTATTTCATCGCATTGGAAAAAAAGGAAAAAATCAATTCTACGTAATATATAAGAATGTTCAACTTTCTATGCGAATCGTTCATCATAATGCGGCTACAAAAACCTTTACAAGTTAAACTTGAAAGATTGGTAATCGCGGGTACTACTGAGTGTTCTGAATTTTAAAGGCACTATTGCAGAATAAATATCGCCAGTGTTTGGAGATCACTTTGATGAGTGGAAATATCCTTAATATTGCGACCATAAAGTATTCTGCTCTTTTTCTTCTTTATAGATATGTGAAATTTTCAACCTGCTTTTTGTAGAAGTCATTGATATATTATTTGTTTTCAACAACGTTTTCTTACTAGTATATGTGTGCATTTTATTTTGCAACATTTTATCACGTGATTAGCTTCTACCAATTACTATTCAATGTCATTGGCAAAAACCATTGCAATAACAAGGCAGCCTGTCCGAGTGGTTAAGGAGAAAGATTAGAAATCTTTTGGGCTTTGCCCGCGCAGGTTCGAATCCTGCGGCTGTCGTTATTTTTTGCACCTATTACGCTTGAAATCTATGTATTCATCATTGATGTAGAAACCCACCTTTTAATAAATGAGGCAATTTATTAAAGACAGCGCACCAAATCAAATGTATTTTTTTTCTCCATTAAATATCTGTGCGAAATTTTTTTTTTTTTTTTTTTTTTACTTCATTCGATGTTTATTATCCTATAATTTGTCTATATAATCGTTGATTATATTGGCTATATAACCTCCTTCTGTATATTCATTTCATAGTTGCCATATAATAAACATTATTGAGTGAGAGGAAACAGTGCTGACTTTGAAAACCTCTCACAGTTTATTATTCATATTATTTTATTAGTGGGTCGTGCGCTTACCGTTTCTATGTAGATGAGGGTGGTGTGGTGAACCATGCCAAAATAAATCGTATAAATTGGCAGCCTGTCCGAGTGGTTAAGGAGAAAGATTAGAAATCTTTTGGGCTTTGCCCGCGCAGGTTCGAATCCTGCGGCTGTCGTTATTTTTTTTTTCATTCAGATAACTAATATCTATTAGATATAGGTATACTTTTTTCATTTTTTACAATCTAATAATATATTATAAAGTAATTAAATTGAATAAAGTATAAGAGAAGCAATTCGATCATGCTTTAAAATAATTCTACTGTAATCAAACTTAAGAAACGGGAGATATATATTTTTATTTCTAAACTTTTCATTATTTAATCAAAATATTTTAACTATTGCAATCTCCCTACATCCCTAAACTACAACTTCTCTTCCCTTTATATCTAGATATTTAGACTGTAAATCCTCTACATATTATAAATTATTCACCATATTTAAGTAATAATCAAGTGCCGTCTGTTAAGTATAATTTACATTCAATACATCTATAAATCCAACCTCGTAACTTGTATATTTACAATTAATTTTAATCAGTTAGTCACATTGGCTATTTTTGTTTTATAGTAGTCTTAAATATATATATATGTATTACACCTCTAAATATAAGTTACTTACTTCACATTGAGTTTGTTCTATTCTTCCATTACTGTAACACCCTTGCACCCATTGCAGCCATTTCTCCAACCTCCATCACGAACCTGCATACCAAGTTTTTTTTTTTTATGGTCTCGCATTCGAGATGGCCTCTTTGCCTTTTTACAACCAATTGTACAACAATTGAGGCTAATAGATTACAAAGCTATATATCTCACATTCCATAACTTTTATTAAGTATGTCGGAAGTGGAAACTAACCAAAAGGTTGCTGCTGAAGCTCCAGTGGAGACTTCTAGCACCACAGTGGCAGATGATGGACTTGATCGTAAGACTATTTTCGTCAGATCCATCCCATTTGATGCTACTTCTGAAGAATTATCTGAATTTTTCTCTCAATTTGTTCCGGTAAAGCACGCAGTCATTGTCAATGATGAAAACCAAAAGTCCAGAGGATTTGGGTTTGTTTCCTTTACCATGGATGATGATACTTTACTCGCTCTTGTTGAAGCACGTAAGTCCAAATTTAAAGGTCGTATGTTGAGAGTTGATATCGCCAAGAGAAGAGAACGTAAGGATACTAGAGGTGCTGGAAATGCCGCTACATCCGCCCCTGCATTCAAGAGAGAACAAGAAGCTCCTGTAGAAAAGAGAAGAGCTCGTTTGATTGTCAGAAATTTGCCATGGTCATGTAAAAAGCCAGATGTATTGAAGAAGCTCTTCAGTAGATATGGTGCCGTTTTCGACGCCTATATTCCTAAGAAGAAGGGTGGACAAATGTGTGGGTTTGCCTTTGTAACCATGAAGAAAGACTCCGCCGCTAAGAAGGCTGTTGAAGAATCTGTTGGTTTAAAGATTGACGGTAGAGAAGTTGCCGTTGATTTGGCCATTGAAAAATCCAAGTGGGAAGAAATAAAGGAAGATGAAGTAGAAGAAGCCGAGGAAGAAGTGGAAGAAGAAGAAGAAGATTTGACCAAGGCAGGTGAGAATGACGACGAGGAAGAAAACGACTCTGATAACGAGGAAGACAATGCCGAATTTGACAACTTGAACGAAATAGATCCAGATGCTGAAGTTGATGACGATGTAGAATTAAAGATTGAAGAGGAAGAAGAAGAAAAGGTATCAAGACCAAAGGCTAACAGACAAGAAGCTTACTCTGTATTTGTCCGTAATATCCCTTACGATGCCACTGCTGAATCCTTGAAGGAGCACTTTGAAAGATTTGGGGATGTCAAGTATGCTCTTCCAGTTATTGACAAGGAATCCGGTTTGGCTAAGGGTTCTGCCTTTGTAGCTTTCACAAAAGAAGAGAGCTATGCCGACTGTCTTGACAATGCCCCAACTGCTGCCGCCACCTCTATGTTGATTGCTGATGATGTTTCTCCTTCATACGTTTATGAAGGACGTATTTTGTCGATCACATCTGCCGTTGACAGAGACTCTGCATCTAGACTTGCTGAAAAGAACTCCGAGAAACGTAAGGAAGCTTTAGGTAAAGCTCCAGGTGAAAGAGATAAGCGTAACTTGTTCTTGTTAAACGAAGGTAGAATTACTGAAAATTCGAAGTTGGCCCAATTTATCTCTAGAACTGATTTAGAATTGAGAGAAAAATCCTACAAATTACGTGTTCAACAATTGAACAAGAATCCAACTTTGCACTTGTCATTGACCAGATTGGCTATTAGAAACCTTCCAAGAGCCATGAACGCCAAGGCTTTGAAGGCGCTTGGTCGTAAGGCTGTGGTTCAATTTGCCACCGAAGTTAAGGAAGAAAAGAGACTGGGATTGTCTAAAGAAGAAGTAACTCGTAGTGTTAAGCATAAACATGACACAGGTGAATTTCAAAAGGCCGATCCAGATGCGAAGAGGAAGACAAAGCTTACTGGTGTGGTGAAACAAGCCAAGGTTATTATGGAAGTTAAGGGTTCCGGTGAACAAGGGCGTAGTAGAGGTTATGGTTTCATTGAATTCAGAGATCACAAGACCGCATTGATGGGTTTGAGATGGTTGAATGCTCATGAAGTTATAATTCCAGAAATTTTGGAAGGTTTGACGGATGAAGAAAAGAAGATGGCTGAATTGGAAGGTCTTTCCAAGAGAAAGTTGATTGCTGAATTTGCCATTGAAAACGCTCAAGTTATGAAGAGAAGAAGAGATAAGGTTTTCCAATCTCGTCTGGGAAGTGGCGATAAAAAGGATGAAAATGACTCTTCTAAAAAGAGAAGAAGAGATGACAAGGAAGGTCCATCAGGTACCGGAAATGGAAAGAAGGCCAGAAAGGGAAGTCAGAAGAAGGGTAATATGAACAAGGGTAACATGAACAAGGGCGGTGAGGCCGCTACCGCTGCTCCTAATAACTCAGGAATGTCTGAAGACATGAAGAAGCTTATCGGAATGAAGCGTATGAGAAGAAAGGGTAAGAAATAGTAGCATAGCATGTACCATATAGAGCATAAACAAAGAGTAGAACATATTGTAGGGAATAATGTATTTTTTCTGGCATCAACATATCCATGACACCAATAGTTATAAAGAGAGAGAGAGATGTCAAGACTTTACTACCATGAATTTTACTTCTATAACAAAACCAGAAAAGGCAGAGTTTGGCTGCGAGTTTTTGTTTCACCAGTGAAACTGCAAATTTATTCTGCTAAAGACTCTTCTATCCAAAAGTTACGGTTTATGACTTGGTATGCTTAAAATGGACCATATATAATTAACCAGAATTCCACCAGTAGTTTTATTTTTTCTGGTTGTGAAAATGTTTACTTGATGTCTCTCATTCTTCTTAGACTAATTATATGCTTTGTTTCAATTCTAATTGTGAAACTGGTGTTTGCAGCTCCACATTTATCACCATCTTCTACTTCTCCAATTGAGCTTTCAACAACTATTCAAAAGGTCGGCTCCTATTCGAAATCATTCAAAACTGAAAAGGAACTCATTGAGTCAACCTTCTGGAAGGAATTGGTCAAAAAGAAAGATCCTTCAGTAGCAGAAAGTACAGTAATATATCTTGTTGACAGTAATACGGTTTACCATTTTGCAGCTTCAGAAACAGATCCCAATGGAGTATACGGACTACCAGGATGGATGTCATCCAAGAGGAATATTGAATTGTTACAAGTGGAGTATGGTAAAGGGTTTCGAGCATCTGTAGAAGACATACCAGTATCCCCCTGTATGTCTTCTGTAATTTCGTCTGGAGGAGGTTCATTTTCTCAATCATACACCTGGGGACAGACTCTTTCTTTAAAACTTTCACCTTCGATAAGTTTAAACTCGGCTTTGCTTGGATTGACTCTTAATACTCAGATGGATACGTTGGATGTTTCGTATTCTTCCACTGGGGGTATTCTGTGTAATGCACCACCAGGTGGGAAAGTTCAAGTCTTTAGCACTGTTTCGTACATGTACTTCCCTGAAGCCCGTAAGAGGGATGTGTTGTTTCGTGGAAAGTTGGATAAATTTGAGCCAAGTTCCAATTGGACTCGTATAGCAAATGAAGAGTCCAAATATAGTAAGTTTGGTGCAGTTTTCTTTGATATGTCATATATCCCTCAACATGAATGTGTTACTAAATCACAATTTCTTCTTTGTGGAGAAAATGAAAGAACCCTTGACATGAACAATCGGTCACTTAATCTCATGAAAGGTTTAGAATTAGCTACAATTCAATAACTAACAACAACGCCAACAAGCTCTCTTCTTATCTACAACTTTTCTTTGTATGAATGTATATTTGTATAAAAAAATCATCATAATCATCATTGTCAATTAATATAGAGAGTGGGGGTAGGGTTTAGCATTAGATTCAAGAGAACCTTTTAAACTCAAACCTACCATATGTTCAGGACATTGCTCGGTCAATTAGGAACATAGCTGTATGAACAAAGCTCTTCACTCTATCTTGTAGATTACAAGAAATAATCACTTCTTTGTTGTTTGCTGGCATTATTCTTTGCACTGATATCTCCATCTTGTACCGCCAGGAAAATCTTAAAGTTAGGTTCCAAATCCTCTCCAACTTGCATTACACTAGCAACGTTACCACATCTATAACAGTAGTTTGGTGCAGACCATACTGTGACCACATCTTTATCCTTAAAATGATATTTAAAACCTTCCATAACCAATTGATGTGCACGGGCAATCAATTCCAAATTATTGATATGATTGAACTCTCGACTCACCTTTGATCCGAAAAGCCATCCTGCACCTCTTGGTGAAACTGCCCATGTGTCTACATTATCTGGATCTGACCAAACCAAGTCACAGAACCCTCCTTCATGAGGTACTTCTTGTGCTCTACTCAAGACTCTAATTTGATCCAACATCCTTATTTCTGGAGATAATCCTCCATGTACACATAAAATCTTTCCGTCTATAATGGCAGCCAAAGTTAAGAAATCAAATACTTGACAACAATATTTCCATACCGTGGTAGATCCATATTTAGTAAGACATTCCTCATAAAATCCATACACTTGGGTGATTTGACGAGATTCATGGTTCCCACGAACCAACGTTATTCTATGTGGGTATTTCACTTTCAATACCATCAACAAAGTGAAGGTTTCTAACGAAAAATATCCTCTATCAACATAATCTCCAAGAAATATATAATTGGTAGAGTTATCATCCAGCGGTAAGCCCCCCAGAATGCGGAACAATTCCAACAAATCATGGAATTGGCCATGAATATCACCACAAACAGACACTGGTGATTGAACTGGTTGAATATTAGACTCCTCCATTAAAAGCTCCTTAACAAGCTCACAGAGCTGCTTCATGTCTGATTCTGACAAGGCAATGCATTTCTTGATTTGCTCAAGCCACTGGTCTGGTCCACGTTCTCCCATATTGAGTTATTCTTCTTGTATATGTGTACGTATGTAAGTGGATGTCTTTTCCCAATTACTAATGCAATAGTTTGGTAGCAATTAAACTTCTTTTCTTTGAACTGGTTTACAATTAGTTGCTACACAGATTCTTTTCTTCTCTAGTGACTCACTTCTGCGCTGTCCACTCTCTTGGTAGAAGTACAATACGTAACAAACTCGTTATGAACTTGATGCTTATTCGCTGACGCCTCTATTTTTTTTTGCTTTGCGGATAGTCTTTGCCGTTTTCGTTTGTCCACACACACAAAATGTTATGAAGGGCAGAGTAGTAAAAAAAAAAAAATTCAAACGGAATACTACCGTTTCTTTATTCTGCTAGCTATTGGCTTTTACAGGACAAATATAAACTTGTTTGACGTTCCGTTGTAGGTTGGAAATTGATTATTACAACTTTCTAAGTTGGTTGACGGGTTTTTTTGATTTCGAGACGGCGCCCATTTGTTCATTATGGTGTAAACACGACCAGCAGACCAAAAAAGGCAGGTTTTCTGTTTGTCATCCGTACACCCCTTGATAAGATCAGATTAATTGGGAGATCAGATGAATTGGAAAGTATAAGTTGGGAAGTAAAAGTTATAAAAAGTATACCTTAATACCTATTACTTTATTTTAACTAGTATACATTGATGAAGTGTAATAGAATACATTCCCCATTTTTATGGAGTTTCTCTTTAGAAGTTGTATGTTGGTAAGTATTCTAAAATGAATGCTGCAAAAAGAGAAGAGTGAACAAAGCTTTGCAAAGGTCTATTTATAGAGAAGAAGATTATAATTTAGATCTGGGGTCAAACTTGGGGGAAATGTGGGCTTCTTTATTCTGAAGTGTACTCTAATTCCATTTCTTTGTTACATTGGCTGCAAATAATATCTCACATACTTCCTTTATTCTTACTGCAGAGAAGAGGGAATAATAGAAAGTATATGCATCATTTTTATATTTACAGGTTAAAATCATATTCATTTATCCCTTTTATTTTATTTATATATTAATACTAATTTTCTTACAATTCCAAAGTGTTACCCTTTTCTCTGGCAGCTTCACCAAACTTCTTAATTCTGATCGATTGCACGGCAATGAAACCAGAAGTGTCTTCAGGGGAGAAACCAGTAAGTTCATCCATCGAGGATTCAGTTTCATCATAAAGCTTTTCAGTGTCGGAGGATCTACCCAAGATGGTGACGTTACCCTTGTAAGCAGAGGCACGAACAACACCGTTAACGGTCTTTTGAGATGGAGCAATCATGCTTCTAACATATTCACATTCTGGGGTAAAGTACATACCGTTGTATAATAACTTGGAGTAAGTAGTTGTAACAAATTGATCTCTAATGGCACGAACTTCTCTGTCCAAAGTTAAACCTTCCAAATCAATGTGAGTGTTTCTCAAGATGGTCAAACCTGGAGTTTCGTAACATCCTCTGGACTTAATACCAATGAATCTGTTTTCAACAATATCAATTCTACCAACACCATTTCTTCTAGCTAAAGAGTTAGCTTCAATGAAAAGTTCAACTGGGTCAGTAACAACCTTCTTACCACCATCCAAAATCAACTTGACTGGTAAACCCTTTTCGAAAACAACAGAAAATTGTTCTGGAACATCTGGAGCATCAGTTGGATCAACAGTAAGTTTCCACATATCCTTTGGAGGAGTGGTATCTGGGTCTTCCAAGATACCAGCTTCGAAGGAAATGTGAGCCATGTTTTCATCAGTGGACCATGGCTTAGCCTTAGTTTGAGTAACTTCAATACCCTTAGCAGCAGAGTATTCCAATAAATCCTTTCTACCAGCAAAACGGTTGAAGAAAACTGGATCTCTCCATGGAGCAATAACCTTAACATCTGGCTTCAAAGCGTAGAAGGATAATTCGAAACGAACTTGATCGTTACCCTTACCGGTACAACCATGAGAAACGGCAAAACAACCATATTCTTCAGCAACCTTGATTTGAGCTTGAGCAATCACTGGTCTAGCCAAAGAAGTACCCAATAAGTAAACGTTTTCATAGATAGCATTAGTTTGAATAGCTGGGAAACAGACATGTTCCACAAATTCCTTACGGACATCGACACAAACAAATTTGGTAGCACCGATAGCTAAAGCTTTCTTTTCAGCAGCTTCGAAATCTTCTTCTTGACCAATGTTGGCTAAAAAGGCAATGACTTCATAACCTTCTTCTAATAACCAAGCCAAGATAACTGAGGTATCTAAACCACCAGAGTAAGCCAAACAAACCTTTCCCTTAGACATTGTAATGTATGTGATATATAAAGTTCAAAGCAAATAATAGATTATTCTCTAAATCTTTTTAGAAGAAAACCTTTAAAATATAATAGAAATGATAAAGAGTAAAAAAAGATTTAAGAAGAGAATTAGGAAAAAACTGTGGGCCTTTTATATTGAAAAATTATTCGGGTGGAGTTGGTGGGACTCGACATAATTGACCAACGATAACGAAGCGCGGTTAATTTTTTCGGTTGCCTCATTGGGCATGACTCATTTATCACGTGGAGTATGTATTAAAAAAAATAAAGAGAGAAAGAGGAATACACCATCGGAATGGTAAGAATTTGAACTTTTAAGGATTCTGAGTACATGAATAAGAGTGGTGGGATGATTTAACGAGAATTCAGGGTATGTCAAGAATTAATAGTAGGATGGATATACTTTGATACATAGCGATATTGATGTGGCTGTAAGTATGAAGAGAAAAATTTGTGGGTGTCCAGGTGTTTCAGTTTTGGGGGAATTTGCGGCACTGTAAAAAAAATTTCATGCAGCCAAAAAAAAAAAAGAAAAAGAGAAAAATAATGGCAGAGATTAAAGGGGTCATCGAATTGGAAAACGAGAGTGTAGTTACTGCCAGTTATACGGTATATATATAAATATATAAGCAATCATGTAGACAACGGCCACTCTCGAAACTTGAATTAGTAGTACTAAAAATAAGTGTTTCAGAAAATCCTATTATAAAGTGTTCAAAGGCTGCAACAAAGTCGTAAGAAACCTTGTAGTACTATTTTTCCATAATAATTAAATCTCTCATTGACTCATCACAAGTGTCATAGAACGTAAAGGGAAAGGGTGTAACAATTTGTGTCTTACAACGTATGTAAAAAAGATCTATTATTTCGGTTATGAATGAATCATGAGGAAAGAATTATTGTATTGGCGGTAAAAATTACAACAATAACGTTGGATGTGCTTTTTAAAGTAGAAAATAGCATGGTTGCAAAAAGCTCTTCATTAGAGGAATAATCTCGAGTGAACAGCCAATGATTTTGCTTCATGTGACTTTGACTAGGATGGATTACCAATAGGAAATCACCTTAATGAGACAAGTTTGTACCCGACCTACATGATATCTTCTCTCTATTATTTATAAGTGAAGCGCCAAAAAAGTAGATCAACCTCACTTATAGTGAAGATTATTCCACGAGAGTCATGGACAATCATGAGAGTGATAGACAAGGAAGATCATAAGCATATTTGATGGTACTTCAAGATCCAATATTCATTTCTTACTCTACACGCATATACAATCACAACATACACCATCATGAGTCTTAGAATGTTTTTTTTTTGTAAATTTTCTACAACTACTGTTCGATAGAATTCATTTCCTTATTTATGGTATATGTCTCCAAGAAAAAATACATTTGTAATCAAGTTCTAAAAATTCAGTCACCCAAATCTAACTTGATGACTCAACTGGAACTTTAATGAGTACATCCTTCATATACACATACAAATTGCACATATATATTTGAGGGGAAGGTGTGAGAGGTTTTTTTCTGGCGACTCATACTCAGCATCCAAACACCCACCGTGACTACAGTGCCGCGCACTACAAAATTTTTGGTTAGTTTCAAATAGTGACTATGAATCATCGTATCTACAATCATCGCGTACGACATTAAATCAAAGATAGACGATATGTCTGAGTCGAAAGAATTACAGAAACGACTCGGAATAACCTATGCTATTCGAAGCAAGTTGAATTTTCTTGACGAGCGTCTATGGAAACGGTTTTCCGCTCGTCGGTTAGAATTGATAGACACACTTGATTTGAGTTCAAAGAAAGCATCAGAACAAGAGGATGAGATTAGGAATGTTGCAGAAGCCTTGAGAGTGGAATTCCAATATCCAGATGAATACTTTAGCGATTTTGATAAGTTGGTGAGAGCTGCAATCCAGAGTGTACGTCGAAATCGGAAGAGAAGTAGTAGAAGCAAAAAATTAAATGGAGGAACAACAACAGCCCAATCAGCGCCTGCGATAAACTCGGGGATTCCTAAGATAGATCCAGAATCTATGATGGTAGATAATCCCGGGCCTCATGTACCGATTAAGAAACAAAGGGTAACCCCGAAGGGAGCCCCCAGTACGTCGTTCATTGCCAAGAATTCAGGAACCACATCCCCAACTAATGAACTCGTCCACCATACAAATAACATGTCAATTTCTGAAGCTAGAATTCCAACAAATGATAATAAGTTTCTTCTGGAAATTCTTCGTTTGAATTCAGATTCTCAAGAGGAATGGTATGACCGTAGTTACTCTACAACCCGTCATTTTTCCGCTATTGACAAATCAAGAGCTGCAATTGACTCCATGATCCAACCACGTCTAAAGAATGCATCATCTTCTGAGTCTATCAAATCTGGGAGTCCACCCATTGTTGGGGCTCTCCCACTGATGCCAAAGTTTGGATTCACCAGCACTGCGCGTAGTTCAAGTCCTGTTGACATGACTAATAAGGGGAGACTTAGTCTGAGTGACGAAGGGAATACCGAGGTTGAGAATGGCACTGTTGATAATATTAAAATGAGTAATAGTTTGACCCCCAATAACACCTCTTCATCTTCTGCTAATGCAAGGGCTGCTGCTGCTGCTTCTGCATCTCTTCTTCGACTTATCGAAACCTCTCTATCACTTTCAAAGTCCTCGTCTCAAACAAATACAGAAAACCTTAGGACTCTTGGTCGAAATATAGTCTCTTGTGCTATTTCATATGTCTTTGACAAATCATTTTCCACCGTCAACCCTACATCGATAGAATATCTCCGTTCCAAGCTTGAGCAGGATCAAACTCTTGCAAGAATTTTCAGAGAGTTGGACCCTCCAGCAGTTTTCAATGTTCAGCTTACCGATGAAGCTGCCGTACTATCTCTTTGCACCATTCTTGGCTGTTGTGCCAAGGACTTTGGTTTTGATGCTGTGATACCTCCATTAGGGGAAATCTTTTCTTTTTCCGTTGTAAAGGATTACCCCTTGATTTCAAAGACTGCTCTTGACGATAACGGTGCAGCAGCGGCAAGATCAACGGGACCCTTTGGACTTTTGAACTCTCTAGCAACCGTAGCTACGGATCTTAAATCAAAGGAATTACTTGCTTCAGCAGACACAAAACCACCTACTACATCTACCACTTCGAAGAAGGTTACTTTAAAGTTTCTCTCATCCATGCTTGAATTTTCTTACCCGTCAACAAACTCTGCAGTGCCAAAGCTTGTAGAACTTATAGAAAATGGTAAGGCCGCGTTTAAACTCACTTCAACCACAAATTCATCGGTTACAATGGGACTTCGTGATGCTAAAGATGGTACTGTCATTATCTCCGATAATGAAGTAGAAAAGATCTTTCGAACCCGGGACTCTATAGAACTTGAGATGTTTGTGCGACAAGCTCATGAGGTACCTATTAGTCAGATCACATCTACTGTATTCCCGACAATCACTACCACAACAAAGGCAGGTCAACTGCCTAAGATCCTATTACCGCCTCCATATGTTCCTGCTACCCGTCCACCACTACCAGGAAGTGGCAGTACATCTGGCCGACTCAGTCCAATTAATAACCCAATTACAGGTGGCTTTAGGTTTCTTTCGAACCTGGAAGATACCCCTACACCACCTCCACCATCATCACTTATTCTCCCTAATTTCCAACCTCTTTTATGAATGAACGCTTTTTTAATAACTACCTTTGTTTTCGCTGTAGGTCTAAGTAAGCTTACTCTAGCAATAATCCTTTACATGTACCAACAATTGTGAAATAATATATATGAAACTATATATCTAAGAAGATAGGCCCATGGAGATGAATGAATTCACCAACTCCCGAGCTCGTTCATCATCATTTCTATCATCTTCCGGAGCTGTATTTCTTGAAACATTATTTTCTTGTGTCTTTAAAGTTTCTTCGAATTCTTTCTTATTCAAAGGGACAGTAGAAGAAAGTGATTGCAGATTAGAATTTGAAGTAACAGATTCAGATAGATGTTCTTCATCAGGAGCTTCATCTGTGATATCAGTGCCCGTTCCCTCGGACCGTTCATCCGAATGGGCCTCGTGGTCTCTCCACTTATTTGCATCTTGTTCTGGAACAGGGAATGAAGAAACTGGTATTGGCGGCGGAGCTACTGAAGAAATTGGATTATACATCCCTTGAACGTATTGTGAAGGATACGCATGAATAGGTTGCAGCAGAGATGGATGAGGACCATGTTGTTGGTGTGGAGGGTAAAACAGTTGTTGATACTGGTGCTGGAAAGATTGCTGAGGCAGATAAGAACCACCTCCGTAATAAAACTTCCGTTGGAACAGATTTCGTTCAAAGGCAAGATTACTAAGAACCACCGATTTGGAAAGTTGATGACCTGAATGAAGCAGAGGGGAAGAATGTTGCGGCTGTAACTGCCCATTACCATATCCTTGTCCATAACCATATAAAGGTGCCTTAGAGTACGGGTAAAGTTGTTGGAGTAGATAGTTATTAAAATCTGGAAACTTATCAAACCTTACTGTGAGCTTCCTTCCTTCAAATTCAACATCATCGAAGAATGCAATTAGTTTCTCCGAAGATGTTTGGTTTGCAGTAGTTACTATAGCAAAGCCCCTACTCATACCTCGCCCCCCAATTCCTCCATTAGTATTTCCTCCCATAATTCCATTACCGTTATTCATATGTGGTTGATTGGGACCCACAATTCCAAAATCAGGCTGTCTACTATTCAGTGGTTGCATGGGAATCTCGACTCTAAGGATCTCAATATCATTATCTGGTTCGATTTCTTCAGCTCGTGAAAGAAGGAAGTTTTTTAGGGCTGGCCATGTTGAAGTGAATGGAATGTTCCCTACAAATAGACGGCGAGGATTTACTTTGACCGGTGTCCCATCTTCTGAAGGGATGGTAATAGCACTCTCATTAACATTATCACCAGAGGCAGCAGAGGCACCAGTACCTCGTCTTTCTGGGCTCTGAGATCGAGAAATAGAATGAGGTGACGTACTTTTACTATCAGATTTAGAGCCATTGACTAAATTTAGTATGAAGGGAGGCAAACCAGCAGCCGAAGAAGAGGTTAGACTTGATGACCGGGGGGTGGACCTTCTAGAGATAGAAGTGAAATCAAACAGGCGACTCCCTGGGCGTCCACGGTACAGTCCCAGACGATTAGGAAAGTGCTGGTATTGATGATGGGTATGATATTGAAGTGGTTGATGTCGATGTTGACCACCCCAGCCATTCTCAGGCCAGCTGAGATGGCGATGTTGATGGTGATTGTGATGGTTATGGGGAGGAGGTGGAGGTGGAGGGCCACCTGTTCCCGCCATCAGACCTAGTGGAGGTGGCGCCATGTAGGGATAATATCCTGGAATATATGGGTTATAGAAAGACGATGAAGCGGTAGAACTTGAAGAATCAAACGATGAATCAAACGAGGGGGGGCCCGTAGGTGGTACAGAATCAGTACCCGAGCCAATTGAAGGAGGGAAGAGATGGGTACCCGGTCCAGCTATAGACATGGCAGGTTCATGTTCCTCCATGCGGGCCTCCAATGATTTACCCTCCCACTCATAGCCATGGAGGTACTCCACAAGCTTGAAAGCAAGCGCCCAATCAACCCGAACTATGGCTACCCATAGTGAACTTGTCTTAGAATCGGTAGAGTCGTCCTCAAGATTCTCATCATTCTCATCATCATCAGTGGGCACTTCTTCGTCAAATGTAACCAACAGATACTCAGGATCTAAACCTGATATACCATCAGGAGCCTCTCGATCTACATCTTCCACGATCGAGTCAATGATCGAATCCAAGAGCTCAAGAAATTCTGGAGATTTGGGAGGGATGTTTGAAATTTTCACATTGCAATCCAGAGCTGCCATTGGATTGACCAAGGCGGGGTAAGGTTGATACCACCCACCGGTAACTGGAGGATGAAGTCCTGATGTACCTGCGACCCTCATTGTGTCCAAATCATTCCCCGGCCCCATTGACCCTATTGAACGTATGGTACCCATAGTACCGGCAGAGCCAATAGAACTCGGACCAGCCGTGTCAGTGGATCCAAAAGTATTATTAGTGCCTACGTACGCTCCTGGATAAAAGGGTGCTGCTTCTACATTGTACCCAGCCCGTTCTCGAGCTCGCGCCTTCTCAATCTCTGTGTGGGTAGCAGTAGTCATGTGTGGTATTTCGTAATATGAAAGTGACAAGCTAGATGTCTACAGACCAGATAGGATCAATTAAATTGCGTCACCCCCAGATCAATTAGCTTGGCTGTAAAGATAAGCGTGAGAAAAATAAAAAGACCTTTACATTTATTTATCAAGGGGGTTCCGATTATTACTTTCCCGTGGAGTATCCTACATGGAGGGCTATGAAGAATCAAGGGTAGTAAACGGAGTCTACATGTACAGATGAAGAATTTACAAATCTCGGCTACATAATTGAACACTGGAGCGGTGCTTTATGAGGGCATAATATGTCGCTTATTAGGGGGTAGACCCCTTCTTGTCGTCAAATCTGGAACAAATTTGTGCGCATAGAAAAATGACAAGGGCCATAGAATTGATAAGCTTAAATATGCAGGAGAAGAGGTACAAGAGTAACATTCACAGTTTGCATCCATATGGTATCATATGTGTAATTCCCAATATGAAGTACGAAGAAAGAGCTTTGAATTATTCGTTATGAATTGGTACACCAAAAGAGAAAAAAGACGAAATTTACTAGCAGTTGAGTGAGGGAATTAATATGATGTACAGAAATAATCCTAATCTGCTAGTATAATCAGAGAGTAAAGTCATCTAACTTCACAATCTTTCAGGAATGGGATAAACATACTTATGCATTGCTGAAATACACAAGGCCTAATAATGCTAATATGCTGGTTCTTTTTAATTAAACAATCACTTCTACAAATGTATACGAAATTCGCAATTTGCAGCCATTATCGGTAAGAGAAGAAGAGTATCTACTTCAAATAGCCCATAGGGAAAAAGAGAATCACATAGAATGAGAGAAGAATAAATAGATTGGGTCGCTCCTTATTGCAGGTAATTTTGATATTCAAGATTTTGTTTTCCTTTTCTTTGTAATCAGTCTTTGACCACAAATACAATTTTTAAATATAAATTAATAACCCTGGAAATGATAATATATATGTAAAAGAATTTTCCCTTATTCTACTGTATATCAGAATTATGATGACAGTTCCGGGTAGTGACGGACCACTATTCGTGGTACACAACTCTCCAACAAATGATGCCGTACATCTTGTCTATTGTAAACCAGAACCTTTGGATACAATTCCAGAACCGAAACAGTTGGATGATCTTTATCAATTAGGAGTACCTGACCCCAATTCTCGTACTTATTATACCAACCTATTGCACTGTGCACTTATCGCGCTTACAGGTTTGCCCTTAGGATGGGATGTTGGGACTATGGGTCATGTCGCAAATCTGGGAGAATTTGCCAAAGTTTTTGGAACCAACGGTGAATCACTTTCACCATTAGTTTTGGGATCAATTATTTCATCCTTAAATCTTGGTTGTATTATTGGAGCAATTATAATAGGTACTTTGGACTCGGCATCAAAAATAAATGCACCAGGAATGCGTAAAAGTATCTGGGTTTCCACTTCAGTCTATGCTTTAGGTACATTCATTGAAACCATTTCTGCGGTAATTCCTTGGAAAATTTGGGTATTATATTCATTTGGAAGATTATTATGTGGCATTTGTATTGGATCCCTTGCCACAATAGGTCCAGTTTACATTGGGAATATTGTGAAAACTCCATCAATGAAGAAAACATGTATGTCATGGCATCAAAATGCTTGTTGTTTTGCCATTCTTTTGGGAAATTTAATCATTATATGGTTAGGACAAAATCAAAATATTTTACATGCAATGGTTGCATTTAAAGCAGCATTTAGTATTATAATACCAATTGCAATTTATTTTGTCCCTGAATGGAAAAACAGTCGAATTAACGAAATAGATGCTCAGAAAAGTGAAATCCTTAGTGGAAGAGAAAGTACAAATCATCGTTCATTTAGTTGGAAAGTTAAAAGATTATGGACTAAATTACGAGGTTCAACGATAATGTGTTTACAACAATTTTCTGGAATTAATTTCTATTTCTACTATAGTGCAATGATTTTCCATAACATGCCACCAGCTATAGCTAGCACTATTTTAAGTGGATTTAATTTTGGAGCATCTTTATTTTCAGGGATATTACTTGAAAATTTTGGTACTAGAAATAGTCTTTTTGTTGGTGCAATTATCATGGGGATTTGTATGGGTATATTTGCCCTACTAGGGAATTATGTTCATAATGATAATGGTATTGGGTTAATTGTTGTGGTGACCATATATATCATTGTATTTGCATTAAGTTGGGGTCCAGGAGCAAGTGTGCTAGTGAATGAATTGAGTAGCCTGAGCCAAGCCATGTCAATTGCAGTATGTTTCAATTGGATATCCAATTTTATGGTTAATATATTGACTCCTATATTGAGTAAATCCTTGGGATATTCATTAGGATGGATATTCTCGATATTTTTATTTACAGCAGCAATGGTGATATATAGAAGATTATAATATAGTTTGAATAAATGAGTATAAGGAAATGAGTTAAAATGGAGGTTAAGAGTAAACTAGCTTTTTTGTTAAAAAAGTGGCTGCGAAAAAGAGACAACGTAAATTTGAAAAAAAACAACATATGAACAGTACAATTTACAAGGGAGTAAATGTGAAAGTCACATGACCAGTCGCCATACAGAGTTTCCTTTTATATATCTTAGGATATGATTAATGACTACTATCCATAGATAATGTAAATTATATTTACACCAATTCGTAGTTCTCAGGTACATAAGTTTAAAACTAGAACGCCCTTAGAGATCGATCCTTATGCAATCGATTACATAACCACAATGTAATTTTAATATTATACTTATTTTTACCCCTTTCAGTACAATACTGTTTAGCACTAAAACCAGCTTTCAATATTTATGCGGCTTAAAAATTTTAGCTTCATACAAATTCAAATAAAGTAGATGTATACAATAGATTGGGCTCATCGCCCAACCCCCTTCTCAGTCAACCAATCCACGGCCAACGAATTAAAAAACAAACACCATACTCGGCTATACTTGCCTTACATACTGAGTGCGCTCAAAGCCACTCTTTTTTTTTTTGCACGCAGTCACCAATTGGTTATATTCAAACCTCTGCGCATACAATGTTACTACTGTACATCAAGTATACCTGTTTCAGATTGAAGTAAAATAATACCGAAATTGCCCAAGAATTTAATCTCGTATACACATATCAAGTAACCAAATTTCAATCAAATCATGATTTTCGGTTGAACAGGCAATTCCTGTTGAAGTACATCTAGCTATCCTGCAGACATAAAAATGGGTCAAAACACGGGCTAAAGTTTCAGTTCGCGCTAAATATCAACAGTTATGCATGGTTCAAGGATACAAAAAATGCTTTGAAGTCAACCTGTGCCTCACTACGAAGAAGGGACTTTGATCCAAAACATCGCGTATCTCTCTTCAAGCAAAATACTATGCCTCAACTGACAAACATGCAGACGCATATTAATAATAAAAAAATAATTCTAAGAGAGAAAAAAAAAAACTCCCCCCATAATCCCACACAAATGAACCAATATGAATGGAAAAATATATTTTTATATTGGTGGTTTGTAGCGTAGCCCACAGTTGTTACCAATGTATTATTGCTTGTATATCCTCCACATTAAATACCCGCCCTAAAACCAGCTAACTGTCTAGTTTTACATTTTCAGTTTATGAAACATGCACGCGCGCGGTTAAATTACGGCGCAATGCGGATATACATACTTTGATTTCCGTCTTGTACAGTTGATGCTTGATTCCAAAAAAATAAAAAAAATAAATGCTATGCGTAAGAAAAGGCTTAAAAGACTTCCATAATCGGCGATGTGCTTCTAATGTCGACGCGCGCATACAATTGTTTCCATTACTACTAGGTATATATTCTCCTACAAACTATCAATCTCTCAAAGAATTGATATGGATTATATGTTAAATTGCTTGAGGGTGCCGTTCCCGACGCCTCTGTACGCCTGCATTCATTCAGTGCTTGCTTCGATTCAAACCTTACTTTAAATTTTATTCTCATAGCAATAATCGTTCCTCGTATTATTTCACTAAACCAAAAATTCTTCTTAAATCCTTTTCATTTAACAATAGGGTCCCTTGTCTTTATGACCTTCTCATCACGCACATTCTTAACAAATACGGATACAACACAAACACGGAGTAAATATGTCACCTTTTAAATTGCTTATCTCATATTCATGAATGTAATACTTCTAAAACTCTATAGAAAAAATTGCGTCCTGCTATTGAAAAAAAAAAAAAAAAAAAAAAAAAAAAAAACGTTCCAAAAATAAAATATCTTACGGATTTACCTTTGCTGATTTTCTTTGGCTTCTATGCCTTACCCTTCATTGCATTCTCCCCCCGTCTAAACTTGATACCTTCAATCTTTTGTGTACTTTTACCACATATGTCATCAAAATATTCAAATGAACCAAGCCAGACACCAAGGTGTCCAATCGTAACCGTTTATGTTGACTTTTTTGACCTGGGTCAATCTACAAAAAATCTTTTTTTTCTTCTGGGGAGTTCTTCTTGGTAACCTGCTTAGATCACCTGTCTCTCCTACCCCCATCCACACACCGTCAATAAGTTGTCCTATTTTGGCCCGATTATATATACTATATACATCATTCATAGTCTAAATCTAGATCAAGATTTCCATTGTGGGCGAACTCATCGTGCCTATCCAAGTCCACTCAAATAACAGGCTCCACCATCACCCAAAACATTTTATCCCATCCTCAATTTAGAGTGCGAGTTCGTATTCTACCATTATTCCATAGTGATATCTTTGAATCCATTCCACCAACGGTGCGTATTACTTTAGAAATAGGAGGCCGTGCATAATAAATTCAGTGAGTCTTGAAGATCTAAAAAAAAAAAAAATAAAAGACTCGACTTCTAATCTCCATATATTGTGGGGAGGAATTCAAACTTGGTATTGTAACCGACTTTAAACCGGTTGGATAGAAGTCGAGAGTTAATAACCCTCTAATAGGTACTTTACATCTTTTTTCCCACCCTTTCATTGTTTTACACCTCATCATTCTTTCTTGTCACCATAGTGGTTAACTATATAATATGCCCAAGGGGAAACGAAGTAGAACCCGTTCTGGGTGTCTAACTTGTAGAGATCGACATATGAAATGTGATGAACAACAACCAGTTTGTAAGAATTGTCTTCGATCAAATAGAAAGTGTTACCGAGGGATTCGATTAAACTTTGCCCAATACACAATGTATGATCCAGATAGTCTTGAAGAAGCAACTGGTCGCAAAAAAAGTGAAATTGGACTTGATAAACAATTATCCAACAAGTCATATCATATTATAGATCTGTCGATAACAATAGCATCATTATTCAAAAACGGCCGTGCTCCGTATACGCCATATATTGGCCTTCATACCACGGAAGAGCTCCAAGAAGCTGAATTACATTACCAACATGATATGAAGATTGCTGCACAACCAGACCAAGCGGTAGTTTTGGATAGACGGACAAGTTCGTCTTCGGCCACGGATGATGCACTTCATCTTAAATCGGATGACCCAATCTATAAAAGACGCGCTGGAAGTTCTTCACTTGGAGGACTAAACCAAGATATAATTAGCGCCAAGCGTTCATCATCAAGGAAATCAGGGAGATCGTCTATTGGGTCTGATATCGGACTTGATACAAATTCAGGAAATATCACAAATCCTATTATCACGTCATCCATTGTTGCCACTGGCATTCACTCTACCACAACTTCCTCTTCCAACATAACAAGTTCTACCAGCACCACAATCACCACCACCACAATAGAACCGATCCACCCTTACAATGATGACCTCAAGACTTTCATACATTTACTTCAAGACCAGAAGTATTATTGGCTTCTTGATATGTTTAATGAATTGAGTATTTGGAAACTGTTTATTCCTTCATATTGTAATCGTTTAGGTGAACGAGACCCCACCGCAGGCGGTGATGGAAACAGACCAATTAAATCTGGTAGTATTGATCAATTAACATCTACACTTTTAATTAAATGTCTTCTTTGTTGTTCACATCAAGGAGCGATTAAAGGTGTGAAATCTCCTTCTTCTCCTTCTTCTCCCCCCACATCCAAATCATATTCCTCAGATTATCCGAATCATATTATTGATGAACAATATCAATTTTGGGTTATGGTACAGGATGACGATCTGTTAAAAGGTTTACTTCATACAGCCATCAGTATTGTATTGGTAATGGTTGGAGTATTGGTCAGGATATGCAGAATGGACCTAGATCACAATGAGACCGATGACCATGGAGCTGACACTCGTCCTATAGAAGGGGCCACTTTTGATAAACATACACAGAAGAACAAACAAGGTAACAAAATAATCGCATTACAGAAAATTTTCTATCAACAAATTGAATTGTTTAACAAATTGATCATCAAGTTAAACCCTACTCTTACACTTTCAGGGAAAAATACATTTGAACATGTTTTATTCATATCCGTACTTCATCTGGTTGTGATCCTCAAATTTATTCTTCATCAACTTCTTGAAACTCAACAATTTCTGAAATTAAATACTTTTGAAATTGATTTATTACTCTCTCCTAAAAAGTATGAATATACTCAACTTCTGATTCAGAAAGATGAACCAAAATCCGAGGAAGAATTTTCTGATACAGGGTTAGAAAGACCGAGACGAAGAGGTCGTACTGGGTCCACCGGTGTCAATGTCAGTGTTAGTGCAAGTGTAAGCTCCATCGGAACCAGTGCTAGTGGGAGTAGTAGTGTCAGTGGACAAGTATCAAATGCTCCATCAGTTGGATCATCTGAGACCGCAAGTACTGAAAATAGTAATTATGGGGGTAAAGTGTCTGAACTTAATCCTACCACTATTGGCCCATCGTACAAATCAGAATCGTTCAAGTTACGAAATCATTTTTGGTCTCTTATTAAAATGGATCATATCAATCGGTTTAAGGATAACACGTTCCCTGTACAAGATCATCTGTTCATTTATTCATCAACAATGCAAATAAGATTACCAAATGAAAGTACACACCCACAAAAGGATACATTGCTTCTGGTACTTCCAAATGACAGAGCTATTGTCATCAACTTAACTCGGGAATATATGAAAAAAATTGTCAATAAGGACGATAAAAATGTCATTAACTTGGCTAATGCAAAGATTAATGGGATTTTTCATACAATTAAATTATCATTAACTGATGATGAGGTGAAACGTCAATGGAAATCGATTTTTTCGTGGGTGAAACGCTAACGAGAGAGAAGTTTTAATCGGCATATATAAATAACACCTTAGTATGAGGAGGTTATCGTTCATACATATTAGTATTGAACATATAGTTTTAAATATAAAACATTTACTAAAGTCTGATACAAGGAAATGTGATTCATCAATCAGATGTTTTTGTAGAATTGTCATTTTCGACGTGAGATGCATTGTACATTACAACCATCTCCTCACAATGAGATTCTTACAGGAACATTGTTCATGTGTTATACGAATGATAATTCTTTTTATTTTTGAGAAATGTACCGAATATTTTGAAAGTGCTTGATTTTAGACTAGATTCTCGAAAGGTTTTAGAAAGATTAAGACTAACGAGACAGTATGGATGTATCTACAACAAGATTGAGACAAGATATTTTACTAATATTTCAACATAATTTACATTCAATGGTGAAATTTCATGGGAAATAACCGACATGTGTTAAATTCCCAATGTGTTCAATGATTGAGATATAACGGTGGTTAATTTCATTTAGGTATTTTTTTTTAGTGAGTCTTTAGCGGAGGGGATTCAGTTAATATGGATGGAGATTGATAACCAAACCTGAAAAGGGAACCATACGAAAGATCAACGAATCTACTGATTGATATTTCATAATGAACTACGTTTCTAAAATTTTAGTGTTCTAATTTGCACATGTGTGATAAAAAATTATAGAGTGGAATTCTTTACAACGCCACTTCACACATCTCGCTCCTAGAAGGAGGAACTTGTACTAATAGAGATCAATCACTACAAATTTTGCAGCCATCTTTATTCGTCAAATATCCAAATTACAAAGGCATCTGAATACCAGATCTGTTCAATATAGTAATATTCAATACCTGCCAATAAGTTATTCCATATTTCAAGCATTGAATTGAGAAATTCACCTATAGTTGTCCATTAAATAGATGAACATATTTTTATTTATAAGAAGAGATTAAATCCGACCACTGAAACATTAAATCCGAAAATGTTACTAGACAAACAACTTCCGGTATATAGAAAGGCATTGTACAATCTTAATTAAAGCAGATAAAAGGGATGAAAAGAGTGTTTGTAGCGAGAGAAATTTAAAGGAGTATTTCTTTATACAGATCTATATTAATCGACCGAAGTAAGTTATCACCAATAAAATGATGAAGGTTGTGTGATTGTTTTAATTCCAAGTCATAAATGAATATTAAACACCAGCTGACAATACAGTAGATACTACTGACCTTTCATATTGCAAAGTCCCAGAATGAAAGAAAGAATAGTAGGACCAATGAGACTTACTACATTACAGTATAAAAAACTATCTCTTCCTCGGATACAATTGCTTACTCTACCTTGCAACTAATTCAATATTCATTCAATTGGTAACTCTGGGTTGTAAAACCCATGACATCTTGCATACAACACGTTTCTACACAAAGACAATTCAATTGAAATGAAAGATTAACCCTTCTCAATTTTAAATCTTTTACCCGGCCAATCAAAAAAAAAAAAGATTAACCCGAAAAATTTTTAAGTTTTAGGATGCGAAAATGTTTCGATGGGCAACACATAAAAATGCCACGAGATTTCCAAATTCTTTTAACTCTTTTGATATTTCTTTTCATTAATACTTAAATATGTCTCAAGGTACTTTATACGCCGGTGATTTCGGCCGCAGTGTTCTTCCAAGAGCTCTTATCAAGCACTTCAACTTGGATATTGCCATTGAAGGTACTGATTCTGAAGCTTACAAGACCAACTTCCCATTGAAGAAGGTTCCATGTTTCATTGGACCAAAGGGTTACAAGTTGACTGAAGTCCTTGCTATCTCCGTTTACTGTATGTATACATTAATAACTCAATCGTTCCACAGTCATTGATATTTGGTTTTAAGTGATGAAAGAAAATTTTTATTTATACAGTTATCCCTGTCTTAATACATTATGTCGAGAATTTTGAATCTGAAGATTACCAAATCATATGATATTGTGGTATTATTATCCATATTATTTATTTTACTAACAATTTTTAAGTCATTAACCTCGGTGACTCTTCATCCAAGCTTCTTGGTAAGAACGCTCAAGAATACGCTCAAGTTCTTAAGTGGTTCTCTCTTACCAACTCTGAATACGCTTCCAACCTCACTGTTGTTTTCAAGACTATCACTGGTGCTCTTCCATACAACAAGAGAGCCATTGATGATGCTGCCAAGGGTGTCAACCAAGTTGCTGACATTTTCAACCTACGTCTTCTTGACTACACCTTCCTCGTTGGTGAAAGACTTACCGTTGCCGATCTTTTCGCTGCTTCGCTTTTCGTTGGTGCTTTCAACTTCTACGGTAAGGAATTCAGAACTGCTCACCCATACCTTACTAGATGGTTCAAGACTTTGATTGCCCACCCAATCTTGGCTGCCATTGTTGGTGAATACAAGTTTGTTGACGCTCCAGTTGAAATCGCTCCACCAAAGAAGGAAAAGAAGGCTGCTCCAAAGAAGGAAGCCGCTCCAAAGGCTGCTGAAGAAGCTGAACCAGCTCCAGCTCCAAAGCCAAAGCATCCATTGGAAGCTCTTGGTAAGCCAAAGCAAGCTCTTGACGAATGGAAGAGAGTTTACTCTAACGAAGAAACTAGAGAAACTGCCATTCCATGGTTCTGGAAGAACATGTACGACCCATCTGAATGGTCCCTCTGGAAGGTTGACTACAAGTACAACGATGAATTGACCATGACTTTTATGTCCAACAACTTGGTTGGTGGTTTCTTCAACCGTTTGTCTGCTTCCGTTAAGTACATGTTCGGTTGTATGGTTGTTTTCGGTGAAAACAACAACAACGGTATCACTGGTTTCTTCCTTGTTAGAGGTCAAGAACACGAACCAGCTTTCGATGTTGCTCCAGATTGGGAATCTTACTCCTTCAAGAAGTTGGATGACACCCCAGAAACTCGTGAATTTGTTGACAACATGTTGGCTTGGGACAAGCCAGTTGTTTACAACGGTGAAAACAGGGAAATTGCCGACGGTAAGGTTTTGAAATAGATTCAATAATTAGAGAATATTATATCCAATTAGACACCCATATACAATTAAAATGTAGATATTTATAGAGAAGCATTACTACTATATTACAAGCTTAAGCAATTTGATTTGACTATTTCTGTTGATTTTTAAATGGTACCCCTTAATTGTGACATTCTTGTTAAAAAAGGGTACTCTATAAATAAATTAAGTAAAAGAAAAAAAAAAAAATAATAACAAGAAAAAAAAAAGTGCTATTTAATCAATTGAATGAATGTTAGAAGATACCCTTTCTATTACAACAAAATGTGCAATAAATGTGCCATTTTTTGATCATCCATAAGAAAGGTATAAACAGAGGTATAGAGAAAGTTGATAAAAAACTTACAAGTTGCATGGAAAGTTTTCATAGATCAATGATTTACAATCACATTAGCTGAATCTTCCGGGTAACCCAACCTATATACAAACCAACAATCAAAATTATTTGATTAATTGAATTTTTTTTTTTCTACTTTTTCTTTGGTTATCGAGAGAATCACAAAACACGTCAACAAACAAAAAAAAAAAAGGAAAAGTTCAACATTACAAGTTTAGTTTCTTTCATTGACACATTTTGAAAGTCCCTGTTTAAATTCAATTTACAAATCATCATGTATTCAAAGAATGCGATTGTGCGTCAAATACGAAGGAAACCAGCATATGCGGTGATTCCTGTGGCGGTGATTGTCGTATTATACTTGTTCATCTTTGGAGGACTCTTTGGATCAGGAAATAATGGAGGAGTTTCTAGTCGTAAGGGGAACAAATATAGTTATTCCAAGAAGGGTAGAGGATGGTTTTCACTGAACAGAGACTCAGTGATTCTCCGTAACTTGCCAAAGAATCACATTTCTCATTATGATTTGAATCAACTTACTACTTCACCTGATGCTTTAATTAATAAAGAACAAATTTTAATTTTAACTCCAATGTCTAAATTTTTACCAAAATATTGGGAAAATTTGAATAAATTGTCATATGATCATTCACTTATTGAATTAGGATTTATAATTCCAAGAACTTTAGAAGGTGATGAAACTTTACAAAGTTTAGAATCAGCAATTAAAAAATCTTTAAAAGATTCACCACAAAATAAATTTAAAAAAATCACTATATTAAGACAAGATCTGGATTCATTAAAATCTCAAAAGGAAAAGGATAGACATGCACTTTCTGTACAAAAGGAACGTAGATCAATGATGGCATTGGCAAGGAATTCACTTGTATTCACCACTTTACTGCCATATACTTCATGGTGTCTTTGGCTTGATGCTGATATTGTAGAAACTAAACCAACTTTACTTCAAGATTTGATTGCTCATGATAAGCCAATTATATCAGCAAATGTATATCAAAGATATATTGATGAATCTACCAAAAAGGAATCAATTAGACCATATGATTTTAATAATTGGGTAGAAAGTGAAGAAGGTTTAGCATTAGCTAAAACTTTGAAAGATGATGAAATCATTGTTGAAGGATATGCTGAAATGGCCACCTATAGACCATTAATGGCTCATTTTTATGATTCTAACGCTGATGAACATACTGAAATGGCTCTTGATGGAGTTGGTGGTGGTGCTGTTCTTGTTAAGGCTGATGTTCATAGAGATGGTGCCATGTTCCCATCTTTCCCATTTTATCATTTGATTGAAACTGAAGGATTTGCTAAAATGGCTAAAAGACTTGGATATGAAGTTTTCGGATTACCAAATTATTTGGTTTATCATTACAATGAATAAATACTTAGTGAATATATTTATTTATGATAGATGAAGTAGACATGTAGTGGTGAAATAGAAGTTTGTAGAGATTTTAAAGATGTATTTAAATCAAATTGAAATGAAATGCAATGAAGGTGGGTACCTATAATATGTAAGATTCATTAAAAATTGTAATACTAAACGTATAAAAGTTTATACCAAGTCTTACAAGAGATTGGTACTTAAAACATTGCAATTGATTATGTAAGAATTAAACATTTGTAGATAACTACCCAAAGGATAAAACAGATTATTTAGAGGAACGAAAAAAAACGTATACGGGAACTTACAAAGACTACTAGACGAAGAAAAATGAAAATAAAAGACTACCAAAAAGTTAAAAAATATTACAGACTAAAGATCAAAAAAAAAAAAAGTTCTACATACATAAAGATTTACATATAATTGTCAACATATACAATAATATGAACAGTTAAAAATGGTAATACTCTCTTTCTTTCTACTATATAATTATTAGTACTTAGTATTATACCTTGCACACGTGATAAAGCGGACCAAACCTACATATAACATCCCATCTCAAATAATTTTTTTTTCTTTTTTCACGCAGGTTTTGAGATGACTGCGAAGAGGTTTGTGAGGAAAAGAAAATTTAGGATTGTCTCATCGCTTTAATTCTTTCTTCTCTTTTGAAAAGGCTTTAACTTTGTATACGTTATCAATCTAAACAACGATGCAACTTTCCTGGAAGGACATTCCTACTGTGCCAACGTCCAACGATATGTTGGACATTGTGCTTAACCGTACCCAACGTAAGACTCCAACTGTTATTCGTCCAGGTTTTAAGATCACGCGTATTCGTGCCTTTTACATGCGTAAGGTTAAGTTTACCGCTGATGGATTTGCTGAAAAGTTCACCGACTTGATTGGAGGATTCCCAAACATCAACGATGTCCACCCATTCCATCGTGATTTGATGGATACTTTATATGAAAAGAATCATTATAAAGTTTCTCTTGCAGCTGTTTCAAGAGCAAAGACTTTAATTGAACAAGTCAGTAGAGATTATGTTAGATTATTGAAGTTTGGTCAATCTTTATACCAATGTAAGCAATTGAAGAGAGCTGCCTTGGGTAGAATGGCCACCATTGTCAAGAAATTGAAAGATCCATTTGTTTATTTGGAACAAGTTAGACAACATTTAGGTAGATTGCCAAGTATCGATCCAAACACCAGAACTTTGTTGATTTGTGGATACCCTAACGTTGGTAAGTCTTCCTTCTTGAAGTGTATCACCAAGGCTGACGTTGAAGTTCAACCATATGCTTTTACCACCAAATCTTTATATGTGGGGCATTTCGATTATAAATATTTGAGATTTCAAGCAATTGATACTCCAGGTATTTTAGATAGACCTACTGAAGAAATGAATAACATTGAAATGCAATCCATTTATGCTATTGCTCATTTAAGATCTTGTGTTTTATATTTCATGGATTTGAGTGAACAGTGTGGTTTCAGTATTGAAGCTCAAGTAAAACTTTTCCATTCTATAAAGCCATTATTTGCCAATAAGAGTGTAATGGTTGTGATGAACAAGACTGATATTTTAAGACCTGAAGATTTAAGTGAGGAAAAGCAAGAACTCTTGAAGAGTATTCAAACTGTTCCAGGTGTTGAAGTTATGAGTGCTAGTTGTGTTGAAGAAGATAACGTTATGCAAGTTCGTAACCAAGCATGTGAAAAGTTATTGACTGCTAGAATTGAACAAAAGTTGAAGGGTAGTGCTAGAGTTAGTAACGTTTTGAACAAGATTCATGTTGCTAAGCCACAATCTAGAGATGATGTTGAAAGAGCTGCATTTATTCCAGAAGGTGCTAAGGCTTTGAAGAAATACGATGCTGAAGATCCAGAAAGAAGACGTCTTGCCCGTGACATTGAATTTGAAAACGGTGGTGCTGGTGTCTTTAATATTAACTTGAAAGATAAATATCTTCTTGAAGATGAAGAATGGAAGAATGATGTTATGCCAGAAGTTTTGGATGGTAAGAATGTTTATGATTACTTGGATGCTGACATTGCTGCCAAGTTGCAAGCTTTGGAAGACGAAGAAGAACGTTTGGAAGCTGAAGGTTTCTACGAAAGTGATTCCGATGGTATGGAAGATGATGAAATTGTTGACATCAAAGAAAAGGCCTCTTGGATTAGAGACAAGCAAAAGAAGATGATCAATGACTCTAGACATAGAAAGGCATTGAAGAATAGAGCTGTCATGCCAAGAGATCAAGTGAAGAAGCTGTTCGGTGAAATGGAAGAACATATGTTGAGTTTGGGTCACGATACCACTTCATTGAAGGGTCGTGCTGCTGCTTCTAAGAAGGAACTCAGTGGTGTTGATATTCTTAAGCGTAACCAAGGCTTGACCACCAACAAGAAGAAGGCTCCAGTTGCTCAAACTGATCGTCTTAACGATGGTGTTAACGATGGTGCCTTGCGTTCGCAAGCCGAAAGATTGGCCAAGATCCAAAGAAGAGAAAGAAACAGAATGGCCAGACAAGGTGAAGGTGATCGTCATTCCACCGCCATGTTGCCTAAGCATTTGTTCTCCGGTAAGCGTGGTATTGGTTCCAACGACAGAAGATAGGGGAGATGGGAGTTTTGCACTTTTTTATTTAGTAATTACATTAGTATCATTTTGAAAAATATTTTGTAGAGAGAATTAATGGTTAGTAAGAGAGACCATAAAGGAAAACTTTCTTCTAATTATAGAAATCAGATCAATGCAATTGAAATAGTTGACCTGAGATTTAAAGATAGTTTTTGTGGATTAACTAGTTTTGACTCCACTTTTTGAATAAGGCTACATTACAACCCATCGGATCCTTGCGCACAACAATGGACTTCTGCAATCTATATCTTATTCAACCAGTACTACTACTCGAAATCCTACATTAGCTTCCATACAACCATCATATCTTTGTTGCTAAGCTACAACTTTAAAATAGCTCAAATATGTTCGCTGCATATTTCTCTCTCGATTTCTCACGCAAACTTACCACAATGGCAAATCCTCCTGACAACGAAGTTTACAAGTTTAAAAAAAAAAAAGACTGAACCTATCACAAACCGATACTAAGAGCGTTCAAAATTTATTTTTTCTTTTTCTATATTATCTCCTCAGTTTAATAGAAAACCCTCTCCACAATTTGAGTTAGTAATTGTTCTTGTTTCGCAAATAAGAATAATAATAATAATAATAATAATAATATTCACGTAGCAACCTATTGAAAGAGTTTCTGCCACCACCACAATATCAAGTCTTATCATGTGACCGGAGCCGATAAGCGCAGAAAAAGAAATTCATCCGGGTAACCAACGCACTGTGATTAGATTGAGACATTGTTGCCTGCATCCTGAGGCGGAAAGTTAATACATCAAAAAATTCGTACTTGACGGGCTGAAGGGTCATCTACTATCTCTTGTACCGCCATTTTAACGTAATATTTTCCTCTCCAACACAGCCCAGCTTTTACCATGTAGTATCTCTTAATATGTAGTAATAGATCGACAGATCCTCATAATTTTATTTTTATTTTTTTGACAGTTAAAGTCAGCGGGCCTTGCATTTTGATTTCATCCTTATCGCTAATGCGCGAAACGGTAGGCCGAATCTCAAGACCCCCTTGTTATCTTTATAAATATATAACGGCATACATTTACCCCACGACTTTCTTTCTCTACAATTTTTTAGATCCTTCGCCAGTCATTACTTAGAAACAAGTAGTTAGCCTAGGGAATAAACAGCCAACTCGCTATAAAACGATTTCATTACGTTCTAGAACCAATAAATTATTATATTCGCTCAATGCGCCTGCTGCCACAACACCCACTGCCGGTAGTTGCACAGTATCCAAAAACGAAGTCTTCGTTTTTTAATGGATCCAAACACTCTGGCAGCAGTACTAGTAGCAACAGCATTAACAGTCAGCTTTCCGGAAATGGTAGCAATACCACTAGCAACACTTCCAATGGTAGAGACGGGGGAAGTACACCACGTACCAAGGAAGTTAGTACTTTGGATTTGAAAGGAAGCAGTCCCCCTGGAGGAGGAAATGCTAAGAATTTGAGTCATGTTCCTTGTAAGTTTTTCAAGCAGGGGATGTGTCAAGCAGGAAATTCGTGCCCATTCTCACATAACTTGGATGGTTCATTAGCTGCTGACAAACTCCCCTGTAAGTACTTTCAGAAGGGTAATTGTAAATTTGGATTGAAATGTGCATTAGCACATTTTTTGCCAGATGGTACCCGGATTAATCTGAAGGTATACCGGAATAGTCAGGGACAGAATCATGGTAACCATAATGGGCACAATGGCCATGGACTGGGACATTCTAATGGTCAATCTCAGGGTCAATCTCAATTATTCTCAAACTCATCGTATTCAAATGGAACAATCCAGACAAATAATGGTGGGAATTTGAATGGTAGCCAGTCAAATGGGTATTCTTCACAAACTCCACAATTTTCACATTCTGGACTTCCAAAAGAATTTCTGATGGATTATAGATCTTTGGGTCAGGACTCGAATTATTACCCAAGTTATCCGTTTGATCCATTGGGGGAGTTCCCACAGACTCCTATCAATCAAACAAACCTGCTGAATGCAAGACTTGGTAGCCAATCTGCGCAGTCAGGTCAGTCATTAAGCCAAAGTCCGTTTACTGAACCAATTGACATTAGCAATAGAACAACTTCAAGTCTGTCATTTTCAGTTTCTCCTGCAAGTAAGCTTGCTAGGTTCATTGGACCAGGTGGTGGTACTACAGGGGGTAATCCCTTAACTACTATGTCGTATGGTCCAATTTCGCAACTTTCTCCAATTGGAAGTGCCCGGAGAACAAGCTCAGGCTCATATAACTCATTTGGATCTCCATTTGGAGAATCATTTAATGGTCTTGCCAATTTAGATAGATCTTTAGACGGGCATGGACAAGGCCAAATCAATGGGAATACGAACGGGAATAGTCATCATTTTGGATTTTCTTCAGGAAATATGTCTACTAATGGTGTAAGCAATTCAACAAAACCATTACTTCGGTCATATTCAGCAAGTGCAACACCATACCCTACAATTTTCTCATCTTCACCAATGACTACTCCATCATCATATCAGACAAAAATGACCCTTGCTCCATATTCCACTTCAGCCATCGTCGACGATGAAGATGATGAATTAGCAACAGGAGACTCTTTTTTCGAAGAAGATTATGTCCCCAGCTCACTTAGTGATCTTATATTAAACCCACAAGAATTACAAAGACGTGATTCTCGTTCACAACTGGGGACGCTATTAGTTAGACCAAATTTCAGCACTCTCTTTGACAAAAGTGAAGGAGAGACTCGCCCCACCCTCACGACACCCAACAAGGATTCAACTGGACACTCACACGGACATGATGATGTGTTTTTGATGGAATGAAAAGGAACGTAAAAAGTTTTTCGGAAAGGTACTACAAAAGGAAAAATGGATTGGTTAAGATTGGTTTATATATATTAGGATGCTAAAAAGGCTCAGTTAGAAACGTTTATAGTTTAAATATTGTTTATGAGAACTTGTAGAACCAGTAGAATAACACACCCAACTGACTGTTTAAGGTGGCTGCAAAACTGTACATGACCACCCAAAACTATATTTAAAAAGGTCAAACATATACCATTGCCATGATGCAAAAAAAGAAGTACCACCTACTTCAATTGTTTATTATATACTACTAACAAGCCATTAACACACTCTCTTTAGTTGTCTATTGTTGCTATATACATATGTGGACAAGTTTCTAGGAACCTTTCCCCACTTAATTCTTTGGTCTGAAAATATCAGAAGTCTTCATTTGGAAAGCCTTCATGGCTTGAACGTCAGTCACATCCATTTCAGGCATGACCAGACGAGTGAAATCAGCAACATCAACAGATCCAACCAACATCATTTCTTCGGAAAATGGATCCAAACTATATACAAGATAATCAGTTACAGTACGGGTTGTAGTGTTTGGTTCAAGGCCAGTGGCAGTTCTTGTGGTAACAGTGACCTTTTGGTCAGTAACCAACTTCATAACAAATTGAACTCTTGCAGTAACCCCTTCAGTATCTGGGATAGCAGTAAAGACAACGACTTTTGGGTTTTCTACAATTTTTACAAGGTCCCATTGTAATTTGGTCAGTTTAGGTAAGGATTCAGCTCTTGTTTTAAGAGTATTTAAAGCTTCATATCCCAAGAAATCCTTGGCAGCATTAACATTTCCAGCAGCAAATGCTTTATTAGTATGAACGAATAAATCAATAGCACGATCTTTCCATGAATCAAACTTTGGTTTAAGACTGGTTTCAGTTTTGAACTTATAAACGTTGTAGGTGTTCAAAAAGAATTGGGTGAGTCTACGACCCACCAAACGATGCCATTGTCTCACAGGTCCTGCAAATACCTTTGGAGGAACATAATAATCACCCAAGACTGGAATTCTATTCAATGGAATTTGAGTGATATCCATTTGTTGTTGCAGCTTCTTCTTTTTAGTGGTGGCTGCATATGATCTCACGGCAAGGCGCGTGATTTGAGGAGTGATCACTGCATGGTGACTAGTTTTCACTGTTTGAAAAGCTCTAAGACCAAGCATTATACAGGGTAAATATTGATATAATGAACTTCAATTTATGATCTCCACCTATACTCAAAATTTTCTCGATCGTTAACAAAAAAAAAAAATATTGAAAAGACATGTTAGGATTACATAAGAAATTAAGTAATGAGAATATTCAAACTTAAGGTGAAGAAAGATTAATAATAATACTTTTACGTGTGAGAGAAGTAGTTTTGAGGATGAAAACAAGTTGGTCAAAAGGTAGGAATAAAACGTTGTTTTGATTAACTAACTTGGTATAATAATTGGAAATACAGAGATCAACAGAGAATAAATGTTATAGTTATAAGAATGGCTGCGAAAAAGAGATTAGTAAGGAAGCGGTATACTGGATATTTCCAAATATTGACAATAGTGTAAAATATAATATACATACTGGAAGTATGATATCATAGTTACCTGTTTTACAAATTATCTTTTTGTGTATGACACTAGTCATTGTTTATACCTGTGTTTTCATAACTCATACTAAACCACAAGATCAGTTTCCTACGCCAACCAAAAAAACATATATATATATACTCTGGTTCCGATCATTTCCAGGAGCTTCCAACATGTGAAATCCTTCTCATCACCTTCTTAATCCAAATCCTTGAAGTTGTTCTCGTTGTTCTTCATTTGACCAAATCATAGTGCTTCACTATATGCAAACCACCATATGCTTTTCATATTTTTTCATTTTTTTTTGTTTTTGAGAAATTTCTCATCTCAGCGGGGACTCAGGATCTTTAACAAAGAGAGCAAAACAGTTAGCTTCAATTTTTTTTACTCATCATCAATATGGTTGTTGCTCAAAAATCCAAACAAAAGTTGGCGCCAGAGAAGGAGAGATTTCTCCAATGTTGCGGGGACATATCTCTTGAACTCGTGGCTTCATTATCAAACACTTCCAAAGACATCAACTTGAATGGATTGATCATTAGATACGCTAAGAAATATAAATTGAAACAACAACCAAGGCTTACCGATATCATTCTGTCGATCCCCGATCAGCACAAGAAGTATCTTCTTCCAAAGTTGAAGGCCAAGCCTGTCCGTACCGCATCTGGAATTGCAGTTGTTGCAGTCATGTGTAAACCTCATAGATGTCCTCATATTGCCTATACGGGGAACATTTGTGTGTATTGTCCTGGTGGACCGGATTCAGATTTCGAATATTCGACCCAGAGTTATACTGGGTATGAACCAACCAGTATGAGAGCCATCAGAGCTCGTTATGACCCGTACGAACAAGCAAGAGGTAGAGTTGAACAGTTGAGACAATTGGGTCATTCAATTGATAAGGTTGAATATATTATTATGGGTGGTACTTTTATGAGTTTAACCAAGGAATATCGTGAAAGTTTTATCACAGAATTACATAATGCCTTAACTGGGTTTAATGGGAAGGATATTGATGAAGCCATTCAATTTTCTCAACAGTCTCATACTAAATGTGTAGGGATCACCATTGAAACAAGACCTGATTACTGTACAGAAACTCATTTAAGTGATATGTTAAAGTATGGATGTACCAGATTAGAAATTGGAGTTCAAAGTGTTTATGAAGATGTTGCAAGAGATACAAATAGAGGTCATACGGTTAAGAGTGTTTGTGAAACATTTGCCGTGGCTAAAGATGCTGGTTACAAGGTTGTGTCACATATGATGCCTGATTTACCTAATGTCGGTATGGAAAGAGATTTGGAACAATTTGTAGAATATTTTGAAAACCCTCAATTCCGTACTGATGGGTTAAAATTATACCCAACTTTGGTTATCAGAGGAACTGGTCTTTATGAGTTATGGAAGCAAGGGCTTTATAAATCTTATAATGCCAATGCATTGATTGATTTGGTGGCTAGAATTCTTGCATTGGTACCTCCTTGGACCCGTATTTATCGTGTTCAAAGAGATATCCCAATGCCCTTGGTTACTTCAGGGGTAGAAAATGGTAATTTAAGAGAATTGGCACTTGCCAGAATGAAGGATTTCGGTACTACATGTAGAGATGTTAGAACCAGAGAAGTTGGGATTCAAGAAGTTCATCATAAGGTTGTTCCAGACCAAGTGGAATTAATCCGTAGAGATTATTATGCCAATGGAGGATGGGAAACATTTTTATCATATGAAGATCCAAAGAGAGATATTTTGATTGGTCTTCTTCGTTTAAGAAAGGCATCCAAGAAATATACATACCGTAAGGAATTCACTCAACAACCAACGTCGATCGTTAGAGAACTCCATGTTTATGGGCTGGTGGTTCCATTGCACCTGAGAGATCCAAGAAAGTTTCAACATCAAGGGTTTGGAACGTTATTGATGGAAGAAGCTGCAAGAATTGCTCGGGAAGAACACGGGCTGGAAAAGATTAGTGTTATTTCCGGTGTTGGGGTTAGAAATTACTATGCCAAGCTTGGCTATGAATTGGACGGTCCATTCATGTCCAAATGGTTGAACGGTGATGATGATTAAGCTACTCGTGAAGAGTATTTGAAAGGTGAATTTCCCAAAGATTTACGTAACGAGGGGATATATAAACCCTTACAAGGGTGGTGCCCTACCCGGGTAATTGCACGCGTGGAGCAAATGAAATTCTCCCCCAAGAGAGGGAGTTTTGATCTACTTGATTATAGAAGCAAACCCGGATAAATGGCGGAAGACTGTATAGTTTTATTTTAGGTATTTGAATAAATCTACAGAGATATATTTGACGTAGGTGTTGAGCTGGATAAAAATCAATCCACCCATTTTTTGAAGTCTTTTACAGATTTCCACTACTAAAATGATCAGAAACGTTCCTTTTATGGTACCTTCTTACTTGTATGACATAATCTCGAAGATCATGCTACTCAATTACCTCGGTGCATTGATATATTTGATCTCGATCCTCCTCGGAATCACACATAATTGTTGCCAACAAATCGTATTACCTATCTCAAAATAAGAAGTTTCACAGGGGTGTCTCTCCATATAATGAAACTGTGCAATTAATCTTAAATTCAATCTTAGATTTCGAACAATGAATCAATTTTATGTACCAAAGTGGTTCCGTAAGTGCACAAACTACCATACAACAAGTAATTCTTGAAATAAAACAGCTAAAAAAACGCAAAAAAAAACACTAACATACAGACTGATGCCATATTTACATAGAGTTTCTCATGCATATTGTACCATCCATTACCATAGAACAGTTGTACCACCTGTTAGAATTTTATTTGAAAATTCGATTTCTTGAAATAGTCTTCCATACAACCCTTCTTATCGGGATATTGAGAATATTGTCATAAGTCCGACTTAAAATAAATCTTAGACTTTTTGTAGAGCTCTATCATAGAGTTAATTTCTCTTTTTAATCAACTTTGCAATAAATTGTATAACCACAGATACCATTGTTTACCATTGAGCTATCTATATATATCTATTAATCCCCAAATACTGAAAATTTACAGACTGAAACTCTTGGTAATGGGTTTCATTCATTAAACACCCCAGATGCATGGTGCCATACGGCATATAGGGTTTCTAAGAGGCGGGGTACCACCTATAATATGCTTTGCTGGTCTTTTCTTGAAAGCACCACCAAGATCTGTAATCATAAACGAAAAATGATGTAGAACCCTTATATATATATACTCCCGTCAAATATTTTTTTTTTCCTACTATAGTTCATTTTTTGTGCCTTTATAAGTGGGTAGAAAAACAACATTTAAATGAGACTCTCTCTAGTTAGCACAGGTGTCCTTTACTTATGGACCCTTCCTGCAGTTGTCCTTGGAGATCTTCCTGGTATTGACACAGATGCAAGACTTACCAATCAGAACCTCGTTACTTGTGGACGAGTTGTAGCTGAAGAAGAAGGGAAATATCAAGCTCAAATCAAGGCTATACTGTTGAAATCAGCAGCAAACGAAAATGATCATACCCCAATTCTCATTGTCCGGTATTCAGACATAGTTAAACTTGGGGTCCCACCTGCAACTTTGATTGGTGAAGGTCGGAAAAAGAGATACCGTAGCCTTATTGTAGATGGAAAGTTTTCTCTTGAAGAGAAGAATGAGGTAGGTGAAGATGGAGTTCCTGTAGGAGAATTACCGCAGCGTGCAGAATATATCACTGATGTCTTTACTGAAGAGGGTCAAGAATTGGTCCTTGATGCAACTACCACAGGTACCTATTGTGTGTATATCGCATACCCACTGATTTCTACAAAGAAAGATTGGAATCCAAATATTTATGTCCAATTCAGTAATTCATTCGGAAAGGTCACATATGGAGACTATATTCGTAAACAGGCGCTTCCTTCATTTTTCACATTGACCATTATCCTTCTTGTTATCATGTATCAAAGATCTTGGACTCATTTGGCTGCAAAATATTTCTTTTATCGCCTTTTATTGTGCTTAATCAACAACTTGGTTCAATATGTAATCATTGGGAATTCTACAAAAGATGGTTATAGTATGTTTTCTAAGGCTATTACAACTCTTACTTCCAGAATAGTGGGGCTAATTCATGAACATTTAACATTATTATTTGCTTTGGGATATTGCACCATTTACGGAAACTTCAAATCATTTCCCAGATCATGGAGAATCACCACCTTATGCTCATTTGTATTAACCATTGGTGGATGTATTTTCACAGCCCTTGTACCTCCACCTCTGAGAGTTGAGAATTTGGATACTACTAAGTTTCAATTTGCATTAAAACTTACCAAATTGATTACTCTTATAATAGCCACTCAACTTCAACATGCTATCCCATTTATTCTGATCATTCTTTGTATTGTATTTTATTTTCAAACAAAGAATAAAGTTTTGGAGAAAGGTTCAACTTCTTCCACAACCAACAATTATAATAACTGGTTGATTGTCAATATTAGAAATACGCTTCTTATCGAGAGAATTCTCCCTTTGATTTTGCTTTTAATTCAAAGCACCACCAAGCCAGCGCATCCAGGATTTTCTCCAGGAACTGTAGCCAGGCATGTCGAGATAGCTGCAGAAATGGACGAATTTTACTTTGCTAGATATCTGCAATTTTCTGAAACGGTTTGGTGTATTCTTATTGAACTCGCAGTACCATTTGTTGGGCTTTTAATCTGGAGAAGGAAGAATAAAAATTTTAAAGTGGTAGCCAAGAAGGCGATCAATAATATTAAAGTAAAGGTCGGGCCAACCAAGTGTGAGAAGAAGGAGAATAATGATGACACCAAGATCACAAAAGAGGAAGAGAAAAAAGTAGAGAATAAGAGGTTGGCTAAATCCGAGGGCGAGCATGCCGAGAGAGATACTACCATTGAAGTTAAGACGACCACCTAATACATATGAGTGTCTTCAAATCAAATTAAGTATATAGCAATGCTAGTCGTAGTGATTTTTATATTGGATCTTTCAAGAATATCTCGACAATGAAATAGTTAAACTATTTTTACATGTATCTCTCTATTTCCGAGCCCTACATCAAGATCCATATGATACCTTTATTATTTGAGTATATATGTACATATATTACAGATCTATAAGGGCCATGTACGCTCGGCCAATCACTAAGGTTATTACTCTAATGATGGTTATAAAAATACTTTGAATTTTGGTTCAGATTTGAATCCTTCAGTAATTCTCGTGACCAACCAGGAATGTCTTCTCCGGATCCACCAACTGGTCGTTCAAGTACAACATTCTCCAAACCCAAAGCATCCAGGAGCCAAGGATGATTCACCATACCCCCTGCATCTGCCCGCTGTTCTGGTTGTAACTGAAGCATAGGAAGTAAAAAGTCAGAAATATCCATTGCATCACTAACTGAAAATTTATATTTTTCAACCAAAACATCCTTAAACGCCCAAGGTTTAAGTTTCAGGATCCGTTGAAGTTCGCCTCTCAGGTTAAAAAAGTCTCTCGTGTAGTAACTTTCCTTTAAAACCGCCCTTGGGAAAGGACCTATAAGCTCAATGATTTGAGCAATGTGATCGTCATCCTTCGAGTATGTATTTCCATCACGGGGATCGTACAAATAGTCCCCAGTTAAAAGCTCGAACATAAGGCATGCAAATGACCAGAGGTCGGCCAGACAGCCCCAGTGGTACCCTAAAAGCACCTCAGGGGAACGATACTGTCTGGTCTGAATCTCGTCAGTAAAATGATGTGTGGTCCAGCACGCATTCCCGAGATCTGCGATTTTCACAGAAATCAACTCGTCTTCGTTGATTGGGAGATTTTCGTTTGAATTGTTGAGGTGGCCAAGCCCGTGGCCAAGGCTATTATCCATAGTGGATGCCGATTCTGGCCCATATTCGTCACCATTTGAAATTGACATAGACAGAAGCGAGGAGTTGAGTGTTTTAGTAGTCGGTGGAGCCCCAGAGACAATTTGAGGACCAGCATTTGGCCCCGATGATGCAGTGGATGCTGCAACTGCAGCAACTCCACTCATATTAGTAGTAGATGTGTTGGCTGATGATATAAAATTATGACGCATAGGGGTGTTTGCAGTCGAGTTTGCCAAGCCATGTACGGAAGTAAAAGACTTGTTGAACGTTCGAAGCGGAGATGGAAGTGGTTGAGATCCAGTGATGAGGGTTTGTCGCCTTGACCGACGCCCATTGCGTCCAATAGATGGAGAAATACCTGCTGGTGGGAGTGTGGCGGTAATTGCAGGGGTTGGAGCACCCAATGTAGTAGAAGTTGTAGCAGCAGCCCCACCAGAAATAGCTGAATTTACACCAGATTCCGTGGACAAGATTGTAGACTCAACTACAGGAGTACTAGGCAGCGTGACACCCTTCCGCCTCTTTTTCTTCTCTAATTTTGCTCTATACTCTTCTTCCTCAACCATCTTCACAATTTGTTCAACATCACCAATCTCAATCAAAACATTTTCAGGCTTCAAGTCAGTGTGAATGACCCCACACTTTCTATGTAAGAAGTCCAATGCTGAGAGTAATTGCTTGGCAATTTGTTTGACAAAAATGACGGGGATCCCACGATGTTTATATCTTCTGATGAGACCGAGTAAATTTTCACCCAATACTTCAAACACCATGACCACATGAACCCCATTGGGTCCTCTATGTGTGAATGTGTCTAAGAGTTGAATCACATGTTCATGCCCTGGATGGTGAATGTCTGAAGTAGTGACTTTGTCCAAGAGCTTAATTTCATCAATAGCAGTCTCTGTGTACGACTTGGCAGATCTTACAATTTTCATGGCCACATGGCAATGTTTATCGTTGTCTCTTGCTAACCATACAGTGGAGAAATGACCCCACCCAAGTTTACGTACAAGCGTATATTTCCCATTTTTATATGATTCTCCAATATAACAAGGGTGATATCCCCCAGGAACATAGTCCTTAAGATCCTCTTCATTTTCTGGATGAAGTGAAGTCTCTGAAGAGGAGTCCGAAGAATAACCATCTTGGTCGTCATGAGAGGTGGCTTGTGAAGATTCGGCTCCGATATTGCCAATATTATTATTCTTATTAGTATTATTGTTTTTATTAGTATTGTTATTATTATTATTATGATTCTTAGTACTGGTGTTATTCGTATTCGTAGGTTTACTGTCATAGCTTCCAAACAGATCATCTTTAGGTCTGATTTTCCCCAAGGAGGTGCTTATGTTAGGGAGTTCTGGTTTAACTGCTCGTCCTACAGACGATGCCGTGGTGGCAGTGGTGGGAACCCCTTGATGGATCAAGTTGGGTGCAATTAAATGTGGTGGAACATTTTCTGAGTAGCTGGATGAGCTATACGGAACTGGCAGGACTCTCAGCAGAATGCTAGCAGACAGAGTGGTCAGACCAAACAGTCCTCGAGGAGCCTTTGATTGATGGTGGCCGCCTAATCCAAGCGGGATTTGCTCTTCTTCCGCCTTCTGTATCGCTAGCGACAAATTAGACTTCTGTCCCATTGCTCGACGGTTATCTTGAATCTATTAGCAGTTCTCTTGAAAGTTGATGAATAATTTCTTAGTCGTTCGGTACGATTTTGCTGGTTGGAAAAACTACCGAGGAAATACGATGATGTACAGTTCGAGCTCGGTCTGGTCCGCGGGATATGGTACTAGTTCTCGCGTGAAGGCACACGGAAGTAATAGAGTCCGATCGGGTAGTCTCTTGATACGTCTTAAAGTTTGGGGAGAAACAATCCTTGTATGAGAACAACTTTTGAGAAAAGTTGGTTGATTCAATTTTCCTTTTTCCTTCAAATTCGCATTTTTGTGTTCATTGAGTCCAAAGTGCCACCAGCGCAGCTCTCGGTCCATCGTTATTCCCGAAAAAAAGATCAAATTTACAACCCAAGTGTGCCCTGGTTGTAAGCAAGGTCAAGCTACCTGCGTCACGAGGTAGAGCTCCTGACGGTGACGAGTGACGTAAAGCGTTACCAATTCTAGATGGTAAGTTGTGTGGATATTAATTGTCATGACGTGGTTGAGTGTACGAATTAAACGCCGAGCAGTTGGTAAGTGAAAACCATACGATAGTAGAAAAGGGTCGTACTGGGGTATGCCCGACCGTAAGGTAAAAAAAACATCGTTAGCTGTTTTCTTTCTACTTCAGAATCGTTCGTAGTCCCCTTGTATAAATATGGTAGAGTTTGTTTCTTATTCATACCGTACGGTATGGAGAACTTCTTTAAAATTATGACGGATAGGAACATACACTTCAATCTAGTTAAAAATACATACTTTCTTCTTTTCTACAATATCATGGTGCTTTTCAAAGTCTTCTCACTTTACTTCTATTCAAAACTATATATATATATCAGTGTATAAAGAATTCAACCCCTCTAGTTCTTCATTTCAACATCTTCCTTGGAAGCTTGTCTAGCAGCAGCCAATTTTTCAGCCATGGCGTCAGCAGCTCTGGATTCTTGCTTTTGTCTCAAGGCTTGCTTCTTTTCTTCTTCCTTAGCCAAGTATCTACCTCTAATGATGTTACCAATCATGGCCAATTCTTCGTATCTAGCAATGTACTTAGCCTTGGATGCATCGTAACCATCATCGTACAACCAGTCTTCAGCCTTAGCCAACTTTTCGGTCAATCTAGACTTTTCATCGTCAGAAGCAAAGTCCTTGTATTGATCGTCAAGCTTACCACGAAGTTCGTAAATGTACTCTTCAAGAGCATTCTTACGGTCTTCGGTGTCAGCAACAAGCTTATCAGACATGGTGAGAGAGTTTTCCTTTTCAGTGAAAGCTTCACGTTCTTCAGCTGGAAGAGCAGCAGAGGTACAGATGATTTCCAAGTCGTTCTTCTTGACAAGCTTCTTAACTTCTCTGTACTTTGGTTCGGATTCTTCTTCTTCTTCATCTTCCTTACCTTCTTCCTTTGGTTCTTCTTCAATCAATTCCTTAACCAATTGTTCTTCAACAGTGTGTGCAGATTCAATGGTGTAGAAACCAGATGGGTCGTTTCTCAACTTCAACTTACAAGCAATAGAAGTTTCACCTTCGCTTGGAACAACACCCTTGAGTTCCCACTTGGCAACAACAGGTTGGGTACCAGCTGGAACTTCTTCCTTCTTGGTGTATCTAGCTTCAACGGTGAAGTCTCCCTTTCTGAATAAGGTAATGATCTTGGTAGATGGGAAAAGACCACCTCTTGGGAAAACTTCCAAGTGGTCTTCATCTTCTTCTTGTTTGTCCCAGAAGTAGGAGACGGTGTATGGGTTGAAATCTTCGAACTTGAAAGGACGGACTCTCAAGGTTGGAGAGTGCATAGCACAAATGAAGGCGTTACCTCTGGCAATGGCTTCGTCTTGGTTCAAGGTGAAAGAAAGTTGCTTACCTCCGAAGATTTCTTGGACCTTGGCCTTCAAAGATGGAACTCTGGTACAACCACCAATAACTTCAATCAGGTCAACATCTTCAACAGACAAACCAGCATCCTTCAAAGCTTGTTCAATTGGAATGTGGACTCTGTTCAACAATGGTTGGACGTATTCTTCCAATTCATCTCTGTTCATACTACTGGAAACATCAACGTCGTTCATGACACTTTCAATGTTGAAAGGAGCTTGGGTGTTGGCACTCAAAACCTTCTTCAACTTTTCAGCGGCAGTTAAAACTCTGTAGAAAGCCTTTGGGTTTTCTCTGACATCGATCTTGTACTTACCAACGAATTCGTCAGCAAAATGGTTAGCAATGGCGTAGTCGAAATCTCTACCACCAAAGTGCTTGTCATAAGCAGATCCCAAAATCTTAAGTTCACCTCTCTTGACAGCAGCAACGGAAACTTGCAAGGAAGAGTGACCAATGTCAAGGAAAACAACCTTCTTTGGTTCATCTTCTGGCAAGTCGTTAGCCTTGAAGACACCGTAACCAACAGCGGCGGCAGTGACTTCGTTGACAATACGGACTGGGTTTAATCCAGCAATCTTACAAGCGTCAGAAGCAGCTCTTCTTTGCTTTTCAGTGTACCAAACTGGGACACTCAAACAAATATCAGCAATGTTAAGCTTAGTTTCCTTGGCAGTGATGTCCTTGATCTTGTTCAAGTACATGGCGGTCAACTGAGTGGCAGTGAATTCTTGTTGTTCACCCAAGAATCTAACCTTGGTGGAAACACCACCATCCTTGTTTTCAAGCAATGGAGCGGAGAAGTACTTTTGTTCAATGGCAAAGTCTGGGTCCTTGTAGTCCAAACCCAAGACTCTCTTCAAGTTGTGTACAGTGTTCTTCAAGTTACTGGTTTGTTGGTTCTTACCTGATTCACCAATGGCTCTGGCCTTCATACCAAATCCAACAAGAGTTGGAGTGGAACGGTTGGAAACTTCATTGACAATAATGTCAATTCCTCTGTTTCTGGCACAGGCAATAACTGTGTTATCGTTACCCAAATCAACACCGAATGGAGTAGACATCTTATATTATAGTTATTATATTTAATATCCGGAAGGAAAATGTAAAACTAACACTCATCTTATACAACGTTCGCATTTGGGGGTCTTTAAAGTGTTGGACAGTTGAAAGAAAATTAAAATTTTCGCAGAGTCGTGGGAAAACCGAGAAGGTTCTGGAATGTTCTGAAGAAACGGGGCTACCAATCGTCAGCAATAGTTGGCATATGATCACAAGATTTCATACTTCTTTTTGTTAAATGCAAACATATAGTACAAGTGAATTATAATACAGGTCAATAGCCTTCAAGATCTTTCATTTGTTAAGAATATTTTGGGGTAGGGTTCAAAATTCGTGAGAATTGTGAAGTGACGTTTTGCGGACCACTTTTTTTTATTTTTTATTTTTATTTTTGCACTTGTTTGCAGCCAGTGCCAAGTAGTGTGTATACAGATTGTAGGTGTAAAGCAAACTATTCTTATAGTATCATTCATAATTTGGTTGTGACCATATTCGGACTACCATAAATCGGTACCGGATGCATGAAGTTTTCTTAAGGAGCAGCTTATAAATATGACGTTATAAAATATTGATGGATTTTTGGACTTAGAGTAACTCCGAAATCATATTTCTGCTTCAAAACCTATACGAGGAGTTTTGATTTGCAGCCAGGTGCCAAGAGGGAATATTTGAAATGCCGTACATGACTCGAAACTACCACACTCTAGTTGTATACATTGAATCTGCTCAAGAAGCTCATGGTAATCTATATGAGATGCATTTCTGATAGGAATCATAACCACGTGTCATTATCATGAGGGAGATACCCCAGATCAGAGTTTAGTTCAAGCTTCTGACAAAGGCTTCACCTGCCTCAAAAGTCTTTCAAGAGACTGGAAAACAGTGAAAAACTCTTGCTTGAAGTTTGTGTTAGTGATACTGGTATTGGTATTGAAAAGGATAAGTTAGGGTTAATTTTCGATACCTTTTGTCAAGCAGATGGTTCCACTACAAGAAAGTTCGGTGGTACCGGTTTAGGTTTATCAATTTCTAAACAGTCTTTCCGAAATTACTTATATAATATATTACTTGGCAGTTAAGTAAATTGTGTGTCTCCAATGTTCTTCGCTACATCCATGGCGATGAATACTGTAATACCCAAAACTATCTTCAAACTCTATACACCATACATTCACATTTTATCTATCCATTCATTCTAATTAACCTAGCCGTACTACATAAAAAACTATAGACCAATCGTCTTTCCTCTATTTCTACTAAGTACTTTGTTCCAAGATAGTCACCAATGTCATCCACCCAGGACTCTCAACTAATCGTAAGTAATCTTCGTACTGTCTGTCTCTAGCAAATGTTAACAATAATTGAGCCTCTGAGTCACCAAGAATATCTAATTTGGTAAGAAGATAAACCAAAAAGTGGAAATCAACTAATTGAGAACCATCTCCAACAACATCACTGTTGAGGAATCTATACGCAGCCTTCAATTCTTGGAGTTCACCCATGAAATCACGGTTTTCAATTGTGAAATTCAGATTAAACTGAGGTTTTGGCTCCTTGGGGAAAGAATCCAGAAGTGATACAAGAAGAAATTCCACTGGGAATGATGGCTTAGCATTTGTTTTCACTTCAAGGCCATATTCATTTATCTTGGAATAGAATACATCTGGAACAATGCGGCCTGGCGCACTATCATTAATATGGAGGATGGAAGGTTGGGTAGTACCGGTGATAATATCGGCTCTAACAAGAGCTTCACCAGCAACAGAAACTTGATATGATCTTGGTTCAATTTCTCCATGAATACCACCAGATATGACACATGTAACAAATTTAGACAGATATTCACCACTAGCACTGTGAACTGTGGCGTTCTTATGAGAAAGTTGATTTCTTCCAGCCATCATGATTTCAAGACACGATAAGAAATAGGTATCCTTATGTCTTTTACACAAGACTGTTCCATTTTTCATTCCCAGATCCGTCAAGTCAGTGAAAATTATACCTACTCTCATGAGACCAAGAGCTTCTGCTACTTGGTCCACCGCCTTTTCATTGGTCCACTCCAATAAAGTTAATCCATCCACTTCTCCAGCTTGTGGAGGTTCATAAATGGCTTCCACCACAGCCTTCACACCAAGTGGAACTTCTGGATATTCTTCATATCTTCCATACATATATCCAAATCTTTGCACTCCGGTTTGTCGCCACACATCAATAAACTGATTCATGATTTGGGAATCTGCCAATTCTACATGATCAACCATACGGAATTGTTGTTGTTGAAGAGTGACTACTGTGGGCCCAGTGCGAACCCCAGTACGTGGGTCAATTGTAGTGACATAATCGGGTTCTTCCAAGGGAGCCATATATGACGTGGCATTGTGTTTATTATTCTTTTGCTCGTTCAATTCAGCAACGTGTGCATGGAATGATTTATGTTTAAATCCATGTTCTTCACGGTATCCTTTATCCCATGGAGGAAGAGGCAGACAATATTCACACATCCCTTTATCTCCATGACGGCACATGTATGATCTGGAACGTTTGATACGTCCATCCTTGCCATCCAAAAGAGTGTCCACTGGGAGTTGTTGAACTGGTTTACGACTGGTTGTGGTGGTATTTAATGAAGGGATGGTCCCCTTGATGCTTATCGAGCCAGAAACGGTTCCACCAACAATTGGTTGGTTATTAGAAGTGTTATTTAAGGTAGTAGTTGTTGTAGCTGGATTGGACCCTTCTGATGAATTGACTGTTACAAATAACATATCACCATTCTTCAAGCCCAATTGGTCAACTCTTTGACCAATCAAACTCTGTGCTGTTCTACTGGCCCCACCAGAAGTTGGCTGTTCACTTAAAAGAACTTCACCAGCATCTTTACAGCCAATTTTTCCTAACAATTCTTCTACAACCACTGCAAAATCCTGTGAAGGATCTACAGAAATACGAAACATTCCCTGTTTTGATCTAAAACGGAGAATCTATTGACACATATGTTAGTATTGATTTGATTAATACATCATTCATCATCTTACTAATCTCCCATACATACCATCATTTTAATAATTGGATTATCTTTTTGCTTCCATTAGCAAGGTTCAAGAGTTCTTTTACTAAACTTGAAGGCAAATACATATCGAGATATAACATGCAGGATTAAGAATATATACACTACATACTATTTTGGTAGTGTCATGCAACACATTTTGCACCCAGTACAACTGTTTCAATATAAAAAGATATCAAATCGATTCTATATTCAGATAATATAATAATAATGTGATTTAGAATTTATATAATAGTATGGGAAATATTGAAGCAAAAAAACAAAAAAACAAAGAAGAGAGAAAAATACAAAAGTGGAAACAAGTACACACGGAGGATATTTAAAAAGGATTTAACTAGGTCTTGGATGGTTAGGCTTATCTGATATACACAAGCTATTGGTGGGAGAAGCCGGATATTGTTTGCTCTTGGATTTTCAAACGAAGAACTGTTAGCACCCATGAAATATCAAATTTACCATTATATCGGAAGCAAGTTCTACCTTTCTTTCACATGTACAACTTTATTGAACATAACTATGTAACACTATATAAAGTCAACTACAACAACAATTAATGTATACATATATTTGATGAATAAAACAGGAGAATTTCCAGATCCATCCAGATCCATTCGGTATTTAAGTAAGTATCGTCCTAAATCCAATAAATGGAAAAGAAAGAAAGTATTGGAATAATTCCAATTTAAATATAAACATAGAGTATTATACCATATGATATTATTTTGTGTTTTTTTTTTTTCTATACTTAATCATCAAGTGAAGTTTTCCCAACCTTCAGGTCTCTTGAGACCCTTAACGGAGTAGTATCTTGGGGTACAAGAGTGACCTCTCCAAGTGAAATCATCGCTAGGGTTACAAACACAGTTCTTAGCAAGTCTAGTAGCCTTGTTAACTGGACAGTTATGGAATGGAACATGGAAGTATCCAACATCTTCAAAGAAATGAACCTTGTCTCTTGGCATGAATAAGGAAACAGCAATAGAATGAACTGGAGCATCACCCCAACGTTCGTAGAAGAAACCACCAGCTGCATCCAAAGCTTCAAAGTACTTGGTGTAAGCTTCACCTCTCCAGAAGTTCAAGTTGGCAATTTCGAAATTAGACCAGAAATGACAACCGTTGTAAGTTTGACCCTTATCGTTAGAAATCCAATCCATCATATTATCCTTGTCAAGATATTGAGGGTTTTCTTCAATGAAAGCCTTAGTGGTTTCCCATAAGGTTGGGATGGTCTTGTCATATTCAGGAAGAGAAATGGTGAAGGAGTAGTCCTTGTTGTTATCCTTCATCCACTTGAAGACATCGTAATCAATGTCACAGTAAATCTTGACATCTGGTTCGACTCTCCAGTAGTATTCATAATCCATCATGAGTTCATGACGCCAAAAGAACCCAGATTCATAACGACACATGTGACGGTAAGGAACAGAATCACCATAGATGACACCATCGTTCTTCATTTGTTCACGAGTGTAAGCAGCCTTTTCTTGATCAATGTGGTCAGGGTAAGACCATTGTTCCTTTGGAATAAGACCATATCTGGCCCTACCAGAAACTGCAGCACTAGTGATATCCTTAAAGTTTTGGTCAAATGGTTCGTCATTAAGGAAAACCCAATCATAGTTGTAGTTCTTGTTGAAACGGTCTTCAATTTGACGGATAGAACCAAGAAGAGATTGAGCATCAGAGTTACGAGCAAGAGACACGAAAGTGGCAGAAATACGTGATCCAGAAGCCTTAGCAGTTCCAGCATTGGAATCGGAACCGGCAGCCTTATCATCACCGGCCTTGGCAGCAGCAGCAGCAGCTGGGGCAGCAGCAGCTGGAGCTTGAGCCTTAGCATTGGAACTACCTCCAATATCATCAGAAGGAGCTTGAGGAATACCTTCTTGCTTAGCAGGAGCAGCAGCAGCAGGTGGTGGAACAGCAGCCTTGGCAGGAACAGCTGGGGCACCGGCCTTGGCAGCAGGAGCAGCAGGAGCAGCAGCAGGAGCAGCAGCAGGAGCATCAGCAGCCTTGTTGATTAAAGAGTCTTTGGCATCAACTGGTGGAGTAGCTACTTGAACAGGAGGACCTGGTTGAGCGACAGATTTAACCGAAGGAGGAGCAGAGTAAGAAGATCCCTTGGAGAGAATGAACCCACAAGCAATCAAAATAGCAGCAAACACAGCGAAACGGACGATCCGCGCGTTGGATCTGGTCAAGTTAGCCATCTTTGGACAAGTTTAAGGGAAAAGAACAAGAGATAAAGATTTGATGTGCTGGCAAAGAAAAAAAAGTCAAAGAGTGAATGAGAGCGCGCGCACACGAAAATTTAATGATTGAGGTGGAAGGACGCGCGAATCCAAGATATATGGTGCGCGTCAACAAAAGAATAAATCCGATAATAATAGATGTAGGTATAGATGGCCATAGTACGTACAGGACAGGATAGGATAGGATATGATATTAAAGAATTGGACAGGATATGACTAAGGTTTCCTGCGGATAAGAGATACACAAGGGAAAAACTGTGATTGATTGAATTGTTATTATGAAGGGATTGGGGCTATAACAGTTATAAATATCTTTTTTTGAATTATTACCTAAACTGAGCAGTAGACTGCACATGGCCGTGGTAGATGCATAATTAAGCCATAATATTTTAAAGTATATTGAAACCTTTAGCATTGAAGGAGTGAAATTCTTTAAAGGGGTTAAAGAGGGAAAGTGAAGAGTAATAGTAATGAATTTACAAATTCATTTACTTCCTTCGGTTCAAATTTAATGAAATGGGTTTTACGAGTTTCAAAATATCCCTTATTGTTTCATCTGCAACGAAGGCTTTTGCAGTTGCACACAAAGGGTTTCTGACGGACTGCACGCAAGGACCCGTTTCTAGATGGAATATACATAGAAACCAAGACGAATATGAATATGGGGAAGTAGAATATATATGAAATTTTTGTAGAAGAGGCACACACACACATATATATATATATAAAGAAGAAGAACATGAAATAAAAACATTTGTAAATGAGGAAGAAAGAAACCAAATTCCAAGAAATGTGTTAATTTAGGAATATGCACGATATCGAACTAAATATACAACGTATGCAAGTTGGTGTTAGAGAATTGGAGTGCAATATTTTGTCACGAATAAAATTTCCGTTTGCAACAAATATATCTAAAGGTGAGGCAATACAAAAGAGGGGTGTTAGATCATATGGAGAATACTATTGATATGCTTTTTTTTTGATATGGACAATACATTTTTAGTCTATAGGTGAGTACATTTCCCTATTAATTTCTCTCTAAGCTGTTTAAAATGATCATTAGGTTTTTGTCTTAGATATTAATAAATAAATAAACAATCTTTTTGTTGTTGTAGCCAACCAGTAGCATTCAAGCTCGATTAATCCTATTTAGCTATGTCAAATCATCTTCTCAATGGACGTGCTAGTTGTTTCCTTTCTCTTGAAATCTCTTCCAAATCAATTTTCTTTTCAAACCCCTTGGAAATCTCCATTAACTCAACATACTTCAAATTTCTCTTGGTTGAACTATTCTGGTTAAGATTCTTCATTACAAGGTATACTTCATCTGCATTATCTATTTTGAGAAGTAAACTCTCAAAGTTTTTAAATAATGCAAGACTGAGACTGAATAACTTTAGTTCAATATTTGAAACAAGAAGATTATCAAAGACTTTAATCCAGATTTCAAGTGGTAAACAATTCTCAGTGAAAACCAGTACCCACCAATTAAGAGTAATATATTCAAGTTGAATACCAATGCGTTGTAGGTGGGCGAAAAGTTGAGGCATAAATTTTGGGAAGAAATAATCAGCAAGTATGGATTGATCTATCAGAATTTGTGGGAGTGATTGGAAAAATGATGTCGGTGATCCAATTGACACGGATGAAGACGAAGACGTGGTAGGTGCGACCTTAGACTTCATAGAAGCCGATGAGTTCAGTAAGGTTCCTGAACTTTGAGGGAATGAGGTTGCATTATTTATTGGGGTATAGCAAGGTAATAAATCATCCACAAATCCAACCCAAATCCAAAAAATATCTTCTTCACTTAATTTATTATTGATTCCAAGGAGTAAATTACTGATTATTTTATTCATCCCTTGACAGTATCCAATTGACGACTTGTACACAACAAATGCGTACAAGATCTTCTGTAGACGATAGTAGTTAGGACCCGGTTGGCCGTTAATGAGATCATTGAAAAATACATTAGATGGCATGGTCCTATGCAAATCAAGATTCACCTGGTTTAAGTTCGAGAGGACTACGGGATCTTCTGAAGTAGTGGCCACTTTTACTAGCCTGTCGAATTCTCCAGGAACCTTCAAGTCCTTAGCATGAGAGAGTTCAAGCCAGAGAAGTGGTCGATATGGTGCTGGGATCCCAATTTTGTTGATGAGCTTATGAAGGGTACGATATTCAACGGTAATACTATCAGGTTGAGGATTGTTTTCCAATGTCAGTGGTTGACCTGGGTGGATATACTTGTCTAATTTGACAAGATTTCCCTTAAATATATCTTTGAATAAGTCTGAAGTTGGCGTATCGTAGTGATCTCTCAAAAGGCCCTTGAAGTATGTTTCCCATTGGTCATGGTATTGTTGAGTTTTCTCATCATGCTGCTTACTTATTTGCTTAAGTTTCATAGTAGCCAGAGTATCAGTAGGGTGAGGAAGTGCGGTAGCATGGGTTGTCGTGTGAATTGAGGCTGACTGAATAACAGGATGAGTAGCCAGAAGAAGGTTTGGAAGTTCCAAGGACAGATCTGCCAATGGTGGTTCATTCAAATCCACTGGATCCAGCAGTAATGTAGAAGTGGTAATATGTGTCGACCGAGAAATCGCTGGATCTACCAGTAGGTCAACAGACGATTCTTTAGTCACTCGTTTAATATCGTTGAAAAACCCATACTTGTCCACACTTGCCAGGGCAGGAGGGAGGTCCTCAGATCGCACATCAATACTGTCAAGTTCCACAGGAGCTCTGGTGGCCAAAGTAGGGACGTTAACTGGCATTGGGAATGATCTCAGATGTGGTCTTCGAGGAGAAGTCAGAGAATTTGGATCTTTCATATTTAACAAAGACTCCTCGCTATGCGAATGCCAGCTTCGACCTGCCCCAGGAGATCCAGCTTCATTAAACCAGGTATTGAGCCAGGTGGATGATTGTCTAGATGTCAGATGGGATCTTTGTATCTTTTCTCTATCGTGCAATCCTCGATCTGAGTTCTTCTGGGGATCTTTTGCTTGCTTTTTCTTATATGAACCACCTGCTTGACTACTTAGGCTAGTATTATTACTTTGAGTAATTGAGGGTGCCTGATGGCTCAGCTGCGCCAATTCACTCTTTATGGCAGATCCAATCATCTCCACAACCACTTCATCAGCATTCCGCTCCACACGAAGAGAACTCAATTTACGGTCGATTTCAATACTAGATAAGTTTCCATACTCTCCACAAAGTTTAATCAATAGCTGCTCACGCGAAAACTTTTCCTGTCTTAAAAGAATCAATTCTCGTTCTTTCAGCTCCAAGTCACTAGATAGCTGCCGTATGAGACTAACCGGGTTATCATCAAACTTCTTATGAATAAGTTTCTCAATATACACATCTGGAAGTTCATGCAAATTCCCTCCAAGTGAGCTGATGGATACTACCAGCTCAGATGCTGTTCCAAACAAGTCTGGTTTGTCTACCGGGGAATTTGTCATATGTACATTGATAATTCGAGAGGGGATTATCGAAATTCGTGTGAAATGGAGAGACGATTGATACTAGAATTTCAAAATACAACAAAGTCGCGCTTGCGAAATCGAACCTGCGAACACTACCTATCTGAGATCACCCGAATTCATTGAAAGAAATTTTGAGTCTACCTTTCTACAGTTAAATATGATTGTTCATGTCTTTTGATGGTAGTAGTTTGACATCATATACATATACATAAATTTGTTTAAAAAAAAAATGGTAAATCTCTTTGTAAAGCGTGTCATCTTTATGCAAGGACAATGCTAATCTTCTCTGTATTGTTAAAATTGACAAGTGTGCTACCGCGAACGATAGCACGATGTTTTTTAATTTTCGCAAGACTAGTGCATCCACTTTAATCTCAAATTTCGGCGATTTATTGGTGTTGAAGGGCTATATTGGTTCACACAAATGTCCATCATGGTACGTATAAACCAACAAGCGATCATGGGACCATATTTCAAAACTTATCTCGACACTATGAGGGCCAACTTTTGTTTTGCATATCAATTCTGGGCTTATTGAATTTGCCTCAAGTTACTTCCCCTAATATTGGACTGAAAGGGAACAAAGGGTTGTTTTTTTTACCCAGGACTTATATAGTAATATATAAAGTTCATTCCCTCCAGTGTTATAAGAAAAAAGAACGACTATGGCGCTTGAACCCGGGGAAGTTTCTTGTAAATCTCCTTCAACCTGATATTGACTTGAATAGATACTTTCAACTACCATTTCCCTTAAATCATCCATTTAAGAGTACGTGTAGTAGCATCCATGAGATAAATTGATTTCATACAGTATTATAGACAGAAGAACCCTCTTAATGTGGGTATGAGCAAACGAGCCAGATTGAAACCATTAAGATCACGTCTAGACATCAAATACAAACATACAGAATTCTTTTGGGAATACTCGTCTAAACGGCGTACTATACTGCTCTAAAGAAGTGAAGATAATGGCCTAGAAGCTCATTAACTTACTCGAAGAAATCTCTAAAAGAGAGCTGCAGTCCAAACTCATTATCGGGGGCAATGTATTGCTCTTCTCCCCCTACATTGGGTTTATTGGCCATGACGCACTATCTTCACAATCAAAGAACATACCAAAATGCAACTAATGGCCATACCTGCATTCTCGCTTTCGCAGTAACAAGGTCCTGGTATGTTCTAATCAGCTCTTTACGAAATATTATTCGACAAAAAAAGAAACTATCACATGTAATTAAATCCACATTTCCGATGAAAATGTGGTAATTAAAGTAAAATGAACTGACAAAAAAATATTTGTGTGTTAATAAATAAGCCGGTGATGAAGTACACAACTCTTCTATCTCTTCATTTAAAGTTCTAACCTTGATTACAAACATTTGTGAGTATTTCCAACCGTATATTGCTTTTGAGGTTACACATGTAACGCTTTACAACGCCTCACGTAGCGCCGCACCCTAAAAAATTAGCTATGCGCGAGTATTTTCAATTCAGAGAGATCTGATGGGAGGAATGTCCCTATGCAAGTGGAACTCTTATCTTGATCTGATATACAAGGCAAGTGGTAGTGGTGCACTAGAAGTATCAAGTCTGATATACGTATATGATAAGACTTTAGTGATCTTTATGAGATCCTTTATGGCCTCAAACGATAGTGGGAAAGTGAGTAAATAACGGAATTCCCACTTATTCCCCTACTTGGCATACATTGCAGAGACATATTCTGAAACAATTTAATGAAAACCATGCATATATGCAAAACTACATGGATACTACTTTGATACTACAAACATGTTACACATTGCTACCTTGGCCTACCACATTCAATCACTCAAAAAACAAGGGGTTCCACATCCTGCTGTCCCTTGCAGCTGAAACAAGTAAAAGAAAAAAATGTTTCATCTCGCGAAACTTTGAAACAAATTGAATTTCCCATTGTGTAAAAGCGTAACACCTTACACAATGGCTGACGTCGGTCATCATTTGTTCGGTTCGTTGGAGTTTTCAGTGGGCAACCGAATGTAATATAGTCTTGGTAGCATCTCTTCTTCTTTCTCTTCCTCCTCCTCTACTTTTTCGTTCTTCTCTGAGCTTGTTTCTTTTTTTTTTAAAAACAGTTTAGTAGTTGGTTAAATTCCATTGAATATTGTTTGTTTTTCATTCCGCAGACGCGTTTGACGACTAAAAATCCGAGAAGAGTGAAAACTTAATACAAAGAGTGTCCAGTGTCAAATAACTGACAAATAACGATCAGTGTCATCACTAATTATTTTCATTTTTACATAACTCACTCACACATATCGATATATAGATATATATATATCTATAACTTTCCCATACCATGTCACCATTACCTAAGAAAAGACATAGGCCCGCTTCCCTTGATTTGGAGACTCCTTCACAAAATGACGTTGCCGTTCGTATAGTGAGTCCTGGACTCCCACCACTTAATGAAAAAATGAAGACCACTGTCAAGATCTCGCAGAAGATAGAACAACAACAACGTCACTTGATCGCTGCCAGAAACCAATCTAATCCAAATTCATCTAATAATCTGTCCTTTCTGAATGCGCTGGGCGCACTGGGGCTGGGTACTCTGGGAGTTTCATCTGTTGCCTCTTCAGCCAACTCCTCGGCTATTGGTATCCCCATACATGTAACTACTGCTACCACTAGTACCTCGGAGCAATCATATGATCTCACCGATGGCATGGATAAACTCGTCACACCAACAACTGCCAAAAGGCTCAAACGAGAAAATATCCCCAGTCCACTTCACATTTCATCAACTCAGTCAAATTCCCCTCAATATAGACCTTCAATACAATCGGCTCCTATCAGATCATTCAAGCTGCAATACCCACAAGCACCCCTCCGGCCCATGGTTGGTCATCGTCGACTCCAGCATGGGGTAGTTGCCCCACAATATCAACAACAACCACAGCCTCCACACGGGGTACAGATGGGACCAGTAGGTGCACCTAAAAGACTCAGGGCTCCTGGATATACAGTTGGTCAAAGTGGATTTCATGCTGGTCAACCTATTGGTCAACCTATTGGTCCACCTGTTGGCCAACCAATCCCAGCATATATCCATTCTCCATACCGTAAAATGAGAGTTGTAACACCAGCGGGCCAGTACTTTTCTGGAGTTCCTAGAGGACCTGGAACTGCAGCAGCTGCTGCAGCAGCTGCAACCACACCAGCTGTTCGTGCCTATCCAATTTCAACAGCTTTGGGTCAACCACAACAATACTTTATTCCATATTCTTATCATCATCAAAATCAGAATCAACAACCACAGCCACAACCACAATACGTACTTCCACAAAACTCATCTACTCCTATCCATCGGAGTAGTAAAAGATCAGTCACTGACGTTTATCATGGAGATTTCACCCGAGCGGCTCCACCTCAAGCACAACCTTTATCAGCACAATATGAATATTTTGGCGGATCTTCTGGGAATAGGTCAGACCGTCTCCCAGTGACAGATGAAGAGATTATTGAAATGCAGAATAAATATAAAGATGAGGGCGGAGATGAAGACCCCGAGGATGCAGCCATTGATGATGACGATGAAAAGCATTCGAGAATGACATGGAAAAGTACCGAATATGGTCAGATATTTGGATCCATTAATTTGATGAATGAGAGTGTGTTTAATTTCAAGATCTTTAAGAGTGCCCCTAATCTGGAGCCAACCAAAACTGAAGATTCCAAAATTGAAAAAAAGGGAGAAGAAAAGGAGTATGAAGTAGAAAAGGAGCACGAACAAGAACAGGAAACTGTGACTACGAAGAAGAATGAAGAAACTGTCTCCACAGAGGAACCTACTGTCGACTCTTCTAAGTCAGCTCGTGAGGTGTCACCAAGTCCAAAGGATACGTGGTTATCTCAAGAGAAGGCAAAATTTATGAAAATATGTGAAACAAGCTGGGACGAGTTCATCAGTACAAGAATGTAAAATATCAGTACCAGACGTACAATATTGCAATTGGCTAATTTTAGAAAGAAATCTGTATCATTGGGGAAATTAATATAAAATGAAAGCAATCTAATTTGTAGTATTGTAAGAGTGTGAATTTGAAATATTTTGGTGAAACCAACCAAATGACAACTTACATTTGTCTTTCCTTGAACCTACTAATTTCTCTAATTCAATTCAAATAGAGAAGATCGCTCTCATTGGGAGGTTTTGGGGGTTTACCACATCCACTCTTTTCATGGCTGCGAAAATGCATCACACACATTAGTAATAATTAATTTATTTTTTATACGAACCAAATTTTTATCCAAATAATAGAGACATAACTTGAGTAAACATCAAGATTTATTAATGTTACTTCCTCCGATTTTACTTATATTCAAGAAGTTTTTATGTTATGGTTAGCTTTTATAATTCATTCGTTTATGTTGTCTATACTAAATTGGTATCCTGCATATATTCGAGGGCGAATCTCGGGAATAAAAGTCTGTACGATTTCAATCTATGAAACAACTTTGAAAGAAAGTTTAAAATATTTAAACATAGAAAACAATTTTGACGATGTCTGTATCGTGTGGAATGCGAGTGCTTGGCCGTGCCATGGTCAGGACACCCGTGAGATCACATCCAGGTACATATTTGTTACGTAACAGGTTGCCGTTGAATGGCGGCCTTGAATCTTTCTGGAAACGTCAGTTCAACACTACCAGAGTTTTATTGAATGATAAGGGTACTCCTGGGAAAAAGGATGAAGGAGAAAAGGAAGACTTAAATAAGAACAAAACCCCTGAAGAAGGGAAACCTCTTGGTAGGGTTACTCGTGAAGATTTAGAAGGATCTCCAAAGGAACCAGTAGAAGAGGAACAAACACAAGAAAAGGAGGATGCAGAAAAATCTAAGCAGACAGAAGAAGAAGAAGTTCTTCGTAGACTTCGTGAAAAGATGAAGAAGAGAAATCCAAATGTTAAGGATGAAAATATTAAATTTGTCAAGATTGAAGGTCCGCAAATGAAGGCCCTTCTTTGGTCTTTGGGGATCTCATGTGCTCTTACTGTGTTTGTTTTAAGTTCCGGATTAGGTGCTGGTAATAGTTCTGACCAACTTACATTCCAAGATTTCCGTACAAAGTATTTGGAAAGAGGGCTTGTGACCAAACTTACTGTTGTTAATAAATTTGCAGTTGAAGCAGAATTGATTCCTGGTGCCCTGCTGGACCAAACTTTCCAAACATCACATGGAACCCCAGCTGTTATTTTCACCATTGGTAGTGTTGAATTCTTTGAAGAAGAGATGAGTGCTGCCCAAGATAAGTTAGGTATCCCAATCGGTGAACGTTTACCAATTCAATATGAAGAAAGAGGTAGTTGGCTCAACTACATTTTACCAATTCTTCCTACTGTCTTATTGATCGGTGGTCTTTGGTACATGACTATGAAGAGAGTTGGTGGTGCTGGAGGCTCAGGAGGCGCTGGCGGGGGAGGTGCTGGTGGTATGTTCTCCATTGGAAAGAGTAAAGCTAAACTTTTCAACCAAGAAACTGACGTAAAGATCAAGTTCAAAGATGTTGCTGGTTGTAATGAATCTAAGGAAGAAATTATGGAATTTGTAAAGTTTTTACAAGACCCTGCTAAATATGAAAGATTGGGAGCTAAAATCCCTCGTGGTGCCATTTTATCTGGTCCTCCGGGAACTGGTAAGACTTTATTAGCCAAGGCAACTGCTGGAGAAGCTGGTGTCCCATTTTTGCTGGTTTCTGGTTCAGAGTTCGTTGAAATGTTCGTTGGTGTTGGTGCATCAAGAGTTAGAGATTTATTCAAAACCGCAAGAGAAATGGCACCTGCTATTATCTTTGTCGATGAAATTGATGCCATTGGTAAGGAAAGAGGTAATGGGAAAATGGGAGGTAATGATGAAAGAGAAAACACTTTGAATCAATTACTTGTTGAAATGGATGGGTTTGAATCTCAAGATCATGTTGTTGTCCTTGCAGGTACTAACCGTCCAGATATTCTCGATAAAGCTTTACTTCGTCCAGGAAGATTTGATAGACACATTTCTATCGATGTCCCAGATGTTGAAGGACGTAAAGAAATCTTCAAGGTTCATCTTTCAAAACTTACTTTGAAATGCGCTGAAGACATCGAGGCTACCCAAAAGGATATTACCTTCAATAAATACCAAGAATTAAGATCGCAAGCAATTGAACAATTGGCAGGCAGATTAAGTGCCTTAACTCCGGGATTTGCCGGGGCTGACATTGCTAATTGCTGTAATGAAGGTGCTTTAATTGCCGCCAGAGAAGATGCTCAATCGGTGGATGTTTTCCACTTTGAACAAGCCATTGAAAGAGTTGTTGCTGGTTTGGAACGTAAAGAAAGAGTTATGAACTTGGAAGAAAAGAAGACAGTTGCATACCACGAAGCAGGTCATGCTATTTGTGGTTGGTTCTTGGAATATGCTGACCCTCTTGTCAAGGTTTCGATCATTCCTCGTGGTCAAGGTGCCTTGGGTTATGCTCAATACCTTCCAAAGGACCAATACTTGGTATCCGAAGAACAATTCAAACATAGAATGACTATGGCTCTTGGTGGAAGAGTTTCGGAAGAATTACATTTTGAAACTGTCACAAGTGGAGCTTCCGATGATTTCAAGAAGGTGACTCAAATGGCGCAGCAAATGGTAACTACACTCGGAATGTCTAAACAACTTGGAAGTGTTGATTACTCTGGAGGAGACAATGGTGGTGGATTCAGAGTCCATCATCATTATTCCGAAAGCACTGCAAGATTGATTGATATTGAAGTGAAGCGCTTCATCGATGAAGCTTATGTCGCTTGTAAAGAATTGTTGACCGAAAAATTGGAATTTGTCGATAAGGTTGCAGAAGAGTTGTTTGAAAAGGAAGTCTTGACCAGAGAAGATATGATCCGTATTGTTGGACCAAGACCATTTCCAGAAAGAAACGATGCATTCGATAAGTACATCAAGGGTGATGCATTTAAGAAGAGAAGTTAGAGACTAAAGAGGGTGACCGAGGGGGTGTCCCACATGTACATAGATAGAATTGTCAATACAAAGTAGTACTGAATATATTTACTAGGAAGTTAGGATACTAAGTATATTGTAGTGATTGAAGCCAATACAGAAAAATATAGCTGACCAAATTTGGATAGTAGTAGTATTAAACTACTATAAGTGTTAGAAAAAGATATAGCGTTAATTTAGAAACAAGGAACTACTCACTCGAATATAAGGGAAAATCATATATCCAATTTTAAAGTAACGTCTGAAATTTTACGATACAGTCTCTACAATGAAAATTCCATATTATTTTGCTTTTTGAACTATTTACATATACTAATCAATTTGAACTATTTACATATACAATCAATTTCTACTATTATTCTAATTGTTAACTGTCAGGGTTCTTTCATTGTTCTTATTGGCATCCCAACATTCTTTGAAAGCCTTCATTTCATTCAAACATTTCCGCCAATCACCTGAATCAGCGTGACATAATTGCAATTTGAGATTTTCTTCATGACACCCAGTATTCAATATCCGCTGATCCCATTCATCGGGCTCATCATCATCTTCAACTGGCTTGACAGGATTTGTGGGTTTCATTTTATGATATTTTGATAACAAGAAATGATGGTAATAGGTCATGCCAGATTTTTCGATTCCCCATTATTTGGCACGTGATACATCGACGTGATCGAGCAAAATGAGTACTACTGAGGGAAGATAAATTGCTCTATTTAAACGTAGGAAAGATAAATTGCTCTGTATCTGTTAAAAGTAGGAAAGATAAATAGCTCAAACGTAACTTGAGAGGAATATTGAAGTGGAATAATTTAGAAAAAGCTGCAGTAGAAAGAAAGATTTTCTTAAATAATAAAACTTTGACAATCTCACTTCCATTCTAACCAAGGATTAATCCCATTCAAGTGTCGAAACACATATCAGACCTTCCCTCTTCTAAGTGTAATAATCTAATTTTATAATTTTTTTTTGTAGATGTCCTGAATATATACATATATATTACACTGCTAATTTCTTCTAATTGTATTAATTGGCTTCATATCGGGCTGTAACCGCTTAGAAACCGAAGCCACTCTTAGAGTAAGCCATTGGTTTGAGATCTGGATGCCAGACAGCTTCAAAAGTTTCAATATCCAAGTTCCATGGACAGTTGTCATCATTTGTCTTTCTATAACCTTCACCATCGTCCTTTTCAGCATCATAAGAGTCATTTTCAGTGAAATGAACAACACCACCCAAGTTTCCAGTACTATCACAATAGTTTGGAGCCAGGAAAACAGTGATCAAACGACCATTATGTTCTTCTTCAACCCCATCCATTCTAACTTCGTGAGATCTCAAAACCTTACGAAGTTTGTTAGTCAAACAGAATCTCTCAGTAATATCTGGACCAAATTGCATACCAATACCTCTCTTCAGGGGAGATCTACCATTTTGAGGTTGTGGATCAGTCCATAAAAGTTCCATAGCAATCCCATCACGTGGTGGTTGAGTAGAACCAGAACTTGGGAATCTATTAAAGTTTTTGATATCAGCTAATTTCACTTTATCATTGGAGAAAAGACCTCCATGCATACAAAGATAGCTTTGATTGATAAGAGTAGCCAATGGGAGAGCACCAAATGACTCAGCAAAGCATTCAAAGATCTTTTTCGAATATTTATGTTCACATTCATCAGTAAACCCGTAAGTCTTATTCATATCGTTCGTTTCATGATTACCACGGTTCAAATAGATCAGTTTAGGATACAAGAGTTTGAGGATATAAAGATAAAGAGCAACCTCACAAGACCAAGAACCTCTGTCGACGAAATCACCATTGAAAAGATAAATATGGTTTGAAGAAACATGACCGAATTTTTGGAATAAGTTAAGAAGATCATAAAATTGACCATGAGTATCACCAACGACGGTCAACTTTGGAGCATTTTCAGCTTTACCGTCAGACTTGATGTCCAAAGTGCACTCAGTAACGGGCAATTTCAGATGAGGAATAGAAACTTCAACCATTGTTGGTTCCAGGCGGAAGATTTGAGTAACTGCAGCTACAATGGCAAAGACGTGTTTCTTTGGAAGTTTACCACCATCTTTGAAAGTTTTAATTGCGTATTTGAGGTATTCTTGATCCAATCCTTTGATAGTGACAACTGGTGGAGCATTTTCATCTTGTTCCTTTGCGGTATTCTTTTCTACAGAGATGTCTAAATCTGGACCTTCCCACCATTTTTCCACAGCTACACCTTGATAATCAATTTCACTTAAAATGCTACCCTTGGAATCACCAGCAATAGCTCTTTCAAAAGCTTGCTTTTTCAAATAATTAACACATTGCTTGTGGTTTTCCAAGGTTAAACGATCACCTGGTAATTTTTTCAAAATAGTTTTAAAATTTTGTTGAGCTTCTTTGTATTGTAAAATTGCCATTTGCGCAACACCTTTACGATAATAGGCCTTGATAAAGTTTGGATCGAGAGCAAGAGCTTCGTTACAGTCAGCTACAGCAGATCCATAATTTTCCAATCGGATGTTTACTTGAGCTCTATTGGAAAAGAAGATTGCATTGGAAGAATCCAATTCAATTGCCGATGTGTACGCTTCAATTGCCTCATTAAGCTTGTTTTCTTTAAGAAAGGCATTGCCCTGATCCTTTAGTTCTAGAGCACTAGTCATTATCTTTGAACTAAAGGAGAATATATGAAACAATAGAGATAACTGAAAAAAAAAAAGGATTAGTGGGGTGAATTGATGGATTTCAAGAAGTTTTGATGCGAGACCAGAAATCGGCGAACAAAAGTATCAGGGAAAAATTTCCTAAATTGAAGAATTAAGTTAGCGCGGAATTGGTAGCAGAGTAGGTAGGAATAGTGAATGGAGTTAGAAAGATTCGTATGAATGTATGAATTAAGTACATATATCATGAAAGATAAATCTTGGATCAATATGGGAAAAGAAACGTTGTATGAAAGAAGATTGACAATGGTTAAGAACTTGGAGTTATATTATGTCCCATAGAGAAAGGGGGAGGAATAAAGTTAAAAGTTTCCGTGCAGCTAAGTATTTGTTTTCTTTTGTTTTTTTTCGCAACCGAGGAGATAAAGAGAGAATGTTATTTTTAAGGCAGTATCTGAAAGCGTTTACGAAGATAGAAATAATCATGGCTCATCTATACAAGAACTAGGATTCCTTACATTTATGTGAAATACGATAACAGTTTTAAATTTTGTATTCTTTCTTATTTACTTTGAAAAATCAAACACCAGTGTTTTTTAACCTCTAATTCTCAAACCAGATGCTGGTGCTCCAATCTTTGTGATACCAGTGATCTTACAAACCTTACCCAGTTCGGATGTTTGGTACTTGGCACCCACAAGTGCTTCAGTAGCTGAAGCAGCTCCACGGTAAATTGGAGTGTAGGTGGCAGCACAAATATCGAATTCTGCATATGGATCGAAATCAATCTCAATAGCATCACTTGCTACGGAATCAGCACGAGCCTTTAATTTGGTGGCTTGTTCAGCTCTTTGACCTGTAGAAACAAGAGTCAAGAGTTCACCAGCAAAGTATGAAGCACTAGAATAGTTCTTGTTCTTGAATGATTGAGTCATAGCGACTTGTAAAGCATTGATACGATGAGCTGGTTGCAACTTCGCACGAGTAAAGTATGCAGCAAGTTCCAAGTTTCTCTTGATGTCAGAAGTAGCGACTTCTCTACGTTCCAATTCAATGGAAAGACCGAGAATGTATTCACGACAGAGAGTCAAGACCTCGGAACATTTAGCTTCTTCATCTTCATCGACAACTGTAAGTACAGCAACGGTATAAATAACCAGTCTAAATACTTCAATGGCCTTTTCCAAGTTATTTTCCTTGAAGAACTTGAAACCAACAGAAAGACGATCTTCTAAAGTATCAAAGCCAGGTACTACTGGTTTGAATTTCTTAGGATTATCTTCATCATTATCAGCACGAACATAGGTTTTCATGGCTGGAAGTTCATCGACACCAGGAAGATAGAGTTTAGAAGCTTGGTAAACTTCTAAGAATCTGGCACGAAGAGGTTCAAATTCAACTACACCCAATTGTTTGTGAAGAAGTGAAGCGGCTTGATCGAAAACACCTGCTGCTATATATTCAGCTGGGGTTTTAGCATTACGAAGCCAATGAGCGACTTCACCATCTGCGCCAGTATTACTGGTAGATACTTCAGCAGCAGTTATAATTTCATCACCAGCCAATAAATCATCATCATCATCAATGACCAAATCATCATCATCCAAATCCCATCCACCTGCATCATCTCCATCTTCTAATTCTTCGTCAATCAAAGCATCTTCAAAGGCTTCATCTTCATCTTCGACTTCGTTAGTGAAAGTGGAAGTAGATTCTTCTATTTCAGGAACTTCTTGACCAGACATAGCCTTTTCGAAGTAAGACATTGATGATTCCTTCAATGGCCAGTTCAGGATTGGAGTTGAGATTGGTTGAGGTAATGGAACAACGTCTCCTAATTCAGGTAATTCAACATCCTTGGCTTCGACACCAGCTTCTTCTAAAATATGAGATGCTAATTCATCCAATCCGTTAGATTTGGCTAAAGTATAAGCTAATGGTAACATACCACCTTGAATGTAAACTTGACATCTTTTCTTAATATCATTGTTGTACAAGGTATTTTGAACAAGAGAGGACAAGTTACCTCTATGTTCAGAAATGGTAGCCATCTTACCTAATCTTTCACTATCACCCTTGTAGAGATAAAGGAATGATAACTTATCGAAAAGATGTAATTGTTGATAAACAAATTCGGCAACATCAACATTACCTTGATTCAAGGCTTCTTCACCAAGTTTTTCCCAAATAGAGTTGTTATTTAATTTCTTGGCTTGTTCAAGAGCAACTTCTAAATTACCACATTCCAAGGCAAGTTCAAATCTAGTTTCTGGATCGTCAACGAATTGCAATGCAACTTCTGGGTATCCCTTCTTTTGAAGATACAGAATAATATTTTGACCAACCAAGTTAGAATTCTTGATAATACGAAGTACTTCGCCGAAATTCTTATTGATAAGAGATTTTTTGAATCTGTATTCAGTTGGATCAATAACAATTACTTCAACAGTTCCAGATCTATCCAAACAATAAAGTTTGTTTTGAGAAACCTTGGTAATGTAAACAGTATTTTCCAAAGTCTTAATAATTCCGGTATCACCATTGAGTAAGGTGTACTTAATATGATTCAAAGTCAGGTAAAGCAATACACCAGAGTCATCCCAAGCAGCAGACTTAATTCTAATGGTTTCATGCATCAGAGTAACTAATTCTAAATCCTTGGTAGCAATGGTAATAGTATGCTTAGCCAAAAGAGCAACATGATTACCATCATTTGACCAGTTAGCGTACTTTACATTGTTTACTGAAAGTTCAGCAACTTCCTTTCTTTGTTGAACGTCATATGAAACAACGGAGTGTTGCTTAATTAAAAGAACTCTACCACCAATACCAGCAAGGACATCAATTACTGACAGGTCTAATTGAATTGTCTTGGTGGTATTGTTGCTTAAATCTTTAACATATAAAGTTTTAGAAGACTTAATGAACGAGACAAATCTATTTCTTGCAATAAAACAAGCAAAGTTACCTTCACCTTGTCTTATATCACTTGGTTCAATGGCTCCAGTGACATGCTTTGGAAGGGTTATCAAAGCATACTGAGCAGCATCCCCTTCACCATGAGTGACCAAGATAGAGTTATCCAGCTGATTGTAGGATAAAGTACGCATAAATGACCATGCCTTACCAATTTTTTTCAATGAAAGCATTGGCAATGAAACTTCATCTCTTGTAAAATCATAAAATTGAACTTGCTTTTCATTGTTAACGAAAAACAATTGCTTATTTTGGAAAATAGTATGAGCAGGACGTTCTCTTTCCAATTTGAAAACCATGACACCTGAATCATGACAAGTTGCAAACAAGTTAATCAGAGGATGGTTAGCAATAAGCCAGAATCTATCATGTTCACGACGGAATTGTTTAACTGGAGTTCTCTTGTTCAAATCCCAAACTCTGATAGTTTTATCATCACTGACAGACATGATAAGATCTTGATTTGGATGGAATAATGCACCCAAAACATTACCAGTGTGACCTCTACAAGTATCAACTTCCCAAGCTTTGGTTTCACTCATTCTCCAGAGTTTAACTAAACGATCATCACCAGCACTGACAATAAGTGGGAGGGTTGGATGGAATGACGCCCAGTTGACACCTTTATCGTGACCTTCAAGAACGTATTTAACAATAGCATCAGTATTGCCAAAGATATCTTGTTGAGGTAATTGTTGACGTTGTAATTGATCTTCAAATGAACGTCCACCAGGACCTCCACCAATACCACCTGGACCACCCATTCCAGCTTGGGATGGTGCACTATGTTTCTTACGTAAACCAGAGATGTCCCAAACTCTAACAGTTTGATCCAAACTACAAGAAACGATCAAATCTTCCAGGGAATGGAATTGAGCACACATAACATAATGATTATGACCAGTTAAACAGGCGATTTCTTGACGATTTTGCCAATTCCAAATTCTAATGGTTTGATCATCACTGGCTGAAATAATCCAAGGAAGATCATGATGGAAGAATACAGTACGAATATAATCCAAATGACCATTCAAAGTGAAAAGACATTTACGAGTGGCTAAAGACCAAACTTTAATGGAATAATCGTCACCACCAGAAACAAAAAGTGGTTGAGTAGGATGGAAATCAACACATCTCACTGGACCTTCATGATCTTCAAAACGATCAATCAATGTCCCCATACGGTAATCCCAAAGTTGAATTGTCGACGAATGGAGAGAAACAAGAACCCATGGACGTTTAGGATGGAACGCCACGCCCTTAGCGCGCGACGACTTCGACTCGAACTTGGTAAGCATCTTCATCTTTGCTAACAAAGTGATTCAGAAAATGTATCAAGATCAATTGGAATGGATATTTGTATTTTAGATGTTAATTATCAATCTGTTTTGAATTTTCTTGGGAGATTCAGCCAAAGTGTGAGCGTGTCGTTTTCGGATTTTGTGTAATGTCTGGGTGTTCTTTAAAAAAATTAAAAAAAATGGGATTCTTGACGTGGATCGAAATCGGTATGTACACGCAGTGGTAATACTAGAAAGGTTGTAAAGGAAATGGGAGGCAAAGAAATGAATATGATTATAACACAGTAACCAATAAAAGTAAATATCTGTCAACTATGATTAGATAAAGCATAATATAAATGGAAGAGTAATATTGTAGATTTTAGAAATACAGATCCCTTTTCCGAATGATTTATGCTACTAAAGACTACAAGAGGAGGCAAAATAAGAAACCCTAAAATTATTTTTTTGCAACCAAAAAAATTAAAAAACTTTGAATGGGATTAAATTGGGGGATAAGGGAGGAAATATAGTAGTGAGTACCATATGACTATCCACTTGGTTTGTGAGTTAGTGTACGGACTTTCTAATTAGAATGGATGTGTCAACTTTTATTCTACGACAAGCTCATAATTAACCTTATCAATTTTTATAATTTTCTTTTTTCTACTTATAATTATACTAAGAAAGAGAAAACACCCACACCCATAGCACTGACCATCCCGATAACCCAGTCGAGGTTAAGGCTAGAACCTTCATTTGACGAGGAGCCGGAGGATCCACCATTCGTACCGGTGGAAGTGGCCTTGTAGTTTTGAACAAATCCATCTTCAGAGTTGTAAGCGACGGTATTAGAGTCACCAGAGTTACCAGATCCATTAGATCCACCGGTGGCTTTAGGAGCACCGTTGGTGACCATAGTTGGTACATTGGTGTTGGTACCGGATGAGGTTTTTCTTGGGATGGTATTGGTCTTGGTTGATTTAGAAGATCCCGAAGAAATAACAGTGGTAACTTCTTCATCCTCATTATCAGGATTCAAACCTGATGCATCCAGTGAACCAATCCAAGTTTTCGCCTTGACCCACATGATATTACTTTGGTTACCGTTGGACAGGTTGTATACAAAGGCGTTTAAATCCTTGGTGTTGTTACTACCAACTCTCTTGACGCCTTCTGGCCAATCATGAGCTTTATAAGACACATAATCCAAGTAAGCGTAGAAATAACCATATTGTTGGATATCAGCAGCATTCCAATCAATTGCACCACCAGCCCATTCAATCGTACCGAGACCGTTAGACAATGCACCACCTGGCCAAAGAGACATTTGAATACGTGTTGGTGTTTGAGGGTAGTTAAATACTTTAGCAGTGTCATTCCAAGTCGACTCCTTGGTTAAAGTACGTACAACTGAGCCATCAATAGACCATTCAATTCTATCTTGATCCCAATCAAGTTCATAAAGATGGTAATTTTCAAAAGTATCTGAGGTTTCAGAACTGTTAGCATTGTGATAATCAAGGAACCCACGAGAATAATAGTTAGATTGTGGGAAAGTTAAATTATAACCAACACATTCGAAATCAATTTCATCTTGAACATCCGAGAAAAGAATAAATGCAGTAACCACACCATTTGTACGAGAAGTCTTAAGTCTGGCAGAAACTTTACCATACCAAAGATACGAAGAGGAAGAAATGACGGAACCAGTTGTACCGTTAGGCATCTGAAGCATTAAGTCTTTATTGTGTCCGGCGATATGACCTGAATAAATCCAATCAGTTTCTGATGCATTTCCCAAATAATCATTAATATTAGCAATTTCACTGATATTAGTAAAGGATGTATTGAATTCTTTCATCACAGGCATAGGCATACAAGCTGAAAGGTTGAATGAATAACGAGGGTCACAACCACCCAAGCAGTAGAACCCGGTACCACACTGACCGTATTGAGAACAACATGGTTGTTCTTCAGGACATTGCAGGGTAGAGTTACAGAAAATTGTTTCGGAATCGGCCAATACTAAGCATGCCTTGAAGGCAACGAAAAGAAGTGCCAAGTAAGTATACTTCATCGGGTATGACTAGCTATACAAAATGAGCGAATATATTAGCTGGCTTCCAGAAGCAATAGCTGACGGTGTTTGGTTTTGAATAGCTTACAATTTTAACTAAAAAGGATTACTTCTTTTCGATCCAGTCTGCTCGAAAAATAAATACTGGTTCCCAATTTGGCCAAGAGAGGAAAAAGAAAAAAAAATGAAGGTAAAAAAAAAAAATGAGCCCCAGCCTCAATCACGCGTTGCTAATAATAGGCAAGGAGGTTCCCATACATCAACACTGTTGGTAGGAGCATTGTACACTGCACGCGTTTTATCCACAGGAACATTCGGGCGTGTTTTACCAAGCTAGGTAGAATCAAAATGATCATTCCAAACTAAGCAGCAACTGCACCACGCTTGTATGATACGTAAATGAAACATTCCATCTGCAAGGGAGGTTAAATCTGGACTGTAGATCTAGGTTCGAGTACCGTACCACCAAAAAACTACAAATTGTCTATCTTTACAAAATTGGTTCCACAGTTTGGCACTTCTCTTACTTGGCGAATAGTGAAGTAAGCCTTGTTGTACGATTCTACAAATGCTTCTAATAATAATTTTTTATTGATAATATTTTGTTGACGTATTTCCCAATTTGTGCGAGTTAGGACAGTTTCGCTCGAATTCTAAGGTGTGCATACTAATTGTTGGAGAAGAAGTTATACATGTTAGGCTGGTACGTTGAAGGTTGATCATAAATGAGATCCAGCTGGGGCTTGCTAGTTTGACCAGTCTTCTCAGGAAAATTTTGTTGAACTTGGGGTGCTTGACTAACATGTGGAATACTTTGTGGAGTTGAATATTGTGCATTCTGTCCATATTGACCACCCTGGATTCCAAATGAGGGCATTTTTGGCGGCAATTGTGGAGGCAATTGTGGGGGTTGATTTGTATTTGACGTTGGGAATATGGTTGCACCGCCATATGAATGAGTAGGCTGACCGTATGACTGTTGCTGTGGATTAGATATACGAGATTGTGATCCATAAGATTGTTGTGGAGGAATGGTCCCATATGAGTGTTGTTGTGGAATTGATGAATAAGAATTTTGTTGTGGAATCGATCCATAAGAATTTTGCTGAAGAATTGAACCATGTGAAGATTGCGGGGTTTGTACAGCATGGCCATACTTTGGATGAGAATTGACTTCTAATCCCGCCAAACCTCCAACTAATGCATTAGCATCCTCCTTCTCTTTCTTTGTATTCTCTCCAAATTGAAGCAATGATCGATAAAACTCTACTCCCTTACTTAATCCAACAGTATATCTTTTCCAGCCGTCATACAATTGATCAATTTTCGCTTCTTGACTTCTTAAAAGCTCATCCTTGAATCGTTTTGAAGATTGGACTTCCCTAACTTGTGGATCTTGTGATAAAACCTTCCATTCCGTCTCTAATCTTGCCAGAAATTCCTTTTGTTGCTTGACTAGCTTATCAAGATCTGTAGAATATCTTCTAAACTTTTTCATCTCCTCTGGGAAGATTATATTTTTAATCTCATTAGTAGTCTTAACCCTAGTGTTTAGGATCAAAATATCAGAAATATCATCCAGATGAATTTGCTTTTTCAATGACTCGATTAACTTACCTCTATCAGATCTCACAATATTCAAATCATGAAGTATATCCTCAATCAGCTTAATTCTACGATTAAGTGATTCTTCTGACGATTCCTTGAAATCATCAATATCCAACAAACTCATTTCATTCGGTTTCTTTTCTTGTTTTACTTCAAACAATCCCTTAAATTCTGCTGAATTGATTCCTTTGCCCAATACAGTATACAAATCAAAATTCTCTTGTACAAGATTGTACAAATTCTTATCTCTATTACTGGCTTCAATAAAACTTGTTTTCAATTGAATAATATCTTGACTTCCCCCAGTACTGCCTTGAATAATAGAAAATATTTGATCTCTTAATTCTTTGATTTGTTGCTTATTGGAATTGTCTTTATTGAAAGAATCAGCAATTTCCTTCGCCTTCGAGAGAGTAGTACTAGAAACCTTGGAAGATTCTCCGGATTCAGTTGATCCAAAATTACCGCCATTAATTACTTCTTTCAAGCTTACTAAACTTTTGGGCATTTTGAGCCATTCCAATACGGAACTAAGTTCTTCATTAGCAACATCATTTTGGTCAATTTCATTTCTTAAAAATTGAGATTTTTCTTCAGAATAGAAACTCATTAATTCATGAATATTGACAGGTACAACATTCGTAAAGAAATTATTATAATTGTGTTCATTAACCAGGTTAAATGTAGCGTTGGATGTAATAGGGATGACCTTGACTGCATCCATCGCTTTAATTTCAGGTAATGATGTCTTCAGTGGGATGATCTCATTATAAATATAATCATTATCACGTTCCAACTCTGATAATTTAATGGCAACTGCATCCTTTTGATATTTATAATTATCCAATAAATCATACACGGAGCCAGCCTTACCACGAGATATGGTACGAAGTGTATCTTGAGAAATCTCTTCAAGAATTTCCACCGATTTTTGCAAATGAGCAATTGATTGTCCATACTTCTTGGTAGATTCCAATTGAAGTCCTTGGAAATAATAAGCCAATGACAAATAATACAATTGTTTGAACTTCATCATTGATGGCCATGATGGATCCAATTGTGCAATCTTGACTGTGTCTTCATCAAGTAAAGCACCATCATCTCCATCAATTTCTCCGTCATCATTCTCGTCACTCTTTGCATCTAAATCATAATCATCATCCAAAAACTCATGTGGATCTCCCAGAACCTTACCACTGCCTCCATTTCCTTGCTTGATGAGTTTCACACACTCTTCATAATGTATCGAACATCCTTTACATAATTTCGATATCAAAGAATTTTTCAGTTGATCTAAGTCTCCACTTATAACCTTCAATGCAAACACTTCCAGGGCCTGTGCCAACATCAATTGAACCAAATATTTCACAGTGGGCTGACCTAAATCATTAGATGGGGCATGTAAAAAGTTTTCACTAAGGAATTGGTAAACTCCGGCAGCTTGTTGAAGATACAAAAGTGAATCTTTCAACAAATCATCTTTATCAGCTCCATTTTCACTCTCGCGGTATTTCTTGGTAGCAGCCTCCAGAAGAATCGCCCCTAAATTGAACAAAATTCCTGCCTTTTCAAATGGGAGAGCATATTGCTTGTAGCTTACAGATGGTTGGAATGCATCGAACCACTCAAAGCAAACCTTCTTATGCTTATTCATACTTGCAAATGCAACCCTCAAATCAAGTAGCTCTAGTTGACTGTAGTATCTGTAATACAATTGTACGCCAGAATTCTCGGCCGATACTCCTCGTAAATCCTCTCTTGTTTTATTTAAGATTGCCAAATCATCTTGATATTCAGAAGTGTTACCATAAATTGAAAGGAGATAGTTGTTCAATGGTTTTATCCATGAAACCTCTTCTGTTTTCTTCCGGGGTACTGAAAGAATACTCGTTTTCATCGCACTAATTGTAACTATCTAGATCAATTCTATTCTAATGTTATTCAACAAACAGATTCTTGTGATTGACGGTGATTGCCACACACAGGGGATAGCATGGTCAAATCTCATATCAGTGATTGGAAATATGCAGGATTCTCATTTTAATTAAATTTCAAGAATTTTTTTTTTGTTCCCTTTTTTTTTGTTTGTTGCATTTTGGGTGCAAAAATTCAGCATATGTATACATCAAGGAAAAATTCTATCTTCCAATAGAATTCTACAATGAAGCGTTATACATATCTCTGTAATCTGAAAGTCACATTCTAAGTCAAAAAAAAACTTAACTACTAAATGAAATTAACTACATGTAATTATTTTAAATCATATGTATATTGTACTCTCTAGAGTGTTGTATGGTAAATAGTTTTTTTCTATGTGTATATATTTTTTGGCCCTATTGCCGTGGATTGTAACATCCTTAAATGTTTGTTTTCTTATAATTCTTTTATTCCTTGCTGACGTATCCACCTTCTTCACAAAGCAGTCTGAAGATTCCTTGCTCAATGGCAAGTAATTCTTCGACAGGTCCGAATTCTTTTACCTCTCCCTTATCAAGGACAATAACTCTATCACTGTCCATTATGGTGTCAAGTCGATGAGCAATTGTTAAAATAGTCTTATCCTTAAATTGTTGACGGATAGTATCTTGAATGATTTTATCAGTCTGAACATCGACAGCTGCTGTGGCCTCGTCCAATATCAATACTTTGGATGGGTTAAGAAGAGCTCTCGCGAGACACAAAAGTTGCTTTTGACCCAGAGAAAGATTTGATCCACCTTCAAAGACTTGAGCTGAAAGCCCAGTATTAGTTTCATCTGATTTCATTTCTAAGACATGATCTTTCAAATGTGATAATTCTAAAACCTTCCAAAGTTGCTCATCAGAATAGTTGTCAAAGGGATCCAAATTTTGTCTAATACTTCCTTCAATGGTGTGCGCATCTTGTGGGATAATACTAAGTTGATGTCTCAAATCATAAAGTCCAATCTTACTAGTATCAATTCCATCAATCTCGATGTGACCACCTGTAGCTTCAATGATACGGAACAATGCCAATGTAAGACTTGATTTACCAGCACCTGTACGTCCAACAATACCAATCTTTTCACTGGGTTTAATGTCGATATTGATTCCCTTAAGCACCGGATCCAAATTAGCTCTATATTTAGTACTATAATTCTTGAAATGAATTGTACCAAGATTTGGCCAATCCGCAGCTGGTCTCTCATCTTCAATAATCATTTCAGCTTCCGATGGTAAATTACAATATTCAACAAGTCTTTCGATCGAAACAGTTCTCGATTCTACTTCTGCCCATCTTCTAACTATAGCATTTAAAACACTAGTAATACTCAATGCATAAGTCATGACGAAACCGACAAGACCAGCAGTGAGCTCAAAACGCGTCCCCATACTCAAAATAACAAGAAAACCTGATGAAAATAAAAGAATAGATGAAATTGATTGCAATCGCATTGATAACCACCTATTGCACATCGTCAAAATGTAATTAGCCCCTACTCTCGAATCGATATTAAACTTATTCTTGAAGTCAAATCTTTCCAATTGATCATATGCTCTCAATGTTTCAATCCCATTAACTGATTCTTGAATATGAGAAAAGACAGGGCTTTTTCTTGCACTTAAAAGACGTTTTAATTCTCTGGAGGTTGGAATGAAGAACTTCCGGATTTCATTGTATATAACCAACAAGCACAAAATTACTATAGCCATAGCTGGAACATTGATCACAATTACTGAGAGAATTGAAATCCCATTAAGTACTACTTCGAGAAGATCAATAATAACCCATGGCAAGTGCAGATCAATTTGACCGATATCTTCAGAGAATCGATTCAAGATACGCCCAATAGGGGTAGTTTCAAAGAAAGACATTGGGGACCTCAAAACAGACTGGGCCATATTATCATGGAAAATTCTAGAACCTCTGATAATACAACAAGTCCACACTATAAATGCACCAATTAAGGTGAAAGCACCACCAAGAACACCAGCAATAAAATAATATGTTAAGTATTGGGTTGGTTTCACATTCACACCTGCACTTTCATTTACCTCTGACCAATGCTTAAGGATATACTTCCCAATTACTGCAGTACCAGTGGTGGCAGACATTAATGCAATATAAAGGAAAATAAATTTGTAGTTGCAAGCACGGAAATACTCCAAATAGACGGACATTTTCACTCTACCAGTATTTGAAACCTCCTTATTGTTCCCTGTTCTCATAATGATCTGTTCCTCTTCCAAATCTTCATCTTCATGCTTATGAAGAAATGGTAAAATACTAGCCGTTCCGATCGAATTGGATCTAGATCGAGGTTCGGTTGTCAAGCCCTCGGGATGGAATTCTTGTATAGAATGATCTGATGATTGCAGACCTTCAACTGAGTGACTTTCTGACGCCAAATCAGAGTCCTTCTCATTTTCCTTCTCTTTTTCTTCGCCTACGGCTCTTCCAAATTCATTTACCAAATCAGCTAAACCTTCTCCTTTAGCCATAACTTCTGCGTATGTACCACGTTCTTCGATACGGCCCTTGTTCAAATATATGATTTCATGGGCCTCTGAAAGTACATTAACAGAATTTGTAGCAAGGATCTTCGCTTTAGTATTCAAGATACCATTTGAACCTAAAACTTTTTTAATTATATTCTTCCCGACATGAGCATCCACAGCGGATAATACATCATCCAAAAGGTAGACATCCGCTCTAGCATAAACAGCTCTAGCTAATGAAAGTCTAGCTTTCTGCCCTCCTGATAAAGAAATACCCTTTTCACCTACTACAGTTTTATCGCCATCTGGTAATGATTTAAAATCACTTAAAAGTTCACAGGCATCAATAGTTTTCTCATAGAAGGCTTTATTGTAACGGCAACCGAAAAGAATATTTTCTTTCACAGAAGCATTCAAAATCCATGGGGATTGTGAGCAGTATGCAATCGTTCCATTCACCTTTAGTTTCGAATCTTCGGTTTTTAAAAGAGGAACTTCTCCTAAGATGGATTTGAGAAGTGTTGTCTTCCCACTTCCAACTCTCCCAACAATACAGTTAAGGCGTCCCTTTTTGGCGGTAAGAGATATGTCAGAAAGGGCTCTATTTGAAGTTTCTGTAGCGCTTCCTTTGGCACTCCAAATGAATGAAGCATTTTTCAATTCAATGGCTACATCTCCAATCTTCATTGGTTCATAAGTTCTTTCAACAAAATGGGATTCAAGCTCAGGAAGAAGGAAAAATTTTGTTAATCTTTTCAAACTAACCCTGACTTCTACTAAACTTGATATGATATTTGGAAGCATCAATAATGGGTCGCTTAACATGTCGAAAAGTGCCATTGCTGGGAAAATCTTATCCGGAGTCAATGGAATATCAAAAAGGTAAATATAAGTGGTAAAACTAGCGCATGAGATACAAAATGGGATACATGACCAGAGAAATGTAGAAAAGGCATTAAAAACACCAATCTGACTTTCGGTTTTAAGCTCCCCTCCATTTCTAATTACGTCAAGACGTTCTAACATTGGTTTCTCCCATGAATAAAGCTTAATACTCTTGATAGATGTCAAAATTTCGCTGGTAAGTTGAATCCGTTCATCTTTAAAATCAGTACTCTTAGTGTAAAGCGAAGTAATAGAAGTACTGACTTTACTGGAAAGAGGAACCAAAACAAGGGCAACTAAAAATCCACCCCAAGTAGCATTACCAATGATTTTATGAAGTGAATAGAGACATACCGCAAGACGGATAGGGTTCACGATAAGATCAGATAAAAGATCGGTGATTTCTTCAATAGTGGCCACATCTGTAGCTAAATGGTTAATGATATCACCAGATGACTTTTCCTTACGGGCTTCAGGAGAAAGACGAAGAGACTTTGCATAAACCATGGACAGGAGCGATGTCTGAATATTGAAAATAAGATTGAAAAGTGATATAAACATTCTGTTGATCGATACAAATTTAACGACTGCCACCAAGAACATCAGGCAGACAATTGCGATTCCAATAATTATGGGTGGTGGTGGTTGATTATCATGGCCACTTCCTTCTGTAGATCTTGAGTAGAATAACAATAATTGTCGAAGCAACAATGGTTGAATAACAGAAATGATCACATCAAATACATTGAAAAGAAATGTGACAAGAACCAAATACCAATTTGCTTTATATATAGGACTTAACAATGATGGGAATTTCAGATGTACCTGTTTCTTCCAATATTTTTGCAATTGAGGATATGTGACGTCACAAGTCATTTCCAAGGGTAATGGAGGTACATGATCTTCATTTAATTTGTTTGTCTTGTACACTTCCTTCATAATTGGTTCTACCCATGAAATGGACACATCAGTAAATATATTACGAGCATTTGTAGTATCCCATTCATTCAAAGCAAAATAATCAGTCAATTCTTGGGTTGGTACATACCATGTGCTACTCAAGATAACCACCACCAAGGAATTTATGGTGAGCAATATTTCAACAGTATAACACGCGGCATAATGTCTCAATGACTGTGAAGTTGTAGATGAGCGAAGGAATACGGTATGACTTGAGAAGGAATCAGTCAAGACCCAAGTTAAGCAAGAAACAAATTGGATGGACCAAAATATCAACAAGGAAGCGTGGGGTGTGTAGCTTCTAGTAGGTTCAGCTAAATGAAGGGGTAAAATGGATATCAAAATTACCAATAAAATCAAGGAAAGTGCAATACTTTGGGATGTACTTCCGTACAAAGAATTGGCCGATAAAAGGAAAGCATAAAATATCGCTTGCAATGCAATAGATACAAACTTAACAATATTAGCTACTCCTGCACTTCTCCATGAGAGAGAAGAGCCAAAGGAGTACTTAATAGAGTATAGACCGAAAGTATTGTGAAATAAAACTTGGTATAATTGGTACAATGCAAAAAGCCCTACTATCAATTGAGGGATTGTAGTAACCAAAATAACAAAGCATGGATTTGGAGAGTTTTCAAAAGGATTATATAACGGCAGGAGAATATCCAGCCACGAGCAGCACCCATAGTCGCATGACACAACTAAAGGATTGACCGATAAAGCTATATCACTCGGCAGAAACAGCATTTCCAATGAGATGAATGAATATGATATCGATTAATTTGGTTGATCAAGTTCTATATATATATATTCGGGACATACAATGCATGAAAAAAAAAATTCCAAACTAGATTAGGCAGTTTGGAAATTTGCCACCATATTCACACATGTTGTTTGAAAGGTGGTAATCAATCCACATTATGTCAAATTCAGACCCATTGAACGCACGGCACTAACATCAATAAAGGGAAGGTATGCATATATTTTGGGTATGTGCAGAACTACCCGAGAATTTCGGATATCGGAGATAAAATTAAAGAGTCATCGCCGAATATGACTAAAGGGTGAGAAGGAAAAACTAGTACTTGAGATGGATTGCGGGTAAATAATTACCCTTTTTTTTATGAAAGATAATGATTTAATTTCGTTAACAGCAAGAAGTATTTTTAGTTTTAGTCGTTGTGACAGGTAAAAGACTAATAACTTGATATGCATGCAAAAGGTTGGGTAGATATAAATGAGAGCCTCAGATAGTTGATGCTAGGGTTCGAAACAAATACAATTTATTAAGAATTACACGTCTTACTGGCCATCTTCACGAACTGTCAATAGTCATACATCTAAATTATACATTCCAGGTCATTATTTCTTTTCTAAAACTCATATTTTAAAGGTTAAGCTATCTCGTTTAAAATATACTAATACTTATTTCCAATACAATCACCCTTCACCAACTTTAAGTATCTGTTTCTTTTTTTGTCAAAAAAATGATTCTTTCTTCTATTTAAATGGCTATACTTTGAAGCTTTGCCTCTCTAAATATCTATTATTGATGTTGGGTGCAAAAAAGTACATTCATATTTATTATTGCAACACTTTTATTGCATGCAGTCCAAATATGAGTTAGATAAAATAATCCCATATCAAGAAAAGTCTAAAAACATTGTACCATTTTGTTAGTACATTTCTTAACTCTTTTTATCAATTCATGGTATTAGATAGAGGGAAGGGGCCGGTTAATGTAGTACAGACGGTGATAGAAACGTCAAATTGCATTGACAAGCTTCTACCTGTTGGAGTGCTCTACTTTTGCGATGTCCCTTTTGAGTTGTCAGATTTTGGTGGGATTGCCTGTCATGATGGTTTGAAGGTTCCAAGATCAAATTGGCGTTGGTTTGACATAAACTTTTTCTTGTACAGGTTAAGCCAGAATGAATCGGGTTTGAGTATGATCAACCCAGTGCTTGAAGATTTACAGTTTCTTATAAACAATCGGTTTTGTATGGCAACTTTCAAGAACTTTAAAGAGAGCAAGCATGGGGTACTGGTAAGTGCCGTACGTGTATATGCTGTTCCATCTGATATACCTGGAGCACGACATTTTTCTCAATGGAGACATGGACGTCCCAGATCATTATTTGTAGAAAAAAATTCAAAAAAAAGTTGGTGGCGCTTACTTTGTCGAATGGATTTCTCTATAGAAAGTTGGAAATGTGAAAAATTGATTATGAATGAAATATTAATAATATCAATTCAAATGAAGCGGAATAAACAATTTTCTGCTCAATATTCAAGCCCTATAGGTCAAGATGTTTTGAATTTTCATGTTGAAAGATGGATTAGACGAAAACGGTTGGTGAAATATACACGGTCCAGTGATCAAGCTACGACGACCACCCCCTCTATTACTGATACCCTTATGCGTATATATAATGGAATCCCTTCACCAGATGTTTCAAAATATACTCAGGAGAAGTTTGATAAGAAAGACGCGGATCCTAGAGTAGTTTCTATTTCGCGTATTCTTAAGATACATCGAAATACTCCTATTCCGGGAATGTCTTCGGTGTTGTATCCATTCCAATTGAAATCTTTGGTGAAAATGTATGAGAAGGAAACAGTGTTGGAAACTCGTGTAGTGCCTAACTTTATAAAGTTGGAATCTCCTTGTGAAAATAAGTCTTATTATTTTGATATTTCCGAATGTGTCTTTTGGACCAAACCTGAGCTTTACAAATTACCTTGTGGTGGTATCCTTGCAGAGAATATGGGATTAGGAAAAACGATTATTTGCTTAGGGCTTATCTGTTTGAGTAAATATGAAGTTTCAATGATTCCAGAGGATGCAAATTTGTTCATTAGTAGCACTACAAAAAGTTTTAACCTTCCTACATTAACTGAATTATGTCACCAGAAGGTTAATCAGAAATCTTTACCTTGGAAACGCTATATAAATGATCTTCCTCAATCAGTCGTTTCGATCCTTCAAAGGAATCCGGGGTATTTTCAACTTCAATTGAATCAATTACCAGGGCAAACAAGAAATAGAGTTTTGCGTAGAAATATTTCCGATGAAGATTCAGAAGGAATTACCAGATTGACATTACTCTTGTGTAATACTACACTTATTCTAGTTCCTGATAATCTTTTCCATCAATGGAACAATGAAATCAAGAAACATATAGGACATGGATTTCTCCAAATCCTCTTCATATCAGGACAATTCACCAGTCCAATATACTCAGAAGATTCATTATATACAAATTCACTTCCAGAGGATGCCACAGAATTGACGAAGTACGATTTGGTCATAATTTCGCATAGCTTATTGAATGTGAAGGGGAATCAAAATACACCCACAAGTATACTTTTGAAACGGATATACTGGAAAAGACTTATTATCGATGAAGGACATTCAACTACTAGTCGGAACTCAAAAGTATCCACTCTTTGTCGAGAAATCCACTCTGAACGAAGGTGGGCTGTTACAGGTACCCCTACATCTGGCCTTACTCGTTTGGAGATGGAGGAAGATGATGCCATGGAAGTGAATAAGGATGATGTGGATAAAACGAAATATACAGTAAAGACAAGCATAAATGAAAAAGATGATCTTTTAAAACTTGGGGCTCTAGTAGGAAGCTTCCTCAAGATTGAACCATATCACACTCAGCCGAAAATGTGGACATCTTTAATGTCGAAACCTTTACTTGAAGGTCGTTATGGATCCATACGAAGTCTTAAAAGGCTTTTAGAAAATATCGTTGTTCGTCATGTTCTTTCCGATGTGGAACAAGATTTGAAATTGCCAAGTCTTCATCACCGTCCAGTATTCTTGACGCCATCATATCATAATAAACTTGCGGTTAACATGTTTACAGCAGTTTTAGCTGTGAATGCTGTATCATCGGAAAGAACGGATATAGATTATATGTTCCATCCGCTGAATCGACAACAACTTCGGCGATTGATTACAAATCTTCAACGAAGTACATTCCATTGGACAGGGTTCAAACAGGAAGATGTAGAGACTCTTATCACTGTTTGTCGGAACTCCATGAAGAAGAGAAATCACAATAAAAGTGATATTAATTTATTAAAGGACTCGATGCATGCCGCACAAGCCGCCTTAGCCAATCCTAGATGGAGAACAATTGCTCTATTGCATGAAATGAACTATTATGTAGCAGGACTTCCTGGTAGCTTCACAGGAGCGTTCTCCATGGGGATATATGAGAAAGAAAATGAAGAGGAAGATATATCGGTGTTGGGGGCACCTCACATCCTGGCTGTACAAGAATTCTTCTACAAGAATCGATTTATGGATATGAATGATGAAGAGAAACTCCGAAGCAAATTGGAGCCGGCTTCAAAATCATTTTGGAAAGGATATTGGGGGCAGACTCAAAAACGTAATATAGAACGGTTCAATAAGCAAGATGAAAACCAAGGGGTGAGGTCTGGTGTTACCAATGACCAAATTGTAGGTGTGCTACAATCACCAAAGGAACTTAAGGGATATGTACCCAAGAGGAAGCGAAGAAGAAGTAGTGATGGAGGGGATCTAACTACCAAATTGGAAGCAGTTGAGTGGGCAAACCGAAATACTCCAACTTTTGGAGGCATAAAAGGAGCTACTATTTTAGGAACTGCGTCGGCTAAACTCTCCTACATCTCTAGTCGACTCTTGGAGCATCAATATGCTGGGGTGAAATCGATTGTATTTTTCGAATTTGAAGACAGTGCGTATTATTTAACTGAGCTGTTGGATGTCTTGGGAGTGAATTATATTCTTTATGCCACATTCATCCGTCCTGGTCAAAGAGCGACAAATCTTTCTGACTTTAGTGACTACTCCTCGGGGGGTATCACTTTGATCATGGATCTTCGGTTGGCATCTCATGGATTGAATATTATTGCAGCAACTCATGTATACTTCTTAAATCCAGTGTGGCTGCGGAGTGTAGAAGCTCAGGCGATCAAAAGAGCTCATAGGATTGGTCAAACCCAAGAAGTTTATGTGGAAACACTCATATTAGAAGGTACTTTGGAAGAAGAAATATACAAAAGGCGTAATACGATGGATGTTGATGATGATGAATTAAGCAATGATTCTCCAACCACTGGAAAAACGAAGAAGTATGTTATTGATGATACAGGAATGCAGCAATTTATTCTTCGCCATAAGTTCTTGGATATACATCAGGATGAACGAGAATATGCACCCTTTGTTGCCCCTGCTATTGACTTACGGACTTTCCACGGCTATGATGATACTGATGAGGCTTCTTTGCTAGACCATTCTGATTCAATTTATCAAGAAAACCTCCGTGCATGGACTGTACATGTATTTAGTAACGCTAACTTGGCGAAATTAAACAATGCAAAGAACCAAAAGGTTAGGAAGGCTTTCCTGGAGCAAGACTATGTTAAGAAACTAGTTGATCCTATTGAACAAATCAAGGAAGAGTTTGAAGAGACTAAGGTACCCACGCGTAAGAGGGTCCGATTTTAAACTTAATATATGAATATATCTATAATAGAACACCGTCAAAGACTTCTCTTCCTAGTAAAGACTGCTACAGTTTGATTGTATGCTTCGTTTATATTACATATATATACATGGTACCGTCACGATCTAGAACTCCCTTATTATGACTGTTCCATCCACACTTGTAGATACAATCAAATTTTCTGATGGATGGTGGTCAATGCTGATTACGGTACTTACATGTCCCAGTAGTTTTTTAGTGACTTTCCTCGATGCAAAATCCCACACAGTTACAGTTTTGTCCTCTGAACCTGATATTATCGAAACGTTATCAGTACTGAATTGTGCACGAATAAGCTGTTGTTCTTGGCCCGATGGTGCACCGTCATACACATATGGGTTAGCTCGTGGAATTCCCTCAGGAACAAACTCTTTAGCACTGTAGGTATTTATATATCCATTCATTCCTCGCGAGAGAAGAACAGAGTCATCACCATTGACTGCAAGTGATGTGATTGAGTCTCCACCTTCGGCAGCACATTCCCATAAGGGTTTAGAACTATCTCTCACATCGAAAGCCCTAACTGTAGGATCAATCCCTGCTACGTAAAATACTTGGCCCAGTCTATTGAATGTCCCTGAAAGGAGTGGATATGACAGTTCGATAGAAGATATAGATTCACGCTGTCTTTGGTCCCATAAACATGTCCATCCATCGTCTGATACACTTAGAGCCACTCCTGTTTCCTTCGAAACGTCCACCTCATTGATACAGAGTTCATGGCCCGTACACTTACGAATCCTTTGTCCCGTGGTTGTATCCCAGAACCCAACGGTAGCATCCGCACTCGATGAGCACAATGTTGATTGGTCTTCGAGCCATCGCACGGCTGTCACTGCGCCCTTATGGCCAGAAAGTACCCCGAAATTACAGTTTTCATCATCGTGGGTCGGTAATGACCATAATAGAATCTTCTTATCGGTTCCAGAAGTGGCAATCATATCACCAGACCCATTGAAGCGAGCACTAAGTGACGGTCCATTCTCATGTCCGAGAAGTTCTATTGGAGAGTCTGTGTAGAGAACTTTCCCGCCAGTCAGACCTGCAGACCGAACTAAGCTCGTACTCGTCCCATTCTCTCCTTTCCTCCTTTTGGTAATCAAGGACATGTTAAGACTTGATTCTTTATTGTTGTCCCCAATACATGGACCATCACCATCTTCAATGGATTCATATCTGGAAGTCGTGGGAAACTCTTAGTTTATATGCAGGCGGTGTCAATCCTAATACATCAGTTATGAATAGAATCAACTTTCTATCAAGCTACTACTCTGTAAAGAAGAAAGTATTCTTTGGTTACTGACTAGATTCTTGGTAATCCATTTACAAAATCGCTACAGTAATATCATAATCTTGTGGTGTATTATTCTACCTACCTCACGCCAAATACTCATAAGTATCATTCTCCACTCTTCTCAAGTATTCACGTTCAATCAAATAGTCAATAACTCTCTTGATATCTAAAATCTTAGCTCTAAACCGTGATAATGCTTGCGTAGCAACGTCGTTCACCAATTCATTATGTTTCATTTGCTTTCTGGTCTTCATGATCCGTACAATGCATGCAGAGAGATAATTTCTTCTGGTCTCGTCAATCTCTTTATTTGTATCATCTTCTTCTTGCTTCACTTCAGTCTTGATCGAACTCACAAAGTTTACCTTAAGTTTCTTCGATTTGTATTCTTCAACAATTGTATATTTGGTTTGACCAGGGCCAGGAGCATCAATAAGCTTGTATTTGGTGAATGGAAGTAAATGTGATTCCAAAGTATGTTTAGCAACACCAACAATTTCTAAAAGCTCATCAAAAGTGTATGTATTCTTTTTGTTGAATGCAAGCAAGATCATTAATTGAACATTACTTACAGTGAAGAGGAATGGGGGTTTACCCTTGCGTGATAAATTGGCCTTAACTTCACTCTTACCATGGTTCCAAAGCCATTGTAATTGTCTTCCATTATGCTTACGATGATAAATCTCTTCCAATTTGTTGAAAGACAGTTCAAGTTCAGGTGCTAATTTAAGATCATAATCTTCAGAGAATTTAAATGGCCACATGGAATGGGCAAGAATAAGTGGAGTGAAGTCCTTGACTGGTTCTATGGAGTTGTTTGTAGCTAATTCATCTCTTACACTATTCTTTAAATCATCTGATGACTTCATATCTTGGAACATCTTTGTCATCTTTGAAGTGTATTCCAAGGAATTCTCTTCTTGAAGTCTTTGAATGATACTCTCTTCTAATTCATCTGACTTGGTGTTGCTGTTGATTAATCTTTTAGCAAGAAGACGACGGTAGTGTTCTTCAAATGAATCCTTATCTTCAACAAATTTAAAAATAATCATGAGATTATCAGTGGACATATCTGCAGTATCACTTTCCTTCGAAGTCGCCTTAAGGAATGCATCTGAATAACGGGCAAGAAGGTCAGGAGTCTTGCACGCAGATTTTGGGGTTGGAGTGGCAACTGGGTTCTTATTGATGAAATGACGACAAGCATTATCAAGAGCCTTGATGAAAAGTGGGTCTCTAGAGAATGCCGAAGTGACAACATCATTAAACTTATAATATACGGTTAAAAGTGTATGGATGTAAAGCTTAGGTGATACACCTGTTGCCTTTCTCCCAGCTGCAGCACCACTTACAGTGCCGGTAGGATTGGCAGCCTCGGTGGCTGCTGTGATTCTTTCAATCTCTTTAACTGCCTCCTCTTTAATATATCTTTCTAATCCATCTGCCAATGGTTGAAGAGTATGCGGTACTCTTGATAATAATTTATACATTCTCTGAATATGGCCAATTTGGTATTGTTCCAACAATTCCAAAAACAGGTCATACATCCCCTGTGCATGTTCCTCAATTAAAACTTTGTTTAAAGTATCCAACAAGAACCGTTTGGTATGATCTTCCAAATAATTGTTCAGTCTAGAGACTTCTTCTGCTAATCTAGCTTCACATTTCTTCATATAATCAACAACATTATGTTCAGCAAGGAATTGGGAACTTTCCTTTTGATAATACTCAGCAGTTCTTTCCAAGAACACATTTTCGAAATGTTTAATATAAACTACTAAATTTGGCTTTTTCAAATCTTGAACATCAATACCCAAAAATACTAATGATTTAATAGCAGTGGAAATCAATGATGAATCTACAATTTCATTATTTCTTTGTCTTTCAATTTGTGCCAATACTTCTTCGATAAGAAGCTCAGCATTTTCATTAAACAAATGAGTTTTCCATTTGAGTAACGACAACGTGTTGACGTCAAATACGTCTCTTCGTCCATCAGATCTTTCCTTCTGGACCCAATAACGATTCATATAATCGAAAACATTGTTCATATAGCCGGCCCCAATGGTGAAACGGGTCCATTTCCGTACATAAAACTCAAGAAACAGTTCACCTTCTTCCTTATGGAGTCCTCCAATGAACCTCACAAGGTATTGATCAAGCTTGTTATAGATCTCAGCCCCTGCCAAGGAATATGAGTTGTTAGATGAATTACTGCTATGACTACCTCCCAAAGTACTTCCTGCACTGCTACCATGTCTGGACTTGTTAATACAGTAGTTGTAAATTGCAGTGTAACAATTCATGTACATCTTGGAAGTGACACCCTGGTCACCCTGAGAGCCAAGAATAAACTCTAATCCTGGTTGTACAAATGACCAAGTGGCGTTAAGGTCACTCGCGATCGGGAATGGTTGAGACATAATTGGATCGTCCTTCTGTTTTGCCTTCTTAATTCAACACTCTTTCTTTCTTATATATGGCGTTCTCAACCGATTGTCTGGATACCTGCTAGAATCCCTTTATGAAGATCCCTTGATTCGTATCTATAATCGAAAAAAAATCCCCCACAGTTGCACAAATGCAGTGGCTCCTTTGCGGTTTGTTTGATTATTTCGTCTCTTTTTCTCCAGAGTCGATTTCAAGCACTATTACTTCCAAAGTACTTTCAAATATGTATCTATCTATAAGATTTTATCTTCTATATTTAGGTGCCTCCTTACTTTATTTCTCGTAGGATACCTATTATGAATTTAAACTCTCTTCCCGTTTTCGGAATCCCTCCAACATTTGATGTGGCCCTCTCTCTGTTTTATAATTGGTAAGGGCACGTCCGCGAATATCCAGCTTCACTCCATACCGAATATGCAACTAAGTGTCAATTCTATATATTAAAAAAATTAGTATTCTATTATATATATAATTCAGTACAATTTATATTCATGTCTATATATATATATATATAGTAGCCACGTATTTTATATATCAAGTTATGTATTTTTTCTGTAAAGCAAAATTATTTTTATATTAAGAAAAATCATGCGACTAATCAACCGCAACCTTGGCGGTACAGTTGTAATGATATCACAGAAGGTACTAAAAAATTAGATTACCTAATTGGCACCATTTTAGATCGATATCTAGTTCCCTTTTAAATATTTCACTTTTTCTAATCTGATCTTGGAGTGGTACTAACTCTATCAACAACTCTGACAATACTAATAGTAAAGGTAACAACCCAAAGACATAAGGCTATGAATAAAAATGCCAGTAACGCCCTTTGACGACGACAGATCAGTCCAACTGTAGGGTAGAAAATCCCAATGGTTGCCAAATCTGGGTTGTTATCATTCATACATACCCATTCATGATCATATAAAGTATTGAATGCTAACGACAAATTTGCCAGTGAAAAAATGATAAATAATAAATCCAACATAATTAATTTCATTTTCTCAACTGGATCACGAAGTCCCAATGGTTTCCCATGATATTCGTCATATGCAATATAAACCACGTAGATTATGGCAAAACATTGTACACAAATGGCCATTATAGTCAGCGGTTGTTGTACAATTTTGGTATCATCATATTCATGACTCAGTAGCACAAATATGGATCCAGCCAATGCCAATGCAAGTGTAGAAAATATAATGGTAAGTATACGAAGAAATAAAGGAATGAGTGGATTTTGAAGAAAGATACGCTTAAGAGTAGGTTTAAGATCAGCACGTTTCTCACCAGACATCCAATATCCAGCCTTTGACCGTACTCGAGGTGATGGCTCATTAAGTTCAAGGTTAAGTCCAGCTGAAGGACCTCTATTTCTATTTTTGAATGGCCACCATCCTGATTTCTCCTCCTTATCATAAGTTCCATCATCGGATGATGAGGTTCCCAATAATGCATGTTTTAATCTATCTTCACCTCCCCAACCTCCTTCTAAATTCCAATCTGAATTAAACTTATTATCATATGCCACCATATCAGAGGTGTATGCAGTTGGTTGTCTCACAGTGGCAAGGAAGTTATGCCAATTGTTATCCAAGGATTTAATGAATGGATCATTGGCAAATGATTGATATTCCTCGTCGTTATTATGTGATTTTTTCGAATGAACAGAGCGATGATGTGTGGATATCTGATCAGATTCTGGGTTATTAACGTTGGAGTTATTGAGTTGGTCTCTATAATGAACTTGTGAAAGTTTATCTAAAACATATGGTGGGACAATATTTGGACGATGGGAATAAGTTTTCACCATAGTGTCATATGGGTCCTCAAACGGTGACCTTGATGACAGGTGGCTCGATTTTGCCTTGTCAATTGCTGCTCTAATATGTCTAGGATGTTTCCTTCTTGGTTGTCTGTCAGGATCTACCACATGTTCAGTTGAAATTCCAAGGTCCACAGTCCGGCTAGGTTCAACTTTCGTCTCTTCTTCCCCATTGGCTGATTTTTCTTTTATTTTATTCTCTTCCTTATCTACTACCTTGTCTTCTTCAGGTCTTGTTGATAGTTCCAATCGTTCCAATGGATCCAAGGGTCCCACATGATCCTCCAATTTTTCAGACATTCTTCACAACAAATTATAAATGTATTTTTATACGGTAATAAATATACTGTATTAAAGTACTTCTAAAGAAATGTGTAACCCTTGCAAGTGATTCTCAATTTCTATAGAGTATATTAAAACTTAATAGTTACCTCTTTCGCTTATAAGAATTTCCTTTGTAAACAAACAATCGCAACCAATATAAATTTCAATTTTGTGTATCTTTGTGACACTTATCAGTACAGCAATGCAAAGCCTCCGCATAACCGTGGCGAGAGAAGGTTGAACATTCAAAGCTGAGGACATTACAGATCTCAACGACTGTTACAGACCGTCACACTAATCTGTTTGTTCCCTTTATGATGAACACAGTAGTTAGGTCTTCCTTGGTTCTGCGTGCTAGAACACTGCCACTTTCATTACCAACTACTAAATCAAATTTCATTAATTTATCTCAAAGTTTTCGCCCCGTTCATTCAATTAGACAATTTCATAAATCCATCCATGTCATTTCATTACCGGTAACAACCCGAAAGTCATACATTTATCTTCAACATAACTCGTCACTTCTTCTGAAGGCTCAGATTAACTCGATCCCCTGGGCTATCAAACTTGAAAATAAGGCCACCGGTCTTGCCACCAAGGCTTGGACTAAATTAAATGAATCTAATCTTCTGGTTAATCGTAAGATTGTTCAATTTGTGAAAAAATTACTAGATACTATTCCTTATGAAGAAAATTGTCTCAAGTCATTCCCTTCACAAAGTTCGATGATTCGTGAAGTCAATGAGGAAACTCTTGATGAGTCTCTTGAAAATGTATCAAGTACTTCTACTTCCCTTCCACCGGCTGTACTTCCTCATGAAATTGAAACACATAACATTCCTCATACTCAACTTAAACCAATCCCATTGTATCATCCATCATTCCAACGTCCAACTGTCATTCTCAATCAACTTCATGACTTCCGAGATGAAGCAAGGGCAAAACATTTGAAATATGCTCTTTTATGTGGGGTAGGTGTACCGCTTTCACTCCCCTTTGCCCTTTTACCGGTGGTTCCAAACGTTCCAGGACTTTATCTTTCCTACCGTCTTTATTGTAACATCAAGGCTTTACTTGGTGTCAAGCATTTAGACTATTTATTAGAATCAACCGGAGAACAAAGTAATCTTCAAAATACAAACCATATTTCATTTGAAACTGAATCGAAATTAGATGAAATCTACAAACTTGGGAACACTTCAAAGGAACTTCTTGTTAATAGTGTCCAAGAAGAAGAACGCCTTGTTATAACTCGTGAAATCATTGAAAAATTGTGCCTGGATTTAGACTTGGCCCATTTGAAAGAAGATCTTTACAAGGCTATGCGTCAAGAAGGTCATCGTTTAGGAAAGACGATAAAAATTACTGAAGAAGTTGAGTAGAAACCTACGTTGTACATAAATAGCCAATACCAAAGTAAATATTTGTTTCTACCTTTAAAAAAAATTAACTTCATAGTAGAGAAAATTATATTCATATCAGAATGGATCAATTACTGTATTAAGACATAATAGATAATAGATTTTTGTACCAAACCAATACGTTTATTGTAATATGCTCTACGAAGTAGGTATGATGTATTATTTCCCTTTTTGAATTGAGACAATAAATGTCAATACTATACTTTCCCGAAAAATACATAGTCGTTTTATGTCTAAATTTATTTACAGCATAATACTCAAGTGTAAGGAAATATAAAAAGGATCGGTGAACTACAATTAATACAATTCTTCAGCCCTTCTAATACCTATTAAAAGTTATTTTTAAAAAAAATCTTTAAAAGTAAAAGAGACTAAAGAAATGTCGTCAACATATAGTTCAAGTATCCATACCACAGGTTCCATGCAAGAAGATGAAGACCCTCCATCCTACCGATGGGCTATCCAAAGTGGAGCGTTCCTTATGAATATGGGAGCTGTGATGGGAGTCGCTTCAGAGGAGAATGTTTGTGGTGTTGTGCCTTATATATGTCCCTCTGGATGGACAATCAACGCTGGTCCAAAGTCTAGAAGAGCGAACCTTAACTACCATAAATCCAAAACATATTTATCCAACAAATTTGGCCAATTTAAGAAAATTATAAGAGGTGTTAACATGAAGAAAAGTTCAAGAAAGCACAAAAATAGTACTAAGATAAAAGAAATTGATTCGAATCAGAATCAAAATGCAATGTGGCCAAGAAATGTTCCTAGAGACCAATCAAGAAGAACTCGGGATAATTTAAAAAGTATTCGTGACAGAACATCACAAAGTGTAACCAATCATTCACATAAATCAAAAGAATATATGAAAGAGAAGGTAGGTCAACTATCGAATAGTACTTCTAGCTGTTCGCAATATATCAAGAAGTACACAAGTAGATTGAAGGAATCATGCGAATTGTTTTTCAAAGAATATGAGAAAGTCTTTAATACTTTCATTATTTTTACTGTTATCGTATTGGGGGGGGTTAATATTTACATGTTTGCAGGTACCTTTCCATTCATGCTTTACATGTATATTCTTAGCATGTAAGAAATTGTGTTTGATGAGGATTCAGATTAACTCTGTGGCTGCAAAAAAAAAAAAAGCTTCTTTAGCGCGTGCAGGAGTGGTTGCAGAAATTGGTCCAATTCGATACGGCTTTCATGAGTAGAACGGTGGTTTACTCTATTTATAATATAGAGGACATAGTTTAGTTGGTTTTATAGTTTAATAAACAAAGATTACAATTAGAAGGAAGTAGGTGAGGTTTTCAACCAATAAAAATGATTTAATCTCATACAAACTATTGAATGTGTTCCAACCCAAGTGAGTCATTTAAAGTTATCTCTAATAGTTGTACTTCAGATATTTAGACATCGCCTTACAAATGTATATATATATATATATATATCATCTTCACTGGTTGTGAATAAGAAAAGCGTTCTCAATGTGCAATTAATACGTTCTCATATTGCCAGTATTTCAACACAGCTCTTGGATTATCAATAATTTTTATGGTGAACTTACATTTTTTTAATGGTTAGCTTTGAAACTGACTTCCTATAACTCAATTGAGAGTGTTGTAAATGTAATACCAACTTGAAAAAAAAATACAACCATTTGCAACCGTTCAAATTGTTCCAAGAAAAGTTCCTTATGTATTCATTATACATATCATCTTGAAATCTCTCAATTTCTACAAATACTCGTTATTCTACATTTTCATTTTATTGCTACAATGTTATATTATATACAATCATATTCAACTGGATACCTAAATAATCAATATGTACTCCTAGACAGTATTACTGGTTTCAACCCTCTTTTGTGCCCTCATTTTTGTTCGCGAATAAAAGCAGTCACACACCCGTGATCTCCGAGAACATACTACTTGTTTTCCAAGTCGTGCATGTCCGCGCGTCTATCTGCAGGATCTTTCATACGTCGACTGTTACCATTTGGTATTATAAATTCGACCGAGGAGAACTTCACATTCGCCTTCCTTTCTTTTTCTCTACACACTAATTATCGTTTAAAATGAGAAATAAGTGGAGAAAGAAGAGAGTTAGAAGACTTAAGAGAAAGAGACGGAAGGTTAGAGCTAGATCCAAATAAGCGGACGGCCTTTTTAGGTGAGCTGCCTTCCTCTCTGTTGGTCCTAGTAGACCAGTGCTGAAAATTTTTGAAGATCGATGGAAGTCTTTGCCTCGATGATTGATGATGATACGATTTGTTGATTTGGTTTTGGTTTTAGTTGGTGTTTATTTTGGTGCTACTGCTGTGTAAAATAGAGAGGGGAGTAGTTTACTGGCTGCTTTCTAGTTCTATTCAACTGTTTCGTTTGTCGTTTTAACTTGCAAGAGTAAATATTTCAAATGAATGTCCGTACATATAAATTATTTGTTGTAGAAGATTACTAGTAGACGTTAAGGTCGGGTTACCATTACCTTATCTTGTACAATATGAAGATTTGAAGTGCTGTTGGGTTGGCCGTTAACCTGAGCAATGGTACATTGGTCACGCTAACAATTTATAATTTTCTCTCCACTTTATTGTAGGGCTCACAATTTTTTATCATATTTAAACTTTGAACAGAATGTCTTTTGAAAAATGAAGGGCTCTTGCATTTTTACTTGAATATTTGGTGTGGGTACATTTGAGTATCTTGAATTGTTGACACTCCTGTAATATGATCTGTATTTAGATAATCTCTTGAAACCTTATATGTCTTTGAAACTTATCACTTATTTGTGGTCAATATAATAAATTAGTAAAAAAATCCATATAATTATGTACAAATAGAAGAGTACAAATAATTAAAATTTTCAGTAGTAATATCAACCATATAGATCAAACAATTCTCTCATATCATGAGCCGTAGTTGTACTCTCGATCATAAAGAGTATACTTCTCCTACAAGGAATAATATTTTGGTCCGGAGAGATGTTTCTAGTGCTGATAATTTTCAACCTTCACAGTCACCGGCTATTACAATTGAACCAATTGCAAGCATTGAAACAGCTCTGATAATGAATACTATTCGTGAGCCAGTGGAGCGCCAATCTCAATTCATAAAGTTCCAACCTATTGTCCATGCAATTACTGCTGATGCTGACGTTCGAAATTCTAGTACTCAGGGGAGGGGTTTCAGTTTTGGGTGCAAAAATTTGCGACCTGTAAATTTCCAAAGCACTAAATCAACAGGAGACCTCAAACGGATGGCTAATTGCCAATCTAGGAAGTCTCTAAATATTAGACATTGTGACGAAGGTACTACTAGTAACTTCAGCTTAGAGTCACCCCCTGAAATGAGCACTGTATCATCAACTGAATATCATGTAGATTATACTAGTCCACATTACCCACCAATATCCATACTAACCCCTCCTAAACCATCAATAAGAGAATCTATAATACAAAACCGTGGTACCTCTCATTATCCTGACTCATTTCAGAATTATATGGAAGAGAGACTCTTTCGTTGGAGACCTTCAAGCTCAAACCAAGGAGTAGATTCAGCATTTAATAATAGACACCCTTTCCAATCGATGCAAGAATCCATGGGAGACCAAAGTGAAGCAAGCATTCTTACTCTTTTCAAACAATGGTGGGCTAGAGATCAAGTGAATACACAGACTCTTACTGTGGAAGATTCTGGCACACCGAGTCCGACGGAAAAGATCCTTGGACCTCGATTACAAAGGGTTCTGGATCTCTCTAAACTTGCTGAATCTTTCCAAAATGGAAATAGTTCTCAATCTTTAGTGATTGCAAGAGGAAGTTGTAGTCCGCATGAGCCACATCTACCAACTCCTATGGAGCCAGTCACTCTGCAACCCGGACCCACCAGAGAATTTTCGTACACGCCACATGCGGTACCATTAAGTACATTCCAATTAAATTTTGATAAAAAACAACGATCACCTGGACTTCCTTTTGCAACTTCAGTACATGATATGGAAGATGAATTCCAAAATTTGATTGATGGGCCAGATAACTTTCTTGTTGGATGTTTACAGATTACATCTATATGTAATTGTTGATACTACATCAAATTATTTAGGAGAATTATTCTAGAATGATTCAGTTTAATATTTAGAAATATATATTTTGTAAAAAGAATTAAAATGTACTGTCATATAAACAAAATGACACACAGGCCGTGTTCAACGATGATCTTACTCAGAAGCTTCAGCAAATCTTTCAGTGATGCTGGTCAACAACTCGTTGAATTCCTTCTTACCTTCTTCTTCACCTCTAGATGGTTCAAAGAACTTGGAGGAGGAGACAGAGTGCTTAACATCCGAAGTGGAGTCAGCTAACTTGGACCATTGGGCACCATTGGCAATAGCCTTTTGAGCTTCATCGTGATAAGAGATGAAAGCTCTCATCATGTCAAATGTCTTCCAAATAGGACAGAAGGCATCATAAGTGGAGTAACCGTTTTGTTGCAAGAAATCTTCCTTAATCAAGTTGGCAACATCCAAGGTAATCTTGTCAGCATCGGACAAGGCAGACTTACCAACCAATTGAACAACTTGTTCCAATTCTTCAGCGTTAGATAAAATTTCTCTGATCTTGTCTCTCAAAGCTGGGAATTCTGGGTAGTTAGAATCGTAGTACTTGTTCAACACAGTGGTGTACTTGGAGTATGAAACAGAAGTATTAATAGATGGGAAATGCTTTCTTTGAGCCAATTTTTTGTCCAAACCCCAGAAAACTTGAGTAATACCCAAGGTAGAAGTAGTAACTGGATCGGAGAAATCACCACCGGCTGGAGACACAGCAGCAACAATGGAAACAGAACCAACTCTATCAGGAGAACCTAAGGCAACAGCCTTACCAGCACGTTCGTAGAAAGAAGCCAACTTGGCACCCAAATAGGCTGGGAAACCTTGATCAGCAGGCATTTCACCCAATCTACCCGAGATTTCTCTCAAAGCTTCAGCCCAACGAGAAGAGGAATCGGCAATCATAGAAACATCCTTACCTTGATCTCTGAAATATTCAGCCAATGTGATACCAGTGTAAATAGAAGCTTCTCTGGCAGCGACCGGCATGTTAGAAGTATTGGCAACTAAAGTAGTACGCTTCATGATAGGTTCCTTACGGCCCTTAATTTCAGTGTATAATTCTGGGAATTCCATTAAAACTTCAGCCATTTCGTTACCTCTTTCACCACAACCGACATAAATAATCACATCAGAGTTAGAGTATTTAGATAAGGATTGAGAAATAACGGTTTTACCACAACCAAAGGCACCTGGAATACATGTAGTACCACCTTGAACACATGGGAAAATAGCATCCAAGACTCTTTGACCAGTCAACAATGGATAGTCAGCAGCCAACTTTTCAGTGACAGGTCTTGGGACTCTAACAGGCCAAGTGTGCATCATAGAGTAGTTGTGCTTCTTACCATCAAATTCAACTTCCAAAACGGTATCTTCAACATTGTAAGAACCGGATTCGGCAATGGAGGTAATAGTACCTCTAGCTCTTGGTGGTAAAAGAATCTTATGGTCATCAAGTAAAGAGTTTTCGTAAATGGAACCGAAAATGTCACCACCGGAAATATGGTCACCAACCTTCAACGAGCCTGGGTTGAAGTCATAGTTGACAGTACGAGACAAAGAAGGAGCGTCAATACCTCTTGGGATGTAGATAGATTGAGACAAGTCTTTAATGGCCTTCAATGGTCTTTGAATACCATCATAAATAGTTTCCATCAAACCTGGACCAAGTTCAACAGAAAGTGGCTTTCCGGTTCTGAGAACTGGGTCACCAACGGTGACACCGGCAGTTTCTTCGTAAACTTGAATGGTGGCCTTATCAGCATTAATACGAATAACTTCACCGACCAAGTTGTCATGACCAACCTTGACCAATTCATACATGGCACAACCAATCATGTTTTCGGCAACGATGACAGGTCCAGAGACCGAGAAAATCTGACCGTAAAGGGATTCATCGTGATCCTCTAAAGAGAGGCGTTTGATTTCTTTTCTTGCGTTCTCTAATGCACCAGCCTATAATAATAGTTAGTATGGAAATAGAAGAATAGTATTTAGAGCGATACCATGGCGACGTCTAATGCAATTGGGTCCATTGGAATAAAAGTCTCATTCAAATAGCGACAATTGATAGTATTATACTACATAAGGTGGTGTTACTAAGTCTCACAAGGTATAGGAATTGGTTGACAATTTCCCGTTATTGCCTTCTGGCCGTTTCGATGGGTAACTCCCAATTTATATCGCATAGGGTACACATCGTGTGATAAAGCCTATCATTGAAAAGTTTCGGTAAGTTACTCACCATTTCGAACTATTATATGTCACTGAAATGTGTTTTGATGTTGCAACAGTAACAATTGAGACACCCAAAGGATATTAGTTATCAGTCAAGTTATTAAACGCTGGACGATAAATTGCGGCGTGCGAAACCCAGAGTGTGATTACCAAAAATGGGTAGGACACGATAACAGCCCCCTAAAAGTAGTACCTTGTCAAGTAAACGCGTAGATAACTTTACAAGCGATTGTAATGTGATAAGATAGTGTCAGTATTCTAGGATAATACAAATTATATAATGCGTATATAGATCTTAATTGAAGTAATTTATTCAATCATGCAAAATAAAAATGAAAAAAAAATTGAAATAGGTCGAAGATGTTTAAACTAAACACATATATGTAGAGGATTCTAGTGGTTGCGAATAAAGATAGGATTCGTTGTTGGTAAGACGTCTTGAGAATAGTGGTAGTGTAGAGTCAATGGGTGGTATAGCTAGTCTTCAAATCGTTCTTCGATCAAAAAATGGGAATATGATCCTCTCTACTAGCTAGTACAGTCGCCTACAATATATAATGATAAATCAAACTGTATATATACATTATTATCTTATTAGTCTATTATAACTTCGCACCCAATTTTCTTGCTCTATCTAAAGCAATATCACACATGGCATTGAATGCCTCCTTCTTTTCAAGTTCTATATCATTACGAGCTATTCTTTCTTCCATATTTTCCATCACCACTACTCTACTTCTCCCATTGACAAACACTACATATCGTAAACCGGGGAAAGTTTCTTCATATTTTTCATTCAAGCCAGCAAGTTTAGCTTGTTCTTCTGGAGTGCCTTGTAATGAACGTTGTTCAGAAGATGAGTGTACCGAGAGGGTTTCCTGCTTCGTAGTTCCCGGTTTTGGTGCTCCTAGTCTTGGATGAGCAGCAATAATCTTAGATATACGATCATCTTGTGAATCAACAGTTACCAAAAAGTTGAGTAATTCCGCTCTTGATCTTTCTATAAATTCTACGTATGATCCAAAACTTTCATTGAACACTCTTGGGAGAAGTATTGATGCTAAAGTGGAACAAGGTTCAAACAAATGATCCAATACCTCGACCTTTTCCAGCTGGCTGAGTCTTGGAAGAGTTTCAATTGGAGGTAATGCAAATGTCATATCTATTGTCAAATCTAATAAAGAGAAAAGTGGTTGTAGTTTAGATTTTAGGGTATTTTTTTTCCTGGTGCCCGATCTAGATAAGAAAGATCGGATATGACCGAGACTGCATATTATATATCATAAGTATACGATTTGCAACCAACAACTGTCAAGTATTACTTAATTATCCCTAGTTATGTTTCAAAGATGGATAATCATGGAATGATCTATGTGATAGTTCTCTAAATCAGGAGCTGACTTATTTGCATTTTCGAGGAACACAAGAAAAAAAAATTGAAGTTCCTTAGATCTTCATCAAGTTCTGTACAATAATTGATCCTCCATTTACCTACAATTCTTTATTTCTTATTCAGTTTATTGATATCAAACTAATTATAATGTGTTTTTCATAAACGTCATAGAAACTTAAATTTATAGGATCTGAAATAAAAAAATAGTTTACAAATCGATAATTTCATTCTAAGTACGCAATAATTTTCAAATTATTATTATTATTATCTACCGTAGTACCAATTGAAAAAGGAACTTCTCTCCAAGAGCAATGCTTTCATCACATTTTCTATATACCTCCCCCCTTCCATTTTATCATACACAATATTCCGATATAATTGGCATGGATGCAAAGTTTACTAGCTTGAACTCACAGTCTTCATCACTGTTATCCCCCCAATCAATATCTAGATGATCCTTTGCAATTACATTCAAAGGATAATATAACCCACCACTGAGTATAAGAGTAAATGAAATACTCTCATAAGGACGAAGAATTATTGACGGTGCACTTATAATTGTATTTGGAATACAATTGCAACTAGTAAAAGCTATACCATTTCCAATATCTATACCAATTGTTTGATCTTTACTTATTGATGTGACCAGTAAATCAACTTTACAATCCTGCGAAACATAAGCATATATATAGTTATTCGAACCAGAAGTAGCATACGGGATATGACCATTAGTACCCGCTATATAGCCAGTATTCAAATACTCCCAACCAAGGTCACATCCTTCAGGAACGAAAACCTGGTTTGCAAGTACCATTGACAGTATAGCAAAAACAATGAAAAAGTGCTTCATTTTTATGAAATAAACACCATTATTATGAGTAGATACAAGTAAGGAAAATAGGTCTAAAATGTAGGTATATATTATCCAGAATTTCAGCTGATTAATTTTGGTAGGATAACGTTTTTTTAATACTTTCTTGGTGCATATGCAGCCCAATAATGACACATTTTATAGTGTAGTGTAAAAAGATTTAGCAAAAATTTTCATCGACCCTTGAAAGATCTAAATATTATTGTCACCTACATTTCCACTGATTCCTATCATGTTCAATGATTTTAAATTCGAAAATTAGTATGATTAATTAGATATCTTTATATTCCAGTATTTTGACGAGGGGTGAGGGTGATCTAAAAAAGATGCTCTTATTTTTTTACCGAATTGCTGCAATTTATTGCCGCTGAGGCGAGGAGTTTTCAGGAATACCACGAATAGCTTAGGACATCGACAGGGTTACTCATGTGTTAACTTGGCATATTTTTTGGTGTAAAGTAAACAATCGTTCATGCAAGACTGATCTGAGACGTGTAATGTATTTGAGAGCTTATATTATTGAGTACAAACAAAAGTGTGACAGCTTATTACCAACACCAGATTGAATTCAAGAAAAGTTTATGAATTCCTTTATAAACCCAATTGAGATATGTTTGTTATTTCTTTCATATATATATAATATTTTTGTCAGCCATTATTCCACGTGGCACATGCTACCTGATGAACCAAAATGGATCTTGGCGCATAATTCTTAGCACATTATAATTCTGCCAAACTACGGAGAATTATTACCAAGTATTACATCAGGGATGTAATTGCATCAAATATTACATAATATCACATTGTAGTTGGTACTTACCTTATCCCCGCAAAGTATTGAAAGCATTAGAGTTTCTATACATACTAAGAATTTTCAATACTTGGGCTACATTACATGTGGCAGTTATTCATTAACCACGACAGGAATTTTTACAGATGACCCTTATACTAAGCTAGACTCATTATTCCTGGACGTCTTACTGAAATCTGCTAGACTATTCTTCATATGGACCATACAGATACATTAAATAGCCAATACTTTGGTACTATCCTCTCATTACTATCAACCATATTATAATTATTTTTTCATCCTCTACAGCTCACTTTATCATTTTCTCTACAGTAAATTCAAATATCATATACGCCCTTATCAACTGCCCATATGATAATGAATGGTTTTTCTTATAAATCGTTTATGCAAAATCTACACTAAGTAAAATGTTGGAGTTCTCTCAATCTCTTCAATTCCTTGGCGGAAGGAGCAGTCATTTGAGAGATCAATGGATGTCTCCATTGCTTGACATATGTGAACAAAACATTGGCCAATTGGTCAATTTCGGTGATTCCCAAGTCCTTGAAAGTCTTGGCAGATGTGTCAATTTGTTGGTTGATCAAATGTCTTTGGATTTGATCTGGGTTGGTCATGTTCCACCATGCGAGTTGTTTAACTTCAGCTACAAGCTTAGCCAATGGAAGAGGAATGGTGTAGTCGGCAAAACGGTAGTCTATTGGACCAACTTGGGCGTAATCTTGAGTGATACCAGCAATCATTTGTCTGATTTCCAAGAAGGACATCTTTTCTGGACCAAACAATTCAAAAGTTTGTCCCAAAGTGTTGTCATCGAAACCAATCTTTTCTAAACCATAGGCAACATCAGTGACATGAACTGGGTAGATTTCCTTTGCATTCTTATTAGGAGTCCACATCTTCAACTTTGGACCCAAATAGTTCAAAAGTTTATCTTCACGACCAAACATTGGTGCTGGTCTAACAATGGTGGCAGATGGTACAATGTCTCTAACAACTTCTTCACCAAGACCCTTGGTGGCATAATATACAGATTCGCTCTTTGGATCAGCGTTGTAAGAAGAGACGTGTACGAATCTTGGGACACCAGCTTGCTTAACAGCAGTTGCAATTCTTTCAGTTAAACCAATGTTTACATCAGCCATAGAAAAGTTCTTGGTGTTATAATCGGCACCAATACAGTTGAAAACAATATCGGAATGAGCAACGGATTCCTCAATAGACTTGACGTTACGAGCATCAAATTCAACAAAGTTTACCACTCCTAAATCACCAGTAACTTTAAGAAATCTCTTCTTCATATCGTCTCTGAATGGGACAATGGTGGTGGTACCATGACGGGCCAACTTGGAGGTCAAATAACGACCCAAGAAACCGGTGGCACCAAACACAGTGGCGGTGTATCCGGTACGGGAAGAACGACCACCTTGACCAACAGCAATGTTAACCTTACCGTTTTTGGTGATGTTAATGTCAGAGTCAAGAACTGAGGTGTATACAGTTCTGACAGTCATGGCCGGACGCGCAGCACCAGAAATGGCGGCTGCGGTAAGTCTACGTGGGGCTCCTACTCTAGCACTCAACATAATAAATGATCTAACCAGTACTAAATGGATACTTCTTCTTCTATTTGAAAACCAATTAGGTTCTCAAAATGCCTTTGAATTTGTTTGTGCATATCTTTCGCACGTAATTGTCAAATTCTTCGCTCTGGTTGGTTGATTTTGAAAAAACGGCACATGCAGGAACGGGAAGATTTAGCTTTAGTAGTAGTTAACCATGGGTAGAAAGTATAAGGGAGAAAAGGTGTTAATAAAATCATTATTTATCATTTAAATGATAATGAAAATATGAGGGGATTCTTTCTATAATTTTTTGAGATTCATTTATTTATTACATAGTAGAAACTTCAAATTAATATTTTGTACTAATCTATATTTTTAATATCTCTTCTATTCATAATGTATAGTCATTCCTCTCTATCTACATATTATCTCTTTAAACGTGAATTATACAACGAGACAAAACGACTATACAAACTAAAAAACAATATATGCGTTCCCTCCAGACTATAAGAAATAATCAGGAGTCTTTCTCGTAACGGTTGGTTCGCCCGGCCTTACAGACGGGTCATATTGCAAGAATTGGCGGTTATGTTGTTCATCAACCTCCATGATTGCAGCTTGGTTACCACAACGGTAACAATAGTTTGGAGCCAGGAAAATAGTCACCACAGATTCTTGATGTGTCCACAGATAACCTTCCATAACCAATTGATGGGCACGAGCAATTAAACTCAAGTCATTGGTGTGGTTGAATTGTTCCGAGATATCCTGCCCAAAAGTGAAACCTGCACCTCTTGGCGAGATCCCCCATCCACCACGGTCGTCTGGATCGGACCACAAAAGGTCACACATTGGACCTTCATGCGGCACTTCTTGGATACGGTTCAATTCACGTACTTGGTCAATGGTTTCAATCATAGGGGAAAGACCACCATGAAGACAGAAGACCTTGTTATCAACCAAGGCAGTGATGGGGAAGTAATCAAATAAATCTGTGAATAATTTCCATACGGTGGCAGAACCATATTTACGGAGACACTCATCATAGAATCCATACACTTGAGTGATTTGACGTGACTCGTGATTACCACGAAGAATAGTAATACGTTTTGGGTAGCGCACCTTCATGCATACGAGGAACAGGACTGTTTCCACTGAGAAATAACCACGATCGACATAATCTCCCATGAAAAGATAATTTGTATCAGGACAAGGTCCTCCGATTTTGAAAAGTTCCATAAGATCATGGAATTGACCATGTACATCACCACAAATGGTGACGGGTACTTGGACTGCTTGTACATTTTCTTCAAATTGAAGTACATCGATGGCAAGATCACAGAGTTTTTTCACATCTTCTTCTGAAAGTGGTTCACATTTAGAGAGTTTTTCAATCCAACCATCAAGTTGATTGATGGATGATGTAGTAAGACCAGTGCCCGCACCACTGGATGCATCGCCAGAGGCAGAGCCACTGCCCGTGGTTGTTGGAGCTGCTGTGGTGGCCGCGGTACTGGTGGCACCACCACTAGATCCTTCGTCGAAGGATTGAGTCAATTGTTCTTCGGAAACGTCTTCCATTGGAACGTCAGTATCTAAATCCATATTTTGATATTAATTTGTAGATTGAAGGGGTAGATTTGGGCTAGATGTGCCTATATTTATGAAAGGAACACACAGAGACTAGCTTTGCTTGGTGCTGATGAATCGACAATTAGAAAGGGGTGAATTTCACGCCTTGTGTGTCGTCTATGGTGGCAAAGGCACGCTGGGGGAGTCCTTTTCAATGCAAAAAAGGGCGGTAATTAGGACGCTTCTGGAGGTCTTGGAATTGGTTAAAGAGCGACAACTACAGGGTAGGATCAAAGGTTGTGACGAGTTTAAAAGGACAACAACAAAAGGAGACGCTCTTCAATATTTTTTTTTCTCGTTTGGTTACGAAAAGTTTTCGACAATGAAGCTTAGGCCAAATGAGTCAATGCGGGACGGGAGTAGGCGATGATGTTGGTCAGGGGATGGGTAGGTCAAGCTGATAATTCGTCTACCTTTAGTCGCAGTGTTTACGATGATTGGTGGCCTGTTTGACTGGATTTGGCGTGCGCTCACTCTCAAGTTATTCAGCAACTGATAGAGATTGAGGGTGGGCACGACGTCGTGCGCGCGACCAAAAGTGGTTTTCAAGAGGGGTGGATTGATTTTTGGATTTCAGACAGGGATTTCAAGATTTAATAGATTAAATATCTAGAAAGATAAATAAGTTGTAGAGTATATGAATTGATGTTGTTGAGTCATTTGGGTTGATGGAATAAATATATATTTTTTTTTGTAATGATTTATAGAAATCGAAAGAAAAATGAAGAATTTTTTATTATTGACGATGAATGAAAAATGAAGATATTGTAATCAAGGAGAATATAGAGAGGAATATAAGATACATAGAGGTACACACCATCAATCGAATAGTGGGAATACACTGGGGAAAAAAAACAAACAAACGTGGTGACTGTTATGGTCATAGACTTCATTTATTAATAGATTGAATAATTTTTTCTTTACTTTTTTGTATTTTTGTTGAGGATTTCGCAGCCATTAGTAAGAACACAAATACTAAAAATGATAATTAGGTGTCTACAAATTTCATAATGAATAAATATACTTATATTTTTCTATTAGCCAAATTATGCCGTTGCAGTATAGTACAGGAATAAATCACTGATACTATTGCTATTGTTTTGAGAAGTATTTCTAAACATTTCATAATCTTCATTACTTTCTGCTGGATGGAATACATCAAATAGATTTTTTGCTTGATCAAAACCAATCGGATCTACTTGTTGTTCTCCCCACGAGAGTCCTTGTCCAACACCTCCAGGACTAGGAATATTAGAAATGATCGACGGAGGTATCGTTGTAGCTGCAGAACTAGTACCCAGAGAAGAGATAATTCTTTGAGTATCATCAAATTCTTGTTTCACTTGTATCGAAGAACTATCAACAATAGTAGTATTGTTAGAATTATTAGGAGTATTATTACTATTGGATTGAACTTCGGATGATTGCAGAAGGGAGCTGAACCAATGACACAAGACAGGGCTTCCTCTAACATATGGATCGAGATCATATCCACTAGGGGAAAGAATTATAAGATTCCGAGTAAAATCAACCAATAAATGTCTGTCCAGCAGCAGAAGTTGGCGATGATCATTTAACTCAATCACCATTCTTAACATGGTTAAAAGTTGTGGAATGAGTTGGAGATGTGACAGTCTTACGATAAGGGTGGCAAGATCAGTTCCCTTAAGAACCAAATTAATTCTTTGAATATGATTTAAAAGTCTTGGAGGTATTGAAAATTTTCTTTCTTCAAGGGTTGATTTAGCAGTATCAATTTTAGCCACCAATATATTAATGAAAATTAATAGACATGATGATGAAACTGAACTATATTCTAATTCACATTGATTTAATTGTTCAATAACTCTAGCAAGTTTCATGGGAGTTATTCCATGAGAAGCACAATATGTTAACATATCCATAGCTCGAAACAGATCTGATATTTGATTGAAAAGTCCATTAGCGTTATTGAAAAATTTGAATAATCCTAAATGATTTTCAATTTCTGGTCTTTGCAATAAACTATAAAGTTGATTCTTGGTATCAAGTGATTTAGTCATTTCAAGATTAATTCCTTTAAGAAGACAATCTGAAGGATATGCAATAAGTGTATGGGAATGGTTGGTGATATTATTGTTGTTGTGTGATAATTTAATTGATTCAGATATAAAGCAACTTGCCATTCTTTCAGCAATGAAAAGTAATTCATGTAATTCATAAAATTGACCCAATGCCAATTGGGTTGGTTCTAATAACTGCAAGTATGTAATTGCCAGTCTTAAAGTGAGGAATCGACTATTTCTACTAGTGCTTCTTCCTCTACTTATTTGATGGTAATTATGTAAATGTAAACAGGTTAAGGAATGATTATAATAAACTTTCAGATCGATTGGTTCAATGGAAAGTCTCATTTCTGTTTCTAAAGCGACAGAAAGCTCATTGATATAAATCAAAAGGTTTGATTGCACTTGTTTATAATGACTTATTGGGTTTCTTAACAATATTGAATCATCATTCAGTTCAATCATTCTAAACATATTTTCTAATATGACCAATAATAATGAATAAACCACCAATCTTAAAGATTGATTCAATAAGTTATTAAGGAGAAGATTTGAACAGTTTTCCATTAATTGAATCGGATCTACAAGTAATGACAGTACTGTTAAAGTATCCAATAATTCAACCATGACGGAATTCAGGGATAAAAGTCCGAAGATTTCGTTGATATCTCTCATTGAAGGTTCCAATAAAGAGTGTTGATGATTATTAGTAGATGGCACTGGAGTCACCGATGCAGGTACGGGCAGGTTGTAAATGGTGGAAGGGATCAGATCAGAAAGACCTGGAGTGGATTCATTTTTGATAAGATTATTAATTGAAGCCAAAGTCTTTTTATGTAAATTTTTGGGACCACTTTTTTTACGTTGTCTTAGTTGAGTACACTGTAACTTGTTAGTAACACAATGGGCACATGGTTTAACTGGTCCACATCGAACTTTACGGATGGCACAAGCATCGCAGGCTCGATTTGATTGTCTTGAGTGGGGTTTGGATAATGTCAGAGTGGTAGCACAACAGTCACTACTTGGACTAGGTGAACTATTTGAAGAAACCATCTATACAATATTATTTTATAATAAACGAAAGCTGGGGGAAAATTCAACAAGAATATATTGATAAAAGAAAGAAGTGCTACAGGTATAATTTAGATGACCCTCTCTCTATATTTGTCTTTTCACCCCGGAAAAAGTGGGCGGAAAAACACACAAAAATGCCTTTCGAACCTTTTTTTTTTTTTACTATTTTAATATGCGGATATTAACGTATCAAAATTTAAAACCGCGTGCAGCCATGCTCTCCGCACGTAACTTTTTTTTTAGATTGTTCGAAAGTGCGGGTGTACCCTTAGATTTTGTTAAAAATATGTGCAAATTTTCAATATTTTTTATTTTTTATTTTTAAAAAAATAATAAAACAGGTGATTGATCGGAACCAACAATGACACCGTTTTCTTTTTTATTTTTATTTTTATTATTCCTGTCTCGCCTACCACCTGATGGAACATCATGAGAGAAATAGTTTTCCCGAATTATCCGTTTCAGCTTAGAAATTCGGTCAAGATGAGTTCACCCATGTCTAAACATTAGATGTAAATCCTTCCAAATAATCATAGTTTTTCTACTCCACATATTATCTCCACTTTAATTAATAGTATTTCCCTCAAAACAAAGGTAAAGATCTGCACTCTTTGCATGGTACTGCACACAGTCCCGTTCCGAAACCTTTTTTTGGCGGATGTTCCGAAAACCATCTGGTTACGTTTCCCGAATGGGAAAGGTTTCCCCCACGCAAGCCCCGCGTTGTATGTACAATGGTTACGAAATTAACTTTTTTTTGGGAAGTATATATATGTAGTTAGAAATGTTGGAATGGAAAAAGAAATAATTATCTAGATAAATGTGGAGAATCGAGAGATAACCCCCAATGATAAGGGGAAATACGGTTTCGAAGTTAATCTTTAAAAATTGGTCTTTCAAGAGTTTGTTTCATATCATATACATGAATTAATTTTTGATCTAAATCTATTTTGTAAGTGGGCCATTTCCTTTAAAAATTCTCCTTTCAATTTTAGAATGGAACTATCTGAAGAATTTTGAATAGAGTTAGACGGGTACTGTTGATAATATTCAGGTACTTCTTCGTCTATTGATTTATTGACGAATTTCTGTTTATACTTAGAAACTGTCGATACGGTTAAAACTCCCCCAATTGATCCTAATTTGGCCAATAATGCTGCCCCCTTAGCGACCACAGTATCCGATTCCCCATCTTTATCTCCAATAAATATTTTTTTATTGGTAACTTTCCCCAATAACTTTAAAAATCTCTCATTTTTAGATTGTGATCCACTAATAATAATTGTATCAATTAAGCAATTGGACTTTGACATATTTGTAATAATTTCTTGAGTTTGTAAACATATAAACTCTTGTATCAAATTATATTTTATTGTTAATCCAACAAGACTTCTCTCCCATACTGATGGTAATCCCGAAGTAGAATTAAACCCATCAATCATCATTGACCCCATTAATGGATCATTATATGGACATCTATTTCCAAAATGATCGCCATAATAAAGATAATTTCGAAGTAAATAAGTTATTGATTGGTTATGATCTCTTTCTAATTTTAAGGTTTCTCTCTCTAAAACTTCAAATGGGGAACCATCTTCTTTGAGTAATAATTCTTCATATTCATTAAATAGAGTTTCATATAGTTTCCCAGTAGCTGGTTGTCCACTTTGGTACAATGATATATCTGGTAAGAATTGTGAGAATGGGCCCCATACTCCCTTCACAAGATTGGTTTTATCTATGGTTTCAGAAATGGCTGGCAACAAGAAACATGTTGAAGTTCCTGCAACCATATATATTGGATTTGAAAATTGTACAGGATCCATAATAGTCGATATCCAACCAGCATAACAATCTATACATCCAGAAACAATAATCGTTTCCAGAGTAACTCCCAAAGGGAAGGTTTCATACAAATCTTTGCTAATAAATCCTAAATTTGTACCTAGAAACTCATTAATTGGTTGTTTATTAGCACTACCAATGAAAATATTATTCTCAGTGATTTTTAAAGCTTGTAAAGTTTCCAAATCACATCCCAATATTGATCCATCAATTGTACCATTCCTTATATTGTTGGATATATTCTTAGATATTGATATAGATTGTAAACATAGATCTCCTGAAAGTAATTTAGCAGTGATCCAATCATGAAGTTCAAAAGCCACTATAAATTTCTCTTGAGGATTATTTTGTGATAACCATTTTAACTTGGGAAGTCCCATTTCTGGAATATATGACCCACCTACTGAACTCAAAATTGATTTAGAGACTATTCCATTAATTTCATTACATTCTTTTAATGCTCTTGAGTCCATCCATAAAATGATATTTTGCAGAGAATCCAAGCCATCGTAATCACAAGCATATGGAATTAATCGATTCTCTTTACTACTCTGATCTACTTCAAATACCGCCATCGAACAAGTCGCAGTTACTGATATACCTTTAACTTGCTCATTTTTAGGAGATAATTCAATAACTTGTTTGATGGTAAGAATCACCGATAAGAAGATTTCATCAGTAGATTGAGTGATGAAATTTGAATATTTTGAATTTGAAACTCTACTAATATTTTTTGTTGCTGTGTATGATTCCCCATTACTTGTAATTAAACAAGATCTTACTGATCCTGTTCCAACATCTACCCCTATAAACAGCATTGTTAACTTGTAGAAACCACCAATATAAACCGAAGTTCCCAAGTTAAAATGATTTAGATTCGCGCTAATCTATTTTCTTGAGCAAATAGAATGACATCATTGAAACAATAGTCAAAACTTGTAATAAAGAGAGAGTAGTCAAACAATGAATTAGGGGAGCTTTCGTAACATATATCAAATTTAGATTAGAAAATTTATGTATGATAAACATTGTTTGTAATTGAAATACACGTTACTTAGAAATCATTACAATTGTGTAGCCCTTCATCATAATAGTAGTATTCTTTCTTGAACATATTTCCTCTTAATCCCTTGCCACTATCAGTTAATGATTATCATGAATGTTCCATTTTAAACTATATCTCTACACCATTTAGAAAAAACATTGAAGATAATATAAAATACAAAAATATAGAAAAATAACTAGTAACCAATGGAAGCAAGAGATCCTGGAACAGCAAGCCATTTAGCAACGGTATCAGAAGTCAAAACTTCGTCAAAATCTTCTTCAACAATTTGAACATGAATTTCTTCACCGCTGAAAATAACAGCAGCCTTCAAAGAACCGGAAGTTGGTCTGGCAAAGTAGTCTTGGGAACCACCACCACCGTATGGGTTACCAGCTTCAACACCTTGGCCATCGTGCAAGTGAGTAATCAACTTGTTAGAACCAGTGCTCAAGATTTCAAATAAATCTAATTCACCACAACCAGTGGCCCAACAAGAACAAGTGGCATCACCATATTGTAAAGTTCTTGGGATCTTGGCGTTCAACAACCAAACAGCTGGCATGTCACCGTTGAAACCGGTGGCAGAAGAGGAAGGCATTTCAAATTCAAAAACGAAAATCTTGTTTTGACCACCAAATCCATGATAAGCTGGAATGTTCTTTCTGTAGTAACCACATCCACTTCCATCAGTACACTTGGTGTCAGAGAAGACAACAAATTCAGTGTTGGATGCGATGGTAACGTCACCAAGAGCAACTGGGCTAGAAGAAGCACCGGAGTTGTCAGCGTTGGCGTAGGAAAGAGAGTTACCAAAGGTAGAAGTCCAAATACCAGAACCTTGACCACCGTAGTAGTTCAAGAAGGTACAGTTGCTGGCACTACCTGGAGTGTAGTAAGAAGCTCTTTGCCAGTCACCAGCAGCAGCAGCAGATGGGACAGAACCACTAGCAGAAGCAGTAGCATCACTTGGCAAAACTGAGTAAGTGGTTGGAACAATAGCCTTACCTTGGGCAATTGGAGTGGTACCAGCAGCAGCACCAGTGGAGGTTGGAGTACCACTGGTGGCTGGCTTACCATCACCATCGATCCAAACAGTTTGGGTTTCGTAGGCAACAGCAGTGGCTCTCTTGTGCTTGTGGTGGACATGTTTTTCAACACAATCTTCAGTATCAGCTCTCTTGGAGTTACCGGTTGCTGGGTAGTAAACACCAAATTGCTTCAACTTCAAAGGACCTCTGAAATGAACGGATAATTCTTCGTCAAGTGGGGTCATAGAGCCCAGGAAGTTGACGGTTTCTTGAGTACATTTACCACTGGTTTCATCCATGTTGGTAACATCTTGGTAAGAACCAGAGAAACCAATGTTTTGGTAGATGACCTTGGATGTTTCGGAACAGTAGTAGTTACCGGCGATTTGAGAGCACTCAGCGGCCACTGAAGTGGCAAGTGCAATAAGGGTAGCAGGGACGAAAAGTTTCATATCTATGGGGGGGAAAGTTCAACTAACAAAGTATCTATCTCTCTCTAATTTGGGGTCTATGCTTTGGTATATTTCAAGTTTGTTGTAGACGGAGACGGCTGGACAAACAAACAATAAAGGATACCTGAAGTATAGGTTTGAAGGAATGTATAAGGGTGAGTTAAGGAGTGACTGGAGTTGGAAACTGTAAAGAAGAGAAAAAAAAGCAAAGGAATCTAGAAATCAGGAAATTGTACTATTAAAAAAAAATACTACAAGCCTCCCAGGCAGGTTTCAGACGATACAATCGAGAACACCAAGCAATATTCCACACCAAGGCTCAAAGGCATTGACTATTTTTTTTTTTCTAGAAATAATCAATGTCGCGTATCAAAAAAAACAAAAGGAGAGTGCATGCATATGGCCGGATCTACATGTAGCCCGGAACTAGACATTTACTATGTACCGAGTCATGTGACTCTGCCTGAAAAGCGCGAAACCCGCCAGAATTGAATCGGAATTGAATGTTCTGTTTACTTGATCTGCAGGCTCGAACCACTTTTGGTCAATTTTAGCCGGATGCGGTACATATTCACCAGCAAAAATTTTGTGGATTACGTTTTGTTTGTCAATTGATTTTTAACCGAAACACTTTTGAAATCAAACCAGCATTTCTTTTTTATTTGTTGTTTTATTCCACTATAGCTGCTAAGGTATAGTGGGAAAACTATGATGAGGCTTGCTGCGAACGTATGCTACTGTCTAAAGTCATGTTCAACTCAATATACCAGATCTAACGATACAATAGTACTCTTCTATTTTTTCTGGTTTAGTCGACATCATCGTCAAACATTCCCACATGAAAATGATTTGAGCGTTTACCATCGCCTCGTCTCATTCATTATCTAAATGTTTTTCCCCTCTAACAAACCCCCTTACCCTTGGATTGTTTTTCTTTGTAAACACGAATCGCGACGGTATTGTGCAGCGCACGATCTTGGCAATGTTTTTCTTTCCTTTTTTTTTTTTTGGAATAGGTGCTGCATGCTGGTCATGACCAAAGAGTGCATATTATTTGGGCTTGTATATAAACCATGCGGTTTTGTGCTGCTTATGTGCTTCTGCATATAATACACCGTTGGGGATGCAAGCTGCACTTCCATGTTACGGCGCTATCTATGAGTACAACGTGGTTAGTAGGTACTGATAGCGTAAAATGTATTAATCGATAGTCTAGAACTTTCAAGGAATACCGAATATGGAAGTGATATCTGCATAAATGAGATGCGTCATAAGTATAGTCGGAACTCAGATCAAAGATCAAATGTATTGGATCTGATCTTCAAAGTTATATGTGCTGTAGAGAATAGGGAATCAGTTCATTGAACATGTAAGAGTATTATTTTTATTTGTATATATATACCTCAAACATATATAGGGGTTAGTAATGAGTCTTATACTTCTTTGATATATCACTTTGAGCATAGTATATATATGGTTATAGTGATTTGATCTTACTTCCCGCCGTTTTAAAAACTCTGCAAACATGATTACGAATGAAGGCCGCTTCGGTAACGAGGTAGCTCTCGCATTTCCTTCTAGACCTTGACAACCAAGAGATCTACATGGAAAATAAATTAAACTCATCGGTCTTTGATAAATTACTTGCATTTTTTTCACTCTATATACAGAGAGATGCAGTTCAGTGCAGGATAACGGCGGAATCTGCAAGATTGTGGTACAGGTATCCCGCATCATACCTCGGAATATGACATAGAAGTGAACGAATAAAATGATTGGTTGACATTACAACCATGCGAGGCAGCTGCATTGTAGATAAAATATGCATAATGCTGATGCTTTTGAATTTATATAGATGGTTTGCATCCACAGATTTCAAATATTGTACAAGAGAAAAATGAGACAGTGTCAAAAAGAGTAGCTCCGTATATACAGGTTAGTGGTTGTGCCATGTAGAAGAATTTTCCTTGTCTTGAAGTCATTTCTCTTAGCCTGATATATTAGTTGGAGTTTTATTATTAAAAATACTCATCTTATAGTTTGAGAAGAAGTGGAGTCATTTATAGTCACGTGATAGCTTGTCAGATGCCATAATCCATTTCACGTCATCAGATATAAGAAAAGAAATTTAAGTACATATCGGCATTTAATTAGAATGATTACTCCTAAAAAAAATAGTGGTGTTACCTGCTTTGAATTTTACACACAAGCGACTTTTTTTTTCTTGTTACGGCCAATATATACTAATAATCAATTGTATAATGACATTTCTTTTTCTACAATCATTATTTATCAAATTCATATCCATCTATCTATTTTCAAATTTCGGTCATTTTATTCTTCTTCACTTATGTCTTGTAAATATAATTCTTTATTCTTTCTATAAAAATTTCCAAGCAGAAATTGTTTTACATCCGGCCAGTGAAAATATAAGCGTTCAAGCTCAGTTATAAATACAGATCCTACTCTCTCTATAAAAATGGTATCTTTACCCCTCGAGATACTCTCTGTCAGGATAATTTACGAACCCCAAAGTTGTGTACAGGCTCTCCGGGATTTGAATCAATGTCGTTTTTATGGTGTGATTGTAATCAAATACCAGACCAAAGCCCGTTACTAAAATCTTACAAATCATTAAAGCCGATAATTCGCGGAGAATTGACATTTTAAGTCCGCGGTCAGGTCATTAGAACTTTGAAGTGAATTTAAAAATATATACGAAATCTAAAATAATTGTGACCGTGGTCTCAAATGTGGTAATGCATCCGGTAGAAATATACTTTCAAATCTGTTTATAGCAAGAATTTCGATTAGTCTGGGCCCGATTAAATAAAGTTATGAAGACTTGGTCAGCCGTTTTTCGATGCACAATTATTACACAATATTTATTTCAATCGAAATTTTATCTTGAATATGACGTGGATCGACAGACATTACGTGAGATCTTCATAACATCAACAACAAAAGATAGACTGGAAATATATCGATGAACGTGGCATTGTGCAGGGGAAAGGGGCTGTACCCTGACATTAATTTCCCGTCAATAAATGCATAACAGTGAACACCTGTCAGGGTTCCATCCCAAATAAAGTAAGACTGCTGCATGAAGTATCTGGGTGGCAAAATTTCCGCGTTTTTTGACTGTGCATATGTTTCCGCCTCTCATTGTGAATTGAATACCATGCAACTCAATTGAAAGAAATTTCCACCCATTGAGACACCAACTCTAGGTGTAGTATATATTCGGGTCCAATTGACCTACCATCCCAAACTTCTGTTTAATAATATAAAAAAGTACATGGAATTGGGCCAGAAATTGACTATGTTCTAGCGACGAGGAACGTTTATAGGGCCATTTTATTTTTTTTGACAGTGGGCATTAGAGACAGTTTTTTTTTTTTTTTTTTTTATTCATCTTGGTGGCAAATTTTGATCTAGTCCTGTACATGAGCGGTCTTTTGCCCCTTTTGGACACTTCCCCCGGCCGAATCCCAAAAATAGTCATATCTACATGGAAAATCCGACATATTGCAACCGTAAATACACTTTTTCTTCTCTTTTCATAATTTTTTTTTTTCGATTTATTGAAATAATATGACTTTTAACATTAGGTGAAAATATTTTTAATATTCTTGCCACATAACTTTATTTTGAGACACTGGTAGAAAACAATATAAGTATGTAGGAGAATCACACATATTCCATAATGTTCTCTGATATTCTATAACTACAACATGAATAATTGGAATACAATTTGCTACTCCGAAACTGAATCTGCAACCGTTGGTTCGGATACAGTATCCGGATCTTCTACTTCAATTGAAACAAGTTTCAATTCAAACACTCTGACCTCACATGAAAGTTCATTATCTATGAACTATAGTATTTTACCCTCTTACCAAATGCATCAATCAATTGTTGCAAAACAAGTTGCATTGCAACATGATCAACTTTTCCCTGTGCCTTCATACAACCTGATACCGAGAACTTTACCAGAATTTCAAGAGGAGGAAGTAAATGCAGCCATTTATGGTTTAAATTCTACCCTTCCAGCATCTTCTTCAACTGGACTCTCTTCTAGTAGTTCAATTGGAGTTATGTCATCAAATCAAACCTCTTATTTTTCATCTTCATATAGTGCTAGTGAGTTAACTTCATTATCATCTTATGATGATTTAGAATCTACTGTACCTTCTGCATTTACATCATCTTCATCTACAAGTTCAAATGAAAAGATTCTTGATATTCACCATAAACTTAAATCCAAAACAAATTCATCATTATCGATGTCAATGCATTTCACAAAGAATACCGGGAAATTGGGAGTGATGCCAACGTTTATTGATGCTAACACGTATGAATATACTACTGGAGATCATATACATGGTTTCGTAATAGTTGAAAACACTTCCCATATACCCATCCCATTTAGTACCTTTTATGTTCTTTTTGAAGGAAATATTTTAAATCATTCAGGTATTTTTTCTCCAAGGAAGAAAGTAACAAATACAAATAATTTCTTACAATCAATTGACCTTTGTGCAAGTTCAAGTTATGACAATGAAGGATGCTCAGTCATAGATCCTATTGATAATTCAAGTTTAACTTTTGGAGAAAATCAACTATTATATCCTGGAATTAAATATAAAAGGTTTTTTTCATTTAAGGTTCCTCAACATCTTTTAGATTCAAATTGTAATCAAGAAACTTTAAATTGTCATCATCAACTTCCTCCTAGTTTGGATGGTGAAACAACTTATAATTTGTCATTTATTAATACAAGCTTGGGGTATAGTATTCAGGCAAAGTTTGTTGCTCCAGACTACGAATCTAATGAGTATATTACACTTGATTACATTGAATCAAATATTCGTATTGTTCCATTGAAGACATCTTATTCTAATGATAATAATCATAAAATACATATGACTTATCAAGTTGAAAATTTAAAATCAAGACTTGAAGAAAAAATTAGACAGGGTAAAGAACTTCGTGGTTTATTACCTCCATCTGATATTGATATCAAATATGAATATTCTCAAGATTCATCAAATGAAAAGGGTTTCAATGAATTTATGAATTCTACTTCAAACACGGGATTCCATGAAAGTACCATTGCACATTTCAAAAAGAGTTCATTTGGTAGTGCAATAAAACAACTAGGATCATTATCTATTTCGATTCCAGTTTATAAACAAAGCATTTCGTATATCCCACCACTTGCTTATAGAACTGGTCAAGTATCTACTGCGGACCTTGACAGTTGGAACATTCACATTCCAATACATTTAAGATATGAATCTCAAGGTGATATTACAAAGAATAAACTTCCAGAAATTACAAACATTAGTGCATCACTTGTAACATTTTCAATAATGTCTGATAATTATCCTATCCCTATTGAATTTGATCATGATATGTTATTTAACAATGATACTGGAGAAGAATTTGATGCTCTTGTTCAAGGACCTTTTCAAAACCTTTATCGAGGCTTGGTTGAACAAGCGCGAGCATTAGAACAAGACCAATTTACTGTTGAAAGCCAGTTATTAGAAGATGTTAGAAGTCTTAGTTCGTTAAGAATAAAGAAAAATGTTCTTGATATTGAAGATATTAAGGTATATTCAAGTTCAAAACTTGGATCTAATGGAATCCCTTGGACTACTGTGAATAAAGATACATTGGAGAAGAAATGCAACATAAGTCTTGGACTTTCAAATTGTTCTCCTCAAGATAGAAGAATGAAAGATCTTCAAGTATCTTTAAATCTCACATCTTCTCAAACTCGTAAGTCTATGTCTAAACAATCACAACCAGCATACGATAAATATGCAATTATTCCTGAATATCAAAATTGTTTTTCAGGTCGTTTATATTATTTGCAGGTCAATCTACTTATTCTGAATGGTGAGATTATTACCACCAAGATCCCTCTTTCAGTTGAAAAGAGGTCATAAGAAATATATTGGAAAATACATAAATTTTTCAATTTTTTAAAATTTTTATATGTAATTTGCAGCCTAATTTACATTTTTAGAAAATAATTAAAAAAACATAAAAATGGAAAAAATGAGAAAATAGTATTAGATAAGGTACATATGTATTACAATATTAGTATCTATCGATCTTATGAATGAATCATACATTTCCCCAACAGTGAAATATAATTGTAGGGACTCTTTAAAAAAGTTCACAAATATTGTGTGCATAAAAAAGATCCAACAGTAGATCGTGAAAAATATCTTTGAGATTAGATACTTGTCATTCCCATATTCTGTGAATCATAACATATCATTTAAATATGTCACATAATTGAAGAAAAAGTGAAGTTGTATGAATAAAATTCCAATCTTCATAATTGTGTGATAAGTACATTGTACTATCTTAAATATCTATATCATTTAGCCAATCGTATCTAAGTTTATAAATCGTCCGCCCATATGAAATATTTATCCCAACTTTCAATAATCCTTTAATATCCCGTCAAATATATCCAAAATACATCATGGGGCAGACTATTAAATGGTTTAGGGAGTTGGTTCTAATTCCTAAAAAATACATGTCAAAAAAAAAGAGGGAAAAAAAATAATTCCCAACCCCGTATCATGATGAACATAGTAAAATAATAATTATACAGTGCTCGTCTACATACCCACATGTTCATCTCACACACATTTGTAACTATAGGGAAAGGAAAATACAAACCCACAATTTTATATTTACAACATATGATGGAATAAACTGTACCTTACCAATTATTCGCTTGTTTTATTGATGTCTCAATTTAAATTATTTTTAGCTCTTTCCATATATTGAAACCAAATTAGAATCGAAAACTTCTATTTTAGTCACAAATCTTTGAAAAATAAAAAAATATAAAAAGAAAACAGTTGAGATTTCGACATATTTGGTTTTGTGCAACCATCATACCCCCTTTCGGATTCGGTATCAATCACAAATCAAGTAGAGATAGGGCAATAAACTTGTAAAAAGAAAAACACACGTCACACAATTAGAGAACATATACTCATTGTACACGATGCAACAGAATAAGAGACTGTCGTTCAGCAGATCTCCTAGAGTGGAGCAGCAAGAAATGACGAATCCATATGATGATGTAAAGCGTCAATCACTTTTAGATAAACAAAGAAAGGAATACTTTCAAAAACATAATGCGCCCAGAATCATCATTGATGACGACCCAGTGATACCAGACTACCAGATACAGGATACGTTCAAGAAGAATGCCAATTACAACATGAAGATTGTTGTAGTTGGAGACGGTGGTTGTGGGAAGACATGTTTACTTGTAGCATATGCTCAGAATAAATTTCCTGAAATTTATGTGCCTACAGTATTTGAAAACTACGTTACCAATGTAGCAACTCCCCAACACAAGGTGATTGAGTTAGCATTGTGGGACACTGCAGGTCAAGAAGAATATGATCGGTTAAGACCATTATCATATCCTGATGTTGATGTTCTTCTTGTATGCTTTTCTTTGGAATCATTGACTTCTTTACAAAATGTAAAAGATACTTGGTTCCCTGAAGTATCACATTTCTGTCCTGGTATCCCAATCATATTGGTTGGTACTAAGGCTGATTTACAATCTTCCATTGATCCAGATTTACCAATTCAACTTGCCACGGAAATCAATGCCATTGGATACATTCAATGTTCAGCTAAAAGAATGTTTAACATTAAGACTGTGTTCAATTTTGCTATAAATCATTTCCAAAAGAAACAAGAATTGCAAGAACAACTTGATCGTACTCTGAAAAATAGACTTTCAAAGGCATTGGGAGGTCATTCACGTAATCAATCGTCCATATCCAATAAGAAGGGCCACTTCAAAAACGCTTCGTATGACTCTGCATTGCTTTTAGACCAACCTCTTGAAGAGGATACCTATAAGTCAAACCCATACGGGAATTTCGGAACTTCAGCACCATCACCAGTGGTGCCGCAAAATCGTTACAATGAAGAAGAATTTGCATTTACAAGAAATGATAAAAAGAAGAAGAAGAGGAGATGTGTCATTTTGTAGACAGAAATGGAAAGGGTGGGTAGACAAGTAATAGATTCATAGTCTATAAAATACATAATTTCAATATATTAATACTCAAGTAAAAGTGTAAAATGAGTGTAGTATGTATATTTTGGTGTTATGAGCGCGCGCGCTCTAGAACAAGATTCTTTTTTTTTCAAGGGTGTTTTTTTTTTTTCCCCTTTATTTTGATATCTGAGGATTGTGTGTTTTATTTGATCTCACATAGTAGTGTAAGATATATAATTCCATACACTTTATAGACTTATTAGGTATTATAAGAGATATTATCTCAGTTTACTTTAGTGGATTTTAATTTCTATGTCATCTTCTGGTGTGCAGAGGTTCACTCCCTCAAGTGGCCTGGTTCTGCAGGAATGTGAACAGTTCCCCATAGTTGATAAAGTTGAAGTGTTAGACAACAATAAACCACAACTTGCGCGCGCAGAGGCTGGGAATGGACCCAATGATCATTACAAGTCCAAGTTGTCACCACTTAGGTACAAAATCAGAAGTTATTTTTTGCCATGGATCCGGAAGGAAACCGAATTGCTAGCCTATGTACAAGCATCACTCAGAAACCCATTCCTTGACATATACTTTGCATGGACTGCGAATTTAGCATCTCATACATTTTACGTGTTGATGCTCCCACTTCCAATGTGGTTTGGAGCTAGCACCATGGGGAGACACTTGGTCTGTGTCCTAGGGTTAGGGATTTTCTTCACTGGCCATTTCAAAGATTATCTTTGTCTTCCAAGACCAAGATCTCCTCCACTTCATAGAATTACAATGTCTTCTTATACCACCCAGGAGTATGGGTTCCCCCTGAGTCATAGTGCCAATGCTACCGCTGTTACTTTGGTTCTTTTCATGACAGTCATGACTTCAGACTATACTTTAATGGTTCGTTGGTCATTATATTTTATTTTCACCTTGTATTATGTTTCCTTAATTTTCGGTAGAATTTATTGTGGAATGCATGGATTTCTTGATGTTTTCTTTGGTTCTCTTATTGGATGTTGTGTGTTTTTATTTAGAGCATATCTTGGACCATTATGTGACGAATGGCTCTTTCTGAGTAAAAGTGGACTTTCTCTCATTAGTACTCCATTGATCATTATATCGGGTTACCTTTTACTTATCCATTTCCATGCTGAACCAGTAGATGATTGTCCATGCTTTGATGATTCAGTAGCGTTTATTGGAGTTCTTATCGGTCTTGATATTTCTCAATGGATGTTTTACTTCACAGACCATTTACTTAATCAAAATAACCATGGTGATCCACTTTTGATTCCCTTCAATTACACAGAACTTGGTCCATTAAAGACGTTACTTAGAGTTGTTATTGGGGTTGGTCTTGTTGCCACATGGAAGGCAGTTTCTAAACCAATTATTTTCACTATTCTTCCTCCAATTTATAAAGTTATTGGAGTTTATCTTCCAAGAAGAAACTTCGAAGCTACTGCATTCACAGAAAAGACTACGAGACAAATTAGATCTCAATCCTTGTCTAATATGAATGAACAGGAACATGGTACTGAATTCCATGGTTTCATTAATAAAAATGAAATTGGACCAGAAAATGATATTGATATTTATGAAATTTTGGCATATGAGGAGGAAAAGAAAAAGAAAGGGCAACAATCAAATAAGGCATCCTCTCCTGATGTTGAACCAGAAACCACCATCAGTGGTGTATTTAGGCCTCGATATGATGTGGAAATTGTTGGTAGACTTATAGTGTATGCTGGTGTAGCTTTCATGGCCCAATGGGGATTTGCACTTAGTACCGAGTTTTTGGGATTGAACTGTCGAGATTTGTAAAATAAGTGTACATCAAACATATTATATATATACATATATAAGTATTATTTCAATTTATTCTAAAGAGATAATTAGAGAAAATCATAGGTTTTTATTTGCAGCCAATAACAAAATTGCTGACCAGATGTCACGTGCTCAACAATTTATAGAAGCATCTCAAAAATTTCAAAGAGAGATGGGATTGGAAATGAGATAAACATTAACATTAAGTGGCTAAAATAGATTATATTTTTTTTAGATCATGACTACTCCAATAGAAATCGTGAGCGATGCTCCCGCTGTTAATGTATCTGAAGAAAAAAAAAGACCTTCATCTCCAGAAAATACTTCTGTTGCAGAAACTAAGGAGCTGTTGAATGAAACAGTTCAAACAAAACAAAAGAAACCAAAAGTTATTAAGAGAAAATATAAGGCAAAGGAAACAGATTCAACCTCACCACTTGGAGTATTACAAAGACAAATCCAGGAAATTCTTGTTCAACATGGACTTACTGAAACTCAAATTTCAAATGATATGAAATCAGTTTTAAATGATCAAGAATATTTCAATAAATCACATAGAATTGTTAACGATGTTGAAGTATTAGAATTAACTTCAAGCGGTGATGGTCTTGCTATCATTCCAAATCCATTCGATGAAGAAAAGAGACAAATTTGTATCATCCCATTTGGATTACCTGGTGATTTGTGTAACATCAAGGTATTCAAATCTCATCCGTTATATGTGGAAGCTGACCTTTTAAAAGTTATCACTCAATCCAAATATAGAGATGACTCGTTAATCAACTGTAGATACTTTGGAAAATGTTCTGGATGCCAATATCAAAGTGTTGATTACTTACAACAATTGCAATTTAAGAAGCAAACAATTGTCAATGCATACAAGTTTTTGGCACCTATTTTATCTGGAATTAAAGGTGGGCTTCCAGAAATCAGCGAAACTGAACCATCTCCATTACAATATGATTATAGAACTAAGCTTACTCCACATTTCAACTTACCATATACATTACCTAAGGAATACCCTGCATCAGCATTAGGATTTGGTGCTAAGGGTAGACCAACATGGCGCCCTGAAGCTCAAGGTGGTGATTATTCTGTACTTGATATTGAAGAATGTTCCATTGGTACTAAGATCATCAACATGGGTATGAAGAATGAACGTGCCATTTATCAAGAAGAATATAAGAAATATAAGAAGGGTGCCACCATCCTTCTTAGAGAAGATACTAAGGTTGTCAAGGAAAATGAAGACAAGAAGGAGGGAGAAGAAGAAGCTAAAGCATCAGTTGACGGTGAAGGTAACATATCCAAGATTGAAGTGGAAATAAATGGTGATAAATTAGTGAAAACTTGCGTTACTGACCCTAGACAAATCGTTACAGAATATGTAAATGGATTCACATTTGAATTCTCAGCTGGGGAATTTTTCCAAAACAATAACTCTATCTTGCCAGCTGTTATTGATTACGTCAAGAGTAATTTGTCAATTCCTAATTCAAAGGAAGGTGAACCAAACTACTTAGTCGATGCGTATTGTGGATCTGGACTTTTCTCTATCACTTGTTCTGATAATGTTTCAAAGGTAATTGGTGTTGAAGTCAGTGCTGACTCTGTTAAATTTGCTGAAAGAAATGCTAAAACCAATAAGATTGAGAACGCTACTTTTATTCATGGTAAGGCTGAAAAGATTTTTGGAAGTATAGATACTCCATCTGACAGAACCTCTGTCATTCTTGATCCACCAAGAAAGGGATGCGACGACGTCTTCTTGAACCAATTATCGGAATACCATCCAGCACGTATTGTCTACATCAGTTGTAATGTACACTCACAAGCCCGTGATGTTGACTGGTTCATCAATAATACTGCAAATGGTAAGGAATATTTTGTTGAAAGCATTAAGGGATTTGATTTCTTCCCACAAACTCACCATGTTGAAAGTGTTGCGGTGTTAGCATTGAAAAAGTAAGTTATAAATACATATATAGATTACTAAGAGTATTTTACACTACTATATTATAGAATTTCCATCAGTTTATTATTATTATTATTATCATTATTATTTTATTATTATTACTATTCTGTAGCCATGTTATCTTTTTGCAGCCAAATTTAAAGAGTACACTATATTCGCGAACTCGAAAACCAGGGAAAAACCCAATTGCATATTATTTTATTTTCGCACACGTGAGCAAAGGGTTAGAGCCCTAATGGACGTGCACAACCCAAAGGGCGGATAAAGTTACACAAACTCTCGTCGTTGCGAAACTCCTACGCTAGGATGAAAATTTTTGAATTAAGAGGCTAAATCGTATAGAGTGTATTAACTTCTAACCACAAATACAACCGTCAAAATGGAAAACGATAAAGGTCAATTAGTAAGTACAGATCATTTCAATAGAAGAGAGTACTATCCAGTTGTAGGCCTATGCGAGAAATACCATGGAAGATAATAAATCATTCAAAGTGAAAAAAGTCCCGAAGAGCTTCAAGTGAAAAAAAAATAATAGTAATAATCAACAGGAGGGAAATACGTTCTATCAATAAGATAGACAAATAATGTACCAGCGTTATTGACGAAGCGACGAAACAGACGATATTTTTACTTTTTATGCTTACCCACGAATATACAGAAATTGGATTAATTTTCATTAAACAGACACAGGAGGTTCAACGACGACTTTTTTTTCCTTACCGATATATTAATTTTTTTTTGCAGATACTTTTACATCATGAATGTACTCTCTCTAATACCATAACTCGGTATTGGTTATATTTCAAAATACTAACAATATTAGGTCGAATTATACGTCCCAAGAAAGTGTTCTGCTACCAACAGAATCATCAAGGCCAAGGACCATGCTTCCGTCCAAATCAACATTGCTAACGTTGACGAAGAAGGAAGAGCCGTCTCCGGTTCTAACACCACCTACGCTCTTTGCGGTTACATCAGAGGTAGAGGTGAAGCTGACGACTCCTTGAACAGACTTGCTCAACAAGACGGTTTATTGAAGAACGTCTGGACTTACTCCCGTTAAGCTGGTATATAAGCAAGGTCCAGGTATTGCTTGATTATATTCTCAGTGTGTATATCTAATCATCATAAAACGTTAAACAGAAAAAATGTAAGAAAATTGTAGCATATTCAGTGGTGTATGGATGTGTGACGATTCTAATTTTAGTATTTGTTATCCTTTTTTTTTGAAAACATTCACCCACATGGTTTATGGTTCATAAAGTCTCCATATCTTATGAATCGAGGGGAAAATATTGAAATCCTGTAGATATCAAGTAATTTTGGCTTTGATATATGAGTTAATTAATAGATGAATAAGATAAAATGTGAGTGTTTATGTGTGATATAAGGATATTATTATTATATATCATTACCTATCTCGGACAGATGTTACACATTTCCCGAGCATTTCTGCGATTGAGATGCTCCACAATAATCTTTACGGGTATTCTTACGTATTTTCCAGTATGCAAGAGGTATTGTAGAGAAGCTTCATTTCGGTGGGGAAAATAAAACACCCCACTACGACGAATCCAACAAAATAAAAAAATATATAAATTTACTAAATAGATTTATTTACAAACAATTATCTAAATTGTTCATAGATTCAATTTCGAGTATATCATCCAAGACTGATCAACACATATAAAATGACAATTGGTGTAGTCACTTTATTATATGACCCATCATATTTGCCAGGGGCATTAGTTTTAGGGGTACTGCTCCTTAAATTAGTATCCCTGTCTTCTCTTGATATTGAAACTGCAATCTTAATAGATGAACTGAAGTTTACTAAATATCAATTGGAACTTTTACTCGAATTATATGATGTTTTAATTCCAGTTCAAACTTTTAGTTCACTGTTACACGAGAAACTTGTAAATGATTTACAAAGACCGGAGCTTGCCAAGACATTCACTAAGGTTGCACTTTGGGGGTTGAGTAGATACCTGAAGATACTTTACTTGGATGCTGATACTTTACCAGAATGGAATCAAGATCATACGATTTTAGATTTATTAAAATTAAGCTTCCCACAAAATAAAGTTCTTGCGGTGCCTGATTCAGGGTTCCCAGATATTTTCAATTCTGGAGTTTTTGTATTACAACCGAATGCCAGAGATTATGAAAACTTATTAATCCTTGTGGAAGAATCACTTCACAACCCTGATGTATCATTTGATGGGGCAGATCAAGGATTATTGAACCAATATTTTAATCCTCAACCCAATTGGGTTGTTGATCTTCTTGAGAATGATCAAGGACTTCCTAATGATATTGGAAATATTGAATCAACACAGACAACAAATTGGATAAAAATTCCATTTGTTTACAATGTTACGCCATCTAGTGAATATGAATACCTTCCAGCATATAAATATTTCACTAATTCTACCAATGACAAGGGAGGAGCTTTACCGACAATTGGTTCTACATCACCAGTAGACCTTAAAAACCTTGGGGTTGATTCAATTGACAATAATTCTCTAGAAGTTTCAACTAAGAATACTTTGAACAGATATTCAAGTTCAGCTAAAAAGTACTTTAGAAAGGGCAATCAAATTAAACTTATGCACTTTATTGGGCCAATCAAACCATGGCATTCAGAAAAGGCAATTGTACTCCAACACGAGAGTCATGTGCATAAGAAGTGGTGGAATTTATGGGCTGAATATTATGGTACAGCGCTGTCTGTAGAAAGTGTAGTCTTTTGGGAGAAGGCACTTGGTAGTGATTCGAATGCCCACGAAATGTATTTCACCAAGGGCCAAGAATCAGGAATGAGAAGACAAAAGCCAGTCGTTAATAAAGTGGAAGATGACCTTGAATTGGAGAATGAACCTCCAAAAGTACTGGCAACAGATCCTAATGCATTATGTGACCCCAGATCATATGTGAATACCAACATTAGTACAACATCTAGTTCCGATTCTACATGGGACCCTACGAAGGAACCTCCTCCAAAGTCACTGGGTCATGAAATATCGACATTCGGTGAAGGTGTGACGACTTTCGAGAATACTTGGGACAAGTCACAAGATCAAATACTTGAGCTGCGACAAGTGGAAGAAGTTCAAGATTTACCAGAGAATAATGAAGATAATAGAAGTAATTACGAGCCAGAGAGAGTTTTCAATGATGTTGAAGGTATCATTGAGAGTTCACCAACTTCACAGTCTGATCAATTAGCGGCAAAATTGAGAGAATTAGTTATGGAGAGTGAGCAAGAATTAGAAGATAATTACGAGGTAGAAGCGGTAACCCATGAACAAAAGGAACAATCATTAGAACCAGTTCATAACTATGGAAAATTATTTCCCTGGGAATACCGAGAAGAGGTCCACGCACCAGAAAGAACTTTTGAATAAGTAGAAGAATCAAATAGATTCCAATTTGATGTTAATTGACATATCGAAGAATAAGACTATATATTTATTGTGAAATTAAAAAAAAAAAAACTTGCAATTTATTTTTGAACTACGGACCAAAATTCTAATATTTTAGTGCTTGCTATTTTATTTTTTAGAGAATTTTCCTTAAATAAGAAAGAGAGGAACATACAAGCAAGCAATTAGAACAAGAATAGATAGCTATTAATATAGATAGAGGCCCCAGATCGATTGAATATAATTATTAGGTTACTTGAATTTGTATTTATAAGACCATTTATGCAATCAAATATTCTTTTATCATTTACTTAGTTCTCGTAAATTTTGATGGCTGCAAAAACCAGACGTGTACGCACCAAATATGGTGATCACTCCTTGTAGGTATATTTTTTATTTGGTTTGCCTTCATAAAAAAAGTAAAAAAGAAATTAAACCCGTTAATGAATGGCAAAAAGCCGAAAGAGTTTTTTAAGAGACCCACGCAAACTATATTAATATTTAATCAGAATTTATTATGTAGAAAATTGAGTAAACTTAATTCTCTACTGCCGTGTGACTTAGTAGTAGTGAATTGTTCCCCCCCTGTTTGAGAGTGTACACAAATTCATATAGCGAAATATTTGTTTGGAGCCTTCGCGTACAAAACACGCAGCACATTTTCAAAAAATTACCCGGCCAAAAGTGCAAATTTTTTTTTTTTTTTTTTTTCTGTTACCCTTGGAGACATTCTTCAAATCGAGAAGAGAATTTTCTTTTGCCTTCTTTACAACCTACAACTTACTTGCTTATATATATAACAAGAAATCATGGCTTCCGAAGGAATCACCGAAATCGACTCCGGTTTGATCGAAACCAACTACGACAATGTTGTCTACTCTTTTGATGACTTGAACTTGAAGCCATCTATTGTTAGAGGTATTTTCGGTTACGGTTACGAATCCCCATCCGCTATTCAACAAAGAGCTATCTTGCCAATCACTGAAGGTCGTGATGTCTTGGCTCAAGCTCAATCCGGTACCGGTAAGACTGCCACTTTCACCATCTCTGCTTTGCAAAGAATTGATGAAAACGAAAAGGCCACTCAAGCTTTGATCTTGGCCCCAACCAGAGAATTGGCTCTTCAAATCCAAAATGTCATCACCCACATCGGTTTGTACTTGAACGTCACCGTCCACGCTTCTATTGGTGGTACTTCCATGAAGGATGACATTGAAGCTTTCAGATCCGGTGTTCAAATTGTTGTTGGTACTCCAGGTAGAGTCTACGACATGATTGAACGTCGTTTCTTCAAGACCGAAAAGGTTAAGATGTTCATCTTGGATGAAGCCGATGAAATGTTGTCTTCTGGTTTCAAGGAACAAATCTACAACATTTTCCGTTTGTTGCCAGAAACTACCCAAGTTGTCTTGTTATCTGCTACCATGCCACAAGATGTTTTGGAAGTTACTACCAAGTTCATGAACAACCCAGTTAGAATCTTGGTTAAGAAGGATGAATTGACCTTGGAAGGTATCAAGCAATTCTACATTAACGTTGAAAAGGAAAACTACAAGTTTGACTGTTTGTGTGACTTGTACGATTCTATCTCTGTTACTCAAGCTGTTATTTTCTGTAACACCAGATCTAAGGTTGAATTCTTGACCACCAAGTTGAAGGCTGAAAACTTTACCGTTTCTGCCATCCATGCTGACTTGCCTCAAGCTGACAGAGACACCATCATGAACGAATTCCGTTCCGGTTCTTCCCGTATCTTGATCTCCACCGATTTGTTGGCTAGAGGTATTGATGTTCAACAAGTTTCTTTGGTTATTAACTACGACTTGCCATCCAACAAGGAAAACTACATTCACAGAATTGGTAGAGGTGGTCGTTTCGGTAGAAAGGGTGTTGCCATCAACTTCGTCACTGAAGAAGACGTTGGAATGATGAGAGAAATCGAACAATTCTACTCCACTCAAATTGAAGAAATGCCAGCTGACATTGGTACTTTGTTTGCTTAAATAATTTGGATTGTGTATGATTAATTAGTAATACAGAAGGGATAAATTAAAAATGTGTCAAGTAGGAGTAATTTATAGAGTTGTAAAAGATGTATATTTGCATTTGTTATGACTAGGGTGAGTTTAGTTTTATAGTGTAGTAGTGTTAATTTTACTTTTTCTGATTGAGATATATATGACTAGGAAATCTATTTGAATGGCAAAAATATAAAAATTACTTTTGTTTGTTAGATTGATATACTGAAGAATTAAGAACCATGTCTTCGAACATGCCGGGGTACTTCCCCTCGGATAGATCAACAACACCTATTGCTGGAGCGAGCTCTGGACCGGAAATGGTGGAGTTAATGAATACTGAGAGATTCATGGTTAAGAACAAGTGCATGCAAAAGAATAGGAATCAACGTAATTTGATTCTTCAACTAGACATGGTAGTATATATATTGGTAGCATACCAGTTGATACGGCATTGCTATAGTGCTGCCATGATCCCGGTGATACTTCATATAGGTACTCAGAAATTCCTTAGTGTGGAGACTATTGTGGAAGCCAATCATGGTAGCCGACAAGGGAGTAGCAGTGCAGGCACTGTAGGGATGATACCGGTGATCAATGACATGATTGAACGTCTGTCGGTCCCAGAAGAGACGTCGACAGTGTTGGCGAAGGAGATTAGAAGCCAACGCATGCTCACTACGGTGACGAGAATATGTGTTTGGATCTACTGGAAAACTATTATTGTAAGCATATATCATATTGTATTCGTTCAATATTGGCTTATGCCTTTTGCCATGAGGGATGAGTTGGCACTCTTACAATACGGTACTTGGTGGTTTATATCATTTGTAGGTGAAACCCCACCAACCGGTATCAATAAGTTGGAGAGCAATTGGGAACGCCTTCTGGCCTTGGGATTACCGGGTCTTATTTTAACCAATCTTTTAATTTTATTTGTGCAATTGGTGATCTTCCAGAGTACTTATATTCAGTCGACAGTGTCACCGTTAGGTCGACGATTACATGAAAAGGAGATTGAAATATTACGTGTGGTTGGAGATTCTCTGGGAGGAAGGGGTAGAGAAGAGAGTGCCGATATCGAACTTGAGGTGCCTACTGTTTTACTGGTGAGACTTTACGAGGTGTTTCGATGGGACGTCATCACCCTGATATAGGGTCATTCTATATAATGATATTTATATATATACATATATTTTTTTTTGATAAAACAGATTTGTTTTTAATTCTTGATCGATATGGAAAATAAAAATAAAAATAAAATAATAATAGATGATAGACGATAGTACAAATTATTATCATATAAAAGTTGTATTGCAATGTTGTAGCAAGTACGATGTTCAAATTATCGCGAAGAATAGATGGAGTATACCCATTTCGGACAAAATATGCGTATAGATATCTAGCGGTGCCTACAGTAAAACAATATTTAAGGGAACCATATGAACTTGGATACCCTCAAGGATTAACACATGAAATTAGAAATGAGATAACTGAAATTAAAAAGAAGGTGTTCGATAAAAGAACTCCTGCTGAGACATTTGAGACAGAAGTTAAAGATAAGAAATGGGAAGAATTGTCTATACTGGAAAGGTTTCAATATACTCAACAATTGCAAGTAGGGAGATACAAATTCAATCAACCTAAACCTAAACCAGAAACAGGATTTGACTTATTTAAATCACAAGTACGTCATAGATATGCCAAACCAATTCTCAAGGAACATTGGGACGGGTTGACCGATGTAGAACGTGCGCAATATATAGAAAGCCCTCATTGGGATTACCTTCATCAGCAACGACTAAGAATTTGGCAAGGGTATGAAATAGTGGAATATTTAAAGATTCGTGGAACCATACAACAACAATTCAATCCATATCCATTTCTGGGTCTTTATCCCTGGGAAATAATAAAGGACAAACTTCTGGACATGAGTCGAAGAAAGACAATTGGCTCAATTTATGACTTTGAAAAAGATATCTATGATGTATTGATTCTGGAAGCACTTGTAACTAAAGTTCCTGACTTATACAAATTTTATATATCATATGCGAGAGACATAACCAAGCCTCCAACAAAGAAGGAATTTTCAATGTTGGGACCATCAGTTCTTGAACCATATATCACTCGGAGAAATAAACGAATCCAACATGCCAATGAATACAACCCCACCAAAAAAGTATCCAATTGGAGTACATTTTTACAACAGAAATACAGGAGAGATCCACAGTATCAAGATACGAGTTTTATAGAATTGGAGAAGATCGCATCGATTGAGTGGCAAACATTAACAAAGGAAGAAAAAGATAGATACTCCACTACACTCGAAATGAGTTCTGCTTCTGCCAAGGATATCAGATTGAACGAGCAAGTTGATCATATTATGAAATATATCTACGAAGTTGGAAGCGTAGCAGGTACACCATCAGGATTTAATTGGAAAAGTGATATGATGGAGAAAACTAAAGGGTTTATATATCTCTACCGGATGTATGGAGAGGTTTATATAAGTTCTAAAAAGGTAGAGAAATAGGAAATACATATACAACTAAGAAGTTACGGCCCATAAATCCGATATATTCGGTTTTAAGCTTGTGCACATGTATCGCGATCAAAAGTCTTGTAGTATAAATTCTTGTACGCGTATAAAAAAAACTGAGCACCTACGCGTTCTTTCTTTTCTTCAACTCTATACACTTTACAAATAATATCTAATAATGACTACTGAACTGGCTCTTAAGAAACAAAAGATCGAAGTTGAAGACACCTTGAAAATCTTCTTACGTTCTGATAAGGCTACCTTGCCAACCAGAGGTTCCGCATTGGCTGCTGGTTATGACTTGTACGCCCTGGAAGACGCCGTGATTCCAGGCCAAGGTCAAGGCCTTGTTTCCACCGACGTCTCCGTCATTGTTCCATTTGGAACCTATGGACGTGTTGCTCCACGTTCAGGATTGGCCGTCAAGCACGGTATTTCCACTGGTGCTGGTGTTGTGGATGCTGATTACAGAGGTGAAATCAAGGTTGTACTTTTCAATCATGCAAAGGCTGACTTTGCCATTTCTAAAGGTGACAGAATTGCTCAATTAGTTCTTGAAAAGATTGTTATGGCCGAAATCCAGCAAATTAGCGCCGACGAATTGGTCGCCACTGAAAGAGGTGAAGGTGCATTTGGGTCCACTGGTAAATAAATAAAATAAATTAAATAGAGGAAATTAGAATTCTCTTGGTTGGGGAGATATACATTATTGTATTATATACATCGTACAAGTATTTACATAGTTAATAAAGAGTAACATCTTGAAAATAAATAGGCAAAGAAGGAAAAAATTTTTGGAAAAAAAAATGTCATTACTCGTAATAGGAGCAAGCTAGTGTGAGCTTCAGCTTGATAGTCTATGGGTTTCTTTTTTATTTTAATCTTTAGTCTCAACAGCAAAGGGAAGCAAATAAGTCACTAGTCCACTTAGTTATTAGTCTTCTTTTCATCTTGTTCAATCTTCATCCCTTCATTTGCAGTTTCTTCATATTCATCCAACTTGATGTTATCTGGGATATGGGTAACGGTACCCTTTTCACGAGCATTTTCTTCTTGAATCAATTCATCTTGTTCCTTCAAGATGTTCAACTTCAATTTAGAATCATCAGCCAATTCCAACTTAGCAACGTTATAAACCTCATCTGGAATAGATGACAAGACAGCCAAAAGAGCGTCATAATATGATTCAATACTATGGGAGTTATCACCATAAGTATAGGTGGAGGATAATAATAATAATGTGGATGGAATCTTTTGTCTTAATCTTAAATCTAACCAAGTAGATAAGTCATCTCTCAATCTAGCAGGAGAAACATCAGTGGATTTAATACCTCTTTGCAGACAAGCAATTTGCAATTCTGGAACACTCAATGATTCAACCCCTTCATAATCGATAGCCTTATCATCCTTAATGATGGTTAAAAGACGATGTCTAATTTGATATCTAACAATGGAATCAGTTCCAAATGGACTCAAGGACATGTATTTGGCCATGGCAAGCAATTGTGGACGAGACAAGTTATCTAAAACTTGATCATTCTTGAACAATCTAGCAACACTAATCAAATGATCTCTGGTTGGGTTCTTACCTAATGAAATGGTATGGAAAAAGGAAACAAAGGCTTCCTTTTCTTCTTCAGTGATTTTCTTAGAAAGTTTTAAACCACTTTCTTCCATAGTCTTCTTAATGAAATCGGAAGTTGAAACTCTAGTTTTAGATAACTTGGCACGCTTCTTATTACGGTCCAGCAGAGATTCATAGGTTGATGGTAACAAATTTGGGAAAATTTTCAATGCAACAGGAAGTAAAAGTTCAGCAAATGGAATGATTAAAAACATCGAGAATGGAACTAATCTTATCACATCACCAATGGTACGTTGAAGTTGGTTAGTTTCTCTTCTAGAGAGCGCGTACCCAGCCGCCACTTTGAAAAGTAACTTGGTCAGAACCTTTATTTCATAACCAAGAAGCTTAGTACCGTCCCAATAATGGTTAAGTTCATGTTTAACCTTTTCCCATACGGATTTTTTTGGAGCAGTTGCAGTTGAAACTTCGGTAGTCTTCTTAGTTTCAACCTTTGATGGTTCAACCTTAGATGCCACCTTGGCATTGTCTGTCTTAGGAGTAGTAGAGTACCCTCTTACAAATGACATGACCAATGGAACATTTACACGGCTGACACCATTAACAGAAGCTCTACTCTGTACAAGGGCTGTGATTCTATGGTTCAAGTTGGCGGTGGAGGTGGTATTTCTAGCACTTAAACATCTCGAAATTGAGTTGCCACCGATTATTCTTTTCATTCCGATGTTATTAATTCCCGGCATAACGTACTTCTAATTCTTCGTTCAAAAGGCAAGCAATGCAAAATAAAATGAAAAAAAAAAGCGTCTATTGAACTAGTTAATTAGATCCGTGGGAAAAGAATGTGTGTATAAACTTTATAACTACCACTTAATTTCAAACACTTTGTGTGTGTGAGTGTGCACTTGCAGCATTTCGACAGCCACTGAGAGAGAAATTCAAATTTTATGTCCAGGGCGTGTGGGGATCATTTCTACGGAATTAGGGCGGATGTAGGTTCCGGAAAGGAAGGGTTGAGAGAAATTGAATAAATTATTAAGCGGAAGTCATAAAAGTAGTGTAGGTCGAGGAAAATAGAGATCTAATTAGTATATTCCCGAGTTTGAGAGCGATTGTAGGTTTGTCAATCTAATTCAATTTTATGGTTCTTCTTTGATTATTAATTTTTGTCTTTTCTTTTTCGAACAGGGGCCGGTTACCACCGGTTGAAAACTGCGGTGGACACGTGACCTCAACCACGGATACTCGATGCGGATAATGTTCGGGAAGAATAATGATCTGGGGTAAATGAATAAAGGCAATAAAATGAATTAGTAAGGTATGAGTAGTATACGAGAGAATATAGTATTGATGACAGAGAAATGTGTAGCAAAATATATCAGTTTCACAATTTATTTAATTGAAAGACTCCCAAAAGGTGAAGCGCTCTTTAATTTTGTACAAGATTCACAGAATGATATGGAATACCGTAGAATATTTTCAAGATTAAATTTATGGGACCAAAAAATTTTAATCCAAATAAATATGTTCTTACACCAAAAATTTCCTCTTGATGAGTATAATGCTAGATTAAAACCAAGACTCTATTCAATATATCCTAATATCTATTCGTTCTAATTAATTAGTACTTTCATTTATTTTTTTTTCGTTCTTTTTGCATCGGTAACTTTTGCCCTCTTTTATTCTTTCCAGTAGAAATAGTATAGACAATTTTCATAACTCAAGTTTATTTATGACATCTATAGAGATACACTTCGATCTGACTTATTTGACTCTATTCAATCCTCATCCTTTTGAATCTTTCCTTGTTCTTTAGATTCTCCATTAACACCAATAATCACAATCTTATCAACAATCGTATGATAATCTTCATCATCACCATCAATGAAAATGTTTAATGATTGAACATTTTGGAAACGGACAAACTTCACCTTGATTTCATACCAATCATTCTTAAGAGCAGTAACATCAATGTTTTCGATGTGAGGAGCATTGGAATCTTCAGTTGCATCATCGAATGATAAGATACTTTGTTGATTAAGCCAAACTTTAACTAAATTTGGTCTTTGAGATTCATCCTTCAAGTCATCTGAATCTAAAGTGGAACCTTCTTCTGTATGAGTATTTGATATTTTAATTAAAAAGGAATAAACTTTTGAAATGTTCATCAATGGGACATAAAATAATAATTGAGAATCAGCGTCTGAATATACAGAGCTTTCAGAAAATTCTGAGTCCAATTTGAACACTTCCTTAATCTCCTTGTTATACAATGAATGAACGTTAAGGGATTCAAATTCTCCAAAATGAATGGACCCATTTAATACCTCGTATCCCTTAGGGATATATTCAGCGATTTCCTTGACTAATGGGTTGGTGGTGGTAGTTGGATTGACCGAGCGACCATTCCCAGAACGTGGAGGAGCATCTGTTTCGCGTGCTTGTGTTGCAAAGGCATCTAACTGTTTAATTAATTCAGGAACATTTGCACCCTTAATCCTTTCAACCACTTGCTTTTCACGGAAAAACAAAAATGTAGGAACACTAGTGATTTCATATCTGGCAGATAATTCTCTTTGAGTATCTAAATCAACTCTAACCATTTCTACACCGATATATTTTTGATCTGGGTCAATATAAAGTTGATCTAAAATTGGCTTCACTGCTTGACATGGACCACACCACAGAGCTGTGAAATTGACCATCACAAATCGGTTACCCTCAAGGTAAGCGTCAAGATCAGCAGCAGACGTGACGAATTTAATTGACATTGGTAATAATATATTATTCTAGTTTGTATAATCTGTTGATACTAATTTATTCATATCTTTGATATGGGGCCCCAAATCTCATTCTCTTTTGTGTCCTTTAATTTTTGGCATAGATCACGAGATTGGCTAGATGCAGTCCTAATCAATCTATACTTTAGAATGAATCTAGTAGACAACGGATATCCATACAATCCAGTTCAACGCTACGATGAGAAATAGTCTGATTGATATGCTGCTGGGTGAGGATCCGGCTAGTCTTGTTTTACCACGACTGAAGGGAAGTGGAACAAGTGCAGGAAGTACTGGACCTGCAAACTCTCCATTATCTCCACTCCGCTTGTCGTCTGGACCAGATGATTCAAAAGTGAAAACACCTAAACGAGAGCTATTGGGCCCATCACGTAGGATTGAAGATGATAAGAAGTATCAAGCAAAATTGATAAGTCCTAAATCTGCGAAATCGATTCCAGTGGTTCCTCATATTGAAGATTTCAAGGCTGATCTAGTACTTGAAGAAAGTTTATTACCAAAAGAAAAAGGTCTTAAGTTTAAGGTTGATTCCCCTAAGGAGGAATCACAACAAGAAACTTCAAATGAGAGCTCTCAAATTTTAATGGAAACTGACAAGGAAAAATTGAAACTTATATCAAACATGGCAGAATTACTTTTGAATAATCGTAGAGTTCTTCGAGCTGATTATAATATTGTTGATCTGAATCTTAAAACAGAAGATTCCAAGGACCATTATGAAGGAAGGAGTCAACCAATTGTGGTTTCTTCTGCTACTCGAGTAAGGGCAGACAAAGTGAAATCAATGCTTGGGCTTCATTATCTTTACATGCAACGATGTTATGACCATGGCCAGAACGGTCAAAGTCCACATGCTCTTGTAGATGGTGTTTACAACCCCCTTCAAACAATTCGTAATAGAAAATTACGTGCTAAATATCATGAAAATCCCAAATCATTATCGATTAAGACAATTCCCTTAGCTTCTAATATGTTCAGTTCACGTAACAACCAAAGAAATAAAGACCCGAGAAAGCAATGGAAAATGATATGGGCAGTGGAATTGCATGAAGTAATTTCAGATATGAAATGGCAAGCTTTACATTGGAATGAATTAGTTGGGCCAAAAGGGGAATTATGGTTCCCACCTACAGCAGACTCGCTGAATCGTCTTTCAGTTCTTTCACCAAAGAAATTAAAGAGTAAAAGACTACATGATAAGCTTTTCAGTAGTGAGGATGAAATCAGCCATCAAGATTCAGGAAGGAAAAGTGGAGGCTCTGGATCATCTGATTTAGGGCTCAATATTTCTAAATCAAAGATAAATTCTCAAGCACTGCTCAACCCATCTGATGGAGATGAAGTTCATAATTATCACTTCTCTAGTTCAAGGTTGGGACGTGGTAAGAAAAAGAACAGACTTAGCGGTAAGTTAAGACTGAGATCTAAAATGAAACACATGGTTGAAGAAGTTTCCTCAGAAGACCAAAGCCATGTAGAAGAAGACAAGTTAGGGTATGGAAGTTTATTGAAAGATCGTATTTTCAAGAAAATAAAAAGATCGGATAGTGATTCACTGTCAGATGAACATGGGTTCGTCTTGGAGCATTTGCAGGAAGAGGATGATGATGGAGAGTACGTTGGATATGATGAAGATGATGACGATGATGATGACGAAATTAATCGCGATGTTGCGCTTACTAAAGGCAATTACAACGACGTGAATGAAGGTGTATTTAAAAATGAAAGAGACGGTGTCGAGGATGAAGTAGAAGGCAATGAAATAATGATTGATCCAAGAGATAAGACTGGCCACAAAAATAAAGACGAGGATTTTGGTAATCCCGAGGATGCAGCTCAAGTATCGAGAGATTCAATGGAAGTAGGAAAATCTCTGGAATTGGAAACAAATCCTAAGACACTGACCAATGAATTGACTAATTTGAGTAGTAACAAAAATGAAAATAGTCTGGGATCTTTAGTGAAACATAATTCAGAATCCTCAACAGCAGATCTTGATTCAGATGATCAGCAGTTAGACCCTTCGTCATATAATATAAATGACGTGGCTATCAAGCCCATTGATGCAAAGGATTCTGATACGAGTAGGTCAGGGGAATTATTGGACATAAAATCACCCTCTCCTGGAAACTCTGCTGTTGACCCACTTCAGAATGAAGAAGAAACCAGCGAAAGTTTGGTGGTTGACGACGAGCTTGTGACTATTGTTCCTAACTATAAGTATCTTAATTCTCTCTTGAGTACAAGATATTTTTTTGTTATGAATGTTTTACCCGAGATTTTCAGTTCTCATTATAAACAAGTGAATGACCTTACAAGTGTCGATATACCAGTAACCACAGAATTATGTGTTAACATCAACGACGAACAGCTTCCTTCTTACGAATCTATCTACAATGGTTTCGTTGGAGAAATCAATACTTTAATCCATCTCATTAATGATAACTATTCAGTTAGAATTGATAACCTTTTAAGTGCAAGTGATAGACTGATCGGTGAAATTAACACATCTTTATCTTTGGAATTACGGAAGCATAACGAGAGAATAGACCGATTAAATTCATCGATGTTTGGTAGCACCTTTAGTATGGAGATTAATGATCATAAGGATAAAATTATGAAAATGAGTGATGGAAACAATAAGCTTCTTTACTTTTGTCTTGAGAATCTTATTGTCACCTTATTAAGAATTGTATGGATCGTGGTTAACCTTTACAAAAGTGTTAGATTTATATTTCTATTCCTTTGGAGAATAGTTACTTTTTTCTTCTGAACAACACATAAAAACATTAGCATTAAAAATATTTACAGTTAGCATAGCCGGTCTGTGCTGAAATATTCTAATTCAAAGATAAATCTATCTGCATTGATAAAATACTCGTAATATTCCATTTCTTCATTTTCTTTCTCAATTTGACCAATACTTGATTTCAATTCTTTATTCATAAATGCTCGATTCTTGACAAAATAACGATTAATATCAATTAATTTTTGACGGTTTAAAAGATCTTCTCTTGAACATGGTGTATCCATATCATTTGAGTCGAATGGGTGCCTTTCATTTAGTTCAAAATTAAATCCATTGGGAATATAATGGTCACCAGAATCAACAAGTACACCAAGTATTTTATTTTGTACTTGAGCATTCGATAAGAGTTCCTTCATTATAGAAGTTTTAAAATCATATTCTAAATTGCTAATTCTTCCCACATTCAACATAATTTTTGGTCTTCTCTTATCAAGTTTTGAATAATTATAAATCATTTCTATGAATTCAATTAAATCATTTGAAGAAAGATAATTATTAATTTGTAATATAATAAACGTATCTTCATTTCCGATGGTACCAACTACTGCTACAGTACCAATTTTGGTCACTGAAAGAAACTGATGTGGTTGGCTGCAAGCATACATCGCATCTAGTGCTGCATTGATTTTGTGCTTATACATTCCCTTGTCAAATGGCAAATGAGAATCCAGAGTTTGGAATCCTATTGGATATGAAATTCCTGAAACCAATTCACGATGTAATTGAGATTCAATTAACGTAGAGCCGACCATTCCAAGACAGAATAAATCTGAGAGGTATTGAGGAGTAATTGTATCAGATATTTCTCCAACGATAGGACAAATTTCAGCTAATTCACAAAGAAGAGCACGACACACTGGAATTCCTTGATCAATTTCAAATGTCATGATCAGTGATGTTGGCACTTCTCCAAGTTCGGAATATGGTCGATTATATTTAGTTAAGTTTGTTCTCACTGATAGAAGAAGGTTTCTAGGGATTGAAACTCGCTTATCATACAAGGCGCGGACACTATCAGGTAATAGGGCATGAGGCAAGTTTGAGAATTCTTTCCCAAGTAAAGTTCCAATCCATTGAGCACATGCTTTGATTTGGTTTGAATCTGATACATATGATGGCCCAGTGATTACCAAGAGTGGGTTATCATTTTTTGCAACATTGGAATCACCATTCTCAATACCACGGCAGAGCAATGTATTAACCTTTTCTCGGTAATGAGTGATTTTCTGTTGCAATTCCACATTGGTTGGGAAGAGGATATTTTGAATTACTTCTGGTTGAGGGACTGCAATTGGTCCACCATTCCTTTCTGAAAGACACAACCCTGACAGTCTTACACCAAATTGTGACCTCGATGGACTTCCCACTTGTGTTGTAGTTCCATAAACCCAGCTTGGACCTAATAATTTGGAGGAAGATTCCAGATCAATAGAAGAATTTGTTCTAGATCTTGACGGAAGTGGCTGCTTCCCTTCAGAAGTGCAAACAGATATTGGATCGGTTGTCATAGTAGAATCTAAGATGATATTAAAATGAAATACGAATAAATTAGTTTATATTAAAAAAAAGATTTATATCTAACTAATTTGTCAGTAAGGAATATAAATCGTATTGGGTGTATGTAAATGTAAATAGACTTATAATTCTTATGACATATCATTATGACTCTTTTGGCCGCAAAAAGGATCAATCAAAAGTATGCACACACTCAAAAAAAAAAAAAAAATAAAACAAAAACCGAGCTCATGAGCACGTGATCACTTTATGAACCATAACTTGACAATGAATAAAGTTAAGTGAGAGCATACTGTACCATTATATTTTAGTTTGATTCTACCATAGAAAATGCAACCTAAATCCATTACTCTTTTACGTATGTGAAGCAGGATCACTGCATTAATAGAGAATATAGCCAAATTATTAGTACAACAACAACATTGGTTACTGATTTTACTCAACAATACATTTTGAGAGGGAAGTCTATTTCTTTATTGATACACTTGGTCTTTATTATTTGATTGCTCTAGAGCATACTAACCATTAGAAAAAATCGATTCTACAGTTGATCAATTGATTAATAAGTTTCAAAATATATTTGAAGTAGCAGTCATTAATGATAAGTCGAAGGAATTATTGGCAGTTGAGTCACTTACTATCGAAGCGGATGCTCTGACGATTATAAGACTTTGTGAAGAACTACTTACTATCTCTCGTGGACTCAAAGAAACTTGGTGTTTAGGGACATTAAAAGTTGAAAATGGGAAGGAAAATGTCGAGCAATCAGAGGAAAATGATGAAGATTTGGCCGCAGTTCATGCCAAATTTAATCAACTTACAAACAAAATTGCCCAATTTGAAAGAAAGGGAACTGTAATATAAGAAAATAATGCCTAGAGTTATTTTCTATTAACTTGATATACAAGAATTCTTGAAATTATTAAGTGCTCACTCACATGAAGATAAATGTATTCTATGATAAATTTGATTATGATACTATACTAGGACTACTAGGTCTCGTGGATTGACGACTACTAGGTCGCGTTGGGTGACGACTACCGGGTACCACAGGATCAAGGTCTTGTTTCTTTTCTTCAAATAAATTCACAAACTTTTGAACTTTCCCCACTCGAATGAATTTAAACTTTTTGTCTTGCTTAATGTAGCTAGGAACTGTCAGAGATTTGAAGGCATATTCCAATCCAGTGTGTTCTTCGTCATGATTGATCAATGAGAACGAAGCTGCCAGGGTTTTTCTTGATACTGATGGTTTACGTTTCGTGGGTGATACAAACGAAGTTCTAGGTTTAAGTATTGGGGAGGGGGAAGATGGTTCGAATAAAACGTTGGTTGTATCAGGCTTGGATCTTTTTTCTGGTGAACTTGGAGCAGTATCCAAATCACAGGATACTTCTTCGATCTCATCTAACTTTGTGTGTTCATTATGGCGTAAATTGCTAATATCATTTAGGAATTTATCATCTCCCTTAACTTCGATAATATTCATTTTATTTAATTTCTTTAATACTTGAACGTTGGATGAATGGCTATAGTTCATCGATGGAATATCATTGAAATTAATCAGTTGAGGCTCTTCTTGAGTGTTGGATCGCGTGATATCATTAGACTTTAATAAATTTAATTCTTCTATAGATGAATCATATTCGTCATCTTCGTAGATGTAACTCTTATCCTTCAAAGGCTCTTCAATAGAGATGTCATTGATTGTAGGTGAGGATGGTATTACTTCAAGTGGTGGATCAAGGGAGGAAGTTGAATATCCAGTAACATATTTTTGATGAATCGGTTCTAATTCATTAAGTGAATCTATTTCATCAAATTGGAAATCTTGTCGTTCATCACCATCTTTTTCTTCTTCTTCTTCTTCCACATCTACTTCTTCAGTATCTTGCAGAGCGACTTCTTCTTCATTTAATGCATCCAATTCTTTAAGAAATCTGGTTTTAATATACTCTTCAGTTTGTTCCACAAGGCTTACATCACATAGTACTAAAATACCATAGCTTTCATCTTTTAAAAAATCAAGTTCAATTTCAAGATTTCCTTCATTACGTCGTACGGTGAAATCTAAAGCATTCAATTTGAGACATACAACAAAGATCTCATTGGGTACGAAACAATAAGGAAGAATCGCCAGCGATACTCCTTTATTGTGAATCAGCAGTTGCAGCAGGGACAGCGGCAGCAGAGGTTGTGCTGGCAGTTGTGGCAGAGGTCTATCAATTCCCTTCCTTTCCATATGGATTCTTCCAGCCCCAGATTGTGCAACAGATATAAGGTTTTCCTTGAGAAGATCAGAGGCTTTTAATAATTTATTACGCAGAAGTAAAGTATTGAGTTCAACTTGAAGGGTGAAGCTAACACTATTCAGAGCGGCCAATTCCACCACTTCTTCACCCAGATCATTGACAGTACGTCTTCGATATCGTCTTGATAATCGACGAACCTTGGAGGTAATATCTGAAGAGAATATAAAGTTTGGTCGTTCAGGATCTCGTCCACATTGTTTGTACGATAACCCTCTCATGGATCCCAGAAATATACTATGTCCGTTTATAGCATCATGGTGGGACAAAGTCGCTGAGAACAGGTTCATGATTGCTTTCTTAATGATTTCCTCTCAAATCCTGACTTTTTATATCTATTTGTAAAATTTTGTCTGTTAATGAATTTGTTTAATATCAACTTTGATGGAGTATAGTCATGCGAACTGGGTGTTAGAAATTTGAATCAAAATCAAAACAAAAAATACCGGTCCTGCAAATAAGGAATAGTAATGTATATACCGTGGGGACGTATATGATTCTAATAATGATATACATGTTAAGAGAGATCAATATATACCAATTTCTTTTTTTGGATTCAATATTAGGTCATGCTGTCATATTATTTTACGATTATAGGTACCAGGGACAACCCTTTATACGAGCTTGAATTTTCTCTGTTTAAACTGAATTCCCTAGCTGCAGTTTATGGTAATAATGTCATTCCTGGACAATCTCAATTCAGTGCTAATGTCAAGGAAATTCTACCATTCATATCACATTCATCCTTGGATATTGTAGAGGATGCTACCTGGTCATCGAATCAGTTTAGTCTTGGAAGGATAGACTCGTTTTACGGGCTCTCGGTGAATGCCTTTGTGACACAGGGGAATATAAAGTTTATCTTGTGCTATGATAGTCCTGGCACTAATTCAAATGGAGTTGCTGGTGTTGGATCAACTACTTCAAGTTCCAAAAATGATGATAATGCAATTAAACAATTTTTCACTGAAGTTAATGAATTATACGTTAAATGTCTATTAAATCCACTCTATTCAGTCAATGATGCCATAAAATCTCCTGACTTTGATCTTAAGATAAAATTACTGGCAAGAAAATATCTTTAAACGATTTCAACAATACAATTGTTTGAGGTTCCACAAAGTTCACACCAAGAATTTATCAACCTCCCAGCATTCACCCGAGTCACCCTTTTCTCTTCTTTCTTTAGAGAAGAAAAAGGTCGTTGACATATCGTAAGTGTCATAAAAACTTCACCTTTGAAGTGTATGGAATAGACTCTAGCATTTTATCATAAATTCATAAATTCAATCTAATGATTCTCATATCGTTACATAATCATACCCTTTATATAAATAAATTTATCAATAACTATGTAGTATTCAATATGTACATGTCTACTTAGTTTTGTTTCTTGGCCTCCTCTTCTTGCTTCTCAGCCTCTTCGAATTGTTTCTTTTCTTCTTCATCTTGTTCAAGAGCCTTTTCAGTTTCAATCTTGAAGTTTCCATTTTCATCTTCCACAATGATACCTTGTTCCTTAAGAGTAACAAACATATCTTGAGGAACCCATCCGCCAGTGGCAGCAAATGGAGTAGATACAGCTTCTAATTGGAAGTCTTCCAATTCTTGTTGATGTTGATCCAAGTATTCAGCAGTGTATTTAATAGGGAATTCCAGTTCTTCAGTGTTAACCAATCCATTGGCAACATAGGCATCCCACATGGCTTGTAATTGAACGATGGCTCCTTCAACATATAAATAATCTTTATCGGACTTTGAGTCTAATGCTTGCAAGTATGCGGACTTCAATACCTTGATATGTGGGGAGGCAACTGCAATTAAATCATGTCTTCTTTCATTCAAACCAACTTCCCATAATCTTTCATTACGAGTCTTGTAATGCATGAATTGGTATTGTTGCTTTTCAACTTCATCCATTTCAGCGAAACCTGGAATATCTTCTTCCAAGTCATAAACCTTGGCACCTTGATAGGCAACAAATGGTGGGTGACTCAGGAGAATAAATGGCTTAATCGAAGTGTTTTCAAAATCAACAAACACTGGTTTACCAGTCTTGCTCAGAATAATCACATTCAATGGATCTAAATCAGGGGCAAATAATCTTGGCTTGAATAATTCTTCAACATTGGAAATGGATTTAGAAACTGGGTTAAGTAATTTTTGAGAAATAGTTTGTAAATGTTCATAAGTGGCAATTTGACTTTTGAGTAATTCAACATTTTCAATAACGTTACTGGAACCAGCTTCAGACAAGGACAAACGGTGACGCAAGGACTCGAGCTGAACACCAGCAACAGAGCTAATCAATTCCAATGGCTTGGACTTATCCCAAGGACCCAAATGAGGAGTGAGATGTTTCTTGGTTAATTGATACTTACCCTTGTGGTAAATTCTTTCAGTAGTTGGACCGATTTTCCATCTGTTTTGTAACAATGGATTGGTTTCACCTTCATATGGAGAGGATGGAGCTTGTTCAATATCCTTGGCAAAATATAAAGAACCAAATTGGTTAAAAGTGATTGAAAGAAGCTTTTCTTGGAAATCAGCAACTGGATCAAGAACTGACTTCAATTTGGATTGAGCTTCACCAGCTTCGCTTCCCTCTTGTACCAATGGATCCCATTGTTTCATCAACAAGTCACCTTCGACGTATTCCATCAAAATAAATGGCGACTTCAAGGCATTATCTCTATCATAACCATAGGCAACAACTTTTGGGACATTTAAACCTAATTTCAAATTCAAAAAATCTAAAGTGGCAACTTCACTCTTAACAACTAAGGATGTAGTATATTGTTGTTCCAATGGGTATGGAATTCTCAACACCAAATCTTTTCCAGTGGACAAGGTAATCTTGTAGATACGGTTATGTTTACCCTCATGGATACTGGCAATAGACTTAATAAGAAGGGATTGGTTGTTCGAGACGTCACCAATAAGGTCAGAGACCAAGTTGTTGGTCAAGACTGTGGTACCATCATTAAGTTCAGTTGGAGCCTTAAGAACTGGTGTACCATTCTTGTCAAGGTTTTTCGATTCACCAGCAAGTTTGGCAAGATCTTCCAAAACTGTGGAAACACCTTCGATGGAAAATCTGGTTTCTCTACGCTTACGTTCCACAGCGTCGTTCTTCATCCATGAACCCCAAGTGTATTGGAAGAAGGCATTTCGTTGAGGATCGGTAGAATCAGAAATTTTGGTGTAAATTTCAGTTGGAGTTGTGTTTAACTTTGAAGATTGGAATCTTTGGGCCAGCACACGAGCAATAGCTCCGGTTTGAGCAATTCTACACCCCCTAAGACGGGAAGCTTGTCTTCCTACAGATCTTAACATGACTTAATATCTTTTGTTGAAAGAGTTATGAGTATGTAAAGAATTTTAGAACGATTTCTAATCGAGAGTACATGAAAGTTCGCACAAAAAGACTCGTCCATAAAATTGTAAGTTTTAAAGTGGATGAAGCTTCAAGGTGAAAATCAATAATAATTGTTTAAAATTAGGTACAATAGTACGGTCGAGGACGGACTAACCCACCAAGAAAATCGAGTGATTTGGTCAGGATTCATTATAAAAAAAAAAAAAAAAATTAGGAACTTGGGAACAAGTATGCCCCACTTAATATCTAGTGGTTGGTATGATGAGTAGAAAAATGGCTGCGAATAGAAGATACATCATCTCTTCTTGACAACCAAATCCTTTTAGCTTGTACAATTTATAAACTTTGTATACAAATAGTCTCGTCACTATGAAATATTTCTTGTCTGATATGATATTATATACTCAAAAATTGTCTTGTCTCTCGACTACACTGGTATCAAGAAGATTTATCTTCTCCTTTAGGGTAATTGGGGGTTCTGGTGGGATAGCAACAAACAGGTTATTCCCGCCAGTATCTCCATCGAATTCCGCTGCAGTAGTTTTTATAGACCCTTGGCTATAGTTTGAATTCGATTGAAATTCAGAATCAAGATGACTACCAACTTGTTTTCGAAATATAGAGTTATGTAGCTCTATATTTTCAGCATTTAATTGATCACCGGGGGGTGAAGTTGTGGTGATTGATGAAGTTGGTGTTATATCTACAGGTAGTGGTGCTTGCACTGGAATGGGCCGAATTGGGGTACGGCCCGCCAATGGAATCGCCACGGGTAAGGCTGCAGCAGACATGTCAGAACCAGCACTAGAACTATATAAATTATTTTGAGCCATATTCGTCAAGATATTGTTGGAATACAGGGTGGGTCCATGTCTATGTAAACGTTTACCTTCAATACCATCTTTGGTTGCCGTTGTGGACAAACATGAAGTATTTGAGTTTCTTGAAAGTGGACGGGAAAACGATTCAGAGACATTAACATTGCTTAGATCAGGAGAAATATCTCGATCACCATATGGAGAAATTACCGGTAAATTCTGATAATCACTTGTGGTCGATGCTATTGATATATTTGAACTGCTTTTGTATAAGTTTCTTGACGATTGGTTGAGAGCGCCACCTCCACCACCACCACCACTGCCGCCTCGAGATGAAGTTGGTGACATCATCTGCACATCATCGCTATATGAAGACATGTTTTGGAAAATGTGGGGTAACCCTGGAAACTGGTACTGGTAATGTTGTTTTAATGTATATAGTGATGTATTATATATACAAAGCCTCTTTTCTACGTTATAAGGACAAATGGTAATGGGAAGGGAAAACTGCAAGTTAGCAACTAAACTTTTTAAATTGGGGCGTGTGCTGTTAAAGTATAAAAATCATTCAACCAATATATGAGATGAAGTCATATTGTGGAAAAACCAAAACAAATTATGGTCATTGAGGAACCCCTTATTAACGGGTGTCCTTTGTACACACCACTATCTTTATTGTTATCTCTAAATAAGGTTACACAACATTTCGCGGAACGAGTTATGGAAAGTTTACGTGCGATGAAGGCGGGTAAAATAGTATTGTCAGGGGAGGAAACTCAAGAACGAAAATGTGAAAGGACAATACAGTTTGTAGTGTGATGTAATAAATTACAAATTATTTTTTAACCCCATATCTTCGTTACATGATCAATTAGTACATGATCAATTAGTAGTGCAAAAGGGGTGGACTTTAAGGGGAAGCAAAACGATCTAAATATAGGGAAGGGGGAAAATGGTCTAAGTTCTTAATTAAATGGACGGCCTATTGCATATCATCTGATTCAGACTATATTCATGGTATTGATTATGTTTTCTTTTACATGAATTGTTATTCTTTTGTCCTGGTATATATTTTATTTTTTGCGCAATGGTCAATAAGACGGTTTAGACGATTCAGCCCTTTATCCTCATTTTGATTTTTTTGCAGCAAAAATTTGAAAACATTAAAACTAAAATTTTTGATAAAAAGTATATTTAATAGAGATATAACCTAGTGAAATGATTGGTCTGAGTGAGTCTGAGCTTGCAGTTTGTTTCTTTTTCAAATTTGTTATTGCAACAATAACATATCTTCATGGGATATTTGAAGAAGAGAATTATCAAGTTAAAGAAGTTGGATCGATTAGATGTAGAGAATTAGTAAAAGGGGTATCTAAAGAAGCAGATACTCTAATTCTGTGGATAGAAGAAGGAGTGATTAGATTTCTCCAACAAGGACAACTAGTCACTCTTTTTTTCAATATTGGGAATCTTACTTACTCATTCAGATGTCAATATGGATTTGAATCTATTCCAACAATGAGTATAAATGATTTTGAAATAAATAGTTCCAATATTTTTGATACTATCGTTAGTTTGATTCTAAAATTGGAACAAATAATCCAATACCAAATTTTAGAATTTAAAGGAGAAAAGGAAATATCGTTCAATATAGAATATCATGAGGATAAGGAGATCAATATCCCTTCTATGTTTGAGAAGTTAAATAACAATTTTGAAATGAAAAGGAGAAAGCCAAAATTGTTATTAAATGCTTTATATTCCAAAGTATCTATGGATTATACAATGACTTACCCGCCTATAGATTCAAAAGTAGAAATTGAAATTGCAATTAAAAATTGTGAATGTGATACAAATAAAGAATTGACTCCTGACAAGATATTGAATAAGAATAATATTGACTATTGTATAAAATGTTCCAGATGTATACACAATTACTGTTATGGTAATTTTACTTCTAAAATATTACAAAAGGATAAGACGTGTTATACTTGTATGTTTCCTCAATCAATTCCAAAAGATTTGAAACTTTTAATGAGAATAAGATTTTTATGGAAGTATATTTCAGAAATAGATCTTCCTAGTTCAACCAATGAATTGATCGAATTGTTTCAAAATGATAAGGATTCAGTTATTGAAGTTCTTAATACTATGATTCAACATAATATCTTGGAAACTCTGAAACAAGTTCATGCCGTTAAGGGGAAATTGAAGACAAAAACAAAATTCATCAAGATTACAGTTGATGGTTGATGGAATTCAGTTTGAATATGATCAACCAATTCCAATTGATGAGATTAAGTATTTTATATTCTCACCTTATGCAATTCATAAGTCAGTACCCAATTTAAACTATGAATTGGCCAAGAAAGATCAAGTTTTCCCCTGTAGAACAACAGTACAAACTGAAACAAGTATTTTACAAGATTGTACGGATTTTTTCCAACTGAGAGAGCCATTGAAAGATATTACAACTGCTAAGAAGGATAACCTTGATTCTGCTGCCAATCCAGTACAACCGGAAAATACTACTACCATTAAACCACAAGTATCGATGGAAGATACATCATTAATAATGCAACAGCTTGTATCCACTACCCCACATTTAAATGAGCCAGGAGTAATTTCACAATTGATGGATGCAAATAAACTTTCACACGACGGCAATGCTCGAGAAGATATAAAGAAATATATGACTAATGATATGTCGTTTGAAGAAACACTTCATATTCTTTCTCAAGTTCCACCTAAAATTTGAATGGTTTATCTTAAATTAATGATGCAGAATATCTCAAATTTATCTAAATGCTATCATAAAGGATTTCCTACTTTAGGACTTCTTTTTTCTACTATTGAAAGATATTTAGAATATTTGGCCTAATTAATACCATTGGGCAGAAGTATCAAGCTATCCTCTATTTGCTGACTATTATAGTAACTTGATGCATTCTTGAAATAGGATAACCTTAAAACCCATTAATTAATAATCAATTGAGAATCCTGCACAACTATAGAGCCGTATTTAAGACTACTTATCTCACCACTTCTATCTAATTTTCATACCCCTTTTAGCATAAAAGAAATAAGGAAAATGGAGTATCAAAACCTAGGAGACTCAGGTCTCAAGATTTCAAAAATCATTGTTGGATGTATGTCATATGGGGATAAGAAATGGGCCGATTGGGTAATTGAAGATGAAGAAAAGATCTTCAAGATTATGAAAAAATGTTATGATAATGGGATCAGAACTTTCGATACCGCTGATGTTTATTCCAATGGGAAATCTGAAGAGTTATTGGGTAAGTTCATTAAGAAATATAGTATTCCAAGAGATAAAATTGTCATTTTAACTAAACTCTTTTTCCCAGTTGATAATGTTACTCCAGGTTTCAAACTTTCAAACTATAAGACTGAATTCCCTGCATTTGAATATATCAATTCCCAAGGATTATCAAGAAAACATATTTTTGAAGCCGCCGCCAAGTCAGTTGAAAGATTGGGTACATATTCTGATGTGCTACAAATCCATAGATTGGATAGATCTACCCCAAAGGCAGAAATTATGAGAGCTTTAAATGATGTTGTTTTACAAGGTCTTACAAGGTATTTGGGAGCCTCTACTATGAGAGCTACTGAATTTGCTCAATTACAATTTATTGCCGAAAAGAATGGTTGGTTTAAGTTTATCAGTATGCAAAACTATTATAATTTACTTTATCGTGAAGAAGAGCGTGAAATGATCCCATTCTGTAACGATTCTGATTTGGGCAAAGTTGGATTGATTCCATGGTCCCCCAATGCTCGAGGTATCTTGACAAGACCATTGTCCCAACAATCTGATACAAGATCTGCAGCTTCAGATAAAACTCAAACATCCTTGGGCTTGGACGCTTTGAGTGATGCTGATAAGGCAACTATCGAGAGAGTTGAATCTGTAGCAAAGGAAATTGGGGTCAGTATGGCTGTGGTTGCCACAGCTTGGGTCATTAGTAAAGGATGCGCTCCTATTGTGGGGCTTAATTCTGAAGAAAGAGTTGACGACATTATCAAGGCAGTCCAAACGAAATTAACCCCTGAACAAATTGAATTTTTAGAAGGTGCATATGTTAGTAAAGCCGTTGTTGGTATTTAAACTAAGCAATAATAATCATCCCTCTCCACAATATGTATTTGATTGGGCTACTTTTACTTTAGTGTATACACATTTATGGTATAATCTTATACTTGTTAGTGATTGCAAAATAGAAACAACGGTTTGCATATAAACTATTTTTTTTTTTTGGCAATTTTCTTATTCCATTACCTCAATTTTTAAATTCTAATGATGTACATAGATTTTGCCATCTCATCATTTCAAACTCATTTCTATTATGTCTGCCAAAGTAGTAATACCTGGAGACTCTCTCAGTTTTGGAGACAAGGCAGTGCCTGTCACAGTAGGCCCAGGTGTCTACAAAGACCCGCAAACCCAGGCCATAGAACCATCATCAGCTGGGATTTTAAACACAAAGGAATCTAGTTCCAAGAGACTTGTATATATTGACTCCAATTCCAAAAGATACATCCCACAAACCAATGATTTTGTCATTGGTATAATCACTGGTGTCTTTGGTGAGAATTACAAAGTTCAACTTCAAAATTTCTCCTCGGGAGTTTTATTGTCCATGATGGCATTCCCTAATGCATCTAGAAAGAATAAGCCAAATTTAAAAGTTGGCCAGGCTGTTTATGCCAGAGTGTCTCAAGCTATCCCGGAGATTGACATCGAGCTTGAATGTATTGATGCCACCACTGGTAAAGAAGGTGGATTCGGGTTATTAGATGAATCGGGATATTTATTCGACATCAATATGAACTTCGCCAGAGAATTATTATTTAATCCAAACTCCCATGTATTGGAGAAGTTAGCATCCAAATGTAGATTTGAAATTGCCGTTGGTATTAATGGTAAAGTTTGGATTAAATGTGGAGATGGTGTACCATTATTGAAGGAAGGATCCACCAATGATGACACTGAAGAAGGTAACTCAGGAAGATCAAAAGATTCATACATTAACGATTTAAAGACTACACTTGCTGCTAGTAGATATCTTCTTAGATGTCAAGAAATCCCAGCACTGGAAGTCGATGCTGAGTTGGAGAAGTCGATGAAGTAGATAACAAGAAGGATTAGAAGTAAATTATAAAGGACCATATAACCTCTTTATATTACTTGAGAAGTAACTGAGATGTCCTCAAATTGAAATATAGAAGTTGTATTGTACATTAGCATATAGATTGAGTTTTGGTTATCGTGATGAGCGCGAACATGTATCCTCACAAAAAAATATACAGAGATGGAAAAGAAGATGGAAAAAAAAAAAGTAAAATTAAAATAGATGTAGAAGTAGTTCAAATTTGTAAAGATGACCTCTAGTACCAAGAAGCCAGAAGAGGAAACCAAACCTCTTACTGCGAATCAACTCGCTAGACAGCGGAAAAAGATTGAGAAGGATAGAAGACGTAAGCAATATGAAGATATTCAGATCCAAGGCACAAATAATTCCTCAATTGTTTCTAAAAGATCTGTAGAGATGCTCTACACCACCAAGCTCAACCCTGAAATGGGTGAATGGTTTAAATACTTTGTCAAGAATCCAAAGCGTCGTTCGCCAGCTATTAATAGAGGATATTGGATCCGTATGGAATCGATCAAACAACTCATCTTGAGAATCATCGAACAGAATAAAGATAATGACAATATCATTTCCATTGTGAATTTAGGTTGTGGTTTTGATCCTGTTCCATTCCAGTTACTCTCTGAATTCAGAACTACTCAACCTGAACTTTTGAAAAGAATCAATTTTATAGATATAGATTACCCTGATTTGGTTCAAAACAAGTTGAATATGATCAATGAGAGTAATGAAATTCTTTCTATCATTGGCGAGTCTCATACAACTCATAAGGATTTAGGGATTATTTTATCGACTGAGAACTATAGTCTTGTTGGATGTAACTTGAGAGATAGTGAATTATTTAACCGTCAGTTGAGCACCATCAATAGTAGTGCCACTACGAGTATTTTCATTGCTGAAGTATCTTTGGCATACATGAAGCCAGAACATGCTAACCCTGTGATTGCAAACGCAAGTAAATATCCAAATTCTCATTTCATTATTTTGGAACAACTTTTACCTTCTGGTGTTAACCATCCATTTGCAAAGAAGATGATGTATCATTTTGCCCATTTAAGATCTCCATTGGGTTGTGTAGAGAAATACCCATTGATTTCAGATCAAGTCGAAAGGTTCAAACAATATTATCATACTGTGGAAGCTAATGATTTGATGTACAATTGGGAACATTTAACTACAAATGAATTGAAGAGAAAAGTTTCAGAAATTGAAAGTTTCGATGAATGGGAAGAATTTATAATCTTTTGTCAACATTACGTTATTGTTCATGCTACCAATACTGAAGGTGGTGAAGTTTACCCCTCTACACCAGATAAAAGCATTGAAGAATTTGAAATTGATTCTGAGTTCATTGTTGAATCCAAACCGTTAGAGGGCTTTGAAAGAAAATTTCCTGGTGTTTGTAATATAACACAAGATAAAGCTCTTGTATTTGGTGGTTCAGGACAAACCAGAAGTAATGAAGTTTATGAAATTCCTTTAACCATGGATGAACAACCAAAGAAATTGGAAAACACTGGAGAAATCCCATTGGCAAGACAAGGTCATACATTTACACAAATAAACTCAAACAGTGCCTTACTCATCGGAGGGAGATCTAGACCAGGAGTTGAATACTCTGATGTATATAAATATTCTATAAATAAAGAAGTTGAAGGTGGAGTATGGGAAAAATTAGGGAATGTTGAAGAAACAATGGCAAGACATTCAACCATGAAATTAAATGATACCCAAGTTTTGATTTTCAATAAAAATGGCTTTTCAATTTATAATCATGAAAAGAATGAATTGGAAAAAGTGTTAATTAATGGATGTCATCTTTCTAATTTTATAAGCAGTGGTGTGTGTTATTCAAACAATGTTGGATATATTGTTGGAGGAATGAAATCAGAAACTGAACCAACCGTAAGTGATACTATTTACAAATTTACGGTGAAGCAAAATGAGGGGAAATCAATCGAAATATTTGTTGAGGAATATTTGAAACATCTTTCTATGAGTAGAATTGGATGTGGATGTCATATTCTCGGCAATAAATTAATAATTGCAGGAGGTGCAAATCCATATAAATTGTTAGGTACCAAGTTATGTGTACTTACCGTAGATTTGGACAGTAAGGAAATAAAATACCTTCCAGCAGATGAAATGTTGATTGGGTGTGGTACCGCTAAGTTGAACGATGATGGTGTTTCATTTGTAGCTGGAGGTGGCGTCTGTTACTCATTTGGAAGTTATTATAATGGAGTTGTGTCGATTACAAAGACCCATTAATAATGACTGGAAATCCAAGGGGGCAATAAAATAAAACGAAGTACATACAATGGGCTTTATTACTTTTTACCGAAGATGTAAAGTATTACCTTGTATGCATTTACTATTTAGTTTAAAAATAATACGATACACATAAATGAAGGTAGTTGAACGTTTAGAATGTGTAAATTTTTGTACTGCATTGTTCGTTTGGAATATAAAGTGGCAGGTTTATAGATAGCAATCCAGATATATATCTCTATATATATGTATATGTTCGTGATTGAAATGTGGATGTAGTCTGTGTTATAATATGGAGTATCGATTGCTTTGTGTATCTCTATTCACCTTTCAAAGTCTTGTCCCTATGTAGTTGTTTTTCATTTTTCTATTTCAGTATATGAGAATCATCGTACAAGTACAACGTTTGTACTTCGGAATTTAGAACCTCCGAATATTAATTATCTAGTTTATGATGTATGCTTTGTACTGTCAGGAGCTCGGCCGTAAGACTAAAAAAAATAATGCCAAGATATAGTTCTTCTCTAGTCGATGTGTGTGATGCAGGTCACGATATGCACACTGCATACCCTCGCTGCGAGATTGTTCATGCTAACATGAAAAATAATATTATTAAAGTTATTGATAAAATATCCACTTGAGCTACCAGGTAATTGGTATCCCCAGTGTAGGAGTTATTGATAAAATATCCACTTGAGCTACCAGGTAATTGGTATCCCCAGTGTAGGACTAATTATTCTTCACGAGTGTCTCTAAATCTCTCTCAAGGTTAATTTATTACAAATGTTGAAACTGTAGCATTGATCTTGATATTTGGATATTCAAGCCCATACATGCACCCCAGAATTGAAAAGCATATGAAAGTTAGAGTGGTATGATTGCCATAATTAATAGATTAATGTACAAGCAAACCATACCAGCACACTTCTGTAGAGTTCGAGACCTTTCGAGACCTTTCGAGACCTTTCGAGAAGATTTAGACAAGATTTTGAACGCTAATCTTGTCACGGTTTTGATCAGACCGGAGATTAAGCCTGCGTATAAATCGTACGACGTTGCGGAACTTCTCGGATCTGGGGTTAATTTGTGGGTTGGCAGCAAAGGGCACACACACACTCGTACTCTATCTTACGCGTGATATAGAAACTCTATAGATATATCACCCCTTCTTTCACCTCTATTTCTTCTTCTTAGACACATTATTCCATCTCGTTCCACTTAGTTGCCGATCATCCCGTTTGAGTCTCTGTGCGTTCGAATTGAGCTTGTATAACTAGCTAGTTATCCCACCATTTAAACTTTCCAAAAATTATTACACATTTGGTTAATTGCAACAGGAGAGGGAAAAATATACTCATACTGTAAAGGTTGATTAGAAAAAGCAGTTTGCATTACCACGGGAGTATTAGAGCCGCAGAATAAAACGTAAGGCAAAAAAAAAAAAAAAAAAAAGAAAATATCAGATAAAAAAAAGAATAATAAAAAAATTACTAATATTAGTTATACATCCGATAAGTACAATAACTTCTGCTATTTCCACAGTTAATTCAACGGCACTTTATCCATATATATAAGTGAAGAACGGGGTAAAATACTTACAAGTATTCCCATAGACTATCTCCACAGTTTACACAGATAAATTATAACAAGGAGAAACAAAAGTACGCGTCTTTTCCTGTACGAGGTAAAAAGATAAGGAAACAATAACCTACTTTATTTCACTTACATAGAGGCGACAAGAAAAGGTCCCCAACAATCCTGCAACCCGTTATCCATTTGCAACAAAGGGGTCCCAGAAAAGAATCTACTTCAGTAAGCGAACTCGAACTCCGAACTGATCCCCTCTTTTTTCTTTCTAATAAGGGTCAACTTACGCTTGTTTTGTATTGCGTATTAAACCCCCACATTTTCAATTTTTTGTTTCACATCTCCACTTTTTTTCGATACATTTAGGGAGATTCACAGACAAGCATAATTGCGATAGAAAGGGAATAATATAATTAACAGGTCATTATTTTCACAAGAAACTTATATATATTACAAGGCCACATATTACCTTGAAATATTCCTCTTGTGTTCATAGTCTTTATCTTGAAGTAGAGCCAGATACCGAATTGACTACCAAAGCTGCTTGATAGTGCAAGTTGTTAATACCCTTAATTCATCAAGGGGGTCAATTTATTTTCCACTCCCTCTTGACTTTTTTTCTTTTTTGTGTTTTCCCTTTTTACTCGAATTTTTTTTTTTAATTTAGCAGCAACAAAAGTTTACAAAGGGACCCCAAAACCTTAAAGATCCCCAAAAGAAAAACCCTGCAAAAGTTTTTAATTCCTTTACTTGTGGCTGCCTTTCTCTGGCCTCTTTTATAAGGTTTGGACCATGAACAAGTTGGGATTGCCTATTAGAAGTCGAGAAGCACAAGATAACGTTGGCAGCAGCCAATCTAGTCAAGTCCGAGATCAAGAATGTTCCCAACAAACGCTACAATCGCAATCGCAACCTGAATCAAAAACACAATCGCAACTGCAACTGCAACTGCAACAATCTGAAACTGATCTACAACACCCAAAAAATGAAAAACCCACCATTAGTCCATGTTATGATAAACATTTCACCATTCCTAAACTACTGAAAGAGCCACTTTCTCTCAAGTTTATACATAAACCAAGTAGGTCTACTAATTTTTTTGAAAAGGCTGAAGATCCGACGCGGCGTAATTCTATTATTAATTCTATGACGTCTGACAGAGTGAATCCTATCACCAACCTGACTACAAATAACACTACTACCGCCAATGTTAATAATTTAACTACTGAGACTGATGAAATTAATTCTGAGACTGAATTAACATCGTCAATTGATACAATGTCAGAATTTGATGATGAACATAAACTTGTTCGTAAGAAATCTGGAGAACTAGTTAAGCCTTCATTAAGGATCAGTTCAGAAAAGGGATATTTTAATAAAAAGAGAACACAATCGCTTCCAACGACCCCAACATATAAACTGGTACATTTTGGAACCGGGAATGATGTTCGATATTTCAAAAAGCAAGATCGCCCCACTGCTATATCTGCTTCTAATTCTCCAACATTTAATGGCTCATCAATGAATATCAATCTGGCTATTGGTAGTGACGATGAAAGCTATGATGATGGAGAATCTGATTTGGATCTCGACGAAGCAGCTGATCTTACTATGGATCTTAATAAGAAGGGATCGACCATTTATAAAAGAGATCGAATCGATTGGCATTTAAATCTTCCAAACTTCCCACATTTATCATATGATCGTAAAATATTCCAAGAAAAATGTAAAGTATTTCTTGAAAGAATGTTTATTAGTATTGACAAAAAGTATCTATTAGGTCACATTGCTGTTAAAAATCTTGCATTTGAAAAATCCATTATGGTCAGGTATACTTTAGATAATTGGTCTACAATTATTGAAATCCCCACCATTTACGTTCCAGATATCCCACAAATTTTGAAAAAAAATGAATATGATCGATTCATATTTAAGATTCCATTGGGTAATTTATTTAATAGTTTCCGAATGATGTCCCCGGTACAAAATTCTACCAATCCTAATGAAAAAAAATTCCAGTTATGTGTGAAATATAATGCAAAAGATAGTGAATATTGGGATAACAATAATTATCAGAATTATGAGTTCCAGTTAACCAAGATTAATAAGAATGGATCACAACCACCAGCTCAGAAATTGGATACACTTCAAAACCATACAGCTAAACCGAAGTATTCTTCATCATTCTTAAAGAGAAGACTGTCAGACTCAACATTGGAGGTGAACAAAACACATAACGAGAGTGCAACAGAAAGCTCTCCAGATACTTATTTTGAATCTTCACCTTCATTCACTTCCCATATCTTGGGGACAAACAATTCAATGTTTAATTATAATTTTTCATTTGCAAACGGTTCTAATTTATCTATGGATGATTTCAAAAATAACTCTTATCTGATTTCACCCATATTATCAGTCAACAAGCAAGATAAGAAAAATCTGAATACCATGGAAGAATTGCAATTAAATGATTGCAATACGTCACCCAATGATGAAAATAAGAGGTTATCTCCATCTACCGAGTTTAGTAAATTATCGGTACCTTACAATCATAAGGAGACAGCAAATGCTATGGATTCACAATCGTACAAGAAATTATTGGATACTTATTGTTTTTTCAAAAAACCAAAGGAAGATGAGAATGATGGCAAATCTAAATTTGGCAGTGACCGTTCATTGACAACAGTTTCATCTGCATTAGGATTTCATGATTAAACCCTGTTCCCTTGTATGCTCTTGCGTTATCTTTTTTTTTTCGTTTGGTTATATTTCAGTTCTTTATATATGGTATCAATTATAGATTACCTTTACTTCGTACTTTTAGTGGTTAATATACAGTTCTTTTTACAAATCCGGTTTTGATTTCCATTTGAAATAAATATAATATACACTATAACCTTATTAAAACCCAATGATTAAATTCTCTAATCAAAACAAAACATTTTCACCGTACCATTTTCTAAACCAACACAAAATCTTGCATCACTCAATCCAACAGAACTGACACTGGAAGAGTTTCCAAATGTATGCAAACATTTACCACTTTGTAAGTCCCACACTTTGACAGTTCGATCGTGCGATCCACTGATGATTCTGAAAGTATCTGCGCTGATAGACCAAACACCTTCAATGTGACCAAATTGTGTTCTTATGCATTTACCTGTTTTGATATCCCATAACTTTACAGTATTGTCTAACGAAGATGTCAATAAATGTGTTGGATAATTTGGATTATTAGGCAATTGGATATCATTAATATCTTCAGAGCCATCATCCCTCACATCTGTTGTTAACCCGGATGGGGTGGCGGTACCAGAACTCACACTGCCATTCCCATCTACTGGGTGATATTCATTTTCACTTTCATGTCCATCTGAAACAATTTTATCTTTATAAATTAATGGGATGACACATTGCACTTGACCAATATGGCCATTATTTTCAATTCCTCCAAATACTCTTAAGCATTGGTTATTTTCAAGATCCCACATCCGAATCGTTGTATCATCAGATGCACTAAAAACGGTATTGGATTGAGAGTGAATCTTAACTGAATTCACCCAATCGGTATGTCCTCTTAATGTATAACATGTCCGAGAGTCAACATGCCATACTTTGACAGTATGGTCGGCAGATCCTGAGACAATAGTTCTATTACAGAAATCCACACTGACTACTGCATCGTCATGCCCTCTATAAGTAGAAATACATTGACCAGTATGATAATTCCATACCTTGATGGTGGAGTCTAAACCCGCAGTGATTAACTTTTGAGAATCGAAAACCAACGCACGTACTCCTTTGGTGTGTCCTGTTAACGTTCTTATACATTCACCAGTACTTACCTTCCAGATTTTAATACTTGAGTCGTAGGAGCCAGTCATTAAATATTTGCCATTAAACTGTAAGCATGTGACCCCGTCTGAATGACCAACAAAAGTCTTGATTGTATGAATTCCTTTTCTCCAATTTTTTTCCAATTTGAATCTTTCACTATAAACCGATTTCCATGGTCTTTTCTTCAACACAACTCTTCTAGCCGATCCATCTTCTTGAGATCCTTCACCATTATTTCCCTTCACTATTATTGCTGATGATTGTCCCTCGCCGCCTGCTGGAAGTTCTTCAACTTTCCTACGTTTGTCTGGGTTGTTGGCTTGGTCATCATCAGTGGTAAACTCTCTAGCTCTCTTCATATGCATAAGTGGTAATCCCCAACCACAATTAGGACATTTCCTATCAATATGTTGTTCACACATATGATGCCATACTCTATCGTCATCAGCAAGCGATTTCCACTTTCTAGAAACTTGTGCTGCATTACACAATGAATTACAATCCAAATAGCATAGAATCTTTAAGGAGATTTCCATTGGTAAAGTCGAAATGAAGTCAATTCTAATCAATGAACTCACTTCTTGTGATATGAACGAAAGTTGTGGAAAACAACATTGCGAAAGGAGACCTCTTAAAATAAGTGACCTATGTGGGTCTGGTGCGGCCGAAAAAATTGACCAAACATGGGTAATAGCTTCCTGATCTCTAGATGGAAGTTTATCCAATTGTTGCTGTATTTTCATCATCTTCACCTCATCAGTTCGTTTATTACATGTAACATCGGGGTTATGTCTATAGCAAAAACGATGGAAATTATCTTTGGGTATCATGGATTGATCACTAATATGCTTAACCAAAAATGGCGTCACCACGGATACATCGGTTGGATGTTCGTGTGGCGGTGGTGTACTATAATTCATATTATTAATGTTTTGAAGGTTGGCAGTATCTTCTTTAACTATATTGGAAACTGTTTCATTTTTTATTACAGTATTTGTGTTGGAAGTTACTGAAAGAGATGGGAGTAAACTTGACGATAAACCTTCTCTCCGAGTATTTTGAGCCGTTGTATTTGACTGTTCATCTTCAGCTAAATCTGAGCGAAGCGTAGCCGTGTCCCTCGCCTTGGTGGGTTTTTGTGATGAAATGCTGTTCGAAAGAATATCTTTGAACGTTCTAGTCTGTAGTGTCAGCAGTTGCTCAGCTGGTACACAACTATCTTGAAGATTCATTATTAGTAAGCCTGGGGTAGATGAAAATAAGATAAAAATAGTATTATAATGGTTGTCGCCACAGTTGTAAAATATTAAATCTCAAATACCCAAGTGATAATTAATTTGCTGATATATATATATATATACAAATATTGGCTTCTGGCTTCTTGCTATTTATAAAATACACGCAGCCGCAAGAAACCCTGTCTAGTTGATTATTTTTATGCTTGATAAAAAGAAGGAATCTCTTCCGAGCCGATTTTCGTGTGACTATAAAGGATCCACAGTTTTTTACCTAAGAAATTCTCGCACAAAATCGGCCAAGAGTACTTGCAGATAAGATGATATTGATGGTTTTCCTTTTTTTTTTTTTTGGGTAGCTCTTCCTTTTAACCGTTTTTTAAGTTTCTATGCGCACAAACAAAGAGTAGTAACTTGGACGCCACAGTTGACAGTTGAATATAAACGCGGTGGTGGCCCCCTTAGTTTAAAAGTGTGAAATAAAAGAAAGACAAAGAATGACTTCTGCAAATATTATAAATTATTAGTCAATTTTTATACTAAACTTAGTACTACAATTAGAGCAATTTTTCATTGCTAAAATAAAAGAATTGCAATTCAATTTCTAATGTCAAAGTGGGAGCCACAGTAATTTTTCATGTACGGACTTTTTCATTGCTTTCAATGTAAAATTTTCATGCTATTTTTTTTTTTTTTTTGCACTTCGCGCGAGGTGGTTTTAGCAAATACGAAAATTGAACTTTTGCCGCTGTGGATATTCTCATTGCAGTATAATTGATCGGCAAAAAGTCTAAAGAGAATAATATCATACAAGATGAATGCAAATGTGAGAAAAAATATTTGAATTCATGGTTTCAAATATGAATTTGTGGTATCTAGAATACAAATTTGGTCAAAATAATGAGTAATTTGTACAATGGGGAGGGGCCTTTATCTTATGAAATTTAAAACACGTTCAAAGAAGTGATTGATAATAAAGAAGAAAATTTACACAAGAGTGATATATTTTAAGCTTATACAGTGGTCATTGTTTCAACAATTTCTAATGTGGTATTATTCCTTTAACATATACAGAAGAAGATTAATACGCGTTTTCATTCTCATCTATGAATACATGCTAGTACGTCATAGTAAGTTTTAATGATGGGAAATCGTCAGATTTGGTTTTTAGAAATTTACTTGCCCGTAATAGGATATCTAATCATATGCTGCGGGAATAGATTCCCGTCTATCATAATTAAAAGATAATATTTAATCGGGACATATTCTCGTAACCAAACTTAATCCTTGAAAATTGGCAGTTGATATAGAATTATCTGGGACCTTCTCGCACGTTCGAAAATATTTTTTTTGCAACCAAGTGGTCATGTGACCGCTGGATCTTCTCATCATCTTTTTTTTTTTTTTTTTTTTTTGGAGATGTGTTAGTAATGTTTGTAATCTCAACTTGAATATATATATATACCTATATAATCGGAGATTACTTTGACGTGCTTTATGAAGAGACACGAAGATATTCCTTCTGAAAACATAGAGAAAAAGCCAAGACTAGACATGTCCGCTTCAGAATTCACCAGTGTTGGAGACCAAGTTGAAAACGTTGACCATTCCAATGATGGAATCAGACAAACTGGTATGACCGACGCTGAAGGTCATCCTATCCAAGAAATTGAATCTTTATGTATGAACTGTCACGAAAATGGTACTACCCGTATGCTTTTGACTAAGATTCCATTCTTTAGAGAAATTATTATCATGTCATTTGAGTGTCCACACTGTGGATTTAAGAACTCAGAAATTCAACCAGCTGCTCAAATTGCTGAAAAGGGTTCAAGATATATTTTGAAGATTGAAGATAAGAAGGACTTCAATAGACAAGTGGTTAAGTCTGAAAGTGCCACTTGTAGATTCAACGAGTTGGATATTGAAATTCCTCCAAAGAGAGGTCAATTAACCAATGTCGAAGGTCTTTTGACTGAAATGATTGCTGACTTGGAATCAGATCAACCAGCAAGACAAACCGCTCAACCAGAAGTCTACGAAAAGATTAACGAGGTTATTGCCAAGATCAACTCATACATAAATGCCGAACCAAACACCCTCCCATTGACATTTTCTGTCGATGACCCAGCTGGTAATTCCTGGATTGAATACCTTCCAGGTGAATCAACTCACAAGTGGTCTATGTATGAATACAGCAGAACTGCTGAACAAAATGTGTTTTTGGGTTTGATTTCAGAAGATGATGTTGCTCAACAACGTCTTGTTGAATCTAAAAACAAAAAGGCCGCCACTGCAAAGAACATCAGTTCTTCAATTGCAAATGAACAAAATGCTGCTGATGAAGAAAATAAGAACCCAAAATCTACTGGTTTCATTTCTGATGAAACTGAGATTGAAAACCTCGCTAATGAAGTTCAAACTTTTTCTGCTACTTGTCCAACCTGTTACTCTGGTTGTGAAACTCACATGAAGACTGTCAACATTCCACATTTCAAGGATGTCATCATTATGTCCACTGTCTGTGACGAATGTGGCTATAAGTCCAATGAAGTTAAGACTGGTGGTGCCATTCCAGATCAAGGAAAGAAGATCACCTTGAAGGTTACTGACCCTGAAGATTTGGCCAGAGACATCTTAAAATCGGAAACCTGTGGTTTGAACATTCCTGAATTGAACTTGGATTTAACTCCGGGTACTTTGGGTGGTAGATTCACAACCATTGAAGGTTTGCTCACCCAAGTTTACGAAGAATTACATGGAAGAGTCTTCACTCAAACTTCTGATTCCATGGACACTGAAACCAAGGCCAGATGGACTACATTCTTTGCTAGATTGCAAGATGCTGTTGATGGTAAGATTGGATTCACAATTCACATGCTTGATCCATTAGCTTCCTCTTACATCCAAAATGTCTATGCTCCTGATAACGATCCAAATATGTCTATTGAGGAATTTGAAAGAAGTCACGAACAAAACGAAGACTTGGGATTGAATGACATGAAGACCGATTAATGTCTATTGTACTTATAAACTTAACTCTATTTTAATACAAATATGTAAATAGAAATATATCATTATTATTAATATAAATTTTATTGTAACTATAGATTTTACTTACAACTTTTTGTTGTAATCTTTAGAATCATTTCCATTTTCAGATAATTGATCTGAGTGAACAGATCTTAATGCTTCACCCCATTGCGTATTCTGAAGGGTCTCTCCGATGGTTGAGATGTCTATGAATGAAGAGTTGCGATGGCTGTGATCACTATTTTCTATAAAAGGGCTTTCACTTTCCGTTACGGTGATTTCCACATCTTTCATCGTTTGACTAAGGTCAGATGGCGAAATTGAGTGATCATTATTCAATGTCAGCAGTTCGGCCGGTATTTTGATAAATAATTGTGAAGGAATACTTTTATCCATTGGAATATTAAGTTGATCTTTTACACCACGATTTCTCATATCACCCTTATGTAAGTGCACAGGTGACTTTGGTACGTATATATTGCTTCCATAATACTCCTCTGGTGCAGATTCGAAATCATCATCAGAACCAGTGTGCTCTTTAGAAATATCGCGAAAGCCTGAACTCTTCTCATTTGAATCTTTGTTCAGTTCATTGCTATCATAATTGAAGGTATTAGAGTTAATATCTTCACTATAAATAGATGCGCGAAGGAAATTGGCTTCTTCCGTACCTTTCATTCGACCATGAGTATATTTCCATCGACATGCATACATATTAATGGAGTCATATACCCGCTTCAAATGTAATCGTTTCTCCACCTTTTGTAACAACAATCTTCTTTCAAGGAAATCAATTAAATTCAAACATTGACCGGCTTCGAATGCAATGTATAATGGTAACTGCAATATAACACTCCTGAATGAAATTCCTGGATCACCCCTTAATTCCATGGTCAGAAGAGCCTCCTCCACAAATCTATCATACACTTTTCTTCTTTCTCTGATCTTCGGAATATCCATACTTTCAAAAGTCTCCTCTATGGCATCATACTTTACTGTTATATCATAGGGGTTTCCTGGATTGTTTCTTATGAACCATTTACGACAAAGCTCTCGAATTTCAAGAGTACCTGAATAGAGATGGAAAGAAAGTGCACCGTCTAAAGTATGTAAAAATTTCAGAAGTTCAGAAGGATTAATGAATCCAGTTCCTTCAGGGTCAAACTTTTGCCATGTCCGTTTGAATTTCCGAATTTCTTCTCTTTGGATAAGTGAAATATAGGTGGAGTCATTGTTGAAGTAACTGAAACTATCAAGAATCAACGAAATAAACATATTGACGAAGATATACATCGAAATAATATTCCAACTAATGAAAAGAATGTACGCATATTGTTTGTTTCCACAATCATTCCCTTGATCAACATTTGCACCAACAGTGCAAAATGGTTCAACCACCGTGAAGTCAATCATGATGAAATTCCAGCCTTCTCCAAAACTACATCTGAAAAGAAGAATCAATGCTTTTGGAACTGATCTTAAATTAATATTATCTGTAGTATTTGGACCGATTTTTGTCATTCCAAATATTTGGTTAAGAGCAATTGCGAACATTAAAAACACAACAATCCAAGTAAATGATAGAGATATCAATGTGGGTAAACTTGCGGAAGCGAATCTAAGCAACTGACTCAATCTATTACTTTTCGGAATAATAAAGGCCAATATTCCCACAAGGAATAATTTGTTAATGTTAACGAATACTGTTTCGTCAGAAACAAATAATCCAATAAAAGTAGTAATAGTAGCCCCATAGGATACTACCAAGTAGAAGATATTCCACTTGTAATGGAAAAACGTTTTCACACCTTGACCAATAAGAAGCATTGAAACGTTTATGGCGAACGCAACGGATGTAATGATGAACACAATAGTTCTGAATATCGTCATTGCATCTGGAGTAGGCGATGTTTCTAATACTAGAGCAATAACATGTAGCATCAAAAGGAAACTCAAAAGACCATTCCAGTATTTATTTTTTTCAACCGTCATTCTGTAACAGAAGCGACTACCCCACCATAAATCCTTTTGCACTTTACGTTTCGATGGTTTTACTTGTTGTAAAATCAGTTTCACTTCGTACCAAGATTTTTGATCATTTGTCATGTAAGCACTTCCTGTAGTTTTTGAGTAGTTCAGAATAATAACTGACACAAATAAGGTCAAAATAAAGACAGTACTAATGAAATTGAACATCATTACAAATAAACCATTTATAGGTGTTGCAAAATCCTGCTGTGGTGTTCCAACACCGGTACTTTTCATAACATCAATCAATAAATCTACCCAACCTTCTAAGGAAATGATTTCAAAGAGAGATACAAGCGCGTCTCCAAATTTGTCAAAGTGCAAAATTGGGTTGGTATAAACATTGGGACTCACAACATTCCAATTGAATACCGATGCGTCAAACTCATTATAGCAAGATGCCATATCAGAGCTGCCGTCAAGACAATATCCCAACCGTCCGTTGAAAATGTTCAATCCCCAGATGGAAAATGGGAACAATAAGCAAAATGAAATGACTGCTGCGTTCACAATTTTCCCAAATCCTGAAATCATAGTATTATGGAAATTATTCTTGGCAGTTTCACTGATTGTAAGTAACCTCAAAGCTCTCAAAGCCTTTAAACCTCTCACAATTCTAGATAAACCACCATCATTCTTAAGGAAAGAGATCAATTCAATCCATAATGCTGCTAATACCACCAAATCAATCAAATTCCAAGAAGACCGCATGTATGCATTTGGGGTGAATATTATACCATCTGCAAGAATCTTAATTATAAATTCTATGGTGAAAAGTGTAGTAAATGCAACTTCTGTGTACGAAGACCAATTCCATGTACCATGTTCTCTGGCAAGACTATTTCTAAGGAGAGGGGTTAAGTAACAAGCAGTAATTACTAAACCCATTGTGGCAATAAACATAATGATCACAAAGATTTCCAGAAATGTTTTATTTGGATCAACACCGTCTATTCTTTCACCATAACTTGATTTAACCATTTTTTGGCATAATCTTCTAATTCTGTGATCAGGTCTCATGACATAGAAAACATTATTGAAATTAGGATTATCCCTCAAAAAGGTATTCTGTTTTGTAATGAGCAAATTCCTATCCGTAATGATCTTTTTTGCAAAGTTAGCAGGATCAAAATTGGAGACCACATGATCCTTCTCACTTTTGGTATAGAAGGGGTTCTTCAAAAGATACTTGGCGTGCCAGTACTTCAATTGAAACCATCTTTTCCAACCGGAAGCATGTATGTTTCGAATATCTGTGCCATCTCCTTCCCTCTCCTCGTTATTTTCATTTAAAACAAAATCCTTATCCAAAAAATCATTTACAGCTGTTCCACTAAGTAATAAATTGACAACAGCCTTCTCTAATTCATCTTTCATACCTCCTTTGTTAAACACTTTCTTTTTCAATTTACTTAAAAGACCATTCTCGTGATCAAGGGATTGTAGTCTAGTAGTCATATTATCAATAAATTGAAGAAGTTGTTGTTTTCTTTTCCCTTGTTCGGAGACTGCTAACGTTCTTGCGATAACAGCAATGAAAATATTCAATAACACTGAGTTGGAGATTGCGAACCATCCAATTAAAAACATTGCTCCAAATACTCTAGAAGATGTATTATGTCCATATGCTTGTAACTCATATAGAATGTCGGTCCAATTTTCTGTAGTTGTAATCACGTAAAGTGCAATAAATGAATTCGGTAATGTATGCATAGGGAAATCAATACCATCAATTTCATCTTCAGGGATGGTCCCCTCGTAATAACGAGCCATGATAATACTAACAAGATAAAGCAAAATAAAGTAAAACAAAGCCAAATCAAAGATTGCCTGGAAATTTCCCATAATCTTGAGCCATAATTTTCTCGTGATACTTGTTGCTAATACAACACGATATATTCTCAAAATTTGGAACACTGTAAGCCAATAATAAGCTTGACCCAATTTATTCTTAACAGGTCCAAGAATAATCACTGAAGTAATAATAGCCAAAAATAGATCGAACATATTTCTATTTGATTTGAAAAACATTTTCCAATGGGGGAAATAGAAGATGAACCTTAAAATTATTTCCACAAGGAAGACAATAGTGAAGGCACATTCAAATCTGTATAAGGTATGTCTTTCTACGTCATTCATAGAAAAGCTGCGGAAACACTGAACAAACAAATCAAATGCAATCAATATCACAAAGAGAAATTCTAATCGATAGTATGTTCTCAAAAATATATTCTGAGCTTTCAAAAAGTCAATACGTTCAGTGTGTAATGAAACAACCCTGTTTGCGGGCCCAAAAATATGGAACCTTTTATGACCGCTATTTGATTTTTCTCGCTCTTGTTCCAAACTGGTGACTTCGAACGATTTAACAATAACTGCAATGAAGACGTTCAAAAGCCATACCGTCATAATGAAAATTGTACCAATAAAGAAAAGACATGCAGCCAAGTTTTCAGAATCCATTGTATCGTACATGATATCTGTGAATGTGTTAGCACTAATGATTACAAACACCATTTCAAATGATTGGAAAATATTATCAAAACTAACAGTCCCATGGAATGGGTTTTCTCCACTGACACATTTAGAGTTTACTGGACAAGTAAAACCTTTAGAAACCGTACTGGATTCACCATTGCTGAATAAATATGGCATTACTGTTCCACTTGCATCAAGCCAAGAGCCACAATATTGGCTGCTGTGAATCCACGTATCACTTGGATCATCTGGATTGGTCCAAACACATTGTCTGCTCAATGAAGACTTAAATGTTTGAACTCCAATAATGGCAAAGAATATCCAAAAGCAGAAAATGAAAAGTGAAACATCAATCAACTGTGGCAATGCGAGCTTACATGCGGCCAAGATAGTGCTGGTACCAGTAGTCAAGTTACATAATCTCAAGATTCGAAGACAACTCAATGCTCTGAAGACCATAATAGAATGCTTAACATCATATCTGTTAATAGAAAGAGCCAACGAGATCCAAAATGTAACCATGGAGATAAAATCAATTCTTTGCCAACTGCTTCTAAGGAAAGCTCTCTTGAGATGAAGCTGTTCAATGTTTTTGCTCGGACTAGACAACACAAATGTGTTTTGTGCATTCAACGGACGAGGATTGGGGGTCCCTTCAGGACTACTGTCTTTTCCGCTTGGTTCATGGTGCAGGCTGATTCTATATTTTTTGCCTAATTCTGTAAATTGAACCGGTGTAGAATCAAATGGGTTCGCTTGGATCCGACTATCATTAAGATTTATTTCTTTCACATCTAATTCACTGACAACGTTTTGTGGAGTCATATAAACACTATTCCGATCCTGTGGAGGTTGGTTTCTACGAACCTTGTGAAATTTCGTTAGCCCAATATTTTTAAACAAATGATTGAAGACCAGCTTAGTTGAATTCCAGTTCAAGCTATTTTGTGGGTATGGAAGTCCACATTCTTCATACATCACTCTATCGTCAAACAATCCATATGCAATAATTTTAGCACATACTTCAACTGTATAAATAATATTAATACCCATTAGAATGTAGTCGGCAAAATTATTTCCCTTTGAAACATAACCGCCGAGTTTATTGGGATTCCACTGTCTATAAGTAAGGAAGAGAGTTTGAGCGATAAGTAAGACCAATAATGTGAAGTTTGTGGAAGAGTGAGATAAAATTCGAGAACATTTTTGACGAATTTTGGATTGAGGGCTGAAAAATCCCAACGAATTCCCGAAAAGATACATGGTATCCTGAGAGGTTTGAAAGCTGGCGTTGGGAGTCCCCAGATGCTGAAAATTTCCTTTCGAACTATTGGGGGTATAATCGGGATGATTTACTGGTTTGTTGCTTTCGCCACCATTGGATTTAGTACGGAATATCTGACGGCCAATTTGATGCAAGACTGGAGCATCTCGATCCACAAGTGAGGAAGTAGACTTCAATGAATCCTCATGATGGTCATTATCCAAAAATAGCCCAAGTCCCTCTGTTGCAGTGGTAGTATTGAGCTCGCTTGGGTTATTTTCGATAAAACTTACTTTATCATTTTCATCCGTAATTGTCATCTTTGGGATATGATCTTTACTCTTCTTTGTAGATTGACTTATGTAGCTACCTCCATGACTTGCATTTTTATCCAAGGTTGGTCTATTAATTGAAAGATGGGGTGTGGTTGACGGAAACATTTCGTCGCCACCTCCAGGGGGGTGTTCGGTCTGCGGGGTATTTGCAACTTCACTTTTTGCTGCAATACGATCAGATAATCTAGCAAGTACGTCTGTTAACTTCTTCGGGGTGGGCAGTACTGGGGCTACTTGTTGTTTATCTATTGACGGTGTGAGAAGATCAGGTCTCAACCCAGATTCAAGATCTGTATTGACCGTCAAGGAACCAAAAGGATTCCTCAGCAATGGCGGTCTTGTTCTGAAAGGATTTCCATATGGTGAGGAAGTACCCTCCATAAATGGCTGTGAGCTCGATGTTTCCATGGTCCTATCTTGATCGTATAGGCTCTTTTGTGGCACATTCCTCTTTGGTATGGTGGTTAGTGGGATGTTCTCAGTATAATCCCCTGAATCAAGAGTCAAATCTTGTGGAATGATACTATCTGAGTCTCGCAGAGTAGCTGAGGGCCTTCTTACTCCAGTATCGTTATTGGAGACAGGAAGCCATCCTGGATCATTATCAGAAGTTCCTAATGCAAAATTCAATCCTTCTTTGAGTGCATCTATATCATTCATCATCGTAGCTTCGGATATAAAGGGTTGTTGATTAGAGGAAGCAGAATCTTCCCCAGCACCAGTGCTGGATGCCCTTTCAACGGATGCCCCATCTGGAGATGATTCTCTTGAAAATGATGAGGTTACAAAAGGGTTGGTGTAACGTCGAGAACGTCTTGTCAGACTAGCCCTAGTATTTTGAGATGAATACGAAGTTTGATCTTGAGATGAGGCACTGCCTTCTACCCTATCTTCACTAGTCGGGCGCACCACTATACTCGGGGGTCGTGGTGGCATTTGTGCGATATCCTTTGAATTCCCAGTAATTTATGTCCTTAAACTTGAGCTCTATAGGTCTTTATATTTTATCGTCAATTTCAAGGATTGAAAAAAATCCGATTAAAATGGAAAGGGGTGCGTACAATTTGAAAAGAACCAATTGTCTACAAAAACGCGCCGCCAACTTGAATCTGGATCACTGTATATCGAGATATTCGAAAAACAAGTTCTTAACGGAGGGCTTTTAGATATTTATTGGTAAATTTATGAAATTGATTTATCTTCTGTAAAGACCCTCTTCTGGATATCTATAAGCGGCATCATTGATATGCAGGCGCGTACATACACAGGTAAATTTACTTACTGCAGATTTGAAGGCTGTGTTATCACTTAGAATTGAATGACTAGAACAAGAAAATGGAACAACATTCACAATATTAAATGCATATTGAATGGTAGTGGTGAAGTGGGCACATTCAAAGAATTCTAGCACTTGAACTACATATTATTTAGCTTAATAAAGATAAAAATTCTAACTAATATTTTCTTTGTTTCTATAATAACTACTCATGTGATTTGTGTCAAAAAGAGTAAACAAATTTACAAATAATTGCAAAAGGATGACGAAAAACATGAAATAGGAAACTAAATCAAAACTTATCATATATATTTTTCCACCATAGGTTGTCCCATCTCTTACAATGTTGGAAAGTATCTTGTACTTAAAATAACTTTTATTTTAAACGTTACACATATCTAGAATTCGGTATATGAAAAAAAAAAAAAAAAAAGCTTAAAAAATTAAAAATTAAAAATTGGAAAGAATTAAATATGGATCACGTGTGCTTGTCTATATGCACGCTTTTTCTTTGAGTATTGAACTTTTTTTTTTTGTATTTTTATTATTCAGAAAATACTTCGAGCTCGATACTTATCTCCCACATATACACAAACATATAATGTCTTCTATTATAAAGAGACTCCCCTCGACGGAGAGACTTCAACAAGTGAAGAAGATCACTGCCGAAATTTTCGGTGCCAACTGGAACCCAACAAATGCCAGAAACGGTGCAAAGATTCTCAGACAACCTCTTAAAGGTCCTGAAGTTGCTAGCTACTACGGTGTGAACGAAGCCACCCCATCCTTCAAGGACTTCAAGGAATGGTTCCCTGAATTAAAGTTGGTTGACCCTAAGGAAGCCTACCGTTTGAAGATGGTAGAGGACAGAAAGAAGAGAAACAAGGGTGCTCCAAAGAAGAAGTCAAAATAAGTTTAGACCAAATTCACCTTTGCATTGTACATAGTATTATACACACACACACACATACGGATATATCGAAAAGGAATGTAGTTTTTCTTACACCACCTATATACGTAATTTTATACCTTCAATGTGTCGCAATTCTGGATATTCCCTTAATTCTTTTCGCTCCAGACTGGACATTAAAAGTATCGGTGACTTCATCACGGCTATCATCAACAAGACTGAGTCTGTTTCTTTTCAATCTCAGTCCCCATTCTGTATGTTGTACCTCTTTAGCCAATCGAATGACTTTGCTACTATCGTCATTCACATCGTTGGCAGTGTTAATTTGATCTCGAGTGCTCTTTACAGGAAATGGAATCTTTTTCCATCCACCATCCAAATCAACCACAACAGCAACGTCTATTGTGTTCGAGACACTAAGGATTGCATTACTGGGTGGGCTTATATACAAAGTTTGAACCCTTTGATCCCAGCTGCAATACATTAAAACTTCCCTTTCTGTGACAACTAATAAGTTTGATGCGATAAACTGTGCATTAACCAATGACAGAGAGAGTAATATGGTGGCTTCTAGGTCATAATCCACTTGCTTTGAGGAAGTGTCGAGGGACACTTTATATAATAGTATTGCATTCTCGTGAATTATGGAAATATAATTTGTAGCGATCTTAATAGTCTTCAATCGACCGAATTCATTATTATTCCCATTGATATATCTCTTATATTCTCTAGATGTGTCATCATCATTATTATTTTTCTTGTTTGTCCATATATGCATACTTGATTTTGTCAAGTATGATTTATCAATGATTCGTATATCATTCATTGATACTAAAAGCGTTTCTACTTTTTTATTAAATGCATCCTCTCCGACAATGAGAGCATAGTCTCCATTGTTACCCAAAGTGATCCAATTAGCGGTGTAGTTTAAACTAGTGCAATTTGCCAGTAATCTATTGCCCTTGGTATGAATCACATCGTCTGTCAACCAATTTATATTCACTAGAGGTTCACCAGATTTAATGGATGAAGTGACTTGTTTATAGTACCCCAAGGATGTAAATATTTGTAGTTGGAACCCATAGAGACATGCAGTTGAGTCAAAGGTCATAAGCCACTTCCCAGAATTAGACCAGCTAACGTGACTATCTAATTTGATTCGATATCTACAAAGAAGGCGACTTGTGGACCCTTCATTGAAAAAGTTCATCACAATGGGGTCACCTGATGTTTGTAACAAAACTAAGGTCCATACTGGATAGCCAGATCTTTCCAATATATGTGTCAGGGCTGGTTTGGACATTTCAAATTGTATATGAGTACAATCTAAGGAGTAAACTCTTGCAAGAAGTTTATGTTTAGTAAAAATAACCAATTGTCTTGAATTTACATAGGCTGAATTTTGCTCCTTGGTATCATCAGTTGCTTCCACGGGGCTTATCCATTCAAACAGATCAATTCCATCTCCAGCAGGTTGCTGAATAATAATTGGTTGAAGATTATCATCACCAGAAACTTCCAAAATTAAAAGCATTGAGAAATGTGATACAACACCCTTGATACTTTCGGAGCACTCTATAACTGCTCCTAATTTACTTGTTTCCAACGATGGATTGATCTTTTCCCACGTAACTTGCGTCAATTTGAAATTCTTAAACTTTTTAATTCTAATCCCATTGGAATGTAAATGTCTTTTAACTATGTTAAAAGTATCGAATGATACTACTTTCATACCCAGTAACGTTGTGACATTCACTTGATCCGCATTACAGGTCACTACAAGCTTCCCACATGGTGATACGGAGACTTCATGTAGCATTGCTTGTGTTTCTAATATATGTAAAGTCTTGTTGTAATTTTATATAAATGGATTGTGATGATGTTTACCTTTAAGGTTATGAGAATCGCTATCTTTGAGAGTTTGTACACACGCAAATATTCCCCACCAAAAAGAGAGAAAGAGATTGTTCCAGATCAAATTGAAAAAAATAAAACGAAATAAAGGGAAAGAGTATTGACGGGACCAATCTATATATATGTCTGTGTACATATATGACATATCCTTATTATAATCATCTCTAGAGCTACTTTATCTCATTCATGTTAGAGTGGTCTTTTAGTCTTATGTTTATATGCAGTACCTGCCAATTTTATAAGGGCCACTCCAAAAACTTTTGATACACATTCGCAGAAACATCAAAACAAAACAAAAACAAAACATCACACACCCAAACCTCCTCAATTTTACTCAATTATTATATAATTTTTTTTTTACTACCCACGCACAAATTGAGCGGATCGGCTGAAAATACAAATGGGTCCTAAAAAGAAAGCTTCAGGGAACGATCTGGGAGATTCCCTGAGGAAATCCCTGGGCAATAATGGAGCCAAGCCGAATCAAAAGAATAAGACAAAGAATACAACAAAAAATAGTAAAGCAGGGAAAGAACGTGCTTCAACCATATCACCTACAACACTCAAAACAAAGGACATACCGAGCTTACAGCCGGAGAACGCGGACATAATACGGAACTCCAGCACAAAGTATGATGCCAAAGATTATGGATCAACAACATCACTGCAAAGTACAACTGCTCGAGATTTCATTTTGGGACGTAAAAGTCGATTGGGAGGATTATTATCTTCTCAGGAGATTAAGACCAAGCCAGTAAAGAGACTGTTTGAAGAAGATGATGGGTTCGTGTTCCAACGAGAAGGTGAGGTCAGTAGTAAAAAATCCACCAAGGCCAAGCCCCCTAAGAAGAGAGTGACAAGTGGAGGTTCAAAAGGTCCATCTCAAATAAGTACACCAATATCAAGATTACATAAGGAACTTTCCAAATTCAGTGATGATGATGATGATGATGACATTGAAGTACATATTCCAATTCCAAAATCCAATGGACATAAGAAATCAAAGACGATCAATAAACCAACCACAATTCGGAACCCTCCAACTATTAAATCTAGACAAAAAGATCAATCACCGGAGGAGGTTAGTTTGGGGCTTTCGTCGCCGATTAGATCACCCGTGTACAATAATGAACAAGAATATGGACAATATAGCCTGGACGATTATGTGGAACAAGTATCACATCACCAATTAAAACTTCCGAATTCTGAAGATGAAGATGAAAGAAGAAAACATCAAACTCAAAAAAGCAAATTAAAATCATCATCTAATCAACCACGACGAGCGTCATATCATAACCGGGGGAAAAGAATTCTGTCCGTGGGGAATGGATTTGTAGGAGTTCCCCATTCTGAGATCCCACCAAGTAATTATTATAAACTTCTTGATACTTCACTTCCAGAACCACATAGAATGAGACAATTATTGATATGGTGTTTTAGAAAAAGGTTAGATCAAGAAGAAAAGGAAGTTAAGAACATTACCAACACAGAAGAGAAGAGTGTTGTTTATATTGCCAAAGTTATTAAGGAAGAAGTACTTCGAGATTTAATTGGAGGACAAATAGAAACTAGTTGGTATAATCGAGGCACTGAAGATGAAGATGAAGAAGTTGGTACTCATCAAAGGGCTGTGAAATTATTACCAAATCCATTAAACATAAGTAATAAGGAAAGTATCAAGATCTACCAAGAAAAGTTACAAAAGCTTTTGGATGAAAAGAAGGAATGGCTGGCCAGTTTTGGAAAATATACAAAGAGAGTATCTAAACTCAATATTAACCCCACTGACGATAGTTCGATTGTTCATAAGAGGCGAGATGGATTGTATAGTCTGGTCTTGGATGAAACAATTGTCAAGGGACTTGAGAAATCAGTGGATGATATTAGTAAAGAACTGACCAATATTGAAAAAACGGTTGATAAATTTTCCGATATTGCATATCGCTTATCTCAAGGACTGCGATTGTCGGAGATTCTTCGGAAGAATGAACTCAATGGAAAAATCTCTGACATTGTCAACAATTACATGACCAACAAATACAAACAAAGTAATACCACTAATAATAATATTAATAATGATGATGATGATGACGATAACAACAACGATGAGAAGGAGAGTGAACCAATAAAAATAGGAGGGGAAGGGAAAGAAGAAGGACCAGTTGAATTGGCATTACGCACACCAACAACTCGAGAATTACTCCGAGGAATTGCACGCCTTGATGCACGAGAAGACTGAAAAAAAACGAAAGATAGGGGCTGTAATATATCTGTACCATTACGTAGTATAATAGAATAAAGAACAACAATTTTTAATATAATGAAATTTTCCATGTAGAAATTGGGTCTTACGATACGACTACGGAAAGGTATAACATGGTATTGTTGCCCAGAACTTCACAAATCATGCCGTTATGTATGCATTTAATTCTACATTATTCACTTATAATTCCTTTTCAAAACGTCGTAAATAATCCCCTCGTAAAGTTTAACATTGCTCTCAGGAGTATTGCTCGACCGAAAGATCCCGAGGTGCGCAAGATGCTAAATAAGGTGTTAATCTCGAGGCTCGGTGGGGTACAATTAAACCAACAAAGCCTAGATCTCCTGTTCCTGTTTACGATCTAATTTCTACATGTTTTACTTCAAAATTTTACATTGTTGAATGATGAGTTTTTTATTCTCCGGCGTCAATCTCATGACCTCAAATGTTGTTCCGGAATCCGTGAATTTCTCCATTGAGCAGAGTTAGCTGTTGTTGGTGGGGTAACAAGTTGTTTTAGAAGCATTATTTCTCTCATCGTAAGATTTAGCATTGTATTAACATGCCCGATGTTCTACCGCAATTTATGGGGTAACTTACTCTATTGTATAAAGCCTATTTTTTTTTTTTTTTTTACACATTCTATTCTTACCTGGATTTCTACCACTACTGTACAGACGTTTGTTTTTTTGCTTTTTAAGTGACCGCCAATTTAGTTGGTATGCCAGAATTATATAAAGAGGGCCGGGTAGCCTGGCCTGGGGTATTGTCCCGGTTTTCAAAGCTCAAGCGCCATAAAAGAGTGATAAGAACAATGATTTTCGCAAGTGTGGGGTTCCTCATATTAGTGCAACTCTATCTCTTCCAAAGCACAAATGCTTACACAGTACCCGTTGAATTTGGGCAGATGTTGGGATATCATGGAAGGGAAAGTACAGGCTCGTACAGTCACAAACCATTTTCCGAATTAGAATATGAACATTTGAAAAAATATGTCGAAACAAGCAAACCAATTTTCAATCAATTGGTAGGGTCTACTCCGGGATCATTTTATAATCAAGATGATAACGTTGTAGGAACTACAGAATTCCCCAAGTTCAATCGATACCAACATCAGCCGTATATTTCTAATGGATACATTGGTAGTAGAATACCAAACTTGGGACACGGTTTCACCTATGATCAATGGGAACAGCCTACCACTGATAATTTGAATGGTTGGCCGTTATTCAATAAGAGATACTCAGGGGCATTTGTAGCTGGGTTTTATGATATTCAGGAAAGAGTTAACTCTACAAATTTCCCTGAATTGTATGAAAACGGTTATGAGAGTATAATTTCAGCTATTCCTCAATGGACAACTCTCTCGCTTGAAGTTGAGTTTGATGGGAAGAAGTATGTTTTGGATCCAGCTCTTTCGAACTCGGACCAAGGTAAAATTACAAACTACACTCAGTCTTTATCATTACGTACTGGGGTTGTTTCAACGCTGTTCACTTGGTTGGACAAGCTCAGAGTAGAGTACAAGGTGATTGCTCATCGTAAGAAGATTCATATTGGAGCTGTTCATTTAAAGGTTGAGAATTTAGAAAAAGAGGATGAACTGATGAGTAAAGAAGATTTGGATAAGAAGAAAATAGTGGTTACTGTATTGGATGAATTGGATTTTAATACGAGTCAAAGATGCCAATTGGTTCGAGTTGGTGATGAGCAAGACACTCCTGGAATCTTTATAAATTTCCAGCCACATCAACTTGATTATGTCTTTGGAAGTGTGTATTCTACACTCCGTGCGCCTAATGATACAAGACACTTTGAGAAGTCTGATACAAAAGTTTCTCAATCATTTTCTTATGGAATTTTACCAGGAAAGGTATTGGATGTTATCAAATATGCGGGGGTGGTGACCTCCGACATTGATCCAAAAACTTTAACATCTGAAGATTTGGTTATTAAAATGGCCAAAGACCAAGCTTTGAATGCCTTGAAGGAAAAGCCTAGAAGATTTTTCAAATCTCATGATTTTGAATGGTCGCAAATTCTTGGTAAATCCGTTAGCATATCCTTCCCAGATGATGATCTTTTAACATTAGCTGCAAGTGCGTCAGTGTACCACATGGCTGCAAATACTCGTGAAAACGCAGAGGGTGTCACTGCAGCACTTGGTGTTGGTGGACTTTCTTCTGACTCGTATGGTGGGATGGTCTTCTGGGATACTGACTTGTGGATGCAAAACGGTTTGTTACCATTTGTACCAACTCATGCTAAGAGTCTATTAAATTATCGTCTTCATACCCATGATCAAGCGAAAAAAAATGTTCCTGCTGGTGATTATGGCGGTGCTGCATATCCGTGGACAAGTGGGAGGTTTGGTAATTGCACCTCTACAGGACCATGTATTGATTATGAGTACCATATTAATGTTGCTGTATCAATTGCGGCATGGGAGCTATTCCTCAGTGGAGCTGTTGATGAAGATTATTTAGAAAAAGTGGCATTCCCATTGATTTCAGATGCTGCTGAATTCCTCTCAAACTATGTGGCGAAATATAATGAAACATTGGGCCAATACATCACAACTAATCTTACTGATCCAGATGAATTTGCCAATCATATTGACAATGGGGCATACACAAATGCGGGTATTGCTGAGGTTGTGAAATGGGCAGTTGATATAAGTGAACACTTGCAAAAAGGATATCCTGACAGATACGATGATATCTTGAGTAAAGGAATGCATCTCCCTACCTCGAATAACAGTGACAGAATAACTTTAGAGTATACGGGAATGAACTCTTCTGTGGAGATAAAGCAAGCTGATGTTATTATGATCAGTTATCCTCTTGGGAATAATGTAATTGATGAAGACCAAGCCTTTATGAATATGAAGTACTATTCTATGAAACAAATTAGTACTGGGCCTGCTATGACATTCCCCATTTTCTCTATAGTGGCTTCTCAATTGGCCACAACAGGATGTTCTTCTCAATCTTATCTTCACAAGGCTGTACAGCCATATTTGCGTGGTCCATTTGCTCAATTTCTGGAACAAAACAATGACAATTTTGAAAGTAATGGAGAAACTCACCCAGCATTTCCTTTCTTAACTGCTCATGGTGGATTTCTTCAAGCTGTACTTCAAGGGTTAACAGGTCTCCGTTTCGGCTATGAAACTGATGATTTATATAGAATTAAGCGGGTACTTAATCTTGACCCTGTTGCTTTGCCCTGTTTTGGAGAAGGAGTTGAATTCAAGGGCGTACAATACCTTCAACAAATACTTAATTTGAAAATTGATAGCGATAAGTTTGTCATCAAACATATGGGCCCTGTCGGGAACAACAAAGCTAACCCTATTGATATATTATTGGGCCTGAGAAATCCTGAAGGAGGGAAATATACTTTGAAATCATATGATACGTTGGAATTCCCACTTTTTACTCCAGAGGCCAATATATACAATAGTGTTTCTGAATGTGGTGGAGCAGTACTAGCTAATATCACTGAAGGTGCATTTGGAGATACCCCAATGATGATGAATGATGGAGATAACTCTACCTTTTGGCAAGCGAGATATGCTCTGCAACCTGCCCAAGTTTTGGTGGATTTGAAACAGCAGCGTAACTTGACTGGTGGTGTTTTAAACTGGGGTGATAGACCTCCTCAGTCTTGGAAATTATACACTTACACTAAAAGAGCTAACTCACTTTCTGATATATTAGAACAAAGCCTCGATGACTCGTTCAAGGTTTTGTTAAAATCCAAGGCAACTATCACTGCTCCTTTTGATCTTAATGAATTTAACGCTGTTGAAGTGGTTGATAGATTCAACACTTCCACTTTTTCATTGGAAATGCAGCCGGCAAGGTTTCTTATGTTGGAATTTGAGGGTGTTTTAGATGATGTCACACCTTCAAAACTTGGTGCTACGGTTAATGAAATTCTGTTGTTTGATTAAATATTAGACTTATACTTCTTAGAATAACAAGGGGAATCTACAAAACCTTTTAAAATACTTGGATTGTAATTATTCTTAATGAAAAATAGTTATTTACGTCAACTTTATAATAAAGCCTGCGCCATTTGAATAAGGTGCTTGACACCTGGATGCCAGTTACCGGTCTCTTCGCTATGCTTTGTAGCGAGTTCAATATTTTTGGCCAAGGCTTGTTCGTATTCCTTATTTTCTAACAAATTACATACTTCCTTCAAAGATTCGACTGTTTCAGCGGATAACAAATCTTCATTGTTCAAGTGATCAAACAATAAATTTAATCTCTTAGAAACAGCATCACCATGTTTGGCATATTGTTCAGGGAGGTCGGGCATGATCAGGTCAAGAATAGAGCTCAACGTTGTAAAGATTGGAAGTGCATCCTCAGAAATATGAGATCTATCTCCGGCAGGGTACTTTTCCTTTACTGGTGGTTCGGCGGATTGTCCAACAGGCGGAAACCCGTTACTTCCCTGAGCAGCGGCTGGTGGTGGTGGTGGTGGTGCTGGAGTATGGGCGTGTGCGGATGCGTGACCACTAGGTGGTGGTGGTGGTGGTCCAGCAAATGCATTAACTTGGGATCCGTGACTTGAAGTTCTAGGAGGCAACATGTAACCAGTTGGAGCAACTGGGCCATTATTGGCAACAGGGGCATATGGATTTTTAGGTGGTGCCTGGGTACTAGGGGTAGGTGGTAAGGTTGACGAAGGTACAATTGGAGGAGTTGGTGGAGCAAATGCAGTCTTAACCGGAGCAGGAGTAGATTGAGGAGCATATGGGTTCTTTGGAGGTGGCGCGGGGTGAACTGAAGGAGATGCGACTCTAGAACCGGAATTATTTTGGTCCAAAGAAATCACGCTTGGAGTAGGTGGGGCATAACGACTTGAGACCTGAGAAGGTGAGTGTGGAATACTTGCTGCCTCAGTTGGAACGGTTTGTCTGGAACTGGTACGACTAATACCCTTTGGTGGAGGTGGAAGAGTTGGAGGTCCAACTGAAGAAGTTCTCTTAGGTAAAGCGATCGAAGAAGGGGTGGAAGTAGTATTCACTTGCACTGGAGATGGAGAAGAAGAAGAAGCAACAGGTCTGCGAGGAGCAACCTTCGGCTTGAATCCTTCTGGTAAGTCATTCCACCCATCGGTATCCTTTCTAAAAGCATTCTTTGGTGGTGGTGGGATAGCTGGAGAGCCATTAGAAGCAGCAGCAGTCGTTGGTAAGCTAGGAGTAGAAGGCCTGTACGGGTTGTGGAAAGATGGTACAGCTCCGGGGCCAGGGACTGATGCGCCACCTTGTGGAGCATAAGGGTTGGTAACTGGTTGGACTGGAGCACCGTATGCATTAGCAACAGGGGGCGCAGGAGTACCAACTGCTGGTGGTGGTGGCGCTCTGTTAAAAGTTGGAGGAGCAGTTGGGACCATTGGTACAAATGGCTTGTTACCAGACAATGATGCATGTTGCTTAGCTGGTGACTTCACGAATGCTTTTGGTTGAGCAGGCTGAAGACCACCAAGTCCTGGACGAGCGTATGCTCTACTAGTAGCAGAAGAAGTTGATCCACCTCTTCTATTGTTAGATGCGGTAGTTGCGGAAGTGTAGTTTCCAGTAGCTTTGGCAATTCTGTCCTTTTCCATCTTCAAACCTTCAAAATCAGCGGGTAACAATTGCAAAAACTTTTCAGCCAATTCGAATTGGCCAAAACCGGCAACCAGGTTGGAATATTCCAAAATCACCTTACAAATTGGTTCTATTCCTGGGCCAGCAAAGCTATCATTGGTTTTGGAAATCGATCTGTACGTAGCAATCTTTTCAACAAAACTGTTCAAAGCTTCGAAACGAGCATCTGATGGAGAAGATGAGCCTGAAGAGGTAGACTTCAATAATTCTTCTTCAATAGCAGGTAACTCGTTTAACCAAATCTTTGCAATCTTATCCAAAGCATTACCAGCTAAGTAACATAAAATAGCATTTTCTCTGGAAGGAGTCTTGGATTCCAAAATACGGTCACCTAATTCGGTGATCTTACTGTTGTAGTCTTCTCCGTCGGCAGCATAAGCAGAAATACTAGCAGCAATTTCCTTCCAGTTTGATACATCAGCATGAGCAACAATATCAGTAACATTCTTGGATGAAGCACTATAAAGCAATCTAGAAAGGACATTTTCTTGATTCTTTTTGAAGTATTCATTCTTTACGATAGCCTTGGATTCATCAGAACCATCCAAGGCGATAATTAAAGCTTCTACAAGTCTTTCTTGTTGGATACATTCAGTAACTGCACCCTCAAGGTTACCGTTCAAAATCAACTTGAATAACTTCTTGTCCTCGTCGGAGTCCTTCTTTTCATTAATCAATGAGAATTCGCCACTAGGAACAAAGGAATCCGCATTCTGCTTAGTGATGGTAGCAGAAATCTTTCCAGATCCCAAGTTGTCAAAGAATGAATCGTCTCCAGCAAAGTCATCACCCAAATCTAAGTCTTCAGCTTCCTTCTTTGTTTCTGGTGCTTCATCCTTGGATTCACTTTCTCCAAGTTGTTCCTTCAATAAATCTTCCTTATTGGTTTCTGACAATTTCTTTAAAAGTTCCCAGTCACCCTTTTCAGTATCATTCAAAAATGAAGAGGCACTGACCTTCTCTTCAATGAATGATGTAAAGTTTCCAGAATTAATAGCCTTGGAAAGCAGGTTGGATGTTTCATCAAATTTGCTATTAGTAGCAAACTTGGAGATGTTCACAACTGATTGACCATCCTTATTGGTTGAGACCAGAACCAACTTAGAACCGAATCCAAAGGACACACTAGAAGTAGTTTTCAACCAAGCTGGGGCTTGGCTGATTTCAAATACTGGTTGTTGAGTATCAGTCACAGAAATTTCATTCCAGAAATCATTGTCATCATTGGTGGAAGCAACCTTGGACAGAACTGGTGGTGAAGTATCTTGCAAAGATTGAATTACAATTTTACCATCAAAAGAAGCGGTGGCAAAGATATCTGGAGCAGCAGGAGCAAACTTGGTGTTGTAGGCCCAGTTAGCAGTGGTTGGGTATTCTCCCAATTTTTCACCCTTGATTGGATTCCATAATAAAGTAGAGTTATCCTTCCCACTTGAAATCAACAATTCTGGGTCATGAGCACACCAATCCAAAGAAAGAACACCCTTTTTATGACCTTGCATGATTTTTTCTGGGGCATTTGAATTTCTTAAATCCCAAGTAAGAATTAATGGACATCCGTCATTGTCACTAGCAGTAACCAACTTAGTTGAAAGGGTTGGATGCCATGCAACACATGAGAAATTAGCTCTACCCAAACTTCCAGAATAAGACAAGTGTAAAACTTCTCTTTTGGCCTTCAAGTCCCAAATCAGTGTATATCCACCGTTACCAGTGCTGGCAAAGATATGAGGAACAGTATTGTTCCATGCAACACAGGAAACTTCATCCATTGGGGTCATGGCTTGGCCTGGGGCGACAGGTTCAGCAAATGTTTTTATGTCCCAAACAAATAGTTGACCATGGGCACCACCAGAAACCATTACGTGGTCTTGACTTGGGTGGAATTGCAATGTCTTAACTGGACCAGAATGAACATTGGAACGGTGTACCGAAGCCTTGGCTAAATCCTTAGATTTTAACAAGATTTCAGCGTCCCAAAATTCAACAATACCATCTTCAAAGGCACCTGCAATCACACCCTGTGCATGGCCGTCGAATGGCTTGGACCAGGCCAATGCGTGGAATCTGGCACTGACAGTGGCAACCACTGCGGGCGTGGACTTATCAATTGGTGAAAAAACGTCCCATAATTCAAGCTTTGACTGAGAACTGAAGTTGGCGTCAACGGCTCCAGCAACAGTACCAGTGGCAAGAAGTGGAAGACATCCATGACTCCAGGCAAATGTTGACGTTCTAGATATTTCAGCAAGTTTCACCATATTTTTTTAACAAGTGGAAATATTAAATATGGGTTAATAGAATCCAAAGTAGATTAGTGGTTGGTGATCTTTGTTGTTCAATTGTAATTAACAAATGTCGTTCAATATATATATAATATGGATATATTTATATATAATTGACCACTGAGCAGGCGTTGTATTCTATGTGCTAGCCAGTAGATTCCGTCCTGCAATTCTAGTACGTGGTTCTAAACGTATGAACTGTTGAAAGGAAACAAAAAAAAGTATAATCAACTCGAATCGTCTCTAATTCTGATTTCAACTGCGTTGGAAAAACAATCGCGATTCGATTGAAGGTTTACGTAGCCTTTTTGAAATGATTTTGTGTAATACTGCACACAACGGACGAACAAAAAGTTTATAAATAATGTAAAGAGAGTGGGGGTATATGGTGCAATATATTTTTGCAGTAACAAGTAGCAATTTAAAATAGAAATGGTAGGATTAGAGAGGTGTGAATGATTTCAGAGAGTGTATTTAGAGGTTCTTTTTCTTCTAATTGTCTTCTAATTGTTTAGTAGTAGTCTAGCTGCATATCCTATTGAAAGTCCGGTTGAATAGACGGAAACAATTTATTAGTGTTGGTGAAATTTCAAAGTACAATGAATTTATAAAGTGGTGTATTGTCATTTTCTACTCATTCTCTAAAAATACAAGTAACATAGTTAATTTTTTTTTTTTTGATTTCAAATAATGTGTTTCATTTTTCTCTCTTAGTCTGAATAAAGATCTAAATTTTTCTCTACACTTTCCCTATTAGAATTTTGTAGTAGATGAAATTGACACTTTTGGTTAAAACTTAACGTCACATGAGAGTGTACTTCATATCCTCTACAACAGTTAGACGCGCTGCCGTGTATAGTCCGCATAACCTATCACATGCATCCATAGAAGCACTTGTCACTATTGTTGGAAAATGCTTATATATACATCGAGTAAGAGAATCCAAGTTGTCTTCTCTTTTCTCTTTTCTCTACATCTATAACTATGCATCATTTCTGCAACTAGTTATTCCATTTACTAATAGGGGCAAGGTCAAGATTTCCCCAGATCTCCTGCACAAACCCCGTTCAACGCATATACTAATGGAACCTTTTGTTTTACTTCCTCGGGTAATTTCTATAAAGCCGTTTTCAAGATGTTATTCTTCATCGCGTTTCCCATTAAATTTGTTTTAACTGCTACAAACTTTGTCTTTCTGTCATAATTATTAGAATTATTCAACTACACCATCCTTTTGGTTATTATTTCTGAATAGATTCGCTTAACATGTCTCTGCCCAATGCTAGCCTTATATCCCCTCAAACAGTGCGTCTTGCACGGCTTTTCCTCAAACATATGGACAAGAGGGTTGCTCGACCTTCGTTAAAAGCCTTCTTTTACGCGTACCTATACGTCACCCTCCCAAGAGTCTTCAACCATGTCATTATATCCATCAGGAAAAAGCAATATGATCAAATTTTTCCTCGAGTTTTCAAAATTCTTCTTAGTGCCCTTAATCCAAGTAAGTTCCCCACATTCGCAGCTCGATTAGTTGCTGGTATTAATATTCTTGAACCTATTATTTATAAACTCTTGAAAGATTCCAAAATTGTCACCAAACCAATCAATAATATTTTCCTTTCAACCTTATTATCGTCATTTATTTCTGGTTATGCTTCATTCCCCAAGTTCCAAAATCATATTTTATCATATGGTCGTTATTATTCTCTTGATTTGACGTTATTGGTTACTACAAGAGCCTTGGATACTGCTTTGAGTACCACCTTGTCAAAATTCACCCCAGAAAGTATCGCAAAACATGGGAATGCATTACTTTTCATTGTATCATGCTCATTAATTATGTTTTCATGGTTTTATCGTCCTGGTGCTTTACCTCCTGCTTATCGAAAATGGATCACATCTGCAGCTAATATGGATCAAGAAATCATTGATGCTCTCAAACATTTGAGAGATGGAACTTTGGTTTATGGTGATGAAACATGTATTAATCGTGATGTTCTTGTACCTTATTGTATTAGACATGGTGAAGATGTTTCAAATGGTTCACTTGTTATCAATCAACCATTAACATGTAGAACTGTACATGCATTTAAAACTAATAATTGTGAATTACATGCACTTTGGAGGTTTATTAGAGGATTTTGCTTTGCCATCAAGATTTATGGTCCATTAAATGGATTAATGTTATTATTCCCCATAAAAAATCAAAAAATGCAAAATCGAATCATCTATGCCATTAAGTCGTCCATTAGATCATCTTGCTTTTTAGGTGCTTTCATAAGTTTCTATTGGTATGCCGTGTGTCTTGCTAGAAAGAGAATACTTCCTCGGTTATTCCCAAAAGTACCTTTAACTCGTTGGGATGACACATTTGCTCCAACTGCTGGTGCCATTGCATGTGGATTTAGTAGTTTTATTGAATCTGCCCAAAGACGTAAAGAATTGGCCTTGTTTGTCGCTCCAAGGGCTTTAGGGACTATAATTCCAACCGCTTCTTCAGTGAAGAATTTACGTTATGAATCAATTGCATTTTCTGTCTCAATGGCAGTTTTGGTTGCCTACTCTAAAAATGATCCAAAAAGTGTTAGAGGAATTTTTGGTCGGGGTCTTAAACAAGTTTTCTCTATTGATTCATATAAATAGGTTTATGTAATATATTAATATCAGTATAATTAGTTACTTTCTATATATGTATATGTTTAATTACCATTGATTTTGAATATTTATCCAGATTTGTTAAAATCTTTTAAAGAATTATTTAACAAGAGAACGAGAAAATAGAGACATCAAAAAAAGATATATCGTGATACAAGAGAAAGACACATATAAGCAAACTAAATGAAAGACACTCTAGTAGCCACACTGAATATTACTTCACTAACTCCAATCTCCAATATGTACTTAAGTTAGCTTCTCTATAGTATTATTTTTGTTGGTCTTGCAGCCATTTTGTATTAAAATCGCACAAAAAATGAAAGAAAAAACATTGAAAAGATGCAGGAGTTCCAATTGCCGCTCAATACTAATGAGTAGTGAAACTAAAGTCTTCTCTAAAACCATATTGTAGAATCTTTTATATTATTCATCCATGCTATGCTGAGTGAAGAAATAGAGTCAGACACACCCGGAGACAGTGAATCACCATCTTGGGAGTTTGACTTTCCATTAACAAACGGTCCAAGACCACCTACATCATCAACGGATCATATTCAACGACATACAAAACTAGCACAATTACTTGGATTATCGGAAGACCTCCCGAACCTTCAACATGTATTCAGTACCGTGGCATCTCTCTGCGATCCTTATACGCAACCAGAGGAGAATGAACATTCAATCTTAAGTTTGGATTGTATTTCAGACTTGGTGATTGCCATATCATTTTCCAATCTAAAGTACAATAAAGTCACTCCATCATCTTCTCCTGAAGCCATACAAAATCCAGAGATTCAATCGTTAAAATTTGACTTATCTTTGGCATATTTTACCATCTTACAAGCTATTTTGGGTGGACTTAATGCCGATGATGAATTAACCTTGAGATACGTTAATAATGATGCCACCAATTGGCATAAAAACCTTCATATTTGGACACCAATGAATTTATTCACTCCTGATACATTCAATTTGAAATTGAGTTATCGAATGGCTTGTGTTCTTTTACTTGCCATATATAAATTATTCAAACCGGAAGCTTCAAGTAATAGCACTGAATACAATCTTGCATTAAATCCATATTTACATTATTTCATTAAAACTTGGAAATGTCAAACCAATGTGATTCTTCTTGGACTTGAGATAGACCGTCGTTTGGAAGCTCTAGATCAATCGGACCCTGACCTGGAGTATGTAACACCATACATTGTGAACGCAGCATTAAAGGGCTCCAGTGCCATTAGATATGTCTGTACATGGATTCTTAATCAAAATCCTTCACTGTTACAACTTGATGAAGAAGACCCAGATACAGGTATATTGGCCGATTCACCATCTCCATCACAAGTGGATGTAATGGATTCAGAGTATGATATTAAATGTGAAAGTCTTATTAATTTTATGCATCCATTAGGAAGGAAAAAAATTAATGGAGGTGCACTTCTGGTAGATATGAGATTAGTGGTTATTGCACTTTTAATTACCAATTCAGGATTCCCCATGAACGCTAGACAAATCGAACATTCACCAAACTCATCTTCATGGGAAAGAGAACGTCGAGAACATCAAGCCAAACCAATTGCAGAACTTGGTGATATACTTTTAGATTTGGAATATCAAGATAGATTTGATGAAGATATTAGATATATTTTCGACTACGAATATGAAGAGGAAGAAGGAGGTGAACCCGTTGGAGTTATTGATGAAGAAGCAGAAGATAATGATCAATGGGAAGATGTTGTACCTAAATTAACTACTGAATCTTCTAGTAAGAATAAGAATGAAATTACAACTGCCAAAAATTCCGATATACCAAAGATTGGTGATTTGAATATGCGTGTCGACAATATAAGGAGATTGACACCTGAAGAAGTGTCACAATTACTTCATTCAGAGGAAACAAACGACGAGAAAACACCGGTGAATAGTACAAAGAAGAAAGCAATTCCTACATCAAATGACAATAATGGTACTACTACCACACCCACCATTAATCACAATAAAAAGGAGATTTCAACTGCAGTCAGATCTAAAGATGAAGCAGAGTTAGATTTTGATGAATTTGGTCGTGATTGGCGTGATATTCCTAGAGGTGAGAATTCTGAATTACATCCGAGATTTGTAAAAGAATTAGAAGGATTTTATGCATTACCCGAAGAAGATAAACAAGATCCAGATAACTTTTTCCCCAGATGGCATGAATTTGAGACTTGTCTTGGATTTCTTGCAATGAATGGGTTTGAAGGACTGGAAGGAGAACTTGAAGATTTTGAAGTTAAAGTTGGACAAAGTGTTTTGAATACAATTGCAAAAGCTGTAAAGGAGGAGACTGAGATTGAAGAAGTTGAACCAGTATCGAGTACTACCATTACCCCTGATAGAATTTATAAATACTTGTCCTCATTAGCATCGGACTCTGAAGTAGCTACCACTCAGGATAATAATAAGCTTATAATTCCAATATTTGGGATTACAAAATTCGAGCTTTTACTTCATAATAATCGAAAACTTGCAGGATGTATTCTTGATGAAATGTTGATGTGCAAAGGGTATAGAAGAGTCTTGATTTGGTTTATTACTCATAACATTAATTTATGTCCTGCATTGATCAACTATGTTTATGAACTTTTGGTTGGATTAAGAGGAAGTGCTGATAATCAAAAACCATATTTATTTAGTAGAAAAGGTGGTAAGATTATACTCAGTGATGTTGAGCAACTGATGCTTCTTCATGAATTTCTTTCAAATACTGATCTTTATTTATTTGCTACTGAAGAGGCAGTGGAGACCTTTTATGGTTATAAGATTGTATTATCTGAATCCATTGCAAAGAAGTACCTGTCACTTATGTGTCTTATGATTGATCAGCTTATTAATGCTGGCATTATCAATATCGATGGGAAGAAAAAGGATGGAGATGCGAATGATATTTACGACTATGCTTATAATTTGCAAATGTTTTTATTCAATTTGATTGCAAAACTTCCAGAGGCCAGAGAACTTTATTTTAGGATTAAAAATGCTAAATCCGGTCAATTAGAAGAAGAATCAAAGGGATCAGTTGAGAAACCTCAAGCAAAGATTGGATTGGAAGAATTTCAAGACGCAACGGAAGGTCATTTTATGAAGGAAAGGTATGATAAACTTATTTCCACCATTAAAGATCTTGATATTGATGAAATTACTCATTATTTTGTTGTTCATTATGAAGATTGGAATTTGCTACAAAAATATGGTGAGCGATTACAAAAACATATCAAACTATTAGTAGCACAAAATGATGGCGATGAAACCTCCACAAAAGTTTCAATGGTTGGTCAATCGAATTTAAATGAGATACAAGACGATTTGAGATTCTTTATGGAGAATTTCAATGAATTATGTAAGATTGATTATTTGGCAGCTGATTTATTTGCAAATTTAGAGCTGATCATCCAAGGTGACCCAGAGAACAATTCAGAAGATGGAGACCACGACGACGGGGAAAAAATTAGTGGCAAAGAAGGGAAGGAAGGAGACGCTGACCTTCTTGATGAGTCGGAGTTTAACGACCAATTTCTTGATGGAGTTGGAAAGTTCAGTGAGAAGACGACAAAATCAACTTCAGAATCGAAGAAGAAGAAGAAAAATAAAAAGAAAAAGGGGAAGAAGAAGTAGTGGTAGTAGGGACTACATGTATTATTAGTTTGACATAATTTATATAAAATATAATATGTATATTATCAAAGTTTCACAAGTATGAGTCTTATCTGCGTGGTTGTATGAATCGCACATTCTACACGACCTGCGTGGATTGGACGGACTATTATTTCCGATAACTGTGAATCAATCAGTATTCTCACTAAAATAGTTTGAATTAAACAATGTTTTCCAATAGATTACGCTCATCATTCATCAGAACTGCCAACATGTCTTCTACCAGATTATCCTCTTCTATCACTCCTGTATGTATAGATAGGGCAATGGTAAATGCCAAATTGTCATATCTTTAGTAAATAAATTGAGAGATCTTACAATACTAACACCTTATAGGTTAAAACCGCCAATGCTCCACCCCCAGCTGCTTCTTACTCTCAAGCAATCAAGGTAAACGGTATGTACTTCAACGTGGTCAACAAATTTCACCAAAGTTATATTAATAGAACTTTCAGGACAATAAAATATTTTTAAACACGTTTTAATTTCCCCATATACTAACTAAATAATCTATAGGTTTCATCTACGTTTCAGGACAAATCCCATACACTCCTCAAAACAAGCCACTTTCTGAAAACCCAACCATTGAACAACAAGCTGAACAAGTTATTCAAAATGTTTCTAACATTTTAGAAGCTTCCAACTCTTCTTTGTACCATATTGTTAAGGCCAACATTTTCTTGACTGACATGAAGGCTCAATTTGGTGAATTCAACAAGGTTTACGGTAAGTATTTCAGTGAACACAAGCCAGCCAGATCTTGTGTTGCTGTCAAGGAATTACCATTGGGCGTTGACTTGGAAATGGAAGTAATTGCCATTGAAAAGGAAGACTCCAAGTTGTAATTCAAATGAGGTACATTTAGTTTAGATATGCTATTAATTGAATAAATGATTCAATGTGTTATTGTGTAGGATAGCAATTGAGTTTTCGAGAGATAATACGAAAATAAAACGTACATGCTTGCTGAGCTTTCCACTCAGGTGGTTCGTTTAACGTAAATGCACTTCCAAATTGGCCATAGATACGAACAATGCAAAATATGTACGAATGTGTAGATCATTACAACCAGCCGGTACACCACTTGAAGGCAGCGTATTACATATTAAGCGCATGACATCAATTGATTGACATTTCTATAAATAGATCCATATGAGTTTCATTCATTCTCTTGTTCTTCGGCCATGGCCAAACAATAGGAACATACGCATGCGGGTCATCATCAATTAAACTTTACGAACCTCCGAGTTTGCAATATTCCGTTCAACACCAATAATGTCATTTCATGTGTGACTTCGGATGCAGCATGAAAGCCAGGTGTATTGTCACCATTATGGATAAGGTATAAATATTGTTTGATTTCTTGTACTTTCTGATGGCATAAACACTTTAATACAGTAACAATGTATCTTCTTCAGATAAATCTCTTAATATTATCTTTATGTTCCTTGACAGTAGCTATTCCAACATGGTACTATCAGCCAAATGATATTAGAGGCGCCCCATATACCGGCGCATCCTCGATTATCAACATGCACTATGGGAATACATCAGGATTATATATGGCAACTCAAGTTTATTTTGAAAGTGGTAACCAAGCATACTTTGGTATCCAACCAGAAACAGGTCAAAAGGGTGGAATGATCCTTTACAGTGTCTTTGGAGAGAATATTACCTCTACCCATAAATACTGTAAACCAGGAGCTGATACTGGTCCTGGGATCTCTTGCCATCAACCTTTTGAGTGGGTAGAGAATAGAAACTACACTTTATCAACTACATTTATTGGTACTTGGGCCAATGGATCAACTGTTTGGCAAGGATGGTGTCGTGATGACGTGACACAAGAAAAGACTGATCTTGGTCAATATTCTGTCCCTAAATCATATGGATTATTAAGTGGTCAATGTAGTCAATTCCTTGAACAATTCCTCCATAGAAGTCAAGTTTTGGAAAAGCCATTAGTTTGTACGCCAGAGGCTGGATATTCCATGTGGTATCCCGTCTTCGACAAGTATGGAAAGAGTTATACTACTAATGAATACTCTTATACTCCTCCAGGAATATTTGATTATTGCGAGAAGCAACAAGGTAAACCGGGTACAATTGTGACTGCTATCCCAGGACAAGCTGGTTGGAATGTTGAACTGGGGACATTTACTCCTTTATATCCTGTTGATTAGAATTTAGATGTATGATTTCTTTGATTGATTAATTGTAGATACCAACGCCGCGATAAGTTCAACCTAAAAGCGAAAAAAAAACACCGTAGAATCAAGGGCTTTATAACACTTCAACTTAAGTTTTAAGATTAAATAAACATTAAAATAGATTTTGGCATATAGTCGCTGCCTATCATTTTATGTAAGTTGCAACTACTTTATTCTAAAACAATATAAAGACACTTCATCTTAGGAATATTGAGACGATAAGAAAACCCCCCATATATTCTAGTAGGATATATACATATATATATATATTTTTCTTGTCCTCTTAATACCATTTGAAGAGGGTGCTTTAACTCCATACAATATAGTATTAACGCTATACTATATAAAAGATTCACAATATCTGGGGTAAAATAATTAAAATGAGAAACTTGAACCGCTAGTCACATGACAAACGAGGGCTACACCCTAACCATTTTAACATCCATACACCCCTGGTAATATTTTGTGGCATTTAGGTCACGGGACCGATTTTTCAGTAATCGCACGACCAAAGAAATAATTTTTTTTTTCACCTTCTCAAACTATGCGCGAGTCCTCCAGCGCAGGAAAAATTTGATGGACCTAACATTAGAGATTTTCAAGGTAGCTTGTTTGAACTTTTTTCATAACACATCTTATCATTAAAATGGCTCAACGTGTTACTTACAGAAAGAGAAATCCATGTATGTCTCAAGAACTCCGTCGATGGAATTGTGCAAACCAATAGATGACCGATGAATGAATGAAAAGTAGATAATATTGAAATATTTGATGATACCAAGAAGAATTGTTTTACACTCTATTGAAAGAATGGGATGAGGAATCAGAAAAGACCGCCAGATGTAGGGGTACAAGTGATATCCATGTTTCATGTGGAAAGAATCTACGTACTATCCATGTTTAGCGTTTGTGGGATACGTATGGACGGACTATGGAACCCCCAAGTTTATGAGACCCCCCTCCTTTCTTTTTCTTATTCAAATTATTCGTCCTATCATCATATATTACGAGACTGTAGTAATCCATATGTACTCGTTCCTTGGTATACATCTATAATTTCAATTGCATATGTCGTTGCCATTGGTTGCATTACACTTTATTTTATTTTCAATTTACTAACAATTTTAGACAACACCAGATCTAACAAGATCAAGGTCGTCAAGACCCCAGGTGGAAAGTTGGTTGCTCAACACGTCAAGAAGACTGCTTCCAGAGTTAAGTGCGGTGACTGTGGTCTCGCTTTGGCTGGTATCTCCACTTTGAGACCAAGAGAATACGCTCAAGTCTCCAAGACCCACAAGACCGTCTCCAGAGCTTACGGTGGTTCTAGATGTGCTAACTGTGTCAAGGAAAGAATCGTCAGAGCTTTCTTGATCGAAGAACAAAAGATCGTCAAGAGAGTCTTGAAGGAACAACAAGACAAGGATTCTAAGAAGTCTAAGAAATAAGCGGTTTTTATTATTTGAATAAAATTGTACGTTACTTGAAAAATTAGTTTATTGGAATAATCTTTCCCTATTGTAGATTTTATGTAATTATTATACCTACATTTTATGTCTATCTCCTCCCCACTATTGGGAGATAGGTTAAATTTATTGACACAAAATACCTTTCATTACATTTTTGTTCGTAGATGGGTTCTTCAATGTGGACTGCACATAACCGCAATTGTTTCATTCAGCCCTTATTGTAAACATATATGGGTAAGGGTGCGGAAGATCTTCCCGAAAATGACGCATCGGGAAGGCAACCCGAAATTTTAATTATAATCTAAATGACTAACGTGATGGACTTTCAAGATGTTAATAGATATGAATCTGGAAATGGTTCTATCAACAAACTATTGACAAACATGTATATAGAAAGTTGGAAATGAATCTTGATTTTTCAGGGTACATGTATACCTATCCTCTATATGTAGTACAAGATATCCTTCTTCAATTAATTTACTACCCTCTGTTCAAAATTATTCTTTTTGAAACGCCGCCCTTATGATCTTCCCCGGGCTCCGAATCCGTTATCATTATTTTTTATTATTTTTTTTTAACAGCCAAATGATATCCTTGTTTCGCCGTTTACATTCACTTATATATAAATAGACATATTACTGTAAATATATCTCCAGTAGCTTGCTTAAATCTAGTAACTAATCCTCCTTTTAGAAGTCATTCACAAAAAAAAAAAACCAATCATCCACATATCTATAATACATAAACAAAAACATGGACTCATCAAAACTTTCATATGTTCTTGAGAACACTTACATTCCTCCATCTCCTACCAAGTTGGAACCATCTGTTCCACCTTACCATCCATGTTTAATTGTCCAGGACTCTCAAACTGATGTTTCCAAGATCAAGCCATGTGGCTGTGCTGATTCTTACTGTGTCAAAAACGCTCCTGAGTGGATTCCTAGGGCTAAGCGTTGAACAAATCTCCCAACTTCAAAGTCTACACTAATTGCATATTTTCATTTCTTTTTCAAGAACGTTTACTCATTAGAACTACATAATTTGTTTCTAACAACGTCGTATAATGTTTATAACTTTAATACTATTACCTTACATGTTACTCAATTTAGTTTAAATTTTTTTTATTTTTTTATTTTTTATTTTTTTAGGAGAGGAGGGGCCTTATATCAGCATAGTGTTTTATTTTATACGACGAATAGATATATATACATTAAATAATTAGGCATACCTTCATAAATTACTGAATGTATACGAGGGAGAAGGAGGGAGAAGGAGGGAGAATGACGATTAATTACTGGAATGGATTTTCTTTTTCATTAGATCGACCCTCTTCATAATCTGGACTCTTATCAGCTTCAATATCCTTTTTAGAAATTCTTAATTTAAGGTTCTCATCACGTCCTAAAAAGAGAACAGGATGGATTATAGATAATAAGGCACATGTGAAGAATACCATCATGGCATCTAAGGTCATAACATAAACCTCATGTGTGATCAAATATCCAGTCCAACCTTGAGCCAATTCAACCACTCTATAAATACAACGAATATAAATGAAGAGTACACTTCCAGTGACAACGTGTGGGAACCATTTGAAAAACTTACCATGTCTTAAATGGGCATGGTTTTGATCGAAATATGGTTCACATTGAGCTCTAATATCATCAGCTCTTTTACCATTATTAACGAGTGCAATGACATTATGGAAAGTGAAGGAAACATTTGGATTAACCTTAAAATAAATTCGATGTAAGAAATCAAACCAAAAAAATAAGAATAAAGTCATGGAAACTACTTGGAAGGCAATACCTGCAACCATAACATGAGTACCTGAATCAGTATCTTCAAAATCAATGACTGCAACTGCAGCCATACCTCCACCAATGGCTTGAATAACTAAACTTAAGACATCACAAATCACAAAGATATATGAGTACCAGATCGGTTTGAGCATGGAAAATGTACGACCATGACCGTGTACCACGATTAATTTGGCTAATAGATAATAAATTCCGGCCATAATGAATGCTGGTGCGATTGTTAAGGTGATGATTTGACATAAGAAATAATCAGAATCACTAGTGTCATTGACGGCAAGGGATCTTGTTAAATAGCCAGCAAACTCCAACCCAGCACCACAAAAGAGACAACCACCAAAATAAAAAAATCTCAGCCAAGTTAAAAGTCCAGTTTGAACAAGGAACACAATACCGAAAAGTACCGTGAAAATGACATTAGCAGCCATACTAAGATCAGTACCATAAGCATTTTCATCCCATTCTAACGCCTTTAAATTCAAAGTGGCATTGAAAATAGCCTGAGTAGCTTGGGATTGTACACTAGCAACAGTGGCAGTGGCTAGTACTTGTTGTGCCATGATAATATCAAGAGATGCTTGAGCACCCCGGATGTCCTGGGAAATATGCATCAAGCTCGCAAGCTTTGTAGCGGTTGCCATATCGGCTGTAGCAGATGTAAGGGTGCTTATCAACCCTACCGAGTGGGTAGGGTTAATGGATGAGAGAACTGTTGATGTAGGGATCGTGGTAGGTACCCATGATGAGAAAACAAACGATGAAGACATTATAGACAAAGGGGAGCACTTCTTAACAAAAAAGGGTTTCACAAGATACTCTAAATTGCCATAAGTTTGAATACGATTCAGAATATAACCTAACAGCTACAGAAAAGAAGATTATCATTAAAAATGTGTATGGGCTTCACCTGTTATATTTAGGTGGAGGGATTTCCTTTTTTAATTTTTTTTTTTTTTTTTTTTTTTTGCATTTGTAATGCATGAACTGTCTAGTTATTCCGTCTATCCCCGAGATAAGTACCTTATAAGTTGTATCTTCCGATTTGAACATAAATGGGGCTCTGTTAGGAAGGAGGGTCATCATTGAACCATGATCTACAACATTTAAGCTTTGACAGTCATGAATTATAGATTTATTCCTTGTTGCTTTTATTCGTGTCGCTAGTTTGAAAAATAATACAATGTGATTCACACATATTTTTTAAGTGTTCTTGGTAATTATGTAATCCTTGCTTTTATGTTCTGTTAACTAATGTATCAACCATCAAACTCTTCAATTTTTAATTTAATCCCGGTGTGGATCTTGTGAAGGGTTTAAAATATTGTTATAACCTTAATTTGCATTCATTGAATATGTTTGTTCCGAAAGCTATTTTTGGTAACTTTCTTCATAGTTAGGTAAAGGAGTAAAGGAGTACCCCATAAATCCAGATATAAGATCCAATTTAATGTAGAACGGGGTATTAGGAACGGAATACTTCCAAATGTAATCAATTACGCATACACGGCTCATATAGTACGGCTTATGCACCCTTGTTTTAGTGATTGTTATTTCCATTAATCTCCGCGCAACGGGAATATGCTCCTAAGCCCTGAAACCGGAAGTTAACATATTCTTTAAAGTTCCGTTCAAATTTTACAACTCTACTAAATATCTAGATATATCCAGTTCATTATTTTTCCGCTTAAAACTATTTGATCATTGTTTATTTCAATATTAAGTCTATTTACATTCATTCTATAAAATCTCAATCAGAACGTAAGAATGTAGATTGGTTCTGCGAATCATCAGACTGTGTAGGTGGAGGTGGTTGCTGTTGGGCTTGTTCAAAGTTCCCCGGATTTCCACCATGGACTAATTCATTGGTTACTTGTTCCCGTTTCCAGAATCGAAGCAATAAATCACCATAATTTTGAAGATCTTCCACCGAAATCATAAGTTTAAAATCAAGAAGAAGTAAAAATTGTAATTCCAAATAATTGAGTTCCTCTAATGGTAACCCTCCAACTTTTGCATACCGCAAATTTTTATAAAATATATCAGAGAAAAATTTCGATGAAACAGTAATACCAGAAATTATAAGTCTGTGAATATTATATGAATCCATAACGAAAAGTTGTTCAGATGTACCATCATCATTTTCTTCACCATCCTTGTTTCTACTTCTCTTCAAATTATTGGCCTTCTTGGCAATTCGATCGAAATAGACTAATAATGAAAGGAAAACATCACTGGTAACAGGACAATACTTTAATACTCTAGTTAGGTAAGCATGTAAGGAAATTCCGGGAATGTTTTTCCCATGGAATGCCAATACATTTGCAAGATATTTATTTTTCATTTCATCATCATCATCTTCTTCATCTTCAGAGTCATCATCTTCATCAATAAAACTTTCATCTTTAAATGATTCTCCATGTTCTCTTTCATCAGATTCACGTTTTAATTTTTGTCGATTAAGTTTTCGAATTCTTTTTTCCTCTTTAGTCTTTTGTCTTACTGCTATAGTATTATCAAAATGATTTGGATGTAATTTATCATTAGCTTCAACAATCTTGGTAAGTAAACATGATAACATCATAATCAAGTCATTGATTGAATATTCAGTGATATTCAAATGTTCTTCCGGTTGAATTGGTGCTGTTCCAGATTGTCGACTAGCGGTTTCTGATGCTTCAGCATCTTTTGCATTTAAACTTTCAAGAAATTCCTTATAAGTCATGTAATGGTCTGGTTCAGTAAACAGATAAAACTCTGGTGCTTGTCCACTAGAACCAGAGACTGAATCTGTTCCAGATCTAGCACCGGACTTGGAACCAGAACCGGACCCAACAGACATATTCGAAACACTTGGAGTGGAACCAGTACCAGTACCGGCTACTCCTCCTGAAATATTGTCATTGGCGGCATGATGAACATTGCCAAGTGGAGATTGATCCTGATACGTTGGGATTCTATTCAAATGATTGAATGCATTCAGATCAGAATTAAAACCTCCAGAGTTTGGAAATGAAGATGCAAATCTCGGTTGGTTTCCCGATACAGGGTTTTGATAAAATGTTGCTGCCGACACAGAAGAAGGACCAGGATTTGCTGAATGCATAGAAAGGTTTGTAGTTGGAACTCCTTGAGAAAGCGTCATGGGCTTATAACTTCCTGTTGAGAATTGCTGGTGTTGTTGTTGTTGTTGTTGTAAATTATGTTGTTGTGGGGGTGGATGTTGATATTGTTGGAAATGGTTACCAGAATGTGGGGTGAACGAATGGTTCGATGAGTACGAAGAGTTGACCATTGTTGGCGTGTTATGGGTAGATGGAATGAAATTGGATGGGACTGGAACCAGAACAGGACCTTGTTGTTGCGGGTTACTGTAGCTATGTCGTTGTTGGAAATAAGCACTGGTTCCCGAAGGATTGGACGATCCTTGGAGATGGCCCGGGAATGATGCAAACTGGGTGGAAGGTCCTGGTAACGGGTTGTCATTGTCTGCAAAGTTACGAGGTGATGAGATGCTGGTATAGGATGGGGGTGGTGGCATCGACGACGAGGGCGAACCACTGGAAAGGGAATTATTGGTGGAAGAACTCATCAAATGTTTTGTCAAGTTTGACATTTTCGTTTGCGATGGATGGTTCAGCAGTGATTCTGTAAGAGATGCTTGTTGCTGTTGTTGTGAACCATGTTCATCAAACGACGACTGCGTTGCTGTCGGCTGTTCTGAAGCCATTGCTTTATGAATGTAAATAACAAGGATAATATCTAATCAACAGTTAGTAAAAGCCTATAAGAAACCACACCCTCTAAGATCGATATCTCAATAATTGGGTGAGATGTATAGATGGAGAATTCAAATATCTTCAACTAAATGAACTCTAATATTTAGAAAATGTCCAATTGCCGGGAGGAATTGGTGATCTGAGCGGCGATTGGAAATACATACGTTTGTTTTTAACTCTGTCTACAGAATGCAAGGGAATCAATGCAGCGCCTCAGATGTCGAGGATTGAACTGATGAGTGGGTTTCTGCAGCCGTGCAAAGCAAAAAAAATTGAAGTAACACTCTATCCTACTTTGCGCTTAGTACAGGTTTTTGGTTAATTGTTTCGGTTTTCGTTGTCGCTTTCTTTTGTAGAGAGCCTCACTCTTTTTATTTTTAATTTTTTTTTTTCTAATTTTTTTTTTCTTTTTTGGCTAATTATTTTTATTACTGAGGAGTGAGTACCTGAGGGTGAAAACGGGAGTGCGACAAAGTACATAAAGAGTAAGTGAAAGAGGGGCAGAAATCATTTTATTTTTCTTGTCCAAGCAACACCCACATTTATTGGGGTTATATATCCGCTAAGGAATGTTATGAAATTTATGAATGAAATTGAGTTTATTGAGATGTTCATTGATACGGAATTTACTAGCTAGGTCTCTATAACTTTCGACCCCCCCCCCCCCCCCCCCTCCCCAGGTGGCTCTACATAATCTTATAGTACAAAAATGAATGATTACAAAGTAAGAACTATGGGAGGAATGCGTGTGCAGGAATTTTGTTAAAGTTCATTTTTCACCTTATGGGGAGACAAATCTGAATCAGAGAAAAAATGAGCATGAAATTGAATTATAGTATCATTTTCTTTGATAAACCATTATTAATCAAGATTAAATAATGTCTACTGCTTCCAAGATTACATTGTGCCTCTCATTTACGTTTGCAGTGGGGTCCTTTTTGCTGATTAATTACATGCAACAGGCGGAAAAGGCGGCCATTAGACAAGGTCCAATCAAAGATGCTGCTCGTATGGCCCTGAAAGAAAACAAAAAACATCTTGCAAATGATCGTGAACATAAAATGCAATTAGAACTCCGGGAGAAGTATGAGAAATTGCAACCATTGAATAATGAAATTATCGTAGGGTTGGATAATGAGAAGAAAGATTAAATTAAAGCTTGTATATAGATAGCATATGAATAGAAAATTGTATATAGAAAATAATTAACAATAAGAGAATTAGGCAACAGAGATAATTTGTAACAAAGAATCAAAATTTATATATATACAACTAAAAAGAAATGTTTGTGTTCTTGGAGACACCGGTAATTTGAATGCATATATATTTAAATAAACATAGAGAATAAATAACCCCATCCAAAGAGAAGTTATTGATAACTCTAATTGCATTGTCACTCGATGTACTATGATGCACTTTTTTCTTTTCGATCCGTAAGGCCAAGCATACCCACTAAAAGTGTTCATATTTGGCCCTGTTGGTAAGAGTTTGAGCCTTGCCCCAAGTAACGCACCAAGACGGATTGTCAGTATGGAGATATTGGGTCGGGAGTAACCCTGCCAAGGCACTTATCAACAAACAGTTCGGTGTTATAGAAGGAAAAAGAAAATTAAAAACAGTCAAATAATCGAGAATTTTCTCTATATATCGAAAATGTCGCGCGCAAATTACCCGGAACAACCAGAAGTATGGTTTACAATATTTTGCAACCTATAGAAAATTGATTTTGATAGATTCAGACACTATTTGGCGAATAATAGTCATATTAATTGCCCTGAATTCTACAAGATATGCACCATCACCACTTACCTTGTCATTAATCATATAAATTCAAAAGAAGATTTTTAGAAATTCACAAGACTTGACAGTTTTTCCATACTTGATACAGATAATTTAATATTTCGATAATATGGCTCGACCTCTCGTATCTAATCTACTTTATATATATATTACTCTATATTTCTTTATGTACTTTGTGGGTTTTATTTTATTTATTTTATTCCATTTTCCCAATAACTAACTCATCATCAAGCGAGTCGTTTACCCTTTGTGAGTCATCCAGCTTAAGTGTAGGAGATGGGGAAAACACAGCTGGGTGTGGGGGTGCCAGTGAATAGGAGTAAGAAGTCTTTGGAGACTTAAGATTCGATGGAGTTTCCGATGGAACAGCTATGGAATTTACCCTAGTTCTAGGGTTTGTTGAGCTTCCAGGTCCTTCCTCTTCTTCCTCGTGTTCTTCTTCACCGTGTTTTTCCCTAACATCCAAATAACCACCCACAAGACTTGGAACGCCAGGTTCATTCTTGCTCGATGTAGTGGTCATTTCTTGTGATGGAGGATATCTAGATATAGAATGAGCACGATGTGATTTTTGTGGAATTGAATTGGTAAAATTACCATTATTTTCAGTGACAAATGATTTTTTAAATGGATGATATCCATTGTTAGTTTCATTGACTGTAGATGTAGTTCCATCACCTGGTGGAGTAGTACTTGGGGAAAGTGAAAGATCTGTCGCACCTGCTCCTGTATTACTATATTCGGAAGAAAACGTCAGATTTCTTCTAGATCCTGGATTACTTTCATTCATCCCAACTAATATACTAGCAGCTTCTAAAAGTTGTACTTGTTGATGCTTTGATATAAGAAGTTTCTTAGTAACATTCCATTCTGGTGTATGTTCCCATAAATGCTTTGCTAACGATGAAATATGCTTGTAACCCTTCCCACAAGCCTCACACTTGAGTTCTTCTTTAAGACGTCCTGTTTCACCCTCACTGATTCGACGGGCTACAAAATCTCTAGATAATGATGGAACTGAACTTGATATGGATCCATTATGTGAAGAGACATGATGGTGTTTTGAAGGAATCGAATACGGAGTAGTGCTCGAATTCCTTCGATTGTAATTATATTGAGTGTGTGTACTCATATTGTCCTTTTTAATATCTATAATCTGGGTTCTTGGGGTCGATCCTGGGTCTGCTTTTTTTTATGTTTGTATTTGAAGTTCTCTAGTCTCTATTATTCCTAAAGCCTGTTCTTTTGCATCTGATGTCAAATCCGTCTGGTCTCCTGCCTGCTCTACAAACTGGTCTATAAATGCCTATACGTTCTTCAGATAGCAGTTAAACACGCTTTAGTCACAAGAAAACTTGAAAATTTTTATTCCAAAATCCAAATGTTGTGGCTCCAATTCTTTTTCTCTCTGTAAATGTTTTGCGTATTTTTTTTTCTCCAAACTTTTTTTATTTTTTTTTTTTTCACTACGAAAATATTTTTTAACTTTTTTTTAGAATTTTGGCTTTTTCGATGAATTTCTCCTGTTCAGGGTCTATAAGAATTTCTATATTTTGCAACATAAACAGTAGTAGAAATAATTGATGAAGTAGATTAAAAGACTGGGGTAACGTAAATTATCTTTTTTCTTTTTAATTCCATATAGCAAAGTGTATACATAGTATAGTGTATGACTTTGTGCAATCTTAATAGTACCTGATAGAACCCTTTTTAAATGACTTATCTATACACATCTTATACCCTTGTAGTTATCAATATATAGATTTTAATATATATTCCACCATTTATTCTAATTGAAACTCAAGTGTAATTAATAGTATATAGTTTCTTGTAATTAACAATATTGTACTCTACCTTCTATTACATCTATACTTTATCTATCATTTCCATATCTCATTTTATTTCCATAACCTATCAACAAACTATAAAGGTTGACTCATGCACTTCTTTTTTTTCTTTATACAGCTCTATATCCCTATATTCTTCCCTTCTTCTAAAAAGTCTCAGAATCTATCCCTTCAAGATCATCTCCAACTTGAAATCCTTCTTCTGTGCTGTACAAAATTTGTTGGATTTGTATTGACATTTCTGGTACCGTTAAAGTTTCAACAATATTTTTATTTGTATCAGAATTTATATTTCTTATTAATGATTCAATTTCAATAAGCTTATTAAAGTAAAAATTTCTTTCTGTTTCCATACTTTCTAATTGAACTTTATATTCAGCTAATTCTTCATTAGCATGTTCCAACGCTTGCATGGTTTCCACCAATTCATTGTTCCGTGTTCTATTATTCGGGGTCGTTGGCGTTACATTCATATCTTCAATGACCGATCTACGTTGTTTTGGAAGGGTTCGAACAACACTCAGTCCAGATGTTGTTCTTGAAGCTGGTCTGGAATTAAGTTTTGAATGATCTCCACTACTTACGCGACTAGTCGATCTGGGAGTAGTACTACCAGTCCCACCACTACTGGTTCTACGAGATTGTGCATCATATGTGGCATGAACATCTTTATTCTCCATCCAATATTTTTTAAACCATTGTAAAAGTTCCAAATTATCCTGTAATCTACACTTGATCAATCGTTCAACCTCAATTGGCTTCGTTATACGGTGTTTGTTGAAGGCAGCTTGAAGTATCTTCATATTCAGTCGGTAATCATACTCTAAACGCGTATCAAACTTCACTTTACTCATGGGTACCCCTCCAACAATTGAATCCATAAGTTGACAGTATGCAGCTCCAGAACCACATTGTTCAACCTTTGTATATTGCAAATCTAATTCAGAATTGAGCCATTGTAAAAGCTCTGTTCTGGACTCCCCGATTGCCATTTCTAAAAAAATATATCCTCTACAATTGATCAAGGGAGATTGGGAACTACTCCTTGTAAATATTTACTTAAAACAACTTCAAAACTTTTTCTCTCCTTCAAAAGAAAATACGAAAAATTGGAAAAAAAAAAAAAATAAATAAATATTGAAAGCTAAATAAACAAATAACCTGTACATAATCATCTGAATTACACGTGTTGAATATCACGTGACGGTAAAGTTAATAATAATTTTCAGATAGTGATTATTATAGTTTTACAAGAGAGATTCGTATTAATGGGGAGATAATACCAAATGTATGACTGAAGTAAATCAATATTTATTAATTTTTTTTCCAAAAAATATGTTAATAATTTAGCCATACGTCTCGATATTGAAGAAAAGAGGCTTCATTTTAATCTCCGCGGCACATCCGAAGTGAAAAATCATAGATAGCTCCATGTCACCTCCAACAAATACAATATACCCGTCATTTTGTATATTTTTGAAGAGTCTGTTCCTACAAAAAAAGTCTCAATAAATCCCTACCTCTTTCAACTTATCCATATTCAAAATCTTGAGTATATATATATATATGCTTTTTAGTACTTGTCCTAGTACCACGTTTTACAATTGAATTCCGCTAATATACACACGTGCACTGAGTCACCTGCCCGAGAGAAAAATGGCATTTACCGTTTCCGCACCTTTCGCCCCAGAAAATGTGTTGACTCATACGTAATGCACGAACAAAACGTTAGTCGATAAATGAAATATAATAAATTTCATTTCTCGATCAGGTTACTTAATTTTTTTTCTTTCTCTTCTCCTTTCTTATAACCATCTGCCCCTACTTAATAGAATATATTCAAGATGGATTTAGTGAATCACCTTACCGATCGTTTATTATTTGCTGTCCCAAAGAGTATGTAAAAAGATGAACAAAAAACCTATTGAGCAATTTACTAACTATACTATAGAGGGACGTTTATATGAAAAATGTTGTCAACTTCTTAATGGTGCTGATATTCAATTCAGACGTTCAAACAGATTAGACATTGCTCTTTCCACAAACTTACCTATTGCCTTGATTTTCCTCCCAGCCGCTGATATCCCAGTCTTTGTTGGTGAAGGTAATTGTGATCTTGGTATCACTGGTCTTGATCAAATCAAGGAAGCTGATATGTTTGAATCTATCGAAGATCTTCTCGATCTTCAATTTGGCTCTTGTAAGTTGCAAATCCAAGTCCCTGCTGAAGGTGACATTACATCTGCTGAACAACTTGTTGGAAAGAAGATTGTCAGTTCATTCACCAAACTTGCTACCGATTACTTTAGTGAGTTGGAAGGAAACGTTGCCAAGCCAACCACCAGTATCAGATATGTTGGTGGTTCCGTTGAAGCTTCATGTGCTCTTGGAGTTGCTGATGCTATTGTTGATTTGGTTGAAAGTGGTGAAACCATGAAGGCTGCTGGTTTGAAGCCTCTTGAAACTATCTTAGAAACCTCTGCCCACCTTATCTCATCAAAGAAGCCAAGATATCCTGAATTAGTTGAAAAGATCCACCAAAGATTTGAAGGGATTTTGGCTGCTAAAAAATACGTTTTGTGCAACTACAATGCTGCAAGATCTATCTTACCAACTGTCTTGACCATTACTCCAGGTAGACGTTCTGCCACTGTTTCTCCTTTAGAAAAGAAGGAAGGTGAAGACGAAGAATGGATTGCTGTTTCGTCCATGGTGGAAAAGAAGAAGATTGGTGATATTATGGATGAATTAAAGAAGGCTGGAGCAACTGACATTTTAGTCTTTGAAATTAACAATTGTCGTGTGTAATAATAGATTATAGAATTAGGAAATAATGAATATGTAGAAATTGAAGATGATCTTAAATTGGTTGTATTACTTTTTAAAAAAATATATATTGGTGTATATTGAAAAAGGGAAATAGCAAATATTTAGTGATATCATGTGGAGCATTAATCTGTGGTGGGTAGTTAGACCACTTAATATGCAAATGTGCATCACAATTGATAAGACATCGAGAAGCACGTGACAAGAGAGGTAGGTATGTAGGGCACAAAACTGTATAATCGAGTCATTCGAATTCAAAGAAGAATCTTTAAGTACGAAAATAATGGACTATTACCATTGACACTTTATTCTTCCCTTCCAAACTACCGGACGCAGAATTTGGAAGGTAAATTATTTGAACTGAATTCCCAGACAAAATAAATAAATACTTTCTAACTCGTATTAAGAAAGTACTTGTTGTAAGCGGGTTTGGACAGTTTATCCTTCGATAGTTTGAATACTCATATCTTTGCTTCAAAACCATCGCGATGGATCGACTATAAGAGTCAAATTAACTGAGTGTACATTCTAGTCTCACAAACACCCAAACTATGTATTATATGAACGTGTTTAGCTAGTTATAATTTTATGCTTCTCAAAGCTCGTATTCTGGTGGAGAATCTGGTGGTGTGTGAGTGTTATCGGATAATAATACAGAATCCCCGTTTGATACTTCTCGTTCAAATTCTTTCACTTTTTCAAGGTATTCCCTCAATTGCTTAAGATACTCTTGCATTTGTATTTTGTTTTTTTCCATCTGTCTTTCGTTGTGATTGTGTTGTCTGCAAGTATCTCTCAGTTGTTCAATATTATATCTCATCTGAATATGGTTATCTATCCATTGTATTTGATTGTCTAACCTTTGTCTATCGATGACATCTTGTCTGGTGCTTTTTGTACTAGCTCGTTCGTTAGAGTCGATGTGGTTGTTAGAACTATTGGAGTTGTTAGACATTGTTTGGCTTTCTGCAGTTTATATTTCTATTTACTTCTGAGATAAAGTCGAAGTTAAAAGGTTGTATTTTTTTGTGTGTTTATATCCATCGTTTAGCTGAACTGTTATGCACTATAATTTCCTGCTTTAGTTAGTTGTACCTTCCTCTTAAAAATGGGAAGTTCGAGGTACAAATATGTTTGATATTTTGTAAAACTACCGTAATTATGCTTTCACGTGACTTTGCAGCCAAAAGTCACAATGATTTAATCACACCCATTCACTTGAAAGTGTTTCTTTATATTGTTGAAAAAATATGAGAATTACAAACAGAAAAATATCTGTTCTTGCGTCTGTTCTATAGTAGACATGAGAATAATAATTCGTTGATTTACATTCATAGTACTCTATTTGTGCCATATACTATTGTTATTATCCTACTAGTGGAATATTGGTAGATTGTCGATTCCAATATGTAAACATCAATGAGTCTGTGGACCCGACAATGGTTTTCAATGTATTGTCAAGATATAATATGTGGTTCTGTCCACCGTTTTCAAGTGTCTCTTTTTACTAAGCTGTTTTGGTTTGGTTTGGGGATACTCTTCATCTATCCTTCTCAAATAATACTCCATTTGAATATTGAATTTTTAACTCTCATATTTCCCTGTGAGATTCCTTCAATTGCCATTGGTTTCCACCCATTGCAAATAATTTTCTAGTTTTTGTTTGATGCTAACTCGTGAGATGTCACACAGTCTTAAAAATTCTTTCATTTGATTTAGGGAAGTTTTCTAATAGCGCTTCATGAGATATGAGTCAATTTTCCTATGGAGGATTGCTCATCTTAATCATTTTTTCAATTTAGTTGTAGAGTTGCAATTCAAATCAGTTATATGACTAAAAGAACTGCAGAATGTTTGTATGAACAATGAAAGTGAAAGAAACAATTAACACTGCCCCCTTTGGTACCTCTAGGAGCAAATACATGATTCAAAACTTTCCTGTTGCAATCAACACAAATACTTAATGACAGTGACTACAACTTTCGCCGTGTGGATATGCAATTTGAGTTGAAATTACTGATTGAATAGTTCTAAAGTAGATCTCTTGAGTAACTTAGAAGAGATTTCTGAATAAATTACCCTAATACATCTTGTCCACTCCGCTAGACGCAGCGTGTGAATTTTATCAAACTGATAGCACCCTTACAGTATTGATTATTATCATTATTTTCTGTTCCAAGATAAATTCTGGTACTTTATCTCACAGATCTATAATGGAGTAAACTATGTTATATCGTTTGCTAACGTTAGATATTTGGGGACCTCGTCTATGTTATAATGTAATTTGCGACAGTCGATCGTCCCGTAATTGTTAAAAGACTGATTTATATGAAATGTAAAACACTGTTTAAGTAGTTACCAATTCGTTTGCCATATACAAGTATTTTTCATACCAAAAGTTTATAGTTAGATTCACTTTACCTACTTAAAAACACAAGTATTCTACTATATTTATTAAAAAATGCAAATATTCTATAAAGGCTCGAAGAAGAGGCTAGTACCATGCGAAATTAAACTGGTAGCCTATGAAAAAGAGTGAGTTTAAAATTAAATTTCAAGAAAGACGTCATTTAAATGAAAAAGTATGTAAACACTGAAACAAAGATTAGAAGAATGGATGAGTTAATCGTTGTAGAGCCACCGGTGATGATGACGGGAGTATATGTAGCGTGGACGGAATTAGATGGACTACTAGTGGTTATCGAGGTTGCAGTCGTATGGAATACTGAAGTTGACAAAGAGACTAACTCAATTTCCATGGAAGCTTGCGCAGTGGTACTTTCAGGCTCTAAGGATCTACTTTTGGAAATGCCATCTAAGAAACTTGGAACCAGTTTAGTGGCCAGACCAAGCACTTGACTGGTCCCTGACAGGGGGGCATGTGTAGTAGAAACGCTTACAGTATTATCCGCTGTAACAGTTTCCAAATATTGACCTGTCGTAACGGGTATATCGGTACATTGACCAGCAGAGCAAGATGTAACCGTCACTACTTTAGATACTGTAGATGTCATTTCTGGAAATGAAGTGCATCCAACACAGTCACCTCCACCAAACGACTTCCCCGAACCCGTCTCTTGTGTAATAATTTTACTACCATCCATCGTAGTTGAGGTACTATAGGTCAATGATTTCGTCATCAATTATGAAATTGGTGTTTCACCGCCTACAGCACCAGATATTACAGTTGTGCTAGCAGTAATCATGGAAGGCTCCATCACACTAGTTGAAATACCAACAACGGAGCTAAGAGAAGAAACAGCAGTTGATGGTGTAGACAACTCCATCGTTTTACCATGTGAGTACGACGAATTAGACCATGAGAATGAGAAACCTGGAACAGAGTGCGACAAGGAGCTTGATAGAGAGGAGCTTGTAAATGGGGTGAAAACTTCAACAGTAGTGGTACCGCCAGAATTGGATGGAATGACAGTGCTGTAAGAAGTGGTAGTTCCGGTCCATGGGGTAGTGACAGTGGTCAAGTGTGGTGGAGTGTAGACTTCTACAGTGGTGGTTCCATCGGAGTTGGATGGAATGACAGTGCTGTAAGAAGTGGTAGTTCCAGTCCATGGGGTGGTGACAGTGGTCAAGTGTGGTGGAGTGTAGACTTCAACAGTGGTGGTTCCATCGGAGTTGGATGGAATGACAGTGCTGTAAGAAGTGGTAGTTCCAGTCCATGGGGTGGTGACAGTGGTCAAGTGTGGTGGAGTGTAGACTTCTACAGTGGTGGTTCCATCGGAGTTCGATGGAGTGACAGTGCTGTAAGAAGTGGTAGTTCCAGTCCATGGGGTGGTGACAGTAGTCAAGTGTGGTGGAGTGTAGACCTCAACAGTGGTAGTACCATCGGAGTTCGATGGAGTGATAGTGCTGTAAGAAGTGGTAGTTCCAGTCCATGGGGTGGTGACAGTGGTCAAGTGTGGTGGAGTGTAGACTTCTACAGTGGTGGTTCCATCGGAGTTAGATGGAGTGACAGTGCTGTAGGAAGTACTAGTTCCGGTCCATGGAGTGGTGACAGTAGTCAAGTGTGGTGGAGTGAATACTTCTACAGTCCCGGTTCCTCCTGGCGTACCGGGAAATGTTTTTGTTCTAATTTCGTTATCACTTCCTGTCAATGTAGTTGTAATTGTTGGTATTGGGAGATCAATTTCGATTGTTTTCGTGTAATCAACATCTGAAGTATATGGTAATGTTGTAACTTCGGTGACACTTCCGGTCCAAGTCTTTGTAACTAACTGGATTACTTGTCCAGCTCCTCCAACAGGTCCAACTTTGACAGGACCCCAATTAACTGAAGCATCACTATTGGTTTCTGTTTGGGAATCCCCACAGAAATACGTATTTGTGTATGATACTGTTCCACTATTTGCTGGTTCTTTGATAAATAAATCCATGAAGACTCTATAACCAGCAGGGATGTTGTTATATGTGACAACATATGAGCTGTCTTGACACAGACCCGATACAGTATATGGTTGGTATGATTTTGGATAAAACCAGTCATTCACATCGTTCGTTATTCCTACGTATGCTTGTGTACAGTCGATGGTATTGGCACTGAAAGTTAATCCAAATGTACCGCTTCTCATTCCGTCATTTCCACAACTTCCAGAAAGTACGTAGTGTCTCATTCTCTGTAAAGGTGGATCAGACTTCGATGAATATACAAGTTGGTTCGTTGGCAATTGATCTGAAGTGGAATAGGTAGAGCGACCAGCATCAAAGTTGACAGTCGTGGATAATTGTTTATATCCATCTGTCCAAACCACTGAGTTAGTACCTGCAACAAATTGATTAGCAGCTTCTATATCGTTTGGTGCATGCCCCCATCCATTTTGGAAGACAAAGGGAACTGAAAGATACCCTGATGCCTGGCTTGAACTTGATACTGCGTCGGAGATTACACATTCGAGCTCAGAGTAGTTGACTAGGACACCCCCGGGAGAATATGTACATGTTGCATATGCTACATTATTTACATTCAAATTGACAGTCGAAGTAGCAGCAGTAAATTTATAGACGTAAGGCATGTGTAAAGTAAATGTGTCTCCTGCACTCATAGTCGAGCCGTCTATGAACCATGAAATTGAAGCAATCCACAGTGGTGATGTTGGAATGTTGTCAGGATATCCACCGGGATTTTGGAAAGTAATAGAATCTAAAGAGGTAAAGACTCCAGCTATCTGTTTTGCGTAAATAGTGTTAGCTAGTATTAGCCAGAATATACCAAGCCACAAATTCATGATGATCCAGTTATTTAAATTTGCTAGTATGATAAATTCTTCAAAAACAGAACATAATGTGGCGGAAGAGTGCCATATTTATGCTAATGTTGAATTGGAGTATATATGGGCTAGTATATGGCTCTTTTGTTAGAATGAACTGTTTCTATTTTGGGACCCTACTATCAAGAAAGTTCTCCATGGAGTTGAGAGACTTCTGTCAGATTATATCGCCGAATATTGAAATTATAACTCATGCTTTCAGGTTGGAACTTGAGGTAGCTCCACGATTTATCGACTCTTTTTCTTACATCTAGTGGTACTATATTGCTCACATGTCAGAGATGCGAGAGTGCAGCATGTAATATACAGGATTGACGTGCCTTTCTCATCAGCATTCGGGCTTCTACGAAAAGTATTCGAAGATTATTTTTGCCCAAGGTAGAATTGAAGAAGCGGCAAAAATTAAATAATTATTAAAGACTGGGTTTCTCTATGAGGGTAAATATACCCAGGACTGAAGGCCCTTGAATAATTAATTTACCGAGTAGTCACAAGCACCACAATATTTACATAGAAGCTAACTCAAAACAATTTGATACGGCTTCACGGCATCGTAATTAATTTCGATGAAGTGGGAATGTATGCACATATCAATGCAAGTGAACTAATATTTTAATAATTATTAGAGAGTTATCGGGGATTCGAGGACATTCAACACGGGCATTGAATGTTGAGTTCGATGTGTTTGTGGTGCATATGCACGATGAACTTACATACACGAGTACACTTCTTGGTAGGCTCTGAATTCTTCGAGAATACATGCAAGTCTATGTGAAGCTCGTGCATACACGTGTGTGAGGGTAAATAAGATTACGACTCTAGTCCTATCGCTAACATTTGTACAACCTTACTAAATCACATAAGAACCCTTTCCTTTCACAAATATCCGTCTATAGATCAGCTCTAATACTCACACGATTTATATATATAGCTATTAGAAATATACATGCGCAATCATTAGTGGAGTATGTTCACTCGATGAAGTTGAATTCCACAGCATGATAAACATCGCTGAAAAAATAAACGAAGATATGCACCTCTGAAACGAAAAAAATTACGGAGGAAAAATTTAGCGACTCTTTTAAAAAAAACTTACTACATGAAAATATCCAAGTGAACCTGGTAAAGCAAAATTGAATATAAAAAACAAAGAAACACAAGTTTTGGAAGATATGCATTCTAGGAAGAGCATCAACAATATCCTTCTGATATATCAGTATATCTCGTAATCTCAATCATCATTTTGCTAGTGTGAGGTTATAAACTATTGAACAGACGTTTTGCAAAATAAATCTCACTAAATTAGAATCTAACATGTACATGCATGAACAGAAAATAAAACTTTTTGTGTACAAATTCCGGGAGATTTATCTACTTATTCGTTCCGTTCCGTTTCCCTCTGGCCCAGGTAAACAAAAATAGGAAATGAATGTCCAAAACTGATATGAAAAATAAGTTTTTATGATTTCGACATTTCACACTTGTGGGGAAAAGTATAATTTACAACGAGGATTATCTTGACCACTATATACACATTATTAGTTACAACGGTACCCCAACCTTCTATTGAAATATGACTCTTGTTCCTGTCTAATTGAGCTACTCCTATCCAATAAAAAGAAATATTATCCTATGCAATGTACACTACATATTCAATTGTACATGACGTATGCAAGGTATCTGTGCAACATGGCAATATGGATCCGACGGGCCGTACACGCCGAAGTTTAGGCCGATGGGATGCATTAAGTGAAGGATTGCATACACTTGTCAAACGATGTAAGAAGGTGGAAGATATCATTATCAATTTTAAAATGTTTCCTTCAGAGATGAAATAGCAACTAGAGAACAGAGTTTAAAAGTGCTACTGTAGCTATTTCTATTTTTTTTTTTTTATCTTGAATAGAAAATTAGTGAACCGTTCAAAAGATTACTAAAAGATTACTCCCTTTAGAGTAATATTAAGAGATAACTCCATGGAAGAAATCGGTGTCAGTTTTCCAAGTTTCATATTTTGTTCAAGCCATTTCACCGGAATGCCGGAGTTGAGGTAAATCCCGACGTTTGTGCAGGATTTCTTCCCTTCGGTTATTCTTGCATGATTTAACATTTGGAATCTCGGATGAATTGTATCTTGCTTTATGTAACTAAGGAATCCCATTCTGATTGTAATTTAGAAAGATCAATTTGTGGGGGGAAAAAGCTTTGTTTTGATTTACATAGTTGGAATGTACTAAGAACGAAATTCATAAAAGTGTCCCCTTTCTTTTCAATGTAGATAAAATCTTGCGAAATATATATTTTATACCATGGATATAAAAGTTTGTAATGGATAAGTAGGCACTCTTATATTGAACGGATACACGGGTACTCAAATGCAACTTGACTTTGAATTTTTTACTTCGAGTATTTTATTAAGATAAGAATGCATGAAAGGTTCGAAGTATTTTCTTAAACAAAAGCGAAAATTAAATATCTTCTTGGTTTACTTTCCAACTAGTAAATTCCACATACGTACCTACCAGAAATTAGAGAGCCAGAATTGAAAGCTTAGAGCTTGTGTACAATTACTTTACTAGGTTAGCTTGATTTCAATAAGGTTCAAGTACGAAGAATCCCCCACAACAAATATGAAATCTACAAACCTTGCTCCTCTTATGTGAATATTATATGGGGGGCCGTTAGGAGTTAGTGAGATAGGTCTATGAATGTTTTGTGTATTTGTATCTACTATAAGGCTCCGATTAGTATACCAACGTACCTTTTGTTTTCTCGTTCTCGTCTCATACAATTTTTCATTTTCCCAAAACTTTCGACAATATTATAGTAGTTGTTAATTCTTTACATAAAATAGTTTTCTTCTTATATGTGCTTTTTTGTATCAAGGTGGGAGTGCAGCTTATTGGTCAATCATGAAAGATGGAGACTCGACCACTGGGTCCATTCTCCGTCGTCCATTATAATATTTTTTTTTTCAATGTAAAGTATGATAAATCCAATATAATACACAAATTGAGTAACGGAAAGTTTTATCGACAAGTCTTTTTTTTTTTCAGCTGTAAAGTAGATATATCCAACTTAACTAATAAAATTTGGAAAGGGTTAATATATCATTAAAAATTATATATAGAGAGACTTATAAACTCATTCTTACTCTATTTATTCTTTGTATATTTATTCACTCTATTTTAACTTTTTGCAGCCACAAACTCCCGACCTGCATACACCTCTTCTTTTGTGAGCTCTGTTTTTGTGTAATTTCCTCCCTGCAGTACCGATTCCGAATGGGATTGCCACTCGATATGTCTAAACTTTACAATTCATAATTAAAATGCAAAGATCAAAATTGTTGATACAGATAATAATCCATCTTATATAACATACAATAATATAGCAAATATGTCCAGAGAAGACCCTCTTAAGGCTGAAAAGGATTTTTCAGCCACCTTGGATGAACAATTCCCAATCATTGAAGCATTGGACGATTACAAGCAAGCCATAGAAAAGTATTTAGTCTTGGAAAAGCAAACCAGACAATCATCAGATTTAGAATCGTCTAAAAGAGTATTGATCAAGATTGTTGATACATTGAGTCAACATGAAGACTGGGAGTTTCTCAATGATTTGATTTCCTTACTTTCCAAAAAACATGGACAACTTAAATCATCAATTCAAACTCTTATTCAACAAGTGATTTCCAAGTTTAACTTGTTAAATGACGATAATAAGAAAGATCTTGATTGGAAAATTAAACTTATTGAAACCATCCGTACTGTTTCTGATAAAAAAATCTTTGTTGAAGTTGAAATGGCCACTGTTTCCAAGATTTTGTCGGAAATTTATCTTAGTAAATTCAACGATTTGAACAAGGCTACCGAGATCTTGTGTGATTTACAAGTGGAAACATATTCTTTGATGCCCTTCAGTGACAAAATTGAATACATTTTGGAACAAATTAGACTCACCTTACAAAAGGGTGACTACAATCAAGCCAAGATCTTGAGTCGTAAAATCTTATTGAAGACTTTAAAGAATTTTGAAAAAGCTGAATTATATAAATCAATGTTTTTAAAGTATTTGATTGAGATTGACGTATTTGAAAAGAATTATCTTTCCATTGTCAAGAATTCTTTACTTCTCATTGAATTGGATGTCACCAAAAACGATCAACGTTCATACATAGAACTCTTAACATCCGTGGTGTATTACATTGTATTGTCTCCATTTGATAATTTACAAAATGATTTGATTTACAAGATTAAATCAAACCCAATTTTCATCAAAAACATTGATAGTAAAGTTTTTAAATTATTGGAAATTTTCACCACTAATGAATTAATTAATTCTTCAAACATTGAAAACTTATATAAACAAGATTACTTTGATAAGGTTTCAATTTTTAAAGATAACAAGGTGAACTATAAGAACTTACAAACAAGAATCATTGAACATAACTTACGAATCATAAACAAATATTATCAATGCATTAAGATTGAAAGATTGGCGTATCTTTTACAATTGTCAGTAAGTGAACTGGAAATCCATGTGTCTGAACTTGTGAACAAGGGGATGATTAGCGCCAAAATTAATAGACCTCAAGGAATCATTCAATTTGAAAACTTTGAACAGAATAATAGTAGTAATGGATCCAATCAAAATGTCAATGAGTTGTTGAACAGCTGGTGTTATGACGTTGATAAGTTATTGGAAGAAATCGATGTAATTGGTCATTTGATCAACAAGGAAGAAATGATGATTGGAATTAAGAGTAAATAAGATTAGATGAATAAAACATAAAGATAAAGAAGAGAATAATAAAGTAGATAAATGAAGATGAAATAAAAGTAAGGGTGAGTTTTGAATTTGGAGTGGGTAAGTACTTAGTGTTTGAATTGTTTACATTCAGCACTGTTGTAATATTGGAGATTGATATCCCCTACAGGATAGTCTTTCCATGGTGTGGGTGAACATTTATCTCTTAAGTACTAGACAAAGTTATCATATTGAGAATGAATTCCTTGCATCTTCACCTACTTAGCTATCTACACATTATTATATCTCGACCCTTTATTTTATTATCATTTATGTATAGTTTATCTTAATTATATAATGCAAAGACCAGAAACAACAACACTCATGGCCAATGATCCGAAAATTCCTAAGGATGCTGGTTGCAAAGCGTAAGAACCGGATTTCTTAGAAGTGGAAGTCGAACTGGAATCAGAACCAGAGCTTGAACTGGAGCTTGAGCTGGAACTGCCCGAAGAACCAGAGCCACTGCTGCCTGGAAGATCTCCATCGCTACCAGATGGGTCATCGTTACCCTTGGCAATACAGGCCCATTGAGTAGAAGCATCAAACCCATTACCCTTTGGAGTGGAATCACCAGTAAGATACTTGAGAGCACCCTTTGGAGTGTCTGGAAGTGTAGAGGTGGCATTCCATTTGTCAGTCTGTGGTGGACATTCGGAAAAGTCCAAAGAAGATTGATAAGCACCGTCACCGGTTGGGTTTGGAGTCTTTTTGAATTCAGCCTTAAGGTTATCATAGTCAGAGTTGGTGGTTACAGAATCACCATTAATTTTAACTAAACCATACTTGTTTGCTTCCTCGGAATATTCGTAAACAAGACCTCCTGAGAATACACTGGACATTTTGGTAGAATAAATAGATTCAACTTCGGTAAATGGTCTTGGAGTGATTTTATTACATCCATATTCTGACAAAAACAATGGAATAGAGTAATTTGAGTAAGCTTCAACCTTTTGATCATAACCAGAAGTGGTAAATGAAGATTTTCCACACCATGAATAATCATTGAAACCAAACATATCAGATCTTGCCATTTCATCATCTCCACAATTGAAGAAATGAGCAGTTTCAAGACGATTTTCTTCAACATCTGCAGCAGAATAACCAACTGGAATAGATCTTAATTTCTTATTTTTGATATAATGTTTCATGTCTCTGACAACTGCCTTCACATAAGTGGCAGCAGAAGTGGTGGTTTCATCATTAATAACTTCATTACCTGCGAAAAACCCTAAAGTGTTGTCATATTTGGCCATGGCTGATACAGTTGCAAACACTTCTTCAAGATACATAGTGTTGTATGAACATTTGGCATCAGATCTGGAAATAGAAGCATTTGGAATATTAACATCCAAAATGACGTAAATGCCAGCATCTGCCAATTCCTTCATACATTCATCATGATCTGCTGTATTGTCAACAGAATAAACTCTGATGGTATTGATTCCAAGATCCTTGAATTTTTCAATGTCTCTCTTACAGGTTTTAGTATTAGCCAAAGGATCAATAAGTTTCGATGATCCACCTGGTTGATAATCAACCCCTCTAATGTAAAATCTTTGGTTTGAATCCTTGACAAAGAAGGCATTTCCCTTGGTTTCAATTGGTGAAATGGCGGTTGCAACTGCAACAAGACTGAGCAATGGTAACAAAAGCATGTTTATGATGATACCTACAAATTAAAAGAAGAATTAACGAAAGACAATGAAAAGTAAAAAGAGATTAAAAGACATTCAATCGCAAAAAAAAACAAGAGATTTTATAGATCATATATATATATGTACACAAGAAATAATTTTATTGAATGATCTAGTAAAAATAGTAACTTGTGAAGATCACATATCTCGTCTCGTACTACCGCGTTCAGATTGTTTTTTTTTTTTTACTAATGCTTCATCAAATTGTAAACATAAACATAGTAAATCTAAGAAAAATTCCTTCGTGTTGCTGCGGACAAACACCCATTATTCAATAAAATTTGGCACTTGCTATATAATGACGGCAACTAAATGTCTTGGGTGTGGGGCTTTTGGTTGCGAGCCATCATGCCAAGCGGCTTGGCTCAAAATCTCGGCTCCGAATTAGGAAGCTGCGTTGCAGAAGTCTCAGTACAGGAATGGTTCTAGGCAGGATCGATCTGTAGTTGAAGGTTGTTAACGTGGTAAAAAGGTGGCTGTGTAGTTGAAGTCCATGGGGTAATTTAAGTGATATTTGCAGCCACCGGAATTATCTTCTGAAAAGTCTTAGTATTAAATTGAACAGAATGAATCAAGAAAAATAAGGGTTGACTGACACCATGTGTGTATTAAGAAATAATGTTAAGGTGACGGATAACCGTTAGAGTGGATTAATGAAACCATTACCATTTGACTATTACCATGATTATACTTTGGTAGTAGTTCGATATTGGTATGATATTCTCTACTTCTTTATATTCATTGTAAAAATTCATTGTAAAAGGCAAAACAATGGAAAGTGGTAGTCAAAAAAAAAAGCAAATCGAATAACTTTATTGAAGCATTTTTGTGCTTTAATGTAGTAACAAAGTAGAGTAATAACATTCTATAGCTTGGCTTTCCATTACAACGAATAATCTCAAGTCAAATGCACTCAATAATTCGCTTTCCAATATCATCAAAGATTTCTTATTTATTTCAACTTTGAAATTAATGCTCATATCTTATTTTTACAACAAATTTATCAAATTTTGTACGAAATTAAGAGTTCTCAAAGAACATTATTAATTTCTTGGCTTTAACATTGATCCGTTTCTTATCAAAGGCTATAACTAATCGTGCAGAGATTTAGAAAGCGTAGGAGTTTTTTAATCAAGACTTTCTAGGAGTTTTCATCTAGGAGTTTCACATCTCTATGGTAAATAAGATTTAAACACACAAAAATTATTAAACTTTATCAAACACTCTACACCACCAATAAATAGGTAATTATAACCCTTTTTAAACCTCTACATCATCACTACAAACTACCCGGAAACTCTACATTCAAATCCGTTACTCATTATTCAACGACCATTTATGAATGAGCTGTTGTCTTCAATTTTGTGTTTGCTTTGAGTTTCGCACTCGCTGGTAAATCGATTCAAAACACTAAACGTAGTACTTTAGAATCACTGACATATTGCGAATAAAATCACTAGAAAAAAAAAACACCAGTATCCCCATACTTTTCACTTCTATAGCTCTAGCATGGCGTCCCAGATTCACTTTCTAGACATCAAGGGGAAGTCCTTACTTTCCCGTGACTACAAGGGAGACATCCCATCCGGAACCATTGACAAATTCCCGTTACTTCTTTTAGAAAATGAAGATAATGACGAAGCCAACTACAAGCCATTCATATATTCCCAAGGAATCAATTACATATATATAGCCCACAACAACCTCTACCTCTGTGCATTGACACGCAAGAACGAAAATGTCATGGCCATCATTATTTTCTTGTCCAAGTTGATCGAAGTGTTGACTCAATATTTCAAATCTTTAGAAGAAGAATCAATTCGTGATAATTTTGTTATTATTTATGAACTTTTAGATGAAATGATGGATTATGGATGTCCACAGACCACCGATACCAAGATTTTGAAACAATATATCACCCAGGATTACTACAAGTTGATTAGATCATCATCTCTGAGACAAATCCAACCTCCAAATGCAGTGACCAATGCTGTTTCATGGAGAAATGATGGAATCACCTACAAAAAGAATGAGGCATTCCTTGATGTGATTGAATCTATCAACATGCTCATCAATGCCAACGGACAGGTTCTTAACAGTGAAATCTTGGGTGCTATTAAGATCAAATCACATTTGTCAGGAATGCCAGATTTACGATTAGGATTGAATGATAAAAACATTTTCAATATTAATAGTAATAGCGATGTTGACGCTGCTCCAGCCAACTCCAAGGGTATAGAGATGGAAGACATCAAGTTCCATCAATGTGTGAGGTTATCCAAGTTTGAAAACGAACGTATTATTACTTTTATCCCCCCAGATGGAGAGTTTACTTTGATGTCATATAGATTATCATCTACTCAATTTTTGGTTAAACCATTGATTTTGGTTAATTGTAAAACCAAGATCCATAAACATTCAAGAATAGAGATCTTGTGTTCTGTTAAGGCTCAAATTAAAAAGAAATCCACTGCCAATAATGTTGAAGTTGTGATTCCAATTCCAGAAGATGCCGATACTCCTAAATTCACTCCTGAGTACGGAACTGTGAAATGGTATCCAGAAAGATCTGAAGTGGTATGGAAGTTGAAGACGTTCCCTGGTGGGAAGCAATTCCATATGAAGGCTGAGCTAGGCTTGCCTGCAGTGAATGATCCTGAAGAATTATTATCAAAGAAACCAATCAAGGTGAATTTCAACATTCCTTATTTCACCACCAGTGGTATCCAGGTTAGATACTTGCGTATTAATGAACCAAAGTTACAATATCAATCTTATCCATGGGTCAGATACATTACTCAATCTGGTGAGGATTACACAGTTAGAACAAAGTAATAGATGAAGAATAGATGAAGAATATATGGAAAGGAAAACGACTAGTAGATATAGTAGATTTAGTAGGTTTTGTTTATTTGGAATTTTGGACGGTTTAGTAGTAAAAGAAATTATTTGTAGTGCGATATGATTTTTCATTATATGGATTGAGAAATTGAATTCAAACGACATAGGAGGTCATAGGAATATACACTCTTTATGGCTATCTTAGACGAACATCTTCGGGACACGGTACACTACACAATCGAACTGTATGTCAGTCAATCCAAGTCCAAACAATTAAAGCATTTGATCCCTTCTAATGAAAAGAGAATTGTTTCATTGATTAAGAAGGATAAATCATACCAACAAGAACTTAGAGACACCCTTTCCAAGCGGGACTATTATGTCAACAAATTAAACAAGTCATTGAATGCATTAGTAGAGAGTAACAGGAATACTCCTATTGAGGATGAGGAGGCAAAAACAGAAAACACTAGACCTAAACTGAATGTTGAATCTGAACTCGATTCCAGATTCATCAGTAATCGATACCATGCAGAGAAGTATATTCAAAACTTGGATGATACATCAAGAGAAAAGCTAAGACAAGTAGTCAGAAAGCATTATATGTTCCAGAGACATTATGAGAATAAGAGAAAGGCAATGATCAAGGATCCGAGCTTTAATGATGCTGAACTAGATAAGAAGCTTGATGAGTTAACCCTCGAAATTGCAAATAAACAACAAGCACTTCATCAAGAGAGTATTAAATTGTTAGAGGAGCTTAAAATACCGTTTTTCGTATTAGAAAAGGGCTGGGAGTATCCTGAATTAGATACCGATAAAATATATATTCTACAATACTTACAAAGATTGACTGAATAGGCAAGGAGAGAAAGAGATGAAAATAATTAACCAAGTCAGTTAGTACTAGGTTCAAATTTTGTCAAGGATTCAGAAATGTTTCATGGACTTTATGGACTTCATACGTTACTCATGGAAGTACAGAGTTTCAAACTCCAAGACATCTCTTACGAAAGGGAGCAATCATTTAACTTACACTGGGTTTACTCCCCCAGCGTCAGGTGTACAATGGATATCTACATTGGATTTGGTGATGAGGTCCTTTCTTAGGACATTCATTTATAAAATGATATAAAAAATGCACAGAGTATATATATATAAAAAGCTGTAGGATGTACTATGAATTGAAGTATTAGATGTCATTCAAAGACTAGTTCTAAGACAATCTAGTATATGGTTCTATTGCTTAATCGGAATCAGTGACACAACCAGTGGAAGCATCGCTGACCAACTTGGCGTACTTGGCCAAAGTACCTCTAGTGTACCTTGGAGCTGGGGCAACCCAAGACTTCTTTCTTTCAGCAAGTTCTTCTTCGGAAACCAACAAGTCAATCTTGTTGTTTTCAGCATCGATGACAATGACATCACCGTCATGAACCAAGGCGATTGGACCACCTTCAGCGGCTTCTGGGACAATGTGACCAATCAAGAAACCATGGGAGCCACCAGAGAATCTACCGTCAGTCAACAAAGCGACATCCTTACCCAAACCGTAACCCATCAAGGCAGAGGATGGCTTCAACATTTCAGGCATACCTGGACCACCCTTTGGACCTTCATATCTGATGACACAGACAGTCTTTTCACCCTTTTTGATTTCACCATTTTCCAAGGCAACAATGAAGGCTTGTTCGTCATCGAAAACTCTAGCACTACCCTTGAAGTAAGTACCTTCCTTACCAGTGATCTTACCAACAGCAGAACCTGGAGCCAAAGTACCCTTAAGAATTTGTAAATGACCGGTTGGCTTCAATGGGTTGCTCAATGGTCTAACAATGTCTTGTTCTTCTGGCAAGTCTGGGAGAGATTCCAAGTTTTCAGCAATGGTCTTACCGGTAACAGTAAGTTGAGAACCGTCAATAAGACCTTCTCTCAACAATAACTTCATGACAGCTGGAGTACCACCGAATCTTTGCAAATCGGCCATAACGTACTTACCAGAAGGTCTAAAGTCAGCAAGAAGTGGGGTAGAGTCAGAAATACGTTGGAAGTCATCAACAGTTAATTCAACGTCAACGGAGTGAGCAATGGCAATCATATGCAAGACAGCGTTGGTAGAACCACCAGTAGCAATGATATAAGTGATGGCGTTTTCAAAGGCCTTCTTGGTCATGATATCTCTTGGCTTAATGTCCAATTCCAACAAGTTCTTAATAGCTTCACCAACGTTGGCACATTCATCAGCCTTTTCTTGGGAAACAGCAGGTGCAGAGGAAGAGTATGGTAAAGACATACCAAGAACTTCAGCGGCGGAGGCCATGGTGTTGGCAGTGTACATACCACCACAGGCACCAGCACCTGGACAAGCGTGTTTAACGATGTCCAAACGTTGAGTTTCATCAATTTCCTTGGATAAGAATTGACCATAAGATTGGAAAGCAGAAATGATATCAATCTTTTCTGGAATGGCATCAGAAGAGCCACCACCACAGGAAGGAGCACCAGGCATGATGGTACCACCGTAAACCATGATGGAAGGTCTGTTGTGTCTACCCATGGCCATCAAGGTACCGGGCATGTTCTTATCACAAGATGGGATAGCAATGTTAGCATCGTACATTTGGGCCATGGTTAAGGTTTCAAAAGAGTCAGCAATAATTTCACGAGATTGTAAGGAGTAACGCATACCATCAGTACCGTTAGTAATACCATCCGAAACACCAATGGAGTTAAATTGCATACCCTTAAGACCAGCCTTGTTGACAGAAGCAGTACACTTTTCGTTGAAGTCCATCAAATGCATGTTACATGGGTTACCAGACCACCAGACAGAACCAACACCAACTTGGGCCTTGTCCATATCTTCTTCGGTGAATCCAGTGGCATAAAGCATGGCTTGAGAGGCACCTTGGGACTTTGGTTGAGTCACAATGGAAGAGTATTTGTTAAGTTTCTTAGCGGAAACAGGTGTAGTGGTAGCGAAGGAACGCGCACCACGTACACTGACACCGGCAGCAACGGTAGCAGCTCTAACACCAGTCAACTTCATTGTTTTACGTTAGTTAGATGTAGTTTTCAAACTTTGAAATTTCAATACTGATATTTTTTTTCAAATCACTTGACAGAGTGGTCCATGCTCACCAAAGATGAGGGCCGATTCCGCTCTGGCGCGCACCACCGGCGATTCAATGAGTCACGCGGACCAATAGTATTATATTATAAGGTAATCAGCAACCGACATCACGTGATGGAATGGAGTTTCATTGTTATATTAAAATTAATTCATAGTTGCAACATTAATGAGTTGGAGAACTTTGTTCCCTTTAATGGGGATAAGTATGGCCATGGAAAAGTTTGAAGTATACAACTCTTTTTATTTTCTTTCTTATGTTTTCTCTTTTTAAAATTTTCTTTTTAATTTTTTTTTGACATATTTCTCAGTTTTGCAACCAAGGAGGGGTAGACTTGGAAGTGTAGAGTTTGAGACTACTCACACTATGAGTTGATCTGAGAAGATAGTGAGTGGGTGGTGAAAAGAAAGCGTTTTGGCAAAACAAAAAAAAAAAGAATGATTTACGTCATGATCTAGAGTAAGTATGGTGCAGTGATGGTTGAGTAATTGGTAAATGAATAGAGTGCACGATTGGTAGTGCGTACTACTGGCTCAACAATCTTACGAAACTTTAACGCTTTCATTTATATTGTGGTCTGATAGTATCATTTTAGATTTGTGTTTCATATGGTTGTAAATCACTGGTTGTAAAGACATTTACAAGTACTCTCTAATAGTAAAACTTCCTATACAAATAATAGATAAACAATTACTACTCATGTCAATGGGACTTGAACCTATCAGACCATCATGCTACTATATCTCTTGGAAGAGTTTTTATGGTACCTTTTCATAATATATTTCAATTTCATCAAAAATCAGTTTTGTATGAGGAACATTGCCTCATTATATGTTCCCCCGCTTTTTCTTTTTTTATAGTCGCACCTAAACTTTAGATAAACTAGGTAGTGTGTATGAAACCGAGGCAATAGTAAAATATTGAGCATGACATAAAAACACAAATCTAAATAAAATCGATCATAAACAGCACACTACAAACAACTAACCATGGCTGACAGACGTTTAATCAAGGAGTACAAGCAGCTACTGAAAGAGACTAACCCACAGATTGTGTCGTTAGCACCAGACCTGGAGAACATCCTTCGATGGAATGCCATTATTGCTAAGCCTACCGTGCAAGATTCGGAGTATTACTTTAATGGACAATGGAATTTAAATATTGAGGTTCCCACCCTGTATCCGATTAATCCACCCAAGATTTCTTTTGATAAGACCACCCCTATAGCACACCCTAATATCGATATAACATCGGGGGAGATTTGTCTTGATATTTTAAAACTGGAAAGTTGGTCCCCCGCATGGAATATTCATTATTTAGTGGTTGCGATTTTGATGCTAATCGATGACCCAGAACCAGATTCACCGCTCAATATTGATATGGCCAATCTATATCGTCATGATCGAGTGGCATACAAGAGCATGTGTCAATATAACATATGGAAACATCATACTTTCTATGGAGATGATTACGATAAGAAGGATAGAAGTGGGGTGAAGAAGTATCAAGAAGAATCAACAGAGGAAAATACATTGGCAGAAGTTGATGAAATTTCGAAAATATCTGATCAAATTAACTCATTAGAAGTGGATGAATTCCACTTCACCATTGATCGGAATGAATCATTTGATGTAAAAGCCGTCCATGACATGGGAGCTCAAGTGACAGAACAATTCCTTGCCAAAGTGAATGAGGTCAACCACATCCCAGAAGCTTCTATGAATGATATGGACTCAGTGAAGAGACAAGTTGCATTGAATGTCAATAAGCAAGTGGAAGAAATTTGTCAACAATCAGGACACCAATCGAATTCAGGTTCGAAAACTCCAGTGCTGATCATTGCCTCTCAAGTGGAAGGAGATGAAGCGGTCCAAAAGGTGAAACAAGAGTTTCTTCGTCAAATTGATCAAAAGGTGGATGAAGTAAGAAGAGCACAAGCAGATTCAAACTCTAATCTGGATACCAATGGTTCTAATTCAACTCAAACTTCAAATGTAGAACATATGAAGTTACCGTCACCAGAATTTCAACCCACAAGTTCGAATTCATCTCTTGGTTCAACCAATGGGGCAACCACATCTACAAATGCATCCACCAATTCCAACTCATCTTCATTGAAAAAACTCAAAAGATCAATCTCAGGTAGAAAAAAGCTGGACAAGGAATCTTCAAGTTCTTCCAAGAAAAAATTCGCTTCTAGATTGAGAAACTCCTTGAAATGAGCTCTCCCTTCCCGCCCCTCTTCAAATTCCATCCTTTAATGAAATAATGTCCTCACCCACCCCCTTTCCTCTCATAGTCTACATAACTTTAATCAAAAAAATTCGTACTATAATAAAACCAACTAAATATACAAACGGACTATTACAATGGTTATATTTTCCACAAACAACTCCATGCCAAAATTGCTTAACGCAATCTTCTGGCTTCTCTTTCGGATTCCATCAAACACAAGATGTCACCTTCTCTAACTGGGCCCTTGACGTTTCTGACAATGGTTCTGGAAGAGTCTTCGACGAATTCGACTCTGACTTGGGTGACACCACCTCTGGAGCCGGTTCTACCTAAGACTTTGATGACTTTAGCTAAAGTAACTGGGGTTTTGGTGTCCATATTTGCTGTTATTATCTATTGATATGTTAAAAATTGAAACTAACGTTTTCTCTTTGAAAATTTTTGATCAACGAGAAATTTTTTTCAAAACGTTCGTGTGAGGGCCAAAAAAAAAAGAATCAAATTTAATTAAAAAAAATAAATAATTAAAATATAGAATGAGAAGAAAAATGAGAATTAGTGCCGCAATCACGTGAGCACCTACTTACAATTTATGTATAGAGAGACTATGAAGAGTAGTTGTAACTCTTTCAAATAATATTAGGAAAGTAATATCTTACACTTTATAAATAATTTGATGTGGTATTGATCTGGTTGAACTTTTATTTATTCTGATTATATAATATGCATTTTTTATTTGCCAATTGGTTATGGCTATGTAATTGAAATGAAGTAAGAGTGCTTGAGAAAGTGGAAAGAGTTTGGACATGGAAAGAGTCACAGATGTAAAGAGTCAAAATATATAGTCATGACAATGAAACTAGAATCTGTTAAATGTCTCTATTCTTCCTCATCTTCATCTTCATCATTACTTTCGTCTTGATCGCCACTTTCTTCATTACTATCGTCTTCTTCATTACTATCGTCTTCTTCGTTGCTATCATCTTCATCATCTTCTTCATCTTCTTCATCTCCATATCGTTTATATCCAGAAGCTCCGCTTCTAACCCCACGTACCAAATCAAAGCTACCACTACGTCTTTTATTCAGAGGACGGGAATGTTGTATAGACAGTCTTCTTTGAACATCATTTCCCCCCAACAATCGATTCTGTGTTGATGTTGGAATCACTCCATTTCCATGGCCATACCAATACATATTGAACCCCCAATTTATCATGATTTTACACATATCCCATGCTCTAAAGTCGGGCCAAAGTCGGTCAACAAACACAACTGCACACGTCAGAGGAACACATTGCCACAATAAGAAGTCCGATAGTCTGTAGGTTCCCAGAGTTCTTACTAAAATATCCAATGGAGGTGAATCTTTGGTATACAAATAATCATCGACTAATTGTTCTGTGATTTCCAATTGTGGAGTCTTGGTCGAATCCCCAACTATGTGCACCACTGCATTGGTCATTTCATCCCTCGATGTATATGGGAAACACACATTCAACACTGCTCGCTTATTATTGGCAGTCATGGTTTCTGTTTCCTTTAATATCTCTTGCACATCTTGTGGAAGTAATTTAGTGTTACCAAGGATCCTGATCCTAATCCCATATTGTTCACACAAGTCTCCGTGTTGACACAATTGTTGTAACTTCAGTTTAGCCAATTCCATAAGCCATTCTACTTCATACTTCAGTCTTTTGAAGTTTTCTATACTGAAGGCATACACGGTCACACATTCAACTCCAGATTCGTAGAGAAGTTCCAAGATGTTGGCCATGCTCTCAAAGCCCATGTTGTGGCCCTCTTTTAACTCGATCTTATGTGTCTTGGCATATCTTCTATTCCCATCCATAATAACTCCCACATGTCTTGGGGTTGGTCCGGTTCTTATAATCCGTCCAAACACTTTTTTTGCCGTGCTAAGCACTTGTGTGATCCCGGGGAAGGTCGACACCCATTCAGACATGCTTGCTATGTCTGTGTGCGTCTATATATATACAACTGATGCCAGCAATGTAGTATTTTTCAGAAATACTTTAAACAAAGTTTGTTACCTTTTGTGGCGCTTACGTATTACTAGTGTGAGGCATACCCACTCACTCTTTTCTGTCTCAGCATTTTTTTTTTTATTTTATGTATTTTTTTTTTCCAGCTATCATTTTTTTTTTCGCAATGTTCTGTTCTCCTCGGTATAACACTACCTAAAGATGTCTTAAATATTATAGTAGGTTATTACTTATATCAGAAGGTTTAAACAATAAAGTTCTGAAAAAACAAAAAACAAAAAAAAGAAATATTCAGTTCTTCCTTTATCATCAAGTAAAAAGGCTGTAAATCGTTCATTAGTCATTTATATCTCTCATCAATTGTGGAGAAAGTTCTAAAGAGCAAAACTCCCGTTAGTTCAACTTCAACGTCTCCTTCCCCTTCTAAAAAACAATAATCGACATTATTATCACCCCTCCTCCTTTGATATCTTCCATCACAAATATTATCTTTGAATAACACTCATTTACAATTGTTTCCAAATATCTGCAACTTCATCACGTGACACAAATCACCATTTCTTTTTTTTTTCTTCTTTATATAATATCTACTGCATGTAACCGCTTTTCAGTTCCTCCCTCATCTCATTACTAAGAAATATCTCCAACCAAATCAACTTTTTCAAATTTATTTTGCCACCAAACATCATCAATATATATCATGGCATCTAGAGAAGAAGAAGACCCTAGTTTGGTCCAAGAAGAAGACGAGTACCTCAACTTGAACGAGGTGGAAGAAGAAATCGCCGAGGACGACGGACCGGCTCCGGAAGAAGACGATGAAGTAGATGCTGAAGGTGATGTAGACATGGATATGGATGATGGTAATACTGACACCATCGAAATCGACATGTCCAACAACTCATGGACTTATTTCGACCAGCACAAGGATTCCATCTTCACTGTATTCAGCCATCCTCTGTTACCAATGGTTGTTTCTGGAGGTGGTGATAACACCGCCTTTTTGTGGACCACTCACACTCAACCTCCAAGATTTGTAGGTGAGATCCAAGGCCACAAGGAATCGGTCATCACCGGTGGATTCACCAGTGATGGTGCCTATGTCATCACCGGTGACATGAATGGTTACATTCAAGTACACAAGTCCACCAAAGGTGGCCAAAAATGGGTTAAATTTGCTGATTTAGAAGAAGTTGAAGAGATTTTATGGATCACTGTCCACCCATCCTTGCCATACTTTGCCTTTGGTGCCATTGACGGTTCCGTTTGGTGCTATCAAATCGACGCAGACTCAAAGCTGCTCGTTCAATTAATGTCTGGATTCCTGCACTCTTTGGAATGTAACAATGGTATTTTCGTTAACACCGATAAGGGTGAAGAAGAACTTTCATTGGTTACCATTTCTGAAGATGGTACCATTGTCAATTGGAACTGTTTCACTGGTGCAGTCAATTACAAGTTACTGCCACATGAAGATTTCAGAGGAGTTGAAAGTCCATGGGTTTCTGTTAAGGCATTGAACAATGTCATTGCTGTGGGTGCTCGTGACGGGCAATTGGCCATCATCAACAACGATAACGGTAAGCTCGTCCACATGGTGAAGACCTTGGACTCTGTAGAAGACGTTGCTGACATGTCAATCGAAGCATTGAGTTGGTGTACTGCTCCACTGATCAACTTGTTGGCAGTTGGTTTAGTTTCCGGTGACATTCTTTTGTTTGAAACACAACAATGGAGAGTTCGTAAGACCATCAAGGTTGAAGACACCATTACCAAGTTGGAATTCTTACCAGGTTCTCCAGTTTTGGTGGGGAGTAGCATGAATGGATGTATCTATAAATGGGATGCCAGAACTGGTGAAGAGCTCTTTGCTGGTGTTGGTCACAACATGGGTGTTTTGGATTTTGCCATCACCGAAAACGGACAAAAGTTGGTGACTGCTGGTGATGAAGGTGTATCATTGGTCTTCCACCATGCTTAGATAGAACAGGATTCATAGAAATGTACATTAAGATGGAGTAAATTAATATAGATGAATTGTAGAGATATGAATTAGATATATGGAGACCAAATAGTGGACTTCTATTAGTATGATAATTATTTGCAGCAGAGAGACCTCAAATAGAGAGTGATAATAAAAATCCTTACAGTGAGAGAAAAGGAGAGCAAAAAAACGCACAGGGCCAGAGAGAAAGTTTTCAGACCATTAAACCAACACTAAATAACCTCCCAAATGGGAGCCAAGGCAAAAAAACAAAGCAATACTACTATTTATTGATGTACTGATCTACCTTAACATAATACGCCTATATCTCATTTGTATGGATCGCACTGTATTCTTTTTTTTTAATTTGACGCGATTGTTCATACAAAAATAAAAAGACGCGATATAAATAAAACCAAGAGGTAAACCAAATTCTTCTCTACAACCCCACCAAATGACAACCGACGATATTGTAGACGTAGAGGTCGAAGCAGAAACACCAACCGCCACATTGGCGTCATTCTCCGAAGAGACAGACCCACTGAAGCTGTCGAAACCATCTTCTTCAGACATGCTTTTCTTCTATGAGAGACTTCTTCCCTTCAGATATGTTTTCCAATGGTTGAACCATTCACCAAGACCAACTAAAGACTTCACGATGCGTGAGTTTGCGTTCGAGTTCCGTTCTGGTGCGTACCAAAGATACAACTCGTTTGCCACCCAAGAAGAATTCAAAAAATCTGTCGTTAAGGCAAATCCAATGCGTTTTGAAGTTGGTGCTGTTTACACTGCAAACCCAAAGGAACGTAAAAATTTACCCAAACTGGCCTTGAAGCCAGTTACCAAGGAATTGGTGTTTGATATTGATTTGACCGATTATGACGACATTAGAACCTGTTGTAAGGGGACCCTGATCTGTACCAAATGTTGGAGATTCATTCAAGTGGCCACCAAGATCATGAACGCGTCTTTAAGAGAAGATTTTGGATTTCAACATTTGATTTGGGTTTTCTCCGGTAGAAGAGGTGCCCATTGCTGGGTCAGTGACAAACGTGCACGAAACTTGGATGAAATGGCACGTAAGGCCGTGGTGGAATATTTGGATGTCATTGGAGGTTCTAAAGGTCCAGCCCTGAAACGATTTAATGTTAAAAAGCCATATCATCCTCATGTGGAGAGATCTTTTAAAATACTTAAAGATGAATTTGCTGGGATAATATTGGAAGAACAAGATCCATGGAATACAGAAAATGGATCTACTACTAATTGGGATAAAGTGGATGAATTACTTTCATTTTTACCAGAAAAAGTCCTACAAGAACAACTTCGTAAACATTGGCAAGAGAAATCATTTTCAAATTCAATGGATAAATGGGAAGATATTAATGTATTTGCGAAAAAGACCCTTAAAAATCAACTTCAAGTAAGTCAATTAAACGATGCAAAGAAGGACATCATTATATATTACATGTATCCAAGATTAGATATGGAAGTTTCCAAGCAAATGATCCATTTGTTGAAATCTCCTTTCTGTATCCATCCTGGAACTGGTAATGTTTGTGTTCCATTTGATCCTACCACCAACTTTAGTGCAAACCATGACGATGATAGTTATGGGTTTAATCCAACAACATCACCAAACTTGAGACAACTTCAAAATGAATTACAGCTTTGGGAAACTAAAAGACTGGGCCGTGATTCACTGCCAGATGAAGATGAAGAAGTCTCAAGTAAAAAGATATCAGATTATGAAAAGACTTCATTAAAGCCATATGTTGAATATTTCGCCAAACATGTAAACGGAATAATACAGGAAGATTTGAAGGGCACTTCCGCCAAACGTGAGAGAGAAGAAGATACATTCGAGTTTTAATTTGGGTACGTGATAATGCAAGTATAAATAGAAGAATAAACATAATTCAAAGAAGAAAGTATTAGAAAACAAAAGTAAAAACCAAACTGTTCGTAGAGTATTTTTTTTTTTGAAACAAGGAGTTCCAATGTTTTATGATATTGGACAGCTGAGCTCACCAGCACAGGGGAACAATCCACGATCTTCATGGGAATCTTCCAACGAGCCACTATTGTTCTTGATTGTAAGTGTTTCCTCACCAGCAACCAATGATGCGGTTTCGGAGGACCCGTCATCGTGGTGCCATTCAATATATTCCAATCGTTCGTTGTATTTGACGTAACCAGACGTCACACACAAGTCACCTGAATCCAAATAAGGATAATGCCATTTGGGGACAAATATAATCGTTGGGGTTTCCTTTGATTCAACATCATCAAATGCAATGGTTAATGAAAATGTGACATTTTTCAAGTCAAATAAAGATGATTTAATCGATCCAGCAGAGGCAAGAAGGAATGGTCTAACCACCGCACTCACGGCACGGACTCCATCTGGTGATGGGTAGCATTTTTGGTTATGTCTGTATTGAACATTTGAAGGTTTACAAGAAATTAACGAGGATAATTGTAATGAAGTTTGATCAGAATCTTCCTCATCAGCTTTTGAATCATATGATTCTCCCAGCGAAGGCGTACTGGACTTTGTAGGCTCTCCACTTCTTACAGTAGATTTTACCTGTGCTTTCAACTTACTAAGCAGAACACCCTTTTTGTGAGATTGGGTCCATTGTACAGCCTCTTCATTTCGGTCTTCCGGAGACCAGAAAGAGAAATCTTCATTATTCCAACGATCTCCCCATTGGTGACAATTGTCACTATTGTAGCACCAATAGGTATGGTTCAATTGCAGTCCTTCCAAGGCATAACTCAATGCATCCAACGCTCCAGTTTGTGACGTGTATTTACCCGTTGTGTAGGCCTTTTTTTCATCCATATCATACGGCATTCCAGTTTCCGACATGAGGACAGGTACCCTGGATCCCAACATCTCACTACTTTCGCGTTTGATTTCCAAGAGTTGCTTGGTGAGACAGTTACGAATTGCCCGTTCTCCAAATACAATACCGAGGATTGGATTAAGGTATTTGCCACGCATAATTCCCAATGTATCGACGTTGTATTTAGTGTTCCATGTCTTGAACATAAGTGACATACCGTCATAATAATGTGGACAATAAATTGTACGATTGTCAATAACTTCACGAGGATCTCCCTTCAAATTAGGTGGGACTTCCAAAACTGGAGGTTGGATAAGTACAAATGCATTAGGGAGTACTTCACGTACAACTTGTTTATGTCTAAGATAGAAGTCAACAAAGTGATGGTTGACAAAGTAGTCCATAGTAACCCTGCCATCAGATGGAGGGTCCTTGAAATTTTGTTTCTGGTATACCTGGTTAAAGTAGTTGGGGAGAAGAAGCTCACAGTTTCGACTACTAACGAAAAGTCTCTCGTCAACTGTCAAATTTGGTAATTTTTCAAAATCAACTTGTTTAAAAGTCCAAATTTTTGCTTGAGCAAAGAGACATGTACCGATTTCCCAAGATTTGGAACGTTTCCATCCATACTTTGCATCGATCTCTGCCGCTTCTTCAACATTCATCCAAGCTCTGGCACCCTGGGGATCAACGACTTTGGATGCATACCGTTGTGGACCGGATATAGTAATTCTATACAGATCTACATCGCACGGTAACCCCATTCCAAGTCTGAAAGTCTGGTACACGGTAGGGGTGGTCCCCACTCTAAGCTGTTGAGCAGCTGGAATCCTACCCAAATGGTCATGTCCCACCAACCCACAGTTTGGTTCGTTCATCAGTTCGAATCCAAGAAGGGTTCCACTGGTGATCATTTCTGATGGGACTCCCTTCACAACACGTTCCCAACAATGTTTCATAGACAGATAGAATCTATCTTGCAAGTAATGTTGAATGTTTACGCCATTAATCTTGTATCGAGGGAAATAAGTATCACCTGCGAAAAAGAGAGTAAACATTACCAACGATGCCAATCGTTTATAATTTGAAGTCCACAACATCTTTTGATATTGTTCTGGATTATGCTTATCTTGGAATCTAGCCTCATTGTGCAAGATTGCTGCTTCGGTGGCAGCAAACCGTCTTGGCTGCAAGCCAGCAGCATAGAATGTCCACATAGGAGCACCACTACCACCCAGATACCGTGACCATACATCTTGATGGACCTCCAAGAACACATACAACCCACCGACATTGTGCAAGATCGTTAACATTTTTATAGTATAATCGATAAACTCTTCATCGTATTGTTCAGGACCAGAATGTTCTATAGCTTCCCAGGTAAGAAGATACCGCACGGTATTGTAACCCCAGGACTTGATTCTCTGGAAGTGCAGCTCGGCTTCTTCCAAGGGGAATGGTCTACCTACAAACGTGACATTTTCTCCATCGAAAAAGTAATTATTGGGATCAGAACTGTTTCCCTTGTATGACGGCATTGAAGGATTTGTGGGGAGTTTCATCCCCGAGTCCACATTAATCCCCTTGAGGGTCACTTTCCGGCCCAGTTTGTCGATAAAATGGCCCTCATGATCTGTTTCAAGATATTCACAGTCCAAGATATTTTTCTTGTCTTCATTGGCGTCTACTGGTTCCAAGGCGGAGGCCCCGGAGCTCTTAGTTAACTGCCGTCTATATTCTCCAGACAAGGGTGGGCTCACTCTACTAGCTCTACCCGTCACAACGTCCTTGACTTGTGTGAGGTTTGTCATGGTTCAGATACTATAGACAGAACCACGTCTACCCTTATAAATAAATTTAATGCTACTTTACGCTAGACTTACAAAAAGAAAAATAAAAAAGATGATCACCTATTCGTTCCAATAGTGTCTCAAAATTTTTATGTGGAGAAGAAATTTGGGGGAAAGTTTAAAAATATTCATGCCAATTCTGTCCCCCTGAAACACGAGATAAACGTGGAACTGCAGTTGAACACCCTCGAAAATATGTAGAGAGGGAAGGTGAGGTTGAATGATTTGAAATTGTTGGGCGCTAATATGTAAACGAGAAAAGTCTACTGGTGTCAAATGGTATTGCTTTTTGTAGGGCTTCTTTAACGTTGGTGTTGTGTGATCGAGTTTATACCGTTAGAAGGTTTTCCTCGTTTCTTTTTTTTTCTTCTTTTAGGATTTCTCTTTTATTTTATTTTTTTTAAAATTATTCTAATTTATTAAGGTTTAACTAATGGAATGAATGATTATGTCATTCTGGTGTATAGCCCGTTAGATATTAGCTGAAATAGAGCTGCTTCTAAAAATATATATATTGATTTATTTATCTCTTAGATTATTGAGTGCCTCGGCTTTATTAGCACTATGAGAACTTAATCTCCAAGCATTTTGATCTTTAGAAAATCTGTCGAATAAAGGAACAATCTTTTCGCGTTTCTTACGCAGGGCTGCCAGAGCTGCATCTGCAACCTTGAAAAAGGCAGGCGCAAGTTCAACGAGCCATTTTGGATCAATTACCGTAACACAATGCATGTATTCTTTTGTTGTAAGAAGCATTGTGTGGTAAATGACATAATCTGGATTTTTCCCGAAAAGTGCCGAAGATGGGTGCATGTAGACTGGGGTTTGTTCGACAATAGACTTGTATCCTTCTTGACCATCTCTTTTCGCAGCATACTTGAAAAACCCAGCGCATAGAGCTCTCCGGACTCGATCTAATTCAGAACCACATGATATGATCTCATATCGATACTTTCTCATGATTGTAGCTAATTGTCTTCTAACCTCTTGTGCACGTTTCATGCTTCTTTCTTGAATGAAATTATCTTGACACCATTGTTTACTGTACCCACTAAGACCCCAAGCCTTGTATACGTTTAAAAAGGTAAGATGATCCCCCTGTGAATGATGGAACCGTGCCTTCCGTTGATCCGCCTGTTGCTGCTTATCACGAGGTCTATAAAAAATCGTTTGCACTGACAACATGGCCACAATACTTAAAATTTCATCTGAACATCCAAAATCCAGTGAAACAATTAAGGTTTTCGCTAACGCCGGACTCATGGGGAAATCTGCCATTTTCCTACCCAATCTTGTTAAATATCCCTCATCATCCAATGCTTCCAAATTGTAAAGATCTTGCAAGGCAGTGAGCATGGTATTGACCGGTGGTGGGTCCATGAATTGGAAATTGAGTAAATCATTGATCCCCATTGCCTTAAGCATAAGAATTGTACTTGACAAATTTTGTCTTTGAATTTCAGGTATAGTATTGGGCAACATTTCTGTTTTGAATGCAGTTTCAGTGTAGAGTCTATAACATTTACCGGGTCCTGTTCTCCCGGCTCTACCACTTCTTTGGTTTGCCTGTGCCTGGGAAATTGGTGAAACAATCAACGAGTCCATTCCAAGTTTGGAATCATATGCATTCACCTTGACAAACCCTGGATCAATAACATAGTAAATCCCATCAATGGTGATCGAAGTTTCTGCAATATTTGTGGCAAATATAACTTTCCTTGAACCTTCTGGAGTAGGTTCAAAAATTTTACTTTGGATTTCTGCTGGAAGGGCAGAATAAACTGGCAAGATAATTAATTCAGGTATGGCATCACCCAACAGTTTAACTCGTGCGTATAATGCCTCACAACTGGTATCGATTTCTTCTTGACCAGTTAAAAACACAAGAATATCACCCTGTGGTTCAGATACATGTATTTGTATGACCGAGTCAAGGGTTGCCGCCAAATAATCCATTTCTGGTTCTCTAGTGTACATAATCTCAACTGGGAAAGTTCTACCAGGAATCTTCATAACTGGACAATTGTTAAAATATTTCAGGAATTTTTCTGAATCCAAGGTTGCAGAGGTTACAATGATTTTCAAATCAGGATTCTTTGCTGCTGCTTCTTTTAACAAGGCAAACAATACATCTGTGGCAATGGTTCTTTCGTGAGCTTCATCCAACATGATCACCGAGTATCTACTCATCAAACTGTCGGTCAATGCCTCCCTTTGTAACATCCCATCAGTCATGTATTTAATTACAGTGTCTGGACTAGTTTTCTCATCAAATCTAACACTGTAACCCACCTCCTGTCCAACTTTACAACCCACTTCTTCTGCAACTCTAGTGGCAACAGATGTAGCTGCCACTCTTCTTGGTTGTGTACATCCTATTATTTTCCCCTTATTCATTCCTTCTTCCGCCAAGTATTGTACAATTTGAGTGGTCTTACCGGAACCAGTTTCTCCTACAATAACAAGAAATTGATTTTCCTTGATGGCTGATACTAACTGTGATCTCATTCCAAATACTGGGAGTGACTCTCTTTGTTCTTTCATTGAAAGTGACGTTCTTTTCCCATAATTTGCGTTGGATTGTAATTTCTTCCATTCAGAATTAGAAGCTCTTAACAGTTGTTGTGTGGAGTCCAGAGATTTAGAATTCATCTTTGATAAAGGATCGTGTGTATCCACAGATTTGGCTTGGTCTTTCCGTTCTTGCTTTTCCTTTCCTCGTTGTTCTTTGATTTTAGTTTCTTTAATTTCCTTTGCCATTTGTGAACCTTGCATGGCGGCTCTTCCTAAAGATCCTTCAGGATTTTTCATAATTTTAAGAGGTGCCAATTCAAGTGAGCTTTTCGTTTGTCCTTTTAAAAATGGTGGTTCATCATCATTAAGTTCGATATCGATTTCAACCTCAGAATCTGTGTTTTTATTGAATGCCTTACCAAATGCTGCATTTGGATCTTCCTCTGTGAGTTCTGGATAGTCCTTTGCTGATATGGCCCCCGAGGCAATCAATTGACGAAGTTCCCAACGTTCTGGTGATGTTAAGCGTCTTTTAGGAACTGAAGTTCTACCCATTTTCCTTTCATTACGTCCTCTTTCCTCTTCATCAGCATCTGCCTCATCTCTATCAAACTGACGTTTAAGTCTCCCTCTGGACTGCTCAATATCTTCAAGACCAGTAATCTGGTCTATCCCTCTCATAGAAAGACTTATTTTGTCTCTAGATCGTTGATTTTTTTCAATTTTTTCAATTTTAACAAACACTTCTTGGTTAAGTTTAACAACATCTTCCGGTCTTTCGGTTCTATTTCGTCCATCATATGCAATTTTGGAAACATGACAAAGTCCAGATTGATTAGATTTTGGATGGTTAAGCTTAATAAACGCACCATATGGTGCTAAATTACTTATGTAACCTTTATAGATATTCCCCACTTCAAGTTCTATATCCTTTGGTGGGACTTGTCTTTCTTGTTTTATTATGCCCAGTTGCTCCTCTCTTTTCACCCCATTTTCCTTCTTGATATAATCTTCTCTATCATCTTCCAATCCCCAATCTATACGCTTGTTCGGTATACTCAACCCTTTCAAAGTTGTATCTTCTTGTTTAACGATCATCTCATCTTTGGGTTCTTCTTTCACAATAGGATGTACTTTCTCATCCATAATTTCAAAACTTGAACTAATAAGTTCACTTGGGAATTCATCACCTCCATTCTGTCGTACCACTTCATTGAAAGTCTCTGATCTTGTCTTATAATCTTTAGATTTATTGGCCTTATCATATAAACTCACTAGAAATTTAGAAAGTGATTTATCCTCATCATTAAATCCTAAATGTTGTAATATAAATTGAGAAAGTTTCTCCAATACTTCTGGATCTGATAGTATACTCATAGTATACCTCTCTTCAAGTCTATGTTACCCAACCTTTTCAGACTATAATGTATATCTCTCTAATCATACATATATCAGGTAAAATCCCATCAGATCCATATTGGGTAGCGCACGTCCACACCAAGTAAGTAGACAAGGGGAAACAGGGTCATTTTATCAACTATTATAAACACAGATATTCTTCACCTACATAAACATCATCTAGGTTCCTCTTTTTGTATACTATATACCTACTCTACTTCTCTAATACCATTCTTATCGACAATTTTAACATAACAACCCTTAAAATCAATTGGCATTCTTGTTTCTAATTCCTTCAAACATGCTTGTAACAATTCCAAACCTTCGGCAATCTTCATATCCTTTCTGTAGTGTCTATCCAATAAAGATGAACAATAGAATGCGGCATAACCATGGGCACCATATGGTAATTCCGTTTGAGTACCAAGATAATCGATCCAATTCAAAGTTGGAGTATCAGTCTTCACATCATACCCGGCAATTAAAACATTCACTTGGTATGGTTTACGGGAACGAAGCGATGTGGCAAGTTGGTTTCTTACAAATGAGGCAACAGCTCGTGGAGAAAGTTCAACATCATTTTCTCTCATGGTATGAAGTTGAATATTGGCTTGGATGTATTCAGCAAATTGCACAGTATCACCAGATTCACCGGTGTAGGCAACCAAGTTGTGTGTGTTCAATTGACGAGTCTTATCATCATTTGCTTTCAAAATGGAAATCCCTCTTGTGGCAGCCTTTGATGTGGCAATGATAGTTCCATCCAGAACTCTAATTCCTAAAATAATATCCATTATTCAAAGCTTACGGTGTGTGGGATATGTATATGTCGGGTGTATTGTATCAATTGGTGTCCCGTATTATTAAGACAATATTTTATTTTACGTTAAGCTATATTTGTTTTATACATTGATACTTTCATAACTCTCTGGAGTTTTGAACTTGTTCATATTTGCCATCCATGGGATTATATGCAGGAATTTATAAAAGGAGGAGGTTTCTTTTAGTGTTAACACATAAAGATAAATATAAAGATAAATATAAAGAGAGTTGAAAATGAAAGAATAAAGTGTTATAAACTAATGGATACATATAGAATAAGGAATTATATATCTATACTGTTTACTTATTTTTTTTGTAAATTTTTATTTTGGTACAATACAATTTTTTACACTTGAATGATTCATTTCTTCTTTTTCATAATGTATATACTATAGATTACTTAATGTATCTTCACAATCATCAACCTAGAACCATGCCTAATCTTTCTTTTAATTTATTTCAATTCTTGTAATTTTTTTTCAACAATTGATTCAATTAATCTTGTTAATGCACTATCCTTATTATTTATTTGAGCATTTAAATTGACTTCAATTTGCTTTTCAATTAATTTCCCCGTTAAATCAACTTCAATGTTTACTGTAGATGATTCTTGTTTTAATGGGAGGACCACTTTACTTTGTGAATAACTGATAAGCATAATCAGAAATTGTGCAGTTTGATGATCAACATGTGTAACTGTTAATGAAGTACCATCAATAGCAATGAACCCCTTTTCTACAATATAGCTTATGTATTGTTTGTCTCTCAACTCGAATGTGAAATTGATGGCATTCCCATCTGGTACTCTTTTCGTGATAGTGGCAATGGTATCAACATGTCCCTGTACAACATGACCACCCAATCTAACATCACTGGTTACTGCTCTTTCCAAGTTTACTTTGGAACCTTTTACAAGGTCTCCAAGATCAGTTCTACGTAAAGTTTCAGGTGCGACTCCAACTTTAAATTGCGTCTTTTCTTGATCAAATTCAGTCACCGTTAAACATACTCCATTGGTGGAAATTGAGTCACCTAAATGTACATCAACGAGAATGGGGGCACAATCACCAATAGTAATGGAAACACCTCCACCACCTGATGACGTGCTATCAATAGGAATGTATTCAAGTACAGTTCCGATGTGTTCAATTAACCCGGTAAACATTTTCAATGGGACTTTGTAGTGGTAGTTATTCTTATGACCTGATCGCACACCTTATCCAGATCGAGATACTGTCGTCTTTTCAATGATTTTATTTTTTTTCTTAACTGCGAATTATGACAAATACATTTTAGTAATGAATTGTATAAAATATGTAATGAGAACAAAAGGGTAAAGGTGTAGTAAATTAGTGACAATAAGAGAAAGGGTAGACAAGTTGATAAAAGCAATTGAGTGATAATAAGAGAAAGGGTAGGCAAGTTGTTTTAAGCAATATAGTGATAGTAGATGTGTTTAAGAAAGGCTTTATTATGACTAGTGGGGTATTAATTCATGAATTTCTTAACAAATAACCGTCTAGTACATAAGTTGTAGTTCCTGATCATTTCCTGGAAAATTTTATGGTAACTTGATATAATTGGATGCTCAACTCTTATGGCTGATCATTGCTTCTAGTATAAAATCTTTGTACAACTATCTCAAAATTTTGGCAGCCAAAACCGACCAAAAACATTTTTTTACCTCTCTCTTTGTCAATATTTTACACCTTTTAAAATCATTTATTGATATTGAATAATTCTTCCTTTCTATACTAGTATTATCCACCATATCTCCAACTAATATACTTCTTTATATCTATTTATCATTATTCATATAATAGTTCTTCATTCACCTGATCTCCTTGTCACGTGCCATCCATATTTTTAATGAAATTCAATTTCACTCACTCACTTTTTTTTTTGTGTCCACTACGAAAATCAAAATTTCAAAGAGAAATATAAAATTCAACTTATCCTATCAAGACTGTAATCAACATTAAAAGATGCCATTTAGGTTCCCAATCAAGTTCGATCTTCCTAGACATTCCTACTTGAACGGTAGAGTCATCAAGGACCACTTCAAGAGATTGCAATACGCTGAAAATGAAGTCACCAGAAATGCCTTGAAGTACATTTCAAGAAACACAGAATTACCAGCAAGAGCTAGAGTTGAAGCTCAATTACAGTTGACCAGTATGCCAAACTATACCCGTTACACTCAAATCAAGAACAGATGTGTTGCCTCCGGTAACGCCCACTCCGTCCACAGTGAGTTCAAGCTTAACAGAACTGCGTTCAGAAACAGAGCTCGTGCTGGCCAAATCCCAGGTGTCAAGAAGGCATCTTGGTAAATTATCATGTAAATAGTCAATGTATAATATTAGAGAAATCTGATGTTTGTTTCAAAATTGTTACACTTGAAAATGTTTCAGTTTTGACACACATCACTTGTAGAAAATAAGGGAGAAAGAAATCAAATGGGGACACACATAATAGATTAAATAATTAAAAATTGAGAATCGTTGGTCAGATTTAAATCGGTATAGATCAGCTTCAAGTCTGTTATATATGCATTCATCTTACTGTATATATATCTTGATATTCATCGTTCTATGTAGAAATTGTCCTTTAATCTACCCTCTCTTTGTGTCGCATATGATCATGAAGGTTAAGAAAAAAAAAATTCATACTAACTAAAAAAAATATAATATTCTCGAGATCAAATCCTTCTATTTGTTTCATACTATATTCACCATAATAATGTTGCTGCTTATTCGTAGTCCAAGTGTGATAAGAGCTGGTATTAACCCAGGGTGCTTCGTCTTGCCTGCAAGATCTATTTCCTTTAAGCCAGACTTTTCCAAGTACAAGAAGATCCCCCAACCACCTGGTAATATTGTAGGAACTGTGAACGATGCCGCCAAGATCCCGCTTGTAAGTTACTATGACGGTGGGTACCACTGGACATATGAAAGACTTATCACTGTTGGTTTGGTTCCGTTGGCCATGTCTCCATTAATTGGTGGTGTTGATTACCCAATGATTGATTCTATTTTCGCAATTGGTTTACTTTTCCATTGTCATGCTGGGTTTAAGTCGTGTATCATCGATTATATTCCTGAAAGAGTATGGGGTGTTTGGCATAGAATTGCTTGTCGTATCTTGACCTTTGGTACATTTACTGCCATGTACGGTATCTACAACTTGGAAACAGAAAATGAAGGACTTTTCGACTTGGTAAAGAGCATTTGGAATGCTTGATTGGAAAGGAGAATTGGAAATAACTGAAAAAATGGTTGTAGAACAACTGGAAAGAGTGAATTTAAAGGAGAAGAATAGAAGAGAAGGAGTATGTATGAGAGGATTTGATGCGTAATTATGGAGAGGAAATAAAATAGTTGAAGAGATTTCAATGAAGAAAGAGATTCATTATCGATCTATATCAAACTCTTTATATTACCTCACTCTCTGACTTTTACATACGATCTACATCAATAATGTTTTAGATTGGGGGAGGTTGCTAAAATAATTATTTGTATATATATATAACCCCCGCTGTCTGCAGGAAATGTACCCCCCAACTCATAAAATATATATTTTTAAGAAAAAAAAAAAGATTTAAAAACAAAATAAAATAAAGTATCAAGAAAATTTACGAGGCAACACAACAAAAAGCACAAGGTAAACTTTGTAGACTTTACCAGTAAATACAAGGTTGAGAGACAATTCTATATTTTTTAAGTAGTTACACGTTCTTAAATTTTGTATGAGTGACGATTTAAACTATGATAGAATCGATGTTGATTCACCAGAACAATCTGTTGTGGCGTCCGAGGATCACCAAATTGAGAATAATCTGAACCCTCCACCCATAGACCATCAAGGATTGAGAACTGATAACATTCAACCCGAGCAAGAAGAGGTCGTTTACACAGTGCAGGAAGAACCCATATTCAATAGGACGCGTGCCTTGTTTGTAGGGAATCTTCGGAAACCATTGAATGCCAATGATTTCCAGAATTATTTAAAGGAGTTGGTAACCAACCAAAGCAATGGTGTGATTGAACGTGCGTGGCTCAATCGGTCCAGAACTCATGGCATTGTTCTTGTTGATCGAGAGGAAGGTGCTGAGTATATCCGTAGCCAGCTCAATGGTTCAATTTACCCTCTGGAGGAAGAGGATATGAAACTCCGAGAAATCCATGATTTGAAAGAACAGGAAAGATATGATCAAGAATTGGCTGAATTTGAGAGTAAGCAAGCAGCAGACAAAGTGGGTGAAAATGAGACAGAAACTAGTGATGAAATTGAAGGGAAACCAGAATTACCCCGTGAACTTGTCGTTGATAGAATCCCTTTATTTGTCGATTATATCCCAGTCAAAGCGATTAATCAATGGATTTTCGAAGAAGATAAGGGCCCACATAATGGACAATGGAAGGTTATCTACGAGGGAGAGTCGGAGAATTTGGTGGCCACTCATACATTGTTAAATGGGGATTTCATCCCGCGATACAATAGTCGTGGTGGTAGAAGAGGTGGTAACGGTAGAGGTGGTGCGCGTGGCGATAGACGTGGTCGTGGCAATGGTGGATACTATGACCGTAATAGTGGATACCGTGGCGGCTATGACCGAAGAAGTAGTCGAGATGAATATGAGAGAAGAGGCAGTAGGGATGAATATGAAAGAAGAAGGAGTAGAGATGAAGGATATAACATTTATCCTTCTGGACCCCGTTCTTATGGTCGTGGTGGTGGCCCTGGTGGCCCCTTACTGTCACGCCCTACCTCTAGAAGACCAAGAGGAGAAAGAGATACGTATATTCCGAGTCGTAGACCTCGAGCAGATACATATGTTCCTGGTAGAGACAACAACCAATACGATGGGTATAGGGAACGCTCTCGCGATAGAACGGACCGTAGGGATAGAGACAGATCTAGATCTCCTTCTGGGTTCTAGAGCTGTCTCTGAGAATAAATACAAAAAAGAATGTACAGTGGTGTGTTATTTAAATCCACATAGGATTGTAATTGTTAAATATGTATCTACAGAATGCATGATGTACCAGGTAAAGCTCCTTTGTAGAGGTGTATTACCGGTTATAGGCCTCCGTATGGGATACTCCTATTGTTCCGGGACCAGTCGACGGGGTCCCAGGAGGGCAGGTAACTCCTGATTGTTGATCATTGTCCGATATTCAACGGTAGATGTCCTTTTAAAGTATTATTAGTGGACAATTGGTTGGATTCAGGGATAGAACGCCTTAGACTAACGTGCAAAAAAAAAGAAACTAGGGACTTTTGCGGCTAAGAGTTGATGGATGGATCCGAAGTGGGAAAGACATTCCCCAAGAATCAACAACAAAACAAAACAATATACGTATTAGTTATCATTCAACCTGGTGTACAAACCTCACTGCGCTCAGATTCCTCCAAAATGTTCTCGGTGCTAATATCCATACGATCTTTTTGTTCATCGTCCTCCAAAGTTGTGTTGGAGATATCCATGTGGTCATCTTCCGAGAACAGATCACTTGTCTTCGCACGTTTTGTGGGCTCCTCGGTTTCCTTTCTCTTTGACTCTCGGCGTCTTCGCATTGGTGAACGGAGTGGAGAAGTCGGTGGTAATTGAGTTTGTGGAGAAGCTGGTGGAGCTTTCTTTTGAAGCCAGGGAATCTCCACCATTTGCACCGTGACCTCTTCTGCCATCATGGATGTTCCTGGGCCTGCTGGCATTTTTATTGTAGGCACCGTGACAGTGGAAGTCTTGCTGGACTCCAGTTTAGGGTCGTGGAAGGTGGGTTGTGGGAAATCAAGTACCGTGGATGATACACAAACTAATCTTGACAACGCGTTAAAATACTTTAGTACGTGTTGAGGGGTCGTAAGAGGATACCCAAACTCCTCTGGGGCAAGCAACAACTCTGCCAATCGAACGATGGTGAACGGTGGCTCCACTGGGAACTGCAGTAAACGGTTTGAGATTCTTTGTTTGGCAACTTCAATTTGTTTTGTTATATCATCGGGAGTGGTGGTGGCGGGGGACTTCGCGTTGATGTTGCAAATTCGCGTCGTCACTTTAGGAAGCAATAGTTTCCAGTCCTGATCGAATTTGCGCGTGCTTCGTATTGCCAGTAAGGCTATGTCAAGTGTAGACTCCATGGAGTTGGTGAACAAAGGGGTTAGAAGAATGTGAAACTCTGAACGGTTGACATGGTGAAATGGGTGTGTTGACATATTTTTGGATGTTTCGCGTTGCGGAGTGCAGGTTGGATTTTGATATAATGGTTGCAATGATCAATTTAGTTAATTGCTACAATGAAGAGATATTGGGTAGAATGATATATAGGGTGTAAGTGGGCATGTGTTAAGTAGAGCTACTATATGTACATTTGATTGGAAAATAAGATGTAATAAAGTGGATAGATCTAGCTTACATGGAAGTTTAAGTAAGCTCAGATTGGTGTTGTCTATTACATGTTATACAAAGTTTTGATTATCTTTTACCAATCTTCTATCTTGACCTGGTTATTAATCTTGGTTAAGTGTTTGTAATATCAAATCCAATTCTTTAATCATAAATATGTAAGATGAGGAAATATCTTAATTGTCAATCTTCTACTTGTGATTGAAGTAGTTTTGATCTACCAGTCGTCTTTGTTTATTCACTTTAAAAGTTAGACTGTTCATAATATTTACAAAATCAACTATACTATACTATGTTTATTGGACTATATGTTGCTGTTTTTTTTCAGTTTTTGGAAGGTTTTTGAAAAGTATAGAAAGAATAATAACCGAAAATAAAATGGGGTAAAGTCTTGAAGAAATAGTATAAAGGTGAAGTTGACTAACTCAACAAAAACACCATGATTGTAAGAATGATCAGAGGAATAGAAGTTCCAATCTTTCTAGACTCACCAGCGTTGATACTGGCAACAATCGTTGGAATAGAAGAACCAGAAGGCTTCAGATTGGTCACTGGTGTGGCCGTGGATTGAAATACCAAGGTGGCCTTTGTTCCTTCAGAATTGGTCTCTGATGGACTACTAACTGCATTCTCCAGAGCAGGAACCTTACCGGATTGCAGCAATGGGCAGTATGTTGTATAAACCCTTGTAGTACTATCATCCGTGACAGTTACAACAGTTTGGCCAGTTGTAACAGGAATGGCAGTACACACATTGTCTGAGCAGGATGTGACAGTTACAACAGTGACAGATGGGACAATTTCAGTAGAAGGAATTTCTGGTAACCCAGTACAAGTAACACAGTCGCCATCAGTAAATGATTCCGTTTTAGCATCCACAGTAGACAGAGTTGTAGGTACGGCAGTTGCAGATGATTTGATGTCATCAGTCGAGAAAGTGACGATGGTGGTCAGGTAAGAAATGGTTACAGGTCCAGTTAACGACTTTGTGGTCGTAGTCTGCAAGTACGATGAGTTTGACCATGTGAAAGAGAAGCCGGGTTGTGACATAATCGAAGACGATGCCAACAGTGGAGGAGTCAATACTTCAACAGTGGTGGTATCGCCAGGGTTGGTTGGAATGATAGTACGAGTGGAGGTAACAGTTCCGGTCCATGGGGTGGTAACAGTAGTTAAGTGTGGTGGAGTAAAGACCTCAACAGTGGTGGTTCCGTCAGAGTTAGATGGAGTGACAGTGCTGTAAGAAGTGGTGGTTCCAGTCCATGGAGTAGTAAGAGTGGTCACATGTGGTGGAGTGAAGACTTCAACAGTTGTGGTTCCACCAGGGCTGGTTGGAGTAACAGTACGAGTGGAGGTAGTAGTTCCGGTCCATGGGGTGGTGACAGTGGTCACATGTGGAGGAGTGTAGACTTCAACAGTAGTGGTACCATCGGAGTTAGATGGAGTGACAGTGCTGTAAGAAGTGGTGGTTCCAGTCCATGGAGTAGTAACAGTGGTCACATGTGGTGGAGTGTAGACTTCAACAGTGGTAGTACCGTCAGAGTTAGATGGAGTAACAGTGCTGTAAGAAGTAGTAGTTCCAGTCCATGGAGTAGTAACAGTGGTCACATGTGGAGGAGTGTAGACTTCAACAGTGGTAGTACCGTCAGAGTTAGATGGAGTAACAGTGCTGTAAGAAGTAGTAGTTCCAGTCCATGGAGTAGTAACAGTGGTCACATGTGGAGGAGTGTAGACTTCAACAGTGGTAGTACCGTCAGAGTTAGATGGAGTAACAGTGCTGTAAGAAGTAGTAGTTCCGGTCCATGGAGTAGTAACAGTGGTCACATGTGGAGGAGTGTAGACTTCAACAGTGGTGGTTCCGTCAGAGTTAGATGGAGTAACAGTGCTGTATGAAGTGGTGGTTCCAGTCCATGGAGTAGTAACAGTGGTCACATGTGGAGGAGTGTAGACTTCAACAGTGGTAGTACCGTCAGAGTTAGATGGAGTAACAGTGCTGTAAGAAGTAGTAGTTCCGGTCCATGGAGTAGTAACAGTGGTCACATGTGGAGGAGTGTAGACTTCAACAGTGGTGGTTCCGTCAGAGTTAGATGGAGTAACAGTGCTGTATGAAGTGGTGGTTCCAGTCCATGGAGTAGTAACAGTGGTCACATGTGGAGGAGTGTAGACTTCAACAGTGGTAGTACCGTCAGAGTTAGATGGAGTGACAGTGCTGTAAGAAGTGGTGGTTCCAGTCCATGGGGTGGTGACAGTAGTCAAGTGTGGTGGAGTGAAGACCTCAACAGTGGTGGTTCCGTCAGAGTTAGATGGAGTGACAGTATTGTAAGAAGTAGTAGTTCCAGTCCATGGGGTGGTGACAGTGGTCACATGTGGTGGAGTGTAGACTTCAACAGTGGTAGTACCGTCAGAGTTAGATGGAGTAACAGTGCTGTAAGAAGTAGTAGTTCCAGTCCATGGAGTAGTAACAGTGGTCACATGTGGAGGAGTGTAGACTTCAACAGTGGTAGTACCGTCAGAGTTAGATGGAGTAACAGTGCTGTAAGAAGTAGTAGTTCCAGTCCATGGAGTAGTAACAGTGGTCACATGTGGAGGAGTGTAGACTTCAACAGTGGTAGTACCGTCAGAGTTAGATGGAGTAACAGTGCTGTAAGAAGTAGTAGTTCCGGTCCATGGAGTAGTAACAGTGGTCACATGTGGAGGAGTGTAGACTTCAACAGTAGTGGTACCATCGGAGTTAGATGGAGTGACAGTGCTGTAAGAAGTGGTGGTTCCAGTCCATGGAGTAGTAACAGTGGTCACATGTGGAGGAGTGTAGACTTCAACAGTGGTGGTTCCGTCAGAGTTAGATGGAGTAACAGTGCTGTATGAAGTGGTGGTTCCAGTCCATGGAGTAGTAACAGTGGTCACATGTGGAGGAGTGTAGACTTCAACAGTAGTGGTACCGTCAGGGTTGGTTGGAGTGACAGTATTGTAAGAAGTTGTAGTTCCAGTCCATGGAGTAGTAACAGTGGTCACATGTGGAGGAGTGTAGACTTCAACAGTGGTGGTTCCGTCAGAGTTAGATGGAGTAACAGTATTGTAAGAAGTTGTAGTTCCAGTCCATGGAGTAGTAACAATAGTCAAGTGTGGTGGAGTGTAGACTTCAACAGTAGTGGTACCGTCAGGGTTGGTTGGAGTGACAGTATTGTAAGAAGTTGTAGTTCCAGTCCATGGGGTGGTGACAATAGTCAAGTGTGGTGGAGTGTAGACTTCAACAGTAGTGGTACCGTCAGGGTTGGTTGGAGTGACAGTATTGTAAGAAGTTGTAGTTCCGGTCCATGGAGTGGTTACAGTGGTCAAGTGTGGAGGGGTCAATACTTCAACAGTGGTTGGTCCACCAGGAGTTATTGGAGGAACAGTACGAATCGAGGTAACAGTTCCGGTCCATGGGGTTGTTACTATACTGATGACATTTCCACCACCCCCTGGTGTTCCAGTATCCGGGGCACCCCAAGTAGTTTTGAATGAACTGTCGGTTTGCGTTTGACTATTCCCACAGTAGTAGTCATTGGTGTAAGATACTGTTCCCGTATTTTTGCCAAGAATAGAAAGTTCCATGAATACTCGGTAACCAACTGGAATGTTCTTATATGTGACAACATATGACAGGCCATCACACTTTCCATTGACTACTATGTTTTGATACGACTTTGGATAGTACCAAGCATTCAAATTGTTTGTAATTCCAACAAATACTGTAGAACAATCAATGGTTGAATCCTTAAAGGTCATTCCAATTGTACCGCTTCTAATTTGATTATTTGGACAGCTTCCTCCGAGCAAATATTGTCTCATTCCTGAATTAGGGTAATCTGACCCGGCAAAGTAGGAAATTTGGTTTGGTGGTGGTGCTGCTGAAGGATTAACACTGCGGCCAGCTTTGAAAGTGACAGTGTTAGTCAATTGCTTACTACCGTCTGTCCATACCACTGTATTTTTGCCAGCCACGTACTGATTAGCAGCAGTTATATCATTTGGGTGATGGCCCCATCCAATATTGAAATTAAAAGGCAAAGAAATATATCCTGTTGCCACAATCGAACTTGTCACAGAATTGTTAATCACACATTGAAGCTCAGCATAGTTGATTGCGGTACCACCAATGAAGTAGTTACATGTTGCATATGGTACACCACCAGCTTGCAAGTTAATTGGCCCGCCTCCGTTAAGTTGACGCACATAAGGCATGTGCAAAGTGAATGTATCACCTGGACTCATAGTAGATCCATCTATGTGCCACGAAAGGGAAGCATACCACTCCAAAGAAGTTGGAACATCAGGAGGAAAGTTAGCACTATTGGAGAAAGTTATCGAGTCTAAAGATGTAAAAACACCAGATAGGTCTTTAGCATAAACTCCTTGAGCTATTAGCCAGATAACGCAGAACCACAAATTCATGATTATTCAATTCAAAATCTATGAAGTCAAGAAAGGAGAGAATAGGATTTATGATGAATACTTAAGAATTGTGATTTTTAGAGCGGATTTTTGCTTTATTTATAGTAAGTGTCAGCTCTATCCCATGAGGATTTCGAAGGGCATTTGCTTGAATAAGATACCACAATCGGGGAGATATTTCGACGTATCGAAGTAACCAAAATAATTTTAATTATATATTTTGAGGTGCGTATCATCCAGCTGCAAGAAGCAGATGCAGATATGCAATGCATTGTTGGATAAATGCGCATGTTGATATTGCAGGCTCGTGGTGCAGACTCGCGGTGGAGACTCGTGGTGCAGACTCATGGTGTAGACGGTGCAGACTGTAGTTTCATGCAGTACTTTTTTTGATAGGTTAAAATATTTGCTGAAATATAAATTGTACTAATACAATATATTAACATCAAGATACACGTATCTGGAATTAAACAGAGTCAAAAAATTTGCCTACCTATCTACAATTATTTTTCGGTAGCGCGCTCCATGAATGCATGCTGCTGTACTTTTTCTTTTTTCTATGCATAATTTTTTATGCAATATTTATGCCCCGATCTTGGACGTTCCGCGGAAATGCAAGAAAGAATGCAAGTTTTATTTAGAGCATGTCTAATGTATTTTTACGATATGTAAAGATTTTAAGATTATGTTTGAGCTAAATATTCAGAGCGGAATTCGGGTTGGGCACTATGAGTTCTTGTGGTATATTTTACTCTTAATTTTAGAAACGTACATTATAGTGGAACAGAGTCAGCCTTTCGAAGAAAGATCTAAAGTAGATGTTAATGTGTGTTTTTTTTTAGTCCTGAGAAAACATAATTAAGAATGTTGTAAGTTTTCAAATTCCAAAAATGACTCAATATTATAGGAAATGGAAAGATTATGGAGCCGTGTGTACTTACTGGTCAATACTTCTTTAGCATTGAAAGGTAGACAATTTCTTTTGGACAAGGTGCACGAATGAAGATAGACATAAAACTAGAAATGACTATATGGATACTCTTATTTCTTGCATTGTTGATATATCACTGTCGCTTTAGTACTAAGCAGTGTATATATTCGTGGCTGTAAAAATTTAGATGGCAAACTCTCCTGTGAGTGTCAAATAAGGGGTTAGAAGAGATTTGAACCTCTCGGCTATTACTTTATTGTGTGGAATCAACCGCACTGCGCCTATTTTTTTTTTTTCTTTTTTTTTCGCAACCAAAATGAGATTTGTGAGCCTTCCAATACAGGAGTACTGTGATTACCATATTACAAAAACTAGGTAGTAACGAGTTAGATTTAAAGAAGAGAAGGATACCTGTTGAGCTCTATACTACTATCTAGATTTCCTATATATATTCATTAACGCATATTAATCCAAAAATGCAGTACAGTAGAGTACAGAATACAAATAAGTAAGATTTCAGCCATTCACATTTCGGACCAGATATTAGGGTGATTGTTGTTTTTTTTTTTTTTTCTGGAACAGCTGGCCCATCGGATTTGCACTTTCCGCGTTGAAATTAGAAGAACCCCATAAGGACCGACAAAGAAATTTCCCCGATGCAAGGCGAGTGCCCTTCCTTTCATGTATGGAAAATGCAAGTTGCGGAACGCTCCCCGCTGCAAGTCTATGCAAGCTCCATTTTTTGTTATGCACTATTTCACAGATGTCTTTTATCAATGAAATAGTATCGGTAGGTTTAACCGAACTCAAAAATGCATAACAATACAAATTTGATGACGTGGGGTACCAAAAATTTAGAGTATGCAATTTAGACTTTCTTCCGGTCATGTCGATTTACTATCTTTTTCTGGTCATGTATCGTCGCAGGTGTCCCAGCATTTCTACATACACTAGATTATTTCCTAAAAAAGTACTAGTCTACTCAATTCCCTAATATTTTCATATTTCTTTTTGGTCTACTTCCCCGTCTGAGTTGACACAATGAAAGGTAACCACTACAAGCAGGAGAAAAGATTGGATACTGAAATGATTATGACTAAGTGGCACTCTCGCCTTTTGCATATTCGAAATTGGGATTTCTCGTATACAAAATCCGCAACGTATCCATGAAAAGAAAATTTAACGGAAAACTTAGTGTTTTTTTCCGTTCTTTTTTCTTTTATGGCCGTTTTAAGAAAACAATGATTAACGCTGAAGAACAATACGCTAAATACGGACAAATTATCCCTTTCATACGAATATCCACTACAATCATAAGCTCGTATTGTGAAATGTTCGCATAAGTGTAGAAAAGTACATCCAATGGGATGATGCATTTTCACACTTCCGGTTCTTAACATGAAACAGGTACATAAAATAAAATTTTGTGGCTAACACATAATTAAACTGTAGAGATTAAACTAACGTAGTATTTATTTTTTTTTTTTTCACTGAGGATGACTTAGTATGAAAAATTCATCTTTTGGGACTTCTAGGATGTGTATTCCGTGCGGAGGATTCTTGTGGCTTGGCCGACTACCAACTTGTATCTATAATAATATACGTATATGCATCTGCGATGCATGTATTATGCACTGGTGGTGCATGCATTGTGCATATAGAGATTTCCCATGGGAAAACCTGCCTGCAACTCTTAATTAATTATGAGTATTAAAATTATTTGTATTAATTCTGATGCATTAACAGTGAAAGTAGGATACAGCAAGTATGGATTTACACACTGAATATAAGCATATTAGATCTAGATTTACCACACATCGGCTGCATGCATTATTTTTAATTCAATTCTAGTTTATAGTTACTGTTTATTTCTATTCTAAATATCAGGCAGCAAAGTAGGTGGACAACGACATAATCTTTACAACAAATATTATCTATTTCCTCTTCTTTTTTTAGCAGATAATATACTTTGCATACCTAGTTAGTAAATTGGATCCTGTACGTCCAAGACTTTTCTGTTAGCTTAGCCACCAACAAAAGTTTACTAATAGCCAAGTGACATGATATTTCAAAATCCAATGTGTCTAAGCAGGGAGAAGATATACTTGGGTATATGTTAGGTCAGTGCCTGCTTTTGTAGTTTTATCTGTTTTTCTTTTATGATTTTCCGATTAATACTACTTGAAGAAAATTTTGGCACTGTTATTTACCCTCAAATTGTTTGGTGTTTTTCATTACGAGGAACCAACAGTTTTAAGTGTTAACCTTTGTAGAGGAAGGGAAAGGAAAAAGTAGTGAAAATTTTTCACCTTCGTGTAGAGAGGATGATCGAGGAATGAATCCTTCTTATCCCAATATAAGGGTGCAAATTTCTTGTCCAAACTTGGGCTCTTACAAACCAGTAAGGTTTGGTTCTTTGTTGTTTCCAGAATTTCCCTTGAGTTTTCCACCCATATAACTTGTTCTTAAAGGGTGATCAATTACTAGAAGTGTTGCTTGAAAACTGGCTGATTGAGGATATAAAATTTGTCAATGTTGTTAGATTTATTGTCCCTGAAGAATTTAGGAAAATTTTCTCAACACCTCCATTTGTTCATCCTCTCTCTCCATATTGTGTCCAAATTGACGGCACTATTCACAAGTGGACACCCCTAAAGCTCTGGAAAGGAACCACAAACATCATCTCAGTTGGGATATACGGGTTTCCAACCCTTGAATTACTGGATATAATTGCCACGGAATGTTACCCTCAACTAAAAAGAGTTCAATTCTTCTTCGGTACAACCCTGACTTTAACATCTCAAAGAGCAGGTGGTGTCTCTTTGACTCTCCAGATCTTTTATCTTAGCAAAAGAACTGGTAACTCAGACTTAAGATTGAGTTAGATATTGAAATGGCAAAGAAAGTGATCGAGAACTAAAAAGGTGTTAAGTTGACATTGAATCTGGAATCTGAAATCAAGAATGGTTATTTCAATAATCTCTATAATACTAGCAGGAAGAGATGGTTGAAACCAAAATGGCTTCCGAGGCATGATATTACATCAAATGGTGGATTCATTCAATAATTGACGTTCACGACATCATAAGGGAACCAACCATATAGAGATATATTTTCCCACCATATACCTGTTCTAAAAGCTACTTTCCCTGCACCAGCTAAAAGTATTGAAGAAAGGACTGCTTATGTTTAGACACGGGTAGCAAAGAGAATTAAAAAGAAATATTTGCCGAACATTCTTTTAATAACTAACTAGACAGATATCCTGAGCCTATCCCTTCTTAAGTTGAAGCTCCAGTCAACTCTGTAAAGAAACTCATATTGTTTCAGAACATGAACCCCCTAAGAAAGAACCAAAGTCATCAGATGATTACGATGATGAATATTCCTTGCTGTTGAAGAATAGAAGAAATTGCAAGGAGAGGGAAAACAGAGCAAGTTGAGGAAGAAGACAGATAAAGATTCTCGTTTTGTGAAATTGCAGCAAGATCGGATAATTCGAAAAAAAAAAGACGAAGAGAAAAGAGAACTTGCCTACTGTAATTCTGGGTAAAACATATGGACTGCCGTCAAATTACAAACCATTACTTGTGTCATTAACCAACAGGGATAGCAGTAAAGGGGTGTGAACCATTTCGGCAAGTGCGTAAAAGATCGGAGCCACCGCCACAACCCCAACTGTCACTGGCCCACATACACACCCATTTGTACAGAACGACCAAGTTCAGCATCTTCAGGAGTTAACACCAACACATTCTTCTATCCCTCTGCACGTACATCTACAATTGCCCAAACCTCTTTAGAACTTCCAAGGATGTTTAGACAACAATAGATGGAGTGATTCAGACAAGGTAAGAGATGATGATGGTCCACATGCCGTCAAACTTACTCTTCGGAGGTATAACATGGCCAACTAAGGCCCGAACTCCTCATTCGAGAAACTAAATATTCTCAAAGTGGAACTGAAAGGAGAAGAGGTGAAAAGATAATTCCAGTACTCCTCCTCCACGCCAAGTGTTGCAACTCTAACTGACAGAACTGCAGATGATTGGAGTCACGTGGATGTTCAGACTGTACTACGCTTGATATAAGTTACATTATATATTCTAAATGCTTTGGCTTCGTCGTAAATGATTGTTTTACTGTCTTGAATTTACTCTACTTTTCTTTAACACAATCAATTCTTCAACAAAGAATCATATAGCCAGAGAGTCAGTGGCAAAAATTTGCTGCAAAATTCTTCTAGATCTCATCTCTTGCCCCCTCTTTTTCATCCTCATCTAGACGGATATGCGCCTTTCCGTCAACTAACCGTGTAAATTAGACATATACATATCTGCTTTAATCAAACTCAGTTTATTGGGAAGACTTCTGGTTTATACCACCTTTATGTTACTCAATCATATCCTCCATATAACGCCACTCAAACTCAATATACCGGATCCTTCACATAAGCCAAAAATCCACAACCTGCACAGGGTCTAAAATCTGAAATGTGCGTTATACACACTTTACTTCTTCTCAGGTATCTCCCACTGACATATCCAACTTTGAGTATTACTGGTGCTCCACCATCTCCTCCACCTCCTCCTCCATTTCTTCATCTTCCTCTAATCACAGAAGGCTAATTATCTAATAATATACAAACTTTATCTATCAATTTTGCCCCACTATATAATAATATTTTATGCCCACATTTACGCACATAATCCATTTAGGCCGTACATTTGTGAACGCGAGCGCTGAAGTTTTGAAATTTTTGTGAATTTCAAAATCTCTAAACATAAACCTTTTAATAGTCTTAACACTCCTTAAACAATGTCGTTGATCCCCCTTTGTAGGCGTGTATGCACAGCCAGAGTTTTGCCTGCCATCAGAACTGTGCCTGTGCAATTTTCCCGGTTCAACTCGACCAAAGTTGCCGCTGAATCCGACAAGAAGTTCAACTTGTTAACTCAAATTTATCCAATCAATAATGATACTGTGACCGAGGAAGATGTTGATGAATGGTTAAAAGCCGTCAAGAAGTTGAAGGCCAACAACAATACCACTGTTGATACCGCAGAAGAAGTATATCTCCAAGAACTTACCAAGGTGGAGCCATATCTCGAAGAAACTTTCGAACCAACCGAAGAACAAGTGCAACAAGTGGAGGAGATGAACAAGGCCCCAATCCCATTGTACACACACCCAATCGTAGAAAACGTAGTCTGTCTCATGATGAGAGATGGTAAGAAGTCCAGAGCCCAGAAAATCGTTGCTAGAGCCCTTTACATGATTGCCTTGAAAACAAGAAAGGACCCCGTACAAATCTTGACCGAAACCTTGGATAAGTTGGGACCACTCATGGCCACCAGAACCGAGAAGACCGGTACTGCCAAGAACAAGTTGGTGCCCTACCCATTGAACCAAAGACAAAGAAACAGATATGCCATTTTGTGGATCTTTGACGGGGCCAAGAAGAAGAAGTCCAAGGATTACTCCGTCAGACTCGCCGAAGAAATCTTGTCCGCTTACGAAGGAAAGTCCTCGGGATATGACCGTAAGGCACAGATGCACAAGGCAGCCATTGCCCAAAGAGCTTTCATTAGATTTTAAGATCTGTAACTCCTGTATATAAGAATAAAGAAGACCGCATTTTTTTTTTAATATTTTTTTTTTGATCTGTAGAGTTGTATGCGCGCGCCAGTTGAGTGGGTTGCAAAAAAATTTAATTGTAAAGTGCCACAAGGTCAAGTTACAACCACAATAGGAGAAATAACTTGAAGCCCCATTTTTAGATACATATATACCTCTGTATATTATATAAAAATAAAATTTCCTCCTATTTAATAATTTGCTATGGTTCCTTGGTGGTTGAGTGAAGGGTATCGAGAAGCTCGATATCATTTTGCCTATGCCAAGGTTAGTTATCGGCAAAAGTATTACAGTAGTAGTAAGAATCCACGAGTCATTCAAGCCAAAATGGGTAACACCACGTTGCTTTCACTCCGCACTTGTCCACGCGACCAATATTTGGTCAAACCTGGAGAGTTTTTAGCATTAGAAAGGAAAGATAAAGTATATGTTGAAGAAGAAAGTTCAACAGAGAACAAGGTAATTGACCCATTTTTGGGGTTTTCAAGAAGTCCATCAATGCAATGTGTATGTGCAAGCCAGATAGAACAAGAGGGAAGCGGGTCTACCGACTCATCTAAACCTAGTTTTATGGATCGAATGAGAAGTCTTACTGGTAGAGATAGTGGTGGATTGATTGAAACTCCAGTTACTTCCAATGTAAATACTCCTATTCAAACAACTAATAAGCTGATTCAAAAATATATTCCCCCACCTCCTCCTCCACCACCACCACTTTCTGAATCTAGCAACGAGCCACAACCACCACCCTTGCCACCTCGACCAACTACTGAGAAACCATCACGATACAAGTCATTGATTGGCCGTTTACACCAACCACTGTCTAGTCGTTCAGTTTCCTTGTCAAGTAAGTCTAGAGTTAGTTCAGGAGGTGAAGTTTGGAAAAACGTACTCAATGACGTTTCATTATCTGCCGCAAGAGTTTCCATTGGACATAGTCCCAAAACAAGTATTCATTTTAAAGTGTTAAGTGGAGATTTCATTGAAGCAGAAATGTATCCACAAAAGGAGACAGTTAGAGGTTCAAGTAAGCAAACAAATTTGGAAGGAGGACATGGGTATGATTTCATATTGGAATTGGAATCTCAAACTGATCTGAGACCACAAACGGTTGATTCTTCAAATTTTTTAAGTTTATATGAATTGACAAGAAGGGAAACAATTCCATGATTAAAATGATATATATATAGGAATAAAGGAAAGGATTGATTTAAAAAGATAAAGAAATAAATGACAAAGAATGAAACTCTATAAATAATTCTTATAAGAGATTAAAAAAAGTTTTACTTTCTTGTTAATGATCAGTACTCTAGTTTTCGCAGCCATTTGTAAATTCCAATGAGAGAATATATTTATCAATCAAAAGAATTTGGAAATTTGTGGCAGGGAGGAACAATCATGAAGATGATTTACTAAATGTAGTATGATTATATTATATCCCACCCCTTTCTCTAAAATATTGATCATAAATAGAAAGAATTCATTAACTATTATATCACATCATCTACTATAAAAAGTCTATTAACTTCTCCGCTTTTGTGTAACTCTTTGTAACAAATAAAAAAAAAAATATATATATACTCACAATTTAATTTTTTAATTTTTTGTGTTATTATCGTCTTGTGTGCACACCAGCTAATTCGCAATACTGTGATTGGCTTGAACCAATTTTAACCCATAATCCAGTGGGTGCAGGAACAAACCGAAAAATTGTTCTAACCACCAAACAAATATAACGATCGTATCGTTATATCATATCTACTTTGTTGTACCGCATCAAAAAGCAGTGTCTGTTCCCCCTAGCTCATTATGATCCGTCCATCTACTGCCCGTCAGGCCGCCGTTGCCGGTCGTCGTTTCGTGTCGACCGCCGCCACTGGTCAAACCAAGTACACAACCTTGTCCAACGGTATCACCGTTGCCTCTGAGGCTAACCCTAATGCTACCTCTGCCACCGTTGGTGTTTGGATTGGAGGTGGTTCCAGAGCCGAACACCCTTACAACAACGGTGTTGCCGCCTTGACCACAAATGCCCTTGCCTCCCAACTGGGCTCCGGTATCTTGCTTTCCGCTGAAAACACCAAGGAAACTAACGCTGTCATTGCTCAATCTACCAACGAAAATGTTGCTGAAGCTGCCAAGTTGATCTCTCAAATTGTTTCTTCTCCTCAAGCCACTTTGGAAAAGGTTGACTTTGCTCAATACAAGCAACAATTGTTGGCTCAAGCCAATGCTCTTGAAGCTGACCCAGCTGCCAAGGTTGCCGAACATTTGAATGCTTCTGCCTTCCAAGGTTACTCCTTAGGTTTACCAACTCATGGTACCGTCGACTCCATCAAGGACATAGAATTGCAAGACTCCTTGCGTTTTGCTGAAAAGCAAATTGTTGGTGCCAACACCGTTGTTGCTGCTTCTGGTAACTTTGACCACGATGCTCTTGTTGCCGCTGTAGAAAAGAACTTGACCTTGACCAAGGGTTTCAAGCCAGCCACTAAGCCAGCTTCTTTCTTGGGCTCTGAAGTCAGAATGAGAGATGACACCTTGCCAAAGGCTTGGGTTTCCATTGCCGCTCAAGGTGAAGGTATCAACTCCCCAGCTTACTACGTGGCCAAGGTTGCCGCTGCTGTCTCTGGTAACTTCTACGACAAGTCTGCCATTGCCAAGTTCACCAGTTCCAAGCTCTCCTCCATTGTTCAAGAGTACCACATTGTTGACAAGTATTCACACTTTTCCAAGTCTTACTCTGACACTGGTTTGTGGGGTTTCAATGCTGAAATCTCCAACATTTACCAAATTGATGACTTTGTTCACTTCACCTTGAAGGAATGGAACAGATTGTCTATTTCTGTCACCGACGCTGAAGTTGCCCGTGCCAAGGCTGCTGTCAAGACCCAATTGTTGAAGGACTTGTCCTCTCCATTGGCTATTGCATCTGACATTGGTGGAAAGCTCTTGTTGGCCGGCTACAGAGCCTCTGCTCAAGAAGCTTTGCAAAAGATCGACGCCATCAGCACCAAGGATGTCAAGGCCTGGGCCCAAGCCTCCTTGTGGGACCAAGACATTGTGATCTCTGGTACCGGTCAAATCGAAGGTTTACTCGATTACATGCGTTCCAGAAACGACATGGCCATGATGAGATGGTAATAGAGTTCCGCTTTTCTGCTGCCCCCAACAAAAATTCAACCCCACCACATACAAACAGTTGCATATTGGTTATAAGAAGAATCCTGAATTATTTAGAGAAGAGCTATCTAAGCCGAGATGTTTATTGTTATAATTGATACAAAGAAAGAGAAATCTTGTAGATTGTAAATGGAGAGAAGGAGCTGAGTAAGTTGTAGAAGATTGGAAAGATGAAAGATAGGGTATCCCATCAGTTAAGAAGTATACTGTTTGGTGATAATAGATCAGTTGTGTTTTGAAGTAAATTAGTTGTAGAAATTGAATTGACCTAAGAAGTACTTAAGCTTCCACTGTATTCTTTAAAAAAAAGAATAGATTCATCTAATGATGGGAGTGGCTATTTATTATTCTCTATTCTTTTTTGAACCTATCTGTGAATAGACATACAAGGCAGAAAGTGATTTCTACTGTCTTTAGAATATATGAAAATATTTTTATATAATTCCTATTATTAAGTGTACCCAAACCTGGAACTCTCTGTCTTTAACATCAAGGACGTTCCCGTCATGGTGAAGACTCCCCTATATCGTGAAATCGAATACACATTGTAATTTAGTACAATTTAGTACAATTTCTAAAAATGGGCAGCCCTTTCTTATTGCCGCACTTTCATTTTGCAGCCAAAACAATCAACTACAATCTTTTGAATTCTTGGAGAACCAGTCATTCTACCACAACACATTTATATAATATATACTATATGCCTCTATTTATAGACAATGTTAGGGGTTCGTACTACTTGTCCAATAATTATACTACTCTGAGCGGATGTTGCTTATAATACACTTTCGCAACATACACAAATATCCAACCCCAATGCTAATAGATATAAATACATTATTAGGTCAGATACATCTTTAACTCTACTTATAACAATACTAAAGCTAAATATCCCATCCAAGTTCTCCAAAACTTTCAAAAGAAAAAAAAAGTCCACTCTTATATTCTTAAATATATTTGTCCCTAAAAAATGTAAAATTTTACTTTATGCAAATCTGTCCTTAAACTCATACCATTATATAAGCCCACTCTTTTGTAAACTCTTTTGAACAATCACATCGGTTACCGCAGCTAATACAAACTTCATGGACTTTGTATCAGTTGCACATGTAGTATGAACGTAAATCGGCTTGTTTGTACGATTCGACCTTAGAAATATATTTGTAAAAAATTGAACTGCCTCTTCTACATTGTTTGGAGATCCTTGATAATCTGGGAAGTACCTTCGAAGTGGAGATTTGGGTAATTTTTCTTGAAATAAGTCAATCTTGTTTAAAAATAGTATAAATGGAGTGTTGGCAAACCATTTAGAATTGCACAATGAATCAAACAATATGATTGATTCATGCATTCGATTGACCCGTTCATCTTCAAATAATGTTTGATCGTACTCAGAAAGGGCAACCACAAACAATATGGCATTGATTCCTTCAAAGCAATGGATCCATTTTTTCCTCTCTGATCTTTGCCCCCCAGCATCCAAAACTCGAAATTTAAATGAATTTATATCAAAGTTGGATTCGGTAATCCCAGTGGTTTTAATTCTACCCTTGAGGATATCTGTATCAGTACATATGTAATTTGGATCAGCAAAATTATTCACATTTTCAAAATAATATTTAACATTTGTTTCCATTTGAAATTCATTTGCTCTAGCAAATGTTCTACGAATCCCTGAATCTTCTTCCCAAAGTTTTTTAATTGCTTCTGCCACTTTGAATCGATCTTGAATGCCTCCATTTTGAAACTTCAGCACCTCTTGCAATTCCGTGGCAATTCCTTCAATGGTAAGTTTATTACTATCATCATCAGCCAAATTCATATCCCACCCCTGGGCTGTTGATGCTGACCCTGTATTGACCTTCCTTTTTTGCTTATACCCTTCACTGTACTTGATAACAAATTCACTCAAGAAATTGGATCCACCAGCAGAATCTGTTTCAATTTGTTGAAGTGGATCAATACGTAAAACCAATTGCTTATAAGGGGTTAGAGGATTATTTGCCTTATCACAATCAAGTGGAACTCCAAACTTCCGCGCCTGTATAATAAGAATCTTCATTGATTGAATAAGGTCTACCCATATCACTTGTGCGTATTGAACTCGTTCTGGCTGCGAAAAGCCCCCCTGATGTAAAAGTCGCAATTGTTTCAAAACAGTTGATTTCCCACTTTCTCCAGCTCCAAGTAACAACAATTTAAATAATTGTTTTTCATTTTGTCTACGAAGTTGTATTTGTTGTTCAATAAGATCATTCATCTTTTTGTCTTGAAGTAAAGGATTGAAATCCTCTTCCAGTTCCATGGTGGAAGCAGCGCACCCCATTCTTTACAATAACTTTACTAGAAATTAAATATAGTTGAACGATTGTATTGGCCGTCAAGAAAAGACTACAAAGAATATAAATTACAGACCCTTAATTTTTTGTTTTATTATTACCATTTGCTATCAAAACTACAGACGTCTTTTAAAGTGTCCCACATTTGCAAATGTGGGACTTTTTGTCGTCTCCGCATTAGGGGTTCTCAGATTCCCCCCCCATTGTAGAAATCGCATCAAACAAGCATAATCATAAAATATTACGCATGGGGAGGATACAATAAACTAAGTATTCTATATTTATGTTGTTTAATAGACTATAAGTCTAACTAGATCCTCGTGTCATGAATGTATTTATAGTCCTAATTTATTATACTAGAATCCAACTAACAGCCCCTTAGATAGTATTATCTCTATATGAAGTCCTTACATCCGTACATATAAAATGTGGATGTATTGTCCCTTTGTGCATAAACTGAAACAATATTCAACTTCTACAAATGGAATTACAATGGTGTTTAGCGTTCAAATATATTTAATCGAATTATCTTCCCCCCTTGTATCCTTATAACGTCAAATAAAATCCAAAATAATATAAACCAATGATAAATACCCCTAATCCAGTAGAGTGTTTCAAAAATCCAGTAATGTTCCATTTAATCATAAATTCAACAACCAGCAATTTATAGATTGATTTTTCTAAACTATTTGTAACTTTTTTCAATTTCTTATGCAATTTTTGAGTCCATTTGGAACTAGAATTCACATGGGTATAAGTGTATAATGGTAATGGAACTGTATTTATATCTTCTGCTAGATCTTGTCCCTTGAGGAAATTTGATAATTTTGTAGATGTCTTGGGGTTTCCTGAAGATGCAGGTACCGTGATCACGCTTTCCGCCAAGCTTCTTAAAGGGTACAGTGACAATGAACCATATGCTTGTAATCTTGTGGATCTATGTTTAATGTTCCACCAAAGAATCATGAGTCCAGAAATCACTGACATTATCACATATGAAAAAATATTGATGTATGGAGTTGGTAAATAACAAATACTTGTTTGATAATGAATAGTTGGATCATCATAGCTTTTCTCACTGCCTGTATTAGCGGATATAGTTAACAATTGTACCGCTGGATATTTAATACCCATTGCCATCAGAATGGATTTCACGGTGATTTCTCTTACTGGTGGATCTTCCAAATGGGTAGATTCATGGATTATATCACAATAATCATGATCATCACCTGAAAAAATCAAATCTGGCTTTATCTTTTCCAAAATTTCTTTAGATAATTCTTTTGTAAGAGAATTTTGATATTGGTAACCACCACCAAGTACAAAACTATCAGATTCACGGAATGGTCCACATTTTTGGATGGCTGGGTCTCTATAGAGTGGGACATGGGTAAGAAGGATTCTAGGTCCTGTTTTAGGTTGACTATCAAGGAAATCCACATATTTACTGGTGTCTTCACGAATATTTTCTTCTGTAGCTGAAAGTGAAGGAGTATCCAATGAAATGATTTGAACATGATTTATAGTGGTATGATAATTAAGTGGACCAAAATTTTCTTCAAATCTAGTTTTAGAATCTTCTATAACCCCATTTCCGAATCCAATATCATGATTTCCTGGAGTACTAGTTAAAAAGTTTTGAACAAAAGATGGTTTTTTAAAAATTGCTCTAAATCTATTCATTTCATGAGCATAATAAGTATTTGATGATTCTCTACCATTGTCCAAATAATCTCCAAGGAATATGATGTGGTCTGGTTGGGTGAATCTCGTCAAGGCGCGGTAATTCTTCTTCAAGTATGCATCAGCAGTATGTTTGGAAAGATCTAGTAAGAGTTCATTACGTCCTGGATACGTGTGATTATCGATAAGTTGTGGATCAGCAATCAACATGATATGGGCAGTTTCCAATTGTGCATCAAACCCAGCATCGTCAGGGGCAGGTGTTTCCGAACCATCAACAGTCTCATATTCCGAAACTCGTGGCCATTTGCATGCCTTAGCATGGAAGTATGGGGAATATCGCTCATGATAAATGAACACAACCAACCATGCTAGCACAAGAACAACCAATAAATGGTGAATACTGCGGAATTTCGGCACGAAATACCGCATTGCAGGGATTTTATGAATACCACTATCTATATGCAACGGGGCGGCAACGCAGTCTAGTGATAGATAGAGTGAAAATTACGGTCGTCTATGATTAAAATGTGTTTGAGGGTCTTCTATTTGCTTTCCCTTTTTTTTATTTATTTAATTTTTTTTTTTTTTTTGTAATTCTGACATCAATATGCACGAGATTGGGTTTAGAGGGTGTTTTAGCGAGCGGCAACATGTGCAGTAATACTAGCTAATTCAAACAAGGAATTGACCATAGTATCGAGGCGTTAATCATGTCGATGGCCAAGGTATCTGCTGATGCCAAGAGATGGGGTAGCTCTTGAGGAAACGATACACTCATAAAGTAGAGGGACAAAAAAATAAATTATTGATTCAGACGCGTTTCAAATTAGTTCCAGAGGTGTATTTCTATATTTAGCCCGGCTAAGTAATTAAGAAATCCAAACGAAAGAAGGGGTCAATTATTGGATATATAAACTGCCCTATAAAAAGATTTGAATAGACTCTAATAGACTTTAAATTGTTTATGTATGTTTGATGGAGAGACTAAGGTTAAGATAAACATACGCGTATCTATTGAAGTTATTGTATACATTTTCTAAAAATGGTGTATCTATTTTGTTGATACCTCAGGATTTTATATTTATTTACCGAGATCCATATTAATGACACTAACGCCCATATTGAATGGAAGTGACCAAATCTTAATTTACGTCGTATACTCTATACGAAACTTTGTTCAGGTGATGTGAATTAAATTTCGCGCACGGAAATATAAACGAGGAAGATAATCATTGATTTGTAATAGTATTGTAAACCATCGGATTGTCATGGAATCGTGGGAACAGGTCTTGTGTGCCCTTGTGATAGCTGCAGCCATAGACTGGGCCTATAGGTGGTATCTTGACACCAGTAGAGATGTCAATGCTGTTTATTTGCAACAACAATCCACCATTGGAAGCACAAGAAAGTCAGAAGAATCCGCCATTTATACATCTAGTAAACTCCATCAAGGACTTAGAGGCGGGTTGGAAATTAGATATGATCACTACAAGATTCGTAGTGGGAACATGCGTGATGTATGGGAGCTTCTTATCAATCAAACTCGTAGAACGGGCCAAGATTCCAAATGGTTCAGGACATCAAATTGGCTGATTACAGTTGGTCAATTGAATTCTGCCATGAAAACCTTGGGTGAACAATTAACTGCCAATTCCATATCTGTAGTAAATTTTGTTAAAGATGATCTTTTCCAACTGCCAGAATCTTTAGTTGTATTGATTGCATGTTTGACCCATCAGGTGACTGTACATTTCATTGATTTAAACGAGATCAATGATGACATTTCCTATGATTCAACCAAGCAAGTTGTGGGCGAATTCCCCATCATTTTTTCAGAAAAATCATCATCTCTTGAATTTAAAAATGTATACGAAAAGAAATTTGATGAAGGAGTCGCTATAAAGGTTACTACAAAGAAGGGGAGATTTATTACTAGAAGTACATTTACTCAAGCAAATTTTACCAGTGCATTGGCATCATTTTTAAAGCATCTTCCAGAAGATCATGCATTGACTTCTAGTGATAGCTTGGAATTGATCCACGAGAATGGATTGGAAGTAAACTCAATCTTAACCATGTTAGCAACTTGTATCACCAATACCACCCTCTGTATCAACAAAGAAACCACGGAGAAGCCTACTATTTTGAAGCTTAGTGATCAAAAATTTGTAGAGTTTGCAGATGAAAATTTGAAACCTTCTTCAACATCTTTCCCATATTCCATTAGTCTTAAAAGATCAATTAATTTGTTATCACAAGGAATATTTTCTCCAATTTTCCCTCGAATCATCAAATCCAATTCAAAGTTTCTGGAATTAAGATTGATTTATATCACTCATGAGCTTGGTCTGCCAATGTTGATAACTCCCGCAGAACTCAATAAATGGAGAGCACTTTCCGGAGCACGTATTGTTGTCGAACACATCCATCCAGGAGTTGTTGGATCTGTTTTAGTTACAGATTTTTATGATTATAGAAATCTCGAATTATCCCCCACCAAAATCTCTGGATATGGAGGAATTTCTCAATCTTTAGAAATAAAATTAATCAATGAAGATAAGAAATCAGGATATGACGGTACATACGGACAAATTTATGTTCGTGGATATATAATTGGAACTACTGAAAAACAAGTTGTTGGATTACCACAGGGCCCACAACATAACCAGCCAAATGAAGGATTTATGCCACTTGGATTGCTGGGTAAATGGGGTAATGATGGATGTTTATATGTAAATAGATAATTTAAATTTTATGATTCCTACCATGTATGATCTTACAATGACTACAATTTATCATAATATTACGAAAAACTTGCCGATGAATGGATTGTTGATACCATTACAGGTCATATGGTGTGACCCTTCGACTTGATGCAAGAATTTGTGAGTGTCATTGGGCACTCATCACTCTTGGGCACGTGCCTCGTATCTTTTTCGTTCATGCAGAGAATAAAATGTGAAAGAGAGGGTGATATCATTTTTGAAATTGAGTGTGTGCGCAGGATAATATATCAAGCTCTACTTAGTATCTCGGAGTTCCGATAGTACCGATGGATGGATGGCGTTCTAGTGGCAAAACTAATTGAACTTGCCTTCAAATCTCATCTCTTGTCATGTTCGCATTTGCCTTCGAGAACTTGATTAAACGGGTCTCGGGCCCGAGGACCTTCACCGGCTTCAATGAAGCCGGTCCCGGTCTTATCTACATGCATACACAGTCATTTCTTTTTCTTCCATTCGGCGCATAATTTCTTTTTTCCTCGTGACCAGGGTCGAATTAGTCATGCCTGCACATACCGTATCAGTCAGAAATGACTGAAGCCGAGCGTTCGCGCGTTGACTCACTCGGCGGGGTGCACGGGTGTCTGACTAACTGTGGTGGAGGCCGCATATATACCTGGGCATGGCCACAGTGGTTCAAGAATTTAATTATAATTTCTCCACTATTTTTGTTATTGAGCTTGCTCTTAAATAAAGATAAAAAAACAAACATTCGCATTCTATTCCTCCCTCACCAATTATCTACGCATCCAGTTGTCTCGTCAACCACCGTTTTATATTTTTACCTATCATTTGTCTGAACTTGCCAATCTTGCTGCAAGTCTTTCTCATTCACCAGTGAAAGTAATCTAACCCTTACCTTAGGTTTACTTTTCCTGTACCCCACCCGGCTAAGAAAGAGGTACTCTAGAACCGCTTTCCGAGCTACTCCACCCAATCCCCTCGATTATTTTGGTTTTTGGGCCCATTTCACCGGCGTCTGGTTACGTCCGTTTGATTTTTGTTTTAAGTTTTGATTTTTTATTGTTTTTGGATTCGTAAAGGGTTTACGATGTTTTAGGTTTACCTCGATTTGGACGAGGATTTGTGTTATTAAGTGTGTCAATCAGTGTTATTAGTGTCTAAACAGACCAGTTTTATTATTATTAAAAAAAAAAAAGAAGTGTCAATTCATATATTTTAGTGTGTTACCATCATGTCTCAATCGGTAACATCTCCAGCTCTGTCGACTTTTTCAGCGGCAGACCTTTCCGATAACGGTTCTCCAGCGACTGCTTATTCGTCCCCGGAGTTCACAAAAAGGAGCTTCCCACTGGCTAGTGTTTCTCCCAATCAATCAAGTTATTATAGTGAGCATTTAAATAAGCTGCATTTTAATCTTATCTTGATCAATTCAGCCATCAAATTATTGAGAATTTTATACACTAAGAATCCCCAACAAGGGGAAATTTCTGAACATAAGCTTAGATTTTTCATTGTGGAAATCTTGCGTCGTTCTAAAACCTCAACTCAACTGCTTCAACTTGCTTGTTACTATGTTTATAAATTAATTAAACTGAACAAACAAGTTGATATCTGTCCAAGAAAGCTTTTCCTAACTTTGATTATTCTTGCTTCAAAATTCAACCAAGATTATAATTATTCTTTTAAATCTTGGCTCAAAATTTGTGGTCTGAATGATAATGAATTCACCATTCGTGAATTACGTTCTTTGGAAATGAACACCTTATCTCTTCTCGATTATGAATTATATTTGAATAATGAGAAATATGAGAATTGGTGTAATGTCTTGATGATTTTCAGTTATGATTTTATCAAGCAACAAAGAATCTTGTTGCAAAATACTGCTGAAAATCAATTAACTTTTGAATTAGATGATGTTAGTGTCACTTCTAAATTGACTCATTGGCGTGAATTATTCACTACTCTTGAATTGAATGCTAATTCTTCCATTAACTTCAAAAGTTATTTCAATAGTCAAAAGGGATCTAAAGTGATTTTTATTGATGTTGAATCTGAAAGAGTACAAGTACCATCTCTCTTCACCAAGAGATCTATTTGTGCTATTGATGAAAAGTTGGATATTGTTAAAAAGTTTAAGTATTCTACCTCTATTCAAAATTAATATACATATCTTTTCAAATAAGTTGTAGTATTAGAGTCCAATAATTGATGTCAATCAAAGAATTTATTAACTGATAATGAGGATTCAAAAAGTTGTTAAGAGTACGGAAGCTTCGCTGGCATTATCAGACTTATGAGACTGTCTATATTAACTGCTTCCAATACTGCTTCCAACATTTGTTTAGGTATATTTCTCTTCTAGTTAATCTACTATCTATCTTCTTATATCTTTTATTTCTATTGTACATACCCCTCGTAATGTTATCTCATTAACTTTCTAAATGACGTTCCAATCAACTCCTTGATCTCCTTGTACGTCACAATAACACATGATTTCTCGTCTTCACTGATGAGCATAATCTTTTCTTCTATTCCCGCGTCTAATTTATTCAAACATGTCAATACTCGTGATAAATTTAAAACTGGTTTCCCATATTCATTCACCTCATTGAAAACATAATCACGGAAAAGTTTGATGATGTATTTAGGACCATTTTCTTTCCATTGCAGGTCGGTGGCATTCTCTGGTCTATCCAAGATGAAGTTAAGTTTAGTAACAAGTCTGAATAAACGTGCATTCTCCAATTCCCCAGTGAGTTGCAGTTCCATATAATCTTGACCATCTTGCAATCCATTGATGAATTGCATTAGTTTACTGGCAAGATTCTTGGCAATGAACTCTTGGATGGAACCTTCCCAGCCTACCAACTGTTCAAGTATATTGAGATATTCTTCAGAGAATATAGATAAAGTTCTTAAAGTCTTGATAGATTGTAACTCGGTTCCAGTTCTTAAATTAGGTTGCACCAACAATAAACTCAAATCAATCATCAATCTAGCAAAGTTTTTAATATCACGTTGTTGGTATACAGACATATCTTCAGATTCCTCATAATGTAAGATATCTCCAACACCACATCCGCTTAATTTAATTCTATTTTTACTAGTAACAATGATTTTTGTGACATCTATACTTTCTCTGGCAGCCAATCCACGTTCGTGTATGCTGCTCAATGCATTTGCAATCTGCACAAGGTACGCAGTCAAAACTTCTTCATTGATCGGCTCAAGCTTACCTCCAAGCTTCCTTACAATATGTTGTTCTTGTAAAGTGTTCGAATTTGGATAATAATCATAAGTGACAATCAATGACGCATGTTTCCCGCCAAACGCCATTGATGTGAAAGCTTCTTGAAGTTGTACAACGTTGGCACAACGGAGCAGTTTCCAGGCTTTAACCCTGTGGAATGGTAATTCATTTTGAATTCTAATGATTGATTGGTTTTCTATTCTTACCAAAACATACGGGTTCCCATCAACATTGGAGAAAACTTTGTATACTGACGTTGGTACTCCAAATACCTTTGAAGGTGGTTTGGCTACCATAACGTTATGATTATCTATAGGCACAAGCAGATGGTAAATGTTTATGTGATCAGGAAGGTTTGAGCGAGGAAGGGTTTGCAACGTTGCCTCGTTACGTTTCGTGAGTGCTTCACGTAAATCATTTGCAATGAACATGGATTGGGCATTAGTTTCAAATGGTGGGAGAGGGATGGTTAATCTAGGAGGTGGAGCAGGAGCATATAAATGATATTGAAGTGGGAATGACCTTGATGATTGGAAATACGCGTCTGATGATGAAGGTGCAGAATATGGGTTTGTAGGCCCTTGTCCAGGAATCCCAGCAGGACCACCAGGAATACCTCCTGGGATACCAGGAACTCCACCAGCAGGACCTCCAAGATTACCTCCAGTCGGGGTTCCCAAGGGACCTGTATGTTGGCTCAATATAGGAGAAGAGGCAGAGATGTCGCCTTGATTGATGATGGATGAGTTCCCGTTTACAGGAAGAAACGAAGATGGTGTGAACGAAGGAGTCGACACGTTAAATTTCTTTAAGGATGCAGTTGGGGTGCTGTTAATTGAGGAATTGGCGTTGGCGTTGGCTGATACAGATGCGGCTGCATCTCCAAACGACCCATTCACGTCATGAGAAAGACCTTCGGGCACAAAGGTTGGGATCTCCTTAAGTTTTGGGGAAGCTGCAAACTTGGACGTGGTGGAAGGTTGGAATGACGGAGTATTGAGGTTAAAGCGTTTTCTTTCTAATGTCGAGGTTGGTGTAGACACTGTGGTACCAGCAGTTGCCAAGGCTGGCGAGGAAATCCCCAGAGAAGCAGCACCACCCGCAGCAGAAGCTGCTACATTAGATCCCCCTGTAGAGCCTGCAGCATTTGCCCCCGAGTTTCCAGTAGTAGAAGCACCAGAGCCTGAAGCCGCCCCTGCTCCACCATTTGATCCAGTTGGTTTGACAACGTGACTGAACACACACCCCTTGTTCTCATACTTACAGTAGCCATATATGAGAATGTTCTTACAAAGCGTATCCCGCGCCAGGTCGATGTTGATATTCATTGGCGCAGAGTCGGTAAGTGGTCTTATTCTTGTAAGATTGTTCTTGATTGTTTTTATTGTTGAGCGAGGTTTTTTGGTAGGGGTGTAACAGAGAAAATTAAAAAAATTGGCGCGAATTTGTGTGTAGGAAAATGATAGAAGAGCTGTTAATAGTAGTTAGAAGGTTATTAGCTATCTTATTACTCAGAGATTAAACTTGAAAAATATAGTTGGAAACCATGGCTCAAGTTTTCATTTTAACTGGTGCATCCAAGGGTAAGTAGCAGGAGTGATGGTAGTAGTCGCAGTAATAGTAGGGAGATGCGTGGTGTTTTGTCCTCAGATTATACGTTCATTCACTAACAAATTTCAAGGGATTGGTGCTGCAATTGCGGAGTACATTTTGTCAGCAAATACAACCACCAAATTGGTTGCCGTGGCAAGATCATCAACTCAATTGGATGCTTTGATTGAGAAATATGGGAGCGATAGAGTTATTGCGATTGTAGGAGATGTCTCGGACGAGTCCACTTCACAAAGAGCCGTATTAGGGGCAGTTGAAAAATGGGGACGTGTTGATTCAATAATAGCAAATGCTGGTGTATTAGATCCCGTAGGACCAGTTTCAAAATCTGATGTGACTTCATGGAAGAAATTGTTCGATATTAATTTGTTTGCAGTGGTTGATTTAATTGCTAAGCTGCTTCCAGAACTCCGTAAGAGTCATGGAAGAATTATAGCAGTTCTGCTGGGTGCATCCACCAAGTCTTATGATGGGTGGAGTGCGTATGGAGCCTCCAAGGCTGCACTTAACCATTTGATTCAATCTGTTGCTGAAGAGGAAAAGGGCGTTGTATCTGCCATTTCTATTGCTCCCGGTGTGGTGGACACAGATATGCAAGTGGATATTAGACAGAAATTTGGCGCTAATATGAAGCCAGAAGCATTGAAAAGATTCACTGATTTACACAGTAAGGGAGAATTACTCCCTGCCCTGGTCCCAGCCGCTGTATATGGTAAATTGGCATTGAATGGATGGGATTCCGAGTTGAATGGTAAATACTGGAGATACAATGATGAAGTGTTTAAATAGATCTTCAATGATGTAGTGCTTAAATAGAGATCTTCAATTAAATGAATTATAAATGACGTACTGTCTTAATCTTCTTGTTTTGTAAACCTTTTTTTAGTTGGTAGGGTTCTTCCGCAATACATTCAATAAACATACCAAATAACAAATCGTACATACCCGATCCTGTATTGTGAACAGTATTCAAGTATGGGAATATGACTTCCAGATTCACTTCTTGAATCCTACACTACAATACAAGATTCTACAAGATTCTACAAGATTCTACAAGATTGTAATGAAGACAATTCCTCCTCCTCTTATTCTTTTCTTATTCACAGGCTGCAAAAAAGACAAGACAAGGGCTACTTCATACTCCACCAAGAGTCAACTCTTTTCTCAACATAAACGCTTTCCACTATTTAAAAACTCCTTATGCATTGTATTATTCACCTTAGCCCCCCTACTAACCATCCCTGTGCCCACTCCTACTTTGCCCATACATTTCTCCGTTTAGCTCAGTTCCTCGATCCTCGTTGTTTGTTTTTTTATGGTCGCACAACGGGGAAAAAAAATTGTCTATCAACACTCGAAAACACACCCCAACTCTTCATCCAAACATCAACATGTTCGCTCGTGTAGTTAGACCAGGGAGACTCTCTTCGCCAGTAGGTGCGCGTGCTCTTGCAGCAACCCGTTCCATGGTTCCATCCATGGCCCAGACTCGTTTCTATTCGTCTTCTGGTGGATCATCTTCCAATGGTGCCAAGGGTAAAGTGCTCTTGGCCTTTGGTGCCTTGGCTATTGGGTCCACTATTTGGGCTGCCACTTACAACAAGAACCCACCAAAGTCCGCAGTGGAACCAAGCTCAGCTTCCAAGCCAACTCGTTCATTCAAGGATGGTGAAGTTTCTGTGATTTTCGTTCTTGGTGGCCCAGGTGCCGGAAAGGGAACTCAATGTGCTAACCTTGTTAGAGACCATGGGTTCGTTCATCTTTCTGCTGGTGATTTGCTCCGTGCCGAACAAACCAGAGAGGGCTCTCAATACGGTGCCATGATCGCCCAATACATCAAGGATGGCCTTATTGTTCCTCAAGAAGTCACCATTGCTCTTTTGGACCAAGCTATCAAGGAACAATTTGCCAAGGGTTCAACCAAATTCCTTGTAGATGGATTCCCTCGTAAGATGGACCAAGCAATTACCTTTGAAGAACAAATCGCTCCTTCGTCCTTCACTTTGTTCTTTGAGTGTCCTGAACAAGTCATGTTGACCAGATTGTTGGAAAGAGGAAAGACTAGTGGACGTGCTGACGACAACGTCGAAAGTATCAAGAAACGGTTTAGAACTTTTGTAGAAACTTCCATGCCAGTCGTTGAATACTTTGAAAAGCAAGGGAAGGTTGTTAAGGTGAGCTGTGACAAGCCTGTTGATGAAGTTTACGAAAGTGTGAAGAAAGCTATGTCTGTTAGAGGTATCTAAATCAATGGCTGAACTTTAAAGTATATATGTATATATAGTGTTCACCAAATTGAAATATATTGATAGATCTACAGAATTTTATGCTATGCTCTATTATTTCTATACTATGCCTGATCACCGCTTCATTCTTCTCTTGAACGCTTTGGTCCGTGGGTCATTGATCTTCAACCTTTGGTAGTTCTGGCTAATAGGTTTCACCATGGTCCTAGATTGTTTAGTGTTGGCCGCCAATTGCGCTTCTTCTTGTTGTCTGAGCAACTCATCATCACTGTTTTCTTCTTCTGATTCCTCGTCCTCCTCACTGATATCCCCCTCATTGATTCTTCTCAACTCTTCATGCACATTCTTACTTTCCATACCATCCACAAGAGTTGTAAGATCTACCCGTGGTTTCATTTTCCAATTTCTTGTGGTACGTTTTTGAGTTCCCTTACGTTTCCGTGATAATTTCGAAACAGTGGAATTAGTAGATTCAATGTCACTTTCACCGTCTTCATGTACGACTTCCTCTTCAACCTTGTTCTTTGGTACATCTTCATCACCTTCTAACTTCTCACTCTTGATTTGTTGATAGTCTTTGAATAATGTAGACATTTGCTTATTCCCGCCAAATGAAAGGAATCTATGGACTTTCAATGGCGATGGTGATACTTGGAATGTAGTAACACTGCTCGAAGAGGTGGAGGATGAGTTCCTGGTTGGGGTCGTAGGAGCTGACATCACGACTGTGCTCGAGTTATCGTGGAATGGAGATGCTATCTCCGTGGTGGAGAATTGGAACTTGTTGTTATGTTTGGATATGTACAGTGGGGTTTCCATTCCACGTATCATGGAAGAATCTATGACTGGTTTGTTTGGAGTTGATAAGGTCTTGGAAGGACTTCCCGCGACGCTAGACAACTGGGCAAGTAATGAGGTACCACCGCTACGAACACTTCTTGATGGGGTCAAGAAATCAAGCCGTTTCAGGGCTCTTGTTGGTGTTTTAAAGGGCAGTAATGCCGGTGGTTGAATATGTGGGATATCTGGTTGGTTTAATACCGGTTTGGATTTCATTGGGGAAGAATCTGGAGGAGTCATGCTGGCTTGAATGTCAAAGATTGACAACACTTTCCCATTTGCCTGTGGAGTCGGACCCAACTCAGCTGTGGCCAGAAGTACAGCCGGCTTCGTTGGAGAGTCCTCAGGTTCCACATCAGATTCTAAGTTGATATTTACATTGGTAATTGGCTTCTTTTTAGGGGTGACATTAGCACCTGATTTTAAACTCCGATACCGCCGATACAATTTATAAGTATCCACATCACCTTTAATATCTTCCTTCGAGGGTACCCGGCCATGTTGTTTCTGGAAACCATGTTCCCACAGTTTGATCTGCTGTTTTACTTGGATCAATTCAGCCATTAAATTGGATATTGAGTAGATTAGGGAAGTGAGATGAGTTACGCGTTAAGATCTTGGGAAGTAAAAAAGACGCGAAGCTTAAAAAAGCGCGTCAGCCAAAATGTGATAATGTGGGGCAGTTATGAGAAAATGATGTCATGTCAGAAGGTGACAGTACTACGAAGTGAAGTTTAGATTGTATATATAGTACACCATATGTATTCTCTGGTCAGCCCCCCTCTTTAATTTTTTTTTTAATGTTTTTTTTTGCTACTCTTAGCATAAAAAGAAAGAAACTATCAAGTTCCAGAAAAACATTGCAATAAATTTATGACCTCCTTTCTTCTCATAAAGAAATCTCTTTATCTCATGTCACTTACACCTTCCCAATATCATTATACTCATTCTATTCTATGTACAAGAACACCATTTTCATATCTATAAAATTCTAAAGTTCTCTAATAAACTGTTCGATTTGATGGTTTAATCTTTCACTCTTTTGATGGCCAAGATTACGTAAAATCAATTGCAATGCATTCTTCACACATTTCTGTTCTTCTTCCGAGTTGAAACTCTTGTTGTTCAAGCGGAAAGCCTCTTCAAAAGATCCAGCAGCACTGGAAGCCCTGTTCCAATAGGTGTTGAAGAAATAAAGTTGTGCAGGGACATCGCCTGAGATCGAAAGGTATACAATCAAACGACTCCATTTACGCACTGCATCAGCAGGATGTGGATGTCCCACCAACACATTGAATGAAACATCCCATTGGTCCCAGAATTTTTCCCATTTGCCAGCATTCCCATAGAGGAAAAGAACAAGTTCAGAAACTGATGGAGAACTCGATTGTTGTTGTTGATTATAATATTCAATAAGATCAAGAATACCACGCATTCTATTACTTGCAAGCACACTGCGCTCGCTAGATGGTGGTTGTTGACTCAATTCTTGTTTCCCACTCATAATAGCATCGAGTGTTCCTGGCCCAACAAGTGTGGAGTCATTGGCATTCCCCACGGATAATCTCAAGAGTAAGGGGATAAACTCTGGTGATGCATTGATATCGATTATATCGTTGGAAAAGCGGTAAAGAGAAGCTACAAATTGAGAAAGTCTATGATAAAGATCATCTGAACGACTCATGAGATTTTCTGGGTTCGATTGAAGTTCAGGAGAATCAATAAGTAACTTCATGAATTCCATAACATCATTCAATTTAAGTTCCTTGATGGGAATTGATTTATCCAACATGATATCAAGATTAGTGTATTTGGCAAGAAGAGCTTCAGTGACTTGTTGGAAAGAAATTGATTCCGGTGATACTAAATGAATTGCTCTAACAAGTTCATAGTTTTGGTCATAATCATTTATCAGGGTCAAGGGGGACTTGTTCGCAGCCTTGATGTAGGATTGTATGGTTGTTGAGGTTATTGGCATTGGTTCTGAAAGGAATGATTGAACCGTCAGGATGGTTTGAGTCAGATAGGATCTTTTCAGAAGGAATAAGGATGGCATTACCTTCGCTCTGGTGTGATATTCTCTTCTAATACCAATGAAAAGATCATCATTTGTCAAGTTATTCTTAGGAGCAGATCTAATGGAAGTGAACTCTCTATTCTCAGGGTCTACCAGACCATCCCAAAGACTCTCAAGGTTTAGTTCTAGTCTACGATCAGCAGTTAGAATGTGAATACAGATCCCATCCACATCGGTATCACACATGATCCAACTGTTGGCTGGAGTACCATATTCGTTGTCGGTGGCCATGGGACCCTTTCTTGCTCTTCTTAACATTCTACGGTAGTTTGCATTCTTGGCAGCGTTGGTTACAAAGCCTTCCAATTTGGGGACAATTCCATGGTTATGTTTGATATACATTCTCAATTCGTTTGCAGCTTTATAGATATGTTTCTCGGACTTACCGGTGCACACAATCATATAGTCAGCCACCGAATCTTGATGTTCTGGTTGATTAGTTAAATCGAATAATTTTAAATCAATCAATCCAAATTTTTTAGAAAGTAATTCAAGAAATGGAGTTATTGATTGAGGTGAATTTTCCGGTATTTCAGGGAGTGGTTCATCAAAGGTTTGGTTTAATGGGGATGCAGTATCATTACGGAGGTACCATGGGGTTTCTAAATCGGAGGTAGTATCAGTATTAATAGTAGTAGGAGTAGAATCAGTAGTAGAGGTAGTAGGAGCAGAAGTACTAGTACTAACACCATCAGTACCATCCACTACTTTTATATTACTAACTTCTCCATACCCCCTTCTATAGTTAATCCTACCAGCTGGTACAACCCTCTTTCTTATAAGCTTGAACATTGTCTATATTATAAGTAGTATTACAAGCACCTCTCCTCTGTGTTGTCTCTCTGTCTCTCTCTTTAAAAAAAAATCAACAAGAATCAAAAAAAAAAAAAAAAAGAATCTCAAAGAAAAAAAAAAAAATACACATACAAAACTTTTTGTGTGAGAAAGTTTAAAGAGAACCCCGATGAGATGCAAGTGTAGTAGATCTTTCTTGAATCGTTTAAAGGGGCAATAATTTCCACCATAAATCACGATGGCAAAGCTTGTTCATAACGTCCAGAAGAAACAACATCGCGAGCGTTCGCAGACCCTGGAGAGGGCCAAATATGGTTTGCTTGAGAAGAAGAAAGATTATAAACTCCGTGCTGCTGATTACCACAAGAAGCAAGCGGCCATAAAGGCACTCAAGCAAAAGACAGCCACATACAACCCAGATGAATACTACCATGCGATGACCAGTCGTAAGACTGACGACAGAGGGGTGTTGGTTGCCGACAGAGGTAACGAAACCCTTTCTGTGCAACAAGTGAAATTAATGAAGACTCAAGATGTAAATTATGTTCGTACCATGAGATTAAATGAAAAGGCCAAGATTGACAAACAGAAGCAAGAGCTCAACTTCAACTCCCAGGGGAAACATACCGTGTTTGTAGACACCCACGAAGAACAACAGGCATTCAGACCGGAAGAATTCTTCCAAACCGACAAAAGTTTATTACGTCGTAGAGAAAATAGATTGAAAGTGGCTCAATTGGAAACCAATCTGAAGGTGATACAAGGACAAACAGAGGAAGAACAAGACTTTAAGAATATGAAAAAATTGAAACAATACAAGTTATTGAAGAGAAGATTGGATCGTGAGAAGCAATTGAAGGAGGTTGAACTGAGAATGGAAAACACCAGGGAATTGATGAAGAAGGGTAACAAGAAGAAGGTTGCGGATGCCTCTGGCAAGGTGCTGTTCAAGTGGAAGAACCAAAGAAAGAAGTAGATGTATATTAGTAATGTTATCTCGATAGAATAGATTGAGAAGGAGATAAATGATATGTAGAAAGAACAAGGAGTACAGATGAGGGATTTGGAGTCTTAGGGGAAGTATACTCCCTACACAGAATATGCCTTATATACCAGTGTATAGTCACTAATCGAAAGAGATGCCCATCATTGTCTTTCCCTTCTTGTATGCCGCCATAATGGAATTGCCTTATCCCTCTAAGAATTTCTATGAACACCGCTTGGTCTAGGTTTTACATCCAACTTCCTCGCTAGAGGAACAAGGCCTCCACGGCTAGTGGCCCACGGAGTGCCAGCGGAGCGGCTTGCAAACACCGGGAGGGCAGGCAGATACTCACTTCCCCGTGGGACTGTAAGCCGCTCTGCTGGCCCCTGCTCGGGGAGAGCCACTGCGTGGTGTTTATCTTCCTCTACGAGGAGTGGCTACACTTAGTATGCTATTACTTAAATTTCTATGTACTTTTTAATTTCTGTAGTTATACACTCCACCCCAATGATATAAATATATTCTGAAAGAAAGCAGTTCACTTTCAATTACTCTGCTAAACTTCTATTCAAATAATCCACAAACAAGGGTGTAATTCTGTCGATGTCCACATTTCTCATACGATTCAATGAAACATAAGTTCTTCTGATTCTTTGAAGTTGGGCAATCGATACCGAGGTGGATGGCATTTCCACCACTAACAGTGGCTCGCCACGAGAGATCAACACTTCTCCGCCTACACTTATAAGTTGTTGATGTTGTACAATCTTCGACACCACCGCCAGGGTCTGTGTATCGAGCTCTTGCAAGAACCCATTCCCAGAGGTTGCCTTGACCACGGTAGCTGCATTTGGAGGTGGGGCCTGTTTGAGTACAAGACAATTCCAGAGCTCTTGAATAGGAAGTTTTTCTTCAGCATAGTCGGAGACTAAAGTGAAAAGTGGAGAGTCCCATCGACTTGAATCGTTTGGTTCTTCATATCTCATACCCAACTGCCTTATAAGCTCTTCATCCCAGGGCAGGCCAGCCTCGGCGTTCCACTCGATACATTTATCCAACGGGGTCATCACTTGCACGACACAGTGTGGTGTGACGATGCCCTTGGCTTCACAATAAAGTTGGTAACGGAACCCCTTGATATAGGCCATGGTATCCAATATAACAAAGTTGTTTCTGGAAAGATCTCTTTTAACTGCAGCCATCTGGGTACCACGGGCATGCTTCTCCAATGTAGAGTCCTTATAGTTGGAATGGGCGATTCCTAAAGTTTCATCCGAATGGTAAATCACCGAATAATTCCCACCTTGTTCACCAGATTGTTTGGCTTCGTCGATCTTTTCCCTGAGGGCAGCCTCAAGCTTGCGAGCCCATCTGGTCTTCCCAGAGCTTGGAGGACCGGTAAATGTAATAAGTGGCATTGTATATAGAAGAAGAGTTAAGAAATGGCAGCCTACAGTATCTTTGGTAACCAAAATTTGTTTCTCATCGCGAACATAAGAAATCAATGTTGCATAGGATGAGCAGTATATATCACTCTTCTTCATCCATCTCCATCATGTCATTTGTACCTCGTCGGATATTCCCAAACTATAATATCCCACTATCCAACTTTAAGGGTCATCATCAAAAGGCACTCACGAGGTTTGGTCATTTGGCTCCACAAATCGATTTGGTATTGGAGGTTCGTGATTCAAGAGCTCCAGTGTCAACCACCAATGTTTTGTTTGATAAAGTTCTTGCCCACAAGCAGAAACTCATTCTATACTCCAAGAAAGACTTGTCTATTCTTCAAACAGACTTGTTGAACCGTTGGCATGCCTCGAATAATGAACAGTATCTCTTTGTTGATGCTCGTAGTAAGAAAGATGCCCAAACGGTCATTGATATTATTTCAGAACGATATCGGTCTATGAACCCACCACCTCCTCTTGGGCTCAGATTGATGGTCATAGGGATGCCCAATGTTGGGAAGTCCACCTTGGTCAACTCACTCCGTGAGGTTGGGTTCCTGTCGCATTCTGTTCCCGGAAGAATCTCATCTAAAAAGGCCAAAGTTGCCCGTACTGGTGGTCAACCTGGTGTTACCAAGGCCACCTCAGAAATCATCAGAATTTGTGAAGAACCAAACTTGCTCATGCATGATACCCCGGGGGTATTTCTCCCATCGGTAAAGGACATTGAGACAATGCTTGCCCTCAGTCTTGTGGGGTGTGTTCATACTTCCTACATCGATCCAGTGATTAAGGCAGATTATCTCTTATATCTTCTCAACTTGCAGGACCCCACGGGTTCCAAATACCTGGAGTATTTGGACCATCCAACCAATGATATCCAGGAACTCTTACATGGTATTGCCACCACCAGAAATGTGATTAAAAAGGGCAACACTTTCGATGAGTTGGGAATGGCCACTCATTGGGTCAATCTTTGGCAACAGGGGAAGCTGGACAAATATATGGGACTTTTTGACTTGTGTACAATTGTTGAATCGAATGGAGATTCCCTACGTGATATATTCCGTGCTGAACGTGAAAGAGTCAATGGTATGTCAGTTAGCACAAAGATTAAAAATAGTTTAGGAGAAGATGGGACTGGCCGTGCCAAGGATAGAAAGAGAACTGCAAAGGATAGAGAGTATGACTTGAAGAATGCTTTATTCAAGTAATGTATATATGTATAGATAATGTAAATAGTCCAAGGTAACCATCGCGTAGTTAATATCACCGCCCTTGACATTCTTTATTGTTCTATTGAAGGATTCTATCTAAATCTGGCATTTCATCATATTCACCTTCATTAGCACCAAATGTGCCCTGTGGGTTCCGTTTAAACAATCCATGTAAAGTAGCACCAGGCTTCCTGCGCTTGGCCCTGTTTTCTGCTTCTTCCCGACTAACATATTTTACCCCCAATTCCGAGACAAGGTCCTTCACAAATGGGAGTGATCTTTTATTGACTGATTTAAGCCAATCAGACTCCACACTTCCATTGAGCTTTAGCACGTTGCCTAAATTGAACATGTTCGATTCCTTGCTGACAAGGTATCGCTTAACAAAGTCGGGGTTATCCAAGAATTCATGAAGATCTCCAGTATTTTGTAATGAAGCAAATATTATTCTACGGAGGTTTAAATTGAATTTGTGAAGTGCAGGTGAAGGTGAAGTAAGCTTTGAATCCACAACTTCTTCAATTTTAACTGGTTTGGGCAATGAACTAACTGCAGATCCCGCCACTACTGCCTTGGGAATATTGATGCTCAGGGAACTCTCTACCTTGGAGTCACCATCTAGATCTTTTGCTAAGATGAATGATTCCATTAGTTTATTTGCAGATTTAGTGGGAAACTTCAATGTTTCTTTCTCGGAGGATTCATTATCTTCATTTTCTTCTTCCTCTTCTTCTTCTTCAGCCTTCTCATTTTTATATGGAGTCAAATATGGGAACCTGCCCAAATTTTCATCTTCCTTGAAGGGCATTCTAGTCATTGAACAAGTATATATGAACTTACCCTCCCCATTATTTACCTTGGTTGGCATTAAAATACACATTTTCACTTCAGTATCATCCTTTTGAACGTATCGAACCATGGCAACACTTTTCATCTCGAGAAGTGCTTTACAAAACAGATTGAATGCAAGAATATTCCTAGATGATCCTCCAGAAGCAGGTACCACATAAAAGGATTCTTCGGTGAGATATGCAAATGGGAAATCTTCATGTTTGAAGAACCCAACTATATCCATTCCTTCCATTGTGTGGAGAGTGGAAGCTATTTCCAAGTCCCTATCTAAGGCTATCAAATCATAATTAGAATACTTAAATCCTTTGACTTTTTCACCCTCATCAATGGGAATAATCTCAACATTAGAGTCATTGGAATCATCTTGTGGTAGATCATGATGACGTGTACCCAATTGTTCATCATCATTTCCAGTTTCCTCTACTTTCGGCCTTTGTACATAATATTCACGTTCATGACTAACTTTACTAACCGCATCATTTTTAACCACATAACTATGGCCACTGGGCAATGGTTCAATTTTAGCAGCTGGATAGCATTCAACGTCCATGGTCAAGGAATACACGTCAGATTCTGGGGAATAATCGTCTTTGGAATCTAGAATCCGAAGGTAATCACTACCAAACCTCAATTGACCATGATAATATTTCATTGGTCTAACTTTCCGTAATGGAGGGTGGTACTGGATGGCCTCATTAGATTCTATACCCGTTAAAAACGTCCCATTGTACTCTTTACATTTAAGGGACCAATTCTTAAAATTTTCTGACCGGTTAGAAATTTCAAATCCAACCCCAATGACCATCAAGTTTATCGAGAGTTTTTCCATGGCCACTTTGGTGGCATTTGCCAATGGCAGTTCAAACGACTCACATGGAGCTTGGCCGTTTGTTATCACGACTATATTTCTCGTGAACTTTAGTTTCAGAGTGTCCTTAAGAAGCAGCACCGCGAGAACCAACCCTTCAAAGCAATCACCAGTATTACTTTTAAATTCCATGTTGGAATTGGGGATTAACTTATTACGAAAGAATTTCAAATCGGAGTACAGTGGTGCTATTTTCTCACACACAACTTCTATATTTTGGAAAGAGCCCCCAGCACCGGCGTATGGATTATCGGTGAGAGGCGAATTGACTGCAATGACTGAAACATAATCAGTTTTACGACCTCGAAGTACCTTTGCAATGACAAGATCATAAAAATATTTCAATCCAATGTCAAGATTGGTATCAGGGGTATTGTTATATTTTTCCCCCATTGACGGTGATAAATCCACTACAAATGTAGTGATTTCCTTATCAGCCATATCTGTGGTTATCTATTCCTATTAAATCGAAAGGGGTTTAAAAGTATAGAGTAAATAATATAGAGTGCTAGTTCGTATGTTTTTGTGATATATATTTGTATACACTGGGTGAGTGTGCACGTGATACATCATTAGAAATGGAAAGGACATATCAAGAGGAACGAAAGATTTAGTTTTAGTCTTTTGAGTGAGTTAGCAAGAAGTGGAATTATTCTTATATAGAATATGAAGGAATTCATTGAGAATTCAGTTGAATTTTCAGTTTGGGTTTATAGATAGTTGGAATGTTTTTTTATATTTTCTTAAAATCCAAACTAATGAGAGCCAAAGTGATAAAGATGAAGAAAGAAATTGGATAATTTCGTATTTGAAATGGTCACTTAATGTAGAAAAAAAAACTGTGATAGTGTAGATATTTGGTAAATTCGTGTATGAAAGAAGTTCGTAAAGTTGATCTGTACAGACTTTTCTTCCTTGAAGAGGATTCCGATGGATCTTTAATGGAATGTTCTCGGCAGATTATGAGGACTCTTTTCACGAAAATTACCTGAAAGATCCGATCAATTTTCGGATCGGCTGGACTTCAACAAAAAGATTCCGAAGAATTAGCGCGATACATCTCCTTCTTTTTGTACGTTGCAGAATACTAGTGCAACACGTCCTATCCACAATCTAGACCACGGGATATCCCTGAGAATTACACGAGTGCCATGACACATTGCATCATTTGAAACTAATAAATATTGGCAGGTATTATTTTGTTGCTCAAAAGTATATGCACAAACTCCGTATAAACCAAGAAAGAGGTATTTTTTACTCAAGAATGATGACATAACGCAGAGAGTCACTATATGAGAAAAAAAAATTTTTAAAGGGAACAAAAAATAATGTGAAACAAATGAATCACGATTACAAGTGTGAAAGTATAGGTGGGCCGACAATGGGATGAGCTTGTTCTGACAGAAATAATGTAGACTCAATGTAGGAAATTATTTAGCGACTCCAATAACATTACAACTTACCGGTGACAATCGATTCATATGCTTCTCGGCAATCTATGTGTATACGGAATTGTAACACTGCCATGACCAGTGGGTACATATTTGTGAAAAAATACCGCGTAAAACTTTCCTATCGGTGTACAATTCGCCCGTATTTTCATGTTTCCAATCACCAGTAGTGCATTTTTTTTTTTTGTAGATTAATTTGGCATCATTCTATAATTTGACACACTAGAAAAAAAAAAAAAGAAAACAAGGAGTTTGGATGATTCATACAAGAATTCCAATTCATAAGGGAGTCCAATTCCGAAGGGAATTCAATTCAAAAGGGAGTTCCATTCAAAAGGGAGTTCAATTCAGAAGGGGGTTTCAAAGGAATGCTCCACAAGTGGCCAAGGTAGGAGCACCAAATAAGGATAATGAATCGATAGAAGGGGATATGATCACCTTGATGACATCTGCAATATGTACACAAATATTTATTTTGCTATCACATCGCTTGTGTTATCCATTTGAAACTGACTCCGGTGAGTAATTAGTAGAACATTATGAAGTACGTTTACGCCTTGAACCCGATGCAGAAAGATATTCCCATTGGTAACTTCATGTGAGAATCACATCCATGCGGCTGTAGTTGTGGTATCTTCAAGGTAGACAGAATCCCCCTCATACACAACCGCCATTGGCGGGACACACTGTAGGCGAGTCCTGGGGAATGGATCTTGGCGTACATGATCATAGATCTGGACCCGGATAAGGTGCCCCCATTAGTATTAAGCCCTGTAGGTGCCAGTACACCAACAGAAAAAATAAAGATCGGAAGAGTTGCCGGATTGGAAAAAGTTGGAATTTAATTATTTAATTTTTTTTTTTTTTGATTGTGCCGCGTTGTGTACATAAGTTCGTATTGATTTGTAAACGCGGGATAATTGGAATTTGGTAGTACACATTTTGTAGATAAATATATCTAGACAGCTACGAGAGGGCATTGAAACAGGCTCATTGTACGGTCGATTGCATAGCAATGCTGGAACTTCACACCCATGGGAAGCAGGATGTGTACATGGAGGAGTCGATACAAGCCATGGAAGGTGAGACTGATAGCAGGAAGTATCTATTAGAACAGCAAACACCCCCGCAACATTCCTTGCAACAGGGCATTCCATTGACACTTCAAGACCATAAACCTCATCATCTTCTGCAACAGCAGTACCAACCCCCACAGTTTGCGAATTACCAGCAGATGCTGAACGCCCATAGTCTGGATTATTTCCAACCACCGCCGCAATCTTTGCAACTACAACAACATGGACCCCAATCCCAGTCCCAGCCCCAACAGTACCACCATCAACAGCCACACCACGAGGCACCGCTGGAGCCGCAATTGGGCCAGGGGCAGATGTTCCCACAACCTCACCATCAATTTCAGCAGCATCAACTTGAACAAATGCAACCATTGGATCCTCAACAACAACAACAACAACAACAACAACAACAACAACAACAACAACAACAACAACAACACCATCCGTATCTTCAACAATCTCAACAGCCGACCTTCAATCATATGGCAGACCCCAACCCGATGTTCCAGCACTCCATGGTACCGCAGTTCAACCAACAACAAACTGCACTTGCCCCGCCAGAATTCACCGATAATTCATTGGCACAAACATGGAATTCAATTCCGATGACACAACCTCAATTCCCCAATGTAGATGCAACACACCCGGTTATTATGGGGGCGCCACCTCTCAATGCACCCGGATGGATGGCACCAATGGGCCAATTCCCCATGGATATGCCAACATTTCAACAACAACAACAACAACAACAACAACAACAACAACAGCAACAGCATCAACCGGTAGTGACGGACGGATCTGATATGAACTCGTCATTTGGCGATTTCCAGCCACATCTTGGGATATCTAATATGAACAGTGTACCGCCATATTATCGGAGCATTTCACAACCTTCTATTCAAAGGGAAGATAGACCAAATCACGAACAATTACTGATAGTTGTGAATGATGGAGAATATCAAAGAGGACATATACCATTAACTATGGGCGACCCAACAATAAATCTGGCTCAAACACAAGCCAATCTGCATATCCCTGAAGATACTCTATCTCAAGGAACAAAACGGTTACAACCAACAAATAAAGATATGATTGTTCCAACTCAGGGGAATCAACAAGCTCAGCAACACCAACCCATTAAATTGGTTAGTAATGTCATGGCAATGTCCATGTATCAACAACTTCCTCCGGTCCCCTCGAAAATTACTTCGATTCAAATACCGAAAACTCTTCGTACTGGTTCGATATCAGTGGGAGGAGGAGTCGGGGGATCAGGTGGTCTGTCATATTTCAAGCCAGTGAGAACAAAGCGAAACTCCAAGCCTAGAATTCATAAGATTTTAGACGGACATACTGTCCATAGTCAAAGCAATAAAAACGTAAAGAACTCATCTAGAGTGAAGCATGTTATTGGAGAGTATTCGTTGGATGAACTCTACGCCCATATGATTGACGCAATGGATATTAAGAAGACTCGCCAGGCGAAACAGACCGATGATGATGATGATGATGATGATGATGACATAATCATGGGGAATGAACATTACATGGATATTGAGAAAGATGAAGACGAATTCCCTAATCCATTAGCATATGTACTTACTTCGGATACTATGAAATGTAGAATGTTTGATTTGTTTACTCGTTTCATTGCACAAGCGTTCGATGTGTTGTTACCATTAGATGCATTTCAAATCATTATCCCAGACATTGCCATACATGATGAAACAAATATGATTCTGAATTCTTTATTTTGCTTATCGGCAATGATATTTCAAAGAAATAATCTTATTGACAAATCACTCCCAATCAAACATTACCATGAAGCAATTAAGGCCATTGGACAATATTTAGGTGATGGTGAGGGAACTAATGGGATGATGAATCGATGTTTGATCGCTACAATCTTTCTCTGTGTGTTTGAAAGTTCGTTTGATGCCTTGGAAAGTGCACATATTAAGGGAGCTACCAGTATCTTGGTAACATTAATGAGTCAGAATGAAAATGAAAAAAGTTTATTGAAATCATCACCCTTCCATGAAATATGCTTTTGGGCCATTCATTATAATGATTTATTACAATCGATGAAGACTGATACCCCACATATGTATTCCTTTGAACATTTCTGGAAACCTCTAGACCCTGGATATGTTGAACAATTTGAAACACTCCCACCTCCTCCACCACCCATGACATCTCCATACGATGGATTCACGGATTTTGTTAGTAAAGAAACAATGATCTGGTGGATCCGGAAATCATATTATGATTTTGCAAAAGTTTATGATTTTAAATTTGCAATCAATGTTGAAACTTTTGAAGATTTTAACAATAAGAAATCATTTCATAAATGGATTTCATTGAAGAAATATATTGATGATTACGAGGCAAGTTTACCAATAGCATTTAAACCTACATTTTATTCACCCTCTTCATCGCCCAAGAGGTTGTTTCCAACTCTTTTCTTTAGAGATGAATTGGTTGCAATGATGACTGCAGTGTATAAAATGTCGAGGATCTTACTATATGATTCATTAATGCATCGGTTGGATGGGAAAGATCCAAAAGTGGCAAGAGAGATAGAAAAATATCCACCTGGATACGCGAAAAAACTTGCTAAAGACGTTATAGGTATAGCTATAACATACAAAAATAACGTATTAACCTGGCCCGGGAATATTCATATCATTGATCAGGTTGCAAAACATTTGCAAGATAGTGAGGAATGTTTAGCCAAGTTACAAGAAATTATACAACAGATCATGCAGGAACATCACCTCCGGGTAAGTCGATGTATGTACGTTGTATGAAAAAGAATTCAAGGGTTATAGTAGTAAATATGTGTATCTTATTAACGTAATACATGAAATAGTTATTTTGTAGGTATGGCTTCGGAAAGAAAAAGAAAAGAATGAAAGAATTCTGAAAGAAATTACACATAGATTGAATGAAAATACAACAGCCTATTTGTGGATAATACTCGGTTTTAAAATATAGCCTTTGATTACTGAACCGAGGATATGAAGGAAATTCGGGTGAAGTATGTGGTGAAAGTGCGATTCTATTACTAGCGATCCATTTCGAGGTAATGCACGCACCGCGCACTTACCGAATCTTTCGTTTGTTCTATTTTTTGCAAAGCAATCTAACCGCTACATACTGATGATGAGACCTGGAAGCTGGGAGGTGCCATTTGCTGCATGTAGCAGTTGAAGCGCCTCTTCGTTTTTCGATCTTGTGCCGATCGTTTAGAGATTATTTTTAGCTGCCACACGTTGTGTGTATTTTACAGTATTTCTTTTTTCCCTTTTTGTCATTTTTCTTTGTCTGCTTTTTTCGCCCGCCTGTTTATTTCCTGTTTCCGAATTTCTCATCTCACAAAATATCAGTCCATCTGTGGTATGTATGGGGTACAGCCGAGCCCCACCTTCTCCTGACCCACTCCCTCCCCCCACATCCTACCGCTTAGTAGAAGGAACTCCTTGAACAGGGTTCCCGCTGGGTCATGTATGGTGGGGGAAGACATTATTCGTATATTTCATCAATACGGCGTTTGTCGTGTTAAAAAAGCCCCAGACAAAAATGACACTACTGTGCAAAAATGAGATGCATACTTTTCATGCATAAGCAAACAATTACAGGGTGAAGAACGGACTTGTTTCCCTGCATAGTTAGGTTCACTCACATTTTCATAGATGTAGTTTCAGTGTAGAAGTTTTACCTTTACCGATCCACTTGTTCTTTTTCTTGTAAGTTGAGGTATATCCATCCAAGATGACGATACCTAGAGACATTAGAGAGTTGCGGAAACAGGGTAAAATACCTTCCTTTTGTCTGCTGGTTACATCTGAAGGACTCGAGGAAATCCTACAACTTTTACGAGATGGTAACAATACAGAAGCGGAAAACTTGATGATTTTGGCGACTGTTTCAAATATCCTTCTTGTTAATAGACAGCTTCATAAACTGTATTTCACCCCCAATTGTTCCAATTCTGTTTTGAAAGATTTAATTGAACTGGCAAGAGTCGGTATTACACGTGAGTTTAAAAGACTTGAAGATCCAACCTCCATTCCTGAGAACTTCTCCTATGATAGAACGGCAGTCTATAGACTCGTATTCCTTATCTTATACGATGGGAAGGGATATCTAGACCAGAAGTTATTGGAACAGACCCATGGTGTATTGGTGGATGCATTTAAAATATCCAAAATAGTTCTTCCAAACAATTGGGGAACTCAAGCATTTTTGACCCTTTTCAATGAAATTTCAAAAGGATTGAGCACCATGCTCCATAAATATGAAGAAAGAGATCCTGTTAAATCAGTTTCTGCCGCTGATTGTATAGATGCATTCGACCAACTTCTTACACTTGGTGAATCATGTGGTAAAAATTTCAGTCATCATGAAAATATGTTGAGTAGAAGTATTTTGAATATGTATGTGGTACTTACATCGAAAAATGGATTCAATAGTAAACTTGACGGTAAATTCCCGCCCTTTGAAGTCAGTGACATTCCTCACAAGGTCAGAGTTCTCACTAGTGTGGTGACGTACTCGGCACAACAATTGGATGTGTTTAAAAGACAAGACCCTTGTGTCATTGGAGGACTGGGGGTGTTCTTTGTTGAACTATCAGATATCATGAGTTTAGTGGCCATTACAAAACTTAATTTCATTGATTTACTCGAATATATTGCCAAAGTGTCTGCCAATGGTGATAAAGATAATGAACTTCCTGTTCTTATGGAGTATCATAAATGGTGGAATGAAAACTTCTATCCAGTGGAAGGAGGTGAAAACACGATTTTCAGTCTTTTCTATGAACTTACTCTACTTTCAAGTCCAACAAATGATAAGGCAAGATTGGACGACCTGGCATATTATAGTCAAATTAAAAGTCTTATCCTTGATGGATACTTTGAATTATGTTTACCATTACATCGTTCATTAAATCAAAACCAAAGAAATCGTATACAATTGGAAAAATTCTTATCATTGTTTGGATTATCCATGTCAATGTCTTATTTACAAAGTAAAGGCATTCAAATTCCTGATGATATGTATGTTAACAAAAAGTATTTTGAAACGAATCCTAAATTTGTTCCTCCAAGATTACGTTCTCGTCAGGATAATGATGAATCATCAATGGGGATTTTTAATTCTCTTTTCCTGAAGACTTCGTACGGTGGAGACAACACCTCTACATATTTGACCCCAAGTGTCCCAGCTTCACCAACCCTGAATCCAATGACTGAAGAAGAAAAAGAATTGGAAGCTGAAAAATTATTCACCTTGTTGACCAGAGTGGAAAAAAACCCATCATTCAAAAACTTTAAAAACCCAATAAGAGAATTTCAACAATCTGGAAAGTTTGAAAACTTACTGTTGAATGATGAAGTTGATGTATAATAGACCTATATTATTAAGCGATATTTTTTTTTGAACGTGTTAATGTAAAAAAGTTCTCTGATGATATAAGTGATGTGAGTTACACTCTACTCTTTATATCAAAATTATGTATGATTATATAAAAAGTATATATACTAAAAGAAATGAAAACGCTTTTGACAATTATTCGATAATTTTGTCCTTAAGTTGCAAAACTAATGCAGTTCTGGTGGGAATATAAACTAAAAGAGAGTTATCTCTATCATTCCAAGGTTCATCCTTTGTCCAAAATTCCAAAGGTTTGCCAGTCTTGGGGTTAATCTCTTCAATTCTGTCATGTCCTCCAAAGCATGCTCTATCTGAATTCAAGACTACTTGGTAGATCCCGGGAATTTGTACCCCCAACTTGTAGTCAGCATAAGACTTTGTAGCATGGAAATTGAAGATAAATAATAATCCATTCCGTTCAAATACAATAACCTTATCACCCTGGTGTTTAAGAGAAACGTACGCTTGATGAGAGTCCAAAATCCCATACTTTGTATCCAAGTGTTGCATGGCACTATCAAAGTCAAAAAGGAACTTGTATCTCAAAAGAGGATCTTCAATTAAATTGAATTGTCTTCTAGCATAATTGTAACTTTCTCCATTCCCAACTCTTGGGAAATCTAACCATTCTGGATGACCAAATTCATTCCCTTCAAAATTAAGATATCCTTCACCTCCCAAGGAGAAAGTGATCAAACGAATAAGCTTATGTAAGGAAAGTCCTCTGTCGACTACAGGGGTGAGTTCAGTCAATACTGACATGTGTGTGTACATCTCTTTATCCATTAACCAAAAGGCAATGGTCTTATCACCAACAAGTGCTTGATCGTGCGATTCACAGTAGGCAATACACTTTTCTCCATGACGACGGTTGGTCAATGTATGGACAATTGCACCCATATCCCAATCTTCATCTTGTAAATGTTTAATGATCTTGATCCACATATCTGGAATAGCCATTGAGAGTCTGTAATTAAATCCAACCCCTCCATCGGTTGTTGGGAGACATAAAGTGGGCATCCCACTGACATCTTCTGCAATGGAAATGAATTTAAATCCCGAAGGTTCCTTGGTGGCTAGCTCATCCATTAAAGTATGAGCAAGAATCAAATATGCAATGGCGTCATTATCAACATAATCGTCACTAAAGTACTCGTTATAATTCCCACTGAATCCAAAACTTAACCCATGGTGCTTGTACAACATACTGGTGACCCCATCAAATCTAAAGCCATCAAATTGATAAACGTCAGTATAAAATTTCAAATTAGAGAGAAGAAATCTCAAGGTTTCATAATTGGAATAATTGAAAAGACGAGAATCCCAAAGGTCATGGTTTCCCTTGGCACCTCCATGGAAAAGGTAATGGTCAGTTCCATTGAACATATTGAGCCCATCTTCAACATTCTTGGACGCATGGGAATGAACCACGTCCAACAAGACTCTAATCCCCAAGCCATGAGCTTCATCAACCAACTCCTTAAGATCTTCTGGGGTCCCATAACGAGACGAAATGGCGAAAAAATTGGTGATTTGGTATCCAAAGGAAGCATAGTATGCATGTTCCATAACTGCCATCAATTGAATGGTGTTGTACCCCAATTGGTGGATCAAGGGTAAAATCTTTTTAGTGAAATTCTTGTAAGTACCAATGGTTGGTTCTGGGGTGGAAATACCGACATGGGCCTCGTAGATCTTGATCCCGTCTGTTTCTGGCAACACTGGTCTACTGTTTTTGAACTTGTATGTATCTTCTGGTTGTGGGTTCCAAAACCGCGAGTCGTAAACATGACTCTTGACACTCCCATCAACCTCTGGTTCTGGCTGTGTTGCCCTTGTTGCCCATGGACTCAATCGGTACACAACTTCTCCCAGGGGTAATGTGATGGCAAGTTTGATTTTGGAATCATGTGGGATGGTGAAATCCTTGCCGTTATTGATGGCAGGGATTGTGGTAGTCCAGAGCCCAAATCCATCAGACTTCACCAATGGAGTGGCATTCCTATCCCATCCATTGAACTCACCAATCAATGACACGGAAGTCACATCGGGGATGTACTCAGCAACGGATATCTCATGTGTTTTCCAATCAGCATGGATCCCATACTTCTTATAACTCGAAGCAAACTCGGCGAGGGTTTGATTGGAATCCTTCAAGGAGGCCAACAACAGAGCTGCGTGTTTCTGACGATGTACCAAGGCACCTTCATATGGTTCTAACCATGGATCGAGGTCCAATGCTCCTTTAACAAGCGGATCAATTGGCATCTTTATATTCCTCTCTGGTTGTCTTTCTCTTTTTTTGTAAATTTGTAACTCTTTTTTGTGGGCAGTAGGGGGGGTGGGGTCCTTTTGCCTATCTATGAGTGGGAATTGAATACAGGTGGTCTTACTATATTTGATAAAGGGTCCACGCGGTGATGTCTACAAGTAGAAGGGATCTATTACTCTAATACTTAACCAGAAGGGGAAATAGAAGGAAGAAATAAATCTAATTAAACCCCCATAAGATTCATCCGAATAACACACCATAAAGGGTCATTGCTCGAGAAGGCCTGCACGTAAACTGTAGAGTGTGGGGGGTTAAAGGCGGGACAAATATCAAACAAATGTGCTACAAGGGATTGGAGACCCCAATTTTATTTTAGAATCGTTGGGTTTACCATAATATTTTGGGTATTTCGAAGAAGGGGGCGTTTCAAGATGGGATTGTATTGATACATGTGGTAGGAAGTGATGGGGGATGATATTAACTGATGGGGGAGTTGCTCACTTAATTTTTTTTTTTGGATTTGAGATTTTCTGGGGGGCATTTCCACGAAATATTCCGAACGAGGGGGAACAGCTGATATTTAGAGTGTACACAAAGGCAAATGATATATATATTTTAATGGGATCAACTAAAGAAAAAGGTCAAATCATGAGCAAGGGGGGGTAATAAGTAGGTAACTCAAGAAGGTGGTCAGCAAGATCTAGTAGTAGTACTGTTGGAAAGGGGAATGAAGGATATAGAATGTTTTGCAGCCAATTCTGAAATACGAGTTTTATTTTAACACAGTAGATATCGCTGCTTGGCAAGTCTGTAGTTTGACTTCTGAACTCCTCGTAGAGGAGCTAGGCCCCACGCAGTGGCTCTCCCCGAGCAGGGGCCAGCGGAGCGTCTCACGACCCCGCAGGGAGGTTAGTAGTCCACCCTACGGGGTATGTAAACCGCTCCGCTGGCACTCCGTGGGCCACTAGCCGTGGAGGCTCCTGTTCCTCTGACGAGGAAGATATTTAAACAAAGTAGATAGGATAATCACACACAATACTCTATAGAATTACAGAATCGGCCCATATTTCAATACTGACCAAGTTTCTTTTCTTTCTCTTAACTACATCATCTCCTTGTATACGTCTTATTATCTCCCAATTGAATCTAAATCTATTTTCCCTCTATCTAAACCTTTGGCTTAAAATACGGTCTGTACCAGCCTCCTCGTACTCTTCTTTACTCACCCACATTTGGTGGAATGATCCCAAAGAAGCCAAAACACTCCCACCAATCCAGGTTTGATTGAATCTTTCAGTGGAATTACCGGTGGCATGTAATCTGATCTTCAATCCAGGGTTCATGTTCAGAAGCTCTCCATAAAGTCTTTCTGTAAGTTGTGGAATCAATGATGTAGACCCGGTCACAATCACATTGTGTGCTACAGATGATCTCAAATCAATGTCGACACTGGTCAATGTTTGCGTGATAAGTTGACTGAGACCTCTGATTTGTGGAGCATTGCTTCCACTAGCCTTTTTGTGTTTGAGGGTGGCACCTCCATTAGCTGCCTCGGAAGGTGGTGGGGTTGATTGGGCCAGCTCAGCCTTTCTTGCTCTCTTCAAAGGCTTGTAATCTTCATACCCACCTTTAAAGTCAAGTACACCATTGTCTGGTGGATACTTTGCTGCCAATGTTTCATCTTTAAATTTATAACTTTGAGGTTCGAAAATTGAATCGGCAACTTGGAATCTTTCCACTGAAAGTTCCACCGATTGACCCGTGGGGAATTCAAACATTCTCTTATGGGAATCTTGTTTATACATCTCCTTAACTGTGGTGTTATGAGTAACGTTATTACTAACCATTTTCTTTTCTGGTGCCTCCAAAAGAGTCTCCTTAAGTTCTTGGAAAATCCGTTGTCGTTGGTATTCTTCATACAGAGTGGTGATATTTTCTGGAAGATTGTCTCTTACAGTGTATTGAGCCTCAGCTGGGTAAACCGTGGGGATCTTGGATTTGATTTTATACGTTGGTTCAATGGCAAGTTGATTACCTCTGCTTGAACTCAATACATCTTGGAATTGGTCACTTAAAAATTTGCCTGCGTAATGAGTACGCATAGAGTTCTTGAGTAACGATATCCCATCAATGACAGGTGTCACACTCACAGAGTCATGACCAATGTCAACTACAAGACAATTTGGACGGCCTTGTTGGAAGGAAATACAGGTTGGGGCACGTGCGAGGTACAACGCAGAAAACCCAAACAGTTCATAAAAGGTTTCTACCAATTGTTTCCGATACTTTGTATTAGTCCATACCGGTTCAGTGACCAAGAGTGGTTGATCACTGTAATCAATCTTCAAATCAGTTTCAAAATATTGTGTGTATTGAGCGATAGCCGCGTCCCAATCGGTAATCACGGAGTCGGTGAGAATGGGGCGGATGTCATGGTTTGCCCGCGGCACATTGATCAGTTCTCCAAAGATTCTTTTAGGGGTTGTTGTTGTATCGTTGGCATCTACTGCGTAATATGAGGGGGTGATAACCTTGGGGAAATCGTCTCCGGCATAACCAATACGCGTGTGGAACGAGCCTGGGTCCAACACTATGGCGTTGATTTCGTCTCCTCCGTACACGGAAGCATTAGCAGCGGTGGTTGCCATGGTTCAACAGAGCTTATTAATGTCCTTTCCGTTGTCAGAAACGTTTGTTTTTTCTTGTGTTTTTTTTCTCCAAACATTTGTGAACTTTATCCGAAAATGTTTAAAAAAGTTCGCGTGGGTAGTACACACCAAAATGAATGAAGATATAAATGAACAGTACAAGAAGAATTGCATAGTGTAGTAGTACCAGTATATATTGTTAGAGAGACTTTGAGTAGTTCTGAGGGGAAATTATGATGAGCCTTAAGGAAACAAAAAGTCGAATCATGAATTACATATATGTAATTACTAATAACACCTCAATACTTCAAACTACCACAATTCCTTCACAAATACTCATTCCCCTACAATTTAATACTCATATAACTGCATTTCTAATTCTATCTCTCTTCTAATACTATCTACTTCTTATATCCCTATCTACACCCTTTCTCTCGAATATTTATACTTTAGTATTCACTAATTATTTATAAAATCTTTGATTCAGCATCAATCAAATTGATCAAAAATTCAACTTCTAATCTCTTTCTACCTTCAACAACCCAATCGTTGGCCAACTTTCTTGACCAACCCTTCAAGTTTGCAGCTTCTTCCACAGCCACGTCCAATTCCCCACGGCTCAACAGCAGCTCAACTCTTCCAATCACAGATTCAATGTCCTTCCCGTTTGGCTTGGCACCCTTGACTGGTAAAAGCAATTTAGAAAAGAAAATAGAAGCTAAATGTCCTAATAATCCAGCATTTGGTGGTAATAAAGATGCAGATCTCAATTCAGGTGCCAAGATTTCCCAACGAGCTAATAATTGAGAGTTATCTAAAATAGAATGAGTGGATTCCTTAGCAAGTAATTGGTTTAAATCTTCAATTGCCAACTTTAAAAGTTCATCATCAGTCTTGGAAATAGATTCTGATAATTTTTCCACATAACTGGATAATAATTTTGGTTGTTCATCATTAAATTTAACATTGAAAATTAAATTCTTTAACGAATTTAATGATTGTTGAACCAATCCCTTTTCATGGTTTGATACCAATTGACCTTCCAATTCAACGGCAAAGTTTTCTAAACTTTCTAATCTTGAATTAATGGATTTCAAGTTATTTAATCTACCATTTCTTTCTTGGTTAACTTTATCATTGATTAAAGTTTCAAAGTTTTTAGTTTGTTCAATTCTCATCAATGTAACGGCATTGACTGCAGCTTGACTAATTGTTTCCTTTGTGGCTTCAATTTCTTGTTGTAATCTTTTATTCAATTTAATTTCTAATTGACTTTTTTCAAAAGTAAATTGTTCTAATAAATTTTCCGTTAATGCTAATTCTTTCTTTGTATAAGAAGATAACAATTCAGTTTGACTAGTTTTCAATTTTTCTTGTAATTCAACTTCAAATGATTGCGTTAATTTTGTTAATTTGGCTGATAATTTAGAAACATTTTCATTAATTAAAGTAATTAATTTTTCATTCTTTGGGTTTTTAGCAACATCAATAGATAAAATCAAATCATTGAAAGATTTGATGGTTGACTTCACTGAAGAATCTATGGATGAAGAAGATGAAATGTCAACCAATGGGATATGTTCAATGGCTGGAGAACTAGATGGTTTACCACCATTTACCACTGGGGTGATTTTAGGAGTAGTAAGAGTAACTGCGGCAGTCTTTTCATCTCCATTGGTTCCACTACCACCTTGTAACTTCAGTTTAGTCTTGTTGATAAATTCTTCAGATTTATCTTCCAATTGATGAGTTAATTCATCAATCTTATCCTTGGATGGTAATTTGAATTCAAAGTTCTTGGTCTTTGTTTGAAGTTCTTCCAATTTCTTCTTGAAATCTTTAATTGAACCCTTTTCAATAAGGTCAAGCAATTCTTCATGGAATGGTAATTGGTTATCAATGACAAAATCTAAAACTTTTTCATTCTTAGTGGCAGCAAATAAAGTACCTCCATATAAGAAAGTAGCTAAAAGTAAAGTCTTGAAAACAAAGCCAGTGAAAGATCCACTCTTCTTGGCCTTTGGAGGTGGTGGAGGTGGAGTGGTCACTGGAACCTTGCTCAATGGGACGGTCTTGCTGGCCGGTTGGGTTGGTGCCATTGTTGGCACCACAGGTGGTACAGCCAGTGGTTGACTTGGAGCCATGACTGGAATATTGGCAGGGGTTGGTTTGTTGGCAGAAACATTTTTGTCCTCAATGACAAACGCGACTCTGGAAGTAGAGAATCCACGACTCATTCTACTGGATGCTCTGAGGGCACCACGAGTGGCAGAAGCTCTAATCATGCTCATTTTCACGTCAATTATATGCTTAACTATAGAGAGTGTTTAAACGGTTGTTTCCAATAAATCTTTTGCTTTTGTGAGTGAAATCTCCCAATCATAATTCGCGAAGTACATTTTGTGTCCTTTCCTGTGTGTAATGTTTATAGGTTGTGCAGGTAGAGTAAATCTTATGATACATCCATAAACATATAAACACTGGAAGGATATACGACAATTCCAAGTAGATGTGTATGTAGGGTTGGGGTGCATTTATAAAGTAGATAAATGTTCTTTGAGGAAATCTTAAATCATTAAACTTTAAAAATTCAGTTTAGTGATTAGTTTAGTTTTTACTATACATCCATTTCGCAGCCATTTTAAGAGAATCAAACTTAAAATTCCTTTTTAATGTTCATATAAGTCTCTCTATTGCATTCTATACATTCTAAAACTCTATAATTCTATTGATTATGCTAATAATTCATTGGTTTCAGCATCGTTTGATAGTTGTACACGTGCCTTCAATTCCAATTCATCATTTTCAGTTGGAACTTCCTTGGATTCTCCGATATAAACCGGCTTTTCCCATATAGTAGAATCCTTTTCATAATCCCATGTATTTTTGGAAAGATTAGCCTCTTCTAATTTTTTCTTTTGTTTCAATTGATCCTCTAATTCTTTTATTTCATTTGATTCTTCAGGTGTTCCATCATCATCATCTATACTATCATCTTGCTTTTCAACCATAACAACTTTCCCATTACGAATTACCATTTCAACAACCTTTTTACCTCTTCCAGTACGTGCACTAGCCGTCTGTTCATGTTTACGAAGTTGCTTCTGTTGTTTCTTCAATTGTAATGCTCTTTCCACTGGTGTAAGCCATATACTTCCACTACTATTGAATGAAGGCATTTCAAAATCTGCTGCATTATCGATAATTCTTGTTCTTTCAGTTCCAGTGGCTTGAAAATTTAATAATGTATCTAATCTTTCTTGTGCCTTTAATAATGCTGGATCTACCCCTTGAGTTCTTTCATACTCATTAATCTTTTGAACTTGTTCTTCTAATTCTTTGGCTTCTTCTTGTTGTTTAGCTAATAATTCATTGGCCTTCTTCTTTTCAATATCAGCTTGTTTCAATGCTCTATCTTGTGCCTTCCATAAATTTTCTCCAGGATTCATAGTAACTACAATTTTTTTACTTCTTTGTTTAGATGGTGGTGGTGGTGTGGATGCTGGTGTGATTGTTTCTAATTCTTGACGTTCTCGTTGTAAAATATTGGCAATCTCCAACTTTTCTTGTGGAGATAATAATTCAGATCCACAAAATGAACATGGTTGTATACCTTCTTTAGAACAGATAATCTTACCACAATTTAAACAATTTGGTGCCACTTCAAATAATGGATGACGCGTAGCCATGCAATTACATACTCTTCGAGGACCTGATATCCCTCCAATTTCATTCCCATGTATAGAGTCCTTACTTATCTCTAATTCATTTAAAACTGCTTCAATATCTTTTAAATTATCAAGATTTTTCTTTTTAGATCTTTTCGCCCCTTGTTTGGAAACGTCCTTCTTTGGTGGTTTTATATCCAAGAGTTGTGAAGTTGTTGCTGATGTTTTGTTGGTTGATAATCTAGCCTTACCTGAAGACTCATTCACTTTTGTCTTTTCTTTTGAATCAGTAGTCCAAGCGGGTCCACTTGATTTCGCAGCTTTTGCTGCTGCCACTGCCCTTTGTTCTTCCAATTTTTTCTTTTGTGATATTTTTGCAGCTCTATTTATTTCATTCTTTGTGTCTATAAATTTATAAATAAAATTTACTGCATCATCACTTTCTCCTAAAAGATTTATGAAATGTTCTCTAATGTCATGATCTGTTGAGAGTGTCAAGACATAGTCAACCATCTCCAGACATGTTTCCTTATCCAATGGTAGAATGTCTGAGATCGCCCTCACGGAGTAGTCTTTCAAGGAATTGATACTCATATTAAGTGTCGGTAAATACTTCTTTAACGTTTAAGAAAAATGGTTGCCACTCTCCAAATGGTTGCCACTTTTCTGCCTTTTCTTTATTTTTTTTTTTTTTTTTGTTAGTCACTTTTCTGGTGAAGCTTATATGCCGTCCTAATCATATAAAACGGTTAGTAAAATAAAAAAATATGGCAAAAAGAAATTAAGAGGTTAAGTTCAAAGGAACTTACAAATTAGATTGAAATAGAAATTTTATAATATTCCGTATCCAGGAACTATGTCACATAAACCGACTCCGGCGAGCTTACCTGCTATCCCGACCCTGACCCCAGATTCAGAAGCTTTGAAGGCCAAATATGCTGAGATTGCAGCATTGAAGAAGGCTATCGATGAGAAGAAGATGGCCCAACATGTAAACAAGCCGATTCCTGCCTGGGGGTATGGACAGATGGGCAATTCATTCAGAGGTAGAGGACGTGGACGAGGACGAGGACGAGGAAGGGGAAGAGGTGGATTTCAAGGACATTTGCCACACCGTAATATGACATTGGTGTTCAATGGAACATCTGAAGAGCCATCAACTTCTTCCTCCTACCCGACTCCTACAACAGTTTCCGAAACAACAACAACAACAACAACACCACCACCACCAACAAATGGTGATAGTACTAACGATTCTAGCAGCATGCCTACTTATATCTCTTCAGTAACCCAGGGAGGTATGAGTTTGGTTAATTCAGATATTTATCAAAGAGATGTGGAAATGAGAAGAGTTAGACTACAAAAGACTCAATTAATTCAAGAAAAAATCAAGCAAGAACGACGTAAAAAAGAAATTGAGATACGTCTATCCAAGAACGTCCATAAGACTGAAGGTAACGACAGAGTAAGTATTGGAGGAGATGACTTTGCAGTCACCAAAGGAGGTACAAAGTTGGTGCTCATCAGCACTCCTTCCACAGAGCGTATGGAGGCCGTAACAACTTGGAATGGAAGACTTTACTCCAGAAATAAAAATGGCAACTTAAAGTGTAAAAATATGAGAGGTAGAAGTTCTCAAGAGAGATGTCGATACTTCTCCAAAACAGGTATGTTATTTTTTTTTATTTTCTTTTTGTTTCTTAAAAGAAAGAACTCCCGCTTGGAGTTTTCTTGCTTACCATTATAACCTTACTAATTACATATGAAATTCTTTTCGGAGCCTTTCTTATCTGTCAGGTTTATGTCAGAAAGGCTCTACATGTCCATATGAGCACGATGTTGATCATATTCGAATCTGTCGTACTGTGTTAAAGGGCATGACATGTCTGAATAGACTTTGTATGCTTTCACACAAGGGCACACAATACAATACCCCAATGTGTAAATACTTCTTGGAAGACAAATGTTCAAACACAATGTGTTCGTTTGTTCATCGGAAACCTGAGGGCTATGGAGACAAGAATAAAGACTTTTGGGCATGTAGACCGTTTGCCATCAGTGGAGTATGTGATAGAGGTAACCGATGTCCATTTCTCCATGTTTATCAATGTCCAGATTTCCAAGAAAAGGGTACATGTCCACGAGGGAACTCATGTAGTTTGGAGCATCCAATCACTGCTCAAACCCAATTAAGGATGCTTAATGGTCCCAAGAAAACTGAAGAAGATGATATCTTGGTTGAAAGTGATTCTGAAGATAACGATAAACTTGTGATTATCAGTAGTTTTACCGTTGATCCTTCATTATTATTCAATCAAGGATCTAATGACAAGTATGAAATATATATTGATAATTCAGGAAGTACTCCAAACAACGATGATCCAGAACAAAACACTTTCCAACAAGATAAAGAGTTTATGATCAATCTACAAGATAGTGATGAAAGTGAATATAGTAGCGATGATTTGGGAGATAATAATGACTATGTTCAATTTGAAGTGGAGTAGTAAGAAAAAAAGAAGAAAAAAAAAAGAAGAAGAAGAACTAGAAGAAGAATAAATAAAAAGAAAGAAAACAGAAAGTTTTGTAATAGAATGTAATAGTAATAATAATAATAAATATTCTTCGGTATAGAAATGTAATTGTGGTGAATTCGAACAGATAAGAAGATAAGTGGAAGGAGATAAAGGTGTAAATTAAGGGGCTGTTAATGGGTGGGGAGATTGTTATTTTTTGTGGTAATTTTTGGGGGTTTTTCTATTTGCGACCAAAACTTGTTGCAAAAACCTCAAAAAGCAAAAGGGGGAGGCAACAGAAATTAAAACAAATGTAACCACGTACACTTCTACAACTCTACTGATCTAGAACTGACGTGTTACAAGATCAATTGACGCGTTTACCCCCAAGAGAATTCACAATAAATTTACCAACCTAATTCAAATGACAGTGGCTCTTCCAGTGTCATTAGAAAAGCTGAACTACAAATCAAAATACCAAAATATATCGATACTTGGGAATGGGAGCTTTGGCACCGTAACCTTGGCCAAATACCGCAACCTGTTGGCCAACCTTTTTCAAAGCTCAGCTAGCTGCAGGGCCACTATGATGGAGCCATTGCTTGATAGCAATGCCCACCTTAATCCATTGGTGGCTGTAAAAACCATGAATCGTAAACTTGCCAATACTATGGACTACATGCGAGTGAAAGAGGTACGGTTCATTTTATCGGTCCCATCGCATCATTGTCTTGTTCAAATATACGAGATGTTTGTTGATGAGGTGGATTTACAACTATGTATTGTCATGGAGTCCATGAATCAAAATTTGTATCAACTTATGAAACAAAGGAAGAATATTAGATTTTCATCGGTCACATTGAAGAGTATACTCCGTCAATTGACAGATGGTCTTAGACATATACATCGTCATGGGTTTTTCCATAGAGATCTTAAACCTGAAAATATCTTGGTGATTTCCACTTCACAATATTATGGCTGCAAAGAAAATATTCCAATTTCGCGTAAAGATGATAACTATGTTGTCAAGATTGCTGATTATGGGTTAGCTCGTCATGTTCAAAACATGAAACCATATACCGCATATGTCTCAACACGATGGTATAGATCCCCTGAGATATTACTTCGTAGAAAATGGTATTCCAAACCAGTTGATATTTGGGCATTGGGGACTGTTGCGGTGGAAATTGCAACTTTTAGACCTTTATTCCCAGGTTCAAATGAATTAGATCAAACTTGGAAAATCCTTGAGGTCTTAGGATGTCCATCAGTGGGTAATCAACCATTTAGAGGGGATGATAAGCAATCGACTGGAAATACTAATAATCTGATACAAACTCTGCTTCTGCTGCTGCAATTACTGCTGCTGCTTCTGCTGAAATTATCAATGAATGATTCATTAGATGATTTCACTCCTTTTGGAGGGTATTGGGAAGAAGCACAAACTTTATCATCCAAACTTGGATTTATTCTTCCTGCCACTTTAGGATCTCGAATTGAAGATATTTTACCCGGAAATAACTATGATCAATTGGGTAAAATAATTAAAATGTGTTTAACATGGAATCCTGATACAAGAGCAGATATTGAAACTATTTGTGCACAAGAATATTTCCAAGGTACTTGCTTAGCAAGTCCATATAGAGAGCCAGAAAGATTGTTCGATGGTAAGGAGAATTTAAATCATATGAGAGAACCCAAAAATCTAAAATTGGAGAATAATGATGAGAATAAAGATCCAATTGAGCGTATACAACCAATGGTTGTGAGTGTTTCCAAGGAAAAGGAAATAGTTAACAATTACTTGGGACATACATGTAATGTTTACGATGATGATAATGATGGATATGAACTGGAATTTATGAAAAGTCTTACACTTGATGATTTTCAAGAATATTCATTTGCCAATAATTTTGAAGAAACCATGGCTAGCGATAAGGAAGGCTGTGATATTGAAGATTATGAAGCATACATCAATTATGATGAAGCTGAACTAGCAACTTATCGAGCAAATAGTGGATATTCATGGGAAAATGATGCAGAAGATGAGAGTATAGATAACGATCCAGAAGATATGCAAGAAGACTCTAGACAAGTGGATTACTCTTTTGGAAGTGGGTACGATATTAAATGCTAAAATTGTGATTAATTGCAGGAGGATCTGGTGGATGTAATTATAGATAAGCTTTCCTAATTGATAAGGTTTGAGTAATATGCAAACTATATACAAGGTGTGTACTATTTAATATATGTGATTAATTCTTCCAAGATTGAAGATTTTGGATTATTGAAATGATTAAGTTAATACCATACGAGATTATAAAACGATGTTTGGAAACGAACAGGTTTGTGCTACCCGAGGTCTGGCCTCACCTGTGTGCGCAAAAGTCCCACATTTGAGTGACCTCTATATCAATCAAGCACCAACTAGTACCAATTTTCAAAGATCATATGGGAAGATATATAGTAGACGTAGTGGACATGTCCAACAATTGGATAGTCGTAGAATATAATTAAAAATCGTGACTTATCTAGTATTTGGTGTGGGTGAATAAGTTATGTTACCTCTTCCCCCCACTATTTTCTCAACATTCAATGTACATGATGTTACCCCACGCGAATGTGGTAACTATTTAAAAACTCAAGAACGTTAAATCCAAAAATATTTTATAAACTGTATAGATAGAGAATTTTAGACCATGTGTATCTTGTTGACTACCACTGAACATCCCGATTACCCACTTGTTGTGCTTTCGAATCGAGATGAATTCTTCAAGAGACGCACAGGGTTGGCTGCGTACAGAGTCTTGGATAACCACACAAAAGTGCTTGCACCCTTAGATTTAGGACGCCCCGAGCACGGGACCTGGATTGGGGTTACCACTACAGGGAAGCTTGCAGTATTATTGAACTATCGAGAGGAGGATCAAGCAAGTATGTTTCAAATTAGCCTTCCATTTCCACTTCCGCGTAAAAACGTGTACTAACATTATTTTAGATCTTGTGAGTGAAGTCTCGCGAGGAATCATCCCATTGGAATACCTTCAGTCCACAGAACTGGATGAAGATTGGGTTTCAAACATTGAAAAGTCACTTGCGGAAAAACTGATCAACAAGAAAGACCCTGTGACTTTGCGTAAAATCGGTGGGTTTCTGTTTGTATATGGTCAGTTATCTATTGATGATAGTAGTAACAAAATTAAACCGCTAAATATTTTAAGTAATAGAGGTGATAGAGGTAGGGTTCACGTTGAGAAAAAGCTGGTGGGAGAAATTGAAGACACCGAACATCAAACTACATTTGGATTGTCAAATTCATTGTTCTATGATCCTTGGCCCAAAGTTAAACGAGGTGAGAAGTTACTTCTGGATGCTGTGAACCATGCAGTCGTTAATCGGTTATCTACAGATGAATTTGTAAATAGTTGTTTAGATGTTTTGAGCACAAACACTTTTGATATGAAGGTTGCAAATGATCAAAGTATAGATTTTGTCACTAAATCTCGCGAGTTAAGAAACTCAATTTTCATCCCACCCCTTGCTACGGAAATGAGTAAATTGAACATTGATACTATGGGTAAATATTATGGAACCAGAACACAAACGGTGATTTTGTTGAGTAAACTGGGGGTTTTACATTACTACGAACGTAACCTTCATGATACAGATACCACTGAAGAAGACCTTCAAATCAGGCATTTTGAGTTTAGTATATAGCAACGATGGAGGTTATAGAGATGATTTATAACGAACCACACTAAAAGTTTAGAGAAGGAGCTAGTTAGAACGCTAGTCAACCAGATATTTTTAATTATGATTAGATAACAAAAAGAAAAGAAAAGATAAAAAAAAATAACTCATTTATGTGTATCTCATTTATGTGTTTCTCCAAACCAATCTAAATCCAACCCTTTAAAATATTCAATAAGGGTTCAATTAAAGTTTGCCCCTCTTGTGGTGAGAACTATTTGATGATTTTTGGGGATTTCATGTGCCGATTTGGGTTTAACACTATACGCACACCGACCCAACAGAGGGTGTAACCCATCGCAATGATGGCCTTCAATTTTTCAAACCAAGTAAAATCACGCGTTTTGACAGGTTTAACCCGGCGGACAATGACCTTCTACACACACCCTACTCAACCGTTGACTTCGGTCTTCCACCGTGAACCATTGGTACCACAAATAGCCGGAAGTACCGACAAACAATTGCTCGTGTTCATTCCAGGGAATCCAGGACTCATTGACTATTACACCACATATCTTGAGATCATTCAAAAGAAATACCCCACGCTTGAACTCTTCAATATATCACACGCTGGGTTCCAAACAACCGATAACTACATAGAATTGGGGGAAGGTACACCATTTGAATTTTATAACCTTGAGTTCCAGATTAATCATAAAGTTGAGGTGTTGCGAGAATTCCTTTCTGACCGTAAGGAGAAGACTCAATTATTTTTCTTGTGTCATTCTGTTGGGGCATATATTTCACAAAGAGTAGTTCAATCCATTCTTGCTGACCCGGAGTTGGCCGCCAAGGTTGAGGTCCGATTTGTGGGTTTAATTTGCCCTACTATCCTTGATATTCATAAATCATCTTCGGGTGTATTCCTTTGTAGATTATTATGGCTACTTCCCTTGGTACGTGTAGTATTATTACTCACATCATTTCTTAAATTGATCCTTTCCGAGAGTACTCTTAAACGTATTGTGCATTACAAGCTTAACACCAAAGCCCTTCGTCAAGAGAATAATCCAGATGCACAAGATAACATGCATAACTCGGTGATTGCCACTTACAATTTGGTACTGTCCCAACGTATTATTAAACAAGCACTTACATTAGCTGAAGAAGAAATGGTTGAAATCACTCAAGATGATGATACAAATGATTTTTTCTTTAAAGAATTACCATCCAAGGGGTATGGTGTAAAGATATGGTCATTTTTCGCTGATCTGGACTATTGGGTTCACGATACCTCAAGAGATGCAATTTTGGCTAAGTATCATGACCCAGAAAATAAAAATTTGTTGTTTGAGATTGGTCATGTGGGTGGAATTACCCATAGTTTCTGCGTGGATCAAAACACGGAATTTGCAGCTATTACATGTGCTGCGCTTGAAAAACTTTTTCTGAATGGTTTATAATAGAGGAAATGATTCAATGATGGGAGTCATCTATTCATTTCGAATTCAGAGAGGATTTTTTCAATTTTATTTTATTGATAAATACAACGTCTGTTTATGAGAGTAGATGTAGAATAATTGACAGGGTCTATTTTGAAAGATGAATAATGGACGGGCAAGGAATCTAGTGATGAAGCAAAGGAAACAATGGAATGGGATGACCTTAACAAAATAAACGCCAAACTTAAAGAACTAAAAAGTTTTTTTCAAACAGTTCTACAGTTCATTTTGGGCGCATAATATAGAACTATGTACATTACTAGTGAGGGAAATTCGCCCCAATGATATCACATCTGCGGCATGGATGTTGGGATTAATCTGTATTACAGTAAAAAAAATTGTGTCTGCATATACCCATCAACATGACTCTCGTCAATCATTTACAAATATGGCTCATATTTGGCCAGTAATTTCAAGATAAAAACCCTTGACCACCAATATCTTTAGATTTTTATAGACAGTTTTTTCCAATGATTCCAAAGAGACCAAAATTATAATCGTAGCATCAATAATTTATCTTTAAATTAACATACACTTCCCTTAGTCATGGGTGAAAAACTTTATTTGACTCCAATGCAAGTTGGTGACTACGAGTCACATTGTGCACGCACGCACCCTTAATTGGAAAAAAATTTAGGACTCTTAGTCATTCCAAGCCGCATTGTAAAACGTTATATTCTTTTCCAACATTCAATTCTATTCGTTATTCCTGGGTTTGTTGAGCATTCCTAAAACTATATAAGTACCTTCTATTCCCCTCCATCTTACAGATATTTATCAGAACTATATTCATTGAGAGAAATAACAATTACAATGTCTACAGTCCAAGAATCCCTTGGACGAGTCGATTCAGAAATCAAGTCTGACTCCAATTCTGAAAAGATCGCATCCGAACAACCTTTGAAAGCTCCAGACAGCTCTTCTATTGATGAAGAGTATTCGCTCAGCAGTGAGAAGGTGTTGAACAAGAAGGAGCTCGACAGGATCTACAGAAAATTGGATCGTAGAATCATTCCTGCCTTGTGGTGTTTGTACTTCTTAACCTCTTTCGGTTCCAGTTACTATGGGTTGACCTTGACAATGAACAAATCTCAGGGACATTCTTTGCGTCAAACCTTGAATTTGACCGCTAAGGATACCTCCACGGCCTCGGCCTTGTACTATGTGGGATACATTTTGTTTGATGTCCCCATGAACTTGATCATGACAAAGGTTAGTCCACAATCTTGGTTGTCCAGAATTGTCATTACTGTCGGTCTTGTCTACACTTGTTACCATGTGTTGGACAACAACAAGGGTTTGATCGCCATTCGTTTTATTTCTGGTGTTGTTGGTGCAGGTACTTGGCCCGGTATGAGTTACTATGTTTCTCTTTGGTACCCTAACGATAGACTGACCAAAAGAATTGGATATTATTTCACTGCTGCGCAAATATCTGCCGCTGTTGCTGGGTTAGTTAGTGCTGGGTTCCAGAAAATGGACGGGGTTAGAGGATATTCCGGTTGGCAATGGAGTTATTTGGTCTATGGTGTCATCACCATGGCTGTTGGGATCCTGTTGCTCTGGTGGTTGCCAGATAGACCATTCAAAACGGTAGAGGAAGGTAATAGCAGCTACATGAAATTATACCGCAAATACTTCACTCCTCCACATCCATTGAACGAACAAGAACGTGCTCTTCATCGTGCCGATATCGAATCTAGATACCAATTGATTCAATGGACATTCCAAGACGTGTTGGTAATCATCACTGACTTGCGTATTTGGCCATTGATCATCATGTACTTTGGAGTTGTTGGTACTGGCTTTGGATTGGCTGTGTTTGGATCTACCATTATTTCCGTCAATAACCCACATTTGTCCTCCATTGATGTATCCTTGCTTTATGCCCCAATCTGGGTCTTTGACTTGTGTGGGATTCTCTTGATTACTCCATTGGCTGACAGATATAAGCAACATCGTGCCTTTTTCTTCTCTGGTGCCTGTTTCATCATCATGTGTGGTATGTTTGTCACCACTTTTGCCAAGGGCTCTTGGAACAAATATGGTGGTCTTTTAATCGCTGGGTTTGGGTTGGGTCCAACTGTTCCAATTTGTATGTCTTGGGCAAGTGAAATGTTTGAACCAAGATATGGTGATGTTGGTGTAGCTGTCAGTGCTGCCTTAGTTTCCGGTTTGGGTAACCTTGGTTCCGTCACTTCCACCTATGCGTTGTACAGTGGTTGGCCCGCAGATGTTCCAAGACTCTACAAGTATTCCAACATGATGTTGGTGGTGATCTTGGGAGCTAGTGTCATTGCTGCAATTGTATGTCATTTTATTAAGGACAAGGTGAGACAAAAGAGAAGTTAAAGAAGTTTAATGAGATGTGTGTAAGAGTAGAGGTATGTACAGATGAACTTTAATAATAATAATTAATACTAAAAAATTTTAAAGAGCAAGGAGAAGTGAGTACACGATATCCATCTCAATTTAGAAGTAAATAAAATAGGGGGGTGGAAGATTTCATCGAAAGATCATCTTCAGGGTATAAATCCACCATGTGGAACTCATATACGGAATTGAATACCAAAATTGTGGACGACCCATTATATAAAAGCGCGGGTCCAAATCTAGAAGTTTCAGAACTATACATTCCTCTCTAATTAAAGGACTCAGAGGTCTCTTGGCTCATGCTCTATTATTATTTTTTGCATCTATTACAACATGTCAACGATGGTCTTACTGTGGTGTCCAACCTGCACGAAAAATAAAGAAGAACAAAAAAAGAAAGAGAGAGGCAAAAAAAAAATTATATTTTGAAGTGTGAAATCAAAAAAAAATATTATCTGCAGTCCCCGCCAATCATTACTCATAACGCAAGTGTGTTAAAAATAGTGTTTGTCAAGGAGTTTAGACCAATAGACATGGGAATAAAACGTTCGATTTCTTATGCCAATCCCACAAGTATTGAAGGTTTCGGGATCGGGCCCTGTCCTAGGATTAATATCCGGCGCGGACTTCTTCTTTTGATTGTTTTCGCCGCGAACTATTTGCCCTAATGGGGACATCCCGATGGGGGATCTTTCCTTTACTGGTCGTACACCCGAACATTTCCTGGGTGATTTATACATGGTGCATATACGAAGGTTGCATGGAATTTTAGTTGCCTAAAATACGGAAATTGCTCGCCACTTTGCTAGCATATTTGGCCCATCATGCATACAACAGGGTAAGATGTGCATGCAGGTACCACGTACAAACTTCCTTTTAAATAGAGTATCCCCCCCCCGCGGACCTTTGGCAGTGTTCAAGGTTGATTATCCTTGCTCTCTTGAAAGTCTGTACTTTCTGCGTAGTGTGTTATGTCGTTTTTCGACTCTATCATCCATGCGATGACCAAAAACTTTGCTGCTGTTTCAACGGGCTTAGTTGAAGGCGAGATCAGTACCATTCGGGAGGAGCCGGTTCCAACCGTGCCGTCGGATAGGATTCTCATTCGAGCCGAGGCATATGCTTCGAACCCTGTGGATTGGAAGCTTGTTGCTGGAGGCTGGACTCGTAAGGGGACTGTTCTTGGTTGTGACGTGAGCGGAGTCGTGGAACAGGTTGGTGCCAATGTCACGGGCTTTGTGGTTGGTGATTATGTATCTGCATTTCTTCGGGGAGACTATAGTAATACTGAAGGTGCATTCCAATCATTTGTAGTTGCTAATCCTTCGACAATCATCAAGTATGATAAATCCTTGTTTACATCCACAACCCCACTTTCAGTGGGGGTACATCCAAGAAATTACATCAATACTTTCGAAGGTGCTGCATCTGTAACTCTAGGACTTTGTACAGTAGCCATGTCCTTCCCCTTTTGTTTGGGGCTCAAACACGAGTTACGTGACTCCTACAAGGACAAATACATTTTAATATGGGGTGGGGCCACCTCGACAGGATATTTGGCAATACAAGTTGCTAAACAAATCTATGGATTAAAGGTGATCGCTACCTCTTCTCCTGCTAATTTTGATTTATTACGTGAATTGGGAGCTGATGTAGTGTTTGATTATCATGACGAAGACGTTGTTGATAAAATAAGGCAAGTTGGTGGTGCAAATATCCCATATGCATTGGATACGGTTTCAACGGTTAAAACTTTACAAGCTGTTTATGATTCTACACTGTATACAGAGTTTGTTCGTCTAGATAACTTGTTATTCTTGGACGAAGAAGACATCGTTACCGATATCTCTAGAAACGTTGCATTTGGTAAGACATCGACATTTTTGGTTTCAGGAGAACCAGCCCATTTGGCAGATGATTATCAACAAGTTCCATCAGGATTAGTTGAAGTGTTCACTCAATTCTGGCAAGATGTCTTACCAAAATATATATCTACCATCAAACATATAAATTTAAAAGTTTTACATAAGGGATTGGATTCAGTCAATGAAGCCATGGCTATACAAAGTGAAGGTTCTCTTCGAGGACAGAAAGTTGTGTTTAGAGCATAGGGCATAAATAATAATTAATAATATATACTTACATATAATAAAGTTCATAGGCTCAAGCTTGTTCAGTGACGTGTAAAAATAGTTTAAAGCCTGCATCAATTACGACGGTGGTATCCCGCCGCGGAGTCCCGCGGATGGTGTGTTCAATTTGTGGGTGGTTTTTGTTGTATTTTTTTCTTTTATTTTTCTTTTTGTTTTATTTATTTCTTGTCTGCTATTTGAGTGTGTGTGTGTGTGTTTTTCATTGTACTACTTTTCTTTTCAGGATATTCATTATTACCTTTGAGGCTTTGTTTTTAGTAGTGGCATGATTTTTTCCTTCTAATAAACTAATCGCGTTAACTTTATATTAATTTTTTTTTAAAGTTGTAGGTTAATTCTATCATTCTCCCTCCGTAATTCAAATTAATATTAACATTCAAAGTGGAAAGATCCTTACCGTAAATAATTGAACTATAGTTAGCTTCCATGCAGTGGGACTGTATGTAAGGTTACTGTTCAGGTTGCATTATTCTCGGCTTTCCTTAGGTGGACGGCCGTTACGCTGGCATATGCAAGTCAACACCTTCACGGGAATAAGGCAGGATTTTCCCGTCTCACTACAATTTTTATATGTTTGCAACATCTACAAGAAATTATCTTTGATAAAAAAACAATTTGTGTGATAGTTTAAATGGGGGGAGTGTATATCTTGCTTACAAATTCCATTTTCTTTTATTAAGCTATATTTTTTGAACACTTCCCCATAAATAAACCACATTTTCTTTAATTCCGTTTCTTTTTCGCCTTTATATTTCGTGTAAGTAGAGAAAATAAAGTAGAATAGCCCATTCAACAAGAGCGGTAGTTTAAGGTTGGCATGACAATTGTATACATAGTAATATAAGTTCAGTTAACAAGATAAAAGTCTCGAACAAAAAAAAAAAACTGCGAGACAAAAACGTTCTAGCCTGAAGAAAGATTTGTCACATGAGCATGCAATTGAGTGAACTTTATGTTTTTTCTTCTTTGTAGCATTGCCCACTGACACTATGACATCATCGAGATCAAACACATTTTTTCTAGCTTTAATGATTAACCTACAACCCTATACAAAAATGTACAAAATCAAATAGACGAGATAAAATTTAAATAATCCACTCTGCTTGTAATTTAGAAATAAACTATAAACTGTCCTTTTGGTATCGTCCAATGTTACTCTATGTAAATTGCTTAGAATTCAGCATTCTCTGCATTGATTGAAAATAAACATGTAGATCTGATATCTTTAAGTTGGTAGATTAAATGCCCAAATGCACAAGGGGAAATTTATGGCGGTTCGGTATGCATTTTAGGCTCCTATTTTGAAAATTCTTAATATTTTCTTGATAAAGTGTCGATTCGCCCTCTAATTAGTAGGGTTCCTTGGAGATAGGACCCATTGTGAAAAATAAAAGAAGGTCATTTTCTATGCAGCTATGTTTTTTTTCCTAAATTCACAGGGCTTCAAGATGCGTTACCGTAACTGCATTACGCAAAATTGCTATTCGCGCCCAGATCGATCATAACAAATATGCATATTGCTGCAGCTAAGAACATCACCTAAGAGCGAAACACTGTGAGTATATTGTCTAATGCCCATCGAAAAAGACAATGATCAGACTATATGTCTTGCTTTATAATCTTGTTGGGTGGAATTGTATATTGTCCTCCAGGTGAAGAGAGAGTTCATTGTAAGGACTTGGACTTTCTTTATTTTAGCTCTTTTGCCGTTCCCTTTTACTTACCTGAATGCTAAAAGTGTAATCTCCGATGACTATGTATATGCTCTTCTCCACGTAATTTTTTTTTTTTCAGAGACTATACAGCCCCGATATCTCCGCTGACCCTTTATATGGCTTACTCATCTAGAGCAAGGCACATATGATATATAAGACTATGTATTCTTTCTTTCCAAACTCCAACCTTTATACTATTCTCATAAAGCAAATTAAATAATAAATATCATAATGTCAAACACAGTTGCATCTTTCTCCGGTGACACCGGCTATAACCTCACATCTATTTCTAAAGTTGAAATCCCAACCGTTCCAAAGGATGCTCTTCTTATCAAGGGTATTGCTTATGCTGCCAACCCAACCGACTGGAAGCATTTAGTGTATGGTCTTGGACCAAAGGGATCTAGATTGGGTACCGACGTTGCTGGTGTTGTTGAAGAAGTTGGATCTGAAGTTAAGGGCTTCGAAAAGGGTGACATTGTTTCCCACTTCATGCATGGTAACACCAACCCAGATAATGGTGCATTCCAAGAATACCTCATTGCTAACCCAGCTACTACCATCAAGTACAACAAGTCTGGTTTCAAGACTGAAGCTCTTCCTTCTGGACAAACCACCCCAATCGGAAAGATTGACACTTTCGAAGGTGCTGCCTCTGTCACTCTCGGTCTTGTCACTATTGGTTTGTCATTCTCTCACCATCTCAAGATTTCTTCAAACAAGGCTGACAACGCCGACAAGTACATTTTGATTTGGGGTGGCGCAACTGCCACTGGTTTCCTTGCCATTCAAGTTGCCAAGCTCGTTTACGGCTTGAAGGTCATTGCTACTGCTTCCAAGAAGCATCATGAATGTTTAAAGAACATTGGTGCCGATTATTTGGTTGATTACAACGACAAGGACGCAGTTGACCAAATCAGAGCCATCGGTGGTTCCAAGATTAACTATGGTTTCGATGCTGTCTCTAACAAGGATACTTTCCAATCTCTTTACGATGCCACCTCTGAAACCAAAGATGTCAGACTTGACAACTTGTTGTTCCTTTCAGAAAAGGATATCAACGCTGACCCTAACAGAAAGGTTTACATTGGTGAAACCTTGGCTTACGTTGTTACTGGTGAAAATGTTAACTTTGGTGGACACATGGTTTACTCTTCTCCAGAATTGATTGCCGCCTACACCAACTTCTGGACTGAAATTTTACCACCATACATTCCTCAATTAGTTCACTCCAACTTGAAGGTTTTGACTCCTGGTTTCGAATCTATTGATGTTGCTTTCTCCTTGTTGAGAGAAAACAAGGTCAGTGGTGAAAAGCTTGTTTTCAGAAGAGAATAGATCTCTTTCCTAAGATACGATAATTATAATGTAACCCTATTCTTTATACAATAAATGAACATCAGAAGTTTATAAATATGTATTATTTCATAGGGCTATCACTCTCTATCACGCTCTCTTCAACTTCTTTGTAGTAGTCGTCATCAATTCTAGAATTTCTCAACATATGATACATAAAAGACATCCAAGCGCTTCTTATGCTTACACACGAATTGTAGTACATCATTCGAACCCAACTGCATACTATCCAGTTTTATTTCACTTCGCCTCACCCCAACACGGACCACTTTTTCGCAACCGTTATTCCCGTCTCATCGGTCTGCCCGCAGTCCACCTGCATACATAGACATATTCCATCGCTTGGTTTGTTTTTTTACATCGATCTCATCTCCCGAAATTTTCAAGTTAACTCCCTAATTTTATACTCTTCTTCTTCTTCTGCATCAATAACCAAGAAGAACAGCTAATATGTCTCAGCCAACCTCTTCCACTGACAAGTCACAATTGCCGTTCACTGAACAGCATTACTTCTCTTCTTATGACCATTTCGGTATTCATGAAGAGATGTTGAAGGATACTTCCAGAACCTTATCTTACCGTTCAGCCATGTTCAAGAACAAGCATCTTTTCAAAGACAAGATTGTTTTGGATGTTGGTTGTGGTACTGGTATTCTTTCTATGTTTGCTGCCAAGGCTGGTGCCAAGCACGTCTACTCTGTCGACATGTCTAACATCATCGACAAGGCTAGAGAAATTGTCTCCTTGAATGGATTTGAAGACAAGATTACCTTGTTGCAAGGTAAATTAGAAGACATTGACTTGCCAGTCAAGCAAGTTGATATCATTGTTTCTGAATGGATGGGTTACTTTTTGTTGTACGAATCCATGTTGGACACTGTTTTGTGGGCCAGAGACAAGTACCTTGCTCCAGGTGGTTTGATTCTTCCAGACAAGTGTTCCATGTACATTGCTGGTATTGAAGACCAACAATACAAGGATGAAAAGATCCACTACTGGGAAGATGTTTATGGATTTGATTACACTCCATTCATCAAGGTTGCCATGGTTGAACCATTGGTTGACACTGTTGATAACAACTCCTTGATCACCACTCCTCACAAGTTTTTCGAATTTGACATAAACACTGTCACTAAGGAAGGTTTGGAATTCCACCGTGATTTCGAACTTCGTGCCATTGACAACGACATGTGTCACGCATACATTGTCTGGTGGGATTGTGAGTTCCCAGGTGATGACAAGGTTACTCTCTTCACCGGTCCAATGAAGCAATACACTCATTGGAAGCAAACCGTCTTCTACATGGACCAAGTTTTGGACTGTAAGAAGGGTGACACCATCAAGGGTTCCATTGCTCTGAGACCAAACGCCACCAACCCAAGAGAATTGGATATCGAAATCAACTGGGACTTGGAAACTGAAGCCAAGGATGCCACCAGAGAACAAAAGGGTAAGTACAACTACTTTATGCGTTAAGAGAAGCGTAAGGCGACCTTGCCCGACAGCATAAATAAGCATTTCATTGTCTGTATTAGTAGTTAATATCAAGAATAGGTATAAAGAATAAAAAAAAAAACTAGGTTGTAAGGAGAGCTACAGTGTATTTACTGGTTATACAGTTCCCATTGGATTCAGTGATGGACGAGTTTTAAAGGAAGGAGGTTTGTTTGTAAAGATGGCTGTAAAAAAATATGGATGCCTGTGTAGTATTTTCTTTTTTTTTGGATGTTTCTTTTTTTTTTTATGTCTGGCTCCTACTCTTTTCGCGCATTAAGTGGGAGACTTTCCAAATCTATCCCTCTCGATTTTATTGTTGCCACCAATTTATGATGATTTCTAAGCTTGTAGTCAAATCATCTAGCCTTAATATTGGTACCAGATTTCTCCCTTTACTTCGATATAAATCAACAATGTCAAAAACTGAAGACGACTGGAGAGCAATTCTCTCACCTGCACAATACCGGGTACTTAGACAGCTGGGTACTGAAGCACCATTCACTGGAGAATACACAGACACACCCGCATCAGAAAAAGGAGTATATGAATGTGTTGGGTGTAGCCAACCATTATATAAGGCCCTGACCAAGTTCAGTGCTCATTGTGGATGGCCTGCGTTTTATGAAGCAATTCCTGGATCCATCACTGTATTGAGAGATGAATCTCATGGTATGGTTAGAGAGGAAATGCGTTGCTCCAAGTGTGATGGACATTTAGGACATATCTTTAAAGGGGAAGGATACAAAACACCTACAGATTCAAGACATTGTGTTAACAGTATTTGCTTGAAATTGAGAAATGATGAGTAAAAATGAAATAATGAAAGAGAATAAAAAAACATATGTGGTACACCCATTAGTAGAAACAGTAGATAATAATATTCATTCGTCTTCTTCTTCTTCTTCTTCCGTCTTCTCCTCTAAACACTTAGATAACATATGGAATAAATGCAGTTCTCTTCAACTTTTTATATTCATCACCAAAAGTCTTCAAGTAACGCTTGTGTTTCTTTTCAGCCCAAATGAACATTTGACCACTTGAGATGGCCAAGAACAACCAAGCAGACCAATTGTTGGTCAATACAGCGAAAAACAACCAACCCAAAGATTCAAAGAAATAGTTAGGGAAGGAAACAAGGTTAAACCCGTATCCGTATGGGATAACATGCTTCTTTGGAGCCTTTGGATCGGAAGATCTTAAAGAGGCCAAAATCAAATGAGTTTTGAAGTTGGAAACTTCAGCAAAGATCCAACCAAGAACTAACAAAGCATTGGCCCAAGTTGGTAAATCGTTGACATAAAACAAAAATTTAGTGAACGCATTGGACTTGGAGCCGGTGGCAAAGTTTGGAGAATAAATGAAAAAGGCCAAGTTAAATCCAGATAAGATCCAATAATGGGAAGAGTTCTTAAAGATATTGAAGATTGGCATGGTTGCTTGAGAGAAAGAATGAACGTACATAGTTTCGTATTCTCTCTTCAAGAAATGAAGCAAGACCATGGCATAGGCTAATTTCTGGGTTTGAGTGTGGACACCAGCAGCAGTTGAATAGATGGAAGTGAAATGGTAAAACAATGGGTGGAGTAAAAGTGGACCCAAATATTCCACGAGAAAGACAGTCTTCCAGGCAATTTGTGGACCCAAATCCTTGACATAAAGAGTGATTTCTGGGGCACCACGAGGAACTCCGTTATCAATGAATGATTTATCGGATTCCAATGGGATTTGTTTCTTAACGGCAGCATCATTGATGGTAATTCTGAGTCTGTTGACGGAAATATCCTTATTTGACTCTGAAATCAATTCAGCTAAAGCTGAGACAGGATCATCCAAGCTCAATTCATTGGTGGAGAGACCCAAGAGGGACTTAGAACGAGATCTAACTTCAATATTAACCATTTTAGTTGGTATCAATGGAGAAAGCAATGTAGTTTAAGGTGGATAAAAATTATGCGTGCACAAAGAAAAGGGAAATTGTCGCACTGTTGGGTAAATCTGGAGTTAGATATATAATATGTTTCAAGTTAAAGAAATTTAAATAGGGTATGACATTGAAAGTTGGTATGTATAAAGGATGAGAGGTGGGAATATAATATAGATGAAGGAGAGTGGGGGGGGGCGTGAGGTGTGGGGCGAATTATACAAATGTGTTAACAGAAATAGAATGAGGAGATCGGTAGATGGGGTGATATCTCGTAGTAACATCGGGCAAATTAAAGCAAATTCCAATACTAACCTGATTTAGAAAATTTACCACCTTGCGATGAAGAACAACTTCGATCTGTATTTGAACCATTTGGTATAATTACTTCAGTTGTAAAAAAGGGATCTAGTGCCATTATTAAATTCGATGAAGAAGAAGATTGTTTAGCAGCAATTCAAAATATTAATGGGTATGAATATTTTGGTAAAATTTTATCGGCACACAAGATAAACAATTAGAAAGATAGAAGAGGATGAAGCGAGCAAACCACGTTTAATGGGCCATTCAACAAAAAGTAATACTATATCATTTTCATATAAACTTTGATGCGCTTTTGTTAGTTGGTAGATGGATTTTATTTTACTTTTACCCCTTTCAAAAAAAAAACAATAATAATACCAAATTCCCATATAAACCTACATGTACATAATCCCAAATTTACATGGAATGGATGTGATAATAATATATCCTAAAACATTCTCTAATTTGAATGTTTAATAGAGTGCCACAAGACATATATAATAATATAAAATTAAAAATAATGTTTAAAAATAAAAATAAAAATATTGTAAATTCTGGAACCTTCCTTGGTCGTGCCCGTACCGGGATTCCCACTGTGATTCACTCCAAGTGTCAACGAGCGAGGAAAATTAATATGGTCACACTATAGAGCAAGCTTTCAACACAAGTTTTATTTCATAAAGGTATTCAATATACTTAAATTTTTAAATATAAATCATTAAAACAAAAATATGTCAGATTGGGATTCAGTTACTATAATCGGTTCAAAGGCCAGAGTTGGTGGTGGTGGGCCAAGACAAACAGTTGCTAGAACTGCTGGTCAACTTAACGCCGCCAGAAGATCTGGTGCTGTTATCGGTACTGAAAAGAAGTATGGATCTACCAACACCAAGGGTGATCCAGAAGGTCAAAGATTAACCAAGTTGGACGCCACCGATGATGTGGTACCCACCAAGAAGTTGGACGCCAGTGTTGGTAAGGCCATTCAACAAGCTAGACAAGAAAAGAAGTTGACACAAAAGGATCTTGCCACCAAGATTAATGAAAAGCCAAATGTTATTAACGATTATGAAGCTGGTAGAGCTGTTCCAAACCAACAACTTTTAGGTAAGTTGGAAAGAGCCTTGGGTGTTAAGTTGAGAGGTAAGAACATTGGTGAACCATTGTTTGCTAAGAAGAAGTAAATGTGCATTTGATCAAGGTGTCTAATTAGTGAGACATTTTTTGTAGATTTTTTTTTTTTTGGAATCTTTGGGTAAGGGATATTTAGTTATAAACGAAAGTTCTTGGTAATTTTGTGTTGTAGTAGTGTAGTGAGTGTGGGGAAGAAGGTAATGAGTGGGGGTATAAATCGGGGTAGGAAATGATATTTTGGTTAGAAATTGTGGAAATTTGAGAGAAATTATATCAAAAGTGAAATTGGTGAAAACTGGAGAATACATAAGCAAGCTTTTCATAATTGTTCTACTACTAGCAGATATTATATACTCTTAAAATAAAAAGAATGAATAGAACCGATTATGCCCTTTCTAATATATATATGGGATTGCAACTGATTTAGAATTATTGTAAAACAATGACTGCAAAAAAATGAGCCATGGACTCAAATCTAATTTTTACACAGGGGACGTTATGGAAAACACCTATCTCTACAATATTTATATATTCAATTCTTTACAATTAATATCTTTTCATATGTTTATATTAGTTAAAAATATATTTAAGCTATGAATCATGATTAAAACTTTTCAATAGTTTGGTAGAAAGTCTTACCTTGAATTTCAGCGATTTCTAACTCCAACTTTGATGGTTGTCTAGAACCATCGGCACCAGCAAAGGACCCAGCACCATATGGAGAACCACCGTGTACTTCATCGAAAGAAGTTAAAAGTGGGAAAACTGGCTTGTATCCCAATGGAACATAAATGATACCATGATGGACAAGAACAGATAAAGAGTTGACAACAGTAGTTTCTTGACCACCACCTGGAGTACCAGTGGTTACGAAAACACCAGCAGCCTTACCGTAAAGAGCACCAGAAGCCCATAAACCACCAGTAGAATCCCAGAAAGCCTTGAATTGGGCTGGGAAGTTACCGAAACGGGTTGGAATACCAAATAAGAAGGCATCATATTGAACCAAAGTATCTGGAGAAGCAATTGGATAGTCTGGCTTTGGAGCAGCATGCATCTTAGCTAAAACTTCATCAGAAAGGGTTTCTGGGACTTGGAAGATATCAGCAACTCCTCCAGCAGATTCAACACCCTTTTTGACAGTTTCAGCCAAAGTGGTGATATGTCCGTAAGTGGAGTAAATAATAATTGCAACCTTTGGAGCCATTTTGTATGAGAGTTTATTTGTGTTTGTTATATGAAATTCGAATTGAATTGATTGTTAACAAATAAAATCTTTCTTCTTATCTCTAGATCCCCCCCAGTGTATTTATATCACTTGTTGTTGAATGTAATATTGTACGTTAGTATCTAAGTAGTGCATAGATTTGTAAAATGGTCGCAAAATTTACAAATTTGAAATTTCTCATTACTAAAAAATTATTCATTTTGAAATACCAAGTGTTTTTAGATTATTGTTCGACCTTACCACTTTTGGTTCCCACAGAACCTTAAAATGCATATAAACCACCACGACACATACACACTGTGGCGTAATAGATTATTAATCAAACAACCGACTTTTCCGTAACTTGATATAGGGGCTTTACACACAAAGACCAAAGTTTGAAAGCTAGAGTTAATTGTATATTATTAATTATTTAAAATTAATAGGGGAAGTAAATATAAATATGTATACATGCACCAATAGGTACATGCTTATATTGACAGTATATTTAGTTTAAACCTTCAAAATACCGTCAATTCTAACAAAGTCAATATTTACTGTTTTAGTATGGGTGTGCGGATGTTTTCAGAAAACTTACCATTTATCGTGAATACTCAAAAGTTTTAAAAAAATATAAATTGGTCCCTTGGCCCAGTTGGTTAAGGCGTGGTGCTAATAACGCCAAGATCAGCAGTTCGATCCTGCTAGGGACCATTCTTTTTTTGCTTTTTCTTTTTTTTTCTTTCTCCTAACCCAAGATGTGTGAATGCGGAAGTTCTTAAGTCCAAATGTTATTTTTTATTTTTTTTTAGGGAATGGTTGGCGAGGAGGAGATATATCAAGATCTAAGATAGGGAAGTTATAATCTTATCTAAATGGAGTACCAGTTTCCGCCGTCTCTCCCCCCCTGTTCTTCTCTTATTTCTCCTCTGCTCGCCCCAATTACCCATTCTTACAACATTAGACTTTTTGTTGAGTACAGATTAATTAGTTTATTGCTACAATTGAGAGGTTGTAATGTAGAGAAAAATCTATTCACATGACAAAACCCCACATTTCCGCAGTTTAGGATCAGTCATTAATCTTCATACAATGTAAATATTTAGTTCTCTAAAGTACGGAATTTACGATTAATAACGGTTGAATGATTTACCTTAAATTTACCATTTTAATCTTTATTGAGGTATATATCGCTTGAATTTTCCCATTTCGCTAGGAATTGCGGTAAAAATATTCATTTTTCCGGCAATTTTTTCACCAAGAATTTTTTTATTTCGTGAGAAGAGCCGTGATTAGCCAATTCCTGCATCCAGTCGACACACCCAATTTCAATTGGATCTTCTTATCAAGCAAGAATGGAATGATAAACCACTAGTTTGATATTCTGGCTATCAGAAAGAAGTACCACAATTTCATGATAATGCAAAACAGTCATGTCAAACAACAAAAAAGACAATGGTGTTCCTTCTCGGTACTAGAATATTTTCATTAGAAGTCATCTCACATTTTTCTTTGCCCCATGATTCGGCATATACGATTGTTGAACGCCTCATTGCCATTCTCGAGAACACCCACTTGTACCCCTCAGCTTAAGCCCATGTATATCCCCACTCCGAAAACCGTACTGCGATCGTATTATTTTTTAAATTTCTTTTTTTTTTCTTTGGTTTTTTGTACGGCGGAATGATTGAATTTCCATACACACTCTTATCAATTAGATATGCTGCAAGTACAAGTAAAAATAAAAAGAATCGGTAAAAAAAAAAAAAAAAAACATACAAAAAAAAAAAACAGCCGCTAATAAAAATCCTCCAGCCTGTTCTCCACAATATATAAACGGTCATATCTCTGATAAAAAAACACCCAGTGACAAGGACTTTCTGCTCTCCAAACACATTATCAATTGACTTATCCTTATAATGGTGGGAAAGGACATCCATACAATCAAATCCAGTGGGTCAGTCAGGCCCGGAATTTACCGTTCCAATTCTTCTCATTACGCCATTTCCATTTCTAATTCAAGAATTGTCAATTATGATGAAAAGGGTACCCCACTTTCTCCAGAAGATTCTAGCGAACCTTTTGATCCAGAAACTCTTGAAAGAGGTTTGAAATCTAGACATGTCCAACTTATTGCCTTGGGTGGTTGTATAGGTACTGGTCTTTTCGTTGGTACGGGGTCAGCCTTATCCACTTGTGGCCCAGCTCCCTTGCTTATGTCATATATGATTATGTCTTCTGTCATTTTCTTTGTGATGAATATGCTTGGAGAAATGACCACTTTTTTACCCTTGCCTGGTAATGGTCCTCAAGCGTTTGTTACCAACTATTTTGATCCTTCCTTGGGATTTGCTGCTGGTTGGAACTATTGGTATGCCTTTGCCATGTTGGTTGCCGCTGAAGTTACTGCTGCGGCCATTGTGGTTGAATATTGGATCACCTCGGTGAATCTTGCTGTATGGATTACCATTTTCTTGGCTATCACCATTATTTTAAATTTCTCAAGTGTTAAATATTTCGGTGAAGCTGAATTTTGGTTTGCCTCTTTGAAATTGATTGGAATCACTGGTTTAATTATTGTTGGAATTGTCATCTTTTTCGGTGGTGCTCCAACCCATGATAGACTTGGTTTCAGATATTGGAATGAACCTGGTGCATTCCGTGAACATTTGGTTCCAGGATCAACTGGTCGTTTCTTGGCTGTTTGGACTGCCTTGGTCAAGTCAGGATTCGCCTTTATTTGTTCTCCTGAATTGGTTTCTGTTTGTGGTGCTGAATCAGTGGCTCCTCGTAGAAATATCCCCAAGGCTGCCAATAGATTTATTTATAGATTGGCATTTTTCTATGTCTGTGGTACTTTGGTTATTGGTGTTATTGTTCCATACAACAATGAAAGATTGATGCAAGGTGGTTCTGATGCTAGTGCCTCACCATTTGTTATTGGAATTAAAAATGCCGGAATTAATGTTTTGGATCACATTATTAATGCAGTCATTTTAACTTCTGCTGCTTCTGCTGGTAACTCTTTTATGTATTCTGCATCAAGAACCTTGTATGGTTTGGCTTGCAACAACCAAGCTCCTAAGATTTTCACCAAGGTTAACAGAATGGGTATTCCTTACTATGCAGTGGGTGCTTCTTCTCTTTTCGGATTGTTGGCTTATTTGAATGTTTCTTCTGCTTCTTCCAATGTTTTCACTTGGCTTTCAAACATTTGTACCATTTCTGGTTTCATTGCTTGGTTATGTGTAGCCTTGGCTTACCTCCGTTGGAGAAAGGCCATTGAATACCATGGACTTTCTGAAAGAGTCACTTATCGTACCATTTTGCAACCATATGGTGCTTATTACGTCTTGGGTTTTATTTTCATTTTAACTTTAACCAATGGTTATGCTGTCTTTTTCGATTTCAAAGCTGCTGATTTTGTTGCTGCTTATATCACATTCCCAATTTTCCTTGTCCTTTACCTTGGTCACAGAGGTTACAATTACTTTGTTAAAGGTGTTAAGCAGTGGGTCACCCCTCTTGAAAAAATTGACTTGTTCACTGGTTTGGACTTGATTGAAGAAGAGGCTGCAAATGACCCAGAAAGAATTCCTAATGGAATTCTTCAAAAAATTTGGTACTGGATTGCCTAATTGTGTATATATAAAGTGAATGTATTATTACCTCTCGTTTTTTAATTTAATACAAACTGTCAATGTGAGAACTTTCTGTTTTAGGAAAATTAAGCGATTAGCGTACATAATCAAACCCTTTTTTTTATCTTCTTAATGTAATCTCCCAGTTCATTTTTGCTAGTTCATTTCTGGACCCTTGGATATAATTTCGTTTCTTCCCCGGACATTTGAGTTTTTATAAAGTTTAAGATTTATGAAAACAAAACTTTGAATTCAACAATACAATTAGCTTTGATATTCCGCTTTCGCTAATAAAATGCGGCAATATTGTTAACTTATCCGTTCTCTTTTAGTGAACTCAACAGGTGACGGGTATGTATCCCACATTCAAATAGAACAATATTTTATCGAAGTAACTGGACTTGAAAGGTTGTACTGTTTGTTTCGGGACATTGAGTACCCAGTAAACAAATTCCGCAGCTGATTGATTCTTCTCTATATTTTTATATCTTTATCTTCATAGTTTGTTCAAACTCTTATCGGGTCATCTTTACAACCTGTATATGTTCAACAAAGTAACACCTTCCAATCATACCATTCTTTATCGCCCATGCATGTTTGAGTGCTTTTTTTTTTCCAAAGCCCCTTTATTATTTTTTAACCTCAACACGGCGAAATGTTTATGATAAGCTCTCTTATCATTGTTGCAAAATGATAAATATTACAAAGGGAAACTTTATAAAAGAATGACAAATCTCATATTTTGAAACTCTAATTATTATCTGGTGCCACTCAATCCAGAATGGAAGATAAGAATATCTCCACCGTTAAATCAAGTTCAATTAGAACCGGAATTTATCGTTCCAATTCCGCCCATTATGCACTTTCAATTGCAAACTCAAGAATTATCAATTATGATGAAAAGGGGAACCCTTTATCATTCGATGATTCCACTGAACCATTTGATCCAGAAACCCTTGAACGGGGGTTGAAATCTAGACATGTCCAACTTATTGCCTTAGGTGGTTGTATAGGTACCGGTCTTTTCGTCGGTACTGGGTCCGCCTTATCCACTTGTGGTCCTGCTCCATTACTCATATCTTATATGATTATGACTACAATTATATTTTTCGTTATGAATATGCTTGGAGAAATGACCACGTTCTTACCCTTACCTGGTAATGGCCCTCAAGCGTTTGTTTCCAACTATTTTGATCCTTCCTTGGGGTTTGCTACGGGTTGGAATTATTGGTATACATTTGCCATTTTAATTGCTGCTGAAGTTACTGCTGCTGCCATCGTGATTGAATATTGGATAACCTCGGTCAATTTAGCAGTTTGGATTACCATACTTTTAGCAATTGTAGTTGTTATGAATTTTTCTGGAGTTAAATATTTCGGTGAAGCTGAATTTTGGTTTGCCTCTTTGAAATTGATTGGAATCACTGGTTTAATTATTGTTGGAATTGTTATATTTTTCGGTGGTGCTCCAACCCACGATAGACTTGGTTTCAGATATTGGAAAACCCCAGGAGCTTTCCATGATCATTTAGTAGCTGGGAACACTGGTCGTTTCTTAGGGGTGTGGACTGCGTTGGTCAAATCCGGATTCGCCTTTATTTGTTCTCCTGAATTGGTTTCTGTTTGTGGTGCTGAATCAGTGTCTCCTCGTAGAAATATCCCCAAGGCTGCCAATAGATTTATTTATAGATTGGCATTTTTCTACGTCTGCGGTACTTTGGTTATTGGTGTTATCGTTCCATACAACAATGCGAGATTAATGCAAGGTGGTTCTGATGCTAGTGCCTCACCATTTGTCATTGGGATTAAAAATGCTGGTATTCCAGTATTGGACCATATCATTAATGCGGTGATTTTAACTTCGGCAACATCTGCTAGCAATTCATATTTATACTCGGCATCAAGAATCTTATACGGATTGGCAAGAAACAATCAAGCACCCAAAATATTTACCAAGGTTAACAGAATGGGTGTCCCATACTATGCGGTTGGAATGTCATCTCTTTTTGGATTATTGGCTTACTTAAACATTTCTTCTGCTTCTTCGAATGTTTTCACTTGGCTCTCAAACATGTGTACCACATCAGGATTCATTGCATGGTTATGTCTCTGCATGGCATATATTCGTTGGAGAAAGGCAATTGACTATCATGGACTTTCAGACAGAGTCACTTATCGCACCATTTTGCAACCATATGGTGCTTATTATGTGTTTGGGTTCATCTTTGTCTTAACTTTGACAAATGGTTACGCCGTGTTTTTTGATTTCAATGCTGCTGATTTCGTGGCTGCTTACATCACTTTCCCTATATTTGCTGCTCTCTACTTTGGCCACAAGGCATACAACTATTTTGTTAATGGTCATAAAACTTGGGCTAACCCTCTTGAAAAAATCGATTTGTTCACAGGTTTGGACTTGATTGAAGAAGAGGCTGCAAATGATCCGGAAAGAATTCCTAATGGATTTTTACAGAAAATTTGGTACTGGATTGCCTAATTTATTATTTAATTTAAAGAAATAGTGTTATGTGACTTGTAGAGAGAGTTTTAGAAAATTAGCATCGTAGGAAGTCTTATATAGTTATTCCAGGCTTAAAGTATTGACCTATAATTAGGAATTGGAACGATGAAATGGGAAATTACCATAGCGGGTGGAGGTGTATCAAATCAAAACAATCGGAAGTCAAACTTACTGAGGCCAATTTAAGTCTCAGCAATGAATTATCCGAGATTCAAAAAATTAATAACGAGAACCATACACTAAACGCTCTGATTTTCATCAGTTTCTTTTGGGGAATTATTGTACCGGGAATCTTTCTAAGATGGTCAAACCCCGAGTGTATTAGGGGAGGGGGTTGGACAAGATACAGAAAATAATAACACACCCAGAACAACATTTTTACCATGGAACTTCTGCTTTTTATTTATTAATATATTTGTTTCTTACAAGAATACATATAATAGTCATAGAATACCCTCTTAAGCAAGTACTAAACAATAGTTTACAAAACAAGTTTATTCGGTTATTAGTCCTAATCGTTTTTGCAACCGAATTTTAAATCGCACTACCTCTCCTACTAAATTATATCATACACATTGAATGAGACATAATCTATTTCCAATGACTTTATCTGCATATACATCTTCTCCTATATCCACTTACAACTAATATCACCCTTCTCTCTCTACTTGTAAATATATACATGTTCTTCTTATCCTATCTCTCTATATTTTTCAATTTTGCAGCCATCCTGCACACACCACCAACCATTTTGTGTAACATTCATCTCATCACATCAATTTGTGAAAAAATGTAACAGAAGACATCGAAATATCAATAACTATTAACAACCGATTTAATTAGTACACAAGATGTCAAGTTTGTCGCTGCAACTTAAGGCTATCAGTCTGAAAACGGCATCGGTGGCCTTGGACCGTAAGTCACGTTCCAAGATCCATTCGAAGTCGCTTATTTATGACCCCAAAACAGCCGCTGCTCAAGATTATGATTACATCTATCTGGTTTGTTTAGAAGGATTTGAAGACTTGTGTGCCTTGGACAATCGTTTCTACAAGTTCAAGCTGACCTTGTTCTCGGAAACTTCCATTAATTTGGATAGAAACGTCCAACTGGCCGATGTCATTGATGTCTTGAATAAAAACATCCATGCCTTTTTGGCTCTCATTGGTCCTTACTATTTACTCACTCCAGCCATTAAGGCCGTTGAATGGTTAGTTAGAAGGTTCCACGCAAACATCCACAATGCAGAAGATTTGCTCTTGACCCTGCTCCCATTCTATTCTCATCCAATTTTTGTTAAGATGATGAATGTTGTACCAAAGCAAAATGTACCAAAGATCTTTGAATGGTGTGTTGGTTACAAGGATTTACTCAAGAGTCCTACTCTGGCCTCATTAATTAAAACCTTCAGTGACCCAGCCTTTTTCAAATACTACTCTATGTATTTGGTAGAACAATTGGAACATGGTGTCGCCTTTAAAGAACAATTGGTTCTCTTTTTGGCAAACTCTGTCCAAGTCATAGCCTCCAGAAGTAGAGATCCAGCCCTGTTGAGCGACGTGTTCCTTCCAGTTGTCCTTGAAGTCATTTCCGAACTCTTGAAGGCCAGAAACGATACCCAATACTCAGTTGGCGTGCAACACGACGCCAAACTCACTGCATACTCCATTATCTCGGTTTTGAAGTCAGTTGTTCCAATGTCCCCAGAATTGATTGTTGGATTGACCCAAACCATCTTGTCTGACAAGTTGACCATTCAACCTAATTTGAAGAGACAAACGGTAATTGTTTTGGGTCAATTATGGGCCCATATCGACATCAATGCCATCATGGCCACCACTCCTTTCAAATCCTTACCAGTTCAAGTACTCCTTCAGGACAACTTGGCTGCTCAATTGAAAGACGATGGTTACAAGATCTCCACCTTAATCGAAGCCTACTTCCTCACCACCAAATCATTTGAAGTTTTCCCACTTGTTGATGTAAATAGTAGCAAGGACACTTATGAAAGAATTGTTCGTGCTGTTTTGGAAGCTTCTTCAGAAAGAGATATTCTTGAAGCAAGCAGACCACAACTCGTATCCATCTTTGAACAATTGCTCAAATTGGACGGTGACGTCTTCTCTTCAACCCTTGACAACTTCAAGAAGGGTTTCCGTATCTCTGATTTAGAAATGATGTTGATGTGCACCTTGGGAGAACACGGTGACAATGAAGCCGATATCGAAGATAAGGAAAGCGATGATGCTGAAGAAATTGAAGAACCAATTGAAGAAGACTCCTTGACTGTTTTACAATCTTTACAAAAGGATCAAACCCCAACATTCTTGACTTCGTCTACCCTGTCTTTCCAACAACTTACTCTTGCATTGATCCGCTTGCTTTCCCCAGCGGCTTCCTCTCCAGCTGCCCAAAGACAGTTGCTTGCCAAGTTCTCCAAGACTGTGTTTGTTTCTCCAGAAGCTTCTATTTCTTTCTTCTTGAGAGTCGCAGTCACTGCTGCCGTGCCATACTCGGTAAGATTATTATCTCTTAGATTCATCAAGCGTAGATTGAGAGAATTGACTGGTCAAAATGTTGACTTTTACCTTTTGACTCCACTTCTTGTTTTGGGTCTCTACGAAAAGGAAAAATACATCAGAGCTGCCTTTGTTGAGTTGATCAAGGTTGTGCACGCCAATAGCGTGAGACTTGCCAGTGTAAAGGGCAAGCATGGTCTCTTCATGGAAGATACCATCTATGCATCTACCGAAGCTTCCAACAGATCAATCATTGCCCCAGCAGATGGTCTTAAGCTTTTGGAACTCCTTACCAAGGATTCTCCATTGGAAAATGTCGTTGTTGACCGTGCTCAACTCGCTCCATTTGTTGGTGAAACTCTTTTCAAGGCTCAAAAGCCAGGTCAAAAGAAGTTTGGCCAATTATTGGTTAAGACCTTCCTTTTCAACCAATGGGCTGGTTTGAAATTGCCAATCTCTTTCAAGTCATTGGCTTGGGAATTGTCTTCCAAGTTGAATGAAAGCACTGCCTTTGAGTCTGACATCTCTTCCTACTTTGCTTCTAGACAATCTCTTATTGAAAGCGCTAAGGAAGCTAAATTAGATTTCGACAATGTCATTGAACCATCTATTGTAGCATTAGTCGGAAGTTCTAACGTTGAATGGTTATTAACTGGTCTTGGTAACTCTGAAGCTGCCAACCTTCAAACATTGTGTAACGAACAGCTTCTCGAGGTTTTCACCAACTTTAAGACCGACTCTAAACTTCGTTTGACTACCAAGTTGATTGATCTCCTTATCTCTGACGAAACTCCAGCGGTCGATCCAATGGATACTCTTCAATCGCTTACCTTTGATCACGACTTGATGCTTTCTGTTTTGAAGAATGTTCAAATCTCCACTTCTATCCCAGAACAAGGGGTTCCAAAGAGAAGAAGAAGATCTTCCCTGTCCACCCGTAGTGCTATGGCTAGAGATGATATCAACAACATGGCTTCCGTGCTTCTTAAGAAGCTTACCATCGTGTTGGATCTCCTTGAAACAAACTTGAAGAGAGACGAAGGTGTTCAAATTGCTCAACCAGACCTCCTTCAATCTCTTTTCAAATCTCTTACTGACTTGGATTACCTTGGAAATGATGGTAACTTACCAGTTTTGTATGCGCAAGAAACCCTTGCATCTTGTATGCTGCGTGCTATCATTCAAATGAAGAATGGTGGCAACCACACTCTGTTCGATTCCAACTCCATTCGTGCGGACCTTATTGTTAACTCCATCCGTTCATCACAATCTCCTCAAGTTCAAAACCGTTTGCTCTTGGTTATTGCTGAATTGGCTTCATTGGCTCCAGAAATCATTCTTCATTCTGTCATGCCTATCTTCACCTTTATGGGTGCTCACACCATTAGACAAGACGACGAGTTCTCCAACTCTGTTCTCCAACAAACCATTTCTAAGGTTATTCCTGCAATTGCCGCTAATGGAAGCACCTCTATGAGTAATGAGATCGAGTTCTTACTCACTTCGTTTGCCGCAGCATTCCAACATATCCCAAGACACCGTAGGGTTAAGTTATTCACCACCTTGACTAAGACTTTGGGACATGACAACTCCTTGCATATCATTTTGTTCTTGATGGCACAACAATATGCCAGCAATGCCGCCAAGCTTAAGCTGCACGAGTGCCGTGCTGTCGTCGAATTTGCTACTGCTGTTCTTAAGCAATTTGAAGCTGATGAACAATTGCAAGCTGTTCAACAATTTTACGGCTTATGGTCATTGATTCCAGACCAACCTTTAGAATCAGGAAGTGACCAATTCAACGATTTGAGTGGTAGATCCATCTTTGGTGCTGCTATTTTGGCCTTGCCAAAGAGCGGTCTTCTTACTTTGAAGGCTGACCTTTTGCAGTTCATTGATGTTGTATTGGGTAACCAACAAGACCGTGACCAACCACAATTGGCAGACTCTTTGTCCAACTTGAAGATGAAGATTGCCTTAGTTCTCTTGGAAAAGAACAACGGGGATTCTCATGCTATGGTTTTACAACCTTTCAGAGAGGCTGTTTCCTTTGTGTTATCTTCTTTGGAAGCCTACACTTCTTCCAAAGACGAAGTTGAAGTTATTCTCTCTAACTTGTACAAGTTGCTCACTGACTTGTTGGACTTGCTTCCACTCAACTTCTTCATTGAGTCTATCATTGAACCTATCAACGACTCCAAGTCATTGAGCCCTCTTCTGATTAAGATCGCCCGTAACTTGTGTATCTTGGCCGGTAGAAAGATTGAAACTGAATTGAACTCCAACAATATTGATGAAGATGTTACTATTGCTGTCTTGAACCATTTGTTGCCTGTTCTTGTGGAAAACATCGACAAGAACTCCGATATTGCTCTTCAACAAGCTCTTTTGGACACTTTTGCCTCTATTGTTAACAAGTTTGGTACTGCTAGTACTCAATTGACCATCCCAGCTAACGCCAAGTTAGTTGTAGATGCCTTGAAAACCGTTACTTCTGAACATTGTTTGTTGAACAACAGTACCGAAGTGATCATTTCTTCTATCAACGTGATTACTAGTATTGTCAACATTTTGGGAGTTAAGGTTATTGGATTCTTCCCTAAGATTGTTCCTCCAGTTTTGAAGATCTGGGAAAGTACTGTTGTACAAGAAGAAGATGATGATGTATCCAACGATGCTGCTCAACTTCTTCAAACCGCCATTCTTGTTCTTTTCTCTTGTTTTGTTAAGAAGATGCCTGCATTTATGACCACCAACCTTGAAGCTGTTCTTCTTACCATCCTCACCAGTGACCTTGTTGACAACACCATTAGATCCAACCTTTTACATGTAATTGTTGAACATATGGACCGTTCTCAAGTTCTCAAATCATTATGTAACGTCTGGTGGAACAAGAAGTTCTACACCAACGATAATGTTGGAAACTTGGGATTGTTCTTAAACACCATGCAACTCACTGTTGAACAAATCGAAAAGAAGACTGCTGCTTCTCAAGCTACTCTTTTCATCAAGTGGCTTGTGCAAGCCTTTGAATTCAGAGATTACATTGAACATGATGCTGATGACAAGTTTGATAACAACACCGTTCGTCGTTTGGAAAGTTCTTTCCACACTGTTGCTATCACTTATGCCATGAAGTTGAATGACAAGACTTTCCGTCCATTATTCGCCAGTTTGGTTAGATGGGCTGTCAGTGGAGAAGGTGCTGCTGCATCATCTACTGAACAATCCAGACTTCTTGCCTTCTTCAAGTTCTTCAACAAGCTTCAAGAGCAACTTAAGAGTATCATCACTCTGTACTTCACTTATTTGATTGACCCAGTTGCTGGTCTTTTACAAAAGTTTTCAGAAGGTAAGCTTGACAATATCAACTTGCGTCGTGTGATTTTGAACTCATTGACAACATCTTTCAAGTACGATCAAGATGATTATTGGTCGCAACAACTGCGTTTCGAAACCATCTGTGAGCCATTGTTACAACAATTGTACAACATTGAAGACAGTATCGGTAAGTACGTGGTAAAGGCCATTGCCTCTTTCACTGTCAACGTCTCGCTGGATGAATACAATGAAAAATTGGTCCATGGTATGATTCAATACATCTCTAACGAAAATGACCGTGTATCATCCCAATCTAAGATTTGGGGCATTCGTGTATTGAAGGCCATTTTCCAAAAGATGGGAGAACAATGGTTGAGCTACTTGCCTACCTTGATTCCATACATTGCTGAATTATTGGAAGATGATGATGAAGCCGTTGAATTGGAAGTTAGAAAGGGTTTGGTTAGAGTTATTGAAAACGTTTTGGGAGAACCATTAGATAGATATTTGGATTAAAGAAAAAAAAGTTCAAGACAAAAATTTAAAAGTATAAAATATACATATAGAAAGATAATTGAAAGTGTAGGATTAGATAATACCTTTTGTATGTTTCTTATTCAGTAAGTTTGTCATTTTGCACCCATGGGTCACGTGCGATATGCAACATACTCATGTTCAATAGAATTAAAAGAAAGGAGGGGAAAAAAAAATGGGAGATCACATAGTGTAAGAACATGGAAATAAGACATACATCATAAAAGAAATAAAGAATTATCTGTGTAACTTCGTTGAACTACAATATATAAATATTTGGTATAACCTCTCTCTTTATGGGGTTTCCCAATTAGTCAGATTGCATGCACGTGCACGTGCACATTTTTTATTTTTTATTTTCGTGTCCAACCCAAAGAAAGTTCTATCCAGTTCCATGAAAATTGTCAATATATAATCACTCAAAGTCACTGTATTGATCCAATTACCACATCCAACTCAACTAGATCCCACACAATGGTAAGTATTATTTTTGTAACTGCATTCATAGCGACCACCACCATTTTCTACAATCCCTGTACTAACAAGCAATGTAGTCCTCATTCTTGAAATCCGCCAACTCATTGAAGCCTTTGTTCGACCGTGTCTTGGTCCAAAGATTGAAGCCAGCCACTAAGACTGCTTCTGGTATCTACATCCCAGAAAAGAACCAAGAAAAGTTGAACCAAGCCACCGTCATTGCCGCTGGTCCAGGTATCACCAACACCACCACCGGTCAAGTCATCCCAACATCCGTCAAGGCCGGTGACAAGGTTTTGTTGCCATCTTTCGGTGGTAACCCAGTCAAGATTGGTGAAGAAGAATACTTGTTGTACACCGACAAGGAAATCTTGGCTACCATTGAAAACTAGAGAAAGCTAGATGGTCCGCCGGGTCCTTCCCATATGTTATTTAATATAGTTCTTGTAAATATACAAAGTAAAAAAGAAAGAGTCCCCATGTAGAGGTAAGAATTCTCTTTCCACTAGTTATATATCATAACTTCAATAGTAAGTTAGTTCTTGTGTATGGTCTCTTTTTTTTTTTTGTTATACACTGTTGTGACTGAAATCGAACCCGTGATCAGCATGCGCCACCTGCATATGACGTTGCCACACAAAAATAAAAGACACTAATTTTACGACAACCTTCCGCGGAGAAAAAAGGGAGGAAGAGTGCAATCAAACTAAAGGTTATACAAGTATAAACAATAATAAACACGAGAAGTATCATACTCGTGACCGAAAGACACACCCTATAGCACTGCTGCAAATTATTCAATAGTCCCACACCATGTCAGAAGCCCAAACGGACCGTTTTGCACAATTTAAACTTGTCCTTTTAGGAGAGAGTGCCGTTGGTAAATCATCCATTGTCCATAGATTTGTTAAGAATACATTTGATAACATGAGAGAGTCCACCATTGGTGCTGCGTTCTTGACCCAATCGGTGACTCTTCCAGAGTCCAACACCACCGTCAAATTCGAAATTTGGGACACTGCTGGTCAAGAACGTTACAAGTCTTTGGCCCCTATGTATTACAGAAATGCCCATGCTGCGCTTTGTGTGTACGACATCACCAGCCGGTCCTCGTTCAACAAGGCCCAGGACTGGATCAAGGAACTCAAGAAACAGGCCCCCGAGGGTATTGTCATTTGTTTGGTGGGGAACAAGCTTGATTTGGAAGAGGAAAGAGAAGTGACTCAAGACGAAGTTGCTGAGTACATTGAACAACTCAACCAAGAGGAGAATAGACTCATTAGTTCCGAATGTTCTGCCAAATCAGGCGACGGGGTATTGGATGTGTTTAATACAATCGCCAGAGCGTTGCCAATTGAGGATGCCATTGGTGGTTCAAGAGCTAGACAACAAAGAATGGTAAAGAGAGGCGCTGGGGTTGATTTGACCCGCAATAGACCACAACAGCAAGCTGGAAGTAGTTGTTGTTAATCTGAAGAACGAGAAGAATCTAGTGACCCGTTCGCCGACCAACAACCACATCCACGCCACAAAGTTACAGCACAAGCGACGCCACTTTTGGCCACCCTTCTACTCCCTTGTTACACTCTCCTGTTCTCCTCCTTCATATTCGAGGTGTGTGTAGCATCTCCATTGTTTCAGTTCATAGGACAATCCATATGTGTTCCTTCCCATACATAATATATTATTTAGTCAATTGCATATATAAGACGTAGAACTACAAAGTCTATTGTCTGTCTAGGTGGATGTAGTAGTAGGTGACAACTGACTACTGACCGAGAGAATTTGAATGGAGGTACGTCTACTTCAGTGAGAATTTGCAGCAAAATCTCTGACCAACGGCTCTGTTTCTCCTATGAGAGTGGCCAATAGAGCGAGTTGAATACCCTTTAAGGTGGTCACTGCCTTCCCTACGGGGTATGCAAGCCGCTCCGCTGGGCCCCTGCTCGGGGAGAGCCACTGCGTGGAGCCTAGCTCCTCTACAAGGAGACCTCTAGCAGTCCGAACTTCCTCGTCAGAGGAACAAAGCCTCCACGGCTAGTGGCCCACGGAGTGCCAGCGGAGCGACTTGCATAGCCCGTAGGGCGGTCACTACTGACGTCCCAGAGGGTCAGTAAGACGTTCCGCTGGACCCCTACTTGGGGAGAGCCAATGCCAGGTACTTTGTTCCTCTACATTGAGGTTTCCCTCCTTTTATTTTACCACGCAACGTCGAGATATCATGGTCCGTTCCGTTAGAAGTCTCCGTAGAAGACTCCGTTTGTCTTCAAGAGTTCGCAGAAGTGGAGAATAAACCTTTATCGGTTGTTATATACATGTTCCTTCATTATTGTTAACTTTTGTTTGAGAACTGTTTACCACACAAAGGTAAGAGAAGAAATCCAACGTGTATTCATGCCATTAACTTATTTGTTCTCGACTGCTTGTTCTCGAGTTGATATCTCTTTGGTGGTGTTGGGGACTGTTGATCCTAGTATACCTTTTCAATAAAACTATCTAAACTTCAAAAAATCAACTTTTTTAAACTTCTTTCTCTCTCTCCAACCGTTTCCTCTTTCGACTCCCTCCATCTCCCAAAATAAATAGCACCTTATTACAATATATATATCATGTCTACTAACTATGTTCTTGATATTAATTGAAATTTGTTGTAAATATTACCAAACTGTTCTTTTCTTCCCCTCCCCCCTCTTCCTTTTATTGACATTTTCTAAGGACTCTCCGTCATTAACCATGAAAACTCTCTGATCTATCACTACCTTTTTCAACTACTTCAACTTTATATGTATATCTTTCTTCATTCATTATTTTGTGTACATCATTCATTTTCTATTTTGCAACCATTCTGTTGTACACAGGAAATCGCTTTTCCCCATATAAAGCCACAGTACTTCTACACCGATCTCTTGATTCTACTCTATATATATCCATACCTCCTAATCCCATCCACTTCCCATACTACCATTAACCCCTCCTAATACCCATCTACTACCTCCTACAATTCACACCCAATTCATCTATCTTATCCCCTCCTCTTCAGCCATAACTCAACCTCAACCTCAACCTCAACTTCAACTTCAAAATGAACAAACTCCGGGTAACCCATTTATTTTTTTTTTAAAATTTTTTTTCTCACCCCTCTTTGTGTAACCAAAAAAATTTCTCATCAATGGGAAAATTTTTTCATAAAGTGAAAAATTTATTTACATCTACTTTCTTTTCTTTTCTTCATCACTTATTGTACACATTATCATGTCTGCTCGTCCACAAGTTTCTATCATCTCTGCTGAAGGTAAGCAAACCTCCACTCAGTTGCCACTCCCAGCTGTCTTCTCTGCTCCAGTCAGACCAGACATTGTTCACTCTGTTTTCGTCAGAGTCAACAAGAACAAGAGACAAGCTTACGCTGTCTCCGAAAAGGCTGGTCACCAAACCTCCGCTGAATCCTGGGGTACCGGTAGAGCTGTCGCCCGTATTCCAAGAGTTGGTGGTGGTGGTACCCACCGTTCCGGTCAAGCTGCTTTCGGTAACATGTGTCGTGGTGGTCGTATGTTCGCTCCAACCAAGACTTGGAGAAAGTGGCACGTAAAGGTCAACCACAACGAAAAGAGATATGCTACTGCTTCTGCTATTGCTGCTTCTGCTGTCACTTCTCTCGTTTTGGCTAGAGGTCACCGTGTTGAACAAGTCAAGGAATTGCCATTGGTTGTTTCTAACGACTTTGAAGCCGTCACCAAGACCAAGGAAGCTGTCGCTGTCTTGAAGGCTGTTGGTGCCCACAAGGATGTCATCAAGGTCATCAAGTCCAAGAAGTTGAGATCCGGTAAGGGTAAGTTGAGAGGTAGAAGATTCACTCAACGTCGTGGTCCTCTTGTTGTCTACTCCCAAGACAACGGTCTTGTTAAGGCTTTGAGAAACGTCCCAGGTGTCGAAACCACTGACGTTAAGCACTTGGGTCTTTTGCAATTGGCTCCAGGTGCCCACCTCGGTAGATTCATCGTCTGGACCCAAGGTGCTTTCGAATCCTTGGACTCCATCTACGGTTCCGACTCTTCTGCTTCCGTTAAGTCCGGTTACACCTTGCCAGCTAACATCATCTCCAACACTGACGTCACCAGATTGATCAACTCTGCTGAAGTCCAAGCTGTTGTCAGACCAGCTGGTCAACCAACTCAAAAGAGAACCCACGTCTTGAAGAAGAACCCATTGAAGAACAAGCAAGTTCTCTTGAGATTGAACCCATACGCCAAGGCTTACGCTGCTGAAAAGCTCGGTTCCGCCAAGGTCGACCAAAAGGCCGTCAAGCCATCTAAGGGTGCTTTCTCTTCTGTCTTGAAGAACTAAATTATTTAGTTTTCTACAAGCAATTGAGAAGATTAATTAGTATATAACTAGAGCTATTGAATAAGATTTATACTGGTGAGAATAACAATTGTAGATTTAGAGTAATGGTAGAATGTACTGGTTTGCCTAAGGGGGTGACTTAGGGCTATGTTCAGGTGATAGAAACTGTCTGAGGACATAGTTTGAGTATGCCTCCATGGCTAGTGGCCCACGAAGTTACAGCGGAGTGGCTTGCTGGTCCCGTAGGGTTGACAGTGACTCCTATGTCGGCCAATAAGACGCTCCGCTGGGCCCCTGCTCGGGGAGAGCCACTGCGTGGAGCCTAGCTCCTCTACGAGGAGACTTCTAGTAGTCAGATCTTCCTCGATAGAGGAACAAGGCCCCCACGGCTAGTGGCCCACGGAGTGCCAGCGGAGCGGCTTGCATACCCCGTAGGGCAGTCAGTGACTTCCCTATGGGGTCAATCTTCTCGGGCAGTGGAACCACTACGTGTTGTCTGGTTTAGTATCTCCAAAAAGAGTCCCCCTATTGGGTATCTACAGATAGTAGTTTCAAATCATTTCATTTATATATTGCGGTCATTAGATGTTATTTAGATGGGAATTTATAATGGTGGAAGGACATTTTCTTCAAAGTAACTCTTTCCAGTGGAAGAGTCAGTACCGACAACGTTTCCTCTTTGTTTGGAGTATTCACAGATTGTGTATTGTCTCCATGCGTTACCACAGGAGACCTTGGCACATCCAAGAGTGCTGGATGACTTCCAAACAACCTGGGTGAAGTGACCGGTAGCTTCTGTGAAACCAGGGTTGGAAAAGTCATATTGACTGATTTCATCGTACCAGGCGGTGACTGGGTCGGCTCCACCGACGTAACCAGCCGCCAAGTTTTCACCGTATGGACCACCAGAATGGATCAATTGTACATTATCACAGGAGAAGGATTTAGCTGCGTAATTGGCAGCATATTCGGCAAGTACTGGATCCCAAGTAAGATCTGGAACTCCATGAAGGGCTCTCTTTTCGTTATGAGTGGCCAAGATCTGTGCTTCGAAAGAGTTGAGGGAATCAGTAGGGGATGTGGTGGAAGTGGTTGGGGTGGTGGATGTAGAAGATGATGTGGTTAATGTGGTTGGAGGTTGAGGTGCCGGCGTACTAGATGTAGTTGGGGTATTAGTAGTGGTTGGGGTGGTTGGGGTAGTTGGAGCAGCTTCAGTAGTGGTTGGAGTAGTTGGAGCAGCTTCAGTAGTAGTTGGAGTAGTTGGAGCAGCTTCAGTAGTAGTTGGAGTAGTTGGAGCAGCTTCAGTAGTAGTTGGAGTAGTTGGAGCAGCTTCAGTAGTGGTTTCTTCAGCTGGAGGAGCTGGGGCTGGAGGAGCTGGAGCTTGACCGCCTAAAGCAGGAGCAGAATTAGCAGGTGGGGCTGCAGAAGTAGTCACTATAGAAGTTTTAGTACCAGTTGGAATATTGGCAGTGGCCCACACAGTAACAGCAGGAGCAGTATGTGTACGAGTAATGATAACTGGTGCAGCGTTGACAACGGCAACCAAAAGAGCGAGAGTGCTGATCTTCATTATGTGCAAGGAATGTGATAAGTGGGATAAAAGAACGTGAGTGAAGAGAGCGTGTGTGGTCGTTACTGCAAGGTTGGTAAATCGAGACAAAATGTAGAGGAATGTTGAGATTCGACATTCCTTATATAACTTAAAAATGTGGAACTTTCAACCATATGTCGATGCACCACCAAACCAACCGCCTGCATAACGGTCCCCCATGCATGCTTAATCGAGAAACCAGCTAATAAACTATTACCAAAAGCTTTAAATCCAGCTATAAAGTTAGGCTGGATGGGTGCAAATACAGATGAAGCCGCAGCCAGCATTACCCAATTGGGCCAGAAGACATTTTTGCACCCAAGATGGAGACTGTATATAGAGCCATATTAACCAGCGATGGATGTTTCATGCAGGATTTCACTGTAAGTGTAACCAAATGTGTAACATTACCAGCAGATTTGATCAAAAAAATAGAATAGAAAGATTGAATTAAGCGGTGAAAATAATTGATTGTGTATAGGGGAGAAGTATGCAAATAGAGCCAGTAATGGACAAGATTGTGTATGGGAGTAGATGTAGAGAGAAAGAATTAAGCAAAAAAGAACAAAGCATTAAGAGTGTACATACAGGAATATCTATACATACAGGAAATGAATATTAGTGTTGGATGGTGTACAATGTAGTGGAAGCCAGGGAAGCCAGCTAGAATATTTTTTTGTTTAAGATCTCTATGTGTTGTATAGGCTGGGGGTTCCAGGGGTAACTAACCATGATTATGTGAGATAATAAGACTTCGGCTCACAGGGTGGAAAAATGTTAGGCACCACTATTGTTTACCAGACATACTCCAGCTGTGATGCCCGTGGACATAGATCTATGAGGCACAGTATCTCTGCTGGCAGTCTATGGGCAACTAACCAATGTGATACTGTGCCTCTAGTACTTGTTCAAAGACTCCTCGAAGAGGAGCAAGGCACCACGCAGTGGCCCTCCCCGGGTAGGGGCCAGCGGAGCGTCTTACAGTCCCACGGGGAAGAGAGTGGTCCACACCCTACGGGGATATCAAGCCGCTTCGCTGACACTCCGTGGGCCACTACCCGTGGGGGCCTTGCTCCTCTTACGAGGAGACTAGGCTGCAAATCTCTCTCTGTGGCGTCTAGCCCTGTCTAGTGGTCCTTCCCTGCGGTTGGAAACGTGCCAATGGGGTGCCTAACTATCCTGCCCACATGAGCCTTACAACAACTACCCTCTTGATTGCTACCTTTCCATCTCCAATTCACATGACGTGGAATCTTGGCAGCCAAATTTCTCTTTGTAGACATTTTACCCATGAACCCTATATGCACACTAGGAGGGGAAACCGTATTTATTTTTAAATTTTTTTTAACTTCTCAACAAATGACATCATAGACAGTACTCATGTAACACATATGAAACTGAACTCCTCCAGTACGCCTTATTAACGGTAAGATATGGTATATAGCACTTGTTCCAAAATATTCTTCATTGGGAATGCCCCGCAGTTTTTCACAAACAAATTTGGGACTTCCCCATTTTCCCCATTGTCATTCTCAAGCTCTTACAAAAAACATTGGGGTCCCCAATTTTGTGTCCTTTATCTCGTTCGGGAATCGTCGGAAAAAAAAAAAAATTAGTGATAGAGGCAAATCTGAGCGCCTCCTTTTAATTTGACACATATGAGTTAAAGAGAACAAAGTAGGGAAAACCCCAAGATTGTAAAATGTACATCAATCATTGGAAAATGTATTCATATTACACTTCTACACTTCTATACTTCTACGACGCGTAAATACCAAATCTCTATTGTTATTGTTTATACTCTCGTTTAAACTGCTTGAGTATTTTTAACTTATGTCAGCTACCCCCCCACGCCTCTTTCCCATCTGTAGTTCCCCCTATTGACAGGGTCTGCATATACCGGGCTCATGCACTGCCACTGGGTGCAGGACGTGTATGGGTTTACACGAGTTAGTGAATTTTGGTAGTGAACGCTAAATCTAGTATGATAGTTTAAGAAAACATTTTAATAAATTTCTATTAATTATACAAGTTTAAATTATCTCTCCCAAGGTTTCCCATATATAAAATCTTCAGGAGTATTCAACCAACCGATTTTCAAGTGGGGAAAAGTATCAATTTGTGTTTGAAAAAGCGATTGAAAAAATGTTCAAGGGATTTAGAAAGAAGGCTCTGTTACTTCTGTTGACCAGTACGACGTCCAATGAATCCACCGGTTCCTCGGGCACCGGGGGTGCCACGACACAGGCCAAGTCGCCCTTTGAGAAGGTGATCAAGCAAGTGAGAGACTTTGAAATTGCACTTCAAGCCATGGATTTCCTTTTGGATGATCGTTCAGAAGATGGAATCAAATTGTTACAAAAGGAATCAAAACTTTCCTCACGATTGGAACAACCTCATGCGATCTTACCGCTTGCACAGGGGGTGATGGAGTTCATCGAGGCCACCTTGGGGTTTGAACTGGATGTCATGACCAAGGCCCATCATACGTTGGATTCCGCTGAGCTGGCATCTTTAAACAATGGTAAATATAATGTGAAACACAAGTTGAACACCTCCCACATATACCCTCCAGGAACCGAGTTCCAGGTGACGTACGCTGAGCTGACGTTGTTGAACGCGTTGGTGATGCTTCTCCGTGAAAACAATGGGATGGTGGAAAGTGCCAAGGCTTTGTACAAGTTGAGGAGAGCATACCATGCCTTGGATGGCATATACAAAAAGATCAAGGAACTGGAGCCTGCGTTTAAGAAAAACTTGGCCAAATTGGCCAAACAGAGCGCTGCTGCGGGCAATAATGGTAGCTCCGGGTTTTCCGCCAGTGTCAGCACCGTTGACCTCCCTGGTTACGACACCTCGTCGCTTTCATCCACTACTTCTCTTCCAGAAGATGTCAAGTTAATGAAGGATTTGGAAACGGTTTATCAAATGAGAAGAGCTAGAATTGAAGGAACTCTTCTTCCAAAGTCCGTGGATGCAGAGAAAATCAATTTGTTTGAAGGGAGCCTGGCCAACGGTGGTACTCCAACTCCAGACGTTTCTAGAAAGACCAGTATGTCAATGTTGAGGGGTGGTAGAGATCAAACACCTCCGGTAAATACAACCTTTTTAAGAGATCCTGCCACAGCAACTGCCACCTCTTCCACCACCGTTCTAGACGTTCCACCACCATCACTTACCGTTGAATCCGATGCTTCTGACGACGAATTTTGTGATGCTGAGGACTCATTCGACACTTTAGATGGTCCCAACAACAAAGAAGACCCGAAATTCTTCTTTGATAAACTGCTGGTGCTGGGGTTGAGTCCAGGCACTGCGAACTTGGAAATCTCCCCCACCGTCTCGTACACTTCTTCAGACAACTCTTCGTCGTCACCAACACATCTCCATGTGTCCACCATTGACGAGTTCATCCATTCAGGGGTGCAACTTTGCTTTGGGATTCTTCAAGTTGTCCTTTCCTTGATTCCTCCAACCATCGGGAAGGTGTTATCTATTGTCGGGTTCAGAGGTGATAGAGAAACAGGATTGAAGATGCTCTGGAGAACCGCCATCACCAGTAGAAACATTCATGGAGAATTGGCTTTACTTTGTCTTTTGGTGTTTTATGATGGACCGGTCCAGTTTGTCGATGTTGGGTACCAACTCCCGGGCCACGAGGACCACCACGTGACCGACGTCATCAATATTGACAATAGAACCAGTATTTCGGAACTGGAACTTGACAAGGTTCTCAAGAACCCATCTCTTTATACCCCACAATTGACCACTAGAGCACGTAGACATTTTCCACATAACGCGCTTTGGTTGCTTCAAGAGTGTCGTATTTTGGCATCCAACGGTAACTTGGCCGAGGCTGCTGAAAGAATGCAAGCATTCACTGACGATCCGGAATGTAACATTCAAATGCAACAGATTGAAGCCCTCTTGGTGTTTGATAGGGCCATGTTTTACTGCTTCAAGCATGATTTGGATGAGGCTGCACGGGATTTAATCAGTTTGATCGATATCAACTCTTGGTCGAAGGGGTTATATTTGTTTATGGCTGGTTGTTGTTATTTGAGTAAGATGAGACAGCTCAAAATGAGTAGAGGATCTGAGGAAGAAATTTCGAAATACTCACAATTGGCCGAAAAATACATGAGAAAATTGGCCCCATCATACGTTCCTGGTCATGCCACCAACACCAATGTGAAAAAGGGAGGAATTGGTGGTTCCAACAAGCAAATGCCATTCGATAAGTTTTTGTTGCGTAAATTGGATCACATCGAGGCACGTCAACGTTCCACAGGACTCCCATTTGTTGACTGTGTCGGGACTTCTCCAATGCATGAATTGATTTACTTTTGGAATGGTTATAATAGAATGACTGAAAGAGAGTTGGCACTTACCATGCAACACCTTTCATATTCTGCCACTGCAGGATCTGACCTTTCACCAGAAGGTCCAAGTCATGCCAAGATTGCAGAAACTCCAGATGAGGCAATGATTAGATATTTCCTTCAATCCATTGCCTTACGGTCACAGGGAGAAGTGGAACGAGGTATGAAAATCTTGGACACTCATGTGATTTCGAAATATGTTGAATCAGATACCCCGTTCAAATTCACCAGAATGTCATATAGTCCATATCTTTATCCAACCGCGCTCTATGAACGTTCCATGTTTATATGGATGCTGAGTGTTCAAAACAAGGATTTCAAGGCAAAGGCCACGATCAACGAGTGTAAGAGCTGGTTGAAGAAGGCTGAAACAGTGGCAGACATTGGTGATTATGAACTTAGTAATAGAACTGGAATGAGAATCAAAGCCGCTGCAGACAGACTTGATCATTTATATCAACAATAAACCAAATTTGACTAATCTAAGAAATGGTTGCGAGCTTCACCTCGGGCATTCTGTGATCCACTAACCGTGGTGTCCCTGTTCCTTTAGCGAGGAAAGTCTTACTGCACTGAGTCTCCTCGTAGAGGAGCTAAGCTCCACGCAGTGGCTCTCCCCGAGTAGGGGCCAAGCGGAGCGTCCCGCAGGGGGAGCCTGCTACCAACCCTACGGGGTATGCAAGCCGCTCCGCTGGCACTCCGTGGGCCACTAGCCGTGGGGGCCTTGTTCCTCTAGCGAGGAAGGTGTCTCTTGATTTCTCCCTTTTTGTATCTAGTCTTGGAAATAGAAGATATAATCAATGATATAACATTAATTTAAATGTATGTAGAATTTTCAATATCAACCTTTTACTTTCATCATTTTTGTTGCAACCATATTGCCCCTTTGGGACACTAGCTTCATCTCGCCTGCACATACTCATAAACCTACACACATATATAAACCTGCACACACCTAACCTCATCCCGATGGGTCTCACACCCATACACCCACGCGATTGGAGGCACCAATATCAAAAAGTTTATGAAAATTATAAAAACTATACAAATCATAAATTCAATCAAACTAGAAATAATTGAAGATGGCGAAAAAGTTTTCTCGTCAGGTGAAGACGGAGAAGAGAAAGTCTAACCGAGTGCAGAACAAGGACCTTCTTCTCAAGCTCAAGGAACAAATTGACACCTACGATGTCGCCAAAGAACAACCATCACAGTTTGAAGACTTACCCTTGTCACAGGGAACTCTTCAAGGTTTGAAGGAAGCACTGTTTGTCAAGTTGACCGACGTGCAACGTAAGACCATCCCCGTGAGTTTGAAGCGTGAGGATGTGATGGCCACGGCCAGAACCGGGCTGGGGAAGACATTGGCCTTTTTAATTCCAACCATTGAAGCATTGGTCCATGCCCAAATCACTGAGTTTGATGGGTTGGCGGCATTGATTGTCTCCCCCACCAGAGAGTTGGCCATCCAAACCTTTGAAGTTTTGACCAAAATTGGTAAATATAACTCTTTCAGTGCCGGTTTGGTCACTGGGGGAAAAGATGTCAAGTATGAGCGTGAAAGAGTGTCCAAGATGAACATCTTGGTCGGTACTCCTGGACGGATCAGTCAGCATTTGAACGAAGCAGTTGGGTTGGAAACGTCCAACTTGCAAGTGTTGGTGTTGGACGAAGCTGATCGTTGTTTGGACATGGGGTTCAAACGTCAAATCGATTCCATTTTGGGCCACTTACCACCAACAAGACAAACTCTTTTATTCAGTGCCACCCAGTCTGATTCGGTTCAAGACTTGGCAAGATTGTCATTGACCACTCCACAAAGAATCGGGGTCAGTGACGATAATGAAATGGTGAACAGTAATGGGACTTCGACCGTACCAGACTCCCTTTCTCAATACTATGTCAAGGTGCCTCTTAATGAGAAATTGGACATCTTATGGTCATTCATCAAGTCTCATCTTAAATGTAAGATTCTTGTGTTTTTCTCATCTTCCAAACAAGTCCAATATGCTTATGAATCTTTCAGAACTTTGCAACCAGGTATCCCCTTACTTAAGTTGTATGGACGTCACAAGCAAACTTCTAGAATGGAGACCACCGTGAAGTTCTCACAGGCCCAACATGCTTGTTTGTTTGCCACCGATATTGTTGCTCGTGGGTTGGATTTCCCAGCCATTGATTGGGTCATTCAATTGGATTGTCCTGAAGATGCAGCCACTTATGTCCATAGAGTTGGACGTGCGGCCAGATTTGGACGTAAGGGTAAATCACTTCTTATGTTGTTGCCCACCGAGGAAGAAGGAGGCATGTTGAAGAGATTGGAGCCAATCAAGATCGATCGTATGAATATCAAGCAAAAGGTGAAGAAGACCATTAGACCACAACTTCAGCTGTTGTGTTTCCATGACCCAGTGATGAAGAACTTGGCTCAAAGAGCATTTATTTCATATTTCAGATCCGTCTATGTGCAAAAGGATAAGGAAATCTTCAGAGTGGAGGAATTACCTAGTGATAAATTTGCTGAAAGTTTAGGACTTCCAGGTGCCCCCAAGATCAAAATGAGAGGTAATACCGGTGCTGCTCGTGAAAAGAAGAACGCATCAAGACAATTACTTGCATTGGAACAAACAAACGATGATGGTGAAGTTGTGGAGGAAGAAAATAAAAAGGTTAGAACGAAATATGATAGAATGTTTGAAAGACAAAATCAAACTGTGTTGAGTGACAAGTTCATTAACTTGACCGGTGGAGACGGTGGAGACGGAGCTGCCGATGCTGAAGACGACGATGAGGATGACTTTATCCAAGTCAAGAGAAAGGACCATCAATTGGTGGAAGAAGAACTCCCAGATATGAGCATCCCAGTTTCTAAAAGACAAGCCAAGAAGGCACTTTCCAAGAAATTATCTAGTGCATCCAAGGGAAATGCCACCAAGTTGAAGTTTGACGACGATGGAGTGGCACATGCCATCTATGAGTTGGAGGACGAAGCTGATTTCGCCAAGGCTGGGGATGCAAAGAGTCAAAAGGAAGCTTTCGTTGAGAAGGAAACACATTTGATGACTGCTGCCGATGTTGAAGATAAACAAACTGCCAAGGACAAGAAGCAAGAGAAGAAGAGAAAGAGAAAGGAAGCCGAAAGAAGAATGAGAGAAGAAGAAGAGGAATCAGCATCTGGTTCAGAGGCCGCCGACTATGGTGTGGACTTGGACAGAGACTTACAATCATCATCTGACGAAGAAGAGGATGAATCACCAGCATCCAAGAAGCCTAAGTGGTTCGAAACAAGCAAGCAAAAGAAGAGCCAAGTTGCCGAAATAGAAGAAATCGAACAACCTCAAACTTTGGAAGATTTGGAAGCTTTGACTCAAAGATTGTTACAGGGATAGGGTAGATAGTAATTGCATAATATATTAAGGATATTGAGTAGGTATTAACTAGTAAAACGCGACTTTATCGTGGGGTGGGGAATACGCAGTGCAAGCAGATAATAGTCTCCTTCGAAAGGTCTGCTTCACGACATTTTATTTTTGTACTTGTGGGCCCTTCTGTGATAAAATTCTCGTTAAGGAAAACAAATACGAACATTCATTCAGGATTTCTCTTGAACGAGTAGTTTAAGGCTGTCGTGATAGTAAATTGAGCCTATCTACATTACCTTGTGGATCTAGCCCTAGCGCAACACCAATAACAAAAACGAAACTAGCTGTGCCAATTACCAACAAACACCGTTTAAGGATCCTATCATGGCCACCAAGCACTTCTCTATGGTAAAGCCACTCAAATAATGGGAACTCGTAGCCACAGGATATTAAAAAGATTAGCACAGACTGAATAGAGCTGTACTGTCCTTCTACTACTGTGGTGTAAAAAAGGATAAGTGTGCCGAAGATGCTGGCTATACCGCCAATACACAACATATACCAATAAATTCGGGTTTTGATTGAGAGGTGGGTAGGAAAGTCCCTGGGATTGCAGTTTTCTTGGTTATCCATTTCTACCTCAATTGTTGAGTTGGGTTTCTTGGAAGAGGTTTCTTCTTCTACTTGGAAGAAAATTGGTAGACCTAAATAAAAGGTGTAACAGTCAAACAAAGATACGATTTTGTAATGCGATACTTCTGGTGGACTTGGAATAGAATAAAAGCATACCAGTGACTTTAAATTTACCATAATTCAGAGCGAAATGCCACCATTAGATGATTACCATTGGCGTAGTATGCTTGACATGATGAGTTTGGGTGCAAATCCTGCACAACTGTGACACGCCTGATATAGGGAAGTATGTTTAATGCACTTGGTAGAAGTTTGGTTGACATATCCAGGTCTTTTCTTGCAGATGGAGGAGGCTGGAACCACGTAAATTGCTAGTTCAAGTCCACAACAAAGAAGTAAAAAAGTATGTAAATCAAAGAAAATTAAGAACAAAGAAAGTGAATGTTCTAGCAGAACCTCACAGTTCATAATTCATATGATTGATATCGTGGACAGTAATACGAACTCTGATATTCTGTGTTGATATGAAAAGAATATAAGGGTCACTGCTTTTCACTAGAAAGTGTGATTGGTTAATAGATGAGAAATAAATGACGGGGGGATGTATCTACAACCAATTTTCACCAGAAGAGCATGTTCAGATGCCATACGTCCAGATACCTCAGTTGTGCGGAGTAAACTCCTCTTGGTCCTTCCATAATTGAGTTGATTTAGTATGGTAAGAATCTGGGGGAAGATTATGTTATAGTAACTGAAGATTCCATTCTATAAAGTAATGTCGACTGCAAAGGGAAGTCAGACCTTGAACTACACCTTTTAAATTAATTACGTTCATTTAAATGCTTCGTTTCTTCAACGTTAGACCAACGGGTTGGTCACGTCTATATGTCTATCTATTTCAATGATGGAGTAGCCACCATTTTCCCTTGCAATGCACCCACCCGGAATAACTTCCCACCTGGAGTTTCTTCTGGAGCACCTTGTTCTCTTTGTAAAGTTTCATCCATTTCAAGAATGGAAACCTCTTGAAGAAAGTTTGCAGCCAGTCCCTTGGAAACGTCCAACACTATGTCATTACCAAGAGTGATGGTGATTTTCCCGGACTTGTGGATGTTAACCTGGCCGATTTGACCCGTGGTTGGGTATGGACCGGCTGAGAATGAAGAGAGAGTTGATGTAGTTGGTGCAGACTTTTCTGCTGGTTGTTGTTGTTGTTGTTGTTCCTTTTCTTTATCCTGTTCTTGATCTTGTTCCATAGGGTCTTCTGCCTTCACCCCAGGCGATGGTTCAGCCTCTTGTTCCTGCTTTACTTCGACTGGATCATATTCAGGAAGAAGTTCAGGGAGTTGTAATAACATGAATTGACCAGAAGAACCATCACGAAGAGACTTGGCAATTTCAATCTGATCAACAATAATCTTGGACGCTTCTCCGTCATCCAAGGACACAACGGGGACGGGCAGTGGTGAGGGAACCGGGATGGACTCTTCAGATGGTTCCATCTTGACCGAACCAGATTCGTCTTGTTCTTGCTTAACAACCGGTTCTGGAGATGCAGACAGAGTAGGGGTAGGGGTGGCTGAGGGAACCACAAGAGTCTCACCATTGGCAGAAGGAATACCTCTCTCTGGTCGCACTGGGAAGAGAACTGTTTCCGAGTCTGCAAACCTGTACTCCTTGTTCATGTTGATTCTGGTGTATTCTTCTTCATCAGAGTCTGAGTCTGCACCGTTACTGCCGTATGTAGCGGATCCTGGAGTGCTGGCTCTACTCTTATCCTTCAATGACAAATCCTTTAATTTCAAATTTTGTAAGAACTCTGGAGTTGGAGATTGTGAATTAAACACCCTATCTGAAGTGAAGCCAGTTTTCGATCCGGACAGAGCACCTGGACCTCCCAAGGACACCGAGCCCTGGGCCAAGGGCCCCGAGGAAACCAAGTGGGTACCGGCATAGTTACGTCCACCACGGCCTCCACGGCCTCCACGACCACCTCTACCAGCACCAAATCCTCCACGAGTCGAACCTTTCGAAGGTTCTTCCTTCTTGATGGTGGGGGCATCTTTGGCCCGCTCTTCCTTTGATCTACGGGCAACGTTTGCCTTTGGCTTGAACTTGAGCGAAGTCTTAGCGCCCGGGGGTTTCCCCGAGAGTGATTCCAAACGATTGGACATGGATTAAATTGGGTAGTTGGGGGGAGTGATCTATATAGGAATGGGTTTGTGTTTAAGAATTGTGAGACACCAACTTTCTGTGTAGGTCCTATAACCGGAAATAAAATAAAATTAGCCTTTTTTTTCCCAGAAATATCAATTAATCAATAGTATCTCGTACGATATTATCGGTTTATTAAGCCCCTTTATATATAAAAATTTAAATTAATTTGAATATGTTTACAATTATTTTAGGAAATTTTGAATTTTTATTTCAATGAGTTTAGTCAAACATTTAGTAGGAGATTTTTGGCCTGCATATGGGATCAAAAAGTTTTCATTCATGACACGACCTTTGTGTTCTCGCGATGAGAAGAGTTTAAGACACAAGGTTTGAGTAGTAGAGGAGGTGATTGAGTTTTATCGAGTGTATTCAATAATCCAATTTTTTTCAAAGTTACTGGCCATGGATCACGGATTGGATGAAGTGGATGCATTTAATGCGAATAAAGAGAAGGTTCTTCTTGAAGAGGCCGGGAAATATGGACAGATGTCCAATGGAGACGAATCATCAGAAGAGGAAGTGATGGGATTAGATGAAGATGAAGATGATGAAGAAGAGGAAGAGGTTGAATCGGAAGAAGGAGAAGGTTCCGAAGAAGAGGTGGATTCAGATAGTAACACTCTTGATTGGGGTGGAAGAAAAAATTATTATGGAGGAGAAGAAAATGAAGATGTCAAGCTTATGACCGAGGAGGCCATGAAACAACAAAAGAAACACCTTCAAGACCTTGCCATGGACGATTATGTGGACGAGGATGTGATGGAGGATTGGCAAAAGACCGCCGAGCTGATGAAGGAGGATGGAAAGGATGAACAAAGCTTGTTGGTTCAAGTTCAACAAGGACTGAAAAATTTGAGTTCTAAGGAAAAATTGAAATTATTAAATGCTCAATTCCCCGAGTTTGTGCCGCTTTTAAACGAGTTGAATGAGTTACAGGTTGTTTTGGAACAGTTGGAGGAGGTTAAGAGTGAAGTCTCACAAGTTAAAGCAAGTGCATTGCGTGGATATTTGGGTGCAGTGACCAGTTATTTTGCCATGATGATGGAATCATTAAATGGTGATGAAGGGTTCAGTAGTATGAAGGAAAGTCCAATTATGGAGAGCATTTTGGGTAGTAGAGAGGTTTGGAGACAAGCCAATGAGTTGGGTGATGGAGAAGAAGTAGAAGAAGAAGAAGGAGAAGTAGAAGAAGGAGAAGAAGAAGATGTTGAAGAAAATGTTGAGGATGTTGAAGTTGAGGAAGAAGACTCAGAAATCTCTGAAGCTGACGCTTCAGAGGAAGAAGAATCTGGCTTCACCATCCCAGACATCTCATCCAAACGTACCATCAAATCATCCAAACCTAAATCATCAGACTTTGCCGAATCAGCCACCCCTGATGACGTGGACATGGAAGATAAACAACGTCGTAAGAAGACCCTTCGTTTCTACACTTCGAGAATCGACCAGGCTGCCAACAAGAACAACCAAGAACGATTTGCCGGTGATTTGGACTTGCCATACAAGGAAAGACTCTTTGAAAGACAACAACGATTGGTGGAAGAGGCCAGAAAGAGAGGTATGGCTGAGAAGGATGTGTTGGGAGGCGATGATTCTGCTGGTGAGGATGACTTTGGTAGTGGTGGTGAAGACTTTGCCGAAGAATTGGAAAGTTCAGGAGATAAGGCTGCCGATTCATATTATGACTCCATAAAGCAAGACAAGCATAATAAGAAGGAAACCCGTCGGAACGCCCACGAGCAGGCTGTGCGTGCTGCCAAGGAGGGCAAGCTTCTCGAAGTTCAAGAGAACCTCGGAGAAGACGGGAAGAGAGCCGTCAACTTCCAAATCCTCAAGAACAAGGGTCTTACTCCACACAGAAACAAGGACAACAGAAACTCGAGAGTCAAGAAGAGAAAGAAGTACGAAAAGGCCCAAAAGAAGCTCAAGTCCGTCAGACAAGTCTACGACGACAGCAACAGAGGACCTTATGAGGGTGAAAAGACCGGTATCAAGAAGGGTATCACCAGAAGTGTCAAGTTGGTTTAAGTATATGAGAAGATGTTGCATTGTAATATAGGAAATAAGAAAGAATAAGATGTAGAGATTAGCAGATAGAGTAGACACTACCACCACCCATTCACGCTGAATCCCTGGCCGGGGAGAGCCTAGCTCCTTTACGAGGAGAATTCTAGTAGTCAGAACTTCCTCGTCAGAGGAACAAGGCCACCACGGCTAGTGGCCCACGGAGTGCCAGCGGAGCGGCTAGCATACCCCGTAGGGTAGGTAGCACTCCATATCCAGACGGGGCTGGCAAGACGCTCCGCTGGGCCCCTGCTCGGGGAGAGCCACTGCGTGGTGCCTAGCTCCTCTACGAGGAGACCTCTAGCAGTCAGCATTTCCTCGTCAGAGGAACAGGGCCTCCACGGCTCGTGGCCCACGGAGTGCCAGCGGAGCGGCTTGCATATCCCGTAGGGTAGGTAGCACTCCATTCCTCCGAGAGGACTATAGGGTGCTACTCTCTGTAGAAGATCACGTGACGTAGTTCCAAGTAAGTGAGAGATTCTATAGTTACTGGAAAATATAGAGAGAGCCCACTCCCGTGGAACTAATGTTATCTTGCCAATGGGGTCATATATAGATGAGTGTAGACTTCTCATACAAGTAGGCTAAGATTACTCTAAGCTTAGCTTGATGATGTCATGTAATGTTTATCTTAGTATGGTCCAACCATGTCCTGCATGTGTATCTGATGGTTTTCCTCTTTGGGATTTTCCCGGTGTGAGATATCGGGAGGGAACTGTGAGATCAAATGTTACCAACGTTTTTCAATCAGCTATAACACCATCAATAATGACTACAACGGGGACTAATGGCACTTCAGTGGTACCTGTTCCCAATGAGGAACATGATGCATCCACTAAGAAGTCTGTGCCGGTTACTGCCGACGATTTATACCGTCGTTCAACGCAGTACTTAATCTGGTCGTTCACACAAGAAGAATTGGACAAAATGCGATTAAAAGTACATAAACAAGGGATTAAGGAAGCTCGAATCAAGTTTGATAAAGCTGGGAAAGATCAACTGAACCCAGATTTCGAGAAATATGCCCTGCAATTGACAGCAGATGCGTTATTGGACCCTCCAAGTCTTGAAGAAGAATCAAAGTTCCTTTCATATTACGTTAAGAATGTCATTGACACTGCTGATTATTTCCGTATGCCCACTCAGGTCAAAGCTACCGCTGCATCTTTCTTCAAAAAGTTCTACTTGGTACATTCCATCATGGAGTACCACCCGAAACATATCTTGTACACGTGTCTCTTCCTTGCGGCCAAATCGGAAAACTACTTCATGTCGATTGAATCCTTCACCAAGCCATTGCCCAATACGGAGCCTCTGCATGTGTTGGACTTGGAGTTTATAGTGCTCCTGTCGCTCAAGTTCACGCTTTTGGTCCATCATCCATTCAGACCGTTGTACGGACTCTTTTTGGATGCCCAAGCGGTTCTTTTACATCCTTCACCATTGATGTACGATGTCAATGTCGACACCTTGGGAGCTCTTTACGATAAGCTGAAGAAATGGTTGGTGGATCATGCGGTTCTTAGTGACGTTTCGTTATTGTTTACCCCTCCCCAGATTGCATTGGCGGCCATGTATGACATTGATAAGAGAATCACTGATCGGTATTTGAAGCGGAAGTTTTTGAAAGATGAGCAAGAGGGCCAAGATGTAGATGAAGAGGAGAAGTCTGTCAAGGTTAAACAGGAGGAGGGGGAGGGATCCACCAATGAGGATGTAGAGATGAAGGATGAGAATGAGAAGGAGGTAAAGATAGAGACACCAACTAACTCCACCACCCACACAAAACGTGAAGAGTATGAACTTCTTGTACGGACCATTAGAAAATGTATACGTAAGGCTAAGGAGTTCCAGCTGCCCTCACGTGAAGAGAGTACTGCCATTGACAAGAAATGCTATTTTGTGCTCAATCCGGAACGTTTGATCAAGAGAAAGATAAAGCAATTGAACACACCGCCAGCTGCATCCGCAGCTGCTTCCCCAGCTCCATCGGCAACCCCAGCTCCAGCTGCATCCACCGCCCCAACGCTAGGTATATAGATTAATGACAAAGACATGACGAATCATACAAGTTGTAGCTCAGCTCGAGATAAGACCCCTGCCAGTTGGCTAGCGGCTTCCTCGCTTGAATGTAAGACACCTTGGCTGGGCCCCTGCACGGAGAAAGTAGCACTCCTTTCCTTACGGGGCTGGCAAGACGCTCGGCTGGCCCCTGCTCGGGGAGAGCCACTACATGGTGTTTAGCTCCTCTACGAGGAGACTTGGGGCAGTCAGACTTTCCTCGTCAGAGGAACAAGGCCCCCACGGCTAGTGGCCCACGGAGTGCCAGCGGAGCGGCTTGCATACCCCTTAGCACTCCATCCCCCGACGGGGTTGGAAAGACGCTCCGCTGGGTCCCAACTCGGATAGTGTCACACTGTATCTACGGGCAAACTACACATTCTGTTTTATTTAAGTCATTCCTTATCTCTATTAAGCATTGTACACCAATCATATCTATCTACTGAAAGCAATATCATCAATTCTCAAAATCGACTTCACACATTCTGAAGCCAAACTAATGGCACTGGTACTCACCAAGACTGGCTGTAAGACGTGCTCGTCGTAGGTGTTTGAAGCTCCGGACCGTCTCACGGAAACCCCAGCGTTCTTTTCGCCCATTTCGTGTCTATTTCTCAAGTCGGTGACGACGTTGATTGGGTTCAACCCGGCGTTTTCGGCCAATGTTGTTGGGATGACTTCCAAAGCTTGGGCAAATTCTTGGTAAACAAATTGTTCGACTCCGGAAAGAGCAGTGGATTCCTTGGTTAAAATTCTGGAAACTTCAATTTCTGGAGCACCACCACCGGCAATCAAGGCCTTTTCCTTAACCAAACATCTGATGACACAAAGAGCATCATGGATGGAACGTTCAGTTTCATCCAAAACCAAATGATTGGCACCACGACAAACAATGGATACAGTTGGCTTGACATTCTTGGAGGTGACCCCGGTGATCTTGACAATCTTGGAACCAGAAGATTCCAATTCTTCAACCACATCAGCAGTCCCCAATCTATCTTCAGTGAAGTTATCAATGTCTGCAATTGGTCTACATCCAGTAGCCTTGGATAAGAATTCCACCTCATCTCTTTCAATGTCCTTAATGACCATGATGTTCAACTTGGACAAGAAATGTAATGCCAAATCATTGACAGCATCTCTCAAGATACTCTTTTGTATAAGTAAAACATTACATTTGGACTTTTTAATCTTCTTACAAATGTTCAACAAATAACTTCTTTCCTCTTTCAAAATCTTATCCATTTGTCTGTAATCATTGACCACCACGTTATTTTCCATATCAGGTTTTGGAGGAGACAATTGGAATTGAATAAGTCCAATTTTACACTTGTCAACTCTGGTGGGACCACCGGCAGTTTTCACGACATTTTGAGTTAAAACAACCCCATCAACCAATTCAGTTTCATCAATGGTACCTCCAACTTTCTTAATAAGTCTAATATCATTAAGATCTACATTGGTGGAATCTTCATTGGCTACTTTCAATACAGAATCAACGGCAAGTGGAGATAAAAGTGATGAATGTTGTGAGACAATTTTCGATGATAATGAAGTTGAAGCAGCTCTAATAAGTTGTTCTCTATCATCAAGAGAAATCTTATATGACATTTCTAAAAGAATTTCTGATGATCTTTTAGCAGCTCTTTGAAATGATTCAGCAATAAGGGTTGGATGGATTCCCTTATTGAGTAACTTTTCCGCGGCTCCCAAAAGTGAACCAGTAATAATTGCCACTGAGGTGGTACCATCACCAGCTTCTACATCTTGAGCAGCAGAAACATCAACCAACATTCTAGCAGCTGGATGTAAAACAGCCATATGTTTTAAGATTGTGGCACCATCATTAGAAATGATGATTTCTCCAGATCTGGTCTTGATCATTTTATCCATCCCCTTGGGGCCAAGAGAGGTTCTAATGGCGTCTGATACGGCACGGGCCGCAAGGATATTACTCTTACGAACTTCTTGGGGCTTTTCTTTGTTCTTAAATGTTGCATTTGAAGGGGCAACTGATTTAGATGCGAGGGCCATTTTCAGGGTATTTTTCCTTTTTAGAATATGGGTTCTTGGGTTGACACGTTAGATCAATTCAAAACAATTCAATGAAAGAATTTTATACCGAGTATATCTATATAAATTCTTCAACAAAGGAGGGCAAAGGGCAATTCAACGTGTTTGTTTTAGGCGTTGACATTTTAAAAATTCAAAGAAAATTCAAATCGTTGAGAATGAGATAGTTACACAAAGGGAGATTTTTTAGTAGTTCCGGGAAATTCGAGGGTTGAACAAAATCCGGAAATTGAGAATACGTAGAACTGATTGTATTATTTGATATTTGTTTGTGTGTGAATACTTTATGCGGTGGGAGAGACATATGGAGATCGGCTGGGTAATCCTTGAGAAAAAAGTAAGAAACAAATATAAGAGCCAGCGGAGCTGCTTGCATAGCTCGTAGAGCAGGTAGCACTCCATTCACCTTGACGGGGCTGGCAAGACGCTCCGCTGGCCCCTGCTCGGGGAGAGCCACTGCGTGGTGCCTAGCTCCTCTACGAGGAGACCTCTAGCAGTCCGAACTTCCTCGTCAGAGGAACAAGGCCTCCACGGCTAGTGGCCCACGGAGTGCCAGCGGAGCGGCTTATGTACCCCGTAGGGTGGCCATCATTTCCTCTCAGAGAGTCATATTATTAAACCCTGAGAATCTATTTTATTTCTCTAGAGCCACTTTTTACTAATGTCCTTCTTCTTTGCATTTTACCTTCTGTTGTTTCTACAGCACCCGCCCTCGGATCTCCTACCATCACGTGCTTTACAATTCACTTGGTTAAGCTCTCAGTACGCGAACTGCCACCTGCAGGAATGCAGAATCTTAAAGAATCATAAAGAAGGATACTATACAAAAGAGTATTAAAAATCTTAAATGAATGTGATAGACCAGTTGAAACATACTCTATCTATGCCAATTTCCACTTCCAACAACTGTGTAGGATATTGTCCTTTTTTTTCTCCTCACTTTTTTATAAAAAGTTCAATTTTTGTCCTTTGAGAAGACTTTCCTAATTGGGATCTCAATATGGAAATCAAAGAAAAACCGAGCTGACTAACTTGAGCACCAGTTAATCTATTCACATTAAAACTTCCAATACATCCCTATATATTCCTATATATATATATATATATATATATATACATATATATTTACATATTTCTCTGTTTCCAATATGGCTCATACTTTTAATGATATCCCAGTGACTACACAACAAATAAAAAATTGTTCTTATTCTCAATGGCTGCCTTTATTTCCTAAAAATGTTATCAAGGCCAAAGTGTTCAAACCATTACCAAAGTCCTTCATCACATATCTCGAGAGTGATAGTATCAAGCTCCCTTCAGATGTGCTAGAGGAACAAGTTGTCAGAACCAGTGATAATGAATATAGTGACTGGGAAGATGAGGAGCTGCTGGGAGATGAGAATTCAGAATTAACCACAAATAAGAATGGAAAGAAAATTAGTAAAAATCCTATATCAGGCTTTGAGGATCTTCATAAAGATATTAAAAGGGCTATATCTGATCTTGGGGGTAAAGTTACTCCGAAATTAAATTGGTCTTCTCCTAAAGATGCCAAATGGATTCTCCCCAATAGTACCACCAAAAGTTTCAATGCGAATGATGTTTATCTTTTATTGAATGCTTCTGATCATATAGTACATGATCTTGATCATTCCTTTGATGAATGTGTAGATTTTGATGCGACTGACAAGGTTGAGTATGAACTTGTACTCAAACAATGGGTCGATATCAATCCAGCTTTAGAATTTAGAGTTTTCATCAAGGGTGGCAAAATCATTGGGATTTCACAAAGAGATTTAAATCATTATGATTATCTTGCTGACTTGAAAGATACATTTATGGATGTGATATCCAAATTTGTTGATGAAGAAAAGATCATTCAGAAGTTCCCCGATGAAGATTTTATTATAGATTTGTACATACCTAGACCATTTTCCAAGTGTTGGATCATTGATATCAACCCATTCAGTCGTAAGACTGATCTGTTACTCTACACATGGCATGAACTTAGTGAGAGTGATACCTTAGATCTTGAATTGAGATTGATTTCAGAGACTAATGTCGGTCGTTTTGCAGCCAAGGAACATAGTGAGAATTATGTACCAAGAGATGTTTTAGATGCTAGTATGGACTCTCTGGCCATGGCTGACTTGGCTCGAGAATGGGCAAAATTAGGAACCAATTCAGTTGAGAGTGATGATGAGGAATAGTGGTAATAGAAGACAAAGACGAATTTATAGAGCATAGAATAAGAAGTTATAGTATTGAGAGAGTGTGCAGTTTATTACTCCAGTAATGTAGAGGTTGTGTTTATAGGTAGCTTTGGGATAGTAATTCTTGAGCTAGAGGAGTATTCCCCTTTCCTTCAATTCACACCAGCAAAAAGATAATAGGTAGCACTCCTTTCCTTGGCGAGGCAGGCAAGACGCTCCGCTGGCCCCTGCTCGGGGAGAGCCACTGCGTGGTGCCTAGCTCCTCTACGAGGAGGAGAGTTCCTCGATAGAGGAAGAAGGCCTCCACGGCTAGTGGCCCACGGAGTGCCAGCGGAGCGGCTTGCATACCCCGTAGGGTGGGTAGCATTCCATTCCCTGACGGGGCTGATAAGACGCTCCGCTGAGCCCTGCTTGTGGAGAGCCACTACATGGTGCTCAGCACCTCTACGAGGAGTCTCCTATCAGTCAGATTTCCCCACGATCACAAAAAATTGCACCGGAGGCAGTGACTCTCTCACGGAACGCTACCGGAACAAAATACTCCCTACAAATTGCCTCATCCGATTAAAGCCAGGTCCAATATGTGTCACTACCTAATGTTTACAAAAATGGTTTTACAAATTTCCCCCAATAATTCCTCATTTGATAAGTATGAGTACCACCTCTTCATATACTTCCCGCGTCGCGTTTAAAACACCAATAAGGTTAATCCACCCCACCATTCGGGGAGGCATTCCGGAGAATTAGTGGCACCATTTTTGTTTGACACTTCATGTACTCAATGTTAATTCGCACAGGTTCTTATTTCATTCATCCACCCCGCGCTCTGTGGGGGGGATTATTATTCCTCCCCGCCAGTGTAGTTCCCCCACCATGTAATATCGTTAGAGAATGATCAAATTGGTACAACTTCTTTATTATTTTTCCGATAGCAATAATTACACTTGATAGTACCAAGATCAATATGTCAATTATCGAGAAAGAAGTTAAAGAAGTATGTATTTCTATCATAAGGGATGTCTAGATAGAGAAATCTTATCGGGTACACAAAAATAGATTTATCCGAGTAATTGTCCACAGACACCATAGAGCCTCTCTATAGGAATTTGTAGCTTCTATGTTACTGTACGGTGAACTAATGATACTGTAGTAGTATCATATGGACCAATTGAGTCATTAATGATGGTTCATATTATTCTATCTTAGACGAGAGAAGGCCCCTCACGATGGTGACAGTCCCACGATCAGAGGTCCAGTATAGTGTCTTACAGTCCCATTTATGAGTGGATACATACTCTATGGGGTTACGTAAGTCGCTCCGCTGGCACTCCGTGGGCCACTAGCCGTGGAGGCCATCTTCCTCTGACGAGGAACTCTCCTCCTCGTAGAGGAGCTAGGCACCACGCAGTGGCTCCCCCCGAGCAGGGGCCAGCGGAGCGTCTTAGCAACCCCGTCAGGGAATGGAGTGCTACCCACCCTACGGGGTATGCAAGCCGCTCCGCTGGCACTCCGTGGGCCACTAGCCGTGGAGGCCTTGTTCCTCTGACGAGGAATGTCTGACTGCCCCAAGTCTCCTCGTAGAGGAGCCAGGCCCCACGCCAGTGGCTCACCCCGAGCAGGGGCCCAGCGGAGCGTCGTAAATGGCTGCCAGTGTCCCCGGTCACCAGTAGTGTCAGATTTCTAGTACCTAAATCAATATACTAACTACATAAAAGATATTTCTTCCCTCGTATAGAGGCGCATTAACCGAGGGGATCACCTACAACCCGGCTAATCATACCTTACTTTGGGTGGATATAATTGCAGCCGAAATCCATCGAGTGAAATTAAATGAGGAGGATTCTGCAATTGAAACATCTCATGAATTTATTAAATTTCAAGATGAGGGGGAATCAATTGGAGCCATTGCACTTACTCATAATGAAAATATTGTCCTCGCATGCACCAAATATGGAGTTACAACGGCAAATTTTGAAACAAAAAATTTTAATTACATTTTAAAATATCCTAAACATCATTTACAATTAAGATCCAATGATGGGATCATTGACCCTTGGGGCCATTTATGGATCGGTACCATGAATGATTTCCATGTTGGATCTGTCAAGCCAGAGGGGAGTCTCTATCGAATCAATTGCCATGATTTATCCATCACGGAAATGTTGACCGAATGTAGTATCCCTAATGGATTGGCATTTTCTTCAAGGGGTAATAAATTGTTTTGGACAGATTCCTTAACATTTACCATTTGGGAATTCGACTACAACCACGTGACCAACACTTTAAGTAATCGGAAAGAATTTATAAATACAAATAAATTATCAGAATTACAAAAAATTAAAAGTCCAGAACCAGATGGATTCACTATGAATGGGAAAGATGAAATCTATTCAACTATTTATTCACTGTCTAAATTACTTCATTTTAATTCCCAAGGTGAAATAATTGAAAAATTTTTAATTCCTGCTAAAAATGTTACTTGTGCAACCTTTGGCGGGCGTGCGCGCACCAGTTTGTATATAACCAGTGCACAAATTGAATTAAATAATTTAAAAGGAGTAAATGATAAAGAAGGTGATTTAGGAGGGTATTTGTTTAAGATTTCTTGTCCTCAAGAAACTTGTGGGGTTGATAAGAATATTTGGGGAGGTAAAGTGTAAGATAGAACACACAAGAAAAAATTGAATTGTAAAAAAAAAAAAAGAAAAACATCTTTAAAGTCAAAGCATAAAATAAATACGAAAACCAGAAAATAAAAAATAAAAAATAAAAATAAAAATAAAATTAAATAAAATACAAACGTTAAAAATAAAAAAATTAAAATAAGAGTAAAAATAAAAAGATCAATGTTGAATGCCCCGTTTCATAATGTGGGGGGCTAGTGTTTAACGTTTGAAGGGGAAATAAATGTGTAAGCTAGGATAGTTGTATGAATTTGTAACACATACATGTTAGAGGACCTAAAAAATAATATTAATTAAAAAAGGGTACACACACACACACAAGAGGTCCAGGCATGTGATCTAGACTACGGACCGAAATAGTAAGGATTGAATTTCCTTACAAACTACTGTAGCTCTGGACAGTAACTACAGAGTCTAGGGAGTTGGTTATCCCATAAATGGAATGAAATTGTTAATAGAGCAAGCTGTCCAGGGAGATGTTGTCCAGGGAGTAGTAACAACAACACTAACAAAGTACAACAGGATTTATAGGCGCGCGCGCCCGCGGTTCGAACCCGGGGTCGCCTCCATAATGACGTGGTCGTGGTCACTATCTATACAATGTTAATGGTAGAGTAGTGCCAAAAATAGTAAAGTAATGTTGCTTAAGATCATTTGCACGGATAAAATCACAACCTTTATTTACTCTCCTTGATTGATTATAACTCTCTTATCTCAAGTATCACCCTACTAAAGAGCACAACATGTAAAAAATCAATTTAACACATTCATCATAACCTACTCAACCTCCTGTAATAACGTTAAAGTACGGGTTACAAAATCTTCAATCACCTCATTTTCTTCAACTCCTCCTATTCTCAAGTTACACAATTTTTTATTGGCGATTTCACGACGTCCCTCGGTGGATTGTTCATTGGTTAACGACGGGTCAGACAAGATACGAAGAATTGTAGAGAGATGGAATTGAAGAGACTTTATCTTCAACATGGCTTGAATTTGTGGATCAGAAATTAATCTGTCGAATTTGTTTGGAGTAGTATTGTTGGTGGAGGAATCTTCATTGTGGGTGGATGATGAGTTTTCCTGTGTCGCTTGAACTTGCCCTTGTTTCGATTTGGACTCCTGATTCTGCTCCTGCTCTTCCTCGATGGAACGATCCTTGGCCCTATGGGTTTCTGATTTAAAACAAATTAATGAACAATATTGAACACAACATTTAGGACATTTGTATTTTGACTGTTCTTGGTTACAAATCCCACATAAAATCATGACAAACAATAAGAAAAGAGCTTAAATGTTTCTTGGAATAACCAACTGATGAAAATTGATAAAACAACCGAAAGTGGTACAAAAAACCGAAGAGGTTAAAAGTCGCCGTTTCCTCATTGAGAAGAAAAATATAAAAATTTATCGCTACCTCTTGTCTTTGTGTTAAATTACGCTTTTACACCCCCCCCTCATATGCATCGAACTTTTATAATATAAAATTAAACTTTATTATTCCAGGTTAATCCGCATAATGGAGCACAAATTCACCTACATACCTTGTCGTTAAGAATTCCATTCATTTCTGTTGGGTAGAGTCTCATTTCATCATTCCGTGCCGTACAGACATTTATGGTTCCGCACCCCCATTGTGAATGTATATAGAGATAATGTGTAGATAGTCCAAGACTTCTTTGTTGGTTGGTCTGCCCATGGCAACAGCATTCTCAATGTATGGCCAGAGTAGTGCGGTCATGCATGCACACCAAACTAAAAAAAAGTAAGTGTTTCCCAAAAGAGCGGCCCACCAAAAAAAAATAAAAAAAAAAGTTCATTTCGCAAGAAATCAAACGGAAAAAAAAAAAGAAGAAAAAAAAAAAAAGATTACACCCACCGAAAGTGTTGAGTTCGGCCCACGTAGTAGAGGCCCTTTTGGACCGAGGTAGAACGGCCGACACTTGCCCCATTGACGTTCTGGAGAAATGGCTGCGGCGAGCGAGTTCAAGCTTCCAGCCCAGTCTGTGCCTCGCCTCGCCTCCATTTTAGCCGCTCCGGTGCTTGCCTGGAGCGACCCCCCACCACCTAAAATTCCACCTCTTTGTACGAGTAAGTGTCTCTGTCCCTCTCACTCATACCATATTAGGTTGTACTTTATGCGGTGTTGCGAAAGTCTAATGTAACTCAGTATTGTTCTCTGGGCATGTGTGAAAAAAATTCTTAGATGTATTTTATGTCGGTCGTGCGTCGTCACACCTGCACACGGCGCGTGGCCTCACATGGATACAGGAGATCTTGCGTGAGGAGAAGTGGAAATGGCGCAATGCAAGAAAATGCTTGCTGCAAGTGAGAAAAATAGCAATGCATTTCCAACGTCTCATTGCTTATTCTCTCCTATCTAGGAACACGTATTGCCCGGATCCCCGTGCCGCGCTATCCACATGCTAAATTTCTTGCTATGCATTGTAATCTACCACATCAATGTAATTCATGATATGGGGTTGTGTGCAGGCTCGGCTATCGATACCGATTGTTCGTAAATAGAGATTGCGGAAGGAGGAATTATAATGAGAATGAGTGGAAAGAAAGAGAGAGAGAGAGAGAGAGAGAGAGAGAGAGAGAGAGAGAGAGAAGCGGCCAGTTACGGCCCATCCTTCCTCGCTCACACTTGCCGTTGTAGACCACACTTACCGCCTGTGCTCTCGCACTTGCCACCTGCATTCACACTTGCCCAACCTACACATCAAATCTCTAGTCTACCGTATAATTACTATACTCTATATACGTCCACCGTGCAACAATAGTGGTATACCAATGCAGCAAAAAACGTTCTTGGTGGTGGGAAGCCAAAAGGAAAAAAAAAAAAAAAATTGAAAAGGCAAAAATAAAAATTCTTTATTTATGCTTCATGCAAGTTGTCGTCAAGTCGTAAAGGGAAGCAAAAAAAATGCAAAAAAAAAAGAAATATTTTTTATGCGACCGGTGGATAATTTAGACTTTTATCAAAAAGTCAATTCCGGGCCCGTCCTGTGTGCAGAAATTCCATTAGGCTCAAAATGTAAATTTGTATGAATGAGGGATTTGAGCCATTGGGTAACTCTGGACGTGCGGGCATTGTGGGGGGTAGTTGTAAAACAGGCCATGTTGAGGCGTGGGCACAAGGTGAAGGAGGTTGCTGCTGGTGGTGGTTCCCGTGAGACGTGGCTTCGAGACGATGGGGTAGTCTGCTGGTGGGAGGGATGTTGGTGTCGAGGAGAAGATGTCAGCAGCAGGGTTAACTCTTCTACGTTTGGGTAAAGGTTGGTAGCAGGGAGTGATTGGGGTGAGTGGTGAGTAAAAGTGGGCAGCAGCAGCAGCAGCAGTAGCAGTAGTCACAACTGACGTAGCAACACTAGCCGATGTAGATGCAATTGGAGTAATGGTTGGAGAAATGAGTTGTGTAGAAGTGTAAGATGGAGTCGAACAGTAGACGATCCCACCACAGACTGGGCCTGATACAGTTGTAGGAACAGAAACAGGTGCGGGTGCGGGTGCGGGTGCGAGTGCCGGTACCACCACCAGATCAGAAAATTCCGCAAACTTATCATCGCATCTATTCTTAACCGTAACGGCGAATTTTAAAGTTTCCGTCCATTCTACAGAATGACCAGCATTCTTCAACATATTCCAGAACGAGACATCTTGATCCATGGCCTTGAATGAGAGCTTGTAGTCCAAACAATTCATAAAGTAGATCTCCAAGCTCTTCAACAATTGAAAGTCAATCTTGATGGGAGTTTGCATGGGGGTCATGATGCCATTACAGATATTGACCCAAGTCTTGAGGGTGTAAGATTGGTCATCAAAGGTCTTGTTGGAAAGAACTAATGAGGTGACAATGAGATAAAGTGGGAGGGCGGAGTCGAGGGCCGGATCATTGACCACCACTTGGTTCAAGTTGTATTTATAAAGAAAGTAAAGACTAATGGATAAGTTTTGTAAGGAGAGTTGACTGGTGATAATCAAGTTGTGGAGGTAGGCGTGGGGCTCAGAGAAGGAATTATTGGTGGCACAAGAGGTAGGGACTGTGGTAGGGGATGCCCTTCTCGAGTTGGAGCCCATGATCCCAAATGCTGTGTCTATATAAAGATCGACATATAAGGGAGAAATCATCATTGTAAAGGATCGATACAGAAGAAAGTGACCAAGGCATTTAGACGTACCATCATGGGTATATATCTATTTTGTGGACAAATACAAAAAAAAGTCAAAAATTTGCAGCCTTACAAACCTTGCATATGTGAAACAGAAGACAATCCGACCCGCATCATGCAGGTGGTGCGTGGTGGGTAGCTCAGTGACAAAGGTTGCGGTGCGTGCAGGATCGAATGATGGAGAATAAAAGAGAATTTAGAGAAAGAGGTGAATGTGCGCGCGCGCGCGCGCGAATAAAGTTCGTCACACATGTGCAGGGGGCGATACGGCAGCAAAAACGATGCGGGCTGTAGTATCTGCACGCACCTTGTGCAGGTGATGAACTCACCGTGAGAACGGATGCCGACGACACTGACAGACGACGGTGGGAGTAAATGACGGGGTCATCTCCACCCGTCATGTTGTTTATTCTGTAGTCTCTACTCGCTCAACCCATCTCTCTCAGTCCTGCCCTGCCCTTCCCTTCTGGACCCCCTTCAACTCACCATACATCCACCTGCCCCCCCTATTAATACCCCGTGCACCAACATGCACACTGCAACAAAACTAATCCTCCCTCAACGTCACTAACCAAAACTTTTTTTTTTTTTTTTTATTTCTCTGCTCCTTTGTTTTGTGTTTCGGGGGGAGAGAGGCTCTGGCTTAATTATTATTTTTTTTTTTTACCTCTCATTATCCTCCATGACTAAGTCATTACATAAGCAGCCGTTTTGGGGTATTTTCCTGCAGGAGCGTGCCCATGGATTGTCACACATTTACGTGAACAAAGAGCGGAAACCAAAAAAAAAAAAAAAAGATTGTAGGAAATTTTTTTGCCACGGCGCTGATTATGAACGGAGATTAGGAATTTGGTTTGGAATAGGGGAGGAGGAGGAATTCCCAGAGGAGGGGGGGGGGGGGCGTAGTAAATATTTTTTAATTGTTTTTTATTTTTTTATTTTTAGTCAAGAGAGTTGGAGGATGGGAGGAGGATGGGAGGCAGTTACGATGGTGAATGGCGGTTGGGAGGGAGTATGTAGAGAGTGGTAATGGCAAGGAGTTTAAAGGGGGAATTTATTTTTACGGCGTAGGATAATTTAGAGTTGTGATGTGTAGGGCGTTGGTAGGCTAAGTAGGACAATGGGAGAGAGAAGAGAGGGGGGAGGCAGCCAGGCCAGGCAGGGCAGAGGAAGGCCAGAGATTAAGCGTAGGTGGTGTGGTAAGCTTGTAGAGAGTGAGAGTCCCCTAACTGGTGCATAGTGTGTGATCTAAGAAATTAAATGACACAGTGGTAATTTTTTTTTTTTTTGACAACAATGAACTTTTTTTTATTTTTGGCAGGAGATCACCAGTTGTGAGAATTTTAGTGACCGGGGCAAATTGGCAGTCCCCCCCCCCCTCCTCTCCATAGTGAGTGAAACAAATAAATTGAGGAAAAAAAAAAAAAAAAATTAAAATTTTATATTCCGTGGGCGAGAGTGCAGGTAGGTGGTAGGGAGTGCAGGTAATCAGACGGGGAACTGAGGTGGATGACGGAGAGATAGACGAATAGGAGGATGAGGAGGAGATACCTGTTAGTGTTGCTTGAAGGGTGCAAGTAAATTAATACAACAGTGTAAATCCGTAGATTACAAATGATACATTGTAAATTCTTATTAGTTCTCTTGATGACAGTCTAGAATGTATATTTTTGACTGACCTGGATGGGATCCTGTATGTTAGGTTTCATCCTGCAGATACACTGGGAGGGTGTAACCTATTGTGCAGGAATTTCGGGCGGTGTAAAAAAAATAATTGAATTATTTTTTTTCTTTCTCAATTAGAGGGAGAATATTTTTGGTTGATGCGCAGTGCTGCGGTACTGCGACGCCATGTATAGTCTGTTGTAACAGAAGAATGAACGCACTGGGGCACGGGGTGAGTATCCATTGTAGGAACTCACGGCGACATGCTCGCCGTACCGCGCCCCCCCCCCCCCCAGTTTAGATTACAATGCGTCGGTAGGCGGCACGGTACCGGACGGCCAAACCACATTGAGTTTGAGCTGTTTCAGATCAGCTATTGTTGCTAATGAGGGGCAGGAATTTTTGTTTTTGCTTGGATAAGATAGATGTCACACGATCGAGGGGGCACACACTGTATGGGAGAAGTAGTAGTGTGCGGTGTGGTGCGGTGCGGTGCGGTGCGGTGCAGTGCACGCGTACAAGAGAAAAAAAAAAAAAGACAAATCCACTTCAAGAAAAACGGATGCATGCAGGACGTGCGCGCAAGCATGGTCGAGTCCTGCGTGACCCACGTATTCCTGCACACGCCGCCGTAATCAAGGATTCCAATTTACGCATCATTGTAACGGAATGAGAAAGGCGGTGGAAGAACCATCGGTAGTTAAAGATTTTGGTGTAGTTTAGCCTGGATGGTTGCAGCGGTGACTATTGATCCAAGACAATATTTTATTATATTTTTTTTTTTTTTGATTTTAGTGTAGGAAGAAGAAGAAGAAAGTTTAAAGTTTTAGCTTCAGGGGGGGTGGGGGCACGCGCGTCAGGTCTCCCGCAAGCGAGGCTATATGAGATGGTCTGGCCCCGTAGTCTCTGGAGGGAGAGTCACCACCCAATCTCGAAAGACGTCGAGTACAGTATTATCAATGAGAATAGAGATACTCAACTGGTCCCGTCAAGGACTGCATGTAGGCGCATTTTATTTTTAGAAAGAAAAAAAAATTATTTGTTTTTATTTTTTTTTTGTTTTTCTTTCTTATTTTTCTTTTTTCTTTTTGTGTCGCAAGCAACTTCACTTGGAAGATCAACGTAACAGTTGTTGCATGTCCCACGGGGTATTTGAGACGCTTGGTAGTCCACACACACACTCCGTAAACCATTGCGCACTCCGAAGAACAAATACACGAGGTACGCACCGATACGTCGTCAGCTCCAGACGGGCCGACAGACCGACAGTGCAGTTGGAAACTGAGACGTGCCTCCCACAGCGGCGGCCCTCACCGTTTACACGCCATGCGAGTGGACAAAGGTCAAAGTGGCTGGGTGGCTGCTGGGTGACGGTGTGGGAAGGTCATATCTTTGTCTCACCACGTCATGGTGACACACTGTCCTTTGTACTCCTCACCCAGTGACGATTGTTTGCGTCGCGCAAACGTTCGCAACGGGGGGGGGGGGGGTGTTACCACCGCAACTGTTCACAATGACGGAACTTTTTTTTTTCTTTATGTGTCTCGTTCTCTCGGGGGGGGGGGGGGGGGGGGTCCCTCTGGAACCCTTCGTCTTGCGCTTTCCTGTACGTGGTCGCCTTTATTCGATCTTTCGGCATTTCCCGTTTATTCCGTTCTTGAGAACTAATGGTTTATATTTTGTGTCTTCACGCCCCCTGTTAGCCCGCGGTCACCCCCCCTGAAATCGTCACAACTCCGAAGTTCCGCAGAAATTCGGTGACGCACGACTCTTACCAGGTATTGTGCCAATTGTGCATTGTGCAGGTCGTCTTGTTCTGTGCGACCGGGGCTCACAACGGCATTGTTTAGGGAGACATTTTTATAATGAGAGAAGAATATAAATTTTTACAAATGGGTGTGTGACATGGAACTGGTCAGTCATTATCATGGAAGCTGCCAACTACACTACATCTCCTACAGGTGGCCATTTAAACATGAAGAAAGGTGACAATTTCTTTCATCATTTTTGCCCTTTCTAACCTTTGTAAGATGTCTCGCTCCCACCGTTCAGTCTCGTGACTAGATATGTAGCTGCGACATTTCTTCTTTCACATTTTGACACATTGCCCCTCCTGCAGACAGGCTATGAAACATAAACAAATACCAGACAACCAACTTCTTCTTTTATTTTTTTTCTTTCTTTTTTTTTCCACTTTTTTGCCTCATTCAGGAAATTCCTTCGTTTCTTTTTTTTTTTTTTTTCGTTCCTGTTTGTTATTTCCGGTCCTTTCACTTCGCCATCATTGCTGTCGCAAGTCATCTCCCATGACACTTTGCAAGTTGTAGAATGGAGGCGATGAATTTCTCATTCTTTTCCTTCCAATACTCTTGAATAACTTTGTTAATTTGTATCTTTATAAAAGTGTCCTTACCCCTGTTGAAAGTTTAAAAACTCTTCACAGCACGACATTTGGAGACATTCTGTGACATTTCGAGACATTGTGACATTCAGAGACATTTTGACATTCTGAAAGAATTGCTCTAAACTCTGCCATCATCAAAAGACTCGTGTAACTAACTCCTCGGTTCTGGCTACTTCTGTCATCTCGATATGCCATCCCTTATCCGTTTCAAAGTCATCCATTGGTACCTTGTGCCCCTCATTGCCCTAGTGGTTTGGTGGGGTATGTTGATTGCGCTTTTATTATGCTGGTCAATCCAAGGACATCCCATCTATGCGTTCATGGGGAACACCCCTCAGAACCCAGTCTACATTTCTGATGTCGGTGCCACGAATCTTCAACCCCTCTTCATTTCTTGTGTTGGTTTCCAGGCAATCTTCTTTGCTGGAACCCCTCTTTTGGAACATTATCTCCGGTCCTCCTACAAACTTCAACCATATGTCTCGACAAAGCAACCTCGAATTGCCATCCCATCCATCGTATGTGCCGTCATTGGCCAACTTGGGATCCTCTTTGTCTCCATCTTCAACACAAACGCCTTCCATTCAGTCCATATGTCCATGGTGGCTCTCTTTATTGTGTTTATCTTTTTCTCATGTGCCTTCAATTTTTTAAATTCTTTTATTTTTGGTTGGTACCCAAAAAGACTCAGTCCTGACCATGAGCGCGTGATTTTCGGTAAATCTCGTTGGCAAAACCTTTACATGGTTTCATTTTTAATGAAGTGCGTTTGGCTTATGGTGGCGTTCATCTGTGCAGTCTGTTTTGGTTGCTTCATGGCAAAGGGTAATGAAAGTATGTCTGCTAGATTCGAATGGACTTTATCCTTCTGGTATGGATTATTATTATTGATGTGGACTATTGATTTATTCCCTTCAGCAATTAAACATTATAAAAGAACTCATCCATTACAATATCCTCCAACCCCACCCTCGGAACTCAACCACTTGACCCGTGACGACCAGGCAACCATTCTGACTTTCGGATCCCCAACTTTCCAAACTTCTCCTTCAAATAATCTGAAAACTTTTCCACAACAACAAGAACAACAACAAATGGCTGAAAGAATCAATACACCAGTACATGAAGTGAATATTACAAGACCAATTCCTGCTGCTGCCAGTGCTGGTTCAGGTTTTGTTGGCGGTCCTCACGTGGCCAATTCCAATTCCGGTCTGCCTCACGTGGCCGGCTCCGGATCTGGACATTCAGTGAATGATCGTAGTTCCACCAACACAGAGTACCCAGCACCAACATTTAACCGGTACCTGAACCCCAACAGCATTGTATAATCATGAGTCTTGGTAGCTCACAACCTGTATAGTAGAATTAATATTTAGGAGATGTATTTTATATAACCCCCCCCCCCCCCTACCCATCACCCACTGGAATTCGTGTAGAGTATATAGTCGGAATACGACGAGGATATCTCCGAAAGATTAGCTATCTCGACCGGCTATTGTTTCAATGCGGGCACACTCTGCTCGCCCTATGGGACTGTGGGTACGCTCCGCTGGGCCCCTACTCGGGGAGACTCAGGGCAGTCAGATCTTCCTCGATAGAGGAACAAGGCCCCCACGGCTAGTGGCCCACGGAGTGCCAGCGGAGCGGCTTGCATACCCCGTAGGGTGGGTAGCACTCCATCCCTTGTGGGACTATAGGTACGCTCCGCTGTGGCCAGCCAGGCCCCCACGGCTAGTGACGCACGGAGTGCCAGCGGAGCGGATTGCTGGCCACACACTCTACCCCCTGTGGAACTGTAGGAGTGCTCCGCTGGCACGTTACCCCACTGGGTGATTCCCTTGCTGTCGTTATTTTTTGCACCCATTTTGCTGCGTTGTCTACTGCCGCCAACACAAAAAGACGACCCACTCCTCTTACTCACAGTCACAATTGACACTATTTCATCCAACTTCGGGGTAAACAACCTCTCTCTCTATATATATGCACCATTTATATTATTTCCCCGTCATTAACCCGCCTCCTAAACCTTCTCCTTTGTCATTAGCAGCAGCCACCCATACACCCGCCGCGGCTTCTTATCGGACGGCTCACCCCGTGCAACACGACAGTCTCAAATTTACCGAGCGTGCCGTAACTTTCGGGCCGCGCGCACCCCCCGCCCTGTCAAAAAAAAAAAGATTTGGGTGGGAAATTTTTATGTGGAGCCGACTAAAAAACAAACACTAGGTAATAAATTTACGCCACACTGCTGGGCCATACTAAACTAGGGACAACTTGAACCATGTACGAGAGAGATGGTACGATGAGAAACGAAAGCGATAGAGGTCCCGGTGGCTTGGGTCCTGCAGCAGGGTCTCCAGGTACCACAACGGTCGGTGTGGTCGGGAACACCGGCCCGAGCTCGGGTCAGGTACCACTGTTAGAACAGAATTCTCACTCAAACTTTGGTCGTGCATATACTTTACCACCACAATCGAACATGAGGGACAGGCAAATGAATTCGTATGGTCATCAAGTCCTGTCTACGCCTGTTTTAAGAAGCATAGAGTATCAGATGGGATCGCACGCTCAAGCAAGGTCGTCGGGAGCGCCCCTGGCGGGTTCTGGGGGCTCTGCAAATGCGGCGAACGTTGGTGCGCCACTGGGAAATCCTTCAGGGCCTCTGTCACCAGGACACTCAACAACGAGACAACCGGGAGGAGGAGTGCTAGGAGGGTCGCCGTATAACCCGTACCTTCCCTCAACATTAGGACATGGAGGAGGCCAAACCCTGTCCGGAGGCCCAGCCCTGGGCCAGACCCTGGGCCTAGGCCTGGCCCCACCTGGCATGCTGGGCCATACGGCTGCACCGATCCACTTGGACGAGATTTCCAGCTCGCGAATCAGGGGAAGAATGCGGGTGAGCAAGGCATGTGACCGATGTAGAACTCAGAAAATCAAGTGCTCTGGCACATACCCATGTAAAAAATGTATGCGACAGAAAAGGGAGTGCACATTCTCATCAACAGATTCTGATGAGGTGGTGAAACGACAAAAATTGGATGTAGAGGGGAACTCGCCACATGACCGCGAACGTGGCGGCAGTGAGCGCGACAATCTCAATGATGAAGAACATTCTCAGCATAGCGAGCGTACTGCAGATGGCCCCAGTGCCACAGGAGGTGGGTGGCACCGGTATGGACAAGATTCAAAGAGAACTACTGGACCTGAGTCAACTGATCCATCGTATGTGAGCCATCTTGAAAATCGGATCCATTACTTGGAAAGTCTTCTTTCACAGGACTCAACGACAGTGTTCCGCCAAGATAGAACACCCGTTCTCGACGAGGTACGACTCCTCTCGCTCATCAGCACGTCGTCGAAATGGCGATTCCTGCGGAGACATCAGAACATCCTCACGGTGGACTTGTGCAAGTACATCTACCTGAATCTTTCTCCGCAGTCACAAAGCAAAGTGACGGTGCCTCGAGCTCAATACTTTGGTTGGAACATGTCAGGGGTACTGTACCTCACCCCTGAACCGTTACCGGACATCCCAGAGTACGACGCGACAAAGCTACCAAAGACCCAGGCCGAGTATACGGACTTTTTCTTCCGTGAGGTGAATGTCATCTATTCGGTTCTACATGAGACGGTGTTCCGCGATCAGGTTGAGAAGTATGCAACCATTGTAGAGGGCGGAACCAATGGTGTCAGTGGCGATACTGGTGGAGGTCGCGGTACGTCAACTCTTCAGAACCTGGACAAACTAACTCCGGCCGCTTCCAGTACCTCAGGAACTCCAGACATCTCTGGAGTCTCTGATGCAGGTGATGGCACTACGGCCACCGCCAAGGACACGGCCAAGGACACCGCCAAGGACGGTGGTATTCCTCGTTCTAGTACACACCAAACAAAACTCTTCTCGGCCATGCTCTTTCTCATCCAGGCAATCTCCATGAGACTACATGAGTTCCAGAAACCTGAAGGACCATCGCTCGAAACATTGAAGATCGAGGAGAAGCTTTTCAAGTACTCACATCGAGTGGTGGAGATCTTGAGTTTTGAATGGGAATCCTTCGAATTGATCCAAACATGGCTCTTGATCGCGTTGTACTTGCGAGTGTGTCATAGACAGAACTCTTCCTTCCTGGCATTGGGCCGTGCGGTCACCATGACTAGATCGATGGGGCTTGGATTTCAAATCCCCTTGAGTTTCCTGGCAACCCCATATGAGCTTTTGAAGGCAAAGCGGGTCTTTTGGTGTGTTTATTCCTTCGACAGGTTGTTCGGATTGCAACAGGGTCGGTACTGTGGACTTCGTGATGGCGACATCTACCGTGAGTTCCCTCTGTTCGACTACGTGGCAGAGTCCAAGGATGAAGATTGGATCACCTTACCCTCATTCGCCATGCTTCAAATAGCCAGGGTGTCCAACTTCGTGCATACACTTTCCGTGGACATTCCTGAGACCGCCAAATCTGATCAGATTAACCATAAGGTTGAAGAATTGGAGGATTGGTTGGAGAGTAATGGGTTCAGTAATGACGAAATATATGGCAAGGCCACAGGCACCAGCTCTTCGCTTGCCAAGGTCCAAGTGAAACTTCATTTGTACGATCTCCTTATCTGTATCCATGGGAAGTCTCTCTTCAACTATGCGGGCAAACATATTGATAACCATGGGCTTAGCGTGGAGAAAGTTCTCATGGCGTCTGAGGGGATAGTCCAACTTCTCGGTAAGGTTAATGACCACAATGAGCTCACAACGCCGTGGTACATGATGATGCTTCTCCTCTATAACGCGGGAATCAACGCTGTTTGTCTCATCAATGGCGGAGTGTTCGTCTCCCGTGCAAAGGACGTGTTCCGTGCCTCGATAAATCTTCTCACTGTTCTTCTGGAGAGTAAAGTCTCCGGAGAGGGAGCCAATCCAGCGTCCACTGGCTCAATTTACAGGTTCAAAATGGCCAGAGAATGTCTCTGGGCCCTCAAAACAAGCAACCACATCGTCCTGTTGAGACTACAAGAAGACTTGGACGACCTTAACCAGATTGGAGTAGACCACGGGTCCGCAGAGGTGAACATCCAAAACTTCAACCAATTCGGCAAGTACTCCAACGGCAAGACGGAGAACGACACCGAGCTCTTCAGTGGCAAAGTACAGCCACGTCCGCTCCAGCAAACACAAGGAATGCTTCAGCCTCAGCAACAGCAACAATTCAACCAGTTTCAACAGCTGCAACAGCTGCAGGCGTTGCTTCAACAGCAGCTGCTTCTCCAGAACCCGCTCCTGCTGGACTTTATGGACCCTACCAGCATAGACGGACCAATGTCTTCAAGGCCGGTGAATTACATTACCCCCAACAACGAGTTGTTTGGTAACTTACAATGGTTCGACCAATGGTTGGACTTTACATACGATTTATAGAGTAAGAACACAAATAGCTTTGATATCCTTTGTAGAATACCCGTTACTACAACGCAGGCAAATTGCTTGAGTGTCTACAATTCCATAGAGAATAATGTCTTCCCTACAATGCTGCAAGCCGCTTCCTTGGCACTCAGTGGGCCACTTGCCGTATGGGGTCTTGGGTGTAGAGTATATGTACACTTCCGCGTGTAGTTGCAAGCCGCTACCGTGCCACCCTGTGGGGTCTCCCACAAGATCCTGGTTTGAGTCTGTCCCATCTACATCAAATTTTACCTCGGCATGCGACTCGATGCCCAGAAAACCCAGCGTTGGACCCGGAACTCAGCACCCAGCCCAGAGCAATCGCAAACGATCTGGCTGGTGCATTACCCCAATCTCAAGTTACCTACAACCACCCACCTGGTGCCTCCAGGTCCCTTGGACGAAGGAATCGCTTTGCTGTGTTGCAACTCCAACCTTATCGCCTGATCACGACGTTGCATGAAAATTGCTGCACAAAAATTTCACACGACACACAGATCCAACCCCATACCCCGGATGTCTTCCCCAAATTGGCATCCACTGGTGGATCGCAACAGAACCGGGGGATTGAGGTGGCCGCCTCAAAAAAATATTCTCTGGTTCCCACCAGAAGAGCGCGGACCTGCCGGTCTCAATCAAATTCTCGGGGAAATGTCTGGGGAAATGTAGTGGGCGCTGTGGGCGGGTGGGGGAACATGTAAACAAACCTAGCAGGATGCATGTGTGAGAAACCAGTCTACCAACAATAGCAGATCTGTTGGGATGTTCGAGACACTAACCGCCGGGCGTTTGGTCTTGGTGGTCTTGCTATAGTATGGAGTCCCGGGGGCCGGGCACACCGGCCCCCCGGGCTGCAATATGTGCACTGCATTATCCGAACAATGGCCCCAATCCCCCATGCTCCATGGTAATCTATGATGGTGCGATTTACGAGAATCATGGAGGTTCCGGAAAATCTGCCAATTATTTTTGCGGCCCTAGACTTGAAAGATTGAAACCTTCTCGAAACGCACAGCACCACCTCTCAATAAGAGTCGGAGCTCGCGGAGCTCGCAGCGCTAGAAGCACCAGGGCCCGCACTGGGCTCATGTACACCCCAGAATTACCTCTAGTCCCACAAAAAAATTTGTCGATGCACCTCCGCACCACCCACTTCTGTCATCGCAACCTTATATTGGCTCTTCCACCTACCACCTTAAACCACTCCTCGTGCAACCTCATGTGCACAAAGCTAAGAAGCTCATTGCCCGGGGCACAGCGTCCCGCACCCCCCTTGCTCCTACTTCTGCTCCTCCTCACCCGCCACCAAAAAAAAACAAAGCCAGCAGTAAACGCCGACCCCAACGCATGACGGGAACGTAGTGAAACATGACGTCTTAACTGCTACACCTACCCCCAGAATTCCGTAAAGGTTTACCAAGACTGGGGGCATCGGGTGTTCTACCGCTTTCGGCCACTTTTGCCCCCAATTTCTTCATGCATGTCGTTTCTGCTCCTAATCTCTCGGGCGAGTTCCGTGCAGCCGCACAATCTTAAGTGGTACTTGGGTTCGTTCCGGGGTAACTCGACCACCCCCGGATCTCGACCACATTCCGATTTTTTTTCCTCGTTATTTCTTTTTTTCCCTCCCTCCTTTGCAAGAGTACCATACTCTCCATTACCGCTTACGTTATCATTGGCTGATAAAAGTACGCATTTTTCAACCGCCGGAAAAACTTGCATGCTGGCAGATCTTGGTTTTTCCGGAAGCGAACAGGTGATAGATTATAGTTGGTTAGCCCTACTGGCACCGTAATTTAATGTGTCCACTTTTGCCCTACTCTCCCTGCACTCGTTTAGCATCCCTATCGATTCCCTCGCTTTCTTTCCTCGCTCATTCTGCTCCCGTTTTTTTTTCTCTCCTTTCTGATGCCCCCTATAAATCGTTTCATATTCTCTACTCCTCGGAAAAACTTAATGCACAACACATGAACAATTGGGATGATCACGCCCAGGGACCAGGGCGCACAACATCTCTCCCGTATTATGCACCACGTATGCGCCAAAGAGTGCATACCGTGGTTGCCCCCCGCGCATAAATCAAGTGACTCCGGGAAAAATGTCTCACATATGCCCCACGAGCCAAAGAAATGAGCACCATTCCGGTCGCACCAAGTACATCCCGGAATGAAAAAATCCAATTCCGGTCGCGCCCACAGCACATTAAAAAAAAAAACATTTATAAAAAAAAATAAAAAAGAAAAAGAAAAGTGTCAACCCTCCCCCTGCTCACATATGTTGGAGGGAGGACATGAACGTAAACGGCTGTCACTTTCATCCTGCTCTTCTTCTTGTTCTTCTTCCCTTCTTCTCTTCTTTATCTTTTAGTATACTTAAAAATCTGTACTTTCCCTTTTACGGTGCACGTCTCCCCCGCCAAGTGCCCCTCGATTTCCATTTCCATTCTCATTTTTTCCGCTCGGAAAATACGGCCCCCCCTCCCTCATACTCAGAGTTATTCCTTCAGACTTACACCGTGGTCTCCTCTGCTAACCGTCCAAGACCCCAACCAAGATGACCCCCAAGAAGTCCAAGGAAGAGCGTCCATACAAATGTACAGTGTGTGACAAGGCCTTCCATCGATTAGAACATCAAACAAGACATATTCGAACTCACACAGGAGAAAAACCTCATGCTTGTACATTCCCCGGTTGTAGTAAGCGGTTTTCCCGGTCGGATGAGCTCACTCGTCATTTGAGAATCCATAACAATCCCACTTCCAGAAAGCGTCGGAGTAAAGAGCAAATGATGGAGCAGCAGATGGCTCAGTATGGTTCTCAGCTGCACTTGCAGGACCAGTATCAGCAACAGCAGCAGCAACATCAACAACAACCCGCTCAGTCTCTCCCACAGTATCAACAATCCATGCCTGTAGCCATCGATAGAAATGGCCATGCCATCTACCAACAGCCTTACCCCGTGTATATGTATCCTGGAGGCGGTCCAGCGCCACCTCACTCTCAAGGCCAAGTTCATCCCCAGGGCCCTGTCCAAGGACCTGGTACTACTCTCCCTGGAGGAATCCCATTACAGCAACAGTCCGCAACCTTCCTGTTGGCCTCTTCGCCAACAAATTATGCCTATAACCCACATTTCCCACAACAACAGCAGCAGCAGCAGCAGTCCTTACCTACTCTTCAGCAATATCCTGCTAACTCTAACGCTACTCCTGGAATTGTTGGAGGAGCTTCCAACCCACCTCCTCTCCACTACCTCTACTCCTATGGCTCAGACTCGAAACTCGCCAATATTTCCTCCACTGCATCTCCTCCGGTGCCCATTCTGAAATCCAAATCAGCAACTTCCATTGGAGGAGGGGCAGGTTCATCCTCGTCCACTTCCGCGGCTGCAATCTTCAGTAACTCAGGAACGATGTCGACAGCTAACTCGGCCATTCCTTCTCTCAGCAGCTCCCCTGACCACACAGAACATAGTATCGGGAACTCCTCCGGGTCAACTTTTGGATTCCAATCGAAGAACAAGGTGTTCAATGCGTCATCCTCGTCTCTCTCCTCATTAACGGGTAAACTCAAATCAAACTCCTTTACCAATCTTTCAGGATTGCAACGCTTGACACCACTCAAGCCATTGACAGGGCGTCCACCCCTCAACACTGCCAACTCCTCAACAATGACCGCCACCACCACCACCACCACTACTACTCCTGGATCAATGACACCTTCTGGTCCAACCACCCCTGGAGCCTCTACGACAACTTTTGCATTACCCAAACAATCCTCATCCACCTCTTTGAACCTTGAGTTTTACTTGGCCAACAAGAAATCAAGACCAAATTCTCCACAACCTTCATCCAGAGATCTTCAACAGTTGAACCAATCATCGACGACCTCAATGCCTCATCATTCTCTTATTATCTCCCCGAATGAGACACCATTGCAAACGCCATCACAATCACCACCCTTGGCGCCACAGGCCTCAACGGCTTCATTTGATAAGTCCAACCATTTCAATCTTTTGAACGCTGCCATTCAACAACATCAGGGCCGAGCAGAAGCTATTTCACAGACCTCTTCAACTTCATCCTCGACGTCTCCACCTTCATCAACTTCATCCACACAACCATCTGCACAAGTTCAAGATGTAAAGGCCACCACACCAACCCCTATCGACACGATAGAGGGTGCCACTTCAAACTCCATAGCCACCACAGGGACTCAATTGCCACCCATTAGAAGCGTTTTCTCCTTCTCTTCAGTCGCCAAGGAAGCGGCTCCCCTGGAGTTTAAACGTCCAGATACCTTAAAGAAGTGTATGAACATAAAGAATTTAATGAGTTAGAATATATAGATCAAGGGTAAATTTAATAGAGATACAATAGAAGGACAATAGAATGTCTATCTAGTAGTGTAGGACGAGTCCACGGAGTGTAAGTGGAGCGGCTAATATACTCCGCGTAAGGTGGCCCACTCACTTCCTTGTTGGAATGTAGGTACGCTCCGCTGACCCTTTCTTAGGGAGAGCCATGGTGCTTATCTCCTGAAATCTGTTGTCTTGGTGTTCCTTGTCAGATGATGAGGATCCCCCCACGACTAGTGTCACTCGACTGAGTGCCAGTGGAGTACCTTGGGTATCCCGGTGAGGAAGGAAGTATTGCCGAATAACTGTTAGTGTAGGGTTGTCAAGAGAATCTTGCAGCCAAAATCCTCCACCACTGGACGATGGACGCCAGTAATTTAGGATTAATGGCACTAACAGAGCCAATTGAACGACCGATATCCTAGTTGGACAGACCTCATGGGTAAAGGAGTAGCTCACAATGAAGTTGTGGCTAGAATGAGTAGGGTTTTGCTGCCCCCTAAGATATGTCTCTCTTTATTTGATGTTGTTGTTAGTTTGTTATTTTAGCAGCACAGTAAATCTTTGGATGTTGAGCCACTAGAGAATTACTCATTGATACAGTAAGTAGGTGATATAAGCCATTGAGTCTATCACGGCTTCTAACTATTGTTAATCGGTAATCTTATTACTGCTTTCCTCTAGATATTTCTTCTTCATTTTGGCTATCTTTTGTTAATTTTGGTTGCAAAAAAACCTTTTGGTGGTAAAAAATGTTGAGAATTTTATATATACTCTAAAAATTGAATATGGAGATTTAAAATATAGAGAAAGACAGGGAAGAAGTTAGAGATAGAGAAGAAGATAGAAAGATGGATAGATATAAAGATGGAAGTAGGAAGATACTATTGTATGATGGATTAGTTATATCTTCTATTAAGATTCCTTCTATTTTTGTGTAACTAATATCGTTATGTCACAAAAATGAATTATCATGATAATGAAAAAAAAAAGACATTCAATTTAAGGAAATTATAAGACTACATATTGAAATGAAAAGAAGATGTTAAACCCCACTATTTAACCGGGTGTAGCAATTAATATTTTATTCTATGTAACCTGTTTCTTGTTGTTAATCACTATTATTTTGAAAAGGACACATAATCAAAAGGCGGTTACGAGCGCGCGAACCCTTTTGAGATGTTTTTTTTTTTACTTTGGTTAACTCCTATTTACCCATCAACTGAGCAATGATAAAAGATAAATGCATACATGATAATATGAATAAGTGAAATGGAAATTAATAGTATAATAATATTAATAATAATAATATTAATAATAATATTGACTTTATGGTTAGGAATTGAGAAATCATCATTTCTACTATAACCCAGATTACATAATCAGTCTCACATATAACTTACCCTACATTACATTACTATACTACCAAATTCTACTAATTTCACCAGAAAACTCAATACATGATACACTCAATACACCCAATACACTCCAATCTCATTCTCTCGATTTATATTAGTTCATTCTTTTCTCACATACTTGCCGCCCCAATACCGAAAACATGTGTCAATCGTCATACAATAACATCCTATTATTATTTTTTTTTTTGTTTTATTTTATTTTTTATTTATTCTCTCACCACACGACCAAACTACTCTCTCTTAACAACATACCTTGATCCAAACAACCCGCTGTATGACCAAATTAATACCATTACCGTTTGTACCGTACCGTGTCATTAATTAATTTCGGCTTTCCCGAAATTACCTACAAACAAATCACTACACTCATTCTATCCCCTATCTATTTACCCTATCTATTTACCCTATTTTTTCCCCTATATCCTCTTTAAATAAACACGTGAACCAGCCATTTTAGCCATTTAAAAAAAACTCCCTTATTTCCATCATGTTCCATTTCTCCAATACTCTCCCTTGTGTCCCTAATTACTCATACTAATTTTTTTTTAAAACCTTTTTTTTTTTTTTTTTCCCATCATATTTCATTTCTTTTTCCGCCTTGAATTTCGTTAACCTAACAACACCCGACCATTTCCAATTCTCTCCCACTTAACCCCTCCCAGCGCCCGAAAAATCCGTCCCCAGTACCGCACCCCCGCTTCCTCTCCCAAATCACCCCACTTTCTCCTCCGCACGACCACTTTCCTTTTTTTTTTCTTTTTTTTTTTAATTTTTTAATTTTTTTTTTTTTCCTTTCTGTGCCTCTCATTCAAAAATATCAATTGCTGAAAAATGATCACCTTTTAACTTCTCTTCTTTAAGACTTCCTTCAATCTCAAACGACAACAACTGGTTATATTTGCTTATAACTGGGACTTGTTTGTATTGCTAGATAAAACTCCCCAAACCCCGAAAGCTGAATCGTTTTCTGACAGTCGTTCTGATCAAAAAAGGAAAAAAATTACAAAAGAGCTTACTCTTTCAAATTTTTTTTTTCTAGTTTCCAAAACTATCTGTCACTAAAAGGGTCCCTCCATATTTTAGTGAGACCAACCCGTTTTTTCAGTTGGACGAAACCTTAACCAAATCAATCTTTCCCTGTGAAGAGTTCGAGCTTTTGACTAAGTTGTCGTCTCTCTATCCTCAGTGGAAATCTTTTTATTTGGTCCATACATTTTGTTAATTCCCGTCGTCTCGGTTATCTCCGTCATGTATCTGTACCATCAACATCAACCATCTTTGGTTCAGACTGCTCCTCAGTCTGGATATTATCATCAAAACTTGGGCACTGCAGGCCATAGAGCCTCTTCCTCCCTTAGTTATATTCCAAGTTATTCGTATGCTTATCCTCAACAATATCAACAATATCCTCCAATTCAGGATAATGTGAATGTGAGTGCCACTGCTGCTAACACCGCAGCAGCTACCGCAGCAGCAGCAGCAGCAGCCAACCCTGCGGAATCTAACGGAGGAATCTCCCCAGTTCTTGAATATAATATCGATAACATGGCAACCTTTCTTTCATGGTGTACCTTTGGAATGCTCAAACAAAACAGAAACCCTACCAAGGAGTTTGACAACTTGGTGGTCTCTGTCTTGTTTGCCACCCGCTTACCCAAATCCACCATCATCATCGCCTTGGAATATATGAATCAACGGTACCTGAGTGCCGTTTTGGGCAACTTGTCCGAAACTGAAATCTTTACCGTTTTAATCATTGCCCTTATTTTGGCCAACAAGTTTAACGATGACAACACTTTTACCAACAGATCTTGGTGTGGTGCTGCTGGTCTTTCCCTCGAAGTGGTTAATGCCGAGGAGAAACTTTGGCTTGAAGAAGTTCGTTGGCAATTAAATGTCGTCAATTTCGAAAGTAACATTCGTACTTTGGAAGAATGTTGGACCACTTGGTTGGAAAAGTATACTGTCAAGACTACACAACCGCAGATTGGTTCGCAATTAGCTGCAGCCTCTCCTGCCGTTGTTTCTCCTTCTTCTCAGAACTACTACAACACTAACCAAGCCACCACCAGTATTCCTTCATCTCCAATTCTCCACGACTACACAGCCCCCACCACCAACTACTACTCTCCAGTGGTGCCCAGCTCGTCTCCAATTAAGTATGCAGCTGACTCCATCTGGTCCTACGTACCCCAACAACAACAGCAGCAGCAACCACTCCCTTCGACCAATTCTGCCAACATCTGGTCCTACACCCCACCAGCCTATCAGTACACTGCCCCACACGTGGCCTCCCACGTCTCGGACCCGTACTCGGCCGGCTTTGTTGGTTACAGCAACCCATACTACTATAACATGGCTTCCTGTTAAGCAACAAAAACACTCCAAAACTAAAAATACAAAAAAAAATTGTGGAGCACTGGACAGGGACTTTTCGTCTCTCTCGTCCATTCTATGTGTCTAATAGAGTACCTGTTTCTTGCAAGCAGTACAACCACGCACACACTTCCACATCTACACACGGGCTATTGTTTGTTTGCCCCTAGGTTTATCAAAAATTGAATGTTTTCTTATCGGTTTTTTTATATTTATTTTTTTTTCTTTTCTAATAAAATGCTATTAAAAGTACATTGTAGATCCTTAGAGTTATAGGTGCCTTATAGACATCGGAGGGGTTATAGAGACTGTAGACGGAGAGAGCCAGGTGGTGCTGCACAGCCTCTCTGGCACTCCGTGGGCCACTAGCCGTGGGGGCCTTGTTCTCTAACAAGAAAGGACACGGCTGGTGAGAAGATCTCTTCGTAGAGGAGCTAGGCACCACGCAGTGGCTCTCCCCGAGTAGGGGCCAGCGGAGCGGCTAGCAAACCCCGTAGGGCAGTACTATGTACTGTACTCACCCACCCTACGGGGTCTAAGAGCCGCTCCGCTGGCACTCCGTGGGCCACTAGCCGTGGGGGCTTTGTTCCTCCGTCGAGGAATGTACTCGAATAGAGTTTTAGGGAAATTTTAGAGGAGTAACGTATAACGTTGTATATTTGGTATGAGGTCAACTTAGTTGATGATTGATGATAAGGTTAAATGAGAACAATTTCCATTAGGCATACTGAAGTTGATCTTAGTACTAGTAAAGATTGTCTAAATGGGACGGTATAAGAATTGGAAATTATATGGGATAAAATGCGGAAAGTACGCGCACTTTAGATTTCCCATAGCCTATAATTTGACTTAAATGAGAGGAAAGTGCAGGGCTCCCACTTGCTGTTACACTTGCACGCGTAGGGGAATTCTTAAAATAAAGCAACCATATGTTAACACCTTTTAGATGTTACTAGTTCTTATCCTTCAATTGTACGACATATATCATCTAGAGTATATAGTACTCATACTAGCAACTTGTCTATATATATATCTTATCTTATCTCATTCTTCTCTTCACAGTACCATCTTCTCTAATATTGAATTCACCTCCATAATGTTAATATCTCCTTCAATACTTTCTCCAACAAAACGCGTCTCCTTAACTTCATATACATATCTCATATAATCGTCCTACATCTACCCTCTTCAATAACAAATACATTTTTCTATAGCTAATACAAACCCTATCCTACAACTTCTTTTCTTCAAATTCTCCATCTTCTTCCTCTTCTTCCTCAATAGTACCTTCCTCCTTCTTCAATTTTTCAGCTGCGGCAGCAAAATCAATCACTTTACCACGGGTACGTCTACCACCAGTGATAATATTAGATTGATCAATCTCTACAAGATCGTCTTCTTCTTCATCAACTCCCAAATTATCCTCATCGTCATCATCATCCTTTTCTTCTTCATCTTCAGACTTGGTTTCCTTGGGAACGTCATCTTCATATTGACGTCTTCTTTGTTTCTTTTTCTTTTTCTTATCACCATCTTCAAGTTCTCTCTTCTTTGAACCTTCTTCATCAGCCGCCTTTACTTCTTCTTTTTCTTCCCCTTCAACTTTTGGTTCTTCAACTTTTTCCACAATTTTTTCAACTTCAACCTTTTCAACTCCTCCACCTACAACATTATCAATTATTTCAACTTTTTCTGTTTCAATTGTCATTATTCTTGAATAAAGAGCAAAAGAATTAAATTGAAATTTATATTGAAATTTAAATAAAGTTGAAATAGCCTCAACTGAATTCGAACGCGCGCGCGCGCGCGCGTGTGCAAGGCCAGCCACAAATATTCTTTTCTAATCTTTTTCCTTCTTTCACAATTGTTTGAATTTCCTTCTTCTCGAATTGAACACGGGACGACTTACACCTCAAAAAAAAAAACCTCCCAATATCAAACAAAGACACACATAGTAATGAAAATTGATGCCATCTACATCATTTGATAATTTTTTTTTTCATCCTTCCTTTTCTAAATACACCATCTAGAACCATCCACTTCATCATGGCCACCATCACTAAAAAGACGAAAATGTCCGACTTGATCCATTACAGATTAAGAATCACAACCATTGATAACCGTGGCTTTGTGGGACAACTTTTGGCGTTTGATAATCATTTGAATTTGGTTTTATCCGATACTGAAGAGTTTAGAATCACCAAGAAATCCTATCAAGAGTTGAAAAAGACAAACAATTCCGATAGTATAGTCGAGGAGAAACGTGCATTGGGCTTGATCATCTTGAGAGGTGAACAAGTTGTCACTTTTAGTGTAGAAAGCCCTCCACCAACTGGAATTAAAGAACGCTTAGGTAAGCTCGAGAAGGGTAAAGGGGTCTCCAGACCAATCAAACAAGCCACTGGATCGAGAAAGATTGGGTTACAAGGACCAGTCAGAACCGGTAAAGGGTTTGTACCACCAAGAAGATAGAAAATGCAAAGCAAGGGAAGGAAAAGTTTTCCCTAGACATATCATTCTTCCAGCTGTACCAGGCTAGGCTTGGACTACCTTCATTGTTCAGGGTAGATGGGGTCATATATCCCCATATCAGGGGACTTTTTAGAAAGAGCAATGGTCTCAGAGAGCTCAGGAGAACTCTGCTACATGGTACCTTGATACTCCACTCTGGCTTCTGCCCCGGGAGAGCCACTGGTATGGAGCCTCCCCCCCCCCCCTGTATACTTCAGGAGAACTAGTTAACCATATCCTAAACACACTACAACTATCTCCACATTCAGTCTCACTCAGGGGATACCCATAGAGTCTCGAATCTTGAGTCTTTTTCAGGAGCTCCACTATTACTAATGCCAGTGTTATTACCAATGCCACTATCCCACCGCATCGATCTAATATCTCCCACTCTTCTATATAATATCTCCTACTCCTATTCTTTATATCTACATATAATTTCAATTTAATATCATTAAACTAGCAACTACTAGAAGCGTGTCAAGTCTCATGTTCTTCTGATCTAGCCAACCGTTCGGTTGAGCCCTTGAAAGATCAAGAAAGGAAAGTTGAAAACAAAATGGTCAAATTATTAAAAACAAAAATTGCTCACCTCTCTCCTCACCCTTGATGTAGACTCATCCACAGTCTTTCTCGTCTTTCTCCATTCCCACCTTACATGCAATCCAGTCAAGTATCTCTCTCTCTCTCTCTCTCTCTCCGTCTAACAACAGTTGGAGTTATTCTTGCCCTTCTTTTCTTGTGGAGCAGGAGTCAACGAAATAGTACGTCCTCCAGACGGCTTGCTACCACTAGCACCAGCAGATCCATCGTTGGTGTCCAATTGATGCTTGCTGATCATCTCGTAGATGTTCTTCAATAATTGGTGGAAGGACAAGTCGACGTTGTCGGAGGAAAGAGCGGAAGCTTCGGTGAACAACAAATTGTTTTCATTGGCAAAGTTCTTGGCTTCATCGGTTGGAACGGCTCTCAAATGGTCCAAATCAGACTTATTACCCACCAACTCGATCACAATGTTGGCGTCGGCGTGTTCACGCAACTCCTTCAACCAACGAGAAACGGATTCGTATGACTCTGTCTTGGAAATGTCATACACTATCAAGGCACCCACAGCCCCACGGTAGTAGGCACTGGTTATAGCACGGTAACGTTCCTGACCTGCGGTATCCCAGATCTGAGCCTTGACCCGCTTCCCGTCGATCTCCAACGTTCTGGTGGCAAACTCAACTCCAATGGTGGAACGAGATTCCAAGTTGAACTCGTCACGGGTGAAACGCGACAATAAGTTGGACTTACCCACGCCGGAGTCTCCGATAAGAACGATCTTGTAGAGGTACTCGTAATCGTACGAGTAGTCGTCTGTGTTGTCGGCCATTATATATAACTGTGTGTGTGTATTAGGGGGGGTTCTATGTCAGAGAGGTTAAGTGTTGTAACTGTCACGTTTCCTCTTGTTTCTTCTTTGGTTTCTGCTTGTTGTGGCTATTGAGATCGGCTCCAGTTTGCAGGGTGAGTGTGTTTATGTGCGTTAGATCAACCAGGCTAATCTATCTGAAGTATCTACAAGACTCGGAAAGTTTGTGTGGGTGTTTAATGCGAGTGTACGTGGACGATTGCCCTTGTGTTTTATTGTGACGAGATCTCCCAAATGAAGAGAAAAGCAAAAAAAAAAAGAATGAGGAAAAAAAAAAAAGTAATAAATAGAAAGAGGGAATTGGAGGAGAGTTTGAGCGGTGAAGTTGAATAGTTATAAAGTGGGCAAGATCATATAGGCACGTTTGTAATCCACCGGGGGCACCAGAAGTTCACGGAGTGTCGTGTGACGAATTCAAGCCCCAGTGGGTGGTCAAATCATAGCTATATGTTTATTGGCTTATTGTGTGTGTTTATTATTGGCAGTAAATAGCAACACGACACAAAAGAAATCGATAGGGGGGAAGTAGACTACTACATTGTTTGTAGCATATTTCAAGTAGCATATTATTTGTAGGTGAGGTAGAATAGAAAAGGATATTCGAACTGAGTTCAGTGTACATTTATATAAGAATTGGACCTGATTTTGACTACATAACCTGTCTGTTTGACAGTATTTCTATTTAGTGTTTAACGGGATTTTATATTTTTTATCAAGCTGCAGATTTTAGTTTAAATGCGCGTAGGAATATACTAAGTTGAAAGGTGTATATCAGACCAGTATAAGAGTGGAGTAGAGGGCTGCTTAGATTTTAGAACGATAAAATGGACTAGATGGCCATGATAGTTCACTTAGTTACGACGTATTTCGAGCCAGTAGTACGTCTAAGCCCTTTTTTGATGGTTAAGGCGCACCACCTCGTTTAACCGCGGCCCAGAACATTAACTTGCAGTCAACTACACTGTATATACCTCTATACGACCTTCGCCTTCGTTCCTGCCAGCTTGTAGTAACTTCTCAATCTTACGTATCTGTATCAATTTTAAAAAGTGCTTTGATTCAAGTGGGGCTAATAAGACGCCCGCTGGCCCCTACTCGAGGGATAGCCACTTCGTGGAACATAGCGGCTTACAGCCCCGAGAGAAGAATGTAGTGGCACCATACAGGGCTATAAACACTCGCTACAACGACCCTACACTCAGTAATCTTACTTATTGTTATTAAATATACACTATATATCTCATTCTACACCCCAACTAACGTGATTAACGTTCTCTGCCCAATCTTTGGTCTTCTCTGGCAGCCTTTTTCTCCATTTCATCCCAATCTTCTCCTTCACTTTCATCATCCATTTCACTGCCACTGGCATCACTTCCACCATCACTGGAATAGTCGTCTTCCAGCTCTGGTTCACTTTCAACATCCTCGTCACTTGGATCAACATCACTGACTTCAAACTCGGACTCTTCGTCGTCTTCGCCTTCAGAGTCCAGAGTACCGTCACCAGTCAAAAAGACCCAACCACCATCGGCGAAAAATTGATATGGATCCAGTTGAACAGTCTTCATAATTGTACCCCAATTCAAGTTCATTTGACCTTCACTGATAGGAATGTCCACATCCGTAAGCCATGACTTGACATCTTCCAAATCTTCAATCGGTATGGTGTTGATATGAACGACAGGTTTGTTAAAATCTTTGAAAACGAAAACCAAATCGAAATTCTTCAAACCAAATTGAACTCTTTCTAAATGAGCAATTTCAATTTCTTCCAATGTAACCACCAAATATGGAGGGTCAATCAATTGAATTAAACAATCTCTTGTAGGCATACACAACACAGCAGATCTGAAAGGAACACCTTGGAATCCCAACTCACGGAATGGGATATCCAAATCAATGGCTCCATGAGAAGAATCAGCAATAAGTTCTGCAAATGCCTTGAATTCCTTATCCAAAAGTTGCTTTCTTCTACGTTCTTCTTGTTCTTGTTGTAATTCATCTTCATCTCCATATCTGTATCTTCTCTTACGACCTCCAGTTTCATCAAAGGCAATATCACTGGCTTCTCTGTAGAATTGAACATCATGGGTCTTCTTTTTCCCGATCATGATTGGGTTCTTCAAGTGACAATGAATCACTACAATCAATTCGTCTTTACATGGTTGGAAGAAAAGATGTTTGATGTTCAGGAACAATACATCAACCTTGTGATCGTTTCTAAATGTCAGAATGTATCTCAAACCATTCTCATGGATTTGTAAAACACCTCCAATCTTCTTGGTGTCTGGTTGTGGACGGATAAACACTTGTTCAAGCTTCTTGACTCTAGAACCTTTCAATTCCACCAAGTTGGCTTGAGTGACAACATCTGCCATTTGCTTTCTTTCCAGTTCCCGCTTAACAGAATCCTTCTTAAGATCTTGGATGGCCTTGTATACATCAACCATTCTTTGACGATCTCTTGAACGAAGAGTGACCGATCTTAAAAAGGAATTTTCTGGACTGTCTTCATATGGAAGTTCAGTTCTCTTGGAATTCATCCCACCCAACCCTGGGGAGTTGAAGTTAAGTCTAAGATAGGTAAACTCACCTTCTTCATTCTGAGATCCATTTTTAAAAGAATTTATATGGAATGGTACTGGTCTACCACAAATAGGTAAAATGATCGTTTGTGCCTTATAATCCACATGGATCTTGAGATCACGAACATTACTAGGGATCTGTGACTCCCGGACATATGACTCATATTTCTTGAACACTGGCTTGAAGTCAGATGAATCGGTAGCATCAGCTTTAGAAAATCTGGCCAATCCTTCTTGTTGTCTCTTTTCGTGTAATTTTAATTGGATTTGTTGACGAATTTTCTCAGAATTAGCATTATCATCAGAAGCCTTGGACTCATTACGAAGTTTATTCTTGAGAATTTTAGAATTTGCTTCATTAATGGCAAGATTTTTTTCAATTTTAATATTTTTCTCTGATTTCAATTTTGATGAAGAAGCGGAAGAAGCCTTGGAAGCATCAGCTTTGGAATCTTGTGGTTCTTCTTTAAAGAAAAAGCTAACTTCAGATCTACCCTTACTATAACTGGTCAATAATTGAGCTTCACCCAGTTCCACTTTGAAGGTGTCAGCCAATAATAATGAGTATTCTTTCTTTCCCAGACTCAATCCTTGGAATCCCACAGTAAGGGCAATGATATTACCCACTTCCAACTTTCTTTCATTCTTCCCGTTCAATACAAAAGTGGAATCTCTGAATTCAATACCAATGGACCATCCAATGTTTTTCGTCAAGTATTGAACCAAATCTGGTCTCTCTTGCTTAACATACTCTACAGTGGCATTATACACTTCAGCTGAAGTCTTACCCAGAACCAATTCCTTTTGAACAATATGTTCTTGTAATTTTATCAAAAAATCATAATTCGTTTCCATTTCCTTGGTTGGGTCAATAAGGAATGTACGGCCAATATTGGAACAATAAGACTTGTATCTTAACCCTAAAGAGGCCAAAATGACTCCTTCACCAACCAACAAATTTTTATTTGATTGAGCACTTGGCTTGAGGTCATATTTACCCCCACTTTGTACAATTGGAGAATAACACCAATCAACCAAGTCTTGTTCAAAAGATTTATCTTGAACAAGTAATTTCTTACCCATAGCACTCTTATTGAACCATTTATCCAGATCAATTTTCAGTTCAATTTTATCGGCAAGTGAAGCATTTGATATTTTCAATTCTTCATCCACAGCGGTCATCATTTCATTGGCAAAGTTATCCATCATTACAACGGTAGACTTGGCAGCAATCTTGGTAGAGGTAAGTTCTCCACCATCTTTAATGGCCATAGATTCAGAGATAAGAAGAGCAATGTCAACAAACTTTAAATCTTTTTCCTTTACCACGGCTTCCCATTCATCAATGAACTTCCCACGGTATTTATCCTTGGCAACATGCCCAGTTGGCTTCTCCAACAGCTTCAATTCATCGCCCAATTTGTTGAAAAGAGCTTTATTTGCCTCTAAGTCATCTTTAGATCTTTCCCAAATTTCTACAGAACTTGAATTTGAAGTGGGTTTTTGCAGCAAGTGTTTGAAATGACGGGCACTTTTGGCTGAAGTGATGATTACACATTTATCCTGAGTTACATAGAATCCAGTCGATGCTAATTCATATCCAGTCAACCATGTTTGAAAGACAGTGGTCTTCTTGTAAGTGTTTTCATCGTCAGAGGCACCGACAAAGAGTAGAATCGCACCCTGCGAGCTCGCAGTCATATTCTTCTGAACCACCGACAACCGACGGTGGAAGTTATTGGCATCTATACTAACAGACATGTTGGTTAGATTGATGGGTTTAAAAGAGGTTAACGTTGACCTTTTCATCTTTTGAAGTTTGCCAATGTATAACTGGGAAGGTACACGACTACGCGTTGCGAGAAATTGAAAATAAATCAGAAAAAAAAAAAAAAAAGAGAGAGAGAATGGCAAAAATTAAAAGTAAACAGGAGGCATAAAGAGAGATTGATATAATGAGAGGAAATTTACAGGTAATGTTAGTGGGGTGGTAGATACATGTGTGTAGTATGTAGAGTGATCTTATATTGAATGTTTTTATTTTTGTCTGGATTGCGCTTCAATTGATTTGACGAGGTTATACAAAGCTTCTACTTTGAAAATGGCTGCAAAAGATTTTTCTGGCGTGTAGGCACCACACACCTGTAAGTAGTCTATAGAGTACCGGTGGGTGATATTAAAGCTACCTGGAGAGGTTGTAGGGTAATGCTGTTCTATGGGGTTGGTAAGACGCCACATTGGCCCCTTCTCAGGGAGACCTACTTGCAGGGTGCTCCTCTTCGAGGAGATTTGTCCAGTCAATTAAAACTCGTAATAGGGGGGCTAGGCCTCGACAGCTAGTGACTCACGGTGTGCCAGTGGGCTATTCCCCCTTCAAGGAAGGCTATAGTGCGTCTAAGGAACGCTTCGTCAATTCATTAAGGAGAGTAAGACCATTCGGTTATGAAATTTCTCGAACATACACTCTGGCTCTCAGAAGATTTTGGCGATCCCCTTCATCGTGTTTCCTATCTCGATAGAGAAAATATAGCGAGCCTTTTATATGGAGAGATTGGACTCATTCTGTATTGTTTAGGGCTGACATAGATTTTGTTGGAAGGTTCCAAAATGAATCGATAGAGAAACAAAATTATCTAAAATAAATAGCGAGTAGATTTCAGCAGATTGGAGCAGAGTATCCAATACTGTGCACTCAATCTTACTACTACTACTACTACTACTACTACTACTACTACTACTACTACTACTACTACTACTACTACTACTACTACTACTACTACTACTACTACTACTACTACTACTACTACTACTACTACTACTACTACTACTACTACTACTACTACTACTACTACTACTACTACTACTACTACTACTACTACTACTACTACTACTACTACTACTACTACTACTACTACTACTACTACTACTATTTGCAGCCAAACTTCCTTGATAGAGGAACATGAGCCTCCACGGCTAGTGGCCCACGGAGTGCCAGCGGATCGTCTCATTATCCGGTAAGAGTTGCACCCCATTCTCTCCACTCTCCACTCTCTTGTTTCCACCCCACGACCCAAACAATCGCCTGACACCATCATTACCAATCCCCCTTTTCTCTACTACGAGAGTTGTTACCTAGTTTTTCCCCCGCACACGACCCACGCGTTATTTTCAAAATTTTTGTTGTTCTCAAACTTTGGATTCACCTGCAGCACACGTCTTGGTTAAAAAACGCGTTGTGATCATCTAGTCCCCCCATCAACTAGCCCCACCCACCACCTAATCAACAAAACCCTTTTCCGGTATGTTCAGACAGGCGAAAAGAAGAACTGCGGGCCGTAAGAACTTTGAAGAGGCATCCACCGACCTTTTCCAAGGCCAATCAACGACCTACTCGTCACGGTTGTCCTTCTATGACACTCCACCATTAGACGAAATTACCCTTGAACAATTTGAAACTTGGGCTATTGATAGATTAAAGATCCTTATTGAAATTGAATCATGTGTGGCGAGATCTAAGTCCATCCGGGAGACGGAACAGATTGTGAAACCATTGCTCTTGAAATTCCTCCCTTTGAACTCAAACACCGTTTTAGCTGAACGGAAGAAAGATCATTACTCACATTATATTCTTCGATTAGTTTTCTGTAGAACGGAAGAATTGAGAAAGAAGTTTATCAAGAATGAGTCAATTCTTTTCCGGATAAGATATATGCATTTACAGCCTCGTGAACAACGTGAATTCATTGCTACTCATGCAGATAAACTCCCCTGGGAATATATCACCAATGAAGAAAAATTGGAATTTTTTGATGAATTGTTTCAAAGTACTTCCACCACTATAAGGGCACAACTTCTCATAGATTCTGCTCAGGATACTCTCTCCAAGGAACAATTGGTGCAACATATCAAGACTGTGGAACAATTTATAAAGCTCCCCTTTGAACGTGTGCCACAATTGGTCGCTTCTAGACTGGTTTATCTCCGTCAAGGAATGGCATATATCCCATCTTCACTTCAATTGAATCTCTTGGTGATTGAATTCCAAGACATTCTCTCTTCACAATTGAATAAAACATTCCAATCACTCCCAAGATTAGAGGAAGATGACCGTTTACTCCCCTTATTGAACAATCTTTCACAAAACTTCTCCAATGTTGAATACAATTCACAAGCATATGGGGACCCCACCATGGCCTCTGACATCAATAGTATGTCTATCACTACTCCAGAGATCACCAAGCATTACCCAATGTGTGCTAAGCATCTCCAGACCAACATGATCGCCCAATCACATCTTAAGTATGCTGGACGTCAACAATTGGGTCTTTTCCTTAAAGGAATTGGTCTCAGTGTCGATGAAGCACTCAAGTTCTGGGCTAACCAATTCACCAAGGGTTCCGGTATGACGTTGGAGAAATTCAATAAGGAGTACAAGTATAATATCAGACACAACTATGGGTTGGAAGGTGCTAGAATCAATTATAAGCCACATGATTGTGCCACAATCTTGAGTAAGCCAAAGCCGGGGAAAGGCGAATATCATGGGTGTCCATACAGAGACTTATCGTTGGACTCCCTTGTGCACAACTTGCATGAGTTGGGAGTCACTGACCAGCTGGATATTAATGGGGTCATTGATGATGTTGGGAGAAATGATTACACAGTTGCATGTACCAGAGTGTTTGAGTTAACTCATAAGGCTGAGTTGAGTAAAACTAAAAATGGTGGTGAAGGAATGCATATCAATCATCCAAACTTGTATTTTGATAGATCAAGGCAACTTGAAAAGAAGTTGGAGGCTTGATGCGGTATACTCTAAATAGAGCATGGTAGTACTTGAAGTGCCAGTTGCATCTATGCATGGAGAGGGGCACATACCCAATACCCTGTAGGCCTGTTAGTACACATCACTGGCCCCTACTCGGGGAGATAGCCACTACATGGTGCCTAGCTCCTCTACGAGGGAATTTCTCGAGTCATGATACATTCCTCGTAGACAAGCTAAGCTGCTGTGGGCAGGGCAAGACGTACCACTCCCTGCCGGATCGGGTAGGACTGACATCGAAAGGAACAGCTGGTGTCCCCTCTAATTTCAGCAGATTGAGTATATCTAACCACCCTACGATGTCTCGGCTCTTTGATATCCTATAGATATGGGTTATGTATTCAAATATACACAATAAATAAGCTTTTTTCTCTTCTTCTACTAGTTCTCTAATACTCTAACTAAGATCAATGGACCCCCATAAATCCTTGAAATCCCACCAGGAAGCACCACTACCACAAAGACCTACCCAGAACGGAGTTAAACAACCTTCGTATAAAGACCAATGCAACACCAATGGCATCTGTACCACTTGCTTGAATACATTGATCCGCCAGTTCTTGTCCCATTTGCTCACTGGTACTCTACGGAAGAGTTCAATGATCTCAACTAAAAGATACACCCCCCACACCCTAGAACACCAGATGTAAGTCTCCATACACCACCAGTCGTTATCGTTGGTCCCGACCCAATTATGTTCGGTGAGCCACCCAGCGTTCTCAAGAAACTCCAATAATAAGCAATTGAGTGCCTGGAGAAGATTCACTACTCGGTCAAATTTGGGCACCTTGTGTCCAGGGGTGACAAGCGCACGGTACTCGTCAATGATCCATGGCACGTACTTGATGGAATCAGTGAGTCTAGCAAAGATCCGAATGTCCAGAAGATAAGACGAAATAGCCTTGAGATGAACTGCCAACTTGGATACGGGTTCCTTGGTAGAGTCGGCGACAAGAGTTGGTGGTGGTGGTGGTGGTGTTTCGTCGAACGTCAGGGCCCAGAACTTGTTGGAGGACTTTGACAAGTCTGTTCCGAGGTAATTGCGGAACGACGAGTTGATCAACCTGACAAAATTATACCTTTGCTTAGCAAGGAACGCCTTAATCTGGGGCTTATTGTTGAGGACCGACGAGAGAAGAAGGGTGAAGTAGCATATGAAGTAGAGGTTCCTATCCACGGTAGCTGTCAGGGATAAAACCTTATCGTTTATCTCCTGGTAGAACTTTCTACTAAAGATCGATTTGTTGAGTAGAGAGTTCAATTTCAAGAGGGCTGCCAAGGGCACGTTAGACGGGAATTTCCCCCTTAAAACGGGTTTATTGAACGTGGACGACATTTCCAAGAGATAATGATATGGCTGGAAGGTTGGTAAATGAGTCTGTTTAATAATATATGTGGTGTTGTTCCGCTAAATATATCCCCAGATGGTAGTTTTTGAGATTTGGGTCTTCGCAACCCAATGTGGTAATTCGTTCCGAGGTCCAAAAAAGACATGCGAACGTGTGATAATGCAACAATTAGCAGCACAAATACCGTCTAGGTGGATTGATAGTTTCATGAATGGTGTAGGGTAGAATGAATATAAAGTGTAGACCGGGGAGTGTGTGTATGTGGATAATGGTGGGGGGATATATTGAAAATTGATGTGGAAATTGACCGTAAAGAAAATGTGGGGTACATAGATACGGCTGGTTCGAGACAGTAGACTGGATAGAACATGCCACATAAAGCTGAATTAGACTAAAATAATGTGGACCTATGTAAGAAGCAGAGTATGTTAGATATAGCCCTACATGTTGGAATACTCAAGTGGGGGTATGTAAAAGCTGTGGATAGCTGATTGTAAATCTCGGCAAAAAGTTTACAGCCTGTGCCCTTTAGAGCTGTTACTATATCGTATTTTTCCCATTACAAAGCCAAAAGATGAAAGTATTTGTAGTGTTCGTAGGTACTAATACTGGATTCATAAAGTATTAAGACTTTAAAAAGGGCAGATTTGTGATTCACTGGCACGAGGTGAAACTCACTAGCCGTGAAGAAAGGGGATCTTATTTTCTTTCATCTTGGCTACAAGTGGCCCATCGTAGAGGAAATAGACACCACTTCAGTAATCCACGGAGTGCCTGAAGATCCTGCTTTCATCCCCAAGAAGGGTGTTTCTCATGACAACGTAGTTGAACTACTTGCTCATTCATCATTCTACGGGAGTAAGGCCTAGTTTGCTTTGTTTCATATTTCTTGTTTATATTAGTATCTATACATATTAAAAATAAATTATTGAGTGTGACTGGATCCACTTCCAACGTTGGAACGTAAGGTTTCCAACTTGAGATCTTCCTTTTGGGCATAGAGTTCCATACCACGTTGATCGGCAGAACCAACGGTTTCCAAAACAACTTCATTGATTTCTTCAACTTCATCGTCAACTTGTGGCAAAAGCAAGTTCAAGATCACACCAATGAACCCGGTGATGGCATACCCGGTTTCCATGACCAACACAATGGCGTCGAGGAACCCTTGTAAGGACTTGTTGTCCCCAGAGTAGGTGAACACACCACTGAACCAGTTAGGAACCAAGATGGAACCATAACCCATCAACAAGGAGGCAGCCAATAAGAAACGATCTCTACGAGTGAACTCGGTGGAGGCAATAATCTTCATACCGGAGACTGCAACTGAAGTGAACAAAAAGGTGGTCATACCACCAAGAACAGCCTTAGGAATAGAAACAATGGCGGCGGCAAACTTGGCGAAAACTCCCATAACAACCATGAAGAAGGCACACCAGTATCCAACCTTACGGTTGGCACACTTTGTGACGGAAATAACACCGTTGTTTTGGGCAAAAGTGGACATTGGAGTGACAGTCATCAATCCAGAAAGTAACCCGTTGAACCCGTCAGCGAGAACACCTCCTTGGATACGAGATTCGTATAATTCACCTTCAACTTCCAATCTGGATACATCGGAAGTAGCGGTGATGTCCCCAATGGCTTCCATCATCAACACAATGTAGACAGCCAAGAACGGCAAGATGATTGGTCCATATACCTTGAGCTTGAAAGTGTGGACCCACATGAAAGTGGCAACTGGAGCTTGACTGATGGCGCCAGAGGAGAAGTAACCACAGGCAGCAGCAACAATACAACCCACAAGTAACCCAACGATGACAGCACATGATTTCATGATTGGGGACCCCCAACGTTCAGCAATGATGATGGAAACATAGACAAGGAATCCCAACCCAATGAATTCAGCAGACCCCCAGGGTAATGGATGAGCAGGAGAATTACAAACCTTACCAACACAACCAGAACCACCAACCCAATCTTGGAAACCAGATTCAATCAAATGAACCCCAATTAAAAGAACAACTGGTCCAGTGACAATTGGAGGGAAGATTTTTTGTAAAGTTTTAGCAGGCATGAAGGATAATAAGATTTCAAACAAGGAACAGACACAACCAGAGGCCAAGATAAGCCCATAACCATCGGGACAAGGTTGTTGAACCCCGTCGATGGTGGCACAAATACCACTCTTGTACATCATGGGGAAGGCACTTGAGACAATGGTAATGGTAGCAAACGAGGTACCAACCACCGATAATAACCCAGTCCCGATGTAGTAAGGGGTCCCATAGATGTGGAATCTTGTGATTTGAATGGTAGAAAGTAACCCAGACACAATCAATGAAGATGAGACAAGGTATTCTTGGACTTCACCAGAAAGATTGGCCATACCAGCAATGATAATAGGAGGAGTGACGACCCCGGCAAGCATAGACAAGGAGTGTTGGAACCCCAAGATGAACCCCAAGAGAATTGGCATCTCTGTGTTAAGGCCAAAGAACGGCTGGGTCTTAGGGACAGCCTTACTGAAGGGAAGCTTTGGGATGAAGAGGTAACCATAGTCGTAGTCACCTACAAGACCTTCTCTGGTGGTCCATTTACGAAGGGACCTTTTGACAAAGGCAGTAAAATCCGACCCTTGAATCATGATGTATAGTATGGATTGAAAATTACTCCAACTACTGAATTGTGACCGGTCCTCTGGGACATTTAAATAGAATCATTGCTACGCATCGAGATAGCTCAGAGCCGCCGAAAGAGGAAGGAGAACAAAAAAAAAAAGAAAAAAAAAAGAGCTACTGTCTAAAAAATAAAGAGAAAGAGATAGAGATAACCAAATTTTCTTATCAGGCTAAGACCGAATAAAGGCAATTTGGTGGTGAATTCCGGCTGCGCGGAGGAGAGCGAGATTCAGTGAGAAGTTTATTTATGGGGCGGAAACCAAAAATGTCAGACACTAGATAGACGACCTCGCAGCAGCTCAACTATCAATAGACTTTGAAGTTTGACGATTGGTATTTGTGGTTAATAATTTATCTACTTTTCTTTTAGACTCTGATTAATAAATTTGTTTGGTCGGTTATTGTATTCCGGCACACACTCACGTGCGGTCTGCGATGATCTGTCTGTTACCACACTTTGTTTGTTCAATTTCTTTCTTATCTTATTTGAAAGAACTATTGGATGAAAAGTTTTTACTAAATAGGCTTAGGATATCTGTAATGTACCCGTATCTCTCCAAGAATTCTGTTAATTACATAAAATAATATGGACTGGTATCTATCTCTATGTTGTGAAGGGGGGGAAGGGCGCGCGTGCGCAAACAGGCGAGTTCGCGCCGTGTAAAGAAAAAATATCGTTCGGGTTTGTCCGTTCTTCGTTCGGATTGGCCCGATAGTGGTCACATGACACCTCGGTACAGGGGATCAAGCATAAATTTAAAAAGAGTTCAAGAGTACAAGAAAAATCAAGCTTTTGATATTTTTTAAAAAGATAAGGACAACTATTCTTCTACCCGGTAAGTAGTTCCAAATTGATTAAATAATTGTTTGATATATCTTATAATGCTTTGTGTATATTCCTTCCCCTTTTTCTTATTTGTCGTCGATCTTTCTCTTTAATTATGCCTTTTCTCATGTATTATGTAAGCGGGATCTCACGCTCAAAACCACAAATCACAAAATTTTAGATGAAATTATACTTTTAGAAGTTATACGTCTCGTACACTTTCTGTCAAACAAACCCCGACTTATCTATCCGAATCACCCTTTTTTTAAAAAAGTCTGGAGATATTGCTGATCCCCTCCCCCCCCCCTCCTCCTTGTACACCAATTTAATAAGTATGCACGTCTTCGTCACTTGCCCGTTGCTGGTTCGGCCCAAGGCGTGGACAGCCTAAAAAAAAAACAAAGCAACACAAACCATGCAGGAAAAAAATCTGAAGAGAGAATGCTTCTTTTTCTACAGTTCCTTACTTTTTTTAAAAAAATATACCCTATTAGTAAGTCATAAGGTGGTTAGGAACTGTCTCATATATCCTCATATAACGTGTGAAATGTACAACTAATTTCAATCAGGGGGTGGGGGAATGTATTCTTCCTTTCTTTTTTTTTTTGCCCCTCATACGAAGGGACACCCCATGCATGAGTATCCTGTATGTAACGTAGTTTATACCCCCTTTAGGAAACATGTCTTATTGTGATGGATGTGCACACGCACTTTATGCGCGCTTGACACATTATATGATCAGTTCGGGATTTGAATTTTTCTTTTTGCAGTAATAAAAAAGTAGGCTTTAAACTGAGTACAGGGCTTGAGTGAGAATGAACCACCATTCGGGTTCTGAAACTGCGGATTTCCCTCCTTGAGAAATTTACAAATTCCCACCTAAGCCATGGACATATAATACAAAAAGCGATCTTATTCTTAATCCTCCATCTATTTTCTTTCTTTGTATTAAAAGTAAAAAAGTAAACCTTTCTTCCAACTCTTTTTTTTCATTTTGTTGGGATAGTTTGGTTCCTTTTTGTTGCCTCCCCCTATAGATGACTTCACTTCGAGTGCGCAAAAACATAGTATCGAGTAGTTGTATCTTGATTGCGTTGACAGTAATTATCACCCTATCATTTCCTGCTACTCATTACATTTCCAAATGGGATTACTTTGAGATTCTTCTCCATGGTTCTGATTCATCCAGAGATGTCTCGTTAGGAAATTTGGTGGAAAAATTACTAGAATCAAAACAAGAAATGGATATGGAAAACAAATATTGGGCCCTTGATCTGCTGGTTAGAATTACGGACCTTATCATCCCTTCCTTTTATAAAAATTCAGATCCTTCACCACCCCCAAGCATTCAAGTCTTTGACCCAAGACTCACTCTAGGGGTCTACCTCTACAACATGAAGTTCAATAAGAAACTCCCCTTCCATTGGTACGATTGGGTGGATTTATCTGTTCTTAACCAACACATTCTTTCTCCGGAAGCCAAGAAACCTACATGTGATGTGTTTGACACTGCCGTTGCCAAAATCAGTGACACGTCGATGTTTTGCACTACTGCAGCTACTAGTACGATACCAACGGGTATTGGTTTCGAAATATTCAACGCTCCAACTTTCCAACTTTCGGAAGAAAAAAGTATTCAAGTTGCCAAGGGATATCTCTATACAAGAGCACCTACTCCAAGAAGAGTTCTCTTTAACTCTAAGAGTGGCGAACTCAGGGGCTTTGAAACAAGTGGCAAGGAAAGACTTATAACTTCTGAACTTGTGGAAAACTACTTGATGGAGTATCCCAGTGCCAGAATCGATGTGGTCGATCAATTCCAAGATGTCATTAATAACAATTCCAGAACAATATATCCGATCAAGGAGTTAGAGTATGAAAGGATAATACCAGAATCCCAATTCGTATTTGACTTTAATTCTTCTATAGCATCATTAAAGGCGAAAGAATCCAAGTTAAAGGATAATGAAAGAGCTTACTTGCAAAGTTTAGTTCATTCTGATTTCTTAGTTTCCAAAACCGCAGTCCCTAAATACTTCCATGAACCTAAAATCTTAGCCAGCACTCATGGATCACACTATGATTGGAGGTTTTTCAATGGGGTCATATTGGGGTCGGAAGAACAGGAGTTGGTGTTGCATCGGCTTGTAAGGTCATGGCTTCTGTTTACCAGAAACGCGGATATAAATACCTGGATCGCACATGGTTCTCTCTTGTCTTGGCATTGGAATGGGATGAATTTCCCATGGGACAATGATGTTGACGTTCAAATGCCTATCATGGACTTGCACAAGCTTGCTCTTCACTATAACCAATCGGTTATTGTGGAAGATATCGAAGAAGGTTTTGGAAGATACTTTTTAGACGTTGGTTCTCTGATAACACTTCGGGAGAATGACAATGGTCTCAATAACATTGATGCTAGATTCATTGATGTAGATACTGGGATCTACATTGATATCACTGGCTTGGCTCCTACAAATTCATTGCCTTCCAAATCATATATTGATGAACTCCCGCTGGATTTCTTTAATGGTGAGCATGAAACCTCTCCCAAAGATATTAATATTAAGCTTGGGTTGTATAGCTGTCGTAATGGGCATGTTTCCCGTTATAAGGATCTTTTACCCTTAAAGAAAACCGTCATTGCTGGTGAGATTGGATACATCCCTAATTCCCACATCGATACACTTAAGGCTGAATATAATAAGGGAGTTCATGCATCTACGTTTGACGGATACATATTTCAACCACAGCTCCGACTCTGGGTGAAAGAGCGTGATGTAAGAAACTATATGATGGATCCAAGTATTTGGATTAATTATCATCAAAACATCAATTATGCGGATACCCTATCATCTCTGGAAACTGAAACCTTACTGAAAATCAGGTTGATAGAGATGAAGACTCCATATCATCTTTCGCAGGGGGATATCATCAGGGCAGAATCCTTATCCAACGAGCAATTGGTGGAATTTCTTACGAAGGATGAATTACTCATCCAGTATCTTATTACAAAGGAAATTACAGAGTTCCACCAACTAGAACTAAAAGGGATGCTTTCAGGTATTTCTACTGTCAGTTTGGTGAAAGGCTTACAGCCATTCCAACCATCCAATCACGACTTATTCACATACAAACTACACCTCAATTATTACCAGTATGAAATTGCAACTGAAAAATTATTAGACTTGGTTGCGAAAACTGGGTGAGGTTACGAGTACGAAATAGAATTTACGTAAAACAAAATAATACAATAGTTTCCCCGTAATATACTACCGGGCAAAAAGAGTCACGAGTAGACTAACCTAGTGGAGACTTTCCCATTAGTAATATTCTAAGCCACCAGATACTGGGAGGCAAAAAAAAAATAAATTAAATCTGAGCAAATAAAGCACGCGCCGCTTGGGATAAAGGACGTAATTTTATTTTTATTTTTTGCCCCATTTTTGCCCATTCCTTTGTTGAGTGCATAAATCCTGGGCTGTCAGAAGATCTTTAAATATCGGAGATAGGCCATCGAGGACGTCCATTCCTTCGATACAAACCTTGGCAACGGAGATGAAATCTGTAGATACCCTTTGTACTCATTTGTAATGTATAGAAGGGTATATGTGGAATGATTTAACAAGAAGTAACTTTATATGTGTGCAAAAGCTATTAGGTCATGCCATAGAAAGTTTCGGAACCAGAAACCGAAATGTGGATCCGTTCCTTCAAAGTAATAACAATCACCGATGCAAAAAGGAGTAGTATTTTTTTCGTTTTTGATTTATTTTTTGGCTTCCCCGTTTGCACATTTTCATGTATATGTATGTCGTGCATGAAGATGCATAGTACGTATAAGTTGAAGAATAATTACGGCATTCATTATTTTCTTCGGGAATGAACGATCTTTTATATACTGTAGAGATATTAGACATGAGTGCTTGGTATGGTATGGTAAGCTCTAGTCGAGATGATTCGTGGGTCCAAGAAAATCTTCACCACCATCAAGTACTCGTTGATATCTCTCGTTGTGATCTTAGTTCTCATTGCAGGCAATACCGCTAGACTACTTCAATCAAGATTGAGAGAGTATCGGATTGAGCTAGCATTAAGAAGCAATCATGAAAGAGATCCAGTACTAGAGAAGATGATCGATGAGATTTACTCCGACCGCAGTCATATGTTGCAAAATGTCCCTCAAAGAGGAGTCCAGCATAAAATCCCGACCCACTATGAAAATCCAGGATCTGGTAAAATCCAAGTTTTCGACCCTAGATTCACATTAGGCATATATATATATCATGTTGGTCAGAAGGAAGGAGATCTCCCTTTCAATTGGTATGATTGGGTTGACTTGACCATGTTGAATAAAATGATAGTGTCACCGCCAGAGCGTTCGGGTTCCTGCCATGATTTTGTATCTTCCATTGCATTCCCAGGAGATGGAGACACGTTCTGTTCAGATAATGTCAAGTCATCCGACTTGGGTTATACTATTAAATCTCAAGCCCCCTATAGATTGAGCGAGGAAATGACCAAACGTGTAAGTAAATCGTACCTCTATACAACTGCCCCGATTCCTGATCAAGTAATATTCAGCACAAAGAGTGGGGCACTCCATAGTTTCACTACGAATGGAACAAAGAAACTTTTAGATTCAACACTTGTTCGGGATTATATTTCCAAATCAACAAGAAAGGTAGTTGACGTTCATCAGGAGTATGATATTTTGACCAAGAATGAACGTAATTACATTAAAGAACTTGAATCTGACGTGAAGATACCCTTCACATCGTTTGACTTTGACTATGAATCTACTGTCAAAGCTTTGAAGCAAAGAGAAAATGAGCTAACTCCAAGAGAAAGGAGATACTTGGAAAGTATTCAATACTCGAAGGAAAAAGTTGAGGCCAAGCAAGTGACAAAATATTTCCAAGAGGTAGAACTTGTCCAACAAATGAATGGTGGATATGATTGGAGGTTTTTCAATGGTGTGATCAATGTCAAACAAAGAGAGTTGGTAATAATTCGACTTCTTCGGGCTTGGCTACAGTTCACCAGGAATGCTGAGATAACCACATGGATTGCACATGGTACGCTCTTATCCTGGCATTTCAATGGCTTGAATTTCCCGTATGATACAGATATTGATGTACAAATGCCACTTTCAGATTTACATAAGCTTTCTCTTCACTATAACCAATCTGTTGTTGTGGAAGATATACATGAAGGGTATGGACGATACTTCATCGATTGCGGAACTTGGATAACCCTCCGTGAACATGAGAATGTTTTGAACAATATTGATGCCAGATTTATAGATATTGATACTGGGGTATATATTGATATTACTGGCTTGGCTATTTCGAATGAATGGCCCTCTGGTCCATTTGTTCCGGCAAAATATCTCGATCAAGAAAATGTATTGTCGAAGAACGCAAAGAGTTTGAATAAGAAACTCCAACTTGTGAGTTGTAGGAACCGACACACCCTGAGATATAAGTCCTTAACCCCATTAAGAAAGACTACTATAGCTGGGGAAATAGGATATGTTCCTGGAAATATCAATGAACAGTTAGATATGGAGTATGGGAATAATGCAGTTCTGATGAATTCATTCCAAGAGTATTACTATATCACCAAACTTCGACTTTGGATAAGGAAATATGATTTACAAGAGTTTTTAAAAGACCCGAGTGCATGGAGAATAACAAATAGAGAAAGGATCAATAATAGAAAACCAGGTACCACGGCATTTCTTAAAGAGCTTGAAGAAGAGTATTCCAAAAAGTCCAACAGAGAGTTGACTAACAATGAGATTGGTATTATAGAGAATTTGTCTAATGATCAAATCCTAAATCTACTTGCTAACAACGACATATTGGGGGACTTTGTTTCGACCAGAGACCTCACTGCATTTCACGTCGAAGAGCTCAAAGATATTTATCATGGGAGATCAACTTCCAAGGCATTGACAAATTTGCAACCATTCAAAGCATCGAAGCCTGATTTGTTCACATACAAGGTACAGGTTGAAAAGTTTGATTTCAATTGGGCTAACCAGAGGTTGCAACAGCTCATCGAGGAGGTACATCCTAGAGAAGAACTACCTAAATAACATACCTCAAATAATAAAATAAATGCATCAGAGCGGCATAGTCCACTTCCGTATTTAACATCCAGCATATTGATAAAAAAATAATTACAGTGCATGTGTGGGGAGTGCAAAGTATTCCGTATAAAAAATAGAAGATGTAATTCATAATTGCCCGCCTTCAGAGTATGCATAATGTAGATAAAGTATCAAAATATGGTACCAGACGCAGAGATGAATTAGGAACTAGTGAGCCTGTAGCCCGCCTTGAAACTTGCATGAAAATTATGGTTGCTGATGCACTCATTGGAAAAAAAGTAACGCGTTTTACTGATACGTATCATCGGAGTTAATTATACGAAAATGAGTGTAGAGAGCTTATGAATGGTGTGCATTGAACCTATGGCTTGATTTGGGACGTTTTTTAATAGTTCGACGCTTATGGCTAAAATGAAGATAGACCACTGTTGACTCGGCCAAAAATACAAATTGGATGATTGTTTGATTGGTTGGATTGTCAAGTTCGTGAATTTTATTCCTGTCCAGTAGGATCGATACAGTCTTCTTCACACCTATAGTCGCAGAATTAAACATAAAGTATCGCCACAGGCCAGAATGGGGTTCGAACAATTCATGTATCATCAGATATGTCCGGATTAAGTATTTTTAATTTTTCCGATATTTTTTATTTTTTAACCCGAAATGCATTTGATGGCGCCAATGAAGTTCGGGTGGATTCGACATGTAAAAGGATATAGACCTCGGTAGTAGTACGTCTGCATGAGTTTCGAATAACCTCGGATGTTTATAGCATAATTATTTTTACCTAGCGGAAATTCGATAGAGTGGAATATAATCTAGTTATTCTCAATAGTCTCTCTCTGAAGATACTACTCAAAAAAAAAAATGGGAAACATAAATGTATTCTGCTCTGAGGACTTTACTTTTGAGCTTTCATTAACACGGCTTGCAAGTCGTAGAACGAAAGAATCTTAACTGTTTAAAGTCCTGAGGTCGTGCATTCTCCTATATTTTTTGATCACCTTATCCCCCAATATCACCTTCCCAGACCCCAAGTTGCCAGTTCAAAATCATATAAAATAAATACACATTCCTGTTGTTTAACTAGGCATTGTACACATGTACTATGGCACTAAAAAACTGGTCCAAAATGAAATTGTGAGCTAATATGCGTGGTATTGACTATTCTCTATTCTGTATTCCACCATAGTCTTACTCATAGGGGAACTAGATTGTCCAATGAGCACCAATAAGAACTCATTCTCTTCATGGGGAGTAACCTAACTGTACCATTCTATCTTATTCATCTCTAGCATCTGTTTAAATATGTCCAAACTGTCATTAGATTACGTCTCAAGTTTGAAAAATCATTTCATTTTAACTAACTCACTCATTTAATGAACTTGCACTCCACTCGGTTAGATTTACCAATTTCCCTTAGAATGATGAAAGTAATCCAGTTAAATTCTCCATGTAGTCTTTACCTCGAATACACCCACTTCCTGATTCAATAACACCTGATATATGTTTGGCATATCACGTGCCTCGTTACTGTTCTCTTTTTGCAGCCATTGTTATATGTCACCAATCTCAATATAAAAATATTTTACCCTCTTCTACAATTCTCCCCCAACCCCAACTAATTCAATCTTTTTCTATTCTTTTATAATATACATTCATAAAGTCAATACTGACAAAATAATAAAAATACAAACTATTATAACGATTTTTTAGGTTCCATTCCCTAAAATTTATTTCTTCTCATCCTTGGAAGTTACAAGTTTCTTCCATTGTTCAATTTCACGATAAGCTCTTTCTAATTCTTGCTTCAATTTTTCATTTGATGCACTTAATTCTGCAACTGCTTGGTCTGTAAGTAATTTTTCAAGAGTCCATTTTTCAATATTGTTACTCTCATTTTCTTTAAGTCTTTTAATAAATTCAACAGCTCTTTGTAAAATTTGAGCCTTATTTGGATCAGGGGTTGGAATCAAAACTGCCAATTCTTTGATTCCTTGGTTGATTGCCTCACGTCTTCTGCGTTCAACTTCCTTATGGTTTTCTCTACGAAGTTTATGCCATTCATCGGAACCATGTTGTGGTTTGTTGGCATTAGACGAGTGTGGGAGGGTGGTTGGTTGGATAGTAGTTGGAAGTCCTGGTTGTGGAGATCTTTGAACTGATTGATTTGGCAGTTGTCTGAGGTTTGTTTGGTAAGCAAGGTGATGTTGTTGTTGTTGCTGTTGCTGCTGTTGTTGTTGTTGAGCATGTTGTTGATGTTGTTGCGCTTGTTGTTGAGCTTGTTGAACGGCCTGTTGTTGAGCAGCTTGTTGAGCAGCTTGTTGTTGCTGAGCTTGTGCTTCAGCCTGGTGGTGTTGTTGCTGTTGTTGTACCGACTGTTGTTGCTGGGTGCTTAAAGCTGCAGCTGCAGCATTTGCAGGGTCAGAACTGTCTTCATTAGTGTAAGATGATTGTTGCCCGAGTAATTCCGAATCAATTGCAATCTCTTCCTTCTTATGAGAGTGATCTAACTTTTGTTTCTTTTCACCTTCAAGGTGTAAATCATCGTCTCCTTCTCTTTTAGACACTGTACAATTGTTAGTATACAAAAAATAAACAACCCCAAAAAAAAAAAAAAAAAATTAAACCTGACCTCCAGATGAAAATCATAACAACCACACAAAATTTAGGGGGGAGGGCGATTTCTGGAAGTTGGGAGTCCAAAAAAAAAACTTCTTCGCCAGACTAACGTGTCATATCCAGTATCCAATCTAGTTAGCTCCACCTCCTTGGCTAATTCTCGTGCTTGTAATTTTTTTTTGCATTCGTCTTTACTTACTATTTGTAGCTTTTAATTTTGATTGTTGTAAAGAAAATGACAAGAGTCACGAGAAAAACAACATGTGGAGTTCAGGTGATTTTTATCACGACGTTGATTTTTTATTGAAAAGGCGGGTAACCACGTGCGTGTGGGCGCGTGCGAATGTTACCCGGATATTGAATGTTACACAAAACGGGGAGAAAAAAAAAAGTTACAAAACTTTGTAAGAAACAAAACTATATACAGTGTATCTGAAGGGTGATAAATATTTTTTATTTCCACAATAAGAGGAGAAACGAAAAAATTAACACTTTTATCAAATGTGATATCTAGAGAACTACAATGAATTTATTTTTGTCTTTTTGTCTTAACATTTTCTAAAAATATGGGCTGTAGTGACTGTATTGTTTTTCTTTCTTTTTTTTTTTTATTCATTGACTACATTTGTCTTCGAAGAGAATCTTATTGGCTATGAAATGACTGAATTTCCCTTGTTTCTATGCGTTAGAGTGGTAAGTTGATCATCCTATGCGCTTACGATTTCCCCCTTGCCCATGAAATAATCATTTTTTCTTCTCAATTTGTAACCCAAATATTCCCGCACCGGAAAAGTACCTCCGTAATCGCATACAAAACATGCGATTCACACCTAAGCGCATATGCACTAGGACGTATGCGCTTAGGTGGGCACCCAAACATCCCAGATCAAATTCTGTTGCAATCTATAAATTAACCAAGAAATAACCTCCTTTGTTACTTCTTTCCATTCTTATCATCATTCATAGTAAGGATCTTAAACCCCTTACTTAACACACATCCATTACTCCTAACACTACTACTAAAAACAATGTCTCAAATAACACTTGGTCGTTATCTTTTTGAAAGATTGAACCAACTCAAGGTTCAAACTATTTTCGGTCTTCCTGGTGATTTCAACTTGTCTCTTTTAGATAAGATCTATGAAGTCGATGGAATGAAATGGGCTGGTAATGCCAACGAATTGAACGCTGCCTATGCTGCTGATGGTTACTCCCGTGTCAAGGGTTTAGCTTGTCTTGTCACCACTTTTGGGGTTGGTGAACTTTCTGCCTTGAATGGTGTTGCTGGTTCCTATGCTGAACACGTTGGTTTATTGCACGTTGTTGGTGTCCCATCTATTTCATCTCAAGCCAAGCAATTGTTGTTACATCACACTCTTGGTAACGGTGATTTTACCGTTTTCCACAGAATGTCCAACAACATTTCTCAAACCACTGCATTCCTTTCTGACATCAATACTGCCCCAGCTGAAATTGATAGATGTATTAGAGATGCTTGGATCTATCAAAGACCAGTTTATGTTGGTCTCCCAGCTAACTTGGTTGATTTGAACATCCCAGCTTCTCTTTTGGACACCCCAATTGATCTTTCTCTTAGACCAAACGATCCAGAAGCTCAAGATGAAGTCATTGATTCTGTTTTGACCATGATCAAAGATTCCCAAAGACCAGTTATCCTTGTTGATGCATGTGCCTCTAGACACTCTTGTAAGAAGGAAGTTGAACAATTGGTTGATTTAACCCAATTCCCAGTATACACCACACCAATGGGTAAGTCTGGTATTTCCGAACAACATCCAAGATTTGGTGGTGTTTATGTGGGTACCTTATCCTCTCCAGAAGTTAGAGAAGCGGTTGAATCATCTGATCTCGTCTTATCTATCGGTGGGTTGATGTCTGATTTCAACACTGGTTCTTTCTCATACTCTTACAAGACTAAGAATGTCGTTGAATTCCACTCTGACTACACCAAGATTAGACAAGCCACCTTCCCAGGTGTTCAAATGAAGGAAGCTCTTCAAAACTTGTTGACCAAGGTTCAACCAGCTTCCTCCGGTTACACCCCAACACCAGTTCCTCAAGTCAAATTACTGAACATCCCAACTCCATCTGATACTCTTTTAACTCAAGAATGGTTATGGACTAAGGTTTCCTCTTGGTTCAGAGAAGGTGATATCATCATTACCGAAACTGGTACCTCTGCCTTTGGTATTGTACAATCCAAGTTCCCAAACAACACCATTGGTATTTCTCAAGTCTTGTGGGGTTCCATTGGTTTCACTGTTGGTGCTACTTTAGGTGCTGTCATGGCTGCTGAAGAAATTGATCCAAACAAGAGAGTTATTTTGTTTATTGGTGATGGTTCCTTACAATTGACCGTGCAAGAAATCTCAACCATGATCAAATGGGAAACTAAGCCATACTTGTTTGTATTGAATAACGATGGTTACACCATTGAAAGATTGATTCACGGTATGAATGCCACCTACAATGACATTCAACCATGGAACAACTTGGCCTTGTTGCCATTGTTCAATGCTAAGGATTACGATGCCATTAGAGTCAGAACTACCGGTGAAGTTGATCAATTGTTTGCCGATGAAGCCTTTAACAAGAACTCCAAGATTAGAATGATTGAAGTTATGTTGCCAAGAATGGATGCTCCATTGAACTTGGTCAAACAAGCTGAAGTTACTGCTAGAACCAATGCTGAAAATTAAATAAATGGGAAGATTATAATAGAGATGAATAATATGAAATAATAGAATTGAAAGTGTAGATATATGTAAGTAATAGAATATAGTTAGAATATGGGTTGATATTGAGTAGAAGGTTGTAATATTAGCTCCTACTATTATTCTATCCTTTTTATGATTGTACAGTCGGATAGAAATTTCTGTTTTGTAAAAATATACGTTTTTTAATTTCCTTTTGCAGCTTTTTGAGAATATTATTTACCACCAAATTTAAACAAATAATGAGTAAATTAAATTTTACCAACGGTAATTATTAGGGGTTTAGAGGACCATATATATAACTAAATTACATCGAGACTCTCCCACTATGCATTAGTTTGAATTATTCTTGGTAATCATTTTAAGGAATGTTTTCTCTATAAACTTTAAGTGTCAAGCTAAGAATGTTTTGCATTTTGAAGATTTATACTTGAAGAAAAAATAATGATGTTTTTAAAATGTTTTTAACTCTAAAAACATATATTTGTGGCGACTCCCAAGTACTTACAATTCCACAGCATCCATTAACTTACCACTACGTACTTCATCATTCATAAATTAAATAGTGCAACCTACTTTTCAATGACTCCTCAATTTTGTGTCGTATTTGGCGTAACTTCCCGTGCACCTTATTTTTGAGCAGTTTTCGCTATACAGGCAGGTGCGGTTACGGTTCCGATCTATAGATAAAAGAAAGGTCAGCCACACTTCTGAAGCTCTTATACACCTTTCTATTCTCTATCCACCACGCCAGAATGTTGAGACTCCCCCAGAAATCCGTGTATGCGGCGGTAAAGTCTTCTGTGCTGAAGAGAGGTCTTCATAATGGGAAACACCCCTTTTGGAATCGTTTTGGAGCTGTTAAATCCGATCACCTTCCAACTTTCCAACCAAATATTTATCGTCAATTCACCCCCAATGTTTGGAAAAGATTCACTTCAACTACAAACAAGAAGGTAGAACCACCTAAATCAACCACTAAAGCCAACACCAAACTATTTGGTCAAGATGTTTCAACGTCAGAAATCTCGATGCTTAAATCACTTCTTACCACTCTTTGGCCTAAGGATAAACCATCCTTTAGGTTTAGAGTAGTGTTAGCCCTTTCCTTATTGATTGGGTCAAAAATTCTTAATGTCCAAGTCCCATTTTTCTTCAAATCAATTATTGATGAAATGAACGTTGATTGGGCCACACAACTCGGTACCGTGGGTACAGTTATGGGATCGCTTATTTTAGCCTATGGTGGGGCTAGATTTGGGGCAGTATTGTTTGGAGAATTAAGAAATGCCATTTTTGCCTCGGTGGCACAATCTGCCATTAGAAGAGTTGCCCATGGAACTTTCCAACATTTACTCAATATGGATTTAAATTTCCACCTTTCTAGACAAACTGGTGGGATTACAAGAGCCATTGAAAGAGGTACAAAGGGTATTTCATATGTATTAAGTGCAATGGTATTCCATATCATACCGATTAGTTTTGAAATTGCCATGGTTTGTAGTATTTTAACTTACAACTATGGATTCCAATTTGCAGCAGTAACCTTTGGAACAATGGCTGCTTATTCCATTTTCACCATTAAAACCACTGCTTGGAGAACTAAATTTAGACGTCAAGCAAACAATGCTGATAATGAAGCGGCCAACGTTGCATTGGATTCATTAATCAACTTTGAATCAGTGAAATATTTTAATAATGAACAATTCCAAGCAACGAAATATAATGCAGCCTTAACTAATTATCAAAATGCATCAATTAAAGTTGCCACATCATTAGCTTATTTGAATTCAGGACAAAATTTGATCTTTTCATCAGCTTTGACCGCCATGATGTATATGGGATGCCAAGGAGTTGCCTCTGGTAATCTCACTGTGGGGGACTTGGTTTTAATTAATCAATTGGTATTCCAATTATCAGTACCATTGAACTTTTTGGGTTCAGTTTATAGAGAGTTAAAACAATCCTTACTTGATATGGAGAATTTATTTCAATTACAAAATCATGAAATTAAAATTAAAGATATTCAAGGAGCTAAACCATTAAAACTTATTCAAAATGGAGAAATTAGATTTGAAAATGTTACATTTGGTTATCATCCAGATAGACCTATTTTATCAAATGTTTCATTTACAATTCCTGCTGGGCAGAAAGTTGCAATTGTTGGACCATCAGGATCAGGTAAATCTACCATACTTAGACTTATCTTTAGATTTTATGATGTTGAAAAGGGAAAGATTTATATTGATGGACAAGATATTTCACAAGTTACTCTTGAATCTTTACGTAAGGCCATTGGTATTGTACCACAAGAGACTCCGTTGTTTAATGAGAGTATATTAGAGAACATTCGATATGGACGATTAGATGCTACAGATGAAGAAATTAAGGACACCATCGAACAAGTCAAGTTGGGTCAATTGATAAAAGATTTACCAGATGGTGCTAATACGATAGTTGGAGAACGAGGAATGATGATTTCTGGAGGTGAAAAGCAAAGACTTGCCATGGCAAGATTACTTTTGAAAAGAGCACCAATTACATTTTTCGATGAAGCAACGTCTGCACTTGATACACACACAGAACAATCATTATTGAAAACAATCAAGACAATTTTCAAAGAGGATTCAAATACAAATATATCAATTGCCCATAGATTGAGAACAATTGCTGATTCAGATAAAATTATTGTTCTTGAAAAGGGACATGTTAAGGAAGAAGGGACCCATAATGAACTTCTTGCTGATGAAAATAGTTTGTATTCAGAATTGTGGAACATTCAAGAAAGATACGAAAAGGAAGAAGAAGAGGAGCCTGTGAACTAGATATTATTTATAAAGAAATACCAAGAAATAAAATGAAAATAAGAGAAGTGAATGTCATTGTAGATAAGGTTGTCGCCAGTTCGCAATTCTATATAGATATGACACAATCCTACACACAGTGAGTCAAATGGTGGAGAGAAAATAAATTCGGATATATATGATTAGATTTGAACAGAATAGAGTACAAACTAAAAAAAATATACAAATGTGTAAACCTATAAAGTGTGCAACTTGTGGTAAGTGGGATGGAGAAGAAATGACTTTAGTATAGGGAGGAGATTGACAGAAAAGGTTACTAACCACTATTTATAGATGGAACAACATGGATTGGATGTGGGTTACATATTCCAAGAGCTATGAGTGAAGTTCCAGAAGCAGAATTCTGTTCTTGCTTACCAACCGTCTTCTCTGGAAGAGGGGAATACCCACCAAAATTTGGAACTGGTACTCCAAAGGGCTCTGGAACTGTTAGTATTGAATATGATACCTAACCGTGATTTGTCAGAGATTACATAAAGTGGATCAAAAATTTTCAGAGAGCTATTCTAAAATTGAGTGTGGGTGTAGGGATGACACAACTGGAATGTGAAATATAGAGGGGAGTGGGGTAAATGAAATTTGTGCATCGAAAGGACACTTTAGAAAGAGTGCCAAGGTTGCATAGAAGGACATATATGTTGTTTTTATTAAGGTAATTAGACCCAATAAGGAATTTATGATTACTGTTTGTAGATATTCCGAATGTAAGCCCTTTTAGTTGACTGGGGAACGGCCGAATTTCCAATTAGGGTCAGATATACAAAGGCAGGGTAGCAAATAGTGTCACCCATAAAAATAAAGCTCATCAGAGATAAGACAGTCAATTAATACCGGAGTTATATTAGCAAACAAAGGGATTGTATGGAACAAGAAAAGAAACCAAAATATTTACAATTCCGATGATTTTGGACGCACAATAGGAGGCGGGAAAGCGAAAACAATTCGTCACTTGCATGTGCGATAAACACACCACCCAGGTGTTGCGCAAGCATAGTGCGTGACACCTGAACCTGATCGGCCACTGGGACCAAATTCTAAATGCCCCCTTCAGCACCTAGACTAGATTGTAGTTAGGAGGGAGATAGGTAACCACTTCCTTTACCTCCTATACTGGTAGATTTGTACATTGACAAGTTAGGATTATGCACCTAACATACCCGATTGGGAAATCTCAACTCTCCACATTTACAGAAGTATGATGTGCCATTTAACCGACGTATTGTCAGATGCAAGTGTTGCGGCGGGCCAAATCACAGTGGAGAATAAAAGAATGAAGTGACGTTTTGTGTACATGTACGTAAAATGCACAACATATGTATATATATATATATATATACCTGTAGGTCTTTATTGTACTGAAGAGGTATTAGCAGGGAATTCCGTACTCGACACCATGCAACAAGATATCAAAAAATGGAAGCCTTCATTCCGTACTAAGTCACTTAATACCAGCCCTGTGACGCCCCAAACACCAATGTTTGCACCCAGACCAAGATCCAATACTGTACCTAGCATAGCGTATGTTTCGAGCAGGACATGTCTACGCGAAGCTAGTGTTTCCAGCGAGGAACTCGAGGAAGAGAATCGTGATGACGAACTGCTTGACCAATTTGCATCTAACATATTGACTATTGTCAATTCACTTCAAAAGCATCAACACGAAGTGTTATGGAACATTTGAAACAACAAACACACACCACTAATAATTCCACGACCTTGCTCGTTCACTCATTACTGCATTTCCCTATATTTTACATTCATTTACTAGCACCACCCAAGCATTCGCACATTCACTAATATTAGTACGTTATCTTTGATATACCTATATACATGGATTTATTGTTATTCAAAGTAGACATACATCTTAATACAAAAACTCCTCCTTTAATTCTTGAAGTGCCCCTTCAACTCGTTATATGCTTCACCCACAGATCTCTTGTAGTCGACTCTTTCTTCATACTCCTTGACCTTATCCTTTAACCCGTGTTCTGGTAACAGATGCAAGAATTTTTTCATGAATTCATTTTTCTTTTCCACAAGGTCTGAGTCACCAACCAAAATCTCTCCAAGGACAATGTTTGTAATATTTTCCAAAGTAGAACGAAGTTGGACAGCCCAGGTGCTCTTCATGAAAGAGCGCATAACCCAGGCATGGTAATGAAGCTTGTACCAGTCATACAACTTGAGTTTCATGTTCTTTCTTTGTTTAAATTGGAACCCAATCAACCCCAATTCAATGAGTTTCAGATCTATGTTGGTCATGACAAAATTAAGAGACTTGTTCAATAATTCTTCATTGTCAGTGAAACATAATGATGAAACGGCACATGTTTGGAAAAAATCTATAGGACAATCAGAATTTTGCAATACTGAAGTGTTGGAATTCTTCACAAAGGCAAGAATTTGCTTATATTCCTTTTGATTTGCCAGCAGCATAACCAAATTGAACATTGAAGGCATAAGTTCCTTTGGAGTGAATGATTTATTGATACCAGAGTTTGTCAATGTTTTAAACAATTTCTTACCAAATTGTTGGAATTGATCATTGTGCAATCCTAACAGAAGAAGTGAGTTTCTTGCAGCCATTTCCACTGGAGAATATCCACCTTGACGTAATGTGAGAAGGTCACTCCAACCTCCACATTTTTCATAGAGTTGAGTGGTGTATTTTTCAAGCCAAACACCGAATTCAGTGTACTGGGAACGATTAAGCAAGATACTATTGATTGTTTCCAAAATGTTCAATCCCACTTGCAACACTTGGTAATCAATGGTCCACAGTTTATCAACAAAGCAGTCGAGAACACGGACAAGTACAATCAAATCCCTTTCAACCAGCTTTCCGCCCTGTTCAATGTATTTATTGTAATCATTAAGAATTGAAATGAGGTCAGCAGTTGAAAGTAAGTTGGCTTTAATGTGCGATTCCAAATATGGTAAGTATTCTAAACCATATTTCACCCGGTAATAACCCAATCTATCAGAGTTAACCATCACAAGAGTCTCTGGAGTGACGTTCTCAATCACTTGACGTTCGTTGGAAACGATCAAGTTGTTCAAAACAGATGTAGAAGATTCATTCTCCTTGATAACTTTGAGTTGTAGTGGTAAATGGTAGGGAGGATGAGATTGTTCTTTGGATTCTTCGTCCCTTTCTTCTTGTTGGTCTAAGATAACGTTCTTCTTGTCTTCGGTCAAGTCAATGGTAACAATTGGATACAGTTCGTACTTAATCCATGAATGGATTAAACTAAGTACTCCTCCATCGGAGAGTGCAATGAACTCGGTCCAAAGGTCTTGAGCCTTGACTGATCCAAATGCATGTTTAATTAAGAATTGGTGAATTGCCTCCAAGGTTTTTTCTTCACCTAATACTCCACCAATCATCTTAAGAAGAACCATCCCCTTATCATAGATGTCCTTGTCGAACAACAGGTCAGTCTTGGTTGATGAGTTTGAAGAAGTCTTGAGGATCTTCATGAAAGATTCAATGGATGGTATAGACACTGTGTCATCTCTATCCATTAGCTGTTCCGATTCTTGGATTTGGTTGATTCTATACAACTTAGAATCTTCTGGGCTCAAGTCCAAGGTGGAAAGCACATAATTACCCATCCATGTGGCAAATGATTCATTCAACCACATGTATTTCCAGTCATCAAACGAAACCAAGTTCCCAACCCATTGATGTATAAGTTCATGAGCAATCAATTGACGGGTTTGTTGTTGGGCCAACTCATCCAATTCAATGTTTTCTCTAAGTACCTGATGTTGATTGAATGTGATCATCCCCCAGTTTTCCATCACCATATCCGAAAGGAATGGCAAGGCTACTAAGTCTAATTTTTCCAAGGGGAACTTGTACTTAAATAAGGATTCCAACTTAGGTAACACCTTGGTGGCCACTTGAAGGGCATAAGAAGCCTTTGAAAGCTCACCAATTGGGGTGTAGAATCTAATAGGAGTTGAAGATTCTTCTTGGTTGTCCAACTCAGCAAATTCCAAATCTCCCAATGCCAAGGCGAATAAATGTCCAGACATTGGAGGAGTCTCTTTAAATGAGAATTTGGCATTTTCAGTCATGGAGATTGGGTCTTTCGATTCCAATTGAGAGTTGGAAACTACCTTGAACTTGTTCAAAGTAGTCACTGTAAGTTTAATGGGCACTTTAAAGCTGATTTCATCAATCAAGGGGAATACCTTTTTGGTATAGAATGGTTGATTGTGTGTTGCTACAATGTAGTTGTTGGATTTTCCACTGATATTGTCCAAGTAATTAGTTTTGAAAAGACCAAAAGTTGGGTCTGAATACGTCTTGATGGTGTTCAACTGTCCGACATATGTCAAATGAAGGACATGGGTTGTCTGTGGGGTATTGTTGGCAAGAGCAGCACCGCTAAAAATTACTGTTTCCTTCTCCTTGTTATACACAATTTTGAGTTTTTCATCGCCAATGACAGCCTTGGTAAACACAAGTTTGGATGAGTGTAAGGTCACCAGGAATATTTCAGAAGTAGGTCCATTATAGGAGGAGTTTTCCTTCAAAGTGATTGACAATTCACCATTGAACATGTTCTTTGCGGGCAAGATGTTAAGATCAAGACCATAGCTTGTGGGCACAAATTCGTTGGCTAGAGACAAAAGCTTGTCTCCAGACTGAATACTGAGCATGTCAGTTGATTTTGAAAGCGATTCCACCGGTTCAGACATCGTTAATGTGGGGCAAAACGAGATCGAATTTAGGTTGATTGTGTAGGTAAATCTTGATCGATCTCGAGATTACGCAGAAAATTTTTGATGCGATTTTTCGAATTCCTGTACCGGGCCCGCATTTAGAGTTGGCTGCAAAAATGTCTCGTAAACATACAAAGGGTGAGAGTATGAAGTTAAGTAGTGTGTAAATTGAAAATAAAGAATTATTTAAAAAGCATAGGAGTAAAGAGAAGTACTTTGATTAGCTTTGATGGTATTACGAAGTTTAAATATTGGTACATGAGAGGGATATAGTTTGTAGAAGTGGGTACTTTTAAGGAGTCGAACAGAGGGAATGGAATAGAAATGATAGTGATGGTGGTGGTGGTGGTGGTGGTGGTGCTGGAGTACATGTGTTGGATACTTTATTTACCGAGTTCAGAATTTCTTGGTAGATAATGTAGATAATCACCAATATGACCCATGGAGTGTCAGTGGAGTGGAGTTGAAAATCCGTCAGCTGAGAAACTTGTAGAATAGATGATACCAAAGAATGACAAACAAAGTGGGTAACAGGTTACAGAGAAAAGAAAGAGCATCCCCAATTCTAATCCTATTCTGATCCTTTCATGAAGAGTAATTGGCGAAACAATCAAGAAAAAGCTCCCAGAAAATGGTTAATTCATTTCTTGCTCCCCGAATGAGTCTCCATTCCACTGTACTCCTCTAGATGGCTATGAGTCTGTTTGGAGCCATGTGGTGGATCTCCCTAATCAATATCACAACAAAAAGTCTTAGCCGTGACTTCAGAAATCCATTTTTACCAATAATTTATTACCATTCATGACCCTTTCTCTCCATTTAAACGGGCCACTAACCGTGAAATATTAATTTGAATTTACCGTGCCATCCTCAATGAGTTTCACAGTACAAGGTGGGTAACCACTACAAAAGAAAAGGATGAGATATACTGTATAATTCTTCTCACTCACAATATCTATGCTTAATTTCTTGAAATTTCGCAATTGTCATGTCACTGAGTGTAAAGGCTCCTAAAACCCGTTGCCTGTACAATACTTGCTATTTCAACTATTTCGCTTATAGAGGAGATCATTGACGTAATCCCAAAAGTTGAAAAGCAGCCGGTTGAAATATGACGAAACCTTAAACTGAAAATTCAGCCGATATCGGTTGCGTTCGTCTTTATTTAAGACGAATGTTAGTACACGCCTCAATCTGTCTACAAAGTTTGTGTCCACTAATATTGTTTTTCTCCCTTGCTACATCTAGACTACGTCCCCCTGTTTAAAATTACAATTTAGCCGATCACGTCGAGTACACTCATTTATTTACCGAGTGACATCATGGTGGAACCAGCCGCTTGTTTTCAACTTTTTCGCTATTAATACATCTCGATTTGTTTTTTTTTAAGGTACGAAGGGCTAAATCGGAAAATCCGAGAAATTAAATTCTAGAAGACCCTTGAAAAGATGGAAGTCATATCCTAGATCAAGATGGGAAGAGTCACTAGAGTGTAGATGAATAACCAACCAACCAACCATGAGATGTTGGATGCAGCTCCATTGTGTTTAACTAGGTAAAAGAAATACCACAACAAATCTATTGTACCACAATAGAGAGAATGTGTTTATTACAGATTCATGAGATGTGTACGTTTGTAACTATTGATAGATCAAACAAGGTTCTCAAACATTTCATTCCGTAGTTAAATTGTTCTGTGAAGATTAAGAGAATGGGACGAAAAAAAACAAAACAGAAATAACGTCAATGATAAAAATAAACAACGGGGTTTGAAGTGGCATAACACTTCAGATTATGAATAGAAAATAATAATAAACAAATGGTGAATAGAACAACAACCATGCGTCTTATCATGCAAGATACAAACAAAGTGTAGATACAATGTAGGAAGTGAACACAAAGAAGGAAGTAGTCATTAAAAATATTAGAAATGTGTGATGGAAGTGGTACCGTCATATAAAGTTGAATTGAGGAGTAGTAATCATGAGAGCTGGCTTGTTAATAAAATGTGTAGAAAGTTGGGATGTCATTCAATGTTTTGCACAGTACCCACAAGTGAGACGGAGTATGGAACTTGTTTAGGAACTTCTTGCGCACGCGCTCGCAACCCCCAAAGTTGGCTCATAATCAGAAACGCTTATGTAGAGAATGTACTCATTACTAAAAAATAACAAAGGAACCCGATCCTGTACATTGCCTGGAACAAGGGGGCCAGCCAATTTCATTTAGGCCAAGATTGTGGTTAGGAATCGAATTTTGATTCTAAGGGAGAGGAGAAATGAGGGTGGGTTGAACATGCTGGTATTTACCAAACATAAGGGTAAATACCCAGACGGTTGAAATTCATGTAGAGCGGCCAAAACCCACTGGGTGGGTGAGACTGGGTTGGCTGGCTACACAAGAATAGAATGTTAGAGGGTTAGTAAATCATTCTCGCCCGTAGTGATGTCAGTGTTCGGCAGTAGGGGTTGTTATTGTGAGAAGGGGGAGGAGCAGGGGCGTGTGGCAAGATAGAAGCCACCCAAATACCAATGCACGAGCCTCGTTTTACCTCATTTTAAACTGCATGTACTGCATACCTCAGTAATAATTCGAAAAAAAAAAACAAATTTGTGTGGGAGTCTCTGTGTTGTTATGGGCAATCCCGCTGCGCGTCAGTGCAACTGGGCATTTTATTTTTAGATGAGCGCAAGTTTCATCTTTATTTCTGGTCGTTTTGTTAGGATATATATGTAAGCATGGCCATCCTTAATCGATTAGTTATTTTGAATCCAAGCTTCTCTTGTATTTTTACACTGTCGTTTATTTCAAACATTCGTTTACAGTATGTACCTTCGATGGGAAGGCTGCCCGATAATAGTTACTAAGTGTGTGTCGGTGAATGCATGAGACAGGCTTTCGTACAGAGTGTGCATTTGAACACAGGGGGGGCACCACGGCGTGGTTCAAATTTTGTTGGTGGCTCATAGAGGCTGTCCTTTCGTTTAACCCGACCATGGTGATGATGATGGGGTACCTCCATCACATGACCGGCCCGTTGCACCGCTGCTACTTCCCCCTCCCTTCCCCTTCGCGGCGAAGTCTTGGATTGCCCGTTTATGGAATTTTCTGTGTGGTCCCCCCTTTATTTTTTTTTGCTCTTTATTTTTTTCCGCACAATGCACCATTTTTGCCCGAGCTGGAAGTGCATTCAAAAGTTGTTCCGAAAAGGGGCTAGATAAGATCGGGAAGCGTGTTTTTTGTCCTAGTGACCGATAGTATGCAGTAATTTGTTCACAAAACGCTCGTATATTGGGGAATGATTACGCGCTATTTACCTGAGCCTAGCCCTATGTTTCGATGCATAAGCCACGAGTATCCACTTACACATCTCTTTTAAATACAAGCTACTAACCATGATTCTCTAGCACTTGAAAAAAAACAACAACAATAAACTTCCGTTGGTATATTAATCCAACTCATTCATTAGAAAAACAGAACCACATTTATATTTGTGGCTATCATCAGGAGATTAAGTTTATTTTTCTCCGTTGTTAATTCCGATCCGTCAGTTTGCAACTCTTATAGCACAAGAGAAGAACAACAACAACAACAACAACAACAACAACAAATATCATAATCATAACAATGCATCTCGGATTGTTTATGTCTACAGTGACCCTCTTGGTGTCGGCTGTATGTGCGGTCCCAGGTAAGTTGCAGCTTCAAAAGAAGGGCTTGCAATGGGACTACCAAAACGATAAGATTCGTGGTGTCAACTTGGGTGGTTGGTTTGTTTTGGAACCTTACATGACCCCTTCTCTTTTCGAAGTTTTTGACGACATCCCAGTCGATGAATACCATTACACCAAGGTCTTGGGTAAGGATCTTGCCAAGCAACGTCTTGAAACCCACTGGAAGAACTGGATCACTGAAGATGATTTCAAGGCCATCAAGGAAAATGGTCTTAATACCGTGAGAATTCCAATTGGTTACTGGGCTTTCCAACTTGTGGATGGAGACCCATATGTCCAAGGTCAAGTTAAGTACTTGGACCAAGCTTTGGAATGGTGTAGACAATACGGTTTGTATGCTTGGGTTGACTTGCACGGTGCCCCTGGCTCTCAAAACGGATTTGATAACTCTGGTCTTCGTGACTCTTACAAGTTTCAAGAACCAAACAACCAAAAGGTTACCTTGCAAGTTTTGAAGACTATCAGTGAAAAATACGGGGCCTTTGACTACGAAGACGTTGTCATTGGTATCGAATTGATTAACGAACCATTGGGTCCAATCTTGAACATGGACCAATTGAAGGAGTTTTACACTGAAGGTTACAAGCAAGTTAGAGATGTTCCATCCTATAACGCTGTCATTGTTCACGATGCCTTTATGCAAACCCCAGGTTATTGGGATGACTTTTTACCAGTTGACCAAGCTTGGAACGTTGTTATTGACCATCATCATTACCAAGTTTTCAATCAAAAGGATTTACAAAAGACTATTGACGAACATATCGATACTGCCTGTCAAATTGGCCGTGACGGTAAGGCTGAGGGCCATTGGAACGTTATTGGTGAATGGTCTGCTGCCTTGACCGATTGTGCCATGTGGCTTAACGGTGTTGGACATGGTGCCAGATGGTCTGGAGATTTCGACAACTGTCCATTCATTGACCACTGTGACAACTACGTGGACATTGGTAAGTGGTCTGATGAATACAGAACAAACGTAAGAAAGTACATTGAAGCTCAATTAGATGCCTATGAATACACCGGTGGCTGGATCTACTGGGCTTGGAAGACTGAAAACGCTGTCGAATGGGATTTCAGAAGATTGACCGCCGCTGGTGTTTTCCCATCCCCATTGACTGAAAGACAATATCCTAACCAATGTGGATTCTAAATAGATTATTTTCAAAAGAAAAACAAACAGAGGAGAGAACGATGGAAAGAAGTAAGCATTTGGCCTCATAATTAAAATCATTGGCCATTATTAGTATATATATATATAAATGTTCAATTATTTTAGACTGAAGTGTAGAAGTGTGTAGTCCAACAATTTTTTTCTCCTCGTCAGAGGAAGCTGCCCTCCACGGTTAGTAGCACATAGAATGTCAGCAGAACAGCTCAGTCCCGAGTCTAGTCCAGTGAACCATTCCCTGTGGGACTGTACTTTGCTCCCTGTTCGCACTCTGTGGGTCATGAACAGTGGAGACCTTCTTCCTTTGACAAGGAATTGGACTAGTATAGGGTCCAAGGGAGAGCCACTGTGTGGTAACCAGCTCCTCTACGAAGAGTTTCAGTACTACTTCTTATTATACTTATATTTCTTTCTCTTCTATCTATCTATTATAATTTCAGAGTAGGAGTAACACCAAAGTATTTCTTTAAACAATGTCCAAAGGCATTAGTGACGTAATCATAATCACTCAATTCATTGTAAATTTGGCACGAGAATCTCATCCATACTTCTCCGTTGTGGAATAAGAAAGGAGCTCTTGATTTATAATCATCCATGAGCATGATATCTATGGCATCATGGGCTTTATCAAGAGCTTCCTTGTTATTGAAATCTAACAGAGTGGCCAATTGATAATGACTGACCAAATCCTTGAAAGGGATGATAAGATTAACCATAGAGGGAGGAATCACTGAGTTATGTCTATTGGTTAAAAGTTGAGCAAATGGCCATTTGGCAATCGCCAACTTTGCAGATTTAAAACTTAAATCTTGACAATATTGAGCAATTGCATCTTCTCCTCCGCATGTCTTTTCTCTAAATTCAATGGCATCTTTAATGGATGCAATGCTGGCAAAATTGACAGTACCAATGAAATGGAACTTTGAAATAAGAGAATCATCAACAATTGGCTCTACATCTTCGTCAATATAAGAATGACTAATTGGCATTGTTTGGATTTCTCCATGGTATTGTGGATTAACATACAATGCAGCACATCCTCTTGGAACATAGAGCCATTTATGAAGATTTGTAACGTAGAAATCTGGTGCAAGGGTACCCAAATCCAACTCAATTAAGCCAATTGAATGGGCCCCATCAATAAGAGAGATGACTCCATGTTTCTTACACAATTTTGTTAATTTTTCAAAAGGTACTCTTACTCCTGGCATCAGAGTGATTGCGTCAAAGAGTGCAAGTTTTGAGCCGGGCAATTCCTTGGCAAATCTAGCGACAACTTCTTCATCCTCTAATGGATATGGCAAATCAACTACAACTGGGACAATACCAATTCTTTTAGCAAGGAATCTTACGGTATTATAACAACTTCCATAAACAGTGGAAGCCATAACAATTCGATCACCTTTATTAAATTTGAGTGATCTCAAAACCGTGTTCACCCCTGTGGTTGCATTTTCTACAAGGGCAACGTTATGGTAATCACAATGAAGATACTTGTCACTGATCAATTGAAGTGCTTCTGTGTACTCGGGCAATTGCTCTCTAAGCATATACCTATCGGGATAAGCATACTCATTACGGATGTATTGAACGTATTTATCGAAAACAGGAGTTGGTGTATGGCCATAAGACCCATGATTTACAGAAAGAACTCCATCTTCAAGTAATGTAAAGTACTTATCTCTGAATTCGTGACCAAACATGTTAAATAAAGGAAAGTAAATGAAAGGAAGAAATAAAGAAAAAAAAAACAAGATAAAGAGATTATAGGGGGGACACGTCAATTGGTATAAATAAGATATGCACAATGGGCTTAAGCGGGACTAGAAGGAGTCATATATAGAGTCATAGATAATAAAGTGATAGGTAAATTCATTTTGTGTAACAGGAAGAATTAGTGGAAATATTACTCATAGATATTGCCATACAAATATTATCTCACTTTAAAACCAAAATGTGTGGTAGAGACTAGTGCGGTCCAAATGGTTTCGCTCATAGATAAGATTATTATTACCCCTCATTATTTTATTAATTTTTTGTTATCAACCAGAAACTTGCAAGGTATCGATTCCTGTGTAATGTACTTATTCCTATATATATGCCATATCCCAATGGGGCAATAGCCGATATTTTCACTTTAATATATATAGAGGAGGATTACATGTCAAAATTTAAGTAATATCGAGCTATATTCATTCATTGGAAGCTAGAAACTAGATGGTGATTCTACGATCCTATATAATTTAAATTGAATTCATCTTCTCAAAGAACGAAAAAAGAAGTCTAACCATGGACATCCATTGTATTTTATTGTCTGATTTCAATACTAATATCAATACCTACTAAGTAGTCATATACGATCACTTGAGATACTTATTCGAAGACAACAGTAGAACACCTTTACTCAATCCATTTCCCCTTGTACATAAAATGTTGTTTGATATTTCTTTTTTTTTTCTTGTAACTCCTACCCTTGCTAAAATCTATGTATCCGAAATCCTGTATCCAACCTCAATATGGATTCTTGTGTAAAATTGCCATCATTACAAAGAGTAATTGATCTATAACCAGAATCACTTCATAAATCTACCAGTGAAATGCTTTTGAAGGGCATATTTGGTAGGAGATGCATTCCATTGATACCCAAAGGGAAGTTGATTGGGTCACGTCATTTCACCCAGTTGAATAAACATATCCAATACCCGAAAATAGGATCGAACCGTCAAACGGTAACTCAAATGTTACTGCTTAGATATAATAGTAATAAGAATGGAGGAGGTTTGGAAAATGAACCAGATCACAAACAAACTACCCCACAACCCCATGTAAGAGTTACCAAAGAACAACTTTTGGCAAAGGCAACGAATTTATTTTCAAGGTTACAAATTCGTTTCAAATGGTTGATGAAACGATCCAATCGACCATTCAATACTGATGATTATTCCGCTTTATTTTCGTGGTTAGTCATGGGGAATGCATTGCTTTTCTTCCTTGCTACCACAACGTTCTTTTCTTTGGTTATCTACACTGCAAACACAGTTTTAGCTCAAGAATTTGTTGCTCGGAAACTTGGAGAATTTATCACCAAGAATTCCAATCTTACAGTTGTTTTCGAACATGCTATTGTCCCCGGCTGGTCAGATGGAAAGATTAGTTTTCGTAAATGCTTTGTAAGTAGAAGACCAAAGGAAACGAAGCAGTTTATTAAAGGGTCGCTGGCGGAGGCATATGCGACATCATTAGCCGGGAGAGAGGGTAATGGCATTAACGATGTGAATGGAGAAAACCTGGATATCATCTTGGTGGACTCGGAAGACACTGATGATGGAAATTATACTCAATATGATCTTACCATTGAAGAGGTGAATGTTTCCTTATCATTCAATAAATGGGTCAATGGGTCCGGGATCATCAAAACTATGGAAATAAAGGGACTAAGAGGTGTTGTGGATCGTACGCACGTTCGATGGAGTGAAGATGACGACGCTACAAACTATAAGAACGTCTATCATCCTGGAGATTTTGAATTTGAAGACTTTAAAATGGAAGATGTTTTATTTAAATTAAAGCAACCCAATGCATTTAGACCTTTTGACGTGGCCATCTATAACTGTGAACTTCTGAGATTGCGCAAACATTGGTTATTTTATGATTTGCTCAATGCCAACATCATGAGTGGATCTTATGATAATTCTTTGTTCACCATCCATAAGAAACAACGTTTAGACGATTTTGGCAGCAGTAGTAGTAGTCCAGGTTTAGCAAATGCCAATTGGCAGCGTGTCACTAGATGTCGTGTGGATTCGCTCAATGTAGACCATTTAAACACCGGTCTCGAAGGACCATTTGGTTGGATCACCGATGGGAAAGTGGATATGGTTGGAGATGTGATGGTTCCAAGAGAAAATAAAGATTTGAATGTTGCTGAACTTGTATCAATCATTGCAGAATCTATCAGAAAGGAAGCCACTAGATACAGAAACCCAGACGTGCCAGCATCAACACATAACTCATCATCTAAAGATGGCTCTGAATCTACTGTGACAACATCCGATGTTCTCAAGTACTTTGTGCTTGATTTGACCATCAGATTGAACAACGTCAAGGCTTCAGTGCCATTCCAAACACCAGAACTCTCATATATCAACTACGCGTTGATCAGACCCATTGTGGCGTACATCAACCTGAAAAATACCTTCATTGAAATCCATAATCGAGTGGTGAAGAACTTAGAAGATTTCAGTGGTTCATGGACCGTATATGACTCTCTTCTTATGGATGATATTTCCACTGAAGTGTACGATAATTTTGTCGATTATGTTGCCAACGAAGAGGCAAGACTTGTACGAATGAAGAAATTGGGGTTCTGGACACTTCAAGTTTTACTTCAAGTCTTGGTTATCGGATTGGGACTGTTGTCTTAGAAGGTTAAAAACAAACAGACACATACACACAAACACACACACATGCATATATACACACATAAAAGCTTTTAGCTTAATACATACGAAGAACATTTTTTAATAATTTAGTAGTGCTACAAGGAAAACATTTCTTGATGTATATATTTATCTAATCCATTCTCCATACCAAGACTAATAATACCAAATAACTAGCTAAACTAAGAAGTGTGAGGAGAAGTACAGTATCGCCTCCAGTGCGATAGATTTGCATATCCTTTTCCGGGTTGTAATAGGTGTCGACTGTACCAGACTTGACGACTCCAATGAAGTAGAGAAGACTACCATACACAGTGTATGCTGCGCCAATAGGTAAGAATTCTTTCAGGAAAAGTTTTATAATAAGGATCGAGAAGGAGAGAGCACCCATAGCGGTTCTTGTATATGCCCCTTCATAGGTTCTTTGATGGGCTCTGACATCAAGTTTCAAGCCACTGGATAGTACATCGAGGACGGATGGAAGGCGCTGGCGACCGGGTCTTTCTGACATGGAGATGGATATATTGCAAGGAGAAGAACACAGTGGTAGAGTAAGATCTTGGATTAGCGTGTCGTGATAATTCTGTGCAAGACTGTGAGACGCCGCAGTTTTTAGGTATGGGTACGTTTTTGCCAAACCTCAAAATATATATATTGGAGCTACCGACCATCTTTAAAAGTTAAACAGTACAACAATGGGAACACCAAAGCGCCACTGGACGACTCTTAAGGTGTCACCGGAGTTTCTCAAGACCCTTCCAGCGTTCACCACTCCGAAATCACGCGCCAAGAAGGTGACTGGCTCAGCTATCCCATCCTCACAAGCTGCATCACCCGGACCAGAAACACCAGGCACTAGTGGGGGTACTGGTGCGTTGAGCAACTACAAGATTAATGCCGGGTTGAAGGAGATGTCGACGTCTGGACTCACCATGAATAGTATTACTGAAGATTATAAATTAGACAAGACAAGTAGAGTACGGAAATGGACCAAGCGTCCTGCGCAGTTCAAGACGTTCAGTGGTTTCAAAGTTGATTATGTCAAGTGGGGCAGTGCCCCACGGACCTCTACAAAGCCTGAATCCAAGCCCGAGGTTGCACCACAAGTGAAGGCCGAGGTTTCAGCATGAGTTGAAAAGTATTAAAAAAAAGGAAAATTAGAAGCACTAAATAAATTACGGGAAATACGTCGATGAGTAGGAAACTCTACTGATCATTACTGGATGATTACTGGTACTCTGCTGGAATATTACTGTCCCTTAGGTAGCAATTATATAGACCCAGTATGTTAATGACATGATATAAAAATGAGAAAACTATAACGAGAAGATATTACTATGTAGAGAAGAGAAAGAATACAACATTAAAAAACAACAAAGACAACGGCTAGGAGTAGCCCTATAGATACAATCAATACATCTACACTTTTATCTACTCTCTCTATAAACATTTAATTCTACATTAATATGCTTACTACAACTTCTCATATTGCGTTGAGTTTCCTATTTCTTGCGAAAAAGGAAAATTTACAACCATATGTCATGAACCACTTTCTACATCCCATACTAGATCCCAACTAACAGCCACGGTCAAATGACAACTCTTGTGCGATCTACCGGAAGGGCTTTGCCACTCTTGACTCATATCCGGATCCCATACAGACCAAAGTCATCCACTATATCCACTGAACCGATCTCAACTGCCAACTCAAATGCAACCATCTCCAACAAACAATTACTTTATACCACCGATGAACTGTCTCCGGGATCAGTTTTCTTTCTCCCACATGGCACACGAGTGTTCAACAAGCTTGTCACATTCATGAAACATCAGCAAATAAAATATGGTTTTGATGAAGTGATCACGCCATTGCTATACAAGACTAAACTTTGGGAAACATCAGGACATTGGCAAAATTATAAAGAGGACATGTTCAAAGTTGAAGGGAATGAACAGAGGGATGAAGTAGAACACGACCATGAGCATGAACATGACCATAGTCATGCGCAATACGGACTCAAACCAATGAACTGTCCAGGACATTGTCTTATTTTCTCTAAATTAGAAAGATCATATAGTGAACTTCCTGTGAGACTTTCTGATTTCTCTTCTCTCCACCGTAATGAAGCTAGTGGTGCTCTTACTGGATTAACACGTGTACGTAGGTTCCACCAAGATGATGGTCATATCTTTTGTGAACTCTCTCAAATTGATAAGGAAATTTCCAACACTATTAAACTTATTCAAGACACGTATTCTATCTTTGGCATTGATAAGGTCGAGTTCAAGCTCTCTACTAGACCCGAGAAGTACATGGGTGAATTGGCCACTTGGGATGCTGCTGAGGCTGCCCTAGCTCGTGTGTTGGATAATATGGAGGGCCAGGCACAATGGCTGGTTCGTGAAGGTGATGGGGCCTTTTATGGGCCAAAGATCGATGTGTTGGTGACTGATGCCTTTGGTAAGCAACATCAAGTTGGTACTGTGCAACTTGATTTCCAATTACCAGCTAGATTCGAGCTCCAGTATGTGGGACGTGACGGGTCTCGTGACAACCGTCCTATAATGGTTCATAGAGCAGTATTTGGATCTCTCGAGAGATTCTTTGCAATTTTATTGGACCATTACCAAGGGAAATGGCCCTTCTGGATTAACCCTCGTCAAGCAGTGGTTATTCCTGTCAATGAGGGGAATAGTGAAATTGCTGAATCGATTGGTCAACAACTCCGTGGTGAGATTGTTGGTTCTTTAAACACTTCTGCCATGTCTCCACTTACTGGTCACAATTTCTGGGTTGATGTCGATTCAAGAAATTCCCCCGTGGGCGCCCGTATCAAGGAAGCTATTCAAAAGGGTTACTCCTATATTGTTATGGTTGGTGATAAGGATGTTGCGAAAGGAACCGTTGCTGTTCGTACCAGAGACAGCCGTAAGGTTGCCGATCTTAAAGTTGAGGAATTATATCAAACCTTTGTTGATTTAGAAAAGGCTTTCAAATAGATATATCCTCTCCAAGCATGTAAATAGAATCAAAAGAATTATAATATATTTATAAGGTCTATATATCCAGTAGAGGGAAGAAATCACTGGTCACCCTTCTCCATAGTGAGTGCCAAATAGAAAGTCTCTTTTTTCATCCGGGTTAGTCAATGCCCACCCTACGGGGTCGCCGCTCTGCTGGCACTCCGTGGGCCACTAGCCGTTAGTGCCTTGCTCCTCTTCGAGGAGTGTTTGCTGTCTGCAAAAGTCTCGTAGTGGCTCTCCCCGGGTAGGGGCCTCAGCAGAGCGTCCTTTTAAACCCCCAGCCGTGGGGACTCTAGTTGGAAACTTCTCGAGGAGGTGCTCCCAGCGGAGGGTATATAAACTTATCCCCGTCCTTTCTTTTTTCTATGCATTTCCTTTCTACACCACATCTTTAATTCTTTCGTCTAATTACTTTTAATACACACATCCTAGCCAGTAGCCAGTGCAGAGTTTGTTTCTTAATCATCTACTTTCCATACCCCTTCCCAATTAAAACTTTTTCCATTTGAGCCCAAAAGTCTCTGACGATCATCTTATCTCTGAATCTTTTATCACCTCTATCAACCTTGATTTCAGTCACATTCCAATCCTTGATTTGCTTAGGGGTGACATCACCTTGGTATGAAACATAGAACCCGGTGTATCGTTGGAACAAGTCCTCGGGTCTCGAGTACTTGTACTTGGAAAATTGCCAAGTTTGCCCGGTGGTAAAAACAGCCACCACTCTGTCCCAATATTCTGGTTTGGTGAAGATATCTACATTGTCCACCACCATGATTTGTTGTGCAGCTGAAACCAATCTTTCAGACTCATGAGAAATGGTAATAATTCCGGAGGATGGTTTTTTGACAGAACCATCGTTTGGATCGACAAAACGACCGTTCTCAAAGAATTCCTTGATGTTTGCAAGTGAAAGAAGAGATGTGGTTGCAGGGGAAACAATGATAATTGGCTGTTTCTTGGCAGACTTCGAACCCAGAGATGAATGACCCAGAGATGAAAGAGCTGAGGATTGACCTGGTTTACTCTTTTTAAGCGTTTGTATGAGACGCTTGGCATCGGATATAAGATAACCAAAGTCGATATTTTTCGATCCACGAAGAGCGGCATTGTGATCTATGGAATCTGATTCATATTGAAGTTCAAGTTTACGTTTATTGGAATTTTCAACGTTGACAGCGTTGATATCGGTTGATTTTGATTGAGAAGACCCCACATCTCCATCAGTTTTAACACTACTGTCAGAAGTAGTGACTCCATTACCCCTGGAAGCGGCACTTCCGTCTACATTATCATTCTTGACAAACTCACAAGTTTCACTTTTACCACTTAACCAAGCACTCAATTCAGTTTTCACTAAAAATTTGAAATCTTGTATACCATTGTCCAAACATTCAGTACGGTAGTCCAGGATGGATGACCTGTCATGAAGCCAGCAAAAGACCACGGACCGTAACAGCTGTGGCTTGTCCTCGCTGTAGAACTCGGTCACGGTGTCTAACGGGAACACGTCGTCATTTACCTTAATGGTGGCAGCTTCCTTGATGGATTGAGTCTCAACACCACTTTCATTTTGTAACACCACTGGTTGTGACTTCACACATGCAGCACGGAATTTTTGTAAGGGGCTCATGTATCGCTAGGAAATATGATCTGCCTAATATAAATATAAATTAATATAGTAATATAAAATAAAAAAATAAAAAAAACTTGGAAAGTTCTATTAATTAGCGATTGATTTGAATGTTTTGATGGTGCACTGCAAATTGTCAATTTTGATGTTGAAGTTTTTTGTTGCCAAAGTGTTGAAATGTTTAAAAATGCGAAGGTTTGAAAATTAGAATAAGTGGTGGTCAGTGTGCAGGATGGATGGTGCTGAGCCCTGTGGGCTCACTTTAAACGAATATGGGGGGAGATAAAGAAGGAACAAGAATACTTAGGAAGAATAATTAAAAGAATAATTAAAAGAATAGTTGGAAGAAATAGCTAGAAATAAACTGATTGTGAGTATTTGTCCTAAGTGAAACAGAGAAGGAAAGTAATGATAAAATATAGCTTGGTACTAACTGGAATTGATTAGATAAGTGAGATAAGAGCAAAGAAATATAGACTATAGGTTGATAAGGTATTATTTATTTGGGTGACTAGTTGAGTAGAGGCTAATACTACCTGTTAATAATTTTATATACTTATACACTACAATTGGAGTAGAGGTATATAATACCAGCTCCTAATTATTATAAAAGACTTCTCCATTAATATGCTATCTTCATGGACATCCGATGCAAAGGCTATACTTGAGAACTCTCAAAAGATATCCCTTCAAGCAGAAGAAAAATTACAAAAAACGTCATATCAACTAAACCAGCGTCTTCCCAGACGCTTACATTATTCATCTACAATTTTCACTTCACTTAAAGATCATCATCGTCGTTGTACTGCCTTGATATCTCTGCTTGAATCGTTACCAAGTCTTGCCACTTCCAAGATCGATACCTCCCTGTTAACTACACTCCTTCAAGTCATCTCTCAACTTCAGGCAACCAGAGTCCCTGAATTTGTCTTGTCTCATCATTCAAATACTCCAGCACAATTTCCAAAACATTCCCGATCAACCCTTGCTGATTTCATCTCCTCGGACTCAATTGACCTTCTTAAATTAAACATTGAGCGATATGAATCAAATTATAAGAAAATATCCAATTTGGTATCGTCTGAATACATCTCGTCAATAAAAAGTTCATTCAGTGCAACCGTCAAGACTCATGCCAAAATTCTCAAACTTTACAACGAGACAATGTATGACTCCCCCAAGGTTAAACATTCACAAATCCTCAAGGAAAATACCGCTCTAGAGGCAGAATTGGCTCTGATCTTGCACCTGTTGACAAATCATTATGATCAATGTACGCTTGCCCTTTCATTACAAAAATCATCAACGTCTTCCACGCTCAACCTTGACATTCTAGAAAGAGATGCACTTGAGCTCCCTGAAGTGGCAAAGGAAGTCCAATCGATCTATGATATCATTGTAAATAATGATATTAGAGCCACGGAACTTTCTAATAAGAGACTTGTGGAGTTACAACATCTTGATGAATCCATTGAACAACAAATGGAATTTTATAAACTGTTCAAAGATACAAATATCACCAAGTATGTGACGTTACACATGGCAGCAGAGGAGATGCTCCAATCACAAGCGGCACTCATCGGTCCACAAGTGGAAACAATTGAACTGTTGATTTATCATTACAAGCAATTTCTTTCCATTTATAAAAAAAATTACTTTCTGGAACTTCATTATGAAGAGTATGTTTATCCACGAATGTTTCTTTCGAAACTTACAAAGTTTTTAGATGAAGAATTAGCTCAAGTACAAAAGCAAGAACGTGAAAGAAGAAAAATTTGGTTAGAAAAATATGGAGATTTTATTCCTAAAGAGTTCCGACTTCCGGGAGAAGCAGAGTACCCTACTGTAGTGCAGGTCATTACAGAGGGGCTAGATGCTGCTAGAGATGAGCCTGATGTTGAACGCAAGCTCTTAGATTTAATTTCTTCACTGTAAAGTAATGATTGTTTATTGATGTTTACGTCGAAATGAAGATCAAAAGGACAATGTGAAATAAATTGATAATATATATATATATATTTAGAAGTATTCTTACAGCATATATATCAACGTGGTATCTATCATACATCTAAAAAGTCGAAATAATTACAATATGTATATATGTCTCTCCTTACTTGTTTACTATTATAAAACTCACATCACGTGATTATACTCTCTGATACATATTTTGATATCTGTCTCCTCATAAATATCAGCTTAATGTTATAATTACCAATGGATATATTGACCAATAAATGATTAGAAATGATATAATCAGTGGAGGTACATTCTCTGATGGTTAGCTCGTTGTTAGCTCATGTACTGATGATTCAATCACTGGTAAAGCCTAATTTCACCAGTTAGATGACTGATTTTACATTTAGCGGTTACTAAATCCCTATAAAGATAGAAATATCATTATAACGTCTAAAGAATCCCTCACATTTAGCCCCCCCCCCCCCTTCAACTCATCTTATTGATGCTACTTGAATGTCTTTCATATATCATGTCAATAGTTCATACAGGAGATAGAATATTGATATACCGGACCAAAACATGTATACAGTCCGATATGAATTGCAGAACAAATGTGCAACATCAATCAACTTTAAACTACAACAAAAAGGTGATCCAATATTTGTATACCATGCAATTCACGAGGGCTGGGACCGCGGGAGGCGATTCAAATGGCCTGCCATTGGAATCCAATGGTGGTCAATCTGGGAAAATGTCGATGTCTATGCATTCATTAGGAAGGAGTTTGAGCGATGGATATGATGATTACTACGATGAAGAAGAGGAAGAAGGTGGTGAAGAACAAGTGACTTCTATACATGACAAGAATAAGATCCCAGATAACACTATTGATCAGAGTACCCTTTCCAGGTACGGTATAGGGGCACAGCTCTTGATGAAAATGGGATACCAACAAGGGAAAGGTCTTGGAGTTAAGGAAGAAGGAATTGTCAATCCAATTGAAACAAAATTACGACCACAAGGTTTAGGGGTTGGTGGAGTTAAGGAAAGAGATGATATTCTGGACGAAGACAGTAACTCGAAGGGACGCATCGTGGATATGGATTTGGACTCAAGTGACGATGAACAAGAGTCACCAAAATTGCCTCGATATGATCTATACAGTCGAATCCAAACGCTCGAGAAATTGGGAGTGAATGTTCCAATACAATACAAAGAAATATCGGATAATATAGACCGAGAACCCGTACAGACGGTGGAGAAAGTTTACTTGCATCTTAAACTGTTGGTAGATGAACTTCAAGCCGTGGTTGCTGAAGAGGAGTTTCTTCAATTCAAAATCAATGGTCTACAGGGAGACGAGCAACGACAACTGCGGGAGATCCAACTGTCTGAGTACTTGCTAGTTATTCTTGAAGAGGAGGTAGCAAAAATTGGTGATAATCTCGAGAAGTTGACCTTGGTATTGCAAGAAATGACACAAGAAAAGTATGCGGTCGTAGAAGACCTCCCATCAATATTCACGAGCGTGGCAATGTTGGGGATTGATACCTGTGACATAGAAAGATTGAAGATATGGTGCAAATTATATCAACAAGTTGATGGGGGTGGGGTTTCTGGTGATTACTGGGATGCTCTAGTCTTTCGTCAAATGCAAACTCAATATGATAATGTACCTACAGTGGACTCCTTAAGTACATGGCACCAAAATGGTGCCGTCTTTATTAACCACGAGAGAGCGATTGACTTGTTGGTGTCAGAGCATGTGATGCCTCAGTTGGTTGAACAAGTAGAGAAATGGGATGGACAGGGGAGTTCAATTCTTTCCATTGTGGAATACTTCCCATACATGGATGAAAGAATACTGGCTGAGTTGGTGCAAAGAGTATATGAACAATGTATAAAATTTTCAGAAAGGGAACCACCACTGTTGGAATCTAAGAGAGCCGAATGGGTAGAACTGATGAGGCTCATATTTGAATTCTGGAGTCCTCTTTTTGACCAATATCACCAGGATACACACCGACTCCATTGTTCAATCCTTGAGTCTGTCTGTCTGCTGTTCAAACGAGACTTTGCACAAGTGGAGGCCCTCCTTAGCATTAGTCCCTTTTTAACTGAAATTAAGATGGAAATAATTTTGCAATTCCAATGGTTCAACCCATGGATATGCCGTATACGTGAAATGGGTATCGAGAGAAGCTTTTACTTTAAGTACTGGTGGGATTGGTGGAATGCTAGAGTTGGGAAATTGCTGGATGTGGTGGGGAAAATGATAGTGTGGTACTTTTCTGTGGCACTTGACCTGATGGTAAATAATGAAATTAAGGTAGATTTGCCATCTCTTCAAGGGGATACATTACCTAGTATCACTATGACCTTGACGTATCAAGACGACAAGCCATCGCGTACGAAACTGACCCCTCAGATAATAGACGCCAATGGTATTCCATCTTATAGACTCATGACCACATTCAAGGATGTTCTAGAAGAATATTGTCTGAAGAACGAACTTTTGTTAGCTGCTGGAGCTTCTCTGATTGAACGTCAACTTTACAAACTCTCAGGTGGTGGAAGAACTATGACCGTGTATATTGAAGAAGATGTCCTTTGGATCGAGAAAGACACCAAAGGAGTGTTTCTGCCGATAAACATCGACGAACTCAGGGATATATTTTACGGGTAGATAGGATGGATTGCACATCCAACGGGTGTCCTAATAATGATAGATTTTCCTACACCAGCTTAAAAACTAATATGCATATGATCTTAGACGGCTCGACATGTATGTTTATACACCCTGCGCATGATGACTTCCACGGAGCCCTACTGGGGGAGAGCCACTGCGTGGTGCCTTGCTCCTCTACGAGGAGATCTGCGAGTAAAATAGTCTTTCTCGTCAGAGAAAGAGGGCCACTACGGCTAGTTGCGTACTGAGTGTCAGTGGAGCGGCCTATAACCCCGCGAGGAAGTGGTAGCTTCCGCTGTAGGGGATCTACTGTTTTACTTTGCCATACGAACTACTCTGAGGTACCTTAATCCTATTTCGTTCCAGCTCTTAGCTGGACGTCGTAGCAGCATGCAAGGCAAATTTGTACTACTACTAATTAATAATATAATATATCAAGATCAGTTCAGATGTAATAAACTTTATTGTAATTTTTGCAACCAAATTATTTGAAGGGAACAACTCAAAGTTGCAATCTCATTCGCACGTCTCGTAGAACAAATCTTCAATATTTATCGCGCACAAATAACACCACTTTATCTTTTTCTTAGCTATACAATGATGATCCAAAACGTGGCTAGAAGATACGCTTTCCAGCGCATGTCGGTGAGACACCTGTCTCTCTGGTCAAAGGCCAAAGACCTCAATGCCAAGGTGGATAAGCTTGGAGATGAAAAGAATGTTGCTGCGCAAAAAACCTTAAAGTATTTAAGAAAAGCTGGAATTGGCTCGATGGTTGTGATGTTATTGTCGTTGGGGTATGCCGGTCTGTTTGTAGAGTAGTGCCATTAAGTAAAAGTAATGAAAGATATGAATGTATGTTTATGTGTGTTTACACGCTGTAAGTTCTGGGTGTAGAGTGGCTGGGTTAAATGGGTGGCATGATATGTATATAGGTTTGTGATTTAGAGGTGCGAAACATGAAATGGTGTGAAAAGCGATTAGGGTGTTTAGGATGTACTGGATGAGAAGAGTGGAAAGAAAAATGGTTCAGTTGATTGTGTCAAATGTTGTTTTGTAGAGGTAAACGCCCAATGGGTTCGAGATTGGAGCCAGGAGACAATATATGACAGCTTGTGGTTGTGGATTGTACATCTACTGAAAATTGAGGGAGTAAATAGGTTCGACGTTACCCAGGTTATTGGTGGGGGAGCCTAAACTCTCTTGAATGTCCTCAACAGGAGAGTTCATCATACTTTGGAGATTTGTCACCATTCATATATCTCCTCTTAGAGAGCCTGTAAGGGTCAAATGATCATGATGGCTGCTGGCGAAGTATTCAATACCTCCCCATTTTTAAGTACAATCTCCCCTATTCAGGCTAGTCATACCAATCTACTTCTAATCTACACTGTCTACCATATATCTATCTTTTACAACAAACATAAAAATACCAACTCCATTTTCATAAACTTCTCCATATTCTTCAACTCTCATATTAATTCAAGTTCTTTTCAACACTAAAACCTAATTTTTAGTCTACCACCTTACATACCTCATCATACAAGTGATAAGATGACATCATTACAACCATCCATGTACGTGGCTTATTAACTCCCCCACCCAAACCAAAAGAGCTGATAGAGTCCACTTTTGTGTCACCAACTTTTGTCAGCCAAATTCTCCAAATTCTCAAAAAAGTTAAGGCCGGTGGCGGCAAGCAATTTTCAGAACCTTAATTCCGACTACACATCTCTCTCTTTAAATCACCATAAAATGTTTAGAACTGCCCTTAGAAACTCCGTACGCACTGCCACGAGGACCTTGAGAACTGTGCCTGTCACCAGAACCGCCCCGGTTGCTGTGGCAGCTTCTGCTGGTCTTGCATGGGGCCTCATGGGTGCCGCTATCATTGCCAATGATGCTGACAATGAAAAGGTTCAACTGGACTTGAATAAAAAGATTGAAGAACGTATTTTGGATGAAGGAAAGAAACAGGTTTCTTTTGAACAGGCTCCTGTTGAAGATGATGCTGAAACTGCTCAAGTGGAAGCCGTTGAATCTGTTGAATCTTCTGCTGACTCATCAGAAGAATCTTCTGGTCCATCCCAAGCTGCTGCCTACAACCCAGAAACCGGTGAAATCAACTGGGACTGTCCATGTCTCGGTGGTATGGCTGATGGTCCATGTGGTGAAGAGTTCAAGGAAGCATTTGCCTGTTTTGTGTACTCTGAAACCGAACCAAAGGGGATCGATTGTATCAAGAAGTTTGAAAACATGAGAACTTGTTTCAGACAATACCCAGAACACTACCGTGAAGAGTTGTATGAAGACGAAGAGCCTGTCAGCAGTGCTCCAGACTCCACCACCGACGGTGCTGAAGTCGTTGTCGTTGCTGAACCAGTTGACGTTGAAGTTGACGTTGTTGAAGTTGTTGAGCCAACCGTTGAAGTCGTGGAAGTTGTAGAATCCACCGGAGCTTCCGAAGAGGCTACCAAATAGATAGACCATTAGCCCTGGAACAGAAAAGAAAACTAAAATTACTTGTGAATAGTTCAATATATGTATACATATTATTATTAGGATTAGGATTGGTATTATTAGGATTGATCTGGGCATATGGCCACGAGATCATGCATTCTATAAATTGTGTAGGACCCTCATTCCAAGAGTCCCATTGATATTCTTTATTAGTGGCTGGGATTTTGTGGATCTTGAAATGTTTGCAGAGAGCTCTTCAGTGCATCCATTAAGGAAAAGACGCCTTTTGTAAAGTCTATTCCTCGTCAGAGGAAAAAATGCTGCACCGTTAGTGGCCCGCGGAGTGTCAGCGAACGTAAGGTTGCACTACCCCTTGGCACTACCCCCTTCCATATGGGGTTAATGTGATGCTCCGCTGGGCCCCCCCTGCTCGGGGAGAGCCACAGCGTTGTAGCGCTAGCTCCTTCTTCGAGGAGATCTTGGTGGTTATTCGGGGGATTGGTTGACGTGTTTTCGTTAACAACATTTACTTTGAACTGGAGCGACATCAACATCAAAGCGAACCAATCTGGAATCGTCTGCTCGTGAAGTATCGTCTAATCGAACCCCGACCTCGGCAACACGCTGGAAGACGCTCTGGACCATTTCTAGTCGCTTGCAACATATCTCAAGAACATCATCCTGCTTGGTATAGTCCAGCACTCTGGGCCCACTATCAGCATGTTGTGTTTGTTGTTCACGATCAAGAATGTCAAATACTTCTTCTTTTGAAACCACCCGCACTTTATCGACTTTATTGCCCACAACTACAACTCCAGGCCTATCCACATGGCAGTGCTCCATAAAGCGGCGGAACCAGTCATTGAGTGCGATGACCGACTCGTAGTTGCTGACGTCGTAAACTAACACAACCACATCTGTGCCTCTGTAGAAAGCTTGAGAGATCGAATTGAATCGTTCTTGACCCGCGGTGTCCCAAATTTGCAAGTTGACTGTAGTTGTCAGAGATGGCTCCGTGGATTCCTGTGAGTCCAATGGTGATGTGGCCGTGGTGTCTGCTGTATTTTCTACCTTCAAGGTGGATGTGAGATAGTCCCCTCCAATGGTAGCCTTGTAGGCATTGGTGAACATATGGTGGACAAATTGTGACCGGAGACAGGTCTTCCCCACTCCCAGGTTCCCTAGAAGAACCACCTTAATCGATCTAGAGGTAGTGTTTGAATCCATGGCAAGAGAATGGACAATCCTGCTTATGGCAATATTAGAAAGCTCTGGAGTATGATGATTCTATAGTTGTAAATAGAATGAATCGGGGTGTATATAAGGGATACGGCTCATAGACGAGAGATCTAACAAATAATAAGGCATGAAGTGCAGGTCCGAAAAAATGTTCCTGTCCGATTGACGACAATAAAGGACAGTTAACCAGGAAGTAGTAAGAAGTTGTTGATTATCTATAGTATGAGTGTGGATATCAAGTTGTCGTTTGTTTGATACGTGCTGAGTATATATATATATATATATATAGATATAGATATATACATACTTGTAAATGTATACAGCTGTATGATCTGAATCATTACCCCATTCTATGCGCGCCTATCTGGGTAGTCAATTAACAACCAACTCAGAACCCCAAAATAATGACCAACCTCTGTAATGGCCTCTAAATGGCAACAAGTCCATATTGTAGAAAACAATGTGAGGTAATCACTTACTATCTAGCACACTCATCTATTTCATTTTCTCACCTGCACTCCACTCTCACAATTATTTTTGCCTCAGCCATTCGTACTTCTCTCTCGTTATCTTCAAATTATTTTTCTTTGCGCCCTTGTGTTGTTGTTGCCAACAAAATAAATAGCAAAACAAACGCTTGCGGTAAATCATCCACACTGTAAAAGAGCACTAACATACACCATGAAGATCTACTACATTGGAATCCTCCGCACTGGTGGAGAAAAGGCTCTTGAGCTCACTTCTGCCCGTGATCTCTCCCAGTTCTCCTTTTTCGAACGTACTGGTGTTTCCCAGTTCATGACCTTTTTCTCAGAAACCGTTTCCCAAAGAACCAAGTCTGGCCAAAGACAATCTATTGAGGAGGGCAACTACGTCGGACACACCTACTCGCGCTCCGAGGGTGTGGCGTGTGTCTTGATCACCGACAAGGAATACCCTGTCCGTCCAGCGTACACCTTGATCAATAAGGTTCTTGAAGAGTACTTGCAAGCTCATCCAGAATCTGAATGGAAAAACATCCAGGCCACAACCCCACTGCTTGGCTTGGACGCCTTGGAAAGCTACTTGAAGAAGTACCAAGATCCTTCTCAAGCCGACTCCATCATGAAGGTTCAACAGGAACTTGACGAGACAAAGATTGTCTTGCACAAGACCATTGAAAGTGTCTTACAAAGAGGAGAAAAATTGGACTCCTTGGTGGATAAGAGTGAAGCCTTGAGTAGCAGCAGTAGAATGTTCTACAAGCAGGCTAAGAAGACCAATAGTTGTTGTGTTATTGTCTAGAGACGTCACCCATGACTAATGAGAATCTGGACACATGGCCCTAGATCCCAGAACAACGACACTTTCTTCTCGGGAAGCGATACTGGATGGAATGTCAAACTACACAGCAAGGTTAAGGGCCGACTGGGGTGCCTCGTCGCATACTGTTTTTTTTTTCGAGAATGATACAGATTACAAGTGTTAACGCATAATATAAGCAGCAAATACAATACATGTAGAGAACTAGAAACCACAGGGTGGGCAACCGTCGTCCTTATAAATCTCCTCGTAGAGTAGCCAGGCTCTACGAAGTGGCTCTCCCCGAGCAGGGGCCAGCGGAGCGTCACATGAACCCCGTAGGGTGGCTCTTCTCCCTTCCCTATAGGGTTCGTAGGAAGCCCCGCTGGCACTCCGTCGGCCACTAGCCGTGGAAAATTCGCCAAAAGGATATCTCGTAGAACTCATACTACAGTCCTTCCATTTTTGTCTACTCGCAGTTTTCATCTATTCTTATATTGTCTATTTTCTACACTTTCTAGTTGGACACCTCTCTTTTCAGTCTATGTACTTACTCCCTTGGAGTAATCTACCAATAATCTATCCAGTAAACTACTTGATATTCTGTTTCACTGCGTCAAACGCCTTCAACAATTTTCTTCTTGCTCCCAATGCCTTCACACCCTTTTCTTCCAAAACAACGTCATCCAATTCAATCAACTCTCTCCAAGGAGTCGATTTGAGACAATCGGTGTACTTGTGAAGACGCAACAACTTGAGCCAAGCGGGGATATTGTTGAGCAATTCCGGGTTGGCAATGTCAGCTGGCATGGATGAAGATGAAAGCGATGTAGTCGATGTGCTTGGGGTCAATGGGGTTCCGCCCATCACTTGCTCAAGAAGGGATGGAGTCTCGCTACGTGGAGGTTGTGGTTGTTGTTGTTGCTGTTGCTGTTGTTGTTGCTGCTGTTGCTGTTGTTGCTGCTGTTGTTGCTGTTGTTGTTGTTGGGCTTGCATTGCTTGTGGTTGTTGAACCATAGGTTTGTGTGGAGGAGACGCATGCTTGTGAGGCGTGACTGAACTGTTAGACATAGGAACAGAAGGTGATCCCAACATACCAAATCTACCCATTTGTTGTTCATAGTTTCTAAAGTTCTTGCGGTTTGAGTCAAGAGCGACTCTCAGGTTAATAGTGGCAAGGGCACCAAGCTTGAGAGCCGCGGCATGGCCGGAAAGGTCTTCTTGAGACGACGCAGCCATAGTTGAAGGGCCTGTTGAGGAAGAAGGGATGGTTCCTCCGTTACCATTTCCGTTTGTGGTTAATCCATCAGATGGTGCTGGTGACTGGTTACTGGCAGCAGCCAATTGTAAAAAGTTGGTCTTCTCGTACAAGTGGGAAGTTGGGGACTTTCTATCAAGGAACCTGGTATGAGGGTCAGCAGACTTGGGTCTACCCTTATCAAACTTCTCAAATGAACCTGGACGGTAGTTTGGCTTTGGTTTAGGTTGGTGTAACTGTCCGTCGTAACGAGGAGGTTGTTGCAGTTGTTGCTGTTGCTGCTGTTGTTGGTGGAGATGGGAGTGTTGTCCATGTTGTTGAGGCTGTTGCTCGTATCTCTCGAAAAGCTGCGGTTCGGTGGTGTTTGACCGTTCCAAACTCATGCGGTCCATTTCATACAGCAACCCACGGTATGGGTTCAAATGAGCATCCAACTTACTACGGAACAGAACCAATACGTCGAGTGGGAGAGTGCTGCACAAGTGGTCAATCATGGTGTTGGTGTCATTTGGCAAAAGGTTTTCAATCCACAGAGTGAACGTTAAAAGATCCAGATAGAACGCATTAGATGTGTTCAGAAGTCCCAGTGGGGTGTGGGTGGCATGAGGGTGGTGTTGCAGAGTCAGTTGTTGGCCCAGTTGGTGATGTTGAGGTTTCTGTAAAAACAGAAAGTCTTGTACCGATTGAGGACGGTTGGGGATCGATGCCAAAGGTGGAAGCATGGTCGAACTGTTGTTCAAAAGCGAGGCAAGTGCGGCAGAAGAACCAGCTGAAGGCGAAGGAGAAATGGTCTCACGAAGAAACGAATTACTTGGTTGAGGAGCCACAAATGAAGAGTACTTGGATCCAAGAAGTGACCCAGAAGTAGCCCCAGCTCCGGCACTGCCGCTAGAAGCAGGCATTAACGGCTGGTTCAAGTCCAAGTCCAAGTCTGCATTCAATGTTTCAAACTCATGCTGAAGGTTATATCCAACGGATTGTTGACGTTCAGCGAGGCCATGCTCTTGTTGATGTTGCTGTTGTTGCTGTTGCTGTTGCTGTTGTTGAAGCTGGAGCTGCTGCTGGAGCTGCTGGTGCTGTTGCTGGAACAGCTGTTGTTGCAGCTGCTGCATACCCTGATGCTGCTGTTGCAGTTGCTCCAATGGCGGTGGAGAGAGAACGATCGGGAAAGGTGGTGACGGCATATTCTTTCACTGGAAACTTCACTACTATTTCCTAGCCCGACTACTTGAAACGGGACAATTAAAACTGGAAGGTTGCTGGATGTATGTCACGGTGACTCGTCTCTCGGTGTTCCTGTCTCCTACGACGGCAGTCTCCACTGATTTTACTAGCAAATTAAGTGCTAACCTGTGCGAATACCGGGAACGAAACAATTGCGAAAACGTTAAAGCTTTCGATCTTTCACCGTCCACCAAACTGCGAAGTTGGCACCTCATCGGAAAAAAGGTCTCGTGGTCACGTGGTGGTGTTCGGGTTTTACTTAGGGCAGGTTATATCCAATTGTTCTCTTTTTTTTTTTTGCCAAAATTTTTCAGTGGGCCTCGCTCTCTTCTGTTTTTTTTTTTTTTCGTCCTTGATTTTTTTGCCATTTATTTTTTTCATCACAAATCTATTTTGTAGAAGTGGGGGCATGGGCTCTATTAAATTTGTTTCTGGCGTATGTACGGATCAATTAGTACATCTTGCACTTCGTTTCACTGGTATTAGATATTTGTAGATCTCGAGTAGATTGTGACGTAAATCAAATTGTGATTAAAAAAAAAAAAAAAACTATGGGTGCTCGGATGTATTTTCGGGAACTCCTTCCGACTTTTCTTTCTATAAAACGTTTTCCCTTTTTCCAGCATAAGAGTGAGGATAAGCTGTGAGCATGTTCTACAGATTCTATAAGTGAGTGATTAGGTTAAAACTTGTTACTGTAAGTATATGTTAGTTCGAACTAGAATTGGACTGTCTCAGGGCTTGAATAGTTGGTACAACTGTAAGATGTATGGGTAATTATTTATAGAAAACTTATTTTCGGCACTTCACTCAAATTGCCGCGAAGGAGTGCAGCACTATAAAGGTATCTTACATGAGATTTAGTTTGTGGGGATAGACATCCGGAATATAGATCTAAGGTAGTCAAAAATGTCAGAGGAGTGTGTGTGAGAGTCCATGGAAAGTCAAATTATTTTCGAGGAAATCCAATTATTTCTTAACATAGCTCATTAGTAGTAGTATTGAAATTATTTCGTCTTGTAGCATTTCAGGTGTAGTTTCAGATCTCCTATCCTCACTGTACCACGACTAATATGTGGCCAAAGAACGGCATCTTGATTCATCTTGAAAGGAAATACCGCAGTACGTCATATTACCCACACATTATGTATTATCGCGTATATTCTCATCTATAAATCTATGTCTCTTTCGAGTCTAACTATCTTTGCATCCAAACCAATACTCCTTGTTACTCAGAATGATTTCACAAGTGTATTTAAGTTCTGGCAAGAGTTCAGCCACATTTTGGAACAAATTTTCTGCAAATGTGTTGATAAAGAAAATCTGTCCCTTATATATGTCAGGCAGTGACGCTACCGTATCCTCAAGAGCTTTGGGGAGTTTCGCGTATTGTGGTTCTAATACCATGGAAGAGTCTCTGGTGGTGAGTTTCCGTTCAAGAGTAGCAACCTCTTCAAATTCTCTAGATAATACCAATGCCCATTGTGCAGATACTCGAAGTGGTCGCGTAACATTCGAAATATCAGCACATTTGATAAGTAAATTGGAAATGAGTTGTGCAGTCTTTTCCTTCAGAGAACTATCCAGATGCTTTTGAAATTGAGAAATCTTCCCAATATATTCAAAATGTTCAGCCATATCGGTGGCAAGAATGCATGAAATGATAAATTGCCTCATGGTTGGCGATGAAGTGGATGAAGGATCTGTGTGGATCGAAAGAAGAGTTGGCCAATTGATGCAAAGAATCTTGTTAATGAATACAGACGAATGATACAGTTCAAGGACTGATTGTCCATTGTAAATGAGTGATGTTGGAGAGCAATATTTGGTCATGAAGGCATTGGTAACACCAGGATGGCCCACATCATGGCCAAGAGCTGCAATTAAAAGGCCAAACGTTTGAAGTGGATTCAAATGCGTTTGGTCTTGATCATGGTCATGATCATGAGGGGTTTTAATGGCAACAAATTCTGTTTCATACAATCCATCATCATCCTTTTTAATGCTCTCCAATATTTCCATTTCACAAGCGTTTGGATCCATTTGCAATTGCTTTGGCACTGGGAGGCACCCTAATCTAACCAAATAATGGAATGTAGCCTGCAACACATCGGTGGCATGTCTAAAGTTATGGAATGGATTCCCATTCTTATATGTATCTCTCACCATAAAGACAAGTCCAAGAAGTTCGTTCTTGGAGGGAAATAACAAAGTTGCCTCTGTGGACGTCTGTTCATGTTCCTTGACTTGCTTCAAGGCATATTCAATCATCAAATAAACACAATACACTAAATCATCATTACTCAACTCATGTGCTGGGAATGACCAATGACCAACCAACAGACATAATTTGGCCAAATGAGACTTCCCACTTTCAGCTAAAAGTGACTCAAAGTCAATTTCTTCCATCAAAATCTTATGAAGTTGTATAACTTTCATTCTTGTGTTGTACGATTTATTGGTGTTCCCTAAAAGTACCGCTGACATGGTAGGAAGGTAGTCACTTCTTTCCTCTTCAAATGTATCATCCAAGCTGTTGAACCCAGTACCAGTCCAAGTCTCCACCCGTACGATTCTTTCTCCAACAGAGGAAGAAATCTTTGCGGTAAGAGTATTGATTTCTTTAATGTTTGTTTGTGCCTCCGTTGACAGTACCACCACAACGTTCAAATGGTTGAAGAAATACCTCAAGAGAAGCTTCTTGTCCTCGATAGGTAACGCGTCCAATGCTGAGGCTGTGGTGGCTTGGTGGTCAAGCACAATGACTGTGGCGTTGCTGGTGTCTCGTTCTGCATTCCCCTTGGAGAAGAGAAACGACACAAGCGCAACAAACGATGAGAAATGGGTTGTTGTCAGAGAATGGATATTACTATGTTCAAAAGCACCGTTCAGGGTGTCTGACTGTTTCTGTGTCAGTGGTGTGGCGCCTGACAGGGCGGAAGTTAAAGGATGAGCATGGGTCGATGCCTGAGCCTTGGACGGAACCTCGGCCCGAGACAGAGCTTTAGTTGGACCCTGGGCCAAATATCGTAATATAAGAAGCTCTGCAACCATAGGGGGGGATCACTTTCAGAGATATCTTTTTGCTCCAGTTGTAGATACTGTATCAGGATATATCGTTCACTGCTATCTTTTGAATTTGTTCACCTCTCTCAATTTTAGTGACGCAATTCGATTTTGTGTCGTTCCTGGTCTAAATTTGTGATTGCGGTGATAGTGGGGCGTGTTTGTGCGGATCGAGGAAGAAATCTAGCAACCAAGAATATACGCTGAAATGAGAAGATAATACTTTGTAGCAAATTCTGAACAAATGAGAGGAAAGAAAAAAAAAAGACAAGTGAATAAAAGTGTCGTCCAAGGCTGGAAAATATTGTCAACAAGAGGGGTTACCATTTAAATTGAGAAGGGGATGTCATGCCGAAGACTGTAAAAAATAATTCTTGTGGTTCGTGGCCCAAACAGATTATAACGGTGTAAATACAGGAATGAGATAAGGTTACACGAATGAACGTTGTACAGTGCAGAACACATCTACATATTCACACATTTTCTTAGCCATTCATGGGTGTCGAGCCCCGTGGATCTGCAGCACACTAACCACAACGCCCCCTTAGCAAAAGCTTAAACACAAACAAAAGAAGTGCGAGACTCTTTACATTTTCTATTGTTCCCCCCCCCCCCCCCCCCATGGGAGTGTGTAGAGGTGCGCAAGGGTTCTTCATTTGGTGAACCAGCAATAATGGTGACGTCGCGGAGAGAAGAAACTGACTCCGAAGGAGTGCATAACTTTTTCATTAATTTTCATTCTGGAAGTACATGTCCGTGGGGGTGGTCGACCCTGTTTTTAAATGTAATCTACGAGCAATCAACTTTTTCTGAATCATTATAGGTCAAATTCTTTTGGGGAGTCATAAAATTCCGTTCACAAATTCCGCCTTTAAGTTGTTTTTTCACGTTTTATTACACTACACTTTTTAAATCTACTTCTATGTAACATCTACACACAACAAAATGAGCACTTTTTTGAGCCTTTTTCTAGATCTATCTACGTATTTTTCTTTAGATAGAACATCCATTATTATAAAGTGGTGCATAGTACCTAGCTGTGTGAAATCTCGAATGTTTTTTTTTTTTTTGGCTTGATAGTACAACACAAATATTTTCATCTCATAGTTAACATAATTTTTCTGTATAATTCTTGTGTGAGTAATTGGTTTGTGAATACATGGGATATTTATTTGATAAAGATGATAGTAAAAGAAATAAGTTTTATAGTTTTTGTGATTCAATTTTCCTACAAGTTTTATTGGTAAAAATTCTTACCAATCTACTTCTTTTCTTTCATTTCAACATACAAAAAAGTATGGCGTAGGTGAATTCCAAGAATCAATCATATTAATTGCATCTATCTGGACCGTAGCATTGGTACCTGGTCTTTAAAATGGATCACATCTGTTCCTCACTCCTATTTAGAGTATACTCCCTCTTAGCTCGACTGTATCTACATATGGATAGTCGGATGTAATCACTCTTGTACTTGGAATATAGAGCTTCTATCAAGGATGACATACTAATACGAATTTCAAGCGATCGGCCCGATCGCAAGCGCCAGTCCCCCCCTGGTTACCCCCCGAACTGAAGTTCTCTCGATTGTTGCGAACTTAATTCGAGACTATTCATAAATGCAATTCTCTTGCAGTATTATCAAAAACAATGCATTCTTCAACTCCACAGCTTCTCTTATTTGCAATTCATAAATTTGAATTTGGTTCTATAAACAGTCACATGCCGTATGATTTGGTATAAGATCCTCTGAAAATCTGTATTCAAATATATATGTACAGCCATGACTTCCATTTAGATGTGTTTTTCAAGTCTCTACTAACAGCTCGAAATATTCACCGAATAAAGGAATTTCCCCAGCATACTCTAATTAATTGTAGAGATAGTTGAAGTAGGAATGTGCTCGTTGTATCATTGTCCTGTTTTCCCTATGAGCTCCGTAATTTAACTGCCACCAAAATTGCAATCGCAACAACCATTCCTGCAGCCATTGTCCCAAGTATTTTCACTCTTCTTTCCTTTTTACCACGTGCATAGGCTGTCATCCTTCGATCAACTTCTTCTAATAATTCAAGTTTCTCGGTAATAGCACGTGCCATTGTTTGTTTAGATTTTGAAATCAGTTGTTTCAGTGTATTTAATCGTTGTTCTAACCCATCAAGGGTAGTCGCCAATTCTTCTAACTTATCTACATTCTGATTCACTTGTTGTTGATACCTTAATCGAGTCGGTTCCCAATCTTTTGCAAGTTCCGTAGAAAGTGACTTTGCACCTTTTTGAAGCTTCTCAACATATTCCTTCAATCGTCGTACTTGTTGTTTCGTTGGATGATTGGTATTTGAATTCTTTTTACAATCTTCAAATTGGTTGTGAACGTTGTCGATCAAAGATCCACTCAAATCCTCAACAACCCGAGCAAGTGGAATTAATGGAGCCTGTCCAGGTTCATACATATCTCCAATTATCCCATCTATATTCAACAAATAACTCTCCAAATCTTCATCATTGAATAGCTTTTCATCCAATGATATATATGTAGCACCTCCCTTTCTTAATAACTCTCTTAAACTATTTTCCAGAAATGGTTCAAGAGGAAGCTTGTCACGTGATGTCGGTTGGATTCCCTGACCTGATAATAACCACGTTGGTAAGGTCAGATTAATTGATCCATTTGTCACACCACCAACGGCACCTGTTCCTCCTCCAAGTGGTCCCAAATCATTGCCACTACCAGGACTGGTCACCGATGGACTTCCAGCATGTTCATTGACTGCATTATAAAATTGATCTATAAGTAATTTTTTCCCCTCGTCACTGGTGGTGGTGACAGTGGTGGTCGTGCGGAGTCCCGGACCTCCATTATTTCTAGTTGGTGTAATTGGTGGGCCCTCATCGAGTTGTTGTCTACGTCCAGGAAACTTCGATAGGTTCGTGTATGACTGGATTGGAGTGATTTCTGCTCTTCGAGAATCCATCAATGACTATAAGTTTATCAAAAAAAAATAAATTAAATCTTTTAATCTAATGAAATAGTTTTGACGAGTTCCATATTACTTATATGTAGGATTCGCATCTACCCCAGCCGTTCTAAACCTAAATATAGAATCTCCTTATATACTAAGCATTACATATGGAACTCATATTCTACATTTAATACCTCTCTTCTACATTTTAAAATATCCCTTTTGTAACGAAAAATTTCAAATTATTCTCTTCTATCTAAGAAGATTTCTAGTCTATTTACTTTGCAGCTGATCCTCTTCCACCAGCACCTGAAGTTACCAATTTAAGAGTTTCTTCAGAAACCTCAACATCTGGCAACTTCTTACCTTCACCAGTAGGTTTTGGTAAAAACCCAATTTGAACCAAGTAGCTCAAGTAGATACCCATTTGTTCTTCATTGATACCTTTACCCAGGGAGACATCTTCTCCAGTGAGTTTGGCGTCTGCCTTCAAAGAACGAACAGCGTTGGTATCGTCCAATTCAGGAGCCTTGGTGTCTTGTGGCAAGTTATCCAACACAAAGTGAAGCAATGGGAACAAGGCGGAGTCACTGGTGTCAACCACGTACTTCTCCAAAGCAGATCTCCAGGTAGGATAATCTTTCTTGGCAACTTCATATCCATAAGTCTTGAGAGTTCCTAAAAAGTCATTGAATCTCATTCTTGGGTGGCCGGTAACTTGTGCCACTGAGAATTGTTCTTGTGGTGGTTGTAAGGCACATGCAACAACAACTCTTGCAACATGGTCGACTGGACCCATATTCACAGTGTTGTCGATATCTGGGTAAGCACCCAATTCAGTACATCCCTTAAGCATTCTTAATAAGAAATCATCGGTGTTGGAAGCACCAGTGGCTGAGAATCCAGAAACGTAACCTGGTCTGATAATACATCCAGATAATCCACGAGTACCAGCAGCACGGATGATATGTTCAGCGGCCCACTTGGATTGACCATAACCAGTACCAAGTCCCTTGGCTGAGCCAGACAAATCGTCCAGTTCAGGTACACCAGCAAGTCCTTGGGCAGTCAATTCATCGGAAAGACGAACGAAATGATCGGTATCAAGAGCAGATGTGGAGGAAACAAAAGAAAAGTGCTTGGACTTTCCAGTTTCACATAATGACATCACATTCATGGTACCAATTACATTGGCGTCACGAAGTTGGGAGTATGGGTATACCCAGTGAACAAAAGCACCGTTATGGACGATGACGTCGATGGTGCTGGTCAAATCTGACCATTCACTTGCTTCCAAGCCAAATTGAGGCTTAGACAAGTCACCAAGGACCACTTCAATGTTCTTGGTCCATTCTTCGTTCCAAATTCCATATGTTTGACCGGTTTGTCTGAGTCTTTGTAAACCAGCTTCCTTGGAAGAAGCTCTAACATGACAGTATACCTTGGTAGATGGTCTGTTCAAAAGATCACGTACAAGGAAGGAACCAAGGAAACCGGTGGCACCAGTCAAGAATACATTGGTTGTGACATCCTTATTGAAAGCGAGTTCTCTTCCCTTGTAGCTAGATGGTAAGGTTTGGATAAGATCTTCTGCATCCTTGGCGTAGTCAACAGTTACCTTCTTTCCTTCTTCTTCTTCTTCAGCATCACCTCCAAACAGGTATTCTCCCTTCAAGACGCCTTCGACTTCCTTGGCAAAGCCACCAAGGGTTGGGTTCTTGAAAATAGTTCCCAATGCAACTTCGACTAACATTTTCTTTCTTAATTCGAAAATCATTCTAGTTGCAAGAATGGAATGACCACCCAAGTCAAAGAAAGAGTCTCCCTTAGCGATGGAAACAGGTCTGGTTGGTAACACTTCTAACCAAAGGTCCTTGATTTGTTGCTCAACCTTACTCAATAATTCAACTTCGGTGTTGGACCCACTACGTCTGGCGACTTCTTCAAGTTGAGCCGTATCTGGGAATGGCAATTTAGGTTTGTCGATCTTACCGTTAGGGTTCAATGGGAGCTTGGAAAGTGGAACAATGATTGTAGGCACGGCATAAGAAGCCAATCTCTTACGTAAGTGAGCCTTAATGTCCTTGACCAAGTCACCAAATTCAACAAGTCCTTCAACGATAGGGTCATCTCCCCCATACTTAACCTGTTGCTTTGGAACAATGTATGAAATAAGAGTTGGTTCTTCGTTCTTATCTCTTCTGACAAGAGTGACGTTTTCTCTCACTTGTGGGTGTTGAGACAAATGAGTGTCGATTTCTCCTAACTCGATTCTGAACCCTCTGATTTTAACTTGATCGTCGGCACGTCCGCAACATTCAACATTACCATCTGGGAGGTATCTTCCGAGATCTCCGGTACGGTAGAGTCTATCTCTTGGACCCAACCAGTCCTCACCTTCGTAGGTGTTTTTCCATGGTTCAGTTACAAACCAATTCGTTACAAACTTTTCCTTGTTCAAATCTGGCAATCCACGGTATCCTTCAGCCAAGCCTGCAGCTCTGACATAGATCTCACCAACTTCACCAACCCCACAAGTTTGGGTACGGTCTTGACGGTTCACAACAAGAAGTTGAACATTGTGCATACCTCTTCCAGCAGGCATGACATCCTTCAAGTTCTTAAGGTACACTGGGTCGTCAGCGGTACTGGTGATCTCGAAATAAGATACCGAACGTTGAGTTTCAGTAGTACCATACATGTTGACAATGTATACATTTTGAGCCAAAGATTGCAATCTCAAACAATCTCTCTTGGTAAGAATATCACCAACAAAGAATGCATGGTGAAGAGTTGGGATAGGTGTAGTAGCTTGTGCACTCAATAATTGACCCATAGCAGGGGTCAAGTGGGTGACTGTGGCACCGTATTCACTCATCCAGTCAGCGAGCTTACCTGGAGTTCCAATGTCGTCCAGGGTTGGGATCAAGAGCTGAGCACCAAGGAAAAGTGGAGTGAACATATCTCTTTGAATAGGATCATGGGCAATACCAGACAACATAGTGAACTTATCCTTGGATGAGAGGTTGAATTGCTTGGCCATCCATGGGAAGTAGTACGCAAGAGAGTAGTGACGACCTAAGACACCCTTTGGAATACCTTCGGAACCGGAGGTGAAAGAAAGGGTTGGGTTACAGTCTGGACCAACCTTGACGCCAGTTGGAGTATCTTGGTAGGTCAAGTAAGTTTCCAATGACTTCTTAGCACCTTCGATGACACCTTCATCATTCAACTTCAATCCTCTCAATGAACTCACCACTTCAAGTTCATCCTTGACAAAGTCTTCAACCAATTGGTCCAATTCGCCGGCTTTTTCCAAAACAATCAAACCACGTGGCTTGGCAACACCGAGGTAAATGTTTTGTCTGGTAGGAGGGTATGCTGGATCGATGACCGAGAATGTAGCACCAGCCTTCAAGACACCCATGACTGCTACCATCAAGTCAACACCTCTATGGGCGTAGATCATGACTACATCACCCTTTTGAACGCCGGTTTCCTTCAAGTAGTTACCCACCACGTTGGAAGCACGGTTGATTTGTTGGTAGTTGAAAGTTCTAGTCTTGGACAATGGATCAAGGAAAGATTTGGTCTCCACCACACAAGTGGCATCTGGCTGGGCAAGAGCATTCTTCATGAAAATATCTTGGATGGCCCCACGGTATCCTGACCAATCCAAGTCAAGGGTTGGATCTGGCAAGTGAGATAATTGTGCTGGGGTGATGAGTGAGATTTTGGTGATTGTTTCGGTGGAGTTTGCTCTGACGGCGTCAGAGAATTGACTGAATTGCTCGCCAAACACCTCTATTCTTTCCTTCTTATATAACAAGGCATTGTAGTGGATAGAGAGAGTCTCTGGGCCGGCAAAGACCGCCAAGTCTCTGATAGAACCTTCTACACTTGTGGAAAGTTGTTGGAGCTCACGTGCATGTTGGTATGATAATTTGAACAAACCTGGTCTATCATCCAACTTCTTCTTGGTCTGGATGGCTTCAGCGATGGCATCCAAGGAATCCAATTTTTCAGCATTGGTGGAATATTCCTTCTTAACCGCATCAAGCAATTGAGTGAAGGTCATTTCTGGGGCAACATTCACCCGCACAATGAATTCTTTGTGGTCGGTAGTGTCAGTAGCAATGACGATATCGTCGTCACCGGTTAATCTGAAGACCAAGGCAGCGAAAACTGCTAATCCAGAACAAAAATCATCACCAGAAGTGACATTGAGTTCATGAGAAGCCTCCACAGATTGGCCACTGGTTGGCTTTAAGAAATCATGTGGTAAGACCGATAAGGTAGGAGAATCGAGGTACTCGACCCAAAAGTCTCTATTTGACATGGTTATAGGTATATAAAGAAGAGAAGCGGGATGAGGTAAAAGGAAAAGAAGAAAAAAAAAAGTGGTCGACAGTTTCTTAAGTTATTCATGTCCACCTGTCCCGCTTGCGGCGGGCCTATGAACACAAAAAAATCCTATCAGAATTATTCGCACCAAAGAAAATGAGTCAGAACGAAAATGATCGCTAATAAATCTCAACAACTCCAGATAAATTCACCAATATGGGTTTGAGCAAGCTGGAAGTTGGCTAAGGTTATTCTATGATGGTGAGTAGTCCCCTGGTATATTTTAAACTTGATTTCAGGCAGTTTCCATGGGTGTTTGGTGCACTTTATTTACACAATATATTGAGTACTAGGAACGGCGCTTGGGTGTTTGGATGACTCATGCAGGGCTGCAAATGATAATTTGTGGAAATTCCCTATCAGTGTGGCATGTGCAGGAAATGGCTGCAAATGGATAGTGAGAGAGATTAAGCTAATATATTAATAGTACTATTATAATTATGTATACATATTGGATTTATATGTGCAAACAATTGTCGTTTAAAGTTGGGTATGTTTTTTTAGAATGAGTTATATTCTAAAGGTGAAATTTTCAAGCTTATTGAATTGGTTTAGGATGTATTGAAATAATTTGTAGAACCACACAGTGATTATCATTATGACAATTAAACTCCTTCGTAGTGGATACAAGAGTTATGGGGTGGCTGTCGCCAAATGCAATAGACTTAATTCATAAATAAAAACTGGAGATCATCTGGAGTTAATCTCAGTACAGCTGCATCGTCTGAATTGATGGTAGCATTGATCATATTTGCCTTTTTCTCTTGTAACTCGATGATTTTCAGCTCAATACTATCTTCAATACAGAAACGGGTGATTCTGATCGGCCGCTTTTGTCCAATACGATGAACTCTGTCCATCGATTGCCATTCTACACTTGGGTTCCACCAAGGATCCATCAAGAAGACCTGGGATGCTTCGCACAAGTTCAATGCAACACCACCAGCTTTTAAAGAGACAAGGAAAACTTCCACGTGAGTGTTCTCCATAAAATATCTAATAGAGTTATCTCTTTGTTGTGGTGACATGGAACCTTGTAACTTGACCGTCAGGAAACCTGCTCGTTTCAATCTCCATTCAACTAGATCCAACATTGAAGTGAATTGAGAAAATACAATTGATTTGATAGTATGACGATCTGACCGAAGTTTGTATAATTCTTCAACTAACGCCTCAATTTTGGTGGATGATCTCCATTCACCATGAGTACCCATTTGAATCCGGTTGACAATAGATTGCTTGGAGAAAAGTTCTTCGTCAACTTCAAGAGCAGGTTGTGTAAGGTCAATGGATAATCCAATGTGACACACAGGACATTCCAATTTGGATGAATCACCCAGGAAGGATTCCACATACTCTGAAATACACATCCGACAGAATCTGTGATGACATTTCAGCTCTATTGGTTCTTCAGCTTCATCGTCACAAAGTTGACATACTACAACCCCTTCAATAGCTGCGGGTCCACCGCTAACACTATTACTTCCAACTCTTTTCAACACCAAATCAGGATGATCTGCCAATTGTCTCATTCTTGTGATAAGGGTGAAAATGTTCGCATAGTTATTAAGAACAACCCCTTCAGCGACAAATGCATTGAATTTACGTTTAGAATCACTATACAAGGAAGTGTATAAATCCTTCTCTTCTTCGTTGAATCTGTCCTTTCTAATCTCGACAATTCTAGGTGGTAATCCTAAATCATCCGCTCGTTCCACTTTCGTTCTTCTCAACATTATATTGTTAAGCAAGAGCCTTATATGTTGGAAAGATGTGAGACCATCTCCAGACATCCCATGCTTCTGAATATTTTTCAACATGAAATGATTGAAGAAATTAGTATGAAGCATTGGAGTATGACCACATAAATCACAATTCTTCCAATTACTAAACTTCCATTCATGGGATGTACAATCACACTTTGCACAGAAATATTGATGAAATGGGTCTAATTTCATAAACCTAATAAGAGAGTACATTTCACCGATTCTATTCTGCAAGGGTGTCCCAGTAAGACACCATCTTTTTACTGTGTTCAAAGTATTTGCCGCCTTGGCAGTTCCCGAAGTACGATCCTTGATATTGTGAGCCTCATCTAGCACTACTCGATAAAACGGCACTCGATGTAATGCTGAATCTTCTTTAACTACCCCCAGTTTCCTCTTGAACCCAGAATGTTCCTTTCTATAAACACTTTCCAATACGGAATAACTGGTCAATATCACATCGTATTTCATTAATTCTTCCACTTCAGACGCTCTATTAGCCCCGTGGTATAATAAAACTTTTAGTTGGTTCTCCCCCAGTGTATGTCTTTCTATTTCATGTTTCCATTGCATAAGTGCCACCGTTGGTCCCACAACCAAGTTTGGTCGTTTTTCCAAATCTGACATAAACAACGCAATTGTTTGGATGGTTTTACCCATCCCCATCTCATCGGCAAGGATCCCTCCACCGAATTCTCCATCTTCTTGCTTTCTTAACCAATTCAATCCTTCTAACTGGAAAGGTAAGAGTTTGATGGTCATACCAGGAGGTTGTTCAGCACGTTCAACGGCTATTTTTTCAACAGATTCCAAATATGGGAAAACTTCTTTTAACTTTGGATGTTGCTCATAAAGCTTGTTGGTAACTCTAGTGAAATAGGGTACTTTCACCTTTGGTTCTTTCTTTTTACGTGTTGCGGGTTTCTTTTTAGTTGCAGTCTTTTTCGCTCCTTTGCCCGATGCTCGTTTCGCCAAGGGAACATCATCATCCTCCACCTCCACATCACCATCACCATCAGTTTGAATGACTTCTAAGTCATCCTCTAGAAGAATGGCATCATGGATTGAATCACCCGATTGGCCATCTTTCTTATCAAAACTACTGACAACGATGATGTCATCATCTGATTCATTACCGATGATCTTAAATTCTTCGTCACTGTCACCAGAACGAGTAGCTGCAGCTGGAGCTCTTTTCGTTCTCGCTCTAGTCCCACGGGTGGTGGCCTTTCTCTTTTTAGGAAGTTGTTCCTCATCCGATGAGATATCATATTTAACCACTGCTGCCTTTCTTCTACCACCACGTTTTCTCTTCAAATCAGGGTCGTCCACAATGAACCCTCCAGCAATCTCTAGTTCTTCATCATCAGAAATAGTCATCACAAAGTTCTCCAAGTATTTCTCTTCCGTTCAAATTTAAAAAAAAAAAAAATGAAACGTTTTATGCAATGGCATCTTTATCAAATCAGTGGCAACTATATGGACCGGTTTTGCGCGATCTTAAAATTGAAAATTTCCTTATCGGTGTATGTACACGTGACAAGCAAAGGAGTTCCGTCTGGGAGTAGCAAGACATAGAGATAGATATATAACAGGTATCCCACAAGATGGGTTATATGACTATTTTAAGAGTCTTCAAATCGTAGACTTGAGTGACTTTTTATTTGAATGTAGTTTGTTTGTTTTTTTTTGGCGGGGAGAGGAAATTACCAATAAGCAATACAGAAGATTGGTGAATAAATAAAAAAAGAAATCAAATAGAAACGGAATGGCTATTGGTTGTGTAATAGAAGGGTGCTCCATTTTATATACTGGTAGATGTATCAGAATTTGGTACCCCTTATATAGATCAGCTCAACTTGAAATAATTCCTAGGTCTATCACAATATAGTTGACTAAATAATTAAGGCAAACTTCTATATAGTTTAGAGCTGCTTCTCGTGATACTGGGTTCATTGTAAACTACTAGACTTTTATAATAGTAAACCTGACTACATAATTTCTGATTAAGTAGATTTCAAAAATATTAACAGTCATTCATGGAAAACTAGCGCTACAGAAGAGAAACCCTAAATAATGGACACTACTCTAATTCATCTTCTAACACCATTCTCATCCTTAATAGACATAGCATTTACCATGCGTAAACACCTTGCCTCCTACACTATTTCCTCTCTTTTGTTACGTATCTTGTATATATTTCTTCTTCCCTACTCCTAATGTATCCAACAGCCCTATTTAAGTGGCTCCGCTAGCAATAGCTCTCTCCGTTCTTTCAGCATCGTACTCAAAGTCAAAGTAACTCTTTTCGAAAAAGTGCAATCTAATATAACCATCTTCTCCTCCGGAAGCATAACCGGTCCCGTCGGGGTGTACAGCAACTGTGTTCAATGGACCGAAATGACCCTTCACTCTACCGATTTCATCGGTGAAGATCTTGTGGTAGAATCTAGCTTCGAACTTACCTTGGTTTTCGGCAGTGGTGGTAACGTTTCTGGCTTCTTGACCACCACCCAAAATAACAAAGTCCTTACGAGATGTGATGGCAGCGGTGTTCATTGGGGCGTCGGCCTTGTAAACCTTCATGATTTGGAACAGTTCAACGTCAATTAAAACGGCGTTCTTGTCCTTACAAGCAGTGATGAAGTAAGACTTGTCTTCTTGGCACATTTGTATGTCAGTGATAAGGAGGTTCTTTTCTTCGTTGTGGATACCATGCGCCTGCACAGTTTCGATAAATTTACCAGTGACACCGTCATACTTGGAAATATATCCATCTTCATGACCAGTGATAATGTACTTACCAGAGGCACTCCATGCAGCCACGGTCACCTTCTTGGCATCATCTCTGGTGGTAATAACAAGAGATGGCTTGTCGTCTTGTTGAGCAATGTTGTCTCTGCTTATGTCGAAAACGGTAACAGTACCGATTTGTCCCATAACTTGGTCAGTAACAGCCAAGAGTCTTTTGTTGTCAGGAGAAAATTCAACTCTTCTCACAGGAGTTGACATTTCAAAAGTGTGAACACATTCACCGGTGGAAACATCCCACAACTTGATGAAAAGATCGGCGGAGCCGGTGGCACAGAACTTGGTTTCAGAGTCGACAGCAATGGACCAAATGGTACCACGATGACCTTCTAAAGTTCCTAATCTTTCACCATTGGAGGAGTACCAGATCGAAGCAGAGTTATCCTTGGCTACCGAGAAAATAAGATCACCTTCACGGTTGAACTTAACCTGTGTGAGCGAACGCTCGTGTCCCATCAACTTAATCGGTCTCATGGTTATATACGTTCAGTTTATAATGCAGAAAAAGAGTCCCAACTGGAGATACGTCCTTCACTTTTGATTTTTCGATTTTTTCGCTGGAAGAAAATTTTAGAAGATTTTTTCGCTTTTGTGGTATGTACTGCAGATGGATCCTCATATATAGTTAATGAGTAGTAATAGTGAAGAAGCCATGACAAGAGTGAATTGAAGTAAAATAATTGTATTGTAGGTTATAATAGGAATGATAAGAACTACTAATAGTACCACCTGTGAATATGGTATGAGGTGGAAGAAATTCATTTTATAATAGTGGTGATCTTCTTTTATCTCTGTCACTCGGTTAAGTGCAACGTAACCTTTTACAGTAGAGATAGACACTCTGATGAAAGTATATCATTGTAATAACACTACAGATATTTTTTTTTACTACTCTCGATTAGATTATACACATTGTCTTATAAATTTTTTATTCTAACAAACATTCTCAATCTTGACTGCCTTTCCATCTGGTTCACCATACTCTAATTTCAACTTACGGTTGAACAATTCGAGTAACCATTCCATACAATTCTTGGTGGTTGCTGGATCGTAACGTCCTTTACTCATCTCATCTCTAACAAATGCATGTTGAGCGTCATTGATCTCAATGAATGTCATCTCTACGCCAGCATTTCTCAACTCGCTACGGATCAAATCCCTACCAGCAAGAGGAACATGGTTGTCCTTACAGCCGAAAATCATGATTATCTCACCCTTGATTTCCTTACATCTCTTTAAAGAATCATCATTTTGGCCCTTTCCTAAGGCGTGGTTGTGGATATCGGTAGCAAAGAAACAAACTGCAGCACTGACTCTTGGGTCCAAGGCAGCCCTGAAGGCCAAATGTCCACCAAGACACATCCCGGTAGCACCGATCTTTCCATTACAGGTCAGCAAAGACTTCAAGTAATCAACAGCAAGTGAATTGTCTTCATCGTAACTCTTGATCTCCTTTTCAATCTTGTAGGCATTACCCTTGTCTGTACCTTCGACATCGTAGGCCAATGCTTCTGGACCTTCCCAATTGTGGTAGATCAGGGGAGCAACCACAATAAACCCTTGGCCAGCAATGTCCTTGGCAAATCTGGACACTGGTCCAGTGACTTGGTAGATTTCAGAGTACACAACTACCCCGGGGAACTTTGCCTGTGGGTAATTCAAAATCTTTGGGTGGTATACAAACAAACGCATGGTTGTTCCGTAGGACGTCTTCACGTCATGGTATGATTCTTCAATAAGCATATTTAAACTATATCTATGGTCCTATTGTATTCTTTCAAATCTTAGGTTTAGTCAAACATCTCCAATCAGTGGAATCATCAACGCGGAAATATGCAGGAGTTGCACCACACCACTATTTCAATCCCTGGTAAATAAATTAGTAAATCAAATAAAAGATCAATTTATCATGTTATTTATTGTCATATAGGGTATTAGTCATAGTCTTTCCATTGGTTTCATTTTCTAGGAATCTTTATCAATTGTCATACTATTTTCATATCTTATGTATTTTTGAGCATTTCTCGCGAGATTCTAGATGGTTCCCGTTGTGGAGAAGACGTATCTCCGACATGTTGATTAATGAAAATGTAGCCTTGAATATATAGGCAATTCATATATGATGTGACACACAACAACCACTTACCTATGGCTCTCTTCTGAGTATATATTAACTTATATCGGTGTATAAATAGAATAGGAGCTTTATTTTTTGCAGCCATGTTGCTCTTGTATTGAATAATATATATTTAATGTCACTACACTTTTTAACATAATTCTATCTCTAAGGCATAAATTTGTATATTCATATAGTCATATTGGTTTAATTTTTAATTTAGATGATCTAATGTTCACATAATGAGAACTCCCGGAGGAATGGATTTTCATCTTCAATGTCTTTAGTTGATGAGATTGAACGTTCTTTCATGAGCTTCTCTCTTATAGATTTACTCTCTTCCAAGTCAATTGGCCATTTGTCTCCTTTCATCTTGGTAATTTTATCCATTCTTTCCTTTGAAATTTGTTCTATGGGTGTAGGGTCTTCCCACCAACTTTTCTGTTGAGGAGGTACGTCGACTGTACTGACAACTTTATCATTGTAAGGATCACAGACAAACATACAAAGAATCTTTCTGTGTCCGTTCTTGGTCTTATCCTTCAATTCAAACGGTTCCACGTGATGTTGAAACCAATTTGGGAAAACAACCACTCGGTTCTCCTTGCATTCTACATCTCCAATCATTCTCGTCAACGTTTCACCATCTTTGATGCCATATATAGCTTCACATCCAATTTTATCATCTTGGTCGTAATTAGGTTCGTCGAATGCACCTCTAAAGGAGAGTCTAGACTCGGTAATGTTATCAGAGTCATAATAGTACAAAATGGTTGCAACAATGTCCTCATTAATTGTGCCTTCGACATGCCACGAACCTCCATTGTACTTCGGATTGGAGGGTGTCAATTCAATGTTTGCAAGTTTTACTATCACATGCAACTGACTAAATGACTTTAGCAAATTGAAATCATAATTCACCGGATGATCTTTTGTATATTTAACCGGACGATCTACGAGATAATCAAGCTTTTTCGACTCAAACTCATCTATTTTGTCATAATTTTCATCGACTACTTCGTCATATAATTTATCGAACTTTTCGTAGTACTCTTTTGTATACAATGATTGATAAGCAAGTTGAATCCGTCTTGGTGTCCTAGTCGCAAGTCGAGATAAAGTGAAATTCAATCCAGGAAGCGTCAAGTTGAAAACTTTTTCAATTGATTTGTACAAATCACCGTACTTTTTTGGATGTAAATTATTGATATATGATTCAAATTCATATGAATGTATCCCAACATCTTCATACGGTGAATACTTCGGTTTGCGAACTAACAATGCTGGCAACCATTGATAGTTCTTGGAAACTGCCCAATCTTCTACGTGTTGTTTAACTTTGCCAATATCGTCACTAAATTCGGCAATTATGACTTGCTCTTCTGGTTCTTTCTCTTGATGATTCTTTTTCTCGTACTTAACAATTTTTGGAGTTATTCCATATTGTAAAGGATATAAAGATGGATGTACTAGATCGATCACTTGATTATTGGATCCAGGATGATAATCCGGCTTATCGCCAAACTCAGCTTTTGCAAACAGCTCTACATTGGCCCTCAATTCGGTCTTGATATCGTCAGGTATAGCACTATCACTGTATACAATTTTATCATCGCTTCCAATGACAAAACCAGACTCTTCGAAACCATTAAAATTATGCTCTACGTATTCATACCAGGCAAGTTCCTGGAAGACATACTCGATTAATTCGTCAATTGGTCTTGTTTTGGAAGTGAATTGAGATTTAAATTCAGCTTTCCATTTATTGACAATAGTTTCATTCTTATATTTAGTTTTCCAATCGATCTTCGATCTAATCAATTTGGACATTTCTATAATACTCCATTCGTCCAAACATTTCATAGGATCTCCCGTCATTGTAAATGGGCCCCAAAAAGGATGACCAAATGGTGATGGCCCTAACTTTAGACCCATTGTGTATATTTGGCAAATCAATAGAGGCTATCAAATCCTTGTATATCACATAAAGAGAGTGTCACTGGGGAAATGTCTGGGGCGTGCCAAGAAAAAAATAAATACGAGAAGCATCATTATCATATAGTTGGCTGTTAATTATATCATACATAGATAGAGAGAAATAGAATGTAAGGTATATAGCTCCCCGGTTAACCGAGATCAATCATCTTTATACATGTATCCAGAAGTATAGGAACTTTGAAATTATACCGTTTATGTCCTCATATTATACTCTAAATGTCAAAACAAATATATGGGAATTTATTTAACGTTTGATCTGTAAGCTATTTCAAAACTATTAGAGTATTAACCTATCTGTAGTTCTATGGGTAATATTCTTGTTACATCGTTCATATGCACGAATTTAAGTTAACAATTCCACCATGTTGTATTGATTGCGAACCCTGAATAATTTGGCTGCTAAAGACAGGAAGTAACCCGATATTTCTTTATTGAAACTGGTGAAGTCTCCCCTGTACAGCTATCTCTACACCACAGCAGTGAATACTACTTCTATTAAACTACACACACGTACACCTAGGATTCTACTTCTTGCCCTGGGCAGCAGCTGCAGCTTTCCTGGCATCAGCTACATCTCTGTTAGTATCTTGTTTATGTCTTTGTTCCGGGGGCCCCAGAATAAAATAAAGATAGAAAAAAAATATCACCAAAGAGATTAAGTTCATGTATTGCTTGATTTTTATTTTCACTTGAAGCCCGTCTATTTATTTAGCAGTCATTAACACGTACCTTCTTCTTGCTTTCTTCTCATCTTTTCTGCATCGTTCTCCATACGTTTCTTGGGGTCACCTTCCTTCTTCAGAGCCTTTGCAGCATCTTGCAATTTCTTTTGGTTCTTTGCTCTAGCAAGGTCTCTTTGATTTCCTCTAGCCATGGTTCACTGACATGCTAAACTAAAAAAATGCCGAGTTTGATCAGATCACAAAATTATTATTTATCTTTGACATTATTTGATGCTTGTGTGCAGGATTTTATTACAGTTAACCTACAACTACAAAGGGGGGGGTTGATAGAGTCAAGGTCTTCCTTTAAAACGTGATAATGTATTGCAGAATTTTGTCAGATTGGCCATAGGAAGATTAATACTGGAAGATAGATTTTTCGCTGTAACTGTTTGTTTTTTTTTTCTCTCTTTATTTTTTTTACATCTGAACCATGTGGGGAGGCTGACAACAGTCATGGAAACTATTCCACCAGTAAGTATAAGATAGATAAGTGAAGTAAGGAAATATCAATATTGGATGTATACTTGTTGGTGAAATATTAAGAAAACCCCTGTTTTTTTGGCAATATCATGACTCGATCTAACACAGAATTTGTAGAACACTCCTTCTTTTAAATTTATACATTAACTCCTACGCACCTCTCCCTAATCACTTCCTTTCTCCAATCTTTATTATCGCTAATTACACATATCTATATTCCTATTGTTCAACCAAATCAAAAACTAATGAACCATCTCTCTTTGGGTCATATGGAGTCAATAAGAATCTAGAAAACTTCTTCAAATTCTCAATACCTCTGATTTCGGTACCCAATAATGGCATTTTAATCAAATGGTAATCTTCATACAACTCAGCCATTTGATCTAAGTACTTACGTTGCATCTTCCATCTAGATCCACAACGCTTACAATCATCTTGGTCTGCGAAAAGTAATTGGTTGACCACAATGGAGTTGACATCCATATTGTACGACATTAATTCTTGAATCATTCTTTCAGTTTCATAAAGTGACAAGAATTCAGAAATACATACACACACAAAGGTGGTCAAGTCTGGGTTGGTGAATTGAGCGTTGACTTCACTCACATTACGTTGAATCTCATTCAATTTTTCAAAGATATCTTGTTGTTGTGCTCCACCACCACCCATCATGCTCAACATTGGGCCTAATTTACCAGACAAATCCTTGAACTTGGAGAGTAATTTTTCCAAAGTAGCAGGAAGTTGAAGGAATCTCAAGGTGTGACCTGTTGGGGCAGTGTCAAAGATAATGGTCTTGTATTGTACAGCAGATTCCTTACCATTGGTAATACTACCATCGGCAGATTCTCCCTTTTGGTTCTTGATGTGCTTCAAAACTTCCATGAAGGATAATGCTTCATCAATACCTGGAATAGACCCAGTCATGTCACTCATCATACTCTTCAATGGATCATTAGGATCATTGTTGTATTGAGAGGCTTGTTGTTGAAGGTCAGACATGGCAGCTTCAGGGTCGATTTCCATACAGGACAAGTTAGGCAATCCTTCCACTCTACGAGCATCCTTACCAAACTTTTGACAAAAGGCATCACTCAAGTTATGGGCTGGATCAGTGGAAATAAGAAGAAATTCTTCGTATGGCTTTGCGAGGGCAAGTTGGACGGCAATGGAAGAAGAAGTAGTGGTCTTACCAACACCACCCTTTCCTCCAACGAAAATCCACTTAAGGGAGTCGTGAGAGATGATAGATTCAAGAGTTGGTTCAAGTTCAAAATCCATTTTAAGTTAGTATCACTGGTATAGAATAGTTGATAACAGCTATTATTGAAGTTGGCGTGCCGCGTTTTACGGTTGATATTGGTCCTCCATATTTTGTGTAATTTAGAATTTCCAGAAGGTTCCAACATGTGGGTGGTTTCAATAAAACTGAAGGAATTACACTAAGAGTTTTTTTTTTTTTTAAAAAAAAAAACATGTATATGAAAATGATGAACAGTAACTTCAATTAAGGAGATCTCTATTCGAGTAAACTTGTTCATTATTATTTTTGTATGTACCTTCCGTAAGTTGTGGGTTAGTGTGAGAGAGTAAGATTTCGCAGCCACTCCAATTTATTTTTATTTTTTGGCTGAGAAAAATGTATCTGATTTCAAGAGTATTAGTATTATGCATATTGAAATCTAGTATAGTATATTGCAGTATGTCCGCTTTGTTATATGGGTGTAACCGTCTTGCGTTGGAGCACTTGGAAGAAAATAATGAGGGGGGGAGAGTAGCAGTAGGACTTCCTCATTGTACATCAATAAATTTACTTTGTTTGTCAAAGCTTAGGCTCTCTATTTTAATTATCAGTGGAACACATTTCTATATGTGTGTGCATTCCATTCTCATTCTGATATCAATCAAGAACCAATATAACAATATAGACTCTGCTTTGTAAAAAGATCTCCTCACCTAGTTCATTTGGACACCAAGGAATTATCTCCAAATCTCTAAATTTCGAAAGGTAAAATACTATTCTTAGTCCCAAATGTATCCGCTACTTATCTACATATGTGAATAACATAAATAGGGTATTAAACAGAAATTATATGCAATAATTGCCCAATTTTACCCGGTCGTGTGCTAACCGATTACATTAGAGGTTATTATTGTCTGTCAAACCATCAACATTATCTTTCAATAACTTCTCCGATATAGTGTAACGGCTAGCACGGTTCGCTTTCACCGAGCAGACCCGGGTTCGACTCCCGGTATCGGAGTTTTCCTTTTTTTGTCATTTTATTGATTGATAAACTCATTTTTTTTTCATTTTAAAGATATACCTTTTGTTCATTTTCACCAATTGTTAATGAATTCTTATGAACTATAAACTCTCTTCTCTTTGGTCTAACATTTTTCGCAAACTTTTCATAATTGCACACAGGTTTAGAAAAAATTGGTCCTAGTACACGTATGTATAATAAATTGAATATTTATCAAACACACACCGCGTTTTATTTGGCTGTAGAAAAATACTCGTAGTAAAAATAAAATAAAAATATCAATTAAATAAAGTAATCAAACGTAAGCTGAAACTATTCACTTTAATATGGCTAATCCATTGGCATCACTTCAACCCGAGCTTTGGACTGCAAGTTCAAACGATGCTCTTCAAATATATGTAACAGAAAATGGTGCGGCTACCAGTTTCAAGCCAAACTTTACTTATCCAATCTTTGGAGATTCAGAAACGGTGTTTGGTTATAAAGATTTAGTGATCTTTTTATGTTTTGATCATTGTACATTTCTTCCATTTCTTAATGTTAAGTATCTGGAAAAACTCGATGATGAAGATATTGTAGATCCAAAAAGCAAACTTATGGAATTTCTTCCAGATTCTACAGTGTTCAAAGATGAAGGACTTTGGCTCGAAAAGACAGAAGAAGAATCACAAAAGTTCAAAATTCCTGGAGAGCTTGTAGAAGGACTGGAATTCACAAAGGAAGGTGAAGATTATGCTGTATACAAAATCAACTTGCAGTCTTTGGAAGGTGAAGAGTTGCACAAAAGACTACAAATATTAGTTCTTTTGTTTATTGAAGCTGGCTCTTATATTGACTCTAAGGACAAGTTGTGGGATGTCCATGTATTATACAAGGTTACTGATCGTGACACCCCTTCTGTGGCAGGATTTGTCACTGCTTATAATTACTGGAAATATCCAGGGTGTGCAAAGTTTGACAAAGGTGAAGAAGAAGTAAGAATGAAGATTTCTCAGTTTATAATATTACCTAATTATCAAGGATTAGGTCTCGGGGGAAGCTTGTACAACATATTGTACAACCATTGGAGAAAAGAAGACAGAGTAGTTGAAATTGTCATTGAAGATCCGAATGAACAATTTGACGATCTTAGAGATCGTTGCGATCTACAAACAGTTCATCGTGAACTTCCAGGAAGTCTTAAGATTTCTGATATTACCCCTGAATGGTATAATAAAACTAGAGCTCAATTTAAATTTGAAAAGAGACAATTTTCTCGACTTTTAGAAATGCTTCTTTTGCACGATGGTTCCAATGGGAAAAAGAATATCAGATTATTCGTGAAAAAGAGACTCTATGAGAAAAACAAAGAAACTTTAGAGTCCTTAGATCAACCTACGCGTCTTGATAAGCTTCAAACAGCATTTGAGTCCTTAGAACAAGATTATAGGAGAATTCTTAAGCCTGTGAAGTTTAAGAGATCTGGAGACTCCGTTGAACTGAGTAACAAGAAACAAAAGTAGTGTATATGATAGTTAGAATGAACCCTTGATAAATTTAGAGGTAGGTTTACTCTCCTACATACTGTATTCTTTTTTTCTTATGTTTATATTTTTTTTTTTTAGTTTCCACATTGCAGCCGATGCCCGAGCTTGCTAGTGATTTTTAATTCAGTTTAACCTCGGACTTAGAAAAAGAGGTAATATTCGCGATTATATTGTTTCTCGGTTTGATACTTTCTTGGATATTGCTACATCTATAGTCGCGTGAGTCTATATGTATGGTGATCTGTCAATAATGATTTTCTATCTCTATTACCCTAGTTCCAGACCTCTTAGGTTATACTTTTATTGTTCTTTACATAATGACGTCATATTTGGTAATCTCGGCTTCCACACGTGATCGTATTTCATCATCATCCTGCGTTTAAATTTTCCTTGCATTTCTCCGAGACAATCCAACATGGTGATCTGGACGAGAGTGACTATATGACGTCAATGAAAAGGGTAGGTATCAATTTATTAGTACAACTACCATCAATCGATGTATATGATATACATTCGATGAGCCTATGTAATTAATACATCCTTATTACTTCAATTTCAATCTCATTCTTAACACATTGGCGCATTCTTAAGTGTGGATTGTCAGCGTTTTGTGCTATATTTAATCTGTTTACGTCAAGATTATTTCCATTTTAGGACGAAATAGCCCCTCCTTAAGCTTGCGGACGCAATTCCTGCACAATTTGGCCTGACCTTCTTCCCTTCGGTGAGGCTCACGAATAGCAAGCCAATTATGTTCATGCACACTCTATAAAAGGGGTGATTTTTCTTCGATTAATTAACGTCCTTTTTAGAGTCCACTTTATTAATACTTTTCAAGTTTTTTTAATTGTATCAAAATGCATAGAACATACTCCTTGAGATCCTCGAAGGCTCCTACCGCCTCTCAATTGCAATCTCCACCACCACCAACTTCTTCTACCAAGTCTAAATTTTTCGGTAAGAGTGGTATTGCTTCCACTTTCAGAAAGACCGTGGCTGGCTCCACCGGTCCAGAATTATCTAGAAAGTTGGCTGGTTATATCAAGGTTGAAAAGAATGTTATGAGAGCCATTGAATTGACCGCTAGAGAAAGAAGAGACGTTGCTAAGCAATTGTCCGCTTGGGGTGAAGAAAATGACGATGATGTCTCTGATGTTACCGACAAGTTGGGTGTTTTAATTTACGAAATCGGTGAATTAGAAGACCAATACATTGATAAGTACGATCAATACAGAATCACCTTGAAGACCATCAGAAACATCGAAGCTTCCGTTCAACCTTCCAGAGACAGAAAGCAAAAGATTACTGATGAAATTGCCCACTTGAAGTACAAGGACCCTCAATCTCCAAAGATTCCTGTTTTGGAACAAGAATTGGTTAGAGCTGAAGCCGAATCCCTTGTCGCCGAAGCCCAATTATCTAACATTACTAGAGAAAAGTTGAAGGCTGCTTTCAACTACCAATTTGATGCTACCAGAGAATTGGCTGAAAAGTACGCTTTGATTGCCGGTTACGGTAAGGCTTTATTGGAATTGTTAGATGACTCTGCTGTCACCCCAGGTGAAACTAGACCAGCTTACGATGGTTACGAAGCTTCCAAGCAAATCATCATTGATGCTGAAAACGCTTTGGCCGCATGGACTTTGGACTCTGCTGCTGTTAAGCCAACTTTGTCTTTACACCAAGAGTACGATGAAGAACCTCTTGAAGATGATCACGTTGCTGAAGCCGAAGAACAATGGGCTGAACACGATGCCGTCTCCAAGTAAGCGCTCATATTACTTTTTAATTTTGTTGCTTTTAAAGTTTAATTTTTCCTTTAACCTGTATTATGTATAATTAATATTAGATAGCTGTACAAACGTTTTCCACTAAAAGGAAAACTCTTAATATAGTATCAATTTAATCTTCTAGATTATTGTAAGAACTTGAATATCATTTCTAATCAGTAATTTTTCATGCTTTGTAACTACCAATCTGATGTGATCTGATGTGGTTAAGATTAATATGCTAGCAAAAGAAGCAGCTGCAATTTTCTTAGAAACAGAAGCTGTGGGGATAAGTGTGTCAAATGATATGCAATTCATGTCTTCGCTAATACGTTCTCCATGTGATTGTGATCTCGCTTGTAAAAATCCAAGAAACTGGATTGTAGACTCTACTTCATTATTCTCAAATTCTCCTTCTAATGGAGGTTGTGATTCAGATGTCTCACTTATCATTTCCAAGTTTGGAATTGACATATCAAAGGTATTTTCTAAATTACCTTGTTCTGGGTCATATCCAATATCTCCTAAATCAATATCCAATATACTTTCATCATTTCTTAAAATTTCGCTATCCATTAGGTTAAGATTTTTCCGGCTCGTTTCGAACAGACGTCTACTAATTTCCAATTCTTCATCATCCATGTATGGTTGACCTTGACGATGTCTTTTATAATTTGGAAGTCTAGTAATACCTCTAATTCCAGAATATGCATAATTGTATGAAAAATTAACAAAGGGGGGTAAAGAGGTCGATTCCTCGAGAAACAATGATTCATAGTCATATTCAAGTGACCTTTTTCTCGGAGTTGAAGTTTTTCTTAATATATTTGTTGGGATTGTTATTGAGCTATCAGTCAACACTCTTTTCTTCCTTGTAGTAGGCGTATCATTATTTTCAAAAGACAACAGTAACTTCAGCCTGGTATTAGTCAATTCGTCTAACTGGGTATTATAATCTGTAGCTGTTTCCGCATGAGCTTCTAAATCATCAAGTAAATCCAAAACATTAGGATGTTCTCCTTCCTGTTCTTGATTAGCATCTAAATCAGCTGCTTTCAAACTATCATTGCCTTCATTAAGTATTTCGACATCGAAATCAAAATCTATTCCCGGATCAATGTCATCATCTGGTAAGAAAGTTGTTAATTGTTGAGCGGCCGCAAAGTGTACTTCACATTTATCTTGATGGATGTCGTCACTCTCTAAAAATGGTATTACTAAATCCATTTCAATATCAAACAAGGGATCTTCTACTAAGAATTGTTGAGGTCTAGGTACACTTTCTTCAATTGCATTGTTATTAATTCGAATGTCACTGCCACTCACGCCACTGTTGTTATTCTCGTTGTATCCACGTAAAACAAAATCGCGTTGTAACCTCGTATGTACTAACGTAATATCTGTATAGACATAATCCACCTTGTGGCGGTAAAGTAAAGACACTCCATATAGCAAGTTTGAAGAGTATCTCAAGGAGATCCTAGACTCCTTGATCATTTTACACGTGTCGCGGATTGAAGTATTCAATATATCCCTTTTAAATAACTTTTTATGACTAGATTTTGATCCAAGTGTTGAAAGAAGCCAAACAGTTCCAACCCCTTTATTGGGATTCTTTACGATCAAATTATAATTGTTAATATTGGATTCTACCATATCTAATCATGAAATGAACTTCTGTTGCAAATAATTTTTGGTTGCAAAAAAAATTGAGGATTTTTATAAAAAAAGGAAAAAACAAACAAGGAGGTGTTGGTGTTAACTACGGGAACTATCGCTAAAATTATATTCACTATCAAAGCTAATTTAATATATTCCAAAACCACCCTGTATCCTTCCGTAAATATTTCACTTCCGTTCCTAAAAAAAATGAATGCACAACCATAATATTCTATTGTTCACTCTTCTGTGTTTCCAATTCGCCTATATGTTTAAGTCAATTTCCTTGAAAATCCCTTAAGCTTTGCATACGTTACTACCATCCACCTGATTGCTTGATCAAAATCTTCATCCTCCAATGCCAGTTGAATGCCAGGGAAAACTCCTCGTTTTTCCCTATTCTTGTAGTAATCGGCGGGGTTTTCCACTTGGAATCGTGATAATCCGTACACTATGTGTTGAAACCAATCTGATTCCGTCTTGTTATGATACAAGTACTTGTAATCTTGAGGTAGCAACATTAACTCCTGTTCGATCCTAAGTAATTTGTAATTTGCCACCTTAAATTGGGCATAAAGTTTCACCTTCATGTACAGATGATACCAAGCATAATCCTTAATAAGATCTTCTTCGACATTAATGTTGTATTCGTCATATATTTTCGCTTGGCCATCAAGTTGGCCAATTAACTCATTCAATTGAGTTGTTAAATTCAGAAAAAGAACAACACCATTTTCTTCCATGGTTGTATCAGGTATATTGGATGCTTCCCGTTTGAGCAAATCTGTGTAAATGTCAGCTTTATTCAACAAATACAAAGGAACTTCTTTTGAACTCCATTTTTCTAATATATTGCCATTATAATATAATGTATCATTGAAAAAGCTCTTCATTTTTTGGGCATATGGTGTACATCTACGATCAGCAATTTCATGTTCACTTAAAGAGAGTGTAAGTAAACCCAAGTAGCGTACCAACAGACCATGTAAGAGCATGTCTCTATCAATGTCACATCCTTCAATCCAATCAAGTGAATAATAGTTGGAATTATGGGTATATATTGAAGGGTCTCGTTTCGGGACATTACTAAATTTGATATTGGCAACTGGAACTCCTAAATGTTGTTGAAAATTTAATGCATCCAGATCCTTAATCAGGTCACCGATAATGTTGTTAATACTATTGTTGTCTTGTTTCTTCCAATAGTGATATAAGGAAGTACTTCCATGTCCAATACTTCCTCCAACATTAATATCGTCTTCGAGTATCTCCTGTTCTTCATCATCAATGAATAGAGTCTTATACTGAGAAGAATCCTTAGGAATAGGTACATATTTGGCAACGTTTTTAATAAGGTGGTCAAGCGCAGGATTGGAATCAACCTTGAATTGTGCGCCCATGACCGCGTCTCCATCTATATTCACATATGCTAAAACAGGCATTCTTTTATCATAAGCACTAGTATCGTTAAAGAAGAATTGGGACCCCAATAACCCATTATGAGTTCCATCCCAAGAAACAAATTTAATATTTCTTAATGGTCTCCAGCCTGATTTTCTCAATCTTTGGAACCCCTTCATTATTTCCATCATAATGGCATGGCCACTTAATGGATTGGTAGATGTGAATGAGTCTCTACTGGCTCCAATGATCACCTCTGCATCCTGTAAAATACCTTCTATTGTTCCCACTACATTGGTGAGTTTTCGACCCTTATCTGGCTTACAATTGAAATTTGTACTCAATCGAAGATTAAGTTTATTGGAAGCAGGAGTTGGGGAACGGCTCCAGTTCTTGAATGGTCCACTTGGTTCACTCAAAGTATCTAAAATTGGTGTAACGGCCTTATAACTTATTGGGATAGACGGGATGTTGATTCCCTCGACACCATGCAATGAGTTGCGTTCAATAGCTAGTGAACTAAGTTTCTCATTCTCTCTAGTAGTTCCATCCAAGGGATATTGATACATAACAAATCCACTAGCTCCAAAATATTGAGCTACAGATACTTTTTCCCCTACACTGAGGTTGTTATTTATCGATCTAACAATGACAATTTTACCTTGAGGATCGATTTTGTTCTTCAAAAGTAATTCATAATCTTCCTTAGTACCTTGGTTCACATACAAATACTTTGAATATACGGAACCGTTATATCCGTATGAGTAGTATGCTGGAGTCTTGTAGCCCTCCTCGTATAGCTTGGCATTATATAGGTACCCATCTTCATCATCCAGTGCAACTATTCGAAGTGATGAAGAAATTGGATCATGTAATTTTGATGATACCTCGTAACTGTACGACTTAGTATCAAATCCAAACTTTTTAAAGTTTTTCTCTACGAATGAGACTAAGTCATGGTTATCCTCTGCTACCAAATTGACGCCACTCTTGGTATTGAGGGATGTGAAATTCCCAAGCCACCATACAAGCAGCTGTTCATTTGTGATATTGTCGTACTTTCTGTTGATGCCACTGTATACTAAAAAGTTCCGTTTAACGTCTGCCTTGGTAAGATGGAGTTTATACCATCGTCTAAAATCACGAGAGAGTGAAGTTCTAGGTAAGAAGGATAATTCGAATATTATCATAAAAATGATTCCCACTGAACAGAACCACCAGAACCTCCGTTTCGAAAACTTCTTGGCTCGGTATGCCAACTCTTCGCCCCATGTACTTTCGTCGTCTCGCTTAGATTGTACATCATCGAGGTCCAGCTGGGCTGCCCCATAAGTACCAGAGGAGGCTGAGGCGGTGCCTGCACTGGCACCAGTGACAACGCCACGTTCAAGTTCGTCGTCAGTGGACCGTCCCACAATCAACGGTCTCACCTCGTTTGGTGTGTGGGGTATATCTCTTGACATGGAGTAGAGCGTACTTCTCAATCGTGACTAAATGATCTATCCAAGGAGGGGGATGAGAGAATCCTTGCTGTTAATGATGTGGATGGCTCGGAGAAAAATCTTCCAGAAGTATTTCTTTGCACTACTTAAGGGCGCCCCGAAGCAAGAACACCAGGTGTAGATATAGTAGTATAGTTGAGGAAATAACTAAAGTGATTCTGTAAAACAAAAAAAAAATTTATTAAAGGAAAAAGGTGTACATCCTAATGATGTAATCAGTTTCATTTTATATATATGTATAACTGATAGGGGAGAAACGTGCATGCATAATCTTTTCTTTTTTTTTTTTTTCCTTCTTCATTTTGTTCTTGCCTACCAACTGAGTAGGTTTTTATACTTTTCCGTTAAATATGGTATGGATATAATAGGATATCATTATTTGATCCTTAGATAACTAGGTATATGAAAAAAGTATGTAAAATGTAGAAATGTGGCGAAGGTGTAAAGCATGAGTCTGGTGATGACCCTCTTTAATATACAATTTTAAGATGAAATACGAGCAAATCTAGTGGAAATAAAGAAAATTCAATTTTTTAATTAATTTAATTTATGAGATATAAAAAGAATTATTTTGCCACATTAAGTTAGTAAAATCCATAATATGTATTGAAACATTCTTGAGGTATGATTTAATAACAATAATAGTAATAATAGGGTTATAAAAGCATGATTTTTCTCAAAATTAAGATTAAATTTACAGGTCGAAAACCCTAAAAATACAGAAAATTTCGAAATCCGCCTTTATGGCCAAGTTGGTAAGGCACCTCACTAGTAATGAGGAGATCGTCAGTTCGAATCTGGCTGAAGGCATTTCTTTTTTTTTTACTTCTGCTCATTGGAAAATCAATAATGAGAGATTTACTCTTCATAAAACACGTTTAAGCTACCTTATCATACATATATATTTGCGTTGGCCACTATATTTTTGTTCATATTGGTTAACTCTTTCTATATCAATTGAATCACATCAGATTTCAGTTTTACTTGAGTACCTCAAGAATCAGCTCTATATACAGGAAACAACATCATCAGTATGATTATATAGATATCGATGAGATTAAATATAAAACAAGGTTAAGGTTTGTTAAATTTATAGAAGTATATCATTATGGCGGAGACTCAGGTGACAGCCGAGCAAATTCTCCACGAGGCATACGAAAATCGTGACAGACCGTTGGAGAAGCCAAAACAAAATATTCAAGACTTGGATGAACTTCGATCATTTCAACTTAATAAACGGAAAGAATATGAACAACAATTAAATAAGAATAGACTTAACTTTGGTCAATGGGTGAGGTATGCCAAGTGGGAAGTGAGCCATAATCATGATTTTGCCCGGGCGAGATCTATCTATGAACGAGCGCTTCAAGTCAATATAGAACATATTCCATTTTGGACGCATTACATTCAATTGGAACTTTCAAATAAGAACGTTAACCACGCTAGAAACTTATTAGAACGTGCTGTCACTTCGCTACCACGAATAGATAAATTCTGGTTTCTTTACGTTCAAACGGAGGAAACTCTTGGGAATTATTTGATGGTTAGGACAATATTTGAAAGATGGATAACTTGGCATCCTCCTGTTTCAGCATGGGACGCATACATTAATTTTGAGAAACGATATGGAGAATTTGATAATGTTCGCCAGATTTTCTCTAGGTATGTAGTTGCTTCCCCCGGTGGGGAGACTTGGTTGAAATGGATCAAATTTGAGTTAAGTAGCAGGGATGGAGGAGAATATACCAGAAGTGTGTTTGAATCCGCAATAGATACTTTGATTTCAGAAAATAAACAGGGCCAGAAGGATGGGTTAGACCCACAATTTGGTGCCATCATAGATAAATGGACGATATGGGAAACATCTATGAAGGAATATGAAAGAGCAAGAGAGATATATCGATTACTTTTGAATGGGAATATAATAGAGGATAAAAATAATGAGATATTCCAATTATACACTGAATTCGAGAAAACTTACGGAACTAAGGATGACATCGAATCAAGCATAGAAACTAAAAGGAAGTTACAATACCGTCAAGAATTGGACCGGGATCCGTATGATTATGATAATTGGTGGGCATATCTCAAATTATTAGATAAAGAAGATGAAATAGTTGAAGCCTTTGAACGGGCCTGTTCATCAAGACCCAAACTGATTCAGTCCAAAACCATCTTGTGGAGAAGATATGTATTTCTTTGGATCAAATATGCACTTTGGGAAGAATTTGATAGGAAAGATGTAACAAAGGCTAGACAAATTTGGAATCAAGCACTCAAGAGTGTACCAAAAGCATTTACATTTGGGAAATTATGGATAATGTTTGCCGAATTTGAACTTCGAAATGGTGAGTTGGCCAGTGCCAGGAAAATATTAGGTCGATCTATTGGTCAACATAAAAAGGCCAAAGTCTTTAAATATTATATTTCACTTGAAAGGAAATTAGGTGAATGGGAAAGAGTTAGAAAGATTTATGAGAAATATTTAGAAGTGACCATGACAGCAGAAACTCTATTAAAATATGTTGAATTTGAACGTGAATTAGATGAAACGGAAAGATGCGAGGGACTCTTCGAACTTGGATTACAACCAACATTAAACATAAGACATCAAGAATTACTTTGGAAGGAATACATTGAGTATTGGAAAGATGAGCTTAAATTCGATCGAGCAAGAGAGACTTATAGAAAGCTTTTAATGGCGGTACCGCATTCTGCCAAGGTATGGATATCATTCGCAGTATTTGAATCTGGTATACCAACCAAAGAACAATTATTAGAGTATGAAGAAAGTGGATTAGAAGAATTAGAATTCGAGATAACTGAAGTGCAACGAGAAAACACCAGGAAAATCTTCGAGGAAGCTTATAATTCATTGAAGGGCCACCATGAAGAAAGAGTTGTAATTATAGAGGCTTGGAAGGATTATGAAGAATCACAGGGCACGTCCATGACCGTGGAAGAAGTCAACAAGAAACTCCCTACCATGGTAACCCGGAGAAGAGTGGTGAATGACAAAGAAGAAGAATACACTGACTACATTTTCCCCGAAGATGAAGCAAAGAAACCAAGTATCAATAAATTTTTGGCAAATGCTAAGAAGTGGATGGCTTTACAAAACGATTAGTTATTCTGTGTATATAAATTTATATATATATATTGACAACGATTGATGTACAACATAAACATGTAGGTCGTAAAAAATAGGGCCGATTCGTGTAGGTACAGACCAATGAAGTAACATAAATAGGGGGAGATTATTTGGAACCACCTCTCAAAGTCAACACCAAATGTAAGGAAGCGCCTGCACTTATTCCCGCTTCTTGGACAGAACTATCGTCGTTCAATTGAGATCCAACAAAGATCAATCTTTGTTGTGAAGGAGGAATACCTTCCTTTTCCTCCATCATTTCCTTGATACGGATGATTCTGTCAGTAGGCTCGATGTCGACGGGGATATCACGCCCAGTCAATGTCTTCACTTTGATTTGCATTGCGGGTAGATGGATGTAATGCTAAGAATTAGATGTGTAAAAGAAAGTTTGATTTCAGCTATTGCGTAAAGTATGACAAAGAGTTGCGGATAAAGATTAAAAAAAAAAATTAAATTACAAAAAACAATTATAGAATTACATTTGATAGAGTGGTGGTGATAGTTATAGAGGAAATATGTTTCCAACTCCCGAAGTGCGACTGGTACATTACGAAAAAGTGTATGAGCCATCTGAAGACTCATTTTTACTTTTAGATTGTTTTGAAGAGGAAAAACCATATCTCAGTACTAAGTTTACAGACAAGACGTCATCTCCAGTTGTGGTAGAAATAGGTACTGGATCAGGAATAGTCACAACTTTTATACAGCAAAATATTCTCCCACAAGGGATATATATTGCTACTGATGTGAACCCACATGCATGTAGGGCAGTTTTAGACACTGCCAAGGTTAACGCGGCCCACTCCATAGATACATGTCAAATGAGTTTAACAAGTGCCATTAGAGGAAACTCTGTAGACGTTCTAGTGTTCAATCCACCATATGTTCCTGCAGATGACGTACCTGCTATCCCCACAACGGAAGATGATGAGACTTGGTTAGACTTGGCTCTTTGTGGTGGACCAGAAGGTATGGACGTGACTTGGAAAGTGTTGGATGAGCTCGATTCAACTCTTTCTCAACAAGGTGCCGCATACATACTTTTCTGTGCAAGAAATAAGCCTGACGAAGTGCAAGAGAAGATGAGAGCTCGTGGATGGGTTGTTACAGAAGTATTGAAGAGGAAAGCTGGTTGGGAAGTATTAAGCATATTAAGGATCACTAGACAGTAGTGAAATGAGTGACAACCAAACTTGCAGCCACACCACATGTTAGGGCCGAACAAAAAATCAGACCCTACAAACAACACATGAACCATATATGTATATTTATATAATAAAAGTAATGATAGACGTACGAAAGGACCTACAGAGTGCATGTATAGTATGAACGATTTCCAAAGACTTTATATCTGTATGAATCTCGCTGGGGTCTCTTCGCCTGGTTCATTCAATAAACTCGCGCAGGAAAATAAGTTCAAAAAAATATTTTGAATATAATTCTTAGATTACTACATTCATACCAACTATTTGCAAGTATGTCTAGCCGTGGTAGACCAACAAAGTGGGCAGGAACCCCGACCCGGTACAAGGACGTGGGGAAAACAAAACTCAATACAATTATCTCAGGGCATCTTACCCAAGAACAAATCGATGCCTATCAACAATACTTCCGTATAGAAGAGATATCTCATTTGCTTCGTGTGGCACATGAACTGCGCAGACCCTTATTGAGCTTGATTCCTTCTGGAACCGAGGACTCACACTACCAAAGAGATCCCTCCCCTCCGCCAAAGTATGATTCACATGGACAGAGAGTCAACACCAGAGAGAATAGAACACGGGTATTCCTCGAAAAGGAAAGACATTACTTGGTGGACGAATCAGTGAAGGGTGTGAAGAATTTCATGCCTCCAGTGGAATATCGTAATCCTGCCAGAACAACTGAAAAAATCTATATCCCTGTGAAGGATTACCCAGATATCAATTTCGTGGGTTTACTTTTGGGTCCAAGAGGGAACACTTTGAGACAGTTACAAGAGCAGAGTGGTGCTAGACTTGCTATTCGTGGTAAAGGTTCCATCAAGGATGGTAAATCTAGTGGTACGAATAATGACGATGACGATGATTCAAATAGCGCACTCTCTTCTGCATCATTCTCCAATCCCAATCTTAGTTCCGGTGATGATTTACACGTTCTAATCACATCAGATTCACTGGATAATATTGCAAAGGCGATCAAATTAACCAATGAAGTTATGGAGAAGGCCATATCTTCGCCTGTTGGTCAGAACGACTTGAAGAGGGGCCAATTGCGTGAGTTGGCTATTTTAAACGGTACTCTCAGAGAAACAAAACCATATAATCCCGAACAACAACAAAGGAGAAGACCAATGGGATTGGATGTGACTCAAATTATTTGTCTGAACTGTGGAAAAGTCGGTCATTATGCAAGAGATTGTTTAGTGCGCAGGGCTAGTCCTGCTGAAACCACTCCAACAGTTCAAAATCATTCTCATGATACACCAGGTAAAAATGTTGCCGAAGATCAATCTCCAGCTTGGAAGAAAAGCAAGCCAAATTTGCCGTTGCCTCCTTGGAACATGAGCAATTCTTCCAAACCTTTACAGGCACAAGAAATCCCACAACCCATGCCTATAGCAACACCCAAAGCTCCTTCATTTGTATCACAATCAAATGAGCCTTCTGTATTGGGAGCTCCACCTCCTGCAGGTCCTCCATCTATACCGCCACCTCCTAATACAACCATTAGACCGCCACCACCTCCACCAGCTGGAGCAGTACAGCCACCGCCACCTCCCCCACCAGGGAGTTCACTTCCAAAGCCTCCACCTCCCCCACCAGGAAGTTCACTCCCAAAGCCTCCACCTCCCCCTTCAGGGGATTCAAAACCTCCTCCACCTCCACCATCTACATAGTAATATTTAAATGATAATGAAGAATTTAAAACGCACAAATAATTGTAGTATGTCAATATTGAGCATAATTAGTGAGTTGGGATACCTAACTCTACTTCTTGAAATGTAGCCCGAATACCCAATACCTATGGCATAGTGGGAAGATTTTTTGGCCAGTAGTTCTGTGTCTCATATTTGTTTCAGACTCACTAAATTTAGATTGAAGTTTTTTTTGAAGTTTTTGTGAGATGATGTTCCACAAATTCAGTGTAATACGATACTAGAGAACTTTAACTTACTACTAATCTAGTGTTTGGTAAGTAATTCGCTCCCAAATACCTTTTACTTTGCTTTCTAAAATTTTTAGGCAAAATTAGATTTCAATTGTAATGTTAAACCGAGCCAAATATCTTTCAAGCAATTATCCGATATAGTGTAACGGCTAGCACGGTTCGCTTTCACCGAGCAGACCCGGGTTCGACTCCCGGTATCGGAGCTTTCTTTTTTTCCCTTTTTTTTCGTTAGGGTTTAATAGGAACACATTACCTATTCATACTAAATCTACCAGACAGAGTCCCACTATGTATATTAATGACAGAAGTGGGCCTCCCTATTATTTTACATTATTTCTATTCGTATACGTTTATTTTTTATATATATTTCATCAATACTTATATATTTGTTTAATGTCTGGCAAACCGCCAGTTGGTCTATGCATTCTACTGTGGAAGAAAAGAAATGAAGAGCTCTTCTCTCACGTTAAAGACTAATAATTTACAGGTGTATTTAGGAGTGGTCCAACAGGAGGTAAAGTTGAGTATCGGTGTGAAATTCAGCAGCCTCTTTTCATGGAACTACTTCACATTTACTTTACCAAGTCCAAGTTCTCGTAAACGTTTCCAGAAGACTTGAACAATTGTGCAGCAGTGACACCATTCTTGGTAGCCTCGTTGTCTCTCAATTGTTGCAACATGAGTCTAGCCTTTTCTCTTTCCTTGACACCGTGCAAACATTCATAGTAGTCGTTAAACACTGGGGTACATTCCTTGGTGGTTTTGGTATCAGCGTTGGTGTAACATTCCATGAATGTTTGGAATTCATAGAAACATCTTCTAGTTCCACCTGATCTTGAGTATGGCTGCATTATTGATAGCTTTATCGAAGTATGATGCTAGTTGTAGAACTAGATTTACTTTTTACAAATTCTTAATTGGTCAAAGAAATCGGTAGAGGCACTAATTGTTGAAAATTATGTGCAGGTATTGAAATACAAAAAAAGAACCAAAAAATTACATTTGAAATAAATGCTGCAAATAAGATAGAGACTGTGAAAAAAAAGGAGAAAAGAGATAACTTACATGATCATAATAAAATTACCAATACCCTATTTTATAGATTATAACAGTTTTACCCTCACTCTATATGCTCTGATGTACAATAGATTGGTATATCTATACATATGCCAACATTTCTCTAATGCAATCCTTCACATCGTAGTACAAAGCACCCATCAGCCCATCAATGACTATATCACCTGTATCATCACCCTCCGATGAGCCATATGTTACCTTACGGATGGCTAAGCATTCGTTTACAACAAGTGTACCTTCACTCTTGAACTCGACATTTAAGTTTCTAGCTAAAAGCTTCTTTTTAAGTTCAGTAAGACGAATGTTTCCAATTGCTAACTTTGGTCCTAAATTACTAGTTCCTGTGGAGATAGCTCCAGTTGGATTGCCCAAATCTGTAGCTGCAGCATCGGTTCTAGCAACCTTTTGTTGTTGTTCCAAATATTGTTTCTTAGATAAGTGCTTTAATGTGAATTGGGTAGATGAATTCATATAGTCATTTATGGCTCTTTTCGTTCTCTTCGCTTCTGGCTGTTGGTTGGTAATTTCTAATTCACCATACACCTGTGCAACTTTATAACTACCATCTATCTTTTGCCACTTTAAGTTCTCTAAAATAGCATCGTCTAATTTAATTTCAAAATTAGTTAATCCCATTCCAGTAACTCCATTGTCATCATAACCAATACGGATGGTATGATTTCTTTCGGCCACCAGGACTTGCATTTGGTTATTGGACCCCCCAGAAAGACCTGAAAGACCTCCACGGATTGTTGCCAATGACATGTACCTCGCTGAATTGGCAATATCCTTTTTGAATTGTTGCTCTTGTTTATCTTCTTGTTGTTGGTCAAACATTCCTTTGACAGTCTTGAGCAGATTAAGGTCTTCTTCATCTTCCCTAGAAGAGTAGTCTGGGAGTAAAACTATATTATAAGGCTTGATCAAAGAGACAATTAAACTTAATGATCTTAAATCCACCAATCCGGAAAGATCAACAAATGAAAGACCACATCGCACTCGGAGAGTGGTCTTGTTAGATCTGACTCTCTTTTGAGGATTGAATAATGTATCAAGATTCTTCTGTAAGACTTGATTATTTAAAGTTTCTTGAGGAGTGGCACGATTGGCTTGTCCTTCTCCAAACTTCTTACCACCTTTACCCTTCTTCCAATCACCCCCTTCATTCCAATTTCCATCTCCTCTCCCTCTGTCATCTCCCTTTTTCCCATCTACAACCAACCGACTCTTAGTTGGATCATCATTCTTTTGGAAAACCTTGATATCTATGATTTCACCATAATCATCAAACTTTTGTTTATGACTATTTGAAAAATATGGAAACATTGCTTGTCTTGGTTTAAGTTTCTTTGTTATCCTGAGATCGAGTGGTTTATTTGCTTCAAGAGTTTGTTTAACATGGTCAGTAATGAACGCTTCGTGAGCAGCTAATTCGTCAACTACTGGCACTGACGCATTATTAGTGACAGGAAGTCCTGGGGTGGTAGTATTATTCCCACTAGCTGTGTTTGACTTTCCTGTGGTTCCATTCAAAGTGGCATTGGAATTGTCTCCTCCATTTTGATTCTCTATTTGATCCACTGCCATTTTTTCATTATCGCGATCTTCATCTTCATCGTCCTCATCATCTTCCCCTTCATCAGAGGAAGAGTCACTGAAATTGTCTGTATTCAACAAGTTCTTATTCTTTTTATCTCTAACTTTTTCCAATAATTTTTGCTTTCTTGAAAGATTTATTTGTTCTTGAAATTTGATTAATTCCATTCCATACAAACTTTCTTCTTGTTGCCAATCTTCCAAATTCAATGTACGTTCAAGGGGAACTGCAATACCATCTTCAACTGGTCCTTCTTTACCCTGCTTTTTCTTTGCAAGTTCATGCCATTCTCTATACAATTGAGCATTGATATTATATTTATCGACGCCAAAATGGGATTTTTCTGTAAGAATGATGGTGGTTTTTTCATCATTACACAAGTATTGAAGAACTTCACTAGACATATCACCATTTTCTAAATCTAAACCAGTGCAGAAAACAATTTTTGGTCCTGAAAGTTGTAATAATTCGTTTGGATTTGCCAAAAGATCCACTTTAGATGGATCAAATGGGATATTATTTTTATTACTAGCTCCATGAGATTGGGAATCTTCCCATTCTTTAATGAGCAGTGAAGACATCCATTCCAATAAATTGGATGCATAACTTAATACTTTGGTTCCTGAATACGATAAGAAAAGAACAGGAATAGGTGCACTTTGTAAATGTTGATCAACAAGATGTAATAATTCCAAAAATCTACCTGAAAGTGAAGTTGGAAGTACAACTGAACCTCCATTTGCCAATGTGGCATCTACTAATTGAAGAAATTTCTCGGTACGTTTCTTATGGGACATTGAAGAACCCAAGTCTGTATTGGTAATAAGGGCAGTTGGTCTCACCAACTGGGATAATGGAGTACCATTCAAGGAAAGGAAACTGGCACTATTCAAGAATGAATCCTTAGAATGATTCCATGCTGGTGCATAAATGATTTTTTCCAATTTCTTTGTCAATAACCAAAAAGTTCCTCCAAGAGTATGACCCGCATTATAAGGAGTCATCACGAGTTTGTTATCAAAAAGTGAAATAGATTGTAAATACTTGAGTGATATGACCTTGTCAAACCATTCATCTACTTCTGATACTTCTAATATGGCACCTTGAATGGGTCCCATAATACCTCTTGAACGATAGAATTCAACCGTGGAAATACGTCCCAATTGGTTGACAGGAACAGTGGAATACACCTTGATGGCAGCCATGAGAGCTGGGAACCTGATACAGAGAAGTACGTACCCACCAATGAATTCAGGAGTACCATGTGAAAGCAAAATTATATCAACATTTGTGAGGTGTTGTTCCATGAAATCCATATCTTCATAGTTACGCCCATCCCATGTAGGATCCGCTAGAATGGTGATGTCGGCATCAAAGCTAAGCTTCGATACTCTGCACGAGCCAGAGTCATTCTCCAAGATGGAAAATGTAAACATTTTTGTCTAGACTCCAATGTTTATCTGTTTCTCCCCACTAACAAAAAATTGTTCAAATTCTTTTTGATCTTTTTGATACTATTAAAAAATATTACACAAAAGTACACAATGATTAAATTTATTCTTGTATAGGGCCAACATTAAAGTGACGAGTAATTATATCGATAGATAATAATATTTATGATTAAAGAGAGAAGTAGTATAATTAGATAGATATAAGAAAGAAGAAAAGAACGAACAGACAAAAAAAAAAAGGGAGAGTTGACCATACTGTTTCAGTTGTCTTTCTATTTATGAATAATACCCTGAGAAAATATTTTGATTTTGCAGCCATATTTCTTTCCAGCAAATAAACCCCAAGAGAAACGATTTCCTCTCTTTCCTAGAATTATATTTACATCATGAGTATAGAAGTACGTATATATTTCATCTCACCGAGTTCCCAAAAGAATCATCCTCAAAAAATGAAGATGTTCCTATTCTTATTATTATATAGGTGGATTTAAATCTCAACAGAACTAAAAAACAATATTATATATCAACACTTACAAAAGCAACTTGGATAGCCAAAACAAAAAAAGAAACAAGGCACAGAAAGGAATGGACAATTGTTGGGATACAACAAGTAACGCAACAGATCGGCCTATGACCTCAATATCTGAACAAGCTTTTAAACCTGGATACTAACCCATCTTTCTTATCCTTATCATTCGAACTTGAATTACTAAAACTAGAAGACGGATATGCACCTGGTGCCTGTAGTATTTCAACGACATCACCTTTTTTCTTGCGGGCAGATGTTGGGTTAGTACTGGACGAATCCGTTTTAGTTGGAGTTGTTAATACCCCAGAATTAAAGAGAGAATTGGTGGGAGTATTGAACTGATTAATATCTTCTTCATCTTCCTCTTCGTCATCTAACTGGTCTTCTTCGCCGGTGTCATCAAGATGCTCAAAAGTGGAATCTTGAGAAGGAAGTGAAACACCAGCAAATGAAGATGTAGTGGTGAGAATTTGAGTTAGTGGCAGGGTAGTTGATTCCAAAGGTTCAGGTGAAGCAGTTGAAGTATCCAACTTCTTTGGGGCACTAGTCACAGGGGGTACTGTGGTTGAAGGTGGCACAGATACCGAAACTGGTGGTGCTGTGGTAACTGGTGGTGCACTAGACTCAGAAGCCTCTGGCTTAGTTGGGGGTGCGGTAATCAATGGCTCACTCTTGGTAATTGGCGCAACATCATCAAAGCCACGAGAAGATGGTTCAGGTATCTTGGGACCACTTTTGGTGGGACTATCGGTGGTAGTGGGAGGTGGAGTTTCAGGTGAAGGGACAATATTACCCAATGCAGCAATTGTACGTGAAGGAACCTTCACTGCAGTTAATGCTGGTGGTGAAGGTTCACTTGCAATTTCTGGAGCTTTAGTAATGGTTGCAACATCCGGGTTTTGTGTAACTGACGCAACTTTATCTTTAGATAAGGGATCAGAAGCTGGACTAGGGGCCACTTGAGTATCTTCATGTACAACTTCTGTCAAATTATCAGGATCTAAGTAGTTATTTTCAATCCCACTATCATCAAATTCAATGTTGTAATCATGACTAATTACCCAATTATCTTCATTAATTACAAATTTGAACACGAGTTTTTCCCGATTGGGAACAGTGACCCATCCTTGGAATTCAGCACCTTTCTCTTTCAATTCAACACTTTTTGACCAGTTATCAAAGTTTCCAGTCACACGAACAGATTTCACATCCCCTCCTACGGGCCTGTTTGGTTAGTAGTTGATAAAAAAAAATAATAAATACAGTATGAGATCACACACGATGGTAAATACCAGACAGAAAGACCCCCCCCCCCTCTTCCTTTTCTGTCATAGACTCTCTAGCAATAGAAGACTTCAGACAGTTCTACTTTCTTAATGTATTCACAATATATACATTTTCATGGCCCGTGGATCATTGCCTATTTTTTGCACTTTCAGTGTTTTGTATTTTAGCCCCTTGGGAAGTACATATCCCTCAATCTGCTATCGTAACAATCAAATCGATAAATACATACCACGAAAACCTATATGTATACAGCATTTCTAGCAATTATCCCAGAACTACACAATTAATGATATGAAGTTTTTAGGAGTAAAGAAAATCTTACGATATTATAATAAAGGAAAAAGATTAAGGATCAATAAAAAGGGTGTTGTAAAATCAAAAAATAAAATAGAGGATCGCCCTTATATACGATTTTGTGCACTTACATAGAATGATATCGGAGTTTCTTCGGGACAATGTTAAAGGCGGGTGAAAAACAAATTATTTACAGAGGATTATCTTAAGATTGCCGCAGTCGAGAAATGTAAGGATAGAGTATGTGGTGCGGGAAAATCTCTTCAGGGGTATACATCAATACCTAGTATACTTCAAAAACTATCTACTGTTCTCTTACTTTCAACTTATTCTTTTCTCGCATTAAGTGATAAGATTAAGTAATATCCCTCCCCAAAATAAACCCAAAGATCTGATCCTCAGTAAAATATTCATTGCCAAGACGACCTGAAAAGTTTTGAATTGGGGTTCATTGCGGGTGTGTGGGTGCGACGTGCAACCATTATGAAATGGGGCATCCCTCTTGAAACAAAATAATGATATGCTAAATAATAATGGTAATAATTTTTTTGTTGTTTAATCTGCATATATATATATATGTTCGTTTAGGACAATACATGTCATATCTATCATGCTTACTTGCGACCTAGCACCCATATATCTCCTCAAATATATCTGTACAATAGATCTATACAAATGCATTTTCTCAGATATATTACTCCACAGTGTCCTTCCGTAAGTGCCCCTTCAACATTTAGTCATTTTCACTTTAATTCCCCCTACTATGGGCCTCACAGTAAACATTTCCTACGTTTTTTTACTTTTTCTCTGTCTCTAAGTCGCAATTTTATTTTTCACTCATGAGATCTCTCAATAACTTCAATTATCTCGCCATACCTTCCCTAAAACAAAAGAAAAAATCACCAATGTCCTATAAAATAAAAATAATAGCAGTTGTTGTCAGAATTTTTCTTTTGTATTATTATTAACCACCTTAAACTCCACCCGATCTATTCATCGCTTATTATCTAACTCATAACTCTCTCTAAATCTTTTTTTTTTTTCACGTCTTTTTTTTTTACGCGTAGGTGTTATTTTTTCTTTCTTTGTGCTACTTTACACGTAACACCTAACGTTTGCATCTATTCAGAAAAGAACAAGTCTCCACTCACACACACTTTTTTTTTTTCTATCTCCATATCCTACCACTTTTACTATCCACAATGGCTGCTAAAAAGAAGTCTTCAGGAGCCGCCGCTGTAGCTGCTGCTGCGGCTGCCTCGAAGAAGGACAAGTCCCTCTTTTCTGTGGATCCTGTGTCCACTCCAGCATTCGCCAAGGGTTCTGTCAGAAGCTTCGTACTCACTACCGAGCTGCAACCAAAACCAAAGACTAGATCTCTTATCTCACAAGAATACGTGCTTCTTGCTGTGCTTCTTGCTGCATCTGTCTATGTCCGTTGTAAGGATCTCTTAGCTCCATCCTCGGTTGTGTTCGATGAAGTTCATTTTGGTGGATTTGCTAGAAAGTATATCCTTGGTGAATATTTCATGGATGTTCATCCACCATTGGCCAAGATGTTATTTGCTGCCGTTGGTGCTGCCGCTGGATTCAAGGGTGACTTTGAATTCAAGAAGATTTCCGATGAAATTCCAGGTACCTACTACTATTATATGAGACTTTTCCCAGCTGTTTTGGGTGTTGGTACCATTTTACTTTGTTACCTCACATTGAGATCTTCTGGTTGTCGTCCTATTGTTTGTTTGGTCACCGCATCCCTTTTGGCCATTGAAAATGCTAACGTGACTCTTTCTCGTTACATTCTTCTTGATTCTCCACTTTTATTCTTCATTGCTGCTTCCATTTACGCATTGAAGAAGTTTGAAGTACAGAAGCCATTCACCTTAGGTTGGTACAAGGCCTTGATTGCCTGTGGTATCTCCTTGGGTCTTGCTGTTTCTTCTAAGTGGGTTGGTCTCTTTACTATTGCCTGGGTAGGTGTCTCGTGTTTGTACCACCTTTGGTTCATTGTTGGAGATTTGACAGTATCTACCAAATCAATTGCTCACCATTTCATTGCTAGAGGTGCCATTCTTTTGGGAATCCCAATGACTCTTTACTTGGCCTTTTTCGCTGTCCATTTCAAGGTCCTTGTTAATGAAGGTGCTGGTGGTGTCTACATGACTCCTTCTTTCAAATCCTCTTTGATTGGTAACTCCATTCCAAAGGATATTGTTGGAAATGTTGGTATTGGTTCTATTGTTACCCTCCGTCATTTAGACACTCAAGGTGGTTACTTGCACTCTCATAACCACTTCTACCCAGCTGGTTCAAAGCAACAACAAATCACCCTTTATCCACATATTGATTCCAATAACAATTGGATGATTGAACTTTACAATGAAACCGAAATTTCCCCTGAATTTGTCCCATTGACTGATGGTATGAAGATTAGACTTAAGCATGTTAACACCGGTAGAAGATTACATTCCCATGATGAAAAGGCCCCAGTTTCTGAACGTGATTGGCAAAAGGAAGCCTCTTGTTATGGTTATGATGGATTCCCTGGTGATGCTAATGATGATTTCACCGTTGAAGTCGTCAAGGAAAGATCTGATAAGGATGCCTTGACTGAAGTTAAGGCTATTAAGACTGTCTTCCGTTTAAGACATGCTATGTCTGGTCATTATCTTTTCTCTTCCCCTGTCAAGTTACCAAAGGATTGGGGTTTTGAACAACAAGAAGTCACTACTGCCTCCCAAGGTGCTAGACATTTAACCCATTGGTGCATTGAAACCAACACCAATGAAAGAGTTAATGACACCATTCGTGAAATTGTTAACTACCCAACTTTGTCTCTCTGGGATAAATTCACCGAATCCCACAAGAGAATGTGGCAAATTAACCAAGGTTTGACTGAACATCACACTTGGCAATCCCACCCAACTGAATGGCCTTTACTTATGAGAGGTATCAACTATTGGGTTAAGGATAACCGTCAAGTTTACTTGATTGGTAACGCTGTTGTTTGGTGGTTGAGTACTGCTGGTATTGTTACTTTCATTATTCATATTGGTATTTCCATTCTTAAGTGGCAAGCAGGTCAAAAGGTTGCCACTGACAAGAATGTTTACAATTTCAATGCTCAAGCTTTCTCCTACGTTGTTGGTTGGTTGTTGCATTATGCTCCATTCTACATCATGGGTAGACAATTGTTTTTGCATCATTACATCCCTGCCGCATACTTTGGAATCTTGGCCTTAGGTCATATTTTCGAAGTATTGATTGGTTACCTTTCTAGTGGATCCAAGATTTTCCGTAGAGCTTCATATGGTGTTTTGGCACTCATTTTGACTCTCAGTTTGTTGTTTTACATTAATTACTCATCTTTGATCTATGCTACCCCATGGACCAAAGAAAGTTGTAAGGCATCCAAGGCTTTAGGTACTTGGGATTTCGATTGTAATGCATTCCACAATGAATACATTGATTACTCAGCTTCTTCTCTGGCTGCTTCTGACTCTCTTGAACCAACTCCTCAACCAATTGAAAACCAAGAGGAAGGTTCTAGAGTAGAAGAAACCCCACAAGCTGCTCAACCTGAACCTATTATTGAAGAACGTTCTACTGTACAGGCTGAAGAAGCGGATGTTGTTGAACAAGAAGAAATTCCAGTTGCCCCTCCAGCTGCTGTTGATGTTGATTCTGAAACCCCAATTGTTGATGAACAAGTGGTTGAACAAGTTCAATCTGTAGCTGAAGAAGCTACTGAAAAAGTTGAAGAAGTTATTGAGGAAGAAGTAGAGCCATTTTATGTTGCTCCACCAGTGGAAGACATCGAGCCAACTTTCGTTGATCATGTTGCTGAACAAGCTCAGGAAGCTGCTGAACCAGTTGTTGAACAAGCTCAAGAAGCTGCTGAACCAGTCGTTGAACAAGCTCGAGAAGTAGTTGAACAAGTTGCTGAACAAGCCCAAGAAGCCGCTGAACCAGTCGTTGAACAAGCTCAAGAAGTTGTTGAACAAGCCCAAGAAGCTGCTGAACCAGTTGTTGAACAAGCTCAAGAAGTTGTTGAACAAGCCCAAGAAGCTGCTGAACCAGTCGTTGAGCAAGCTCAAGAAGTTGTTGAACAAGCCCAAGAAGCCGCTGAACCAGTTGTTGAACAAGCTCAAGAAGTTGTTGAACCAGTTGTTGAACAAGCTCAAGAAGCTGCTGAATCATTCTATGATGCAGTTGCCGAACAAGCTGAACCAGTCGTTGAACAAGCTCAACAAATTGTTGAAGAAGTTACTGAAAAATCTCAGTAAATCGTTGAACCAATTGCTGCTTAAATCAGTTAGAGAAGAAAAATCAAAAAAATGAAAGAAACGTTTCACAATTTTTACATACGTTTGTATTGATATATATTTACATTCACGAGATAATTAATTCATATAGTAGAGACTACGATTATTTCAATTTAAAAGCAAAATCCAAAGGTCACACACTGTTTAACAAAAATGTACCCACCTACGGTTGCAATTCCCTTTGGCGGGACACGACTACTCCAAAAGAATATTCGTGGTTGAAAGTTTCAATGAGTGGGGAGGAGGAGAAAGAATTTACTTAAACAAACTTAGACGAGAGATCGTTTACCGTGTTTGCATTCTAGTATATACTGACTAGAATATAGCCCAGCACAATTCCTGCTAAAGTGTAAGAGAAAGGACCAAATCAGAAAAAAAAAATAAAACTTAGCACTAAATATTAATTAAAAAAGGATAAGAGTCGCAAACGAGGAGTTCCAACCACAAATCATCTCTGTCAACGAAGCTTGCGCATATACAACCTTGATACATAATGTCGGAGAATACGTGTAGAATATGTCGTGGTGAGGCTACAGAATCACAACCACTTTTGCACCCATGTAAATGCCGTGGTTCTATCAAGTACACTCATCAAGACTGTCTTCTTGAATGGCTTAACCATTCCAACAAGTCTACTTCAAAGTGTGACATTTGTAACACCCCATACAAGTTCCGTACAATATATGACCCGCAGATGCCTAAGACAATCCCTGTGCGTCTTGTATGGGAGAAGCTTGTACTGACAGTTGTTGGTGGTATTACAAATCTACTTTGGGTGTTTCTATACATTGCTTGTATCGTGGTACAAATTCCTCTTTATTGGAAGTTTATTGGCCGGGTGTTTACATGGACTTTGGATGGACACCTTCCACAGGAAAACAATCTGAGCTTATTTGTTGCCTTGCTCTTTGGTAGTCACGAATGGATGCCTGAAACCAATGCATCTCTATCAACTGTCCAAATTTTTGGATATGCTTTGAAAAAGTTCATTGTACATACCTACTTGCCAGGGTTATTATATGTGACACTGTTTATCCTTGCCCACATTGCATTATTTATCGTTCACGAATACGTTGTTCGAGACAAGGGGTTCAACCCTTTATTATTGAGAGAAATTGGTGAAGAACCTCAAGTGAAGTTGTTGGAAGTATTGGAAAAACTACTTGCGAATATAAGAAGAGGGGAAAATAATGTTGATAACGAAGCTTCTGAACATGTAAGACCACGTGCAGACCTTGCTGCTCCAAACGCTGCTGGTCCTGCCGATGACATGGTGAGAAGGGCACTTCATGACTTACAAAATGAAGACTACAATGATGCCCTCTTTAAAGAGGAACTTCTTCGAGGTTTCATTGACGAGCGCTGGGATGGCCAACCAAGACCGGTGGCTGCTGAAGAAGATGCCAATGGAAACTTTGCCCCAACTGAAGCCCTAGTAGAAAATCAAAATGGTGTTGCTGAAGATCCTGCTTATACTGAAGAAGGACTTCGCAGATTTATTGACAATCAATTGGAAAGTAATAGAAATGAAAATGTAAATGCTCAACCTGCTCACTTTGATGCTGCTGAACATTTTGCGTTCAACTTTGATGAAGATGACCTCAATCTGGATGATGAAGAAGCTGATCCTTTTCTACATGATGTTAGACGCCCGGAAGCAATGGATGCGTTACCAATACCCCGTCGTCGGGCATTATTCAATCAACTTCCAGACCGTCGTCCTCAGCCACCACCCCAACAGCAAGCACAAAGAAACCTTGAAAACATCCTCCAAGAAGCAGCAAGAGCTCGAAACGCTGAAGATCAACCTAGAGAAAATGAGAACAATGCTAACAACAATGCAAATGCAGGAGAACTTGGTGAAGAAGAAGTTAATGGTGATTTCCTCGACCTTCTTGGAATAAACTTCAACAATCTCCGTACTCCTATTTATCTAATGGCTTTAGGTAACTCGATCATATCTGTGTATCTTTTCCTTGCCTATTTAGTTCCCCATATGATTGGTAACTTTATCACTGGCATTATAGGAAATGTGTTTAAATTATTGCTCCTCATTGACAAACTTCCATTTCCTCAATGGTCCAAAACACTCACCACTGGAAATGAATCAGTTGACACTGCCCTCTACGTTATAAACAAAATGTATGTTAAACCTGCTTTTGCTACTGTGGAGAGAATTTTTGATCCACAGCATTCGAATCCTGGTCTCTTCGAGAGATTCGTCTTCCTCACCATTGGTTACATGTTCTTTGTTGGGGCAATCCATCGTTTCATGAAGAAAATATTAAATTCGTCCCGTAAACCAATAATGGGTACTCCACGTAAGGTTTACAAAATTTTATTTGAAATTGCAGTAACTACAAAAGTGTTTGTGGTATTTTTTGTTGACATTGTCTTTTTCCCAATATATTGTGCTTGGTTGTTGGACTTTTCTGTTTCTCCATTATTCTTCAAGAATCTCACTAAGCCTGATCCTACTGATGGGACATATGTATTCACAGTGTTTTGGTCAGAGTGGATCCATGAACATGCTGGAATATTCGCTCAATTTGTATTTTATTGGCTTATGGGAACTCTCTATATGGTGTGTCTCACTGTTTTTGTCGGGATGGTGAGAGACCGGATCGTTCGTGGAGGTGTATTATGGTTTATCCGTTCTCCAGATGACCCTGATCCTAAATTGGTTAATGATACGCTTAAGAAACCTCTTAAACTGCAGCTTTCTCGTATTAACTTGTGTATTCGGATCTATTTTGGTTTCATCGTCATATTTATCGGTGGTGTAATCTGGCTGCTTCATTGGGGCTTCTCCGGTGATGAGAATACAAAGGCAACTATTTTACCTATACAAGTTCCTCTTAATAAGTCTGCGTTGATTGTTTACATTCTGTTGGCATTGTCGTTCAATGAACGGAAATTAGTTACCCAATATTGTCGACTTTATTGGACTAAAGTCTTTGAATTGGCCACTCATAAGCTAAGACTCTCGCATTTTATCTTGGGTAGAGTTATCCCCCAGGAACGTGGCTATGTCGTTTACCGTAACATGTGGCAACAAATACTTGCTGTAGCAGTTCCAGATTATTCTCAACCGGTTAGTTACCGTGGAGCCTTGCGTATATTTGAGGAAAATCCTTCCGTCAATGCATGTTTTGTTCCTGATGGGAATTATGTCAGAGCTCCGGAATATGATACTGCCAATAGAAGTTATGTTCGTACACTCTTTGTTCCAGTGACCAAAGATGATAAGTTGTTATCATCCTCAGCTGCGACAGCACCAACTGCCACCAACTCGGACAATCTGGATGAAGATGGATATGATAGTGACTCGTCGTTGGAAGAAGGTAAGATTCAAAACTCGTATATTGTTGTCTATCGTCCTCCTAATTTCAAGATGAGATGCTTTGGATTGATTGTTTTGTTATGGTTGTTTGCTGTCTTACTTATTCTCTCTGTGGTCTTCCTTGGACTCATCTTGGGTAGACCAATGTTAAAGGCTGGAGATGTGGCATATAATGCATTCTTACTGTATGGACTTAAAATGTTTGCTGGTCTTGAAGGAGCAACCATGTCTGTTCCTTCTTCTGAAAATGCATTTGATTGGCATTGTGCAGACTTAGTCTCTCTCTTACTTGGAGTGAAATTGGAATGTATTTTCCTTAAATATTATCATGGAGAATCTGATGATCAAGTTGTCAATGAGGTTCAACAAGAAGCCGCAGGACCAAACGCTGTTGATGTTACAATGCTCACATTTAGTTATTTCTTCACTTTCCTCCTCTGGATGCAATGGATTGCCTCGGTCCATAAACAGTGTGTTGATATACCTTTGCGTTTGGCATTGGGACTTCTGTCGGTATCATCCAATGACAACTCGTCGTACCTGAACGAATTTATTGTCACCAAACTTACTATTGCCGTCCATCTCTTTGTTGGTCTTTTCACAGTTTTGCCCTTTTGTAAATTGGCAGTTTCTATTGGCCGCGGTTACTTTGCTGGTGGTGAAAACATGGATACTCCCAGATTTGTTTGGAAGAAGTGTGCGTTGCCAGTACTTGCAAACTTTTTGATTACTCATTTCCCCACCTTGATTGCCATGGTGCAGACATATTTATATTCTGAGTCCTCCATTAGTGTCAAACTGTATGCGTCTGCGTTGGCCGTGCTTATTGTTTACAAGGTGGTGACGGGTGCTCTGGCATTATTGAAGAATATCAACGCCAAGGTCAAAAACGAGAAATATGTACAAGGAAAAGCTATAGAGAATATGGAGTAGATAGTTAGTTCATTAGGAATGTAAATAGACTATATGTAAATAAAGGGCCCTGTTCCTTCCAGTTCTGTAACTTGTTCAAAGGTTATGTGATTATTATTTCTTCCTTTATCATTGCTGACTTATACCGTAAAAAGGCAGACATGTCAGAACTCTTTTTCGAGACAAGTGCCACAAGAATCTAGTTCTCGCCTCCCATGAGAAGTCATGGTTTGGAAAAAAGTTCGCCACCTACTTGTCATTGCCTTACTCTCTTGTTAAAATGAGTGCTAGTCAACTAGTCACTCTCTTCATCTTCATCTTCTTCCTCAACGTCAGTCTTCTTCTTTCTCTTCTTTCTAGAAGGCTTCTCTGGCTTGCCTATGGCTTGTGTGGCTACGCTCTTATCATCCAAATTATACATCTTTTTGGCCTTCTCAATCCTTTGACTTTGTTTGATAATGTACTCGATACGAGCAAGCTTTAAAGGATCGTTTCGTAACGCAAAAGGGAAATCATCCATCTTGACTTTATTACGTCCATGTGCACGGGCATATACTGAAGTGTTGTGACAAAGATCGGTAAGAAATTCCGTCAAGACTTCTTCCAAGGCATTGACAGTAGGTTCAAGACCATAGGAAGGGTCTCCTAATGAAAAGAGTAACTGTTCAATATCCTTGGTGAAGAGACGTTGCTTCCGCCGTCTCTTCGTATTGACCATGGGCATAGGTACGTTTACATATGACATGGTGGGAACGATAATTAGTATTATAGATTAAATAGTTAGTCCCTCTTAACTACTCTCTATTTAAAAAAACATAATATAAAGATATTTATATGCAGGTGTTGGTATATTTACCAATAGGTAGAGACAAATGTACCTAATTTCTATGAAAGTAACCTCCTCAGAATTCTGGTAGTATCTCGGAGATATATAATGCCTGGTACATATCTTGATACAAGAATGTACAATCATTACACCTCAAAACGATCGAATATAGTAGGTTCAATAGATAGTCTGCTTTCGTCTCCGATTAACTCCGAGAGGGCAATTTGACCTTTATTTCCTTCTCAAATGTGTTTAATTAAATCATGTTGCCAAGCTGGCTTCATTGAAGATGATACCTTCAACGATTTTGTTCGTACAACTCTCGAATTTTTTGAATTGTCGTTTATGGGTGAGTACGTCAACCACGGCACTTGCAATTTCATGAGGACGAGCTACTGAACAATGACCTCGCAGCATGAATTCACGCGCAACTTCTTCTTGGTGGTTATCCATCAAGGATTCATTAACCACCACTACCAACGACTTCCCGAGTCGAAGAGCATCAAGAATAGAACCTGTTCCTGCGTGCGACACTACAACGTCACTCTCAGCAATATAGGACGCAATCAGATGTGAGAAAGCAAACCCACAAACACGGACTTTGCCCACTTGTAACGACTCTATACCATTTATGTCTTGTTCAAGCTGACCTACTGGTGCAAAACACTCTTCAAAAAAAGCGCGGCTGATATGAACATCGTCAGCTTTTTCATTTCCATATTGGATCACCAACTTGGTCACGCCATTCTCTTCAAGTATCCGGATGAATTTATCCAGCGTAACGGCCTTCACCAATTCGCGGAATGTGGTCGTGGCGCCTGTGCACACAATCACTGTACTCATTCTAAAGCGATTAGTGTTACTGAGATATTGCTAAACATTTCTGAAACACATGTTATCCTTTTTCCTCTGTATTTGTTTTCCTTACTTTTATTTTTTTTATTTTTCCGCGTGATTAATCCCAATTTAGCGGGCTATTTTATATGCTAAAGGTGTTAAAACCTCTCAAAACACAAACCGCATTGTTGATTGAACAACATTTTCCTTTTTATTTCTAGCGAATGATCTTCGTTCGGACATTGCATGTTAAACGTCAAAACTGTTTTTTTTGTGTAAGCTATAGACTTCTCTTCATTGAAGTATCTCCAACTGATCTACCAGTATTTTGTCTCTCACTTGTCTATTGAATTATTTTGACATTTCCGCACGACTACGCAGCGTCTCCGAGACATTTGACCCAAAATCTTTTACACTGGTTACTAAAAAGCTTATTATTTTTCCATACCACGTACCTTTCTGGGAGGAAACGAACTGCATCTTCTCCTTTGTCTGTCCTCAAGAGATTCATTTGTTGTCTCTCTTTGCGGTTCTGTTATTTGGTCTTTTTTTCCCCCGTTGAAAGTCTCGTGATATCGACATGCCAGAGGAAGTCATACGTTCCTCCGTGTCCACTTCGGACTCTCCTTCAACAGGGTCAACTCCAGGGGCCGTTGCAACCACTCCGGGAGCAACGGTTACGACTCCAGGGGCTGTGACCACGCCGACCTCGCAACACCAACCCATACCAAAGAAATCACAACAGATTAAAACAGCAAAACCAAGACCTCACGTATGTTCCGTCTGTACCAGAGGATTTGCACGTCTTGAACATTTGAAACGTCATGAGCGTTCACACACCAACGAGAAGCCTTTCCAGTGTGCTGCATGTGGCCGTTGCTTTGCTCGTCGGGACTTGGTGATGCGTCATCAACAGAAACTCCACACCAGTCTTCCCATCCATCGCGGAAGTAAATACTCCGAAAATGAGCATATCATCATACTTGACAACAACACAAGGCCAAACGTGCCGTTGCCCAAAGACTTTGGAAAGGACTTACCAACTCCTACATCACACCAGGGTCAGTTATACTCCCCTCCTAAAGATAACTTGCCTCCTCAAGCCAACAGTAATAATAACCATGATAATAAAGGAAACGAACAATTAGGTGGAATGCCTAACTTCCGTATATCATCCACCATGTTTGGAAATAGTTCACCTATGGCTGGCTCCAATGTTCCTAGTGTACCCCCTGTAATACCGTCTCCTATCCCAACGACTTCAAGTCAAACCACACCTGCAGGGTATCTGCAAGTCACTCCGGACTCTCCAAGAAGTAAAGCAGTGAATCTGCAACAACTACCACCACATCTATCCCATCAACCACATCTACAACGAGAAGAGCAACTTCACCAACAACTTCATCTTCCTCATCACCAACCACAACTCCATCACCAACATCTTCAAGAGCAACATGTTCCGGTGAATCTTCATAATGAGAACAATATACATCATGCAAGTCCATATGATGACTTCCATCCATTACCACAGTTCAATAACACAAATTCCAATACAAAATTCCGTCATAACTCATATTCTGCTGCATCCGCCATTTCATATACCAATATTAAAGATGCGATGAGTATTCAAGAAAATAATAATCTTGACGAAGTTCCTCTGCAGGTTGAGTTTTCAACCCCTCAACTTACTGCTACAGATCTTACTTCAAGAGCACTCCCATCAGTTTTGGATCTTGCTACGATGGGGTTAGATTGGGGTAATATTGATACTCTTGATTTAAATCAAAAGGACATGCACCCACAAGAACAACATTCTCAGCACCAGCAACCACCTCAGCATATTCAACAACTGAATGAACTGCCTGCACAACAATCTCAACAGCAGCAGCAGCAGCAGCAACAACAACAACAACAACAGCAACAACAGCAACAACAACAAAAACAAAAACAGCTTCCACAACAACCTCCACAGTTACAGTCACAACAACTTCCACAACAACCCCCACAATTACAGTCACAGCAAGCTCCACAACAGCCTCCACAACAGGTACAACCAAGTTACTTCATGGCACACCAATTTCTGAACCCAAACCATCCACATCACATGAAGGGAACTACACCATTTGAACTCGGCATGAATCCTCCAAATGACTTGTCAATGATGCAACATATTATGGATGGACCTCCATCGTCTACTAAGGATCTTTTAAACATATCTGTTAATCAATTGAAGAAACGTGGCCATGACTTAGAAAAAAGTGGGGGAGCTGCTAAGAAACTCAAAACCGAGGAAGTTGCTTGGCTTAATGATATCATGACTACTCCTTATGAATCTATATTTCCTACAGCTTCGCATCATGTGGGTTTTATACATTCGCCTAATACCAATGACTCCGGCTCCCCAGATGAAATTCCTAGTCTTTTCAGAAATAGACAACTTGATTTATTGAAAATGCATCCTCTCCCACCACAAATCGAAGAATCAATTCAGCAATTCCAAATTTCATCCATTGAGCATAAGAATTTTCTTACTGAGGACCTGAGAAGCAAAATCTTACTCATCAGTAATTTATCAAACCTTCAATTTCCTCCATTGGAGGATCTCAATGCGTACTTGAAGTTGTATGAAGAAGAATTTGACAAATACTTCCCATTTGTACATCTCCCTACATTGAAATGCCCGGAAGCAGATAACTTTGAAAATATTCCACTTTTGTTGTCCATGGCAGCAATTGGTGCGTTATATTCTTTCCATGACACTAATGCACTTTCTCTTTTCAACCTTTCGAAATTACTCATGCATAATTTCTTTGAGAAGGAAGTTCTTATGCTGCTGGACAACTTAAAAATGAAGAAGGTTCCTATCCTGGCACATCAATGTCTCGTCATGCATATTCTTATCTGTATATTCCTCAATGAAGAAAACATGATGGAAGTTTCTGCTAAACAAATTAGGTCCATGAGTGGTCTTATTCTGTCCACGGAGTTTGACAAACCTCTTGATAATTCTCTTACTCCACCAACTGCACAAATCATTACTGGTGGACCTGAGGTGGTCAAGAAGAGTTTTGATTATTTCGTTATGGCACAATCAAGAATTAGAACTTTACATACTTTCTATATGCTCAAGAATATTCGAACTTCTTTGATTGGAGCTTCTGATGATCCTTCATCGACAGATTGTGTGAACTATTTTGGTTCAGGATCTTATTCCACTGATTTAAAATTATGGAAATGTCCAAATCAATCAGCTTGGTTACAACGTCTCAAGGAAAACCCTCAAATGCATCAATTATCAGCAGTGGAATTGGGTAATTCAGTTTCTATGGAAGTTTTATTAACTGAATTAAAACAGCACTATTCGGAACGTACTGTCCCATTACGTTCTACTTTAACTTTATTGATGCATATTCATGATTTGATTCATCAAGAACGTGTTTCTAACGACGAAGATGTGGTGAAGTGGAGACTTAAGTCACGACCACGTATTGAAGCTCTACTTAAATCATGGGAGTCGATATACATCAGAGCAGGAGGGCTTGTGGTTGTCAATTCTAAAAATGAACATGTTCTTCTGGGAAAGGGAGAATTGAAACTTATTCTTCCTTTATTATACTTTGCTCGTATAAGTCTTTGTGTAGATTTTGCTCCTATAATGCAGGGCATTTGGAGTGGAGGTTGGAATAGTGAATCATTTTCAGTGCTTAATAAAGACCCAGAGGCACTCAGAGAGGCTACTACACATGCAGTTGATATCGTTAATGTCTGGACTCACAATATTTCCGTGGCTAATGATGCTAAAATGACATCTCTTCGTACCCCGGTTTTTTTCGTCACCTGTGTGTTCACAGCAGTGGTGATTATCAGTCATTATTTAAATATAATCGAAGATAAAAAGCAAGGGAATTTGACCGCCTATGAAAGAGTTATTTGGCTCAAGTGTGAATCAGTAATGAGAGCAGCAGAGAAAGTGTTAGCACCATTAGCTGAAAAGGAATATGGAGACGAAGCTAGAGACAAAGCAAGAGCAAAGATTGAATCTGCTACAGATGACACGGATGTACAAAGTCTTAATAAGACACTTACAGAGGCAGGTCTTGGCTGCCGTACTCTTGAACTTGGTGTACGTATCCTCTCAGATGCTCCTGTGTGGCCACTTGCCATGGCATTGGCACGAGCACTTAAGGAAAGACAAACTCACATTTCTAATAGCCAATAGATACTATATATAATTAGAAATCATAATTATTTATTTATTAAATCCATCAGCAAGTGACTGGAAGATAATGGTTGAAGGCATAAAAGGCCCCTCCCATATGTTATCTACTACTGGAACAGTTTCTTTTTTTTTTTACATTTTTTTAATTCTTTTTTTTTTCTTTTTCTCAAAAACATTTCTGATGAGGTTCTTCAAACATTCAACTCAGAACAAGGTTAACTTCTGATTCAAGATTGCCATTTTTAAAGTGAGACTACTCAATATAAAGCCGTTGTTGAGCAACGTATCACATATTAATTCTAAGCAGATATTCCGCTCATTTAGCTCTATAATGACTGCTGATAACAAGACTGAGAAGCTTCAAGGAAGAGCATTGTTCGAGGCTATTGGTAAGCCAAAGACAATTGTAGCACCTATGGTGGACCAATCGGAGTTGGCATGGAGAATATTGTCTCGTAGATACGGTGCAGAGTTGTGCTACACACCCATGTTCCATGCTCGTTTATTTGCCAACGAACCAAAATATAGAGATAGCATGTGGTCTGAACTCGATGGGGACAAGGAGAAAGATAGACCACTTATTGTGCAATTCTGTGCCAATGATGCAGACTACTTGTTGAAAGCTGCTCGCTTTGTAGAAGACAAATGTGACGCTGTAGACTTGAATCTTGGGTGTCCACAAGGAATTGCCAAGAAGGGGAACTATGGAGCCTTCTTAATGGATGATTGGGAATTGGTTCACAAATTGATTAGAAACTTACACGATAACTTGAAGTGTCCTGTCACTGCAAAGATCCGTGTTTATGACGATTGGGAGAAGAGTTTAGAATATGCAAAGCTTGTTTTGGATGCTGGAGCTCAATTTATCACCATCCACGGCCGTACTCGTGATATGAAAGGTCAAGCCACTGGTTTAGCTAACTGGGACCTTTTACGTTACTTGAGAGACAACTTACCTGAAGACCAAGTATTTTTCGCCAACGGTAATATCTTGTATCCCTCTGATCTTCAAAGATGTACCGATGCCGTGAAATGTGATGCTGTCATGTCTGCTGAGGGTAACTTGTACAATCCAGCGGTATTCTGGACCAAGACTGATGACATTGATATGCAGTTCCGCCGGGTAGACAAAATGCTTCGTGAATACTTTGAGATTGTGAAGGAGGTTCCTGGGGAAGCATCTAGACATGCTATGAAGAGTCATTTTTTCAAGTTACTCCATGCCTTCTTGAACGTGCATACTGAACTTAGACCTGTTATTGGAAAAACAAGTGTTCATTCTTCCTTTGATGAATGGGAAAAAATTGTTGTCCGTGTGGAAGAAATTGTCGAGGAAATCTACCAAAAGGATAACATTTCTGAAATAGATGTTGTTACCACAGGAGAAGTTCAAAGTTGGGGTGGAAGCTACAAGACTGTTCCATTCTGGAGATGTCAACCATACTTCAGAACTGTAAATGGAGAAAAGCAAAACACTAGAGTTTTACACGTTGCAGCCACTGAAAAGGTAGAAAAGACTTCTAAGAAAGAAGTGAAACAGGATGCCAAGGTACAAACTGAAGAATCCTCTACAAAGAGAAAACCATCTGAAGAATTAGAAGGTGAGCGCAAAAAGGTTGATATTGAGAAGGAAAATGTGACCATATAAAACATGGGTTCGACCATTTCCTTGGATTCTCAACCTTTCTAACAAGCGGTAATAAATTATCACTTGTATATATTTATAATAGACTCTTGCAAGTAAAATACAGCCATGTGCTGATCATAACATTTGCAACCAAAAAGATGTGGCTCTGTTCCACCAAAACGTATAATCATAATTTCGTGATTATCATATAATGTACAATACACATACACATACACATACACATACACAAATAGTAATCTACGTCATCCATAATAGACTTTATCTATTTTTCATACATAGTATATATGTTGATCCACTTTTTTAACAACCAACGATTTGTAGATTTACTGCATATAAACGACTGAGTGTGTTTGTTCCCTTGAGTAACAAATGAAACTTTACTATGTAGAAACTCCTCCAGGATAATTATCAAACTCACATAGGCACAATTTGGTTCTGTAAACTTTTCAAGTGGTGTATCTACTTTTTTGCTGCACTTTCTCTTTTCAGACTTATATTTCAAAGCCCACAATCCACAATGTCACTTCCTAGTGCTATCAGAATGACCGCTTCATCGAACCCAACCGGTGCCCTTATCTTCTTCCATGGATTAGGAGACTCTGGTAGTGGCTGGTCTTTTTTCCCACAACTTATCAAGAGAGCAAATATCGTTCCAAACTCGGACAGTATTAACTATGTATTCCCCAATGCTCCAGAAATCCCAATTTCTGTGAATGGTGGATACAGAATGCCTGGATGGTTTGATATTTACGAATTTGGTAATCCAAATGCCAAACAGGACGTCGCTGGATTTCTCAAGTCATGCGAGTTGGTCAAGGGTTATATTAAAGAACAAATGACCACTTACAACATCCCAGCTGAAAAGATTATTATTGGAGGTTTTTCTCAAGGGGCTGCCCTTACTTTAGCCACTTTAGCCCTTCTTGACATTAAGATTGGTGGTGCAGTTATCTTTTCTGGATTCTGTCCTATCAAGAAGGAATTGGGTGGACTTTTGAACAAAGCCAACTTTGATACTCCTGTATTCCAAGGTCATGGTACTGCAGACCCAGTTATTGCCCATGAATTCGGACAACAAACTTCTGTTTTGTTCCAAGACCTTGGGTTCAAGAACTTCAAGTTCCATAGTTACCCTGGATTGGCTCATAGTGCCAGTGAAGAAGAATTGGAACAAGCAATGGAATTTATTAAAAACGTTCTTAAATAAATAGAGTAGAGAGTAGAGTTAGTGATGATCAATAAATTAGAAAATAAATGATGAAGGTATATTTGTTCGGAAGTGGCTTGTACAAGGTTCAAATAGAGATGAAGATAGTCCAATAGTAATTTAATAATAATGTGGTTGCAAATGTTGATAATGTTGGTAATATTAATTATTGAAAAAGTCCACGACAGATTTTGTCTTGTTTACTGTAGTTCCAAAATAAAACTAGATCGACTAATGGAAGTTCCTAATTATGCTGAAATTTAGAGAGAGAAGATATTGTTTCTTATTTAGCTCTAATTCCCGTCTTTCATAGGGCACTCTCTTCCTGGACGTGGAGATGTATTTCCAACACCCATACACCACTGGTGTAAACACCTGCATAAAACCAAATACAGATCCAAACACGATTCAAAAAGATACTAGAAACGGGAACAATCATTCCAACTACTATCCCACAGCAAAAAGGCCAATGGATTCGGTATCGAGACCTCTTGCAAGGCTGACTACAGGATCGCCCATTCCTGGTTCAAATAGGGGCGAATTATCCGCCAAAGACAAAAGATACTACCAACAAGTGGAAAGAGCATTAGCTTCATTTGATTCTCTTGAAGAATGGGCAGATTATATTGCCTTTTTATCTCGACTTCAGAAATCTTTACAATTGAATGAAGGTGCAGCTTCCTTTGTACCCTTTGCAGGTCAGGTAGCCCACAAGCTCGCATTGTGCTTGGCGGCAAAGCTTCCTAATGGTGTTCATCAAAAGACGCTTAGTCTCTATGACTCTATATTCTCTGCAGTTTCATCTGAAACATTGGACTCACAAATATCATTGTGGCTTCCTGGAATTCTTCCCCTTTTTTCATATTGTTCTATTCAGATAAAACCAATCTTGATTCAAATATTTCAACATCATATCTTGACGAAAGTGAGTGCTAAAACACTTCAACAAGTTACAAAACCTTTGATTTTGAGTTTTTTACCTGGTCTAGATGATGAAAACTCGGAAACCTTCACTGAGTTCATGTTACTTATGGATACATTAAAGAAGAAAACTGCCAATGACAATCATTTCTGGCAATCGTTTTTCCTCTGCGTTATCAGTAACCCTGAAAAGAGGCTTGGAGCTCTTTTTTGGTGTAATAGAAGACTCCCCTTATTCTCCAGTATTAAGACAGAAACTTCACTGGGAGCCACCCCATTGTTCTCTGAAGAGGCTCAGGCATGTATTTCACCTGAACCAGGTCTACTTATTAGAGCTTTTGCTACCTCTATATCATCTACAACGTCAATGGTTTCGGCAAATGACATTATTGTGGTGAGAGGCTTTTTCGATCTTCTCTTAACTCATTTGCCACTTGATTGTGAAGTGTTGACCCAAGTAGCCTCTGAACGTGATAGAGAGCTACTCATGCTGTCATGTTGCTCAATTACTTTAAAGAAGGATATGAGTCTTAATAGAAGACTTTGGAACTGGTTATTGGGTCCAGATACTGAAGTGTCAATAAATGAAACAAAAAAAACTGGCGATTCAGAAAGACTTACTCGTTCTGAGTATTTACAAAATTATGGATTAGAAACTTTAAGTACAATTCTTTTAAATTCTATCAACGATCGTCAAGTCAGTAAGGAAAAACGTGTCAATGCGTTCAAAATATCACTCTTTTTGATTATGGATAAATGGGAAATTAGTCATTTAGTTACACCATCGATATTTTTACCCATAATGCGAGCAACTTACCACAGTCTGGGAGAAGGGAGAGATAGTAATGATATTTTGTTGGCTGCTCAATCATTTTTTGATTCTGTTGAAGCAGCATACATATGGAGCGACTTGAACCTGTTAATCATGAATAATAAGAGTAAAGATTTAGATTTGGTAGAGTTTGTGGTTAACAACTTTGATCTTAATGAAGAGGAAATGCTAACAGTACATATTCCCTTAGCAATTACAGTATTGTTGACTAATACTAAAGAAGTTGGACCAAGTTGGATTTTAATCCTTGACACGTTACTGCGTCTTGTGTCACCTAGGGCATTTAATGTAACAAACGAAGTTATTAAAGAGAACGATAGTTTTTCAGTGCCTAATGATATCAACCAAGTGATTAAGCATTATTATTCCACTTTGATTGAAAACAGTGATAAAACATCTGTTGATTTATTCCCATGGAATACGTCAAAATTAACTTTTATTACTGTCACATTATTAAAATCCCTTGTCGTTGACAATATAAGTAACCATGATAAGCAAAAATCAACTAAATTATGCGATTTACTTTGCCAACTTTCGTTGGTCATTTCTACAAACGAGTCGAATACCAATTGGGTAGGTGATGATCTAATTGAAGTTATGACAAGTCAATCGATTTCTACCCCCGAAGATGACGAGTTCCAACAACAACAGAATTTACTTACTACATTCAACCTTACTAAACTCTTGAATTCTATGGAAAAGTCTTTAACTCCAATTGTAAAGGACAAGATGCTTCGTATCATTATCTCTAATTTGTTTGTGGCACTCACGTCATCATATCCAGCAAACTACCAAGTTGAGAGTGTCAAATGTATCTTTGATTTGGATCGAAGCTTTCTGACATATCAAATTGAAGCGGGTCTTGTTAAACTTTTTTCCCAAGCAAGTCTGATAGAAATTGTTAGGGCTATATCCATTTTATGGACACATTCAAACCAATTCACTGATTCTGATGCCTTTATTTCTAGACCACTTCAACTAGTCTTGGACAATTTATTCGAAGAGGAAGAAGAAAGCTATGCGGAAACTGCAAATTTCATTGGAAATATTCTTAAAGGTGGTTCAGCCAACAGATTATTGAAATTATTAACAAACCCCTTGTTGGAATTTGAATTTGTGAACTATGAAATAACTGCGCTAACTTCAGAAGATGACTTGGGACAATTCGCATATTACTTACTGTCAATTGTTAATGTCATTAAAACTGATGTAAAGCATTGGAAAGAGAGTTTTAATAATGAACTAGCAGTAATGGATAACACTAACAAATTGAAAGTCGTTAACTCGAACTCTTGGGACATATCTTCCTACAAGTCACTTTTGATTCATATTATCAAGAAGTTTCTTAAATTGAAAGTTGATAAGAGTATCCTTGACCATGATACATCAGATTCTCTCAACAACTACTATAAATGTATTACCAAAAGTTTAGAAATACTCTCAATGCTTGTCAGTGGCAACGAGATTGATTTTCCTGATAACTTCAATTTACTACTTGAAGCAGGAAGTCAATTTAAATCCTTGAATAGCAATACTCCTCGTGCCATAGAGCTAGTAGAAATCAAGTATTTGAAATGTATTAAGCATTTTTTGAAAATTTCCCAAGATTTGAAAATCAACTTGAACTTATTACATATTGAAGATGAGGCAAAAGATCCCCCTTTAATTGGGTTCATTGTCAAAGGGATTGAAAGGGCCCAATCTACTGTCTTATTAGAGAGCTGGACTTCGTTGCTTACAAAATCGACATACCTTTTCAATGAAGCTATATTTAGCGTTTTGTTGACTCTCAGTGATTCATTAGTCACAAAGATCAACTCTATTTTCAAGAAAATCTCTAATCAAGGTAAATTTACCAATTTGACAGATGCTGAAGCATCCATTAATGTACTCATGTCAGGATTGGAGGATTTATTATGTATTAGCCATGGTTACCTTTTGTCATCAAACATGAGAGCTCGCAATGAGAGCAATGGAAATGCAAATGAATCTGGTTTCTTCGGGAATGTCATCCAGGGTGTGTTTCTGATCGAATCTCCATCCATAAGAACCACAGAAGAGAATAAAAGATATTCTATTCTTTTAGCATTCCATGATGCGGTAAGAACATCATTCCTGATTTGGCTTTGGGCTGATTCTAAGCCAGTATTAGAAACAAAAGATGATTCGTTTCAATTTGCATCTGAGAAGTCTTTGGCGTACCTCTCTAGAAAGTTAAAGTTTAAAGCTAGAAAACATTTAGAGTCATTGGTCGAATTAGAAAGACAAGAAGTTATTGAAACCTTAATTAGTTTTGGCCATGATTCTAAAGCCACTACAAAATTATTGCATGTATTGGATGGTGGTAGATCCCAAGTGACCTTGCCAAATATCTTAAACTCAATTTTAACAAGATGTTATCCTCAAGGGTTGGATGATAAGAACAAATCATCCATGAATACTGATGTGTCTGCAAAGGAATTAGCAAAGTTTTTGGCGGCTTACATGGAATCTGTTGACGATGACACAGTGTCTGACATATGGAACTTTACAGTGCTGTTCTTCAAAGACGTCAATGCTCATCCCGCGAATTTCAAAAGTATATTTCCAGAATTGTTAAAAACTATTACAATTTTGTCTCTTAAACTTAGTGCAACCAAGTTTGGAGAACAAGGAAGACACAAGAAAGACCTCGGTGACATATTTTCAAAGTTATTAATATTGTCTTTGAACTCAAAAATTTCAGGAAACATAATTACAGATAATGAAATTGACGAAAAGGATAATTCATTGCAAATGCCACAAGAAGAAATTCCGGTAGAAAGAGCGTTTGCCACACAAGGTGAATTACTTGGAACTCTTACTATAATCCTTGAAAGATTGGATGATATGGTTGGAGATGATGATAAAGTGTCGTCTTGTATTAATACAATCATTGGCAATTTGGTATCGCCTCAGATAAGATCGCTGAAAATTAATGAGATACCAATCCAAACAATATCTTTAATTTCATTGATTGGGAATAAGCACCCCAATAAAATTTGGAAATCGGCAGTACAAGATTGTTTTTTTGACAACTCATTTTTCTTGGCCAGTTTTGACAAGATCAAACAATGGGAAAATATTATCCAGAAATGGATCACAGTAGACAAAGATAGAATTTTAGAATTGATATCTAAAGTAACTTCTGGTTCTACCTCAAGTACGAGTAATATATTCAACTGGAACGAAAATTCAGAGCTGGATAATAAAGTTTGCAATTTGAAGAGAATCTCCTTTTTGATCCAAGTACAACCAAAGGATTACTTTTTGAATCCATTACAAGAATTATTTGATCGTCTTGATATGTCATTAGGATCTGCTTGTCCAGCAACATTCAAAGCTGAAATTCTAATTCTATTGAGGGTTATTACGTTGAAATTTAGTGAATTACACCTACTACCACATTGGACAATGATAAGTCAAGAGATTAGATCAGTATTTGAGTTCATTGAACAAAAGAACAACAAAGAACTTACCAGTTTAACCAAACAAGAATTAAGATTAATCTTACAAAGTTGTAAATTATTAGACCAATTATTACTTTTGAAGTACGACGAGTTTAACCTTAGTGAATGGCTTTTTGTTTCAAGTAGTCCTGACTTAGTAGTCGACGGTGTTAAACCGTCAGCGATCTCACTCGTTGACAAAATTGCAACTGAAAAGGATTTATCGTTTTCCAAGGAACCCGCGGTGCGTATTGAACACCCCGGTGGTGATTCAAAACCTTTACTAGAGGGTGTGTCCGAAATCAAGTCTTTAGCGGCTTTAAGATTATTTTTCAGCTCACTCTCACTTTTACACTATGAAAGAACATACGGGCTTGATAAGATTAATTATTCCGCGTGTCAAGACGATATATTACGCGATATTGTTGCTCATATCGGCAAATAACTAGATGGAATAGCACGAATAATATATTGCGAGGACTCTACAATAAATCTATAGGCTATCTTAGAATATACTAGTAAAGTTAAATAACACAATAAATATAAAATCATAGATCAAAGTATATCGCATACAAAGTGAAACATTCAAAATATGTGATTCTAGGTAGTCTCCTAAGCACGTTGAAGCATTTGGTAGTTCTTAAGAGGAGGTGGAGACTAGAATTTGTCATTGATTTTCAATGTTCATCATTGTACATTTGTTATCATTTTGTCATTTTTGTCACGTGACATATTTTTGACATATTTAGACAAAAACTCTTGCAGGAAATACACTTCCAATAAAAGGTCCCTTGGCCCAGTTGGTTAAGGCGTGGTGCTAATAACGCCAAGATCAGCAGTTCGATCCTGCTAGGGACCATTTATTTTTTTGTTTCACTTCGCTGCGAGTTTTAATAAATTTTTTTTTTTTTTAGTGTTTAAAAATACGCGTTCCAACTTCTGAAACCAATAGATTGCACAGATATACTTTCCTATTGTGAATCAACAAATATTAGTGATATGTCTCGTTTGAAGTCTTTTGACTTTGACGAGTCCATTACCAATCGAAGTAGTGCTTCGATCAAGAAGATGCACATGAGTAGCGATGAAGAAGATGTTGATGATTTGGAGTTTGATGACACCAACTTGGAAACACCTCGAAGTATCAAACGCGGAGTAAATAGTAGTAGTTCCAATACGATACATCGTAACTTCACTGTGAAAAACACGAGTATAAAAGTTCCACTTAATGATGAAGATGATGGTACTAATCAATCCGTGTCCGGTAGGAAACGTTCTATTGTATCGACACCATTAATAAAGTATCGTTCAAGGAATGGAACTCCACTTAGACAGCCACCAATTACAAGTGGTCATATTTCCAGCAATAATGAAGAGGTAGATCTAATCAGAGAGAGTAAACTAATTTCAGATGACAACAAGTTTTCCCCCAAGGAACACTTCAAGAACTTATCCTCGCCAAGAAAGAGTCCCCTTCGAAGCCGCAACAATAATGAAATTGTATGGCCACCAGCAAATCTAAAGATGTCTCCATTAGATTTTTCTAACGTAGGCAACGGGAATAAAGAAAAGAAAACTGAAGCAGTACAGATTCCTCGGGATATTGAGTTTGATGCATCTGACGGAGAGGACGTCAGCAAGAGAAACATCTCTACAAACTTCACTAGAGTACCCAGAGTCACCGAAGAACAGGCTTCCAAGGATGATCAAATCAATGGGATCGACTACGATGGTGAGAGCGACAGTCTGTCAGCTCATGAAAATGATATATCTCGAGCGGAAATTTTAGAGAAGATTAATGCGACAATTCAGTCCATCCGAGAAAGAGAGATGACAGAAAAGTCAAACACTTCCCGAACCAGTAGAAAATCTCCTGTGGTAATTGCTAGGTCAGGCTCTCCTGCAATCAGTAGTAATAAAGATAGGGAAGAAAGAAGCCCTACTCCTCAACCAAACCATAACGCACTCTTAGAATCTGCGTCCATCTCAGACAATGAACATGATTATGTAAACGAGGACATTTTAAATGAATTAGATTCATATTTACCACCACCTGACCCTCAACCACAATCTGAGCCTCAATTATTTCCTTCACTGTTACCAAAGGCTCCGGAAAATGAGTTAAATTCTCCACAAAGGGGGACTGATAATGACCGATTATCACAAAAATATGCTCGAAATATTTTACGTGGACGAAGAAAAACAGTTCTTGAAAAGGAAAAAGAAAAGGGAAAGGAGGCAGATTGGCCTGCTTATAAATGGTCCAAACTTCATAAGATCATAAAACTCAAGAAACTATCCATTGGTGATATTGTCAATAGCACACTCATAAGAGAAGGTCTTGGTGCTACACGACAGGAACTAGCCAGTCGTGCAAAGTTTCTTGTTGAGGTAGAAAAGAAACTAGAGCAAAACTCCAAACATACAAGAAAGTTACCACGTCGCCGAGGAAAAATAGGAGCTAAATCACCACTTATGACGAAGAAAAGGAAATAATTAGTCTTGGTCTTGTAATATTAGATGTACATGTATAGATAAAATGTATTATATTATCATTTAATTGCTTTTATATACCTATGCTATTCTCCCGTTAGACCTTCGTTAAAACACCTTGGAGAGGACGTCGTTCAATTTCGTATTTGGTTTAGCCCGTTCCTTAAGCTTATCGTCAGCGTCAGCACGAGTACTGGCAGTCTTACGTTGCTTAAACTGTCTTCTCATCTCAATATCCTTAGATTCAGTATCCACGCCTTGACTCTCGTCCCTAGCTTTACGTTTTTGTTGAATATTTTTAACCATCTTCGACTTTTCCACATTTGAAATGAAACTCTTGTTGAGTTTCTGTTGTTGAGACAGTTCCATGGACAACTTGGCTTGTCTGATCTCATTTTCTTTAGCAATTTGTTGCGTCAAATCAAACCATTTGAACCCGGATAAATATTTGATGTTCATGACATCGTCGTAGTAGTATGACGACTTCTTACCACCAATGATGTTACCGTTCATGCTAGCTTCACATAACTTAGCATCTTTCTTATTGACGTATTCCACCCAACCTTCAGTGAAGTTTTTCTTCTTATTACCCCCATACTTTACTCTTCTTTGGTAGATGGCAGTGTCTTCTGGCTTCAAAAAGAGACGGTCTATTTCCCCAAATCTTGAGAGAATCGATCTTAATTTAGCAGGCTTCATATAAGGTGGAATTCTTGAAAGGTAACACACTCCTGTCCGCTTAATTTTTTTCTGTTCTTGTGCAAGTTGTTCAGGAGTTAACTTCTTGAGTTTTCCTAATTTGGTTTTGGACTTCCCCATCGATTCAGTTACTGTGATGGTTTCATCATCTACTATGTGTTCATTATCTTCATCGTCTTGAAGCACATCGTCTTCATCTTCTTCGTCAGACTTCTTTCCTGGAGTGATACCCTTAAATATAGCAAATCTGTCATCCTCTACGTCATCTCCTTCCTTCTCTTCGTCTTCTTCGTCTTCTTCTTCTTCTTCTTCTTCTTCAGATTCTTCTTCATCTCGATGTACTGGTCTACTGATTTTAGACGCTATAACATTTTGACTTTCATCATCAGAGGATGCAAAATCATCTTCAGAGTCAGAGCCAGTAGGAATAATAGCTCTCACTTTCTTCCCCTTAGGGGTTCTTTCTACAACCATTTTTAATTTATACAAGATTATGAAGTGTATACCTCATCTCATCTTACCAAAAATATTCATGTTCATATTCAAAAATTAAAAAACCCAAGGTCACGTGAAAATATCAAAAATTATCTACATTATTAAAAGAAAAAAATGAGAGAGATCTCAGGTCCCAAGGGTGTATCATAGACTTGAGATATGAGTAAACTAATTTACACCTAAAGATTTTTGCAATAATTCTTGAAAAGATCTTGACCCAGATATTTAGTTGTGTAGTTTAGAATTGTATTGTCACTCTCCATGTATTAAAATAGAGTCCCCTTATCTAGATAAGGGGGATTGATGGACTATTCCAACAATTTGCGAACCAGATTCTGATTAAGAATCAAAGAAGAATTTTCACGATAAATGTAACTTTACCTTATTATAGATTATATATAAATGATGTCACTACACTATCTACGATAAGAAAGATGATTCACAATTTTGCATTTTATTTTCATCAAAAAAAATGCGGCAATCGGGTCTTCATTCCCGAAAAATTCCGCTTCCGCCTTATTCGAGATGCATTTATTTGAGCCCCCTCCACATTTGTACAAATGCTTTTATTTTAGTGGGACATCTACTTTAAAAAATATTTATTACCATCTGTTTCATATGGGGACTCAATCTTATACACGGGATCAAGATGGGATCTCTCTCCAATCGTTTGAAGGAGATTCTGTACTTCGTTCGAGAAAGCAAGGGGTGGCACCTGACAATGATGTCAAGGTTGTTACCGAAGCGATGTACACGAGCGAAAATAACCCTGAAAACATCCCAGATGGTGGGCTAGAGGCATACCTTGTAGTGTTTGGGGCCTTTGTCGGACTTATTGCTGATTTTGGAATTGCAAACAGTATGGGGGCAATTCAATCCTACGTTTCCACACATCAACTTCAGGGGGTAAAGGAAACAAGTGTTTCATGGATCTTCTCTTTACACTTGGGAGTGATGTACTTTTGTGGGGTATTTTTCGGTGCAGTGTTTGACATGTATGGGGCAAGAATTCCTCTTACTGCGGGCGGTATATGCATATTCTTGGGGTTGATGTTTACTGCAGAATGTAAGAGTGTTGGGCAATTTGTATGTGCCTTTGGTATATTAACAGCCATAGGTACTTCTCTTGCAATGCAGCCTTTGATTGGAGTCATTTCACATTGGTTTTTCAAGAAACGTGGGTTAGCTTGTTCTCTCGCAACAATTGGAGGATTGGTGGGAAGTTCGTGCTTTGCCATCATGTTGCAAAGTCTTTATGGTAAAGTAGGCTTCAAATGGGCGATCAGGATATTGGCTTTCCTTTGTTTGTTTTGTATGATGGTTTCTGTCATCTTAGTTAAGGAAAGATCCTCTTCAGAGGAACCACGAACTGTCATAGAAAATAGTCACCAGGAGGAAGAAAGCCGTCGTAGTAGCACTGAAGAACAAGTTGGAATTGTGGAACAATATTATTCAGAATCTATTGCCCATGAAGGTAAACATGATAAAAGGACTCAATTTATAAACTTTTTCCGTCAAGCAATGGATTTTTCTGTTTGCAAAGATTGGAGATTTGTACTTTTAACAATATCAGTGGCCATATCAGAACTTATATCTATGTCCACTCTTACATATCTTTCGTCATTTGCAATTCAACACAATGTTAGTGAGAGGTCGGCATATTTGTTGATTACAATCATTAATGCAACTGGTATTCCTTCAAGACTTATTCTGGGATTATTTGCCGATAAGTTTGGTCGATTTAATGTCATGATTGTGACTTCACTTCTTGTGACCATTAGTATCTTTGGTATCTGGCTTCCTGCTGGTGGGAATGTGGGTGCACTTTTCGGGTTTGGGGTTTTGTTCGGAATTTCTACCTCTGCAGTTATTGCACTTATCCCAGTCTGTTGTGGGCAGATTTGCTCTGCTGAAAACTTTGGGAAAGTTTATGGTACCATGTACTTTTTCTTATCTTTTATAACATTGGTTGGTATATATGTTGCCTCACTTGTAATCGGAGATGGTGAATCTCAAAATTATATCAATTTAGTTTACTATGAAGGAGCACTAGCAGTTGCAAGTCTTATCACTTGGACCCTTGCAAGATATTCTGCAGTTGGATGGAAATGGTGCAAATTTTAAAACTTATATATATACAATTACATTATCTAACAGATTCATTCTAACCGTAAATTTTCATATATTAATTAATAAGTATTTATTTCTTAGCATCAGTGGAAGCAGTCTTAGCACCTTCAGTGGCACCAGTGACAACTTCGGAAACGTAGGTAGCAGCGTTAACAACTTGTTCCTTAGCAGCTTCAACGTATTCAGAAGCGGTTTCAGCCAAGGTTTGTTCGTTCTTGTTAACAGCAGTCTTGGCGTCATCGTGACCGGTTTGAACACCATCAGCAACGGTTTGGGTGAAAGACTTTTGGTTGTCTGGGGTACCGGAGGCGGCAACCTTGTCAACACCACCAGTGACAGCTTCCTTGGCTTGGTCCAAGGTGGTCTTTTCAGATTCTGGGGTAACCTTTTCGGCGATCTTGTCAGAGACGTTCTTTCTTCCAAAGTCAGACATTGTATTAGAGTATTATTAGTATTAAGTGTATAAGTGTATCAAATTGATAGTGAAGAAAAAGAAAGAATAGACTTTGTTAAGAGGAAATGCGTCCTACTTATACCCTCGCAATCTCCATTCCCACTCGACCATGTATTTTTAGACTTTCGAGCTTATTGGCAATTCATATGCAATGGATCAATATTATTGCTACATAGCAATCATACTTGTGGCGCGGCATATGATTATAGTTTAAGTGTGTGGCAGCAAGACGCAAAGTGCGCGTACACACAGGATTCTACTACTAACCAATTTTTAGATCAGATAGTTCGTTAGCACCCTCCCAACCATTGCACGAACTTATAGTTGCATGCCTCGAAATTCTGCAGCATAGTGAGACCAATTCCTTTTTTAAGACATTCTTCGAAACTGGCCTTTTTATTCATAACTTTGTTGAATGTTTCTATTACAAGTACATTGTAGTTTATTAGTACAATAGCAATCATTCAAATACGCAGCATGGGTGTACGGATGACGTCACCTCGTATTTCCTAGAACCCCCCCACATCACTTATAAATCCGAGCTAAAAGCGGAACTCCATACTTAAAATGATGCCCATTTTTTTTTTTTTTTTCCAACTGCGCCATTCACTTTCTAGAAACTTCTCGGTTGTAGGCAATACCGAATTCTAAAACAGGATTGGGTACACGACCATTACGAACATGTAACATGATAAATTTCATTTCTAGAAGTGGGCCCATACTGCATAACCGACAAATAAAATACTTTTCTGCCTGGTACCGAAAAGCGGTATTCCTTATACACACACCCTTCTCAAATTTCTTTACAATTTTCATTAACTAGATTTTACCTTTTTTTTTACCTATTCTCTTGTTCTTTTTGTGACGAATTCTCATCTCGCCTGCATACAATCGAATATAGATTACAATTTTTTGAGTTTATACAAGAGATGCCTACGAAGTCTGTGAATATTCCAAGTAGATATAGAGATGGGTCCCAAAACCGTAACACAATCTCTAGATCAGAAGATCTACGATCTCATACACGCTCTTCTTGACGAGCAAACAAAGGAGAAGCAAAATTCGTTTTCCGATGGGACAGAGTTAGATCCATTTGCTCACATGGCCTTGGCTAAAGATTTGAGGACTTCTGAAGTTCTTGAATATATTCAAAGAAAGGACTTCAAGCTCCGTAGAATGAAGAGAGTGACTTTAGAAAAATCTATCGATGCCGTATTGAAGGTGTGTAGAGATGACGAGCAAGAAGAGTTTGGTGAATTAATGGCTGGATCTAAGGATGAAGAAGAGATGACTGTAGAGGCTGCTGCCAAGATTGACAGTGACTTTGAAGTAGATGAAAAGAACTTAATGGATGTTAAGGATTCTAATGCTTTGAATAAATCAGTAGTTTCATTGTGGAACATGGCACCAGGAAAAGATAAGCAAGGCGAGGAAGAAGAATCAGAGGCCAACAAGGAAGAAGTGACACCAGCACCTACATCAGATGAAGCTGCAAAGACCAAGAAAAGATCCAAGGATTCATCAAAGCAGCTCTTGAAAAAGCAAAAGAATAAAATCTCGCATACCCCTCCAACCACAACACTCTCATCTCTTGGGGGTCTTACAACTATAACTACTCAACTCATGGAACTTATTGGTCTCCCTATATTGCACCCGGAGATATACATGTCCACCGGAGTCGAGCCACCTCGTGGTGTTCTCTTATATGGCCCTCCTGGGTGTGGTAAGACCACGATAGCCAATGCCTTGGCTGGCGAATTGCAAGTTCCTTTCATTAATATTTCTGCCCCTTCTGTTGTCTCAGGAATGTCTGGTGAATCCGAAAAGAAACTTAGAGAGATATTTGAGGAGGCTAAGAGTTTGGCCCCATGTTTGGTATTTATGGATGAAATCGATGCAATCACCCCAAAAAGAGATGGTGGTGCACAACGTGAAATGGAAAGAAGAATCGTAGCACAATTGCTTACTCTTATGGACGAGTTAACTTTAGAAAAAACCGGGGGAAAGCCCGTAATTGTTATTGGTGCAACCAACAGACCGGATTCATTGGACTCTGCCTTGAGAAGAGCAGGTCGTTTTGATAGAGAAATCTGTTTGAATGTTCCAAATGAAGACCAGAGATGCTCTATCTTGGAAACTATGACCAGAACATTAAAAATTAACGAGTCTAGCGAAGTTCCATTCAACTTCCGCGAGCTCGCAAAGATGACTCCTGGATTTGTCGGTGCCGACTTGAAGAGTTTGGTCACTGCTGCTGGAATTGCTGCCATTAAACGTATTTTTGAAAGTATGAGTGAATTAGAAGAAGAAGCTCTTTTAAAGGCTGCACAAGAAACAGGTGGCGAAGATGAAATGGAAATTGATGGTGCTATTACGACTTCAGTCACCAACACTATGACCAATCTCTCAGTGGCTGCCAATTCATTCCAACGCAAATCAGAACATGAAAAGCTTTCTACTATCCAAAAGTTTTTAGTTAAGCATCCAAATACTTTGACTCCAGAACAACTTGCACCATTATCAATAGATTATGCCGATTTTATCACTGCTTTACCTACAATTCAGCCTACCGCTAAAAGAGAAGGTTTTGCTACTGTGCCGGATGTCACTTGGCAAAATGTGGGTGCCTTGGACAGAATCAGGATGGAGTTGCATATGTGTATTGTTCAGCCAATCAAAAAGCCTGAACTTTATGAAAAGGTGGGTATCACCGCCCCTGCGGGTGTTCTCATGTGGGGTCCACCTGGTTGTGGTAAAACTTTGTTAGCCAAAGCTGTTGCCAATGAATCAAGAGCAAACTTCATTTCAATTAAGGGTCCAGAGTTGCTTAACAAGTATGTCGGTGAGTCTGAAAGAGCAGTCAGACAAGTGTTCCAAAGAGCTCGTGCCTCCGTACCTTGTATCATCTTTTTCGACGAGTTGGATGCTTTGGTGCCTAGAAGAGATACATCATTGTCCGAATCTAGTTCTCGTGTAGTCAACACCTTATTGACAGAATTGGATGGTTTAAACGATAGAAAGGGGATTTTTGTAATTGGTGCAACTAATAGACCAGATATGATTGATCCTGCTATGCTCAGACCCGGTAGACTTGATAAAACTCTTTATATCGAACTCCCAACTGCCGAGGAAAGATTTGAAATCTTGAAGACACTTGTCAAAGCCAATGGAACTCCATTGGGTGCCAACGTTGATCTCAAGTCGATTGCAGAGGATGAAAAATGTCGTAACTTTTCTGGTGCAGACTTGTCGTCCCTTGTTCGTGAGGCCGGTGTGCTTGCATTGAAGAAGAAGTTTTTCAAGGGACAACAAATTAAAGAATTGGATGCATCTGGTTACTACTCTGAAACAGACGAGCCAGATGGAAACGATATAGAAGTCACTAATGACGATTTCCGCATGGCACTTGGTAGCATTCATCCAAGTGTTAGTGACAAGGATAGATCTAAGTATGAAAGACTCAACAAAAGAATGGGGTGGAGCATAATCCAAGAACCGGAAAATGAAGAGAAGAAAAAGGAAGAGGTAGCATAGATAATAGATTAGATATAATACAAATAAACTTATTTTATAATAATCTTTATTTCTATAAATAATACAACATTATTCACGACGATAAAGAAAAACGTATGTTTAAAGCCCTAAATAAACAGAACGAGTTAGGCACCAAGGCTAAGCTCCGTGCTAGCCCTCTTATTTATTCTTCTTTGTAGGGGCAACCGTCTTGGAAAAAGTGATTGGGCCCAAATACTTTTGCAAAGCACCCTTGAAGTGAACCAAGTATGCATCCTTGACACCTTGTGGGATGATTTGCAGTTGTGGACTGTACAAGAATTGGGAGATACGAAGGTCCCAAGAGTCAACCACTGTACGGGTGTACTTGTTCAGGTCGTATCTGAGCTTCAAGAAAACAACAACAGTAGCAAAAAGCCAGAGGTTAGCAATTGCAGCGACTGGAGCACGGAAGAGTCTGAATGGGGTGAATGGAATAGTAAAGACGAAACTTGAAAGAAGCAACAATTCAGCATTCGCAGCAACCATCAAGGCAGGCTCATTGTAGGATGTGGTGAATGTGTTAATTCTAGAGTTAATGGCTTGTTGCTGGGACAAACTAGTTGGTAAAGCACCAAGAATGTTGTTTTGGAAGTATGTCAAAGCATGGAAAAGGGAAAAGATTGTGAATGAATAAAGGGCACCTGAAACCGCACCAACAGAACCTGAAACTAAAAAGAAAGTCAAGGCCAACCAAAAGTAATGGAAGTTCTCATCTTTCAAAAGATTCTGTTTGAAAGTTGGAGACTTGATGGAGTCTAAAGTTTTAAAGTGAACTTGACGAAGGACAATTGTGTAGGTTAACAAAACAGACAACAAGGTGAGCTTATAGTAGAAAAGGGACAGCGAAAAGAAAGACTTCACAGTGTACATGACAAACGAAAAGAGTACTGAAACATGTCCCACGTACCAGTAGAATTGCTGGGTCTTCAAGAGTGGGACAATGGTGTTAGTGAATGTTTGTGGCTTTAAAGTCTTGGTCTTTGGTGGCATTTCTGTTGGTGTTGAGAATGAAAGAGATCAGTGCTTTTGTAAGGGGCGACTAGTCTCAAATAGTGAAAGATCTATCAGAATCATTTTTTTCTTTTTTGATAACGAAATAGCAATGTACAGGTTGCCTAAGTGGTTTTTGTGTAATATTCCAGCATCATATATTTCTAGTTGTTACATATTACAGCAAGCCAAGTTTAACTAGGTCAAGTAACCAAGAAAACGAGGCTGTGAATCGCGGCAGAAGCAATCAGGTAAATTGCATTGATTTTTTTAGAACCTTTCACTTTTCTTCTCTATTGAAATAACTAAAAGTGAAATGTTTTTCTTGATTGGATGTGAGTATTAATATAGAAAGAGAAAAGCCCCTCCTAGTTCTACTAGATATGCTTTTCTTAAGGGGGTCCCTGCATAGGCTAAAAAAAAAAAAAATCCTACCAGCTCTCTAAACACCGTGGAACAGGGCAGTGACCATTTACATATTGAGAGAGAGAGAAAGAGGAGGTATGGGACATATTGAATACTAACAGGCTTATAGTAAAGGAATTTAACAAGCCGCTCAAAGAAGGCGGGAATGTTAGTTGTTACTGTGGTAATTGCCACAATCAATCGGCTCATGCCATTAGAACTATAAATTGTGTCAGTTTATTTTTCATTCCGATACTTCCGTTTTACTTTTCCAAAAGATTGAAATGTTCTATTTGTGGGGCATCTGCGGACATCGACTCAGGCGCAATTTCACGTTTAAAGAATGGGCAGCCAGTAGCCATACTGTGAGGCAGCGAGGATACATGTATAACGAAGTAAATCATACTATTAGAACTATCTAATACAAATTATTCAGGTAAATGAATGAATAAAAGTTGTATACAAATACATATATAAGACCGGTACGTTACTAGTGTTGGTGATGGGAAGTAGGGTTTGTTGCGGTGACGACCACTACTTTGAATTTACACCTCCTCATCGTAACAGCTACCGATTTAGAATATATGCCGTAGGCATAAAGAGATTTGCCAATTATCTAATTTCCTATTGGTGATATTATATAAAACATACACGCATATTATTTTGCTCTCTATCACTGATTGGTGATCAATTTGTTTACAAATTTACGAATTAATAAATGTGTGATTAAAAAGTACAAATGAAATGCAAAGTGAGGCAGCCGTCTTCTCCAGGATTTTCATGATCATTTAGTTGCCTGTAGTTACCAAATAGAACCAAATTCCCATACCCCCACAATTATAATTTCAAAAGTAGAAGTCCAATAAAATGGCGTGGTCCGGGATAGTAATAATCGTGTAATGATAGTACCTGAAACTCAGTGTTATACCTACATCAATCAGCTCATTCTTTTATCACAAAGAATATCAATTAGTACGGCATGGAGTGGCGTTATTTACATTTTCTAAAATTCTTTTACTTTTCTGGCCTGTTTATAACCCGCAACGGCTTTTGTACGCCAAAACGGAAAACCCGATTCAGCCGTTGCTGCAAATGACCACCAACATTTTCTCCGTCAGAGCCGAAACTACATCCTGGCACCACTGTCGTAATTAATAAGCATCTAATAAAAGTCATACTTGGGGTATATAATAGGAGTGTAGATTCGTACAAATCTGTAGATAGAATTCATTCTCTACCGACATTAATAATAAAACATTAAAACTAATATTTAACACTAATACAATCAACTAACAATGTCTGCTATTTCAAATTTTTACGCTCGTGCTGGAAACAACGTCCTCGAGATTAACCCACCTTCTGATCTTGTTGATATTCATATCACGAACCATGGTTCAGATTGGCTTTGGGCTGCATTCTCTGTCTTTTCCGTATTCACTTTAGTTCATTCATTTATCTTCGCTTTCAGCTCTTCATCCAATAGAGTCTTGAAAAAGGCTCTTTTTGTTGGACCTTTGATCACTAATTTTGTTATGGCTATTGTGTATTTCACCTATGCTTCAAACTTGGGTAATGCTGGTGTACCTGTCGAGTTCCATCATGTTACAACTTCAAAGGGTCTTGGTGTTCGTCAAATGTTCTATGTCAAGTTCATTGGGTACTTTTTATGCTGGCCATTTGTTTTATACTCCATTGAGGTAGCCACCCATACTTTGGATCTCTCTTCAAAGACTTCCGCAGGAGAAACTATTTCTGGATTCATTTCAATTATTTCAGGTTTGTTCATTAAAGTATTTGCAACTGAAGTTTTTGTATTGGGCTTGTTAATCGGTGTCTTAATTGAATCTACTTATAAATGGGGTTACTTTACGTTTGGTGCTGCTGGTTTAATTTTTGCAATTTCTTTGGTTATTGGATCTTTGGTACATGCAACCCGCTCTATCAAGACTAGCAAGTTTGCCATACTTGTCATTAGTGTGGAATTAATTGTCTGGATTTTATACCCAGTTGCTTGGGGTTTGTGCGAAGGTGGAAATGTAATTCAACCAGATTCCGAAGCTGTCTTCTACGGTGTACTTGATTTGATCACTTTTGCAGTAGTTCCAACAATTTTAACATTCTTGAATGCCTCTGGATTGGACGAGAACCATCTCCTTCACTTTCACTTGCGTTCTCAATATTCTAATGAAAAAGTTGCTAATTCTCCAAGAGAAAGTGGTGATACTGCAGTTCCTCCATCTGCCAACCCAATCGTTGCTGATAATGAACCTACTGAGACTGTCTAATATAATACCCTTTTGCTATTCTATTCTTTGCTAATGAATGTTTCTTTTCTTGAAACCCCTTCCTTAAATTGAAATTGTTCATATTTTCAGATCCTAATACTTTAATAAATACATTGTTTTACAAATTATGAAGTATGCATTTATAAGTAGTCTATATAATGAAGAAATTATTCACTAAATCGATATACTACATTTTAATTCTAAAATGCTTTCTTAGAAGTCGATAAGTCTCATTGTAGCATAACCAACCGACACAATAATTAAGTATGCAATAAAAGAACTTGGAACACCTCTGGTAATAAAGGTGTTCACTGTCAAGTAAGGTTTTCCAAACTCGTCGGTCATACAAATAGCTGTAACATTAGGGAATCCTGAAGTTGGCAAACCCATGGCTGCAGAGCACAACAAGGCACTTGCCATAATAAGCAAGTTTGGATGAGGATTTGGCATGTTGTTTCCAATCTCAGATACAAGTGGGATAATGATAAGAGCTGCAACTGTGTGAGAAACAAATGTGGCCATTGTCAAAATAAGTAACCCAAAAGTCAAGGTGACTCCAAAGAGAGACAATGATTCAACTTGGTGTTGAATAGTAATCGCAATGGTTTTCAACAAACCCGACGATGCAACGGCCTTTCCTAAGGCAGTACCACCCATGGCCAAAACTACGATGTTCCACGGGTAATTGTTGAAATCTTCTGTTGAAAGTAATCCAGTTCCAAAGAAAATAATGATTGGCAAAAGAGCAATGATACCCATTTCTCCAAACAAACCTTGTAATCTCAGGGCAATACACCAAAGGAAAATAGTTCCGATAGAAACACCAGAAATGAACCATTGCACACTAGTAAACTTATCATCGAGAACTCTAATAGGCACAAGTTGAGTACTTCTAGATGAACAATTGAATGTAGCAAGTAAAAAGAGCCAAATGAGTAAAAGAGAAAGTGCACAAACAGGAAGTGCAATTACAAACCATTGTCCCCATGAAGGAGCAGGATCCATTGCACCAATAGCAATCATATTCTGAGGGGATGCAATAGGCAGGGCCATTCCTCCTACATTGGAGGCCAAAGCAATCCCTAAAATCAATGCATTGGTGAATTGAGAACCTCTTGGGAGTGTTCTAAGAAGTGGTTGGATAAGCGAGAAACACAACACTGGTGCCGCAACATTGGAAACCCACATTGAAGCAAAAAGAGCGACACCCATGATGGTCAAAAGAACAATTGAAGGGTTGGTACCAGCCTTTGATAAAATCCAAGTAGATATCAATTTAGCAATATGATACTTCGAGAGAGCAGCTGCCAATGTGAAACCACCCAACAATAACAAGATAACAGAATTCCACATTGTTGAGAGGATATATTTAGAGGCTGCTTCAGCTTCCATAGGCGTACCATTATCATTCTTCAAGATACCACAACTAACAATCAACATGGGAATCAAGAGTGATGTAACAAACAATGGAATAGTCTCAGAAGCCCAGAGTAAAGATGCAACAATCAATAGAGCGAAGCAGTGTTGCTGTTGTCTATCATCGAAAAACGACAAGTTTAAAAGTAAAATAAATACGGCAGCAATAACCAACGCCTTTATGACTCGTGGGTTTTTGATAGACATATTCAATGATGTAGCAGATTTTCCAGAACCATTTTTTTCATTCGCACCATCTTTACCTCGTTGACCACGGGAAATGGCATTGGAGTTAGCTGCTTGCGTCTTACGTTCCATACCGATCATATCTCTCCATACAGTGTTTCTTTCCCACACAACGTGTTCTCTCAAGTGAATAGAAAGTTCCGATCTTGCTGTTTCGAGATCTTCACCATGGTTACAAATTAAGGCGTAAATTTTAGTCAAAGACTCAATATACTCATTGACTTTACTGATAACAGCAGGCTGGAAAATATAAGTGGTTTCTGGAAGCTTTTGTAAGTATTCGTCTTTGATATTAGTGTTAAGTGACTTGTCAAACTTTTTCAAGGCCTTCTTGAAACCTGTCTGGTTGAGTTCAATATATGACTTGAGCTCGGATAAGGTGGTGAACATATTAATAACACGCTTTCTGAGAATAACTCTAGTTTCTGACAAAAGAAGCAACTGTGCTGGGAGACTATCATTGCCCCACGCAGCTTGCACTCTTGGCGATTTGAGGAAATTGTCAATCGACTTCATTCTAACCAACGGCGTTGATTCAGCCAGACGATGTGTATTCACTTCGTTATCTTCCTCCTCTGCCTGAGTTTCTGGGTCGGTGACAGTATGGTAGTTATCAGAGGTGTCCGAGCCTGCCCGTGCCCGGTGCCCCTTCGTAACTCTTCTGTCTAATGAGAAGTTTTCAAGGTTTGAGTTGTTAGGGGTATGAAGCTCATTTTCAAAGGATTCAATATCAGCCACAAGTTCTTCTATATTGGTGTAAATGAATTGTTCTTGACTCTTATAAAAAGTGTCAATTTTGGCTAATTCTGCATCCAAGGCAGCAATGAACACCTCGGAAGGATCGTTATGTCCAGCTGGAATACTGGTGATGGCGCTATTACTATTTCCAGAGTAAAGCAACGATGTCTCCGCATCCTCATTTTGCACCCTTAAATCGTCTCTTTGAAGTGAATAGATGAGCTTTTTGAGTGTAGTATAAGCTATGTACTTGGAAGACCACTCAGGGACTGCATTAAATTGCAACGAATGAGAAAACTTCATATTTTCTCCTAGTCGTGACAAATAATCTGAAAGTTTGAAGAGTTAAACCTCTGATGTACTCTTACAAATCACAGAAATACCACAAAGTAAGCTGGAGGGTGCTTTATATATAATAGTGACTCTCTCCTTATTACAGTCTGAGATTGTTCCTCGATCATTGGTGTATACACGCCCATTATCTATGTTACCTGTTTTTTTTTTTTTTGTTTCTTTTTGTTTTTTTTGGCCCTGTCGTTGCCCGAGAAGTAAAGTAATTAATGAATGATTGAGACTATAGATTTTGTACACCTATATGGTTTCCAACTCTCTGGTACTTCTTAATTAATTAAATGGCTCGATTTATGTAAGTGGGCACTTCAATCTTAATGTTCTTAGCACGCTGAATAAGCTTTTGATGGGATGATTTGGTTTGGAACTTGATATCCACGTGCGACTTATTGTTGTTCAATACGCTCGTTCTGGCTGTTTCTTGTGTAGTATTCTTCATAATTTTTCTGTGAAAAGTTTAGGCTATATACTTTAAGCACATGCGCATAAGAGAGATAGTTGAGGAGCTGACATCTTCAGAAGTAAATTGAACCCATACGGAAATTTTGCAATTGTACCACTTTATTTTGCTATAGGATTTATTCCCGTGGGTGTACTGATGCGTCAAGCCTATTGTAATGCATAGAATATTTTTTGTACATAGATATTGAATAAATTATAAAAAAAAATTAATTAATTAAAGGAAGGTGATTTTATCCCTTCTTACATGAGAATGATTCACGTTACAATATTAGGTGTTATTGTTTATTATTCCACAGTGATTTAATGGTAAGCAAAAATGCACGCGATATTTAAATGTTCTAAAAATAAAATACACGACAACTATATTTTGCTACAAAGGAAGCTATCCGTTGAAGTTGTATTATCTTCATTCAAAAGACGTCTGCAAGTCACCCCCACACAGGCAAGACCTTACATGGAATGACCCTTCCACGGAAAACTACTTTGAGAAGAGGAAATAAAAAAAACACAAAAGGCATAAAAAAAACAGCTCAACAATTAATGTCATCATTCAATTTAAATGAATTTGGTTTCAGAAAAGTGTATTTTATCTTATGATCACGTCAAAATATTGAATTGTAGACTTTCTATACCCCTCTTGCCCCCCACGGAGTTATATGATGGGACACCCAACTTTCTTGGAATCTTCGGAAATCTTGCGAAAATAAGAAAACTTATCTAGTCGTGTTCACACCAGTTCGCGCGGACTTCTTCGGAAAGATTGCGAAAGTTTCGGCTATCAATTGCGAGTGGGGCAAACCATTCTATTCAAATAGCGCCCCGTTTTTGTATGTCCATCTGGATTCAATTGACTGATCTTATTCATCGAACTACTTCTAGGAGCCCACCACCATTGCCTCCTGCTACTGCAAACTCAGTGCTCGAACAAATTATTCGCCACTGGACTTCACAAACCCCTCGTCAAAAGCAAACTGCGATACTTGGATCAGCTCTCATTGCTCTAGCATACTATATTTTAGCTCCGTCTTTATTTCCTCCTTCTGAACAAGAGCGCGCCATGTTTACCAAAAGACCAGATAAGCACACTACCGGACTCATAAACTTGCGTAATGACTGTTTTGCCAACTCTTCCCTTCAGGCATATCTGTCCTTACCCGGGCTTACCGATTATTTGAATTCTTTCATTGATTCCTTCCACCAATTACAAAGCTTGTCTCCTCAAACTGCTAAAGAAGATTACGCTGTAGAAACAGAAGGTGAAGATGCTTCCAAAGAAAAGGGACGTAATAAGAAACCTACTGTGTTTGGTATTCCCCTTCATATCGCTCTTGCTCGTATCATGAAGAAATTGCAAGATACTCAAATGACTACTAGAACAGTGTCAGTGTGGACATTTCTCCATGAATTGGAGACTATTTTCCATGCAAAGATTTCTCGTTCTCAGCATGATGCCCATGAACTCACCCAGTTGATTAATGAAACTTTAGAAAATGAAAACTTAAGGGTTCAAAAACGGTTGAAACTGTTATTAGCTGACAAACTGGTAAGTCCAGTTTTGGTAGAACAACTTGAATCCTTGGAAATTCCAGAATTCCCTCTCAGTGGCCTTATCTTAACCCAAATGGTTTGTCTTACATGTAAGCATGTACTGAAACCATCATTCAGTCCATTTCTCATGCTTACCCTTCATACTCCTGAGAAAGTGTCTACTGATTTGGATAAGATTTTAGATGAAAATGAATCTGAAACCATAGATGGGTATCAATGTTTGAAATGTAGATTGCAAAGAATTGTGCAGAATGAAGAGTATGCTAAAAGAAGTGAATTTGAAGAAGGGGAACAGGAATATCTTTCCCAAATTGCATCTCTCAACAATGATTCACAACTCAGTATTAATGAAGATTTATCTGAAGGTTTGGAAAGTTATGTCAAGTCATATAATAAGAATGGCACTGATATTAGTATGGTTACATCGACTGTATTGAGGAAGAATCTTATCCTTAAACCTCCAAAGATTTTCGGTATTCATTTATCTAGATCTTCATTTGATGGTGTTAGCGCTACTAGAAACGCGTGTCGTGTTTCTTTTAAAGACCAAATGACTTTATCTATTGGTAAGGAATATTTTGAAGAATTAAAACAATTTCAAAATGCTGCCAGAGATGATGAATCCGATGCTATTATCAAATCTAACGTGTTGACCACAGATGTAAACGATATGGAAGATGAGGACGTTCAAAGAGAAGATGTGGATGAAAAAGGTGAAGAAGATGAAGATGATTCAGAAGTCACCAGCTCCAGTGCCACCGAAGGTGAGGAAGATTTGGATGGGGATGAAACCGATTCTGATGCATCTTCTTTAACTTCTCAAGAATCCATAAGTGAATCTATTGCTACCACCGCTACACTCAAGGGAGGTTCAACTGCACCACCACTGGTGTTTTCTAGACAGACCGCCAAAAAGCCGGTAGAAACATTGAATAATGCACCAATTACTGAGGATCAAACGGATGATTTGAAGGAACACTTTAAAAGTTTTAAGTTTAATGAAAACGATGTATATAAGTATAAGCTTAAGGCCTTGATTAGACATCAAGGTTCGCATACACAGGGACATTATGAGTGTTACAAGAGAAAACCACTCTTTGTCAAGGATAAAGAAGGAAACATTTTCAAGCTCTCTCCTGAAATTTCTGATGAATCGATTGAAGATGGAGTTCATTGTTCTGTTTCTATAGAGAAACCTGAAGATGTAAATTCTGCTGCGGGCAAGGAAAACGAGTCTTCTAAAAGAAGTAATTCTGTTTCGCTGGAGGAGCATTTGAAGTTTCATAATGCAATTGAAACTGGGGATATCAAAGGTATTGGAGGAACACCATTCCGTCGTAAGCTTTCTAATATGATGGGTAGACGTCCTTCAATTTTCCAAGCGGACCCACAAGACATCCATGAAATCATTCACTCGGGTCTCACCACCCCTGCTGAACTTCTTATTGAAAACCCAGAGCCAGACTATTTCTCGGCAAGACCAAGTGCATTTGAAAAGAAAAATGTGCAAGAAAAGGAAAGAGTGAAAATGACCAAAATTCCATCATTAATTAAAAACCCATATTGGAGAATCAGTGATTCTCAAATCACTGAGGTTTCCCGTAGTGCCGTTCTTTGTGAGACTACCAGTGTATATATGCTTTACTACGAGAGAGTGGACAGAAAGCAAATTAAGAGTAGGAGATAAATTAATAGATTGAATAGTACAATGTATATTTATGATTAATTGTGTTGTAAAGCACTAGCGTAGTTTTGTGGAGTATTAAAGTCGCGACAAAAGCAGCTAGAAAAAATATGATAGTGTGCTTTGATGTACAACATGAGTCTTATCTAATTACCAGCATTTTTCCGAGAAAAAAAATGGCGCCAAATAGTTTGTTCCCAGCTCCTAGCTCTGCTCAGAGAGTTTCAGGTAGTGGAGATGGAACGGCGGGCTCGCAGCGACAACGCCAAAAGGTGGTGCTTCAACCGGGACATTCGCCGTTAGATTGGGCACATTTAAATAACACCAAGCCGAAACACGAACTACGTGGAGTGGCGCCAAGTGCTCCTCCGCCACAATACACAAGAGTGAGCAAAGACGAGCTTAAACAGCATAAGACCCTCACTGACTGCTGGACTTGCATAAACGGAAAAGTGTTCAATATAACGCCTTATGTTGATTTCCACCCTGGTGGAGTCGATGAGATCATGAAATGTGCTGGTAGAGATGGAACTGCCCTCTTTAATAAGTACCATAGCTGGGTGAGTGCAGATAGAATGCTAGAGAACTGCTTTGTAGGTTTCATAAAGGATAATTAGGTTACGGTGGGATGAGAGCTGTGGTGGCTCGCTATAAACATATATTTATTCTAGATCATGGCGGGGTGAGTCTATTCTCTTACAATAGACTTCGTTTTCCACGACTACACAATCAAGCGTCCAATCATGCGCTTCAGTTGGAAGTTCATCTACCAACTGTACTTTTAAACCAACGCCTATTAAGTACGGCAATTTACCAAATTTCTCGAAATATACACTTAGAAACTCGTCATAAAATCCAGCTCCATGTCCAAGTCTTTTCCCCTCTTTTGTAAATGCAACACCTGGAACTACAATTAAATCAAGATTGCCTTGTTCGAGGGCATCTTTTCCATCTACAGGTTCAAGGAGTTGATACTTCCCTTGTGGTTTGAACAGTAACACCTCTTCGTATGACTGTACTTCCAACATTGACAAATAATTCTTTTTGCGCCCAACGCACGGTTTGAAGTTACATTTAGGTAAGTATACTTTCTTTCCGGTCTGGAAACTCAGCTCCACCATTTGAAGCGTTTGTACCTCCAGATGTGGCATGTTCATATATAGGGCAACAGATTTGGCATTTTGAAAAGCTGGTACTTTCTCTAACGATCTACGTACGTTCATAGATTGACGCAAGAGTTCATCCTGTGTCACCAATTGTAACTCCTTTTTAAGTGCAGATCTTAGAGCAGCTTTTCCAAGAGCCATGTTTTTCTTTTGTACAGTGGAGGGTGAGAGTGAAACAATTGTTGAGATAATTTTACTCCACCTCAACATTTTGTGTTTATTTTCATTTTCTCAATTTTAAAAAACTTCTTACTCCACAATTAGAAATACTTAATAAAATAACGAAAAAATATATGTATTAATTAATTGCAAGACATCTACTCTTTGCTAACAGCAATAACCTTCTCATCAAATCTAACAGACTTTCTTCTTTCTCCGTTGTAGTTTGTTGGGATATCTAACTCGATACCTTCTCCACCAACCTCTTCCTTGGCAGATTTCAACATGTCTCGAATTGCAGCCTTGTCCTTTGGTCCACTAGAGCTGGACTTACGACGTTGTTGCGATTGTAAGTCATCCTTACACTTTTGACACCCACAAACAAACCCCCAGTTGACCCTAAGTTCACGTTGTCTTTGTTGCACGGTGTGGGCTGGGTTTACGTAAGTAGTAGTAAGTTCTTCACCGGATCTAATATCACGGGCGGCAATGACCTTGAGACCGTCCAGTCTATTGGTGAGTGACGTTTCGACACTTGTGTTTGGATCACAGTTATGATTTAAGTGGGATTGAGTAAGGTAGATACATGAGTCCAAGTTGTTGATATTGTAGGTACCCATCATGTACATAAACTCTTCATAAGGTAAAAGACCTTCTTCAGTAGCAACCGGGAAAACCTTAGTAAACTTCTTATAACCTTCTTTCCAAAGTTCTTCTTGTTGTTCTTGCACAAACAAGGCTCCACCCAGGAAGTTATCAAAGGCACCAGCAGATGAATCAATAGCTTTGTATCTAATCGCTTGTGAGACTCTAGCCATGGCTTGGAATTGTCTTCCCTTGACTCCACTTTTATCGGTGATAATGCTAGCAAAAATTATTGTAATTGCATATAATGCATTCCATTGTTCCTTTTCGGAATAATCTTGAAGTTCTAAGAAGGCATTTGCATCAATTGCCTTCTTTTTACCACTACTTCCACGAGCATTTGGATTGAAAACATTATGTTTCAATACCCCATGTAACGTGGAATCGGCTCTCTTACATGCTTGCAGACACCACATTTCTGCACAAATGTTACAATCCAATCCTTTCAAGACGGATATACCGGCATGCGCTGGGTTTTGTTGTAAAAGCTTCCCACAGTATGCACATGCCTTTCCTGAATGAATCAATTTCACAACTGATAAGGGTGGAACATTGAAAAGTTGACTCTCTTCAAAAATAGTCTCACCCTTGGCAATCTTGGACTTGGCATACAATCCCTTACCCCTCTTCCCAGTTAACACAATCATCACCTTTGGTGGGAGCTCGATATCAGGAGTGTAAACTGATTTGATTTCATTGGCATACGTAAATTGTTGGCCACCTGCGTTGTTTGTGAGTAAACCAAACTTTTTCAACAAAGTCTTGACACGTTTCTCTGAAACAGACCAATTTGGGTGTTCTTCCTTGACTAAACCATGCAATTTCCCCACTCCAAGTGATTCGGTAGATGGATCTTGTTTCCAAATGGCGATTACTGCATCGACGATTTGACGTTCATGAGGTACTTCTGGCTCAGTTGATTTTGCTTCAAAATCGTTAATAGTGATAACTTCGGTTTTCTGGGTCGGTATTTCGCTTGCTGTCATATCAGGTTTGTTGGTACGAATAGAATATGGGGGCGATATCTGGTACACGACAACAATTTTTCTCTTACATATGCAAATTTCCTACTTTTTTTTCTATCTCCTTCTTTTTTTTTTTTTTTTTTTTTTTTTTTACAGCCGTTGTGATCACAAGAGCAAACTTGACAGCTACACAACCACAAACTCTCACAAACTCTATAACTAGATCATTTCACATATATAGTTAATACATTGACATTAGACATAAACAACTTTAAAACTTCCACCAGCTCTTGTTTCCTTCATTCAAACGTTTCAGCTCTCTTCCTGTGTCAATCAAGACTGCTTGACTTTTGACCAAAGTATTTCCCTTTTGAGACTCGATTACACTTTCCAAACTAATTTGCTTGTTGCCATCACCTTCACCTAAAACTGGCTTTGTCTTGATAATCAAAAATTGATTGGCAAAACTTGGATATTTATAAGATATAGATAAATTTTCAACCTTGAAATCTCCCTTCACGGTAGACGTTGTTGAGCTCGAAAGTGAAGCATTTCTCTTGAATGTTTCATTGAGAATTGTGGCAAGAATTCCTCCATGAACTAAGAAAGGATATCCACATAATCTGTAGCCTACATGCAATATAGTTACTCCTTCATTGGTATCAGTGTTATGGAAAATAACCGGTTCTATGGCAAACCCCCCTTTTTGCGCCAATGTAGTTGTGGTGAGGGATTTTCTGCCGTATTCTTCCTCCTTCTTGGTCTTATACTCTTGATTTTCTAAAATGTTTCTATCCAAATTCTCCCATGACTTTAATTGAACCCATTTCTCATTTGGTTTAGGGTGTGCCAATCGTTCATAAATCGGTAAATTTTTAAGTTCATATGTCAATCGCATTGGTAATAAATCATCATCTTCACTAGTATCCGTGACCTTGGCATAAAATTCAAAAAGAGTCTCGTTGTATGCCAATGCTGCCCCAGTGATAAAGAAAAAGGTGGTGGATCTCCAACTTATCCAAGGTTTTGGTCCTCTTTTAGGTAAATGATCAAAGGGTGAATCAAAATGTGACCGAGTACCATAGTTTCTTATCCTAGGTATACATGTAGACCTAAATGAAGTGTTAAGACGTCTAATTGGTCCTCCGGAATAAATATTTGAAATCATTTAATTCTATTATTGTCTCCCCCGTTCTCTCCTTTTAGTTTTATTATACCTTTATAACTAATTACTTTTATGTGTTCTGGTTTATGCACGCTTGGTCGCACTTTAATAGTGGGGTTTGCAAAAATAGTTCAATTTAAATATCTCTTCATTGTTTATTGTACCACTTCTTGATATTATCCTTAGTTTAATTAACGACAGTGTTTGATATTGTATACATGTTGTAAATTGTCGTGCTTTGTTTTTTTTACTCTTCATTTTTGTTGAAGTCATGGAATCTCAGACTCACATCACGTGAAAGTTCATATAGACGCATAAGTATATGTTAAACTAAGTTAAAGTGTCGTCGGTATTCACCAGAGTTAATTAAAGAGGTTCCCTTATTTATCTTTCTAAGATTTATAAAAGATTGTTCAAATAGGGCTGAAATATGGAGCTATAACCACTTAATGAGAGAGTTCTAGTATTCAGAGTTTAGGTCTTTCAAGTACAACTTGAACTTGGCAAGGTGCCAAACTATTGTTGAACATTTAACTCGTGGAATAAATTATTATCTTCTGCTTTTAAAAGATTTCCCTATCCTCCATTCCCGTATATTTAGATATAAACGTTTCCTCTGTAAACGGCAACCAAGGGAAGGGCTCTTTAGCATTATTATTATTATTATTATTATTATTATTATTATTGGTTCGTTCCTCTAGCTCATATTACAAATCTATTTATCTACTGGGAGTGATATTTATAAAAATAGATTATATGGCGTACACGGAGTACACCCTTTTTGTTCACTCGTCGAAGGACGTATGGTGTAGTATTGCTTGTACGTTTCAATATTCTTTCTCCACCTAGTAAATTCATTGTGGATTAGCGGAATCATCTCCCAACATACATTCTTACCTTGATCGAGGAGCAAGTCATACTACCTTATGGTCTAATCGAAGAATTATTCTGCTCTAGAAAGAAAATCAAAATATTTACAAGCATATCTTGAGAAGTCATTCTTTCTATGGATAAACACATTGCCAAAAGAAGATGTTACCAGTTAAGTTTATTCTTCGAATCTCGATGGGATTGGGAATTTATACACTGAGTATTGAAATCTGGAGAGGGTATTTTATTAAGCGCAAAGATTCAAGAATCAAGCATGATACTCGACTACAATTTATAAAACAATGTACAAGAGAAAATTTAATAAAGGGGTAGATTTTGATTTGGAAGTCTTGAAGTTTCCTACTTGTTTATCCACATATTTGGGAACAGGAGAAACTGACTCAAGAAACAATAATTGAAAGCTAGTGCATATATATACATATATATATGTAACGCGCACGCCATGGAACATAGCACCAGATATATTCTGCGAAAACATCATAGAAATAAAAATATTTGCAATCTCACACATTGTAATCCCTATCCTTTCAATCAAATAAAAATTCTCTCTTTGCACGTTAACACTTTAAGAAATCTACCTCGATTTAGTTACTAACTCTAATTTTTTTGCATTAACTCTACCGTTTTGGGTCTATATATATGTTGATACTAATTATTAGAGTGAAGCGATTGATCGAATGCAATTTCTTGATGTTGTGAATTTATATAATGATCTTGTCCAATGGATATGAATATATAAAATAGCACTTACAACAATGGGAGGTTTTCCTCTCTTGTTCACAGATTTAAAAAGGTCACTTTGTGATACCCGCTTGTATTTGTGGTTTATCACAATCACAACCTTGACTTATATTTTTCTCTTATTTTTAAAATTTTATACACTCTTTTCTTTTTAGAGTATCCACAATATCAACTTTATATTGATATTCACTAAAGGATCATCATATTTTCTAAGGGGTTACCCCTTGAGGTTAATATGGTTAATTGGTTATACAAGTTTTCCAATTTAAAACATGCTACTGGTTTGAGAAAATGTTAACTATTTAAAATACTTGGACTACACAAAAGATACAAGTACACAATAATAGTTAATTTGGTTGATGCTGGTTTAAAAGATAAAGATAAAGATAAAAGGTTATAGATTAAAAATTGAAAAAAAGAGAAGACGAAGAAAATTAAAAAGTATAAACAAAAGTATAAACAAAAGTATAAAAACAAAAGATATAAAAGATAAAGATATAAAAGATAAAGATAAAAAAGATAAAGATAAAAAAGATAAAGATAAAAAAGATAAAGATGAAATAGATAAAGATAAAAAACTACAATCAAAGTATAAACAAAGTATAAACAACGTTAAAGAAAAATTAAAGAAAAGTTAAACAAAAATTAAACAAAAATTAAACAAAAATTAAACAAAAGTTAAACAAAATTTAAAGATAAAAGAAGTTGAAAAATTATAACGACAGTCACATGATGAAGTTAAAGTTAAAGTTAAAAAAAACAAAAAGTACAAGAAAAAAAGATAAAGATAAAGAAAAAAAAAAGTAAAGTTAAAAAAGTTCAAAAGATAAAGATAAGATAAATAAAGAATGATAAATGAAAAGGTATAACAAAAAGAAAATAATGATAAAAAGAAAGAAATAAAAAGAAAAGTTAAAGAAAGAACGAATAAAGAATGAATACATTCTAAACTATTGCCGCTCATGGGAGTTGAATAAAATAATGAAGTTACATCAAGGGAATCAGGTTGGCTGTTAATATATCTTCTCAATTAAGAGGATTGAGGCAGAAATTGGTAGAAGAAAAAGAGGAAGCATAAGAAGAAGGAAAGGAATGAAAACTATGATGACACACAAGTGATAATAATCAAAAGAAAAAGGCTTAACATTAGCCAAATCAATTTATAAATATTTGATGGTGGAGAATTGAAGAGGAAAATGGAAAAGATAAAAATAAACAAGGATACATAATGGATGTGGTTGCAGAAATAGGGTGACAAATCAAGGGAGTTTCAGGGTTGAAGATTTTGTTGGGAAGTGGAATTAGTAGGTGACACACTAGTGTTTCGGCACTTGGGTCATCTAGTGGAGAATTATGAGATGTCCCTCTAGTGCGAAAGCACTTGGGACGTCTGGTGGGGTTTGGGGATGCTTCTTCTGTGCTAATTTGGCACGGTTTATAATGAAGCGTCTCCGGTGTGTTGCTGACCAGACAAATGTAAAAGTACTCGAGTTTACACGCAAGTCTGGTCAGTGTATCGTTGGCACTAGTCAGATTGCGTCAATGATACGTAGGTAATTCGCACAGATGGAGTGTGATCTAATAGCACAATTATCAGCTAGGGTCACCGGGTTTATTTGAAATGAAGTAAACAGTTGTTGTACAGTTGGGGGATACCTGTGATGCGTTGCTGATTAGTCTTGAAGTACTCGAGTTGCACAGTGGTGCATGACTAGTCAGAATGTAATCCGCACCAGGTGGGGCGTGACAACCGGTAAGTTTGTACTTGCTGGGGTCACCGGGTAGGGTTTGCAGGTGATACGCGAGCAGTTTGTAAGTCTTGGGTCACCTGCGGTGCGTTGCTGACCAGTTACTTTGGAGTACTTGAGTCTGCACATTTGTGCCTGGCTGGTCAGTGTATCGGGCTCGATACAAAGGTAATCCGCACCAGGTGGGGCGTGACAACCGGTACAATGACAAGTGCTGGGGTCATTGGTGGGTTGTGCTGGTGATGTGCTGTTATAGGGTACATATTTAGTTCGGGACAGGAAGTCGGGTTGCCAGGGTAGAGTACACATGGTCCATTTTGATCTGTAGGTGTATTTGTAAGCGCCCAATGAGGCGCCCATACATTGAGGTATGGGCGTAGTCTGAGGGTGTGCGGCACGTGCTGGATGGGTCTCAGAGCCGGTCTGCTAGTGTGCGGACGTCACTCGGATCCACTTTTACGAGTGGAGATCGAGTCGATGGCCAGCACTAGATTCTGACTCTGGGCGCTACTTCACCTATGTGCCGTACACGTATCAGCCTTGCTGGGTGATCAGCTAGCCACTTGGCCAGCTGGTGTGTAGCATGCACTGGGGTGACCCCACCTTGGGGTTGGCCGGTAGTGCATGGGTGACGCTGGGGTCCACCACTACGGTTGGACCTCTGGCCGATACCCTGCACTCCATGCCGACCGCGAGGGTCCTTACCGGTGTGTGCTATACACCCGCCAAGGGTCTGGCTGGTTTGTAGATACACTACCCAAGTCTCTATGGGTAGTGTGTGAGTATTTACCTGGGGTCGGCCGCTACGGTCGGACCATTTTTTGATGTTCCCCGCCTACCACTCCTCTCTTGTTCCATCACCCAGTTTCTTAATGTTTCTACCAACTGAACCATAAATATACATTACTCTTAACGTATACTTCGTCGTGGTCTGTTTTAGTTATCTGGGGAGTTATTGTGTTGTAAATTCAAAATGTGTGTTGCAAAAGGTCGTGCGTTGTCCATTTCTAAAAATACTTTTTTACCACATTTACAAAAGGTTTGGTTTCAGATTATGCACATTCCTCAACTGCGTGCAGAATCTGAATATTTAGCCTTGGCTGCCAACAATAATAAAAAATAAATTATTTTCTTCCCTGCACCTTTCTTGGATTTGTGTGTGTACCAGATCTAAAGTATAAGAAAATACAATTTCCACGGGTGACAGCTATTGCGCTTGTGCAGACACAGTTGAACTGACAATCGAAGTTCGTGGACAATGGTCAAGCGATTTGATCTACGTTCATACTACAAGTTGATCGACTAGCCAGCCTACCCGCTAGCCTTCTGGTACTTAATATGTAGCACACACATTTGGGCGCTCATTGGGAAGGAGATTATGTGGAGATCAAGGGAACAACTAGTTGTCCAACCGTAGAGGTAGACCCCCGAGCCACCCACACACAACCTGGACAACCCCAAGGGGTGCATGCTACACACCAACTGGCCAAGTGGCTAGCTGGTCACCCTCAGAACACGCCCATACCTCAATGTATTGACGCCTCATTGGGCGCTTACAAATACACCTACAAATCAAGATGGACCATGTGTACTCTACCCTGGCAAACCCGACTTCCTGTCCCGAACTAGTATATCCACACTATATATTTATGTCTTTAGAATGAGTAGTGTACGTCGACTGAAGTAACACATAGCGCAAGTGAGTCAACGGAGCAGCTCAATAAGTTCAGCATCAAAGCATCAATCTCGGCAACAACCCATGCCGAGCCGGTATTCCAACCCAAAAGTAAATGGATAGTACTAGATTGACGTCAAGGTTCATTACACAGCGATAATCAATCACATATCAGCAACTGCTTCCTGGTGAGTCATAGACCACTAATGGCCAGGTGGATAAAAAAAAACAAAGCACCGCATCTCTAATTTAAACATAGCACGGGTCTCTGTGGCCAAGTTATCAAGGACACTAATTAAACTGGAAATGGGTCTAAGGATAAATCATAAGATTTGTTAGTAAAGGTAATTTGAAGAAGAATAAAATCTTATGGAGCATATCAATTCAGAATACATGGATATTCTAAAAAGTTGAACGGAAAAATGATGGGACTCACCGAAGGAACAAAATAAGTTTTACACTGATCTTATTGTACTTTTTCTGAAAATATGATAACCCTCTTAAGTAATCCCCACAGCTTCAATCCACAAACCAAGTGTCCACAAACCAAGTGTTCACAAACCTAGTGTCCACAAACCTAGTGTCCACAAACCTAGTATCCACAAAGTCAAAACCAGAATATACATCAACAAACTCCATACAATATACAGGTCTTATCAGTATTTCCCGTATCAATAAATGACCGCATGAACTTTTGCTTGGTTACAAATATGTGTTGCATATGGTTTTGATAGAATAAGCAATTATTACATTTTTAACAAGGACGTTGGTACAGCTTAAGAATGATCGTTGATTAGCATCCTTTATGGGTGTATCAAATACAAGAGCTACTGGTGAAGACATTTGACTTAAATCATGAAGATACAAGGTCGCAATGGAGAGAAGTGACAGAGGAGGGAAGTGCGGTCTTAGTAAATTTACGAATTTTATATACGTAACGCGGTACTGTACTATACTATTTACTATATTTTATAGACGCGTAGAATTTTGGGGTTGTCTCCTGCATTTTTTTCGATTGTGGATTTTGATATAGTGAATTTGTAGTTATTCTCTCCTCGTCCCCCCTCTTACTATTTCAATAATAACCATACGCACCTTTTTGTGGTTATAATTTGTGGGCTCATTGCCACATAATTTGGGAAACTGGGATCATATCACTCTTTGACCTCGTTCCATTCTTTCTTTTTCTTGCTGTTTTAGCACTTATTCCAATATGTCTTACGCTCACCCTATGCCCATTTTCTGCATCTTTCTAGCATATCTACCTAAGTTGATCATTAAATTGACCACCCACTGTCTATCCATAATCTTAAAATCCCCCATCCAATTTGCTGCAAAAGGTCGTTCTTCAACCATATCGGGAGTGCAGAAATACGGAAAGATCTGATCTCCGCACTTATTTTTTACTGCAACACATGTATCGCTAAAAGTTACAAAACCAACGTCCTACTACTGGCAATTTTTGTATACGAACTTTCTATGATACCAATTCTAATGGAATGGTGCTGGATTGGATGTAAAGTTGTACTAATTGAATAACATACGTTTGGCCGTATTACAAAGAAAGAGTTCACTGACTCAAAGGTGTCAGATCATTGTTTTATAATATCGCGCATTCAGTTTTCTAAGGCGAAAAAAATATTTTTCGATGGAACGTTGGCTAAAAAATAAATGTTGTTACACTGGTTCCTCCCGCCCCTGCCGGGTTTGTGGCAACCAAATTTTACGTTGTTAAATTTTGTTTGGCGGCCTGTCCAATTTAAGGCCTACTAATATGGGTCTCGTTGTCTTCGGCTTGATCACAGCACAACATGTCAAGTAAAATGAAGTCCAAAAGGGCGCAGATGGATTCCATTTCTAATATTCAAGTTTTGCAACAAAATTCTGTTCCAATTCATAAACAAGGTTTTCAATCACAAAATCTAAACCTTATCCCTAGTCCCCCATATTTTCTGCAATAATTATGCACCAGAAAAAGTACCACATTTGCAGCTTTTTTACCGCCATTTTTGGAAACCTGAAACATCCGCACTTTTTACATATTTTCCCATTAATTGAAGATGTAGTAGATCTTTTAGGTCTAGTGTAACCACCATCAAATACATGTTTATATATCTCAAGTGAACCCGTGTTGGAACTCTATTAGATCACCTCTCAAATGGTAGAATTGGTCATTCGACTGTGTTATATTTTTTTACAAGTCTTTCAATATTGAACTCCTTATCTCAACACAAATAAAAGACTACACATATATCAAAAAGTACTATATCTACATGTTTCAAACGGGGGGAGTTGGTACTACGACTATCTACAGTATATTGATTTTCTACGTATAAATCGAAACGAAAAGAGCAACATGTTAATAACTGCGGAATTATGAAGCAACAGTGGTTGATTGGGGGTGGCAAAATTCTAGTCCGGTGTTAGTCAATCCAAAGGGTGTAGACCTCGTATATAGGTACCAGGGTGTTATTCTCTTCGCTCATTTATATTTCTCTGTGCTTTGACCTTGTAAATACGTAGGGCTCTGGAGACAAGTTCTAAATATGGCCATGTTGTTCTGCTCGCATATCTCGTTGAAATGCCATACCCTTGTCATCACAAATAGCATCTCTTACTGATTACCTGAATTATTTGATAATTACTTCTGTAAACCACTGTGTACTGTAATCTTTCAAAGTCTTTGTATACTTAATTGGTCATTGTTGTTCGGAATATATTATACACGTCTGTTGTACGACGCGTATAATTCTTTATAGTTGATATGTGGATTCATGACTAGCCCCCATTTTGCCACCCAAGAATTCTCAACAAAATGAATGACCATATGCACCCTTTTTGTGGTTAATTTTATGTAACTTGGTTGCCAATTCAAATTGTTGGGGTTGTCAAATTGAAACATAATATCTCCTTGATCTCGTGCCATTTCTTCCTTTTTAAGGAATTTAAGTATTTCTTCGAGTATAGTCTAATATCATCATGTACGGAGTTTCCCCATTTCTCTACGATCTCTAATCGTGTTGATAATCATATTTACAGCACAATATATATCCCAAAATTTTAAATTCCCCCCTTCAATGTGCTGCAAAAGATTTGTTACAGAAAGTCGTGTGTTGTCCATATCTACACTCCGCATTTATTTTTTACTGCAGCATATTTATCGCCGAAAAATGTACGTCATACTACTATAGACGGGTTTCATAAGCAATGTGTTCCTCTTTATATTTGGTATATTTAGTATAAGAAGTAGAACTACTCTCAAGTAGTATTGGTATAAAAAATCGGTAGGATATACAATAAAAGAGGTCAACACTCAGGGGTGTCAAAGAGTTGTTTTGAAGTATCGCATATTCCTTCATATTAGCCGAAAAAATAATTTACGACGGAGCAGTTGGCTGCCAAAAAATAAATGTGGCCCCCCTCCTTCCTCCCGCCCCTTCCAGGTTTGTGGCAAACGAGTTTTAAGTTATTATGTTTTGTTTGACGGCCCGTCCAAAGCAGGACCTATTAATATGGGTCTCATTGTATTCGGCTCATTCAGAACATAACAAGTCAAGTCGAAATCGACCCAATTGGATGTCATTCTGATTATCTAGTTTTGCAACAACATTCTGCTCCACTATCTAAGAACTTTTCAAGATCCACAAAACCTAATTTTTATAATAAGTAAGATATTTTTTAGCCA